TGAATCCACCCCGTCTGCTGAAGAACCCACCGAGAAGAATCCTGATTTCTTAAGGACATTTGGGCTCTCTCGCTTGTCGTCCGGTCAAGATTCTGACTCTTTATCTTGCCTCTTACAGCAGCAAAAATCGACTCAAACCGAGCAACTCAAGACTTCCCCAGGCCCAGACGAACAACGCCCACTGGGAGAAATCGACGATGACGAAACCGACGAAGAAGAAGATGGCAGCTCCGGCACCCGTGTCGTACGGGAGGAGGATATCAGCTACCTCCGCAACCACGTCCAAAAACAGGCCGAGGAGATAAGCTCCCAGAAGGATATCATCGCCCAGGTCCGCGATGAGTTGCAAAAACAGGAAGAACACACTCGCCGTGCTCTCACCAAGGTTGAAAACGAGGATGTTGTTCTTCTGGAACGTGAATTACGGAAACATCAACAGGCCAACGAGGCTTTCCAGAAAGCTCTACGTGAAATCGGCGGCATTATCACTCAGGTCGCCAACGGTGATCTTTCTATGAAGGTCCAAATCCATCCTCTCGAGATGGACCCCGAAATCGCGACTTTCAAACGAACTATTAATACTATGATGGACCAACTGCAAGTCTTCGGTAGCGAAGTGTCTCGTGTGGCACGTGAAGTCGGTACTGAAGGAATACTCGGTGGACAAGCTCAGATCACTGGAGTGCATGGTATCTGGAAAGAACTGACGGAGAATGTCAACATTATGGCCAAGAATCTGACAGATCAAGTACGAGAAATCGCTGCTGTGACCACTGCTGTGGCGCACGGTGATCTTTCTCAAAAGATCGAGAGCCGCGCCCAAGGTGAAATTCTTGAATTGCAACAGACTATCAACACCATGGTGGACCAACTTCGAACATTCGCAACAGAAGTAACTCGAGTCGCGCGTGATGTCGGTACAGAAGGTGTCCTCGGTGGACAAGCTCAAATCGAGGGCGTCCAGGGCATGTGGAATGAACTTACTGTTAATGTCAACGCCATGGCCAACAATCTTACCACACAAGTGCGAGATATTGCCACGGTTACCAAGGCTGTCGCCAAGGGTGATCTCACGCAGAAGGTTCAGGCCAACTGTAAGGGAGAAATCGCTGAACTGAAAAACATTATCAACTCCATGGTGGACCAGCTTCGCCAATTTGCACAAGAAGTCACAAAGATTGCCAAGGAGGTCGGAACTGATGGTGTCCTCGGAGGACAAGCCACCGTGAACGATGTCGAAGGAACATGGAAGGATCTGACTGAAAATGTCAACCGCATGGCTAACAACCTGACCACTCAGGTGCGTGAGATTGCGGACGTCACCACCGCTGTCGCCAAGGGCGACTTGACCAAGAAGGTCACTGCCAATGTCCAAGGAGAAATTCTCGACCTTAAGAGCACTATCAACGGCATGGTGGACCGACTCAACACATTTGCTTTCGAGGTCAGTAAAGTGGCTCGTGAGGTCGGTACGGACGGAACCCTTGGCGGACAGGCCAAGGTGGATAATGTGGAAGGAAAGTGGAAGGATCTCACCGACAATGTGAACACCATGGCGCAGAACCTGACCTCTCAGGTACGAAGTATCTCAGACGTCACACAAGCTATTGCCAAGGGTGATCTCAGCAAGAAGATTGAGGTGCACGCCCAAGGAGAGATCTTGACGCTCAAGGTCACTATCAATCACATGGTAGGTCGACTCGCCAAGTTTGCTACCGAGCTGAAGAAGGTCGCTCGAGATGTCGGTGTCGACGGCAAAATGGGTGGTCAGGCCAACGTGGAGGGTATTGCGGGTACTTGGAAAGAGATCACCGAGGATGTCAACACCATGGCCGAAAACTTGACGTCCCAAGTGCGTGCGTTTGGCGAAATTACGGATGCCGCCACAGACGGTGATTTCACCAAACTCATCACGGTCAACGCGTCAGGTGAAATGGACGAACTGAAGCGAAAGATCAATAAGATGGTGTCCAACCTGCGGGACAGTATTCAGCGTAACACTGCCGCCAGGGAGGCCGCTGAACTTGCCAATCGCACCAAGTCAGAGTTCTTGGCAAATATGTCTCACGAGATCAGAACCCCAATGAACGGTATCATTGGTATGACACAGTTGACCTTGGATACGGATGACCTTAAGCCGTACACTCGAGAAATGCTCAACGTCGTGCACAACCTGGCAAACAGTTTGCTCACCATTATCGACGACATTTTGGATATCTCCAAAATTGAAGCTAATCGTATGGTGATTGAGAGCATTCCATTCACCGTTCGTGGTACTGTCTTCAATGCCCTCAAGACATTGGCCGTGAAGGCGAATGAGAAGTTCCTCAGCTTGACATACCAGGTTGACAATACCGTTCCCGATTATGTCATTGGTGATCCATTCCGTCTACGCCAGATCATTCTCAATCTGGTTGGCAACGCCATCAAGTTTACTGAGCATGGTGAAGTCAAGCTTACCATTCGGAAATCTGACCGTGAGCAATGCACAACGAACGAGTACGCCTTTGAGTTTTCTGTTTCCGACACAGGTATTGGAATTGAGGAAGACAAGCTTGATCTCATCTTCGACACCTTCCAGCAAGCCGATGGCTCAACTACCCGCAGATTCGGTGGTACTGGTCTTGGTCTATCCATTTCCAAGCGTCTCGTGAACTTGATGGGTGGTGATGTTTGGGTTACGTCTGAATACGGCCATGGAAGTACCTTCCACTTCACCTGCGTGGTGAAACTGGCAGACCAGTCCTTGAGCGTTATCTCCAACCAGCTTCTTCCATACAAGAACCACCGAGTGTTGTTCATTGACAAGGGCCAGAACGGAGTGCAGGCTTCTAACATCCTGAAGATGTTGAAGAAGATTGCACTAGAGCCTCTGGTTGTGCGAAACGAGGAGCATGTGCCACCGCCAGAAATCCAAGATCCTTCTGGCAAGGAGTCCGGCCATGCCTACGATGTTATTATTGTGGACTCGGTCGACACCGCAAGAATACTGCGAACATTCGATGAGTTCAAGTACATCCCCATCGTTCTTGTCTGTCCATTGGTGTGTGTCAGCTTGAAATCCGCACTAGACCTCGGTATCAGTTCATACATGACCACCCCATGCCAGCCAATCGATCTTGGAAATGGTATGCTCCCGGCATTGGAAGGCCGCTCGACACCGATCACCACCGACAACTCCCGTTCATTTGACATCCTGCTTGCTGAGGATAACGATGTGAACCAGCAACTCGCAATGAAAATTCTCCAGAAACATAATCATAATGTGTTCGTTGTTGGCAACGGTCTGGAAGCCGTCGAGGCTGTCAAGAAGCGTCGTTACGATGTTATCTTGATGGATGTTCAAATGCCTGTTATGGGTGGATTCGAAGCCACTGGTAAGATTCGTGAATACGAACGTGAGAGTGGGCTTCAACGAACCCCCATTATCGCTCTTACTGCCCACGCCATGTTGGGTGATCGAGAGAAGTGTATTCAGGCTCAGATGGACGAGTACTTGTCGAAGCCGCTCAAGCAAAACCAGATGATGCAAACCATTCTCAAGTGTGCGACCCTTGGTGGTTCGCTGCTCGAGAAGAGCAAGGAGTCACGCATTTCAAGTAGTGGGGAAATGCATCCCAATTACTCAATGCCCTCCGACAACCAGAATCAACAGCAGTCGCAGCAACCTCAGCAGCGGTCTCAAAAGCAGCAGCAACAACAACCATTGCCACAACCTCCTCCTCCTCGCCTCGCACCGGAAACCCGGGCTGTGACCACCTCTGGTCCCATCGCCCGGGGGAGTGTTGTCAGTCCCACAGAAGAGAAAGAAGAAGAGATGATAGACGAGCGGGTACGTTAGCCGTATGTTCGAACATGAGTGGTTTGAACCAATTTGGCTAATCGTGTTCTCTCACTATAGACCTTGTTGCGATCAAACAGCAGCTGATTGCGTTTGCTTATCACAAGAACTTGTTTTCTGCCTCGCAGACTTGCAGCTGATTTCTTGATGTGGCCGTTGATACCCTGTCTATATGAGTCTCATCCTATTAGATCTGTCTGCGTTGATCTTTTCCATACCCACCTGCCTCTTGCTTTGTCTTGTGATGCGTTTTCAATCTTTTTCTTGTTATTTCCACCGCACCTACCTCTTGCATTCGCTTGTCTTTTATCGTATCATTTATCCCGATGGAGATGGTGTTAGGCGCATACTATTCGATACGACTTGGTTTGATCTATAAGGAAGTCCAGTGAAATACTGAACAGGGGAGTTATCGCTTACCAGAGGGGCGCTTTGTTATTCTATTCCTTTCGTCTTGTCCTTTGGGATCCTTTCCCATCTAGCCCTTCTTTTTTTCTCCCCTTCTGTTTCTGCTTCCCTCAGGTTTTCTCTCTTCCTTTCCAATTTTGTATTGTATTTAGTTTATATTTCCTTCTTCTTCATCATCATCATATCAAGCGCGGCTCACGACCACCAGCTCTTCATTCTCAGTCAGGGCTCTTTCTAGTCTGCCATTTTCATGGAGGCGTATTCTCTGTCTCTTATTTCTAGCGCTCTTGGTTCTTTTTTTTGCTGAGATCAAAATGTCACCTATTGTTTCTTTGCTTTGGCCTTTTCTAAGATTCTAAACGATTGATTGGTCTCCTTGTAAGTCGGAGTGTAATGTGGGCTTCTCGTGAGCCCTGATTGAGACATGAAGGGACCCAAACCAAAGGAAAGAGAATCAAGGTGAGTCACACATGAACTTCGTAATCATTGACCGAAATCACCCTTGATCATGGAGATTCGCTCCGTCGCATCCCAGGTAGAGTCATAGATGGGTCTCGGGCCCGTCGGTGCCTTCGGTCCCCCCCTGTATTGGCATGTTGGTTCGGCGCCGAGATGCACTTGACATCCCAAGCCCTATTAAATACCACGAAGCACCCACGGCTTACTTATTTCCCAGGGCATTTTGGATTATATTAATTCTTTCAAATATACTCAAATACTTACACACCTTATTTGACTACCGTTCTCTGCCATGGCTCATTCGATGGATGAGGAACGGCTTGCCCAGCCGGACAGTGTCTCGATTGACAATGAGAAGTCCTCAATTCACGATAAAAGGCCTTCGGAGGCCAATGGCGACAATATGAAGTATCCAAAAGGGGTCGAGCTGGCAGCCATCGTCGGTTCGATTCTGCTTGCTATGTTTCTAGTCGCATTGGTATGGACTTCATTGATACACGGATCTTCATGTCAACATACTAACGACTCCTTCGAACCAGGATCGCACTATTATTGCCACCGCAGTACCTGAAATCTCGAATCAATTCAATGCTCTCGACGATATCAGTTGGTACGCCAGTGCCTATCTCTTGACAAGCTGTGCCACCCAGCTATCCTGGGGCAAAGTGTACACATACTACTCGACCAAAAACGTCTTCTTACTCGCAATCCTAATCTTCGAAGTCGGCTCAGCGCTCTGTGGTGGTGCCCCCAACTCCAATACCTTCATCGCAGGACGTGCGATAGCAGGAATCGGCTCAGCGGGCATCTTCTCTGGCGCAACGGTGATAATCGCACAGATTGTGCCACTGACCAAACGACCCATGTACGTAGGACTCATGGGCTCCACGTTCGGGATCTCGTCCATAGTTGGACCCTTGCTCGGCGGTGCCTTTACAGACAAAATAACCTGGCGCTGGTGCTTCTACATCAATCTTCCCATCGGCGGGTTCACCCTGGTGGTGCTATATCTGTTCCTCGTGGTCCCACCCCCACGCGACTCCTCCATCTATACTTGGACGCGGCAGATCCTCCGCCTGGACCCACTAGGCGGCGTATTGTTCCTCTGCGCGGTGATTTGCTTCTTGCTTGCCCTGCAGTGGGGTGGGACGACCTTTGCCTGGGCGAACGGGCGTATTATCGCACTGTTTGTGATGTCGGGCGTTCTCATGATCGCCTTTGTCGGCGTGCAGATCTGGCTCAAGGCCGATGCAACTGTGCCGCCGCGGATCTTCAACCAGCGCAGCATTGTCAGCGGCGTTCTTTTCGCCTTGTGTGTTGGTGGTGGGCTCATCTCTATGCTATACACCTTGCCGCTGTGGTTTCAGGGAGTTCGAGGCACCAGTGCCGTGAAGTCTGGCATCGACACGATCCCTATGGTGCTTGCTTTGGTGGTTGGATCCATTCTCTCCGGTGCGATCATTACCAGGGCGGGATACTATGTTCCGTTGATGTTTGTTGCGACAATTTTCATGTCGATTGGCTCTGGGCTGATGACGACCTTCGAGCTTGACACTAACCATGCTGCCTGGATTGGATATCAGGTGCTCTTTGGTATTGGCATCGGCAGTGGAATGCAGCAGCCATCTCTAGCGGCACAGACTGTCCTACCCATGGAAGATGTCGCTATTGGTGTATCTCTTATGTTCTTTGCTCAGTCGCTCGGCGGGGCGGTCCTCATCGCTGTTTCTCAATCACTTTTCCAAAACTTCCTTCGCACAGAATTGCCCCTTATTCGGGGTATTGATTCATCGAGAATTCTAGAGGCTGGAGCGACGGGCCTCGTTGATGCAGTGCCGGCTAACAAGTTACATGAGGTTCTGGTTGTGTACAATGATGGTCTGCGACGGTCCTTCATTGTCAGTGTCGCAGTTTCTTGTTTAATGATCATCCCGGCACTCACAATGGAATGGAGGTCGATCAAGAAGAATGATGCGCCTGCTCCTGATACTTCCGCTTCGAAGTCATGAGGAACTTTGCATCTACTGGCGAGGAGAGCTGTATTGGATTGCGCTGGACATTTCATACATCAACAGCCCAACGCAGTTTGAATGCACTAGCCAGGTACATTGTGGCTTAATTTAGGAACGCGAATGTATTTAGTCAACTTTAGAGTTGAATGTTATAGTTAGACAGGGCATTGAGACTTTATTAAGAGCAACGCTATTCCATGTATAACTATCTTTGTTCGACTAGTTCAACTTGTACCTCGGCTTTGGACAACACGTAGAAGCCAGAATACTGCGGAGATATTCTATCCTAGTCTAGCCCAGCTTCGCTGCGAGGAATGAAGATTGGGCAATACTCTAAGTCAAGGGCCGGCTCGTCATACCAATATACGAACGGAAAGGCGTTTCTGGCCTCGAAGCAGCCTAACTTCAGCGTCAATTTCACGAGTCTTGTCATACTTCTAAACCAAAAATGCCCAAAGAAAAGGCAGGTCTGACAGAATCAATGTAACCCTTACCATACCAGACGACCTTGTATCAGTCTCATGTATACATTATAACAATTTCTAATTCATTCTCCAAAGATCTCATTGTAGCCGTGACCAGTCTAGTCGCTGTACTGACTAGCAAAATTCTATGTAACATTTTGGGTAATTGCAAAAAAACATTCTGTTAGCCCCAAGAAGCTGACAGCCCACTGGATATGAGATATGATGAAAAACATTGATTGCTTTTAAAACACCATGAAAGCATGCCCAACTCCGAAAATCTGCAAGTTGCAGGAACCGTGTCGTATCTGAAGAAGCATGAAAACAAAAGGAAAGAAAAAGAAAAAGAGGAAATGCTCGAAAACAGATTTAGTCGATGTCCATCTCCTCCTCGACACCACCATCCACCAAGAGCTTGCCCTTCTTCTTCTGGCGGAGTCTCTCCTCGCCGTGGACTCTGTTGGCGGTCTTGCTCTGCTCGGGAACCATGGCCTGGCCCTCCTGGCGATCGCGGAGTTCCTTGCGGATGAGGTGCTCGCCAGTGGCAACGACCTTGCGGTCCTCCTCGCGCTTGCGGTCGCGGGCGAGCTTGCCGGCCAGACGGCGTTTCGTGAAGACACGCTCGCGGCGGGCTCTGATCTCCTCCACTCTCTCCATGGCGGTAATGGTGGCGGCCACCAAGTTGCGGTCGTACTTGACGGGGACGTTTCTCTTCTTGGCGAACTGTGACAGGACGAGCGAGGAGTCCACGATCATTTCCTTTCCGCGGGCGGCACGGTGAGTCTTGGTCCACTTCAGCTTGCGGGGCTGACGCTTCATCTTGAAGTTCTTGTGGCACTTAGACCGACAGAAACGAAATTGCCGGGCATCGTTGCGGACGAATGTGATGCCTTTGCTTGGGAAAGCCGGGCGGGAACAGAAGTGGCAGGTTTCAACACTAGACACAGAGGCATTAGTAGGGGATCCACAAGAGAGAAAAATGAGAGAAAACGTACCGCATGGCTGTGGATGGTGTTGGATATGACTTTGTTGAGTCGCAAGAAACTTTTTTTGAAGCTGGGCCTGAATGGTGGAGCAGACGACGCTAAACCCGTTTGGGCGGTGAACGCTGACTTTTCTATCCCGCAGCGCCTTCACCTTTCCCCGTCCAAACATCGACTCATCGTTCCGTGTCCGTCAATCTACTCAATGGCTTCTGTTCTGACTATTGGTCTCGGTGTCGGCGTCGCGGCTTTCCTCGTGAGTATTGAAATCACAGACCACCTTTCGGCATCAGCCAACTAACCTGTTTTTAGGGCCGTGCCGGTCTGGTCGCCTACCGCCGTTCCGCTGGAGGTGTCAACGCCGCTGGAAAGGCATTCTACAAGGGGTTCGTGGACCTGGAACCTCGATAAGGATATATTGGAATCTTGGCTAATGGCGTGCACAGAGGATTCGAGCAGCGCATGACCCGTCGGGAAGCCTCCCTGATCCTTCAACTTGCGTATGTCCCCCAGGCCCTATTGACTCCCAATGCATCCCAACTGACTGAATATAAGTGAACGAACCTTGACCAAGGATAAGGTGCGCAAGAACCACCGCCAGCTCATGCTGCTCAACCACCCCGATCGCGGCGGTAGCCCATACTTGGCCACCAAGATCAACGAAGCGAAGGAGTTCCTCGACAAGCACACCTGAGACTCTTTGCAGACGGCATTTCCTCAATAATCAGCCCTGCCGATGAAGGAATAGTGAATTTTGGTCCGGATTGCTCAGTATCGACAGTGGTCGGTATTTTGGGCGCATAGCGTGGCGTTGGTTTTGGCATTTACGGGGTCGCAGGATCATTATCTGTTCCGGCGACCTCGTTGTATTTATATGCACTTTGTTTTACATATCCTGACGAGATCGCCACTCTTGAATTGTACTTTTATCTACTGGATCACTTCTCACTTGGATGTTCACCTGGACTCGGAAACCGGGATTCGCGGGCATCACGCACCGCGTGTCTCTCCGCCAGATTGTCGATCCCTGCTGGCGGCACTTCAGACGGTGAAATAGACATAGCGATATTCCAACCCATCCTGTACATGTATGACACGTAAGTTCCCCGACTTGCAGGGCTGCATGGCTGCGGAGACGGAATACCCCGCGGATACAACCCAAGCCCAATATCCGAGACAAATAGAGAGAATCCTGCGCAGTTAATGCCAATAGAATGGAGGGTTCAACTGCTGGGAACGGGGTGTAAAGCGAGTACGACCGCCCCTGTCCCGTTCGGACGAAATGGACCGCAGAGACCGGCTCGGCGATCGGATTTTAGGATATCCGTCTATGATGCCACTAACCTTTCAGAGCTTGAAGTCTGGTCTTGATGTCTGATGCCTGATCTCTGATCTCTGATCTTGGATCTTGGATCTTGGATCTGTGACATATTCACGTCTTCTCGTATTCGTCTTGGTCGCGGTTGAGTCATTTCTGACCTAAACTTTCCAACGTTTCATTGAGAGCAAAGACTCTGACGTCTCTGAATGCGCCCTGCGTTTCCATGATTCCAGAACTGCCATCGCCCTTGAAACCAACCCGCTAGCGCATTCCGACATACCGTTCTTCTGACACCGCTGTCGCCTCCACTCCGCGGAGTTTCTGTTGCCCCTCACACACAAAATGGACGGCCTGGGAGAAGGCGACGGCATGGGCTTCGACATGAGGCAGATACTGCCAAACCAGCAGCAGCTTTACGGAGGCTACGACAATTCTCAGATACAGGCGGGGTCAATGTTCCCCGATGATTCCTCCATAACCGCGGGGGATGAGACCAATGATGCGAAAAGACGCAGGATCGCCAGGGTGAGGACCAAACCTGTTTGTGGTGATGGGACCCATAGCTGATGGAGGACTAAATACAGGCATGCGATATGTGTCGAAAGAAGAAGATTAAATGCGACGGCAAAATGCCCAAGTGCTCCCACTGCATTAACTACAAAACCGAGTGCATTTTCACACAAGTCGAGAAGAAGCGGAACCCCCCCAAAGGGTATGTACACTGCGGTGGATTTAGCGAACAAAGTCTGACCATAGCAGGGCGAAATATATCGAGGGTCTAGAGAACCGACTGGGACGCATGGAGTCACTGTTGCGCTTGTCAGGCTTGTTGTCGGAGGAGGATGGCGGCAAGACGGATCTCGGGACGCTAGAGAAACGACTGGCCGATCGGACGAACGCTTTGAATGCAGCCAAGAGCTCGAACAAATTCATGGCTCAAGCACCCCAAGCGCCCCCAGCAGCAGCACCGCAGCAGGGCCCGAGTTCCCACCAGACCACGCCCCGTATGGATTCACACTCTAGCCCACAGACGGCCGCCACGTCTCCCGATTCGCCAAAGTCAGAAACAGAAGTCGAGGCATTGTCAGATATGATGTGTTCGTTAGTAACGAATAACTGCGGAGAGACTCGTTATATTGGTAGGTTCATGATGCGAATTACAGGACAGCAAACTGATATAATATGACACAGGATCTTCATCAGGTTTCTCTATTTTCTCCCCGAAGGGTATACAATGGGTGAATGAAAAGACTGGCGATACTTCTTTCCAAGACATGATCTCATCAGCCTACGTCGACGACAACAAGTGGATGTACTGGAAACCCGAAATCTTCAGCGACATCTTCGCAAGACGCGTTTTCAAACCTCTTCCGCCGAAAGATGAAGCTCTTTCGCTGTTCAAAGATTTCTTCGAGAACTTCAACTGCTTGTTTCCACTATTCCACGAAGCAACGTTTATGCACTTGGTAGAGCGGCAATACTCGCGTGATCCCTACGAAGGTTCAGGATGGTGGGCGAGTATCAATGTTGTCTTGGCAATTTCTCATCGGCTTCGTGTCATGAGTAATCTTGTGCCACACGAAGAAGATAAAAAGGCATGGTTGTACTTGAAAAATGCCATGGGCGTTTTGACCGAGCTCACTATGCGCAACACCGATTTACTGAGTGTGCAAGCGCTACTGGGCATGGTAAGTTCAATTATTCACATTCCAGGTCATGGATTTGTCTAATTTGTTTTTAGTCACTCTTCCTTCAGGGCACTCCTAACCCGCAGCCTGCTTTCTTCCTAGTTGCTGCGGCCATTCGTCTTTCACACAGCATTGGTTTGCATAAACGCGGCTCTGGCTTTGGTCTCAATCCGGTCGAGGTTGAGCAGCGAAAGAGAGTCTTCTGGATTGCCTACCTTCTCGATAAAGAGTAAGATTCTTCTGCTACCGTCCTTGATATCTGCTAACAAACTCGTAGTATTTGTCTGCGCTCTGGTAGACCGCCAGTACAGGATGACGATGACATGAATGTCGACTTACCGAGCGAAGACCCACCTGACAACGTTGGAAACGTACCTTTAGCTGATGGTAGAAGCAAGTTCAACTTGTTCCGATCAATGTGTGAATTTGCAACCATTGAAAGCAGAGTATACAAGCGACTTTATTCTGCCAAAGCATCGAAGCAGTCCGATGGCGAATTACTCAATACCATTGGCGATCTAGACAAAGAGCTAGAAGACTGGAAAGACAGCATCCCTATCGACTTCCGACCCGAAAATGAAATCCAAGCCACACATACTCCTCTTATCCTCCACATCGTCGTTCTTCACTTTGCCTACTACAATTGCCTTACCACAATCCACCGGATGTCAGTACATCACGGTTATTGGACCAGCCGGCTGTCCAACTATGCTATCCAAGGACTGAATGCACGACCCTTGAACCCAAGAGTCTTCCTCTCGGCTGTGCTATGCGTCACAGCTGCCAGAGCATCAATTAATTTGATCAAGTATATCCCACAAGGAGATTTCGCCTGTGTTTGGTAAGTGTTGACCCGGTCATGTTGCTTTTACGGCGTGCTAACTAGAACATTAGGCTGATTCTTTACTACCCTGTGTCTGCGCTCGTCACCCTTTTCGCCAATATCCTCCAAAACCCTACGGATGCCCGTGCTCGATCCGACGTCAAATTAATGAATGTGGTCGTTAACTTCTTGTCTACCTTGGTTTCCGACGAATCCAATGGCAGCATCAAGCGTATGCTTGGTCTGTGTGGTGAATTCGAGAGGATTGCCAAGGTGGTCCTAGACAAATCCGAAAAAGAATCTCAATCGAGAAAGAAGCGCAAAAATGCAACGGACGAGTCCGTAGGACAGGACGAGTCCGAGGAACAGTCTGCAACTTCGCCGTCTGCCAAACGCACCCAAGTTGCATCCAACGCCGCGGGTTTCTCCCCCTCGGTATTCACTAAGCCTATGGCTCCTTCCCCCGGTGGATCTAAACCATACCACGGACCCTCAATGCCAACAGGCGGCATTTCTCCAGATCTTCCGAGTAATATTCATTCCATGCCGGGCATGGGCCAAGAATTCTCGGACATGATAAGCCCCGGTCAAATGAGTGGTGTTGGCTTCTCGGATCAGCCCTCATTCGGAACTACTAGCCCAGGCATAGCACCATTCCAACAGCCCTTTGTCCCTCAGGATCTCTGGCAGATGCCTATGACGATTGAGTGGGATTGGGCCGACATGTCGACAAACTTCCCTCCGTTTGAAGCGGGTGTTGGTCCTAGTGGCCCCCCACCTGGACAGTGATGACTTATTGCATTTTAATATTCTCCTTTGGAGTTCATGAAACTGAGATCATTAGTTACGGTGTTATCTCCCCTCAATATCTATCTCCCCTTCTTGTACATTGAACTATATCTTATTTTGAACCTATCTTTGGTTTCCGTTACGCAGCGAATGGCGCAGGGGTGGACTTCCTCAAGAATTTGTACAGAAAGATTTCCATTTCACTCATATCCTGAAGGTCCAGAATTCATATAATTACCTCTATTATTCGCCGTTAACTCGGGGTTAAGCTAAATTCCATGTGCTTCCAATAATTTATGACTCAGCCGGATCGGCGAAAATTTGGAGCCGAAGCTGGAACCACACGGGCGTCACCTCGGTCCTGCTCCAGAGCTTCACACCCCCCCCGGCTCAATTCTTGCTCCACCGCCTGATATTGATGGACAGTGAACTCATCCATTGATTTAAAATCCGATTGTACACTTTTTACCCCCGCCATCGCAGCCCTCGGGGCTCCCTCCCCTCGACCATGGCCGCTTTACTCCGACGGCCAGGCAATCTTGCTCGCTTCTCGAGGAAAGCCACAGAATACACTAGTCGCACAGGTTACGCATCCTTGCGTGTGCAACCGCCCAGACTATCATCCGTTATCCTATCGAGCCGCGCCAGAACCTACTCCACGCAAAGCCCCGGTGGCCCAACACCCGATGACAAGAACCGGAACAACACACCGGGAGACAATGGCTCCAGGCCTGCTTCTCGCCTCAGTGAGGCTGAGGAGAAGCAGGTCAATGACTTCCTCGATTTCGTTAACTCATCACCCGAGCACCGTGCCCATCTCCGAGCAATGATGACCAAGAACGGAGTGCCGCCTGAAGTTAAGCCGTGGATCGACCCGAGCCAGACACCAACTTTGATGGATCGTATCAGGTTGACTCGCTGGTTATGGAACAACACGACTGAGCAGGCAATGCAAGCTGGCAAAGCTTCTGGTGGAATTTCACACGAAGACATTGTCAACATGTTCAAGGACAGTCCGGATGCGAAGGAGCAGAAGCTACCGGGAAAAGAATCGCAACAACAGCCCGAAAATAAGGGCGAGGAGCCTTCCAAGCCCGAGCCGGAAAACGACCCGAAGAAGGATAACGAGGACCCCAAGAAGGATAACGAGGACCCGAAGAAGAAGAAGCAGGAGGGGAATAAGAAACAGGACGACAAGAAGGGCAAGATGCCTCCTAACATGGGCAAAGTCCTCGAGTTCCGTTTCGATCCCGCCTCGTTCTTGGTCACCTCTCTCGTCACATACTACATCTACCGCAGCTTCTTCCCCGGTGAAAGCAGTGGCCGGGAAATAACTTGGCAGGAATTCCGGGCCAACTACCTCGAAAAGGGCCTTGTGGAGAGATTGACCGTCTTGAACCGCAACAAGGTTCGGGTTGATCTCAACCGCGACGCCGCGGCCAACGCCACCGACGCCAATGGCCAGCCCGTCTCCTACGTCTACTTCAGCATCGGTTCCGTGGATAGCTTTGAGATGAAGCTCGAGGCTGCTCAGTACGAACTTGACATTCCCTCGGACGAGCGCATTCCTGTCGCTTACCACGACGAGACACCATGGGGCGGTGTTCTGATGTCTTTGGCTCCTACCCTTCTGTTCCTCGGTGGTATCTTCTGGATGTCGCGACGTGCTGGTGGTGGTGGCGGCGGCCAGAGCGGAATCTTTGGTATTGGCAAGAGTCGTGCCAAGCGTTTCAACCATGAGACCGATATCAAGACCAAGTTCGCCGATGTCGCGGGTATGGATGAAGCCAAGGTTGAGATTATGGAATTCGTCAGCTTCCTTAAGCAGCCAGAACGGTTCGAGAAGCTGGGTGCCAAGATCCCCCGCGGTGCTATTCTCTCTGGTCCTCCCGGTACTGGTAAGACGCTGCTTGCTAAGGCCACTGCTGGTGAATCTGGTGTGCCCTTCTACAGTGTCAGTGGTTCCGAGTTTGTCGAGATGTTTGTCGGTGTCGGTCCCTCTCGTGTCCGTGATCTCTTCGCCAACGCCCGGAAGAACACTCCCTGCATTATCTTCATTGATGAAATTGATGCTATTGGAAAGTCTCGAGCCAAGTCAAATGTTGGCGGTGGAAATGATGAGCGTGAAAGCACTCTCAACCAGATCCTCACTGAAATGGACGGTTTCAATACCTCCGAGCAGGTGGTTGTTCTGGCCGGTACCAACCGACCGGATGTTCTTGACAAGGCCTTGATGCGTCCCGGACGTTTCGACCGACACATATCCATCGACCGCCCTACGATGGACGGCCGTAAGCAGATCTTCCGTGTATATTTAAAGAAGATTGTCACCGACGAGAATTTGCTCTACATGGAGGGCAGACTCGCCGCTCTCACCCCTGGTTTCGCTGGTGCTGATATCGCCAACTGTGTTAACGAAGCAGCTCTCGTTGGTAAGTTTTTACTCATTCACATATTGCATCAGAACAACGCTAACATAATTTCTAGCTGCCCGTGAAAACGCAGACAAGGTCGTTATGAGACACTTTGAGCAAGCCATCGAGCGTGTCATTGGTGGACTGGAGAAGAAGTCCCTTGTGCTTTCTCCCGAGGAGAAGCGCACCGTTGCCTACCACGAGGCTGGCCACGCTATCTGTGGCTGGTACTTCAAATGGGCTGATCCTCTGCTCAAGGTGTCCATCATTCCCCGTGGCCAAGGTGCATTGGGTTACGCCCAGTACCTCCCCGCGGGTGGTGACACCTACCTCATGAACGTCAACCAGATGATGGACCGTATGGCCATGACTCTGGGTGGCCGTGTCAGTGAGGAGCTTCACTTCGACACCGTGACCAGCGGTGCCAGCGATGACTTCAACAAGGTTACTCGCATGGCCACCGCCATGGTGACCAAGTTTGGTATGTCCTCCAAGCTGGGTTACATCTACTACGAGGAGGACGCCCAGCAGCAGCTCCACAAGCCCTTCTCCGAGGACACTGCCCGCACAATCGACCTCGAGGTGCGCCGTATTGTCGATGAGGCCCACAAGCAGTGCATCCAGCTCTTGACCGAAAAGAAGGCCGAGGTAGGCATCGTTGCTGAGGAACTCCTTTCCAAGGAAGTCCTTGGTCGCGACGACCTCATCCGTCTTCTTGGTCCTCGCCCTTACCCCGAGTCTGGTGAGTTCGCCAAGTACTTCGACGGTAAGGGTGGTGCTACCATTGCTCCCCCCGACAACCAGAGCCCCGAGCAAACCTCTGGTAAGGATGGCCGGGACGAGACTCCTCTACCTCCTGCATAAATAGGGAGAGATAGTCTTTTAATCGTGCATTTCCTGTGCCTTGGTTTGATTTGTGTTTTTCTGGGAGGAATGATATCACTGTAGCCTCTTCTTTTTTTGTATTTATGGATTGCATCCTCCTTTTGTCTCCCCTCTCATCATCTTCTCTCTTTCTCTACCCTCTCCTATAACACGATTCTTCCTACCTCCCAATTGCGCCGAATATGATCTTTTCTCTTATTTTCCCCTCTTGTTTGTTGACTCTTCACCTCCATGTCAATTTAGATAGGTACTGCAGTACTAAGTGTATAATAGGGAGTTTTGTTGAAGCCTGTCCTATCTGGGATCTTTTTTCTTCCTTGTAATAGTTTCGGCTGTTTCCTAGCTTGTAGTAAGCTCAGTCCGTATACAGTTCTATTTTTGCGACTTTGATAGAAAAAGCATTGTCAGATTTGAACAGATTGAAAAGACATTGTATTCAGCAAATAAAGTTATACCATGTGTGATGGTTTTTTTTAAAAAGTAATAAAATTAAAATCGGAACCCTCCTTTCAATATACACACTGCGCTCCGCCTTCGACTTGCATACTGTTCAAGACTGAACTTAGTTGTCCTTCTTACTGGCACGCTTGGGCTTCTTCGCCTCGACAGAGAAACGAGGCAGGAAGCGACCAACACGAGCCTGGTAGTCTTTGTACTCAGGGTACTTGCCCGCGCTGATGGTCTCAGTGAGACGGGTGCTTCCCTGGAAGATGGCAAGATAACCCAGGACACCCAGACCTGCCCAGTGGAAGTAGGTCTGAGTGTTATAACAAGACCATGCGTACAAGGTCACCCAAACGGCCTGTTCGGCGACAAAGTTGGGGTGACGGGACCAAGACCAGAGACCGCTGACAACGAAGCCACGCTCAAGATCCTCGGCATCGAACTGGCCCTTGTATTCACCGGGGATGCGCGCATTGGTCTGGTATTCCTGCTTGGCAGCCTGGAAGTTCCACTGCTGCTGATCGGCGAAGAATTCAATGACAATGAAGAAGAATGCGGCGCGGGAGAAAGCCAGGTCAGTGAGGCTGAAAGTCTCGCCGGTCTGGTTGTACGCCATAAGGACGAAGATGTAGGTGGGGGCGGTGATGAGGAGAAGCAACAGCGACTGAGCCACAGCAATGAAACTGAAGTTGAAGATCATGAACAAGAAGCTGTTGTTGACTTGACCGCGCACAATTTGCCAGCGGTAATCCTCCGAGCCGATCGAGTATCCTCCTTTGCGCCAGTAGTTGAAAGTCAACCGAGCCTATCGCAAGTTTCGGGTTAGCGCATATTAATAAAGAAATGACAATCTTGCTTACACTCCAGACCACGCTGATGATGGCGATCGTATCCAGAGCAGTTGTTTGGATGCCTGACAAACGGGCCCAAATGGCAAAATGCACGTTGTACAGCGCGGGGAGAATGCTCCAAAATCGGTCCACCTGCGAATAGTTGCGGTTGATCTCAGCGGCAATGAAGAACAGAGCAGCAAGAACACCGCCGAAAGCAACCGCGGAGACCAGAGGGTTGGTGGCGAGATATACAGCTTTCAGGTTATCGACATCGCGACCAGCTTCGAGCAAGCTGTCGGGAAGGTATCGCAGCTGTTCGAGGTAAGGAAGCACTGTGAGCTGAAAGGAAGTATAGTCCACGAGGGACGCCACCTGGGGAAGTGGTAAAGATGCCATGTTTAAGAATATCCTAAGAATACCGGAATCACACAAAGGCAAACAAACAGAGAGAAGAAAGATGGGAGGAAGTTATGTTTGGATTACCTCATCGGGCTTAGCTCCGGATCGGCTTTGCTTACATAGTTTTAGTTGCCTCAGGCATGCCTCGCGCGTCTTTCCACGATGTGACGAAACACACTTTCAGTAAGTTATGAACTCCATGTGATCCTTCGGGCTCATCATGGCTCGTAAGATCCTCTGTGTGGCAGAGAAGCCTGCCATTGCTCGCGCAGTGGCCACTCATCTTTCGGGTGGTTCTTTTCAAACAGTGAGTATCCTCCAGGGTTCAAGCTAGCAAAGGCTAAGATCAAGGTTAGCATCCAATTCGCGGGAATCAGTATGTGAAAAACTATGAGTTTGACTTCAACTTTGGTGGTGCTTGGGGCAATTGCTCTGTCACTATGACCAGTGTCATAGGCCACTTAACTGGCCTGGACTTTGACCGTCAGTATAAAGGCTGGCTTTCCTGTCCTCCAGGGTCACTGTTCGAGGCACCCGTGCAGGAAGACGTTGATAAGGTGGACAAAGCTCCTAGATTTGTTAGTTGAGTAGTGCTAACTTCTCCATTAGGACAAGCTACCAATCGCGGAAAACATTCGCAACCAAGCCAGGTACTCCAAGGCATTGTTCATCTGGACCGATTGTGACCGTGAAGGCGAACACATCGGCTCAGAAGTCCGTACCCAGGCCTTAAAAGGCAATTCTCGCATTGAGGTCAAGAGAGCCAAGTTCAGTAACACAGAGAGCGCGTAAGTCAGAAAATTGACTTGTTTTTTCAGGTCAATATTGATTTCTTTATAGCCATGTGCGTCGGGCTGCTCTGCAGCCAGTCAACCTTGATGACTATCAAGCAAATGCTGTAGCTGCCAGAATCGAGCTTGATCTTCGAATTGGTGCGGCATTCACACGTCTCCAGACGCTGCAACTACAAGCGGTAGTCGCCGCCTTGAAAGACAAGGTCATCAGCTATGGTGAGTTTATTCAAAATGTTATATCATAAGCATAGCTGATTATTGATAGGATCATGTCAATTTCCTACGTTGGGATTTGTTGTTGACCGATACTTGCGAGTGCAGAACTTCAAACCAGAAACGTTTTGGGGCATCAAAGTAATTCTTTCCCGAGAAAATAAGAAAGTCAACTTTCTCTGGAAGCGTGTGCATCTATTTGACCGAGCGGTTGTGACAATGATGCTAGAACGGTGTCTGACTGCAAAACAAGCTAAAGTCACAAAGGTGAACCAGAAGCCTACAAGCAAATGGCGGCCATTACCCTTGACAACCGTCGACCTACAGATGATGGGCTCTCGCTTTCTCCGGTTGGACAGTCAAACTATCATGAAGGTATATGAAATCTCATCAAACCTAATTACTAGATTGCTGACAAGCTTAACAGATAGCAGAAGCACTTTACACCAAGGGATACATCAGCTATCCCAGAACTGAAACAGATCAGTTTGACAAGGCGATTGACCTCAAGAAGCTAATTGAAAAGCAATATCCTGACAGCTCATGGGGACAATACGCGAAGGAGTGAGTAGTCCGTGTATTTTTTTTTGGTTCTTTTTTATGGCTAACAAAATTGCACAGCCTTGTCGATAGCAAGTTCAGAACTCCTCGATGGGGTCGTCACAATGATAAAGCCCATCCTCCCATTCATCCGGTGAGCTGGGTTTCACCTAATCAACTAAACGCCAATGAAAAGAAAGTGTACGAATTTGTGGTCCGTCGGTTCCTTGCCTGCTGCTCTGATGATGCCAAGGGCCAGAGTACAGAGATCGAGATCCAGTATGGAGATGAAATGTTTCATGCAAACGGTCTGATGGTGTTGGAGAGAAACTACTTGGATGTGTATGTCTACGATAAGTGGGAAAGTAGCCAACAGCTGCCAAAATTCGATCTAGGCGAGCTCTTTGAGCCAACAGAAGCCAATATGTTCGAAGGCAAGACTACTGCTCCGAACTATCTGACCGAACCCGAGCTCATCGGTTTGATGGATGCCAATGGAATTGGCACGGATGCTACTATGGCAGAGCATATCGCCAAGATCAAAGAACGTGAATACGTCGCCACAAACCAACGAGGCAGTGGCCGCACCTCAGTACAAGAACTTATTCCGACTCGTCTGGGAATTGCTCTTGTAGAGGGCTACGATAATGTTGTCACAGGCCTCCCGAATAGCGTGTCTCTCAGCAAGCCGTTTCTGCGCAAGGAGATGGAATTACGGATGCTTGAGATCTGCTCGGGTACCAAAACGCGGCAGGAGGTTGTGCAACAGAGCCTTGATATGTATCGGGAGGTTTTTATCCATACCCAACGGCGTATCAACATGCTGAAGTCTGCCTGTCGAAAATACCTCGTTGAAGAGGCTGCATCATGACTTGAAAACCTTATGATCCATCTTAATTGTTTCGAATGATACCAATAATAGACTACCTCATATCCTTGAGTGTTTCTTTGCCAGACGTGAGGCACCGCCGTACCCAGGCTTGATATAGTGGAGCAGCATAATATTATTATTGAAGGGCTGTTAGGATTTCGCAAAAGACCTGCTAGTGCAACAAGTTATGAATCCATACATGACATACTACGTTTAACTTGCTTCAAGTAAGACTCAGTTTGAAAGATGACTAAATGCTGATTCCAACTTGAACACGATATGTTCAATAACTCATGTAACTTACGTATCAAAAAGAAACAGCTCAATAATCAGTATCTAACATCCCAGGATACTCAACATAGATTCTGTTCTATCATTTAATAGTCTTTCTTCTTTCATCTGCCCATAAATCAACTTCGTACTTGTAGAAATCGACTTCACTGTCCATTTGATTCCGCAGTCTCGTCCGAGACTACGTGTCCATTCGATCCTCCGGTGGCATTTTGCACCGCATCATTCATACATTTCATCTCCCGCAAGATCTGGGGAACAACTTTCATAAGGTCTTCCACATCACCACCGATCTCCTCAAGTTTCTGGTCAATGACCTGCTGATTTTCTCTCTGATTGGTCTCAATGATTTTGGTAAAAGAACTGAATTGTTCTTCGCATTTGAACGCAAACGCGCCAAAAGTATCTCTCACATGTGCAAACTCTTCCCTGAATGTTGCTATATCCATTTGAAGTTGCTCGCAAACCGCAAGGATGACACTTTCTAGTAGCTTTTGAAGCTTCTGGAAGTCACTGTTGATTGATTGGTAAAGCCCTTCTCCCAAAACCGCCCTCGTGTCCGTGATTGAGTGCTTAAGCTGAACGATATTCAGTAGCAAGAAGAAAATGCCCGCGGCGAGAAAGACAAATGCAATGGTGGCGAGGGAAACGTTTCGTTCACTTGCTCGTCTGGCAAGCATAGTGTCCTTCTCGTTCTTCTCTAGAAGTTTCTCCAACAAGAAATCAGACATCTGGGTCTTGTCAGCCTTTCTCAAAAGTGCCTGTAGTAGGTAGTCTGTCATTTGATTTGAGGCGGTTGTGATAAGTGGACAGGAGGTCGGAGACGCCACAGGTCGAGTGTTGAGATGGAAAGACTTTTGTTCGGCATCTTTGTGCAGACTATACATGCCATGTTTTGAGTTTTCGAATTCAATTAGTTGTTGTAATTGCTGGTCTTGGTGGGAAATGGTGTCGTTCTTGGTGAAGACATAAGGGTGCAGTCGGCGTAATCCGTAAATTGACCCTACGACCTCCAGGGAACTAATACCGCGCATGAGGTATGAAGTTGTAGGTGAAATTGTAGTCAGAGGCACTGATTGCCAAAGGCCAAGGCCGTTCAGGCCGGCGAACATTGTGCCTAGCAGCCAAAGTTCGAGCATATTGTCAAGGTCAATTTTCGTAGACTGAGCGCTTCGAAAGGCTTGAATTTTGGTTAATCTTCCGAATATATTCAGGAAAGGGGGGAACCTTCCACGTCTTTCTCGGTGGCTTGGGGGTTTTATACACCGGAAGAATGCCAAAACCGCTGATGGGGTGAAAACAATAAATCTACATGGCTTTGTTCAGTACAAACATGAAAGAGCAGTGCTTCCATGAGTCTAAATTTGAATAGCTTTCAATCATGTAATAAAACGATTAATTGTATGTTTGGTTATCATGATTGGCTATGCGGCTGCATTGTTCCTTAAATGATCCCTTTATTGCCTTTGCTAGCGGTTTGATCATTATGCCCATGAAAGAGTGATTAATTTGGATGAAATAATACACAAGGCTTTCTGCTGACAATTTTTCAAAAGTAAATCCTAATTATATTGAGCTCCTTCGGCGTGATTATTTAGCCAAAAAGGAAACATAACCCGAAAGCAAGTGTAAGTCTTAGTGGAAGCGTCCAATATTCTTAGAGAAGGTCGCTTGTAGACCACTCACTTTCCTGGCCTAGAGTTCAAAAACTTTGTCCCGGTGAACACTGCAAATTTCTAAAGGGGCATGGGTTGTAAAATATGTCTAGGTGTATTAATTGAAACTTACCTCTAGTAAGAGATGGCAGGGGACTGGCGGGCAAGGGAAACATACCGCAGTAGACCAAAAAAAGAAAACGGAGTAAGACAATATCTTAAACAGAAAAACACATGTATACTAGTCTTGCATACACCAAGTGCTTGACCGGTATCTGTTCTCACGCGACATTTTGATGATCATTTGCGTCCAGTCTGGTGCTGCTAGTGCCCCGTGCAACCAGTTTGCGGCTGCAAATAGCCTGTTTGCGCCTGTTTATCCATTACTGCCTCTGTATGTGTTCCTCTGTGCTTAAACAGGTAACATATGAATATATCATAGAGTATTGAACTTGAATTTCTAGAATCTTGGGGGGGTCAGACAGCCTAGTTAGGAATGGGCCCCTAACGGGAGGCGTCAGTGGAGCAAGCCACTTATTATTCTCCGGCGGCTCCTTGTCGATCATGAAGTTACATTTCCAAGATTTGGTTCAGTGGCAACCTTCAATGAAAGATGTAAGAGAGGTCTGAACAAACCTGAGTCGGGCTTCCCCGCACTATTCAAAGTATCATGACGTATCCAGCCCTAACTTCTCCCCATGATAGGTCCGTCCGGAGATGATCACTTCTGGGACGCCTTGTATCAAAGTCGTATTGCTTCTATTGCTTGGTTTACTTTAGTCTAATTACAGAGTACACATCCTTCCTCCATGAGAGAGCTGCTCTTTGCTCTTCCCTGCTGGGTCGTCGGCTCGTCCGGCAGCTGCTTTACCAGTGGCAGAAAGGTCAATGAACCAATAGCTTTGTGAAGCAGGCGCCATTTTGGTCATACTGGCTGTCTTCGTCCATTTCAATCCAGCTATGTTACATGTACATAGACCCATTGTACTTTTAAGCGACCTGTGTCGCATAAGATTTGGCCCGGTCTCCAGCCAGATTGCAACCCTGTCAGATGCTGGCCGTGCTAGTATGTATGGAACTAGGACAAACGCGAAATTTTGCTCAATAGACTCCATAAAAGCATCCATGCTCTCCCCAAATCCCCACAATGGAAGATGTAAATGTTTTTCTACGCTAATGTCCTAGATTCTTGATGACAGGTAAATTGGCTATCAAGGTATGGAATTTCATCCGCAGGTCTTTGGTCTAGGCAAAAGTATCCTATTATAGGCTGACATGTCTCTCTCAAATCCATTGCAGATCAAAACAGCTCCTTTATTTTAACAGTATCCCTATATTTGACTTCTAAAAGATGAAGGAAGAAGAGATGGTCGATACAGCTGCGGAGAAAGGGGAGCACATAGAAACTCCAACATATGCGCACAGGGAAGACAAGTTAGAGCCTCTTCCCGATGTGGAAGATCGATCTCGGGGTCAGATCAACGCTGTATTCGAGAATCCTCTAGCTGGCATTCCTCGTGAGCAACTCTTCAAGGATGTTGCAGAATTCTGCCATAAGTATGACCTGATGGATCATCTTGAGACTTTCCAGAAAGGTGCTCTTATATCACAAGATCCTGCAAAGGCAACAAGTCTTCCGGAACTGACAGATAATGAGAGGGTGGCCCTTGAGCGTGAAATTACTCACAAGTGGTCACAGCCATGGCAGCTTTACTTCCTTGCCTGTATGTATTGAAGACAGAGCTACCTGTTGACTTGGCTAACTTTCAATTTTAAGCAATGTGTTCTCTTGCTGCTGCTGTTCAAGGTATGGACGAAACAGTCAATAATGGTGCTCAGGCCATTTACATGAAGCCAGATGTATGTGTCTCTTTATAACCCTATGTTGCTTTTGTTGACCAGCATACTCTCAGCAACTGAACATCACCACGGCAAATATCCAAGGCCTCGTTGTTGGCGCCCCATACTTAGCCTGTGCGATTCTCGGCTGCTGGCTTACCGAGCCTTTGAACCGCTTCTTCGCCAGACGCGGCACGATATTTATTTCATGCTTTATTGCAGCTGTAGCATCAGTTTGGGAAGGATTCTGCAATACCTGGGTCAATCTCTTCATTGCCCGCTTTGTTCTTGGATTGGGTATTGGTTCAAAATCAAGTACTGTGCCAGTATATGCCGCAGGTGAGTGCTGCTGACTAGGTCTTTGACTTCTACAATGTCTCACTCAGATATGTACAGAATGCTCACCCGCTCCAATCAGAGGAGCCCTCGTTATGATGTGGCAAATGTGGACAGCCTTCGGTATCATGCTGGGCAACATAATGGGTGTTGCATTCATGAGCCTGAGCCCAGATATTAGCTGGCGCCTCATGCTTGGATCGACCGTCGTTCTACCACTTATTGTCTGCGCTCAGGTCTACATCTGCCCTGAGTCCCCAAGATGGTTGATCCAGCATGGCAAGATCCAGAAGGCATATACCAACTTCCGCATCCTCAGACCTACCGATATCCAAGCGGCCAGAGATCTGTATTATGCACATGCAGGCGTTGAGCTTGAACGCAAGATCAACAAGGGCAAGAATTTCTTTACGATGTTCATGGAGCTATTCACTGTCCCTCGTAACCGTCGCGCTACATTGGCTAGCTGGATTGTGATGTTTATGCAGCAATTCTGTGGCGTGAACGTCATCGCCTACTATTCTACCTCCATCTTCACTGAAGCGGGATACAGTCTGACCAGCGGGCTATTGGCATCCATGGGAACTGGGATTTTGAATTGGATATTTGCCTTGCCGGCCTTCTTCACGATTGATACATGGGGTCGAAGAAATCTGTTGCTGTTTACCTTCCCATTCTTGGCTATCTTCCTACTCTGGTGTGGCTTTTCGTTCTGGATTGAAGCCGACAATGATTCCAGCAAAGCAAGAGTTGCAATGGTCACTACCGGCATGTATCTGTTCGAGATATTTTACTCTCCTGGTGAGGGACCTGTGCCTTTCACTTATTCTGCTGAGGCGTTTCCCCTGAGTGTTCGCGAAGTCGGTATGTCTTGGGCAACGGCAACTACCTGGTGCTTTAACTTCATTCTCTCTTTCACTTGGCCTCACCTTGTTGAGGCGTTCAAGCCTCAGGGTGCTTTCGGCTGGTATGCCGCTTGGTGTATAGCAGGCTGGTTTTTGGTGTTGTTGTTTGTACCGGAAACCAAAGGTCAGACCCCATAGTTGGCTCGTTCGAGATTGACGATACTAATTTTCTATTCTAGCTCTGACTTTGGAGGAGTTGGATCAGGTCTTCTCTGTCTCAACTCGCAAGCACGCTTCATACCAGATGAAGAATGCTTGGTGGCATTTCAGGGTTTGGATTCTTCGTCAGAACCCACCGCCATTGCCACCATTCTATCGCAACGCTGAACGGCTTGCTGAAGTGGGCAACTTTGGGTCAAAGTGATGGCTGCTCTTCCAGGTTTGTAATTGTCATGAGACATGGGTGATACTGTTTTGTTTTGCTTTGTTTTATTGATTCTATTTTGAAAATCTCACTTCTCATCTAGTACATTGATCTAGTCATCGAATGATGCCATCCAATTGCAGATCTCATTTGGTGGAACATTTTGATAGTAGAAATATTGAATCAATATTGTATTTCAGCCTAGGCTTACTGCTCCCCTCAGAATATGACTAGACACAACTTTTAAGCCTTAACATTCTCTCTTACCTGACGACATGATAACTGTGCAAGTGCTATGTATAAAGTTGCCCACCAATTTGACAAAATGATTCCTATTGACGACGGGGATAAATCATTCAAGCCTCTTGCTCAGTACAACACCGTAGTAGACTGTAGCAATAAAGCTGACCAAGTTGACCAGACTAGAGATGCCGTGCACACGACCGAACTTCTTGTTCAGAGCCAGCATCTCCTTGGAGTGAGGCGCCGGGTCGTAGCTCCGCTTGCCATCACGAGTTTCTGCAAGGGGTCAGAACATGAGAGCAGAAACACAATGCAGCAAATTCAATGGGAAGGCTTACCCTGGTGCTTCCGCTCGCGCATCACATTGATAGTGATAGGACGCAGAACGAACATGTTCACCAAACCGGTCACTGCCACGGTTGCCAAGGGCAGGAAGGTGTTGAGACGGTTCTCTGGCGCAGTCAAGCCAGAGAGTCCCAGAGTCTGTCCACCGTGAGAAGCGGTCAAGGCCACAACCACAGGTAAGGCTGTCTGCAGCGAAAAGTAGATGGGGAAGATGGCAGTCTGCAGACTAGCAAATTGGGGCCTCGGCAGGGCACGGAAAGCAACAAATCCTCCGACAAAAGACTATTGACTTGTTAGATGTATTTTCCACTATACAAGGTTTCACGTCTTCAAATGTGGCGTTAAGTCTAGGACTTACCTGGAAGAACTGGGTTCCCAGAAGAGTGCCATAGCTGTATTATGTGTCAGATGAGGCCCAATACGTAGAGAGAAACAAACCTCAGGACATGGTATGGGCGTGGGTCATTCATATTTCAGGATATATGGAGATGCGAGTATCTATGATGTTGGCCCGAGGGGAAGACTGGATTGCTGGCCTGAATTCCACGGCCGCAACAGAACAAACACGGGTGATGTCATGTGCCTTCGCGTCTGAGCCTAAACCGAATGTGGAAATATCGCGCGTCTGCCTGGACGTTGTGTTGTCTTGGGGCGATTTGGAGTAATTCTCTTTCCACTCTCAACACTTCATCATGGCAGAAAAAGAGGCTACAGTCTACATTGTGGACATGGGAAAGTCCATGGGCGAGCGCCACCATGGCCGGTCGGTGACCGACCTCGAATGGGCCATGCAGTATGTCTGGGATAGAATCACCGCCACGGTATGTGACTTACAACAAATTACATACAGCTGCTGACTGGATAACTTAGGTGGCTACAGGTCGCAAGACTGCTACATTGGCTGTGGTTGGACTCAGGACAGACGGTGGGTTGTACTCTATTCCGTTCCTGGTCCTATCTAACTAGTGTGCAACACCAGAAACTCGCAATGAGCTCGATGAAGAGGCCAACTACCATAATATCTCGGTTCTCTCGGATTTAGGACAGTATGGTTGAATGAAATGTCTGTCTCGTGCCGAGTTTCTTGCTAATCCCTTGTTAGATGCCTCATGCCTGACATTCGGAAGCTCCGAGAATCTATCAAGCCTAGTCGAACTAACAGAGGCGATGGTATGCAACTCATCGATTATTTGAAATCTCGTGTCTAACTATGTCAAAGCTATCTCTTCAATTGTCATTGCCATGCAGATGATTATCACGTACTGCAAAAAGCTCAAATACAAGCGAAAGATTGTTTTGGTGACCAACGGTACCGGCTCTATGAGCAGCGAAGGCCTCAAGAGTATCGTTTCAAAACTTCAGGAAGACAACATTGAGCTGGTAATCATGTATGTCTCCTATTCGGTAGTACTATATCAGAGCTAATGCTGTACAGTGGGGCTGATTTTGACGATCCTGAGTATGGCGTCAAGGAAGAGGACAAAGACAGTGCAAAGGTGATTAAATCGCTCTTGCACATTGAAAACAAAAACCTGCTGACCGTTGTAATATAGGCTGAAAACGAAGCTCTTCTTCGTGTACTTGCTGAAGATTGTGATGGAGTATATGGAACGCTTGAGCAAGCCGTCTCAGAGCTGGACATTCCTCGAATCAAGGTGACCAAGAGTATGCCATCCTTCAAAGGGCATCTACAGCTTGGTAACTCAGAAGAGTACGAAACGGCAATACGCATACCCGTTGCGCGATACTTTCGCACCTACGTTGCCAAACCGCCCTCAGCGAGCTCCTTCGTGTTGCGCTCCGGAACAGAAGCTGAACAAGACTCTGCCCCCGGGAGCCAGGCTCCGGGTGAAAGCGATACACTGACAACAGTACGAATGTCGCGGATCTATCAAATAAACGATCCAAATGCTCCGGGTGGAAAGACAGACGTGGAGCGAGATGATTTGGCGAAGGGTTACCAGTACGGACGAACGGCAGTTGCTATCGAGCAGACGGATGAGAATGTCACGAATCTGGAGACTTTTGCAGGCATGGAAATCATTGGCTTCATTCAAAGTGACAAGGTATGTCTTCGCTCTGATAGTTGTCCTGTGGTGGCTAATCTCCTGTACAGTATGATCGGTACTTGCACATGTCCAACACCAACGTCATTATCGCTGAGCGGGCAAATGACGCTGCATCACTTGCATTGTCCTCTATCATCCATGCACTATATGAGCTGGAGTCATATGCCGTTGCTCGGCTAGTGGCCAAAGAAAACAAGCCCCCTTTGCTTATCTTGCTGGCCCCTTCTATCGAGCCAGACTATGAGTGCTTGATTGAAGTACAGCTTCCCTTCACGGAAGATGTGCGGTCATACCGCTTTCCGCCTCTGGATAAAATCATCACAGTCTCTGGTAAAGTGGTGACTGAGCACCGCAACCTCCCAAGTGACAGCTTGAGGGATGCAATGAGCGATTACGTGGATAGTATGGAGCTAGAAACCACAAATGACGAAGGGTGAGTAAATCGCATGGAATGTGCTGTTTATCAGCTAACAAGTCAACTCAGCGAGCCCACTAATGAACTTCCAATCGACGAATCATTCTCCCCATTACTGCACCGCCTGGAATCAGCTGTTCGATACCGTGCAGTGCATCCGACTGATCCAGTCCTCGATCCATCAGAACGCCTGACGCAATTCGCCCAGCCCTCAGAAGAATTGATAAGGAAATCGAAATCCTATCTAGAAAGATTGATCTCCACAGCAGATATCAAGAAGGGTAAAATCTCCTCCGTCTAAAAAGCCCCTTCCCCAAAGAAATCAACACTGATCAAAACATAGTCCCGCCAAAAGCAAAGGGCCGCAAACGTCAACGCGAAACCGAGAAACCCCTCTCAGGCCTAGACGTCGACGCCCTCCTAAGCCTAGAACCAAAGCGCACAAAGATCTCCGCAGAGAACGCCATCCCAGAATTCAAGCAAACCCTCTCACGCGCCGATAGCATCGACACAATCCACGACGCCGTAAAGCAAATGGCTGACATCATCGAGATCCAGATTAAGCACAGTCTTGGCGACTCCAACTACGATCGAGTCATCGAGGGACTCGGCACTATGCGCGAGGAGCTGGTAGATTACGAAGAGCCTATTCCTTATAATGACTTCCTGCGTAGGCTCAAGGGCAAGTTAGTGGCGGAGGAGCTCGGTGGGGATCGAAGGGAGTTGTGGTGGCTTGTTCGGCGGAATAAGCTAGGGCTTATTGATAAGAATATTGTGGAGAGTTCGGATATTTCTGATGTTGAGGCTCAGGAGGTAAGTTTGGTTCTTTTTAGTAGACTTTGGATTTGGTGCTAACGTTGCATGTAGTTCCTAACTGCTAACTAGGGTAAAGAGTCCAATGCTGATTTCTTGTATTGGTTTTGAGCTCAATCCAGTTATGCATAGCATAGCAATGAATCAAACTGGATCATGGTGCCAGTTTTGCGGTTTTTCACCAGTATATCCCTTGTTTGAATATAAAAAAGTATCAAACTTTACTTCCTGCTCGCACCGCCGTTCCGGTGCCATATGATTAACCTTGACCAAGCAATCTGAAATCCATGCGGCTTCTTGAGCATAGAATTAAGGTAAAGGTTCGAGTTTACATCTCACATACAACAACTTACCAAAACATCATGTGGTCCAGTCGGTCTGTTATACAGGGATACCCAATCAACAGCGCATATCCAGCTACGCCAGTAGGTTTTACATTATGAATTAATGTAATGTAGGTTTGGCGTTCGTTCTAAAGATGAAGAAGTCGTTTGTGAATGATAAATATGTGGAAGAATTGACAAAGCCTAGGAACGTTATTGTCATATCGACATAGAATTGACACGTAAAGACCAAAAAAACTGTAATCAAACACCATGCAATAGACACGAGAAATCGTGATAGTTTGCAAGACGTCTCACAGTAATAGAAACCGGAGAACCAAACGCCGTGCAAAACATGCCCAAAAACCAACATTCGCTCCGGAGGAAACCAGAAAAACAAGCCAGTCCGAAAAAAGAAAATTGAAACATTAAACAGCATCCAGATGCAACGTGAAAAAAAGGGGTATGCAAGAAAATTTATCCCAGCGGGACTTGAAGAAAGGAACAGAAACCACACGTGATGACCTTGCAAGGCTCCTGAGAACAAGGCATGTCAATTTCAGTGGACAGTCTTGGCTACCCGAGCAGGGCTGATGGAGTTGCTACCAACTCGGCCACTGGTCTTGCGAACTCCGCGAGCATCACTGCTACGAGTACTGTCTGTTGCTCGTCGAGGGCTAGATCGAACCTTGCTGACAGAGATCGGCGCAGCACCGCCGCTCTTTCGACTAACAGGAGTCTTGGGGTTCGCATTGTAGTTTTCTTGGTCCTCGTGGTTGCTATCGGCCAGAGTGTAGCTAGCAGTGACAGTGGCAGAGTAGCTGATCGATCTCGAAGTGGGAGAAGCGACGGGGGATCGCGATGAGCGCTTGGCTAGCCTGCGAAGTTGAATCTCTTCCTCACTCTCGCTGCCCTCGTTGCTCTTTCGGTGGGTGCGATGGCGTTGTTCACTTTCAACAGTCAAAGAGCCAGAAGTGGTCCGAGAGTAAGGGTGGTGTCGTGAATCCTTGCGGTGTGACTTTCGGGGTTGACCAGGAGTGGGTGCAGGAAGGTTTTCTTCAGTATAAGCACTGGCTTCATTTTGATCGATCTCCCCAAGGGCCGCGCGCTTGGAGTGACTGTTGTTGGGAGGGGTGGACACCACTCCGTTGCTGCTGCGCTTCTTTGTGGAGACACGAGGAGTAACAGGAGTGGACTGAGCATACTTCTCGCGCATTGAATCTTCGAACCACCATTCGCGGAATGCACCCTGATTGAGGTGCAACCAGTGCTGCTGGGGTCCAACAACCATACCAGGGCGCATGAATCTCATGAAGGCAATGACCTCATTGGCAGTGAAGCCGTATTTGTAGATCAGATAGGCACCAATTAGACATCCAGTGCGGCCAAGACCTGCCTTGCAATGAACAGCAATTCCCTTTTTCTTGATGGTAATCATCTCGTGCGCCATTTTAATAAAGCGACGAACGAGCTGCAGGGGAGGGCAAGTTCCGTCTTCGAAGATCATATCGATATGGGAGATACCAAGTGCGGTGAAATAAGACGGACAGTAGAGCTCGGAATTCAAGCGCACAACCAGACCAACGTTGCGGGAGGAGAAATGCGCCAGGACATTCTTGAAGGGCGTAGGAATCTTGGCGGAGGAAATCTCCGAGATAGAGGAAGGCAATGCATCGTATTCGGCAGTGTTCATGGGAATGGGCTCCACGGGCTGTTGTTGAGGAGAGGCAAAGGCAAGGAAATCAGGTGTAACCCAGTTAAAGTCACCCATGTCGACTCGCTCAAACTTCTCATATTCTTCGAGGTTGAAATCACGAAGTCCGCAAAGTGACTGTTCCTTGGCTTTCCACACACCATAAACTACATCCTGAATGTTCAAGATGAAGTCGGCTTGGCTATATCCAGCATCACGGAATGGCATGTAAGGAGGATCGGCCTGCGCAATTGGTGCCAAAGCCAGATGAGGCGGCCAAGATTGAATCATCACCATGTAGCATGCCACAAGACAGGCTGCATTTGCGCGACTGCGGGCATCAGTCTTGCTGTAGAAAACGACTGGGCGATCGCTGTTGGCCGGGTCGCCCAGGATCTCATGGAACAAAACGGCAAAGCGGTACAAATGTCCAATGTGAAGCGGGCCGAAATCGGCGTGGAAAGCATTGTAGAGAAGGGTGTCATCAATCGTGAAATAGACGGGGGAGCGGCGCTTGCTCGGAGTGGAGGGCTGGGCGCGTGCCCTCTTGCTTGGAGACTTGGGCGCATCCAAATGGAAAGGGAACGGGGTTCGCGAGCTCGGTGCAGAGTCGTAAGAGGCCAAGTACAGACGATCTAGCAAATATCCAAGTTTAGTTCACGATGTCGGATGAAAACCAGCCAGTTGGAAACAGATCGCACTAACCTTGAATGTACTCGATCATTTGGCCGCCGTGGTTCAAGTCGGTAGTCATTATGTTCTTTCTTTGCTTGAATACCCGATGTAAATCGTGTGACGCTCAAGTTGGATCTTGTCAAGATACCGTTTGCAGGAAGTTGTGCGTTGGTGTGACTCGATGTCGCCAATTGTAAGAGTATCGGAGAACTAAACGTTCATGATCCGATCAACCAAGACTAAGAATAAAAATCAAGAGTAGAGGAAGCCTGTACAGGAGGGGTCCAGAAGAAAAGGAAATCAACAACAAGTCCGGGTTTCATGATGTTTGGGGCAGCTGCCATGCCATTATGTTGTGCCTTTCCTCATTGGGCCTAGCGACGTCTGTTGACGTGACAACCGTGCCGCCTCAGGCAGAAGCTGATGCCTGTGGCATTCCACAAACAAAAACATCACAACATGCAAACGGTGCAATTTGTGCAAACCAGGCAAACACAACCCAAACATAACATAACCATAACACTGGTTCAGTTAGTTACTTACTTACCCTTTTCTCCGGTTCTCACTCGAGGCCTCATCATTGGGCTGCCTACATTCCGCCAGGCAAATGTGTCGCGAATGGGCATTAGTTTGCCTGTTTCGATATCCCATGACGGAATGGATCATACAATCTAGGAAGGCCATAGATGCCTTCCCGTGCGCGATCTCGATATTCTTCCTGGACCTTTAATACAACGCCATTCTGCATTCTCCCTTGAATCACATTGTCTTTCCAAACACCCCATTAGTAGCGGTTTACTGAGCACAGCTTTGCCGAGATGCGAGCACATGCTTGGGCCGCTTCGGTCTAACAGTAAAAGAGTGGAGATTCCCGGTGATCTATCCAGCCAGTTCGCTTTAAAAAAACCCTCAATATGTAATCCCGGCTGCCTATATTCTACAGTTCATGGCTCACTGCTTGGTCTGGAATTGTGGCTATCACATTCTATTGCTGTTTGTGGCGAATTTACGCTTGACTGATCACACGGATTTTATATCGGACCCATTGTGTCTCGCGCTTTCACGTTCCCAGCCAAGTACTCACGCTACTGTACGCGTCGGGATTATAAGTTCAGTGTTGCTAACCAGGTATCACCTTGATTCTGTCCATACTTTCGCTCATTTCATTCTCTCGTCCACCCAGAAGGCTTCATTCTTCCGGTTCGCATTAGGACAACACCGACTTCAACGCAAGGATACAGTAAGTTCATTGACGGCAAACTATTCACTGATAAACTTCGAATGTTCCACTTTGTAAAAGTCACGTTTGGTCCGCTACTCCCTACTGAGCGTTGAGATGATCGACAACAGTCCAACAAGTGGATTCGTCGAGTCCCCGCTTAAAGCGCCACCCTTACCTGAGCTTATTCGCTACGATGTCAAAGCCATCATCCCTCACTTCGATGCTCTAACATAGTCGTTTGTGTACGCATCGTACTAATGTATCATTGGGCATAGCATGTGATTCCAACAGTTGTCGGTGGACATGCTAGCACTGCAATTCTGTCCTCATTCAGCCCACTGTAAACAAGAACTATAAAGTACAACATTGTGCATTTTCAACTTTGTCGCAGTAACTGAAATAAGGATCTCATCAAACAGATTAAACGTCTTGTAGTGTGCTTCTTAGTTTATCCTTACTGTTCCGGCACTTCCCCGGGCATTTGCACGCCCTATCATTTTATCAAATTAGTTTGATTGGATCCCATGTGGGCGCGCCACAAACCCCTTGGTTCGTACAATTTCCGCTGAGGCGACAGTAAGTCCGCGGCTTTACAGATGGCACGCTAGCGCCGATCGTGGTTATTCTCAGGTTGAACGAATAACAAGCAGACGGTCAAAACATCGACCCTGAGGATCCCTAGCGCGAGGGAGATCCCTTGGGGGGGAAGAATAAACAAACCCTTGGAGTTGTATATAATGCCACCTACAGGTCCGCCTACTCGAGTTTCGTTCTGTTTTATACAAGTCACTCCTTCACTTCCAGTCACTCTTTTCGACTTCTACCTTTGAACACACCTACCTCACCAAGTCACTCTTTTGAAACCTCCGATCTAGTTCACAATCACCGAAATGAAGTTCACTGGACTCGCCATTTCTCTTGCATTTGCTGGCCTGTCCTACGGCGGCACCATCCCTATCGCGGGGGGCGCTCTCCGTGATGTAGAGGGCACTATTGGTAATGCTCAGGCTGCCACGTCCAACCTCGTTGCTCCTGTCGTGACTACTGCTGGTGGATTGGCCAGCGGTCTGAAGCGTGATCTTGGTGATGCCGCTGGTGAGACTGTGGAGGCTGTTCCTAGTGTTCTCAACGAGGCTACTGGCATTGCTGGCGGTGCCGCTGGAACCGTTGAGAGCACCAGCTCGGGCCTTGTTCTCACTGCGGAGCACGGCATTGAGCATGCCATTCCTCAAAAGCGCGAATTCACTGATTCTATTGGACAAACCGTCGAGGCCGTTCCTAGTGTCGTCAATGGCGCTACCGATATTGCCGGCAGCGCTGTCGGAACCGTTGAAAGCACTGTCTCCAATGGCGCTAACACTGCGGAAAAGGTCGTTTCTGGTGTCAGTTCCGGCAAGCGTGATGTTGACGGCATTGTTGGCACCCTCGCTGGTACCATTGGTAGCACTGCTGGTAGCACCGTTGGTAGCACCGTTGGCAGTACTGTCGGAAGCACTGTCCCTGCCACCGTTGGTGGTAAGTACCCATTGTTCACTCCTTGATGATTGTAAGCTAACTTATACACAGAAGTAACTTCTGGTATCGATGGTCTGGGTAAGCGACAGGATCGTCCCGCTCACGGCATTGACTCAGCGGCTCTGAACACTGTCGGCCAGGTCACTTCCCACCCCACCGGTCTTATCCGTTCCCTCGTTGGCCTCAAGCGCGCTGTCGACATTGGTGAGATTACCAAGGGTCAGCTTGCTGAGTTCCCTGCTCTTCAATCGCTGGTTGCTTTCCTCTAAAGTCGCTCTGACACGACCATGATTTGGGCTTGGAGTGAGACATAATCAAGACTACATGACCCAGCCCGCCGTGGTTATATATTCATGTTGACTACTTTATTTGAGTTGTGTTGAATACTCCTTGGATACTTTCTATCTTCTTCTTCTTCTCAAAGATCATGCTTGATCCAGCTTTTATGTACTATACCATCCCTTCATGAGTGAGCTTTATATTTCTACGATTTAACATGAGTAATTTCCACGGAAAGCATCCTTTTACAAGATAAAATCCATTGTTTTGGCCTTGATTTGATGTAAAATGGTTCTATTATCTGACGATTATCGTATCATATCGTCTATACTGAAATATAACTGCCAGATCATTCGTTCTCGACAACTCTTAGGGCAACCCTTGGAACTATACAAAAGCTGAGTCATCACTTTCAGCCCCTCCACGATTCCGCCCGCGAAATGTCCAACCGCATCATGAACACATCCAATTGACCACAAGAACCCCGTGTACTCGCCTCGCCGAACTTGCAAAACCCTCATCCATATTCAGAATTTCCAGTCCCAATAACACACCATGACTCTCGAATCAAACAACCCCGAGTTCCCCTACTCATTGTACGAACGCATTTACTTAAAAGTCCAGGACTACTGAGGCTAACACGCAAACCCTAGAACAATCTCCCTTCCCCTTCCAACAAATCGCCTCGCTTCCTCTGCCCTGCGCACCCTAGATGTCGACTCAGAATTGTCCCCTTTCGTGCGTCGCACACTCAGTCTCGAATCCCCAACTTCAACTGCTGCCTCGGAGCACAAAGAAAAGAAACTGAAGCAAGACCCCGATGAATCGAAGACTATCTTGAAGACTACATACTACGCGACGACCAATCGAATGTTGCGTGTTGCTGTCAATGGGTTCATGGAGAGTTTGGGTGTTATCCTTGGTGTTATGGCTGAATTGGACGTTGATGTACTCAAAGCTGAGATGGAGGGTTGAACCGACGACACTGAGCAACGAAAAATATGCTAGAATTGATGGGTGTCTATTTCCGGACTCATGGCAGTTGCTTGTACTTGAGGCTGATCCTGGTCATGTCTACTGCGAGATCCACATAGCCTCAAGACTCGAACCCTGTTTGTCTACACTCTTACCATCGTCCACCATGGCTTGAACCTTTTCACGACTTGACACTACGGTGAGACAGAACTTGGGTCTATTCCTTGATTGGTCTTTGCAACACCATGAGAGTTGATTCTTAATCCGTGGCAAGGTTTCCGCCAAAATGCCTTCATTACTGGATTGGAGACGTTTGTTGGGCACTGTGACTGCTCCGCTCAGGACCTTTTCGCTACTTTCAATTACGTCGTTTGCCGAGTCGCATGTTTCGTGTGCGGTATGGATTTGCGGGGTTCTCAGCCTGTGGTAGCTGGAAATTTAGCAACATAGATATCCAAATAGTCCATATTGAATACAACACACCAACAGCTCGCTACGTCTTTAATGGTATCTAAGTAAGCATACAGTATCACTCTGTTGACCACCACTAAGAAGTGGCTGATTACCACAAATTTCGGTGGACAATATATTTCTGCAGCATCTTTCAATATCTTTGGGTGGACTGCAAAATTTTTACCAGTACTAGCGCTCCGAGATAGAAGTAATTATGCCCAGTCTCTATAGATCATTAAGCTCAAAGCCAAACAAATTAGGCTCAAGCAGTGCACAAAATTATGCGCAGACGGTCTAGGTTCGCAAGATGACCAATGGCGCAGCCAATAAAGTGGCACCTGAAAGACATCGGCTCGGACAGTTAGCTACTTCCGGCGGCACTAGAACAATCCGTGCCCAGACCCACGGCCAATTGGTAAGAAAGTGATTTGACCTCGGTTGAGTGCAGAGTACAAGAACACCATGTTCGCGTTTTCGCCTCAGCGGTGTTCCTTCAATACTGCCAAGTCCTTCCGTCTATCAACGACGTCATTGTACAACTCGTCCCCGCGCGTCCTCTCCCAACCTTCTTTTGTGCACCAAACAAGCAAAATGTCTTCCGCTACCTCTTTCTATGACTTTGAGCCCGCTGACAGTATGTAAATCCCATGCTGACCACCATACGTCTATCCATATCATGTCCCTTCGTTCCCCACGATCCAGCGATTCAACCCCCTTGAAAACTATCAGCTAACCCAGTATTTCCCCACCAGAGAAGGGCACCCCCTTCCCCCTCTCTTCTCTCTCTGGCAAGGTCGTGCTGGTCGTGAACACCGCCTCAAAGTGTGGCTTCACACCGCAGTTCGAAGGCCTGGAGAAGCTCTACAAGGACCTGTCGAAGAAGTACCCAGAGGACTTCACAATCATCGGCTTCCCCTGCAACCAGTTCGGCAGCCAAGATCCTGGCAGCGACGATGAAATCCAGTCCTTCTGCCAACTCAACTATGGCGTCTCCTTCCCCGTGTTGGGAAAGCTCGATGTGAACGGCGATAACGCCGCACCTGTGTGGACCTGGATGAAGGAGCAGCAGCCTGGTATCATGGGCCTCAAGCGTGTCAAGTGGAACTTTGAGAAGTTCCTTGTTTCTGCTGATGGCAAGGTTGTTGGACGTTGGGCTACTACCACTAAGCCTGAGGGTTTGGAGAGCACTATTGTGCAGGAGCTTGAGAAGGCCAAGAAGGCTGGTACTCTTGCTTCGTTGAAGAAGGGCGATGCTCCCGCTGCCACCGAAGCTTAGTTGGCTTGAAGGACTGGCTTTGTTTATTTCGGTTTCATTTCGGTTTCATTTGTATCTATAGCCCGGTGTTTCTGTCTCTGACATACTGGTCTCTTTTTTTTCCGGCTCGGAAGGGGATTCTTTTAAAGTGATAATGATAATTCGTATCGATGTCCGTCATTTAGTTTTTATCAATTCGTAATCCACTAGTCTCCCCGGGCCTTCTCTAGATCAGCTCATATCGTACGATAAGCTACATGCTATTCCGTTGTGGCCTGATGTTCCAGCCTAGGCAGAGGGGGCACCCTTGGGGACCAGGTTTCGCAGGGACAAATCGTAGACGACGTCCTCGACCTTCTTGACCTGCAACCCGTTCATATTAGTACTAAGGTTTATATTTGTGACTTTGCAGCCAGGAAGACTTACACTGTACTTGATACCGTCACTGCGCTTACGCAAGATATCATTCTTCAAGTTCAACAGCTGGAAGCCGGCAAACAGCTCCTTGATGAAGTTTCCAATCTGCATGGGGCGAGAGTAATCACCGAGAGTGACAGAGTTGACAGCGAGACGAGACTGCAAATAGAATTAATAGGAGGTCAGGAATTAGAGAGTGTGCAGCTAACCAGTTCCTCAACCATAGCAATCAATGCCAGAAGGTACTCTTCAATAGTCAAGTGGAAAGCATCCTGATCCTTCAGATTGACGGGAACTATAAGAGAAACAGGCCGTTAGCAGGGTATTTCAAGATATAAGACAACGCATCATGGATGACATACTCTCAAGGAACTTTCCCACATCTTCAATAGTCATGAAAGAACCGGAGCTAGGACCCTTGTGCTCCTGCAATCCGCCCAACCAAGCACAAAGCTCAATAGAAGCAACCTGTCGAGAAAATCAGTACAATCCCTTGAACTCAGTAGCCCAGGTACGAACCAGGTTCTGTAGCTCACGGGTCCACAACCCGTTGTACTTGTAGAAAGGGTGCTTGTCAGCCACAGCCTTGAGACGGGCGACTTCCTGCTTCTGAGCAAGGATCTCAGTGGTCACATAGTCAAGCACGGGCTTCACTATGATCGAGTCAGTAAGATTGCCTCTGGCGGATGCTTTGCGCGGTACACCGCCTCAAGAACAAGATTGACATGTGGATAGAATAGAAGCAAATCCACATCCGGCTGGAACCATTGCGCAGCTGCATATATCAACTTACACTGGTCAGTAGGTGTGGAATGAGCCCGCGACAGGATAGCTTGTGTAGATCGCCCTAGGAGAAACGCATCAGATCCGAAGTGTTGAGATCAACTCCAATGACCGAGTTGAGTAGGCCAGCGGGATGATCATCTGTTGCCAGTATCGATCATGAATTAAAGGGCATACCTCTGCGGGCAAGAGTCTGGACAATCTCATGCAGTTCCTGTTGAGTAAGGTTAGCTCTTGGTGTTCCGCGTTGATTTTTGGTGGTGGCTTGGCGCGCGAAGAATTCACCCAGTTCGGTGACGCGCTGGCTGGACTTACATCGCGAACGGTGCTCTCCTCGTCGATCTTGTTCTGGAGATCTTCGAAAATTCGTTGGTCAATCATTTTGGTGGTTGAGGTTGAGTGCTGATGGGTATATGGGAAATTTGGTAAGGCGGGTTTGAAAGGTGCGGTGGATGAGTTACGTCAAAATCAACGCTGAAAAATGATGGAGCTTGCTGTCAACGCAACTTGAAATATTTTTGGCTTGGATTTAAAAGGGATGGGATGTTTGTTGTTTTGCTTAATGTAATAAGATTTAAAAAGGAAAACTTCTCACATGGTGAAGGTCATTGGATAAGCTTTCAACTGTGGTTGAGATACAAGGTACAGCTATGTTTTGTATACAATCTCCAATACTCTACTGAGAAGCCCGAAGCTTCGAATTGAGCAATTCCTCTCTTAAATTGAGGAAAATTTATGTTTTTTTTCACTCTCAACGAAAATGATCGCAAGGGCGACTCGGAAACAGAAAAACTCCAGAACCATCATTACATTTCCAGCGTTTTATCTTCTTGCCAGATCAAGTCTAGCGACAGTCATAAGAGTCGTAATAAAGCGACACACAGGCACACCGGCTGTCGGTAGTGCTAATATGCACAGAGGGGAATGAGGCTCAGTATCGGTATCTGGTGGAGTAATCTGCGAGAGAAGTTGTGAGCAACTAGCAAGCCTTCTGGAGGAAACATGGATGTGCATACCTTTGGGGCTGACCACCAGACCACGACCCTTCTTTGCGCCCTTGTAAATGGTCTCAATGATATCGATCAACTCTTGTTTATCCTCCAAAACCCAGTTCAACTTGTTGTTATTACCAGTTCCAAAATCGCACATCATGTGCTTGTTGCGGTAGAAGAACATGATAGTCATGCGATCATAGAGCTCGTACATCTGGTTGAAGTCTGGGACCTGGTCCACGTCGCAAAGGTAGATGACCGCGAAGTCTGGAGAGTCATTAGCCGTTTGGTGCTTCTGCCTGTGGAATGGATGACACTCACTCTTCACACGCTCAGCAATCTTGTAGAGAAGTTCATCCTGGCGAATACCTAAACGTTCATGAATTAGCTTCGCGCGGTAGTCGTCCTGACTTCGGGGTGCTCACAGTCGGGATCGTGGTCACGGCCGAAACGGATCACCACCAGGCGTTCTTCTTCCGAAAGGATGGCCTGGTCAACATGCCACGCTGTCTGCAAGTGAGGGAGAACGATAGAACCCATGGCGACGTCTGTCCTTGTTTCAGAGGGAAGAGATGCGGAGCGGGAAAAAATGGAGGCTTATCGATTGGCCCCGCGATTGAAGCTCCACAGCACGTGACAGGGTTGCTAGCCTGGAGCTTGAGACGTTGGCGACAGTCAGGTCACTATCGGGGCAGATAGTATCTTGGTTGTTGCTGAACAGTACGAGCTTCTTGTCTAGCAATGTGAGACAAGCGCTGTTGTGGAAATCTAGTATTGTGTGCTCATCTCAAATTTTGATCGCCAGCATGAGAAACATGAACATAGGAGCTACACATCTTGTACATTCAAGGTTGACTATTGTTTACAAGGCGATGGGACAAGGGAGTCCATGGTGGAAGACTTCAAGAAATAAATATAGCGAACACAAAGACAATTAACATCCTTGGAGATGCCCGGTGTACACAACAATTTATAAACACAACGTCATTTAATACGATTAGGATTCAAATGAATTGGTTTCTTCTTCTCCAAGCGCCCGGGCAAGCCGAGACAAGTGATGAAAAAGGGTTCGCGTCGATCGAGGGTAGTGTAAGCCCGATGACACAGTGCAACGAGACATGCGCAAGCACAGAGGTCAAGTTGCGAGATCCAAAAATGAGAATAATCAAAGTGTTTCCAAGAGGAAACTTTCAGAGATTAAACTGAAAAGAACAGATACTACACTTGATCTAAGCCAATAGGCAAAGAGAGCTAAAGAAGAAAGAAAAGAGAAGGAAGGTTGGCGGGAGGAGCAGATATTTATACCCAGACCATCCCCGAATTAACGCTAGTCCAGATCAGGCATGACCTGATTAAGCAAGCGAAGCTTAGACGATCCAATCAACGCTCGGCGGCTGCTTGTACCATCTGACTCATCCATCGACATCACATGACCCTGACGAAGCAGGCCTCGCAGCCCTGAAGGTCACAGCCCTAACCATCGCCCAAAATGGCTTAGCGTAGCACACCTGTTGAATATTCGCTATCGAGGGCTCCACATGGGAATCTCGTCTTGACCATCTCTCGCCGGCGCAGGATATACACCTCTTTGCGACCTTTCCACCGAAGTTCATCTCCCCCCAATCCATCAAAAATGGCTCCCGTTGCTGTACGTTGAGACCCAAACCGCTTTGCTGTTCCCTCCGACTGGATCATGGCTTCGCTCTCGACTGGAAAACATCGGTATTGAAAAATCTATCGATGGCACCCATGTCGCAGACGAAATCATGATTCCACCGGGGCTCGACATTATGGAGCAGTAGGCTAATTGAATTGTTATATGGTATAGGCTCGTGGTCGCAAGGCCCCCAAGGTTACCCAGAAGGTACGTTTTTTCCCTATCATCCCGCTGACATGCATCATGCGCATTGGCCATGAAAAACGAACCACATACTAACTTGTTTGTTCTACAGTTCATCATCAACGCTTCGCAGCCCGCTAGCGACAAGATCTTCGATGTCTCCGCCTTCGAGAAGTTCCTCCACGACCGCGTGAAGGTCGAGGGCCGTGTCGGTAACCTCAGCGACAAGGTCGTCATCTCCCAGATCGGCGATGGCAAGATCGAGGTCGTTGCCCACATCCCCTTCTCTGGTCGCTACCTCAAGTACCTGTGAGTCCACCCATGCGATCCCCACCCCATCCATAACTAGTGGGTGCCGTCTTCCGCAATAGCCTACTGACCACTCTTCGCCCTTCAGGACCAAGAAGTACCTCAAGAAGCAGCAGCTCCGTGACTGGCTCCGTGTCGTCTCCACCTCCAAGGGTGTCTACGAGCTCCGCTTCTACAACGTCGTCAACGACGAGGCTGAGGAGGATGAGGAGTAAATGTGTCGTTCTCGACATGTTCTTCCGCCTGTCCTTGGGATCGATCGGTTCTAGTCTGTGTGTGTCGCGCTTGTTATGTCTGAAGCCTCTATTTGGATTGAGAGCGAGAGCCATGGGGGGATAGATTGGTCTATGAGGCCACGAATAAAACTAAAAAAGTTTATACCCTCAATTCTGAATTGTAATTCCTTCATACGTAAACTCGACTCTTCTATGTAAAATGCTGTAAATGAACTACAGTACTGACTTTGGAACTTGAGCATCGATGCCGATGAAGGCTACTTTCATGCTGAACATACTTGCGCCATGGAACGATATTTCTACTTTATAGTTATACACCAATCGCCAGACAGCCAAACCTTCATTGGCCTTGAATTACCTACTGAGTTCTCTTTTGATATATTCCTCGTCTATGCCTGCTGGGGATTCGAGCCAGCTACGCCTTGGGCAGGAGGAATCAACTTCCCATCCTCGAATTTCCAGCCTTTCTTCTTCATATTCCTCCACTTCTCACGCGCCTTCAGCCTTACCAGATCACCAGTGGCAATCGAGTCCTCCTTCGAGTCATGTCCACCAGCACCAGTCTGGATATCGCGGGCCAGATGTTTTGAAGTCAGATATTTGAGACTGTTGCGGATGGGAAGACCCTTGATGTGGGGGTATAACAGGACAGTGTCAATGATAGTGGGGTGAATAATTCTGCAAACATTCAGATCGTTATTGATTGCATGGCCAATGAGCGGTGTCTCAGGCTGAAGCAACTTGAATAGTAAGTCTCGTGCTTCAGCCGGTGACTTCACAATTTGCAAGGGTTGTTTGGCTTTCTCTTTTTCATCCTTGGTAGACGGTTTTGAGTCAGAATTCGAGCCTCTGTATGGCTCTGCGTTGACAAAGTCTTTTGAATAGACACCCGAAAAGCGAGAGTTGAAGTCCAGAATTTCGCCAATTGGTCGGACGAGAACGTCGAGGAGATCACGTCCTTCAGGCCAGCTGACAGCAGTGAGTCGTATCATTTCCATGCCAATAGACGTATAGCCCATTTCGCAGTCAAAACAGACGGGCTCAAGAGGCCCTTTCTCGGGCTGCCATGGGGTCGTCTCGAATTGCAGCACTGATGAAAGACGCTTTGTCTCTGATACCTTGAAGACGTGGCTTTCGGCTTTCGTGCAGCCAATTGAGGCCCCCATAGGCTCACCACAGCAGGGGAAGTGTGGCTCTTGAGATCCAGTGACGTGGTCTGTCTTCTTGCGCGGGGGGTACATGGGGCGGGATGGATGGTAGGTACAGGTGCCACCAGTAGTCAAGACACCGTCTTCACGGCGCCCTGGGAAGACTTGGAATCGACTACCGCACCGGTCACATTTCTCGTAGCCATTGGACTTATCGACGCCTTCCTTGGCGACTGCGATCTCAGACTCCGTGGGCGCTTTCGTAACATACTCGTACTGTTCGAGACCGGCGATAGGCGTGACGAGGAAGGGAACAACCGCGACTTCTTCTTCGACAGTCATGCCCGTGGCAAGAGGATTGGGTTTGGTACCCGGCTTCTGGATGGGCTTGATGCTATAGTATCGCGTGTTCAAGTGATCCATCACCTCTTTTACCCATTCCTCAATGCTCATCTTGGTCACTTTCACGATTCGAAGCTTGATCACGTTTCCATACACTCCTGGACTCTCCTTCGCTGTCTTTTCCTCCTCGTCCAGTGCCATTGTCACCAGCTCATCTGAACTCAGGATAAAACAGTTGTTCGCGCTATTCTTGTCCTTTCGAAGCTTGTCATTTTGCGCCACCATTGCGCCGTGCAGCTTCTTCAAAATGGCAGTGCGGCCTACATGGCTTGTTGGCGCCTTGGTGAGCATGCGTGGGTTCAAAGTCTCTTTTGGCGCTTTCCGAGGAGGAAGTGTGACTGAAGATTGAGAGGGTGTGTTGTTGGTAGGGTTTGCCTCCGTCTTCGGTGAATTGATTTTGGACGCAGCAGTGATAGGAATCGAAGGCATAGACCCCCAGGTCTTCGCGGGTTTAGGGCGATTTACCGCCGGCGGTGTAACCTCTCTAGTAGTAGACTGAAGTTTCGAGATGCCCGGGGATCCATTTTGTGTCCTGCCAGCAGGGTCCAAATTCGACGGACGTCTTACCATCTCGTGCGTATTTTCGTCGGACAATCTCAAGCCAGAAGCCTGCACCTTTTTAGGACTTTGGTCGATCTTGGCTCTTTTTAAAGGTCGGCCATCATCATCTGAGGCACGAGATGCCGGGGGAATAACCCCGGCTGAACGAGCTCCGTCGCTTTCATGGAAGAAGAGACATCTCGAAAGACCACACCGCTCTCTCTGTGGACAAGGGATTTCTCCAAAAAGCCCAAGCGGTGTGAACATGTTCATAAAGCACGTTCAGGTGACACCCAGGATGGCGGTAAGACCGTAGGAAATCTTAGGTCGATCTTGTCTTTATGTCTCCCAGGATAATAAAGGAGGGCGAGACAGTCATGAGCCCAAGGATCATGAGGTCAAATAAAACAAAATAGTTGTGTTATTGAAAATGAGACCATGCACCACTAAATCATCAACGATTTGACCATCGCGAATCAGTTATTGGCTTGTCTTACATGTAATAAAAGGATCCAAGTCAGTGTCGGTTGGGATAAGCGATGTCATATGCGACGTGTATTTGAAAGCTGGAGGTTAAGAACAAGCCATTATGGTCTTGATCTAAGCGTGATATGACTTGGAAATGCGCATCACCTAGAAGACCACAGCAACAACCTTGGAATCCATAGGAAGTTGTGACCGATGCAAAGTGGACAAACACTTGCCTTGTTTTGCAGGCGGAGCACATGAACTCACGTGTACTCAACTTAGTTGACTGGCCGTTATATTTAATTCTGCCTGGTAATATAATTTAATTTCTACACTAGACAGCTTAGACAGTCTTGAAATTCGTCATGTCTTCAGCCAGTTTCAGCTTGAAACTAGGCAGATATGACAGACATCAATGGAATACGATCGAGCAAAGGCTGTGCATACGGGCATAGATAGGGCCTTATCGCCGATAGCTCCAGTGGCGGACGACGCGGACTTCGGACGAACAGCTACCCGCAGTCAGCCTTAAGACTCACTTCTTTTCTCTTTTTGTTGAATCCTCACATGTGAATATCTTCATGCAAATGCCTAGCAATTCATCTAAAGCAGACCACCTTTGTGTGTTGGTCCACGGGTACCTGACTCCTTGATCAATGACGTTGACTCCGATCTAACGCGACCCGGTTTCTGACAGTCTTTGGGGCAACCCTTCCCACCTTGATTATGTCGCCTCTGCGCTTCTAGAACGACATGGCGATGACAGCCTCTACATTCTTTGTCCAAAAGCAAACAGTGGAAATTATACATATGACGGAATTGAGCTGGGCGGAGAACGATTAGTGCGCGAGGTCGAGGAGACACTCGAGTCCTTAGCCAAAAAGGGTCAGAAGATCACCAAGATTAGTGTTATCGGATATTCACTAGGTGGTCTTCTCGCGCGATATGCGATCGGTCTGTTGAATGCGCGGGGGTGGCTGGACAAGCTGCAACCCATGAACTTCACAACCTTTGCGACCCCCCATGTCGGAGTTCGGACACCACTGAAGGGTTTCAGTAATCAAATTTGGAACGAACTAGGCCCGCGGACGTTATCCGTGTCCGGACGGCAGATGTGGTTGATCGACTCGTTCCGGGACACTGGGCGACCACTGCTAAGTGTTTTGGCTGACCCCGAGAGCATTTTCTTGCAAGGATTAAAAAAGTTTCAAACTCGCAGTGTCTATGCAAATATCGTCAATGATCGCTCGGTCGTGTTTTTTACGTCTGCGCTGTCCAAAGTGGACCCGTTCCGAACTTTGGATGATCTAAACATCAACTATGTTAAGGGCTACGAGGATGTGATTATCGACCCTGACCTTTATGTGTTACCGCCTGTCCAAAAGAAACCCGCAAGTCTGGTGTCCCGGATATGGAAGAAATGCAAATCTCTGGCAATCTGGGTTCCTTTATCGGTGCTTCTCGTTGTCCTTGCGCCCGTCGCTATTATCATCTTCTTGATCAATGCTGCTATCCAAACCGTCCGCAGCTCCAATCGCATTCGCCTACATCACAAGGGTGACCATGGTGCATTCTTTGGAAGATACAGAGTACCTGTCATTGTTCAAGACGTCCAACATGTTGTGGAGGAAGTTTTGGAAAACGTCAACGCCCGACAAGATCCGGCCTATCTTTCCAACAGCGATACCGACCTGTCCGAATCTGGCTCGAAGGTTGCGGAGAACGATGAGGAATCCGCATCAAGGTCACCAACTCTTTCCTCCGCCACTGCAGTTTCTCCACACTCTCCCAAGCTTGCGTTGTCACCCGATCAGGCTGCTATCATCGACTCACTCAACGCAGTGGGAATCAAGAGATACCCAGTCCACATCCAGAAGCACCGTCATAGTCACGCAGCCATCATCGTCCGAAGCCCTAAAGACGGTTTCCGAGAAGGCACGATTGTGATGAAGCACTGGCTGGACAACGAATTTGCCGTATAATTTCACAGTCGCTGTATAATTTCACCGTTGCACATATGGTCTCGGAGCTTCCGAGCATGTATTTCTAGTCCAGAATGGAATTGATTTGCTCCACGCACAGTAATACTCAAAGATATCTATCTATCCCTCAACTCCAGGCGAAACATCATAAGAAACCCGACTAATCCCCTTCTGCCGACTAATCTTCCGAATAACAATCCCCCCAACCAACCCGGTCGTTGCAACATGAGTTCCCCCACAAGGATTATGATCAAGCCCACCAATACTCGCAATCCTCATTCGGCCATCAAAAGACCGGCCTTCCTCCTCTCCATCCCCAGACCCCTGAGAATCCTCTTTCCAAGAGATCAGGATATCCAAATCCTGCTTTACCAACTCATCAACCTTGTCCTGGATGACAGGCTTATTCTCATTGTACAATAGCCCCTCATACTCCATAGATGCCTCTCGAGGGAAATGATTCGCCTTAACCTTCTTCATGTCCGGCATAAGAAGCTGCATCGCCAATCCGACGATATGTCCAGCAGTATGCAAGCGCGAATGATAATTGCGTTTCGCGTCATCAACCTTTTGGACAACAAGCTGTCCCTCATTAAATGTAGAAGATGCGTCCGCATATTTTCCAAAATGGAGGTATTTCCCATCAGACGTTTTGCGCACCAGAGTCACTGAGAACGATGCCTCTTGATCTGGTGGCCCGATTGCGCCACTGTCGCTAGGCTGGCCGCCGCCTTGCGCGTAGAAGATTGTCTGACGCATCAAGATGGCGCAGTCATCTGCGGGGATGTTCTTTGCTAGACTTTTCTCTTCTTCTGAGAGGGTGGTTATTGGCTGCGATGAGAGGATCTCTGTGGTCCATGTTCTGAGTGAGGCATCGTCAAGATAGATGGCCTCTGTTCTTGTAGCCTGTCGAGAATCAGGGAATTGAGGTGGGAATTGAATTGGGGAGGTTGAGCTCACCATGATCTTGAGGTTGGCGTCTTCTACAGTTCTTGCTCGTGTTGAAGTTCAGTATGACTCGAGTCTTGGGTGGGTCAACCGGATGTATGTTCGCCTAATTGTTCTACCGTATTCTTTTGTTGTCTCCTGCGGTTATACTGTTCAATCACCCATGTAAATGACCAGTTCAATCCCTTATGTATTACACCGGCACGTAAAAGTTCAATCTCTCAACGCCTCAAAGTCGGCTCGGATCGAAGAACAAATCCCATCAACCAATGGCATCTCTTCTTCCGCAGACACATCCAAAGCCCCAACCTGCCAACTGATCGTACAAACTAAGCTACCCCCTTTAACACTAATGACATTAAACACAAGCGGTGCACTGAGACAATTTCCAGGCTGCGAGAAAACCATCTTGCTAATCTTGCAATCGTCACCAACGCCACCATCAAAAGCAAGCAGATTACTCAACTCGTAGGACGAATCCCGCTGCAGGCCAATCTTCCCCAACATCCAACCCCGAATACTAGGAGCATATCTCAACAGCCCAATCGCCTGATCCTGCAGCCGGGTACCACATTCAGCAAGCTTTTTCGTCATCGAGCTTGCAGCCAACCACATCTCATCCGATAACCCAGATTCCCGGATATCGCTACCCGAACTGGTCAACCGAGGATGCACCTCATAGTACCCAGACACATAGAGACCCCAGGTCAAAGCAGGTACACCAATAGAAGAACGCATATCAACCGGCGTCCCCGACACAAAATTCGTCACATCAGTGCTCAGAATAGCCTTGCTCAAAGCCCGAACAATAAACTGATGTAAAGTAGCCGTAAGCTTAGAATCATGCACTCTCGAAGCAACCAGGGCCTTCTGAACGAGCGAGGCCTCGATCTCGAGGATCCTCACTCTGCTATTCAAGCCTGGGGCAGGAACGGGCTCGAAGGTACGCGAGCCGGTCCAGGTACCAGCATCGACTGTGCTAGCTCCGGCGCGGAAACCGAGAAACTCAGCAAGGAATTTGGGGAGGTAGACTGCTACCAGGGGGCCGAGGAGGTATTTCCATGATATTGGGAGTCGTGCTGGTGTGTCGAATGGTTCGGGTATGGTCTGGTTGGATGGGTTCATTGCTACAATGGATGTGTTGTCGTGTGGGTTCTCAGGCTGGCGCCATGCCTCTAGGAACGTGCGATGGAATGCGGTTCCGACCATTCCGTCTCCGAGGGTATGCGAGAATGAGAATGCGATGAAGCAGCGCTTCGTGGTGGAATCGTGCGCTGATGATAGTGGGAGCACGATGATTTGCCAGGGTGGGATTTCATTGGGCCATGGTCTGTCGAGGGCTGACGCTAGGGTCTTTTGGATAGTTTCTGTTTCTTCGGTGCTGTTTGGGTCGCTGTGGATGGCATTGTGTATGATGGATACATGTTCATCGAGATTGATAGTCGGAACGCCTTCATAGACTGGCTTTTCGGTGTGGCTGTCTTTGACGACTACGCTCAGATAAGGGTGCTCTTCGATGCAGTGTTTCAAGGGCGGGAAGAATGTCGAAGTTGAACTGAGATCTATGTTTCCGTTCTTATATTCGTATATTGCTGCTATAGTGAGTGCATGGTAGAAACCGAGGTTTTCGCGGCTGATGGTACGGCGCTCATTTGGGCCTGCTTTGTGGTCAGTGTTGCTTATGCACAGCAGTCATGGGATCAACAGACTTGCAAATCGCAGGAACTTTAACATGTTGTGTCTAGTTTATATTCATTGAACTGGTTGTAGAATATTGACGTTCCAGGCGCCAGCGCAAACTGTCAGATTGGGGCCGGAACGAACCGACTGATCTTGTTAAAATACCACATCTGGACTAGTGTCATTTCAACTATAGCTATGCAGTCGATTCCACTGCTTCGAGAAGGAATCATTGTGAATTTGGAAGGGGAAAAGAAATAAACCAAATATTCAAGCTGAGGCTAGAATAAGTAGGAGTTTTCCAGGTTCAGACTGCAAGGTCGGGCCCATATATATCTAACCACATGTCAGGTTGTCTTATCAACTTCTAGTGACTGACGATATCAGAATGCTTTCCACTTCAAGTTTCAGGCGAATGAAAAGCAGCGGATAGTAAACACCAATGATCTCAGACGACGGTTGTTAGATATTCTATGATCGTGAGTGGGGACAATTTATTCTGCGTACTATTAACCTGAGGATAACACGGAGTTTGGCTGTAAAGCCGGATTTATCGCTTTTCTCGAATTTGCCTTCTCGCAGAAGAATGTGAGCTCATATGCAAACAAGGCCACGGTGAAACCTCCCCTATAAAGAAATGAGGGGGATAAACGCAAGAGGATCACCATAGTGCTCTTTGCCAAAATAATCTATAAAACCGTATATTAAAGGCACGAGCTCTGAATGACGCCCGCCTTTCTTCAGAAAGCTCAAAGGTGGAACTAGCGTTCAGTTAAACTTTGGAGTCTATAGTGATGACTCTGCATACTACCACGCTGCTTGGTCTGCCTTGGAGAAACAACCCTTTCCTGACTCTCATATGGCGAACGTCTTCGTTGCTGCGGATATAACTTATACTCCGTTCAAGTCGGATAATTTTATAAACTAGACGACGAACACAAGCGTCCCAAAAATGAGACTGTTTGTCACCAACCTAGATGCCATACGCAGGTAATCCAAGACACAGATTGTCCTTCTTCGTAAATGTCCCGCTGATCTTCCAAAAGAAAGACATTTCGGCAGATTGCACGAATCCCCCCGAAGCCGCATCGCCACCTATCTCGCCGACTAGGAAATGTACCAGCAGATCACGGCCGTGGGCACCATCATAGTTCCGGAGCGGGCCTTGTTCAGGACACTCCAGCCGCTAGCCCAGACTCTCGCAAGCCCCTGAACGTTATCCTGCAAAGACCAAGCGAAAATCGCAAGATTCTTCCCTTAGCCTTCGATCGACTTGGCGATAGAGTAATGCAGTCCAGTAGTGCACGGCCTGACGAATAACCGATCCCACCATGCTCGGCGCACCCAACAAAAGAAGACATATTTCCCCAGCCAAGCCGGATTTAGCATCGAAAACTAGCTGACTAGCGTGAATAACTCCACTGAAACTTCCCATCCCAGTGTGCAGACTCCGTGTCCGTCGTAATGGTATTCCGTACAGTACTCTCTTTTCCAACCGATCTCGGTAGAGCTCCGAGCCAAACACTACTGTATCCATGTACTCCGTACGGAGAACATCCCAACCTGCATGTCCGCTAAAGATAGATCCTGAAAAACAGCCAAGCTGAACGGGTCAAACAGCCACATACTGTACCTGTATCGTAGACGTAGTCATGATAGGTGATTCGTTCTATTTGCCCCCTTTTCCCCGTTTACTATCCACACTTCCACACCTACACCTTGCCCCCCCCCCTCCTTACTGTCTCGAATGCATGTACGGAGGTAGTGGCCAGATGAATGCACACGCACACGTACAGTACACACAGACCAGATAATCAACCCATATCATCTAGTCCAAGTGACGGCACGGAGTAACTTACACAGGATGAGAAAATCTCCGGACGGCTCCTGCTGACCCGCGCTCGGGGCATGACCAAAAGCCGGGATATGTGGACTTGTCAAAATGTTGATCGACAACGGTTAATTTGCGTCGGTCCCACCGCTCAACTCTCCTGGCCGTTGGCAGGTGTCGCATGTTGCAGATCGCCTACTTTCCTGTTTGGGTACGTGTAAGTACGAGGAGATTGTCGGAGGGTTCGGTAGAATATGGGGTTTCCTAAGTTGGCATGGACATGTGGATGAGTACGTGTGCTGTAGAATAAATGAAATGTTCGAGAAGGTGGAGAGGGTGGAGGGCGTGGTGGAAAGCTTATTGTGGGTGAAGAGTCGGAGGAGTCTTGAGAGTCTGGAGGGTTCTGAAGCCTTAGAATAGGTCATTCGCTTTAGAATTCTTCTGACTCGTGGTGGCGTTTGGCTTTAGGGAAAGGTAAAGGGTAAAGTTTAACTATATTGTGTAGGTGTGACCTGTTTGCTGAGTATCGGGTTGTCATACTGTAGAAGCTGTGAGACTGTCCGATGCTAATCACAGAATACCAGACTCGCAAACCGAAAGGGGGTTCTAATGGACCTCTCATGACGAGGACTTGGAGCACCAACATGTTCGGTGACCTTGGAATGAACTGAAGACACGGCTGTACTCCACCACACACGTGGGAGTTTTCTCGGAAGTCGTATGTGGAGGCATTCAGGGGCGCAATTCCCTGCTTGGAAGTCGACCCACTGAAGCCTCACAAACCCAATGGCAAATCTGATTCTATATCGGAGAAATGTCGCCTCAAGATCGGAATTAGGCCATTGGTATATTTCTATACCGGTGAGCTGATGCAAGACTGACAATGGCTCATCGAGGCTCATCATGGCTCATCGGTCTCCATTCTGCTCCACTGGGGCCTGGCGCCAGTCCCAAAACGATCACCCCTGCCTTAGTAGGTGGACGGCGCGAGATGGATCACCTGTAATGAAAATCATGAATCATGAAACCGGCGCTGGCGAACCGACGGGTCAATCCGTGTTTGTTTCAGGTGGGGGATCTTGGTATTTTTGTGTGGGGGAGGTATTGGAAGAAAAATCTAGTTCTACAGAAAAGACAACAACAGTGCAGGTTGTCAGTGACAGCTTTGCGGCTCATGGAGTTGTGGAGCTGACAGCCCTGGCGCGGACTTCTGGTTCAGTCAATCCGGTGCCATTAAGCGAAACAGGTCGAGGATGAGCATTCTGATTGGGTTATGGGGGAACCCTCAAGCGCGAACTCCGTGTTTGTCGTATCTCTCGGACTAGTCTTCCACAGGAAACCAGGAGAACGAGGAGAGCTAGGAGAACAAGGAGAACCGCGAGAACAGTGAGATAAGGAGCACCGGGAAAGGACTCCGCTGTTTCAGGAATTGTGCGTTGGTGCGGGTTTCAGTGTCGATCTCTCTTGGAACATGGCGCGCAGAGGATAAGTTACAAGTTATGCTTGCACATGGAAGCCACATATGCAAGGTGGGTAAACAATTGGATTGTTCGAGATTTTGCTGATTGGGTTGGGCCCGAGGCGCTTTCAATAGTCTCTTCGGGGTTTGACAGGTTGATACTATAGGTTCTTTGATACCCCTGGGATGATCCAAAGGGCCGTGTCTTGCCTGTCCTGTTCTGGTCTGCCCTGGTCTGCCCTGGTCGGCCCTGGTCTGCCCTGGTCTGTGTAGTATAGAAGTACGTATACAGGTCATATCCTAATGATGGGGTTGACAGGGGTCCCTGGTGGATCGCGGGACTTTGGTAATCAGATATTGAGCAAAGTACAGGGCAAAGCCGAGTCAAACTAGAGCAAAACAGAGTAAAGTACGTGTATTCCTCATTACACGAAAGTACCAAGTGGAGAGAGAGAGAAGCATGATAGAGAAGCCTCCGGCATTCTCTCCCCGCTTGTGGATGCGCGGCAGAGGCCTTCATTCCTCTTCCCTTCTTTCTCCCCCCCCCCCTTGTCTTTTCTCTTCCGGAGCCCTCGGCTGTTCACCCGACTCCATTTCTTGTCGAAAACTAAAAGGCGCCGCTTTGGGAAGTCTGCGCCACCGATTCTCTCGAACCCTTGGAAACCGCGATTTGTCACCTGTCACTCGTCCCCCCCGTCTCTTGGTCTCGACACTGTCGCCCACAGTCGCCCTGTCTCGGAAGGATAATCTGGTCCAATTGGAAATACAACAGTCGAATTCACAACGGAACGTGGTGTGGGGAATCTATCGAACCTTCAAGCGTCTGCCTATCACATTCCTCAGTGAGGGTAGGCTTCGGGTGCTTAATCGCGGTTCTTTTGTCAAGGTACGCAACGTCCACACCTTCGGCCTCGATGGTCGCGTTCGGGTCTCATGTCTCTGAGCTCCGACTGTCGAAACCCGAGGTGGCGCAATCCAATCGCATCCCTGACTCAGATTGTGCACACTTGTGTCGAGTCTTCCGTCGCACCGGTTCAGCTTGCAATGAATCGCTACTGACAATCATCGCGTTAGATCATTTACCGTCAACCTGAATTATGGGCTGTTTAGTTTCCACACCGGCGGAGGCCGATAAGGAGGCGGCGCAACGCAATGCGCGCATAGACCGGAACCTGAAGAATGACAAGAAAACGCTCGACCGGACAATCAAGATCTTGCTATTAGGTGGGTGAACCCCATATCGGTGTGTGTGGGTGTGGGTGTAGTACTGACTGTCGGACTAGGCGCGGGAGAATCTGGGAAATCCACCATTATCAAGCAGATGCGCATCATTCACAGTCGAGGTTTTCCGGAGGAAGAACGCCATACGACTCGAGCCGTTATTTACTCGAACATTGTCATCGCATTTAAGGTATTGCTGGATATTATGAATGCCGAGGGCATCGACTTCGAGAACGAAGAAAAGACCAAGGTACCTTGAAGCGCTTGTCCCATGAAGTGTGCTTTGGCTTACGAGTTTGAAAGGCATATGCAGAGTTATTAGACAACACCGACCCAGATGTAGGGTCTGACGAGGCTTTCTCAGACCTGAAGGTTCGGGATGCTATGAGTGCCATGTGGAAGGACGAGGGCGTGCAGACGGCTGTTGCGCGAGGACATGAGTTTGCCCTACACGATAATCTGTACTAGTAAGTCACTTTTGAAAGGTCTTGCATAGACTCAGACTGACCATCATAGTTTCTACGATTCTCTGGATCGTATATTTACCCCGGGTTGGCTTCCGGACAACCAGGATATGCTACAAGCTCGACTTCGGACGACCGGTATCACGGAAACCCTCTTCGAACTTGGGCAAATGAATTTCCGAATGATGGACGTTGGAGGACAGCGATCAGAGCGGAAGAAATGGATTCACTGCTTCGAGGGGGTTCAGTGTCTACTGTTCATGGTCGCTTTGTCAGGATACGACCAATGTCTGGTTGAAGACCAGAACGCTGTAAGCGCATTATCTCCCATGCGCCCTCGACCAATGCTAACCCAATATACAGAACCAAATGCACGAGGCCATGATGTTATTCGAATCTCTAGTCAACGGTGAATGGTTCAAGCGCAAGCCAATCATTCTGTTCCTCAACAAGATCGACTTGTTCAAGGGGAAGCTCGCCATCTCTCCTATCTCGAAGCACTTCCCAGACTACGCTGGCTCTGACACCGATTATGATGCCGCTGCGCGGTACTTCGCGGACAGGTTCCGTGGCATCAATCGAATCCCAGACCGCGAGATCTATATCCATTATACCAACGCAACGGACACCACATTGCTCAAGGCGACTATGGAATCAGTACAGGACATGATCATTCAGAAGAATCTGCATACCTTAATACTATAAGGCAGCGACCTTCCATTTCCAGAGGCATCCCGGACGAGCCTCTCTGACGATGATTTCTTTATATCTTCTCTTCATTTTCCACTCGAAGCTCTTCAGCATACCATTTATTTTCCGGTTGCATTGCAAGGCGGGTCTTCTTTCACTCCTTCGTGATATTGGTCACATCTCTTTTATCTTCTTCTACATTGTTTCTTTTCTTTTATTTTTATTGTGTTGACGAAGGCGTCTTGATTGAGAGGTTATTGTCGGCTCTCTGCTCGCATCCTTGGGTCTATCACGTTGCATCCAAAAGCCCGTCCGATTTTGCCAACTAATACCGCGCTTTTTTCTCAGCGACGGTGTCATTTTCTTTTCTCATTTCATTTTTTTGCCGTGCAGGATGATACCACTTGTTTGTCCCTGCAGCTGTGTTATACTTGATGACTCTGCTCTGTATTATCACAATCATTCTGGATTTCCTATCTACTACTACTCTCTGAATGATCTCAATATTATGCTCTATGAGGAGCGTTATTTTTTTTCACTCTTTTTGCTTTGTACCGGAGCCACTGATTACTTTTTGGGGTTTCTTTGCTTACTGTCGGATTCCTTGTGTAGATCATGTCGCGTGCGTCATTCATGCACTGTGGGCTGCCAAGACCCCTAGAAATAGAAAGCATGGCAGATGACCTTCCAAAACAGTTCTCATGCACAGTAAATCCAGTTTTCGAGTCCAATCGCGCAAAACAATCTCAACGTGCGTATCAGTTATCAACACCTGAGGCACCAATATTACATAAGCAGACCCGCATGATCAGTGACACCGAACTCCGGCCCGACTGATTTCGCCTCCGATTCAGACTCATTCACCTCCCAGTGACTGGGTTATATCTGCCAACCATGTTGTCAACATCGCTACGCCGGGCGGCATGGTCTGCCATGCCGCTGCCCGGGATAGTTTGTCCCGCTCAGAATGTTACCAACGGCCTGCTTGGCGCAACCCGACCTCTGCACCAGCGCCGGTATTCCTCCTCATCTTCCAAACCTCCCGTCCCTCCCAGCGATGGCTCCCGCCGCATGGACACTTCTGCCCCGGCAAAGGGAGTCTCATCTGGTGAGAAGAGCAAGGCTACCCGCCGACGCAGGGACACCTCTGCCCGAAACGGTTCGTCAAAGTCTAGCCAGCAACATGCGGCATTTTCGAAGCTTCCGAGTGTTCCCTCGACCCAGCACCGCCAACCCCATGGTGAGTAGCAGCGTCTAGAATAACAAAGATCATCTTTATGCGTGAATGATTGTGCCGAAGCTAACTTTTCTCTTCTCATCAAGATGTCCATGTTGCCTCGTTCTTTTCCATTCACCGTCCAATCTCGGTGACAACCACTGTGCCACCGACCTCGAGTACCGACGCCTTTGAAGCAATCTTCTCGTCAAAGCGGCCTTTGAAGAACGAACCGGAGGACGTCATTTTCACTCTTTCCTCGGCCGTGCAGAACATGGAACACGGCGCACAGGGCATGTCCGAATCCGAAGACCAGTTCCGAAGCTTCAGCGAGCAGGATGGTGAACTCCGCATGCTGGACGGTCCCGACGCAAAGATGTCCGTGGAGGAATTTACTCGCCGTCTCCGTCCCTTCCAGCCTCCTCCCCCGCCCGTCCCAATGAACACAGCCGCCGACGAGGCCACCGAAACCCACGATGCGCTAGTCGACAACGAGTACTCTACCTACTCGACCGTTCTGACGATCCGTGAGGCTCGTCACGCCGATGGCCGCAAGACCTACGAGGCCCACACTGGTCCTTTCGTCCGCAGCGAGATGGAAGATGCTGGTATGCAGACCGAGGTCAGCATCGAAGCCCCGGCCGATCACACCACCGGCATGACATACATGGAGCGTGTGCGCAACAATCGCACCATGCATGCCATTTCCACCAAGAGACGCCGCCAGGTCAAGATGAAGAAGCACAAATTCAAGAAGCTGATGAAGCGCACGCGGACCTTGAGACGGAAACTCGAGAGGTAGATTAGGTCTCGCGTGTTTGTTTTTGATTTTCATAACAACTTTTGCGTTGTCAATTGCATCTTGTCTGCGCCTGCTCCTGTGCATTTTGGGCTGAGGCTAGTTTTGTGAGAGTTCAGGGCATATATCCTTGTTTTCGTATACTTTTTATTCTCTTTTTTTTACACACCTCTTTTCCTCTATCTCCACTAACTCATACTCTACCAAATTATCACATACACCTTGCTCCTTGTTCCTTGAATTCTGTCTTCACGGAGACTTGCAGTCTTTGGCTTTTATTCTGTGCATGTGGGCGTTTCATCCCATGTATTGCGATACTAGATTTTTGACTTGCCGTCGATTCTCGTGCTGCTATTCGCAGAGTTGAGTCTATATTGAGTTTTCTGTATTGAACTAGCCACTGGCAATATAGAGAGAATTCTTTCGACTACGGATTCTTCAAACGCTAGCCTTGGAAGTCTATGACAAGTCACATAATTACACGTAGAAGACGGGGATCTCTGGAATTGACGTCCAAAATAGCCCATGTCAACGCCAGACACAGCCGCCTTTCCATCCTTGACGTTGGCCGTCAAGCCGTCGCCATACTACTTCAGTCCTGATGCTTCCCAGATTTATCATAGAGTAAATGATAATCCAAATTAAATTCCGGTTGATAACCAATGTTTGAGAGTCTAAACAGGTGATGGTGTCACTTGTTCGTGACCATTTGGGCGTCATGAAATGTTATTGGTACGCATGATATGAGGATGAAATCTCTAAATCAACATTCCCAGCCCTGGAGGGTTGGATAGATACTCGCAGAAGCATAACAAGTCCAGTGGGTTCGCCGGCTAATCCTCGCTTCTTGCCATTGCTGAGACAAGGCCATCGCACAACTCTCGTATGTCACGGAGCTTCTTCTCAACCTGCTCGCCCATTTGTCTCGACGATTCGTTGTGATCATCTACGGAGGTGAAGCCCCTTTGTTCCGGCCTCAAGGCCCTGTTGTATAGGGCTCGAATGCTTGTTTCAGCCTCGCAGGCAATGTCTGGTCTGTTGTATCAGTGGACTGGAAGATAGAAGATGGGAGAATGCATAGACTGACTTAGCGCCTCTTTCAACTCTTTCAACTTGAAATGCTTGTTTGTTTCACGAAGAAGTGTTCGGGCATGCCGCAGCTCTGGCATTGTGTCTGGCGCGACTATATTGAAGTCAAAAGACATCAATCCTAAATCTTCTTGGCCTACATCAGGGATGATAGATAGATCATTAGTATTGGGGTTTCCTTGTCGACAAGAGTCTCTCAAACCTAAATCTCCGCCCTGAACTGTAGATCGGAAGTCCTCAAAGAAAATAGCGTCGTTTCCTGTGGGACTATCTGCTGCAGGCTTAAACCCTATGAGTCCTGCAAGGTATATACCAAGAGGGAATTTCCAACTATGTTGTGAATTGGATGTGTCCATGCTGTCTAATATCTCCTTCATGGCCGTCAAACGCTCCCTCAGGTCCCTTGAAGATAGCACTGGAAGGTTAGAGGGCCAGATGTCATTGTGATAATGCACCACTGCGGATGCCCATTTTGTGTATCTACGTGCTGGCGGAGGCACGTAGAGACTATGTAAAGCAGGCTGTAGACGACATAATCGATTTTCATCGAACAGAAGATTCGCAGAGATCACCTGGAATTTGTTCTCGATTTTCAAGGAGCCTTGTGAGAGATATTCGCCAAAATAGTAATTTGAACTGGTGCGGAGGTTGTATAGGCTTTTCAGATCCCCGTAGCATCCTGGCTCATCTGCATAGTTGAAGTCTTGGAAAGCCTTGATCAGATCCAAGTCTTGCATGAATGTCCCCCTCTGGAAGAGTCTCGTGTCGATGACATACAACTTTATGTCCTCGAGACTTGGGCTGGGTATATCGTGATGATATCGGTAGTAGACGTATTGGATTGCGAATATCAATGAGCTCGTCCACGATACAAGGTTGTCTTCGACTTGAATCCTATGGTTAAACCATCGAAGGTGCACGTTGAGCTCCTTGGCTTTGGTTTTCTGGTTTTGGCGATCTTTGAACGAGAAAATATCTTTTGTAGAAGAGACATTCTGTTGGCGAACAGATTCCGAATGAGCCCATGTATCATTCATCTCTCCAGCTGACTGAGGAGAGACCACCCGGAAAAGGTAGCGAGGGATATCATCCAACGATCGAGAGACTGTGCTGCCTGAGGGAGGTTCAAAAAGCAGTTGCTCAGGATACCTACTCCGGTCCTCCAAGCTAGTACTTGCAAGCTCCTCAGCCAGGCTATCCCCGGTAATTTCCATAGTGGTGGCCATATTGAAGGGAGTTTCGATTCAACGGTCTTATTGGTAAAGGGTAATTTGAATGTGGGAATAGCTGTAAACTAAGAAATCATTGCTACGGCCCTCCTACTTAAGTAGATTTTGAGCGTCCTTGCCTATGTCAGACATGCCAGACGATTTCTCAGCCTCATTACTACGCCTTGGGCCTTCCCAATAATCAAAGCCTACGACGCTGGGCTGTGTTGATAAGGGTAGATCCATAGGGAGAGCACGAAGGGTCCCGATTCAGGTGAGGATTTTTACGAACTGACAGGCAGAATAGACTGCGCAGCTCTGTAAAATAACAGGCATCTCTTAATTACAGCATTGCAACTTATAAAGTTAGGCCACGGAGAGCCAATCAACCTACATGTCAGACCATGATAATCACTGTGCCAGGCTGAGCGTGCCAAACCCAAGTAAAACTAGGCCCAAAAGGCAAATCACAGATCCGCCATGTACAAACAACGATATTTACGCGCGAAGTACTGCTCTGGAACATATTACACGAATCACAAATTGCTAGATATCAAATGGAAACAAAAGGAGTCGAAAAGCTCACACAGGCGAGTCAAGAATCAAAACAAGATGTGCACAGATAAGAAAAATTATCAAGAAATAAAATCCCTTACAAAACAAAAGAACAGACCCGTCTAAACACTGTGATGGAAGTGAGGTAAAGACCCAAACGTCAGGATCAGCGAATTTCATATAAAGTACAGAGTCCAGCGCGGTAATGCAATGTAAAATCAAAATCCAATATCTACCCACACCTGTCCACAGTACAGGTATCATGCTTGAACAGATCCATCCGATTCTACATACCAACAGTGATCGGAAAGCCTCTTTTCAAGACAGATAGATGTCTTGTTTTCCGATATCAATTCGTCTCCCCCACCCACCCGGCGTCAATCATACTTGTCACATCCGCTTCCCTGGCGGAAGGAGGTCTTTTGATTTGCGTCAGGGAAATGTTGGAGAGGCATGACGAGAATCGAGCTTGAGATCACGCACGGTAATTGAAACCATGATGCGATTCGAGATTCGATCCCCGATATGCGGCGGGAGGTCGTTCGTTTAACAGTCCGCTTTGGAGCGGGAGTTCATCAGCAGAGCAACAATCAACCCGTACAGACCCAAGACTTCAGCGAAAATGAGAATCAAAATCATTCCAACGTAGAGTCTGGGCTGTTGGGCCGTTCCTCGAACACCTGCATCACCGACAATACCAATAGCGAAACTGGAACGCAAGTATGGTTAGAAATGAAACTCCAAATGGGATCATTGAGACGTATTGGGTGGAGAATGACTTACCCCGCAGCGAGACCAGCAAGACCGACGGCAAGACCAGCACCGAGCTGAATGAAACCAGTGTAGAGAGGGAGCTTCTGGGTCAGGTCGTTGGCGATCAAGACCGACACGACCAGACCGTAGATACCAATAATACCAGCCATGACAATGGGGACAATGTCTATGAGTTGTTGTCAGCGAACCGTTCAATTCTTTCAATGCTGATATATAGATATCCATGCACAAGAGGGTATCTCATTGCCTTGAGGGTAACATACTCTTGACGATCAGGTCGGGACGGAGGACGGCCATGGAGCAAACACCGACACCGGCCTTAGCGGTTCCATAGGCGGCACCGAAGCAGGTGAAGACGATGGCGGAGGTACAGCCCAACGCGCCGAAGAAGGGCTAGAATGAAGATGTCAGTTAGGGATCGACGCGTTATGCGAATGTTGAACAGGACGCGGAGGGGCGATAGGTCGAGACACCGGCGAATTGCGTAATCATGCTTGGGTCGGGATGGAAGGTATGGATAGACTCACCGCGTAGACGGGGCTGAAAGAGAGAATATATTAGCATTATTGATCTATATTCACTCGTGATACTGGGGGAATGCGGATTATGATAACCAAATGACGATCGGGAGCTGTCAAGAGCCCCAGGGGCTGGAGAGGTATTGATGACGACTTACCAAAGCTCTGTGGCCATTTTGATGGACAATAACCCAGCTAGGTTCTCGATAGGTACTTGAAGCTTTGAAAGGATGTAAAAAGACCCGAGGGCGGCAGGCTCAGGTTGGATGCGGTCGGGAAGGATGGAGAGACCAGAGGCTTGGGAGGTTGGCAAACATGCTGGCCTCAGGTCGGATCACGTGGTCTTGGCGATCCACCACGGGTACTGGATCATTGACTTGACGTATTCGATGTATTCGAGAAGTTAGACAGGCAATGATCACTGATAACTCGAGATTCATTTGATTTGCTTATTATACATGCTCTATTCATACACTCTCAAGGAGGATTCGAGATCCTGGAATGTCCACCTTGGTGGATTCTGACCCAGCTCCTTTCACCGGCTGGGAGTACGCAATTGCTTTCTCAGATAAAGCGCCAAATCGATAAGGCATAGCAACGAGATCTTTCTCCCTTGCGCTGCCCTCATGTGTCTCCACTTCCATAGAGTCAGAGACCATACCAAAGTGATAGCTGACAGCCACTTCTGCTGAGCTAGCTTCACCTGAGGGTTTGCTGTGTGAATAAGTTGGTTCTACCGCCACAAAGAACTGAATGAAATCACCTGCAGAGGCAACCTGTGAAAGAAGAGACAAGTCATCCACAGTGATACCCTGGTCAAAAGAGGGCAATGTGTCGGTGGGCATGTTCTCAGGCTCAAAGAGTTGCGGTAATTCGACAAGTTCGTCACGATTAGCTGTTCCAGAGAAGCTGACTTCGGGGTCTAATGAAAGAAGGCCTTGCTTCTTGCCCCATCCACCTCCGCCGCTCATGACACGGTGCAACTTGCTACCCTGGCGAAGAGACTGGATCAAGCGATCATGGGTCGACGATCCCGCATCTGCCACCACTACCTCGGGCTTCTCGACGAGCGCCCAGACGGACACCCGTTGATCCACAATGCTGTGTTCTGCAATATAACGGGGAAGCTCTTTTTCCAACTCCGAGGAAGCAGGCATTGGCTCATTGGATGCGGGATCAGTTGATTTGCCAACTTGTCGTAGGATGTTCCCCATACTTGAAATAACCTTTCGCCGTTGTGATACTTGGTCCAACGGGAGATCCAATGTAGTGACCACCGATTGCGAGGTAGTCGTAACCATGCAACTGGTAAGATCGACTGACTGTTCCAAAATGTACTCATTTGAGCCGCTATCCCGAAGCCATTGCGTGCCTAATATTGTCGTTTCTTTTCCATTGACAAAGACAGTGTTGGCGAGACGTAATCCGACTTCATGGGTAGGTCTGTTGTTGGTTTGACCGGGACTTCCAGTCTGAATGGAAAGCAAGAGATTCGTGTCTTCGCTCGCAGAGCTTCTGATGAGACGAGGTGGCGCAGCCTTTCCGTGTAAATTCGTTTCCGCGCCCACCAAGAGCGACAGACCTTCTGATTCTGTCGATGCCGCCCGGGACTCATGCGTCGCAGCTCCAGTGGATATAGTACGGGTATCTGGAAGTGTGTCGACCACAGCGGCGACAGCCAGGACAGAATTTGCCTCTGGAGATGTGCCATATAACTGGCCTAGACATTGTGATAGGAATGGACTGCTGGGATCGAGCCAGTGAGCAAAGCTCGGGGTGACGAGGATGAGAGGAGCGGATTTAGGCGCATTCGAAGCTGGAATCGAAGGAAGACTCGATAAGATATCATCTGGGGTCTTGTATGGGTAAGCGCATATCCAGATCATAAGGTATTGCCAAACTCACTATCTCTTCTGGCGTATTTGTGAGCCATGTGCACGCAAAAGGCCGCCCGCCTTTCGGGCTTTGTGTCGCATACCATCTGCTTGAGCGCCTAAAGCTTTTTAGGGCTCTATGAAAGCCCTGGGGCCTCTGACACTGCAGATTGAGGGCCACCCTCATTGACATGATTGTTGCGACGTGGGGGCCTTGAACATTGAAGCATTGACTGCGAAGTGCAATCAGGAAAATGCGGAAGTCACAGCGGAGATGGGCCGGAGCGGAATAACTTGAGCGTTGCGACTATATATGCCTATCTTGATCTGGCGTTTATTCTGAATATCATCTTGCTGTATTCTACAGAGCAATGTTTACGACGTCAGAGTTGTTAATACGAACCTGGAAATACAATAGTAAAGCCTGAATAGGTGCAATCCATGGATCACGCTAAGCCTATCCAAGTAATCATCCGCGGACGACCGCGGCCTCAATATGAACATCCTCTTCCACCTTGACTTACCCTCGAACCCTCATCAAGTGGGCCATACTGACAATGAAACGAACTAGCAGTGGCCAGCCTATAATAATGATGCATCGATGGAACCGAGTACCCTCATCATGCCAGGCTTGCCGCGAGAAGAAACGCCGCTGTGATCGCACCCAGCCATGTTCGAATTGTATGCAGAGGAGTATCTCATGCGAATACCCTGGGCAGAACTCCGAGAGTCCGGCACAAGATGACCATCAAGCACTAGGAATGGTCGACTCAAGCCAAATGACACCTGCCCAATCTCATGCCCCGGATACTGTGAAAACATCTCAGTAAGTATAGACCGTTTGAAGACGTTTGTGGCGGATTCACTAACACCTAGAAGAAACAAGGATCTTTTGGACCGGATAAGTCGGCTAGAAGAGACTGTGTATGAGAGATCAACTGCACTTCAAGATTTGAGTCGGGGAACGACAACAACGCTAAGATCTCCTGCAAACACAGTATGTATGCTTCCTCCAGTCCGGCAGTCTCTTCCTTTAATTTCATATCACTTAGATACTGATAATTGTCAGCCATCCATGCCAAAGCTATTTACACCTTTTGCATCGCATCATCAGTCGGTGCCAAATCATCAACCAGGCGGCCCTAGAGAAGAGGCCGACATGACTGAAGTGATTAAACAGCTTCCTCCGATAGGACAAGCCAGGCATATGTTTGATCATTTTGTTAAAACTCTACAACCGACCTTTGGAATCCTACATATACCCTCTACGCGATCAATGATGGAAGAGACCTACCATGGCATGCTCGATGGAGAACAACCCACACCCACCAACCTAATGCTGCTATTCAGCGTCTTCTCTGGTGCAGCTCTGGTCTGGTCAGCCAGACTTCTGGAACAATTGAATGCCACTCAAGATGAAGCCAGATCAGCCTTTAACAATTACTGCCAGCTGGCTATCTCAATTCTGGAACATCCACTTGAGCCAGTGCAGCCATCGACCACTGCCATCGTGGCCATAGCTACTCTCGCTCACTTATTGGCCAATACCGTGGGGTACTCAGTGAAGATTGGCCTGCTGCAAACCCGGTGCTTCCTGATGACCCAAGCGCTGCGTATACACCGCTTAGACACTTCACAAGCCCAGGAGGAGAGAAGGGTCAAAGGGTGCGACATGATCGACGTTGAAGTTCAAAGACGATTCTGGTGGAACATGGTGGCATCTGACTGGTATATAGCGCTGTCGTATTTGTGGCAGGATAAATTGCTAACCATTGCAGGCTTTCTTCCTTCTCCGGACGAGCAAATGAAGGCACATATATGTTCCAACCAAGACATATGAAAGTCAATTATCCGAGCAACATCGATGATGAGCTAATCACAGCCACGGGAATCCAACAAGATTTCCCATCATCAGTCCCGACAGCAATGTCAGGCCCTCTCCAGCGCATAAAGCTGGCGACGCTCTGCCGCGAAGTGGTTGATGCGGTACCCTCGATTCTGCTAGATACCCAAGAACCCGAATATGAGGTAATACTCGCACTGGACAAGAAGTGTCGTGATTGCTTCGAAGACATGCCAGACTTCTATCGCTTGAGCCCCGAAAGCATTCAAAGGAGTGAAAACATCTGCAAAGAGCGACCGTATATCAGATGGCAGCGAATCAACTTTCACTTCAGCGTTCATACACGGCTATGCCGATTACATCGACGCTATCATCTCGAAGGCGTGACGAACCCCAAATATGCCTATTCTCACAGTGCATGCATTCGATCAGCCCAGGCAGTCTTGGAACTGAGACGGGCCATGGACGACATCGACCCCGAAGCAGGAGGCTATCCTGCGCGCTTCTGGCGAGTCGCCCAGCACGTCTTTCTCGCAGCGCTTATACTAGCAACGGATGTCTCATTCAACCCCAACGCGCCAGACGCCGAAGCTCGCAAGGCTAAGGTCCTTGCAGCCTACAAGACCCTAGAGAGATCAAAAGAAGAGTCCGGCTCACTGATAGAAGGCGTGCAGAGAAACATGCAGACTCTCATGTCCACGCTTCAGAAACAACAGCCACGAATACCCACGTCGCAGCCTAAATATCTAACAGGGATCAAGAAGCCATCTGTGGCGGCTCGTGAAACAGGGCTGAGCAGCACCCTGCCTAGTGGGCCCAGCGAGGTATTGACGACCAATGAAGCTGACCAAAGCTTGCAGTTGCAGTCTGGATGCACATCAAGTGGAGGCTTAACGGATGACATTGGAGGGGAAGGCTGGCAGCAGCTCTGGTCTGACTTTGTGGCTGTTGCGCCAGATCTAGACGTCCCACAGTGGAACTCCTTGTTGGACGATATCGATTTTGGCTCAGGCTGGCTGGACGGCTCTGTCTAAAGAAGCTCACCGACTTTACTTAGGTGTTCTATATTTACAAAGGGTACTTTCTTGCCTCTTTCTGCTGCTACCGAACAGTACTGTACCAAAGTACGCGTGTAGTGGTAGTTCCCTTGATTGCGTCAATGCCTAGTTTCCTTCCTTGTTTAGGCACCTGTACTGTACAACGGTCCTTTGGTCCCCAGCCAGTGAAGTCACAGGCCAATGACATATGATTACAAGCGCCTTGGCAGGTGGGCCAGGGCTCATCATAGGGCTGGCATTGTTTGGTTCGAAGGGGCGACGCCACCAGTTGTACAAGCCGAAACAGGTACTTTGAGTAATGATCCTCGGCAGACAAAGTTAGCTGTACCGTTCGTAGTGATCGTCAATCATGAGACCTAGCGTCCAAGCTGAATAATGAGCAAAAAATATAACCAAGGTTAAAGATAGAAAGGAAGAAAAAGAAAGTTACAGGGTATGGCGCTGCCAAGCATTAACCCAGGCAGCCAGCAAAAGATTGCACGGGATAGGGCAGAGCGCAGGATGATTGGGGGGAAAGTCGCCAACGCAAAAGTCCCTTAATCAGCCCTTAATCATCTCTTAACCATCTTGGCATATTGAGCCGAGGAGCGCAATTTCCATCCTACTGTACATGTACAGTACTGTATGAATGTACCAGGGTATCTGGTCTCTGCGAATCATAGGAGAGAGAGTTAAATTAGCCACCAAACAGTAAACAGGGAACAAGGACGAAGACAACTGAAAGGAGATTAAAAAAAAAAAAAAAGGTACAGCCACAATGCAAGAGTTGGATGAGCCACATGTCGTGGCGGCATGATGTAATGATCCAAGCTTCCAGGGTTGCTCCTCTCCTTTTTAAGTCTTCTCTCCCGTCTCCCCTCCCTTCAACCTCCCAACTCATCTCTCATCATGCCTTTCACTGCTTCGTAAGTTGCTCCTTTGCTGCGCATTTGCGACCTATGTTATTCCTTCTCAGTCCGGAATGACCTCTTGGACAGACTGGCGTCATGTCACCCTGTTGCCCTGTCTTGTCGCGGCATCGCCCGGAGAAAACCCACCAGCTTCAAGTTGCTAACCGTGATTGATAGTGATATCTGCAAGATCATCTTCGCCATCATCCTGCCTCCTCTGGGTGTTTTCCTGGAGCGCGGATGTGGTGCTGATCTCCTGATCAACATCTGTTTGACCATCCTGGGATGGATCCCCGGTATCATCCACGCCATGTACGTGTTTTCGCACTGTGACGGCAGTGTTTCCGACTATCCGCGATCGACTTGACTGACTTTGTTGTTCTAGCTACATCATCTTCAAATACTAGAGATACCCACGTTCCCCACACTGTCGCAGCCAATGACATTTGCCGCTCGATATCTCGTGAAAAGCGAGTCGGCGACCAATTTCATCAACCTCTTGAGCAAGGGGCGGTGCGATTCCATATGAGGGTGTCAGCGTGGTCCCGAGGAAATCCGGTTGGGACTAGCCTAATGCAGCGTCCTTCACTTGGCGTCTCCGACATGATGTCCATAATTCCCTAATTTTGTTGTCTGCGGCATGTTTGTTTCTTTTCTTTATTTACTTTGTTCTGCTGCGGGTTTTTGCTTTTTCGTTTCGGATGATACCAGCTCATACCATGGGCTTCTGGGGCATCGTTGTTTCGTATCAATGCCCGCTAGCTAGGTCTATGATTCATGAGTATGGAATTTACTACTCGGTTAATACTTATGACTTCCTTGGTAGTATTGTAGAAATACCGTCCATTACTTTCCTAGAGAGGGACTCGCTGGAGCAACATTGAACGGGTCGCAAGGGATGCATAATTTGGACCCGTCAACCCCAGGATCAGCCCTGTGTCTGGACCCACGTCTTGATCGCAGTCTTCGATTACATGAGAAACATTATAGCAACGGACTTGATTGGCCTCGATGGCTCCCCAAGCGGGTGTAACCAGTCCGTACAATCCGATCATGCATAACATCGCCTCAGGACACGCACCTAACATTCTGCTCACAAGTGCCCGTAAGTCCCGGGTCATCCAGTTAGCCCATCCATGATCTCTTGATGAACGGAACATACGATTCCAAGAGTTGAAGGCTTCTAGAAACCCTAAGAAGCAATCCAACACACAACGGGTGGAAGCCCAAAAGAACCAGAGACCAACCACAACATCACACGCCAGCACAACCACAGCACACCAACACCTCATCCAGTAAACATTCAAACCCAGAAATTCTGAAACCTAGTCAGGCGCCATGAACAACCACTTCTGCAGCCTAAGCGCTGACAATGGCCCGGCGCGTATCGCAGCCGCTAGCAAGGGACCACCAAAACCAAAGCGCTACGCCACTACGGCCACTCGCTTGCTCCAGTAGGGAGTATGACTCCCGTGGTCTATCATGTAACATGTCATACATGGTTTCACAGTAGCGCTTACAAAGGCACAGCCTCCAGCACTGTGTTTCAGAATGGTCGCGAAGCATCTCAGCTCACGGCTCTGAGATATGACGGTGTTATGGGTGGCTCTTTTTGCCTTCGCGCGTAGGAAGGCGCTGCCCGTTGATTTTATGGTTAATTAGGCTGGGGTCCCGATTTTGGGGGACTTTTGACTGATAGTACTTTGACTTTTGTCGTCGTTGTCTTTTGATACGATATTTGGACCACTGATCACTGACTGTTGCTTTTGCTGTTGATCGCACATACTGTTACTACTGATCATGGTCACCATATGGCTTCTAGATTGTCGTGGGTAGTCATTCCCATTTATTATTTCACAAGGTTGGTCGATGTGTGAACTTGAGTCCAATTGGTTGGTGGTTTCGCTAATGTTTGGCTTTGAGGCTATAGGGCTACCGCAGTATGCTCGTCCTTTACATGTACAGGATACTCGTTGCGATCCTGCTATTACTTTCTGTGGGATATGCGGTCGATACGAATACCGCTGATGATATATCCGACTCATCGTTATTGGGGATGGTACCGGACTGTGCGCTGGACTGTCTGAATAGCTTCATCAAATCCGAGTACACGCCCGAACAGTGCAAGTCGCCGTCAGATATTCCGTGTATATGCCGGCACAAATCGACTAGTGGGGAGACTTTGGGAGAGGCAGCTTTGAGCTGCGTTCGATCTAAGTGTACGCAGAAAGTTCTTGCGAGCTCTAGCGCTGGAAATATCTGTATTTCGGTGTCTGGGGCTGTGTCGCAAGCGTCAAAGACGCATACCACAACTATCATCTCGGACTCGACTATCACAATGAGAGGCGATGCAACAACTACGAGTGTGGTGTTATCGGATGATTCTGCGGGCACAACTGTGATTTACCAGACTCAGATCTCATATCTGTCATCGACACCGACGCCAACTACTAGCTCTACAACCTCGAGTGCGTCTTCCGATCTGACGTTTTATAATCCTGCGTCTTTGACATCTGAGACCGGACGAACAGCGAGCACTCAAACGGCAGGCACTAAGACGACTAGCACTCAAACGACTAACGTTAATACTGAGACGACTAGTACTGAGACGACTAGCACTGAGCAAACTTCTGTGCCTTCTAGTAATACCTCTGCAGATATCAACAAGAAAGATCACCATGGGATCAGTGCAGCAGCAGTTATTGGTATATCAGTCGCGTCAGGTATAGCCGTGGCTTTCATCATTGGCGTCGCTGTGTTCATTTGCTGTAAAAAGCGGAGAAAGCAACAAGACGAGTCAGACCCGCATGTGTTCGAAATTGGAGGTGCAATGGCTGAACCTCCCGACTTTTTGAAACCGATGCCTCGACTCCCGATGTCTGGTCCAGATCCCCAGTTCCCGTCCAGCCCAGTAAGCTCCGAGGGAAGAGATGCACACCAAATGAGCTCTGTTCAGCCGATGGCATTCATCCGCTCACAGTCACCCTATTCGCCTGGTCATGCTTCACCTCCCAATCCATCTAAGACCAACAACTTGGCCCACCAAGAGCGAATAGGATTCGCTGTTAGTTCAGACTCCGACTGGAATACATCGCCTCGAACTCAATCTTCACAGCATAGCGTGGCAAGACTAATACCCGAAGGCTCAATGGGACTATATCCAAAGCCACTGAAGTGGAGCCATCGACCCACCAGCGGAGAAACCCTCTTCGAAGAAGACGAATCACAACAGACGGCACTTGCAGCAGGGAAAATGAAAATGAGTAGTCCAAAGCCAGGAGTTCCACCCAAACTCGCTGGCCTGCCAGCCAATCCCCGTGCATACAAGGCAGGAGGAGTAGGTGTCCCAGCAGGACCAAGACCGGGACCTCCAAGAGCCCTTGCACCACCGTTCTGGCATACTTCGACGCTCAGAACTTCAATCTCGGAAAGCAGCACAGCTCCAAATGATACTGCCACTACATCAAACCACACCTCCAATTCCAACACCCTCTTTACACCCTTCACCTCCAAATCTCAACCTCAATTGCAAAACCCCCAACGGTCTCCACTCCCCTCGTCCTCGAATCTCCCTCCAGGCTCCGAAATAGTCTCCAAGCCCCGCATTGTCCAAGGGAAGGATATCAGACGAGTACAAGTCCGAAACAGTCCTCTCCCACCCAGTGAAGTCGTCGCGCCATACTGTCCAGAAGATCTATGGTTAGAGCGTGGAAGAACGCGCACACCCCCGGAATCCGGAGATTCTTTTGGCTCTGGGGAACCTCCTTATCCTTCTGATCGTTTCCCCGGGGATGTACATTATCCTGATAGCCCCAAGAAGAAGGCTGTTACGGTTGACAACCGAGTTTCGCCCACAAGTCGGAATCTGACGCCTTCGAGAAGGGGGGAAGATTTGATTTTGAGGGTTGATTGAGGTCTGGGTCTGAGATTGGCTTGGGGTATTCTTATGTTCTATTCTTGTATTTATATATTATATGCCTTGTTGCTTTTTTTTCTTTTTATTGCTGATATTGTTGATATGGGTGGTTCAGTTTCTAGCGCTTCTATTCTTGTTGTTACGCGTTTGTGATGATACATCTTGTGTGAATAGACTTGAAGTATTGAAAATCAGTGTTAAGAGTATGAGCAATCCATACACTATCATATCACCTAACTTGTTCACCCGAGCACCTCGTATAGAATTGAGGGTGAGAGAGTATGTTCACTTAGAGTTTACTGTGGCCTTGCTGACGGAGGTTTGATCACGGGCACCTGGGCAGTCAAACGCATCTTTCCTCAACAGCGTCATGTGTTCCAAGGTTGCTCGACCATGAATCGTAATCGGAATTTCTACCAAATCAGCCATTACCGCAAGCCACATGAGATCCAAGCACCTAGGGCCAAGGCCCCGACGGTCTACCGATCTGCCGCCCATAGCTGTATCAACAGGAAGCACGGCGACTGGGCTACTGACTGTGGATACTCTCGCAATGCAGCACATGCAGCTCTATGGATGATGTCAAAGTCTTCCTCGGTCCAAAATCGCCAGAACAGTAGAGTGGAGACGCATACAGGGTTCCCCAGAATCGGCCGATCACGATCTTCCATGTACAGTATCGGCAGATGGATCAAGATCCCACGCATACATCAACAGGACTCAACGATATCAATCCCACAAAGCCCATATGATGATCGGATATATCGGTCCCTTAACAGAGCTTGTGAAAGAGTCCAAAATCGAGTCCAGACTCTTAGAATCGACAACCTGGTCCATCGTGACCAAACTCTTTCTTTCCGAAAGATCAATGATCAATGTGCACAGACTGTACTCAGACCCAAACTAAACAGGCAACTTTACCTTTTTTCTCTTTCCATACAATCCACCAGGTTATGCTTCTCCACACAAGGAGAACTGCCATGACAGCCGCGTATGACGCCAGCTTCCTGCTTTGGGAACCCTGAACTCTCTCAATAATGGATTGGCTCCGTCATTGAAACAGAGTCGCGGCCCGTCCGCGGGACCGTCAAGGTTGAACGGAGATTTTGCCAGGGATGACTGACGGGTCTGCATGCACAGTGACAGCATTTGGCGCTCTGCCCAGTTTTGGGTATGATTTTGGGGAGTAGGAGAAAGATAGAGGGTCTTGCATATACTTGTTATACCAGAGGTTTGAGACTTGAAGACTGGTGCGTACTGCTACACGATTATGCACTTCTTTATTGCCTACTATGGAGTCCCACTGTCAATTTTTAACTTTTCTTGGTCAACTCCATATGTGGCCCTTTAACGACTGGGGGTGTTTTCTCCAGTGCGATATTTCTGGCTGCGTGGCTTGCATCTTGGCCCAAATGCTGCTTGGGTGTTGGTTCGAGGTGGTATCGGCCAACTTGTGGCGGCGTCGTGCCGCTTAATCCCCTCAGTGCGGACCAGTCAACTCAGACTACGGCGCACAATGATCTTCATGCGGTCTAGTACGCGGACTATGCTGATTCACTTTCACTCAAGGATCCAGATTACCTTCTAGTTCGGTTTTCCTGCTATTCCGGTTCCTGTAATGAGTCAGCACGATGACGTCAATAACCCCGACATATCCCGCGGTGACGCTCGTTGGCTTGACATCATCCAGTCGGAGGACTTCTAAGGATTATACTCGGGACATTCGAGGGCTGAGCACGGGTTAGTCAAATTCCAAATACGAGAGACTGAAAGACCGTCGCCTCTCGGTAGTACCGATCACGCCACGCCGAAAAGGCTTAGATGGTTCAGATGCTGCAACCAAAGGAATCAAAATTACTTGATTAGTTCTGATTCCCCTACTGTATGCAGTGCAGTACGTCAACTACTGATTTTCATCGGCCTCCGCACTCGGAAGTTTCTTGGACAAATCAGCTTGTCCACCCAGGCTCGTGGGCATGGAATCCTACGCCAAGAGTGCGCCGTTGTGGATCCTCAACTACTTTCGACTTCATGCTTTGAGATGTGCAGTATTAACCCAAAAGCGATGACGAAGGCCACAGGGGGTGGGGAACCCTGTCTTTGGGGTACACACTGTAACAGGATCAACGATATTGACCTCTCGTTGTTTGGTCCTCAGTCTGCTATATTAATGGCCCTTCGTCCCCACAGGCTCCATTTGCCCTAACTCATTCCCACTCAAGTTGCTCGACTCTTTGCAGTGATCTACTGTGCCCTACTTGACCCCCCTGCAGCCTGCACATCATTGACGCTTGACCTGTCTCTTTCCAGTCCCACTGGACATTCAAAGTGCCTGTTTGATAGTGGATTTGATTATCCATAACCGGTTATCTCGCAGCTCAGTAGGCAGCTACTGTATCAACATCGTCATTGTACCCGCTGGACCCACACCCCTCACGTTCCATTCATAATGGCTACTTCCGATGGATACGCAAAAAGGGTCCACCGACTCGACAGCCTGGATGCTGCTCAGTCAGAACTCTATGGTGGACCCAACGTTGTCGTTCCTCCCAAGCATTTGATGGCTTCTCCTTCTGACCCTATTTCCAACACCACGAATATGATTTCCAAAACCCACCCCGAAGAAGAAGTCTCATCTGAAGATGACTGCTCTAATATCCCTACGCCTATGTCAAACCCGCCAGCAGTCACTAGCGATGACTTTGCCCTGGCTTTTGATATTGACGGCGTCCTCATCAAGGGCGGCCAGCCCATTCCTGCAGCCATTGATGCGATGAGATACATCAACGGCGAGAACCCTTACGGAGTCAAGGTGTGAGTACCACCCTGTAAATTCCATTCTCCTTCTCCGCACCTGATGTGACGGGAAGCCTGCGAAGGAATATATTCTAATCTAATAATTTTGTTAGTCCATACATTTTCCTCACCAATGGTGGTGGTAAGACCGAGAAAGAGCGCTGCCTCGATCTCAGTCGCCAACTCGACTTGGAGGTCGATCCTGGCCAGTTCATCTGCGGTCACACCCCCATGCGGGAAATGGCCGAGAAATACCACAACGTCCTAGTAGTTGGTGGCGAGGGCGAAAAGTGCCGCATTGTCGCCGAGGGCTATGGATTCAAGAATGTCATCACACCCGGCGATATCATCAAGACGCGCCACGACACTACCCCGTTCCGCACATTAACCGACGAGGAACTCGAGAACTCCCGCCTCCTCGACCTCGAGAATCTTCACATCGAAGCAATCTTTGTCTTCGCCGACAGCCGTGATTGGGCCGGTGACCAGCAGATCATTCTCGATTTCCTCATGACGAAGGATGGCTGGTTGAACACACGGTCGGAAACGTTCCAAGAGGGCCCACCAGTTTTCTTCTCCCACACTGATGTCGTCTGGTCAACATCACACGAACATTCACGTCTTGGAATGGGAGCGCTACGCGCTTCTCTCGAAGCTGTGTATGGAGCCCTGACAGGCAAGGACCTCAACACCATTGCCTTTGGCAAGCCTCAACTCGGTACTTACAAATTCGCCACGCGACTTCTCCAGAAATGGAGAAGTGACTCGTGCGGGATCAACAAGCCGCCTTCTACGGTCTACTTCATTGGCGATACACCCGAATCCGATATCCGTGGCACGAACGAGTTCAACGAGACCACTGAGAATGATTGGTTCTCGATTCTTGTCAAGACTGGTGTCTATCAGGATGGTGATGTCCCACGCTACCCGCCCAGAAAGACTGTCAACAATGTCTTCGATGCTGTCAAGTTTGCGTTTGAGCGTGAGCACAACAAGCCTCATAAGGGCTCGCTGGTTTCTGAGCTTGACATCGATACCAGCAAGAAACTTGAAGAGATTGCTAATTAAGCAATCGTTCTGTGTCTTCTTCCACCTATATCTCATGATCTCATGGTTCCCATCACCAGTCACAACGTTGTTCAACAACTGTTGTGTTATACAGGCCTTGAAGCCTATGATTTCTTCTATTCGCGACTTGTTTTATAAGATTCCCAGTTGTCCTGAACTTCTGTATTTACCATGCGTCATGACGTCCGATCTCCGACTTTCTGTGTTGAGGTGGATTTCGTGCTATTTTACCTCGGGATCAGACTTAGATTCCCGTATGATACATTCGATATATTTTAAATGAATAAATTAAATCTTAAATTCCCATACCTGCCTCCTTGTGTCTTCCAGCAGCCATGCAGTCCCCCATGAACCAATACATCATAGTATCAAATGAGCCCACACTCAGCCAACATCGATCATACCCCAGACTTCCCCATAGATTGACCACCAAGTCAGAAAACAAAGGAAGTGCTCCCCCTCAATCTGCATGATACCCCGCGCCCGATATTAGCCCGGCTATCTCGATGATCTCAGGCAGCAGCGAATCGTTTGTAGCCCACTAGGCTTAGATGCAGCATCCACGGAACGACAGATTAGGCAACCCCGAAAAATCGGGTGGAGAGTTGGATTAGAGTTTTGTGGAGCCTCTGTTTGTTCTAGATGAAGCACAAATCAGGACCATCAATCCCCATGATAACTTTGTGAGAGCCGTCTACTATATCGATGGTGGTCTGTAGGGTGCTATTGAAGATTGAGGGGAGTAGAAGCGTCAGGTTTTCAAATTTTATATTGGTATCAATTGACAGGGAATATCGTGAGTCCTACCAATGGTGATTTATCGCAGTCATCAACTCAGAAGTCATGTACATATCATTCTGCCTGTTCATTACTATCGTCACTATATGATTAGTGTAATTGCTTAGATTGAAGATTATGTCGGTATCTTGCACGTTGCTCAATTTCACTAAGACTGGCAATTTTTTAAGTGCTATAGTAAGTTATATTAACACTATGCCTCCTACTTTACTACCATCTCCCCCTGGTCCCATAACTAAGTATTAGATCAATTTTGATCAATTCAGTCCTCTTTTCAGTTCTTTTTTAGAATTCTTCTCAATAATCCTTTCCAACCCGCCTTATACTATGTATAGAACTACTCATTATAATTGAGTGCTAATATAGTCCTAATAAGAGTCAACAACATGACTTCCCGTACCATTGTCCCTAATATTCTATATGGCTCTCATCTGGTGGATTTCAAGTGGCGGTTGGTCGTACGAGTTATAGTTCTTTTCTGCGATTCTAGGGGCAGTACTAAGCATAGTCTATATAGCTAGCGAGTTGGATCGTCTCACAATTTATCTCGAGCTCACTGTTTACTTCCGCATTAGGTCTAGTATACTACACGATACCCAACTAGGCCTGGTGTACAACCTTGAAGGGTATAAAAGTAAACACGATGTAGTGGCCAAGGTTTCAGCCCTTTGAGTACGCTTATACCAACGAAATATCCGGTTACAGCTGACAACCCCACTGGTATCGGCTTCTGTGATTCAGCGTAAATGTTACGGTGGATCGGGAAAGCTATCGGGAAAGCCTCCCCCACCCTTACCCCTCACGCTGCTTCACACTGCAACATGGGATCTTTTGCATTTTACAACTCTTAGTCTCAGTCGTTGTCTTTCGTAATGTCCAAGATACTTAATATATCTGATCTTCAGGAGTCAGCTTCAAAGTCCCTTCCCGTTTCGGTGAAAGGTAAGTTATGCCCATCCCCTCGCATAGCAGCAGGTTTTAAAAAGTCGACTAGATTTCTTCAATTCTGGCGCAACAAACCAAGTCACACTCCATGACAATTATACTGCGTACAGAAAATACCGTCTCCTCCCCAGAGTTCTTAAAGATGTCTCCCAAGTCAACACAAGCATCTCCCTCTTCGATCGAGATATCCTCTTCCCCCTGTGTGCCTCACCGGCCGGATTACAAGTCCTGGCCCATCCAGATGGAGAATTAGCAACAAGCAGAGCATGCGCTAGAACAGGCGTGAACATGGGAGTCTCTTCCTACACCGGTAATCCAGTCGAGCAAATCACCGAAGCAGGAAACGAAGTCGGACCTATCCACCACGTCATGCAGCTCTACTCAATGAACGACAAAGTCAAACAAGAGCGCATCGTGCGCCGCGCTGAAGCTGCAGGCTGCAAGGCAATCTTCTTGACAGCCGATAGCCCTGTTCTTGGTGTTCGCTGGAATGAATGGCGGAGTGGGTTCAAGCCTCCCCCCGGCGTCGGGTATCCGATGTACGAGAAGACATCGGATGAGATTCAGGCGCAATCTCACGATGATGGATTTGCCGCGACAAACTCGGATTCTCATTCTTGGGCTACGGAAATTCCTTGGTTGCGTAGTATTACTAAGATGGAGATCTGGATTAAGGGCGTTCTTACGCCTGAGGATGTTGAGACGGCTATTGAGTATGGCTGTGATGGTGTTATTATTAGCAATCACGGTGGCAGGCAGCTGGATGAGACCCCCGCTACTATTGATGCTCTTCCTGCTTGCGCTAAGGTTGCACGGGGACGAATCAGGATCCATATTGATGGTGGGATTCGGTCTGGGGCTGATATCTTCAAGGCGCTAGCTCTGGGTGCGGAATGTTGCTGGGTTGGTCGTCCTGTGCTTTGGGGTTTAGCGGTAAGAGTTCTGTTGCGATGCTGATATTGATCATTGTGTACTGACTTGTTTGGCAGCATGACGGTCAGCAGGGAGTCGAGTTGATGTTTAAAATTCTTTACGATGACTTCAAGCGATGCATGCAGCTTACAGGGTGTAAATCGGTTTCAGAAATTCGCCCGGATCGGTTGGCTATTGTCAATGCATACGGGCCTTTGGCAAGGCTTTAATTGACATGACAACTGAGGTATCTAACGAAGGGATATTGATAAAGATTGATGATTTGTGCATACCTAGATCAAGCTCATTTGAATATATTGTCACCATTCTTCAAAGCAATCATCTTCGAGCATATCATTGTCTGCTTTGAAGGCTTCTGAAATCCGAAGCCAACATCATGCCGTAGCAGATGGAATTTGTTATGTAGAGGCAAGTCGCCCTGGAGGCTACAGGAATCTTAAGGGGAATGCCGCTGAGTCATGATACGCCAACCGTGGAACCCCGAGTGACGCTTAACCCCAGACTTTCCCCTCACGACCTCTCCTCACTTCATCTCTTCTTCATTTCTTCATTGCTCTCTTTCAATCAAGTGAACTGGGAAATAGCAAACAATTACCAGCCCAAACATGGCTCTGCCATACAGGTATGCACCATGATCTCCTGATCGGCAGCCGCAGATCTCCACTAACAGCTCATCAGTAACAATAAGAAACACGACCCAACCAACTCAGTTGACAGCATGCAATCCGAAAAAGAACTGCTTGTCGATGTGATCGAGGTATATGATACTGAGAATAATGGCTTTGTCCCCAAACACCATGGTTGCAAGAGACAGGGACGCCCCTGTCTAGCTCGGTTCCTGCGGAAGGGTATATGCGCCTTTGTCCTCACCGGATTGGCAATATATTACTTCGGTCTCCCATACAGTATGGAATTTCTTATATATCACAGTGTAATACTTGCTGATGCAATAATCAGGTGCTCCGTCGATCAACGCGCCCTCCCCTCATCCCGAGGCTTCTCCGCTTTGCCAGTCGGAGGAATGCGTACACGCTGCATCCGAGATCCTGTACAACCTGGATCCCAACTACGAGCAGGTTGATCCATGCACCAATTTTGATCAATATGTCTGCGGTGGATGGCGAGAGAATCATGATATGCGCCCCGACCAGGGATCGATCTTTGCTGGCACAATCATGGAAGAGAATGCGCAGACTCGACTCCGTCATATCTTGGAGCGCTCGGAGGCTCCTGAGCCTGCCGATGCTGATAACTTCAAGAAGCTGAAAGCTGCTTACGATGCTTGCTTGGATGAGCCCGCCATCAGCAAGCGAGGCACTAAGCCTTTGACTGATATCTTAGATGAACTCAAGAAGATCTATCCTGCTAAGACTGGACTGGTCAAGGGAGCCCAGGACCACCTCACCAGTGCGATATTGTATCTCCTGAACGCTGGCGTTGAGGCCTTGGCCTCCCCGGGTGTTACTGTGAGTCCAAACGAAAGACCATATGATCTGCTTCAGACACTGACTTTCATTAGCCCGATGACAAGGACCCAGATAATGTCGTTGTATTTGTTACGCCTCCTCGGCAAATCGGACTTCCCGCAAGAGAGTATTATAATAACACCAAGATTGTGACTGACTATACCTCTGCTTTTAAGCAAGTCATCCAAGGATTTGCTGGAGATGGACACGACAAAATTGTTGAAGATGTCGTTGCATTTGAGAGCAAGCTTGCCGATGTGACTCCGGATACGCAGACTCAAGAAGATGTTACCAAATATTATAACCCCCTTAGCGTCAAGGAAACCGAGGCTTTGTTGCCAGAGATTTCTTTTACTGACATTCTTACCTCTCTTGCACCGCACGACTATAAAGGCGATCGCTTGATTGTTGGGTCACCCCCTTATATGAAGGCCTTGTCTGGGATCTTGAAGGACACCCCTAGAGAAACGGTCTTGCTTTTCTTGCAGTGGAAGCTTATCCAAGCCCTTGAAGGTGCCATTGAAGACAACGCGATTGAGCCTCTTCGTCGATTCAAGAATGAGCTCGCCGGCAAAGAGCCCCAGGCGAAGCAAGAACGGTGGCGCAAGTGTCTTGCTCGCCTGGACGAGGGTCTTGGATGGAGTCTCAGCCGGTTCTACGTGCTCGACTCTTTCCCTGAAGATTATAAGAAGCTTGGTGATCAGATCGTGTCTGACATCAAGGAACGATTTATTTTCACCTTGGACGAAACTAATTGGATGTCTGCGGATGTGCGCAAGCTTGGTATCCAGAAGGTTGAAAATATTATCCAGAAGATCGGATTCCCTACCAAGAGCCCTGATGTCACAGACCCCGAAGACGTAAAGAAATTCTACCGCGACCTGGAAGTGGCGAAAGATACCTTCTTCGAGAATGAGGTGGCTGTGGCTAGATTTGATCTTCATAATGAATGGTCCAAGCTTGGAAAGCCAACTAACCGCGATGAATGGGACATGACTGCGCCGACAGTCAACGCCTATTACAATCCCCCAGGCAATGAGATTGTCTTCCCTGCCGGCATCATGCAAGCCCCGGCTTTCTACGGACCATCCGCCCCGCTGTATCTATCCTACGGCGCGTTCGGTTCTGTCAGTGGCCACGAGCTGTCACACGGTATGTCAAGCCTCTTTTCAATCATATTTGCCTTTGCTAATAACGGTGGCAGCATTTGATTCCACTGGTCGTCATTATGACGAGAATGGAAACTACACCAACTGGTGGGACGACAAGACCGTCGAGGGCTTCGAAGAGCGAGCCCAATGCTTCGTTGACCAGTACTCCAACTACACCGTCACAGGCCCTGATGGCAAGGTCCTCCACGTCAATGGACGATTGACACTAGGCGAGAACATCGCCGATGCAGGTGGCCTCACCGCTTCATTCCATGCATGGAAGAAGCATGATGAGGCGAAGCCTGACGTTCTCCTACCGGGCTTGGAAGCCTTCACCAAAGAGCAATTGTTCTTTATTTCGTACGGCAACTGGTGGTGTGGCAAAACCACCAGGGAAGCGGCTGAACAGGCGATCTATAACGATCCTCATGCGCCCAAGTCCGCTCGTAATATTGTAAGTCTCTGGGTTCTGTTCGTTCTCTGCTCTTACTGACCGCTTTAGGAAACCATGGCCAACTCCCGGGAATTTAGGGATGCTTTTAGTTGCCCAGAGCGCAAGCCAGTTTGCCAACTCTGGTAATTTAGTTTAGTTTCTATGATAGTTCCCAATGATATTGCATGTGGATTCTCCAGTCTCCGCGCTCCCTCATATGCACCGTTTGCACTGTTTATGTCACGGGCATTGGATGCACCTCTCGTCACACCCCTCCCTCATCACCAACTCACCGATAGCCGCGTTTTCAGAGAAAGTTCATTCTTACTTGACTGAATTTTGGGGGTATCGAATGCGGCAACCCAGCGCCTTGATGGACCACATAACCCCGCGTCCTGTATCTGCGATCCACGGGCGATCCTCGAAACACCCATGGCTCCAGAATCGACACATCCATGGGACTTGAAACCGTTTGGATATCATATCCACAGGATTCAGGATCTCAAGTAAAGACACCAAATGTAGTCATTTCGCGGATCTACGTCCTGTAGATCCGCAAGGTCTGAGCCCCCCTCGCTTGGTCACTGGGGAGGGTTTCCCGGGTTCCCAGACATATATCAACTCTGAATGTGATGCATCAGGGAATCTTACCGAGGTATGTACCTGTACCGGCGGGGGATCAGTTCCATGGTCAACCATGGTGTGTCTTCGTCGGTCCCCAGTAGAAAAGGACGCGGCACACGCCAATATTCCCTTAAGCGAGATTGGGTTGAACGGTTCCTCAGAGTGTGGATATACTCCAAACAACCCAAAATGGTCGATCCTATAGTGCACCGCTGAGCTGGATTAGTGCATTGCTTAAAATTGGAGAGGTCACACCGATTGAAATGAAACGCCTACTACGATTTTTGCGTATCCTCGCGTCCCTGTCGAGTGGAGGAATAACGGGTGCTGTAGCCAACCAGGTCCGCTTTTCTCAGACAGTTCTCGCATTCGGGAATTCAGGGCCTATCATGAGCCTTTCTAGAGTCCACTATGCAGTTCTCAGCTGAGGTGGAGATAAAGCTGCAGAAATGCCAAAGAGAATATCCAGTAACTTATTACAGTCGAAGCGGAAACAGTTCCTGACCGATCAAGTTAGCAGAGAGAACGGTTCCCTCTTCCGGGTTGCTCCACCCAAACAGAGCTGTGTCCGTTTTCTGTCTCCCTTTTCCATGCCACTTCCCCAGGCTTCTCTCCTGGCCCCAAAGCCTTTGATCGGGCTTTCGCGTGATGGAGCCTTTTCCTCCTGATCTGTTCAAGGAGGCCTATCTAGGCCCACAGGTTCAAATCAACGAACTGCCGGGCAATCGAGGTGCCCAGTCATCCAACCTTCGACGGGCCAATACTGTGGCCCAGGGCGGCAACATAATTAAACGGAATTTGGAATTGAAAGCAGCGCGTGAGAAAACAGGTCTTCGCGCCAAGGACAGCCATGAGATCCTGCGACATCAGCTGCAGCGGTCCCAAACCCATCGAGGGCCACTCGAGGCGCGTCCACCCGGAAGGAAGGCAGGGCATTTCACGGTTGGAAGCGTCGGCCAAAATGGCAAAATCTTTCTCAGGTGAAATTCAATCTAGTACCTGCCGTGCGACAGCAGTACAGTGCTAATGTCGAACCTCCCAGACCGATTGCCAATCCGCCGCCAAAAGGCCCACAGCCCGAGCCTTTCGTCCCTGTCGAGATCGCAACCCCCAATCTCCTTCAGCCGCAGCGCTATGCGCCTCCCGTCCGCGAGGATCCGTCCAGGTGGTCGAGCTCGCAGCTCTCAGAATTACGCCCCCGCGACGACCCAGGTCCCGCCCTCGAGTCGGTCTACTCCGAGGCACTCGCCCCCGAGCTAAAGCTATTGAGCCAGCAGCGTCCGCGACCGAATTCCTTTTCGACACTCTCCGAACAGCAGTCCAATGCTGGTGCGGGTGCGGGTGCTGGGAAGAGGGGTGAGCTACGGATCGTAATTGATAGATCAGAGGACCGGCCACGGTCCGCAGGCGAGAATTCAGTGCACGCAATGGAGGTTCCTATTCCTCGGGCTCGTCTTGGGACCCCACGATTCAACACCGAAGGTGGTGCAATGCTGCAGAGCTCGGTCTACTCGCAAACTTCCATGTCGGACAACTTTCGAAACTCTACCTTGCTGGGGGGCATGGCAGACCCCCTACCGGGCCTGCTACACAGTCCCTATTCCCGTGATTCTTTTGCGCGGCATCGGCCTTCTTTTGCCGTGTCTATGTTCTCGGGTCCTGCCGCGATTGATTTGAGTCGAGCTTCGCCAATTCCGAGGAATTCCATGGTGTATGAGTTGAAAGAGCCGGTTGAACCGTCCATATACGAAACGCTGGTATATGATATGGATGATGGATCTGTTGTTCGATACATCCCTGGAACGAAGGATATCAGCGCTGCTACGCCCGCTCGCATTGTTGCGCAGATCTCGTCTGAATCCTTTATGGACTATGAGTTGGTTTCGGATTTTTTCCTGACCTTCCGTTCGTACCTCTCCGCTTCACACCTTTTGGCTCTTCTTCTCGCGCGATTAGAATGGGCAATTAATCGGCTACAAGACGACGGCCGCATCATTCGAATCCGAACATTTGCTGCTTTACGTCATTGGATCCTGAATTATTTTGTTGATGATTTTGTCACGAACTATGATCTTCGGACCCACTTTTGTGATACCATTAACGCGCTGTACCAAAACGTCAAGGCTCGCGAACATGGCGGCACAAGTGATCGCAAGATTCTCATTGATCTCAAACGATGCTGGAATGGCAAGTGCTCGGTCTATTGGTGTTCTCCGGATTTGACTCGCGCCTATAATGACTCCGACGTTCCTATTGTACCGGGAAGCGCTCAGATCGAGTTACCCAACGCCGATGAGTTGCACCAAAACGTTCCTCTCCCTGGCATGACTCCTCATGTCGATACTACTTTCCACGATAGCTCTCCCCACGCCGCGGCGCACGATCGAAACGACTCTGCCGCAACGGCACAAAGCATTCCATTTTCCATGAAGAGCGAACAAAGCGTCATGGCGCTTTCATGCTCACTACCACCCCCCAAATCACCACGACGCCACTCTATATTTGCTCCGAAAGGCAAAGCACCGCGTCCTGTTATATTGGGTAACCTCGCCAAATCGAAATCCCACACGCCTTCTCACGAACCACCCATGTCCCCGCCCATGACAACAAGACACCCATATCATACGCATAGCCATAAAAGAAGCGGAAGCTTCTCTGACTCGGTTCGAGATGATCGACTGCCAATGTTTGCCACAGAACCAGATAACGGCACTGCACCACAGGAGATGTTAGATCCCGTCAGTTTAATTCGCGGAGAGCTGTATCCTCCCGCGGAATCATACATGGCAATGATGGTACCAGACTCGCCTCCTCTTCCTCCGCCATCAAAGAATGCGAACCCGGATCGTCGAAGCACGCCAGATATACCCAAGCCAGCTGCTAACTCCGGAGTGAGGACCATCATCGGATCGATCAAGCGAGCGCTACACACCAGGAACGGCGGCCAGAGTGTTTCTGCTCGCATTGCGAATGCGTCCGAAGCTGTTTCCTTGCCTTCCCGGGGAAAGACATCTGCTATGCCAACGGGTCTGGCTTTTGGCTCGGAGTATTATCGTGAAAGGAAGATGGCTACTGTTCCGAAGCGTCCTGCTCGAATCGATATCCTCTGCGATCAAGTATTGCAGCAATATCGCCAAGCTATGAACAAGGACGAAACGAAAGATCCTCAGGCTCCGGCTACATCTGACTTCCAAATGACGCTGCAGGAGCCCGCTTCCAATGCTGCTAACTTTTCGCCTGCAGGAGTCTCAAAGGCTGAGTCGAAGCTTCAGAGCGGAATCACCATGGGTAGTGGGTCGATTGTCATTGTGGATGATACCGGGTTTGAACTGCCGTTCATGTCAGGAGCGGCACCGGAACCAACACTCAACTTGGACGATCTTGCTTCAGAGCCCGCAGCACCGACAGAGTACGAGCCTTCCACACAATCCATACCGGTGGAAGGAGAGTATCTGCGTCCGATTTGTTACAATGCCGACGAACCGGGAGCGGCTGTTTCGAGCGATCTCCCTCTTGCACGCCCTCTCACGCCACAAAGATCATTCTCTATTACGCGCGACTCCATGATTTCAAAGAAAAGGAATTCTTTTGCTTTACGACTTCGAAAATACGCATCATTCCAGAGTGGCATTTCAAGGTATCGTGACTCCAAAGGCAGCGAGGCAGGTCAATCAACTGTTGGATCGGAAGCAACCCATGATCAAGATGGAAAGCATTTGGGGCCGGCTCTTCGTAGGCGACGAGGTGGAAATCTGCGTCAAATGCAGACTGGTGATGATGTTGAAGATCACCCAGTCCGTGACTCATTTGGTTCTTGGGATGATTCGATAGCGGACACTGTGCCTTCTGAGAGTGATGTCTCTAGGCCTCCTTCCACCCTGATTCCTCCCAACCCTCGTTTCTCGCTTATCCAGCCGCGTTCCTCTCAGAAACTGAGACGTTCTTTTGAGTCCGTTATTGCCAAGTTTGCGCAAATTCCCGATGACGATGATGGTGGCATTGAATCAACCCTGTTGAAACTGGAAGGCAAATGGGATGGACCAGATAGTGCGAAGCGAGCCTCTACATTTGAGCAAGCCGAGGCATCCCGAGATGCTGCTGCACGTCAGTCTCACCGGGAACAAGCCCTGGTCCCTCATGCACTTGATACGGCGAAATCTCAACTTGATTGGGATGTTCTCGCGCGCAGAAGACAGACGGACAAATCGAGGTATTCTACTGTTGGCGGCCATCTTGCGCCACCGAGGCCATATTCTGACTCCGTGGCTGAGTCTGAAGAATCTTACAATTCCATTCCGCTTCTTGAACGGGGATTGACTGATGAGTCTATGAAAAGACCTCCTGTGAACCAGCTGGCTCACTATGAACAGTATGGTGCTCCGCTCAGTCTAATTTCTAGCCGGGATACTTCGGATATTGCTTCCTCGCACCCCTCGATTCAGATCGTGCATGAGACCGAAAGCATGCGCCGGATTCCTCGTGGCTCAACTGTTCCCGTGTCTGGATCACTAGGTGACGGTCAGATTACCCCCAAGCGCCTGTCAGCCCTTTCCTCTGAGATGTCAGTCGACCTCATTGATCCGAATGAAGCTATGGGTGCACGACAATCTACCGACATTCGCAGTCTAAACTCATCAACTGTTGAGGTCCCTCCTCATCCTTTGGCGCACCCTCCTTCCCCGCCTATGACCATTCAACATCCGGGCTCGTTCACTTCCTGCGCCTCGCCAATAGATAAAATCTTGTTCCAAACGCATCCTCTTACACCCGAGACATCTCCCAGGCACAAAGATATGGCAGGCATTGCTCAACGACCGATGGATGTACAGCAGATCTCAAGCAATGTGTTGTTCAATTCGGAAAATCACCATCCCGCCCAGACCCCCATCACCATTCTGACGCCGGACCACGTGCCCTTTGTCCTTGCCTGTGAATCCCAAGTCCTCGCTCACCAACTAACTTTGATTGAAATGGCTGCGCTAAGCGAAATCGACTGGCGAGACTTGGTCGAGATGAAATGGAGCAGCGGTTGTCCCTCAATCCTCAATTGGGTCCAATTCTTGACAGCCGAGAAACGCAAAGGCATCGACCTGGTTGTCGGCCGTTTCAACCTCATGGTGAAATGGATCTTGTCAGAGATTATGCTGACCCGCGATATCAACGAGCGAGCCCGCACAATCGTCAAATACATCCATACCGCCGCGCACGCACGCCGTATCTGCAATTACGCCACCATGCTCCAGATTGCCATTGCCCTGTCCTCGTCTGACTGCACACGCCTGACGAAGACATGGCAGCTTATCCCGTTAGAGGATAAGCGATTGTTCAAGGATATGGAATGTCTCATCCAGCCGGTGCGCAACTTCAACGATTTGCGTGTCGAGATGGAGACGGCCAATCTGCAGGAAGGATGTATTCCTTTTATCGGCCTCTATGTGCACGACCTCACTTATAACGCCCAGAAACCCGCTCAGATTAGCAGTAGTGATGGTGGTCTACTGGTCAACTTTGAGCGGTATCGCACTGCTGCTCGCATTGTTAAAAGCTTGCTTCGACTCATTGATGCCAGCACGAAATACCGCTTCCAGCCTGTGCAGGGTATCATTGAGCGATGCTTGTGGATTGGTTCTCTCCCCGAAGAGGAGATCCAATCACGCAGCAAGGCACTTGAATAATTCCCCTTTTCCTTTTTTGGTTCTTCATGTTGGATCTTGGATATCGGCCCAGTCCTATATTTTATGTATTACAATCTCTGTGCTTGTGATTGGATAGTTTATACCCCCTATTTCAGAGGCTGCTTTGTCCCTCTGGTCATGTTTGGTCCCAGCATTTGCGACTGGTTTCGTTCTTTTGAATTCCCTATTTGTCTCAGGCGATCTGACTCGGTCGTTACATGGTTATTTCCTGCACCTGCATGCCTTTTAAAGTCTGCTGCCTTCATCCTACCATCGACGTCGTTGGATCGATGTTCCCTATGTACTCTACTACTCTTCTTACTTGGCCTGAGCGTGCCTGCTATGTCGTGTCTGGTTTCAGAGCATCTCTGCATCGAGCGTTGCATTTGCTGATTTGTCTTTCGTTGATAGCGTTTGTCTTTCTTTTTTTTTTACTAGCATTGCAGGTCAACTTATAATATAATACACAAAGTTATCAACTTATAGTCACTTTGACCCCACGTATGCAGTTTAAGAATTAAAACTAGCAATCAAATAGTTCTTACATATCCTCTAATAGACATGCTTTTATACAAAATATCTATCAAACTAAACAATAAACACCGTTTTTAGCAAAGTAGAGCCAACACCAAGAGAAGCTGCGTCATGTCGTCCCGATCATCCAGGAACGGAACACCATTTTCGGCTCCCGACCATTCTCAACCCACCACACCTCTCTCTCCAAACGGCCCAATTTCCACGGGTGCAACCACCCCAATACATTAGCCCAATTCTTCAGGCCAAGCGCCCGGTCCATCCAACCTTCTCCGACCCCTTTGATGTCCCCCCTCAGGGCCGGACAGCCAGCCCGCCACGATGGACACGACCGAGCCGCGGCGCGGGGGATCAGAGGACTCCGTCCGCTCCGATCATGATATCGCCTTCCATGAACCAAAGCAGGAACTTCCTGATGATTTACCAAAGTCTCTGGACGACCGTCGCTCTGTTCCTATATTTCAGGCCGAGACTGAAATGTACGATGCCTGGCAAGGTGAGTACGGATCGAGAAGAGAGAACGAGGAAGAGGGAAACAGAATGGAACAAGAGCGCAGCTCTAATCCTCGCAATCCCATATCTATATCCATATCCATATTGAAATCCAATGTCAACTCGCAAACTAATCACTGAAACAGGCCAATCCCAATACCTAACAACACCAGTCGCAGCCAAGCCCCTACCCTTCAGCCTGACACTCGACGACCACACCCACGACACAGAGCACGAACTCCGCGCCGCCTACGGCCACCGCGACCGCGATCCAGAAGACAGCGACGCCCGCCTGATGGAAATGCTAGCTGCCCAGGCCGCGCATCGCGAGGTGGACTCGCTCAGCGCGGACGAGGAGACCATTGCCGTTGATGAGAAGCTTACGGATGACGAGAAGCGCGATATACTCCAGAAGAGCTTGAATATGGCGGCTAGTAATGGCGATGTGGAGCGCGTAAGGAAACTTGTTCGTGGGGCTGCGAGGCCGTTCGTTGATGTGAATATGCCTGATGAGGAGGGGACTGTGCCGTTGATTTATGCTAGCTGTTTTGTAGGTTTCCCTCTTTTTTTTTTTCTCTCTCTGCCTTCGGCTCGGTGTTGGGATTGGCTTGGGGTGAATGTGTAACTGACGGTTTCTTATAGGGTCATCAAGAGGTCGTGGCTGCGCTTATTGAAGCTGGGGCTTGGGTTGACAAGCAGGATCGCAATCAGTGGAGTGCGCTGATGTGGGCTATGACGAACCGACATAAGAGTATTGCGAAGATTCTTCTTGACAATGGGGCTTCGCCGGACATTAAGTCTTCTTCTGGGGGTACTGCACTTGACTTTGCCCAGCCTGGGAGTGAGATATCCGAATATCTGCATGAGAATGGATATAATTTTGGTTCCGCGGGTATTGAGGATGATTTCTATGATGCTGGGCTGGCGCATGGCCGTTTTGAAGAAGAATTGGCTGAAAGCGAGATGAAGCGCAGAATGATGATGGAAGAGAGCGCTATCAATTTAGAAGTTGATCTATCCAGTCTAGGGCTTGACGAGAAATTCGAGGTGAGTTGGAGAGTACCCGTGTATTACCTGGCATGGACATGGACTGACTGCTGAACAGCCATCTGATGAGGATGAGTTAGAAGAAGAACAACAGGAGTTCGTCTGGGATCGGTGTCTGAACGACCAGATGTTCGTCTTCCAGGATCACGAACTGGAGCGCATTTTGGATATCATCATTACCAACATGACCCCCCAGCGGTCTCCGTCTCAAAAGCCCGTGCCTGCAAATCTTCTCTTCCTCAGTGCACGTTATGCGCATTATCATGCCAGTCCTGAGCTGCTCGCAACGTTGTTGACCTCTGCCATGGACAAGATCAATGATGTTGTCGAACGCTACCAGTGGGACATGACAATGCAAGCATTTTGGTTGTCCAATGCCACGCTACTTCTCCACTATCTTAAGAAAGATGGCGGCCTGGTAGAATCTACAGTCGATTTCCAGCTGCATCTGGCAGAGTTGATCAACGAAATCTTCATTCTCATCATTCGTGACGCCGAGCGTCGAATGAACAAAGTCCTGGATGCGGCTATGCTGGATCATGAGACCATCCCTGGACTGGAGGACGTTACCTTCCAAAACGAGTGGAATATCTTCCGCAAAAACAAAAATAAGACCCCTGAACCTGCCGAGAAGCGATTCCGGCCTCCATCTCCGCGCCGACGAGCGCAAGTATCGCCCCGAAACATCACCTCTTTACTTTCATCCACTCTTTTTGTACTTGATCTATATGACGTTCACTCGGTGATCGCAACCCAGATCCTCTCTCAGCTGCTTTACTGGCTCAGTGCTGAGATCTTTAACCGAATCATGAGCACGAAACGGTACCTGGCGCGCACCAAGGCGATGCAGATCCGCATGAACGTGTCAACACTCGAAGACTGGGCGCGCTCCAATAATCGACAACCAGAGCACTATGAAAATGGTTCTACATCTTGCACCGGCGAGACCACGATAGAAGCCGCCCGACGACATCTGGCCCCAGTCATTCAACTCCTCCAGTGGTTGCAATGCTTCTCGTCACTCGGCGACGACCACGAGTCCCTTGTGACAACCCTTCTTCAGCTCCAACAACTCACCCCCGCCCAGCTCCTTCACGCCGTCAAGTCTTACCGTCCAGAAGTCGGCGAAAAGGGTCTCACCAAGCAAGCCATGAAGTTCCTCCTCGAGATGCAGCGCGACCCGGAGATCCTTTACCGCGAGCAACAAAAACTCCACGATGAGAAGAAGAAAGCCGCCGCTGGACCAGCATCCGACGCGGCAGACGGTTGTCCCAAAACACCATCCAAGGACCACCCCTCCGACGCACCCACATCCCCCGACCCAGGTCTCTCCCCTGGCTCCGCCGGTGCCTCCTCCAGACCAACCAGCATGGTCGCCATCAGGAACGACGAACGCCCGGGCGGCGGCAACTCCGTCATCCTCGACCCAACCCTCTTCCTCCCCTTCTCCCTCCCCACCAGCACCGACATGCTCATCAGCTACGGCGCCGGCTTCGGCGGCACGAATCGCGAACGAGCCCGCAAGTACATCCCCACCGTTCCACCAGAAGTTCTTAGCCGATTCGATCGCGGCGATGCATGAACGCGCCCAGTCAATTACCATTGCCGATACCCTGTCTCTTTCTTTTTCCCGCTTTTGTTGCCACTTTTTTTTCATTCTAGGGAAATGTGCGATGCGGGGCTTGCATGGCATGTTGGCATAGGCATCGTTACGTCGAGTATATATTTTAAATGGATCTCATCTGCATCTGTATCTGCATCTGTGTCTGTATTGGTGTCAATTTGGTGCCTAATATCTTAGTTCCATGCACACTGTACTGTAGACGACATCGGTGCATGTCTCTCGCTTCGGTGAAGCCCGCTCCGCGCACTGATGGTTGAGTTGTCTTGGCTTAACGTGTTGGGACAGGGAATGAGCATGGCGTTTTCTCTCTCTCTCTTTCTCTCCGCTTTCTCTCCGCTACTGGCTTAGTCGATCGCACGTCAGCTTATCAGCTTTGCCTCGCCAGGCCCGCCCCAGGGCCGCCAATGGATTCCACCGGCACCTGCATGTATACCCACAGGTCGGGAGGAGGTGAAAGGGTTCAGCGGACAGATTCATCTATGATTTGGGAGGGGGATCTCGTTTCATGTTCACGATTCTCATTTCCAACACTTGAGGACTTCGATCTACCTGTATGTTATGTATCCAAGAACCTGATCTATGCCAGATCGTCTCTCCAGTACCTGCGATGGACACCCGACAGTACGGATGAACAGCAGCAGCAGACCATGCATCATAAGTTGAGACTTGCCAAGCTATGACGCTGCAATACGACCGCTATTCCACCGAAGCGAGCGTGAGGCTCTCAAATAGGAGATGGGCGTTCTCCATTGGGGGCAGCGGATTGCTCTTTTCCCAATGAAGCCACCACTTCTGAAGTAAGTCGAGCCGACGGGCCTGGAGAAATCGACCTATTCCGATCTCACTATCGAGATATATGCATCTCGTACTTGGCACTGGCGTTCCCTTTGGGCGTTCCCCTTTGTCTGAGCTGTACAATTCGACTTCGGAACCTAAAATAGGAGTGGATCAACGCTTGCGCATCCCTCGAGATATGCCGAGTGTTATTGGACTGTGAGATCTTGCTTATTCGCACATTGTTCTTTAGTCTGGAGATTCTTCTATATTCCCGCTGGGAAGTCGCTCTAAATGACTGTCTCTGTCGGATAGCCCTAATGTCTCGGTCTCGAAGAAACTCTTAATAGCTCCATGTCCCATCCTCGCTCTTGGGAAGCAATTGGCTTCGGACCGACCCGCGATGTTTCATCGGTCCAGACTCTCCTGTTTCAATCCCCGTTTCGACTGTTATAACACGCGCGCATTACGTACCTATGGGGCTTTGCCCCAAAGAGTACGTCGTTTCCTAATCGGGTAGCTCTGCAAATCTTCACAGGCACCGCTCCAGATCTCTGCTTCTCTCCTAACCCTCATGTAATATTCTTGTCAGGCCCGTCGCGGCTGCCAATTCTCTTCAACTATGAAACTTACTCTATCACAGGGGAACAATCTCCATGATTCTCGTGATTCTCGTGATTCTCGCAAAAGACACAAACGACCCCGACAACTCCCAGTAAAGCCCGAGTCGTCGCCGGATGAGATACCCTGTTTTCCAAGACTGCCCCTTTCAATGGGCTCGCATCAGAATGACTTGGTCCCGCCGTCTGGCTTGCACCGTTTACCACGACCACCAAGCTTGCCGAATCCCCTTCCGCCCCCGCCGGTGGGATGGCAGGGCGAGCAGATGACCGAGTGGCTGCGAACCAAAGCCGAGGAGGATCGTCGCAAGCAAGCGGAGGAAAGGACGCAGCAGGAGAGCTTGATTCTGGAACAGCGCCGCATTGAGCAGTCCATGCTGGCGGATTGTTTGAGAGCTGGGGTGCCGTCCCATCTGCTTCCGTTGATTTTTGCCGCTTTCCAGCGTACTCCTGCTTCTGTTCAGGGTGCTGCGACGGTGCCGCCGGTGTCTGCGGTTCCAGAGCTTCAGCAATTGTCGGCCGCGACTAGAGCTGCTCCAGTCCAAGCTCCGCCTCCAGCGTTGCCTCCAGCTCTGCCTCGATCTCAGCCGCCTTCTTTGTCTTCTGCATCGGCACAGGCTCCACAGCAGAGCTATCAGGGACCAGGGTCTGCCATGAACCCGCCGTCTCAAGCTCAGCAGCCGACACAGCCTGTACAGCAATCACCTGGTGAGTTCACGTCTGTTGTTTTCAATCAGCATATATTGCGACAGGTGCAGCACCATTGGCCGCGTCTGAGGCTTCGAAGTAGATGGCTGCCACCGTTGAATTCCCCAAGACCACACCCAAGACCAAATGTACTTTGCTCACACGACCTCTCAGGCTTCAGACATTCATTCCCTATCATTGGCCCCGACTCTCGCCCCCCTGGATCAATGGAGCTCCAGGGCCCGTCTCAATCATTTGGGGCACGATACACGACTACTGCCCCGCCTCATTTTTCCGCTCCTCCCAATTGGGCATGGGACTACCGACAGCCACCTCCTCTCTCTTTTCACCACTGGACTCCGCCAGAGAGTCTGCTACCTCAATCGCAATCGCAATCACAATCGCAATCACAAAATCTAACCCTGCCAGCCCATGATCCTTCCGCACCTCCAAAACCACCTGCATCCAACATTCGTCCAGAGCCAACCTCTCCAGTTCACAAGCGAAAAGACGAGAGATCACATCAAAAAGTACCTCCTCCATTGTCTCGTATATCTGGGTCATCCACCAGGCCACAAGATTCAAGTGACAGCTCGCGAGACATCTGGTCGCAGCCTCATCGGCGCCAGATCAGTGATGTGTCTAGCACAGGAGCTCGTGGGAACGACGAGGGCGAGTCTTCTGAGCAGTTCTCTGACTTGACACCAGCTCCGACCGATATATCGAGTACCCAGAACACTGTGGACTCTGCTCGAGGTGCCAGTCAGGCCGTCCAAGATCCCAATGTGGGACGTCAAAACGTGTCTTTCACACGTCAGTGACTGGACCGACTACCCAGCTCAATTGGAGCATTGGGGTTTCATTATTCTCCTGTTATGTCTTTCTGTTTGTCTCTTTTCTAATCATCCTTAGCTATTCAGCGTGTGAATATTCTTTATGGGTATAGATAGGTGCATCCTATGAAAATGGGCCTGGTGCATATGTTAATGTTTATGTTTATGGATTGGGGGGGAGCTTTATTCTTGCATCTGGTTTCAGGGGCAGTCAATAATACCAAGTACTGGCAATCATCATATCTGCAACGGAATGTGTAAATGCAAAGAAACATAAGGTTAAAGTCTCAAACTCTTGGCATATCCGGTATGACATCGCCACACGTCATAGCCGGGAGAACCATACAGTAGGAAAACCTGTAAACCTGAGCAATCCGGGGTACGTTATATATTATATATAGCTTGGGGTTTCACTCTCATTCCTCATCTCCACACAACACCTCACCCACCAATTTCTACCTCCCCCTCCCAGGTGAACAACCAACAACCACCCACCCACTATATACCAAACCTACAACCACACCACCACCACCCAAAATGGCAACAATCCAACGCCTCCGCAACACCCTCCAGTCCGGAACCACCTCCTCCATCCTCCGTCTAAACAAGGCCCAACCGGGACTCATCTCCTCCCCACTCAGCAAACCAACAACCCAACTCAAACCCCAAACCCGAGGCTACACCCAAAAACAAGACAAAACACCTCCATCTCCGACAGATCAAGCCTCGCCCTCTCCCAACCACCCAATCCCCTCAAACAATGCCAAGCCAACCTTGCGCGATGGCAACCAGTCGCCCATTGCGGACGACGAGGGTAACCTGAAAGACGATCTGCCTGAGGATGTCAAGAAGCATAACGAGGAGATGGAAGATCGCTATGATAAGCCTTATAACCATATGGGTGACAAGGGCAGTCCTGAGAGCAACTTTGAGAGTAAATGAGTTAGCGTTGAGGGTGTATTTTACTCTGTTTATTCGGTTTCGGGGTGATGGCGTTGGCTTTGGGATGGAATCTAGGAATATGGATTCACTGTACATGTATGACCTGTGGATTCGGTCTTGTATTTCTATATTTGTTATTTAGTATAGTCAATGTGAATGAATCAAATTCAATCAGGGTTGGACTTTTTGAGACTATGTATTGTAGGGGAAGAGAACAATACTATGTCGACAGAGTAGAAAGTTTCTTGAACTTAGTGTTGTACTTCAGGGCTATGCTGTGATCTCTACGTGTTACCGAGTTGACAAAAAAGTGAGTTCATGGAAGATCAATTGCTGAGTAGATCTAATGTCTGTTCTGTGTACAGCGGAAGACTGTTCCATTATGGGTTAAAACCCCCAATCGCCAGCGAGAATAAGATAAAATGGAAATGAAATAGCGCAATGTAAGGTGAAGGTGCGCAGATCGTCAGCTGACAGGCAGCTTGGCCAAGTCACCCTTTCCGTCCTTAATCCAGTCCTTGTCGACCAGGTTCTCACGCTCACCATAAAGCTGCTTGTAGGCACCACGGATAGTTCCGTCGCTGACGTGAGCGACCTGGGAGATCTCCTTCGCTGTCTTGCCGTGACCCATTAAATACGAAGCCATGTAGATACAGGCTGCGACAATGGAAAGGGGAGAACGTCCGGCCAGGGAGCCAGAGGCAGTGACACGGTCCGAGAGTGAGATAGAAACGCTAGTGACCTGGTATGGGAGATCGAGAAGGTTGCAGAAACGGTTGCAGAGGTCGCTGGGCTTGGTCGAGGTGGTGGCCGTGTAGCCCTCATTGGGATCCGCGACTCCGCCGCTCTGGACGGTAGCGTTGTAGCGCTCGATGTTCTGGGAGGTGAAGAACTTCTCCAGAGCCTTGTAAATGCGGCCAATTTCCTTGCGGGTAACCTTAGTCACGGCGAAGATCTCAGTGAAGGTACGTGGGACCTTGCACTGACGGCATGCGATGAAGATGCACCCGGCAATGATAACATCTTGCGACTTTCCCTTGAATGCCTTGGCATCGTCTACTACCTTGAAAAGATACTTGGCTGTGTCGGCCACAGTCTTCTGGATGTTGAAGCCGTCGCACAGGGCGCCGATTTCCTTGTAAGCGGCCATGAGCTGCTTGTTCGCCTTTTCGTTGGACTGCTTGTTCTGCGCGCGGTACAGATCACGGGCACGGTGTCCCGATCCTCCACTGGCAATGCTAGTCTCCAGCTGAGCACCGTTGAGCAGAGGGTTCGAAGCGTCTCCGACACGGGAGGGGTCATCGTTGTTCTGATCGTCGTTGGAGAATGTACGCCATTCGGAGTGTACGTCGATCTCGCGGTCTGCAAGAACAAGACCACAAGAGCCACAGACGGTTTCGTGCGAGTCGGGGAATTCAAGGTTGGGAGGAACCTCCTTGCATTCGGGGCAGAGGAGGTGGGCGGAGAGGTTCTTTTTCCACGGGGCCGCGGCCTCAGCTTTCACGGCAGGAGAATCCATCTTGAGTAATTTCAGAGAATGTTCAAATCTTTCGGTGCGTCTTTTTGCGATAATCTTTGGGGTTTTGCGAATATTGTATTTGCGGTTATAATAGCGAAGAAAGAGTGGCGAATACAGCTTGGCGACTGTGTAGCGTTAAAGAAAGAGGGCCACCTGGAGAGGATCCCTCAGGAGAGGAACAAAGATGAGATAGCGAAATGCTCAAAGCCACTGTTTTCACAGCGATGTTAGTCCAAGATCTCAGAGCAAGTGCTTTGTGTCAAGGAACCATGGCAGTGTTGTATGGCAGAGGCCTTGAACAAAGCCATGCATAACTGGAACATAGAGGCCATTGTTACCTTTTACCGATCAGGCCCCTCGGGGTTCGAAGGTTCACCCCCAGTCAGAAAGAGCCTTCACCAGTCTGCGCTTTCGAGTCGAAAGTGAAACAGAAACCTCGCCTCAGCGTGTCCAGCCGCGTTGAACCAGTCAAGGTCTCCGTAAGAAGGTCTCTCACGAAATGGGGACAGGCTGAGGATGAGAGGATGAGTACACGAAGTCAAGGACTGGGGGAGACGGAAGGGACAATGAGAGAGTGATATGACGAGAGTCGCAGAATGAGCAAGAAGTCCGAATCGGGCTTGGTAAGCTTGTCACGTGGTATTGACAGTTCGAATATGGGCAAGTTGAGGGCTGTTGGTTCTGGATTGTTCTATGCTCACTTCTGTGGTTCTCGTCTGCTGAGCGATACCTATATTACAGAGCTAACAAACCCAACAACACCCACAATAACAAAGCAGCTATGAGCCTACTGTTACAAATGAAGAGACTCGGATGCACATGACCCGGCTGAGTCAGCGCCAAGCCATCTTTCCGAACAGAAGTCGTTTGAACCTCCAACTTCACGGAAAGACGGATCAGATCTATCCTTGAGAACCAACCCTCTTCCCTCATCTACACCTCCTCAGTCAAGATGATGTCTCAGTCTCTCCGGGCCTCGGTAAGTCCTGATTGATTGATTTCCGCCGCGTCAACCCACCACTAACGCGAAAACAGCGCACCCTCTTCACCCGTGCCTCTCGGCAACAGGTCTCGGTCGCTCGCCGCACCTTCCTGACCTCCGCCATCCGTCAGGGTATGTTTTCTTGACTGGGATATTTGTTGCCCTTGGGGCCAATATTCTTCGATCACCCTTGGATGATGCAATCGCTAACCCGAACCCACCTTTAGCCGACCCCGTCCAGGACCTCTACCTCCGCGAGCTCAAGGCTTTCAAGCCCATTCCTCTCAAGGCCAACGACGCCGATGAGCACGTCCACAAGTTCTCCGCTCCCCAGGCCCCCAAGTCTCCCGAGGAGGCCAACCTCGCCAGCGAGCTTTCCGCCTACGAGTCCCAGGAGGTCGAGGTCGAGGGCCAGGCCGCCGCCGGTGAGGCCGCCCCCGTCGAGGAGAGCTGGTTCGAGGAGGAAGAGGAGGCTCCCGCCGCCCACTAAGTGCCTTTTCATTTCATTTTAGCAAGGTCTGGGGAGATATGGGGGGACGGCTTGCAATGCCCGTGCCACAACTAATGTGGCCGCCTCTCGGGTCCTGAAGCTTGTAAATTAGACCACATTTTGAAACACTGAGATTTCTTTTTCCATTTTCTGGCCCATATCACATTCGGACGTCGGAGCATGGCCCTGAACTGAGAGGGTGGCTCAGAAGACTGCCTGGAGTAAGTATCCCATATTCCGATAATAGCCATCCTGACGGCCTAGCTCTATCATATATGTGTACTGTGGTAGGGTCTGCACAATGGAGATATAAACAATGGATTGTTGACTTCTTTGATTACCACGTGGGGTATGTATTCTACCCGTAGAAAGTAGAGGAAGCAAAGCCAATCATGATATGAAGGACTGAAAAGTGTATAAGCCCAAGTGGCTCTGAATACTATCTAACCCGTTCGAGGTTGCAAGAGAGCTGTCGCCGCCGACAGAGCCGGTGGGCGCAGCGCATGTACATGTCAATAAAGCAACTTGGATCATGACTTGTAACAAAAGACGACCGATCTACACGGTAAGTTATCTCGGGAAGAAGAAGCATTGGGTGGCAAGCTAGTCGTTGCGGACATACATGTACAGATGAGGGCGTCGATATCAAAGTCACTATTGGCACTAATCCGAATCCACAACTGCAACGGATAGATCAATACTTCACGAACACATGTTCCCAACAGCCGGAAGCGTTGCGATCGACTCGACGTGTCAGCTCTCCACATTCCTGCGGAACACCTCTCAGATGCAAGTGTGTCCCGTCCCCAAGTTGAGATTCAGCGATATCCCTGTGAGGAACCGACTGGGAACGCGGGACTTTCACAGATGTCCACTGTCCCAGAGTCACCACGCACCCACACCAAACAAAACCCAAGACTCCACAGAACCAAATTATTAGGTTTGTTCGGTTCGTTCCCACGCAGGGGGTATCATGAACACATTGGCCAAGGGCTTGTGCAATGTGATCCATGGTGTGTCGGCATGGCACTTGTACCTGGCACCAAGTTGATACATCCCAGGGAATGAAAATAAAGTATGGCACATCCACGCCATCTATCTCTATTTAAGCGTCTTATGCTTCGGCCCTGAGCAGACGCCATATCGGGAGTTTTGGGGGGGGGGGGGGGGAGGGATGGAGAATGCAGTAAATGTAATATGGAGTATGGAGTATGGAGTATAGATCGATACGCCCACCGAATCCCGTGGATCGGGAGGAGATTTCCATTTCCAGACTCGGCTACGTAAAACAGGTCCTGGCAAGAATGCGGGATCGATATACAGCAAGAGTGGCCGATGATGTATGAGCGGGCATACCTAGAACATTCCTGTACACGTAGGAAGAATGGGATACGAGCGTCAGAGTACAACACTCGGTGAATTATGCCCTTTTATCTTCCGGAGAAGATTCTATTGGCTCTATCGCGTGTAGATACCTTGCAATTGGGGCTGAGAAAAGGCATCAAGGACTCGGGCTGACGGGGGGGAAAGAGAAAGTGGAGTAGAAAACTCGAGTTGTCTCACTCTAAATGGAACGGGGTTAATCTAAGAGAGATATGAAATAATGAATCATATATTCCATGGGATCTCACAGTTATACGTGGTTTGAGCCCCCCAGTTGAACTTATATCTTCAACTTCCTCCCTTGACCTTCTTCCCTCCCTCACTTCCCCCACTCGGACCCTTGGGGAGACTCTCATATCCCCCGTCGATCAGTTGCTCAATCGGAGTGGCGCCCTGCTAAGCGCATAGATCTACCTAATATTTGACAGCCTTCTTCATCCACCCCCCTGTCTTGGAATTTTGGTTCCTATGCACGCTTGATTACCGCCGGAATACATGTGCACAGAGGAGCTGGTCTTCTCTACGCCGAGCTTCCGCCGAGTCAAGGGGAAATGACCTGCTTATAACTCCCTCATCACCCAGTTCTCCCCCCTCAAGACAATGTCTTCGCCTTCTCCCGAGACACCGAAACCGATAGAGACCCCCAGCTTCACCGATGGTAACCCCGAGCTCTCTCGTGCCGCCAGCTACACCGATCTTCATAGCCCAACAACGACAGAACCCAGTCTAAGACGCACCTTTTCCGACTATGCCGTGCCAGCGTTGTCTAAATCGCCCACCAAGGAGAGTGTGGCTGCGGGGAAGGACATCCTGCGTCGGACCTCTCAGCGCTCCAAGGATAAGCCAGCCACCGTCTCACGTTTCACATTGTCGTCATCAGAGGATTTGAAGGATTCAGAATCGCACGTCCCGGAAACAAAAGCCCCCGAGCCTGCCGTACGGCCCTCGAAGAGCCGTTCAATGTCTGGGAGAATAGTCAGTCTGGCCAGGAAACCATGGGGCTCTTCCTCTCGCTCTCCTTCCCCGTCGGCGAAACGATCCAAGCAACAAGACCAATCCCCGACTCGAGCCGGTCGAAAAGCAGACGATGATCAGCCACAGCCTTCTCGCAGAAGAACCATACTCTACAAACGTCCGCGTCGTCCTATGGTGGCAGTGGTGGCCAAGGGCCCCGAAGACGGTACCGATTCTCCGAACAGTCCCTCGGGGAATTCTTTACGGCACAGGACCTCGTTCGAAAAATTTACAGCTTCACTCTCGGTTTCAACACCAGTCTTACCACCGATGCCGAAGGGGGCTGCAGAAACGGCTGCGTCGTATGCAATTCCTGGCGGGGATTCGTCCCGGAAAAAGGACGAGCTATGGGGAATCTTTCGTGGATTGGAGGCGGACTACCAGAAGTAGGTACAGCCAGTGAGCTTGTTCCTGCAATTGCTGACCCCTATTACAGATTCCAAGCCAAATCTAGCTCTCTAAAAGCGAACGTGATCCGGACTTGTCTCCTCCCTTTTCTTGGTCGTCATCATCTCCACGCGTCCTGCAAGGATCTCCGACCAGAGGACTTGGACCGACGAGTCAACATTCTTAACAAGTGGTGGATTGGAATGCTAGAGATGCTCAATGGCAAGCATAATCAATCCATCTCAGGGACAGACAGACCAGTGTTTCTGGAGGCTGTGGTGGGCATCATGACCCGACCGGAATGGCGCATCCCATTTCCCATGGCACAGCAAAACAGTGGACCTACAGATTCGTTGAAATATGCGTCAACTTCCATGTCAGAAACTTCCGATGGCTCGGCCTCATCAGGATCGGATTTCCTGGTCGAATCGATCCATCACAATATTCGCAACATCTTTATCCAGAATTTGCTGTCCCAGATGGCATTTGTGGTTGAACGAATGTCTATGAGACATGCTCCAGCAAGCTTGGTGGCATTCTGCGGAAAGGCTTGCGCGTACGCCTTTTTCTTCTGTCCCGGAGTCCCCGAAATTCTGGTTCGATTGTGGTGTACTCCTCCTGGCATGTTTCGACGGATTCTGGTAGAATCGGCCGGGTCTCGTACAGGCAACACGCGTGCATACACTCAAGAACTCGCTCTATGCTTCCCACCTGCACTTCGTCCTCTTGCTTTCCATTCACAAGCACCCCTATTGCGGTATCTGCGACAGAAGCCAGAAACACCTCTTAACACCGCAGGTATTGTCTGGAATCGCCCGTGGGTATCTCGCTGGGCCGGGCGTGACACAGATTTGTTTTTTGTATTTGTCAAGTACATTCACATTCTGTATTCGGAGTATTTACCCCCAGAAACCGAAAAGGGCAAGCGGATTCTGGCACCTGGTTTGTTGCTGGTTCATGCACAGCTTCTTCTGGTCCTCGAGGAAACAATCTACAAGCAGTCGACACAGCAAGCATCCGATCCGCACTCCGCTGCAGCGATTACATTTGATGATTTGATTGAATCGCCTGACGCCTCGGCCTCCTCTCATCATCTTCGCAGTGGCAGCAACAGTCATCGGTCCATGGCAGAGAATCGGTTGATTATTCTACTGCGAGACTTTCTATCAGAACAATCCGCGGAACCGAATCGTTCCAGATTGCTCTTTGCCGAATCTTTTTGTGGTATCATTAAGGCTGCTGCGCAGAAGACGTCTCTGTTTGACCACAATGCGTGTTTCTTGTTGTGTGATTTCCTCGAGGAGATCATTCCAATCATCACTCGCTACGCTCAGTCAATCGAAACGGAGTTGTTTGATTGGAGCTTCTGGCTTGAAGTTTGTCGACAAATGATGCAGAGCCACAATTCGCTCACCGAGGTGCGCGTCTTCTCCTTCCTCTATACCGTTTGGGGTACATGGACTGCGACGGACGAAAGAAAAGCTTCTCTCTGTCTGGACTTCCTGTTATTCGAGCCGATTTTCTATCACTACTTCAACCACTGGAGTCCTATGGTGCGAGCATATTTCCACCGTCTTTTGTGCTGGCGGGTTGGACGCTTCAATCCCGATCCATCGTCACTCGATTCGATGATATACGAGACCCTTTCAGATCGTCTCCTGCGGGTCTGGGAGTATTACATTGGGTTTCAATCCAAGGCAGAAGAAGGCATGACGGCTCCTCTTTCTTCTGCTCCCTGCACACCGGCCCCAGGACGAAGAATTATCATCATACGATGTGACAACCAGCTCTCTCCGGTCAATCTGTTTGTCAGCTTCGACCGAGTTGTTCCACAAGCTCGTTCTGATCCGACCATGTCACAACGGCGGAATGGACCATCAGAATTGCCGAATGGAGATAGCCAGCCCGCCAAAAAGCGATGGGGCCTTCTCAAGGCCATGTTTGGCAGTTCTTCCAACGCCCGTTCTGGTGACGGTGACATCAGCACCAGAAGCTCTGAAGACTCTGATACCAATGATACAGATCTGACTATACTTTCCGATAGCAAGTGTATGGATGACCATGAGCAGACTCCAACTAGCAGCGTCGAGGAGATTGTCCGCCCGAAAACTCCTCCACATCAGCCATTCTTCTTCAAGTTCTCTCTGGAATGGATGGATCGGCCCCAGTGGCCTACCAAGAACAAAAGGCTCTTCACTCCTTGTCTTCCCGTGGCCTCTCAATTGCACGTCGAGCAACGGCGGTCTCCTTCAAAGTCAGAGTATGACACCGCATCCGAGAACCCATCACCGTCGGATATTGAAAGCGAAACAACCGCATCAGAGGGCCCGGAGGACCCCATGAGTCCCGATGATACACCCACACAACCTACCTCAAACACATGGCCAAGAACACCTGCCATCAAACAGTCTCCTTTACCCGAACTCCCTCAACCTACTCACGACCACCTTGTGCCTAGCAAATATGCAGGCCGTGCCCTTGCAGAATGGGCCCACATTGTTTCAGAATGTGACAGTTTCTTCGCCCGCCGACGTGATGAAGGCGTCCCCACTGATCGCGTGGTGGAAACCCCAACACTAGGCGTCGAAAGCTTCCGCAAATAAACCGAAAACAACATGAGAGATCCAGCCTCTCCACATATCGACGGACCATTGATAGAAGTCTCGTGACATGTTCAGACAGATGATTTTTTTTCTTCCCTGTCTGGCTCTTATTTTTTTTTTTTTTCTTTCTTCAAGTTTCACACCTCATCTGGTGTGCATGGCGGCTCTGGAGCATAGGGTAAGGCGTTGAAATAGCCTGGTGTTTTTCTCTCCTTCCTTTTTTTCCCCCTATTGGGTTTTCTTCTTCTGCGGCACTAGCGATATGCCCTAATCATACTAAGATACAATTCACTATTATCAAATGATATTCCCATCGATGCATTGAAAACGTAGAAAACGATCTAGATGTTTATGTAGACTGTCCATCTAGACAAAAAGAGACAGACGAAAAGCAGAAAAAAAACACAACCCTACTTCTGTGCCTTCTCCATCTCCTCATCAACCTTCTCCTGAGCAAGCTGCTTATTCAACAAGTAAAGCAAAGCCCCCTGGACATCCTCCCGATCCATAAACACTTCCACCAGCCGCACCCCATTCCCATGAGAAATGCGCTCATCAGCCAAAACGCTCTTCAACTCCCCAACCGTACGCGCCTGGAAGGTATTCTGAGCAGCATGCTCCTCCTCAGCCCCGAAATAAGTCAACGCATGCGAGTGTCTCCAGAACGGCACATCATTGTACGCCGCCTTGCGGCCATGGATCACGCGCTCGATTGTGTAGCCATCGTTATTAATAATGAAGATAACGATGTTGAGCTTCTTCTTGATCATAACGCTTATTTCCTGCGCGGTCATTTGCAGACTTCCATCGCCGATGAAGAGAATGGTTTGTGCCTTGCTGGGTGTGTTTGAGTTCAGTTCCCGCTGTGCCAGAGCTGTTCCTAGGGTTGCTGGGAGCATGAATCCGATTGAGAGCCAGGTTACTGCGCCGAAGAGGCGGGATTTGCTGGGTAGGGTGAAGTTTCGGCCGCCGTGGGCTGCTGTGCCGGTTTCTGTGAGAATGATATCGCCTTCTTTGAAGAGGGGGTTTACTAGTGGGTAGAAGTTGGTTTGGACTAGGGCATCTGTGTCGGGGGCGTTGGTGTCGATTGTGAGGCTTGTCTTTGGGGGACCGGCAGCTTTGATGAGCTTTGTTGAGTCGAGATTCGAGAGGATTTGTGAAAGCATGTTGCTTGCTGACATGTCGCGGAAGGTCTGGTCTTTGATTTGGATGTTGCTTCCGGAGAATGTGATTGCCACCTTGGGTGTGGGAATTGTTGTGTAGAAGTAGCTGTTTGTGTCGCTGTAGTGCGGGCCGAATGTCAGAACTAGATCTGCTTCTTCGAAGTATGCCTTTGCGGCATCGTCACCGAATCCTCCAGCGTACAGGCCGTAGACGTTGGGCAGTTGCTCGTCGGCTAAACCCTTGCCGTAGACAGATGTCCAGGTTGGCCAGCCAGTTGCTTTGATCAGAGCATCGAGTTGGTCGACAATACCGAGACCTGTACTTTCTCCGTCGACCAAGATGAAGGGACGCTCAGCCTGGTAAATCCGCTCCATAATCTGTGCCAGTACTTGAGGCTCCTGAGCCGAGCTTGGAGGAGTGGGAACCGTGATCTTTGTCTTCAAGTTTGCAGAAGATACAAGGACATCAGGCATATCATCGGGAACTTCAAGGTAAACAGGCTTATTATGGATCAATGCCTGCTGCAAGATCCAGTCGATCTTCTCCGGTGCCGAGGTAGCATCAACGATGCGGGATTGCGCAGCAGTGATATGTGTCGACATAGCAGCAAACCGACGGTAATCACCATCCGAGAAGGTATGGTGCATGAACGTGCGCGCATCTTGAAGCGGGCGCGGGGGTGTTCCGACGATGTGCACGACAGGCGTGTTCTCGGCATAAGCCCCAGCAATACCATTCAACGCGGACAGTTCTCCGACACCATAGGTAGTAATGAGAGCAGCTAGGCCTTTGACACGGCCATATCCATCTGCGGCGTAGGCAGCGTTGAGCTCATTGCAGTTGCCCACCCAGTGTAAGCCAGCCGGAGTGACGAAATCCAACAGACGGAGGTTATAATCGCCAGGCACACCGAACATGGACTCGACGCCGAGCTGTCGGAGTCGAAGAAAGAGATATTCTGCAAGCTTGATTGTCTCTTGAGTCATGATGGAAAGTGTGAAGTTGAAAGAGTTCGGAGAAACGAACACTCCGTCTTTTATAGATGTTCTCCCCCGCATCTGAATACTCCGACTCGCCGAACACTCCGCTGTTAGCCGCTTCAACTTTTCGTCGGACTTTACTCCAACCTCATGTCGTCGCGTCTGGCTGCTTGTGAGGCCTGTAGAAAGGCTAAATTGGCCTGTGATCATAAGCAGCCGGTTTGTACGCGGTGCAGCACTGCCAAGGGGATATGTATTTACAGAACCACGCCCTTCAAGCGGAAGAGGGCTGAAAAGCATAGGTATGTTCCATGCTGGAGTTGACTGACGGCCGACTAATTGTTTGACAGCCTAGAATCAAGTGAATCACCATCTTTTAATCCAAGGCGAAATCCATATCCGAACCCCGGGTATCTTGGATCATCCAGCCATGCCGCCATCTTCAAACATATTACTCCGGATGGAGATAATGTCGGAGCTCATCAGGTTATACCAGAAGCCTTGAACTCGACTTTGTTTGGCGACAATCATCTAGTGCTACAAGGTGCGGATGTTCTCAAGCATCTTCTGACGACATACAACCTACCTGCCATGAGAGACCTCGTCACATTCTGGCTAGCCAAAGGAGCAAATCTAGCCCTGGCAGAGCCGTTCGTCGCACAATGCACCCAGAGTGTGAGCCAGCTGTTCACATATCATGACGAGAATTGGCATCTGGTCTATGCAAGACGTCTCTTGCAGAATTCAGCCCAGCCATTGCAATTCGACGAGACTTCCGATCTCGCCAGTTTCTCAGCCCAATTGTTGGATCACAACTCCCGCTGGGAGACACTGGGTATTTTCTTCGCTGCTGTCACCCGGGCTACTATTGATATCGCCTTTTTTCCTTCTTTATATACCACCGAACAAGAACAATATACCCTCAAGCGGCTATGCACGAAACTCTGCGACCTTGCCTTGGAAATATCTCTCTCACTGGACTGTTTAAACGACCTCCAACTAATAATGCAATACGAGAACTTTATCGTTCACTCCTACGTCGACGGAGACCAAAGTAAGCCATACTTATCCAGTTTATCACCCCACACACATTTTCTAACCCAAAAAAGGCTATCACTCCTGGCGCAAACTAGGTGACGCCATATCCTCAACCTTCGCCTTGGGCTACCATGAAAACATAGAAGCAAAGCCAGGGATACCCAAATTCCTCATGGAGCTCCGCAAAACAGCATTCGCACGCATCTACTCCGCCGACAAGAACATCGCAATCTTCCTCGGCCGCCCACCACGCATGAACAAGCGTTTCTGCCATTTCCAAATCCCATCCTGCAAAAACGCCCCAAACTCACTGGACTGGACCGCCGACGCAGAAGCCGGGTATGGAGCCGACACGCGCTGGTCAGCACTATGTGCGTCACTCAAAGAGGAGATATGGGAGTTACTCCAAGACAAGCACGATCCGGGATGTGCCCAGAGAGCAAGGTAGATCCGATCCCACCACCCTCACCTTCCCCGAAGGGGAGAGAAAAAAAAAAGAAGAAGCAGAAGCTAAAATACCAATCCAGCATGATCCAAGCCCAAGCAACAACCCAATGGCAATCCCTCCCGCCTCACTTTCGCCTAGAAGCAAGTCTGAAGCAATGCACGCAGTCCCCCTTCCAGCGCGACTTTATAGCAAGCGTGCGCCTCCACCATCTGCACGTCCTCTTCCTGCATAGCCTTCTCCTGCTGAAATCCCCCACTGAACCCTCAGCCTCGATAATCAACACCGCGAGTCAGATGCTCACGCTGGTCGTGGAGATCATCCTGCTGCGCGACCAACTCACGAATTCTGGGACCGGGTTAATTTGGAAGGTTGCTTATTATGGGCTTCCTGCGGCGGGGATCATGTTGCTTGCTATGCTTAAGCAGTGTATTCCGCGCTCTGGGTCTGGGTCGGTATCTATAAGGACTCGGGCGGTGCAGGATCTAAGTGTTTTTGTTGCGGAGGTGCAGGTTGGGACGATTGTTCGGCCTGGGGATCCTAATTTTGCGTTGCTTGAGAAGGCTACGAGCACTATTCAGCGGTTTTTGGATTCCGGGGCGGATACGGGGATTGCGGGTGGGGAGGGTGGTTCTGCTGGTGTTGGTGGTGGTGGACTGGGTGGTGGGGATGTTGATGAGTGGGCTGGAGGGTTGGGGGTTGATTTGTGGGATTTTGAGGCTGGATTTTGGCAGTCCTTGGCGGATCATCCTTTCTTAGGGGGCATTGAGCCTGGGTTGCCGAGTGTGTGACTGTAATATTTTGATGTACAGTATCATAGATGTTACCAGGCGCGTGGAGGGCCTGGGAAGAGACGATGATAGAGTCTTCGTTAATGAAGGAATAGTGGCTGAATGCTGCCCGTAGAAAAAATAAACCATGCAATTGGGTCTAACCCGTAATAAGCTAAATACAGAATGTGATATCTCCCCATATGAACGCCAATCCCTCAAGACAAGGATGAGAAAATAGGTACATGTATAAGAAGCGACCAAAAGAACCAACAGAAGGAAATCCGCCATGTTCGGTATGAGCTAACATGCATAGATGGTATAGAGCGTGAGAAATCTCACAGAAAGGTAGGTATGAGGCTTGCCGACAAGGTGTCGGGCTGTACAGTGCTCGTATAGAACACGACAAGGCAATTTGAGGCATCAGAGATTGCCGAGACATTGCAAAGAGGTGTGGAAGGTCGAGAGGGAAAAGGGTAAAATACATTAGTGGAGCAGCTTGTCGCTGGCTGTGTGGATGATGTTGGCAACCCGGTCGATCCAGTATTGGGTCAGGGTCCAATTTCCAGTGTTGATGCTATCTACAATCGCAGGGAAGAGGGCTGCGTCGTAGCCGGACCAAAGCTCTGGACCGAAGATGACGTGTCGGAATTGTGTGCGGTTAGGGACCTGGGATTGTTAGTTATGGTTGCGGATCAGAGTAGGAAAAGAAGTGTACTTACACCGCCACCCTCTTCTAGGTCAAGCAGGTTGGTGTCAAGACTGGCCATTCGGGCATTGTGGTTCACTCGTTGGACAGCCATGACATTGCTTTCATATCCACCCAGGCCCCATACAGTGTCGTGCCAGATTTTGTTCCAGGACTGGAAGCGAGCAGTGTTGGCCTGAAGTTCAGCCGCCGCCTTGAACATGGGTTCCATGTTGACCTCGGCCTTCTTTGATTTGGCAAATTCATCCAAGTCCTTCACCCATCCAGTCACCGAGGTACCATAGGCCTCCACGTCGAATGGTAGCATGGGGTTTTCTGCAAGGTCAAGCAGAAGAAGACCCCAGAACTGAGCCAGAATTTTGTGGTATTGGAAGTCAGGGTCAGCATTTTGAACCATCCAATCGTAGGACTCGTAGCAACTGTGGTATGGAAAAGGTTCACCTTCGAACCCGAAATCGATGCTTGAGGTACCTGCAATGTCTTGGAATGCAACATAGTCACTGCCCGCACCAAGTGGCTCAATTTTTGTGCCTCGTTTCTCCCAGAGATCTTTGAGTGTTGCATTTGCATAAGGATCTGAAAGACGACCGAGAACCTGCATCACAGTGCGTTCAAAAACTGGGGATGCCGAGACACGGAACTTGGAGCCAGAAACACCGACGTCAACATTCAAGTATGCGAATGCATTGGCACGGAGTTCCTCTATCTCATTCTCGACATGCTCTGTTGAGCCGATGAGATTATATTCTTCTGCATCCCAGCTGACAAATTCGATGGTACGGAGCGGTCGCCATCCATAGGTGAGCAATTCACCAAAGGCACGCACGACCTCCAGGAAAGCAGCAGTTCCACTTCCGGGGTCAACGCTGCCCATACACCACGAGTCACGGTGATTGCCAACGATGATCTTTTTATCGCGTTCATCCATACCGAGAATTCTTCCATGGATATTGTAGATAGGCTGTCGCTCGACTTCATCCTGCAAGTTCATCAGATGAACAGTGGGAGAATTTTGATCTCCAGTCCACCATTCTGAGACTTCAGGTACGCCTCCAACCCACTCCTTTGGCACTTTCGAACCATGTCCCTTCAGCCCCTGCAAGAGGTGCTGGGCATCGCGCCAGGCAAGTGGAAGACTGGGAATCTTAGGTAACCCAGTGCTTTCCTCAGGGGCCAAACGATGTTTTTCTCCCGGGGTGGATGCGAATCCAGGACTGAGAACATCTCCAACAACCTGCGACATCATGCTGACACCGCCTCTCTGGACACCATCACTGGGCATGTAGCGGCCTTCGGGATAAGCGGGACCCTTGACGAATCCATCCTCTGAGGGATCCGAGTAGATAATGCAACCCGCCGCGCCAGCCAACTCCGCTGCCTTAATTTTCAAAGCGCGATCTGTTTCAGTCCCGTAATAACGGACTAGCGCGATGGAGCCCTTTAAGTCGATTCCTTTCTCGGCAAGAGCCTTGAAATCATCACGAGATCCAAAATTGGCGTATATCAGGGGCCCAGTGACATTGCCTGACTTGGAATGTCCATGGAAAACGAGATCTTTGGCGTTGTCCTCCTCGAGTTTGGCCTCCCAAGCGAGATTAGGCGGGTCGATAATAGCCACCCTCCTGCCATCCTGGCGTGGATAGTTGAGATACACCTGGAACTCCTCACGCGAGACTTCATCGAACCCAGCTTTGTGGAATTCCTGTTCAATCCATTGTGATAGCACGAAGCTGCCTTCCGTTCCGGCCACATGGGTGTAGTTGGTGACGCGGCGCAAGTTCTCGGCGATGTTCGTTTCGTTGATATGACCCTGCACAAAGTTCTCCACCGATGCCGAACTATATGACTGACCCATGACCATGCGGCTGTTGATGTTGAAGATGTCTGCGATGAAGAACACATAGACCAGGGCGACTACGAGTAAAAGAGCGAAAAGCCGTAGCATCATGATACAGCCCTGATCCTTGAAGCGGGCGCGGGCATCGCCCAGGTTGATCGAGAAGCGGAAGCTGGGCATATATCGTTGAAATGGTCGTTGGATGGCCGATAACGTGCGGGTCAGACTCGATAGCTGTTTGGAGAACCGATGGCCTAGACGGGAGCGGCCCGTCAAGGAGGACGACGCGGAGTCATCTACATCCATTTGCTCCAGTTCCCGTCTCAACTCCTCGGTTGATCCCCGATCTGAGTGTGAGGCCGCGGAATCTAAGTCATCGAGACTGGAGCGCGCGGATTCCACCGTCGGCGGGTGATAGCCTCGTGTAGCGGCATGGTCTCGACCGAGCAGCCCCTGTCGTTCTACATCTGTTCCGTCGCCGAGGTCTGATCGAGAAGAGGAGGGCTGACCGGTGGCTTCTTCATAGGAGGGGATGGGTTGGGCTTGATAATCATATTTCTCGTCGCCCATGGTGGATGGTACGGGGCTCCGGGGAGCAGTGGAAGGTATTTAGCGCGAATGCGAAGATCAAGACGATCATGATCTAGAAGTGAATGATAAATGAGCGACGTCCGACATCCTCCCGATGCCGTTGGGTTATGTGCAAGAGTCCCGAGAGAGAGATAAGGAGAGGGTGAAGCCAGGCAGACGCCCCCGGAGTTGACCCACGCTCGGCATTACGAAGCATTGGCATTGGCACTGCAACACCAAATAGGCGGTAAGGATATCTCAACCGGGGGGAGTCATCAGTTCAGTTATAAGTGAACTGAAGTTCACTTATTAGATCTTATAGGATATTGCATATTCCAATATATCAATATAGGGGCTTATAATCTCCATTCTCCGCGAGTCGGTATAAGGTACGGAGTATGAACACTAAGTTCGTCCTGCAACTTCCCCAAATATAAGGTCATACCCCCTAGCGTCATGATGATCTGAGCACAGCCGAGTGATGCCACACGGATTCCGTACTCCGTTAGTCGGACCTTAGCATTACCGTAGTATATTCTCGACTGGACTCCATAGTGTCCAGTCTAGTGGCAGGACTGATCGGAAAATCGTCCCGCCGAGATAAGACTGAGTTCTACACCGTTGCCATCCGTCTGGGATTTGCTTGATTTTCGACTGTTTGGGGATTCCATTGACTTGGACTACGATGTGCGGTGGACTATTCCTGATGAACGATTCATTGTTTACTATTTACTATTTACTATTCACTATTGACTCCTCACTATTGACCACTCTCTTCAACTGCTAACCCGATCTAAAGATCCGGTCCAAAGGAAGACCCAAGGTCGATCTCCCCCCCACTCAGGGGAAAAAAAAGTTGACGGTGACAGATCGTACACTGTAGATCCGAGTACTGTACACGACCTTGATTTTATTTAAACTGCGCATCTTCTGGCTTCATTTCCAAGTTTCTCTCATCCACTTTTGCCTTTTGCCTTTTGCCTTTTGCCCTCTTTCTTCTGTTTCCCACTTCTTTCAATAGCTACCCCACCATGGCTGCTCGTCCCCAGAACATTGGTATCAAGGCCATTGAGGTCTACTTCCCCACTCAGGTAAGGGTGCACGCTACCATTGAAACATCGGGATACTAATTGTGGGACAGTGTGTCGACCAGGTCGAGCTCGAGAAGTACGATGGTGTCAGTGCTGGAAAGTACACCATTGGTCTTGGCCAGACCAAGATGAGCTTCTGTGATGACCGTGAGGGTATGTTGAGCATTCGACAACCAGTTTCCAACAAAGAACAAAAGGCTAACGAGCATGATTGCTAGACATCTACTCCATGTGCCTGACCACCCTCTCCTCCCTCATGAACAAGTACAACATCGACCCCAAGTCCGTTGGCCGTCTCGAGGTTGGCACTGAGACCCTGTTGGACAAGTCCAAGTCCGTCAAGTCCGTCCTGATGCAGCTCTTCGCTCCCTACGGAAACACCAACATCGAGGGTGTCGACACCGTGAACGCCTGCTACGGTGGTACCAACGCTGTCTTCAACAGCATTAACTGGGTGGAGTCCTCCGCCTGGGATGGCCGTGACGCCGTTGTGGTTTGTGGTGATATTGCTCTCTACGCTGCTGGAGCTGCTCGCCCCACTGGTGGTGCTGGTTGCGTTGCCATGGTCATCGGACCTGACGCTCCTATTGTGTTCGAGCCCGGTCTCCGTGCTTCCTACCTCACCCACGCCTATGATTTCTACAAGCCCGATCTCACCAGCGAGTACCCCGTTGTCGATGGTCACTTCTCCCTGAAGTGCTACACCGAGGCCGTTGATGCCTGCTACAAGGCCTACGAGACCCGTGAGAAGACCCTCAAGGCCCAGACCAACGGCACCAACGGTGTCAACGGTGCTGCCGATGAGTCCCACTCCCCTCTGGACCGTTTCGACTACATCCTTTTCCACGCCCCGACTTGCAAGCTGGTCCAGAAGTCCTACGCCCGCATGCTCTACAACGACTACCTCGCCAACCCTTCCCACCCCGCCTTTGCCGAGGTTGCCCCCGAGCTCCGCGATCTCGACTACGAGAAGTCTCTGTCTGACAAGACTGTCGAGAAGACCTTCATGGGTCTGACCAAGAAGCGCTTCGCGGAGCGTGTCAACCCTGGTCTCCAGGTCGCCACCCAGTGTGGTAACATGTACACTGCTACCGTCTACGGTGGTCTTGCCAGTCTGCTCAGCAACGTCACCTTCGACCCCAAGGAGCCCAAGCGCATCGGCTTGTTCAGCTATGGCTCTGGTCTTGCCAGCTCCCTGTTCAGTGCCAAGATTGTCGGCGATGTCTCGACCATGGTTGAGAAGCTGGACCTCCAGAACCGCCTCAACGCTCGCACTGTCCTCGAGCCCGCTGCCTACGATGCCATGTGCAAGCTCCGTGAGCACGCCCACTTGAAGAAGGACTTCAAGCCCACCGGCAACGTCGAGACCATCGGATCCGGTGTGTACTACCTGACTGAGGTGGATGACATGTTCCGCCGCAAGTACGAGATCAAGGCTTAAAAAGCTTTTCATGATTCTGCAATTGCCTTTGCCGTTTGAGATTTCTGGTTAGACGGTTCAGAGAGATTCCCCCAAGCGTTTTGTTTTATCTAGACCACGCAGGTTTTGAAACCTCGCCTCTTTTTCGTTTTTATTCTTTTTATTTTTTATCTTTTGGGTATATTTTCGGCCCTCCAATGAATGTTATGAAATAATTCAAATGGACATTAATGATTCAAATCATCTATTCTCTTCTAAAATACCAAAATGCAGTTGAAACGTCAGGGGTCCCTGCGCGCCTATGCGATTTACCCCGATTTTGCGATTTGCGAGACTCGATTTCTCCGATTTTCCCGATTGACTCGTTAGCCCTGCTTTTACAACAACTGATTGATCTGATCAACTGCATTAATCATTGCTAATTATGGGATATTTGCTTGCTTGTTCTCTGAAATCGTCCAATCACCAACGGTGACGCCGTCGATCGGCGCGTACTTGAGACTCAACGTACATCTGTAGCCGCCGACCTGATATCACACTCGGCCACTGGCGCATCCAACCCCATATTACCTTTCTCATACGGTTTCCCCTCCGTCAAACTTTGAATCACACACTGACAAAGGGCTATTTTTATCCATTTCGTCCTGAGAACTTATTAGCCGCCGACTCGGCGAGTGCTGAAGCAGGGAGAGTCACCAACAAGTCCGCTAATTACCTGCAGAATGCGACCTAATTGTTGCCGAATTTAGAACTGCCCTCACCTCGTGCAGCAGACTAACCCAAGAGAGGCATCTGAAGACTGAAGTTGACCCAAGAGCAAAATATAGCAACATCTTGACGCGCGACTGTCCGATGAAACCGCACTATACCGGACTGGACCCCCGTCTCTGCAGTTTCAAGTGCTTCTGTCGCGCGACATGCCTGTCCTCAGGCACAATGTCGGCAGTCTCGCGTTTCAACGCGTGGGCGTTCCTCTTGATCGGAGACTAGGATCCCAAAAAAAGATTCTGAAGCTCCGGAGGCGTCACAATGGGGCTCTTCTCCATGTTTCAAGTTTTTCTATATCGGCTAGGGTTCGTCAGTCGATCTTTTTATATGCATGGTTGGCTGTTTGAGACTTTGTCAAGATCATTTAATATCCAAGCTCTTCGCCTGGATGTTTTGATCCTCATCATCACTCTCTCATTCGTTTGCTATTGTGATAAAGATCAAGTGAGACGGCTACTTGTCTATCATGTCTGTGCAGTACGCTCGTTACCGGCCTACGACGCCGCCACGTCTTCCTCTTGAGGAGTTCACCGGCTCCGGTCATAGTCGCCATGAGTCCAACTCGTCGGTCTACTCGAGTGAGTCGTCGCCTTGGTCGACTATCACTGGCAACACCAGTCCAACCACCTCGCCAACTAGACATCATCATGGCCCGGCTCTCTTGCCTAAGATCAGACCTCAAGATGTTATCATTGAGCCAGTGGCTACTAGCGGACCTCTTCGTTCCCGTCGGGTTCTTTCGAATACGCGGAACCCTCCTGGCTTTGTCCCTTATTCAACTACTCGACCTAATCGCCACACTCGGGATGTTGTCGACCGTTTGACATTGGCATCTCCCATTTCACCAGTTCCCATGACCCATGGCACCTGCTCAGCCTTGTCGTCACCCGTGGCCCTCACTCCATCTCATAAGCGCAAGGCCGTTGGTGGCCACTCACGATCTGTATCAGCCTCCGGCGTTGACACAGCCACTTTGACTAGATTTGGATATCCAACTTACCGCGAGCTTCCCAAATATATGCCACAAATGCATGCTCAGACCACTCCCACCACGCCAGTCACTCCAATCACTCCAGCCATCGTGGTGTATCCATCATACTCCCAAAGACCAGCAGCCGAGCAAACCCCAATTGGCATACACCCACTGACAGTGCCAACCCCCCAATACAAATACCACCCGGTCTCCGCACAGCCATCACCAGCCTTATTGAGCCCCCAAGAACCTTCAACCCCACGCTCAACAACCCTCCTCTCCTACCTAACAATGTCAATCCCACCAATCAACCTAGTCCGCAACGTGAGCGTAGTACCAACCCGCGGCATGCACGACTACTTCTGGTGGGACATCCGCAATCTCCGAAACTGGACCTCGTTCTCCCTCCCAACCTTCGACCTAGTAGACAGCCGCCTAATCCAACTCCTCAAAACCGAAATCCCAGCTGAGCTCACGCCCCAGGTATCCGTACCCGTCGCCCACCTAGCCCCAGAGTCCGAACCAGCCCTAGTGAACCTGATCACAAGCCTCTACGCACCGCGCGTCAACGCCGCCCTAGCCGTATCGCAAGGACCAGACCATCTCCAACTCTACACTGCCCCCGACGTCCGCAGCACAGGCCACAAAAACCACGGCCACCCTCATTTCCTAGCCAACTACGCCTCCGACACCGAAATTACAAGCGCCGGTCTCCCGCGCGGCCGGCTAGTCGGCATTGTCAAGAGCTTTGACCGATGGAACACAGGCATGCGCAACGAAGCACCACACCGCCGCGTCGAGTATCTCAACGGCCTCGCACATCTGCAACGCTGCATGCGCGAGCACTCCTGTCGATACGGCTTCATCATCACAGAAATCGAGCTCGTCTGCGTTCGAGCCGGCTGCGATGATGGCGACGACGTCCCCTATTTCGGATATTTCGAAATCGCTGCTACAATCCCCCTCAAGACAGCTGCTCACGACCCACGCATACACCATACACATGCGCAGACGCTCGCCCGCGACGGGACAGCACTGGCAACTCCCATTAGTGCACGGTCATTCTCATCTCCCTCCTCTTTATCATCATCATCATCAGCTTCGTCGTCTTCTTCTTCTTCAACGCACTCCCCCGTTCCAGACGACATCACCAGTGAATCTCAATCACAAACAACCTCTGAGCCAATGACAGCGAGTCTAGCATTGTACTTCCTATTAATGCTCTCCAAGTCACAACCACTACCGCACCAGCCATCTGCTCTCATCAACGTCGGCAGACCGGGCTCGATGACCCGACAGAAGGTCTTACCTGAGGGAAAGGATGATTGGATCCCACCGCCGCAGATTGGGGAGCGGAGGGATGCGAAACGCGTGCGTGGGTGGGTTTGGCCTCAGGATGCTTGGCATCGGAGGGAGGGGGTGGGGGCGCCTAGGGCTAGAGCTGGGGTTGAGGGGAAGAAGGTTAAACGGTGGCATAAATAGGTATGGGGGATCTGGATATTGAATGTGCTGGTGTTGGTTGGTGTTGGTTTGGCGGTTTATTTGATTACTTTTTGTCTTATTACTTGCTTTTGTTCTTTGGTTTGTTGTCTTCCTTGTGTTGGTTTTATGTGGTGGTCTTTGCTGCTTTGTTATTCCCCCTTTATGTTTAATTGAATCTTGAAGAACTTACTACTCAGTCAATTCTTTTTTGCTACGTTTATTTGTATTGACTTCAAAGATCTAGAGATGATCTCAAGTAGAGCACCGGGTGTCGGATCTGGTCTGTACGCTCTAAATGCAAAGTTATTTGTATTCGCATCTCATATTCACCACATGGCAAACTCCATACGAATAAGTTGGTATTGAATTCCATGATGAAAACATATTTACCGAATCCATGTAATCTCCTGGGGCGTGGTAATTCGCCATGCAGGAACAGCATTTGCAGCCGTCGTTCCAATGAGGATCTCGAACTCTGTATCCTTGTCGATGATCCAAGTTTCCTTTTTCGTATCAAACATTCCGAATGCATGGAAGTCCAGTTCTATCTTGACTTCTTGTGTTTCACCCGACTGCAGTGGTTGAGACTTCACAAAGCCACAGATCTGCTTTTTCGGCCGCGTCAACCTTCTAGGCGAACATTGAGAGAACCACACAATCACCGTCTCCCGTCCTGGCAAATCACTGCCCCCAGTGTTCTTGACATGGGAAGTCACCGTAAGCGGACATTCACGCACCAAGGAACTGCCGCTAATAGAGCCAGACGACAGGGAAAAGGTGTTATATGAGAGACCGAATCCCAAGGGGAACAACGGCGCAGTGGAGAGAAGATCCCACCAACGGTAACCGACAAACAAGCCTTCAGAGTAATGACTCTGCCCCTCTTCACCCGGGAAAGATGAAAACGCAGGACAGTCTTCAAGGCGTCGCGGGAATGTCACAGGCAATCGACCCGAGGGGTTGACATCACCACAAAGAACAGCAGCCACAGAGTTACCCAGCTCTTGGCCCTGGTACCACGTATAAAGAACAGCTTGCACTTGATCCACCCAGTGATCCATCTTGACAGGCGTTCCAGCTTGCACAATCACAACTGTCTTTTTGCAGACCGCGGCTACTTCCAGGATCAAGCGCACCTGTTCTCCGGGAAGATCAAATGCTTGTATATCTTGACCTTCTGTCTCCCATTCCATGTCACGGCCAACGACAATGACTGCCGCATCGCACTCTGATGCGAGGCGTGCTGCCTCAGCTGGTCGATCTGATGCATCCACCTCCTCGTACCCCAGTCGGATCCCCTGGAATTGATCTTCCATGGGATCTAGCAGGGGGACAAGCTCAGGCTGAATCTGACGGTCGTGGGAATTGTATTCGATGCATACATCGTAGTCTTGTTCTGCAACCAGATCGACGAGCACGATACTCTCTTCGCTGCCGTAGGTGAAGAACAGACTGCCTTTCTCGTCAAACTCTCCGGACTGACGGGCTATTTCCGTGCCATTCAGATACAGTACTGCAGGCCCGATCGATGCAATGGAAATCGAGTGGCGCCCTGATGTCACAGGCTGTAGTGTCGCACGCACGCGGAATGCCCAGTTTGTCTGACCGTGTATCTCGGGTGGAACTGTGCCGAAAGACATGTAGTATAAATCATCACTGGATAAAGACATCATCAGTATAGATACGCGGGTTATAAAGGTAGGATATGACTAACATGTGCGCTGTGGCAGCCGGTTCCCCTGTGAAGGCGTGGCCGTTGTACCAGTCAACCGCAGCTCCAGCTTTCCCAGTATCGGGATTTCTAGCGACTTTGCACACAGGAAGATACCGATTGACTTTGGCGCCAACGGCTGAAACTAATTTCGTCGAAGTTCCGTCGAATTTTTGTTTCACAGAGTCATAGACAGTAGTCCAGTAAGGCGCCTTGATATAAGAGCTCCCGCCACCACCAGCAACGACTCGCTGAGCATTCGGACCGATAACAGCAAGCCGTTTCAGTCCGTCAGACGGCTTAATTGGCAGGGTCTTAGCCTCGTTTTTGAGCATCACAATGCCAGAAGTAGCAGCGCGCAAAAGCAAATCTCGTTTCTGAGGTGTGTCATCGCAAACCTCCGGGTCGTCGCTAGCATCCAGAAAACGACCCGCCTTCTCAAGAAGGCGCAAGATACGTCCTGCAGACTCATCAATACGATCCATGTCTAAGAGCCCCTCTTTGAGGGGCGTCTCAAGCACTTCCTTGGATCGCTTTGTTGGTGGGCCTGGCATCTCTAGATCGAGTCCGTTGTTGATCGACTCGACCGAGGAAGTAGTGCCACCCCAATCACTTGTGAATACTCCATCCCATTTCCACTCCTTCCGTGCTATGTCAATTAGCAGTTCCTTTGATGCGTCGCAGTGGTGACCATTGGTTTTATTGTAAGCTGACATCATGCACCATGGATCGGCATCACGGACTACCATCTGAAAGGGTAGTAAGTAGACTTCCCTCAAAGCGCGAGGCGAAATAACAGCATTGTACTTGAATCGCCGGGTCTCCTGGTCGTTGGCTGAAGTATTGTTGTGGTTAATATAAACGACCGTCTTTCGTCTCTGGCATGGCCCGACATACCAACAAAGTGCTTCGGCGTGGCACCTATTTTACGGGACTGGAGGCCTCGAACATACGAAACCCCCAGCTTGCCGGTGAGGTAGGGATCCTCGCTGAAGGATTCGAAGTTTCGGCCTCCGAGTGGATGTCTCTGAATACAGATCGTGGGAGCAAGCAATACAGATGCAGATTTGGTTTTGCACTGGGTAGTGTTAGTCCCGTTATCATGTTATCGCTTTTGTATAGCTGATGGGCTCCTACCTCCTCGGCCAGCAGCTGTGCAATCTCAAACAGAATCTCCTCATCCCATGTTGCGCCTAGGCTCACGCCAGACGGGAGAAAGGCGGCTGGGACACCTTCGCCAAAAACCTCTCCTCTGGCTCCGGATGGACCATCTGAGATCTGAAATGGCGCTGTTAGGATTTCTTTTAATTCCATCACTTGCTGAACTGGGGCATTACCTTTAAAGGTGGGATACCCAGACGTTGGATTGCCGCAGTACGCCACTGGGATTCTCCAGCAAGCAGCGCGAGCTTTTCGTCAAGTGCAAGACTCAATAGTAACGCTTCAGTATCTATTTCTGACATGATGGTAGTAAAGTTCAACGGAACTTCAACTTGTATCAGGTGTAGTTGGTGAAAAGCGATGAGAAACTGTGCCGCTCTTGAGGGATGGATAAGCTTGCAATCACTAGGGAAACTCAAGTACCTAAGGTATACTATTTGAGGCTCTTGGCTCTTCTCCGCATTATGTACACTAATCGTAGAGCGGAATTCAGATCCCTGTGGCTTGGTCAACAGGGGTGGTCGGGGAAGGAATTCACGTTCCGCGTCTTATCAGTGTGCGTTCTATGCGTTACCCACTCTATAGATTATTCTTCGAAGGAAATTAGCGTATGAAACGATAAGATAGCGAGTAAATAAAAGTTATGTTCAAGTTATATCAACCTTTGGGTCTCAAGTGGTCAGTATATACGCTTGTCGAGTAAGCCACATAGCCCTATGTGCCAACGCCATGGATCTCTTACACCCAATTCCTTGTCTCCAGGCTCTGCCCAGCCATCTTAAAAACAGCCACTGGACAAGCTCAAAGGTTGAAACAGAGGATGCTGTTGATCTACGCAAGGACTCCGGCTACGCAAGCCCTTCTAGCTATGAAGATTCCACTCCATCTCTCACTGGGTGGCCACAGGAAGTGCCAGGTGTAGTGGTGCCAGCTACACAGCGAGCCATTGTCACGCCTGAAATGGGCAAGGAATTGAATCTAGTGGTCAAAGAAATCCCCGTCCAAGTCCCAGCGCCAGGAGAGGTCATTGTTCGCATTTTCTACTCGGGAATCTGCCGCAGTGTAAGTCAGACCCTGAAGTATCTCTGTTAATACATTGATCGCCGCCTTCTGACAAGTTTGATTTCAAGGACGCATCATTCTCAATTGGCCCACAGCCAGGATACCCCCAACACAACCATATTGCAGGCCACGAGGGTATCGGTCGCATCGTCAAGTCCCACGACTCATCTCTCCTCGGACGCGCCGTCGGAATCCGCTACCTAGGATCAAGCTGCGGATGGTGCACCTACTGTCTTCGGGGACTGTTCACGTCCTGTCCCTTCCAGATAAATGTGCCGAGACATGTCCACGGCACCTTCCAAACATACATGACCATCCCGACCACCTGTCTCGTATATCTACCGGAAGTATTCATGAACGCAGACATCGATCTAGCTCTCTACGCCACAGCCCTCTGCTCCGGATCAACGGCTTTGATGTCCTTGCGAGCGGCGAAAGTAAAGCCAGGAGATGTTGTGGTTGTTGTCGGTGTGGCGGGTGCCATTGGACACATGACAGGAGCAATCGCAAAGCATGTCTTGCGAGCTCGTGTCATTGGCATCGATGTTCGATTTAAGGTTGAACCATTGCCGCATGGATACAGCGACTACAGCGATATTCTTCTGAGTGCTGTAGAAGCCGTTGACAGTCACTCGTGGTCGGAGTTCCAGGCTAGGTTGCTCGATGCATGCGAGTTACTACGACACGACAAGAGTCTGCAGCGGAAAGCTGAGGCGGTGATTATTGCCAGTAGCTCTTTTTCCGCATTTCAGCAGTTGGATGACTATGTTTGTGATGGTGGTCGAATTGTTTGCGTTGGGTGAGTTCTAATGCGCTTCCGTGGAATTTTCAAAGGTGATTTGCTGACTGAGTTGAATCTAACTTTCATAGTGTTCCCAAAGGTCTCAACATGTTGCAGGTTCCGCTGCACTGCATCGTTGAGCGCAATTTACTCGTGACGGGAACCTTGATGGGAGGACATGGGGAAGCATTGGAGGTAATGGAGTATATTAGGACAGGTGTTGTCAGGCCTCATATCACTAAAGTGGATTTGGAAGACATCCCATACCAGATGCAGAAGCTGGTGGACTGTAAAACAGTGGGGAAGGTTGTGGCATGTATTTCTGATTCTGCTTTTGAGATTACGGAATCATCTTGAGCACATGGCTATATGAATTCTGCATTCTTCGAACCAAAGTAGGCTGAACGCTAGTTTCTATCGACCTCAACCATTGGTTGCTGGCACAGGATCAAGCTCCTGGGATAAATCAATCCAGAAAGGGATATCAAGCATCATCAGTTCATCTTGTGTGAACGGCGACTGGGAAGGAGACCAGCTATCGATATTGAAACTCCCATAGTCCTCATTTAGGAACCCCGAGTCACTAGAATATGAGTTGGCAGTGTCCATTGGAGAGCCACGTGCCTCGGGTATACTTTCAAAGAAAGGTGCCGTCCTTCTGTCTTCATGGTCAGGACCAGGATTAATAATGGCTGATGACGCAGTTTTTGGGTCGTTATGCTGTGAGTTATACCGACTCTTAACGATATGTAGCAGACCTTGCCAGTAACGTCTGGCAGGCACCCAAGCTTCCGAAAGCTCTCTCAGAGTTGTCAAGCACGACTCAAGAAGCCGAAAATTGGTATCTCTGGGCTTTTTCTCGCCAGGGTTTTGCGCATATAGTATGACGAGAGCCGCTGATAAGGTACTGTGCGTAGCAGTGATTGGAGATTTCCGGAAGCTACCAAATGCTCTGCGATACCTTTCACCCAAGAGACATATTTCTCTTGCAGCCTCCATACAGAGTGAGAATGGATTTATCGTCGAGTCTGGGGTTGACTGTGGAGCTTCCTCTGATGATCTAGGCAGGAATGGTTTGACCAAGAGAATTATGGAGGTGTGATACACCATATTCAAAATGTAAGCCTGTGGAAGAGTGTCCTCCTTTCCCGAATGTTTCGGGTCTAACTCGACTGGCAAGTTGTATTTCCAGCGTTTTAGCTCGAGAAGACAAGAGTCGAAGAAAGCTTGCCTTTGGCCTCCCGCAGGTAATCTTTTTGGTGCGTACCTATTTATCAGAGTAGATTAGTAGACAACCCTTATGTGCCGAGCCCTGAAGAGAATCTCACAAGTTGATCAATATCTTTTCTAATATTTGGCACTGGGTGCACAAGCAATAATGTAGCATACTCTGGAGTAGACTGCGGTTGAAACTTGATGCATCTGGAACAGCACTCCTATTTACGGATAGGCTTGGCGGAGGAAGGCTTACGGCTGCTTGGAAGTCCTATGGTTCAATCAACTTTTTTGCGTTCCTTAACTCCGGTAGAATCCTGGAAAAAGGGGGTAATTTGGGGGATTTCACATACCAGCATTGTGCATACCCGGCCAGTGTAGCTTGCCCAGAGTTTGTCAGTACAGTATAAAGTCCAATAAATTTGACTTCTGAGCTTCATCTCCTCGGGCGGGAGTTGGTTTGGTTGATTCAAAGTTGTGGAGTCTAGATTTAACCCCATGTCTAATGCCATTCGAACTGACATGCCATGGAGCAACCAGCCTTTGGCATCCTGGCCCATCGCCTATACCGAGAGGTCAGAAGGGACAGTTTGAACAGGGATCTCAGCACTCACAACGTAGACCATGGCCATAATGGCAACCGACTGAATCGTAGTTATGGTAGGTGACTTAAGTTCAAAATGCAAAAGGACTTCTGCGACTTCAAGAAAAAGCTGACCTGGCTCATCGGAGTTGGCTGCTGAGGCACGCAGCTCTGATCGGTCAGAATAGCGAGAACCAAGTGCAAAGATACAATTTAGCAGCAGTGCGTTGCAATACCTTCCCTTATCTTGCCAACTTCGGCGGAATAAATCCTCATCCAAAATATAATACCATGGATGCTCCCATTCAAAATACAGGTCAACCAGGTGGTCCATCAGTTCTCTCGAAATGTCGGTTGCTGGGTCGATTGCTTGGTTACCAAGAGCCAGGGGAGGGCGCGTACTCATATTGACTGAAAGCGGAGATGTTTTATCTGTCAACTCTTGGAGAAACGTCAGCCACCAGTCAACTCCATGACCAACTCGGTTTGATCAGTCTGTCATGTTTGACCCACCACTTGCGGAGTGAAGAAGCTCGATACGCCCGCTAGTGAGGCCAAAGTAACGTGCCTCCCCTTCACCATTAAAGTCCAATGACTCGTCTGAACACAATGCTCCGTTAGTCTCATTGCTGGTTTTCTCCGAAGCTGAAGAGGTTGCTGCTTCACGTGCACCATCTGAGGTCATTGCACCGCGGGCCTTCATTCCAGCTATGGATGCATCAACATCGATTGAATGAAGCCATAAGACTTGCTCTAATAGCTTGATTCGAGTTTGAAGAAGCGAGACGAGCGACTTGGGTGCTGTCCCCCGGTTGTCGCTTCCCTCGAGGTACACACATTGGGTTCCCCGATTGAGACATCGTTCACATGGCCGTTGGCTATCGCACTGATTATCCACGCGTCAGAAAATCGAGTCCAAAACTAAGCCAGAGAATATCCAGGCATCATTTTACAGTGTCTGGCAATCACTAGATTCTGCCGCCAAAGTCCGAAGAGGCTGAGAACAGACATAGGTTCATTACCTTTGCTCTCCGTCGCCGACACTCCTGACAAGCCTGATGGGCATACTTCGAACGAGCTGTCGATCTCCCACCGGAGGGTGGATCCCGCTTTTGGATTGAAGAACGTTGCATTGCGGGAGATCCTGCGTGCATTAGCCGTCTAGTTTGCCCACGCTATGTCGTAATTGCTCTGATTCTTACCTGCAGGTAGTTTAAGAAATTACAAAATATCATATGCAGACTCGCAACGTCGAAGTGAGTCCAAAGTGTGGAGAAAGACACTAAGAAGATCCGATAGGAATTCAAATTCCGCCCGTTTTTAACATAATTACCGCCTTACAGTCTTACATCATCGAACATCTCTTCCCACCTGGATCGTTGATAGGTATTGTACTTTGTGCGTGATAAATTCAGATCATAGCAAGAATGGCAGTGAGAAGATAGCTTTAACTTTCATCAATACACCTTGATTGATAAGTAGGAGATCATGGAGCACGTCGAATAACCCTAACTTATTTGCGGAAAGCTCGCATGTAGTGCTGTATATGATGTATCAATACAGTAATATTACTTACATGCAACCGGCAGAATAGGGTTTGAGCCTAAATCGCCATTAGAAAGACGTTGTAGTCATAGTCGAAAATTCGAGACGAACTGCCCCGGCGTATTTAACATCCCAAGGGAAGCGACTTTGAATTGCTGAAACATAAACTCGTTTACTTTTCTTTTCCGAAAACACCCACAAAATCCACCATGTCTCACCTCCAATACTACGCATACGAAGGGCTCGGCCAAAAGAACCTGCGCGATTTCGGGTACAACCAGGCCGTTCGGGTTGGAGATAGAATCGAATGTGCTGGGCAAGGTAAGACAGTATACTTGTCGTATTTGCCCTAGATTCTATTCATTGCTTGCTAATTCGGATCACGATTCTTAGGCGGCTGGGATCCTTTGACTGGCGTGTTTGAGAAGGAAATCAATGCTCAAATTGATCTTGCCTTTTCCAATGTCGAGCACAACTTGAAGGATGCAGGCGGAAAGGGATGGTCTCAGGTTTACCGCGTGAACTCATACCACGTTCCAATCAACAACGAGGCGTTGGCCGCCATGGTCCGTAACTTCAAGAAGTGGATGCCCGATCATCAGCCGATCTGGACTTGTGTTGGCGTTACTCGCCTTGGCGAAGATGACATGCGTGTTGAGATTGAGGTCGTCGCTCATGATCCGGAGGGTGCTAAATCGGCTGGTTCTGTGTGAGGGAAGAATCTGCCTCAAGGTGGACAATGAGATTATGTAAAGACGTCGCTCTCTAGCGTATATGAATTGATGTGGAGGTTTCTTCTAATAGCTCTTGATTCACTTATCTCCATGAATGGTTCTTTTCAGGCTACTGGGAAGGTCAATACTATGTAGCTCAATCTCATACATAGCTATATGTATTTCCAGTGCTTATAACGTATTCAGTGGTCTCAGCAAGCGAGTAGTCCGGCTGGAACACCGCCGTAAATACGAGATTTATGGTCATGCAATCATGTATATTTCGGTCCAGATATCTTATCATACTACGGGGTGTACGTTGAACATTGTAATCTCTCGTATTTACGGTGGCGTTCAACTAGGGCACTCGTTTGCCGAATATGGCATGTCTCCGTGCGCCAAATTCAAGTTTGTAGCAATGTGAGCGAATAAGATAAAAAAGACTAGACTTGCCTGTCTGTCCTGTTCCACAGTAATTTGGTTTAAGCACCTTGGACCGACGACCCCAGAGTTATCTCAAACAAGTCTTCCCCACAGAACACTAGTCTTGCCCGTTATCAGTCCCTGGCGTCGATATACTTTCTGGACAAAGATAAACGTCCCAATCAACACTAGATAGCGGAAGGCAAATTCCGCCAGGATCCTTAGAAAGTGTCACGTTCAATCAAAAGCTAAAGGATTTCAACTATATAGAGTGCCTTGGACGACCAGTTTTACTTTTTCCTTGATTATACAGGATTATATCTCAATCACTGATCTGCATTGCGCATAATACAATTCTCTCCTGTATTCAGCAAAATGGACACCAAGGAGTTCTCAAAAGAACAAATTGACCCAGAAGCCTCAAAGACCGAGATTATTGAAAGCACATCTGCACCTGAGCCAGTATCGTGGAGTGATCAGTTCAAAGCAATTTACAAACACAGACGGGCACTCTTAGCAGGTTGGTTCATCTTTCCATGTCAACTTCAGGAAGTCGTAGATGCTAATACAAGGGAAACAAAAAGCCTTTGGATGCTCCACTACTCCCATTCTAATCGGATACGATCTCACGTTAATCGGCTCCATCATTGCCAATTCTGAATTCGTCGAGAAATTCGGAGTTTACGATGCCGGCACTGCCTCCTGGACGTTACCTGCCAACCGTCAACTTGCCTGGACTCTCGTTCAGTATGTGTCTGCCATGGCAGCGGCAATTGCCTCTGGTTATCTGAACGACACTTTTGGTCGGCGCATATGCTTTTTCATCACTATTTTGTAAGTGGATTGAAGTTCAGACATGCGTTCAACATAAACTGGTTTACTAACTTCAAGTTCCAGACTAGCTGTGAGCGGTACCTTTGTAGAGCTATTCTCACCAAACTGGAAAGTCTGGATTCTAGCAAAACTTCTCATGGGCGCCACCATGGGCTCTATGCAGGGCAACACACAGACCTACGTTTCTGAGATTACTCCAGTGGCCGTGAGAGGCTTTGCTCTCTCACTATTCCAATTCTGGATTATCCTTGGCCAGCTCATTGCTTCCTGTGTTCTTCAAGGAACAAGTAAGGTTGCCAATACTTGGTCTTGGAAAGGCGCAGTGGTATCACAGTTTGGCCCTGCTCTCTTCTGTGTCGTGATGTACATCCCATTTGTCCCGGAATCGCCTTACTTCTTAATCGCCAAAGACCGGATAGAAGATGCCAGAAACGCGATATCAAAACTTCGGGCTGGCGAAGAAGATTTCAACGTCGACGATGAAGTTACAGTATTAGTGGAGACTCTACAGCACGAAAGGCAGGCCAAGCAAAGCTCGCCATCATTTATTGAGTGCTTTCAGAAGACAGACCTGCGCCGAACTCTGCTCGCTTGTCTACCAGTTGTCATGCAGATCTTCATGGGTTATCCTCTGTGTGGTAACTACCTAGCATACTTCCTGAAATTGGCCGGAGTTGACGATGCATTCCTCGTCACGGTCATCTCTGTTGTTTGCTCTTTGGTAGCAGCCTTCGCAGCCTTCATCTTTATCGAAAAAGTCGGACGCCGACCGCAGCTTCTAGTCGGCATTGGTGGAATGCTCCCATCTCTGTTGATTGTCGGGCTTCTTGGATTCTTCGGTACTGGAGAAGAATGGAATTACCGCGCTCTTTCGGCCTTCTGCATTATCTGGGCCGTATTCTACTACGCCTCTGTTGGGGCTGTAGGCTGGGCTATTGTCGGAGAAATCTCTTCTTCGCGCCTGCGCGCTAAGACGACTTCCATTGCTGCACTTTCCAGCTCTCTGTTCAATATGGTCTGGTCTATTGCTATTCCTTATATGGTCAATCAAGAGAACGCAGATCTTGGGGCTAAGACCGGCTTGATATTCTTTGGGTTCGGAATCATTTTTAGTGGAGCTGTGTTTTTCTGTATGCCGGAGACAAAGGGCAGGTCCTACTTTCAACTTGATGCTATGTTTGAAGCCCGAGTTTCGGCTAGGAAGTTTTAAACTGATCTCAAGGCTTTGACATTTGAACTTTGAGTGTACGTTATCAAACATGTCTAGCAGATTTTATTTTGCCAGAAGATCTCCTACAAGCCACACAATTAATAAACGAAATTGAATAAATTAAGACTCCAAAGATGAGCAAAACATACAAATAGAAAAGTCTTGCAACTAATAGTCTAATCAGTGCATAACAAGAAAAATGAGATACTATAGGTTGTGTGATAGCAAAAGTTGTCCTTTGGCCTTGATTTACCATCCCTCAATTTGAAATCTATTGTTCCCTTCACAAATTTGATGTTAACAGGTTCAACCAAATATTTTTCCACATCTGGTGGTTGCTGACACGTTCTACTACGTTGAAGCATTATGGCTATTTTCGGGTCTTCACACCCTAAACTCATTCTTTGCCTGGTCTATTTTGTGCAGTTTTCTTGTTTTGATTTTCCAATAACCACCATCTAACCCCAAGGTCCTCAATTGACAGCTTCCAATAGACCCACCTCGAGTGTGGAGTATGGGTCCTGTTCCGTTTGAGTATTGTATCATGCAAGCCCTAAGGACCTTGGGGAAAGGGTACCTCGATGGCCAGCTCGTGACATTGAGGACATTGTAGAAGATCAGTGAGATTTGGTGTACCAATGCCAGTAGAGTATAAAAGAAAAAGGTCTACCGATTCCTCGGTTTTTAAAATATTTCCTTTCTCACATTTATCCAATCCCTCGTACATCATTCTCAATACTATATAGAGAACAACCCCCAACAACCCAAGATGTCGTCCGAACCCCAACTACCAAATATCCTGGATGTAATAATCATAGGCGCCGGACCATGCGGACTCGCCGTTGCTGCACGTCTAGGCGAAGAAACCCCCTCAGCCGTCTTCACCGACGAAGAACACCAACGCTACCACTGGATAAAGAAACACACCGGCCGAATGAACCTAGTACAAGCCGGACACAGCAAGAACAACGGTGTTCGAGCAAATAAATGGAACAGTCAGACAATGTGTCCTTGCGACAGCAAAGACAAAGATCACGATCAACAAAGGCGTGCATCCACAGACTCCATATCCTCCGTTCCATCGCTCTCTGCGTCATCGACTGCATCGACCTCGTCCTCCATGTCAACCTTGGTACTCGATGGATCGGGTGATAAATGGATGCAACGATGGAATAATGCTTTCAAGACGTTGGAGATCAAACAGCTTCGCAGTCCGATGTTCTTCCATGTCGACCCTGGTGATCGGGATGGAATGCTGGCTTATACTCAAGAGACTGGACGCGAGGGTGACTTGTGGGAGATTCCCAATTGCGTTGGGAAGGAAGTGAGCAAGCACAAGAAGAAGAAGAGAAGACAGGGAGGGAAGGCCCAGTAAGTTGACCCCAAGGATTCCACTTCTGTTGATTTATTTGTCTGACGACATATATCATAGGCCAATCGGAGGCGAGATCGATGAGCGAGACCGCAAAGATTACTTTTCGCCCTCTACGGATCTATTCGCTGACTATTGCGATTCAATTATCAATCGCTATGGTCTCGATGAGCCAGGGCAGATCTTGCAGCGTGAGGCGACGGGACTTTCTTATGACTATGTGTCCGATGGCCCGGATAAAGTCTTCACGATTTCCACATCGACAGGGGAAAAGTTCTTCAGTCGGTCTGTTGTACTTGCCATCGGACCTGGGGGTGCAGGAGTGTCGAAAATATATCCATGGAAGCCAGCCAATGAACAAGAAGGTGCCGCCGGATGTTGCCACAGCATGGAGATCAAGAGCTTCCCCAGTCCCAATGTACAGGAAAAAATACAGCGCCGACAGGAGACAAATGTTGTCGTTGTTGGAGGTGGGCTTTCCTCGGCTCAAATTGTGGACATGGCTGTTCGCAAAGGAGTCACGAAGGTGTGGTTTATTATGAGATCTGGGATGAAGGGTATGTACATTGTTTGGTCTATCATCAGACTATGTCTAACAAGAAAAACCAGTCAAACACTTCGATATCAGTCTGCCCTGGATGGGCAAATATAAGAACTGGGAAAAAGCAGCTTTCTGGTCTGCCGATACGGACGAAGGTAACCTCTCTCAAACCTTTGTCCCACTTCTCAACAGCTAATTTGACCTAGAGCGCCTCGAGATGCTCCAAACCGCTCGCAATGGGGGCAGCATGACACCACGCTACACCAAAATCGTCAAACAGCATGCCGCCCAGCACCGCGCCTCCCTCCACCCAAACACAGAAATCATATCCCATACATACAACCCGACAACCAAAACCTGGACCCTGGAAACCTCTCCACCCATCCCAACCCTTCCCCCAATAGACTACATCTACTTCGCAACAGGCGCGCGCACCGATGTACGCGAGATGCCCCTCCTACGCGAAATGAACGAACAATACCCAATAGAAGTCAAATCTGGCTTCCCTTGTCTCACCAACGACCTTTCATGGCGTGACGACGTGCCATTATTCATGACAGGTCGAATGGCATCACTCCGATTGGGTCCCGCGGCACCGAATCTCGAAGGCGCGCGAGTGGGCGCGGAACGCGTGACGTGGGGCATTGAAGAAGTGCTACATAAAGGGCGGGATATTGGGGAGCAGTGTGAAGGGTTTTGTGGGCTTGGCAACCGGTATGCGTCGCTGCTGGATGGTGATGAATGATGATGAGGCTTGAATAATGCATTGTGGATGGGAGAGTATGTCTCACGTGTGGTATCTGTGGATTTTCATGTTTCTTGCAAGGTTCATGTTATTAAATAGCGGTAGTATTGTAGATCGTTTAAATTTATGCTTGATTTGCCGTGTTGATCTTTTGTATTGGGACTTTTGTGTGCTACATACGTTGGATGAACTGCCTGAATAGGCTGTTAGATCGGACATTCCTCCCTTCATTCTTTCTTAAGTCACTGGTTATTCTTCTTGAGAGCCCGGAGATTGACACGGGAGGGTCGAAGTTGTTCATTAGGGGGAAGAATGTGGATAATCCCTTGTTCTGCGACAAGTTTTATAGCGGGGATTGAAGCTTGTATAAATGATCCGACTTGAATCTGCCCATTCGACTACTCGTTTTTTATACTCGACGCCACGTCGACATTGAGTGAGCGTTATGGCAACGAAAGCTGATGCGGCTCCTCCTCCGACGGAGGTTCCCCTGGAAGCATTCAAGCTTCTGCCCAATAATACCGATAAAAATTGGATCAAGGACAAGGGATTGCGGAAGCTGAATCTTGGGATCCTGTTTACGTTCTCAACTGCTTGCTCATCTGGGTATATTGCAAGTCTAGTTAATAGCCTGCTGGTATTACCTCAGTGTGAGTGATACCATTGAGTCTATGAGAGCTATACTGACCGAAGAATAGTTGATATGATCATTGGCGGCTTGAACCCCAATATAGTTGGTCTAATCATTGCCGGTACCTCCTTAGGAGCCTTTCTAGCATTCGTGCCAGCGTCCTATATCGCAGATAGATATGGGCGCAAGGTCTGCGTTGGAATCGGGTGCTGCCTGGTCATTGTCGCAACAATCATCCAGACTATTCTAAAGGATCACTGGGCTTTCTTCGGCATGAGAGTGCTGTCCGGCATGGGCATGGGCATTTCCCAAACTGCTGCTCCTCTCCTGATCACCGAAGTTGCACACCCACGCCAACGACAAACTGCGACTGCGTTTTACAATGCGACTTGGTGCCTAGGCGCTATTGGTGCGGCTGCCGTGACATATTTGACTATTAGTCTGGAAAGCAGCTGGTCTTGGAGAATCCCTTGTTTGATGCAGGTGACATATCCGATCAGTCAGTTATTTGGACTGGTTTTCTTTATACCAGAGAGTCCTCGATGGCTCATATCGAAAGGCCAGAAAGAAGAGGCTTTGGTTATCTTGGCCAAATACCATGCAAACGGAAAGATGGACGATGAGTTGGTTCATCATGAATTCTGTCAGATTTGCGACATCATTGACGCCGAAGCGGCCCAGCGTAGAAGCTGGAAAGCCTTCTTCTCATCCAAAGGCGATGTGCATAGGTTGTCAATTTGTGTATTGGTCGGACTGATGCAAGAATGGGCTGGAAATGGTATGTTATCCACTGCCCTAACCCTAAGAGACCACCCGTTAACATCTCCAGGGATCCTGTCATATTACCTCGCACCCACTCTCGCATCCGTGGGAATTACCAAGTCTTCAGACCAAGCCGCAGTCAACGTGAGCCTTCAAGTCTGGAACTTCCTCCTCTCGGCGGTTGGATCGATGGCTTCAGAGCGATACGGTCGACGTGTCCTATGGCTTCTGTCCACGGCAGGAATGCTGTTGTTCCTCTCCTTGGCCACACTGGTAGCTGGCTTATTCGCAGAACAGCACCTTGCAGCTGCAGGCATAGCTGTGGTCCCCTTGCTGTTCATCTTTTTCGCCTTCTACGACATGGCGTATGCCCCTCTTTTCATCTCGTATCCAGCTGAGATCCTACCGTTTCGTCTGCGTGCCAAGGGTCTTGCGGTTACATTGTCAGTCGATGCTGCTGCATGTTTCTTCAACCAATATGTGAATCCGGTGGCGTTCACTGCGCTCCAGTGGAAGTATTATTCGGTCTATATAGGCTGCCTGGTTGTCTTCCTGGGGCTGGTATATTTGCTCTTCCCAGAAACCAAGGGCCGGTCTTTGGAAGAGGTTGCGATGATCTTCGAGACTGAGGAAGAACATCCAGACAGCGCAAAATCCGCGGATGTAAAGTAGAAGAGAGTCCAAGTTAACTTACTTTGAACATAGTTGAAATATAGTTGAAGTTAGGCAGCCAATCAGGACACAGCCGATGTTGCTGATGTTTCCCCGCATAGAACTTGCCAACTGCAACCTCGCGTTTCGCAGGCTGAAGTTGGGTTTTATGGTATATATATTGCTTGTTCTTGACTAAATCTGGAGAATCTCTTGGACTCCAGCTGATCTATTCTGAACAACCTGAATACACTCATCTGAACACCCTGAATCCAGCTCCAACTATCCCCCGCATCCCTTCAACATGAAAGAACCAATCCCACCCCCTACCGATACCATTGCCGATTCTCCAGCTAAGCAGCTTCGTTTCCTTGTCATCGGCGCCGGATCTCGTGGAAATGCTTACGCGCGCGCCGTCACAACCGCAACACCAGGTGTAATCCACGCTGTCGCCGAGCCCCACTCCTTCAAGCGGAGTGAATTCGGACGAAATTACATCTGGAACCACGATACCCCAAGCGAGGGCCAACAATTCGCAGATTGGCGCGAGTGGGTGATATGGGAAACCAAGCGAAGGGCGCAGGCACAGGCACACAGCGATGGGACACACGCAAATGGAAGCATACCGCCAGGTGTCGACGGCGTCTTCATCTGCACATTAGACGAAACACACGTCGAAGTTGTCCAAGCCCTAGCTCCTTTCAAGCTCCACATTCTCTGCGAGAAACCTCTGGCCCTCTCACTAGACGACTGCTTAACCGTCTTCCGAACCCTCCAACCACCAGAAGGCGAAACCAAAACACCACGAGCCCCATCCAACATTTTCTCAATTGGCCACGTCCTCCGCTACAGTCCACACAATATCCTCCTCCGCAAACTGCTTCTAGCAGACAACATAATCGGCGACATCATCTCCCTCGAACACTGCGAACCAGTAGGCTGGTGGCACTTCTCTCACAGCTACGTCCGCGGCAACTGGCGCCGCACCACCCCAGCAGGAGATGGGTCTCTCCTCACAAAGTCCTGCCACGACATCGACTTTATCCTCTGGCTCCTGTGCTCCCCGCCGCCCGCAGAAACAAGCAAAGCAACCGTGTCCAATCCGCACTTTCCCCGCACCATCTCCTCCACAGGAACAATGACCCAGTTCCGCCCCACGCGCAAACCAAAAGCAGCAGGCAACTCAACGAACTGTCTGACTTGCCCAATAGAACGAGATTGCAACTACAGCGCCGTGAAAATCTACAACAACCGCCACCTAGCAACAGGCCACACAGGCTGGCCAGTGGACATTGTAGCCCCAGACATCGAAGACGTATTCCGAGCACAAGGCTCGAACGCCGCCGAAACACACCTTCTATCCAAGCTAGCGGAAGACTACGATAAAGGCACAACGCCCGACTCAACAATCGCCTCGAAACCATGGTACGGCCGGTGCGTCTACGAAGCAGACAACGACGTCTGCGACGACCAAGTCGTCACAATCACCTGGGACGACGAAGAAAGCGCCCCGCACCGACTTGCGAAAACGGCTTCGTTCCATATGATTGCGCCAACGGAGAAACAGTGTGAGCGGCGGGGACGGGTCTACGGCACCAAGGGCGAGATTGCGTATGATAGTCATACTATTTCGATATTCGATTTTGGAACGGGCGAGACTACTGTTCTGGATGTTCCTAAGCCGCCGCCTGAGCAGAAGGAGTCGCATGGCGGGGGTGATTATGGGCTTGCGAGGCAGTTTGTTAGCGCTGTTCAGGCTGTGGAATCTTTTGGAATCGGGGTTGAGGAGGCGCAGGCTAGATTCGTGGGTTGTTCGCTTGAAGAGGCTGTTCGGAGTCATGCTGTTGTTTTCGCGGCTGAGGAGGCGAGGAGGGAGGAGAGGGTTGTTCGGTGGGGGGAGTGGTGGGGGGAGAAGTTGAGGGCTTCTGCGGATGGGTGGGAGTGAGGGTTTTAATTAGATACCATTCCCTTATGTTTTATGTTTATGATTATGATTATGATGAAATCAATGATGACAACCTATTTTGGCCACAGTATCAAGATCTAGTTCGTAGGCTCGAATTATGCTGTAACAGTCTAAGTCATGCCATTCTTGATGTATATTTTAATTCTGCTATTCGATCATCATTCTCTTGTTCAGATAGAACGGCAAAACAATTAAAAGGTGATCCCCATCCAGCAGGTTCCACATTACAACTTCGCCAATTTAAGTCTTGACATCAGGCTCCTCACGACCAACATACTCCTTGAACTTAAGCAGGTTGAGAGCAAGGGAAATGTTGTCGGCCAGGTACTCCTGCGCACTGAGACCGAACTTGGACTGGTCAGCCTCGTAGCGCTCGACGTACAGACGGATAGTAGCGCCGCTGCTGCCGGTACCGGACAGACGGACGACGATACGGCTGCCGTCGTCGAACTTGGCGTACAGGCCCTGGTTCTTGGAGACACTGCCGTCGAGGTCGGTGTAGGAGAAGTTGCCAGCGTCGGCGACCTTGCGGCCGGCGATCTCGGAGCCAATGAAGGAGCCGCTGGCGACGAGGTCGGACAGAGTACCGACAACCTTGTTGGCACCGTTGCTGTCGACGTTCTCGTAGTCGTAGCGGGTGAAGAAAGTGCGGCCGTAGATCTGCCAGAACTCGTTCTGGATGGAGGCGATGCTGGGGGTCTCGTTGGGCTTTTGCTTGGCGACACCAGCGATGATGTTCAACCAGGCGATGACGGCCCACACACCGTCCTTCTCACGGATGTGGTTGCTGCCGGTACCGAAGCTTTCCTCACCACAGATCGACATCTTGTTGTTGTCGAACAGGTTGCAGAAGAACTTCCAGCCGGTGGGGACCTCGTAGCACTGCAGGCCCTGCTTCTCGGCCACGCGGTCAACAGCTCCGGAGGTGGGCATGGAACGGGCCAGGCCGTAGACACCCTGCTTCTGGAAGTAGGGGATGAGCTTGGCGTGGTGGGCAATGATGGCCAAGCTGTCACCGGGGGAGACGAAAGTGTTGGCACCGTAAATCATGTTACGGTCACCGTCACCGTCACTGGCGGCACCGAAGTGCACACCGTTCTTGTTGACGGCCTCGACGAGCTCGTGGGCGTACACCAGGTTGGGGTCGGGGTGACCGCCGCCGAAGTCGGGCTTGGGCTCACAGTTCATGGTGCTGCTGGCGGGCAGGCCGAGCTCCTTGACGAAAATGTCCACGCCGTAGGGGCCGGTGACACCGTGCATACCGTCGAACAGGACCTTGAAGTCCTTGTGGGAGCTGAGGAACTCCTTGATGAGGTCGAAGTCGAAGATCTCCTTCATCATGGTCACGTAGTCGGCGGTCGAGTGGACAACCTCCACCTCGAGGGGGCCGTAGCTCTTGGTGCCAACGCTGGAGGTGTCGACATCGGGCACGTCGACGTAGTTGTAGGAGGTCAGAGACTTTGCGGTCTCATAGATCTTGTTGGTGACCGTCTCGGGGGCAGGAGCACCGTTGGCCAAGTTGTACTTGATACCGAAGTCGTTCTCGGGACCTGTTGGTGGGGGTGTCAGCTTGAGTCCCAACAATCACCGTGATCTTAATTCCTTACCACCGGGGTTGTGACTGGCAGTCAGCAGGATACCACCAGTAGCCTTCCGCACGCGGATGAGGTTGCTAGCAGCAGGGGTGCTGAGAATGCCATTCTGGCCCACCAGGAGCTTCTTGACACCATAAGCGGCACTGATCTTAGCGATCTTGGAGATCACCTCCGGGTTGTAGTAACGACCATCACCACCAATGACGAGGAAAGAACCCTCGACACCCTCGGGGATGGAGAGGAGAATGCTAGTGATGAAGGACTCGGAGTAGTTGGGCTGCTGGAAGACCTTGACCTTCTTGCGAAGACCTGAGCTAGGAGGGGGTTAGCTGGATCAATTGCGGGGGGTAGCAAGCAACGTACGTGCCAGGCTTCTGGTCAGTGAAAGGCTGAATAGAGACCGTCTGGACGGACATGATGGAATAAAATGTATGATACGGTGAGAAAGGAAAAAGAGGAGGGGGAAGTTGACCGACGGGAGGGGTCGTCATGTGTTTATCACATCCCACTAGACAGAGCTAAGAGACCAACTACTCGTACTTAGTAGCCAGGACCACTACATCCACTTCCTACTTTTTTTCTAGCTTTTCTTTGGATCGATACCTTTCACGAAACCTGAACCCTTGCAAATTGCCCCGCAGATCACCATTCCCGGGGGAAAACAAGACTAACGTGTGACCAAAACACTCCGAAGTACACAGTACACAGCTACACAACTACCCAACCACACATTCTCAATAGCAATGCCAATGTCAATGGGGGTATTCAAACTAAAAACCAAATCCCACAAAAAAGGGGTCAAATCCCAGACCCCCAAAAGCTACAGAAATAGACACACTGTCTAAGACATCAAACAATAGCGCAGACCCATCCAATTAACCACCCAAGCTAAGCAAACAAGCGATCCCGATAAAACCTCATCTCCTCAATACTCTCCAAAATATCATCCTTAGCAAGATGCAACCCCTTCTTTAGAGGCACCTCGGCCAGAAGCTCAGGACTCCCCCACCTCCGCGCCGCCTCCTTCAATGAGCTCACATCCAAAATGCGGTAATGCAGATGCTCCAAAACCCTCGCATAAGGCCCCTTGTCCAAGAACGCCTTATCAGCGTGCACACTGTTGCCGGCCAGCAGAGCAGTGCGTGGCGTGGGGACATGGGCTTGGATGTAGGCAAGGAGGCCATCAGCGGCGGTGGCGGCGGAGGTGGTCGAGGCGCGCACGGCGGCCGTGAGGCCCGTGCGTTCGTGGGTGTCGATGCACCACTGCGACATGTCGGCCAGGATGGTGTCGGCGACGTGGATGGTGCTTTCGAAGGGGGTGGGGTTGAGGAGGTTGAGGTTGGCGTCTGTGATGAAGCAGCAGATTTGGATTATTTGGTCGGTATCGGCGTTGAGGCCTGTCATCTTGGGTTGGGGGTTAGTGGGGGTGACAGCATTGTAGGATGGCATTATTGGGGGGGGGGGGGGGGGGGGGGTGGGTTTTCAGGTGCAGGCGGGTGGGATTGAACATACTTCACAGTCGATCCAGACTAGAGGATCTGTGGAGCGTGCGAGCGACATGGCTGGTTGTGGGCGATTTGAGCTGCTAGGGAGTGCTGTGAATGATCGCAGATTTTGGGGTTTCGCCGGATGGCGGGCTCGGTGGAGAAAGCTCTCGGTGTGAGCTACGTGAACTACCCGTAATGTTGACAATGCGGGTGTGCAGCTTCTGGTGTAGCTTCGGGTGCAGCTTCTAAACATGGGTAGCTTGTGTTCGTCTGAAGGCTGGAAAAGTTGGGAGGGAGAAGCAGTCGAGGTCAAAATGCAGAGAAAACGGTCAACGGTGCAGCCGTTGAAATTCAAATCTACTGGACTCTACAATGGAAAACAGATCACCAAGCTGCCCTTGGCGGACGCTGCAAATGTATTCTCCTTCAACGTGCTCCCTGTAGTGTAGGTAGTGGGCATAACGGCGTAAATGTAAAGAAACGCAACGGCATCCATAAGGCTGGGCATATATGGATGGTGAAAAAAGACCCGATCCAACCCAACCCAACCCCTCGCAAATGCAAGCGCTTTCCAAAGCTCAATTGCAAAAGAATATCCACTCTGTTTTCATTGATCTACAGCTCCTCTTCCTTTACGGGAGGTCCTGCTGACATCTCAGGCGTCAGACTGAGATTATCCCCGAATGTCGCGGTGGAGGTTGACTTTGCCTCCGGAGCCGAAGACCCCAGAACTTCATTAATTCGACCAGATGACTCGGCGATGCGACGTCTCAGGGCATTTTCATCGGCTGTCGAGACACTGGCCCGTTGCTTCTTCAACGGACTGCCAAAGAGAGCATCGGACAATTCCGCGGCTGGCTGAGAGTCGGAAGGCGCCGGTGCTCCTGCTGCGAAGCCCTTGGGTGGGGTTGTAGAGCGATCAGCTGGAGGTGTAGATCCGGATCCTGAAGCAGGGGTATCGGTAGAATCTCCGACACTGCCTCCAGGGGCTTCGGTGGAATGTTGACGCTTGAGCTGTGTGATTGTTAGCAACGGACTCAATAGAACGTGGATTCGGTACCTACCCGGATCTTTCGCATGCTCTCTGCCAATTCTCCCTGGCGTTGGATATCATCTGGGGACAAGAAACGGTCGTCATCCTTGGACTCTTCTTCATCGGCTTTTCCAAGGATTGGATTGTCTGTATCGTCATCATCGCTGTCCATGTCATCTGCGTTCTTTTTGCCCTTGCGTGGCTTAGCCTCCTCTCGGAAGTTGAGGAAACCAACAGATCCGCCAGCCTTGATAGGTCCGAGATTTGCGAGATCGGCTTGTAGTGACTTTCGCTTCGTAGCAGCAGGCGTTTCCGGTGCCTTGCAATCTTTCAAGATGCCCATCTTCTGCAATTGGCCTGTATACAAGTCAGAAATCGCCAATGATAGCTCCAGAAGTACTTACGTTCGCCTCGGTACATGAAAGTGAAAATGGCATAGGGTTTATCAGTCGGGTCAATGCCAGTGACTGTCTGTGTGCTGATGGTCTTAGGATCGAGTGTTTTGGGCTTTGCGAAACTCGTGGTGTGGTCAACATCGGCATCTCCACTGCCATTGTTCTCTCCTCCGCCGCCTTCCTCGTCGTCATGTGCATCGAACTGAGGCGAATACTCTCCACGCTTAATTTCTCCTGAAGCTAAGACTCGGAACAAGGCAACCTTGATCTGTCCCGCTGTCTCCGGAATAGGGTCATCGTCGTCAGAGTCGGAAGACAAATCGTCATCCGAAACATCCTCAAGAGGTGACTTCTCGTCATTTCCGTATCGCATAATGCTCTTGGCCTTGACGGGGTGGTTGGCCTCCATTTCCATGGCGGACTCCCCCTCCTCGGCCTGGCGCTTCAAGCGTCGCTTCTCCATCTTTTGCCGGCGCCGTTCAATCTTGGCAGCCGCATCCTTGCCTTCCAGATCCAGTCCATTCAGCCAGCGCTCCAGACCGACCTCGCGGAATAGGAATTCACGCTCGGCAATACCCCCGCCTTCGGAATCCGGTACGCTGACCCAGCGTGAGTTGACCCAGGTCTCTTCGCCCCTTCGCAGTAGTGTAGCCACCTCTTCCTTTTGCCTTCCGTCAAAGTAGATGTATGCGGCAACGGTCTCGTTCTGCGAGTTCGTCAGGGCTTGATAGGGCGCGACCGCTCCGGAGTATTGACCGCGGTCACCGGTTTGACCGGGCAACCCACCGACGACCTTCGGTTTCGGCGAAGGGTCGTCTATAGTCGGCTTTGGGGTCGAGTAGGGAACATCTTGGCTGGGGTTGAGAAGGGTGATTGAAATGGCAAAGGTTGATTGTTCCGCCTTGCCGGTCCCCGATTCGGGGAGTTTGGGCGGCGGGACGGGGATGAAGCAAGCTATCCGCGAAGCTCGGGACTGGCGTTGGATCGAATACTCTGAGATCGGCCCATCGGGCGTATGAATGCTCACGGCGAGACCCTTGAAACAAGGCATTGTGGGAGGGGTAAGTGGTGGGCCAAACTATTGAGAGGAAGCGTTTGACGCAGGGTGTGCAAGGGCCAGGATTTCCCCGCTAAGAATTACAAAGAATTCGGGCAGGGGGGTAGGGAAAGAGTCTGACGCTGGGTTATAACCCAGTGGAGAGCTTCTTGCTTTATTTTTTGTTATTATTTTTTTTTTCCCGTGAGAGGTGAGCGTAGGCTATAGGGAGGCGGTCAAGGTGTGGGTTTCGACTCGGAAGAACCCAGCAGCCCACAGTAGTCCTCTAATCTCCACTGCAGCTGCTGGTGATTGTGTTGGGAGGCTGTTCGAAAGGAGGGTCACGATGACGGCGATGTGGATTTCTGGGGTCTTCAGGACCGGTGGGGGTAATCAGGTGCGGAAAACCACAGGTTCAAGTCCACTATCGGTAAGAATGACCAAGGAATGCCTGACGAGTCGCCTGTACAAGGAGACAGGAAAGAATGAAAAGGACCCCTGTGAGCTTGGGAGAAGATGAGGGGCGGAAGTGGACCAAAACATATCACGTCTGCGCAGAACACCCCGAACCCCACGTGATGCACCTTAATGTTGGCGGCTTTCAGAACAAAAAGTGCCAAGTGATAGGGTGAGCGTGACCTTTGACTCAATTCTCACATTTGACATGACTTTTATCCATCTCTCAGCTGAGTAAACCGTAAAGGTCATGTTCAACTGTCATCGTGCTCCACATCACCTGATTCCCCGGCAACCATGGATCCGTCGAACTAGTGGAGTCTGAAGTTCTACCAGGGAATATCTATCTATATCAGGAGTCAGGGCAATATTGGTGGGATTTTAGAAGGCAAAGTGGTCAAATATTGGCAGCTGCGATTTAACTTAGCCCTGAATCGAAAGACTAACCCCGGAACTCATAACCAGAAAAATAGAATAAATCTCATATAAAACGTTAACATGGACCAAGTCGGACATTATGCCTTTGCATGTTCAGATACAACGCTGGTTGTCTTCGCCTCCTCAACAACTTCGTCACCACTGGCAACGGTATCAAACTTGTAGAGAGGCTCTAGTACAACATTCCTGCGGAAAACATAGCGATTAAACCAGTAAGGAAGGGCCTTGGTAAGCTGATACTTCATATGAACGCGCGTGGGAACAGCGAAAATATAATCGAGCTCTTCAAGCGTGCGCTGCTTTGTCTCGGGAACCCAGAGGAAGATCATGATGAGAGCAGTCACATTCAAACCACTAAGTCAGATATCGAGTATTAGTCATGTTCTGTCTGATAGCCCTAAGCAAGAGCGACAAGACTTACGCATAGAAGCCAAATGCGCCAGTGGCTGTCATCGTGTGAAGCATGGGAGGGAAGGTGATAGATAGCACAGCTGCCCATCCTAGACAGGTAGCCACAGCCCAGGACATGCCGACCTCTATAGACAAGCATTAGTATCTCAATCAATGATATCGAAAAAATCACAATACATACCACGATGGGATAGAGGGAAGACCTCAGCTGAGTAAGTAAAAGGTACAGGTCCTTCGCCGGGCGAGTAGAAAGCAGCAAACAAGAAAACAAAGAAGGCAATAGACGCCAGGTGGGCCTTTCCTTCAGGGACCCAGAAACAGAAGGCAGCACCAAGAAGCGTCCAGGTCATCTGCGGGAAGGTGAATAGTAATAGAGTGCGGCGTCCATATGTGTCAATTGTCCAGATGGCAGGGAAAGCAAACAAGAAATTGACCAAGCCGAAGCCCCAGGAAGCAAAGAGAGCCTGTGTATCATTCGCACCGGCGTTGGAAAAGACAGTGGATGAGTAAAATGCCACAATGTTAATACCACACATCTGCTGGGCGATCATAACAGTAAAAGATGCAAGAGTGGCACGACGGACACGGGGGATGGTGAAAAGCTCAACGAAGCGCTTGACATAATTACTATCGCCGATAAGACCCAATTCAATCTTGATCTGGGCATGAATATAGTAAAGATCACGGGCAGCCTGTAGGGGGGTATTGCGTAGGCGACAGAGCGATCGGTAAGCCTTGTCCATCTCGCCACGTCGAATATACCAGCGAGGCGACTCGGGGCAGAAGAAAACACCGACGAGGAGGGGGATAGCGGGAATAAAGGCTGAGCCAAGCTGTAGACGCCATGAGATAGCACCTGTGTCTTTGACAGCAAGGTTTGCGCTGAATCCGAGGAAGATGCCAAATGCCGTCCAGAGTTGCCAGGACATCACTAGACCGCCGCGAATAGCAGCTGGTGTATTCTCGGCGCAGAAGATTGGGACCGTTGACGCCTTCAATCCCATTCCTAGACCGAGCAGTAGACGAGTTGCGAAAAGTTGTTCCCAGGTTTGGGTTACGGCTGAGCCAATAGGTGAGAGGACACAGAAGATGGACGAGATGAAGATTGTTCCACGGCGGCCGAGGACACGGTTAAAGGGATCCGAGAGCCAACAGCCTAGGACAGCACTAGCGATATATGGAGCGGCATTGACGACTCCGACAATCCATTGGTTTCGATAGGCGTTTGGGTTGTCTGTTTCGGGGATCCCAAATGCATCGGGGAATGACAGGTTTGCGCCATTAGAGCCTGTTTGGTCCCATCCTTGCACAGCTGCACCAACAGAACATAGAATGATGGTGAAGTACAGTGCTCTAGGCTGGCGCCACTTGTGCAGGGTTTCGTCTCGCAGCGCCGTCAGCTCGGTCTCGGTCAGGTCTGGTACTGACTCGAACTCGGTTGGAGAGCGAGCTACTAATGCTCCTTTCCGGAGCTCTGGTAAAATGTCCGTTACGTTAAACTCTTGGGCGAAATTCTCGACGTCACGCAAGACTTGACTTTTGGTCAAGTCGGCCAATGGGTTCTTGATTCTGTTTAGTATTAGTGGTCTGTTGTTGAGTCTTGTGTTGCTGAAATCGAACATGCAACAGGAAATACTTAGGCTATCATACTTTGCAGACACATTGTTATGAAGATCAACTTGTTCGACATATCCTTTTTCGGCGTTACTGTCGTCGCTGATGGAGCTGTATGGAAAAGTGAGTATAGAAGTATGTATAGCTTCTCTGCAACGCTTACTGCTGGTCGGTGCCAACCTGGCTGATGGTCTCTTGCTCCATGTCAGAGATTGAAAATTTCGAGCTCAGGTTCACCTCTGTAACGAATCACGTCCGTCAAAGTGAATAGGGCTTAAGGGGTCTTCTCAGCTAGAGTCCTAGAAGAAGAAAGAAAAGAGTAGGACAGGGACTCCATTTCATTGAGGGGAAATATCAACTTTTATACTCTTTTGGTTTTCCTTTTTAGCCCCCAAGTTAGCTCTATTGGGTAAAGATATGTCCTACTTCCCAAACCGGATACCTGGGGTTGCGGGGTGCCCATGGGGAAATCTCGACCCAGAAAGTCTTACACGGAGACTCTGGATGCTACATCGGCCTTTAACCCCAAATGAGATAAGAGTCAACCTTTGCCTACTTGCATCTGGTCCAATGAGAAGATTCCCGTGGCGCCTTTAGTCAACCGGGATCCCGGTCAAGAAAGTGATGCCCGTTGAGGCCGAGAGCAAACTTAATTTCGCCGAAGCCTTTTCAGCTGTTCTCCCAATTACTCTTTACACCAATTCATGTAACTATGGATTCAAGTTGAGCCATCCAGCCATTGGATTTACAGAATTTAGCTAGACTTGGAGCTTTGGGGGTTATTCGAAAGGCTTTGAAAGGGGATCGCCGGGCTCGGGATGGCGTTTCCAGGCGACGGAACGCCACCATCGAGCTAAAAAGGGTTGTTTGGCGCCTTGGCCCAGGTCTGGGCTCTGATTTGCCTTTGGTCCAAAGCAAGCGAATTTAGGTTGAGCTCAAGCCCATCGGTGACTTGGAGATTTGAGACTCGTTTCCCTCACGTGGCAGAAACCTAAGAAGTTGACCGCATCCGGTTCAAGTGGCGACTATCATATCGTGTACAGTGTGTGCCTGTAACCATTTTGAGTGGAGAAAAAGGGAAATCTGGGGTTTATGCGGGGTACATTTTTCGACTTGAGATCTGCATTGGGTTAAACTTGCTGCCGCAACCCACTTTCTCTTTCGGTATGACTTATTCGGAGCGCTATCGTCCGGCAACCCGTGAATCCTGGCGATATCTGGCGAGATCATCAGAATCACCGTTCGGGAGCCAAAGCCTGTGGCCTTGCCCGTGCCCTTGCCCGTGCGCGATTTCGATCATGCCGATACGCTGTGAGGACTTTGCCCCATTGATGTTACGGAGCTAGGTGCCTGACCCCAAAGAAACGCTAGATCTGGATACCCCACACCGACGTCTCTCGCCTCTAGACCTTCTAGAGCGAACGGTTACTTTCACGGAAACGACATATGGAAAATCCGTGTCATCCTTCGCAGGCTGCCATTTCCGGAATTCCAAGGCTCGCGGGGAACCCCATCCCGCAGTCTAAGCTCGTGGCCAAGCCATGTGGGGATCGACCACGATTTGTCCCGATCCGTGCACCCCTTGGAGACTTTGGGGTAGAGGGATTGTCGCATTATCACAGTCATGACATATTGATTGAGGAGCTAAAGCGCACTAGACAATTCAGGACGGCACAGTATCGGGACCCAGGTAATGTGATTCCGTGCTGTATATCGCTCCGGTTCCGGATTCGGAACACCCATATCTCCCGCGGCTGCTGCATTTGACATGTCAGATGCACAGTCAACCGGGGATCAAATTATCAATTGGATCTGGATCTTTGGTTGATGGTTTAACTGACGTTGATAGATGCAGAGTTGTGAGTGAGATGGCACGGTAGCATTGAAATTCGATTCGCTGATTCTGATCCTGATCCTGATCCTTCTGTCGCCGAAGTTCCATGCTGATCTGCTGTCTCTCATGGAGTGACTGCTCTTGTTAGTGCCGAGAATGATCACCAGTGTCTCCGGTGGCGGTGTATAGTACCGGGTTGGATGTGCCCTGCTGCAAGGGATCAACCTACATGTCACACTGCTTCCCTCTCTCAGATATGCATTATCATAATCTACTGTAAAATTAAATGAAAAGTTGGTAGATTAGTTGTTCTTCTTGATATCTATGTTACATTGAGGCACAAGGAATATGCGGTTGTTTTCGATCATGGCGCCTGTTGCGCACGTGGCCGTTCTTCGCGCATTGCAACCTTTACGCGTTCTTCTCGCCGCGACGATATTTCCTGGTCTTGCATTTGCACTATATGAATACACGTGTCTGATAGTCCTCTACTGGAATCCGTTGTTTTCCCTCATCTTTCAAGTACCACGGAACACAGCATGAACTCCCTCGCATGAAATTAGGACTAGAATACCGAGGATGTGAGCCGCATGGCATTCAAAGACTACTATACGAGTCTTTGTTTTGGTCAATTGTCAGGCTTCAAGATACCCAGAACCCCAGATGGTGAGAATGTTGACGAGGCATGGGTCAGAGCCGTGCTTTCCTCAGCCATGGGCTCGACTCTTGCACGGACAGAGCTATCCACAGGTATAACAACAACTGGCTGACCATTCAAAGGTCGCTCATGGTTGTTTGGAGATCGATTGATTACGGAGTTGGCAGGACAGCACCAGCCTTGAGCTTGACATACCTTGCCATCCGCATCTCCAAGCACAGTACTATGGTCTCGGGCTCTGCTTCTTGGTGATAATGAAGGTCTAAGAATATGGACCATAAATGAAAGTCTCTTTGGAGTGATTAAATCGATGACGGTATATTATAGTGGAGGAGTGGATTGCCAGTGTGGAGCAAGGACCGAACGCCTCGTAAGTCGTGATCATACTACTGGAGGCCGTATGTCCAACGAAGGTGATGGAAAGTGGCATTAGAGGCGAGCTTACCGGCATGAGCCGCGAAAAGGCAATTGTAGAATTCAATTTCTGAATTGTGCACATGCAAAGGGTGGCGCCTGCGATGGCTGACCTTCGGGGGTTGACGTATCAGCATTCTTCTGACCATTGTTTGAGATCACATCCATCTCTGGGTTCACCGGGGCTGATCACGATATCTGCAGGTCTGCTCAACTAAGGGCAATATTTCTCAGAAACAAACGTAAGCTAGATCCCCTATTTTTTAAATTCTTTTTCCACGATAGTAGGACTTGGTGCTATTCACAGACTTGCCCTTTGGATCAACAGTCCCTTGAGCTTTTTTAAATAAATGAGCTTACTGCCATATTGTACTTTTATTGACGTAAAGGGTCATTGCAATCATGGTCCCCCATTATTTAATTACTTGTGGGTAAATATGATCTGCGTTGACGACTCTCCCGAACTCGAAGCATTCGAATGCCCTACTCACGCGGCGGATCTCTTTTTCCTTTTCCCCTTCCTTTTTTCTTTAAATATTGTTAAAAGCATCTCAGTCGACTCTAAACTCTTGTTGTTTATCTCGGAATGATCTCCTCAAGCACTTTCGATCCACCTTCTCTTCTTACCAATGATCCCACCCAGCATATTTACTCCAAGATCCTCGCTTCGTTGTGATCCTCGCAGTATCATACTTTTGAACCGACTATTCTTGATCTAGCTGAAGGTGCTGAGATATGAGTTAGATGATCTATCCATAGTCTGTCTCAGGTGGAGCTTGAATTAGGGTACGGGTAGATCCACCTTTTCAGCCGCAACGCCAAGCATTCCATGCATACAGGAGCCATCTTCTATTTGTTCCTTCTTGTAATTTTCTTGCCTGGTTCTTGATCTCACTCCTCTGTCCCGACGTTTCTCGCTTAAGCATTCTTACATCAGTCATTTCTATCTCTTTTTCTTTTACTTACCGCTGGATGAGTACCAAACTCTCAATATTCATAACGTACCCCGTGCAGTGGCGGTCGAAGACTGATTGTTGAGTCACACAACTTAGAAGTCACGATCTTCCTCTTGCAGCTCAACGGCATCAAGAGACCAGAGCACTCCAAGTGTAACGTTATACCCGAATACTTAGACCACGAAGCCAGAATCCAAGAATGCCGATGCTGGACCAAGACGGACGCACTTGACACGCTTACAAAAGCAGGAGTACTCATTTACTTCTCCCAAGCCAATTGGAACGATCTTCAGCTTACAGGATGAACTATCTAGTGGTGCACCAGCACTCTTATCATGGTTGATCCAGAATCAGAATCCCGTTCTGCAACTGCGACAGAGTCGTGTAGTTCAACCAGCCAGCAACTTACACCGTATAGCTCATGAGAATGGTTTACAAAATTTGCCAGTATTATTGTAGGATCCAATATTCATCTTCATCCATCAGGGCAATGATCGATTTCGGCGGCTGTCACATCTGCAAAAACTCAACAACTGAGCCTGAAATTGCTATTTCCTCGCTCCTACCCAATGGATTCGCAAAACCAAGACGGCTGGTATGGAAGATTCTCATATTAGCTTCAATATGACCACTGCCGACCGCAATGTAGTCTACGGGGTGCTTGACTTGGTCATCAGTGTGGATCAGTGTGGATTCCGCGAGTGTGACTTCATCTTGAGCGCAGGTGTCACAAGACAACCAATACGAGGCAGTCGTAGTGGCTCAATCTTCATGCAGATGTTCTGACTTCCTAAGTGTAAGGCAATAATCCGTCCATTGATACTTATAGTGTAAATCAAGCCCCATCTGCATTGATGACTTACAAATATCATGCTTGATTTCAAACGTCGGTGCTTTTGTTTATATAGATTACGTCATATCCCGATAGCTCCGAAACTCCGGGGAGCTGACAAATGAACGAGAGCATATGGCCGAATTGGCTTTCAGTCCGCTTCCACGGTTACCTGCACCCATGTTTTCTCACAGCTTAAAAGCAGCATCTCGGCTCTCCAGATTCTCATCTAGCTTTGCCCCATATTCCACAATGTCTTCTAACATCACACTCTACACCTGGCCCACGCCTAATGGCATCAAGGCCTCTATTACCCTCGAGGAACTCGGCATTCCCTACAAGACAGAGGGAATTAACATCAGCACCAATGTTCAGAAAGAAGAGTAAGCGCTCCACTTCTGGGGGCACCCCGTGGTGTGACCATGGGCTAACAAGGGCTATTTAACAGCTGGTTCCTGAAAATTAACCCCAACGGCCGCATCCCCGCGATGCTCGATGGCTCGCAGCGTGTCTTCGAAAGCGGTGCAATCATGATCTATTTGGTTGACAAGTACGACACCGATCGCAAGATCAGCTACGCTCCGGGAACCCCGGAACATATCGAGCAAACCTCCTGGCTGATGTTCCAGATGGGCGGTCTTGGACCTATGCAGGGTGCGTGCTGACAAGCCACTTCTTCTTTACCCCTCTTTTCTGATAAGCAACAGGTCAAGCAAACCACTTCCGTCTCTTTGCCGGCGCACGCTCTGACTACGGTATTAACCGATACATTGAGGAGACGAAGCGTCTTTACTCTGTTCTCGAGTCTCGTCTCCAAGAGAGCCCTTACCTCGCAGGTGACAAGTACACCATTGCTGATATTGCGAACTTTTCCTGGGTTCGGGGTGCTCCCAACTCGTTGGAAATTGATTTGGCCGAATTCCCCGCTGTGAAGAAGTGGGTTGATGAGATCAATAAGCGTGCTGCTGTGCAGAAGGGTGTGGATGTTCCCTCTACTGGCAGGACTCCTGAGCAGATGGCTGAGTTGTTCGCAAACTGTCGCGCTAAGATTGATGGCATGACCAACTCGGACAAGCACTAATTGGACAAAGCTGGAAAAGTTAGTGAGCTATTGTTTTACTCACCGGTCTATATTCTGTGATTTGAGACGGGTTGACTGTCGTCCCCCAAGATTATCAGTTTACCAAGTAAGAAGCACAAATTAAATATCTTATGCACTTCTCACTATCTTGGACTTCGTATTCAGTTTGGGAACCAACGACAACCTATCTTCTTCGATAATGAAACAGTCCAGCGGGATGTTTTTACATGTCGGATGGACTCCATCTTATGGTCAGACTGTTGGTTTACGGACAAAAGAAGGTGCTATACCCTTGACCAGATCACCCTCGGCAGGCCATTCATACTCGTGGGGCTTTTTCTACGCCACGGTGTATATAAAACATACAGAACAACTGTTTTTATACTCATTTCCTTCTAGCTATCCAGATACGAAGTTTGGAAATAATTGGTGCGCTAGCTTCGAACGTTGCGGACCCTAACTTGCCTACAAGATATGGCCGAGCCCCTTGTATGGCAGCGGGAGAATCATTGAAGCTGGAACCTGTTCGGACTATGCTGGAAAATCACTAGTCTTGACAAGAGAGTCAAGGATAATTCTGGACGCACCGCTTCAAACAAAAGGCTCTCAGAGGGACCATGTCCAGAAGGCCAGTTTGATTCGACCAACGGATTCAGGTACAGTTGATATTTCTTCTGTGCTCAATCCGTCCCAACTTCTTTTTCCCTTTGTTCCGTGGACAGATGGGGTAGGAAGGATACTCGGTCTAATTGTATTTTCGCATCTTAGTACAAGTTGATAGCTAACAATAAGCCTGGAAACATTAACCTGCACTCGGTCCCGTAGTTTCTTGGATCCCACGGGCTATGGCTAAATCAACTCTACTGTTACCAGGCTCTTCGTTTTTCGAAGTCGAGGCCCCAGCATTGGCCAAGCAGTTAGGGCAGAGCTAATCCCTCGCGTCGGTCAACTTCCGAAAACTACGCCTTCCCCGGATTCACATCCCTGCAATGCCCCCAGATCCCGCGGATAGTCTCGTCGCGTATTTGGTCGGCAATTTATCGAGACGGTGCTGTAGACTCGGTCAACTTCCGTCAATTCCCCTACCATCTCGGGCTAATGTGATATGAGTTGAGAAATATGCGCTTTCGTTGGTCAGGCTAGGTCACACAGATGGGGTTGTTGGCTGTCTTGGCTCGGTTGGGGATCTGATCCCTTCGGTAAGGAGCACTTTTGCATCTTGATCATCCCAAGATCAAACCAATAGTCGGTGCTGTTGGTATTAGTAGTAGCGGTGCATGTTTTTCTTTCCCCGCTTGTGGTCTGGGTTCTGAAGCGAGGCTTTGAGAATCCGAATAGCTCGTTTATAATCAATATCATTCCCCGCGTTGTGGTTAGCAAAGGTTCTTCTCTCGTCCGGGGGATACAAGAAGTCGAATATTCCCATTCAATAACTCTGATATCTCCTCAGCCAATCTTCAGAAGATCGATCTTGAACACGGAGCTCTTTTTGAATCTGCGCTCGCAGTTCATATGTTGGTCTTCCTGCCCAGCATGGGTCTCTTCAATCGCCTGGGGCTGGCCGACACTCCTACAGAGGTCTTTAATCGTCGGCTGTTTTGGTCTGTTGGGGTCTTCGGTTTGTATCCTTGCGGTCTTTCGTTTCACATTACTGACGAATCACGGTAGGTATCCTTGGAGCGGGTAGGGGAATCGATGAGGGTCTTGTCGGTGGCATGATAACAATGCGAAGCTTCAAAGATGAGTTTCCATTGAATGTAGGCTCCGCTGAAGAGATCGCCAACCGCGAATCCAATATCACAAGTATGCTACAACTGGGTTCTATCGGCGGTGCGTTACTGGCGTTTCTTCTGTGTGATCGAATTGGCCGTGTGAGATCACTTCAGGCTCTCACTCTGCTTTGGGGCATCGGCTTCGTGATTGTCATTACTAGCTTTGGCAACATTGGGCAAATTCTTGCCGGCCGCTTTTTGGCTGGTCTCGGAGTTGGTATGACTACTGTTGTTGGTCCCACCTATCTGGCAGAGGTTGCTCCAAAGATGATCCGCGGTATGTTGACGAATATCTTTGCTGGTGCTGTGTACTTTGGCGTTATGGTTGCCTACTTCGCGAACTGGGGCTGCTCGGAGAATATTGCGGATTCTTCGCGTTCTCAGTGGGTGATTCCACAATCAATTCATATCATGTTTGCAGGGTGAGCGCTTCATACTTCCTCATGATATCTCATGGACTGACACATTCTTTTCTGGATATAAGAGTTATTTTCCTTGCATCTTGGACCGTTCCGGAGAGTCCTCGTTTCCTTGTAATGAAGGGGAAAGATGAAGAGGCTCTTGCAAATCTTTGTGCCCTGCGCCAACTCGATATGAATCATCCTAGTATCAGTTCTGAAATCCTCGATATCCGTGATCAACTGGAAAGGGAGCAAGAAAGCACCCGAGGCTCCTCATTCTACGGCAAACTAAAGGAGCTCTTTACCGTCCCAGCAAATCGCTATCGTTTAATGCTGGGAGTGATGTCGCAACTACTGGGACAATGGTCTGGTGCATCAGCAATCACCATCTACGCCACCAGCTTCTTCGCTGCACTTGGAAAAACTGGTAGAAGCGAGCAGCTTTTTGCTACTTGCATCCTTGGTGTTGTGAAGTTCTGCTCGGCGTATCTTTGCGCATTCTTCCTCGTTGACTTTTTTGGTCGTCGTCGCTCCCTATACACGGGGATCATGCTGCAGACTGTTTCAATCTGTTACATCGCCATATATCTGGCCAAGGTCCCAGCTTCAGCTCATGTTGATGATACGGGTGGTATAACTGGGTCTGCTAAACGAGCAGGCATTGGTGCAATCGCCGCGATTTACCTTTCTGGGTTTGGCTGGGCAATGGGCTGGAACTCTTTCCAATATTTGGTGAACGCGGAGATATATCCGAGTCGGCTGCGTGCCATTGGTTCCTCTCTCGTTATGTGCATCCATTTCGCTAATCAATTTGGCAATACCAAGGCTGTTCCCAGTATGGTTATTGCTATGACAAATTACGGCTTCTTCTTCTTTTGCACTGCAGTTTGCGTCCTGGGTCTCTTGTGGGTTTGGTTTTTCGTTCCCGAGACTGCTGGAAGGAGTCTTGAGTCCATGGATGCATTGTTCGCTTTACCTTGGCATCAAATTGGTCGCCATGGAAAAGACCTTTCTCCTGCTGGAACTGATCATGTTGAAGATGATCTGGAGAAACCCACCATGGTTCATCGTGAATAAGTGTGAAGGTTCCATCAGAGCTATATCTTAGTACAATATCCTCATGCGAGTATTACAAATTGAATAGAAGTTTCATTTGTACATTGAACGTGAAACCAGAAATGAAGTATGCACATGGCTGACGTTGACAACACCCATAGATGGCATGTTCTCTCCAGGGCTTCAAGGTCCACGTGTTGTATGAGCAGTGAGTCAGCAGCCTTGGAAAACACCTCAGGTTCACATCAGCCGCACATCTTCGGCTTCGGAGATCCCCCGCGGGGGAGAATAGGCGCAACTCCGATCTGATCAATCCGCGATTGCTGAGTGGTCCAAGGCCGAGGAATGCGGGGCTCCACTGGGGTCGGACTTGAGTGCGAGTTTCTCAAGCTCGGCTGCCGTATTTTATCTGTTCTTCTTTCTCTCATATTTGGTACTCTATCATACTCTATTCGACCATGGATTCATCTACGCCGGAGTCTTCGCTGAGCGAAGCAAAGTACATCAACTTCCCTTCTCTGCCGGCAGACGCGAAGCATCCGGATGGCTCCCCCGCACTCAATCGCTACTCCCACACAATTACCAAGGACCATGATTTCCCCGGCGCAAGGGTAGGTCGATTGACATAGTTCGAGGTGGATCACTGCTAACCTGCTACAGGCTATGCTCTACGCCGCCGGTGTCCCCGACAAAGAAACAATGGCCAAAAGCCCCCACGTCGGTATTGCCTCGGTTTGGTGGGAGGGCAACCCTTGCAACATGCATTTGCTGGACTTGGGAAAGACTGTTAAGAAGTCAGTGATGGATAAGGGTATGATTGGATGGCAGTACAACACAATTGGTGTCTCGGATGCCATCACTATGGGTAGTGAAGGTGAGTCCAATCACAAGAAGCCTTACGGTTGATAAAGACCCCTCACTGATCTCTTTGTAGGAATGAGATTCTCTCTCCAGACCCGGGAGGTCATCGCTGACAGCGTCGAAACCGTCACCTGTGCTCAATACCACGATGCCTGTGTTGCTATTCCCGGTTGTGACAAGAACATGCCTGGTGTTGTGATGGGTATGGCTCGCCACAACCGCCCTTCGATCATGATTTACGGTGGAACTATTGCCATTGGATACTCTAAGCACCTTCGTAAGCCCATCAACGTCTCTACTTGCTTCGAGGCTGCCGGTGCTTATGCCTATGGTACCCTACGCCAGCCCGACGATGGCGGTGACACAAGTAAGACCCAGGATGAGATCATGGATGACCTGGAACAACACGCTTGCCCTGGTGCTGGTGCTTGTGGTGGTATGTTCACAGCAAACACCATGGCTACTGCTATTGAGTCTATGGGTCTCTCCCTTCCCGGCTCGTCTTCTACACCTGCCGAGTCACCATCCAAGATGCGTGAGTGTGTCCGCGTTGGTGAGGCCATCAAGATTTGCATGGAGAAAAACATTAGACCCCGTGATCTCCTGACCAAGCGGTCATTTGAGAATGCTCTGGTGATGACCATGGCTCTCGGTGGCAGCACCAACGGTGTACTTCACTTCCTGGCTATGGCCCGGACAGCCGGAGTCAGTTTGACCCTCGATGACATCCAGCGGGTCAGCAACAAGATTCCCTTCATTGCCAACCTGTCTCCTAGTGGCAAGTACTATATGGCTGATCTGTATGAGATCGGCGGTATCCCCTCTGTCCAGAAGCTTCTCATTGCAGCCGGTTTGCTAGATGGAGATATCCCCACTGTAACAGGCAAGACTCTTGCCGAGAATGTGGCTTCTTTCCCATCCCTGCCTGAAGGACAGGATCTGATTCGCTCCTTGGATAACCCAATTAAAGCTACTGGCCACATCCAGATCTTACGTGGAAACCTTGCCCCCGGCGGCGCAGTTGCCAAAATTACTGGGAAGGAAGGCCTCCGATTCAGTGGTAAGGCCCGGGTCTTTGACAAGGAGCACCAGCTCAACGAGGCTCTCAATGAAGGTCGCATCCCCCGTGGTGAGAACCTTGTCATTATCGTGCGTTACGAGGGCCCCAAGGGCGGCCCGGGTATGCCGGAACAGCTCAAGGCCAGTGCCGCCCTTATGGGTGCTCAGTTGACAAACGTGGCTCTGATCACCGATGGACGTTACTCAGGCGCCAGCCACGGCTTTATTGTTGGACACATTGTGCCAGAAGCCGCTGTGGGAGGCCCGATTGCATTGGTCCGTGACGGCGATATCGTCACCATTGATGCTGCGACCAACTCACTTTCCATGGATGTGTCAGATAAGGAGATTGAGGAGAGACGTCGCCAATGGTCCCCCCCTACACCGCAAATCACTCGCGGTGTGCTGGCCAAGTACGCCCGATTGGTCAGTGATGCGTCGCAAGGCGCCATGACGGATCTGTTTTAAGGGGCTCGGGGAGTTCGGGATCAGAAGTCACCTGAGTATTAGTATATATTTAGTCAGTTTATAGCCTGTCACGTTTCTACGATCCACAAAATGCTACTTTGCCGTCTTCTAGAAACCATTGAGAGATCCATAGTTGATGGGATCTTCGGAGACCCGCTTGCAATTGACCAGTTAAAAGTCAGCAGCTACCCATGCTGCAGGATGGCGCCGCTGACGAACCGAATGGGGCCGATTGATACATCGAATAGCGTTGGCCTAAAAAACAGGACAAACCAAAACAGAAACAGAGAACAAAAAACGGGAAACATGCGAAGAACCCCTTACGCTGCCCAGAAGAGGTACATGGCTGCCCATACTAACTGCCATACAAACCCAAGTCACCCTGGGCCATACCACATGGATGACTCACCCCCCCACGCCGTCCGTCCCGAGGCTGTGAGTGGCTGAGCCCGTAACTTTCTTTACTTTTTCTTCTTCACTTTTCAACGTTGGCGATCTCGCATTCCTTATTGGCTTTGGGCTCCTTTCGTTGTACCCAAAGAGCATCGGGCGCGGTATCGCGTGGTAAGGATTCCGGGGGCTCTGCAGAGTCCAGATCCAGGCCCCCCCTCGGGGTGTACTTAATCGCCATGGGGTCCGATTCAATCTCGGCCCTCTATGACTTCTTGAACTCCCAAACCAACAAGTCAGGAATCGCCGCTGTTCTGCGATATTACCACTCGGTTCGCGTGACGATTCATAATACTTCCGTGTCCTCTGTTGCCGACTTCCTCCGCGGTTTGTACCGCAATGACAGCGTGAACTGGGGCCAGGCTGTGTTTTTGACTTCCTGTGTGATCGCAATGGCTGGCTGTGGACTGTTGTCGTCTTTCGGGAGGCGCAAGCGCTCGGGGTCGGGAGGCTCTCGTACGCAGCGCACTTCCATTCGCAAAAGCTGGACCAAATCCTCGTCGAAGACGCTCAGCTCTTCCGAGGAGGATGACTACGAGGACGAAGACTATGACAGCAATGCGTCATTGCGCCATGGTACTAATCCAAACTACAAACCGAAGGAGGACTGGCTATCGGAGCCTCAGAAGCAAAGCTCTGATGGTATGTCATGCAATAGAAATCCTCCCGCTCGAACTCGATGATCTGACATACCTGCAGCACACAAGACAGACCCAGGCATTCTCAGGAAATTTACTACATACAACTCTTACACTACCTCATACGCCGTCTATCCCGCTATCCGTACATTCTACAGTCCTCATCCACACCTTGCTCGGCTTCCTACCAAGCCTACACCCGTACCTCTCATTGTGGTTATTCATGGGCTAGGCGGATCTCTTGCACAATTCCATCATCTTCTTACCAGTCTATCCAATGTTGGATCATGCTTCGGGATTGATTTACCCGGGTGTGGACTGTCCAAGTTTGCGCCTACGGATTGGAGCGCGTACTCCGTGGAGGCGCTTTCTGAATTACTCGTCGAAGCGATTGAACAGCACAGAGATCGACAGTCAGGTCAGCAAGTCATTCTGATCGGCCACAGCTTGGGCTGTTCCTTGTCCGCTTTGATAGCTTCGTCGACTTCAACCATCGGAGCAAAGCTAAAAGAGCACATCATTGGACTTGTGGCTGTCTGCCCTCGGTCATCTCCCCCATCGCCGGAGGAAACAGCTGTTTTCCGCCGATTGCTGCATGTTCCTGGCCCGATTTTCGATCTCTGGCGCCGTTGGGACCGACGTGGAGGCGAACAGAGTGCCAGTGTCGCAAGAATGGTTGGCAGCGATGCCGACATTGAGACACGGGATCTTCAGGTGCGATTCAACAAACAGAGCAAAACCCCTGTTTGGCGTCGCATGGCCTGGGGTACTCTCCCCACCTATGGAAAGGATGGTCAGCCAATTGGTGGACTTCCTGGTGAAAAGGTCTGGGCGGGAGTCCGCATGCCCATTCTTTTGGTTGCAGGAGAAGCAGATGCGGTTACCAAGCCGGTCGAGGTGCAGAAGCTTCTGAAATTCTTTGGTGATGCTTCGGCTCAGACAGCGATCGATGTCTCTGAAAGCAGCATTGTTCCAGACGCCTCGCGGGTTCATGATCAAATGTCAACTCCAATTGATGGTTTTGTGAGTGAAAAGCAGATTGGGCTTGGATTCGCCGTCGAACAGAAGGAATTGGAACAGGGTGGGCAGACCGGTGTCCGCAGGAGATTGATTAAATCAGCCATCTTGCCTGCACCCGCAGCCCATGCATTGCTCTACGACCGAGCAACCTATCGCACCCTTGCAGGAATTATTCAGGATTTCCTCTCATCTCACGTTGACAAGCGTCTTGGCCTTGGTTGGCAATTGCAATTTATGAACACATCAGGAAAATGGGATGTCAAGAACCTCGCCAAGTGGAAGAAGGTTGCCCCAGTTTCGGAGAGGATTGCCGACACCTTCGCCGCTCTCAAGATGCTGCGAGAGGTCGACGAGGAACACAACCCTGTGATGTTCTCAGCTAAATACCACGATCGCATCCACGCTGTCATTGACATCAGCCATGAAAGCCCGGTCTATAATCCAGCTGAGATGGAGAAAGGTGGCATTCGCTACTGCAAGCACCCGACTGTGTCCAAGATTCCCCCAACTCCAGATGAGACGCGCGACTTCATCGCCCTAGTTGATAGCCTGCAGAAGGAGATCGATGATAAGATGGAGAAGCGTGAGGATGATACCTTGCCTCGCCCATTGGTTGGAGTCCACTGTCATTACGGCTACAACCGCACTGGGTTTTTGATTACTTGCTATCTCATCGAACGTCTTGGATTCGGTGTGCAGCAGGCGATTGATGAGTTCAATCGGTGCCGGCCACCAGGCATTCGCCATGGTCATTTTGTTGACACACTATTTGTACGGTATTGCGTTGGTCTGAAGAGAGCGCCCACGTTGTAATTTGATTGTTTTGGCATGGGTACTGTAGCGAGGATTATAAGGTCAGGCATTGGGAGATGGGCTATTATTATTTTATTTTCTTACAATAATGAGTAATGACAACTTGAATGACAGATATGTTACTGTGAATTGAACTTCAAACAATGTTAGTGTGCGTCAAGTTAATTGAATGTTAGCTGTATGGTGGTAGATTTGAAATGATGTTTCGCCTGAAATTCCAGGCACTAATCCAGGGCTATTGCTGCCCGACCCGTCAGGCCACTAGTCACCTGACCCAGCTTAGGGTACGGCTAACCCGAAAAGGACAAGCGAACGGCACACAGACCCAACCCGCCCAGCGTTGTGTGTGTCTTGAAATTTTGAGCGACTCTTCGACTTCGACCCTGCCCACCTCGACGCCCAACGCCTCTCTCTCTCTAATCCCTACCCTTCGACCACTCGACAAGTCGCCAAAATGGGTGGTGTTACCGTTCGCGATGTGGACGTAAGTGTCCTGCTCGATTTTTAGGTGATCGGCTCACCAGGTCTCCTTTGCGTGATGTGGATGGTTCGTTTCTGGATGCACGGAATCACAAACTCGATCGGATATTATCGCCATGATGGAAATAAATCGCATGAAATACAAAGCAAGCGATGGGTGACACTGTTGTCTTCGGAAAAAAAACTCAATATTGAAGGACATGCATGCTTGTTTTGGCGGGACCAACTCTCAATGGATTCATCCATCATTCGGTATTCTACCTTGGATACTCGAGACTAGAGACTACATGCTGGCAAGAATATACGACGAAAAGTGATGAAATGCAAACCAGAAACGAACCCGACCATATCTGCAATTGTGCAGACTCTGACCGATCCACCACACAATAAGAAAAGCGCCGTGGCTAACATGTCTTCTTTTCACTCTTACAGGCGCAGAAGTTCATCTCTGCCTACTCTGCTTTCCTGAAGCGTCAGGGAAAGCTCCCCATCCCCGGCTGGGTTGACACTGTCAAGACCTCTGCCTCCAACGAGCTCCCTCCCCAGGATGCTGACTGGTACGACTACACTGATCTGACATGCAACAGAGCAAGCAATTGATATTGATTCTTTTTTTCCAGGTTCTACGTCCGCGCCGCCGCCTGTGCCCGCCACATCTACATGCGCAAGACCGTTGGTGTCGGCCGCCTCCGCAAGGTTCACGGTTCCACCAAGAACCGTGGCTCCCGCCCCGCCCACCACGTCGATGCCTCCGGCTCCGTTGACCGTAAGGCCCTCCAGGCCCTCGAGAAGATCGGTGTCCTTGAGACCGATGAGGACAAGGGTGGCCGCCGCATCACCCAGTCCGGCCAGCGTGACTTGGACCGTATCGCCAAGACCACCGTCGATGAGGAGGAGTCTGATGAGGAATAAACGTATCGCAACAGGGCTTTTAATAGTTCGGGGATAAGTCGTTTGTTTTTGTGGTACTTTTTGCTTCCCTGCGCTACGGCGTTGCGTTTTGCAAGAATTTGGAAATGACGGCACAAAAATAAAAATATCGGAGCTCGGTCCCGTTCGACTTTACGTTTGTTTCTTACTTGTTTCCTATTCCATCACCTTTTTTTTATCACACCATCTGACGACCAGACGGGGCTAGCGGAGAGAGATACGGGGGTGGAGAGTGCATGAGGAGAGGCATCAATCCGGAGACTTGAACGAGAGAGAATAGTGGACGAGACGGTCTTTCCCAAATCCTCCCCTCTTTCTGTCGAGGCACTTGACTATCTTGGCTTGTGCGCTAGACGGGGGGAGATCTTTTTCCCCTTTGACATGTCTTATGATCTCCCTCACCTCTTTGACCCGACCAACCCACGGCGTCTTTGTTCCTTTTTTCTCTCGCGGTCTCCTGGAAATAAAGAGCATGTCTGAACCACTTCAAAACCGTTAAATCTCTCCAGTCGTAGGCGTAGATCTAGTCTGGTATGTATATCTATCTGCCTTGCTATCGGCCAAACCGGTGTATGGTACATTGTGTCCAGATAGAATTACATAGCTTAGCTGTTGTGATATGTACAAATCAACTCTGTTTCAGTCTAACTATATAATATTCCCGTTCGTTTTATTTCTTGCCCGATTGAGCTGCAGTATCCTTTAACCAGTTAGCATCAACACTGCAATCATCTGCACATCAAAGCAGCCAAGGAAATAATCAACTTAGTCACTTACCAAGTAAACCTGATAAAACTGCATCTTAATATCCTCGCCCTCCTTCTGAGGCGCAAAGACAACCCGTCCAGCCCAAGGCACGTACACCTCATTGCCAGGGTTAGCCTTGAGTCTATAGTTCACACCTCCATACAACATAAGCTCATCATCGCCGCCGAAGAAGATCCGCGTCGGCGTGTGTCGGCGCGCAGTAACGTGCGTCCAGAGACCATGGCGGAGGGGGAGGATTTCTGTGATTGGAGTTGTTAGTTAGCTTTCCAAAGGTGGTGGTGGACTGATCATGAGAAATGATATGTCGGTATGTCGGTATGAACTTTGGGGTTGGTTGCATGGAGTGTAATTTGGAGGTGAGGGTGAGGCAGCTTACCATTAGCACCCTTCGCCTCTTTCGGGCCCATAATGAGGGTTGCATCATCCGTGAAGCTCTGGACATATTTTTCGTGCAAGGACTCTGTGTCGCTGGTGCGGTAGAAGTCTTCCATAAATGCGACGAGGGCGGAGCCGCGAGGAGGTGCGCGGGCAGTGTCGTAGGCGATTTGGTAGGACATCTTGGTGGATTTGATTTGGGGTATTCCGGTGTGAGCTTAGTTATTACGATTGAGGTTCTGGGCTCTGGATATGTTTGAAGAGAGTGTGTGAAAGAGAAAGAGAAGTTTGGCTCTGGTTGCGGAACTTGGCTATTTCATGGAGGGGAAGCTTCGGAAGGGGCATATCCGATCTTATCGATGATGGTTTCAATGATAGAGAACTTTGGGGGATTTATTGTGGGACGAGGATATCTAATTGACCTCGTAGACTCTCTTGTATACTCTGTCTGGTTATGCGTACTTGTCTTGGGTCATAGTTCACTAGTCGATGGGTGAAATGCAAGAGTGCCATCGGCTAGCAAGTTATACATCCGCTGTCGGCTCAGGAGACTTGGTGGTGGATGTCAAGTCTTCTAGCTGTGTCTGTCTGTTTGCTTCTCGTTAACATGTCTATCACTGTAGGCTTTTGCGTCATACACATAGCGCACATCCGAAAATGGGTAAGCTCCGTGCCATGCGCTTCGGAAGCTGTAATGTCGGAAGTGGATCAATCATTGAAATATGATTTTTTAGAGTGGCGATCTTAATAGATTCATTAATAATGTAGACCATTTGGTATAATTTGGTTTATGTAGTATAGAAGAGAGATGTGTATCGACTTGAATTGTATGTAGTATCTGGTCATAGCCTTAATATATATCCCGTGGGCATGCCCACCAAGGACAAGTTTGACGTTGGAAATTGAAAAGAAGCGAAACACTACCCATTCATATACAATGGTAATGATTCGGACTCTGGTACTTCTTATATAATATTCTATTATCGGTAAGCACATGATTCTTGTAGCTTAGGTGTGTGTAGATATCTATCGAAGCCTGGCCAAGGTCAACGCCGTATAAGTTATTCAATCATAGAGTAACAATGTAGACCTAGTTCACAGAGCACCTGAGAGCTGGTCACGCCTAGCGTGGTAATAATTTGCATTACTTTCTATGTCTCGACAACCGTGTTGTCGGTATCAGCAGCATTAGCAGCGTTGCTCTCGGCAACAGCCTGCGTACAGTCCTAGGATACCCGACATAATAGATGGCCTCTATTTCATTTAGCATGAGGGCGGACCTTGAGAGCAAGCTATATGGAATTAGAAGAAATAGCGAAAGAAAAGCAGAAGTATAACACACAAGCCCAACCGCTGAAGGCCACAAATTGAGAGGAGAAACAGCGGTCCTGGTTAGAGCAAGCAATGTTCTCCCTATCAAAGAGATATGTGATTATAGCAAAAATAATGCGGCTGCACTGACATATAAAGATATGCTGGTGGGGTGGCAGTGACAGTGGGTGTTCCTGAGTGGGTCAAGAAGGAGAGGTTAGAGACATGTCACATGCATGAGAAATGAGCGATGGGCCAATTACAGATGTTGAAATGGCCTATAGACAAGTATAGAGCAAGGCAGCAAATATTGTATAAGTGAGAGGCCTACAATGAGAGATGCAAGAGATTCAAGATGCGAGTAAACAAAAATATAAGACTATTTTAAGCTTTGCGGCCCGCAGATCTTCAACCGCACACTAATCCATCTCAACGATAGTCACCACATCCTGAATGTTCCTCCGGCCCTAAGCCAGATATTCTAAGGGCAATCCCAAAGCACGGCACTGCTCAGTCTCAACCAAATCACTCGTGCCTGGTGGCCACTGCAACAACCTCGCCTGACCCTTCTGACGATACGAAGCCCAAGACCCAGTCTCACGAACCATCTTCGTCGTATTAACATAACCCTTCGCCTTCAGAAACCCAAGGTCAGGAGTAGGATCGTACGACCTCGAAAAAGCAGCCCACGAGTCTAACACGTATTGCCCAAAGGGTAAATCGAACTCATCGCGAAGCGGTAATCCCTGGCGAAGAATCGTCCCGAAAACATAATATAATTCTCCAGAATGACATTTGAAATACTCTTGACTTGGATCTCCATGTGGATATTCCTCTGTAATCGGCGAGTCACATACTGGGGCATTAGGTGACCAGTCGGGCATCTGGTACGAGCGATTGAATTCGTAGTAGAAGATCTCAGGGAAAACATCGTGCTTTGTACCGGCGTATGCAGTTGCTTCGTCCACACAGCGGAATATAGCATCTGTCGCTGCTCGTGCTGTAGTGTTGAAGATATCGAGTGTAAGGTTAGCCGTCGAAGGAACCGGGAATAAGGCACTCGGGGCGATAGACTCGGGTAAGCCTGATTCATATAGAAATTTCTGGATTGTCTCTCCGGAGTTTGGATAACCGATCATTGCGGCACCATCATCTCTCATCGTTCCAATCATGAGAGGGACACTCGCTGTCGATGAGGGATGGCGTAGATCCAGCTCTGGACGATCGAGGTAGACGCCATCAACGACTAGATATCGGGCCAGGTTGGTAAGACCCGTTATTGTCGATACAGGCAGTGCCCGCAGGCATTCAAGTGGTGATATCGCATCTGTGCAATTTGTCTCAGCGAGAATGGCATTCCCCACCGCTTCCATTTCCTCCGGGATGGTATAGTAGCTCGAGTATGTCGTCCCGTATGCTAAGCCACCAAGATTACTCTGCATAATGGCCGCAGCAAAGTTCCCACGAGCTTTGGGGGATGCAAGTAGAGCACGAACTGACGCTGCTCCAGCCGACTGCCCGAAGATTGTCACTCTGTCCGGATCGCCGCCGAAATCTTGGATATTGCGACGGATCCACTCCAATGAGGTGGTTTGGTCTGCTAACCCGAAATTCCCATTTGTTTCCCCATTGTCTAGAGCGAGGAAACCCAGTGTCGCGAGCCGGTAGTTGATCGTCACGACGACTACATCACCTCTTGAAGCGAGGTTCGTCCCGTCAAATGTTGAGTCGCTGCCTGTCCCGCCTGTAAATGCTCCGCCGTGGATCCAGAGCATGACCGGCTTAAGGTTGTTCTTTTTAATTTTTGAGGGATTGGGAAGGTAAGGAGTCCATATGTTAAGAAACAGACAGTCTTCTGAGCCAGAGGCAGTTCCTTGTGCGCATGCAGGACTATAGTTGAGGGCTGAGGTCTTTCTACCTGCTCCCTTGTATAATTTTGCGTATTCCCATCGGCCGGGCTGTTTGGCGTATCGAATTCCTTGAAACCTGAAACTGAATCGGTCTCGGAATCTGATCTTTGTTAGTCTGTCTTGTTCGTCCTCGAGATGCTTGCTCTCTTACCCCGTGAGGTATTCGTTGTTGGAGTGGACTGTCACCTGCCACTTTGAATCTGTATTTTGATATGTTTTGTTCGAATATGGGGCAGTCTGTGTACAGAGGACCGGAAGTCTGGTATTCGCCAGAGCACTAATTGATGACTTTTGGGTTGAGGTCCAGAAACGGTGACTCGGTGAAAATTTGCCTTGGAAGACAAGGTAATCCAGAGCAGACTGGATATCCTTGGTCATTGAATGTGCTCCCCAAAGACTCTCTCCGAGCTTTTGACAGCTTTCTTTCGCTTCTTTCCATGGTCTAGCATCGAGGACTAAAACTCCTGAGCCACCCAGTGGGCTTTGGGTCTCTGTAAGAAATGAGGCTCTGTATCCCTTGCTGAGTGCAGAATAGCTTACCTAGTAGATCATTGTGAATGAGAATGGAGATATCAGAGTTCAAAGACCCTGGGCTCACTGCTTTCGCGGTGAGTGCCCAAAGCAGCAGACAAGCCCAATTGAACATTGTATAGATTTGACTTGGTAGCGAAGTCACTGAAAAAAACATCCTTCATTCTTTATAAGTGCTCTCTAAATTGGCTAAGTGACAAGGTATTTAGGCATTAACCCCGCGCCGGCAAAGTAGCCTTGACAAAACAGGACCATCAAAGTCCATTCATCCGGGGATCACCAAAGCTTGAAAGAGGAGCCATTAAGACGAAGTGGGAGGAAGTATTATACAACCAATTGCAATGGCTTGTAGCAGAAAATGGCCGTTTTTCACAATGCTTGTCTTTGGTGGGGTTGACCAAAACCATCAACACCTACCTTCAACACCCTCATCTCTCTTCCACGTCGAACCCTACCTTTCATCAACGATATCATGGTAAATCTGCGTAACATAGCATCTTCCTCACTTGATGCCGCACCACCACCACCTCCTCCACCAACAAACCCAAACACCAAAATATCTCCGAGTGTCCTAAAATTAAAAACAATCTCCCCAGACAGTGTGCTCTTTGCCCCAACCCCAAAGACTAGAAAGCCAGCCCCAACAGGCCAATACTTCTTCTATGGCACTCTCCAGCATCCAACCTTACTTAAGAACATCCTCGATCTGAGTGAAAACCCAGTCCTGCGCCCAGCCTACCTGGATGGCTACAAGACCAAGCTCTGGGGTTCATACCCAGCCCTCTTACCCGGAAGACCGCATGACACGGTGCAAGGCTCTATTTATGAAGTGATGTGCGTAGAGCATGCGGAGCGTCTTGCGAACTATGAGACCAATAGCTATGCCACCCAGACTTGCGAGGTTCGCTTTGGGGAGGATAAGAACTCAGTCTATACAGAGGGAGTTTGTTTTTTGTTTGTGGGAAATGAGAGGGATCTAGTGGAGGGGGGATTTGATCTGCAGCAGTGCAAGGGGTTGCACAACTGAAGTGAAGTGCACAGAAGATAACCTCGGGATCCGGAGACTGAGATCGACTTGCTGGCAGCCGAGTTGGCTGAGACTGGAGGTATGGATGTATTCAACAGCCACCACCTACGCGCAAAGCAGCGATCATTCTGCCGATGGAGGCGCACTCAAGTACCTCTGCGACTGTATCGTTATTCTATTCTGAGTCAGACGATTGACTCAGTAATGCCTTACAATCCTATTCTTTCCTTGTCCATGCAAACCGGGCACCGGACACCGGCCGGACACGAAGGCTGAAAAGGCACAGCCTACGCCTCGCACACACAACCTTGGGACAGAGTACCCTCGGTTGACAATGCCGCAGGGGTAAACCAGGAACCAGCGCCATGTCGCAATTAGAATCCAAGCCGGGTGAAGATACAGGGCGCCCCCAACCGAGGGGTTGGGGTAACTGTACAGTACAATGGAATAGAAGAGTACAGAATGTGAGTTGCAGCACTAGTGTCTACTTGTACCTGCACCCACCCCCACACCAGAAGAGGGGGAAGATGAAGCCGAATAGGCCCAACAAGTCAACAGGGTTTGAGTGTTGAGTACATCTACGTGACTGTGCTGTACTTGGACCTCGCGCTAGGCATTCTTCGGGGGGGTTCGTGGCAACGGGGGGGCCACGGTGTCAATTGTCCCAGAGTACGGAGTATGCAGGATGACATTCCCACCATGAAAGGATATTTGATGGGGGTTTGAGGCATTTTCTCTGACAGGTGCCCAAGTATGGAGTATAGAGTATACTGGACGGAGTAGACGGGGGCTATTCCCTTGGAAAGTCACTAGTACTTATGACGTCGGGGGGGCTCAGTCCAGATTAGAGTGGGACCCGAGCGAGAGTGGATGTACCTAGTACAAAGGTGAGATGGAGGGGCATCGCACAATGACAACGTCAGTGGAAGAACATATGTGCAGATGCATGGACACGATTAGTTCTCTTGTCTGACTACCACTGTGGGATCCATGGAGCCAGTGTCAATCCTGAAATCATCAGGCAGTAATAGGGGAAACACGTGCCCCGAGGGAGGCTTATCAGCCGATAGATAGGGAAGGATAGGGTTACGCCCTCAAGCGCTGCAAGCGTTCAAAAGACGCACGAGCATTCGGGGTTGCTATGACTGGTTACTTGGCATGAGGGGTTTTGTACCTGGGGAGTACTGGACTACTGTAGGCCGATCTGCTCAGGGATGAGGGATCGACTCTATAGTCGAGAGATAGTAGACCGGGGGAGGAATAGAGACATAGAGGACAAAGACAGAATAGCGACAGAATCCAATAACAAATCCAGTCCATAGAACAAGATCTATAATGTGTAAGGTATAAGTAAGTTACTGGATAGCATAACCCTCGGGACTCTCTCCCTATAGACTAAACCGGAACAGCCCGGTATCCACGAGGCGCCAATCAACCGGCCCACGCGCCTCGACTTCCAAGTATAGGCCTCGTCACACACCCCTCTTATCAGGGCCATGTCACTGTGCTCATTCCAGCTTCTCTCTTCTCTTCTTCACACCTTTCACATTCTTCATCCTCCCTGATAAGTCACTTATCCGCGAAATCCCACATCCCTTACGCTTATCCCCTGCGTGTGGATCCTAGCCCTAACAGCTACTTCGCGTTGACACGGCACCCCCCGTGTCTTTCCAAGTGAAAGGTGAGTAACACTACACTCTGCTTTGTTCCTTGATAGTCACAAAGATATCCCATATCTTTGTCTGTTGCCACCCGATCTTACCCTTCCCGTGGTACCGCTTCGTCGCGTCTCTTTGACAGGTCTTCTGACTCATATACCCCCCGTGTTGCGCTTAGGACTCTTCTCCTTTCACAATCTCTCGTCATCATGGCTCCTCAAACCTCCAGTATTGCAATGGCTCTTGCTGGCAAGACTGCTTCAGTTGATATTCCGCATCGTGCTGGCCTCGATGGCGGCCGCGTTCCTACCCGCGGACAGCCCGCGATGCTGCCCACGCCACCCAACTCGATCTCTCCCACTCTTCCTCCTCAGGCCTTCAAACAACGCGTGACGCTGTCGCCTGGATCACCGCTATCGACCGTCCCCCAGTTGGACTCCGATATCGATCTCCAGGATGCCGTCGACCACGCAGACCAGGACCCTCAGTCCGCCGACCTGGACAGCGCGGGCGCCATCACCCCAGCCATGCTCGCTAAATACCACCTCCCCGAGATCCTTCTGCAGCAAGGCCCCCTGGCCATTCGCCACGTCATGGGCCACCTGACCACCTCGGTGCCAGGGTTCTCGCGCATTCCGCCAGCCAAGGCGCGCCGCCTGGTGGTCGCCGCGTTAGAGGGTCGTGGAAACGGCGGTGAGGCTGGTGGTCTAGATGGTACTGTGGTATTTGAGAAGATCGGCTGGGGCCGCTGGGACGCGCGCCGTCGCGGCGAGCCTGCGCGCGAGCGCGACATGCACGCGTCGTCGTCCCCTCCCTCCAGTGTGGCCGACTCGTTCCAGCAGCGTGGTCTACAAATCCAAGGCCAGTCCGGTTGGCAAGTTCGGCACCCTTATCGGCTGAGCTTTGCCGAGTCCACGGCATTTTCATATAACGACGACTATGGCATGCACGGTGACCACGATATGCTGGAACACGAAGCGGACAAGATGTCTCTAGACGGCGATGACGGCGAGTACTGTTCTTCGTCTGAGGCTCCGGACGAAATGCAAGAGAACGAGTGGGATGAAGGCGATGTCACGGATGAAGAGGACTGGGCGCAGATCGGCGCGGATGCGCTGCGCGCCCGTTCGCTCAACACTGGCGGCATGTTCAACAACTCCGCTGCGCGTGCAAAGCCCCAGCCTGGACTCTTCCCGGCTGGTCCTGTGGCCAAATCGGCTCCCCGCACGTTCGATACTCAGGAACGCGCCGCGGTGGAGGCTCTTCTCCGCCTGGGCTCCATGTAACGCCCCACCCACGATCGGCGTTGCTCTTCTTGCCGTCAGAGCTGGTCTGGACTGCTCTGCATGTGCCTTGTTTTTTTTTTCGCGATAATCCAGACTCTACAAAGCCTCGGCTTTTGGCTAGCTTGCAGTGCAACTAGCCCGGACATGGGCGTTGGGACTTTGGTTGGGTCTTCCAAAGACGGCGTTTTATTCCTTCCCTTTTTCTTTCTATCATGCCTTGCTACGAACCACTTGTCATCCGATTATAAGTCGTCAGTCCTGTTCGAGACTGCACTATGACAAGTCGATACCCCTTTTCTGTCTCATTTCTTCTTTTTTTTTGGATGTCTAGCTGGCTCGCAATCCTCATCGATTTTTGCCACCTGGTCATTCCGGCGTTTACCTTGCATCAGTCGTGTCAGCTACAACAGCTGCGACATCATGTTCTTTCGTACTTCGGACCTTTTTTTTCTAATACTTCATTTTTCTTCTCTTCTCACTTTACATTTTTTTTATGGGTCCACATTATCCTCTATCTCTCTTGATGACAACTCCCCAGTCAACGGAATCCCATCTCGGAACATGGTCCCGGTCGTCTTGACTGCACTGCACTGGCTCCATATTTCCACTGGGATTATCCGGTTGATTGTCTCAGTCTTCTTAATTGATCCAACTGAGAAGTTGTCCCCCCCCCTGTCGTTCTCATTTCATGTTCATGTTCATTGTGTACATTGCAAGTTTTATTAAATTACTACTTGCATTGTCCTACGGTTGATCTTAACGGGATCTCTTCTCTACTCTTCTTCTCATTGTCCTTTTCGGTCGGATACAGAGTCAGCATCGAGGATGAATGTACATAGTCATATCCCACCTTGTTTAGGTGGTTGGGAACCGGAAGTGGAACTTTATTCCGTGGCATTCAGTTGCTTCGGTTGGGCTGATATTGATATTCTCACTCTGCAACATAGCATCAATTCAATCCACGCTATACCAATAAAACCAACACCTTATAGATGAATAGTTAATAGGCAATAGTCAACAGTCCATAACCCAAACTAAGAAACCCATGAATAATCCAATTTCATCCCGATATCAAGTCCACTATGCATAACCCACAAGACCAAAACCAAGCACGCAAGCCAAGACCAGAAACCGAAATTCAACTCCAGAAGCCAAGTATAAAGATACATAAAAACACGACCAAAATGCAACCCAACTTCACCCCAAGTACAAAATCTGCTTCTGCTCCTACTTCTCATCATGCGCATCATTAATCTTCTTCCAAACCTCCTTCTCAACCTCCGCCAACTTACTGCCAGCAGCCTGCATCCACCCTTTAGCAGCACTCATAAAACCAGTCCCTTCATCCGGGAAGATATCACTTGCTCCACCGCCTGATCCACTCCCACTCCCACTCCCACCGCCATACCCATATCCACTTGCAGAAGCACTTTGATTGTACTGCGGCAGACTCTGTGGACGATGCCCAGCTGAAGTTTGGTAGACGGTATTATAAGGCGCGGATGTCGAGTTGGGGATTTGGTTCTGGAACGGGGACAGGGACTGGAACTGGGGCTGGGGCTGGGAGTAGGACTGGGATTTAGGGGGAGGGACTGTAGGCGTAGGAGGATGGCTGGGGTGGTTGTCCTCCGGTGCCTGTGCTTGTGTATGGTCCCGTGGGCGCTGCCGTGACAGATGGAGCTACCTGGGCAGCTGGGGGGATTGTCTCGCCTGCTTTGGGGGGTGGTGGGATGGAAGAGTGGGTTTGGGGTTGGGTTGTTGCTGCTGCAGCTGCAGTGGGAGGTGCTGGGACAGCGCCTGGCTGTGGTTGTGGTGGCGACGTCGTTGTAGATGTTGCAGTGACTGCTTCTGGTACTGTCTGTGTCGCGGGAGGACTGTTCAGCTGCGAATATGTAGCTGTGGCTGTTGGCAATGCTGCTACGGCGCCTGGCTGGGCGGGACCTGGGGCTGAGGCTGGGCTGGCTGTAGTATAGAGCGCCTCGGCGGAAGGTGCAGTGGCAGTTGCTGTTGTTGTAGCAGGGAGCTGAGCAGGGTGTGAGGGATCTGTCTTTGAGGCTTCGACTTCGATTGCGGTCGCTGGTTCAGGGTTGCTGTTTGAAGTTGTTGCGTGTGTTTCTACTTCTTGTTGTTCTTCCGTCTTGTTTGCGTTGACGGGGGCTGAGGTGTAGGTTTGGATACCCGATGGAGACGACATTCTGTTTCGGTGGTCTGGTTTGGTAATGAAGGTCGTATGAGAGTGGAAGGGAGTGAAGATAAAAGTCGATGGTAGCCTCAAGGGAGCTAAACGTCATGGCTGTTTCCGTGGTGGAGCCGCTGCCGCTTTGGGATTTGGCTACTTTGGGGAATTTGGGTTGAATATACACTGGACAGCACGACAAATGGTAGGATTCCGATATGTGAAGAGTTGACTACAAACCTGTATTGACTGTTGGTGAGGTTAGGGCGGCGATTCAAGCAATATTGCAGCGTATCCAACAACGTGTCTTAGACGACAGAGTGAGGCGACGTATCTCCTACCAGTTTACTGTTTACAAGATGAAAGATGATGAAAAAAGAAACAGAGTTTGCAGGCAGTAAAGTACATTGGGTACAAATAAGGGAAGAATCACACCATTCTATGCTTCAAGATCCCCCCGACCCATTTCTTGACGCATCTATCTTTTCATCCCACATCCTCGACTTCCACGCCCAGTAATTACACCGGACATGTTTGCATCCCCAGTATAACTACAGTGGCACAGCATTCACATTTTCAGTGAATTGCTTAGAACTTCTTACCGAGGAGGAGGAGCTGGGCCTTGTCGTAGATGGACAGGACACCGGCACCGGCAACACCACGGAGGATGTTAGCACCGGCACCCTTGAAGAGAGACTTGACACCCTCCTTGGCGACGATCTGGCGGGCAGCGTCCATGGAGGACTTGTACTTAACGGCCTCACCGGAGGTCATCATCATGCGACGACGGACGGTGTCAAGGGGGTAAGAGGCAACACCGGCACCGGTGGTGACGGTCCAGCCGAGCAGGAAGGAGGCGAGGAAGGAGCCCTCAAGAGGACCAACGAGGAGAACGGGCTTGATGGAGTCGTACATGCCGAAGTAGAGACCACGGTAGACAACAATTCCGAGAACGGAGGGACCGAAACCACGGTAGAGACCGGCAATACCGTCGGAGGCGAGGGTCTTGCGGTAGACATCGACGAGACCGTTGAACTGGCGCTCACCGGTACCCTTGGAGGACTTGGCGTCGTTGGCAAGACGGGTACGGGCGTAGTCCAGAGAGTAGACGAACAGAAGGGAAGTGGCACCAGCGGCCTAGGAACTGTTAGCGTGGCTCGAGAGCAGAGATTTTCATGGAAATACATACACCACCGGAGGCAAGGTTACCCATCATCCACTTGGTGTATCCATCACGCTCCTTCTTGTAGGCGAACATGGACTTGTAGGTGTCACGGAAAGCGAAGTTGAGGGCCTGGGTAGGGAAGTAACGGATGACGTTGGCGGTGTTACCACGCCAGAGAGAGACGACACCCTCAGCGGCGGCGGTACGCTTGAAGCAGTCACCGATACCGTTGTACTTGCGGTCGAGACGACCGGCCTTGAGCATCTCATCCTATAAAGTATCTTGGTTAGACCTTGTTGATGAAAGGTGTAGCTATCGATCGGCAGGCGCTAGAGAAAAAAATTTTCTCGGGCAACACTCGATGTCGAATTGATGCCCAAAGCCAATTCCGATCTTCACAGTTGATTGAAGTTGTGATTCAGACTGGTTTTCTTCTCTGCGTCCTTCCAATCGATGCTGGAAATGTAGTGGTGACCAACCTGGTTCTGGATCAGGAGCTTGATACGCTCAATGGGGGCAGCAGCGGTCTTGGAGACAGCGGCGGAAACACCACCCACTGTGATGTAGTCAGTATTTGGTTTCTTGTTTATTGGATTCACTCAGACTGCGAGTCTGATCTGAAGGCGAACAACGTACTCAAGAAGTCGACAACGAAGCCCTGTTGCAATTGTTAGCATCTTTGTTGCAATGCATACACATTCATCTTTAAAATGAATATGTTTGAGGATGGAATCGCGATTCTTCCATGTCGATGTTGATGCTTTGCATCCTCGTCTCCATGGACTCACGCGTATCCCTGGGGATAAAACTTACGGGCATGCCGAAGACCGACTTGTCGGCCTGGTTAACCTCACCGGAACCCATTGTGAATGTTGTGCAAAGAAAACGGGATGCAAAAAAAAGAGAGGAGATGGTTGTCAAGAAGAAAGAGACACCAGGGATGAGAAGGAAGAAAAGGAAGAGAAGGCGGGAAGGGGGTCACGGAAAAAAAAATACCAGACACGGGACCCAGCCGCTAGTGCCCAATCAGGACGAGCCAAGGGGGAAAATACCGAAATTACCAGGTATCGAATCGCCTCTCGCCGACTTCTCCCGATCCACTGAAAATTCTGCATTCGGCCAGTTTGCTTTGTTCTGAAGCATAACTTGCTTATTTGCTGCGAGTGTGTCTGGTGGTGTCTATGAACACCTATCCCGATGCTCTATTCGGTAGCCACACTCCCATCGTCCACCTTTACCTCTATAAAATTGCCAAATATCCGTAGTCCCGAGCAACGGTCCAAGCGTATAATTGCATACGGCGTAAATTTCCCCGTCCAATGCCGGGCCTCCACTCCCCGGGCCTCCTTTTTGCTGGCCGAGCTTCCGAGTGATATCGGACTTGCCACCGTGTATAGGGGGCCCGGGCAGATATACTCGATCTGGTCTATATTGAGTTGAGCAGGTGCCTTGGAAGAGTGTTCCTTTCTACTGTGACCCTTGGTTCCGGCCTGAGTACCAATCCTCCGTACTGGACACGTAGTCTTGCCGAATGAAAAGCATATCTCATCCCTGACAATAGCTCCCAGCTCCAAGATGATCAGGTCAGATGTATCACGAACATTGTGTACAGCGATTACATAGCACATGCAGAGAGCTATCAAATATGATCCGAGTCTCTCAAAAACACACACTGCACAGTCTGCATCTTGCGGCATGTGAGGGATACCAAGATTTATATGAGACATTTTCCAATGCAAGGTCGCAGGTACAAGCTTGATGGTGATGAAGCTCTGCATGGACGAGGTACCCAGGTACCTGTAGCACTGATGCCAGGTACCCGACAATACGGTGTATCGTGTATCCACTTTCCTTGATTCTCGACTCTTTGGTGAGCTCCATGGCGAGAAAACGGAGCTTGGGGTAATCGTAATCAAAACAATGAACCTCTTTTTCTGCCCCAGCAACGCTAGTATAGTGGGCCCCGGTCGCATGGAGAGTTGCCACTTTGGGGGTGTACAACGATTGTCAGGTTGGGATTGGAGAAAAGTATTTTGGGAGTTGGGTATATAAAGGTTTGATATGTGAGAATCGCTTGATGTGGTCATGTAAAAGCCATCATTTGGTGTCTCGGGGGTGGTTTGCCGCTGGCGGAATGTTAGGTTGTGGATATATATCAAGGTCGCCAGGAGTATAAATTCCAGGTCTGACCTTGAAAATTACCACGAATCTACACCTGAATAATATATAAACAATCGATGAAGACGTAACAAAGGCTTATTTTGATCATAATCGAACTATACACAATGGCAGATACAACACACTTAGTGCTTCTTAGATCTCTTTCTCTTCTTCCTTGTGCCATCACCCTCTCGGATATCAACCTTGTCCTCCCCAGTCTCCTCAGGTTGACGAGGCTGAACATCACCTCCAAACTTGAACTCGGGACCATCCTCATTGCCAAAGGTGTCCTTGCGCCACTCGCGGAGACGGGCCTTCTTGCCCAGTCTCTTCTGGTCACGGCGCTTCTGCTCTTCTTCGCGGAAGGAGGCCAGCTTCTTCAGACCTGCGAACTTGTTGAGCTGAGTGTCATCCGCCATGAGAATGTCCCGGGCTGTCAAGCCGAAGCTCTGCGGCGAGGTTTCGCGGTAACGGAACTTGGTGGCGTTCTTTTTGGTGGCTCCGGGGAGTAGAGTGATGTCGAGATCAAGGTTGCGCTCGACGGCATCCTCAATGCGCATCCGGTCCTTGCGGGCATCTCGCTTTTGTTCACGCTTAGCCTCGGCCTTACTCTTCTTTTTGGAGCCGGTGGCTTCGTCGTCCTCTTCCTCGGCGTCAGAGTCCTCGACTGTGGGCTGTGTCTCATCTTCATAGTCGGGGATGAGATCGTTGATATCGATGTCGTCGTCCCATGTGGGCTTCTTGGGCTTGTGCTTCTTGTCATCGTCATTGTCGCCCTCTGCCTCGTCGTAGTACTCTTCGCCGAATCGCTTTTGCATCTCCTCCTCCCAGTTGGCACCATCGAAAGCGCCGTCCAAGAAGCGAGACCAGTCATCATCAGTGAATTTGGAGGCACGGAGGCCGGCAACTTCCTTGATCTGCTCGACCTTCTTCTGGAGTTCCTCAGTCTTCAACTTGCGAAGACGGTTCTTCTCAGTGTCGCGGTGCTTCTTCTCTTCTTCCTTTTGTTGACGCTCAGCATCACGGATCTTCTTGCGAGAGCTCTTCTCCTCTCGGCGGACAGATTGCTTGTTGGTGAGATCACGAGAGTGGGTAACAATAGCCTCGTTCATCTTGTTAGGATCTTCGAAACGGAAGTTGTATGCTTCCTCCAAGGCATCTGCGCGCTCAACATCATCATCATCATCGGAGTCGAATGGGTGTAATTCTGGCTTATCCGCCGGAATCCAGGCGCGCGCCGAGAGGAAGTTGGACAGGAAAGTCTCGGGGTCCTTGTCCGCGTTCTCGATATCGAGCTTGATCTCGGACTTGGGCAATGATGTGTCCTGGCCGGGCTTGCGGACCAAGAACTCATCCGCGTCTCCCATCTCTTCGTCCGAATCGGCCGCTCCATGCAATTCCTTGACAAGGTCATTCTTCAAGTCGGCCTGCTCTTGCGCATAGGTCCTAGGAGCTGTCTCTTCCTCTGCGGGGTCAACCCCCTTCAAGAGGTTCTCCGTGTGGTACTGACGCAGGTTCATGGACTTCTCCTTGGGTCCCTTGGAGGCATCATTTGCCTCAGGGTCGAACTTGGTGTAAAATGTAACATCCTTGTCGTAGACACGGGGGTCCTTGGAGCGGATAGCATTCAGAGTTGCCGAAATCTCAGCATCCAGGGCCACTGTGGCCAACTCGGCGTCGTCATCCTCTTCTTCGGAAGTGGAATCGTCGGAGTCTTCATCGGCTGGGCGCCTTCCAAGGCTGGAGGATTTGCCGTACTTGGATTCCACTATTTCGAACTTTGTTAGTATCCATATGCAACTAGAACGGTTCAGAAAACATACGTCTCGCAACTTCCTCTCTTTTCTTGTTGTGCTCGAATCGACGAGCATAGTCCTCGTTGATCTTAAAACCAGCGTCTGGGGACTGCTTGCCGAGGAGAACACCACCGGCCTCATCGCCAGAGTCGCTATCGCTGTCATGCTCCATGAGCGTCCGCATCTTCTTAGAAGGAGGCTCCATTGTTGGGTATGTGCTTGAAGATCGACTTGATGAAATCCACGAATGGCAGAAAGGAAAAAAACTCACACCGCTCTCACCACTGCAAAGCTAGGCACTAAGGCGCCAAGGCACCAATGGTAATCACTGACGTAGCCAATTAGATCATCTCATCCCCGGAGGCTCAGGGCTGAGCGTCTGCACAGTTGAACACCCCGGATTCTTCAAGGCACGTGGGATCAGTCGGGCTTGAATTGATTATTCTGTTCTATTGCTGTGTGGCTTGAAGTGGAAGCCCGACCACAACCCCTGTTTTGGTTCTTTTTGCTCACGTCGAGTGTGTGATTGGAGACAAACAGTAGATGGCGACTCAAGCACATACCCCTTTACCCCAAGTTGGGAAGCTTGTGAGCGTGGTGTGAGTATTTCCAAGATGATTTTGAATCTCATACTGATGTCTGTTTTATCCCAGCCCGGTCGGTCTTAAAGAAGCTGCCCTCGACTCGCCCACCTTCCGTGCCACCACCCTCCATTTTTGCGACCAGGTCGAATTCATAGAGAAATGGCTTGATGGATATGCAAAAGCTGCAACAAAACTCTCCTCCGAGCTCACAGCTCTGGAGAGTGTTGTGAGCAGCTTTCTGTCTTATTCGACCAGCCCCCTCAGTGTCTCTGAGGCGGTCGTCGATCATGACTACACACTATTGGCCATGAAGAGGACTGGAGAGGGATCGAAGGATCTCTGGAGTGGGTTGGTATCATCGACTAAGAAGATGGAGGGGTTGATCGCTGAACCGATCCGCGACTTTATCCATGAGGATCTGCGGCAATTCAAGGTACGTTGGACCCTGAACGATTTTGGCCAAGACCAAAATCTGACATGATTACAGGAAACTCGTCGCAATCTCGAACATGCCCAAAAACAGTACGATTACCTACAAGCCAAATATGCCTCACAGTCCAAGTCGAAAGAAGCCTCAGCTTTGAGAGAGGAAGCGTTCCAGCTTCATGAAGCCCACAAAGCCTACCTCAAAGCGTCCATGGACTTTGCCGTACAATCTCCCCAATTGCGAAATGCACTAGATCGTCTTTTGGTCAAGGTTTCTTTTGATCAATGGCGGGAAATCCGGGGATTTCACAACCAAAACGGCAGCACATTTTCTAAATGGTCTCATGAGATGGACCGCATTAAAGGGTGGCTTCACGAGATGGAAGGGAGCGAAAGATCTTCCAAAAAAGAGCTGCTCTCTACCCGCAAGTACATCCAAGACGCCGCGGAGGCTGCAGCTCGCCCGTCCCGTGAATTGGAAGATTACAACATTTCAACTGTGCCGTACCTCGGCTCTCGTCCTCTTTCTTCCATAAATGTGACGAAGGAAATGAGACCAGAGAAACAAGGATGGTTGTACTTGCGTACTCTATCAGGAAAGCCCACTCGTACCGTTTGGGTCAAACGGTGGGCCTTCCTGAAGAATGGCATTTTTGGCTGTCTGGTGCAGGGTGCGCGAACCGGCGGCGTTGAAGAAAGTGAGAGAATTGGGGTCTTGCTCTGCAGTATCCGTCCTGCTTTCCAAGAAGAACGTCGGTTCTGTTTCCAAGTTAAGACCAAGAACAACACGATCTTGCTGCAGGCAGACAACCAAAAAGAGCTGATAGAGTGGATTGGGGCTTTTGAAGCCGCAAAACAGAAAGCATTGGAGAATCCTGCTAGCACCGATCTCTCGGTTTCTGGAAAGGTCACTGTCCAAGATCCTGCATTTTCCATTTCTCAACCCCCGGCTCCCGAGTTCACCGCAGACACTGCCGACTCTCTCACCCCGAACACCCACGAGGAGACCGGTGGTGGAGAGCGAGGCTCAACACTGCCTGTTCCAGACCGTGATGGTCATGCATTCAGAAACAGCACTGATATTGGAAGCAGAAGACCCACTGGTTTAGAAACTGAGAGTTCTACTAGAGAGCACACTTCCAGATTGATCCAGAAATTGGATCTTCATCGGAAATCCACCAACGTTGCTCCGACCCCTTCTTCCCACCTTGGCCCCGTTGGTGGAATTGCTAGTCTCATCTCTGCCAGCCATAATATTCTCCCATACAGCACAACTGCTCCATTCAATGGAAATGACGATGCCAGTCGAGGTCGCAGTTTCAGCAATGTGGAAGGACCTGGCGAGAGTCTTGCACCTGCTACCCTTGCCAATCCTCCGGCTCCTACCAGTATGAGTAAGGCTGCTGTGGTAGTTAGCAATGAGAGAGGAATTGGAGTTGGTTCATCTGATAGCACCGGTGGAATGCCTAGTGGTATGATGGCGAACCTGTGGGGAAGCTCCAATTGGAGTTTTGTGAACAAATTCCAAATGGAACAACATGCACACGATGATGCTACCGAAGGGCGACCATCTTCGACACTCAGTGATGGCTCAGTAAGCACTGTTGCTATACAGCATGACCAGCCAGAGATCTCAGCAAACAAGTCAACCCCCGGACACCGCCATAGACAGACCGTAAGTCTCGATGGCGAGGAAACCAAACAGCTTCAGCGAGCGGTGATGGGTGTTATGCACGAATACCCCAGTTATTATCCTCCTCGATTAAGGATACAAGATGCCCAGTTCCGGCTGCTTTTCCCAGATGTCAAGAGAGAGGAAGCTTTGGTGCTGGTCTTCAAGGCCACCTGGAGTCCAAATGACCAACAAGAGTTCCCCGGACGAGCCTATGTCACAACCAGAAACATCTATTTCTACAGTCATCATTTCGGATTGGTGTTGACGACCGGTGTTTCTCTGGAGAGTATCAAAGAAGTAACAGCGGCATCTGGACGAGACTGTGACTTCCTTTACCTTCATATCATCCCAGCACTCGGTAGTGATACCCCTGGCCGTGTCGCCATCAAAACCTTCCTTGAACCACTTCGACTTCTTCAGAAACGTCTGAACTTCTTGATACAACGCTCTATTGCCGTTGAGCAGTTGTCTTTGGAAGAATTGATCAAGACTCTGATCAAAATGGACACAGGCTCTCCCACCCGGACATCCAGCGCAGATAGCTGGGAGGATCTCTCATCTGGACTTGCTGACATCAAAACAGATGGGGGCAAAAATACTGCCACGGGCCCTGTAAGGGACATTCGAACCCCCATCTATATCGACAAAGATCTAGAGCTTGACGGAGGCAGGAGCCGAAGGGACATCGCCAAGTTCAGACTTCCAACCCAGCCTGTGGAGTATGTCCCGCAAGGTGACCTGGTACTAGTGACCGAAAAGGTTCTTGAAGTTAGCCCGAAAGCCTTGTTCCATATTCTATTTGGCGACAAGAGTGCTGTGTGGCAGCTTCTTCTCCACGAGAGACAAGCTCGCGGTAGGCCCATCTCCGACTTTCTCCCCTCCCCAGCCGCATTGCTGACATATCCAAGAAATTAAGCAAGGTCCGTGGACCAGTACGGAGTCCAATCATCTACGCCGTGACTTCCACTACAATATTGGCGCAGCTGATGTCCTGGGTAGGCCTAATAATCGACTTTGTTATTGAGTTGGGCTGACTCTACATAGGCAAAACCCATGATAATGCCATTTCGGATTATCAGATCATTGACGTCCTCAATGAGCATCTGTGCTACGTGATCACAGATAAGAAAACACCATGGCATCTCCCCTTCAGACGATCATTCAGGTTGGTCAGTAAGGTCGTCATTACATTCCAGGGCAAGTCGAAGAGCAAACTTGCTATTTACACCAAAGTTGAATGGCTGTGGTCACCATATGGTCTTAAAAGTAGGTGAACCCTTTCCCGAGAGAATTATTTGTAAACTGACACACCGCAGATGTGATCGACAAGAAGGCTAGTAGCGATCTAGAACAAGACGCCTTGGACCTTGTGGATCTAGTGAGTGACCAAGTCCGCCGGCTAGGCGCGCACAGCCGGACTAAAAAGGCCGTCACAATCTTTGGCCATGTTGGACGCCAAAGCAATGTTTCTCATTTCAATGGTGCTGGTGTGAACTTGAAATTGGAACCTCGCAAGCCTCGAGTTCAACGAAGCATGCATGAGCTCCTCTTTGAAACATCAGTCTCATTCATAGAAACCACCGTCTCTTTCCTGATGATGTGGACCTTTGGTGTCATTCGCTGGTCCTGGAAGACTGTCAGTGCACACAAAATAATTCTGGCTCTGTTAGCCTTGAGTGCAGTCATGAACGGATACCATTCCTCTCGAGATGGCTGGGACTGGTGGCACGAAAGAAACGCAGGAAAGCTCATGGCACGGCTTGGCGTGCAACCCAACCTCGTGATGAGCAAGGCTATCTACATGCGGGACATCGACGATGCAGTTGCGAACACCACCATCTGGCCCAGTACTGGCAATGCCAGTGACTGCTATGCCACCTTCCACGACCAGACACTGCGGTTTGCAGAGATGCCCTTGTCGCTCAGCACATCAGGACCCCGGGACGCCCTGACCAAGAGTGCAATGAAACGCTTCCAACAAACCCGCGAGCGCCTTGGAGTGTATCGCCACAATCTTCTCGTCGCCCTCCGAGTCGTGAACAGCATCGAGAAAGAAGTCATTCAGACTGAGTGGGAGCGCTGGCTCCGCGAGGAGACTCGCCGCTGTCGCCAGGTGGAGGTGCTTCTCGGCGGCGAGTCCACCCAAGGCGAGGGCTCACAGGCACGACTTGCTCAAGCCGAGCGCGTCTTCGCTGAGCATGCAGACAATGTTCAGCAGTGGTATGCGGAGTACTGCCCGAGTTGTCTATTGGAGCAGGAAAAAGTCACGGACCGCGGTGATTCCATCCCCTGAATCTCTACAACCATTTTCTTCCCGATGCTTGATACTTGACACTTGAACCCTGTACAGCCATTTAGCTTTAGCATCTGCTGCATCTTGCTCTTTGCCTATCACTATACCCGGTGGTCCCTACTCTTTGACGAAGAATCTGTTGTACATAGTTTCGGCGCAGACCCAGTAGCTCTGGCTGCATCTAATGCCATCACTTTCCCGATGAATATTCTATTCCTCAGCTTCAAGGACATAGAAGGTGATACTATACACAACCCTGTTGAGGAACCGAATATCTAATTCTGCCTTGGCTTAACCTCACCCTCCTGCACAACGTAATAAGCAACAGTGCCATCGCCACCCATCCCCCGATCAACCATAGCAAGCAACAACCGTTCAGACCCCCATTCCTTACTCGCTCTTACAGCCTCTCGCTTCTCATAATACCGCGCCAGTTTCCTCCCCATCTCATCCCCTTCATCCCCACTCTTCTTCTCCCCACGCCCATACTCAACCAGGCTCCCAGCAACACCCGGCAATTCATCAAAAACAGCAGCCATGGCCGCTAAGCTCCACGCTTGCCCGTGTGCAGTGGGGATCGCGAACATCCGCTCGGGCCGTAGGTCATCCTCTCGGATCCCATTTTCTAACATCCATAACTGTTCATCGGGATGTGTGTAGACTCTATGTGGGGGGATTCCAGAGACTAGTGTTATCGTTTGTGACTGGGGCTGGGATTGGCTTTTCGTTGAGGGTGGTGTTGCGATTGTGTGTGTCAAGAGCGAGGTCCAGAGGTGTTGGTGTTGGAGATTGTGGAGGACTTGCGTTGAGGTTGCGGTTTCGGGGGTTTTTGTTGTTGCGCTTGAAGTGAGAGCGCTGAGCGCTGAGGGTTCAGGCCGTGTCGTGGCCGGTTGGGGTTGTGTGTTTGCCATTTGGTGCTTTTTATTTTTTTTTGAGCCTGGCTGGTTCAGATTAAGCTTGCGCGAGCTTTGCGGTGGAACTTTGGGGGGACAGGGTGGTCCTCGCTTCTTGACAGGATCTAGATTATTGCTTTGCGCGATGAATGGGATGCGATTGAATTGCCCTAGGAGACAGGATTGGTGGAAATGGAAGTCGTTGCGCGGGAGTTCTTCACAGGGCCAAATCATGTGGGGCGGAGATCATCGATAAGAAGAACACATGGCTTCATTGTTGTTCTTTTTTTTTTCTCTTGACAGAACTTGACCCCTTCGATATCCCTGTTCTTATCGCATATAGACTGCATTGTTTGATTGCCTCTTTTTCTAGTCACCATGGGACGACAAAAGCAAACAGCACCGCTTCAGCGCACTCCTTCCTCGAACCTCATGCACCTCCCAAATGAATCCGACGTGTCACGGAAGCCAGGAAACACAAACAAGCCCTCTGTCGCCAATGGAAGTGTGTCCGAGAAAGCATCGGCGGCACTGGAGATAGTGCCCGACAGCCCTGGGTTGATGCAGCTTGCGATTTGTGTCCTCGGCATCTATGCAGCATTGTAGGTACCCCGTGTGGTTTCAACGCGAGCGCGCGACTAACAGACACACAGCCTGTCATGGGGAGTCCTACAGGAGGCAATTACAACTACAAGCTATTCAATTCGGCCCGCAACAGCTACAGACCCAGAGCCACCAACAGAACGCTTCACGTACTCGCTCGTGCTGAACACTATCCAGTCCTCCTTTGCAGCAATCACTGGCTTTATATACCTTCTGATCTCAACACCAAAGGGCCAAAGCATCCCATCCATCTTCCCAACGCGCCGCATCATCTTCCCCCTTCTCCTGGTCAGCATCTCTTCCTCGCTCGCCTCGCCGTTCGGCTACGCAAGCCTCCAGCACATCGACTACCTCACCTTCATCCTCGCCAAATCATGCAAGCTCCTCCCAGTCATGGTCCTGCATCTGACCATATTCCGGAAAAAATACCCCTTGTACAAGTACGGCGTTGTCCTCATGGTTACGCTGGGCGTTGCGACATTCAGTTTGCATCACCCAGGCACTAGCAAGAAAGTTGCCGCTGCTGCTGCAAAGCAATCCGGTTCCTCGGGCTGGGGGATCTTCCTTTTGTCAATTAATCTTTTGCTGGATGGTCTGACAAACACCACCCAAGACCATGTCTTCTCCTCGCCGAAGCTGTACACGCGCTTTACTGGGCCCCAGATGATGGTTGCTCAGAATGTGCTTTCAACCGTGCTGACTGCAGCTTACCTCCTGGTTATGCCGCATCTCTCGCAGAGTGGTATTTTGCACAACCTTCTGCCTTTCCCTATCCCTCCATCCAATGAGACGGAACTCTTCGGTGCAGTTTCTTTCTTGACCCGTCACCCCGAGGCGCTGAAACATGTTCTCGGATTTGCGGCGTGTGGTGCTGTTGGCCAACTGTTTATTTTCTACACTTTGTCGCGATTCTCTTCGCTTTTGCTTGTCACCGTTACCGTTACACGTAAGATGTTGACTATGCTGCTCAGCGTGTTCTGGTTTGGCCATTCTCTGTCTGGTGGTCAGTGGCTGGGCATCAGTCTCGTCTTTGGTGGTATCGGTGCCGAAGCAGTCGTGCAGAGATCTGAGAAAAAGGCCAAGGAGCAAGCGAAGCTTGAAGCTGCGAAGAAGGAGTTGTAAGCTTTCCCGCGGGCTCTAGGAACTGACATATATCATCCATACGATGAGAGCATATAGACCTGCAATCACACGCACAATGTGATTTTGTTTTAACACATCCGAGTTTTCCCCTGGACAATCATCCCTTTAAAGTGGAAAGTAAACAATGCCATGATGTATTGCTATTGATATCAAAACATTCAACTGGAATCAAGACAACCGCTCGACAGTTGAGATCCTACTCTATTTCCGCCCCTCAACCATAATAATATGATACCCGAATCCGGTCTTAACCTCAGCATACTTTGGTTTCGCAGTAGAACTAGCCTCCAGCTCGAAAGCAACATTCTCAAAGGCTGGATCCAAATCACCCTTAGTCTTCCATCCTAGCGCGCCACCTACAAGAAAGAAGTCAGTTTTGTCATGCTCAAGCCATGGATGGGATGGGATGCATGGGATATGGAACAAGGAATCCCGGCTCGAATCTCCCGCCGAGATCCAATCCCAAGGGGCCAAAATAGAGCAGAGGAATCAAACGAACCCTGTCGAGCCTTATCTTCCGAAAATTCACGGGCAACTTCGTCGAACTTCGTGCCATTGCGGAGCTTTTCAAGCGCCTCTTCTTTCCTGGCGTGTTTCTCGCACTGGATTTGATATTGTCAGTAAGTACCTGTCTGTGTTCAAGACGAGGCTTTGCGGATAAATGTCATCATCTCCAGACCAGACTAGACGAAAATAACGGAGAATATCCCAGAGAAAGCCTTGCATGGATAGCAGAGAAAGGGAAACCATGAACATACAAGGATATGGCGCACATTAATCGACTGCGCACCCTTCACAGCACCCTTTGCACCCTTGCCTTTATCGTCGGCAGCATCCTTGCCCTTGCCCTTAGCAGCCTTGGCGTTGTTCTTGGGAGCCATGGTGGAATATGAGACTATGGGCTATGAGCTATGAGCTATGTATGAGCTTTGTATGAAGCTTAGAGTTCTTTTCTGATGTGGGGTATTGTGGCCTGAGGTGGCAAGGCAGAACATATCTTAGGTGTGACGTGCCTGTGGACATCTACACTCTTTTTGTATCTTTGGCGCTATGGGGATGGATATTGAGACGGTTCGGATCGAGGGCTTGCCAGATGGCGCCTTTTATATTTCGGATTTTGTCTCGGAGGATGAAGAGAGTTGGTTAGTTCAGAAGGTATGTTAGGGACATCTTGTTGACATCCTGTTGACATCCTATTGACCACATATACATGAACATGTTCAAGGACAAGTCCCTTGGCTTGGCTATTTGATTGATATAATTTTGTCTATTCTGTCAATTCATCCCAGTGATATCACACTCACATCAACGAGCAGGTTCTCTCAGCCCCTCAACCACGCTGGACCCAACTCTCGCATCGCAGACTCCAAACCTGGCCATCACCACTAACGAAAAACAACACACTCATCGCATGTCCATTGCCATCCTGGCTGGAATCAGTAATCGGACCTCGACTCAGAGATCTTGCGATCTTCAATGATGCGCCTCACCAAGCACCAAACCATGTCCTGGTCAACGAGTACCAGCCCGGGCAGGGGATCATGCCACACGAAGATGGAGCTGCGTATTACCCACTTGTTGCAACTATTAGTCTTGGTGCACCGATTGTATTTGATATCTATGAAAAGCAAAACACTAAAGGTGCTGGCACTGCACCGGATGAAACTGTCCCGATTGGAGGGCCAAAGCCGAAACATAGGATCTTACAAGAGAGACGGAGTCTACTTATCACGCGGGGCGAGATGTACACTGAATTCTTGCATGGGATTGCAGAAGTGACGAGAGATGAGGATCTGGGTCCAGATTCCATCTGTAATTGGGATCTGCTGCGAGACAAAGATGTGTACCGAGATGGCTGGTTCGAGCGCCAGAGGAGAATAAGTCTCACGTATCGGGATGTGCTCCATGTTACGAAGATGGGAAATGCGATGAAGTTTCTTGCTGCGCGGTGACACCTTTCCAATATTGAAATTGGAATTTTGAGTTTGTGGTTGTATGTTCTAGTATACCCAAGGAATCATATACCACCAATCCTTGACCGAGTCGTTGCCGAACTTTTGTGCATACCATTTCTTGGTGTTACGGGCAGTTAGGCCTAGATTTACGACGACAAAGGCCATGCATGCGAGCATAGTTTTGTTCACTAGAGCTCCACGTGGAGCGGCTAGTAGTGAGAGCGTTAGGTAGATGACGCATTCAGCTCCGTAGTGGGGGCATACGACGCCGCTGAACATGGGATGTTGCGGCAGCGTGTACTTTTCCAGAGAGAAAAGATAGTGGTGCGAGTCGTGCTGGAGGCCTGATGCGACAAGGAAGAGTGGGACGAGGAAGAATGTCCGCATGCTTGGAGCGTTGGTGATCTTCAGATGGTGAATGGTCAGATCTTTGGTCAAGAGCGTTCCTGAGGAAGGGCTATCAGTATGCTAGCCCTAAAAAGCTATGGTTACAAGGCTGAGAATAACATACCTGAGCCCTCAATCCAAATCGCCACACCTGCAGCCAGATAAAAACTCAACCCCACGACCCAATGAACAACCCACATCTGCGAAGAAGAAGATTTTGAAAAATTGAGGCATTCCCACAACCTGCGGGATCCCTGCATAACCAAAAAAATCCAACAGATAACAAGCTGCGTCATGGACATTGACTGCTGCCGATGCTCCTCGCTCACCCGAGTAGCGATAGCCTGGAATACTATGCCCCGAGACAGTAGTTGGGCCGCCCAGAAGACAGACGAGAGCAGGGAAGCAATATAAAAGTGCGTGAAGTAGCTATGAGGCACCTGCCATGTCGCCAGATAGTCAAGGAGCCCCTGCTTCGCACCCTCGGTGGCCGGGGCACGAGCTGCGCCTGATCGGTCGGATGAGTTCGAGGTCGAAGTCGAGGTTGCGCGCGGCCCATAGGCTAGAAAGCGGTCGCGTAGAGATGCCGGGATGCTGATGGAGACGGTCTGCAGAGCAGGCGTTAGCTTGAGGGAGTCTGCAGGTGTTGGCACTATCACGGGATGGATCGTACTGTGGCGGCGGCCAGCAGGAAGAACGCGCGTAGAGCATCCACGGCGTCCATGCCTGTTACCTCTAGGGTGGTATCAACCCCTTGTGCGATGAGAGACATGTGTGTCTTCAGCTGAATTCGTTGGTCTAGCTCTAGCTTCTCGGTGCCATGTGATCCCGGAACTCGGGTTTTTTGGGGGGGTGTTTACTGTGGGGACTCCGGCCGATCATTCAGCTTTGCGCCACGGGGAGTTAATTCGGCTATCGGGAGCTATGAGAGGTCATTGGTGTATTCGACTCTTATCTTCAGAGAGAAAAGTTGGAAGAATGAAGTGGAATTGATAGAGCTATCAAGTATGATAGGACTTGACCCTAATGTACGGAGAAATAGAGAGAGAGAGAGAGAAGATGAGGATGTCTGCAGAGGCCTGCTGATGCCTGATGGCCTGACGCTGACTCATGGGTTTGCCCTGTTTGCTCGCCGGATTGGGTCACGGGGCCCGTGTCCTTTGAACGCAGTCAAGTCGTGTCTTCGGTCGAATCTGCGTCTGTTCAGCAGTCTTGGGAATGTAGAAACTAGAATGCAAAATTAGCCCTAAGTGCAAATGTCAAACCACCTCCTCCCCCCCCAAAAACGGGGGGCGTTTTCAGTAATCCACCTGCAGATGATTCACCGTGGCCACCCAGTGAGGAGCCTTACCCAGTAATGAGGTCCCATTCCTTGCCCTTCCCGCTTTTCCTCTCCCCTTCTCTTTCTTCTCTCCTTTCACTCCTGAGTTTCCCCCCCTAAATCCATCTCGAATCCCTCGTATCTCGTACCTCCGTGGTGCGATCATTTCCTGTCATACTTCTTCCGTGAACCACCCGTGGTCGAAGATCGGCGTCCGCGCACCACTGCTGGCGTTGTCGACCACGGTCGTCCTGTCGGTCGCGTATACCCCCACAAAATGACGAGCGGCATTTCAAGTCTTCGAGTGCTATCGCTATGAGTGATGTCGATGCAGTTTCTTTACCAGCTGCCCTGGACGTCGGTCAGAACACGCTTGCTGCGGTAAGGCCAGAACTTGGCCCGCCACCTAGGAATAACCGTGCCGACTCTCGGGTAGAAGATCCAAATGTGCAGTCAGAGGAGGAGAATGGGCCTCCGAGCCCTAGGGCTGATTCCGAGGCAGAAACAATAATCCAATCGGGTCGAGAATCCTTGTCGCCTGAAAAGAAAAGAAAGCACATCAAGCATGATCCGAATCGGCGAGAACTTAATGGAATTGATGGACATCGACGCAAGAAATCACGAACCCATGGCGAACAGGGGCGAGAAAGAGAAAGAGATCGGTCGCGATCCGGCGCTCTTTCCCCTTCGATGGTCAAAATCGAAAAGAGCGATGACAATGCGGAAGGTGGACTCGGGAGACCGCGCACTTTTCGTAAACGCAGTTTCAGTGACTCCGAGGAACAACATGGTCGCCACGCTTCACGCGAACTTAAACACAATAACAATACTCGTCTCTCTCGACCACCATCAAACACGCGATCGCTCTCTCCAAATCGAAGATCTCATCAACGCTCTGCGTCGGGATCTCAATTCCCAGCAAAAAAGAAGGCGCCGACGCCTTTATTGACTGGCTTTCCGCGACAAAGCTCCGAGGATAGACTTTCGACATCTTCATCAGCAAGTGGGTCTCCATTACCAGGTGTGCATCTCCGTAAGCTGGGTGGTACTGGGGCATCGGCGTCACCCGCCAAACAAATGGGTCCCAAAAAGCTGCGCGACAAGAGCGGCCGGACTCCTCTCGCAAGAGCCTGTGCCGATCGGAAGCATGACCAAGTGATGATGCGACACGCCGAACGACCAGAAGATATTAATATTCCTGATAATGCAGGCAATACCCCCCTGCAAATCGCATCGCTCGCTGGCGAAGCCGAAATCGTGAAGTTTCTACTTGATGTTGGCTGTGAAATCAACACCAAGAACATTGACAAAGATACCCCGTTGATTGATGCCGTTGAAAATGGAAATGTGGAAGTGGTTAAGCTTTTGCTTGATGCAGGCGCAAACCCGAGAACCGTGAATGCCGAAGGCGATGAGCCCTATGAGTTGGTGCCGTCGTTTGTGGACGAGGATGAATACGACGAAATGCGCAAAGCAATTGCTGATGCAAAGGCCAATCTGCGGCCTAGTCGACGATCGGAGGAACATATGCCACCGGAGATTAGGGAGCCTTCGTCGCGTCGCACTTCAGCAGCTCGAGGATCAGCAGCAAGTCCCCGAGATTCACCTCCGATGCGCAGTCCTCCCCCTGTGGGTGTGGCAGGTCGGCGAAAGGGTGGCCGAAGTGAAGCCACACGAAACGATCTCCTCTGGACGAAGCCAACATTTGAGAATCTCCGAGAGTTTGCTGCCAAAGGCGATGAGGCTGGTGTGGTGAGCATTCTGAACATCCTGCAGAAAGCCGACAATGCATCCTTGATTGCTGCGGCAAAAGGTGGCCATCACGATGTTTTGTCTCTTCTTTATGCCATGGGCGAGGCAGATGCTGATCCAAATCCATTACGGGGTCAAAAGCCTGGGTACAACACACCGTTGCTCGCGGCTATCGGTCGAGGAAAGAGTGCAGTCATCAGCCTCATTTTGAGCCAACCTGGATTTGATCCCACACGTCGACTGTTCGAAGATAAGACATATTTTGAGTTGTCTCGAGATCGACAAGGTGAAGACTGGGAAGATGAGCACAGGATTCTGAAGGAAGCGTATCAGAAATACTCGGGTCCACGCAAAGGTCGCAAAGGCGACTCACCCCGCCGAGCGCGTGGCAAAGATAAAGACGACAGACGCTCCTCACGCAAAACCTCATCATCCCCTGTTCCTCGCGCAAGAAAGCACGACAGCAGTCCCAACGCCAACAGACATCGCGATCCTATGAAAGAAGTTGATCCTATCAAGGAGAAGCGACGCGAAAAAGATCACGACTCATCACGACCAGATTTGTCAACACGACCCGATTCTTCGCGGCCCGATTCATCGAAGCCTAAATCCTCATTATCAGCCAGAAGAGATAGCGAATCAAGTGGGTTTGCACGTTCCGACGAAATCAAAAAGCGACGACTCATCGCGGGACGTCGACCTCAGGAGCGCAGACCTAGCCTTTTTTCATCCGATTCGTTGTCTGGGCGCGAAGAAGCCCCCAGACCACGCGAAGAGGCTCCCAAGATGCGTCCTGATAATGGACCCGATTCCTCTCTGTCTTTGAAGCGAATCCGTCCTGACAGGTCTCCTGAGCGATCTCGATCCCGGGGTACAGACAGACGTTCGCTGTCGCCTGGCTCGCGCCCAAAGAAGAGAAGAGTTGTTTCTGAAGATAAGCAGCCCGGTGCTGCAAACCCTGCAAACGGGTCCAAATGCGCCGACGACAACAAACCTCCACCCCGACGACCCAACGAGGAAGCTACTCGATCTGGTGATTCTAAATCCCAACACCTTAAACCCTCTGAACCTTCACAACCTCTTTCAACCCGCCAACCTTCACCGGCTCATGATACCATTAAAAAGAACGGCGAGGTCAAGATGGAACCTACCGAACACAAACCCAATCCTCCAAAAGACATGGTGACCGACGAGAAGCGTGCCGAGCTTGAAGCCAAAGAACGTCGCCAAGCTCAGGCCAAAAAAGCCGAACAAGAGCGAGCAGCGCATGAAAAGCGCGCTGCCGCTGAAGCTGAACGCACTCGCCTTGCTAAAGAAGAGGCTGACCGGGCTGCCCAGGCAGCTCAGGCAGCTCAGGCAGCTCGCGACAAAGCTGAGGATGACGACCGCAAGCGCAAAGAAGCCGAACAACGACGTGCCAAGCAAGCCGAGGATGACCGCCAAAAGCGCCTGGAGCAAGAACGTGCTCGTATTGCTAAAATGCGTCGTGAGCAGGAGGCGACAGAGCGTCGCCGCCGCGATGCCCTCCCCACCCGCCTTTCTCTCGCAGCTGACCTTGTGGGCTCAAACGATCCCCGTGCCAAAAGTCACGCCTGGCTCAAGAAGTTCATGCCACTTGTTACCGCGCTCACCCGCCAACTCGATCCTCAATGTGATGTGGAAGTGGCGGAGGAGAGATGGATTCCAAACTACCTGGTTGCACCCTTGCTAGCCACCAACGATCTCCAGCTTTCGCAGTATGCTAGTTGGGAGAAACGCAAGGCGACCCCAACTCAGCGCAATAACCTCTGGCGAATGACCCGCCGCATGGTGACCTATGTGCCGGAATACGCTGGCCACGGCCCTGTAGTTGGAGATATTTTCCAGAGGGATTGTGACAATCGTCCTAAGTACTTCGCGATGGAGCATGTCTTCTGGGTTAGGGTAAGTCATCTTTGTCATACTATGTGAATACCGCTAACATGCATTTAGCTTGCTGATTTCATGGAACTCATCCCACATGTTCCTCACCTGCATGGGTTCGAACTCCAATTCTTGAACATGCACATCGACACTGAGCCTGCCGTGATCACCTCCGACTTAAGCCACCTTCACCTCAACGGTCATGGTCTTGATGGTGCTGTTGAAACGAACGGCACCAGTCTTTCCAACGGCCATGACCATTCTTTGTCATAGTACATACGTCTTGTTTTGTTTTCAGCGTTCTTTCGCTATCCGGGACACGGCGCGATGGCAGCAATCCTCAATGGTGTACAGGGCGGATTCTGATTGTATGATTATGATACCTCTTGCGTTCCAGTGACTCTTCTACTACTACGAGTACTACTTTCAAGTAGTCAACATGTCATTTGGCAGTGATACTGATTGATTATTCTGTATCTCATATTGAAATATGTTCAAAAAAAAAACTTCCCATCATTGTAGATATTGTAAAAAATTTCTTGACAATATCTTCTCTAAAGAATCCAAAAATGTTATGTGACGCTTAAGGTTGTCTGAGGCATGTCGCAGTTTGTATGAAGTCACATGATCCATGGATGGCGGGGTGGATGACATAAGCGTAGGGCACACACAGCCGAAAAAGTCGAAATAGCGGAAAATTCGCGCGAAACCACCTTATCACCAAATAACTTCTCTTCGAGGATCACCCGACTTTCGAATAACAAAACACCAAAATGGTATGTCTATGCCCCTACCAATTCATGTCTTGACCCCCTGCCCCGATCTTGTCACAATTGAGGCCCTGGAATGGATACAATATGGTCAAGCAGTCGTCGCCGCCGCGAGGCTTGCTCCAGCCTGCCGGCACAATGTGCGAAGAAATGTCGAACATCGACAGCACATAACACACCCTGCTGGAGCATACCACTGTATCCAAACCAGTCAGCCTCTCTCGTCTCATGATCAGCTACCAACACCACCATGAATCCATGAAGATAAAGACCAAATTCTAACGAACCACAGTCGGACGGAGAAGAGCCCACATCCCCCATCGCCCCTGCCGACGAGGTCGAGGTTTCTGCCGATGCCGGCAGCGGCCAGATGTCCGTCCTGGACGCCCTCAAGGGTGTTCTGCGCATCTCCCTCATCCACGACGGTCTCGCCCGTGGTCTCCGTGAGGCCGCCAAGGCTCTCGACCGCCGCGAGGCCCACATGTGTGTCCTGAACGAGGGCTGCGAGGAGGAGGCTTACAAGAAGCTTGTTGTCGCTCTCTGCTCCGAGCACAAGATCCCCCTCATCAAGGTTCCCGATGGAAAGATGCTCGGCGAGTGGGTCGGTCTCTGTATGTATCCACCACACCGCTTTTCAGAGATTTGGTCACTAATAAATTATCTACAGGCACTCTCGACCGTGACGGTAACGCCCGCAAGGTCGTTAACTGCTCTTGCGTCGTCGTCAAGGACTGGGGTGAAGAGTCCCAGGAGCGCTCTGTCCTCCTCAACTACTTCCAGACTGAGCAGTAGATTATTTCTACTCGTCTAGGAAAGTAGCCTCGTTTCGGATGCCCATGGTTAGGTTGGGGGATTTGATAGATGGATATTTGGGGGATATGGATTTGGATGACTGTCAGAGGTTGTCCGGTTTGGTTCTTTGAACTTTTGTCAAGTTGAATTACCTAGTCTATGATCGTGCCCCGTTTGCTCGGGTGTGCGGTGCCAATGGTATCTGGACAATTTGTCTAATCCTGACAATTATGGATCTTTGTAGTCTTGTATTGCTCTGCTCTATTTGTAATGTAGATCGTTCACAGGACTGTAGCTAGGGAGAATCTTTGCGTCACTTGCTTGCCTACCAGACCGTCAGGACCGAATCAGAAGGTCATAGTGCGCCTCATTTGATATCCATGCAAGGATAGACAAACAAAGCTTCAATGATTAAATGAACGACACATAAATACCGAACTCCGTGATAGACCTTCCTCGGAAGTCACTTGCCTGCTATTGTGAGAACATTGTATAACCGGAGTTGGGACAGCCGGAGCTCGAAATCCGCCCTGCGCAAGTTACTAGTTCTATCGTTCTCTCCAAATTTCCTGAAAGGCTCTTCAAGAATTTGATAGTAAAGAAGTGCAGCACACCGCAGCGCATACTCTTTCATTCCTGACTAGCAGTCTCAGTTTATCATTCACACATGGTGAGTTGAATCTAACGCTATAAACTAGTGAAAGTCGATAGAAACCCCGTGAGTCAGCAAAACAGCCTCCGAGGCCAACCAATGAGAGAACAAAGCAGCAGCCTGAAGCCGGAGTTCGCACATTTATGAATTCCGTCCACCTCAAACCTCTGACAGTTGTTGGGAAATACTCCTTTTCTCACCAAAAAAAACTGAAAGTTAAATGCTCTAGAATCATCATATTATTTCGATTTGACTTCAAAACAGAAAAAGAAAGCTGAACGCACTTTCGGGCGAAGCTCTACTTAAATGCGCCATACCCTCAGCTTCAATCCCGAAGTCCACCGGAAAGATGGTGAATCCCGACCAGAACACAGGTGGAATACCCGCGCCATACGGACGGGCTTGCACTAATTGCGTCCGCGCTAAATGCAAATGCATACTTGCTACCGAGAGCGAAAAGTGCGAAAGGTAATTAAAACCGAGGGATGACAACCAAGAGCGGAACTAAGTTCACCACCTCTAGATGTCTTCGCCTGAACAAGGACTGCAAATCATCTGAGCCAAGCCGGAAGCGCAAGCGCTCAGCTTCATCCAAGACACAGCATCTCGAAGCCAAGCTTGATAGCATAGTCTCAATGCTGCAGGCCAACGGTGCAAGCACTGGGCTTCCAGTAGACTGGGAAGCTGTGGCTCATGCTCAGGCTCAGAGACAGACGCCACGCGATGTCTCCATTCAGATTGGATCTTCGGTTGCTCGAACGCCGGCTAGTACTGTCTCGCCGTCGACGACGGAGCATGGAGGGTCGTCTAATTATGACGATATCTCTTCGGCCATATCTATCTCGCCTGCGGTGGCACAAGAGAACCTTGACAACTTTCGCAATCAGAACCTTCAGTATTTGCCTTTTGTGAATATTCCGCCTCATATCACATCTGAGCATCTCCGCAGTCAGCAGCCGTTTTTCTGGACGTGTATCATGGCCGTGCTTACCCCGGGTACCCTGGAGAGCGACGGCGTCTTTAAGAAGATCACCGATTTTATTCAGCAAAGGCTTATGGCGGAGGCTTCGCCAAGTATGGATCTGCTTCTTGGTGTTATGACGTTTATTTCATGGTGAGTGCTCAGTGGCTTATATACTGGTTCACCCTTTAAAGGTTCTTTAGGGTTACATACGCCAAAAGGCCGTTCCTTAATTTTTATGCACACATACTCATTGGAATTGTCTCCGACCTTGGAATCAATAAGAGTGTTCCAAATGAATATTCGACTATGCAAGCATTCAAGTGTGCTATTGGCTGGAGGCCAAATCCACCTACAGCAAGAACACTGGAGGAGCGGAGGGCAGTGATGGGTTGCTTTTTGATTACATCAAGGTAAGTGATAGTATCGAAGAAATGTCAGAATCTGATCTAATGAGATACTTAGCGTTGCTTTGTCAATGTTCAAGATCGATGCGTTACGCTGGACTCCACACATGGAAGAAAGTCTTTCAGTACTCGCCGAAGCCAAGGACTGCAAGGAAGATCAGCTCTTAGTTACACTTGTCAAGATCCAGCTAGTGATAGACCGAGTTTATCATGCCCGCCGTGACGGCGATTCCTTGAACCCATTGGCGTTTTATCTCAATTCCTTCCAAACCCAATTGGAAGTCGTGAAGAGCCAGATTCCAATTCACCTCCAGAAAGACAGTAAGTTTCCACACTTAAAAAGGCTACCACCACGCCCACTAACCACAGCAACAGAAGCCGTACTTATGTACCTAAGCAACGCCGAACTGACCATAAATGAAATCTCTATCGTCCTCCCAGCGGTCCCCAATGCCCCAGACCTGAAACGCCTTGACAGCCTCTACATCTCCCTCAACGCAACAAAAGCCTGGCTAGACTTGTGGCTAAGCATCCTACCAAAGCACTACACCGTCATCTCCTTCGTCATGTTCTTCCAGTTCACCCGCGCAATCGTCAACCTATACAAACTATCCATCCTGGAAGACCCAGCCTGGGATAGAACAATGGTCCGCAATACGGCCAATCTGATCTCATATCTGGAGAGTATTGAAGCAAAACTGAAAGAAGGCGTTGACCACATCGCGACAGCTCAAGGGACGGATATGAACATCCTTGAGAAAGGATTGAAGATGGTGCAGGGGTTGAAACAGGGCTGGGAACCCAAGTTGAATGAAATTTGGTATGATGCTCCTATAAATCAGGGCATTTTGCAGGCTGGTCTCGATGTCACCCCACCCAATGGGCTCGTTCCTGAGGGCTTGCAGTTTAGCGGGTTTGATGATTCTTGGATGATGGAGATCTTGGGATCGCTTTGACTTGTATGAAATTAATGTGGAGTTGGGGGCTATTGATACATTCTACTTTTGATACCACTTGGGATATGATACTTTATACAGGAATAATAATCAGACATGGTGAAAATGCATCACTGTAAGGGTTTTCCCCGCATGGACATGACGTGTCCGCTTACTTCCGAAAGCCTCGAGTATCCTCAACCGTCACACACTTCTCTCATCTTTATACACAATGTCCAGTGCCAAAGCTGAAATCGACGGCATTATCGTTGCAGAGGCAACTGCCTGGGAAACGGTCGAAGGCAACGTCTACGTGAGTGATTGTCGGTTAGTGAGATTGCCATGGCTTATTTGACCAGTTCCCACCTTCGAGCATCAAAGACAAATCCCAGTTCATAGCATCCGACACTACGACGTATTGTCCTTGGAAAGGCGAAGCTGAATACTATACTGTGCAGGTTGGAGGTATGGGTAAACTATCCACTGGGGACTTGTATTTGCTAACGAGACACAGACAAGAGTATCAAGGATGCTGCTTGGTATTATGCCAAGCCGTATGAGAAAGCAGCAAATATCAAAGACCATGTGGCATTCTGTAGGTGACATTTCTTGTTGAGTGAATACTCGCAACTATTGACTGACGCTTGCCTCGACAACTAGACAAGAGCAAGGTGAATGTGATTATCGAGTAGGGAAACCCTCACTAGGTATCATCCACTTAGTCAAGGACCGGAAACCGTTGGATATCAATACTGAAGTATATCAGTTAGCCTCTGAATTTACAGTAACATAATATGACATGTGTGGTTCGAAAATCATAGACTAGACGTGTCAGCAGTCTAGAGGGCTAGTCTCGTACCATCAAACTGACCGTTACTTACGCAGCACATAGGCACACTTGTTTGACACAATCCACTATTCTCACAATTACGACTGTCAAATACATTAGATGTGACCAGCTTGTCAGATTTTATGTATAAATCGGACCTTCTCTGCCTCCCCAACCCTTCCTTTCTTTTTTCCCCAACTTTCAACCTTCACGTATATAACGTTATATACACCAAGTCCAACTCCCTTTTATCTTCCGAATCTGATTCTCTGACCAGACGCGTGTTTTCTGGTACAAAGGCACTGGCAAAATACAAAGCGTATCTCTCGAGATCTTTCATCGGAAATTTTGATGCTGTGCACCCTTGAGTGGGCTGTGTCGACCTTTTGTGTCATCACGAGGTTGGATAACCTGAGGGGCCATGAAATCGTTGCTACATTGCCTGCTCACCAATGCATGCGAATCCACCTGGCACCTCATCATCGACTTTATCTCAGATCCTCAGGACTTCGATCGTGCCATCGACAAAACCTAAGCCCTATCCACGCTGACACTTAACCGATCCAGCTGACGATATTGGCCGTTTCACCCTCGTCCTTCTTGCAAATACCACGTTTTTGAGACCCAGAACGTCATTCAGTTGTATCTTTATAATGTCTGCCAGATGTGATGGGGTCCCTACAGACCACAGATGACGGCGGGCACCCTCTACAGGACCTGCCACCAAAATACGCCGTACCATCCCGCCATGGTTTGTTCGTATTAGAGATGATCACTCCACTCTTGATGTCCCTGAATAAAACACCCTGATAAAACACCTGGGAAGAGCTTGCAGCCGCACATAGGGATCTCATGCCTGCGCCACGAACTCCCTCGGGTTTTACCAGTCAGAAATATGGACGCATCCCATACCCATTCCCTGCCGCAGTTCGCTTCTGCCCCAATAACCTGACCTCTCGCTGCCTAGTAAGAGGGTCCCGTTGGACTGAAGCTGGAGTTGAGCTTGACATCTTATTCGGAGAAGATGAGGATGCCGCTATCAAGTACGTGAAGTCGTGGAGACTTAAGGCACAACATGAGTATGGCCGTTTGTACTAGATCATAATGGAAAGCGAGAAATGCGCCTTTGGCAAGGATTCCTTCTTTAGAAGAAGGAATTGGGTCTATCTGTTGATCCCCCGCTGCCTATTGATCGCGAGGACGCTACTTAGTCGTCATGTTAGCGTATTGACCAAGGGACGGTCAACTTCAGAAGGGGGTGAGAATATCTTATCGTACCATCGTCCTTTCCAGACCACTTTTACAATGACCCCACCACGGCGAAAATGAGTCCAACAAAGCCGCCGGTGACGCGACGAAGGCCCTCCATACAGTCGCCACAATTGAATATGCCACTCCCTCTGACCTGTACGAGGGAGGACGTTGACCCAGTCATGGCTGGAGTTCAAAAGCACCGCATACAGCGTCATTTTCGCAGACCTGGATTTAATTTCAAGTGTTACCATGATGAAGGCAACGCCATTGAAAGGACCTGTGTCCTGTATCAGGCGTTCCATGGACTGAAAGATTCAGCCGCAGAGCTTCACAACAAACTTCAGGAGTCTCGGCTACGACCCCCTTTTCAAAGGAACCATTGCCCATCTCAATCTCCTCAATGCAACCGCCAGTTGATCCTTGAACCGCCTTCTTCTATTCCATTCCCCCGTATTGACTCGTCGCTTGGTTGAAGGGGGCTGGTGTCCTCTACATGGCGGCCTCATTGCCTAGCAGAGCCCCCGAAATATTGGAAACCCTCATGCCTATGCGTTAAAGTTGGTCCTGTTACCCGATGCTCTGGTAAATACGTGGATCATCGAGATCGACAAGCTTTCGGTGATGAATACCGTTCAAATATTCAGCACAAGGGGGCTGCGGTTAACAAGTTTACATAGTTGATGAATTGTCTGATACTAATTGTTTGTATCTTACGCCAAGGAATGTAAAAAGCTTAGCATTGCCTTCTTAAATTTCACCGTATCTCTATTCTCTCCATATGGTAATTTATTTATTGGAGTCTATCTTATTGAATTTATACAAGAGATGCTGAAGCGCAATAAATGTAAAAATGGGAATATTGGCTTGGATAGATACTCGCATAAAAGCCAGACCTTTTTATTCGACTACTCTACCAAGCGTTTTGCGAGCTAGAAAGTTCTCTCGAAATCCAGCTGCTTCTTCCAGAGGTCCTAGCTATGCAAAAGGGGCTAAGATTTAACAGAACTAGCTGGTTGTTAAAGTGATATAGGTGAATACTACATATTGTAGTGGGGAAATCACGAGATTTGTATGAATACTGCCTCAGGCAGTGATGTCCTCAAGGAAAGGATATGGGCAATCTACGACTGTAGAGAAGGATAGACAGTTACAACAATGCCACTCATTTCCTGATTCAAGATTTATGATCATTATGCTCCTTGATATAGCATCTGATTATCCCTGATAGGCATCATCTGTCTAGAGCTCACAGATCTGACTTGTTGTTGGGTTTTCTTGCCAGCATTTGTCGACCCGTCTGTTTTGACCAGACTGCCATTGAGCATCTCCCATTTCAATATAGTATTTTAATAGCTAACATGGCTTCTTTCAATGTACACATATCCATTAAGCCAACCTATGAATAGAGCTTCCTCTTGGACGACGCAATGATCTTAGTTCAACACCTTAGTCTCAGTGAAAGCATTCCATGCACCCCCGACAGCCAATGTCAGTTCATTGTTAGGAGTGAGTCTGGTATCACAAGCCAATTCGACAAACATGTTGGCAACGCTGTCTCCCAGACCTGAGTTGCCGCCAGGCTACTGTCACGATCTGGAGGCCGTCGAGGTAACACAAAAGTGTTCAAAAAAGAGAAAAGCACCTCCACTTACTATAGCAGCCCCGAGACTTATGACTTGACACAGGTTTACACGTGTGACACTGGCATACTGAGACATTGGCCGTTTGAACAATGGAACTGAGATGAAGATCGAACCGAGCACCCGGAGTTGCACTCAGGTTGTACATCCGAAAACAAGTCTTCAACGACCTGTTACCCATATTGAGTTTGTCCATAATGCCAGATGTTTGTATCTGCCGTATCGAATTAAACTCCACTGTTCACACGACGTTGATCTTCCCGGCGATGCCGACCTTAGGAAACCAATCGAGATAGAGGGAGATCAGGCCTTGTACGATGATGACAAGGATCCAACCGGGGAGTTTGTCACTTTGACTTGAAGAAAGAGAGTTGGACAGGCCTTAATGTCTGGTAGAAGATGGGGTAACTGGGGTTCTCGCAATCAGGCAGCGTCGGATATAAAATTGTGCTTTTCGCCCTGCACTTCATACTCCATCCACCGAGTCAAATCATCTCAGCAAACAACAAAATGTCTACTTTCCTTAACATTTTTGCCCTCGTGCCATTGGCACTGGCTTCTAGCCCGATAGTAACAATGTCTGATCAGGTCTGACTGTCACATTCTGTCTCCTTTGACATCATCCTACTCACACAATTATATAGCCCATGATCTTCAAAGAGCCAGACTTTGCCATGCACGCCGGTGCAGTGGGCATGCGAGTCATGGCTGATGGAAAGTGCAAGAACTTCGACATCGTGCCAGACTAGTGAGGTTCACCAATGCCACATCTAGAAAAGAACATCACTGACTGGATATCAGCCGAATGAACATTGGATCCATCTATGTCCCATGCCCAGGCGAGTCCACACAAGAGATGATGTGCTCCATGTACACGTGAGTAGAAATAAGCCGCCATCAAACGCCAGTACTGACCTGACAGCGACCCCCTCTGCCGCGACGAAATGTTCACCTTCACTCGTCCCCACATGCAATTGAAGAAAAAGTCAAGCCAGCGCGACATCGGCAGCAATGTCCGCAGCATGAAATGCATGGCCATTGAGTCTCCGCAGGACAGACAAGGCCGCATCTTCAACAGCGATAATGCCTCCACCATGAACCCGATCAGGTGCCCGAACGACACCTGTTCTTCGGAGATGCCCTGCTGGTCAATGCAGCCAGCGTACGGCATGTACTGCTCCCCGAGCTCCAAGACCTGCCAGCGTCTCGCGGTGACCGGCGAGGCCTGCAATGAGAATGTCCAGTGTCACGAGACCGCTAGCTGTGTCAATGGAAAGTGTGCCAGTGTTGCGGATCACTTACGCTGCCCTAATGGATCTGAGTGTCCCTCCGGCATGGTATGTCGTCCTCTCCGTGTCATGAACGTCTTTGGAATGACTACTGTTGAGAGGGTCTGCATGGACAACAATGATTCCCGTGGCGCAATGTGTTCCGCTGGAATGGGCTGTAACAATGCACTTCAGTGCAGTCTTCAGTGGCAGTATGACTCGTACTGTGAGCCCAGTGGAAGGTGTGCTATGAAGAATGCCAAGTGTATGTCTGCCAACCAGTGTTGCTCTAATAATTGCAATCACGCTGGAGAATGCATGTGAGGCTTAGGAATTTGAATTCGAAGATGGTGGGATCTGCGGTCAATTTGAAATCGTAGTTTTGATACTTTTGAGCTTTTGGGTTGAAATTTAGTTACTGAAATTTAATAGTATAACGTTTGTTGGCAAATATCTGCATGCATTCAAACTCTACAAAAAGTGGTTATTCCGAGAGACACCAAGGCTGTCCTGAGTTGAGGAAAAAAAGGAGGATCATCGGTGCTCCTGAGAATAGCGATGGCAAGTATTAAGAATTCGGTACTTCACTTCGCCTCAGGTAACTACCGAGACTGACGATCGGAGAATGAACGGATCATATCAGAATTTTCCCAAATCCCCTTTCCGACAAATGAGTGAAGGTCGGAAGACCCAGAATATCACGGATTTTGCCCAATTCAACTGTACCGTTGATAGTGAATCTCAATCTTGAGCCCAGGCTGCTGGTCTTATATGATTTTTTCAAGCAGTGAACACTAGAGACGTGTGAGATCAAACTTGAGAGACTAAGAATTGAAAGAAAACCGGTTTTAATTCTTTGTATGTACTTTAATGAAAGAATGGACTGTCTAAAACGACAGGAAAAAGAAGTATTCACATCGGACACAAGAGATCCCACTGTCCAGCAACTGAGACTCCCCAAGTAGATTGTACAAATCTATTGTCACAACAATTGACAATCTTCTGTACCTTGATTGTTCGATAGATGCCGTAACATATCACTAGCTCCCTGATTTGGCTCAAGAACGATTGGAAATTTAGTTGGAGGGGTTAGGCTGAGGAGTAGCGCAGACTTTGTTGCCCTTCTATTGCAAGATACTGTGAGTAATTGAGACTGGATGGAAACGGGAACATATGCACTTACAATAACCTGGCAAGTATCCTGCTTGGAGCAGTCATCGTCAGTCTGACACTGGTCATTTCCCTTGAATTTGGTCAGTATTTTGATCATACACTCATCTGAAGAAAGTAAAACATACCTCGGAACGCTTGTTGTTAGAAACAACACAGACATTCTTGTCCTGGTCACAGACCTGACCCTTGGCACAATCGCCAGTGGACTTGCACTGCTGAGGCTCCGAAGTGAGATCGTCACGCTTGTCATTGGGAGCGATACAAACGTTCTTGTCTCCGTCACAAACCTGGCCCTTGACGCAGTCATCAGTGGACTTGCATTGCTGGGGCTGAGGAGCGCTGTCACGCTTGCTGTTAGGGGCGTCACAGGTCTGCTTGACCTGATCACAGACAAAGCCCTTCACGCAATCATTGGTAGTCTTGCAGTCCTGGCCCATTTGGGAAAGAGTGTGCTAGAGAAACTTTAAATGAGAAAGGCATTCTTGTTGATCATTGTCCGGTGATACTTACACCACGCTTGTTGTGGGTGTTGGGGGCATCACAAGTATTCTTGCTTTGATCACATACAAGCCCCTTGATACAGTCCCCAGTTGACTGGCAAGCCTGACCAACCTTCGCGAGGGGAGCATCACGAGTGGCCTTGTTGGGAATACATTGGCCAATGTTGTTGCACTGCTCGTTGGGCTTGCAGTCGTTGTCGACCTTGCAAGCAGGGGTAGGCTGAGGCTGGGCAGGAGAAGCCATGGCCAGGCCGACAAGCATTGCGGACATAAAGAAAGTGGTCTTCATTGTTGCGGTTGGCTGTTGAAAGTAGGGAAGGAAGTAAGGGATGATATTGATGTTGGAAATGAGTGTCGATTCGATTGTAGATGAAGAATTTAGAATGAAGGCATCCAGTAATTTTTTATACCTGTTTATGCGGCATGTGTAAAGAGATAAACGTATTCAACTTCTAGTCCTAGACCATGTCATTGTCCAGACTAGTCCGACAAGTCCGGTATACACTGCTTCTTTCCCGTGCCACGCGTTGTGAGGAGGATGATCCCTCTTCAGTATTACGCGTATGCAAACAGTGAATAACGGAGACTGGGACATCTTCAGTGTCTGGATTCTGAGAAGTCAAGCATCCACTGGCTATGCAATAGTGGGTTGGGGTCCAACGGTGCGAGTGGAAGTATAGGTAATTCCAGGCAGCATGAAGCCCCAGCCACTACCCAGGGGGCAATTCTGGAGTGGTGGATGCATAACGCGTCTAGATCATTGTTTTCTCGATCTATGACGAAATAATCAGTGGAAAGCCCTCATAATTGAGTGGTAGTTGCGTTGGGGCCCGATAGCAGCGAGACTGGGCAAATTGATATTCACCAGAAACCACGTAACTTTCCAAACCCACCATAAAAGTCAATTACATGTCTACAATGATCCACTAAAATTGCATGACTCGTAAGCCACTGTCTGGGGAAAACACATCATCCCCTAAGGCTTAAGCTTATTTTAGAACGATCGCCAAGAACCGAGCTCCACAAGTCCACGAATCCCAACGTTCAGTTCAGTTCACTACAAGTCCCGCAAACCCACAAGGCGTCGAGTACTACGTACAGCAATATTCAAATCCAGTTTTACCCCTTCGCTGTTTCTCTTAATTCTAGAGTGCCCCCTTGAAAGTGAGTCCACACGAAAGGCATGGAGACTTCTAGGCCCCGATGGATTTATACAGGAGTGGATTACTGGTGTATTGAGAGAAAATTGGGTTTGGGCATCTGTCTTATGATTAGAAGTATAGAGATTAAGAAATATGTGATTGAATGTAATAAAAGCAATACAGTATGCATCAGCCTTAAAGAACTTTCAATCAAACTAACTTTCTCGATCTACTATAGAACTAAGCTTATATAAAGCCAAATCAGGTAACTGCTCTGATTAATTCTAGAAATCGCCACTTTACAGGAATGCTGTAGGTTACTCAACATTCCGCTTAGAGGTGATTATCCTGCATATATGTGCTACGATTGGATCAAAGAAGGCCGAGTTCGCGGCCGAGTGAACGCATATTTAGTCCATGATGACATTCCAATGGTTGAAAAAGTCCAATGGACTGCAGAATCAGGAGCGATTCCTATTTATTGGAACCAATCGACAGGAGAGTGGTTTTCAGTGATCCAGGTACTCGGAATATTGGTATGTGATAACATTCCAATATTCGGGATTTAATTCATTCCAGAGTTCATTCCAGATATCTATCTAAATACCGAATCGCGGAATCTACGATGTACTTAACGGTATACTGTAATGAATAATAGCAGATCCAAATAGGCTGGCTGGGCCCCTGCTCGACAGGACCTCACTGTCCACTTTTTCCAACATCGCCAAATGCCCTGAGAACTTGCCATAATGCTCTGTTTTCGCCCACTTCTTAGGAATATTGCCTCTCTGGTAGCACTTATCTTGCTTTTGCTATGTTTGTTCGCCGGCAGCTCACGCCAATTTTTGCCATACGCGGAGATTTTGAAGGTAGAAGACTGGAGCACCGACGACTTGTTATCTAAATATCCCAACTAACATGCGGTGCTCTAGATCAATACATCGAATTTGGATTTCCCCAACGCACCTGACTTTTTTAACGTCTACTTGATGTCCTTTTGCTATGGCCTCGAAAAGGAATGCATTGTCGATGAGGAGTCTGGCGCAACGACAATTCAAACAGTAATAACGGGTTGTTCCGATCAAAACCCTCTTTTCAGCTTCGACGCCGGTCAAGCTTTTCTTGAAGCTATAGGAGCCGCCGGTACTAATATAGCCGATGTTGGTTGGCCAAAATACTTGAGCGATGATTTCATTGCCATAGCCCCAACAACTCAAGCTATGTCTTTATTCTTTATTCTTGGTACAGGCATGGTCGGGTTATCAGTTATGTTTCGACTCGCTACTATCCGCTACATTTGGCAACCTCGACCACCCGTGCCTCCCACTAGTCTCGAGCCGCCACCCGACTACCCAGGCTTCCCTCGCTTCCCTGGCTTACCAGGCTACCCAGGCTACCCAGGCTCCTCTCTACCGGATCCTCCGCCTCCATCGACACCAAAGTTGCTCATTGCCGTGGTAAGAGCCATACACTTGACCCGGTGGTTTTTAAACTAATCAAATTTGACAGACTAGTTGCGTTTTTCTTACCACTGGTTCAATTATTGCCTCCTTAATTAGCAGCCAGTTTGTTGCTCTGCTCAATCGAAGCGGAAACCCCACTATCTCGGCTGGATCTAGCAGCAACTTTCTCGGAATGGCATGGGCGGCTACAGTCATTCAAATAATACTCACAATTGACATACTAGTGGCGATCTTACGTTACCGAGCTCGTCATTGTCGCTGTGACTGGGAGGAACTACCAGGAGAACCAGGCGTGGAAAAGTAAAAGGCATTTTTTTTGGAGGTCAATCAAAGTTAGCGACTTGATAACCCAAGGAGTACGCAGAATCAGCCTTGCTTTGTGGCATCTCCATGTACATCTGTACATGGCAGTCTTACGTCTGTCAGGACGACTTCCTAACGGAATGGGGCATTTTGGAATATGAGGGAAAGAGAAAAGGTAAACCGGATTTAGATATTACTGTAGTCTCCATAGTTGTTTCAAATACTCTGCGCTACGTGTCGTCTGGTCTCAAATATGAATCTGAGACCCATGGGATTCGAGGTAGTCGTTTGTGATCTCAATAATACGTTAGATTCAGTAGGCCTGAGGGGAATAAATTCAGGCAACCTGATGCCCGTTTGGTGATGATATAGTATTCGCGCTGTCTTTCGTGTCCCACAAGGTCCGGTACGGTGATCAAAAAGATTGAGTAGAATGGACGATCTCAGGACCTTTGCAGAGACTTAATATTCAGAATGGAGAAGCTCAGGCTTACTGACTATTGCTTGTGCAAGTCTACAGGACGGCATTCCCCCTGAAGGGTTATTCCGACTTCTTATCACGGTTTGAGTCGACGTAGAGCTCTGAAGGAATGCAATTTTAGATACACATACTTGCGTTCATTCATCATTACATTCAAAGCTGACTTGGAATGATATTTGCTTAATCTGTGTGGGGCCACAGCCTCTCAATCCTGTTCAGAACATCCTTTTGAACCTCACGGACAATATCTCCCGCCCCCTTCACCTCGTGAATCAACCCAACGGCTGCACCAGCATAAGTAGCGAGTCTGCCTTCTGGCCCCCAGCCTTTATCACCCGCCTTGGTCGCTTCATCATGAAGTTTCTTGAGTTCGTCAAAAGATTTCCCTTCCTGTTGCTCAATGAATGACTTGTTTAGGATGGTCCTGGGACTGTATTCCTCCGGCCACCCAAAAGTACCTCTGAGATGATTGTAAAGTAAGGTACGAGTCGTTGAAACCGCCCCGTCAGATGCACGAACAACCTCATTTTGATATCCTCGACTAATCCGTGTTTCACTGGCAGCTAGGAATCGAGTTCCCATCACTGCACCGGAAGCCCCCAGACACATCGCAGCTGCAACTCCACGTCCGTCGGCAATACCTCCAGCTGCGAAAAGGGGGATTTGACTGCTTGACATGACATCGGCCACCTCGGGAAGCAACGCCATGAGTCCCATTCCATCTTTCGCCCGACCGTGTCCACCGGACTCGGACCCTTGAACGACGACAACATCCGGCCGCTGGTTACTTTGAAGAAGTTGTTTTGCTTCTTTTAACGTACCAATCTGAATCCATATCTGAGTTTCAGGAGATGCGATTCGGATTTTGCTAGACCAGTCATCAAAGTCCTGCGGTCCCTGGCGAGGGGCGTATAACCACGCCGCACAAGGCTTGTATTTTTCAATTCCAGCAATCGCTATGTTAATATCATCCGCCCAGAGCTGATACCCGACACCAATAGGTAGAGTAGAGCCATTGTTTGTGATTTTGTTGGCTGCTTGGCGAAGGAGCGACGATGCTTCTTCGAGATCGTCGCTTGTGTCTTGTGTTTTGGCCCCAGGTCCGATAAATCCTAGACCTCCGGTACGAGAGACCGCGATTGCCAATGCTGGACCGGACATGACTCGCATGGGCGCGCTGACCACGAAAGGGCTGGATACCCATGGATATCGGGACAACAGAGTAGAAGCCATTTTGGGTCCTTTCGCCGCGGTCGTATATAACGGAATATAGACAAGCAACGTATGCTCAGAGAAGATATAGTTTAAAGAAAGAGATTCAGAAGAAATCCGAGTGAAGTCGAATGTGAACAATGTTGAGTTGCCGAGGCCGACGTCACCAAGTAAATACCCGCAATAGCCGCCTTTTCGCGCTCGACGTCGGCAGCTGCGGAATCTCGCAACTTGTCGACTTTGATTTCCGACTTTGATCCCCAAAATGTTCCAACCAGGGTCATTACGCAAACGCGCTCGAATAGCATGTGACCCATGCAGAGAACGCAAAAGAAAATGCGACGGCGTCGATCCCTGCACCCCCTGCACTCGATGGGGCTATGACTGCCATTATCAGAGTCAACGGCGAAAGCGACGAGTTACCAAGGAACAATCTGAACCGGAAGCCCCAAACGTAGCGAAGTCTCCAGTACATCAAGATGTGACAACGGATACTCATGGACTAGTGCGTCGCCTGGAGGCCAATTCCGGTGCTGCATTCGTGCGCAAGATGGGGTTGAAAATTAATCCCGCAAAAGCGCCGAAGCTGAGCTTGTTTGGGTGGAACATTGGTACTCGGAAGCTATCATCGGGATTTAACGGCGTCAGTGCTCATCTGTCCATTACGGAGATTACATCTTTGGAACATATGAGGAGCCTTGCTCAGGTCTACTTTGATAAAGTAGATCCATGCTATGGGTTCATTGACCGAGATCAGTTCTTTGAACGGCTAGAGGCCCGCTGGCAGTCATCATCTGTTAGCAAACTGTATGATAGTGTTCTGGGGGGTGTCGCAGCTATTGGGTGTCTTTTCTCACAACGAAAAATGTCCGCCACAGAATTACATCTAAGCGGATCAGCACAATCTATTCTGGAGATGCATGTTATGCCTGGGACTCCATCGATAGAACTTCTCACTGGATGGACGCTACGAGTCGTCTATTCGCGAATGACAGATCTCCCACACTCAACATGGATAGCCAGTTCAAGATTGATGCATCTGATAGAAGCGGCGGGATTCCATTTGGAGTCTACAGACTCGGTACTTCCAAGCAGCAGTTCCACCGCACAATGCGATCCGGAAATTCAAAGGAGACTATTCGGTGTGGCACAGCATCTGAATATGTGGACTTCCTTTGACCTAGGTTTGTCAAGGGTTACTTTTCAAAATAATGATCTGCCACTCCTACCATCAACAAAAGCTGGCGACTATACAAACGAGCTTCTTGGTCTCTTGCCTATATCAGCAAGTCTGGATCCTGGACAGTCAAAGGAAGACGATAAGGATCTCAAACTAACATTGACGGAAGTGTTGGATAGAGTCCATAAGGAACCACCTTCCATCATGGCCCAATGCAATCTTGTACTCTGCATCCTTCGGAGAATGCATAGCCAGAATCTTGACATATCCTCTTCTCTCGCAGAAAGGGTCCTGGCACTGCTGAAGAATGGACTCGGTTGCGCCGTGAAAATGGCAAGCAGCTGCTCTCCCTGGCACCAAATGGCAAATGTGCCCTTTCAGATCATTTGCGTTTTGCTTGTGATGGATACACGCTCATCACTGGCGATGCTCTCGGAGGCGATGGAGACATTGAAGCTTGTTGCATTAAATTATGATACAGAAACTATGAGGGAGGCATGGAGTGCAGCCAGACTTTTGGTGATGCTTTATCAGCAACGCAGGAAGGATGACATAGCAATCTTCAGTGAGGCTTTGAGCATGGAATCACAAGAAACCACAGTCGGGCCGTCTCCACAGGATGATCCGAGTGCAGAGGAGTATTCCTGGCTAGGAGCTTTGGTTGCTGATTTACCGGGCTTGGACAGGATTGACCTTGATCAGTTCCTTAGTGCAGATATGATGGGTAGTACAAGTTTCCTCGGAGGAACTGCCTGAAGAAAATACTGCATGTAAAATTTCAAGTTTCTATTTTCCAGATTGGATCGATTTGGAGATTCCTGCACCCTTCATGCAAGGGGTAGGTAATAGGCGTATCCGGGCATCACCATTCTTCCGCAATATCCGGTTTACTTCTATTTCATCCCGACCTGACCAAATTGGTCGGGCCGTAAATTCCGCCGCCGCCGCCTACGCGAGAGCTCTGCAGGTGCAGCAATGAGAATACATTCAAATACTTAGGGATGTACTACTAATGCAGAGAGACTGACATCGCAAGTACTTGCCTGAGATCGTTGCTAAACACGACCACAAAACAAGAAACCAACATACTGGCATACGTCCATCGAAATTTCGGTCCAAAATGATCGAAAAGCCATCAATCGGAGCAGGGAAACCGTTCCCGGATGCTCTTCCAGATTCAGATAACTATGTTGTCGATTTCGACACAGTCGATGACCCCTTTCATCCCCAAAACTGGACATTATCAACCAAGTAAGCCAAATAATCCATTTCTGCAACCCAAAACACTAACAACAACATCACAAGACTATTCACATCCATCCTCGTCTGCTCAGGGACATTCATAGTCTCCCTCACAAGCGCAATATTCGCTCCAGGAATCGACAAAGCAAGCAAAGAATTCGGCATCGGAACAGAAGTCGGCACACTAGGAACAACACTCTACGTCCTGGGCTTCGCATCAGGACCCCTGATCTGGGCACCCGCCTCCGAGCTGCGCGGAAGAAAATGGCCTCTGACAATTGGAATACTGGGCGGGGGGATTTTCACCATTGCATCGGCTGTTGCTAAGGATATCCAGACCTTGATCATTTGCCGGTTCTTCGCTGGGGTATTTGGCGCAAGTCAGTTGACTGTTGTCCCCGGTGTACTAGCGGACCTGTATAGCAATGCCACTCGTGGTGTTGCAATCTCTCTGTACTCCTTGACTGTTTTTCTTGGCCCGTTTATGGCTCCGTTTACTGGGGGTTTCATTGCTGCGAGTCATTTGGGTTGGCGGTGGACTCTTTATATCCCGGCGATTTTCAGTCTTGTTAATGGTGCCATCAGTGTCTTGTTCTTGAGTGAGACTTATCCGCCTTGTCTTCTCGTGACCAAAGCGGCTGCTATTCGCAAGGAATCTGGGAATTGGGGCATACACGCCAAGCAGGAAGAAGTCGAGATTGATATGGCTGATCTTGTGGAGAAATACTTCACGCGACCCGTGAGGCTGGTTTTCACGGAGCCGATTATTTTGGTCTTGTCGCTGTATATGTCGTTTATCTACGCTCTCGTCTATGCTCTCCTTGAAGCATATCCCTATGTCTTCGAGCATGTTTACGGCATGTCCCCTGGAATTGCAGGTCTGATGTTCATTGGACTTATGATAGGTGTTCTGCTTGCCTGCTCCTATATTCTCTTTCAACAGGTAGCATATGCGAAGAAGTTGGAAGACAATAAAGGCGTTGCAGTGCCCGAATGGCGTTTAGCACCGACAATATTAGGAGCACCTATTTTCACAATCGGTCTTTTCTGGTGAGCTCAAGAACCTCATCTCAGGGCGACCCATTTTAACCCATTCCATACAGGTTCGGCTGGACTGGATTCACATCCACCATTCACTGGGCTGCACCCGCGGCATCTGGTATCTTCATTGGATTCGGCATTCTTTGCATCTTCCTTCCGTGTTTCAACTATCTCGTTGATTCCTATCTGTCCATGTATGTTATTGAATATTTCCCAGCATAAGAGGACGAGAATCGCGCTGACTAATTGATCATAGTGCTGCTTCGGCTGTCGCTTCACATATCATGCTTCGATCTACCATAGCTGCAGGATTCCCATTATTCTCGAGACAGATGTTTCAAAACCTGGGAGTGCAGTGGGCGGGAACGTTACTTGGCTGTTTGGCTGCAGCCATGATTCCCATCCCAATCATCTTCAGATCCTATGGACCTTTGCTGCGAAGCAAAAGCAAGATATTCCAATAAGTATTCGCAAACCTGCACTCAATGAATACAAACACCTAATATTATGGAGTGGCGAGGACTCAATAGTTCATAATCCCCCCAAACAACAACCCGCCCTCCAAACACTACTCACTTCCACTATATCCCAACTCAAAGTTCAATTCAAATCACCAATCTCGCCCTAGCCCTCAGCTTTTCCCCAAAAAACAAAATAATCAAAGGAGCCGGGACCCCAAAAACCAGCCCAACAAACGCAATAGTACTATTCCCCCACCCAAACCCAAGAACCTGATACAGCCTCGGCGCAAAAAGCGGAAACAAAAACGCCGTCAAACTCCGCACAAACTGCGACGCAGCACCAGCGCTACTAGTATACTCCGGATAAGCCTCCATAACATACGCCGTCATCGGCATACCAGTAATCTGCATGCCAAGCATAGCAAAAAAGATCCCAACATCGACGATCACCCAATGCAGCCTTGCCTGCGCCGCCCATCCATACAAGAAGAGGCCCAAAGGACCGAGGATCGCGCCCGGGAAGACGAGCAGAATTCGCGATTCGGGGCGGTGGGCTTCGTCTGCGCTGGAAACAGTGTTTGATTGAGATATCCGACGACGGTATAGAGCATCCATCATCTTGGCGCTGATCTGGCTTCCTGCTATTTCGCCCAGAGCGCAGGATATGTAGTGTAGTCCGCTTATCTCGACGGACTGGTGGTATTGGTTTATCCAGAGATCGGAGAATGTCGTCAGGACTATGTAGAGGATGCCGTAGTAGAAGGCGGAGATGAGGGATGTGATTTGGATTATGGGGTGGAATGTTAGAAGGTGGATGGGGCGGATGAGTGCTCGAGCTAGGATTTTGGGGAGGGATTTATTTGCGTGGAGGCGTTCTTCTGTGGTTTGGTATTGGATATTGCCGGTTTCTTTTCGGAGATTCTTTGCGCGGTGCAGTAGGATGGTTGGGGCGTGGGTTTCTTTGAAGGCTGTGAATGATACTAGGATCATTGCGGCTTGGAAGATGGATGTCGACCAGAACATCCAGCGCCAGGTTGTGCGGCCGGCCATGAATCCACCGATTATAGGACCTGCGCTTTGGTGTCAGTTCTTTTGGATGCTCAAATAATTCAAAGTAGGCGTGTCATACCGACAGCAGCACCCAACAGCGGAATTAATAGATAGATCCCTAATGACTTGCCACGCTGCTCAGGCCGCCATACATCACCAAGTACCCCATTAGCTAGGGCATAAATAGCACTAGCTCCAAACCCAGCCAGGAATCGGGACGCAATCAACATCTCCTTGCTATTCGCAAATCCACAAGCAATATTCCACACCAGGAACCAGATATTCGAGGCATGTAGGATGGGCTTCCTTCCATAAACTTCAGACAAAGGGCCAATAACCAAAGGCCCAAACGCAGTGGCCAGTAGGTATATTGAGAGCGCCATAGCCGCCTCAGTCGATGACATGTCGAATTCTTTGGCGATGGTTGGTAGAGCTGGTGCCATGATTGTCGATACCATTATTCGATTGAAGCCTGTCGCAGAGAGGACATCTGTCACGGCCCATTTACGGCTTGTTCGCCAGTCTTTTGGGTTTTCGGGATCGAATGGTTCAGTGAATGTCACTAGAGTCGGATCATCTTGTTTAGTTGCTGGAGTTTCTCTCGAACCCAGCTCTATTGGGGGTGCGGATGCAATTATTTCATCGGACTTATTAGTTGATGCGGTATTCATGGTTGAGGTGCGATGCTGAGAGGTAGGTAGGATTCCGCCCAGATGATGCCGGGTAACTTGGAGCCTAAATAGAGGAGACGGAACTAGGGTTGCGAAGATCAGATAAGGAGTCAATCTGATCTGATAAAGAAATACGACATTCCTAGCTGCTTTGGGTATATTCAGTTCGTAAGGCGCTCTGTTCCGCCATGGCGCAACACGGATCTCACCGCTGCCGGCTCTCTGACGCTTACTGCATGATTTGGCTTGCTCGACTACAAGGCAACCCTGTCTATAATAGCCAGTGGAGTCTTTCTGTGTTTGCGAGTAAGTCCATTATCAGTTCTGGTTGCCTGTGAAAATTGAACATGTTGAATACGCCTAAATCTATTACAACGTAATCTTGAATCATTTCAACCCACCAAAGTGGAGGTGCATTGATCTCTAAAAGTTAATGCCACCCTCAACTTAATCAGTGTTAGTGTCAATAAAGCTACTGACAGCCCAACCATTAAGCATAGTGTAGTCGGAATAAGGCGAAGTTCCGTGCAAAGTCTCGTAATGCTTACGAGGACCACACTCCCTCAACTTAGTTGAGTTCGCGTTTACACAGTGGTGATGCATGATAGCAGCAATCTGTCTACCAGCATCCTGTCCCTCAAAGTATGCACCATGCAAGAAGCCAAAGAAGGTCGGACTAGTAGCCTCACCGGCAAACCAGAGTCGGCCGGTGTTGGCGCGCAGGTTCTGGTGCATTTCCAATGAGGTGGATGGAGGCCAGTTCGAGTAGCTGCCGTAAGACCAGGGCTCTGATGTCCAGCGGGGGTACATGAATGCTGTTGGCTCGGGGATGTCCTTCTCCGGGAACATCTTGCGCAGGACTTCCATGGCTTCCTTTTTGGTTTGCTCGTCTGATTGGCGCTCGGCGCGGTAGGCGAATTCGTTGGTGACGGTTACGAAGATGATGTTTGAGTCTGGGAGGAAACCGGGGGTTGAGAGAGACTGCCAGATTGGGTACCAACCACGCTGGACTGGGTCGGCGTAGAGGTGGTACTGTGTTTCTTCAGGCCAGAAGGTCTCGTTGAACTGGAAGAAAATCTTGGTATAGGTGCCCATGGTGAACTTCTGGATAGCTTCCTGCTTCCAGACTGGGAGTTCTGGAGAGAACTGGACAACGTCGTTCTGCAGGACGCCCAGAGAGAATGTGCAAATGGCATACTCTGCCTCGACACAGCTTCCATCCTTGTTATGCACAGTAACACCATGGTCTGAGTAGGTGATATTCGTGACCTCGGTGTTCAAGTGAAGACGGGGATCATTCTTGCTCAGGAAAGTTGCAGCCTGCTTCTTCACAATATGGTTGAATCCACGCTGATCCAGAACAAAGTTGTCATGGTCACTGAAATAGTTTGAGGTCAAGTTATCGCCCGCACATCCGAATACAAGAGAACTCTCCAGGGGAGAATAGGCATCCTCAAAGTCTAGTGGATGCAACGTCAATTTTATTGTATGCACTCATATTGTATGCACTCAATGCACGGGAAAACAGGACTTACCCCATGTCCACCAGTCAACAGCTTGCGCCTCCATATCGTGCGGCTTGGGATTCCAGCCAGCCAACGCAAGACCAGACTTGGCCGTCTGATCCTGCAAGTTCTGAGTGAGGATCTCACCAGCCCGCGCACTGGCAATGCTATAGGCCTCATCACACGCATTCAGTAGATGACTATAGTCAGAATAGCCATGCTGGTTGTAGGTGGAAACATTGTCGTAATTTGAATAGTGGGTCTTCAGCCCGTACTCTTGAGCCTATTCGGAGATCAGCGAGATCGAACAGCTGAATCTGAGACAAAAGAATTGTCGACCCACCATGACCCAAATGGGATTCTGTGGTCCTCCAGGATTTCCAAGGCCTTGCACCTGCGTTTTGTTAGTGGAGATCTTTTTGTTTGCTTTTTATCTGTGTGTTTGAGAGACATACCCAGTTGGCACCCATCTCGATGATATATGGCTTGCCATCTTTATCTTTGCCGAACGGCTTGTGCCAGGCCCGGCCACCGATTGTGTCACGGTACTCGAGAATCGCAAAGTCGTGGACCGAGGCATTACTCAATGTTTGCTATGGCGGTTCAGCTGGGGGAAGTCCAAAATGAGTGGGATGCGAGACTCACGGCTGCAGTTATACCCGCCACACCACCTCCCCTGTCCCGTGTTAGCTTCTGAAGGACTCGACATGTTTGAATGAAGCTCACAAGATGGCAACTTTGGTCTTTTTACAGGTTCCTTCGGGGGTCTTCTGGGGCGCGCCTACCGCTGGCTGAACAATACAGCCTGCTATCGCGGCCAAAGCGGAAAGGTGCTGCAGATGCATTGCAACAAAGTTGGTGTGTTTAGTTGAAAGAAAGAAAAAGCGCCCGGGCAGTCAATTGGAATAAATAGTTCCTCATGACGATCTATCGACCCACCCCATGCACGGTGAAATCCGTCCGGAGGGCAAGTGACAAGACCAAAATCCCAGTTGCAACTTGAATTGACTGAATCGGGCAAGTACATGCGTCTTGTTAAAGTTCGATGTCATTTCTGCTTTTCCCCTTTTGGAGATCTTCATGGCTTACATTCGGCAATGGGAAAAGTAGGCCAGAGACTAGTGTTTTGGAGCTGTTTTTGACTCGGAGTTGATAATTCCGAGGTTTCCCCACATGTCTCAGGTCTACAAATGAGAGTGTAAGAGTATAACGGGTGTGAAGTAGAGATGAATCAATATATATGAACATTGGACACAACAGAGAATGGTATTGTAAATACTCAAAGGATGATTCGAGGAAGAGCTAGCAGACGCGCTAGGAGTTGATATTAAAGCTGGAATGCGTTCATGAATTGCTAAGGAGTACCGGATGGAGTGTTATAAAAGCCGAGCTGGGTTGAGAATTGTGAGAGTTCATTGATTCTGCTCTCGATCTATTTATCTTTCTATGTGGCGGAATGTGACCTCTGTCCTATTCTTTTGTTTGCGTCCTCTTCATGTTTCCCTGCCTCTCTCCAAGGGATTTAGCGTGCGCGACCTGGTGTCCTTCGAGACATTTCTTGGTCTGGCTTTATGTGCCCGAGTAATCTCATATCAAGTGTAAATGATTCTATTGATTGATTGATTTCTGTGTCATTTTGTAACAGGTTTATAACAAAAGTGTTGTCACCCTGTGCAACCAGCTCTGCCTTTGCCTTTCCATTGTAAATTGCCGGTATCACCTTCGAGTTCTGCTATATTAGGTGGTGGATATTCCATCGTTTTGGGGGTTGGTGAAGGCGGCTCTGGTATGTAATTCTCCGGTACATAGTGAACAACCTCCAAAAATTCAACATGCAGCGATTCGTACCCAATCATCCCAAGATCCTTCAGCTGGCCTCCCGCGTGGATTATACCTCATCTTTTCTTTATAGATTCTTTCTCCTTTCTCGTTGGCGAACTTGATGAAGTAAATAAGCCGCCTGGAAGTTTGTCCCTGATACTCACAGGTGCCTTCTTTCCATATTGCAGGAACTTGGCCCTTGAGCGCCGCCGAGGGATACTCAGCTGGATTTTCACCATCAATGTGCCAGCAAGGTAACCCTCTAAACTTTTCAATAGAAGAGATCGTCCCCTGATCTAACTCTACAGGGAAGTAGATTGTTAGGACCTCATATAGCATTTGAGGAGGAGGGATCGTGCAAGTCACTCTGTTTCTTTGCGTGTTTCGTTATAGTCTTCTTAGGATTCTTTGCACTGGCACGTCCGGCCGATCGAGTAGTAACAGGCATAGTGTGATGGGCTAAAAAGCCGGTGCCAAACACAACATAAGAGGGTGAGAAACAAAACACTGCACTTCCAGACAGGCTTCCTTTCCATCTGACCGACCATTGTTTTCCGGTAGGTCACCCAAATTACAGTGTTTAAAGATTCCGGCAACAATCGAACTATAACTGCCGTAATATAAGTCAACTTATCTAATACAGTACTAGTACTTAAGGGTATGCTCGGTTTTACTCAGTGAGCAAAAAGCGGCAAGGGAAAGCCAAGACTTGTCAGGCATTATCCTGTATGCAGTAGACTATATCCTTGTATAACGATCCCCGATTTTGAGCATCCTTATCGGCCTTCATTCTGCAGGAGTTCTGATAGGCCGAATATGCCGATCTCAGGCGTGGATTGGTGAATGTCGCCGAGAGATTCAGGGCAGTTGTATGCGAATTTCCTCGCGATCAGACCCGGAGCTTATTTCTGACCCGACGGGTTAATGTATGAAGTGGACACTGGACTTTGCGGAGCCCCGCGTTTTCAGTTCTTGAATTATCTAGGATCATGTCTAGCTTGCAGTGGCTAGGAGACTGTGGATACTGATCGCGCCTCATGCATTGTCCTGACAGAAATGGTCTGTCGGAGCGAATGATGAGCATGTCAACTGAAATTCCACGGAAGACCTACATGCCATCCTAGGTAATAATAAGAAATAGTGGATTCGAGCTGCCGTGCTCAATGAAACATGTCAATATTCCATGACAATGAGGAACAATGAGACAAGAGAAGCCGGACCTCCTAGATTCATACATACAAACACAACACAGAAGAAGGGGCGAGACATCCCGAGATATAAGTAGTACCGAGTGATAACCACTCCAGAGTGATCATTTTGTTCCGCGACAAAAAATGCAGAACTGTCCCAAGTAACAGTAATAAAAAGCAACACCATCTAGCTATGCAAGAGTCAATTGGTCATGTCAGACGCCATATGACATGTACCCAAAACGCCAGATCATAAAAATTGAATGTTCAAATCAACAGGGCCAGAAGACTATTCTGTGCCAAAATCAAAGTTAAAACCCAAGAAAGAGAAGACAAGATGTGCACTGGTGAAATTGCTTCAGCGGAATCCATAAGAGGGTCTCATCATTTGTGGCCTCTGTGGCTTTAGGGAAAGCTGTTGGTAAGGAGAACTTCCGGGATCGTAGTACAGGCCTTCGATGTGCCCATCCTCACGACGGAGGGAGATGTAATAGAATCCAGAGATAGTTAAGCCTTGTCGGGCATCGGTCGGGGTAACGAAGCATCGTTCTAGAAATGTTAGGATCTGGAGTTCAATGCATACGCAATGGTGTATTGTTGCCTTTGAAAGGGAACTTACCCTTCCATCGCATCAGAATCCAACCAGTGGACAATTCCTCTGTGATCCACTTTCGGCTCACAAGCTTCTGAGCCATCTCGCCATCAGTCAGATCCTTGAATGGCTGTAGTTCTCGCCAATAAGTACTGTCAATGTCTGCATCGGCCTTGAAGTTCTTGGTCTCGAGAGTGTGTTTGTTGAAGTCAATAATTTCTCCCTCCAGGAAGGTTACAATGTGAGCATCGTGCGTTGGTGACGTTTTATCAGGAATGTTGTAGGCTTCCATCGTGCCGGACAAAGTCATATCATCGAGGTTGATGTCATGGATAGTAACCTTGACGGGCCAGTTCTCATCGCGGTTGTTGGCCAAATACCGGCGACCACTAGTGGTAGATACGCTGATCCTAGCGCTGTCGCTGCCATTCACAATAACCGGTTCACCGGGGGCGTGCGGGCTAGGAACCCGCTGCGGTAATACGGAGCACCCGGCGCTCGCAGCGCGCTGACAGCCTGAAAAGGCCATACCCGATCGAAGCCATGAACACTCCGGGGGAGGTGCGATGTTAGGAGTGTAAAGAATGAAATCGGTATCAGTCCACGATTTGTTGTCCATATCGAACGGTAAGCGGCTATCAGCGGCCGCGAGCATGCTCTCTTCGAGAGAGGTAGAGTACCGGAGGCGGTCAAGATAGTTGATCGTTTCTTTAAGGACATTACTGGAGAAGCTGTCAGAATGTAACTGGCGGTGAGCGGCGGCGCGAGCGCGCAAGTCGTTATGGGTGAGGATGTTGTTTGAGTCCGAGCGGTTGGAAGGACGATAGCGGTAAGCACGAGACGCAGACGCCACCCCGTGATCAGCGTCTTCTGATTCCTGACTTTGATCTGAGTACCGTTCCAGGAGATAATTTTCGAGTGTGCGAGTTCTTGAAAGTCGGGGTTGGCGTCTTGCGGACTGTAGCAACGCTGCCATTGCTGAGATTGGCGGTTGCCGAGATCGAGGACGGGCGGGCAAATCATCAGATTCAGGTCCTAGCAGTGGTGGCGGACCTGTTGTCTCGTGTCGCAAAGGTCGCGATGGGGCCGAGCCGCGGGTTGAGATGGCGTTGAGAAATGGCTGCACTTGGTCGTCATCTGATTCTTCGTCGCCGCGACCGGGAGCATCTTCATCGTCTGACCCTGGCGCCCAGCCATACAACGAGCGTGGATTTGCCATGCGCCCCTCGTAGTTTGGCGTTTCGGCCGGGGGTTCTCCGCGGCGAACGATAGGGATGCGACGGTTGATCTCAACCGAGGCGCGCTGGTTGGTAGGAGGGTCGTCGACCTCCATGCGATCTAAACTTTCGGGGGGTGGGTTTGGAGGGTAGCGACGTCGACGGTGTCGACTTAAAGAGGGAAGTAAAGGGTTGAACAGGGTTGGTCGCGATCGCAGGAAGTTCACGTTATCATCATGTGCGCTATCAGTTGGCTCGGGAGGATCGGGGGAGGACTGCGGAAGGTCTATCGGACTAAGAGGAGTTTCAGGCTACCAAAGTGAACTGATTAGTGGGCGAAGGTGAATAGGGTGAACAGGGTGAACTCAAGGGACCATACTGAGGAATTCGGAGGCATGATCGGAATCCGTGGAGTATAGGAAGATCGACAAGGGGTGCCATGCAGTGGCAAAAGTATCAAGAATGCAGAGGCCTATACAACGACGAGAAAGGGAAAGGAAACAGAAGCCAGTTGTGTGTGGAGTGGAAGTCTGTGGAGAAGTTGAACGTATGACGTCCCTCCGTTCTGTCTTTGACTTTCTTCCCTTCGACTTTCCCTTCAACCCTTTGGACCATCTCGACACAACCCAATACGCTAGAGAAGTGCCGGAGAACGTGGACCCTCCTGGGCACATCTGCAACGTGTGAGATGCCAAATTTATACATCGCCCTACTGACACTCCCCGGCTCCTAGTGTCGGCAATCCGGATCTTGTTTCAAATGGAGCAACTCTCATGTATCTTGACGGTGTGCTTTGCCAGATGAGTGGCGAAATATCGGGTTTCGCGCTCAACGGTTCATATCGAACGTGCGCTGGACAGGTTCGAGACGACACAACATACATACTACAATAAAGCTCAAGAGCATCAATCATTCCGAGTCTTGCCTCGGTGTCGCGGCGGTCCAGTCTTCATGTCAGTCAACTCCGGCATCGACATTGCCCTTTGGGATCTAAAGGGCTGTCGACCAGCTTCTAGGTTCAAAAGGTTGCAACAAACTCTCAGTCTACCTCATGAATCGGCAGAGACCATCCTCCAGATGTTGGCGAAGCCGCAAAGGTCTGTCAAGCGAGGGCTTTCAAAGTGGCAAAAATGAATACAATCGAAGCTGTCAACTGCCTTGAGTCTCCAAATGTGCTGAAGTCTATGTTACAGAATTCCATGACTGTCCAGCGTTTGGCATGGATGCGGCACTTGACTCTATGATCGTTTGCAACAACCCATGGCTAAGCTACTAGCCAATGCAAGTCACTGAGATGTGAAGCAGGTCCTGCTAGATGAGAGCGTAGATGCTGTGGGGCCTGATATCAGTCACTGTGGTGGTTGATCAGAGATGCGTTGTATTGCCCAGAGGAAAGAAACATACCATGTTTTTATCAAACTGGCTGCTTGTAGGTAAGCAGTTCTTCGATATTCAATTCGGTCATTCAGAAGATAGACATTGGAATTCATTATAATCCGCCGCCTCGTGAATAGTACAGAACTAGTTGTATAAATGGCCCACAGTGTTCAGTGTCCATCATAGATATGTTGAAGCTATGACAGCGCCTGGGTTAGGAACTGAAATGGATGAAAAGGTCGTTCAACGTACAGCTCTGAAGACTCCTGGTTGTGGCCTGAATGAGCTCGCTAGCCCTGATGGATTTATTCGCGAGTGGTGATTCTGAACAAGTGTTTGACTTTATTTTCATATGCATAGTATTGCCTGGCATGTTTAATATTGAAATAACATCAGAAATGCATGAATGTGCTTGAAAATGTCTAGACATGCCACTAGGAATTTCGTTCTATGGGAAACAAACTTTCTTAAGCTTCCAACACACATCAGCTGATACGGTCTTTGAAACAGTTGTATTTACTCTAGCAGATGTATTTATCTAATAATGAAAGCCTCATACGTTGAAAGATCTATCACTAAGCATTCAACGAGTTTCTTGTCGAGTTGCAATCGTCGGCCAGCTGAATGCATTGCAGAATCATATTCCAAAAGGCATCGAGATCAACTCCCCTTGGAATAGCAACACCTGGACCCTGAACAGGAGTGGCGATGGAGCGACCTAGCTGGCCAGTAGCGGAAACATCTTTTCCATGCTTACCATCTGTGACAATACTGACATGGAATCTTTCACCACCCTTATCATCGAAGGCAAGGGCTTGGTTTGGATACTTGTTGGCAAATGCAGGGTTCAAAGTTGACAAGATCACAGCTACAGCCAGAGGGTCATGCAGTGGAGGTCCGGTGGTTAACCCGAAAGCCTTTTCGTAGGTCGAAGCAAAGAATGTAAGTAGGGCGTGCAGGATTCGTCGAAGAACTGTTGGCTCTTGAGTGGAATGGATCGAGCCATGCAGGATGCGAGTTTGAATAGCCTCTGACGCTAGGACCTGATGTGTAAGATCTAGGGCAGCAATGGTGGTTTTTGCAGCAAGAGTCGGGTTGCTGAATATTGACTCCGAGGATTCGGGGTCACACTGTCACGATCATCCATGTTAGATGTGCTGTTGGAAGGTATTGGAACTCATCCGAAGTAGGCAAACATACATAGATGTTGAACTCAGCCCATGGCGTCACATTGCCGATCCTAGACTTTTCGCCCGGGAGTCTGCTCATGGGGGCATCGGTGAATCCCTCGCCGATGGCACCACCCATGAGACTTAGTCCCTGGATGTGATCCACCACCTCGGGGAATGTTGCAAACAAGAGAGCAACATTTGTCAAGGTTCCAGTTGCAACAACCCATGGAGTACCTTTGGGCTGCGCAAGAAGCGCATCTCTCATAGCCGCAATAGCGTTCTTATCAGTGATGGGAGCTCTAGATGCCTTGGGGAGAAGGTCAGTTCCGTCAAGACCCGATTCACCTGACAATATCTCAGGTTAGCCTAAGATATGCATTGATACTACTTTGGATTTGCCTACCATGAATATCAGGTGCATGCAGAGCAGGCCGAGAGAATGGCTTGTTGCTTCCGGGATAGACAGGAATATCGGGCTTGCCGATGGCTTCCAGAATGCTTCCTGCATTGGCGGTTGTCTTCTCTAAAGAAGCATTTCCGTGGATTGTGCTGATACCAAGCAGATGAAGAGAAGGATGAAGAGCGGCGATCAGGATCGCGAAGGCATCCTGGATAATTCTATTAGTATCGGTTCCGATGCCTACCTTAGGTATCTTTGAGGCTTACATCATGCCCTAATAGATCGTCAGTATGCTATGCTTGAACACGATCATGTTGACTATCATGTTGACTGACCAGGATCACAATCCAGCCACAAGGGAGTAGGGTCATCTTTGTTCATAGGATCTAACATGGTCAGGAGAATAGAGAATTGGCAATGAAGAAGAGAGTCTCGACATCGCAAGTAAACAAGATCCCCGCATGAGATAAGCCTTATCTACGAGCAAAGCCCTAAGCCCTAACTGCCCGATTCGGCCATCGACTTTGATGTCATTTGTCGACTGTCTCCAACGGAGCACCAGAGCTCTCGGTTTCTTGCTGAATAGGCCATCCTGGAGATGTCCGCATAAAATGAGATGAATGACCCTCACCGCTCCGGGCTTCAGCCGATTTCCCACCTCAAGGCTGGGGCGACAACCTCCAGCTCCAGATCCACTGCGCTGCCCGCCGCGACGACACTGCAGCCCCCTTCGCGTCCGTCCTCTCGAATCCGAACAAAAAAGACCAGCAAGGATGAACCAGCCGATGCGGCCAGTGACCGGGCGACAAACGCCCTAATCCGACGCGTTCTATGTCCACAGACAAGCAGCTATGGGGCGTCCTCTCCACAGCCTCCGGAAGAGCTGTTACCTCCCCTCACAAGCTCTAACGACGTTGATCGTCAGCTGTACGCCCTACTCGCCATAATAATTAAAGAATTTGTTTATTCGTGGTACTCGAAAATCACCCCTGACCAAGCTTTGGTGAATGAAGTGCTACAAGTCATCGCTCATTGTACACGTGCTCTGGAGCAAAGACTACGGCAAATCGATGTTGCACAATTAGCCTTGGATGAGATCCCCGGACTAGTGGAAGCACATGTCACTTGTAAGACTTATATATTCCAAAGTTCTTCTGCTCGGCTACCATGGTTGTTCCGAGGAAAGGGGAAGCATGTACTAACTCCGCCTTCCAGCGTACAGACTGGCCAGGCAACGGTCGCATCTCTCAGGGCTACCAACGTCGTACCGTGCGCTTTATCATGAGCTAAATCCTCACCCTGGTCTTTCTCCGGTGCCTGATCCAATAGATCCAGACACAAGCACGGAACAGAATGAGAATGAAATAGTATATCGACGTCTGCTGGCAAACGGTGCCTTAGCAGTTCTCCTTCCAACCGAGGATCTGGAGAACAGCAGTGTCCGAGCGCTGGTTGTCGATGTCATTGCAGACCTGATCCTTGGAAACCAAATCAGTGGCAGAGCATGCAAAGGATGGTTCATCTGGGAAACTATAACCAAACTCGCCGTGAGAGTGGGACAACGTCAAACCCCAGAAGACACAAAATCGGTCTCAGACTCTCAAATCAACCGGTTAGAGAAGTTTGGTTTGTTATCAAATCAAGACGATTCCATGAATCAGCCATCAGCGTCATTCTCAGCCACAGCCTGGATATGGAATGTTCTGCAGGGCATCTATCTTGGTTATGTTGCTTTGCATTTTATTGTCATAGGTCTGTTCCGTGTCGCATCGAGTCCAGGCCCGTCCTCGCACGGATTTAGTGTTTCAGTCGCCTCTTCGACTATAAATCGAAAGATAGATGGGATGGGGTCAGACAGTGTCACGGGGAAGCGCCCGGTTCTCGACTATCGGGTGTTTTCCATGGCTTCAGAGATTTTGGGAATCCCCTGGAGAATGCCATGGCTGAGTGGGCTGTTCGCTTTGTCCCAGCATCTGATTCTGGCAGGCCCAGGCAGGGTTGGCAGTGCCGACGGAGTCCTTGATAGGTGAGTTTCTATTCCTATCTTTTTTCCCTCTTCCCTATGCCCTTGTGCTCTCTGCGCTCTGCGACCTTGGAAATGATATACGACTGTGGAGCAAGGGTGCTTTCAGGATCCAAGGGGGGTGTCACCTGTGCCACGGTGGAACAAGAAGCGTCTTGCTCGCATGCTGCGTCAGTCACTTGATCTGTAACTTCGATACGATGCAGTTACGAGAATTACTGTATGGTCACTGTCAGGCTGACAGGGCTGTTCTGTGCTGTGATTGGCCGTGGTCAAGCTGGTCCGAGCCCTTGGAGATTGCTCACATCTTTTCTTTCTTCCGGGGGCCGGGCCTTTCCGTGCCGCTCTTCCACTTCATACCGACTATCAAGGCATATGATTTGAGATGTGAAATGAACGATCACATCTGGCCATAAGCATGTCGATCGCAACTTAAGAGGCTATGAAAGAAAAAAAAGTCGGCGCCGATCCCAGAAAAAGCACGATACGCCTTTTAGGCGCATGAAAAAGAGGCCCTGGCCGAGGCTAGTGATTTACCGGTTTCTGTCCAATGAGCGAAATTGCAAATTCGCAACTTGGCCGAGGTTCGTGCATGAAGCCCCAGGTACGGGATGTTAGCCGCTGCAGAGGGGCTTCATTTCCTCTTAGGAAAGGAATCCCTGTCACTGGCCCAAGCTCCCTCATCTCTGCCTAGGCCGATCTTGCTCCGTCTCTCTCCACTTGGCTACGGCCAGTTCTCATTTGATGAACTTCGCTCTAAAATTGAGTGGGAAAAAAAGGCACAACGTCCCGAGTGCTCCACAGTCGAGAGGCATTTTCGCTTCACTTTTGATTTCCTCTTTACGGCTTCTGCTTGGCTAAATTACTCCGACGTCATTTGAGAAACCATGCTGACTCCACAGATTCCTTCGCGAGACCATTGAGGAGTACGTGCTAACCCCCACTTTGTTGCCCAACCTTCTTCTTGCAACAAGGACCGCCTTGTTCCCAGCCAATACCCGCCCATCAACTCAGATAGCCGTGAACATTGGTATTCCGACTTCGGCTCCGCCACAGGCTCCGGCTACCAGTCAGAAAGCCCTCGCAGCCACAGCTTTACCTGGTACTCCAATTACAGAAAGCATTAGGGGACCTGCAGCAAGCGATGTCATTGGACAAAGCCTTGATCCCGGAAGCAAAAGCAATAGTGGCGGCAGTGGCGGGGGTCCAACCCCAACGACGACCTCAGCCCGCCCAGTGTCACTTTCTTCCATTGCAGCCGATGCCCCAACAACAGCATCGACACACGTGCCGGCTGAGCCGGAGAAAAGGGATGGCCCATCTGAAACGGAGATCGCCGCTATCAAGCGGCGATGTGCAGCTAGTCTCCTGGCCGTGATTCCACGCATCCTCGCACGAACCTTCTTTGGTGTGTGCTCGTCGGCGCCTCCGCCCTGTAGCGGTGATCGTACCTGCAGCACCAACAGTTCACTCTCCCCTTCCACCATTTCCTCCCCGCCTCCTTCTGCGGACGGTGGGGATCAGCAGCTTCGAACTGCACCCCAGGGGAACGAATCAACCCCATCGTCATCGATTTCGCATTCGGGTTCATCTCCAGTCCTGCCTGCAGGGAGTGGTCACCTTGCCGCTGAGCTTCTGCGCACAGATGACGATCCAGCTAGGGTTGGTTTGGAGGAAGAGTACCTCCTGGATAGGATCGAAAATGATATTCTCGACATTTTTGCGGATGAGTACTGCAACAAACATCTGATCTATTCCATTATTGAGACAGTACTGGCCAAGGTCCTCCCTGAGATATCCGAGCACAGCGTGGAAGACCTACTAGAGGACCGTGGGGTAGCACCAGTACCACCTGCATTCTAATCATAGTTCCAGGCTCGGTATCTGGCCGTTACTACAGAGTATTTAGACTTTTTCTGGTCTCATGGACTTGCGTTTAGCACTATACTTAAACTATTTTAATGATACATGTCTTACTCATAACCGGCATACTGTTAAACTCAAAATCGCAGTAAGATTGTAGGTTAAACAGCGTGATACGGAAGATAGGGGTATAATATAGGAGGTCCAAGGTAAAGGAAAGTAAGAAAAAGAAAGAAACAAAAAGAGGTGACAAAGAGACTAATCTGACATGCCAGGTCATGTATAAGCGACCCCAGCAACATTATTCTTTCCGCGCGAGCGGGCCCAATTTAAAGAAATTAGAAAGAAAAAGAAAAGAAGAAAAAGAGAAGAATCAAAGTAAGGAAAAAGAGCGTAAGAAAGAGATGCAATACAAGGGTTGCAAGAGATAGGGAGAGGGGGAGGGGAAGAGTACAGTATGCAACTGTAGCTGTAAGAGAGAGAGAAAAGCGCAACAGGGGGGGAATAGACCGAATCGAAGAAACGGGAAAAGCAAAAAAAAGCAAAAAAACACACAAGCAAACCCCGAAGAAAAGCAGAGACTCTCAGGTTCAAGGCCCTTGCCCGTATACCGCCAGTTTCCAGCCATTTCCCCATGTGCGCGTAGACGTTGCCGGTGCACGAGATTGGTACGCCAAATCCGTGCCATTCCAATAGAAGAAAGAGAAGAGGTCGCCCTCTGAACATTTGTATGTTTTGGGGGAAGTGTCTCGTTTTTGCGCCAGGACTTCTTTTCCTGGTAGTTTCAAACCAGAGAGGCCCAGCGAACGGGAGGAGAACAGCATGCATATATGGAAAGGGAATAGCAAAAAAACAACAGCAACAACAACAACAAAGCAGAATAAACATAAAACCGCCCTTGATAGCCAGTGAAGAGAAGGAAAGACGTAAACCGAATTCAACGGGAATGAGGAAGCATGACAAATTTGCAGGTGTATGGGGGAAGGGAATTCGTGTAGGGAGAATCTGGGTATATTCAAAATGACCAGAACCCCTGAAATGCAAAAACAACAGGGGGGAGGATGTGACGTTCATAACAGCGGCTAGGAACGAATGCAACGATGGAGGATATCAACCCATGTTATGGATGCTCCTCTTCTTGGTCACACGCGGGGCAATATCCTCTTGCTCATCAATGCGCGGCAAGCCACTGAACAGGGGGCCAGATTGGCTCTTTGCAAGATCCAACCGCTCCAGTAGCTTACCGATGGTTATGAACTCTTGTGCGGCAAGGCCAGCTGGCTGGTGCTCGAAGTAGCTCATCACCAGTTCCAAGGCTCGTCGGGCCTCGTCCTGGGTTGGAGAGCCTGGGGAGCTGATAGGGGAGATTGTTGTTGACTTGGACGGAGGCGGCATGGAAATTTGCTTGATTTCTGGATTGCTGCGGTTGCGTTTGATAACATTTGTTTGATCCAGACCAATGGGCTTCGATTCGTCGTCGCCCATTTCCAGCGGGGATTGTAGGGTTTGCACCGAAAGGGATTGTTGAAGCTCACGCTTTGTGTGTTTGTGGTCCATTGTTGCATCTGCCGTCAGAAGCGTTGGGTCGATAGGCACAAGAGGAAAGGTCTGGCTGCGCGGGCGGTTATTGTTGTGGCTGTTGATTGGGAGGCGCGACTGGCTTGTTGGTGTGAAGGGGCTTTCGGAGAGAAGGGTTGATGTTGGGCTAATCATGCCTGCTGAGGATGTTGTGTCCAGCGACGTCGTACTCTTGGAGTAGTTGTGTTGGTAACCGCCTGTCAGGTCGGGCAGTGCATCAGCAATATCCCGTTTGATTCCTTCTGGACTCAGGGTTGGAGACAGTGGGGATCCAAAGCCATCAATCGGCGAGGTGGGAGAAGGCCCTGTAGGGCTTTGAAGGGCAGAGCCTGTAGAGAAGTCTGTGTTGATACGGGTTGGGCTGTTTGATCCGCTGCGTATATCGGCAGACCCTCTGCGCACCTTTGCACCGAGTAGGTTGTTTCTGTGCTTGAACTTTTCAAGCCAGGCTGCAGTCAGCACCTTTTCCTTGCCCTCGGGGCAGCCACAGGTGCTAGCAAAGAAGAGAGCTTTCTCTTTGATCATCTCATCACTCAATGGATAACCGTGGCGGTGGTAATTTCTTGCCCAGTTGGCCAGGGCTTTTTCAATATCAGGGACTCGGCCCTTTGCTCGTTTAATGGGAGATCGACTCCCATCGTCAGGGTTGAGGTATTTCTCCTTTTGGCGGAGTACCTTTGAAACCGTACTAGAAAATAACTTTCGTTAAATTACATCAATGAAAATCCCTGGGGGCGCAGAAGTACCTTCTTTCAACACCGAACAATGCTGGTGATAAAGTCAGCCCTAATCCCGTGACTTTGCAGGTACACATGCACAATCTTACCTCCAATATCAGTCTGCTTGGCGGTTTTATTTTCCTCGTGATATAGGCACATTTGACGGCGATCATCATCGGTAAGCGTCCTGCGTGGCGTGGAACCTCCAGTTGAGGTTTTTCGCACTTGAGGCATGGGAGCGGATGGCGATACCGAAGTCGGAGCGGATACATGCGGAATTCCACCTTCTTGGAAAGGTGAGTGGTGGGTGAGCATGCTGGGCCAAGAATGAGAAGGCATGGGAAGTGGCATCGAAGCGTAAGGTGGTGGTATTGACATGTTGTAAGAGCCATCCACGGCCATGAGCGGCGCTGGGCCATAATCAAACCCGCTATACTCCGGCATCGGGGGAGAATGTTGAGGCGAGGTGAATGCACCTATTTCCACCCATGGTGAATGTGGGAATTCGCCATCTGGAGCATGAGACTCCGTTTCCATGGGGGTTTGGTCCTCCATAGACGGCAAATTTCAGAGTGAGATTGAATTTTAATACCGAGGGAGTCCTTTGCCCTTGATAGGCTCGAGATTGAAAGAGAATGGCCGTCAAGAAGAGAGACAAAAGAAATCCCGGGGAACAATGAAACAATCTAAGGGTAAGACAATAAGAGCCGATGCATGTTCCACTGCTTCTGTCAATCCGTATCAAATTACCGAGAGGCCCTGGGCAAGAGAAGAAGTGTCAGGTAATGCCCCGAGAAGGATAAAATAACTGTGAGCTATCAAGCTAGGAGAGGAATGTATACAATATGCAAGAGAGAAGAGGTAAAATGTGCACATGCGGGTAAGGCAATGGAGTTAAAAGGAAAATCCGGAGCCACCAAGGGCCAGGGCGATCAGTATCGCGTGGATTGACAGAACTTGATCTCGATTGCAACTGGCACGAGAAGCCCAAAGTCCGGAGAAACCATGATAGCCTTCCCCCGAGAGGAATCCAGCCGACCTGAGTTCTCATTGGATAGTCAACTAAAAAAGCCCATCCGACATGATCCAAAAAAGAATTATAATAAATTGGGATTTTGTAATTTCGAAATAATCCCTGCGAATGGAGGGGGTAACGGCGTCTGGTTGGTTGGTGGTGCTATATTTTGCGCAGGGGTTGCATACTCGTCAGGCTCGAGTCGTATTACAGCGTAAGGGTATGGAAATGTCTTTTTTTTCTTTTTCTGTCTTCTGTTTCTTTCGTTTCTGTTATTTTCAGTTCCTCTTTTTTTTGTATTTTTCTTCCTTTCCTGATTGTAGTAACCCTAAACAGGGATTGAAGCTGGACCCCCGTCTACAATACAGTACTGTATACATCTTAACGTAGGTTCAATCAGTATATAAGTTGAATGTGACCATCGATACCCAATATGGAGCCAATTTCCACTAGTAGGTAACTTCGGCATGACCGTCCACCGTTCATTCCTCACCTCTTAATCTATGACGGGTATCTAACCCTTCAGTGGCTGGCCGTTTTCGCCTCGCTTGAACCAGGCTTGGAGGGTCTCCCCGAGGACTGAGTCAAATCAGAGTGCATCATCCGCGGGGAGTGGAATGGAGTTCGCTGGAAAAAGCGCCTAGATCGTAGCTGATTTGCTTAGAATTGGAGAGCGGATCGATAAACCGCTGAACCTAAAGCCCGCATCGCATCCGTGTAGAGGGCGATCAAAGTGGACCGGGAGCAGCGACGATGCGGCAGTGCAAGAGATAGACATTCTCATTCGGACGCTGTAGTTGACATTCAACAGTTTGCCTTTTCCCAACTCAACCAAAGAGAAGGCGAAAACCAAACATTCTCAAATCTTGGACCTCATGTGATATGTTTCAGGGGGGGGGCACGGTGCCCGTAGACAGTTGAGGGTAGGTGCGAGAGGTCTCGATTTTCTCTGTAAATAGGGGAGTGGTCGAGCAAATGCCTAGATTGGACAGATTGGCCATCAAATGGGGGAGGGGGAGAGACTATTCCTGGAGAGGGGTGGGAGGAGTATTATGGAGCCTGGAGGAGCCGATCTAGTAGTGGGTTCATAGCAAACGACAGTCGACACGGTAAGGGAAAAAAAAAAGAAAAAAGGAGCAAATAGCAAATAAGGAGCAACATGGATCATTGCAATAGACGAATAGACCTCTTAGGATCACCTACGGTCGATACCAGCGTCCGATACAAGGGCCGAACGAGGACGCTCACAACTGACCTATCAGGGGCCCAAAGAGGCATATTCCAAAGTGGTTGGAGCCCTGAGAAGAGGGGAACCTCCCAATGATGCGTAGTTTTTTGGCGCTAACTTTTCAGCCTTCATTTCTCCACTTGATCCACTGCGGTACCCTCCGGCCCGGAAACCTTTACGCTCTGCACGGAACTCTGGAAGTATAAGGGCTTTTGCGGGCTTTGTATTGTAGAAATCACCACCTCTGACGTCTTTCCGTTCTGTAGGCTGTCGCATTCGGTCCCGGTCTAGCTATTGCTTCGATACAGGCTCCGAGAGCCTCCCCTCTTGTTCAACAAGCCCACGAGGAGGCCGGATGTGAAATTGGCCTGCCTCGATTTCATGAGCTGGGATCTCTTCTCGAAACACACAGCAATGTCTACCCGAAAAAAAAAAGCGAAAAAACAAAAGCAATGTGCAAATGAAAAGAAGAATGAGCTGGCAAGTCACTGACAAATCCAAGTCTATCCCTCGATCTAGTGTATAGTATAGTATACTGTACCTAGTGTACAGTATGGGCAGGTCTGACCCTGTCAGAGGCTCTGATTCGGTCGCAGGGCCAATCTTGCTTACACTGCCATCTTTTGCTATGCGTCTAACCAGACTCAAAAAGGGAACGTGCTATGCAATCATGAAGGTATTAAATTAAAACAAACCAAAACTGACTAGCGAAAATCAGGTTCGTTAATGTCGGCCGTAGCCCGGAGCGAAATCGTATTCGATCACCAAGTGGGCTGACGCCATTGGAAAGAATGCAATTTCTTGCCAAATAAAAAAGCCATATCGTCAAAGAGCACAGGAATTATCTAACCAGTCTAGACCCGGTCAAGATTGAAATCGCCAGCTTATGGACGGGATGTACGCATATTTGCCTCTCTCTGTCTGGTCCGTCATTTCTTGGCAATGATCAAGCTCCGGGGCGAAGTTCCCGTTCAAAGTCAGGCACAGACGCACAGAGGACACAAAAAGAGGTGTGTGGACAAGGGTATTGAGTCAGGTACGGATCGACAGCCCGTTACAATCTTGCCCAGGCCATCTCCGTGTAAGGTGTCAATTGTTGCAGAATCTTTCATGGTTACTCGGCTAGACATTGTGGAACTGTGGAGAGATGACAGAAGGAAGGATTGGGCCAGTATTTGAAGCTTTGCACCAATGTAACATCAGCCATGGCATGATGGTACCTCACACATGGAAAATCGTGCCTCTCCGGGCTATGACTCCGGGGAAGAGCATGGGCTAATGCAATGCAATGCGACGGGGATTACCGCTGGATTCTCCACGAGAGAGAGAGAGAGAGAGAGAAGAGAGAGAAAGAGAGAGAGAGGAAGCAGGGCGATTCCAGAATAGTCACCTGATAAACATCCAGGTTGACGTATACAGATGTTATTCCTTTATAAGTTACAGTATCCGATACACATAGTGCAGCTTGCAGTAGCTTGGAGAATCCTGCCGATCTTGCATCTGAGAACGGACCAGATCGTGAACAGCCCCCCTCCTTCAAAGAACAATTTTTTCACCAGATCGGATATTCTCCACCTTGACTAACAGAATTCTGGTTCATAAGATGCAAACTACAGTTAGCGTACCAGTATTTCTTCCCGACTTGGAATGGGGGTTGAGATCAGATAACCGTTGACATCCCGACCATTCACCGCTCCTTGTACATTAGCCCTACTTTGCCTCACTTTTTGCTTTTTCCCTGCTTTTCCTTTATCTTTGCCTTTTCCCTTCGTTCTTTTGGCTCCTTTTTCAAATGGGTAAGTTGGCCCATGCAGATCCTTAGTCCATTTTATACCTCTCATTTTCTCGGTAGCGAGCAAACTGGTCCACGGAAAAGCCAGAAGCTAGCATTGGACTACTGTACCCATACGGAGTATGAAAAGAGAACGTGCCAGTAGTCGAGTTGACAGATCAAGTGTGGATAGAGCCCAAAAGCCCCCCCCTATCATAAATCTTGGGTGTTTTATCCCCTTGTAAACAACCTATCGGATACCGCTCTCAATCCGCTCCTTCAAGTCGCAAAGTCTACGCACGCAGCCGAAAAGAGGCCCGTCATGATCACCATTGCCGAACTTCTAGGTCAGTGCGGACCCATGCACACCATAATTGCCTTTCCCGTTTTGTTCCCCTCGAAGCTATCGATTTTCCAATCTCGGAGCTTTCTAAGCTGACACTTGAGACAGTCCTCGAAATTAAGTAACATCCTACACAAAAGTACGGGGATCGGCAGAGGTAAACGAAAGACCTGGGCTAGACCTGGTGGCTTTCGGTTACTGCCTGACTCGTCAGCCTGGGCGCAGATGAGGATGGGGGTAAAACGAAAAGAGAAAAAGAAAAAGCAAAGACACCCTAAATTCTCATATCATACAAAGATTTCAGATGACTAGCAAGGATGCTGCACAGGACGGGATGGAATTATGTAGGGGAATTCGCCAATCGGATTACCTTCGATATGATTGCCCATGCAGGCGTCCTTGGGAATTTTTAGAATCCCTACAAGGCCGATAAGAGGGTGTATCGTCTGATGCTATTGCGGTTTTGGATATAACCCGGGGGGTCTATTGGTTCAACGTGGTAAATTCTTGCAGGTGCATATTTAGTGCATGGAGAGGGGCAATATGTGGCTGCTCGCCGCCATCGGGTTGGGGTTTTGATATACAGTAAGCCATCGGGATTGGGCAACAAAAGCAATATATGACTGGAGATGTGGTATTTTCTTTCATCGATTTTTGTTTGATTTTCTAAGAAGCCACCCGGCAAGTATGAAGAATAGACTCGCTTGCCGTGAAGACCTGGATCTAGAACTTTTTCGGTTGAATCATAGACAAAGAAACAAAGAACCTCGAATGGGAAAAAAAAAAAAAGAAGGGGGTAATCATAACAATATGGACTGGTCGCTTCCGTCAACTACCAAACAAAGAAATGACACTCGCATGCCAAGGGCATCAAAAACTACCCATGGCTTTTTTTTTCTCACCTCGTGTCTGCCCCTGGGCTTGTGTGACCCCTGGCATACGCCTACTCGAGTTCACCAACCCGCAAGCACCAAGATGTACAGTAAGCAGGTGCCATGCAGGCTACCTGCTCGCAGCCCATCAATCTCGTCAAAACGTAGCTCTGTGACTCAGGTTTCCCCCCAATTCATCTTGGTTGCCCGTGCTGGAGCCAGTCTATCCAACCACGCTCGAGTCCGGTGGCGTCTTACGGGGAGCTATCCCAGAAGCTGTGTGCCTGTCACATTGAAGGCGCAAAGACATGCTGGCACAGACCACCTGCCACCAGCGCCGCTTGGATTAGCTCGCCGCTCCGCACGCGGGCTGTAGGGGTCTAGGATTTGTGGCCAAATCCTTTACCGCTTCACAATCGACACTGTAGCCCAGTCAGTTTCCAAATTCAATAGTTACATTGGAGATACAGGGTTCGCTTACCAATGTCTTCGTCGGCAAGCTCGTGTGAAAGACCAACACGCTGGGGCTGGTGCTTTACGGAGCGACCATACACGATAGCGTGCTTGAAGTCGTCCTTGATAGTGCGGTGAATGGAGTTACACTAATTGCGGTCAGTTCGTGCTTTTCCTGTGTCAAAGATAAGGGTGATTGGTCCATACGAAGTCCTCGACTGTGCATGCATAAGAACGCAGCACAACAGGTGCCGAGTAATCGGGTGCTCTGCCCTTGGGCTTGGTATAGATTCGGCGCAGTTGAAGCTTGTCCCACATCATTTCCATCAGCTCATCAACGTTCCATCCATGCTCCGAACTGATGGGACAGGCGTCAGGAATCCGGTAAAGCAGGTCCAACTCTTCGATGGAGATGGCATCGATCTTGTTCAAGGCGTAAATGACGGGAATGTAGCTTCGGCTCTTGGCTTCAAGGACATCAATCAGATCATCGATAGTAGCGTCACATCGAATGGAGATATCAGCAGACGAAATCTTATACTCGTTCATCACAGCTCGGATTTCCTGGACATATTGGTTAGTTTTGTTCCAAACTTCGTGGTTTTCAATGGGATTCTCACATCGTTGTCAATGTGAGTCAAAGGTTGGGTACTAGTGATGGCAATACCACCCTTGTCCTTCTTCTTGAACAAGATGTTTGGGGGCTTCTTGTTGCACCGAATACCGAATCCTTCCAATTCGTTTTCAATGACACGCTTGTCAACCAATGGCTTGTTCACGTCAAGAACAATGAAGATAAGGTTGCAAGTCTTGGCCACTGCAATAACTTGTCGACCACGACCCTTTCCGTCTTTGGCACCTTGAATAATACCGGGAAGATCGAGAATCTGAATCTTAGCACCGTTGTACATCACTTGACCGGGGACAGTTGTGAGGGTTGTGAACTCGTAAGCGGCAGCTGAATAGAGACATTAGAATTTGTCGTGTGGGAAGGCACTGCTCCAACTAACCTTCGGAATGCTGGCCAGTCAATTTATTCATCAAGGTACTCTTTCCGACAGATGGGAAACCAATGAAGCCACTGCTTAGTGTAAGTATTTCTGTATCACGAACTCCTTGTCGTCCTCGATTAGACTACTCACACACTAGCAACACCAGTACGCGCAACGTCGAAACCGGCTGAAGACACAAGTTAGCAACCCTAATGACCCTTTAAGACTACTAGCAAGTACTTACCACCTCCGCCGCCACCACCTCCACTGCTTGGAGTCAAGAGTTCACGCTTGAGCTTAGCAAGTTTTGCCTTCAACTGTCCTGCACAGGTTGTCAAAAATCATGTCGATGACGTCGAATGGGTGTTTGGGTGTGCGCGCGTACCCAAATGGAACGAAGTGTTCTTGTTTTTTTGAGTCCGAGCCATTTCGGACTCGATCTCTTTGATCTGGTCGGGAAAATGGCATGGTTAGTGACATGCGACGTCATGGTCAAAATTCTGAGCGATCAACTCACCTTTTCAATAGTGGTCGACATCTTGGCGATTGAAACCAGCAATCAAAAAAGCAAAGCTGTAATGGGAATCCCCGAACTCAGGGACTCGAAAGGGACTCGGATGTGTCTGGGAGAGCGAGAGCACTGAAAAGCACTTGCGGACAATCTTTGAATTGTGGCACCGCAGTTTTTAGTCAGGGCGGGGTGGAAACCTCAGGCAACAAGGGCAATTATGTCATTGGCTGCCTGAGAAAAGGGGCGGCCAATATCGCTTCTTATCGCTTATCGCGCAACTGCTTTGCGACTTGCGACTTCACTACTTTCTTACTTGGGCGTTTCAACTTTACATCAATGGACGATTGCCATTCGTAGGCCTTGCGGTCCAAATCGATTCCTACTATTGGTGATAATTTCAAGCACGCAATACTTCCCACTTCATTCCTCCACCTCCGACCTCCGATAGCGCTCCTTTTTCTCCGTACCCTACAACACACAGAAGCCAGTGAACAGCTCTCGGGCTACCTTGACACCATGCCTTTCCTTAAATCTGAATTTCAAATATCCGAAAATAATCGTACAGGCACAGAGACCTTCGAGAGGCTCGTTGAGAATTTGAGTGCGGCTTTAGGTCCGAGTTCGGGGCTCGATTCAAGCGATGTTGACCCGATGGAAATACAACTTTTGATGGAGAAATATATTTCAAATGAAGAAGAATGGGGCTCGTACGCACTAGGTGATGCGAGCAGGACCTACACAAGAAATTTAATCGACGAGGGCAACGGCAAGAGCAACTTGGTAGGTCAGGCCATTGCCATTCCAATGGCAAATATATCGCTTGGGGGAGTACACAAGCTAACTGTTTATACTAGTTGATTTTAGTATGGAGTCCTGGAAAAGGCAGTTCAATCCATGACCATGCTAACGCACACTGTGTCATGAAAGTACGTCAACATTCAGTCGTAAATATCGACTTCATCGGGAACATTCGGATATGGTTCTGAAGCTGACCTCAAAATATAGATCTTGAAAGGCAAACTTCAAGAGGACCTCTACTCATGGCCTGACCAGGCAAAAATAGAGGAAGGTCAAACCTCACCACCGCAACTTACCAAGCAAACCACCATTGGCGAGAACCAAGTGACTTACATGTCTGATAAACTTGGTCTGCATCGTATATCCAACCCTGATCCACAAGAGTTCGCTATCTCACTTCATCGTATGTCTACAACACTCTTTATTTATTCTTACTCAAGGCCATGAGACTCTAACATTGCATGCAGTTTATACACCACCCAACGCTGCCCTTCACGGCTTCTCCATTTTTGACGCGAGAACTGGCAAGGCATTCCATATCAAGCAGACCAACTTTTACTCCTATCGTGGTCAACGCCTTGATGATGGACAGGAGTAACGTAACCCTGTCTGTCCAGCTAGACTTTTTCTTCATTGATACCCTTTCTCTATTTTTAGCGTTGAAAGACTTTATCAAACGGGACTGTTTGTTGTATTTTTATGCATAGATACACAGTTTTGCCATTTTTGCGACCAATGGATTGTCACCAGACTTAAACTTCATAGCCTTCGTAATTGAAGAAACCTTAAAGAAATTCGGAGCTTGATAATATAGACGTTTCGCTAGCAGTATAGAGCTGAACTTGAGGCAGATTACATAAAGCAACAAAGTAGGCAGCACACTTAGAGTGAGACGTTTCCATTTAGCCTTGCTATTAATATTTCCACTAACCAAACATGAAGTATGCATCTCGAGCTTTCCAATACATATGCAAATGCAACGCGAGAAATGAGAAATGAGAATGAAAATGAAAAAAAAAAAAAAACCACTAAACACTCATCAGATATCCAAAAAGATCAAGAAATGACAATGAGAAGAAAAATGGCCAAAAAAACCAGATGAAAAGAAAATAAAATAAAAGAAAGAAACCTTGGAAAGAATAGATCATCACTCAGTCCTCAAATGTCCCCTCAAAACGACCTCTTTGAGGCAACCCAGCAAGAATTCTAGAAAGTTGCTCCGGATGCTCCAAGACCTCCGACTGCCGACGATGCAACTCCTCGAGCATCGCCAGGGGATTCTGTAGACCGCCACAATAAGTATGTTGCGTTAAGCAAGGAAGAAAACGCATCAACCGTGACACCCACCCATTCCTCTTGACTCAGCACGCCCTCCGCAGCGGGAAGGCCATGCGCGCCAGAGGCGTCGCCCCCCCTCGCCGTAACTGCCCCTGCCACTGGTGCGGTGGATTGGCGCGGGCGTTACGGGGAGACTGGGGCGTTCGACTTCGGTCGGGAAGTCTGTGATTATGGTGCTTGGTTTGCGGCCTGTGCCTGTGGACGGGGGTGAGGAGACGCTGTCTCTGTCTCTGAGGCTTGTACCGCTCGTGGTTGAATGCGAGGAGCCTGGGCTGGAGATTACTTGGGTTTTGGCTTTGCGGGCCTGCTGGACCGTCTCAATGTACCGCTGGATTTCGGGATCTTCGTCCCAGGCGTTGGAGCGGGTGTATGTTTGCCAGGACTCGGAGCTTGGTTCGTAGGGGACTCGCGTGTAGGAGGGGCCGGAGGGGGGTGGGGATGAGGGGGTATAGATGTTGAAGGGGTCGTTGGTTGGCTGGGGCTCCATTTGGAGATGGATTGGTTCGTCTTCGGTTGGTTCTGGGGGTGGTTGCTCGATGGGGAATACGCGAGTTGGTTTGGGAGCGTGGTTCTCCCAGGGGAATACTGGGGCGGGCTTTTCTGGTGCTGATCTGGTTGCGGGGACTTGGTAGTACATGTTTCTTGGTGCCTCGGGGTAGGATGCAGGGGGCTGGAAGAGTTGAGTGTCATCAGACATGGTGTATGTCTTTTGTTGCAGGCTGATTCCTTCCGGTTTGGAATTTACAGGTGGTGGTTCTCTGTATAAAATAAGCAGGTGTTCAGTCTAACAAGGTGCTTATCTTACCGTGCTGGGTCCCATTCGTACTTGGGCGCCTCAAAGGTCGGAGGCTCTGGCGTCGGAGAAGGTGGACGTTGGTATGGCTCGCCCATTGAAGCAATGGGAGGAATCGGCGTTACTGGCTGCGGTGAATGGATTTGATGACTTCCCTCATCCGGTTGCTGCTGGTAGACTTGCGGTATCTCATGATGCGTCATCTCATGGCTCAATTTGGGGGCAAATGTAATTGGCGCCGTGTAAGGCAATGGTGGGATATAAGTCGAGACATGCTCCTCTCCTCTGACATATTGAGGTACCATACTCAATACAGGAGCCGGGGTTGGTTGGCCCGGAGCCGCATGGTGCTCATGAGACGCATCATACGACTGTGCATGATGCTCAGTGTGGTGCTCGATAGCTGCATGTCCTTTATGGTGTGATATTTCCTCGTGGTGGAAGCTCTCAGGCTGGTGTTGCTGATCGAAATGAACATGGTGTGGCTGCGGCCATTGCTCATTGTGAGATTCCGTTGGCTGATTTCCATGAGCATGAGTAGCATAGTCTTCGCTGCTGGACTTTGATATAATCTGGGGCTGGTGGTGCGATGTCTCGGTCCCACCTGGTGCACCTTGCGGCTGTGATACCTAGCAACGGTCAGTCTGAGAGACCCAAAGGATCAATTCCAATACATACGAATGGTAAACGATAATGCTTGTCATAAATAGCCCACCACCGACCTAGTAGCTGATTGTATGGAGACTCCAGCGGAACAATCTGCCTCGGCATGGTCCACGGCTTCTGAGAACCAATGAAGTGAATAAGACTGATGGTACTTTGGAAATGCTTGTACGCAGGAATGTACTGGTAATTAGCACTCGGTGTGCAATTATACGTGAAGCTTAGCCTATGCCAGTCCCGGAAGTGCATATTTAGCAATCCCTGATCCGCGCCATCGAAGCTGATGCCTCGCTCGGCCAGAGCCTTGAGCGCATAGTAGTCCTGCAGATTAGGCCGGAGGACCATCAAGCCACTATTAAAGCAATCAGGCCAGCCAACATCAGGCGCAGCGGCGAAGTCTGTGTCCAGCTCTAACAGCTCGTCGGGAGCTCGCAGGGACACGACATCACAATCAATGTATACGACCCGCTTATATTGTGTGAGGCGCCAAAGCTCGATCTTGGTGAACGTTGCAATCAGGTCCGGGCGATCCATGAGCCAGAGGTTCGCCGGGGTGCCGTTCACCATCGAGCTCACTGGGATCAGCTCATCGTAGACGGTCTTGGCACGAAAACGTCAGTTAAGTCCGAATGCCTATAGAGCCACTCGGAAGGGCAGGAGAGGGTCGATCATACCCGTAACTCAGCTATGGTGGCTGACTGTAGTTTGTCCGGCGTGAAGAGAGCTACCAGCTTAGCTTTCGTGCCATTGTCGCGTAAGGAATGGGCAAGGACCATAGCACCTAAGGCAGGGCGAGTTAGCCAGGTAATTGGTTCGCCACATGACGATCACTTACCCGGAAGATAATGATCACTCAACAGGAGCTGCAGCTTGTCGTCAGCATGTTCACATCCTTTCATCCTGACCTCCGTCGACAGGTTTGAAAGGGATGGTCACCTACCGTACAGTAGACCCCGTCGGAAGCCATCGCGCCGGTCCCTCAACAGAAGAAGGGGAGCCCAACCAAGGAGAGAATGGAAGAATATAAAGGGCCCTATAATTAACCCACGGTTTAGTTCTGGACGTGTTCACGTCGGGTGTGATTTGTGGTACCTGGCCCGGACTCAGGTTGGACGAAAACAGCGGTTCTTCACTGCATGTCCCGAGGGTTGCCCAGGGGTAATGTGTTGGGAAAGAAAGTAGCTAAAAGAGCTAAGACTGAAGCTTGACAGAAGAGAAAAGAAAGTGTCAGACACACAGACCTTGAGACGAGGGGAAGTGGATGATTTCCGCGCCCCCTCACGCGGGTAAATCGTGCCTGGTTCTGGAGTTCCGGGGTTTGAGGAGGATTTGCCTCCAACACTCTCTCTACATCAATTGCAAGGCCTATCTATTCGCACATTCAACCCAGTATCAACCCATTTCTGCATCTTCGATCTCTTAAACTGAAACAGAAGAGGCCATGGCGACGTCCACCCCCGGTCATCTGCTAACCGCCTTAGCTCTAGTTGCCCGCAATAAGACGCGCTGCCCATAAATACGAGGCGTTGAGTCGGCAATTTGCCAACCAATTTTTTATAAAAAAGATTGTTAAGGATATGTCAAATCCATTTGCCAAATTCCAACGTTCCAAAGTTCCCAACTTTCAATGACACGGTCACCGACGAGCAGTAATCTTGGCCCCGGGGTAAGTTTTCGCAAGGGGAGTTTCGATGTCACCATGTTCTCCTTGCACAGCCCATTCAACAGCTGCAATCAAAGCTGCACTGCTCTCAGTCTCAATCGGCGTCCAATGTCCCGACCGCGGAAGCAAAACAATCTGACTGTTATTAACCAAGAAATCAGCCATCCCATCCAGACAAATTCTCTTGTCAAGCGCGATATCCTGCTCGCCCCAGATGATAGTGGAGCTAGCCTTGAGTCCAGGGCTATCGTCGAATAATCCAGCACCGCTACTCGGCCGGCGCAGCTCACTTCCGCTGGAGATGCTATGCAGGCTGGCGATTGTCTCGATGGATTTCGTCCAGCGTGCAATCGACGCGCCATCGCGGTAATAACCGGCCATGTGCATTGTGTGCGCAAATTCGCGCTCGGTCTCCAAGGTGGCGGGGTATCCATCCCCTACCGCAGTCTTGGATTTGAATTCGGCGACTGATGGGCCCATGCTGCTTGCCATACCCTCCGCCGCATCATAGGGTGTTATGCTACCACCGGAGGCGCGGACGTGAACGCCCTTGAGAAGGGAGTAGTTTCCACCGGTGAGGAATTGGTGTGCAAATGGCACAGGCAGTTGCATGGCGAAGATATAGCCTGACAAGAAGATCTGGCGGCCGATGGGGGCGATGTTGCGAAGTGCCTGCATGAGTGGGACACGCGCATCGCGTGGTGAGCGCCAGGCATTGCCGAGCATCTTCCTGGTTGTCGAAACTCTGCGGCTGATATTTTGTTTAATGAGTTTCATCTGCGAGTCGTCAGTCTTGATACTGTGCTCTGTGGGTGAGAGCTTGTGGGACTTACTGTTGGTCCATTAGACAAGATGAAGCGATGTGCCAGAGCTGGAGCTTCCTCGGCAAGGCGCATCGACAAGACGCAGCCCCAATCGTGCGCAACGATGATAGCCCTCTTCTTGTTGGTTTCTTCGCTCGAGTCCACACCATATTGGGTGCGAAGAGTGATAATCAATTCGGTCAATTTTTCTAGCACATTTGTAGCGCTGTATTTATCCAAGCTCTCGGTGCCTCCATAACCGGGTAGGTCAATAGCAACCAGAGAGGCAGCCTCGTGGAGGGCAGGTGATTTGAGTATGTGTCGCCAGATAGCCCAGCTATCTGGAAATCCATGGATGAAGATGACGAGAGGCTTATCGGAATTGAGGGTTTCCGGTGTATTAGGCTTGTCATTGGCAACAAAGTGAAACTTGAACCCGCTCGGCAAGGTCAGCATGTGGTGAGAAAGACCTTTGAAGTCCTCCGACAGGTTCCAGAGACGATCACGAGCTATACAGCAATGCAGACATTAGCTCAAATCTATGAATCCCATCTCGCACTGGATCGCCAGTAGCCAGTGCACTCACCAAGCTGCAGTTCCAGTTTCTCCTTCTCGGTAGGACGCTTGAAATAGGTACCCTTCTTCAGGGCAATCAGGGCATAAAGAACAATGGTAAAGAGGCCATAACTAAATACGAGGAGCGTAGTCAACGCTCGGAATAGGAACTTGGCCATAGTGACGACCAACTCAATTAACCATGGATATTTCCAATAGGTGTCAGTAGCCAGGAGTCAGAGGCATGGAGGAAGTTATATAAAGCTAAGCAAACATCATTGCCACAAATTCACGAGCGGAGCTACTGCCAAATGCGCCCATCCGAGGTCGCGTCACGACGCTTAGTCATCTGGATGTCTCAGATTTAGTTACAGGCCAAGTCTTCACTTTTCTGTTCAGTGCGGTTGATGAGCGTGATATTCTGTTTTCAAATTGTCCATTGCGTCGTTGTATCCATGTCATGTGGTTATGTCGATCAGTCGCCACTGCATCTCTGGCCTGGCTGCATCATAGGCTGTCTACACCCGAGACAAGCGGGCAAGACGTTGTGGCGAAGTGCTGAGAACATTTGACAGAAGTATATAATCTCTGGATGAATAAGAGGGAAAGCATCTTGGCAAGCATATCAAAAAAGAGCACATCAAACTTCTAGATTTAACGTGAAGCCCCCTGAATTGCTTGGTGAGATTCTGACTGACATCCCAAGGTGGAATGAGAGCACAAGGATCATATTATAAGTATACAGAGGCGTTTCAATATAGAGATGTTACATGTTTGATCTCAAAAGATTCCCATACCGGCAAACGCCAAATTTCTCTTCACATGCAACCGAATATCATCAGGAGGGTCTAAACCCATCAAACCCTCCAAGAGAATAGAACAAGAGGAATAAGAAAAGGGTATTAAACATGCATGTCGATGCAATTCAACAGGGAAAAACAAATAAGGTCGGGGAAAGCCATGATCTCGTCGAGTACCCACATGGGGCTTAAGGGAGGCTCAGCAAAACATAACACAAAGACACTCGGGAAGAAAGGGAGGAGTATATACAGAGCACTAGTGAGAGAATATTAGGTTGCTCAGAGGACAAAGCCCAATTGTTCACGGTTGTCGTCGACTAAACGGCCATACCTGGGAGAAGGTTAGCAAGGAAATCAAGTTAGAAACGTAGGAGTAGAACTTACTCCAAGAGTAACCGGAAGAACCAAACTTCCAAGTCTTCATTTCGTAACGTTTGCTGGGCCCAGCGCTGACCCTGGTTGGCAATTTGAAGAGCAGCCTTCTTGCCTTCTTCCTCTTTGGTGAAGTAGCGCATGCTCTCGGTATACTCGTTGCCTTTCAAGCTGAGAGGCACATAGTGTACCCAGGGCTTCAGCCACTCATCGTGCCATTCGCGGAAAATGGCAATCTTATAGACCATGCTGTTGCTATGGAGGAAAGCATGGAAACGTCCACTGAAGGCGTTACCGTCAATGTCAAGCAGATACTTGTGTGCCCACGCATCTTGCTGTCCAGCGGCTTTAACCACGCCGAAGTATTCGATCTGCGCGTTGCAGTCGTCTGGGTCGCACTGGCCGATGAATGTGAACTTGACATCGAACAAGTCACGGTTCATGTCCCGGCTCACTTCCTGTGAAACCCATGTGTTGTCCGGCTGGTGAACCATGATCTTGGTATTTCCCAACCCGTTGACATTGTCAACCAGCTGTTGTCTATGCTGGCGACGCCAGCCACCAGCGCGGGAGAATCCACCCGTTGTCGAGCCACGCCAGTACATGCGATCGGTCTTGGCCTCCCAAACATGGTCCTTGTGCTTGTCATATGGCACTTTGTCCGCCCAGTACCAAGGGCTCGGGTAGAGAATATCTTGGAAGCTGGATATCTTGCTCTGCGAGAAAATAGGGAACAGATCGTGGACGATATCAAAGGCGTTAGGCCGGTCAAAGAAGCCATATGTGCTGCGGAGGGAGGGAGTGTTGCAGATGTCGGAGGCCGCCGTAGTGTTAAAAATGAAACCTAGTTCACCGTACGCATAGGGGCTAACGTCATCCGGAGCGTCGTCATCGAGGGAGCGCGCGGGACTATCCACGGGGCAGGAGATTCGAGAGTTCGTCCAGGTCGGCTGGTGAGCGAAGCGGTTGAAACGAGTGGTGCGCACTTCATCGATACGGTCGCCCTTGTTGAGATCCGAAGCACGAGGGGACCACGCGTTGGTCGGATTAGGTTTCTTGAATGCGGCGGGAATCGCTTGGTCCTTCGCTGTCTGAACCAATCGTCGAAGGTCTGCGCTAGGGATAATCACGCGAGGCTCGTCGTGGATGTTGAAGACCAAGTCCATATCTGGCAAGTACTTGACAAAGGCTTCCATCATGCCAGCCGTGGCGTCTCGCTGCCATTTCCGATCATCGCCACCGCCATCCGTCAAGGACACTTTTCCATCACGGATCAGGACTCCAAGCACGGAATTGTCAAATCCAAGCGTCTCCCGCGCCCGGTCACGAATGGTGGCGGGCTTGAGGCCCCAGAATGGCAAGAGAGAGTGATAGATAGAATCAAATTCGTCAACGAACTGGACACCCTTCGCTTGGGCGAACTCGAACCATTTGTCAAAATGCGGCGGGGGGTGCATGTTATAACGGCGCTGGTACTCCGCCACGGCCTCGGTCAGGGTCTGCGACTGCCGGGACCGCGCATGATCGAAGTTCTGCTGCGCATTTTCGATCAAGCGCGAAACGGGGTGTTGCTTCTCAGGGGCCCATTTTGTCTGCTCCCCTTCGAATTTGGGGTGTTGGATCGGTTCGGGAGGGGGTATGTCGACGGGCTTCGGGGTAGGGGTTGAGGATCGTAATAATAAAAGAGAAAGACAGGCGACGGTGCCAATTGCCAGCAATACAATTAGCCGTTGGACGCGCATGCTGCCATTTGGGTGAGGCATGGGTGAAGAGCACACGTACAGGACTAAGAGTAGGGAGGGAGCCCAGAAAGTCGAGACTGGCTATTAATGGCGCCAAGACTTGGGGGCGCAGAATACGTAATCTCTGTCAACAGCCCTAGGGGTCGGAGGGAGAGAGAAAAGTAAAGATAGAGATGGATACATTTATGCAAGATTATACTGCATTCTTCTGCTTCCTTGCTTTCCATGTGAGGAATGCCCAAAGGTGTAGATGGCGCTTATACGGCTGTAACCCCTCCGGGCAAGCCACTATTGTCCTCGCCAATGATAGGGGGAAGGAAGACATATCTGAAATTTCGTACAGGGCTGAAAGCTTGGAGAAAGGCTTGAATAAAGCCTCCGGATACCGAATGTTCAATTAATGTTCATTAATTGATCGAATGGTGGAGCTATATATCTCCACTCTTTTAGGCAGCTCAGAAACAGGGTCTTTGTTAGCTTGTCAGCACTCAATGTTACATACTTTATTTTATTATCGACCTCCCCATTGTACCACGGCCCATGAACAGACTCCATTGAGTATTGAGGCCACAAAAGTCTGGGTCATGTACTTTTGCGCCTGCTGGACATGGAAGTAGGCGGCACCACACAACACCACGACCAAAAGGACATGGTAGAGGTAGAACATGCGCCTGCGTTCTTGGACGGGACCTTGCATTAGCCAACCTTGGAATCCATTCTGCTTAGCTCCACGAGGTCGTGCAAAGAGGAAGAGGGACACTACTGAGAAGATCGCAAGCAGGCCACATTGCACATCAAAGTCACGGACTCGTTTGAAGACCAAGAGACCAAATTCGGGATGACTGTTCTGCACAAAAAAGCTCATATACAGCGAAGCATGAGCGAGGAGAAGAGACGAGATCACCATTCGACCGAAGAGACGGTGATAAGGTGTCAAAGTTCGTTGAGAGATCCCAGTCAACACCGCGCACAAAGACGAAGCTCCTGGTTTCGTAGTTGAGATATATGCCGCTGGAGACATCAAGACTTGTATAGGAATCTGGGACAGGCCGACATGACCTAATGCTTTAGTCAAATGAAGATAGTCTGCGAGATATGTTAAAAGCTGATTCTTGGCTGGTCTTGGTTGACATGTTTGGAATCATACCATCTCCACTGTTCCAAATCGAAAGGCTCAGAAGCCATGATAGCCAGAGTCCGCAGATAAAATACTGCCGTCGAGTTTCTATCCACCCGGAAACAAGTGGGCGGTCCCACCACAAAAGTTGCCCACGGGCTGGCTTTGATGCCTTTCCCGAGGCCGTTGTCAGAGTCCGGATGACGCGTACTGCGACAATGACTACAGCGATAGACCATTGTGCATACTGTCCTCGAAGATCAATAAGGTCCCGGCGATGTAGCTTGTCGGATTCGGAGAGGGAAACAAAATGCCAGGGCCACGACGACGGCATTGTTCACTTGCTGACACAATTCAATGCTGAATATGAGCTGTGAGAGGGGCTTTCGTCCGGTCCAACAGCTCCGTATATGGTACAAAATGAATAAACTGGGGTTCAGATGTGCCGGTTCAGTGAGAGGTGTCCTTTTCATAAGCTGAAATCACAAGCGAAAAAGGGTTGATGCTAGTGAAGTAGCCAATGGGTATTCAATATATACGGAGCATCCACTGGCAATGGAAGCAGATTGCACTGTCTAATCTCTGAGGCAACGTGGTCGGCTTATACTTTTCCCCAAGCTCGCTGACAAATGAACTGCATTTCAAGGGTTGACGCGTCAAAATCACCTATTGGGCAACCCATTGCACAATTGTGTAGAGCATGCAGGCCGTAGACCTTTGACATGTCATAACTCATATGCCAGAGGAACGCTGTTCATATTCTACAATATCCTAGAATGGAAGGCGTTATCAAGAATCTCGCATTTGCTTTTGAGACTACTCTAGACGGCTCAATGATTATGTGTCGACCAAGCTCTCTACATTAAAAACGCCACTAAGACAGCTCATCCCAGTTTCTTGCTGGTTGTTCTCTAACGTGACAAAATGTACCACGTCCTGTCCCTTGCCTGCGGGTATCCGAATCATGTCTTTCCCCAAAGAGCAGATGATGTTATCATCCAATTGCGTAAAATTTAAGGGGAGGTTTGCATGGTCTCATCCTGGTTGCCACCAGCAGTTGTAGCGAAATATCGGACGTCCACATCGTCGTCCTCCTGTAGCTTCTCCAAACTGGGCACAACTCTGCTCTGAATCAACTCCTGGCTTTGAGGTGAGGGTGCAATAGTTTCCTCTGACTTCTCAACCTCAACCAAGGTCTTATCGGCCGGCAGACGACGCAAGGTAGAAATGAGTACAGCGTACGACTTGGCGACATTGAATCGGATGTTGGGGATATCGTCTGTCACAAGACGCTCCAGGATAGGGAGAAGAGAGCTCTCGATGATGTCGACTGTGACAACGGGGGCAAGGGTCTAATCACAGTTAGAGATCAAAAGATATACGCAAAATCAGGGAGAACTCACAGAAACAGCAAAGCATGTTGTCATGCGGTAAAGATAGTTGGGATGTTGTCCCATGGCCATCACCTTGGGAATAATAGAAGCCTTCGACCATTCGACTCCAAACACCTCAGTAAGTTTCTTCAAGTTCTCAGTAGCAGCCTCTCGGATTGAAAAGACAGTATCTCCAAGCCATCCCATGCAAAGATCGCTCAACTGCTCATCGAAGAACTCGACTCCCAATTGACTAGCGAGAAGAGGGATATATTCAATGATGGCAAGGCGCACGCGCCATTGCTTGTCCTCGGCCAGTTGAACAATAGCGGGAAGAAGGGACTGGGACAGAAGCTGGATACCAATAACTATAGATGCATTAGCGCAAAGTCCTCTCATAGCCAGACAATAAACTTTTCTCACCTTTGTTGACCTGTTCAAGCTTGGAGATGATGTGCAGGCGAACATCAGGGAACTCATCCTTAAGCATCTGAAGGAACATAGGCAAGAGGTGAGCAATAGTCCTAAGTTGTTTATTAGCGATTGTTTTGGGTCATCGAAATCAGTGGGACGAACTCGTCCTTGCCCAAAATGGGCGCAAGTCCGCTAATCTGAGTACCCAGAGAAGCTCGAACATGCTGAGATGGGTCAGACACCAGGTCTTCTACACTAGTCATGATCTCATTTAGAAGAGTGTCGCGGTCGATCAAATGACAGAAGCCTATATAAAAAGTTAGTCATTGTTACAAGCGACAAATATAACAGCGCATCATACCGGGAATTTGGCCAGCAATCGCAGTGCGAACCTCGGCCTCCGTATCCTTCAGAAGCTTGACAAAGGCAGGAACCATGTCACGAGTAATGACCTCTTCGTGGACAGCTTTAGCAATCTACAGTTTGTGTCAGTACTGCTGGTATATCATTGATACCAAGATCGGATAATCCGCTGACGAACCTTCTCATAGCGATCGGCAACCATGTATCGAACTCTCCAACTCTTATCCTCAAACAGACTGCGCAGCGATGTGAGCAAGACACCGTGGCTGGGTTGTTGCTCCTTGGGAATCTCCTCTGCAATTGCGATAAGAATATCCACAGTGAGCAGACGAACGCTATCCTGATCATCACCTGCCAGGTATTGGAAAAGAGGGATTATTTCATCAATAACAACCTGACTCTGCATCTCCTTCACAAACTTGGCCAAGTTGTTTGCCGCCTGTCGCCGGACCATTGGGGTTTCATCGTGTACCAAGGCACCAAACTGCTGTCGGAGGGTCTGTTGCAGCGCGGGGGTAGCTTTGCGGTATGGTGTGGAGTAGAGGCCAGTTGCGGAGACCTTTGAGGTGAACCAGTCTGCCTTTGACAGGCGCAAGACGAGAGGGACAAAGTGCTCTTCAACCTGACTCTCTGAGAGTTGCTCGCATACTTTGTTGAGCGATTCAACGGCCTGATCAAAAGGGTCAGAATTTCCTCTCATATCAAAAACCAAGTCGCATGTACCTTTTCTCTGACCAGAGGCTCCTCGATGGCCGCCAAATTCTCCAACGGAGACAGGAGCACGTGGCCATACTCCGGACCCCCAACGTATTCTGTAAAGTTGCCAAGTTCTTCGCTCAGCGCGGTCAAGACCTCATCCTCATCCTCCACGGAATCTAGCGATGAATAATGTCAGGTGGATTCGATCATCAGGAAGATGAGCGGGATAACCAACCATCCAGGAATGGGATAAGCTCCTCGCGGGTTCTGTCGGGGCCTAAAGCGAGCGCGATGGTGGATAGGCGGTGAATTGCATTAAGTCTAAGGAGGACATCATCGTGCTATGGGGTCATAAACTGTGAGCTCCGATATTCGCTACCACCACTTGTAGGAGGGGGAGGTTGTGGGTACCTTCAGCTCGTCAATGAGCACAGCGATGGGATAGAGCTCGTCGTTTTCGTTCTGGCCCTCCATTGTGAGTTTCAGAGGTGCTGTGAGATCAAGGGAAACGGCCTAGAAGGCAAGGATGTGGCAGGTCCCAGTTCTGAGGAAAGAGGTGATCTCAGGTGGATAGACCTGACACGGGGGCTTATGGTTGAAAGTAGGCAGAGGACGTCTTCATGAACTAAAGAGAAGCGGTATGAGTTTTCAAAACCACTCCGAATCTTCGTGTGGGGGGAGGTTTGAGATGACAAGGGGATGAGTTGGTAGAGACGGAGCGAGGTTTGTTCACTAAACACAGAGAGGGTAAATGACATACCGGCGGTGAAGGCGGGAAAAGGGCAATGACGGAAGGGAATGACCATACCAATACACGTCACAAAAGAGGGGGATATCTGTGGCGGTGGTGGCTTGCGGGCAGAATTTCCCATCGGAGTCATCTCTTTGGAGTTTTGTACTGCGCATATCTCTCTCGTCTGTACGGTCTTTCCCTAAAATCCATTTCGCTATACTTGAGAATTACTCTCAATTTGATATCCGAGCCTCCCACTGATTTCTCCAGAACTGCCTCGCATCAACCCCCCACCATGCCCACCATCTCGGTCGACAAGGCCGCTCTCTTCAAGGAGCTGGGCCGAGAGTACGTCCAATGTGGCTCAGTGTGGAATTGTACACTGCTAATCTGTCTTCGCACCTTTTTAGCTACACTACGGAGGAATTCGATGAGCTGTGCTTCGAGTTCGGTAAGTAGCCTGTCAGGTGGTCATGCGGAACGTGGGCTAACTCGGAAAATAGGTATTGAACTTGACGAGGATGTATGCTCCTCCAGAAAATATGACTTCCATCAGGACCGCAAGCTGAGAGCCAATAGACTACAAACTCGGACCGCCCCATCGTCGACGGAGTGCAAGAGGCCCCCCAGCTCAAGATTGAGATCCCCGCCAACCGGTATGCATGCGCCTTTGGAATGATTTGGAGGAGATATAGGCTGAGAAATTTTGCAGATATGATCTGCTGTGCTTCGAGGGCATTGCGCTCATGCTCAACATCTTCCTGGAACGCAAGCCGCTCCCCGAGTACAAGTTGGTCCCGCCGCCGAATGGACAGTTGCAGCAGATTGTTGTGAAGGAAGACGTCGGTATACCCTTTCACGTATGCTAGAAGCTCGCGTACTAAACATCAGATATAGACCACGAAGGTCAGACCCTATGTTTCCGGTGCCATTCTACGAAATGTCCAGTTCGACCAGGCTCGCTACGAGTCTTTCATTGCTCTTCAGGACAAGCTTCACCAGAACTTGGCTCGTCAAAGAACTCTAGTATCAATTGGTACCCACGACTTGGATACCGTCCAGGGTCCCTTCACCTATGAGGCACACCCTCCTAAGGACATCAAGTTCACCCCATTGAACCAGACCCAAGAGATGAACGGCGAGGAGTTGATGAACTTCTACGAGGTAAAGCGAAGCTTTTGTACTGATATTGGCGGATCCATTTGTCTGACTTTGAACAGAAACACCCGCAATTGGGCAAGTACCTGCACATCATTCGTGACTCCCCAGTGTACCCGGTCATTTACGACTCCAAGCGGACTGTCTGCTCCCTGCCCCCCATTATCAACAGTGACCACTCAAAGATCGGCCTGCACACCAAAAATGTCTTCATCGAAATCACAGCTCTTGATAAGACCAAGCTTGATATTGTGACTAAGATGATGGTCACCATGTTCTCGCAATACACCGCGGAGCCCTTCACGTAGGTTGCTAGTTACTTTATTTGCAGAAGCACATACTAACCCATATCTAGTATTGAACCCGTCCAGATTGTCTCGGAGCACAACAACGAGACTCGTGTCAGCCCTGATCTTACTCCCCGCACCACCCAGGCCGAGGTGTCTTACATCAACCAATGTTGTGGCTTGAACCTCAGCCCTGCTGAAATCAGCAGCCGTCTCACCAAGATGGCCTACCGCGCCAGACCCTCCGCAAACAACCCTGATACCATTGACGTTGAAGTTCCCGCAACCCGCGCTGATGTCCTCCACCAGTGCGATATCATGGAGGATGTAGCCATCGCCTACGGCTTCAACTCTCTCCCACGTGAATTCCCTAACATTTCCGGCACAGTCGCGAAGCCTCTTCCCATTAACAAGCTCACCGATATTGTTCGTGTGGAGACTGCCATGGCCGGCTGGTCCGAGGTGATGCCTCTGATCCTGTGCTCGCACGACGAGAACTTCGGCTGGTTGAACCGTAAGGATGACGGAAACACTGCCGTCAAGCTGGCCAACCCCAAGACCCTCGAGTTCCAGGTTGTCCGCACCAGCCTGATCCCGGGTCTTCTGAAGACCATCGGTGAAAACAAGAACCATTCTATTCCCATGAAGATCTTCGAGGTCAGTGATGTCGCCTTCAAAGATCTTTCCTTGGAGCGCAAGAGCCGTAACGAGAGACACTTTGCCGCTGCCTTCTACGGCAAGTCCAGTGGATTCGAGATTGTCCACGGTCTTCTCGACCGTATCATGGCCATGCTCAAGAGCGCCTGTATCACCAGCGAGGAGGGTCTTGAGAACACCGCCGCCAGCGACTCACAGTACTGGATCAAGGAGCTCGATGGTATGTATTAACTAGTCCTATCCATTGAGATCATATAGAACTAACAATCTCTTTCTAGATCCTATGTACTTCCCCGGCATGGCCGCCTCCATTCACGTCCGCGTTGCCGGCAAGGAGTCTGTCATCGGTGCTTTCGGTGTCCTGCACCCAACCGTGCTTGGAAATTACAGTCTGAAGTACCCTACCAGTACTTTGGAGCTCAACGTCGAGGCTTTCCTGTGAACAAGCTTGTTTAGAGTTTGCCTATTCTTAGAGCCAATGCTTGTGGGTCTAGATTCCAGTGACGCAGTTAGATGATAACATGAGGGGGATATGATTGTCAGTAGTGTTATTTTGATTTCAGCTATGAAAATGGCTAAAAGCAATGAAAAAAAAGTACATAAATGCTTATGATGTCTACTGTAGTATGATGATCCGCTTTATTCTCTATTTTATCGTCCATGTATTGCATTGTCACTGCAAAATACATGGACAGTGCAGGCGAAGCATTTGCTTGTTTATTATTTCATTATATATAACGATTACTGACATATCTAGACTGTATGAAATCGGCAGAAAGTTGCTTGGTGAAATCGTCAAATACGTTATGCCCCATATGGGACTTGCGTAGATCTTTAATCACTGAGCAAATACAGTTGACAAGCAACCCAGAAGCTTGACTTCAGTCTGGCTTAGCTTCACTATCACATTGAAGGGCATGATTCTAAGAGGTAGCGGCTCAACCTTCAGTTGGGTTGAAAAAAAATATTGGTCTCATGTAGATTGAGAGATTATACCCATGAAACCTTGCTGGTATATAAACACGAAGCCGCCATGCATCAAACCCTACAACTATAAATCGACCAACTACTATTTGCTCAAGGTAGACCAGTTCATTGTTCGAAAAGGCCTCCATTCAAAAAGACTGATATGCCACAAAACAATACGATAAAATGCGATAGACAGCGCAAATGAACCCAGGCTTGAAGTGTCATGTAATTTTGATTGCGTGAGGTAGAGTATCAGGTTAGGTTTAGGACAGATGGAAGAAGAAAGGAATAGCCGGGCCTAATTTATTCGTAAAACAAGATTTACTCCTGAGCGAAAGTCTCGGCACCACCCTCAGCCTCTGCGGCCTGCTGCTCAGCCTGACGCTGCTGCTCAGCGAGCTGCTGGGCGGCAAGGGCCTTAGCACCGTAGTCCTGGGACATGGGCTGGAGAACGGGCTGCTCCTCCTTGGGCTCGATGATGGTAACCGAGTCGGGGAGGGTCTTCTGGGGACCGGCCTTGCCCTCGGGGTCGGAGCCGCGCATGATCTTAACCTTGATTCCGAGGACACCCTGGCGGAGGAGAACGTGACGGGTAGCGGAGTCAATGAACTCCTTGGCGGGCTGACCGGAGTGGATCATGAAACCGTCCTGATAATTTTGTTAGCGAGTCTTTCTTGCATCGAAGAATAGTTTCGGATGAAACTGGGCTTGCGCATCGGTGAATGGCCGTGGTTAATCCATCACAATCATTCCCCAAAGCGCAAAACCAGCAATTCCTTCCAATATCGGTGTAGACGTACGGTGAACTTCATGGACTTGGCACGGGCGGCACGGAGCTTTCCGGAGACGACAACCTCGCAACCCTTGGCACCGGACTCCATGATGAAACGGAGGACACCGTAACAGGCACGACGGACGGCAAGACCGTTCAGGAGCTTGTAGCGGAGGGACTCGCACTGAGCGACAGCGGAGAGACCACGGTTCTGGACCTTGGCGGCGTAGAGCGAGACAGAGTTCTCGGGGAACTTGAAACGCTTCTGGATGAGGGAGGTGAGCTCGCGGATGCGGCGACCCTGCTCACCGAGAACCTCCTGGGTGTGGGTGGCACGGACGACTGGAAGAAAAAAAAAGCACCCGTTAGCATCTGAATGTTCCAATATTCAATTTTCGATATCCGCAGATCCTTCGCGACCGTAGTGAACCATTGTCCCAGCATTTCAGCTCTTTTTTTTTCAAGATCCGACAAGTCCAATTTTCACCAAGCGATCAAACGAAATAGATGGGATAGGAGATTCGGGCGACGTACTGATGTCGGTGACAGTGGGAGTCACACGGACTTCAACGCCGGAGTAGCCCTCCTCGGCCAGCTCGCGCTGGAAGAACTCGTTCAGCTCGGCATAGAAGACACCGTCGGCGACGAACTTTCTGCGCTTGGAGATAGCACCCTGAACAGCGGCCATTTTGACGTTCCTGGTGGTGGTGGGATTTGTCGACGGAGGGGGAGGTCGTGGTCGAGAGAGGCTTCAATTCTGAGAGTGCATTATTTAGTGGGGATTTTTCGGGACTAGGGTTGATTGCCCGTTTGGGCCAGGGCTCAACCCTCGCTTGCCGCCGCCTTACCTACTTAGGCATAGTGCCTTGTGCCTCGGGTGACAGGCAGCAAGGCAGCAAGGCTTCAACATTACATCATTGGCTCAAGCCCTACTTTATGGATGTACTGTATCAAATATTCTGCTTGCTGAAGAACTCCTGGTATATTCAATGACACATGTATTGGTATCCAGGTAGTCTGATATTTCATTATACGCCGCGTGTCGCCATGTACGCAACCATAAGATACATCAAAGTCGTAAATGCCAAATCTCAAAATCTTAAAAAACTGATGCCCCAGATCAAGACTCGTCTTATTGCATCTCTACTCCCAGCTCCTTCATTTCTTTCATTTGATCAGTATCAGACGTGCGCTCCGAGGATTTCGGTAAAGTAAGCTCAGATATACCAGACGCCACAGCTGCCATTCCCGCTGACACGGCATTCGGTAAAGATTTTGCTGGCACTCCATTGTCAACCGACTGGTCCGCAGTTTCGATGCCTGTCAATATCGGGGTTCTCCCTCCATTCGGACTATCAGTGGGAGCAGAAGCTGGTGCACTTGCAGAAGGACGGGGTCCGTTCATCTCTGCATCTGTTCGACCGAATACTTCGTTCCACCATCGCGTTTCACTAACGCGGGGGAAGATGAGTCGCTCTTTGCCGCGCTTGTGGTCATCAATGTCGGCATCATACTGAGGGTTTGTGAACTGTTCTCGTCGAGCGAGGAAGTAGTCCCAAACGCTACGGGTTCGTTCCTGAGCCTGGGAATCCACGCGCTCTTTCTCGTTGTTGAACAAGAATGTACCATACTGGCAGGAGTACAGGTGATATAGCAGTCGTCGAAGGAAGCGCTCGTTGAACTCGAATCGAGTCGGATGCTGGTGAAGCAACTGATATGTCGCGTCCAAGAACTGATGGAACACAGGGCTTGTCTCTTTGGGTTTAGTCAACTCCTTTTCAGAAACACTTGAGCGAGGTGCAGGGCTAGTCTTTTTCCCAGCTGGGCTATCGGAATCATAGCTCTGCATTTCCCCATCGGATTCGGGCAGAGAGTCTCGACTGTTGTTATCCCGACCAAAGAAGCCCTTCGCGCTAAGGAACGCGTTCTCAAGTGCTTTGCCAGCGCCGCCCCCTTCGCCAAATGTACGGTTGGGGTCTCCACCGATTCGCTCATTCTCAATTTGGAACCATTTTTCGCTGTTTAAATGACCAGAACGGTGTCGGAACATGTGCCCAAACGAAAGCCAATCTTTCTCAACAAGAACCATGAAGCCTTCCAAAGTTCGAAAGTATGGATCCAGACAAATTTGACTCAGTGCACTGAGCTGACTTGTGCGGTCCCATCCATCGGAGCAGTGAATTAGAACATGGGAGTGTGTTAGGCCAACCTGACGAGTAATTAATCTAGCACCCTCGAGAATTCCACCGATGTGCTTAAGCCAGCCGCTGCGAGCTAATTGATCGCGATTCGGCCCCAGTGGTGTGACGTCCGAGTCTTTCAAAGCATCTATGACCTTGTTCAACGAGTCGCGCATGACATGGATATTGTCAATACCAAGATATGCCTTTGTAGCGAATTTGTAGTTGTCCATGTTCTCGGAGCCGAGTCCAACAGCTTGCATGGCAAAGGCATTAACAGTAGGTCGGGCGTCTACGATCAAGTTTGACTGCTGGGCTCCGTAAATAGCGCGCTGCTCTTCGGTATCACCATCTGCAGCAGCTAGCAAGTCGTCTTCCAGGTCCTCGGCGTTGGTCGGCTCGGGTACCACTATCTGGCTTGACTCTGGGCTATCAGGGCTCGGATCCGATAGTTCTTTCTCGGAAGGGGGCGAGGCAAAGCTTGCTAGAGGTCGCTCAGATCGAGAGGTCAAGAATATAGCCGAAAGAAGCTTCTCATCTTGAATGCTCCGGTTCTGTCGGACACCGACCAGCGGCTGCGAGCTTCTGGTGATTGTGCAATTATTGACGGGATGGAGATACGTTAGAGCTGGAATCCGCGCTCGAGATCGGTAGCGTCCTGCGTAGTTGAGAGTATTATCAGAGATCGATGAAGGTACGGGAATTATGGCGGGATAGGTCGGGGAGAACTACAGCCTCTGTTAGCAAAGCGCATCCCGTTAAAGGCGTGACAGGGTATCATACTTCGTAGTTCGTATTGATCTCGGAGAGTCGCCATCTTTGGCCTTCATTCAAGACGCCCTGGCGCGCCCATTCTTTGCGCGGGTCATACAAGTTCCATCCGTTGAGCTCTTTCTCTGGTGGGGGAGGTTGGTAGGTGAAGGCATATAGTTTGTCGATTCGGCTAGATTTGCATGTCCACTGTTTGATGCTCTCAAACACTTCTCGTGCTTTGTGTTCATTCGCAAAGTAGAAGCAGACGTAGGTGAAGTCTCGACATCGAAGGCGGATGGAGGAGAGCTGGCGGGATGCTGCGGGAGCCGTGCGCAGGGTACAGAATGCGATGATTGGGTACGTAAACCAGAGCTCTCTAGGTCTGACTATCACCCCCTTGGCCTGGTCTTCGGTGGAAACCGTGGGTGTGTGTGAAAAGATAAGGTGGTGAGGGGTGAGATGGAGGGTACCATCAACCTGCTCACCGCGGCGAGACAAGGTCACATTGTCAACCTGGAGAGAAAAAGCGAGTAAGTAAGATGTTTGTGTCTCATCGACTGGGACTTTCGAACCTTGGCGACCCGTGTTTTCTCCATACCGTCTTAGATCACTGGGTGCACGCGCTCTTCATGCTGAGGGGAACCGTAAATGTAGCAAAACGAGGCGATGTCGCGAATAACGGGAGATCGGCAGACAAACAATGTTGGAACAACGAGGCTAGTTCATCTTCAAAAACTCAGGCAACGTCAAGAGGAGCGCGGAGTAGTGATCGGTCGACGGAGGTGTTACACGTCACGGGCCTTGATCTGCTGTGGGGCCGAACACCAAGTCTACAGTATAGGAAAATATTGTTCATCTTATATTTTGGTTTCACTCAGCCTATGCATGATGTAGTCGAATTTAATTGTTTTAGAGATACCGAGCAAGACATTAGGTTTACGTCTGGCCGAAATTGACACAGAAATTGGATAGTTCAGTGGAAAATGAGCCATCTTATAGGGCTCACAACGAGTGTACGATAAACACAACCGGAATAAGAGGAATAAAAGTCGAGGTTCCTCTGCATGGCTCGAGTCTGATGTGAATTAGCATTGGAATCTGGCCCATATCTCATTGGCCATAAACGACATAAGGTGTAGACTTCAGTCCTTTCTCGACAAGACAGTCCACTATTCGCTCAACATATATCACTTCTTGCATATGAGTTTCTCTTTCCTTGTTAAGCACTTTATAAGCAGTTTCCAATGGAAGCATTGCAGATGCAGGCCCGAATAACTTCATGTCGTCTTGCACAAGATATTCCATACCAAGACATATTTTGCATGAGATGGCATATAAATTTCGTTGAGAGTGCTCAGAACAGAAGAAGTCGTCTTGCTTAAAAAGCTGAGATCCCCAGTTTTGGAACCAAGTCTCCAAACGTCCAAGCTCGACGATACATATGATCTGAAATGCCCACAGGTGTGTCCAGAAGTTTGCCATGGTGATGTTCAAGAACCAGAGAGGTGTACCCGGAGGACTCGGTATAAGCGGGTGCGAGTGAGAAGACTGGAGCCAGAAGCCTGGTCCCTCACAGTTAAGTACTTCCTCCCATTTTTCTAGTTGGGAAAGTAATTCTATACAGTCGTTCCACACTTTTGATACCTGGGAGCTTTCTGTTTCACAGGGTGTCTCTGTGAAGCGGTCGGCTTCTTCCAGTAGGAATGGAAGCCTTGAAGCGAGATTGATGAGCTGCTGCATCAAAGATAGATTGTAAGTAGAAAGTGGTATCTCAATCCATTCCTTTGATGCGATGAATGTTGCCTTCCGGGATTGAATGGCTTGAACCATCTGCAGAAATATTAGACACCGGAATGCAATCATGCATATTGATAGCTGCGTACCAATAGAGGGCGAAATCCAACAAAAAGGCTTTGAAGAGCCCCGCTCTTGAATTGCTCGGGTCCGCTTGTCTTGAATAGCCTGGCTACGCCATTTACATGCATAGCAAGCCCAAAGCGCGAGTCGGGGAACATAAGCTAGGGTCAAATGAGTTAGTTGGATATTATAAGGGGACCAAATAATAACAGTACCTCGGCTAGGACCAGGCACATTATGGCAGCAGCAAATTCAGCATCTAGGCCCTCTTCGAGTACTTGGGTGTCTGATCGAAGAGCATCGATTGCCGAAGAATACCCCTGTACCTTCTGCGCATCAGATGCAGATGTGAGGGTCAGACTCAATGCTTTTACTGCAGGATCCAAGACACGTTCGTAGCGACTTGAAGCAATTGAGGGCTCAATGAGCGTTGCTAAGACCCCAACCCATGCTCCACATATCCTGGGAACATCAGTCACGGCAGGGAATATCGAACATGTCTCTTCGCTGGGAATGTAAGCTTCCGTTATATTTTCAATTTGAGACCGGCGGCTGCACAGAATGGTGGATGGGATGGGCGTGGATTGGCCATGACGTAGCGCAGTGTGGCCCTCAATAGAAGCGGAGTCGTCCGGCAAAGAGCTCTTTTGAGAAACGAAGGTCCAGTCTGGAGTTTTCCAGTCACAACTTCTCCCTCTTAGAGCACACTGGCTACAAACAGGTTGTTTGCCATCACACTAGGTTGCGCGTCAGATATGCTTTTGAAGAGAAAGATAGGACATGCCATACTCCAAGTTTTCGTGTTCTACATGTCTGACAGACTGTATTCTTCTTGACACGCATAGTTCGGCTTTTTCAGTGAAATTGTCATAGACATAAGCAATCTGACGGTCGAGTATTTCCCGAGGTTGTGGCGAAGCGATTGGTACTTGGAAGTGCACCAATCAAATGCTGATCTCAACCGTCTTGGCGAAATATAGAACCCGAAGCGGTAAGGCGCCAGATGCAGGATCTATGAAAGGCGACGGGATTCAGGCGATGGGATTTAGGCGCAGATGTTAGACTTCCTCTTCTGGAATCATAAATCGCCAAGATAATTTTTTATAGACTTTAGACTCTCGCAATGATCGATAATCGCTAATCCTAATGGGAGTCCGCGGAGATTCCATGAGGATAAATAGCCTTGTCTTTGCCCTTCTTGTCATTCTTCAGCTCACTTTCACCTCAGACTCTTTTCTAAATAAACTGGACTCTTTAATACATCATTATGGCCCCTTCAAACTTCAACAGCAACATTTCCATCACCCACATCGGCACTGCCACTGCAATCATCGAGATCGATGGCGTCAAGCTCTTGACCGATCCGTTCTTCTCCCCAGCCGGAACAGAATTTGAGAGTCCGGTCGGTGTTTTCAAAGTAGGCCATAATCCAGCTCTTGGAATCAAAGACCTTCCACCAATCGATGCCGTCCTCCTGAGTCATGAGGATCACACCGACAATCTCGATGACCTGGGTCGGCAGCTACTCGACGGTCGTCTCGTGTTCACTACAATGGACGGGGCTAAGAATCTAGCTCCTCGTCCGGGTGTGCGAGGAATGAAACCATGGGAGAAACTCTCTGTCAACATCGGAGGCAAGCCCTTTGAAATTACGGCAACCCCATGCCAGCACCTCCCAGGAGGCGAATGTACAGGCTTCATCCTTACGACTGCTAGCTTTGGTACCAGCCCAGACGGTTTGCCCAATGCGATTTGGTTCTCTGGTGATACAAACTACTTTGAGGAACTGGATCAGATTGCTACCAAGTTCCATGTCGTGGCTGCGATTTACAATTTGGGCGATGCCCATGTTCCGCTCCCAGAGGGCCCATTGCAGGTTACGATGGATGGAAAGCAGGCTGCTGGTCTGTTCCGGACTCTCAAGGCTGATTTCCTCGTTCCGATGCATTATGATGATTGGTCCCATTTCACTCAGCATGGGAACGAGCTGGCGAAGGCGTTCGCTGAGGAGGGAATTGAGGACCAGGTATGCTGGCTCGTCCCGGGCACGTCGAAAAAGGTGATTTGAGGAGGACGATGTTGAGAATTGTGGCTGCTGACCGCGGCCCATGCTATGAGTGGGCCAATGGTCAACTGCCACGATTACTTCGTCGTCTCTGAATCAGGTCAGGTCTAGCTTAAGGGGAAGGCTTGATGCTAGAATTGGACAAAGCTTAGGCAATTGTTTATGATGCCTCAATTACAATGTACTGGGAGAACTGCAGGAAATGTTTAGAGGGATTTAATGGTTCTTTGTCAGATTAAGTGGCTATTTTAACAGATAATATACAAGAATGACAGCCCCAGTACGCCGTCAACTTAAATAATGATAACAATTGATGGACACTGTACAAATCTAAATCAAAAGCGCTCTGCCATGCGCCTAATCCAGATATCTGCTTCCATGGATTTTGAAAGCCATGTCAGAAGAAGTGTTATAGAACGAATGGAAATTATGATGGAGAAGCTCTTGGGCTTGGTCACTTTCCGAGGTCGGGTCGCCATGAGGAATTTGAGTGGTAAGAGAAACCTCGTTTGAACGGGCAGCAAGCAATGGACCACTCTCGTAATGACGGTACTCGAGGTTTCGGTCACCGAATTCGTATGTTTGAATGGCAGTACCTCGAACTTCATTGAGAGGAGGAAACATGTATTCAACGGTGGTGTTGCTCCCCTGGATTTCGCTATCCCGCGATTTCTTTGGTGTCGGCTTGTGTGATGATCGGATAACCTTCTGAACATCATTTGGAATAGAGATCTTGCAGAATGGCGACAGGGGGCCACGCGAAACACCACCGGCCATAAACGAGCTACGAAGGGATTGCTTGATATCCTGCAGCATCGTTTGGAAGTCTGATGGACAAGAATTTTCGTGCAAGAGATCTCGAGAAATGGTTCTCGTAAATCGCAGATCCAGGCCGTTCTCTGGGAGAAGGTAATCAACAGAATTGGTTGCGAGAATAGCTTTTACACTCTGAATCTCGAAAGCATCATCTGAGTTCTGAATGTCCTTGTGGCGCTTGGTGATCAGGGTGATTTCGAGTTCAGGGAAGGTACCCGCATCGGCAGTTGGCGTCAACCGGATGCGATATGGCACTGAATCTTTCGTTTGGGAGGAGGGTGAAAGGGAATCGAGGAATCTCGAGATCAAAGGGATGTCGTTGGTGAAAGTCCGTGGAAGAGACAATCTTCCTAATTGCGCTGGACTCATCGTTGTTTCCTCAAACGAGGACTTTTGCATGAAAAGGCACCTCCCAACCTCGGCCGTCACGGTTTCTTGAAGGCCAGGTGTAATTTGCGGGTCGCTCTTCAACGTTGAGGTGTCTCTGAGTAGTTTTAGCAGTTCATCAGACAGACGTGTCTGGTGCTTATCAAAGAACGGTGTCTCGAGATTTTCTGCCTGTGCGCTTTGGCTAGAAGACATTGCCCACCGGAACCATGACTTCTGTCGGTCAAACCATGAAGCATTTTCTTCCGGACTGTAACTGTAGACAGTGGCAAGCTCTGAAGCCGGTAGATATGTAGAGAAATGTGCCGACGGAAGTGTCGAGTTGGCGATTGCCAAGTTCAAGGCTCTTCGGGCATTATCCGCTCCCAACTTGTTCTCAGCAAGGTAAAATATTTTCTCAGGTGTGCGGTGAGCTTTGTGTTCCACAAACACACCGTATGTAGTGTTGATCCAATTCAAAAAGTCCGGGGTGAAGACCTGATTGATACCTTCTTCGAGGATGTAAGGGTTGATGCCAACATCCTCTTCGCGAGTTCTGGCAGTAGCATCGTGTATGATCTCACGGACAGATTCGCACGCGTTTCGCTTTCCATAAAGTGTCACTCGGCCAGCAGATGGTGTCACATCAATGGTGCAGCCATGGAGACTGGCCAGCTCATGGAAGGAGAAATGTTCAGCATGAAGGAGCAAGGACATAAACTCGGGCTCTAATTGAAACTCCATTTGTCCACGCTCCGCAGGAACTGCCAACTGCCAGCAGTCACGGACTATCCTTTCTGCAAGCCGAGCTTTTCCCTGGTGTGCTTTGGTCCCTGCCGTTTCCGATATTTTGTCGGACGGTCTCCATGTCCAATTCGTCTCCGTAAGACTCACGCTCTTGTCTTGTTGGTCTGAAACATACTCGGCCAGCTGCCTATGGGTGAATGATGATGTAAGTTTAGAGCGCAGTGCTTCGAATTCGCCAGTCGCCAACGTGTCTCCTGGCTGATGTGGTTCACGGCTCGCATCAATTCCCTTCTGAATTGTTTCAGCCGTGGGATCTGAGTTCTCTTCATCAAGATCGTCTAGCATGGAACTGATTGTATTGTTGTCACTATTGCTGGCATGGTCGCGGCGGTTGCGGTACAACCTTCGACGCCCACGCCCAGGCACGACAACGATTTGTCCTGGCTGACCCAAAGAGTTCACATCCAGTGTGACCTTTGACCCTCCATCATTATGTTGGCCTCGAGGTTCGCGTTTGCGGTGGGAATTAGGTTTATCGAAAGCGTAGCGTTGGGCTGGACCGGATTTCCAATCGCTCAGGTATCGGGGACGGATGGGTGTCGGGAGGAACGGTCTCCAACAGAGAGATTGGTGCCTCAAAGGCCTCAAATCGGTCCTCAGAGGTTGTCGAAGCATGACCGGAGGTTCAGTTGCGTACAAAAGGCAAATAATCCTGTGATCGCTTTTCTCCGGCCGATAGCGCTAGACCGCGATAAGAAACCATTTCCGCCTCAGGCCAGCATCCTCTATAGCATCAAGTTACTCTCCTACAGACACGTAGGTATTTCATTGAAATAACGTGAGAGAAAGAGTACAGCTATACTTTATTCGGCGGTCAATACTGTAGAGATAAATACAAGTTTTAAGATTGTTGCTTCAATCGCATATTATTACATGCCACGCCGAGATGGGATTCATTATTTTGAGGAAACCTCCCAGCTACGCAAATCCTCTCTCACGTCAAACTCAGAAAGCTCATTGTGTACATTGAGTGCTTTCCATCCTCGGCCCTTAACTCCGTCATAAAGTTTCTGTTCAATACTTCCGCCCTTCTTGGGATGCCCAAGTGTAGAATGAGAGTCTGGTGCCTTGCCGCTAGTATGGGAATGATTGCTCGAAGAACTTTTAGGTCGACCCTCGAAACTTGGAGACAACATTTTCCCTGGCCGACTTTGTCGCGAAGCTGACTCTGCACTTAGAAAACCATCTCGGCGGTCATGCCCGGGATTGTTCTTGTCGCTGGCATTGTGTGCATCGTTATACCAGTGTGAGCCTCCAGCGAATAGCTCTTCAACAAGTTTATCAGCAGGCAGATCGCATGATCGGGAGGACCATGATGCCGCTAGACTTCGTCGATACATATCTTGCATATCCGCGATTTCCCGGCTCTTGGTGTTGATGGATGGAAGGTGTCCAGCTTCATCGAGATCGCCTTGCTGCTCGGAAGCATGAACAACACCGGCAATACCTCCAAATACAGTAGCCGACTTCAGATGCGGTCTGTTTATGATCAGTACTGAGAACGTATAAGTAATTTGATTGATTGGCTTCAACTTACGTCGTGAAGTTGCGGTCTCCTTCTAGCTGGCGCATTGCTATCCCGATTTTGACAGTACTATTCACTTTGCAGTCATGCATTAGATACCGTCGAATGACACCTTCATCTTCTTCAACCTTATCCACATATTCAGCAAGGTTGAGTTTGATTTTGCCCAGTACGTTCTTCTCCGAGACGGACGATGAGGTAAATTCTTGTATGATTTCAAAGCTGAGTTCACACTCTTGAAGCATTGATGTTCTGTCAATTGTAAGTCTCACTTGGAGAATCTTTTCATAGCTCCAATAAGCCCGGTGGTCAGATAGAGTCGCTTTCTCTGTCTGGCCTTGGTGCTCAGTGCCGCTTGATGATGGCAGTCGCCATCTCACATAGGCAAGGCCGTTTCCCAATGGAACATTGTTGATATCAATAATCTGTTAATCAAAGTTAAAGACGTCATTGGCAGCTTCAAATGGAGTTCTATACATACTCTCAACACGAGCTCAAATCTAGGCTATATAGAAGTTAGTTGGAGATAATACTTCCCCTGGAGCTTTCGGAGACATACCCGTCTGGTTTTGGGAACTGCAACATCACAATTGTAAGCGTACATAATGTGCATAACATAACACGTTAGTAGAAGACATACCGAATGCTTGCATGATGGCGGTCACGTCACTGTGTTCAAGCTTGTCAGAAGTAGGATTTCACGGACCAGGTGGCCCACTTAGGACCGGCCTAAGTAATAAATTGCAGTCGAGAGCCAATACTGGACTGACCTATTATGAATACCAAATGTCAAGCCGCGATGCGGTCGTCAACTTGGCTCTAAGTTACTCCACGCGGGCGCTGATATCATGGGCGGTGTGAAGTGGTGATTGGCAGAATACAATCAAAGCCGCGGACTAACTCACCTCTCTCCAACAACCATTCTTTAGGAGTGTCGCGCATGACCCAACCTTCTGTTTTCAACACCTCTTCACTCTTATCAACCTGAATCCGTCTCTCTGCAATCATGGTCGAGACCGAATCTACGCTTCCCTCTCCTCCATCGGAATCGGCGTCCGCCTCCGCAGTGCCTCTAGACTCACCAATGCGCACCACCCCCATACATGTCAATCTTTCCGAGATCAAAGTCCCAGATGGTGATTTCCCATTATATCGATACCACCCGGTCACATGCCAGCCGATGGAGCCACGCGACTATCAATCTGAGCTTGCGAAGTTAGAACGTGAATACCCGTCGCGCGAGGGTGCCTCCAGGGCCCAGGACGAAATGGCCAAAGAAGTTAAGGCCAAAATTGAAAGCGCACAAAAAAAACGAGAAGAAGTTCAGAAAGCGATTGACAAGAAGATCAAGGAGCTCAACATCGAAATGAAGGTTATCGAAGGGAAGGTTGTTTCCAAGTACCAAGAGAAGGCATCTGATGTTCCGTCTTGAAGGGAGGGGCGACAAACAGAGCTCATCTTTTGACAAAAAAAATATTGAGCACGGATAACGAGAATTACCACATCTACTGTCGTGTTCTCCCAATGGGCCATCTCTGCCGCAACAAGATCATTGGCTATCTACGGATCTGATCAAGGCACCTTTGATATTTCCCACGACTCCCATCATTTGGCTTTGATTATATCAGTCGCAAGCCACATTCTGATGAAGATTCTGAACATGGTTTACACGGCCACGAATTCGAAGGGAAAGAACTCAATCAAAGCGCACTTTGCATCTCAACATCGTGAGATCAATTGGCCTGAGCAGTCAAATGCCATGTCCGTCGTCTAATTAAGCGAAGGGCGGACTTGAAATGTTTTGTCTCCAAACAGCTCATGCACTGGCTCTTCCAGTGAAAACCCACAACCCTAGTTGAAAGATACGATACTAGCTATCACCAGATACCCTCAACGCTTGGTTTTGTCCGGCGGACAACTGTTGCCAAAGCTCTGAGTTTGCAAACAGCATATTCAAATATCATGAATTAAATGCCATTGATATCATCGCAGTAACATACTCATATATAAAGTTAATTATCATGAGGTATCATGAATTTTGCGTATTGGAGCCTGTATACCAGCAAAAAGCTTCTACTAATGTCTAGACACAGCCATTGTCATTTGATTGTACCAGCTTGTGTGCCATTTATTATTGTTCTAAGTCATGGCATCGAACTGCACATGACCTACCTACTCAGGAGGCCCCGGGATACTTCAGTGATTTACTGTAGCTGCACAGCTGTTGACGAATTCGTAAAATATCAGCAAGAGCCATGCTTGAAATAAGTAGAATTCAATACTACCGCCTTGACTCAATACGGTCTTTGATTATAGGACCCCATGATTGTTGTCTCGTGGAAACCAAGCCTGAATAAAACCAACATCCCATTGAATACACATCATATACAGGCAATTGAAGTGCCTCTTGGATTGCTTTTGAAAAAGGTGGCATCTGTGTGCACTCCAGGCAGAGGGCTGCAATTTCAGGGTGCTCAGTGACCAGTTGCCGAGTGGCAGTCACTAGTTCCTCGCATATCTTGTGGTGGACATATTCAATGCCCTGGCGGATATGACTTTGCAGTAGACCATCTTTTGGAGCACCACGTATATGGCATCGAGAAGGGGAAATATTCAATTTCTCAAGGTGAAGAGGTCCCAGACGCGTGTCATCGAAAGTCAAGATACCAACACTGCGTGTGGGAGGAAGGACAGCCAAAAGAGATGGAATTTGAACTAGGGCTGAAGTAGCGATAGGTATCGGAAGTTGAGCAGCAAGACTTTGATGTCAGCATGTAGCGCAGAATTTCTCTAACGTTAGAACAGACATACTCCGGCTGTGCCATCGCTAGGAAACCGCAACTCGTGATTATACCAACCGCTCCACGCTTCGCAAGTTTATGGCCAGCTTCAACAAACTTTTCGATCAAAGAACTATCGTAAGGCCCAGTGCACACAACTTGGGTTTCTGATGAGCCAGTCACCCTCTCGCGGATGAGCGGGAATGGCCATGTCTTCTCGTTGAAAGGATCCCCTGGCGGTCTATGCAAAATGACATCAATTGAGATAAACCCGAGTGGAGGCATTTCAAATTCAGGTATCTCAGACTTGAATTCTGTAGCCCCTGGAATAAACTGCATACCATCGTGTAGCAATTCGGGTGCGTCTGTTGTTTCGACGGGATCTGGCACTAAACATTGCTCGGTCAACAAATGATCTTTCTGCGTAGTAGACATCTAATGTTGATAACTTGGACTAGAGCTTCTTTTTGAATCAAGTCCCAGGACAATGCTGGGTTATTCCGCAGCAACTAATACGGTGGGAGCTAGGCTTATCAGTTGGAGGTTTCCCCTCATGGACTATTATCTATAGGCTCGGAGGAACCCGAGGCGCAGATGTATGTGATTTCACCCCACAATGAGCTGTGCCTTATAACTTGGAGTCGTGCGGACTAAACCTGAACTTGGTTTATACTATTTCGTACTCAAACATAGTCTTTTGGACTTTGGTCAACAATACACTTGCCTTGCGATTAAATTCTCGAAAACGTAAACAACCATGACGATCGAAAGAAAGCCACGCGTCGTATCCCTCGGAACTCCTGCTTTTGTCAATGAAGAATACATCACTCGATTCAAAACCGACTTTGACTATTCGGTCTTGCCCGCCACAAACCGCGAGGAGACACAGACTTTACTGCCCAAAGACATCGCGAAGAATGGACCGATCGATGCATTTATCATTCGCATGGGCACGCCACCGTACGAGCCTTTCGACGAGGATTTGTTGAAGGCACTGGTACCAGAATGCAAAATCATCACCTCTGCCAGCGCAGGGTACAATGAGTTCGACGTGGACTGGATGGCTAGTCGAAATATTGTGTTCTGCAATACCGTCAATGCAGTCGCAGAGGCTACAGCAGATATGGCCGTGTTTTTGATGCTTGCTGTCTTGAGAAATACTACAAATGCTGAGAAGAGTGCCCGGAACGGTACTTGGAGGAAGGGAGCGAACCTGGTTCCCACTTGCGATCCTTCCGGGCTCACTCTTGGTATTGTTGGGATGGGTGCCATTGGAAAAGTATGTATAAGAAGCATAGAACATGATTCCATTACTGTTACTGATATTCATCTCTAGTATCTCGCTAGGAAAGCCGCTGTCTTCAATATGAAGATTGAATACTTCAATCGAAACCAGCTCCCAGCAGCCGAGGAGGAAACATATGGGGCAACATACTGCAAATCTTTGCATGATCTTCTCCAACGAGCAGATGTCGTCTCTTTAAATTGCCCCCTCAATGCAGCAACCACAAACTTGATTAGCACAGCTGAATTTGCTGCCATGAAAGATGGGGTATTCCTCGTCAATACGGCTAGAGGGGCAGTCATTGACGAGGAGGCTCTCATTGCGGCGCTAGAGTCGGGCAAGGTACAACGTGCTGGCCTTGATGTTTTTGTCAATGAGCCCAGCCCGAGATCCTACTTCCTACAGAGCGATAAAATTGTTCTGCAGCCACATCTGGGTGGGTTGACGGAGAAGGCGTTCCAGAAAGCTGAAACTGAATGCTTTGAGAATATACGCGCTTTTTTCACAACCGGGAAAGCAAACTCACCGGTTAACGAGATTAAGGGATAGACTTCAAATGGTTGTTTTCTATTTTACTCATTAGTCAAGTGAATTTTCAGGAGATTCGATGGCTGCAATTGAAGTAACTTAAACCCTTAAAGTAAAGCCATGTAATTTGTTGATTTTTCTACCTGCCTACATACGTATGTATTTGCAGTTTTATTCTTGAGGCAATAAATAAATTTGATAATTTATGAGATCTAGAGTCTAGCATGTATTTGACTTTGAAAAGGCACTTCCTGAAGCAGACCAATGTTGCTTAGAGCCCTTGGGCCACTGCAACCCTCCATGAGAGCGTTTACTGGTTGTTCTGCGCCAACAGACCTCCATCGCCATGCCTTCACTGCTGGCCGATCCAGTTCAATCTGCTCCATTATATCCACGACCCAATTACCGATGTTTGGCAAGAATTTAAATGCATGGCCACTACCTCCTGTTGCGACCATTAATCCATCTTTTTGGGGGACACGGTCCACAACATAGTGATTGTCAAATGTATCTGTATACCAGCAGATTCTGGTCAGACACGCATTGATTCCTTCCTCGGCTAATTCCGGGAGGTACTCGTTCAGAAATCCCGTAAGAACTTCATGTGCTTGCTGAGGAAAAGAAGTAAATTTGCTTCCGGTCGATTCATTTTCTTCTTTCTCAGGAAACGACCATCGTGTTATCGGGGTGCTTCGCTCTTTGCCATCACTTTGGCGTAGAGGATTGGTATACTTAGTTCCCCGATATCCAACCTTGAACCAGCCATTTTCATCTCTCGGAAATCCATACAGGCCACCTTCGGCTCCATTTCGCATATTCCACATCCACGTTGGAAACTTATCGGTATCAAGTCGATCCCATAGAGGTGAGCTTTGAGGGATTTTGAACATCATCACGCTCCCCGCGGTTGCTTCACATAGGGCATCAAGTTCTGGTAATAAGACCGGCGTCCATCCTCCGCAAGCAAGAATAGTCATTGCGGCGGGGTGAAATTGGTTATCCTGCGTTTTGACTCCAATCACTCTGGACTCGTCGTAACAAAGCTCTTTCATACATCCAGCCTGCTCGGCGAAGATGAATTTTGCACCCATGCCTCGTGCTTTGTGCAATGCAAATCTGCATGCCTTGTCCGCAAAGGCCGTACCGCCTGTACTATCCAGCACACCAGTGTTGGGTGTTTTGCCTCGTCTTTCTCTTTGAAATGGATCCATAAATGACTTGAGCCCTTTCTGAGCTGCAATTTCTTGGTGGCTGGGAATGAGAGTTGCCAGCTGAGTATCTTTATAGCCAGACTTCTCCATTTCTTCAATGCAGGCCAACTCCCATGGTGGAATTTCTACTGATGTAGATAGTGATATGCATCCGTTGGGCACGAAGACTGCATCACTGGTCGACATCCCCGGGGGAACCAAAGTGCCTGCTTTTAGTTCCGCATTCCAGGCATGCCACTCAGGGATTGCTTCAGAAGATAAATCTTGGTATTCCTTTTGAGATCCGTAGGCTGACCGAACAATTTTGTTGATGTCGGCAGAAGCAGCGTCTGCGCCTTTGAAGTACGAGTACAAAGTCTCGTCGTAAGGTTGTTTGTCGAGAACCGTCACATTCTTGTAACCACGTTTGCAAAGATGTAACGCAGTGCTGAGGCCAAAAATACCCGCTCCGACGATGACAATGGGGTCTGTCTTTCTCGGTGGCATAGACTGGGTCATTTTTGATGCTATCAATTGGAAAATAAGCAGCCAATTCTTGACGAAGCTAGAATTACACTCTCTCATATAAGTTGTGTCCCTATCAGGAGCATAATCTCTCTTGTCTTAGTGCCTTTACCAGCGAATTTACCAAGTCTCTTTCATTGGAGTTCGGCTTCTTCCGATGTGCTATCAGGAGTGGCATTGTTGCCGCTAGATATGTTCGGTTTCTCCCGACCTATAAAAATTGTGATTCTAAGAGATAACGTCATGATATTCATGGGCTTTGAATAGAATATGGCTTTCGGCCAAATGTGGCATAGAAGGAACCTGGTGCGAGGGGTAAGTTAACGTGCGTGCGGGGACAAGTCAAGATAAAAACGTGTGGTGCAAACGACAAGTCCTGAGTTTCTGTAAACTGCCATCAATTTAGATAATTGTAGATCGTATGTTTTGTAAAATTTCGATGTTTGAGAGAAATCGTGGAAGGAAAGAATAGCTGTTCAAACGCGTTAGATCAAGATGGACGACCTTATCTCCCTGTCTAGTTTGAAGCCATCCCACCTTGATCAACTCCCTCAATATGAGCCATGCACCAAAGCGACCGAGAATTGGAGAGCGGACGATGCTCGCTTGCATCGGATGCAAACAGAAGAAGTTAAAGGTACTTGGGCTTCACCTAGAAGGTAGCCATGTCACTGACCACGGGACTAGTGCGATGGACAAACGCCGAAATGCAACCACTGCGTGCGGACTGGACGAGGTAAGCCTTGTCCTTCAAGTTATAAACTCATCTGATTCGCCCAGAATGTCTTGTGGAAGACCCTGCAACAGGACTGCACCGTCCGCGCAACTACATGCAGGCTCTTGAATCCCGGGTGGTCTACTTGGAAGCTCTTCTTCGAGAAGTCCATCCAGACGCAGCCTTGACAAGTAATAGTCAGAGTCAACCTGACAATACTGATTCTATCGCTTCTTTTGGCGTAGCAATCTCACCTAGGATGGCCAATCCATCAAGCTCCTTCAACCAGTTGTTGAGTGACTCATGTGTTGGTGCTAACGCAAGTCCATCTTCAGTGCGTCGTCAATCATCATCCCTTGAGCATAGCAATGATGAAAAGTGTAATCAAATTGATCATCTATCTTCCGAGGTTGCTCTCCTGTGTCTGAATGCCGCTGGAGGTGAACCCCATTATTTTGGGCCTTCATCAGCTGTGTCATTCTCGCGGATTGTGAGCGCAACAATGGGTCTCAAGGCAGATGTCTCATCTGTTTCTCCACACAATAGTGAAGAAAGTGGCGATTTCTCGCCTGTCATATGCCCAACTCGAATTCCACGATTACCATCCCCAAGTGTCTCAGCTAATTTATCGCGGGCTTATTTCAACAATATTCATCCACAGTACCCCTTTTTACACCGACCAACTTTTCTGAAATGGGAACAGGATGTTCAAAGTATGAACCAATCTGGAGACAGTACTCTGGCCAGTGATGTTCCACTTTTCTTTGTCCTCATGGTGTGTACCACTGAGCCCAACAGCGATAGAGTTGACTTGTGAACTGATGATATCCACTCACCATCCAGATCTATGCTACTGGCTCTCTTGCTCTTAGTCAAAGCCATCATAGCGCTGCAGCGGTAATTCTTTTTCAAGTATAAGAGAAAATTAAGATTCTAACCTTCTCAGATGTACTATTCTCTGGCTTTGGATCACCTGCCTTCCGTTCTTGCACTCAATAATCTGGAATCAATCCAAGCTATACTTTGTTGTGCAACATACTCAATAAGATCGCCTGCTGGAGCTAGTCTTTGGTATGTTTCCATCCAGTTCCTACCGATTTATAGTAGAGTAACATCAGACATAGGAAGATATCAGGGATGGCAATCCGCCATTGTATCGAGCTAGGATATCACAGAAGCGCAGAGAGATATCGCAAGCATGTTGATCCTCTAACTAAAGAGATGTCTAAAAGATGCTTTTGGGTTGCATATGATATTGATCGAGTCGCCTCTTTTATCCTGGGTCGGCCAGTGGGAATACCAGATGAGTTAATTGATGCAGAGGTACGACATGATTTCTGGTCTAGCTCCTCGGCTACGATTCATTATCTTGCTAATAACCAAGGTCTAGCTTCCCCTGGATATTGAAGATGAGAACATCACTCACCACGGTATATTGGCGAATCCTCGTGCGGCTGACGACCAGGTGCCAACAATTATGACGGGAACCCTGCATAGTATCAAGCTAAGGCAGCTATGGGCGAGATTTCATGCAAATCTCTACTCACCTCTACCACAATATCAACATTCCAGTAGACAATCCGCTACTGTTGATAGTCTTCGCCAAGAGCTGGAAGAATGGCATGCATCGGCTCCCACCCATCTTGACTATTCATGTTCTCATCCTTTGTCGGTGTTTGCTTCGGCCGAATGGTTCCAAATTGCATATAACCATTCGATCTTGATTCTCTATCGCTTATGTATTACTGGGATTCTCGGTAAACGACGACAATGGCATGCTGAGCCTGGAACAAACGATATCGATTCCACCGAGGAAGAAGAAGATCTCCAACAAGCATTTGAAAACTGTTCCCGCTGCGCTCGGGATATCTGCGTGTTATATCGTCGACTCTATCAGAAGTCTACCGTTCAGTTTACCTGGGGAAGTCTCCACATCCTGTTTCTTGGCGGCCTGACATACTTGTATTGTCTCTGGCGATCGTGGCGAGTACGCCAGCAGACAAAACAAAGCGAAGTGATCAACACATGCATGGCCTGCACAACAGTCCTGGTCATTATAGCAGAGCGGTGGAACTTGGCAACATCGTATCGCGACATTTTCGAGGCCCTTTCCGAAAGAACTATCAACATGATTTGTGGTAATGGGAAGTCTGCTGGGCCAGTGCCTCCCCAATCACAATGGACTGTCCCAGAGGACATTCTTCCCCCTGGACTATCTCCAAGAGACTGGAGCTTGGGATTTGATGATCTGGCCATGCCACAAGCGTCGGACTGGCTTATTCAGGAACTTTTACAGGAATTTCCTGAACCTCCGCCAGATCAGACGAACACTGGTCGAATGGGGGAGGACTCCCGTCTTTCTCCAACTTACTGAGTTCCTTTCGGATAACATGGAGTATAATGAAATTTTTTTCATGGCAATGTCTTTCAGTACTTCTCTTTTGAATGGACTTCGAATGTTTCTCTATACACTTCGGTGTGGAACGTCTCGCCCACTCTCGGCTTCTTCCGAGGGTTCAAGTGCTTCTGTTTTCCTGATAAGAATTTAAAAAAGAACAAACTGTCAATCATTTGCGGGGTAGATGTAAATAACCGCGGTCATTCCTATGATTCCTATACTTACCTCCTATTGAGATCTGACTTTGTAATTCACTCTGCACATCATGTCATCGGTCGCATCGACAGTCGATCCGACTTCAAAGAAATCTGCTCTGAACATAGCGACAGACGCAAATGGCGAAGTCAAAAAGCTTCACCATATCCCCCGCCCTGCAACCAAGGAGGCCGAAAGAAAATGGCTCCTCGAACAGATGGCGGGTGCTTTTCGCATATTCGCCAAACTAGGATTTTCGGATGGCAGTAGCGGGCACATAAGTCTTCGAGGTACGTGACTTCGTCTGCGCTTCGTATGCTAAAGAGTTAGTCCTGATCATGCTGACACCTTCAGACCCTATCGAACCCCACACCTTCTGGATCAATCCGTATGGCATACACTTTGCCCTCCTCAAGGTCTCCGATATGGTTCGAGTAGACGAGGAAGGAAATCGAGTCGCAGGTGCAGACAAGCCTGTCAACGCAGCAGGTTTCATTATTCATTCTGCGATCCATCAGAAGCGACCGGATATTCATGCCGCTTGCCATATGCATAGTCCGTATGGCAGAGCGTGGAGCACATTCGGCCGGGCTATTGATATGTTCAATCAAGGTAATTCCATGTGAATGACCGGCAACACGCTTTTGTTAATGCTGATTAGATTCCTGCATGTTCTATGATGATCTTTCGGTATATCCCGCCTTTGGAGGCGTTGTCTTTGCAAAGGAGGAAGGCCAACGGCTCGCTGAATATCTTGGTCCTAAGAACAAGAATCTGATTATGCAGAATCATGGACTACTTACTGCTGGAGGAACCGTTGCCGAAGCAGCGGCGTTCTTCATTGCGCTAGAAAGGGCATGTCAGACGCAGCTTCTGGTGGAAGCTTCGACAGCACCGGGCTCTAACGGAGCAAGAGATGGCATTCTGAAGAAAACAATCGTCGATCATGAAACGGCCACATACACCAAAAAAGGAACGGGCACTCCTGAAGTGATGTATATGCAATTTGAGCCCGAATATCAATTGATTTTGAAGGAAACGGGAGGTGACTTTTTGGATTGAGGGCAGACACCGGACACGTTTGTTTACTTGTGCACCAGAAGCTACAAAGAAATTGGGACCCGTTTCATTCAGACATAATTTCTTTCCTATTTATTTCGAGTAACAAGTGCCAACATTGAAAGGGAGACGTGATTTGTCAGGACTTCGGCCACGCACCGGCAGAGTTCATCCACGCGGTTCATTCTCAACTGAATTCCCTTTCAACTCTCGAAGTACAACTGTGACCGTTACCTATTGTAGCCTTGCATTTCTGTGTGATGTTTCAATGCTCTCAGTGTGACAAAAGCTACCAGCGAAAGCCTCATTTGCTTCGTCATGAGGAAACTCGTAAGACTGATGCTTCTCGACATTGGGGACGAATGGTCTGACAACCCTCTAGATAATCAGCAGCCCTCTTCCAGTTGCCCCTTTTGCAAGAAGTCATTCCTGAAATTGTTTGTCACCCCGTGGTATTACGAAACGTGAATAGCTGCTGATCATTAGGAAGAGAGGTAACTCGGAGACACAGCAAAGCGTGTGCAAAGAAATACAACCAACCATTGCCACCACCAGCCAAACCGGGCAGAAAACGACAATCTTGCGATTTATGTTTTTTTGCCAAAGCGTCGTGCGATAAGAACTCTCCTTGCTCTCGTTGCAGTTCTCTTGGACGACAATGCACCTTTTCCGGTCATCAGACGCTGTCTCCAGGCTCTACCTCTTCGTCGGCAGTCTCGCTTTCGCCATCCATCAATCCATCTCGCAGTGCCTCGAGAGGTGGTGGGCCATTTGCCTTCCTTCGCCATTTTGCCAATCCGTCTGTCCATAAGGATAGGCTTGCGATCGGCGAGACAGCAAAGCGTTCCGTTCGAAGGAATCTTGAAGCGCTCAATTCTCACATCGAAGATGCTCTTGTTCCTACTGATCCCCTATCGGCCTTTGGGGGTGACTTTCAACTACCAGACTTCTCTTATCCGTTCTCATCGTCTACAGATGACTTCTTCTCTCAATTCTCGCCTGATGCGCTTTTTCCTCCCAAGCTTTCCAACCAATTAACTGAGATCATGACCGAATTGGTTGAAACTTCAAAGTCTATGTGTCTCGGCAAATCAGGAGCTTCACCACCACTTGACCTTTTAGAGCTCTCTACACTCCTGGGGGTATCTAATATCTCCGCCTCTGTTTCTGCATTCTTCCACTCTCTCCATTGGCATTTGCCTGTAGTGCATTTCCCGACATTTGACCCAGGCAATGTTTCTAATCCCCTTCTTCTTTCAATATTCTTGTCTGGTGCTACGTATACATTTCCTTTGGACGGCGGCACCCTTCCATCGGGTCTTTTTGATGTGGCGGAAGAGTACATCTTTCGGAACATTGCGAGTCTGGCAGCAGTTCCTTCTCCCAAAGACTCTACACATCTTCTATCGACTGTTCAGCTAATCCAGAGTGCACTCATTATTGAAATGCTTCAATTTGGGCGTGATGACATGCAAACGAGACGGCGGATTCGCATTGTCCGTCATCCGTGTCTGGTCTCCACCATAAGATCCCTAGGGATTTTCCAGCTCAAACGGCGAACTGCCCCAATAGTATGTGATGAGATGACCTGGAAGGTCTTAGTTGCAGAAGAAGTCTGCATACGGTAAGAGACCCTCTCATCATCTCTCCTGAGATAATTCTGTTAATGTTTTGTCTTAACTCCGCCTCAGGATCGCCTGTTGGGTCTTCCTTGCCGATGGATTCCTCACAGTTTGTTTCAAAAATAACCCAGCAATCTCGGTCTTTGAAATGGATTGTCATTTCCCGTGGAGTGCTGGGTTATGGGAGGCTGAAAGTGCATCCTCTTTCAGCAAAATCGCCATGGCGCACTCGGCCAACCTCCCACTTCCTCCACTGAGAGATGTGGTCACCCAGCTTCTCGAGACACAAGACGAAGTCTCAATACCATGGAGTCTTTCGGTATCTGTGGAACACCTTCTTATTTTGATATACGGTAGGTCAAAATTGAAGCCTAGTCAAACGAGTACCGTGCTGATCATATCATAGCGATCAACTCACTCGCATTCCAAACAAGATCAGGCTTGTTAAGATATTTGTCAATCGAAAAGATACGGCGCGCATCGGCAAATTGGAAGCGCATCTGGGATTCCGTCACTGGGCTTTTGGACAAGGATCAATTTTTCCATATTGGGTACCCCAAACATGCTCAAGAGCTTTGGTGGTTGTTGAATGCTACGCTAGAGGTCTCCAGCAATTCTGATGCTAATTTTCGGTATTTGGACAACACTGCGACCGATGACTTGGGGAATTTGAATGATTTCATTCAGTGGTGTTATCAGAGTGCACAATGAGGGTATTAATTAACATTATGTAGCTATATATTTGGAGTTTGATGTACATGGAACCCATAATCTATTCCCCTATTCACATTTATCAGAAACCTTCTCGGCTCCTTGCTTGTTCTCCATGAAAGCATCGCCCTTGGGCTTCCTATAAGTTCCCGCCAGACGATCCCAGGCTGTTGTAAACTGGCCATAGTTATAGTTGAAGTAAAGATGGTGCATTGTATGACATGAAGCTCCATTGATGATCTCAGATGTGGGTAGATACTCAGCATCATCTGCAGATAAACGAAGGAGCGAGAGTCAGCCATCATCTTCGCAGGAAACCATAGGATCTGAGGAAACTTACGTATCAAAACCGTCCACATCGTAACAAAAATGAAGAGTCCCAAGTATGCACTCTTCTGCAAGGGAAACAGCATGGGGAAAACGTGGTATGGTAGACTCTGCGACCACCCATCCAGCGGGTGGAATGCATAGCTAGCAAAGGGTGTCGGAACAGCCCATTTGTGGTGAGGCTTGTGAAGCCAGCGGTAGATCAGAGGGTGGTGCAAGCCCCGGTGAATCCAGTAGATCCCACTGTCCGTGAAGCAGATGAAGAATGGATATTGTAATAGCGTGTATCCCCAGAATGGAGATTCGCTTGTGAAGTCATAGAGCTTGGACCAGCCGCGAATTTCCGCGATGAAGAACGGGACTGTGAGGAACGTGATGACTGGGATTGCGGATATGCCTTGTTCAATCTCGAGTTTTATTTGGTTCGCAAGGAATCGGGGGTGTCGAAGTAATCTTTTGTCGAATAATGTGTGGTATAGTACAAGACTGCCGAGCAGGTACATGATCATTGCGAAAAGCCTATTTGATGGGACAACCTTAGTGAGTTAGTCTCTAAGCAAATAGTAGCACTTACCAGGTGACGATGTATAGGGACAATGCTTGTCGGGCAAGATCATCTCGTTTCCAAAGACTGGCTTCTGCCCACTTGGAAGCCTCCATAGGGTAGTAAACCTTCACATGTCGGTTTAGTTGGAAGTTTGTAGAATTGTAACTTTCAAGACTGGCATTCAAATCTGGCGAGAGAAATGCATAGCATCGATCGAGGATCAACGTATCAAGGATATCTAGGAAGACATCCATCTTGTTGGAAACACTTTTACTATGGAATTCTCGACTTTAATTGTCCAAGGACCTACAACATCTTATAAATGATCAATACCTACATGATAATTACCTACAAGGAGTATACCTACGAGAGAAATACCTACATGCTGGGGAATACCTACACGGCAAATACCCACAATCCCGGGAAATACCTACAAAAGGGGGGAAAGCAACACGGACAGTCTCCACTTATAGACACGCGCAGCATTGACTGGCTTAACTGGCATACATGTACAGAAGAAGTAACATCATACGTTCACATTCTGAGATAGCTACCTTTACCGGAAATCGGAGAGCATGGAAAAAGAAACAGCCCATTTACTTGCATGTTCAAACCTCAACACCGTCATCCGCAAAATGATTGTTTTTCTTCGGCGAGTCACTGCCAGATCCGGACATACGATCATGATCATCTCTGTGCTTATCTTAGTGGTCTGATCTAATATAAGTACGCACAAGGGGTTGGAGAATCTTACGACACTTCAAAGGCCTCGATGCAGGTGGTATTACTCCGCTTGGTGTCGCGAAAAGCCCTCCAGAGCGGCTGCTCAAAGATAGCGTCCAAGCCCTCTAATCCCTCTCTTGCAGTCTCGGGTATCACGAAATAGGCATAGACAATGGAAATAAAGCACCATGCTGCGAAGAAGATAAACGCACCCCAGTTGTTAGTGTTGCTGAGGAGGGAAGGAGTCGCTCTGCTAATGCCGAAGAAGAAGAGCCAGTGGAAGCATTGCGAGATTGCAGCACCGAAGGATCGAATATGATTCGGCCAGATTTCTGCGCCGAATACATATGGAAGAATCAAGAGACCTGATGAATAGTTAGCAGTGAGAATGAGTTGGTGCAATTAGTATCCAACGACTTACCGACAGCAAAGCCGAATCCATGGATAAAGATAGCCCCGACAGCTGCCTGACTAGCGCTGGTAGTGACCAGGCTGCTTTGCTTATATTTGATATATACACCGATGTAGATGTCAGACACCATCTGCAGCGTGACACCGGTGAAGAAGCTTTTGCGGCGTCCTAGCACATCAATGAAGCAGAAACTCGCAATCAACGTGAAAAAGAACTTGGCCATCGAGTACATGCCAGACAAGAAGAGTGAACGGTCCGTTCCACCCCCTAGTCCCATCATACTCAGTATCGGAACTAGATAAGAAGTGACGCTGTTCGCGCCAGATAATTGTGCCAATGCGTATGATATGAATGTCTGTTGAACTCGACGAAGATTAGAAGGGACCAGAAAGGTCTCCTTGCACAGCTCAGTGAATCCTGGCTGAGCATTCTTTTTCTGGAGTTTCCACTGTCCGTCGACTTGTTTCTGGATATCTTCAATCTCGGAGGCAACGCGAGGATGAGTCGTAGGCAAGCCGCGTAATTTGGCGAGAGTTTCAATGCCTTCTTCCTGTTTTCCAATGAGAAAGAGCCATCTCGGGCTTTCCGATAAGAAGAAGCTAGCCAGAACAATAAAGCCTACTATGATTGTTGGCACAAAAAATACAATCTGGTATTGAAGATAGCCGCTGGCAACGTGGAGGTAAACCCCGAGGACGACGAAAACCGATACCGTCAATGATAAGAGCATAACAACACTAAACCAGACTGAAAGGAGTCCTCGAATCTCGGTTGGCGCGACTTCGACAATAGCCACTGGGCCGATCACTGTCAGTGGTCCTATCCCGAGACCTGACACTATCCGAGCAGTGTATAAAATGCCAGTGTGGCCATAGGAAAAGGTAGCAAGCAACTGTCCGACGACCCATACGACCATGTAGAGGCGAAAAGACCATAAACGGCCGATTCGGTCGTTGACGAAGAATGACAGGCCAGCACCAACTCCAGCACCAATGTACACGAATGAGATGAAGTTAGTCACTTGGGTGGGATTTGCGGCAGATGTGATACCGAACGCAGCTTGGAATCCAGGGAGGGACGGGATGACTGAAGATGATCCTTGGTCCCATGCTGTCGAGTTGTCTATTAGGGGAGGTCTTGACTTTGCAAGTGAGTGGGCACTCACTGATCGGTAGCCCAGCTGTCGCATACATAGCAACTGTAAGCAGTAACTGGCGATTTGCAATTATCTCGCGAGGACATGATCGAATCGTCTTCACATAACCAGCGATGGTTGATTCTGTAAATATTGTTTTCGCAGACATGACTGAGGGACTCGAGTTACCACTCTTGGCTGTGACTTTTGAAGGAAACTAATCTCTGATGATGAGGGACAACCTCCTGACTTTTAATATGTGTATTTCAGATCTTATCTTCTAGGGCGTTGGGAGATATCAAAATGTGATCGCCTTTCCATGTCGATACTCCCTAGTCTGGAGAAAGCTCACATTTGGTAGATAAGTAACAACCGGGACAATCCGACATTATCCGTCCATTGAGACAGTCAAATAGCTAGTTTTCGACGATAGGGAGCGTGACTTCGCCAAGTCTACATCTTCGTTAGGCTGATAAGAATTCCCTTTCCCCGCATTTACTCGGGAGTTTCCGAGTTTGGGCGTGATGGGCCAAAGGCAAGAATCAGAGGGGAATAGATATGATAGCGAGTATTGCCCAGGTGCCATCTGCATCTGCAGTATCTGGCTATCCTACTGTCCTACTTAGGGGAATAAAATGGAACATCAAAGGGTTTCGCCGTGTATCTGTCACCGAATGCCTTGTACATTACTGGGAAGGTCATCTGGGGTGACTTTAAATTCAGGTCAGACATCAAACGAGAGAAGCCTATGGTTATCATCAGTCTGACAGTTCTCTAGGGCTCGATGAAGGAGATGAAGCGTATGAGTCAGCTCTTCCCGATCATTTTGAAAACAGAGCTCAAGGGTGTCATTCAAACCGTGACACTCTATAAATCTTTGAATGGGTGCCACTACAATAATTTCAATACGTCTCTCTATTACAGGATTGCAGTTCTTAGGCATATCAAAATGGGGATGACTCATTAAATACAGTACATGGATGATCAAATTAAGACTTAGATACTGTAGCGCCTAGCCTTGTTTCCAATAAGATATCCACGGTCATCGTTGACTCATAAACTAGGTTATTGCGCAGAAATGAAGCCCTATTTTAGTTGTCTATTCAAAGTGAGGCTATCTTGTATCAAGTTGGCAACGGGAACCCAACAATCCAGAACGGGTTCTCAACAGACCTGAGTTTCCATGTAAGACTGAGTCTGCATGATTCTGAGAGACACTACCTGAAATCCCAGCTGCTATGGCTACCAGCGCATCAGACATCGGCAGACTGAAGCAAAGAGTGAAGCAAACCGGATCTATACCTCTCCAAGTGGACCCGGAGATATCCGCCACATGTGGCGACTTGCACCGCCTCACTGGGGTCACGGGCTATTTTGGGAGCCAAAACCACAACCCACATTTGGCGATACGAAAACTGGGAAATCTGCACATCTGCGATTCTGCGACTCTGTCCGTCCGGAAGGACGAATGTGGGAATTTGTGAATCTTCTGCCGACTTCAACCGGCTCCATACACACACCCCCTTGCGCCAAAACATGTGACTGAACTCATATGCCGGTAGCCTTCAGCGATTCCATTTTAGGGCATAGCGAGATGCGCCCGTGTCAAACTGGAGTAAGATGAGATCATACATGAATCAGGTGGACGAAATGATATACCACCGTACAGTAGGGTTCGTACACAGTGGAGGATACCATAGGAAACAGTATTGTAATGTTGGTGGCGCCCGCTCAAAGTCTAGCAATCGAGGCTCTGCCCAATGGGCGATCGGAGCAGGGATCTCAGCTTGAATGTATCGGCCGCGCTCGGTTGTCGTCAGCGAATCCCAGCCCTGAAGGCCTCCAAGACCGGATGGGCCCCACGCTGCTCGACCCTCCATCAGCTGAGGGTGTGTCTCCTACTCGACAGGTCGAACCTCCTGAAAAGGCTTGCGTATGAATCCGTTTCAGAGTCGGTTCTTGTCCTGTAGAACCATCAGAAATGAAACGGACATCTAAACGTGGGATCGAATAGTTAGGGCTTGGCAGCAAAGGCTATAGAATGATTTGAACTCTTCAGATGGGACCCCTTGGCGCACAAATATGCACATCGCCCAGCTGAGAAATGGGCTTCTCTATTCCCCGCTAATATTGTCTAAGACTCTCGGAGGTTTCCCTATTAATTTTGCGGATTTTTTTCTGCTGATCATCGGGGCTTAGCTTTTGCAGTTTGGGGCATGCTGCAGAAGCCCTCTGTCCAAATGGTCCAAATGGACGTGCAACGCGGGTGTGAGACGGGGAATACTGTGCGAACTGGAAATGAAACACTCGACTCGGTTGGACCTCAGTGATTCTTTTTTGCTTGTTTCGAATAATTCTCGAATAATTCTCGCCACTGAAGAAGGGAGTTGCAGATCGGGGAGTCCGAGGCGGCCATACATTGACTCCGTCAAGCTGCATGTCGACCAGAATAACCGGAGTGTACGAAGACTCCAGGGCTGTACTGTATGTGTGTATACTGTAGAAAAAAATTATTACTATTATTGTGCATCGAGTCCACTGTGTTTGGTCCCACCCCTCTTATTCTCAACTTCTTCCCTCTTTTCTATATCTCTTGACTACTACGTCTCCTTTCCTTTGCTTCTTTTCTTTTTATATTCTAATTTCTTTCCTTTTTGCGCGTTCGCCCACTTTAATATACTCTGGATTATGCGATATCTTTAACCTTACAATCCACACCCCCCACAAACTTCCGACAATATTGTGTGGGCGAATGTTGCCTTGATGATTTATATTCTCTCTACATTCTTTTATATCATACCAAACGCAGGTCGTATCACCGTCACAGAGTCATAATGCCCACAGTCTTACTCCCATCGTCTGCCGCCGCCTTTGCGCCGAGATCATCCCCGAATGTGGTGTTGAATAGAAAGGTTGCGCCGTGGTTGACAGCCACTTTGAAGCGAGTCAACCGAGTCAAGCGTCCGCTAAACAATGTTACCCAACATACCCGGTGTCTGACCGAGACGCTGTCATCGTCAAATGCCATCTGGACGCTGTGTTCCATGACATTTCCCAAAGCCCCCGAGGCCAAGCTTCGCAAGGACGACAACCCGCTCATCGAAGGGCTGTTCAACTACCAGATGATCCACATCGAGGCTTACGTGGTCCATGTTGACATGGTCTCCCGTAACGAAGTGGCTTTCAAGTTGACCCCGGAGACGATCGAATCCCTGGTTGATTATTACAACGATATCTTCTCAGTGGACAACGCCTCCCGTCACCAATGGGACTGGTCAGGAAAGCACACCGAGCTGAAGAAGTTGCAGGAGGAATTCGTTCAAGCCGCGAACAAATTCGTCTACCGAACTAACGCCGAGGCCCTCGAAGGACTGGAAGAAGACGGCGCTGGAGAGCTGCTGTGCAGCCGCAGCGCAGAAGTTAAGGCCGCCATCGACAAGCTCTTCGTCTGGGTTGAGTCACCCCAGCCCCGACAAATGGATATCATGCGCCCTGTGCCTCTTCTCCCCAGCTCTACCGGTCCAGAAACCTGGTGGCAGACCCCGATGCCCCAGCCGCCTCTCGAGTCGTGGAAAGTACTGTCGCCCAGCCCAACCCCGGCCACGACTGATTCTAATCCGAATCTTTGGGCTAGTATCAGTTTCAGTGATCCTCAGCTTCCATCCCCGACCCCGTCCTACTGCCAACCCTACACCACCTCGCCGTACCAGTCCTACGATTGCATGCCGACCACCTCGGCCGCGATCCACGCACTGCCATTGCCGAGCACGCTCGTGCAACCATGCAGCACTGCTGTGAGCATGGGCTTTGGCGGTTTTGGTGGTTTTGGCTGGGGAGACTTTTCCGCGCTGCCATACGGCATGATCGCCTAGCTCCCGTCTACTGAGTAGACTCGGTGCTGGTCGACCCGCCTCTACAGCCACTCCAGACCCGCGCACCAATGGTTCCAATAATGTAGATCGTTTCAGACCCAGCGGCGCGCGCAACTTCCGGTGTCATCAAGCCTCCTTGCCTCTTACTCTCCTCTCTCGGATCTCGCCTCTCCTCTTCCACTTCGGGAACCCGACTCACGCAACGACAACTCGCATTCCTCGACGGCGTTCTCTCTTCTCAATTTGACTCTGTGCATCTGTGATACTCCCTCCTGCAAATTGAATGATAACCAGAATAATCCTTTTTCATGCGCTTGTTTTGATATTTCCTGTTCGATTCCAGCGTCAGCGTTTTGTGTTCTTTTCATTTCTTGTTACTTTTGTTTTGCATCAAGAAGCGGCGGGACGGCTCTTTGTTATGTTTCTTTTCTCTTGTCATTTCCCGCATATATGTCATGAAGACCTGGTATGCCTCACGGCGTGGGATATGAATTTGGATGTGGAATGTCCATCGTTACGCTTTCAGTTCTGATGTCGTGGTTCGATGGAAGGATGGTGAACATGCTTTGAGTTGATGGTTGACTGGGTTCGCCGTCTGCTTTTGTTCTGCAGTCCTTCCTTCAAGGTCTATCTTTCTGGTACTTTGTACCAGACTGGCTGATTCTCTGCGTTTGCAGAGGATTGGAGGATATGTCCACGCGACGGTGTGACCCTCCTTGCATCTGCGATGTTTGGCTGGTGTTCTGCCATTTGGTTCATCTGTGGTTCTTGGGTTTGGTGATCAAGCAATATGAGCGAAAGATGACTACCTTCAGACCTCGCCGGTCTCGAATCTATCCGCATGTGGCGGAGGTCGAGCGCAAAGGGCGAAACCCCCGGATTCCCGTTCGGTCTGTGACCTGGGGATCCTGGCATCCCGCCCGAAGCAGCGAGTCTTAGGGCCGTCATCTATATCCTCTGAGCCATGGTTTCAACTCCAAATATCATATTTGACGATTTATAGGTTCGTCCCCTATCGTCCAGGCTGGGTTTTAGAAATTCCTGGATATGCTCGGTTGGTCGGTGGGCTCTTTCACTGGATGAAGAGCCCTTTCTTCATTCTTTTCCCGACACCGAGAATCGGACGCTCGATCTGTCCGGCTTACTCGTTTTGGTCTGACAGATCGAGGGGCTGGTCCCTTGCACTGGTTGCTTCTCTTCTGATTTCTTTGTTGATCCGTCAGCATTAGTCCAAATATGTATGTATCTTGAGTTCAGTTTGAAAAGTGCATACAAAACCTGGTTTCTCTCTTTGTATGTGTAAGCCGTATACCCCATAACTTACATAGAGGCTCGGCATCCAACTCGGTTTCATGCTAAAGAACTATGGGGGCCTCAGGATCTACAGCTAGGGGCGTACTGTAACGTGTCTGCCTACCACATCACTATATTAAGGTATCACTTACAATTTGCCATCCGAAGCCAACAATCAAGAATCAAGGGATTCTTTATGTAGATGATCATCACAAAACAATAGGCAAAATCTCCAAAATTCAAGAATTATATACTTACCCCACGGCCTGGTATGACGTCAATCATGGAGGTGCCAAGATAACCAGCACTGCATCATAAGTCGAGTAGATCCTTCACTCCTTATATGTAACCGGTACCTGCAGTCTGGCCTCTTCTTATTACATTCATATTCAATGACATTCATTAATTTGATACCTTCCACCTCGTGTATACCACTCATCGCCAACCTGCTCTTATCAGACGTGGGCTGCAAGTTTATCAGCTATAATCAACTGAACAGATCCTCATCTTGAAGACGCAAATCGAGCACATCACCAATTTGCGTGTTTCAAAGCTCAACTCTTGTGGGATAGTCGCGATTGCCGCCTACCCCGCCTCCGCCGCCTATTCCGGACGCCATCGCACTGCTGACAGTTTTGTGGTTCGAACCAACATCACTCCAACCCCTCACCTTCACACGCCGACGTAGCGAAAGCAACATCAGCGTCAGAGAATCTCCGCCGCAATGGTCACACTCCACGAGGCGCTTCAATGCCTCAAACCGACATCCTGGGATGACGTACCCCAGTCCCCGGACGAACTACGAGACTACATGTGCGACCTCTTCAAACACAGCCGACTCATCGCAGATTCGCTCCCAGACCCTCCAATCTCCGAAGCTCAAGACTATCCCTATTTAGATTACGAAGCGGCAGGTCCCTCCGCCCACCGGATTTTCCCCTCACCTTCTCGCCTCGGCGAAACCGACCCTGAAATCGCCGAACTACAAAAGCAATGGGGGAAGCCAGTCAAGGTAGGCGGACCAAAGGACAACCCGCTCGACGTGACGTTGTGGAAATTATCCGCGAATGACGGCGGCGGTTCATGGTTCGGCCGGCGGAGTATACACGCCGGGCTACCCTTCTCGCGCTGGCGTGAGAAGATGTCTGGCGAGTATGACGAGACGCTCAAGGCCAACCAAAAGAAGATCGAGAAGGGCCAGACCCCCGATAACTGTATCCGTGGCATCGGTGCCGAGCAGAAGGTTGAGACTATCGAAGTCAAGGACAAGGATGGGTCAGACCTGGGCCATCTGATGGTTTATCATGTCTCAGCGCAGTTCCCCAAACCTACTGCGCCGCGCGACTTCGTGGCTATGATAATCAATTCTGATTCTGGGTTGCGAGTGGGTGGGAGTCATCAACCTGGTCGCAGTTGGATGATGATCTCCAAACCTTGTGACCACCCTAGTGTCCCGCCTAAGCATGGCTATACCCGTGGAAATTATGAGTCTATCGAACTTATTCGGGAAATTCCGAACAGGAACGGCAGTGAGAGTAGCTCTTCTAGCCAAAAGAGTCAGAAGAACAGTGGTTCTTCATCTCTTGATTCGCAACAGCATAAGCAGGATGGAGTCTCTGGGGACCATGGAAATGAGGAAATGAGTCCTGTTGAGTGGATCATGGTCACTAGAAGTGACCCTGGTGGCAGCATTCCGCGATGGATGGTGGACAAGGGAACACCGAGGAGTGTGGGAATTGACGCCGCCAAGTTTATCAACTGGGCTATCCGAGAAGATAAGCCACAGGATGATGAAAAGAGCTCGGGCTCGGACTCTACAGCTGCCTTGGCTGGCGCAGCGGGTAAATCCCGAGAGTCAGTCAACGAAGCCGGGTCTGATGAAGACCACTCGCACTCAGACTCGGAATCCGAATCCGAATACGATTCTCTCAGCGACGGCGAGCACTCGCATCATGGTCTTATTGCCAGTGTCACCGGTTTGCTCAACACCGGCTATCAACGAATCGCACCTCAACTTCAAGGCTACATACCTTATCATGAGGCAGCGAGTCACACTGACGGGACCCAAGCTTCCCAGGGCGAAGCAGACACTGCAGCGCTTTCAAAATCGAAAAGTGCCACGCAGAATAAATCCAGCAAATCCCTCGACGTTGAGTCCACGCAAGATCAGGTCTCATTCTCCTCCGCCCACTCTGAATCAGCGACACCCGCCATCGATGAGATCACACACAACAACATGCCGCCAGACGAGCTGATGAAAATGACCAAGAAGGGGAAACTTACCTCCCACGAAAAAGATCTCGCAAAGCAAGCCCTCCGCAAACGCGAAATCGAAGCAAAACTAGAGACAATCCGCGCCGAACTCGAGAAACTCCATCTCCCATCCCAACCACCCGCCGCATCAGGAACATCACTTAAAGGCATAACTGAAGCAGACAGCGATACAAGCGCATTGCGCAAACGCGCCGCAACAAACCGGTCTTCGACGCCTGCCAGCTCAACCAAACAACAGAGCCACAAACACAAGCATAGCCAGAGTTCAACAACTCAAGCAAAGGAAAGCAGTGATGGTCAGTCATCACAGACACAAACCCCCGAACCACCAGCACATAACCACAAAGCCGCCTCGTCTCTCTTCAATGAGGAATCGAAACTGCTGAAACAGTTGAGCAAGATCGAGGCTAGTCAATTGAAGACTGCGGGAAAGATTGAAGCGAGACAGAAGAAGGATGTGGAGCGCTCCGAGAAATCAAAGTCTAAATCTGAAGTTGAGACGCTGAAGCAAGAGATTTCGGAGCTTAAGAAAGAAGGGAAGACTAGGTCTAAGTCCGAGGTTGAGGGGCTTAAGCAGGAGATTTCCGATCTTAAGAAAGAGGTTCGGACGCTCCGGAATGAGCGTCAGAAATGGGTTGATCTTGTTTCTTTGTTGCAGGCTGAGAATACTAAATTGGTTGCGAAGGAGGAGAAGGAGTAAGGTGGTATAGCTGTTCTGTGGTTTATGTACATCTACCATCAAGTGTTTTTTTGCATTTGTATCTGGGTCTGTTATATGTGCCTGAATATATTGTTTCGGGATGTAAATACTCTCTTGTCTTGGCCTATTGGTACAGAGGTCTGAATGGTACGTTTTGTTCATTTTTTAAGCTTTGTTTGCCTTGAAGCGATTTAGACTGCAGTGCTGCAGCAATCTGCTTAAATTTCTAGCATGAACTACTTGCAGGTATGGGGCTTTAGAGTAGGCAGCAACCTGGCATCTGTAGCCTTGCTAGATCATACAGGACCATCCGATTTCAATGCCTTCTGCAGAATGAACACGATAGACCTGGTTTACTAATAAGTCCCACAAATTGATCTGATCCAACCAGCTTGGTTCCTTTCTGACATCGCCACTATAAGGAATCTGGTTGGAGTCCTGCTAATCGAGATTTCCAGCGCTTCTCCGAATCTGGGACAAGTTGTCACAAAGGTTGTTTCGCTGGAATCATTCGCAGGTTGAGATGATCCTTTACGGATTTCAAATAATTGATTCAAAAGTTAAACATCGTATTTGGTCGATATGAGATTCGAAAATTTTCATTTGTAAGTGATTTCCCAAGATTGAGGAAACGATGAAACAATCTCACGGCGTGAAGCTGCGATATTGACAAGTCAGGTGTGTCGGGGATATGCCTTCGAAAGCCGAGGATGCGCGCAAATTGGGGTATAAAGAGGACGAAAAATCAAAAGAAGTCACAAGTGAGTGGTACTACTCTTGAGTCTGTAGAAAACACTGTCAGTCGTTGATCATCCGGAGAGTCGCGAACGACGCTTATAAGATATCACGAACCTCTGGGGGATTTCCAGCGCCTCTGACCATCTTCTCCAGCATCATTGCGCGCACCTTCTCCTTGGGCTCGCCCATGCCAACAGCCATGTAGGACAAGAGTGGAGGGTGGCCGACGTAGGAGGAGTAGCTGTCACGGAGGATGTTGGAGGTCCATTCGTACTTGGTGGTATCGGCGTGACCGGTACCAATGTAGCGGGCCTGAAGAGCCTCGAGGTTCTGAATTGTGCGGAGCTTGTCGGCCATTGTGAATTGTGGGTGGGTTAACTTGACAGTCGAGGGTCGGGAAGCTACGAAGAATCAAGGGAAATGTGGCGCCTCAGGTTTCTAATATATGTGGTCACGTGATGACAGGAACATCTTGAGGTTTGGCTCTTTGTAACTATCGCAAACATTTCTTTGTTCTATATTTAAGCTATTGATGAGTCCAATGTCTAATCAGACATCTAGCTACTCATTATCATCGCAGATAGCATCACTGGTTCATAAACATTTCGATGCTCTGCCCGCACGCAGTAAACCCACCATTTATCCAGATGGATCAAGAGAATGGGTCCCAATGACTGGAATTGTGATTGTGAAAGGTATGTTGAACTAATTCTATCCTATTTTCATGAGACACAAGTAACTCAGCTGTTGATAGGACAGGGCACCGCATCGGAAACTTTGACCTGCATAGCAGTCACGTAAGTCTTGAATTATCACAACCTTGGAAGTGTGACAAAGGCCATTATGCAGGCTACCTGAGGTACTGATTCAAGAATAAGCTGACTTCTATGCAGCACTGGTGCCAAATGTCTTTCAGCGTCTCACATCCCACGCTGTCAGGGTCTTGTACTACATGATTGCCATGCTGAGATATTAGCCATGCGAGCATTCAATTACTGGCTGCTGACGGAATGTCATGGTTTGTTGTCTGAAGAGAGACAAATGGCCAAGAACAAAGACACATCCGACCCCCGTAATACAAAAACTCCATTCTCGCCCTTCATCCGACGGAGGACTGAAGAACATGATGACGGGTCGAAGGCATCTACAGAATGGCCGCCCTTTGAATTCCACTCCGATATAAAGATATACATGTACTGTACATGTGCGCCATGTGGAGATTCAAGCATGGAGCTCTGCATGGCATCCCAGGAAGACGCAACACCATGGGAAGTCCTCCGCGAACCGATATCTGCCTCGGAAAACCAAGAACTCGAAGCTTCAGACGCCGATAAGATGCTCGACGGGCGTGCCCACTTCTCCCTTCTCGGGGTCGTGCGTCGAAAGCCTGCACGCACAGATGCCGAGTCAACGCGCAGCAAGTCTTGTTCTGACAAAATTGCGCTGAGACAGGTCTCATCCTTGCTCTCTTGTCAGACTAGTCGGTTGGTTGCTCCTACTGAAAATGCATATATCGCCGGTCTCGTTCTTCCTCAGGAAGAGATCACGAAGGTCGGTTTCGATCGGTGCTTTGGACCAAAGGGTCGGATGCAGGCTCTTGTGGGAAGGTCGTGGCCTGCTTCAAGAAAGATAGATCATAGCGCGCCAGGGTATCGGTTTAGACCATTCCAGGTCCTTTCGGTCCCTAGTGAAGAAGTAGCAGCTCTGTGGCCTTTTTTCAAGCCGAAGCTGATCCCTGCCCCGGTGGTATCATCAGAAGAAGAAACCGGCAGCTCAACTCCGACGGCCAGTCCTAGAAAGTGCAAGCCAGGGAATGCGAGTGCATTGTGGACTGTGGCGCCTACGCATCAACACTCATCACCTGTAAATTTGGACACTGGGAAGAAGAGCTTGCCGCACTTAGCTCGTTCCCAAACTGGCTTATACGAGACGGTCATCAATGGGGTGAAACAGGGCAATCGTGCATCTTCGCCTGGCAAGCGGGGAGCCTCCGCCTTGTCCAGAGCAAAGCTTTGGGCTTTGCTTGAAGATATCAGTCCTACTCACCTCCACCATATTGATCGAGATAGCACATCGGCCGCGAGCTTACTAGATAACGTTGAGGCTGAACAAGTGCATGTCGGTACGAGTCAGCGAGTTGATTCGGGACTAGTCACCTACCAAGACTCGAAACGGCCAGGTTCTTCAACAGATCCGTTGCATGTTCGTATTGAAGCTATCAGGGATGCTAAAAGAGCTCTGAAGGGCTGGGCCCCTAATTCGGGGGATGACAATTGGAGCTTGGGTGTCCTGGTGGACCCAAAGAAACGGAAGCGTGATATGCCCAATGCCAGGGCTTAGCTGCTTCGGTTGGCTTCATTCGATGCCCCCATCTAGATGAGAATATAAAACTGGTATCAAGATGACTGTGAATGCGTATATGACCCTTGTGCTCAGTTTTGATGTATCGCGAAGGATTATCAGTGAATGCAGAGGGCATACTCCGGATATCAAAAATAAAAGTAGCTACCAAAAACTGAACGTTCACTTCAAGCGCGACGTTTGCCGCGTTTGCGACACACTTTCATTCCAAATATAAAAGCTGACTTCGGACAACGATCCTCGATCTCTCGTCGACTCTCCGCCAACATGAACGACACCCACCCATCCACCAAGCCCCCAGAGGCTACCAAATCAAACAGATGTATCTGCTGTGCTACTGAGACTAGGGGCGGATGCGTCGCCTGCGCAGAAGCACCCGAATATGTTCCTGGCGATGCCCAGGAGGTCCTCTACTGCAGCGCAGACTGCGAATTCAAGGATTCGCTGAATCACCAGGACCATTGCAATGCTATGAAGGAGCGAAAGAAGCTCCTCCGATGTGCCGAGCTCCTGAGAGACAGTTTCTTGGCTTTTCGCGAAGTTCTTTTCGATCTTTCTCTGAAGGCCATCACCTTTGACAATGGACAACTCATGCTGCACCCCGATGAACGTGGCCAGTCAGATCTCAGCTTGCGCTTCCCTTTCCCTGATAATCTCACCTCAAATCCCGCACACAAAGCTGCGGCTTTGCTTTACTGCCAGTGTACTGCAGCTGCATTCATGCTTGCTCCCATGGCTAGAAGTTTGCTCAAGGGTAAGAGTATAGAAGCACCCCTGGTTTATATTCATGAGTGCTGATATCCCGCAGAAGTTTGTTCCAAGGTGGAGGTCTGCTCCCTCTCCATGAGATCCAATCCCGAGAGCCGCCCAATTCAAACTCTGGTCGTCGGAACAACCGTGAGAGAAAACTATCACACTGTGCTGGTCGTGACGCTGCGCCTGAGCGAGGAGCAATGGGTCATCGATACAACTGGCGGCCAGTTTGGGCACCAAGAGGTGATCGTGCCTTACAAGAAGTACATGGATGAGAAGGGAAGCTTGCTGGCGTCTCCACTTGTGCCATATGACTATGGCCTCGTCGACGATCTGGACATGTGCCGAAACAATTCTCCTCTTGATCCATACGACGTTGAAGGCGTGTACTTTATGGCGGCTGCGCGGGATCGCCAGTGGTTTGCCCGCTTTGTGGACAAATACGTCAGGGATGACTTCTTGCATGGCTTGGATTGTGATATGAGGCTGTTGTCGGAGGCCTTCATCGCCGGTCTCAAGGATCATCTCCGTCGTTTCCAATTCAATGGAACTTGACGGGTGTCCAGGTCAAGGGGAGGGATATGATGATCAATCAGTGCAAATTTCATATCTCTATTTCAGCGATGCGAGTGTCGTATCGCCATAGCTAGAAGCCTGTTTCTAGCTGAATCCAGAACGAACTCGTACCTTCATTGCCTGATCCTGCTCCAGTAAAGAAACTGAGATTAACCTCTAAACGAGGAGAGTAAGAGCTCGTACATGTAAGCGATGGTGAGTGCCCAGGTGCCCGTTGTTTTCGGGACTCTGAATGGTTTGAACGTTGGTTAGCCTTGGGAGTAAGGTCTTTTCCTAACTCCTACTAGTGATCACATTACTAAGCACAAATAAAGCTTCTTCTCTCTTACTTTGACTGTGTTCACTTGATCGACTTGATTGAACAGATGGTCCTTGTGATACATTTTTTAAGCTCAGATCTATCAAGTAAAATTAAAGTGGCCTAGGCCAGTCGTAAGCTCTGTGACATCAAGAGCGTCAACATTAAGCTGATAAGCTCCTAGGGGGAGATATTAGGGGCTATCCATGCCAAAAGAAATTAGGAATAATGACAGGTTGAATCCAGACGATCCCGGAGAAAGAAAGAATGGAGGACTACCTTAGTAGATTCCAGGAATGATGCGGCTGCGAACAATAGAGGTATAGCGCTTCCAATCAGCACCATACTTCTTCTCGCACTTCTCTTCGTCGCGCATCTCACGGTGAATCAACAAGACGCCGAAGTAGACCATGTAGAAGTAGGTGAAGATCATACCCCAGCCACGAACCTCGGGGGTCTGTACGGCCTGCTTCTGGAGATCACCGCTGGCAGGATTAATGCTCTCAATGAGAACGTAGCCTGCAACGCCAGTGGGCAGGCAGTAAGCCCATGACATGGTCCAGTCGCCCAGGTAATTGATGTGACGTGCCAAACCCCACCAGCCAGAGATCATCAACTTAGATCCAGCAGCAGTCTCGATGTACTTGATGTTCTTGACACGCGGGTCGTTGGGGTTGGTGCGGAAACGGTTCTTCTGGTTGTTGGCGCCGCGGAAGATCGAGTAACCGAGAGCAGTAACACCCAGAACAACGGCGATACCAGTCAGACCCAACTCATATGGGAAGACCGAGAGATAGCGGCTCTGGATGCTGTACACGTGGGGGACCCAGACCACGTCACCGAAAGACAGCATATAGCCGAATCCGTCCATGATAACGTCCATGGTGGTCATGATAGCGGGCTCCATGTAGAGGGCATCCAAAATGTAGAATGCCTGAAAGATGGTGACGAGAACAATGGAGTCGGTGACGTAGCCGTAGGTTCGGTACTGGTGGGCAACATTGGACAGGTTCAGGATTGTCCATCCAAGCAGGCCAGGTCGCATCTCCATGAACACCTTGATATCAATGGTGCGGGAAGCTTCGCTGACGAAGGGAATGGGCAGGGTAATACGAGGGTTGAGCTCACGACCAATAAAGAAGTCGTAAAGCACATTGCCCGTGTGACCACCAGGTGCGAGCTCGCGCAGGCTTGGGTTGAGCTTGCCAGCCTCTGGCACGGTGAAGCTCTTCAGGTAGACGAAAATTGCGATCGAAGAGGAGATGAACAAGTTTGCTGTGATCACCTGGATATAGTTATCCCACAGGAAAGTCCACACCACAAAGTCGGCTCCATAGAGATAAGTTCCTCCGGCGAGGCCAGAGAGAATGATGATGGCAGAAGGGAAAGCTACGTCATGAACGAGATTAGCAAGGGTGTCTCGTGTATGAGGCATTGGGTCACATACCATTGAACTTGTACTTCAGCTTGCCTCCGCAAGCCAGCATTGAGCCCTCGGCCTCCTGGCCAGGCAGGAAGACCTGCAAGAACAAGCTGAAGGCATAATAGCTCAATGTCCACAGAGTAACTTTGGTATCATAAAGCGCAATGAATCCCTCCTCCGGCCAGCCCACTTCCCTCTTCAATTGGTCGAGCGACAAGGTGGAAGGGCTCAGGAGACCCGGTGCGGGACAGCCAGAGATATCGTTGCAGACGAAGGTAAAGAGGTAGATCAGGGCTGGGAGACCGAAGACAATGCCGAATGCACCGAGCCTGTATTCAATGTTAATCAATGCCCCTCAGAGGATGCTCCCAAAAAAAAGACCTACGGGCCACCAAATTCATAACCGCGCTTCTCAGGCACTGGTTGGATGGGATTCCTTTTGGAATTCTTGGCAGGCATGTTGGTCAAGAGATAGCGTCGTCAGTCTGCGCCAATGATGAGCAAGGTAAAATAATCCAGAGGGGGGAAAGACAGGCAACTAAATATTGCGCCGTACTCCGCGTATGATGCCGGAACATCCCAAGCCGCGGAGCCGCAGAGTTCCTCCGCATCAAATGCTACGTAAGCCACTTGAGACTCTTGGCTCTTGGCTCTTCTTCCTCTCTGCCTGTCAACTACTGAGGCACATTTTATTGCATTGACTGCATCACATTCTCTTCTTTTCTATATTCTGGTCATTCTCTTGTCTTGTTCTCGTTTCTGTGCTGGGTCGAGACCCCCTCTCCGCAGCCATGAAGCTGAGCTCCGCTCATTACGCCCTGTTCCTCCTATCCTCAGTCCTCGGTCTATCAAACGCTGACTCCTCTCATCTCAATGATGATTCTCCGTGTGTCGCCCGCTCTCCAACTACCGGCTTATACTTTGACCTCAGCGCAATCTCGTTATCTCCGCCGGAACTGAAGGATGGCAAGAAGGTTGTGAAGGATGCACGGGATGAAAGCTGGCACGCCAAGGGCCATGACTACCCAGCAAACTTCACAATCAACTTCTGTGCGCCAGTTATTGAGAACGTGACGGATGTGGTTGGGATAGAGGCGTCGCGGTGGAAGAACATCAGTGCATATTATGAGCGGGATGATAAAGTATATTCCATAGGGTATGACAGTTCATTACCCAATCGATCTAGTCTGCGGGTCTATACCTTATTCAATATGCTGACTATTATTTTGCTCCCAGAGAACAAGCATCTGAACCTTTATTCCGTGGTCGCAAACTCGTCCTTAACTACACCAATGGCTCACCCTGCCCTGAGGAGGGTATTATGAGCAGTTCCAATGCCTCAACGCGACACAAGTCGACCATCATGTCTTTCCTTTGTGACCGTGATGCGCCGGCAAGTACCGCCACCCCTTCCTTTGTCGGCACTGTGGATTCATGCACATACTTCTTTGAGGTCCGCAGCTCGGCAGCATGTGGTGGTATTGCCGTGGACCCTAACGCTGGAGGTCTGGGACCCGGCGGTGTCTTTGGGGTGATGTGAGCAGCTCCGTCTCTTTTTTTGGTACAGCAAGGTATCCAAAGCTTTACTGACCTCTTATCTAGCATGTTGATCGCCGTGGCAGTGTATCTGATTGGTGGATGCGCGTACCAACGGACAGTCATGCATCAACGTGGCTGGCGCCAATGCCCAAACTTCAGCCTCTGGGCTGGAGTCTTCGACTTTGTCAAAGTAAGTGTTTTCACTGTGATCCCTTGTTGGTCCCGTCGCAGATTCAGATATGGCAATGTGGCGTCACGCAAGTTTCGAGATTCAAATGGGGCAATCTTGCCTTTTTCAAGGACAGATTGATCACTCTAGCTGGTCTGGAGATTGGTCACTTCGGGAAGACGGTTGGGTTGGCTTGTTCCATTTGTTTCCTTGTTTCTTTACGGTCATCAATCACTCTTTTCTTGGCTGCTTTTCTTCCATTGTCTCTCCCAATATGGCTGGCATGTGGTGTCTCTTCTTCGCCTGTGTTGATCACAGTCTATACATTCACATGTCCTTCGGGGGCAATGTTTCATGATTTATGCAAGTGGACTGTCCCTAGGTCTATGTCATTGGGCCAGCGATAGAATTCTCCCAGGCTTTCCATTGCAGAACAGTTCTTGCGTATACTCATTGACGCGGCCCATTACATTATACCTGCAAAGTCCTTTTATTCCACGATTGTGGTGGCAAGAATCAATCACAACTACAGAATGCTGACCAATATTTACGAACAGGACATGTTCATCATCGTCTTTTCAACTTTCGGCAATATCTGCCGCATGAATCGTTCCCGCTCAACTAACGGCTATGTGCGCGCAGACTCCGACGGCGGTCATGGCGGTGTCATCGGTGCCATCGGAGGACGCGGAGGACGCGGAGGTCGTGGCCAGTCGCGTGACGTGGATGCTGAGAACAGGCTAATAGACCAACTGGATGAAGAGTGGGAAGACTAGTTTATACCCTTTATTTGTTTCGTTGGTTTCATTGGTTTCGTTGGACTACTGCTCTATTCATATTCCTTATATTGTGAGCGACTGTCAGGCCATTTGTTGTTCCTACTCGTTGTGGGCGCGTAATAGATAACTATATCTTTACTCCAAATGTGCTCTTATAGCTTAAGATTTGCTGTAAGATGTTACTTTTTTCTGATTGAAGATCTCTCGTTCTCAGTCACCTACGCCTCACCATATGAGGTGAACCTAGTTGAGGCCCGAGCTCACTGGATTGGTGATAGTTTGTGAAACTGATCAATAAAATATCCAGCTCACTTGCCTTTTGTTTTCAAACGTATTTATGTACAAAATATGAGATTCATTAGACAGATATACAGTTAGACAGCAGGATATATATCCACATCCACCTCGATCGAATAAGCCACCGAACTAGCAAAATAAATGCTGGTAACATTATTGAACAGAAATTCATCCATACCCAACTACAATTTCAGTTTAAACCTATCAAATTGTCAAGACAGTACAAACTGCAGACCTCTCAACCCTAATTCCAATGGCTACATTTCCCATGTGGACCTTAGACCCCACACAAACGGGATAAGCGAACCCGTGAACATAATAGTTCTTGCGCACGGCTAACCATACAACTAGCATCATTGGTCTAGTGGTAGAATTCGTCGTTGCCATCGACGAGGCCCGTGTTCGATTCACGGATGATGCACAATAATTTTTTTGCTTATTGGAAGGATTCCAATTAACTGATCCTGATTCTATACCAATTGTGATCGACTGAAGGACGGGATTGTCATTTTCCTTTAACTTATTTGCTCTAGAAACCTGTATTGCATTGCATTGCGTTCTAACTCGACAATTGATTATAGATGCGCAGGTAAATCGGAATACAAGCACCAAAGCCAGCAAGTAACTTATTAAGTCAACTACAATGAGAGGTATAGTCTTGAAATCCATTCCACCAAATCAAAAAAAAGAGAATATACATGCCGGATGTAAGCACAAGGACAACTTATGTACAAAAAGCAACAACCCTGGAAGAATCTTGAAAAAGTCCAAGTAAACAACAAACATAAGAGCAAAGCACAAGCAACAAATAAACACCAGTCCCGCAAGTCCGACTCCAAAAAAATGATTGGAATCATTATAAAAAACCAAAAACGACATAGCGGTCATCGAGTCGCAGAGACATCATCCATACTCAGCCCAATCACTGCCGCTGACCTTGGGTTACATCTGGTCCTGATAAACCAAGGTCATATGCACTCATGGGCAAACCCCCACTGGAGAACCCGGGTACATCTGGTAGACCGGAAGGGGGTTGGGGACCATTAGGACGACCGTTATTTGGAGGACCTGGGGCTGGGATGGGAGGGGGAGCGGGTGGGTTTGCAACGCCGATAGGATCAAGGTTGAAGGGCAAGAACCAAGCACTGGGCTGGTAGAACTCGCCCGTTCCTGCGGGAGCACCTGGGTCTAGCTGGCCAGTGAAAAGGGATTGGTCCGGGTTGTGCGGTTCGACGCCGTTGACTGGTGGAGCGGGATGGTTATTTTGGACGAACGAATTGGGATCGAAGTCGGAGAAAGAGCCGTAGACAAATTGCCGATCCAGTTGAGGGAGTTGGTCTTGAGGAATGCTGAAATCAAACGGCGGTTGGCCGAATGACATCTGTCTTGGCTGGTTGTACACGGAGGCTTGTGGGAATGCACTGCCTGGGACACCTGGCGTGCTTCCCATTGTTACTTCCATCATGGATTGTGGAGAGGTCTGTTCCATGCCCGCAACGCTATCTGATAATTTGCTGTTTCCGCGAGAGCGCGATTTCCGAGGGATGGTTGGTTGTTGCTGTGTAGGTGACAGGCTTGCGAAGAAATCTTCCACGCTTTGGAGGTCGGGCTTTTGGCCCATCACGGCATCCTCGCCTGTTTTTCTGTGCTGTGTATCGGGATCCTCCCAGTGCATTCTTGATACGCCGTGTGGATACTTATCAAACCAGTCACCATATTGGAACATTGGTGTCAGCGAAGTGCCATTTTGAGTCACCACGGAGCCCTGGATAGCTGCATCGGCAAATTGACGATATCGATCCTTGGCACTTTCAACCATGTAATGGAACATGCCCCAGTACTTTTTCATTTTGTTAAGATAGCGGTATGTATGCCGGAGATTTTCTTTTGAGCGGGCCTCTAGCTGGACGTTCTTCGAGAATATGCCCCAGATATGAACCGTGCTGGCTGAATAGGCGCAGTAACCAGCAAAGGGAACGGTAAGAGGATAAGCTGAAGCACGGTCGAAGAGAACTGAAATGTGATGCGCCGCTTCCACCGCAGCACGGCCTGCATTGCTGAGGAAAGGTTTGGGCATATCCCGAGGTGGCCGCCCTCCCGGTGACAAGGGGATGGCGAATTGGTTGAGGAAAAGCATGTTTTGATGTATGATGATATGGAGAAACAGGAACTGATTTGCAATTTTCTCGGCCGCATGGATCTGTAGATTTTCGTACGTGAAAGTCAAAGGAACGGGAAGAGAGGCAGAAAAATCTTCAATCTGCCGTTTGAGTTGCATATATCCCGATTCTGGATGCCAAAGTGGATGTGCATCCTTTCTCTTGCCACCGAGGTTTAGGTAGTCAACAATGCGACCCCAAATGACGATAGCGCGGATAATATACGCCGAGACACCCATATTTTCTTTGGCGTTTGATAGCTGGCCTGTGTCTTCTGGCGTAGGATTGAGAATATCCCCGTCAAGATCTTCCGTTGGACCAGGTATTTCCATCTGAAAGTGTGTTTCTTTAATAGGTAACTGGATTTGTAGGAACTTTTCGTTTCCAATTGGCGGTCGTTGACTGCCAGAGGAGTTATACCGATCCATCAAGTAACAAGCCCACATAGTCCGCCGTCTGATCTCTTGATCGGTGAAGCTCAGCTGGGAGGGGTTACTGGGACCTTTGTTGTTAATCATTGGGTCCTGCTCAAGCTCTTGATGCAACTGCAAGGCATATGCCATCCTTAATGCTTGGCCTCCAAAAGACCAACTCCGTCCACCATGACAGGTTCCAAATTCATGGAGACCAAGGAGGAGGAAAACGGTCAGAATTGTAATATTAGGTTCGTCGTGTCTGCTCAGAGCAATGGCAGCGGCTGGATTAGCCCAGTTCTCTCCGCGCAAAAATTGCGGTTCTGAATTGAGCTGAGGATGTGTTGAGAATCGCGCAGAGACCGCACAGACAGCGAGAATCAACACCGGGGGAATACTACCGGCCTTGAGTCGCCGCATGAAGCTGGGCTTATGCAACAGAAGATATGACTGCCCATATACACAATCAAAGAAGACCTCTGCAAGATGCTCCTGGATCTCCAAAGATGGCAAGAACTCAGCACCCTCGGTCAAAAGTCCACTGCCATCGCTTGACTTGACCTCGCGATTCATTGGGAAGGACTCGTGTGGCGGGCGGCGGTCTCCACGGGTCCATTCATCCATCTCAGCCTCAAACGCCTCATCTGCGCTTCTTTTTTCTGGGCTTTTGTCGGCTGATTTGAAGCAGACGGCTTGACTATAGACCGACCGATAGAAGCCATGTCCCTCGTCTCTTCCTTCGGTATCGTTTTGATCACGCGATCTTCCATCCGCTTTAACCGCTTATCCAGCATGGCCATATAATCCGTGCGGGGCGCAGCCTTCCTCGTGGTCACTTTATAGACGCAAGGAATCCTCGAGCGAGTACAGTGCTTGCAAGCGGGCTTTTCCCCGGAGCAGCGGATTTTCTTGCGGCGACATGCGATACAGGCCAGCGGCAGCCGCTTCCGCTCCTTTCCAGCCTTAGTCTTCATTTCGCTCCAAGCGGGCTTATCGCCGTCGTTGAAATTCTCCAGGTTTGACGGTCCGTCACCGCCGTCGTCTCGTTGGTTGTCTAGCGCGCCGTTGTCCGGGCCCAGCGCGGGGTCGGCCGTTTGTGTGCTACCAGGGTCGCGGGAACTCGCATGACTCTGCGTGTCAAAGTCCTCGAGAGCTGCTGCTGCCTCCTCCTGGCCTAAGCTGAAGTTTGCGCCAGAGGGGTTCAATGGTGAATCGTCATCGGGTTGGATCATGACGGGTGCGGATACCCCAGGACCCAGGCCCGAAGCATCCTTCGGCACGGTCGGGGGGAAGAGAGATGGTCCGCGAAGGGTTTCACGAGGAGTTGAAAGGGAGATTTGAAGATGGGAGTAGTCGAGGAGTCGTGGCGTCGGAGAGTTGGGGGAGAAAATGAGGAGGAAGTTAATATGGGGAAAGGTTCACCGGCTTGGCAAGGGCTGTCCACTGGTAGTGCTTTTATTACAGAAACTCCCACGGTCCCAAGGCATGAAAAGGAACAATATTTTGTATAGTTCGAGTTTTCACGAAAATCTTTCCCTACGCAATCGACTGAGGTTACATGTGGAATCTGGGGGATTTGCACCAATCACTATGTTTCGAGCTCTCCTGTTGAGTACGGTAGTATACCCCGGCATATCATGTCGATCTGCACCATAAGTCACAACTTCTTCTATGGTTTTCAAGATCGAATTAAGCATATCAAGCTCGAATCAGAAAGCTCAAAGTCATCTCAATCTACGTAGGACAGCCGCGTATTGTCATCTGCACCGGAAGCTTGACAAAAGCCTGCGCGGCGACAGGGGTCTCAGAAGAACTTTATTGATTGCGCTTCAGGCACTATATCCTATTGGTATCGAAATCTTCTCAGTAAAAGAGATCCATAAGAGACAATACCCCGATCCTTTCTCGAATCTGACATGTCTCATCTCATCTTCACATTGCCATGTGCATGGCCAGGTCTAGGTGGATTTGGGTCTTCCGACCTTTTGACGCGGAGTCGCGAGCTCAAGAGCATTCAGAACTTCAGCGCCGAGGGTATAGATGTTATAGGCGGGGAAGACAATCCATGCGCCGCTAGTAAAACCAGAGTTAGTTATCGTCTTCGTAGGAAATAGTGGACAGCAGGTAGACCTACTTAGGAATTATCCAATAGAGCACAAGATCAAGCGGCGTATTGTGGCCAATGTTCTCAAAGCCCGAGCAGAACTCATTGAGCCCTATAATTTCACAGCGTCAGCATCCAAGCCTGTTCAGAAAGTACCCAATCGCAAGGACCTACAATAGAGAATCGTCTTGCTCAAAGTCATAACAGACATAGAGTAAGCCACCACGAGCGCAAAGGCCCCAATTCTCCCAGCTACAACCTTATCCCCCTTCAGAAACCACAACAGATCCTTCTTGACCCTCTGTCCACGACTGCTGACAACAGTCGCGCCATAGTTGTAAACAACCCAGAGATAGAAGATATAACCGATGGTCTCGATGATATTTAAAATAGTCTGCGCCGCAGTAAATCCATTGCGCGCATTGTAGGCCGGCCAACCGTAGATATAATCGATCTTGCCGTACAGCGCGTAAGGTGCCCAGATGGGGGAATGGAGACGCCCGCCGGGCATGCTATGCGGTCGCAACATCACATAACCTGCGTCCCACGCGACCAGGGGCACGGAGACGACAAGCCAGATGGTCAGCGCCGCTGAGGGGGTGTGAACCCATTTACGCGAATTGGGGTTGGTCGTTGCTGGTGATTTGACGAGGTCTTTCGCGGCGCGCTCGGGCGAGGGGAATTCGCGAGGATGGTGTCGCGTGGAGACCATTTTCGTTTGTGGTGAATGCAAGCCAGCAGATGAGAGATTTTATTTACTAAGAGTAGGAAATGCGGAGGAATGCTGGGGACGTCGACATAGACATACCTCATAACCCTGGGGCTTCCCGAGGTTGTGACGGCCTGTGACGTGTCGAACGCGGGTCTGCATTTGGTAATCGCCTCCTGCCGCATTTGGGTTTGGTCTAGTGACGATATTCGATATAGTTGGTAGAGTCCGTAGAGCGGTATAGTCTCTATGGTCTCTCCACTGAGAATCATGATTCAATAGGCTTGTTTGCCTTATTTTTGAGTGATTCCCACTCGGACTATGACTTTCTCGGCGACTCATGTCGGCAGTTGTCTATATAACAACTCTTCTCCTTCTCACGCTTGCTTCGATCATTTTGTCAAGTTTTCCAAAAAAAAAAAAAAAAAAAAATAGGAGGGTATATCAGTAGGTATCGCGTATGAATACGCTTTATCTATTTCCTGTGCTCGGAAATCCGGATTCATTCTGCACTCGCAGTGCTCCATTTCTTCAAAAACCAAGGCATGCCCTTCCAACTCCTCGGATCCCAAGACTGACAATCACCACCATCACGATACCGATGACAGACAAGAGCATGTCGCGTATAAATATCCAACTTAAAGTCCCAGAGACTAAACGTTTGAGGCATGGCATAACACATCATGATTGCCCTTTCCCGAAGAAGCGGCATCGGTATAAGGTCCAAGCTGGCATGATGTGGAACAAGAATCTGAGCCATAGTCGGCTGGAGATGGATTGGGATCGAGGAATTGAATGTTGAGACGACTAGATCCTGCGCACTGTCTTGAGTACTAATTGATTTGAAGAAGGGTGACATATAAGTGGTGCTGCAGGCTGCCAATCTGCCAACATCAAATCCTAGACAGAGGGCGTTGTTTAGAATTGCTATCCACATTGTATCATGGGGTGTTTGTAAGGCATTCACCAATGGCTCAGCCAGGGAGGTGGGTGAGCTGCCAGCCCCGTTGATAGCAGGAAACCTCGTTGCTGTTTGTGACGGACTGCACAACGCAGACTCCGAGCTTGTGTCAGATGAACTGCTTGGCAATATTACTGATACCTCAGATGCAGGTCGAGGCGCAAGCTTTCTCTTTTGCCCGCTGTGGGCCTTTGACAGATTGCGGCGCTCTTTCTGTCTCTCGCCTTTTAAAACTAGATTAGCTTGAGTCATGACCCGAGACACAAATCGGACATACGATAGGCTCGTTGAGATATTCGATTTTGCTCCTGACGCGCTGGTGTTATGATTCGCCTCTTGGGTCGATTGGAAGAAGCAACGTCATGTTGATCTATCATAGCTTCTGAGGCCATGACTTGATAAGACAAGCTTTTTCAGTGACCGAAACAAGGCCAATAGTAACATAACAGGTTAGACTTAAGCTGAAAGAGGAGAAAATACATGCCCACAGCCAAAAACGGAGGTAAGTGATAGACTTTCTTAACCCCGAAGACTCCGAAATCCGTTCAACCATAAGCCACATCCATAAGCCACACTGGCTTACGCCCTTGAGCCAATCAGATTACTCGAACTATACGCTTGGAAACAGTTTGATTCCATCCTGATGATGCGCCCAAACATATAAAGTGGCACCGATGTCTCTTCAAACAAGAATCCAGTTCATTTACGGCAAGCATATCTTCATATATTATCAGACAAAAATGACCTCCACACCCAAGAAAATCATTGCAATCGTTGGTGCAACCGGCACCCAAGGATCATCGGTTGCTCGCACATTTCTCGGCCTCCCCAACTGGCACGTCCGATGCCTCACCCGCAATCCATCCTCAGAGAAAGCGCAGGAGCTCGCCCAGCTAGGCGGTGACCTAGTCGAAGCCAACTTGGACAACGAAGATTCCCTGCGCCGAGCATTTGCAGGCGCATACGCCATCTTCCTCAACACTGATTTCTGGCAGCCCTACCGAGCAGCCCTTACCTCAGGTGTTGATGCAATCACCAGCGCAAAGCAAGGCTACGAGACAGAAGTCACCCACGGAGAGAACGCAGCCAATGTTGCTGCAACAATCCCGACATTGGAAAGATTCATCTACTCAGCATTGGGACCTATGAAAGCTGCATCCAATGGAAAGTATTCTGATTCCAACCACTGGGAGACAAAGGCCCACATCGTGAACTACATTGAGCAGCAGAAGGTGGATTTGGCGAAGAAGACTTCTTTCATTTATATTGGTGCTTACATCACCAATCCTTTCCTGTATCCAAAGTTCCAGGCAGAGAATGGGCAGTTTGTTGCTGCTTTGCCGGCCAGAAAGGAAATGCGTATGCCTATCATTGATACTGCTCAGTCCACTGGTCATTTTGTTCGGGCTTTGATTGAAGATGAAGAGGCTGGGATGAAGCTCTTGGCATATGATGACTATCTTTCCGTTCAGGAGATCATGGCTGTCTGGTCTCGTGCTCTTGAGAAATCGGTCAATTTGATTCAAATGACTGTTCAAGAGATGCATGAGAAGACTGGCCTTCCGCTTGAGGTTCTTGGTGGTCCGGCTTTTATCGATGAATACGGTTATTGTGCTGGGCTTGAGAACGTCGTTGAGCCAGCTCAGTTGAAGTCTTATGAGCCACGGACAAGATTTGAAGATTGGGTGAAACAGCAGGATGTTAGCGAATTGCTTGGGCTGAAGGATTTGAACAGTTGGGATGGAGTAGTTCAGTAATTACAGTATGATGATAGCCATGGACGCAAATTTAGTATTTTGAAATGCGGGTGAATCGGTCGTTCTTGCAGTACCAATGATGATCACTTTTATGTAACCGGTGAATAAATATGAGTCCACTGCGCCACAACCTAAAGAACATAAGATCCATGTCTATTAGGCCCAACACCCGTAGAGTGAAGATATAGCGATGAACCCCCCATAATCTGCAGATTCCACAGCAAGTATCTCCCAAGTATTTTGAATCGATCAACAGGGTGATGAGCCTCGCCTTCATAGCCTTCATAATTTCTCATAGTAATCCCACGGCAAACGCCGAACCCCTGAGAATCGCAGCTGACGAATGTGGGGCCGCTGCCTCGTTCAAGTGGCAGACCACAGACCGACCCTATTGGCCAAAACAGAACTGGGGCTGACAGCCGAGCTAACTTATGATTGTGGTATTTTAAAGCGAAAGACAACACATTTCCGCTAGCTGGTCAAAAGTGTCATGCGCGCAGTTAGCATCTTGGCTAGACTATACAGCTGAGTCTGGGCTAAATGGAGGTATATCTAAGCGACAAAGAGGCGCATTAGGTTTCTTCAGCTCGCCACAGAGGATGCGCTTAGCCTCAATGAGACATAAATGGCGTTAAAGTTTGCGGGAGAGAATGATATATAACCCCAATTGCAAAATCACGGCTGCGCCGAAGATACAAATCCAAATAGTACTCTTCCTATTCACAGGATTCTCAAGTAACAGTACTTGTACTCATCGCGATGGCTTCCGCAGTATTATCGCTGGAGCAAGCAAGTCTGGACGCCCAAACTCCGTCCGATAAATCCACCCAGACCTGGTACGATCTGCGAGCTCTTGGCAGTGCTGGAGCGATATGGGCCGGATTAAATAGCTACTTTGAGCTGCAGAATGGCTCAACAGGGTCCCAGCTCACGGAGAGCGTGGAGAAAGTGAATGCAATCGAAGAAAGACTTCATGAAGCATGCTTACAGGTCAGCAACCTGCTCCACCACACTATATCGCTTGCAGAGTTCACCGCGGCGTGGTTTCAACAATATCCCAACCCACCATCTGGCGACAAACTAGCCCAGACGATTGCAAATATACACCTTGAGAAATCTATCAAATCCTGTCAGAAGGCTGAGTCCACTGCTGCCCAAGCGACCACCACCCTGTTTGAGGTCAATAGGCGAGCCTGGGATTTGCAGCGATACTTTGACTTTCAAATTGATGAGTGTCAGCGGAAGATCGAAAGCGCGCAAGCAGCGGCTGCGAGTGAAACCCAGAATCCACAGCCTCCTGTGTGGGTCGTCACTGGCGGACCACTGGTTCTGCTAAAATGGGTGACCGAGAGAAAGAGGGAGATCTCTGATAACCTCATTGTCACTCTACGTGAGCCGAATGTGACGCTTACGAGTATCACCAAAATGAAGGAGGGTGGAGTGACATTTGATAGCCATCTAATTCCATGGATGGAGATGGTACAAAATATCAGCCAGTCTCTGGACTCCATTCATCGCATGCTGCAAGATGCTCAGGGTTCATCTATTGAGAACACCGCTCTACATCTTCAGTTAAGAAAGATTGATTGGTCTCAGATTGCGCAATGCTCGAAAGATGTCTTCAGGATCATCCAATCAAAATACTCTGGAGCTCAGTCTTTGGCCCCAGATTTTCAAGATGCCATAGTGAACGTGTGGCATACCGATGCCATTGAGCAAGAAGTGAAAGTACAAGATCCAAATAAGGAGGCGCTGACAGCTGCTTTCTCACCCGATACTCACCTGGCGAGTATTCTGTCTTCCCAAACGAAGGAGTGCAAGGAAATATACCAGCAGGTTGATGATGTACTTCAGTCTCCTGTATTAAGAGACATTGTGGACCACGGGGACAACACTCAGACTCCAAAAGTCGCCCTATCTGACGTCGCCATGAAATTGAGACAACAGGTAAGATATTGTTCCAACTCGTTTTATCCCTAATGAAGAGGTCATAGAAGTCACTAACCATGATTTTTGTTCAGTACGTCAAGATAATTAGCATGGAATACGACACTATTCAGCAACTATACAGCATTTCGGTTCTTCAAAGTCGTCGCATAGAGCATCTCCAACAGGGCCGCATCCAGCTAAAGGTTCTCCTGAACAACACCCTCGCCTCTGTCCAGATGGCATTAGAGCCCGCACAACGAACGCTTGCAAAATTCAAAGACGCAGCGTCAGAACTTGGAGAAACCAACAAAGTCGACGAGATTTTAGCCAAGATTCAATCTATTGGCACCAAGTTCGCAACCGGCGACGAGGCCCTCCGCGACCAAATCACCAAGGAAATCGCAGAAGTCGTAACAACCAACTTCATGACAGGTGCTACACTCTTTGATTCTGGGGCTCCAGATCCCATCTGTCAGAGGTTAGCCCTACACATGAACATCAAGGTACCGATTGAGATGATGTCTCAAGGTCTCAAGCATACACTTGACAAATTGAGTCATGAAGACCTTGAAAAGACAATTGAGGCTCTCAAATCTGTGGCTAGTGATCTGAACTCTTCGCAAAACAGATTAGCGGCCCTCAGACTACCATTTATCAATGTCGTCGCGGGCATGCAGAGGCTGACAGCCAGTGTGGGGGATATGGAGACCGCATTGCAAAGCGTCAAGGAAAAGATTGAACTTTTCAACAATATCTCATTGTCGAAGGACGACGTATCTAATATTAGCAAGGGCTGGGATGCAGTTCGTGATGGTTGTGATGGATGGATGGATATGTTCAATAGGCAAGGTATTTCGCCGCTGACTTTCTCATATGAGCAATGAGCATGCTTGATGCTCATTTTCTGGCGCACGAGTGATCAAGAAGCTTTGGTCGATTTCTGTAACTATACTTGCATTTGATATTGATCTAGTAGCGATTCCATATCCATGAGCAGAGTTATAGTCCTAACTAAAGAACGCCTCATAATTCTAGATAACAAAGAAATCCGAGGCGGAAGCTGAATCTAGACCGACTTGAGTGTCTTACCAGTCCACTGAGACTCACATTCATTCCCGTATCAGCTGTGTCTTACTCCTCATATGCTCCACATATCACACTTGCACGTAGTTCTGCTCGGCCCCAGATACCTGGTGGGTCCTTCAACATTTGCCTTCTCTGCCGACGCGAGCTAGGATATACCATCTCCAATTCAGGTCGTGGGAAGCGAAGGCTACATGGTGCGATTGGAAGTTACCATCTACCCCTTTTCTGTGGCGAACAGGGTCAGCTGTTCTGTGAGGAGGCTCGTCGGATATAAAAGGGAATCTATTCCCCAACCTAGCTATCAGAGACAGAAACCCAAATAACGACTTCAATTCTTCTCAAATCTGAATTTTATATCACTCCACGGCAAGCCCATCATGTCTGCATCTATTATTGAGCAGTTCATCCAGGACTACGAGGCTGGCTTTCAATTCTACCTCAACCTTGCCGCCTACGCCGAGACAAAATGCCGCAAAGCTCTCCAAGAAAGTGGTATCCCAGCAGTCATTACCTCGCGGGCCAAAAACCCCGAAAGATTACTGGTCAAACTTCTCCAGAGGAACACCGAAAAGAACTACCAATCCGTGGAGGAAATCTCCCGTGATCTTGCAGATCTTATCGGGGTGCGAATGGCACTCTACTTCCCCGACCAAGAGAAGCAAATTGAGGGTATAATGCGCCGGGTGTTCCAGATTAAAGACCTGAAGCGACATGACAAGACCCTGGTTGCCGTCGAGAACAAACCCTTCCAAACCGACGCTCTTCAGACGTCCATTGTACCAACAGAGGGTCCGTATACAGCACGGTTCCACGGATACAGGGCGACACATTTCCGCGTCAAAGTTCGCAGCGACGAGTTCGGCGAGTCCCCCGATCCCCGCTTCGATCAAACCATGATCGAGGTCCAAGTGGCTTCGTTGCTCATGCACGCCTGGTCTGAGGTCAATCACGACCTCGCCTACAAGACGTTGAATGGCCAGCTGTCAAAGGACGAGCTCCGCATGCTGGATGGTATCAACGGTCTCGTGCTTACAGGCGAGGTTCTCCTCGGCCAACTCAAAGCATCCGTGGAATCTCGTATCGCAACGCAGAAACGGCATTTCTCAAACCACTTCGAACTGGGGTCCTTTGTACAGCAGTATGCGCCTTATCAAGCCCCTAAGCCTGGCAGTACATACCGCATCGGCTCGCTCTCCGATCTGCTGTACGTGACGCGCCATCTGGGCATCGACAACCCGGAGGCCTTGGGGGAGCGCTTGGAACGCTGGTCAGCAAAGCCTGCAAACTTGACCAAGTACCCCGTGGTTCATTCGATCTTAGATTTCATCTTTGCTGAGTGGGATAAGCGTACTCCGCCAACTATGGAGCGCCCATTCCTTCTGGCTGAATTGAATGACAATTTTGAGTCTGGATCTCCAACACTTGAGCAGAGCTTGACAGTGTATCGTCATATCCTAGCGCACACGTTCGAGGGAGATCTGCTGCTGCCTACTGGCGGCGATGGGAGCATCGTCTGTCTCCCCGAGTCTTATCAATGGCTTAATGATGCTGGTTTCCTCATTCCTGATGTGCAGTTCGATCTTCCTTCCGGTGATCAGGTGAAAGAAATTGAGCAGCACACTAAGGCGCTGTGGGATGGGCTTGCGACGAGTTTCAATGCACGGGTTCGAGTTGCATTTGGAGTTGCTCGGGCAAAGGCTGGGAACCAGGGCATATGTTTGGATGAGGCGGTTCAGATGGAGTGACCGAACGGGTCTACGTGTATATGTTTATGAAGTTCATTCTTGATTTCGAGCATTTCAATAGGCATCAGTTCTCTGAGGTTTTAAGGACTTTTTTTCATGCAGATGTAACTATTCCCGAGATGGAATGGCCCCCAAATGGGAGGCGCTAAGCACGAATCACGTGCCGCGATTGAAAAACGTCGAAATCCGAAGGCGAGAGACGTCATCTCCCTCAACTTGCAAGATCTGCAGGAGTACTTTGAAACTAGCTGCTACTATGACAGGACTCGCTTGATGGACTCTAGACGTGGCGAGTCTGACACCCCAGATCTGCTCCACAGCCCTCGGGCGGCCAACGCACCAGAATAACCGACAAAAGCTTATCATGATGGAAGAAGCCCAGGACCGAAAGGTTAGTATCTCTCTTAGTAGATGATCACTTCTGAATGAAAAACCTAATGATCGAAAAGGACGTGGACCGCCTCGCGCGCGTAAGGGACAACCAGCGCAAGAGCCGAGCCCGAAAGCAGCAGTACGTGAAGGAGCTAGAGCAGCGTCTATCTGTGTGCGAAACTCAAGCCCAACAAAGGGACATTGAGTATCGACTGGCCGTCCAAAAGGTCGAAGCCGAGAACAGACATTTAAAAACTCTCCTGGCAACACTGGGTATCTCCAATGCTTCTGTGCAGGAATATCTGCAGGTGATTGAACATAAGGAAAATACTACGCAAAAGATTGCCATTCCTGCTGTCCAGCGACCAGATGGGCGGAACTCCCCAGCTCATTCTGATGGCTCTGATCGCAGGATGTCTTTGGCGATCCCCCGCGTTTATGATCACCAGGTGAAGACGGAACCAACTGAGCACGCCTTCTCTGTCAGAGGTAGTGTCTGTGGGCCACCAGCAAACAACGACTCGTGCGGGCCGATGGCTGGTAACAGTGACTGTGGACCTCAGGCTAGAAGTAGTTCTTGCGGACCGGATTCCATCAATGACTGTACTCCAAACAGCAATGACCGCGCGTGTGGCGCAAAAACTGGCGGAAATTCCTGTGAGCCGACAGTCAGCAATAGCTCGTGCTCACCAACATTTAGCAACAATACTTGCGACCCGACAATCAGCGTTAGCTCGTGCTCCCCGACAGCTAGCAACACTACCTGTGGACCATCAAGTCTCAGTATTCTTTGTGGCCCCACTACCAGCACAAGCACCTGCGGACCGGTGTCTGGAAATACTTGTGGACCATCTTCTAGTAATGCCTGTGCTCCCACCGGCAGCAATGGATGTGGATCAGGCCCGAGCAACAATGGCTCTAGACCGAATGAAACAGAAGAACAAAAGCCAACCGAGCCACCCTGCCAGGAGCCAAAAGTGGCAGATCCAGATATATGCGGATGCAGCCCTAGCGGACAAGAAATGACGCCCATGTCCGAAGAAGACCTTCTCAATTCGACGCTCTGCGGGATTGCAGATGAGATGATCGAGCGATACAACACCAAAGGCTTAGATGTGGAAGAGATCCGGCGCAGAATCTGGTCTGGATTCCGAGCCGGCGCAAATGGCACTGGCTGCAGAGTTCAAAATTCCATTTTGTTCCAAGTGTTAGATGAGATCAGCCACGACGTATGATGTCGGCTTTTGGTTTTGGCAAACTAATACCATCGGCATTTGCGATGGAAATCTTAGACACTTGATTAGCCCAGTCTGACATACCGGTGAAGCGAAGAGCACCAAGATACGAGATACGATGGCGGCACTGAATACTAACCCGTACCCCGAGAGCGCCAGCCATTCCCAATCCGAAGTATTGCCGGGACTGGACCAACGCCACGCCGCAAGGGCCGGGGTCGAAGCCATGGTCCGATGTACCCGTGGACGGCTTGCCAGTGAGATGCATCCTGTCCAACGAATGTGAGAACAATCCACAATCCACACTAAAACGTCCGTGTCATGACATCTATTCGGAACGACCCCGCGCCAAGATTGGCAGGTCCCAATCCGAGAAGCCGATGCTCTACGGGATAGAGATCGAACCCAGACCCGTTGCATCTGTGATGCAAAGGACTACTATACATACTTTGTCAATACATCTTGAGAACATATATAATATATCATAGCAAATAGCACAAAGGAACCTACAAAACAATCAAGTCAAAAAGCACCAAAAAACCACCAAAATTTGCACGAGCCATCGGATTGCCGACTCCAACCCCCGCGTTGCGGAAATTGAGACTCCGGAAAAAGTCTTTCTACCCCCCAACATCCTCCTTCCACCGATGATTAGCCGGAGGACAGGCAAATCTCACTGCGTTGGGTAGGATCAGGCAGGGATCGGCATATGTTCTCCCCATGTCGGATAGTCAACTTCCGGGGAGAAAACACGTTTCCCCGTATTCCAGACCGGTTTTCGGGGTTCATCTCCAGTTTTCCTTCCCGAGACCAATCCCTACCCTGCTGCACCCCGTGAATTAAGTCCTTTTTTAGTGGGTTTGTAGTGTAGGCTTTTCTTCCACTCTCCAAGAACACATGAGATAAAAATCTGATTGAAACCATTTGTCGAGCCGGTTTTTCTGGGTGTCCCGGAGCATATAACCGTAACTTGGAGAGTACGACACGAAGGTTTGTGTGCCGTTATTATACTGTAGTGGGTAAATTAGTGGATCGTGGACAAGTAGAGGCTAGTCCTGATCGCTTAGACCCGGTAACATCTTACCTGTACGCCTATTTATCCAGTGGCATGCTAAGTTGAGTCAGTCCAAGAAGCCGGGCATTCGGGGTCTGGTGCAATGGCTGCATGGTATAGCGGCGGGATAGGAATTCCGCCCATTATTGCCAGACTCCAACCATCAGATAGCCAACTTGATGTGGGGTGTACAGTAGAGACGTGCATATGTAGGCCTTCATGGTGTATACCTACTGGCCCGATGGACGTGCCGAGTCCGGACTTGAACAGGCTCGAGCGGGTGGTGCCGATGGAATTGAGGATGGAGTTTGTAGAGAGAAAAATGGCACTCAAATTAATCGCGCATGGAGATCTGGAGAGGACTGGGGTTGGCCCCGCACTCCCCCGGTGTTTCTCCACGGTTGAGGAAGTGCTTGGCTGACGGCATCCGTGGTTAACCTCCAGGGCTGGGTATAAGTCGTGCTTATGTTCTTACCATCTGTGCAAACTATTGCTATCGTTATATAGTCTCGAGCAGATGTCAAAATAACAAAATCCTCTATAAAACCAAAACTCCCAAAAAAAGAGCTGTTTCTCGGCAATGACATGGGCTTTTCCCAAATAGGAAGTATAAGCGGAGATCGTAGCCATGCTCAAGCCTCCCGGATAGTCTCCTGAGATCGGGATCTGGCTTGGCTATGTATTGACGAGGGATGCTAGTGTAATGATGGCTAACAGTCAAAAGGTGGAATATCAATGCCGACGTTCCGAAAGGGAAGATAGGGGAGCCAATGAAGACCCGGTTCCTGAGCCGTCAGACCTCAAGGAAGGGACGGAGAATTACCGGAGAGGACCGAGAGGTGGCATAGGCCGAAGTTTAGGCGGCCGTTCTCGGCCAGCAAGGTACTAGACAGGCGCATGACGAGAGAGGCTGGTGAGTGGTTGTGCTAGGGATGTGTTACCACGTAGGTATCCCAAAGGGGGGTTATGGTCTCCCTTTCCTCCCTCTCTACAGTGCCAGCCACTTTTGTCTCTGTTCCCCTTTGAAGGTATGAGTAGCTCAGAAGCCAGGGCCAATAAGTGGTGAAAATGACCAGTAGAGTGCATATCATAATGCGTATTAGAGGGCGTGCCTCGCGCAGTCTCAATGTCGATCCCTTGATTACTCCACATAATAACTATTTTTTTTCTTTTTTGGTGAGCTTGGACTGACCCCTGTCCCTGGCGAATCGGTATATTTAAATCGGAGCTTCCCCCGCGCTGGGTTGCTCATCGGTCCTTCCTTCATACAATCTTACACATACCTTTGCAATGAAGTTCGGGTGGTTAGAGGTAGCCACTTTGGCTTCGGCCTCAGTAGCTAGTGCCAATGTAAGTGGTGCCCGAGTTGGATAGGAAAATCAATACTAATGAATGCCTATTAGCCTCTTGCCTATTCTCCCCCATACTACCCTTCGCCATGGATGACTGGCAAAGGCGAATGGTCCGAGGCCTACAAGCGCGCCGTTGAATTCGTCTCCAACCTCACACTCGCCGAAAAGGTCAATTTGACAACCGGTGCTGGATGGGAGCAAGAGCGATGTGTAGGTGAGACTGGTGGCATTCCCCGACTGGGCATGTGGGGAATGTGTATGCAGGATTCGCCTTTGGGCGTGCGCGACAGTATGTCTTTCTTGAGCCTCTTTTTGTTAGAGCATCAACTAATCAACAATCAGGTGACTACAACTCCGGATTTCCCTCCGGTGTCAATGTCGCCGCCACCTGGGACAAGCGCCTTGCCTACCAACGTGGTATGGCTATGGGCGAAGAGCACCGTGACAAGGGTGTGGACGTGCAGTTGGGACCCGTGGCCGGCCCAATTGGCAAGTTCCCTGATGGAGGTCGTAACTGGGAGGGCTTCGCTCCCGATCCCGTCCTCACTGGTGTGATGATGGCCGAGACCATCAAGGGTATGCAGGATGCTGGTGTCATTGCTTGCGCCAAGCATTTCATTGGAAATGAGCAAGAGCACTTCCGTCAGTCGGGCGAGGCTCAGGGCTATGGATACAACATCACTCAGAGTGTCAGCGCCAACATCGATGACAAGACTATGCACGAACTCTACCTTTGGCCCTTTGTGGATGCCATCCGTGCTGGTGTTGGCTCTGTTATGTGCTCTTACAACCAGATCAACAACAGCTATGGCTGTGCCAACAGTTACACGCTGAACAAGCTGCTCAAAGGCGAGCTTGGCTTCCAAGGCTTCGTTATGAGCGACTGGGGTGCGCACCACAGTGGTGTTGAGTCTGCACTCGCTGGTTTGGATATGTCCATGCCCGGTGATGTTTACCTTGGTAGCCCCTATTCTTACTGGGGTACCAACTTGACCGTCTCGGTTCTCAATGGCACCGTTCCCGAATGGCGCGTGGATGATATGGCTGTCCGTATCATGGCTGCTTACTACAAGGTCGGCCGTGACCGCTACCGCACTCCTCCCAACTTCAGCTCCTGGACGCGCGACGAGTATGGCTTCGAGCACTTCATTGTCGGCGAGAACTACGTTAAGCTCAACGAACGTGTCAACGTGCAGCGCGATCACGCTCAGGTCATCCGCAAGATTGGATCCGACAGCACTGTCCTGCTCAAGAACAAGGGTGGTGCTCTGCCCCTGACCCACAATGAGAGGTTCATCGGTATTCTTGGAGAAGATGCCGGCTCCAATGCTTACGGTGCCAATGGTTGCAGTGACCGCGGCTGTGACAATGGAACCCTTGCCATGGGCTGGGGCAGTGGAACTGCTAACTTCCCTTACCTGATCACTCCTGAGCAGGCTATCCAGAATGAAGTTCTCAACTACGGCAACGGTCAGACCAATGTGTTTGCTGTGACCGATAACTGGGCTCTCACTGAAATGGCTGCTCTTGCCTCCCAGGCTTCCGTTGCTCTTGTTTTCGTGAACTCCGACTCCGGTGAGGGCTATATCAACGTTGATGGAAACGAAGGCGACCGTAAGAACATGACTTTGTGGAAGAACGGCGAGGAAGTTATCAAGACTGCTACCGAGAACTGCAACAACACCATTGTTGTCATCCACAGCACCGCCGCTGTCCTTATCAGCGACTGGTACGACAACGAGAACATCACCGCCATCGTTTGGGCTGGTCTGCCTGGTCAGGAATCCGGCCGCAGTCTGGTTGATGTTCTTTATGGTCGCATCAACCCCGGTGGAAAGACCCCCTTCACCTGGGGTAAGACTCGCAAGGACTATGGTGCCGAGATTCTCACTGTCCCCAACAACGGTGACGGCGCTCCCCAGGACAGCTTTGATGAAGGCGTCTTCATTGACTACCGCCGTTTCGACAAGGACAACACCGAGCCCATCTACGAGTTCGGCTACGGTCTGAGCTACACCAACTTCGAGTTCTCCGACCTGAAGGTCACTCCATTGATTCCCACTCAATACGTTCCTACCATCGGCAAGACCAAGAAGGCTCCCGTCCTCGGCAAGACTGAGAAGGCCTCAGACAACCTCTACCCTGAGGGTCTCCACCGCGTCACCCAGTACCTCTATCCCTGGTTGAACTCCACCGATCTCCGTGCTTCCTCCGGCGACCCCGACTACGGCATGGACTCCAAGGACTACCTCCCCGAGGGCGTCGCCGATGGCTCTCCTCAGGAACTTCTCCCCTCCAGCGGCCAGGACGGTGGCAACCCCGGTCTCTTCGAGGATCTTTTCCAGGTGACTGCCACTATCACCAACACCGGCACTGTCACCGGTGATGAGGTTCCCCAGCTGTACGTCTCTCTCGGTGGTGCGGATGACCCCGCCAAGGTCTTGCGCCAGTTCGACCGAGTCACCGTTGCCGCTGGCCAGGTCGTCCAATGGACTACCACCTTGACCCGCCGCGATCTGTCTAACTGGGACGTTGCCTCGCAGAACTGGGTTATCTCTGATGCCCAGAAGACTGTGCATGTTGGTAACTCGTCCCGAAAATTGCCTCTTTCAGCTGCGCTACCCTCCGTGCAGTAATTTCTTTCCTCCATTGATTCTCATGATGGGATATCCCATTTGAAAATGTGAACAGGAAGATACGCTGCATTAATCTCTTCTTTTCAGGTTGTATAGCCACCGCTTTCTTTTGCACATAGTTTTAAACCATGCCTCCTATGAACCAGGCCATCAATGAATTCACATTTTTTCCCAAATTATTTATGAGACTCATTTTTAATGACTTAGTATTAGAGGCAGAGGCAATTCGATCATAATTCCAATCTAATAAAAAAACCAAAACGAATAATACGAACACCTGTTGCCACTACAGCATCACTATCCAGTCATTCAAAACACACCTTCTCCCCCAGACTATAGATTAAACTGACAAGAACGCCCATGGCTCCTCTTCCCACAAACATCCCCATTCCCATAATTCCCATCCAAATCCACAAAAACACTCTTATACTCCAGATAACTACCAACCAGGTCACCAACACTAGCACACGCATCCCCAAGCCCAACCTTCAAATCACTCTTAAGACCAGTCTGACCAGTACCAAAAGTCTTGGCCCCGGCTGTGTCACAGGGTACACCCAGTGGATTGACATTGTCCCATGTACCCGAGGAGTTGGGGATGCAGATTCTGATCTAGTTGACGTGGCTCGAAGGTTAGATGTTGAGATGGAAAAAAGTAGAATTGGGAATATAGTAGAGGGAAGTCATACCCATGGCTCGTTTCCATTGTAGTTGCTATCCCGAGCGGAAGTGAAATGGACGACGAATTTTCCTGATGCTGGGTTGAAGGCGTGTTGGTCGTCGTTGCAGTCGAATAGGGCATTTGCGGAGAAGGCGAAGAATGCTGGAAGGAGGAGGAGGTTTGGGATTTGCATTTTTGGAAAGAGTTAAAGAGATGTAGTTGTTTGAGAAGTGGTAGGATTCTGTTTTCTTTCTCTTTTTCTTCTTGCTTATATTGCTTTGGTTTGAATATGATGGATCCTGCCCGAGAACATAAGACTATTTATGTCTCTGTCGCTCTGACTGATTTCTCAGGGTTCCCATTTGAAGATCAATGCAAGATTGATTGTCCATTCGGGTCTACAACGGAGCTACTCGGAATCCCACGTCTGAAGCGCGATATATAACTCAATCGAGTAAAGGCTGAGGTACAGATTGGGGCCAAATAGTGGAGAATTTTGCTTAGCTCTCTGCAATGAGACCACATGCGTAGATCACTTCACATTGTATGTGTATATCTCCTTGACAATGCATAATAAGGCCACCAGTCGGGCGCTTTCAGGCGCACAACATGGTCACAGAGGACGGCTGGGTAGATTGGAACCGACGTCACGTTTTGCCCAAGATGATAGCACACAGCACGACGACCAAGGTCTCATAGCTACCGGGAAAGATATAAATACGGTCTTGCCGTTGCGTCGCTCTGAGATGCAGTCGTCTTCATCTGGATTTACAAAGAATCAATTACAAGTTCTTCTCTTCTCAACCTTCCCTGTGAACGCCAACATGCTTCTGTCTTCAAGCAAAAACCTCACCAGAATGAGCATACTGGCTTTATCCCTCGGCATTGGTTCCAGTGCTCTATGGGATTGTCGTACGGACCAGCACGTCTTCCCTCTCGACAGCAACAAGTTCCTCGTGCACTTTACTTCGTACCGAGATAGTAACTACGACGGCAATCAGCCTTGGGTAAGCTACTTTGCTCAATTGTGAGGTTATCTTCCAGAAAAAAAGGTAGCTGATCAGTTACCAATCAGATTCGCATCTGCCTTCCAAACGATGACGGTACCTGGTCTAATGTTGATCCTCTCGAGTTGAACTGTGCCCCGAAAGGCGACACCTTCTCTCCCGATAAAACTCACCTAGGTGCTGATATTCGAATTGTTGGAGGTGGTGGTTGCTCTGGTGGGGAGCATGGAGGGTTGGATGGTGCATCTATCAATTATAAAGATCAGAGTATCAATCTGCAGTATGGTGGTGATGCGTGTGGGCCTCGGAACCATGGAATTACGTGTCAATTGACGAAGTGAGAGCGGCGAGATTGAAGCGTTGGGTAAATGAGTTCAACCTTTGCGCATGATGAGATTGCGAAAGAGAAAGAGAATGGGGTTGGAGTTGATCTAGATTCGATATCAACCTTGGAATAGATCTCAGCTCGTTCCTATGATTGTATTAGTAATCAGAGGCTTCGCCCCACGTGAGGCCTATCAAACAGACTTTAGATCAACGCTCGTGATGGGTTCCCATCAACCTGTGACACTTCGTAGACTCGACCTTTCTTCCTAATATCACCTCCCACTTCGTCTTGATTTGAACTGCAGAGCGTGATGGCAAGCGAAGGAAATGGAACAAATATGACAGAGCCAGCGGCACTCCCAAATGATAATGCAGGAGAGTTCGGTCAAAGTTCAGCGCCCGACCAAGTGAACCCCGCAACGGACGAGCTGCCATCGATCGAAGTCCAACGCAAGGTTGAGAACCACACAGTGTTTGATCGCACGGGAAAAGCAGTCCCATTCCAGAGCATCTACAACGGACCCGACGTGGCTCGCCGTGTGCTAGTAATCTTTGTTCGGCATTTCTTCTGTGGGGTAAGCTTCTCTAGCGTCGTTGGCTCTTCAAGCTGGAGTTTCTCATGCCACTGAGGACCTTTCGAAAGGAATCCAACAGAGCTTATATGATGTACACGTCAATTAACATGATTCGCATAAAAGAGCTGCCAAGAATTTCTTCGCGCCTTGTCGAAAGCTGTAACGCCTGAATCACTGTCGCATCTGTCAGTCAGCACATCCATCGTCATTATCGGATGCGGCGACCCTGGCTTGATTGACAGCTATGCCACGGAAACTGGATGTCCTTTCCCTATGTTTTCCGATCCGACACGGAAGCTATTTGATGATCTGGAATTAGTCACTTCTTTGGCTCTCGGACCGCGTCCAGAGTACATTCGCAAGAACATGGTGCAGATTGTTGTCGAGTCAATGATGCAGGGCATGAAGCATGTTTTTAGTGGACTCGCCACGAAGGGAGGCGATCCCAGGCAGATTGGTGGAGAGTTTCTCTTCGAAGTCAAAGGCGACGGAGCTACGAAAGAGGTAACCTGGTGTCATCGGATGACGACTACGCGAGACCACACTGAAATATCAGAGCTCCTGCGGATTATTGATTTAGATAGACAAGGTCAGGACAAGGCCTAGAAAGTCTTCACTGTTTTCTGCCAAGGAGTTTGAACATTGTCTTGCCGGAAGGACCCAGAATTGCAACGATTCTCTGAATACCCAGAAACTGCCTGTTATCAGAGTTCTTACTCCAACGGCATCTAAATGCTTGTTTGAGTAATTGCGCATTTGATGTTAGTTTATGCTTGAAATTGAGCAGAAAGGTTCACATGATGCCGTATTGCCATTTGGATAATTGGAGGGTAATATGAAAAATATTATAACATTATATTTCCTATACCTAATAACATCATTTACTCGCGGTTGTATAAAATTCGATGTCGTGATCACAGATGCGGCTATAACGGACTCCGAGTTACCGCGCCGATAGCCTATCAACTAAACTCAACCGCCAACTATATAAGACCCTTCTTCACTCATCATTTGATCTCAACACCAACCTAACCCAAAATCAAACAAAACACCAAACCCTTCAAAATGCAAGCCATCCGCATAAACCCAGCACCAGAAGGAGAAACTCCTTACTCCCCAACAAATCCAGCCCCATCAACCGCCCTAGCAAACGCCAAAATCCCAATCCCAAAGCCAACATCACCAACCGACCTCCTGATAAAAATCAAAGCAAGCACCATAATCAGAGACATGCTCACCTGGCCCGAATATTACCACCAAGAATACACAATCCCAGGCCACGATTTCTCCGGCACAGTGGCCGCCATTTTCGAAGGCGACAGTGACACGCCGCACAACTTCAAAATCGGAGACGAAGTCTTCGGAATGGCAAATGCCACTCGGGCCTCGACATGGGCTGAGTATGCCATTGTTTCTGTTGACGAGGTTGCGCTCAAACCGCGCACGCTGGGGTGGGAAGAGGCGGCTGCTTTGCCGCTCAGTGCGCAGACAGCTTATGAGGCACTCTTTGGACATGCGGGGATTGCTTCGCTAGTTTCTGGATCTGGAGGTGAACCTGGAAAGAGGGAGAATGCGTCTTGTAGGCGCGTGTTGATTACCGGTGCTTCCGGTGGGGTGGGCGTTTACTTGGTGCAGTTGGCTGCTAGTGCTGGTGTGCATGTCGTTGCGGCTAGTAGTTCTAATGCTCGCAATGGAGAATTCTTGCGGGAACTGGGAGTTGATGAGGTGATTGAATATGCGGATCTTGAGGGGGAGAATGGTGTGTTTGATGTGATCATTGATTGTGTGGGTGGGGATGTGCTTTTCAAGTGTTGGGGATCTGTAAAGGAGGATGGAGTGTTGATCTCTGTGGATTCTGCGAGCTTTGATTTTGTTGCTGAGCATCAGAAGCTTGGACTGCGTGATGGAAAAGAGAAGGTCAAAGCATCGTTCTTTATTGTTCAGGGGAGTGGGGAGGTTTTGAATGCTTTGGCTTCTTTGGTTGACTCGGGTGCTTTGCGTTCTTTTGTTGCTGCTACTTTCCCCATTGATTCGGTCCAGGAGGCTTATGATTTTGCTAATGGGAGGTTTGATGGTCGGGGCAAAGTGGTTCTTACTATCTGAGCTTGAAGAAATCATCAACATTCTAAATGCAGGGCCTTCTCAGGAAGAAATATCTAATTTAATGAGATAGTAAAAATGAGCTAGAGCCTCGAGACTACCGAGACACACAATTCCTGCTATAAAGGTAGGATATGTAACCCAAAGATCTGCAAAAACTATGTGCACGAAAGTCTATTCCTTGGGGCTTGGGTGAAAGCTGTCAAACAGAGCCTTGAAAGCCGAGCCTTCCCTTGATAAAAGAACCTGTGGTCTGTCAAACTCAACAACTTGACCCCTTTCTATGAGAGCAACCTTGTCGAAATCCAAAATTGTGTGCAATTTGTGTGCAATAGCAATCAAGGTCTGATCTTTGAAGCGATCCCGAATCACCGATTGCATTAATGCGTCTGTCTCCGAATCAACACTAGTAGATGCATTAGTAAGTATAGAAAATATCGGTAGCATCCTTTTTTGGCATACCTGCTAGTTGCTTCATCCATAATGACAATACTACTCGACTTGCACAGCGCACGCGCAAGGCAGAAGAGTTGTTGCTGTCCATGTGAAAGAAGATCGTCGGACATATCAGCATCCAAACCGCCTTTGGATTCAATGTAAGACCATAGATTGACTGCTTGAAGAGAATCAATGATCTTTTCGTCATCCACGTTAGACTCAGGGTTTGAGTTTAGCCGAACGCTGCCATGCAGAAAGAATGGCTGTTGGGGGATGACGTTGATTCTGGATCGCACATGGGCTCGAGAAACCTTGGAAAGATCTATACCGTCGATATAAATGGTGCCTTTGCTGAGCTCGAGTATCCGCAGCATTGCTGAGACCAGAGAGGATTTTCCACTAGATCACATATCAGTATGATTATTCAATATAATATATTCGTGTGTTCTTAGGTGTACGAACCTTCCAGTTCTACCACATAACGCGACCTTCTCCCCAGGAAGAATGCTAAGACTAATGTCTTTCAGTACTGGGTCTGAAAAGGAACTGAGAAAATATTAGCACATGCACCAAAGGGCCAACAACTACCGAGATACTTACTCATAGGAAGCTAGAACGCCAGAAAGTTCAACACTGCCTTGCCGAGGCCAATCTTCAGGAGGAGCCTCTGTTTCAGCATCCAGATCCTCAGTAGTTGCATTTTGCACATATGACCGAATTCGAGAAACAGCACCAATGGAGGTTTCCAGTCCAATCCAGTGCGTCACAAATGACTGCAAAGTACCGCTGAAATTGACAATGTTAAAGAGCGCAATGCCCAAGAGGTTCATGGACGGGCTTCCTCTCATGGAAATTGCAATTGAAATAACTGCAACCGCAATGAATGCCACAATCAAATCTAGAACAAGCCCCATCCAGCGCTGGATGCAGTAGAGCATGTAGACTGGGCGCTGCGATGCATCTAAAGCAATTAAATTGCGACGCTGATATTCCTTGCTCCAGCCATAGGCTCGGATGCTTGTAAGTCCGCCAAGAACTTCCAAGAACTGAGAGAAGAGGGGTGCCTTGGATTCGATTCCTAGGAGTCGCAATTGGCGAGAAGTTTTGACGTAGAATTTGGCCACGTAGTAGACTACCAGGACACACGCTGGGACTAGCGCTGCTGTGACATAGGATGATCCGGCGAAGACGAGGAAACCCTCGATAACACAGCTGAGAGCACAATTGACTGTCAGTTCCAGAGTTTCGGGTAACTCCTCGTCAATTAACTCGAGATCTTGGCTGAATCTACAGTCATTCTGCATTAGCAGGGTGATAAATATTTTTAAAATGACTTGTACTGACCTGTTCGTGGTGTTTCCAATATCCGTTGAAGTCAAAAACGAAGTTGTTGCCCTGGAAAAATGGTCAATAAAGTAAGCAAGGTAAGCTATGTGCAATCTTACCCCATTGTTGTACGAAGGAGAATCTCATGGAATCGGCGAGCTGTCTTGGGCTGAATAACCATGGCGAGAATCCTATGCAATGTTAAATAGGTCAAATAAAGAAAAGATTAATCACCATACCATGTGCCTAGGAACGTAGTAAAAAGCGAGAAAAGACCAAGTGCAGTGTATACACTGAGCCAATACCAAACATGCGCATTTGGGTGTTGCTCATTTTCAGTAGTCCACCACTGCAGCCAAATTTCTATAGCAAAAGTAAGCAACCAAAAATGTTGAAAAATTCGAAAATTTGTAAACTGACGTGGGAAGCTGAGACCCAGCACGAATAGGAGGCAGGTGAGAAGAAACACCGACAAAAGTGACCAGCCTATGTTTTCAAAATAATATCGATATACAGTCATATCACCTGTTCTTCGACTTGAGTCCTCCTCCTCAGCGTCATCTAAGTTCAATCCTTGAAGGGTCTCGTCATCGAGCACGATATCCGGTGCTCGGGTGGTACTGGTTGATTGAGAAACCTCGGAGAGGGTGCCGACATAGCCGTTGGCACTGACAAGCTCGCTATAAGATCCATGCTCGAGAACTCTTCCATTCTCATCTATCGCGATGATGTGGTCTGCGTAAGTGAGGTGGTGTGCTATGAAACAAGTCAGATTCGATTCATTTTCCATAAGTAAAACGAAGGCCCTACCCGAATTGGTCGCCATAATGACTGTTTGATGAGACTGCTGAATAGAACCATGCTGAGAAAATACACGCTCTAGGATGAGTTTCTCTGTTTGATGATCAAGACCGGTCAAAACATCATCCAAAATGAGAATCGGCGCTTTTGAATAGAGCGCTCGTGCAAGTGCCTAGAGAAGTCGTGTTACTCGACACCCATAAAAAGTAGAAAATGAGAATGGAAGACATACCACACGCATCTGCTGCCCACCACTCAGTCGAGATCCACGAACACCAACTTTGGTCTTATCACCCAATGGAAGTTGTTGAAGGTCGACCTGCAAAGCACACGACTGAATAACCTGGTCATACAAAGTCCTGTCCCACGGTGACGCCCCGACAATATTTTCCTGCACGGTCCCAAAGGTAATCCATGGCGACTGGTTACAATAAGCCGCATTGGCGAAGCTGGTGGAGATTGAGCCGGAACATACTGGGATTTCTCCCATGAGTGTTTTCAAGAAAGTGGACTTGCCGCATCCAACTGGCCCGACAATCATTGTGATCTTTGATGTTTGAATATCAATGTTCAGGTCTTTCAATACGGGCTCATCGTCAATTGACCAGGCTGCAGACATATTTCGGATGATAGCACAAGGCTCGTTTCTTTGGCTCTGAGATGAGTCAACTTCAATCAGCGGGGCTCCGCTGTGTTGATCTGCTTCGTGCTTTAAGCGATAGTCGGCCCTCTCTATCTCCAACAAGTGTTTTTGGATGCGCTGGAAACAGTTCACAACTGCCATGACGTCCTCTGAACCATCTACAATGGAGATCATTGGTTGATCCAGCAATGTGAAAAGCGTCAGTGCAGAAAAAGCTACACCGTTTGTAAGAGTGGCTGTATCGTTGAACTTGGCAAGCAGTGTGTAGGCCCCAAAACCAAACACGGGAGCCAACAGAGTAGAAGAATACCCTGACAGGTTAGCAAGAAGAAAACCAGAGCAGAAGCTGACGCATACCAAGTGTTAACCTTATGACTCCATAGACTCGATATTTGAAGGAAGCTTCAATTTCAGCAGCGCGAAGATCTCGAAGATTTCTGGAGATGGTCTCTGTGAGTCCCGTCATCTTGATGTTCTTCATTACCCCAAGAACCTTTGAGGTGACCGCCACGCGCTCTTCAACAGCTTCAAGCCATGTTCCTTGTGCATTACCTGAAACAACTGCCAGAGGAATTCCAGCAGCGAGACAAGCTGTAAAGAGCTTCGTTAGCTCTGTCGACTAAGAAGTTATTGACCTGTGCAATTTACTTACCGACAACTACTACCGTAGATGCAATTGTCGCTATATTCAAAAGCCTTGTCAACAGCCACAAAGCCAATGCAACCTCTATGATGTTTGAGTATGTCTCATGCATATCGATTAGACCAAACCCAATGCGCTCAATGTCAGTGCTCATCAGGGTAATAGCTGCCGCGTCAGAAATGGTTGATGTGCTCATCCGCAATGTTTTATTGAAGATCATGGTGACCAGGCTTCCCCGGATCATAGTTATGACACGGAAGGTTTTGTGCTCGTAGGCGGCATATGATACCTAGATGATCCTATCAGTGACAGCTCAGACTAGGATCGAGAAATTGCATACTGCGATGCCAATGTACACAATAGCATAGGCGCCGATGAGCCCATAAGCGTAGTTGTTCGAATTGACATGCTCTGGCTCCGTCATGAAATCCAGGACGCGTTCCACTAAAAATGGCTGGGCGAAGCAGAATCCGGTGTATGCAAGTCGAGGAAGAATACCTTCTAGGAATGCCCATTTGTAGTGGAATACAAATGTCCACAGAAGTGCATTTGATTGGTACTTGTCGGCTGATTATCATGTCAATACCTATTTCTGTATGAATTGATTAAATCGGATGCTCACCCTTGTCCCATTTCTCAAAGAGAGATTGCGACGTCGAAGCATTCTTCAAATCATGGTCTAGAGAGGGTAAGCTATCCACTGTCAATGTGGTTCTAGATCCACGCCAAAGGACGTCTCTCAGCCACCAAAATAGCGCTCGATTCAGAACACCGCTGGTGGATTCGATCGGGCTGTTCTCATATGATTTCTTGAGGAATTGTCTCTTCTCAGTCGCTTCGAAAACCAAAATTATTATTTTGATCACCCAGCTGATAGCAAACACACTGGTAACGGGTTGATTGGACATGAAATACAAAGTCCGGAGGCGTGCAAGGTCAAATAGCAAAGTAAAACCGAGGAAGACATTTAGCACTGTTGACGGTCGCAATGTGCGAAGGTGCTCGAGGTGAGACAACCAAAGCAGAAGGAGAGAAGTGAGTATAGTTACAAGTGTTGTGCCTATGGTCGCTCTCGTCTTGGGAGTATCCGGTTGAAAGAAAATGATGAGCAACGCAACATGGCATGCGGCGTGGAACAGCCATGACAGCTGCGCAGGGGTTGTCAGTTTGCAGAATGTGACATTGGGCTGTAGGGAAACCACTCACCCCTTTGACAGCATTTAGCCATGACCGATTGACTTTTTCAGAAGCGTGATGAAGCTTCCAAACACGGCAAGTTGCAGCCAAACAAACAAGCCCAAGTGGTAAAAGAGTGAGAATGGTCTCTTCAAACAGGAGGGTGAAATCGAACCCATGAAGACAAGACGGGGCTACAGTAGGGCCAAAGACATCCTCCACGGCCGCGGAGCAAGGATGGTCCAACATGACAAGATTAGAAAATACAGAAATGGAGCCTCTGAAAGCCACGGTGCTAAGGCGAGGGCTTAAGTGAACGGGAAAGGGTTCGACGCGGGAGATCGCTGGTGCCTAAACATTGGAGACCCTTGACTCACTGTGACTCGACCAGACTCATAAGGTTACATGTTTGACCCCGTTTCAACTTGCTCAATTTGACGGAACTTATACCCAGGTGAGGTTATCAAATAATGTTGCAGTAATTGAGTCCAGTCACTTCTCTTCGCAATGGACGCCTTAGAATGCCTTAAACTCTATTTCTCTCTATACCAGGCAGATACTGGTCGACTGGCTGTGAGGATGTGACTGAAAATGTGGTCTATTGTGATTATGACACTAATATAATTTTATTTTATTATATTATACAGCTAGAAAATAAGGCTTTTTGTATAAATCAACTATTGCCACCAAGGAAAATATCATGATGCATGGATATCGGACACGACAGCGCCGGCCATTTGTATTGGCACTTCCTCACAAGAAGTCGTCCCTATAGACACCACGTGTAGAGGCCAAATCATCATGCAATTCCACTCAGCAGGAATGATGCTGTTAAGTCCTCGAACCTCTCGCTCAGGGATCCCACGAAGCCACCATATATCTTCAAACTCCTTGACCAACGCAAAAAGGTAAGCCAACATAACGAGCGCTCGCGGCCTTCTCTCAGCAACGAATCCAATAAAAGGCTGAGGAATTACCGGAGGGAAACCACTAAACATGCGTCGGAGTATATGAACAGGTTCCCCTTTCTGCACAGCAATGTAAAATCTTTCCAAATATGCAATACCCTCCTCATAAACAGAAAATGCTGCACTATCCAGGCAGTCATCTTCCGGACGATAATGAAGTAGGAACCTTAAAGGCTTCATATCTCCATTATAGATCCGCTGAGTGCGATCGGCACTTTTCCACATCGCGGGCTGGGCTTGAAGCAAGGGGCACAAGGGCGAGTTATTTGTGATCAGCTGATCATAGACATTTTTCAATACTATGCGAATGCCGTACGCTAAAGAAAGCCACATAACTGGAGGATCATACGGTGCCGTCGAGGGCTCCGACCGAAGAAAAAGGGTATATAACGAGAGAAGAACGGTGTTCATGCAGACTGCTTCAGTGACGGTATGGTCCGGATTTGCTGTCACAGGGCGGTGTCGGCGAATAGCCGAATCAATATATGCATGATAGACCGGGCGCAGGGAACTGGCTTCCTGCGGTAATAGGGTTGCTCGATGGGCTGCGCCCAGCGCTAATAAAGTGTGCAGAAGTGGCTCGTATTCGAATGCCAGTTGCGGCACTGACACACCCCACATATTACGAACAGAGTCCACTTGGGCGGAACTCATGGTGTTGCATGTTTCTGTGACCCATTGATGAATCAGGCGCATTTCGAGAATGCGCATCGCCCCCAGCTCTGGTGATGGCAGGCTGGGTTTTGGGCTGGCCTGAGTGTCACGCCTTGAGATTGTCTTTGAGGCAGGCTTATTTGGATCATATATGCGAGGTGTTAATGATGGCCATTCGCATGCCACAGAGTGACGTCTGCAATGACCGCAAGTTGGGCGTTGTTCATCACACTAACAACTGTGAGTTTGAATCTGATAAGAAGAGGAGGATATTGCTTACCTTGACTTTCCTCGCTTTGCACCGGAGGCAGCCGGTTGTTGATTTTCGATGGGTCAAGCGAGGTGGCATGTTGATCTTGACTGGAAATGCAAGCCAAGTCTCAGCGAATGCTTCGGTATCGGCAAAGAAGCAAAATGAAGTAAGAATCAGGAGCCTTTTCGCCCCCATGAGGCTTGGTTTCGGGCTCGGGTTGATGTGTTATTTCGGGTATAGCGCGAAATTAAGGAAGTTATCGCGTCGTTATTGGACGCTGGAGGAACTCATCTCCACTATCGAGGCTGTTCGCCGTTCAATTTTCTACTAGGGCGTACTATTCGAAGGAAATAAGCATGCTGACAGCGGATCTTGAATGGATAACTCTTGTTCTGTGTATCAGAACTGGAAATATAGTCCTGCCTAGCCATCACATTATAAATACCCATCAATTCCCAGTCAACACCTTTATTTCTCAACAACAATCATATCAATCTTTTATCACAACATCAAAGTTATATCTTCAAAGCAATAATCAAACAAACATACAACAATGGGTCTCATCAAGACAGGTCTCGCTCTTGCAGGAAGCTACGGCCTGATCAAAGCAGCATCAAAGTTCGTTTTTTCTCAAAAGAAATCCCTACATGAAACCATACTGACATTATCTTTAAAAGAGCCGCAAATGACTACGAAGACAAGAAACTCAAGCGAAATGGCCAGGCACAATATTCCCATAACTACGATACCCAAGCAAACCATGGTCCCGCTATGAACGGTCCCGCTATGAATGATCCAGGCTACTATCAACATCAGGGATATGGAGTGGCCAGGGATTTGCCATTCGAAGGAAACTCGCATTATTTGAATCAGCAGCATGCTCATGGGCCGAATATGAGTGCTTTACCACCTTCTTATTCCCAGGGGAACTATTACGACATGCAGGGAAATTCAGGTTCAGGTCCGACTCAACATTATCAGCAGCACTATCCATCGGACTCAAAGCGATAGTGGGAAAATTGACTTGTGATGTATGATTTATGATGTTGAAATTTCGAGTTGTTTACTTTACCGTGGATTAAGTTAGGTTGGGTTTAGAAGGCTTAATTACTTTGTTTTACGTTTGATCATATACCAAGTGAAGATATAATCCTAGTTCGTTTCATGGTTTATCACAATGGTAAATTTGAGCGTGGAACCAATAATGTAAGTAGAAAATATATCTACACAAAGGCCTTGTTGCTCATATGATTTCGCTGGCCAAATGGGACAAAGACACTTCCCCTTCGACAGCTTCTGTGATCAAGTATCACCTTCGCACTGGATCCTGAGCTTGTGAGGAAAGCTTAGAGCAACTTCTTCAGATCGATAATACTCTCCGATACCCGGTTAGCAGTGCCTCCCAAGACACCTGCGGAATGAATCATCAAGTAGCGACCACCGTCCTCTTCAAGCACACGCAAAGATCTGGTGTAGCCATGCTCCTCAGGTGTCGCGAGCTCAGTCCATTCACCCTCGCCAAGAGCCTTGTTAATGAAGATAGTGCTCTGAGTACCAGAGCTGGCAATCAGGGTGCCGTTCTTGCCCCCGTATTTGGTCCAGACAATGTATGGCGAAGATGTCGGCTTAGTGCCACTGGAGACGACAAGACGCTGACCCCCGACTGAGGAGAAGTCTTCGGGGTCGGAGGCGATCTTGTAGTAAAGAGGGAAAGAGTAGCTTGAAGTGCCGAAGAAAGAGCCGTATTCGTAGATGTAGAAGTATTTGCCGTTCGGAAGCTACGTTGGTCAGCTTTGTCTCAAGCAAAATCGATCATCGATAATGATGGACTTACCTTGGTCACTATCGGCATTCCGGGTCGGTCAGTATAAGTGGGCTCTGCGCTAGAGTACTGTTAGCAGTGATCGTGGCAAAAGAAAGAATTATGCATACACATCGTCAATGACAGGGCCCCAAGTTTTCAAATCGGAAGAGGTCTGATGAACCAATTTCTGTCCGTAGGTGGCGTTGTCTCGCTGATCGGAGTAATAGCAGATCAACTTTCCCTTTCTTTGAAATGGTCAGCTAAATATAGTTATTTAAACATGACACTGAGACTTACTGCGCAAGGAGGTATGGCTCCCAAACAGGGGTCAATCCATTGTCCGGTACAGCCTCTCCTCCAGCTGCAATATGGCTAACAAACTTCCATGTCGCGCCATCATCGTTGGATGCATACAAGTCAATGTTGGTAGACGAGAGATCTGTCGGAATACTACTACCCGCTAGCAGCAGGGTACCCTTCTTGAATGAACCGACTCTCTCGGGAAGGTAATACAGGAACGGCTGATAACGGAGACCAAATCCATTGGCAGTATCTTGAACCTTGGAAAGCTCCTTCCATGTCTTTCCGTGATCCTTGGAGCGGTAGACGGGGAAGTAGACTAGAGGCGGTTCTGGGGAGTAGTTCTCCCATGTTGCAAGGAGATCACCATTGGGAAGCTGCTCATTGCGGGGATAGAGTGTACGTGGGATGTTGTAGTCGGAGGGAGGTGTAAAGATAGTTACGTTTGTGACTGGAGAAATTGAGCTCCCAGAGCGAGGAATACTGACTGCGGTGGCAGCAGCAGCAAATGCAACAATCTGTGGGATCTTCATAGTTGGCCAATTGTATTTCCAGCTAATTGGTATAGCATGTAGCAGCACTTTATTGCTCCTTATATAGTCCAATTTGAGCGAAAATGGTATGTTAACTCAATTTCATGCACGAAGTCATACTCCGGGGTTATCCCGCCGGAATTGTCCTCATTTTGGACTAAGTTGAGCTTTCATCTCCAAGCCAAGTCCCGTGCAGAATTTCCATCAATCGCGCACGCCGTAGTATATCCGGGGAAATGACGAAACTGTTGAACAAACTTGCCGAGATTCACGTGTGCCAATATACCCCTCTCGCAGATTCAAATCGAGTAAGTTATCTTGGCAAATTGTGAGTTGTTCATTCTACAGTGTTGGGGCTGTGAGCACGGCGCAAGGCTGAGATGTAGGTCCCATCTTCAACATTGATTTCCGACATATCCACAGATAACAAAACTTCAAGCCTTGGGCAAGAAGCTTTGGTGTCAAATGCCTGGTAAGCAAAGAGACAGGCGGAATAGGCAAAACCTTTCCATATTCTTCGTGCAGACCCAGCGGACCAAAGCGATCCACAAACACGACGATTCAAACCGAAATATTCGCACAACCAAGTGAGCGAGTTGTTTCAAATGTTTTGATTTTGGTGATCAAGTTCAAGTTTTGGCGCAGCAAAGCCTTGTGGGCAGTTTGGCCCCCAACCCCACAGCCAAATTTAGCGTGGCGCCCAGGGAAATAAACGAAGAGGCCAATCAGATGCAGCCAACAATGCTGCGGCCTGTCAGCACACAGCCTTCCAACCTTCCAGTGTCGCCATGATCGGCCTGTAAGCAACGTGGTTAGGTTAAATGGTCACAGAAAGGGTAGCAAGCTTCGTGGCTAAGCCATCTGAGTATCAAAGTTAAAAGTTGTGGCCTAAAATGTCGCGATGTCCATGTCTATATAGTTCTGCCTTACTTCTCGAATTTCTATCTCGTTTTCAAACCCAATCGCCTTCTCAAGCTCCCTTGCTCCTTCTCCCAAGACATCTAGGCTAGAACAGTGAGCCTGACACACAAAGCGCACTTCTATCTTAAGATGAGATCGACACAATTTGCAAACCGACCAGTTGAGCCAAGGCAGCAGTCCACAATGAAATGGCAACAATCAAAAACAACCCTCGTCAACCGCTCATCAGGCATTTGGTATGACTCCAAAGACCGCTGTCATCAATCGACAATGGAAATATGGCATAAATCGACAGACAAGTGGTACTATTCCAAGGATCGGTGCCAACAATCCGTGAAAGGCATACTATGCCGGTCGGCGACGCGATGGAATGAGTCTGCAGATCGACTCCACATGGCTGCTCGCATCCAAAGCTCGGAGATGATGGATATAATGTGCCAAAAGCAGATAGAGAAACAAGGGTCATCACCGTCACCATCACCATCACCATCATCTTTTCGACCACAACCGAATTCGCCAGAGTCTCCTCAATCCTCAAAATCAAGATACTACTCGCAATCAATCAGCTCCTCACCAGAGAGTCCTTCAAGTCCCAGAATCAAGTCACCCTTGACGGTTGGAAACCCCTTGAATGGATCCACCGCTGGTGGACCCCTCGGAGAGCAAACATTGTCAGCGGAAGCGCATATCAATGAACTATGGGAAGCATCCGGTCGTGTCAAATGCGTTGTCAAACAAACCGAGCAGTTGCGAAATGACAAAATGACTGAACTAGGCGAGATCGAAGGCGAATGGATCAGTTCTACAATTGCCGACGCCGAAGCCGCCGCGGACGATCTCGCATCCTTCATAGATCCACTTTGGCACCAAAGTAACCAAACTGGCAGCCTCACCCCGAAAGAACGTAAGAATTGGAAACGACGTGACTGTCCAACTGCCCTCAAGAAAGAGACCCGCATGGCTCTCTGCTATGAAAGACTCGAAACCGTCTTCGGCCATCTTAAATCAATAACATCAAGATCAGAGCTCGCTAGCACCGAGGAAGAAGAGGAAGCTGAACTTGCAGCAGGAGGATCGCCTCCTGTTCTGAGGGACACTACCGAGATGTCCTGTCAAACAACGGTGATCTCTGCTATCGAGCTCCCTTGCCCAATCACCATTTTGGAACTTCAAACAGAAAAAGCTATCCCCAAGATTATTGTGACGCAGTATGAAGACGAAGCGATTGATGTAACGAGCCCGCATTGCGAAGATGCCCCCAATTTCCCTCCGTCAAGCTATGGGAGTGGCCCGGTGAAGAAGAATGATGAATTGTTCTTCCCCTGACATTTGAATTGAGAATATATGCTAATGAGACTATGATCCGCTATGAACCTGATACCACTTTTGAGTTAGTGAGACCATCATTCAATGAAATATTTATTGCCAATGCATCTACTATATTTTACATTGCCATTATCTGGCAAAGTCTATTCTGGAGTCTTGACAGTGTTAAAAGGCAAAATAACTCGATAAAGCTCGCATATTCGCTAACAGTCTACCTAATCAATGCCATGTGTATCTATTCACCCCCCTCTAGGCGTCAAAAGAGATAAGATAATCTACTGTATTGAGAATTCAAGATTCCTTCGGTCGATATGATATACATTAATTGTTCGGATTTGCCTTTTCCCGACGATGTTAACATATCAACGTATGGTCAGAGTCAACTTAAGTTAAGTTACATTACTTCACTTGGACATTGCGAGAATAAACTCTCCAGAACGAAAGTTCGCTGTAACAGAAACCGCCCTAGGGAAAAGCAATATAAACCAATGCAAAGCCCGTAATATTGTGTGGGAAACCCAAACTGCCAAGCCTGGACCCAACCCGGCGGGTTTGTTCTAGAACTTTTGGTAAGCCCATCCACCCATCAGCCGATACCACAGAGCTTCGTGGCTTCGAGGGTTAAAGGACTGAGTCCACCTCCCATCCGGTGAGTGGGATATGTTTGTTGACCTAGTGGCGAGGGACCAAACTGTCGGGACCGACGGTGTCAAGTCAATTCCCCACTGAATTAGACGAATTTTCCCGTGATGCCAAGTGGGTGCTCAGTGTCTGTCCCGCATACTGACTTTATGGTGCTTACCAGCAGATCTCTACGCCTTGCACCTTGCACCTTGCGCCCGGAAAATAATAACTCTGTTACAGCTTGAATATGTAGGATAGATGAGTTTATGCAGATGCAAATGGACCCCCGCACATAATTACGCGCTTTACGACAGACAGCATTGCGCGCCACCAGCAATTGGCCGAGGACCCCCCCCCCCCTTTTCGCCCTGCGGATCATCACCAAGCCGTCGACTAATCACTTGCAAGAGATCGATGCGCTAAGTCTGCTCTAACCCCCTAAATTTGCCTACCCGAGAGCATTGCTAAAAAAACCAGGGAAATCGCACCCCCGGGTCTCATCAGAAAAGCACTCATGGGCTGACGGTGCAGTAATCTAGTATTGGACCCGGCATTCCGGTACCCTAACAGCTGTCTCGAAGCCGGAGGGGTCGTCAAACTCCAGCCGGTGTGATGAAAGGAGTTCTTCTGTTCTCACTCTCTCTTCTCTTATTGCCCTTACGCGCCCCCCCATCCCATGTTCGCTTGCGCCGGTTCATAGATCGCAAGTGTTGCCGATGTATCAAGACGGGCATCAAGGGTCATCTCCCATCGAGCCGGATGTTAGTCACCAAATATCATTTTTTCTAGGCGATCTTTCTCTCTTGTTTTTGTTGGTTCCCCTTAAATGACTAACATATCTAGTCCATTTCCGATACAGATTCATTATACCCACATTCGTAAGTATAGTCACAATATTCAGTAGTTGTGGAGGATATGACTGACTTTGCTAGGCTTGGCGATGCCAGTTGTACCACGAGTATCACATCAAGCACGTTGAACTACAAGTAGGTGTTTCTAATCGATATTTTTGCCGAATGCATACTGATAATTACAGATATGAGGTTCGTTCAATGTTAGGTTTATCATGAGCCATGCTGATTGTATACAGAATGGTCGCAGGTATCACTCTTTCCACGAAGGAGAGTATATCTTGGTATGTGACCTTACCCTCTTGAAGATCCGTCTTAGTTCTAATTCTCAGGTTAGCCCAACGACGAACAAGAACAAGATCGTCTGTATCTAGTAAGCTGTCCCGTAACACTACCACATAGCCAATGATTGACAAGTAACAGAGCCATCATATCTATTCAATGCTCCTCAAAGGGGAATTGCTTCGTGCACCGGTGAAAAGTCCCAACAGGGTGTTAGATCTCGGGACAGGGACAGGGATATGGGCCATTGACTACGCAGAGTTAGTCTCAAACCATACCTAGTCCTTCTGAGAAAGCCTGACAAAATGTATAGCTCAAGCCCGGAGTCAGAAGTCATTGGTATGCCAATTCCAAAGACGCTACAGTCAATCCAAAACTAATGAAAAAAGGAATTGATCTGAGCCCTATCCAACCATCATGGTATGAGCAACGACCAATACACCATTCGATGTCGTTACATTGACTTGATTTTAGGGTACCACCGAATTGTCGGTTTGAAGTTGACGACTTCGAACAACCATGGTCATATAGCCAACCATTTGACTACGTGCATGGGCGCGAACTAGAAGGCTCAATACGTGACCACGACAAACTTTTCAAACAGACATTCGAAAATCTGACTCCAAATGGATGGTTCGAAATGGCAAGCATCGAACCAACAACTTATTCAGACGACGAAAGCCACTTGGAAGCGACAAATCTTTTAATAGCCATCAAGCACATGCACGAATCATCAAAGCTATTTGGAAAAGACATGACATCATCATCCACATGGAAAGAGCGGATGGAAAAGGCGGGATTCGTCAATGTCCAAGAAGATGTTCACAAAGTATGTTATTTCACCACGCAAAATCGATGGCACATCTGAACTAACTGGGAAAAAGCTACCGCAAGGCCCATGGCCGAAAGATTCCAAGTTGAAAGAGCTTGGGAAATACCACCAAGTCAATATGCTTGAAGCCATGCCTCCATATACGTATGCTTTATTCACGAGAATGCTTGGGTGGTCGCGCATTGAGATAGAGACTCTGTTAGCAGGGATACGCAAGGAAATATGTGACCCATCGCACCATCTGTATACCAAGGTGCGGATTGTATATGGTCAGAAACCCGCATGATTTGGGATTTGCTCGTGTGAATTAGTTTTATACCCCAGCTTTGTCAGTTGCTTAGAAATACTAGATCGCAGTGGAATTTATCGTTGACAAAATCCCAAATGAACATGCTAGTATTCTATATACGATCTGATATAGATAATGATTTATTTTGGTCTTTATAATTAGAGCCCTGAGTATTGATCAGGCCATTATTTTCATTGCACGTGAAATAAATTTCCATCCGGCGCGGGATTTCGGTTCGCAGACCGCGGGCATTTCCGCGGAATTGGCCGGAATCCTGTCATTCAAAAGACGTCGCCTGTCCTGACATACACATTCAGATTGACCAGAAAAAGAGGCAAAAAGGTACATTCCACACAATGAAGAATGAAACCATTGTGATTGTTGGGTGAGTCAATAGTGGCGCGACTGATCAGTTCACACTATTAACATGAAGATTTTCAAGTGCGGGTGTAATTGGCCTGGATGTAGCCCTCGTCCTTGCAAAACAGGGCTATGGAAGGAGAACCACCATCATTGCAGAACATCTTCCAGGTGATACATCAATAAATTACACTTCACCATGGTTTGTGGACTCCCAGTGGCCGTCTGAATTACCGCGACACTAACTCAGTGACTTAACTAGGGCGGGTGCCAACTTCTCTGCCATTTCCGCCAGTGATGAAAATGCTCTGCGATGGGATAAGTTAGGATACGCATACCTTCTTGATCTTGCTTCAAAGGATGGCAAGAATGCATTTGTGAAGGAAAGCCCTTCAACTGAGTATTGGGATGAGTTGCCATCTTCTACAAAGATCGATTCGATGGCCAAGTACCTCAAAAATGTGAGAATTTGAATGGATCTCTTGAATACGAGTCACACGACTCTGTTGATACTGACAATGGAACAGTTTAAAGAGATACCTGCAGGAGATCTTCCAAATGGCGTTGCGTATGGGATAGAATTCACCACCGTAACGCTCAACGCACCTATGCATATCAGCTATCTCCTTCGGATACTCACAGAGCAATATGGAGTTCAAGTTGTGCGACGAAAGATTTCAAATATTTCTTCAGGCTTTTTGAGCCAAGATACAAAGGTCGTTTTCAACTGTACTGGTAATGCATCGCGAGACCTGAGCGGAGTCGCGGATTCCAAATGCTATCCTACCAGAGGTCAAATATTGCTTGCAAAGGCCTCAAATATTCAACGAAATGTTATGAGACATGGCAAAGATTACGAGACTTACGTGATTCCCCGGCCATATTCCAATGGAAATGTTATTCTCGGTGGCTTCATGCAAAAATGTGTCAGGTAAGATGGGTCGATTGGCTTGAGAATTGCATATGTCATTATTTTCGCCCGCTAACAGAAAATTTCAATAGTACTGCAGACACGTTCGGATATGAAACAGAGTCAATATTGTCTCGCACAACGGCAATGCTTCCTGAATTAGCTTCAAGCGAGACTCAGATATTGACTGCGTTTTCTGGCTTGCGCCCATCCCGCGAAGGAGGGGCACGTGTTGCAAAAGAGTTGATCCAAGTGGATAAAACTGGTCGACAGGGCATATTAGTTCACAATTATGGTGCCGGCGGAACAGGCTTCCAAGCTGGATATGGCATGGCTGTTGAGGCAGTTGACATCGTGACGGAAGAACTTCAAGCGCTTGTTACACAGGCTAGATTATAGAATCCAGTACCATGAAGTCAAGCGAATGGAGTTTGTGAGCGGAGTATTGTACGTGCCCTTGTTGTAGTCACTGATATTTGCAATGGGATAGCACCCTGCTAGATTATGGATGTTCTTTTATGAGAATTCAATAGCACACAATGAACCGCTGAATTAGGATTACCGACACTTTGAACAAACGAAGCTGATTTTCACACAGTGATAATCGTCCCTCAGAACTGACGAACGGGCTTCTTCAATGAGGCTTTCACTGGATTCGGACTTTCGAAAATCTCCGACATTTCCTCCAAAGTATGGTTCTTCGTCTCCACAGAGATGAAATAACTCACAGTCGCTTCAAATAAATCCCATCCAATAAAGACAATATAAGTATACCATCCAATCTTTTGGAGGGCAATAGGGAAGCAAAACTGATTGAGAAGAGTAAATCCATGGGCGATGGAGAAAGTAAGTCCAACACCTTTACCTCGTGTTTCGTATGACAGCGCTTCAACCGGGTACAATGCCTGCAGAGGAGTCATTCCGAAATTATAGCAGAAGCCAAAAACGAAAATAAAGGCAATACCAGCAGAAGCAGCCGATGTAGCCTGGGTGTGAGCAAATAGTCCAGTTCCAATGGTGATACACGCGAAGCAAACAGAGCAAGCGACCGCTGTCCAAATGATAGTCGGTCTGCGACCCATTCGCTCAATCTGGCTGGCGCCCAAGTATGAAGCCACCGTCGAGACGACAGTATATCCAAGGTTAACATTCAACACTTGATTTGAATCCGTGATACCGGTAGTGATGAGCATTGCGGGGAGATAGTAGGTCACAACTGCGTTGCCCGAGCATTGGCCCCAGATGCCTGTGATCAGAGCATTCATGAAACGCCATCTACCTGCCTTCGTTTTGTAGAAATCGCTGAAGTCCCACCAGCGCTTGTCAGATCCGGATAGCGAGATAAATTCTCTATATTCCTGCAACTGTAATTGAACCAGAGGGTGATTTGGGTCGTCTTCGCCGTGGTAGTGTGTAAGGAATTCCAACGCCTTGTCCTCTTGGCTATGCGAGAATAGCCATCTAGGAGACTCGGGAAAGAAGAGCACACTCAAGAGGACAATCCCAGGGCATATCATCTGGCACCAAAGCGGGATCCGCCAGGACTTGGAACCTGCATATCCAGCCGATCCCCGGGTGACGCCGGCAGCAACCAAAGACCCGACTGCGTACGTGCAGTTATAGAATGCCATGATAATGCCACGATAGGCTGGTGGGCAAACTTCAGCACACCAAATCGAACTGGTTGATCGAATGATATTCACTCCGAACCCAAGAAAGAACCGACCGGCCACGAATTGGGGGACACCATGCGATAGCGCAGATACAAATGTGCTGGCAACAACAATCACGCATCCGATGAACGTGCCCCATTTCCTCCCGAACATATCACAAGCGGGTCCACTAAATGGCAAAGAGCAAATCCCACCTACGGTGTACATTGCGGAGATGTAACCTATTTTAGCGCCGTTTTTCTCGACGCCGAATTGGTCCCTGAACGACTCGAGGGCGGGAAGAGATCCAAAGATTGATCCATCATATCCTGAGCAAGCATTAGCTGAATATGTCTTGTTTTAATGTATTCCAGCTGTAGTAGCTACCGTTCATTGTCGAACAAAGGAAGGCAATCACGCAAAACCCATATAGCTTTCTCAGGTTTGGCGACCATGGCGATGGTTTCTGTGCCTGAAGAGCCTCTAGCAAAGTTTGCCGACTTGGTAGCCCTTCATCATGACTCGATGTCTTTTCCAATGGAATTTTATCGAGCTGCATATCTTTATCCGAAGATCGCAAAGAGCCCATCGTGAGGCTAAAGTAAGAAGATCAGGAGTGAGTTAATGTCTGTTGAAGCCGGGAAGTCTCCACTTGTGACCAGGTTATATACATCGCCTATTTATTATAATACCTTCACTTGACCCGTGATATGTCCAGAATATTCACATCGCGATAACTTATTTCCTTAGAGTTGTAACCCTAACGCTAGTCATTCGGGCGGGGAATCCCCCGACGTTCGGACAGAGGAATCCTCCGAGTGGGACGCTTCGCTTTACAACGCCACCAAATCCCCTATCGAATGAGGGGGAAAAACCAATGCTTATGCACTGGCAGTAAAAATAAGACCCAACGGAGTTTGGCCTCTCAAGCATGGAGTGTCTATCATTATACGACGCGAAAGAGCATGACCGTAAAGATACAGTAATAATCACTTTGTCTCCGTTGGCTTAGCAGAAAGAAGCCAACCCCTCTCAGACGATTCCTTGCTTTGTTACACGAGGAGAATATGCGTGCGTCTGAAATCAAAAGAGGTTAAATGAATAATGGAAAAGTGTTGACGACCACGCCAGCTACGAGGCCTCCATGGTCTTTGGATCAAAAGCTTCCATCTTCTCTCGGCCTTTTTATCACCTTCTAGGTCGGCTTTTGAGCGGCTTACCAATTACGGTCCTTTTAATTTTCATATGCGACGTTATATTGATTCGTGCTTTGTAATTCAATAAGACCTCAGGTGCACCTTGCTACCTTTATACCTCACCTAAGTCGAGTGCGAGACGACCAGCCTATTCTCAGTACAGCAGATCAAAACGCGCACCATAAGGATAGCCACCTAACTGTATATTCATTGGGTCTCATTTATTATATATTATAGTTGTCTCAACATATCCTGTGTCAAGCGAGGGTGCTCACACCACTTCTGAAAGAGCTCCGTCCGGGTAAAATGCTTCTTCCCATTGGAGATAGCAAACACAGCCGTTGCCAACATTGCCACATTTCCTGTGTAAAGCTCAACTCTATGCTGGATAGTCGGTATCATTGCTCTTGGCTCAATCAAATTTGTGTTCGGATCAGACTTCAACACAATGCCCTTGGTAGAACCCTCGAAGGGCAAAATATTCTTCACACCACTGGCACCCGCATGGCTGAGAGTAAGTGAACACTCGCTTGCGTTCATGTTTGCTTCAGATTCAGATGTATGCCTCCAATCATCATTCAGCGCGCCCATTCTTCGCGGGTGCTTGGCTTGTATGGCAAATCCCCCCTCAACGAGGTCTAGAGTTTCCGAATAGTCTGAGTCATTTCCTGGGCTTCGAATGCGATGAAGTCTGACATGCCAGTCTGGCCAATCATTGCATGGAGGAATGAGTGTCGACTCAATCTCTACTTTGCTGGATTTCCAAGGTTTCCACACACTTTGTAGACATTGCATCTCCATGCCATTGGAGATAATTGTCTTCGCTTGGGGATTGCCAATTGTTTCCCATCGAGTTGTCCAACTTTCCCCGTCATCCCGACTTATTGACAGAGTATTGTCAGGCGCAAGCTGACTCAAAAGGCCTCCAGTCGGGACACTGAAACCGAAGGCTGACGAGTATGCAAACTTGCTGTACTTGGATTGGGTAGCTTTTAAAGGCCATCGACAAAATTGACCACTGGAGAGCATGAAGTGATGTTGCCCTTGAGGATGATCACACAGAATTTGAGAGGGCGCTGGAAGGAACTTGATTCCAGAGACTGATGACAGCTTCGAAGATGCAAGGGATAAGGGATGTGGAATTTCAGATGCTGCCCAGAATTCATCATCTGCTTCCAACCCAAGAACCACGAAACTTTTCATTGCCCAGTAAGGAGACTGAGGTGAATTATAGTCTTCGCACATGAACATATTCGGATACAAATACCCAATCGTCAAAGTCCCATCCGCCGCGAATACATTAGTTGAGTGGCTTGCCCACCACCTGAGGTGGCGCAGGAGCATCCCCTTGATAAACCCTATACATGTATAGGGATTTGAAGAGTCATAGCATTTCGCAAGGGCAAAGGCAGCGTAAAATGCGCCCATGGCAAAACGATAAGTCAATGATCGACCAAATGGAATGGCAGCTCCATTTTCGTCGAAGAAGCGCCAAAATTGACCAGCGAATTTCCTGGCTTGATCTCGATATCGTGACACTCGATCAGGATCTGAAGCCGCCGCGATAATACAATACAGCAGCTGACTGAATTGGATGGCAAAGCTGCCAGAGTAATAATCCGCCTGGCGACCGTAGGCTTCATGGTCCGGCAAACAGTCATTTTTCCAGATTCCATCGGCTGACCATCCGTTTCCAAGATCGAACTGATCAAGTATGGCAAAGTCTGCATCGATGTGTGCTTGGGTCTTTTCGGCGGCCACACCACATATCCGATTCAAGGCCAGATTCGAAAAAACCCGAAACCAACGCCAGTTATTCAGAGGCATTATCTTGCCATTGAGACCAGACAGCCATTCAATCAAATGCGAACGACTCCGATCCGATAGTTTCTCATGGAAGAATTTAGGTGCTATCAATAATGCATATGAGATTGGCTCGGCCTCGACCATCCGTTGATCCCAATCCTCGATTGCGCCCCAGTACTCAGAGTGCTCTGGATTCACTCCATTTGCAATGCCTTCCACTAAACGGTCGGCATAACGCAAAATTTCGGAATTGGTGCTATTGGCCGATCCAGTGAAGGCTCCCGCTATCGCCCAGATAGGTCTAGCAAAGCCTTCGAGTTGGGCAGCGGTTTCATCAAAATGTGCACCGGACTGGACTGGCAGTTGAACGCGTGCATTTCCCGGTGAAAAGTAGGGCTCAAGAGCCTGGACGAGAGCATTTGTTGCTAGTACAATATCTTCGCGATCGCGAAAAAAATTGTCAGAAAATCCAGGAAGAGGGGGCATTTCTGTTGAATTCAATGTGGTGCCGAACAAATCAATCCGAGAAACATCTCTAACTAGCAAGTCCAAGAAGATAGTCATGAAGCTAGAAACGGACATCGGGGCTTGTCTTCCCCCGAGTGGCAGAGTGACATCGCGTCTATTGGAGTATATCATGCCCCGCTCGAAAGCTGTTGCTTGGGCCTTCAGGGCTTTTTAGTGTGATGCCATTCTTCCGTTCTGCATCATCATGGATTCCCCCGATGCCCGAGGTGAAGCGTCTCACGATGCAGAGACGCCTGCTTGCCAACTGTGTCGGACCCGCAAGCTGCGCTGTTCCAGAGAAGTTCCGTCTTGTTCTCGCTGTATTCGACTTGGTGAGTCTATCTTGATTATTAAAGATTACTGGGGGTTTCATATGTTGCGCAGTGTGTGATTGACCATGTACCAGGTGCTTCGTGTCACTATGATTATACACGGAACAAACCGGGGGTGAAGATTGGCATCATTCAAACGTTGTCTCAACGAGTAGGTGTGTGGTCATCAACCCTTACACCCTGCATCGGTCTTTCAAAACCTAGTCCATCGCGCCTTTGGCCAACATATGTCGCACCATAGATTCACTAGAAGCCGAGTTGAAGTCAGTGAAAGCGCAACAACAAGCTGCGAGCAGCATATTGAGCCCACCAAATGCAGGAAGCAATGCGAATGCTGTTCGAGACTTGGTCTCTTCTTTGATGCAAGAGTGGCGCGAGACTCATGATTCTCCGTGCCAGCCTCAACATCCCTTGACTCAACCGACTGTAGAGGCTGATGCAAACCCCCAGTCAATAAGTCCTGCTCTGGCGACTCCACATCACCCACCATCAAATAAAAGAAGATGCCCTGATACTGATATCAGAGAAGGCAGCAGCCCATCAGCAGCACATTTTCCCCCGGATAATCTTCTCAACGCCCTCCTTGATGCTTACTTCTCCGTTGTGCATCCATTTATTCCTATGCTCCACGAGATGGTTTTTCGATCTCGCCTACGTGACCCAACGGAGAGGCCTAAACTTATCGTCTTGATTCATGCCATGATGGTTTGTGCGCTAAGATACGTGGCAAATGAGCGATTGGCAGAAGAGTGGCTACAATTGCAGCCTGATTCTTTAAAGAAATCGCGAGAGCTCGTAGTCCTATCCGCAATGGAAGGAATGTCTGTAGAAAACGTTCAAGCCCTTTTACTCGTGGCTTTTGTGCATATAAGCGATGGTGATGCAAGAAAGGCTTGGCCGATGGTAGGAACACTTGCTCGGGCCGCGGTCTATCTCGGGCTTCATGCCGAGCCAGAAGAAGACCAGCCAGGTGAACGTTGCCTGACTTCATTCCGCTCTTTGTCATCGGCGCAAGTTTGGACAGAGGCCGAGGAGCGAAGACGCGTTTTTTGGAATATCTTTCTTCTGGACCGGTAAGTGCATCATGGACGGCTTGAAACGACTTTTGGCTCACTGCGTACAGATTCTGTTCTACGACGACAGGGTTAGTGGCATTTTTGTTCCAAGCACATGGAATAGAGACGCTCATACTAACTTGTGGAACTGCAGATGGAATATAAGTCTCTCTATAGAAGATGTTCAAGTCAGACTTCCCAGTGATGGACTCTACTGGGTGAAAGAGGAACCGGTCACTACCCCATTCTTCAATATCTGGAACAACTCAGAGGGAAAGATAGGGAAATCTGTTTCTTTCCTGCCAAGCTATCTTTCCTCGCTTGCTGATAAAGAAGTACCGCAATCGGGACGTGTCTCTCTGGCGCCAGAAGCGCGAAAGCCAGACGCTTCAACCATAGGATCATTCGCTCACTGTGTGGAGGCTACGGAGTCCCTCAATCGGGTTGTAAAATTCTTTCTTCAGCAGACGGTCAATTTTGGAAAAAGACGAGAATTTAGCGCATGGTTGACAAGATTCAAAGAGTTGGACCTTCAGCTGATTCAGTATGCACTTTTCACTATTTGAACTCTTGAAAAAAAACCCTAGAAGAAGTTTACAGAAAGCTGACCTATCTTATTTCAGCTGGAAAATGTTTCTGCCGCGACGATGGAAAGACTCAAACATCTCGAAAGAGCCGGCGTTCGTTCATATGGACCCTAATCTTACCCTAGCACACATCACTCACAACACCTCCATGATTCTGTTGCATCAATGTATCGCATATCCTCGTGCGAAAATTCTCGAGAAGTTGAGGTTGGCAAACACAGGGAGCGTTGAAACCTGTCAACTTGCAGCATCCGAGACAGCCAACATCGTTCAAAAGTACATGCAATACACACCCTTTGTTGGTTTGGTCAACCCCCAGTTCTCATTTTGTACATTCATTAGCGCCCGCGTTATTCTCGGTAGGACTTTTGTCTCCTAACACTGTGGTCTTGTATTGACCGAGTTCATTAGTGCATGCCCATATTCACCGTACGGAAATACCTGAGGCCTATGGGGTTTTACTATCCAGCCTACAGCAAATGTCAGACCGCTGGGTGTCAATGAATCCAAACCTCAAATTGAGATCGGAAACAAGGAACTTTGCCGAGGGTCTAATTTTACAACTCCGAACTGTCGCAGAGAAAATTGGATCATTCTCGTTTGACATAGCCGCATCTGATTATATTGCTGAGGTGAATTCTGCTCTAGGCATGGAAGCCCCAGCCACCAATACAGGACAAAGCCAGTGGATTCAAGAACGTCGTGCACAGCAACGCCATAGTATCATACCCGTCAATGCAAGACAGTCGCATTACATGGATACAAATCGACTGCTTCGTGGAGCTGATCAACAGAGTCCTCTTGATCCGTAAGTACCTTAATTTGCTATATAGATATGCCTTAATCTCATAGTGACAGGATTGTTGCACCACCGTTAAGACCTGTGCAAAGCGATGGGATCCAGCCCGGAAATTTCAGATCGATGCAGCCTATCGAAGTCAATCCATCACGCTCGCAATTTGAGCCTCCAAATCAAGACAGAGATATTGCGCTCGATGGTCTATTTCCGCCCACCGACCTTACTCCCTCCTCCGGTGATGGTCTAGATGGATTTGCTCCTTTGTCCAACTTCTTGTTAGACCCACAATTTGTTGACATGGACCGCATTATCAGCTTTCAGGATTCGTTCAGGCAATATTAGCCCTGGTGGTAGGTCAAGCATTAGGCTTTGCTGGAGATGTTTAAGTTGTGTCATGAACATGCCGTTATCAAGCCCTTTAATCGTTTCAGCTCTCAATATAGTTCATTTCAGTATGTATCAGAGTTCGTATCAACGTGAACCCTATGAAGCCCGATATCATTGTAGCTGGTCCTTTCGCAGTAGAAATATTATGAAGTATCCCAATATTTCTGAGACTCTCAATTTCGAGCATAAAATTGGAGCCAAATTAAGGCAGCATAAAGTTTGCAGCATATTGCTACTAGAAGTGTGTTCTTTTGGAACGTTGTCATCCTCCTCGGGCATCGGGCGAGGTATCCGACCGAGGGTAACCCCAAGGCCATCAGATGTATGCCTCACTTCAAGGCCGCTTAGGAATTTACTACTCCTGAAATTCTTTGTGCTTAAAGACTCTCTTTCACGATACCACCTTGTGCGATACATCTTCTCTCTCTGGCAAGAGTCTTCTTCGTTCAGACCAGATATCTATCCTATTTTCCCGCCTGCCATGACACTTCAAACAATTCTAGCTCCTGCTAGCAATGGCAACCCAGATTTTGAGATTGTGTCGAAACCCTTGATCGAAACCACAAAAATGAAACAAGCCAATATCAGTGCAGGCCTAACAGCCCTTTTCGAGGAGAATACTCTGGCAAAGATCATTGGCCCTGCTGAATGGTATCTTGAAAACAATGTAGGCACCAATCTATGAAACCTTGGGAACAATTAATCTAAGCTAGCCTCATTAGAGACCTCCTACCAAATTCCCAGAAACAGTTCCTCAAACCGGATTGAGCAAGGGTGTGTATCGATGCCGGGATGCAGAATTCTGGACATGCGGATTCTTTCCAGGCAGCCTCTACTGCCTCCTCGAACGAATGAGGAGATATCCGGAGTCTAGTATCGCCAAGGTCCTAGGTCCGTCAAGCCTCAAGAATTTTCAGTTTCGATTGGTATCCCACCTGACAGATCTATGTGAGGAATGGACCGCACCCATTTACGCCATGGCTGCCAGAACGGACACCCACGATCTGGGATTTATTGTACAGCCTGCCCTTCAAAGAGACTGGGAACTGTTTGGTAACCAAAAAAGTCTAAGTGCGCTTCTTCAAGCTGCCACTAGTCTTGCTACACGATATGACGAGCGAGTCCAAGCCATCCGAAGCTGGGATAGTTTTTCAAACGCGCATCACAACATCTCTAGCATGGAAGACGACTTTTTGGTCATTATTGACAGCCTATGCAGTAAGTACTCAATTAAAATCTGCCATAAGTCGTTGTTAACTAGGTATATTAGATCTTGATCTTCTTTTCTACGCCGGGAACTATACCCAGAACTACCGGCTCATGTCCATTGCATCCACACATGCCACCACCCTGCTCGACACACATATTCGGAAGGAATCTGTTCCAGGACGAGGGCCTTGTTATTCAACCTATCATGCCGTAAACTTCTCACCACCCGGCGGCGGGATTGTAAAGGAGAAGCTCACGGCGCAAGGATACTCCGACAACTCGACTTGGGCGCGAGGACAATCCTGGGCAATCCTGGGATATGCCCAAACGTTCTGCTGGACGAAAGATCGAAAGTTTCTAGATGCTGCAATGGGACTGGCTAACTATTTCATTTTCCGCCTGGAATCATCCCCCAATGTCGTCGACGAAGAAGGTCGGGGGCGTTACGTTCCACTTTGGGATTTTGATGCGCCTATCACCTACACAAATGTCGGCGAAGAAAAGGCTCCATTGAGAGATGTGTCTGCTGCAATGATTGCTGCGAATGGCATGGTTCTCCTGTATGGCCAGCTTGTGGCCATTGGTAAACACGAGGCTGCAAGGGAATATTTGGATTACGCTTTGGCTATCACGCGCGATACAATTGCTTTGGCATATAACCGTGACGAAATGTGCTTCGGGTTTGATCGAACCAGCGGCAATTTTCGGGTTAATCTTACCAATGGTAGTAGATTTGATGCCATTCTGGAAAGATCGACGGCCAACTTCAACGAGAATCATGCGGATCGGCATTGGGACCATGGCCTAGTCTACGCAGATTATTACTTTTTAGAGCTTGGGAATCGCCTTCTAGACATGAGATTGATTTAGGTACTAGGTGTTTTATCAAGTTCATGGTTGATCGGAATTAATGTGTGCTCATTGCTTTGACAAATCTTACTTCAATTGAGATGCTCGCGTTGGTAAATAGATCCTCAAAGACGACAAATAGAGTGATACGAATTTTTAGAGACTTGCTGATTGTCAAGTCTAACATACTCAATAATTAGCATCGAAAAATGAAAGAGATTATTTGGTTTGGTATGAGACAGTTTCGTTTTCAAATTATCAACTGAAGTAGACAGGCGATGACATTCAAAGACAGGATTATATATGCTCAGGCATTGTTCTCCGCATGTGTCAACGTTTCATAGGCCACGAAGAGCCCGTTATCTTTAGCAGGTCGTTGTTTGACTGTCAGCTTTCCCGTCTCAGGCATATCGACCCCAAGCCTGAAGGACAGGGCGTTGTAACCGACTTCCGTGATCGGACCCAAGGTGAGCTTAAGCGCCCCATCACAAAGCCACGAAGGAACAGTCAGCCCGTTAACATACTGCGATTGAAACTCTAGTCCGTATCGCAGGCGTGTTCCCAAATCGGTTTTATACAGATCGGTAGTGCCTTGGATTCGCGCAGTCTCTGCGACGTGCGCCATAGACGCAAACGAATAACCAGTGTGCTCTAGATCACGACAAGTCTCTTGTGCTTGACCATTCTCCGCGAACGTAGTCTCGTTGAACCACCATGCAACAATAGCCTCTGGGGACGAACTTTGCCCGCGGGCAGCAATCGGGTACTTCCCATCACTTGTCATATAGACTGTGGCAGGTACTCGCTCCAGAAACCATCCCATTGCGGTGTTCCATGATGCGGAGTCTTCAAGGAAAACTGACATGAGTATCGCTGCTTCGGTCATGACTAGCGACGAATGCGTGAGTTGATCAGCAGTTTCGGTTTTTGATGCGATTCGAACATACCTAGTTCCCAGTTTGCCACATTATGATCGGTTCCACCAACCGTCAAGGGCATGTAAACATTACGCAGCATGGAGGCAAATTGATCAATGCTCTCGTCTGACCATCCTGCGTCTGTATATCGGATAAGCTCGCCAGTCCTCGCCCAAATAGAGCCAACCCATCCTGATTGAAGTGGTGCATTGGAGTTGTTGTGGCCTTGTATGGTAGACGCGTATGCATCCATGATCTTGATCGCTTGCTGGGCATACTTTATTTCACCACCAATGGCCCACGCTAATGCGTTACCGTATGCTGAGATTGAGTCTTCTCGTTCCACCTTGCAACCGACATCAGGAATAGAATACGATCCACATTCGACCATGACATGCGGGGAGGGTGTCACCGCAACCTCGACGTCTTGCAGCAAGGCATTGTAGGCGTCAAGCCAAGGCTGTTCGTTGCCGGCCACCTTTGTTTTAATGAAATTCAACTGTGACTGGCTGATCATTGCCCCTGGGTGGACCCATTTAGATGGTGCCGGCGCGCTAAGTGAAGCTATTGCAGCTCCACGGACACCGGGGATGACAGTGAAAACAAGATAGATAAGAACGGGGAACAAAAACATGATTGATTCGGGTTTCTTGTACAATCTGATCATCTTTAACCCTGATATTAAATGGTCTTTAATTTATAATCTGTCTAACTGATCATCACTCCCTATGGCGAGTGCTGGGATGTAACAGTTGCCGTAAACGCGGGGGGTCGGGCGAAGGAATCCGCCGAGGTCAACATGAACAATAACCCAATTTCGGTGGAAAGAATAGACCGGCAAATGAGTTGCTCTCATAGGCAGGTTGAGCCGACTCGACCACCTGGGGCATGAAGTTCGATCAAGTCAGGATCGACCAATGTATAACCGGATAGATATTTAAGGAGCTGATGACATCGGGAGGAGAAAACATCACATCCGCGAGTCACATCGTTTCAAAGCATCTTCGAGCTACTGGTCATTCTTGATCATGAAGACAATTCAAACCCTTCAAAGCGTCTGTGCTGTCGCTTTTGTTTCTACTTTCATCCAATCCACCTTTGCCCACGGCGTCTATCTCGACTGTGGATCAAAGTTGAATGGGGATGGTAGCAAGTCTAAGCCATTCAATTCCATCAATCTCATAAATAAGGCCATTCTCCACGCCGGAGATGTTTTAAGCATAAAATCCGGAACAACATGCTTAGGGACACTATCACCACAAGGAAGTGGCACACAACAAAACCCCATCGTTTTGACCAGTTACGGACATGGACCTCTGCCTATCATGAATGGATCAGGGGCGGCAGAAGCCATCAGTCTTCGCAACCAGGACTATTGGGATATTTCCAATGTCGCAGTCGTCAACCCCGCATCTTCAATCGCCTGGAGACGCGGTATCGCTGCTACTTCTGATGACGGCACCATCCACCACGGTCTTTATATTCACGATGTCACCGTTTATGACGTCGCTGGTGAGACAAACAAGGCAACCCAATCTGCTGCCTTCATCGCTTCTGCTGGTATTATTGTCAACGGAACAGAAAATGAAAGTCGGTATGATGATGTTCAAATCTACCACAATACGGTCTATAATTGTGGCGGTGGTGGTATCAAAGTTCGTGTCGGTCAGATGGACAATCACGGCGTAGGGACACATATTTTTGACAACAATATTTCATATGTCGGGGGTGATGGAGTTGTGGTCTCCTATGGAAGTTCTCCTCTCATCGAAAACAACATCGCCGGTTACCTCGGCCACGGGAAATACCCATATACTGGTGGAAACTTTGCCGGAATTTGGGTTCTGGGATGTCGCGATGCAGTCATGCGGTTCAATGTCGTTCACAACTCCCTCATGTCGGACATTGACAGTGAGGCGTTTGATTGCGACTGGGGCAACGAAGGGACATGTACTGTTGAATACAACTACAGCCATGACAATGCAGGCGGCATATTCTTGAATTGTGATGGATGTGGTACCCCAGGCGGAGCAAGACAGATTGTGCGGTACAACATCTTCCAGAATGACTGTCGAATGTACAGCAATGGAGATAATATACAGCTGGACTTCTACAACAATGTTGTCTACTGTCCGGAGAAGGACTTTGAGATTGCGGTTCCGCCGCATACAAATATATCGAACAATATATGGGTTGGGACTGCGAACTCGACATTGCCAAAGGGTGGCTCTATCCAATGGCATGATAATATCTTCCAAACGGTGCCGATGCCAGAAGATACTGCTGGTAGTTTAGGCAATCCGCAGTTTGTCAGTCCTGGCACTGGCAGGAACAGCCTTGCTTCAGCGAATGGATACAAGTTACAATCCAACAGCCCGGCGCTACGTCTTGGAGCCTTGATCGCTGATAACGGAGGTCGGGACTTTTGGGGTAACAGGGTTTCATCAGAAAAACGCCCCAACATCGGAGCATACAATGGAAGAGCCCTAAAATGATTGTCTGGTACTTTCAGTTGTTGCGATCAGTTCATGTACTTGCGTGTTGGAAATATTATAATTCGAAGAAAACTGAGTTATGTTCTTGTTTCTTTTCCCTTTTAGAATGCGAGGTTGATTTGGTGACACTTGTGCTCATCAAGCTCCTCAAATTATGCTTTGATCCAGACGCGAGGGTTCTTATAGTATACCAAGCAAAGCCCCAGATTGAGGCCAACTCAATCCAGTCATAAGATTACTGCTCCTATGCAGTGAGCTTAAATTCCACGTTAGCCGGTACCTTCCACATCATGGAGAACAACACTGCCTCATGGTACGTCCTAGGCTGGAACTTAATGCATATATGAGGGTCTGACTATGACTGTTATAGGTCGAATGCCCTTAACATCATAAACTACGAGGACACCAATTGAGTATATGAGCCCCAGCACTCACGTCAAACATCTATACATCTTGCAACACTTCTAGAATTCCCCTCTATGAGCCAATTCCCTTGATTTCGCCCCCGACCCGAAACCTCTTCACATCCCAAGCCAACCCTACCACCTCCCACAAATAGATCCACCACTTCGTCGGATCAAAGTCGCACCACCGCGGCCCGTTCCGGTAATCACGGGGGAAGGCATGATGATAATTATGATATCCCTCCCCCAACGTCACCACAGCCAGCAGAGTATTACTCCGCGAGGTATTTCGCACCGAGTACGGCTGTTCCCCCGCCCAATGTGCCAACGAGTTGATGCAGTAAGAAATATGCCAGACGATCACTACACGCAGACATCCTGCATACAAAAGTCCGCCCGCCCAGTCACCCCATAACCAACCAGCCACGCACGCAGGAAAGACAAACGCCATCAAGCCCGCCAGAGGAATGTATAACCGCCGCTGCCAGACGACGACCGCATCGCTGTCCAGATCCGACATATCGACTCCCTCGCCCTTGCCGAATCGAGTCGGGTCATAAGTCAGAATCCAGCCTATGTGCGAATAGAAGAGGCCACGTCGGCTGTTATAAGGATCACGATCGGTGTCAGTGAACCGGTGGTGAGCGCGGTGGTCGGCCGCCCAAATCCAGATAGGGAGCTGGAGGGCTCCGGCGCCGACGGCGGCCATTAAAACGCGAAGCGCGAGGCATGCTCTGTACGACCGGTGACACCAAAGACGATGGTAGCCTGATTCATCTGGTCAGATTCGGAGGTGGAAAGGGGTCTTCCAACATGACGTACCGGCCGTGATGCTGAGCCCGGTTATAAAGGCATACAACCCTGTCCACACGCGAGTCTTCTCCTGAAATGCTACAGCGGGCGCATAGTATAATACGAACAAGGGAAGACCGACGTTGGCTGTGAAGTACCGTAGGTGTACTCGTTTCCACCATTGTTTGTGAGCAGAGTCCATCGTGTTGAATGCCGAAATTAGAAGAGCACTGAGGTAGTGAGGCTCATCAACATATCTTTGTCCAAAACTGTTATGCATCGGAATTCTCATACTAGGCTGTATGTGCCGTCGAATCGACTAGGATTTCTCCATGCAAGGGAGACCCTTATCATGCATGCTCTTCATTCCTGCATGGTATGCCACTCGATACGATTCATCCCTGCAAGATTGGTCACAAATCTACAGTACTATACTTTAGGTATTCCGTAAAGTGATGATTTGTTCCAAGCTTCTCGATACTTCATGGAAGCCGATAATCCCCCAAACATCTGCTTCCAGCCATCAGCAGCACCATAAAGCACCAGACTCACACATCATGAACCTCTCCACACGTTGGACATCAATCGTGCAAAGACACCCAACTCCTCTTATTGAAATCACCGGCATGCTAGGAACGCAATTGGTAACTTTCTGGCTCCCAGCCGGGCTATTCACAGTTTGTGACCTGCTTGCTTGGCCCTCCCTCCAACAATACAAGATTCAGCCAGCGAGCAAGCAGCCTAGCCGAGTGAGAACTATCCGCGATGCCTTCCTCGGGTCCTTTCTAAACCAAATACTGAGCACAATCCTTCAAGTCCTACAGCTGATTTTGGTCCACGTCGTGCTCGAGCGACCAGATCTCGGGTACCGGGTCGCGCCGACCCTGCCAACCCTGCCCGAGTTCATCACTGAGTTTGCCCTGTGCATGCTGGCCCGAGAGATTATCTACTACTACTCTCATCGGCTCCTGCACCATCCGCTCTTCTACGCGCGTTTCCACCGGCAGCACCACCAATTCCGCACCCCTGTGGCTCTGGCAACGCTATACGCCCATCCTGTTGAGCACATTCTGACCAACATCCTGCCGATTGCGTGGCCTGCGCGGGTCTTGGATGTCCATGTCGTCACCCTGTGGGGGTTTGTGGCCGCCGTGGGTATTCAGGCTGCCCTGGCACACAGTGGCTACCGGCTGTGGGAGACCCCTGGCGGGTGGAAGCCTGAGGTCCATGATTTGCACCATGAATTGATGACCGTCAATTACGGCTTAATCGGACTCGTTGATCGGATCCATGGGACTCGGGCTACGGAGAAGCCAAAGCGCGGCTGAAGGGCCGACGGCATGACTTTGCTAGTTCTACAGTCCTATATGAAAAAAAAAGCAATGATAGAATACAAGAGCGAATGATGATTCCAGATCGGGGTCCGAAGATTGTGGGAACTCAGCGAGACCCCAGGACTGGTTGTACTGTAAGAAGCATGGAAGCTCCACCTTCGTGCATAAGTTGCGATCGAAATGACTGGTAGAAACCTGCTGATATCCTTCATAAGCTGACTTTCCATGCAGATCGAGGCTGTACCAGTCACTCGGGACACATTGGCAGGGGACTCGTTAGATTGGGGAAATCCTTAGCTGATCAGATAGATCACTATGCAAGGGGGAATGCGTAAGGGGAAGAGATATACAGGACAGGTCGAAGCATGCACCGAAGGGGTAAACTTAACTTATCAGGTAGTCGAACATGTCTCCAATCCGGTATGCGCCTACTGGCCCGTAGCTATAAAATATTATTGATTTGGTAGCGAACTCGACGCATCAATGCATCTACAGTGCAGTGAGACACGCATTAATCCTGCCTTGTCACCAGATTCAAGTCACTCTAACCTGACCGAATAAGACGATCCTACCCACACATTGAAACTTTCAGATATGAAGCTCTCAGCACCGGCGCCATTGGCCTTGATGCTGACCTGGCTGTGCGCATGCACAGATGTGGTTGTGGCCAAGGATGCCCCAACGGTGATTGCAGGCATGGAAGATCTCCGCCAAAGCGTTGAACGTGCTCACACCGTGTTTGAATCCTATGATGGTGGATGGCTGAAATCCCTGGCGCTGGGACACGCCGTCTGGGATGTTTACTCGTCAACAAAGTCGGCTAGGGGCAAATGGGAGTCGGCCCCGCCTTTTGAGCACGATGATATGGCCGATATATTGGTGACCTATCATGACGTGAGACGCTCTATTGCGGATGTCATGGCTCTCGCTGGCAGCAAGGTATATGTTGTTCGAGTACAATTGCGTGTGTAGATCCCGTCGCTGACATTGACTGTTATCAACGCTTGCAGGGATCGGTTTATGACAAGGGCGGTATTCGGCTCGTCGTTGTTGGTACCATGCAGCTATTCGAGAACGAACGAAGTGAGTTTCAGCAAGCTGCGCGAGCGAAGATCCCTGAATCGTTCCATGATGATATTGCGGGTCCGGTGGCCAATCTGCAGATGGAATTCCAGACCGCGATGAAGGCACTCGTATAATACAGTATGACCTTGGGCCAACAGAAAGAACATGTCATATAACGCCCAATCCAGTTAGTGCTCTGTAGCGAAGAACTTAATCAGCTCGTTTTAGACAACAGAAAGACCATTCGATTCGTGTCAGAACATTCACCTCATTTCTTCGCCATCCCTGACTGACTGTAATATGCCTTCGGAGACTCTATGTCATGATTCCCATGCCCCCGGCCCGGAAGCCCTAGCCATCGTAGGAATGGCCATGCGTCTTCCTGGTGGTATTAACACCGCCGAAGACTTTTGGGATTTTCTCATCAACAAGAAAGACGGCCACTGCGCTGTACCTGGGTCACGATACAATGTCGAGGCTTTCTATCACCCAGCAAGATCAGGCTCGGTGCGGACTCAGAGCGGCTATTTTCTCCAAGAGGATCCAGCGTATTTCGACAATCAGTTCTTTTCGTTGACACCGTACGAAGCATCGCGGTTGGACCCCCAGCAACGGCTGCTGCTAGAAGTCATTTATGAATGCATGGAAAACGGTGGACAGGTAGGCTGGCGGGGCCAGGGCAGGAGCATCGGCTGCTTTGTGGGCGTTTTTGGGGAGGACTGGTATGATTTACAGTCTAAAGACACGCAAAGAATTGATCGGTATCATGTTCTGGGAACGGGAAATTTTGCGCTTTCCAACCGTATTTCGTATGAGTTTGACTTCACAGGGCCGAGGTATGGTTATTTCCCTTTCAGACGTGAGCACCCGCAGAATTGACACTAAAGAATTACAGTATGACCTTGGCGACAGGATGCTCGGCTTCGATGGTCGGGCTGCATGAGGCATGCCAGGCTGTGCTCGCTGGAGACTGCGAGTCCGCCGTTGTAGCTGGAACTAACCTCATTCTCACACCAACAATGACTACCACCATGTCTGATAATCTTGTCTTGTCGCCCACCGGAGTCTGTCGCACCTTCGATGCGGGTGCGGATGGCTACGGTCGAGGCGAGGGAGTCAACGCAATCTACGTCAAACGCCTGGTAGATGCCATGCGTGATGGAGACCCTGTTCGCGCGGTCATTCGGTCCACGGCAACAAATTGTGATGGAAGAACTCCAGGGATTACTACGCCCGGATCGGCCACTCAGATGCAGCTTATTCGAAAGGCGTATCAGCGCGCACAAATTCAAGATATAACCAATACCGGATTTTTCGAATGCCATGGTACGGGCACCGTTGCAGGAGACACTGCGGAGACATCTGTGGTTGCGGAGTTGTTTCGCAACACTGGCGTTCTCATCGGATCGGTCAGATTGAAATTCCCCAGATCAAATTATGCGAAGCCCTAATTGACTCTTGGGAGCAGGTGAAACCAAACGTTGGGCATTCGGAAGGAGCATCAGGGATTACCAGCATTATAAAGACCGTTCTTGCTCTTGAGAAACGCATCATCCCGCCAAATATCTTCTTCAAGTCGCCAAATCCCGGGAGTCTGTATCTGATATCCCCAGAGCCACTCATGCCATGCTAATGATGTTAATAGTTCCCTTCAAGGACTGCAAGCTAACAGTACCCATTGAAGCGACGCCATGGCCAGAGAATAAAGAACTCCGAGCGAGTGTGAATTGCTTTGGTATCGGGGGGTGCTAATGCCCATGTAGGTATTTTTCCTCAGCCTGCATTCATTGGAACTTAGAATAACACTCAATGCAGGCAATTTTGGAACCGGGCTTTGAGAATGGAGCCCAGCATACCCGAATGTCGTCTTACCTCGCTAAAAAGCTGCTTATCGTCTCCGCAGCCACTGCAGATGCTCTCTCAAAAAGAGCGGACGACCTGATCAAATTCATGCATAGTGACAGAAATGCTTTGAACGACGTTGCCTATACTCTGGGATTAAGGAGAGAACGTCTTAAGTACCGGAGCTTTGCGGTCGCCTCTTCAAATGCCGATGCGGACTTTCAGGAGCCAGCTGTTGAAGCCTCGACATCTCCAGAGGTAACGTTGGTTTTCACGGGGCAAGGTGCGCAGTGGGTAGGAATGAGTAAAGAGTTGCTGGAAAATTGTGATGATTTCAGAAATGATATTCAGCTTATGGACAAATTCTTGCAATCCGCAGACCCTGCTCTGTCCTGGTCTATTGAAGGTACACCGACCACCCGATGAACTGGATGAACCGAAATTGACGATGTTGCAGAAGCATTATTGGCCCCGGAGGCTCAATCACATATCAATGATGCCCAGATCTCCCAACCAGTATGCGTAGCGATCCAGATCGCTTTGGCAAACCTTCTGAGGAGATGGGGCATCGTATTCTCAGCCGTTGTGGGACATTCCAGCGGAGAAATTGCGGCAGCCTACGCTGCTGGAGCTATTTCGCTTCGCAGTGCCATCTTGGTTGCGTACCATCGTGGTCGACTAGCTCAGAACGTGGCTGATGGATCTATGGCAGCAATTGGTCTCTCAAGGGCTGAGGTAACGCCATGGCTAGCGGAGGGTGCCGTGCTTGCTTGCGAGAACAGCCCCTCAAGCACAACTATTGCAGGAGAAGCGCTGGCAGTGTCTCAGACTATAGAAGCAATTCGTGCTGCATATCCGGATGCATTTTGCCGCATGCTGAGGGTCAAAAAGGCGTACCATTCCCGTGAGTGTTTCTTAATTATGCCTTGTGATGGGAGTATACTGATATCCCGAGAAGCCAAGATGCAGACCATGGCTGCAGATTATACCGCCGTCATCTCATCTGAGATCGAAATCTCACAGTCCATGATACCCATGTATTCAACTGTAACCGGGGAGAAGATCGCTGATCCAGCTTGGCTGGATAGCGCTTACTGGAGTCGTAATCTAACCTCTACCGTCGAGTTCAACAAGGCAGTCAGGTGTATGCTTCAGTCCAAACCGGACCAAAACCGTGTTTTCATCGAGATTGGTCCCCATAGTGTGCTTCAGGGACCACTACGTCAAATATTTGATGCTGCCAAGACCAAGGGGCATAACTGGTACATCCCAACCTTGATCCGGGGCCACAGCGCAGAGGATTTGGTTCTTCAAACAGCCGGGATGGCCTTTAATCGAGGAGTTGATATCGATCTACTCACCATAAACGGCTCCGGAAAGGTGGTTGACTGTCTGCCGCGGTACCCCTGGCAACATACCGAACGGCACTGGAGCGAGAGTCGCATCAGTGAAAATTGGCGGCACCGAGAGTTTCCGCATCATGAGCTTCTTGGATCCAGAGTCCTGGAGACAAGCCCTCTCCAGCCCTCATGGAGGAATGTGCTTCAGATTCACAACTGTACTTGGTTGGGACATCACAAGCTTTTCAAGGATATGGTGTTTCCCTGCGCCGGTTACGTGGCTATGGTGGGAGAAGCCATACGACAACATTGCCAATGTGACGGTTATGAGATTCGGAACCTGACTTTGAAGAAACCGCTGTTCCTCCAAGAAACGAGTGCCACCGAGATCCTCACATCTTTAAGACCTGAGCGACTGAGCGATATCGCCGACTCAGAGTGGTTTGAGTTTTCAATTCTTGCCATGGATGGCTCCGAATGGGGTACATACTGTCAGGGTAAGATACGTGCAATCGATCACGCAAAGATGCCACGAGTAAAAAGACAGCCACGCTGGACACGGAAAGTTGAGTCAAGAGATTGGTATCAGTTCATGGCCCGATTAGGACTGAATTACGGACAGAGCTTCCAGCGGATGAGTGATATCACCACTGATCCGGTAGATCATCTTGCGAATGCAACGGTGCCGGAAGATAGTAGCGATACTGGGGACCATTACCTGGTGCATCCGACTGCGATTGACCAGGGTCTTCAACTTTTGTCCGTCGCTATGGCCAATGGGATCGAAAGACATGCTACCGCATTAGCCATTCCTGCCTCAATCGATCAGATCTCTGTTATCAAAGCCGAAGGAAACATGTGGTGTCAAGCAGACACATGCAGTAACGTGTTCTCGACCACCCTATCTGGAAATGTCAGCATCTTAACCAGCGCAGGTTCTGCGCTGGTCATCACTGGGGCGAGATTTTTCTCCCTCGCAAATGATGAGGTAGATGAAGCAAGTACCATCCCTCTCCTTTCCCAAATAGACTGGGCACCATGCTTAGACCTGATATCCCCGGAAAAGTGGCTTCCTTTCAATCCTGAAGAAAGGGGCGTGTCCCTAGTGGCAGAGATCACTTGCTTCTACATCCTAGAAGCAGCGTTGCAAATTGTGAATGTGACTCCTGCGACTGAACATCTGGAGAAATACCAGTTATGGTTGAAGAAAATCAATGAGCAGCTCTTGATTGGAAAGGCTCAAGCCTTTCTTAAAATCCCATGGCGTGATATGGACAAGAATGAAAGATTTGCTCAAGCCGCCGAGATCCGTCAAAAGCTCAAATCTTTCGAACGAGGTGTGGATAAGGTGGAACAAGTCTTGAAAGAAGTCTTTGAAGGCTGCAGCGGAATTATAGAGGGACGAATTTCTCCACTGGAAGTCTTGACCATGGATCGCTTGCGGATTATTTACGACTTTGTCAACTCGCTCTCGGACTGTACGCCATTTTTGTCGAAGGTCGGCCACTGGAACCCTCGGGTTAGAGTTCTCGAGATTGGTGCAGGCACAGGGGCCACTTGCGCACAGATCATCAATTCAATGCGGACAAAGGATGGAAAGAGAACGTTTGCCAGTTATGCCTTCACTGATGTATCGCCGGCGTTCCTTTCGACTGCAGCAGAGCGATTCAGCCAGCACAAGAGTATTACTTTCCACATTCTCGATATCACCAAAGATCCTCTCCAGCAAGGATTTATGCCGGCCTCTTATGACCTTATCGTTGCCTCCAATGTAAGCTGCGGTGCGATGTCCTCACACCATTCACCTTTTCTGTGGTACCATGATATATTTTCGTTGGCACTAACTTTATATCATAGGTCATACATACCACACCATCTCTCTCAGATGCACTGAAAAATGTCCACAAGCTCTTAGCTCCGGGTGGATTTCTTCTGCTTCAAGAACTATGTCCGGGTGAGTGTGATGTGCTCCATGTCTTGGTTTATTCATTTTAAACTTAGCGGAACTAATACAACGCCGCAGACATTCTGTATACGGATTTCATAATGGGAATTCTGCCCGGCTGGTGGAATGGAACAGAAGACGGACGAGTCAATGCTCCGTACGTCAAGCCAGAACGATGGCACACTGAGCTCATCCAGGCCGGCTTCACTGGTGCAATGTGTGCCACGCCAGATGGTGTTTATCCATTCCAGCAGAATGCCAACATTATCTCTCGGCGCCCGGTCGACTACTTGCCGCCGCAGAAGATTACGCTCCTCTCAAACACCTCCCAGGACAGCTCTCTTCCATGGAATGAAAATCTCGAGAGAGAATTGACAAATCAGGGCTACAGTGTGAATTGGGCTACCTTGCAGTCACCACCTGTAGACACAAGTTGTATTATCTCCCTTCTGGATCTATCGGGACCTGCGCTGCATGACATGAATGAGGTGCGATTTGAGCAGATGAAACGACTGTTTTCTCTAAGTTCAAGGTTTCCTATCATATATCTCACGCGTAGTGTGCAAATGGCCTGCGAAGACCCCCGCTTAGGTCTCGTTCTGGGGCTTTCTCGCGCCCTGCGAAGGGAGATAGTGGGGAACATCGTCACGATCGAGCTTGATGCTTTGAATGAGTCAACTTCTCAGGCTGTTATGGACATATTACATCGAACAAGACAGGTGGTTTCACACGAGAGTCTTCGAGACGACGAATATGTGGTTTTGTCTGGGCAAGTGTATGTCGGCCGGGTCAACTGGCGATCGCTCCGAGGACAAATGCAAGAGAAGCCTGGATCAGATACGACTCGCTGCCTGTCTGTTCGCCGATATGGATTGCTTGATAGTCTATTCTGGGAAGCCAGTCTGAGCGATGAAACTCCGCTGGAGCCCACGGAGCTTGAACTGGATGTGCATTGTGTTGGTCTGAACTTCCGGGTACGAGGCGATACGATTGAAAGAAAAGCGGTTCAATTGCTAACTCTACATTAGGATCTTATGATTGCACTTGGTGTTATGGGAGAGTCCAATCAATCTGGGATCGAAGCTAGTGCTATCGTGCGCAGGGTCGGCGCCAAGGTCACAAGATTCAAAACTGGAAATAAGGTAGTGGTTTGTAGTAAAGGACTCTTCCGGACACGGGCGCGTGTAGATGAGAATGACTGTATCGAGATTCCCCCAGGACTGTCATTTGAGGATGCTGCGACAATTCCGGCGGTGTACGCAACCTCTTTTTACTCCTTGGTCACCATCGGCCAACTGCAGCCGCATCAGGTAAGTAGGAAGGAGAAGTTACCAACCAAGTCTTCCAACTTGGACTCAGGGCTAAAACACTGCACAGACCGTTCTCATTCATTGCGCCACAGGAGGGGTGGGCTTGGCAGCCATTCAAATATGCCAGGAAATTGGCGCGACTGTATAGCTGCCCGTAAACTCAGACAAGTGGTTCCTGTTGCTAACGATCAGAATAGATATATGCGACTGCAGGCTTACCTGAAAAGCGGAGCTATTTGCATGCAGAATATGGAATTCCCATGGAGAACATATTTAGCTCTCGAGACGATTCATTCCATCAAGGTGTGATGAGTAGAACGGGCGGAGCTGGCGTTGACCTGGTCTTGAATTCGTTGGCTGGTAGCTTACTTCATGCGTCCTGGCAGTGCGTCGCTAAGTTTGGAAAAATGGTTGAGTTGGGAAAGCGAGACTTTCTTGCTCATGGAACTCTCAGTATGGATCTTTTTGGCGGTAACAGGTCATTTTTTGGAGTCGACATGTTGAGTGTTATTGCAGAGCAACCAGAACTCTCGCAACGGTAAGCAGCCTCCGCATAAGTGTGTGCTCACTTTGCTAATTCGGATATCTAGCCTAATGACACAATTTGTCGACTGGTACAAGGGTAATAAGATTCGACCGATCCGACCGATCAAGGTGTTTGAGGCGAGCGAGGTTATTGAGGCATTCAAGTACATGCAGAGCGGGAGACACATGGGCAAGATCGTGATTCAGATGCCCAAGGACGGGGCGCAGTTTTCCTCCGAGCCCATCACGATCGCTACGAACCTCAGCACCACCAAGTCATATCTCTTGGTTGGTGGGCTGGGTGGCATCGGACGCGCGGTGGCAAATTGGCTTGTTGAACAAGGAGCTCGACATCTTATTTTCCTTTCGAGATCTGCTGGCCGATTACCAGATCACCGCACTTTCGCATGTGAACTAGAACGGCAGGGCTGTGAGGTTGCGATGATTTCTGGGGATGTCTCTCGACCGGAGGATATCAAAAAGGCTTTGTCAAGCGCTGCTGGCCGGGTAATTGGAGGAGTGATTCAAATGTCCATGGTGCTTCAAGTATGTGCCCTTTTCATTTGTTGAAGGTGAAAGTTATGTCGCTTCAAGACACCACATCTGACACAGATATAGGATGAAAGCCTTGCCAAGATGACGCACAGTCAGTGGCTGCAAGCCACTCAACCCAAGGTCGACGGCACGCTCAATCTGCATCGAGCGTTGGAAGTGCACGAGTCGGGCCTCGACTTCTTTGTTCTGTTTAGTTCCATGTCTGGAGTAGTCGGCACCGTGGGACAGTCAAATTACGCGGCAGCTAACTCTTTCCTTGATGCCTTCGTAACGTATCGTCGCCAACTAGGACGTGTTGCATCCGTTTTGAATCTCGGCATCGTTGAGGACATCGGGGTTGTGCATCATGATCAGCCCACACTGAACCGTGTGAAGTCCACAGGAGCCCGTCTAATCCGCGAGGACGCCGTCATCGATGCACTTCATGCAGCCATCTTGCCATACAGAACGCCACCAAATTCGGTAGAGTTCACTTCAAGTGTGATGATGATTGGTGTGAACTCCGTGAAGCCTTTATCCGCGCCCGGCGTGACGCCTTTGTGGGGCCCTGATATCAGGTTTTCGATGTATGAGAATCTTGAGACACACACAAAGCAAGGGCCTGAAATGGACAAGACAGATCTGAAAGAATTCTTTGCCATGATTGAGCATAGTCCAGAACTGCTAGGTGACCCGGCCACGGAGGTGCGCATTATGTCTGAACTGTGCAAGCTGATCAACGCCCATATGTCTCGCGACGAAAGAGAGAATGACGACATGGCCAGCATTCCCATCGACTCATTGATGTCAATTGAGATTCGGAACTGGTTTCGCAGACAGCTTGGAATGGAGATTAGTTTAACCGAAATTTCGAAAGCGGGAACTGTTGGTGGACTGAGTCAACTGTGTGTGGCTACCCTCAATGAGAGGTATGCTGTGTCTAGCAGAGGTACGGAAACCCACAAGGAAGTTGAAATTGGGAGGGTAGAATAAGGATGAGAGTGTCGAGAGGCAGATGCACGTTTACCCCGGTTAGGAACAAGTGTCTATCCATATTCAATCTCTTTCTTCTCTACTTCTTGTCATATACTACTGCAAGGCGGCGAATTAATCATATTTCATTTCTTGTCCAAGTTTGTGAGGCCTTCATATACTCCTCGACTGTATCTCGCAAAGAGGAAATCAGTCAAGTACGTGTTTCTTGCCCTCCAAGGACCAACATCACCCACTTTTGGCAGACATTGCTCTTGGGACAATATATAGGAAGAGGTCAGCAAGACAGATCTCCGCGCAACAGCCTGCATATTGCGTGGGCACCGAGGGACCAAAGCCTGAATACCATCCCTCTCCATGTCCCGAATCACACGACAAATCAGTAGTGTTCGCATGTCCGTTCCCAATGTCCACGATGTATGTACATATCCAGTGACAAAGCCTGCATTGGGGATATCTTGCACCATGACAGCATTCCAGGCCAATCTACTGCCAGGCTCGATCTGCGTATTGCCCAGAAAGATCCGAGTCCCGCCGGCGAACTGAAGCTTCAGTCCTGTTGCAGTCACAATGATGTCGCCCGACAGATACTTTCCGGACTGAAGCATGACACCATGGCGATCAACATAAGCTATGTGGCCAGTTTCTATTGATGCTCTTCCGCTTTCCAGGGCCCGGAAGATCTTCCGCCCAAAGGAAATAATCGGTCGTTGCTCCCAAGGGTTGTATGACGGAGTGAAATGGGGCTTGACGGGGACATGGACAGGGAGCTGCCACCGTGTCCAAGCAATACATATAAACTTCATCAAGCCCGGAAATAGGCAGCAGAGCTGGTAAAAGAGCTTAACTACCATTATCCAGGTGATCCATTTCACTTGGTAGGTCCAGCGATAGCCATTGTTCCTAGAATGCTCTCTCTCTGGAAGGGTGAGAAGGTACCCTGGACTTCTCTGGACAAGAGTCACGGATGCAGCGGTATCAGCAAGCTCTGGGAGCAATGTCATTGCTGTTGCTCCACTACCGATGAGCAAGATGCGTTTGTCTGCATAGTTCAAATGCTCGGGCCAGAACTGAGGATGAACAACAGGGCCGGCAAAATTGCTTAACCCTGCAATTACAACCGGCCGCGCCTCGTCGTGGCTAAATATTCCCGTGCAGAAGATGACAAATTTGGCTCGAAAGGTCACTGTCCTGGTTGCTTGTCTCTGATCATGACGGCACACCAGCCTCCATTGGCGCAACTTGGTGGACCAATGTGCCGTATGCAGTTTGTGATCAAACAACGTGTGCTTTTCCAGTTGGAATGAATTGGCAGCAGCTGTCAGGTAGTTTAAGATTGACTCCCGATCCGCATGATTGGTTTTCTGATTCCATGGGAACCAGGGATAGGAGTAAGTATAGACATCGGAGTCAGCGCGGAGCCCGGGGTATCGAAAGTTGTTCCAGGTGCCACCAATACTGCTCTTGCCTTCTATTACCAGATACCGACTTTGTTGCAGCTCGGAATGCACGCGGTAGGCAGCATTTATGCCAGCTAAACCGGCCCCAACTATGATGACATCCAGATCGGGCCTGCACTCATGCTGCTCCATAATATCTCATGGAATGGCGTAAATGTGCCTGCCTGTAATCAGAATACTAATAGAGGAAGCTGAGACTCTTTGAACGGATAAACAGGGGTAAATCACCTAGATTTTCACCCCTTGCTTCGTCTCGCATAAAAGAAAGACATCAGTGTCCAGATCTCTTCGTCAGATTCTGCATCTCAGTTTCTCATGAAAGCTGCATCATGGAAGAATGCAATAGCAAATTTACAACCGATGTTTACTATCCGGTCATTATTATCGGAGCTGGGATATCTGGTATTGCCTTGGCGTGTCAACTGCAACGCAAATTTGGGTGCAACCAGTTTATGATCTTCGAAAGTCAGGACGGGATTGGGGTACATGCAGAGTCCTGACATATGCACTTGTTTGTCAATCAAGCTGACATTCGAAGTAGGGTACCTGGTGGAACCATCGTTATCCTGGGGTGGCCACTGACTCGTAGGTCCTTATGAAGCTATTTTTGCATGGAAAGTGACTGATAATTCAGACCTTCGCCACTTTATTCCTACTCTTTTGCTCCCACGCCGAGTTTTGCAGGTCCCAGGGCGACCGGCAAGGAGATGTATCAGTATCTATGTACAGTTTGTACTCAGTATGGCATTCACGACCGAATTCAACTCAATACCGCGATCACTGATCTTATCTGGGATCAAAGTGAACAGCAATGGATTGCCACTGCGGTCACAGGGAAAGAGCGAGCGCGACTCCGTGCAAAGATTGTCATCAGCGCAGTGGGCAAGCTTGGGACTCCCGACATATCGATACTGCATTCTGTCCCAGGCATAGACACGTTCCGTGGTCGCATAATGCATACCGCGCAGTGGGATAGTTTTGTGACACTGCGTGAAAAAGATATCACGGTCATAGGTGCTGGGTGTACTGCCGCGCAGCTTGTGCCGCATCTGCTCACGTCGAGCGAGATCCAGCCGAGATCTGTCGCGCAAATCATCCGATCCCCTCATTGGGTCATTCCAGATCCATACTCGGGGAAAATGCGCTCCTTGTGGGACCTCTGCATGCCTATAATTGTCAGTTGCAGGCTAGGCGCCTGGATGGCGCGCCTGGTGATTTTCGTACTCTACGAGCTGTTTTACTTTCTGTTCCTCCGGCGCTATTTGGACGAAAATCAGTTGCCGAAGCGGCTTCAGCAAAGACTTACAAGCTACATTGATCGGAAGGTCCCAGATAAGTATAAAAGCATGCTCACGCCGAGATACGCCGTTGGATGTAAGAGGGTGATTCTTGACCCTGGCTGTTATGACACGCTCAAAGACCCGAAATTCGGCCTTCACAATTCACGGTTGAAACGGTTCGAGAAAGATTGTTTAGTCCTCGATAATGGCAAAAACGAAACTAGAATTCCCACTGATGTTTTGCTGCTCGCCACGGGGTACAGCCCAACCTCAAACTTCCTCTCATCCATCAGCGTGACCGGTCGAGATGGAATCAACCTCCAGAAGATATGGAATGATCGGGGAGGACCTCAAGCATATCTGGGACTTGCGATGGATCACTTTCCCAACCTCTTTTTTATATTTGGACCAAATTCATCAGTTAGCCACGGGAGTGTGATGGCCGGCATCGAAAACACCGTGTTCCTCATCACGCAACTTCTTACCCCTGTGCTTGAAGGTCACTTTACAGTCTTGGAGATCAAGAAGGATGCATGTGATGCCTGGACTCAGAAAGTTCAGCTAGCATCGAAAGACTCCATTTGGGTAAGGGGGGTTGCAATAATTGGTATATTGATGAACGAGGATGGAACTCGATGATTTACCCGTGCGTATCAAGCAATTCTTGCATGAAAAGCTCTCAGTTCTGACTTTCGCAGATTTTCACAATTTTATCAATACTTTACTTGCATATCCCCGAACTGGGATGACTGGGCAATTACTTACACCCAGGCTGGCCTTGCCCACACCCAACAACGAAAGCGGAGATTTGGCCTCTGTCTCAAATTGATAGTACTTCCACTGTTACTTATGATATTTCCTCACGTGTTTGGCCTGCTAAGCTCTTTTGGACGAGCTGTATGGCTCACATCAAGGTTAAATTTCTTGTACATGTGAAACGAGCCGGCAAGGAAATTTGCAGCATCGTGAACTGTGCATTTCTCCTCAACGGATGCATAAGACAATGAGATGTGTCGTGAGCATATATGTGCACTCACAAATTTGCAAAATAGGGTCAAGCCTTTGAAAGATCGAAAGTACCGTCCAATCAACCCTTTCCAAACTCAGAAACACTGCCCCACATCAAATTATCAGCCGCGTTTAAGCCTCACGCCGGCAAGTTAGCAGTCAGGTAGGTGACCACCAGCGAGCCCTTCCAGTTGTTCACTTTTTGTATTTTCTTTTGTTATTTTGTCTGTAGTTAAGAAATACTTGCAGGATGAAACATGAATATCTTGGCATATAACATTTTATGCTCTAGTGAGATAATCATAAACATCAATGACATCATCTAGTCTAATACATCATGCTTTTCGTGACACGTTCATATCCAAACCTCTTCCATCAATTATCGGTTAGCTTCGACCAGGTCGGAATTGCACCCAAGGACCTTCAACTGTAGCGGTAATGAAGCTCTTGAATGGATATTGACAATCATTCCGTGTTCCACCACAGCATGAAGACGAAGGCGCCAGTCTCATATCATATCGGAAAAGCATTCGGGCAATAGTCACATTCAGCTCTGTCCACGCCAATCTCCATGCAACGCAAGACCGAGGACCGTAGCTGAACGGGCAAAACCCTTCCCTGCTAGAATTCATAATCTCATCTCCGTTTCCATCCTTCGAATTCGTGAGCCAGCGTTCCGGGTGGAACTCATTAGGCGAGGAGAAGTATTTTGGGTTTCGCTGAAGTGTATAGATTGATGTGCCGACTGTGATTCCGGCAGGGATGAATTCCTGGTCAATCTGGATCCCGCCTTCTTGGACAACACGCGGAGGGGAATTGGGAACGGATGGCAGAAGACGCAGCGACTCGTTGATGCATGCTTGTAGGAATTTGCATGAGTTAAGTTGCTGGCCTAGATGGATTTCGTCTTCGTTGGAGAAAGTCACGCGAAGCTCCTCCGTTAAACGGGCGAGCGCCGCTGGGTGATGCCCGAGGAGAAACAAGGTACCACTCATAGCGGCAGAGGTGGTGTCAGACCCTGAGATTCATAGAATTGTTAGTCTTCGTTTGAAGACGAAAGAACTTCTGGGTGATGAGGAGCTCCTACCGGCAGTGAGTAACATTATCGACTCTAACCATAGGTCTTTTTGGGTAAAGCCTAAACCTGTCTTTGGATCGGCTGCATTCATCATATTATAGAATAAATCCTTTTGTTGGATGTTATTCCCAAAATTAGCCCGGGATTCGGAGCGCTTGCGAATCCATGTACCAGCATGCAGGATATCGTTAAGCTGGGATGCCATGAACAATCGATCAATCTTGAAATTGAAGAACTTCGGCTGAACGATGCCCTGTAGAACAAATTAGTGGCCTTTCAAGTCGAAGATGCAAGGACTCTTACAATCATAACTCTCTGAGCGAGCTTCTGGATGACTGATGGGAACCACCGTAGTTCTGGCGACTTCAACATGTTGAAGTGTTCACCAAAGCTTAGATCGCTGATAATATCAAATGCTAACCAGCCACAGATTGACGCCATTTCCTTTGGGGGACCCCATTCTTCCTTCTCGTTGCTATTGTGTTGAGCGTCCTCGTCGCCATTCCAAAGCAGTGAGACGAAATCACCGATTCTTGCCATGAAGCGGTCTTCGATAGCTCTGAGGCCTTGATCGGAGAAAACCTGGGACATAATGCGGCGCTTGAATCCGTGAACCGTCTTATCAGTCGCAGAGATAGTATTAGGAGTCCGACGACTGGCGCTCATAGTGGCATAGTTTTCCGACTTTCGTACGTTGGCGCGCGTGCTGTAGATAGTGGTCATTCCGGTGTGGGTGTTGAAGTCGAGATTGTTAGGTCCATATCGAACAATATCACCTATCCCAATGGTCAGCATTTGTGATGCATTCCAACAATAAATGGCAAATCCGACCATATTTCTCATGCCATTTCCGATTTTGAATATGGAGGTCTCCTCTCCAAGCATAAAAAGCAGTATACCAATTCGTGATAGCAGCTAAGCGAGGACCTGGGTATTTCGCCAAAGGGTGGAAGAAGTATCGGTATATGATTAATGTCACACCCTATAATAGTCTGTCTTAGCAAATTGAAAAGTTTCTTGCGATCGAGGCTCTGCTTACCCATAGCAGTAAGGCAATGGCCACCGCCGGAATCAACTTGGACATTTTAGGACTGGAATGGGCAGGATGCGTGCGTAAATATTTTGACTCAGTTGAAGAGAAAGTTGATCAACTTACCCTAACTTCAAAGAAATATTTTATGGCGTCATAAGGGCCACAATAAATTCTTTACGTTCCTCTCTGCCCAACTTTACTGTATCTCAAACCGCATGGATATCCCAATGGTCCAATCACCTATGATACTACATGTATTATCGAATGGGCCCGATCGGTGTGCTGAGATTGAAGATCTCAGCTACGCCAAAAGGCCGGATTTCACCAATCATGCAGATGTGGAAGGTGAGTTCGGAAGATGAGACCGTGATCGACGATGATCGGCACCTTGGATCGCGCTGGGCCCGTGGATCTCAGCCGAAAGATTGACCTAGGACGACTCACATTGAGTGGATACACGATCCCTGGACCCAGAGTAAAGTTCAGATGTCTCTGTTCTACGTAATTAGGTGGGAACTATCGTGCAGATCGCCCATAGTTCGTGCTAGCAAGTGGATCGAACTGGGTCGACACCTCCAATCATCAAGCCGAATGCGGAATACTCAGATCGCGCATGAAAATTCGCAGCCCGAAGACTGTACGTGGAAATGATCGGGTTCCCCCGAAAATATCGAAAATATGCCAGGCTGACCAAAGTAAGGGATCTTTTAGAGACATCGTTCGCCCCAAAACGGCCTCTGTGCCCCAACTTTCCTACGAGCTGACCCGGAAAGCCTATATCGCAGTCATGACTGCTGCACCTGTCAAGAGGATTCCCCCCAGGGCACTTCCGATCTGGCGTAAAATCTTTGACCAAGGAAGTGTCTCTCAATATATCATCGATCAACCTTACAATGGCGCTGGCACCGAGGAGGATCCATATCAAGTATCCTGGGTCCAAGAAGACCCCTGTGATCCCATGTTGTTTTCTGCGGTGACCAAATGGCTGATCATGGTGCTGGTTGGTATCGAGACACTAGCGGTGGCCTTGGTATCATCCGCCTATTCGGGTGGCATTGTTGAAATCCTGATGGACTTCCGAGTCAGCGAGGAAGTGGCTCTTCTGGGTATTTCGCTGTTTGTCATCGGATTTGCTGTCGGCCCTCTGTTCTGGGCACCCTTGAGTGAGATCTATGGACGTCGATATATCATGATCGCAAGTGCCGTGGGCTTAACAGCCTTCACTGCAGGAAGCGCTGGGTCGCAGAACATTTGGACCTTGATTATTCTGCGATTCTTCGCTGGGTGTCTCGGCTCTGCGCCATTCGCAGTCTCTGGTGGGATTATCGCGGACACGTTTCCTGCCATTACTCGAGGCCTTGCTAGTGGATTGTACTGCGCGGCACCGTTCCTCGGGCCGACCTTGGGTCCTATCATTGGTGGCTTCCTCTCCGAAAAGGCCGGTTGGCGATGGGTTGAGGGACTTGTTGCGGCTTTCGCTGGACTCTTTGCGATTATCACAATCCTTACCTTGCCCGAAACCTACGCTCCGGTATTGTTGAGTAAGCGTGCCGCACGCCTCTCTGCAATGACCGGTCAGGTTTATCGTAGCAAAATCGAGATTGACAAGGGAAAGATGCGCCTTGGAGCCGTGCTGAAAACTGCGCTGTCTCGACCTTGGGTACTATTGTTCCGTGAGCCCATTGTACTCCTTTTGTCGATCTATCTCTCTATCATTTACGGCATGTGAGTATCATTTCCGCTCTATATTCCGCCGCAGCTAAGAACCTAACGTTATGATATTATAGTCTTTACCTTCTTTTCGCAGCCATTCCTATAGTCTACCAAACCGAGCGTGGCTGGAGTGAAGGGAAGAGCGGTCTCGCTTTCTTAGGCATCCTGGTCGGCATCCTATGCTCTGTCGTCGCGACATTCCCAATGTATTTCCGATATAAGAAGAAGGCCGCCTCAACCCCGGGCCGCGTTGCCCCAGAAGCCCGGCTCCCCGATGCCTTCATTGGTGCTATCGCGCTAGTCGTCGGGTTGTTCTGGTTTGCTTGGACCAACTCGCCTTCGGTCCACTGGATGGCTTCGATCGCAGCCGGAGTTCCCTTCGGTTTTGGCATGGTTATGGTCTTCCTCCCTGTTTTGAATTACCTGATCGACGCCTACACAATCTATGCTGCGTCAGTCTTGGCTGCAAATGCTGCTTTGCGCTCGGTCTTTGGTGCCGCATTTCCTCTCTTCACCACACCCATGTACAAAAACCTGGGCATTCACTGGGCTTCATCCATTCCTGCTTTCCTGGCGCTTGCTTGTGTGCCCATGCCGTTCTTGTTTTACAGGTATGGTGCCGTTATTCGACGTCGGTGTCATTATGCTGCTGAGTCGGATGCTCTCATGGAGAAATTATTTGGAGTTCCACCACCGCCCAAACAGGAAGAGTCAAGTGAAGAGCGCCCTGGCTCCGAAGCATAATTCTCAATACATCATATGCATATAGACTAATAGACAGCTTTCTGCTAATTAATAGCACTGAAAATAATTCGGAAATCAACTTTTTATATATCTCCATCTATTTTGAAGACAGTATGTTAATCACAGGACCATTTAAATGGACGCCACATACGATCATAAATATGTGTCTGTGTACTGCATCTCTAAACTACATCTCAAGGCGAGATCAGTGATCGATACAGTAGTATTGACTCCCACCCTTCCTTGGTACTGGCATATTTCGGCGGTTACATCGCGAGTTTGTTTCCTTGTTCTTCACGTTCCTCGCAGCAGCTGAGTCGCACTTCGGTCCAGCCGTGTCTAAAGTGAATGTCTGTTTCCCGGAGTGAAATATCCGGGACAAAGTTCGAAAGCCTCCAAATTTAGTTTCGTGATCTGACCGCGGGTCGGATGTTAAATTATGCTTAGCATTTAACCTAATTCGAGCAGAGCGATCAGCTGTCCCTCGTATAACCTCAGTGGATGTTTATACGGACCGACCGAGAATCCACATTGTTTCATGTCATGTAGGGAAAGCCACAACTAACAGGGTTGTATCGGGGCGCAAAATGAGCAGCAGACACGTTACCCGCCAAATCAGACAGCTGCGGCAGTGCCTCACTCGTACGAGGCAAACATTGGCGCCAAGACAATTCCACTGCCAAGAGTCTTGTTTCCATGCAGACGGCCTCAATTGGATTGAGGGATTCCATCGGCTGTTGTCTCCCATTTCTGCGCTGGTCTACTCTCTTGGCTTCACAGCGTCATTGGTCTGTTTTCCTCAACATTACTTCCTGGAGCACATAGTGGTGCGTGGGTGATGTTGAGGCTCTTTCCTGTCGATTGTGCCATTCTCCTCATGTTTTCATTTCTTTTTCGTCCTAATCTGAGTTCTCAAAGTCTTGCACAGTCCAAACTAAAATGTGTTTGAAAAAGGCCAACGCACATGCCAAGCCATCGAACCTTGATAGAATATTCCTATATACTTCCTCATACGAACAGTGAGAAGCCCCTCGTATCCGGCTATCGTTGCTCTCAACTCCTCCGGACAGCCCCCACCGAATATCAGATTCGCACCCCAATCTGGATTGTTCTCTTTCTTCTATGAAGACAAACATATTGTGGCGTTAAAGTTAGCTGACTGCAGCAGCCGAGCTGAACATGAAATCGTAGCCAAAGATGGCCGGGTGAGAGAGTCAGACCAATTTTGTCAATGCAGTGAGATAGAAGGCTCTTCTACAGCTACAGGAGCTGAGGCAGCTGATAGGAATCGGAATAGCAGAACAGGTGAGAGGCTATACAGTTCTACGAAGCAAGTGAATACCGAAGGATATTCAAAGGGTCCATATATATACCAAGCTCTGCCAGGTAACAATTTGCATTATCAGAAACACAAACTTCTCAACAAACAAAGTTATCACCTTCATCTTATATCCTTTCAGAGGTTACAAATCATTCAGCTTTACCAACAGTCCTTGACAAAGATTCATCATGCCCACCTATCCAAGAAATGTCCTTGTCAACCTAGGCGCCATCGGCGGAACTGGCGGCGGCGCGGTAGATATTATCGCTCAGACTGGCGGCCTAGTGGAAAAAGTTGGTGTCTGGGCATCTGGAAAGGACATCATCGGCGTCTCTGTTAAATTTACAAATGACGAGACAGCGAAGAAAATGGGCTCCGGAGAATGGGGCGACTATTCAGAATTCATATTCGAAGATGCCACCGAAATTGTGAAATCGCTGAGCCTCTGGGGTAACGGCAAGGGTACAAACCTTGGTCGAATCAAATTCACCACCTCCAAGGGGCGTACATTCGACTATGGCGGTCAAAGTGGGAAAAAGGAATACCCAATGGATGTTGGATGTGGCCTCTGGGTCGGCATCGGAGGAAATTGCGGAGCCACAGTCGACAACATGAGTGTCTATTTCCTGACCAAGGTTGATTCCATGAAGATGAAAGACGTGAAATTTAAGAACGATCCCACGGGTACGAGTCAAGGAATAAAACCCAAAATGATCAAGTCGGCGCAATTCCCATGGCTTGGAAAGTCTTACGACTACAAATTTGAACGACCCAGGCTTGAAAAGGAAACACACACTGTGACTGAAACCAAGGGACAGTCTACGACCGCGGGACTGTCTTTTACTGAAACTTGGAAAGGCGAAGTGAACTTATTCGTCGAGAAAGCGACCCTCGAGGTGGGGGCCACCGAGTCTGTATCGCACGTTTGGTCCAAAGACAGTTCAACTGCAGATTCTGAGGAGACCACGGACGGTATGACAGCCGGTGTTTCTGGAAAGATTGAAAGCGCCAATGATGGGGTCATGATTGAGGCTGTGAGCTATACTGGCACGCTCGATCTTGATTACACGGCGACAATTGAAGTAAAGATGGCCAGTGGAGCTTCTTACAATATCCCGACGAATGGAAACATGAAGAAGGTATCTTACTCCAAAATATACATGAACGTCAAACCAATCAGTGAAGATACGACCCTTCCTCCAGGAGAAAACGAGGAAAGATCTTTGGAGGAGCCGACACCGGAGAACTACCAGGACAACTTTTCTGGGGATCAAGAAAACGAGGACCACCAAGAGACTGCATGGTCTCCCGCGGAGGACTCAGCAGTGCAGGTGGAAGACCAGGAAGGCCGTTACACAAATGAGAGGAGAGATGACGAGAGATATGTAAATTTCGACGACTCCCGAGAACAGCAACAAGAGAATGAGGAAGACTTCGAGCAGCAGCCGCGTCGTGGGTATAGCCAACCTGAATATGAAGCTCAAAACGACTATCAGCGAAGCCGAGAGGAGCCTGAGCAAACTCAAGACGACTTCCAGCAAAATGAAAATGATTACGAGCAAGGCCAAGACGACTCGCATCAGAATCAGAATCAGCATTACCGTTCTGAGGGCTATGAAGCCCAAAAAGAGCGCACTTCTGATGGAAGATTCGCTGAGTACGAAGAGAGCGAACCTGCCACGCCCAACGATCGGGAGGAGAATCGTTGGGATCAGCCACCGAGCCCAGACAGGCAAGATAACAGTGAAAGATATGCTTCGCAGATCAACTACCAGGGTGGGAATCAATATGAGAATGAGAGTGGAGAAAAAAAGGATGAATCTGATGAATACCGACAAAATGACGAGAATCGCCGCAGCACGCAAGCATACGAGGATGGTCAACAGTATGGCTATGAGCAGACTCTTGGGGAGGATGAGCGTACCTATGCTCCTGTTGAACAAAGAAGCCCTCGGGGGGGCTATAATGCTTATCAGGGTGAGAAGGAGGCCTTTGAATATGCCGAGGAAAAGCCCAGCTACAGGGATGAGTATCAGCAGCAGGCAAATGACTGGAGAGGCAACCGCAACGAGTCTGTGTTCTGAATTATCTCTGAATAGGGGAACTTCTCCTCTCTCAACTTCAGCGACTGGCGATTCTCAATGACCGTACTGTGCGATTTACTATCTGTCTTACTTGACTTTTTTGTGTTTTAGACTGTAACGCGATGCAACGCAAACTTTTGTTTAAAAAGTTGAATTAAAATTGAAATTTGATTGATCCAACCCGTTTCTCTACCAAACACTACCGAATGTATGCATCATTCTAGATATCCAGTTGATTGTTGATCCTTGAAGATATGTTCTAAAAAGGGAAACTGGTGTACGGGCACGCTAAGCCGCATCGCGTAATTCCCGGCCACTACCGAAGACGACTGTAAGACAATTGCATTGAGTCATCTCTGGACATTTGACCCCCAACCCTGAGCACATTGAATACTTCAGTCAGCCTCGCAATCTCTTCAATAAACAATCGCCTACCAAAATGAGTACACCAGATTTCGTGACTGTCAGGTCTTTCTTGCCTACCATCCCACTTCCTGGGAACGAGGACCGACCAGACATCACAACGAGTCGATTGATCATCCGCGCTCTGAAAGCAAGCGACTTGGAAGCTTTACATTCTCTGCGTATTCAAGAACCAGTCATGAAGTGGACCAGGGCTGGCTGCGTCGACCAAAACATCGAGCAAAGCAAGGCAAAACTGGACCCATTCCTGGCTCCCAATGATGCAACAACTGCCAACTGCGCTATCTGCCTAAAAGAGACGGGTGAATTCATTGGAATCGGTGGCTGTCATCTCTACCCTGGAGACCATGGCTGGCCAGAGGTGGGGTACATGCTCCGAACTGAGACTTGGGGACAGGGCATCGCCACTGAATTCTTAAGTGCTTGGCTTCAGTTTTGGTCCGCACTTCCTCGAACTGAAAGAGAGATCCAAGTTCAGAAGGATATGGTGGATAGTGAGGGCGCGGTTGAGGAGCAGCTTATTGCCATCACGGCAACGGCCAATACCCCAAGTCAGAAAGTTCTCATTAAGGCTGGGTTCCAGCGATTCCGACAATACACTGAAGTTGAAGATTCGGAGAGTGTGGATCTTATTGCGTTCCGATTCTTCCCATCGAAAGGAATTAGGGATAGCAGTATTTGAGCGACTCTCTGGTGCCTGCCCTCAAGGTTTGGTTCTTGGATACTGAACTTGGCAGTCATCCTGGAGTGGAATTGAAAAGAAACCATCGTGAAAGATTTTGTCGGTGTATATCATTTGCAAGCCACTTTGAAATTTGAGCTTAGATACAGTTGACCATGACATAAACAAGATACAGAACTAGAGACTGATACCGCCAAAGCTTGAATCGATATCTGGGGTTTCATCTAAAGATGTATAAATACAGAGTCGCTCTGGGGGCAAAGAGTGCTACTGTGAAGAGACCAAGCCTCGATATGTCCATAACACTAGCCACATTCGGCCTAGGTTTGCGTTAATCTTATGGGCCCTCGCGTGACACTTCCGGCCTTGTTTATCAGGCTTGGGGTGTCCACTCTGTTCTCTTCTTAAACTTCCACTTGTCAACAGGAAAGCGCCTTGAGATTTCCAGACGAAAGTCTGTTCCAGGTTATGCGTAATCCAACAAGGCCTTCAGAAAAGCCGATATGACAAGGATAGAGCACTCCTCTCGAAAAGCGTACAGAGAAGCGGAGAGACGGGCAGAAGCGGAATTCTTTCGGGGAGTGTCAATCTCCACCGCCAGATCAATACTGAGTCAAACCTAACAGGGCCCGCGATCACTCATATTTGATTCAAGATGACTGGCTCATCGTGTTGCACCATTCAACTGCTGAGGGGAACGGACACGTGAGCGGCCCGATCACCGTCTCCCCTCCTGACAGATCTATATCACCGAGAGCATAAATGAAGACCATGCCATGAAACACTGATCAACTATTTTTTTGAGCAGTTACGAACGTTCGACTAAACACACACTCCGATATAATGGAAAAGTACGACGTGGCAGTTGTGGGACTTGGTGTTCTCGGAAGTGCAGCAGCATACCATGCTGCTCAAAAGGGCAAGAAAGTCATTGCATTTGAGCAATTCGAGTTGGGTCACGTCCATGGCGCCTCTCACGACACGTCACGCATTGTCAGAACAACGAACTCCTCACCTGAATATGTGGCTTTGGCCCAAGCTGCCTATAAAGACTGGGCGGCTCTCGAAAAGGCCACAGACCAAAAGCTATTGACAATTACTGGCGGTGTTTTCTTCCTCCCTAAAGATGCCCCGACTCCAATCGGAGACTTCACAAGCAGTTTGGATGCCCGGAACGTTCCGTATGAGGTTCTGAGCGCCAAGGAAGTGAACAAGCGATGGCCCCAGTTCGATATTCCAGATGATGTCGACACGGTATACACAGCCGATACTGGCATTGCCCATGCCGCAAAGACTGTATTGGCTATGCAAAGCCTCGCACGTACCCACGGTGCGGTGCTGAAGGAGCATACGCGAGTGGACCGCATCATTCCCAAGGCCTCCGGCTCCGGAGTTGTGATCCAGACATCCAAGGGACAAGTACATGCAGCTAAAGTGATTCTTGCAGCCGATGCATGGACAAATAAGCTCCTCGCTCCTCTCGGTGTACATATCCCATTGTCAGTGATGCAAGAACAAGTCACATACTTCAAACCGACGGAAAGGGAGGCTTGGGAATCAAGCCGTTTTCCAGTCTGGATCTGGGGCGGCGATCCCTGCTTCTATGGCTTTCCATCTTTCGGCGAACCAACCATCAAGGCAGCTCGCGATACCTCCAATAATTTCATGACACCCGAGCAGCGTACCTATGTGCACTCCCCCCAGTTGCTTAAACAGCTCAACTCGTTCATGGGCAAGGTCATGCCTGACGAGGGCCGCCAACCACTTCGGACAGTCACTTGTCAGTACACTATCACACCAGACCGACAATTTGTCATCAGTCCCCTTGAAAAGCATCGTGATATTATTGTTGGCCTTGGCGCTGCTCATGCTTTCAAATTTGCTCCAGCTTTTGGTCGTGTTTTGGCAGAGTTGGCAGTCGATGGGAAGAGTACAGAGGATCTTTCCAAGTTTGGCATTCCGCACACTTCGACTTATACTAGCAAGCTTTAGATTTACTACAGTATGATTACTACAGTATGAATGAAATATGGGGTTCATTTATTATATAGTTATATGTTCCACTATTCCAGAGAATCATGTCTCTGATCTATCCAATAAGTCAAAAATCGACATATTCTTCACCATGCAATCCCCTTCAGAATTGCACCCCAGCTCAGATCGCACATCACGACCGTCTGAGTGGGTCTGCATATTTTTGATAATCCGTTCCGCTGTCACACACGATGTGAATTGGCCTGTTTCTTGGCGATTATCAGTCTGCCGTGGTTCATTCTCAGGTTCGGCTGTGGCAGGATGTATGGACGCTCCTCCCGAATGGTATTGTTCATTTTCGGGATCAATCACACCGCTATTCTCATTTCGCTCCGATTCTTGATACCCAGAACCTATACTGCCAGGCTCATAAGATGTATTGTTTACCGAATTGCGAGGTAGAATTATCGGTGAATGGTGGTATGCGCTGAGCGGTTGACTTGGGGCTGTTTGAAGGTGGCCTTTCAGCCCCGAAGGGAGTACTAAATGGGACTCAGATGGAATGGAGGACGGCGACTCTCCATTTACTTCCAGATACTGATTGATTTGGGGCTCAGTCACACCGTGGAGCATCAGCAGAGATCGTAACAGAGCATTCTCCGTTGCGACCTTTTTTCCCGCAGCTTGAACCTCCTGAGTGGCCGTCACGCCAAGTTTCTCGAACGCACGCAATCGCTGCTCAAGATCGTGGAGGTATTCCTTTCGTCGTGTGCGAGAACGCCGCTGGTTGTCTCGGATTCTTATGGTGGATTGCTTCGAATTTTCGGGTTGTTTTGCGTTCATACTGGAGATAAGGGAATTGCGAGTTGGACTGTAGTTTATATGGTTTGGCCCGAGAAACCGGAAATCACCGAGAAATATCCTTAGTTCTTGACTGTGAAGCCGGTGGCCAATTCCTCCAATGAGAAACACGGCACAGCCCCATTTTTAAGCTTGTCCAATCACCGGCCAGGAGTGACATGCCCAACTTTATGTCTTTCTTTGTATGTCGAGTGCCACACTTCTTGGCAGACTCGAATGCATTTGACCATGTTGAATGGACTGAAAGGAGTATTACTGAGGCCTAAAATCTTGTCGAGACCATATTTTTCTCCCAAATATTTACGCATGTCCTCCACTCTTCCGCAATTGGTTGCAAATGGCCCCGAGCTCAATTCTTCAGTGCGATCCTTGTCATTGCCTGTGCATGAAGACAGCCCGGAAATTCGCCAGAAATACAGGCCATTCATACTTGATCATGCAACGCAGGACTGGATCAGTCAGTTAGAATTGACGACGGCCCTCGACATGGCTGAGAAAAATTTGCACGATACCAACGACAGGCTGAAAGTTCTGGTACTTTATGGCAGTCTTCGGAGACGATCATACTCGCGACTGGTAGCAATGGAGGCTTCTCGCATCCTATTCCGACTGGGATGCGACGTCCGTGTCTTCGATCCTCAGGGCCTTCCAGTGAAAAACGACGTCGATACGGATCACCCCAAGGTGCAGGAGCTCCGACAGCTCAGTCAATGGAGTGATGGACATATTTGGGTTTCGCCTGAGCAACACGGAAATCTGGTGAGCTCCTTGCTTGCGAAATTCGCAACACTTTATAGAATGGCTGCTAATTCGTTCTGTCTTTTCCATTCTAGACTGCGGTATTTAAAAATCAAATCGACTGGATTCCACTCAGCACAGGAAGCGTCCGACCGACTCAGGGGCGAACACTAGCCATTGCTCAAGTATGCGGTGGATCTCAGTCATTCAATGCTGTCAACTCCCTGCGTATCCTTGGTCGGTGGATGCGCATGTTCACCATTCCAAATCAATCATCCATCCCGCAGGCATACACACAATTCCCTGATGAGGGACAGCCCGACGATGAGAGACTCAGGCCGAGTAGCAATCGAGATCGGTTAGTGGATTGCATGGAAGAGTTTGTCAAGTATACGATTTTGATGCGCTCTCACCTTGCACTCTTTGGTGATCGCTATAGCGAGCGGGAAGAGAAAAGAGTGAAGGAGGCAAAACCTAGCGGTGTTTCATGAACATGTTCCAAGTACATGAAGTTAGAAACAATACATTCTCACAAGAATTCATCTGAGCCACTGTGGATCAACAAAAGAGAGAGTGTGTGAAATAGGTCCATGAAACTCTGGCAATAATAGCGTCAGCCAGGGCAAACATCCTAACACGAAACCAAACCCATGGACTAGCCCAAATGCCAAACGATCTCCTGGATAATAAGGTAGCAAAAGAGCATGGCATCTCTGCAATGTCATGATGTCATGGTTGAAGCTATTTTCCTCAGGGTTGCATTCTCGTCGATCTCCGGCATTTGTCATGCAAATTTTAGTTTGCGTTTTGCTGACATATTTGGCCTTTTAGCTCTAGGTGGGCCAAGAGGCGCCTTTCATAAATGTTCGAATATCACAAGTGACCCGTTGCTGTTTGCGGAAGTCATGGTGTAGATGATAAGGGTTCTTAGTCGCGTTGGGAGATTTTCATACTCCTCGAAAACCGACGTGCAGCCAACCTCCTAGTTGGGATTCAAAAAACAAAACAAATCATATTTCTATGTTAGTTCTCGACAGTCCGACGTTCATGCTGTTAATGGTCTCGAGCGCTCCACGTATCAGCGTTCCGCCTCCGCATATCCGCGCTCCACACGACAGGAAATAATCCAAATCGTGATGGAACGCTGCAGATCTTTCGAAATGATGGTTCTATCATTCATTTTACTAGTGACTAGCCTTCATTGAGATCTGATCCATTGATCTCGACTAAACTCCTCGATATACACCAGGAAATAGGATGCACAAGCGGATATACTTCGAAGATAGGCATTATATCCATGAGCTGGATGATCTGCTGATCTACAATAAGCTCTACAAGAGTCCGAGGTTTAATCAGCCAAGCAAATACTGGTAGCAAATCAGCATCGGCACAGGGTGCGATCCAGGGTTGCTACTTTTGCCTGACATCACTCTTTCTGCCGCCACATGAGGCTGGATAAGCATTGAATAATCAAATCTCTCCCCTGGGGCCGTTTATAATGTTTCCCGAGAATGAGGACGTTTTTTAAACCACACATTTGGAGTTATTCTCTTGTTCATCGGCAGTAAATCATTTTGCCAGACTTTCAAAATGGTTTCCCGGTTGAACAGTCTGCAAATTGAGCCTACTTGTACAGATGATATGGAGATCTGGATTCTTGGGAGTGGCATCGCCTCGCTCACATCAGCAGTTCACTTGATCAAGGATGCTAAGATTGCACCATCACGAATCCACATCATTGAGAGGCTAGAGAAAGCTGGAGGAGGGTCAGCCAGCACGGGAGATCCAATCAATGGGTACGACTATCGCGCCGGCGCGATGCCCGCGTTCAATAATATTTACATGGAGAAGCTTCTATCCATTGTGCCTTCGAAGTCAAACCCGAAGAGGACCACATTGGACGACATTTGCGAGTTTAGCCGCTCAAAACCACCTCATAAAAGCCCGAATACCCGAATCCTCTCACGAAAAGCCTCCGGATTAGCAAGGACTGGCCCGAATCAAATGGGAGTAGGATTGAGGGACCGCATAGCTTTGTATATGCTGTCCTCAAAGACGGAAAAGGCCCTTGGACGATCTCGTATCCAGGATCACTTTCACGCGAACTTTTTTCAAAGCAATTATTGGTTAATACTGTCTACCACGTATGTCACCAGACAGATGAAGCTATCATTGGGAGCTCTACTGACAGATATATCTCGACAAATAGTTTCGGCTTCGGACCATGTCATAGCGCCGCCGAGTTCCGTCGATATGTCCATTGGTTCAAAAACGGCAAACACGAATTGAACCATCTACGGCCGCTCGACAATGGGCAGTATAACCGCCACGAATCCATCATAGTACCAGTCGCTCAGTTTCTTCGGTCCCGTGGAGTAGACTTTCGCTTCGGCACCACTGTTACAGATATCATCCTTGAGCCCGGATCCAATGGACGTGTTTCCTCTATTCGTGCAACGAAAGGCAACAGCCCGGAGATGACCATCGATGTCGGACTCAACGATGTTGTGATTGTATCCTTAGGCTCCGTGATATCTGGCGCAACAAGCGGAACAAATACCGAGCCTCCATACCTCGAAATCAGGTGTCCTGAGAAAGACCTGGATGAAAACTGGCTGTTGTGGCTAGAGTTATCGACAAAAGACACGAAATTCGGTAACGCGTACAACTTCTGCACGCGGATGGGCGAGTCCAGACAGGAGTCGTTCACGGTGACCCTCAAGAGCCCAGAGTTCTTCGACCGCTTTGTCGAGTTGACCGGCGACGCCCCAGGGTCCGGTGTATTCGTCACTCTTAAAGATAGCCCTTGGTTGCTCAGTCTTAAAATCCCGGATCAACCTATGTTTCCTGATCAGCCGGCCGACATTCAGGTGTTCTGGGGTTTTGCAGAGTTCCCGGAACGAAAAGGAAACTTTATAGAGAAACCCATGCTCGAGTGCTCGGGCAAGGAGATCATGACGGAGATTTTGTACAATCTGCAATTCCCGCTGCAGCCAATCCTCAACGACTCAATCACCATTCCTTGTGTGGCGCCACGCATGGCCGCACCCTTTTTGCCTAGGGAAGACGGTGATCGGCCGCCGGTTATTCCTGAAGGCATGACGAATGTGGCACTCATTGGACAGTTTGTGGATATTCCAGATCAAATTGTCGGGACTATGGACTATTATGTGAGAGGAGCGCAAATAGCTGTGCGTCAGTTGATGGGGTTGGATCGAGACGCGACTCTCAAGGATGACTTCTGCAACTAATACCCCGAGGTTGTGGGATTCGGGCCGTGAACTTGTTAGGCAAAATGATGAGTGGCTTGATGCGCATGATGTTGTGTATTATTTGCTGCAGGAATTCAATGAAGAAAGCTTAGTTCACTCTGATTTCAAACCGATATGTTTCTTCTGTCTTCCCATTTGTAAGAAACTATAAGCAGTTGATTTGAGGTACTTGCTGCCTGAGGCTCACATTATTCAGGTGTTAAAATGTGCCTGAGGCATAAAGGTGTCAATGTAGCTGCCTCGGCAAAGCCTGATGTCATCCGTTCGAATGGCCGACTTAACCTGCTTCGACTTCAATTGCACCATGCTCCACGATCTGATCTGAGTACTTCAATTTTCCGGTCTCTTCCTACTCTGTTGCGCATACTCCCTGCCCTCAAAACACTCGTTGTGCTTGCGACCATGGCCGCAGCCACCTCGCGAACTGCCGCCCTCCCTCCGGCTGCCCTGCTTGTATACCCTGCAACACTATTGCTCGGGTCGCTGTATTCGATCATTTCACCCACAGCGAATCCTTCGCGAGATACACAACCCGCCAGTCCCCTGGTCCCTTCTCTTGCCTCGGATTTGCACCTCACCGAAAGCCCAGTCAACTACTTTGCACGGAAAAACAACATCTTCAATGTGTACTTTGTGAAAATCGGGTGGCTTTGGACTACGGCTGCTTTCGTCTCGCTCCTCATATTTCAACCCCTCTACTCCTCATCTCACCCACAGTCCTTGTCGCAACAAGAAACCCGCTTCCGCCGCACCCTCCAAGCCATTCTGCGCTACGCACTCGCAACAACAGCATGGTACCTGTCAACACAGTGGTTCTTCGGACCAGCGGTTATTGACCGTGGATTTGTGGCCACGGGCGGAAAGTGCGAGCATGCGTTTGAGAAAGTCTCGGACATGAGCACTGGGACCGCCGACCTAGAAGCCCTGTTTACGGCTGCTACATGCAAGGCTGCCGGTGGAGCCTGGAGAGGCGGCCATGATATCAGTGGACATGTCCTCATGTTGGTACTTGCCACGGGACTTTTGGCTTTCGAAGCTGTCGGTGCAAGTGCGCCTGCGTTTCTTTCGCGTTTTGGCCCCACCGGGGACGTGGGGCGCGAGCGCAAGCCAAGTGACGCTGATAGTACCGCTGTGCTTGAGCCCACTGAAGACGGCGGATTTGCTAGAACCTGGTCGCTTCGTCTTGTTTGGGGTGTTGTTGGCTTGGGGTGGTGGATGCTCTTCATGACTGCCATTTGGTTCCATACGTGGTTAGAAAAGGTTCGTATATTTCCCCAGTCTCATGACTTTGTTTGCTTTTTTTTCTCTTTTTGCTAACTCATCTGGCTAGTGGTCCGGTCTCTCTATTGCTTTGAGCACTATTTGCGCCATATATATCCTACCTAGACGATTGGCGTCATGGAGAAATATTGTTGGACAGCCAGGGGTATAGATACTGTGTATTCGACATGCCATTTGTTCATATGTATGGAATATGCCAAGTAATGATAGATTGCATTGTTTTGGGTTGAGGAACCAAGGGCCATGCTGCTCTCAGTCTTCATTTTAATATGATATAAGAATTAGAGGTAGTTTCCATCCAGCCCTCATCATTGGTATCTCCGGTGCGGCATTTGTGTACAGCGATTTGGTCTTGTCTCTTCAACTTTCAGGTACTGGCTCAGCTTCGGGGCCCAGGTAATCACTTTGGAATGCTACAATCGATAAACATGGCATTAGTATAATCATCAAGGTGTCGGGACGGACAGACTCACCTCCTGGAATCAACGCAGCTGCATACATCACCCGAGTGATAGGCCTCAGATCTTCCGGGGTCAGATCATCAGCGATAGCGAGCTCCATGTAAGGGTCCCAAGCAGCAATAATGGCAGCCGAGAATGTCTTCAAATCCACAGCGCGCTCTTTCTCGTTGGCTTGCTTGGCCTGGCATTCTATGCCCATGCAGGTGCCAAATTCACGGAAAGCCAAGCGAAATTTGATATTCCGTTCCAGATAGCGGTTTATTTCGAATAGATTGTCTTGGAGTATCAGTTAGCATGTCACAAACCCAAGCGACAACAATGACTGACACATTTGTTCAAAGCATCTCCCAGCCAATTCTGCAGCCCATGCCTCTCGCTCAGAAAACCAATGTGCCGTCCACAAGGTCATTCCCAAATCCAAGGGGTCACTCGAAACGTAATGCTCCCCTTTTCTTTTCAGAACGCGCTTGTAATCGGAAATCTCCTCGGCCAAGACCTCTCCATCACCAGACTCCACGGACGAAGCCTGCAGCAAGCGAAAGACAACATATCCATCAATAGGATCCAAATTCCCTTCTGATGCAACCAATGCCTTGGTCAAATCCATATTCATTTTCCAGACCATTCTCGGACGAGCAGTGACACGATCAACAAAAAACTTTGCATGAATCGCTTTGGCCAGTTGCACCGCTTGTCTGTTATACTCAACATTCCCAGAAGCCCTCGCCATCCGATTCAGCGCAAACATCCAAAGAGTGAGGTAGTGGTGGTATTGCCCATCTGTATCTGGGCCATGATCATCCGTCTTGCCAATTCGTAACCCCCCACCCAGCGGATTGGCATCTGTCGCTCCTGGCAGCCTGGAACATCCGTCGCGAGTTCTTCCAAGTACATCATGCACGGTATTGATCAGACGGTCTGCGAGCACGAGGTATCGCTTGTCCCAGCGATCTGGTTCGGTGGATATGTTATACTGGATGTGCATTGTCAACAAGTTGATTACACCGAACGCGTCTGTCCATAGGTATCGACCTCGGTGGCCGCCTGATCTGGGTGGTGGATCCCAGTCTGCTGGCTCTATTATGCTGGTGAAACTGCCGTAGAGTGATTCCATGGCTTGTTCGAACCGATCCAGTCGTGGGGATGGGCTACTAATTGGGAGAGCCATTCTGGGTGTATATGTGCAGAAAGTCGATTGAACACGGGTGCGGTTCTTCAGCTTGTGGAATGCTTGTCTGGAAATTAAGGAAGATATATTGAGAGACCTCGAAAAATTACATTGAATTTGCATCTTTTGCAATGAGGAGCTTTTCTTGCGCTTATTGGTGTTGTCGCATTAGGCTTCGGTGTCGACGGGTGAAGTCATCATGACTTTCCAGTCGCCCCGATATCAACCATTCGCTAGGAAATCTCCCGGGAAAAATAAAGTTAGAGAAGAAAACTATGTCGTTTTGCATGATGAGATGGAAGATGTATCTATACCAGCAGGAAAAGATTCAATGCCTCCTGATTGTTCGGCATCCGTTGAGTCCATCTATTAAGGGTTCATGAGATCAGCTTCCTTCTTCCTAAGATCCAAAAAAATGTCAAAACTACAAGTGCTTTTCAATTCAGCAATACAGCCTCTTCCTGCAATCGAAGACCAAAGCTTCGCATCCGATTTCGATAGCTTCGCAGGCAAGCAAGTAATGCTGTTAGGAGATGGCAGCCACGAAACATCTGAATTCTACTCCGCACGAGCAGAAATCACCAAGCGATTGATCGAACGACATGGCTACACAATGGTCGCAGTGGAAGCAGACTGGCCGGACGCAGAAGCGATCAATCGATACGTGCGCCTGCGTCCCGGGCCAAAGTCACAACTTGGAGGCATCGCCAAGGGATACGAGCGCCCTTCAACAGATTTCCAACATGGATGTGGAGTAACTCTTGAAATGCAGCAGCTGGTAGAATGGATGCGTGATCGAAATCAGCGGCTGCCACCCGAGAGAAGGGCTGGTTTCTATGAGCTGGATCTGTACAGCATGGGAGCCTCCATCGGTGCTGTGATTGATTACTTGGATCGAGTAGATACACAAGCGAGCAAGCAAGCTCGGAGACGGTACGAATGTCTGGAGCCTTGGATTGATGATCCTACGGTTTATGGCCTAGCATCCTTGCAATGAATGGAGGACTGTGAAGAGCGTGTGATAAAGATGTTGTCCGATCTTTTGGAAAGACGGCTTGAATACTCTCAGCGTGGTCTGCGTGACGGCGATGAGTATCACAGCGGTGAGCAGAATGCTTATTTGATTCGTGATGCTGAGAAAAACTACAAGGCCATGTATTACAGCTCCGCGAGCTCGTGGAACTTGCGTGCCATTCATATGTTTGAGACATTGGAGCGACTATTGCAGCATCATGAAGGACAGAAGGCCATTGTGTGGGCACATAATTCCCATGTCAGAGATTCCTGATACACTAGTATGGGCTTCCGCCGTAAGGAACTGAACATTGGACAGCTTTGTCGTGAACGACTAGGTCGTGAGAATGTCACTATCCTCGGCTGTGGCACCCATACTGGAACAGTCGCGGCTGCCCATGAATGGGACGATGATAGTTGGGAGATAATCGCCCATGATACTGAAGTACCCAGTTTTGTGTTGGACTTACGTCAAAATCGTATAGATACATCTCTGCGAGCTGCCCTAGCTGCTGAACAGCGGCTGCAGCGATTTATTGGGGTTATTTATCGGCCTGATACCGAGCGTATCTCCCACTACTCGCAGGTCTTTCTTCATAAGCAATTCGATGGTTATATCTGGTTTGATGAGACTCAGGCTGTCAGTTCTCTTGAGGTTGTTCAACCTGATACGCCGCTTGGAAAGGGGGAGACATATCCGTTTGGACTATAAAATTCTGAGAAAACTCCGGCGACGAACGCAACACCCTAGCAGGTACCAGCTGATCGAGTACCAGCTAATCGAGGTTAGGAAATAACGTTAACGTTAGCTATAATTCATATTATAACTTGAACTCCAAGGTTTATCGCCTCGGAGTCGAAGCGTAGGCTGCTTACGTTGGGTAAGATCGGGGAATATATACCAACAGGCATTAGTAGATAGCGAAGATTGAACTGCTGTATAGTACAATCCTAATAGTGGGAACAATCCAGTAAATGGTAGGTTGCTCCGTCAACCCAAATAGAAACAGTCCCACTGGAGCTAACACGGTCCCTGGTAGAGCCGGAATCACTGCAACCTCCTGACTGGATAAAATCGAGTTTACCAACGGATTTTGGTGGCGTAAATAGTAATGAAGGTATACAAGGTAAAGTACGGAACTGGTGGTGCAGCTGATAATAAGGGCGAGGAACACTAACCCAAAAGGCACTGGTGACATGATATTCTCCCACATAGACGAGGGGGAAAGCCTTGAAGAAGGAAGAGTAGATCGCATAGATAAAAGATGTGTACACGCACGTAAAAGCAATAGAGAGATGCTTGATAGTGATTTCTACTAGTTTTTGGATTGATTGGACGATAGTTTTCAACCAGCAGATATGATTCAGCTCATCGAATTAATCACTGTTGTGGGTACCTTTTGCTTGAGGGATCAGAATAGCATCCGATAGAATCTCTGTAAGCAAACGGATTTGAAGAAGCAGTAGTGAAGCAGACATGCAAATAGTTTGCCAGAATGACTATCGCCAATTCAAAGTAACCTGGTGGATGGATATCCCCGATAGAGGCACCAGCAGTTGCCAGACATGGACTGCCAAAGAATCCTTGGAAGAAACGTAGTACTGTGATGGCTGGGAAGTCATCGACGACTCTCGGATAGATACAACAACGAAGGCAACGAATGAAATGATGTATGGAGGATTGCGGCCAATCATAGACATCTCACTTAGTGGTGAGAATAGCATGGGTCCCATTCCATCTACACATACAAGAAATTCAGCCTATGCCCTAAGTATCTCTTTAGAGCACGCAACATACATCCAATCACACATAAGGAGAAGGCCGGTGAGACGACTTCCCGACTGTATCCATATCAAATCATCATGGGCTCGTAGCTCATAATGACTATTGAAGACGCGCAGTACACAACAAATGAGTAGAAATTTTGTCATTTTAAGTTGAAGTAGCACCGATATAACGACCCTTATTGGAGGATCAATCAAGCGAGATAAGAACAGTGACCATAACTTTGCATCCATTGGGCTAATTCCACGGATGCTCAGGATCCTTGTCGAAAATACAGTGCCTGATCGCGCAAAAGTTCAATAGTCCGGCCGAAAATTGACTACCGAAACCAGAAGGCTATTTTGATGGTCGCAAATTATTTCGTGAAAGGCAGCTAGGTAGTCGGACACATGGAGGGCTGAAGTGACGATATTTGTCTTTGTAATTGTGCTCCGCAGAGCAGCGGTTAACTTATTCTCTCATTTTCTGCAGCAAGAAGCCACAGGATGCAAGGGACGTCTTTTTTTCGAATAGGTGCAGGAGTGCAGGAGGGCCAGAAGAACATTTCCAAGTTTTAGTACACGAAGCTTACGACTGTGCTGGAATCAGAGCAGCTCATCATTGCCGAGAAAAGAAATGGGTCCAAGTACTCGCAGCCAAAAACTTACCTTGTTACACCACTGATTTGTAACTACTTGAACTGTAAAAGAGAAGAGCTATAAGATGGCAATTTCTTGCCGTATGGCTTTTAAGATCAGAGGAATTGCCTGACTTCATAAATTCGGAACACTGATCGATTGGCTACTTCATATCCTCGGTTCATGTTACCTTTACCTCCAATTTTGCTACTCACCGAGCGCTCACCTGCAACATGCCTCTAGAAAAGAAATTTCCACAAGAGAAAAATCTGGCGGGAATACGACTATTTTCAAATTTTCGAAAATTGATCGACTCTGTCAACTTGACAAATGTTGTGATAGCCATCGGGATACCTCTACTAGGATGCGGACTGGCATTAAATGTTCCTCTTAATGGAATGACGCTTGTCTGGTCTTGTTTATATTGGTTTTTAAGTGCAATGGGCATTACTGCTGGTAAGTAGTTTGTGCGATTACGTGGTGTAAATACAACTCTTAACATGCGCATAAGGATACCATCGTCTCTGGGCGCATAAGTCATATTCGGCACGGTTGCCACTTCAGATTCTCCTGGCACTCTTAGGCGCTGCAGCTGTGGAGGGTTCGATCCGAAGATGGAGTCGGGATCACAGAGCCCACCATCGTTACGTTGATAGCGACAGCGATCCCTACAGTGTGCATAAGGGGCTGCTGCATGCCCACATGGGATGGTTTATTTTCAGACAAGACCGTAAAGGTTTTGGCAAGGTGAAAACAGAGGACCTCGACTCTGATCAAATTGTCGTATGGCAAAACAAGAACTACGTCTCCTTGTTTCTAGTCATGACTTTTATCGTGCCTACCATAGTTGCCGGATTTGGCTGGGGCGACTATTGGGGAGGCTTCGTCTATGCCGGATGTCTCCGCATGTTTGTCGTCCAGCAGAACACTTACTGCATTAATTCTTTGGCACACTGGCTCGGAGACCAGCCATACCAAAGCAAGCATTCACCGAGGAACAACCTCTTTGCCGCAATCATGACTCTTGGTGAAGGCTATCACAATTTTCATCATGAATTTCCAAATGATTACCGTAATGGCATTCGATGGTTTGACTTCGATCCAACAAAATGGTTCTTGGAAGTGCTAGCAATCTCCGGCTTGGTGTACGACCTACATAAATTCCCAGAGAATGAAATTGCCAAGGGTCGCTTGCAAGAGCGTGTCAAATCTTTGAACAATGAAGCCAGGAAGATCTCCTGGGGCATTCCAGAGGACCAACTTCCAATTATGACCTGGAAAGAATTTCAAAACGTCAACACGGCCGAAGTCAAATTGACTTGTATCAACAACGTGATCTATGATATCTCCGGATTCATAAGCCAACACCCAGGGGGAAACTCAATCTTAGGTGGATTGGGGAAAGACGCAACTGAAATGTTCCATGGGGGAATTTATGAACATTCGAATGCTGCACATAACTTGCTTTCGCAGATGAGGAAAGCAAAACTAGCGACACAAAGGCAAACATCACCACGAATGTTTTGCCCGCTAGATTTTTCCAGGGAAGAAGAACATTTGTGTTTACAAAAAGGCCGTGGAGGAGGATAGATTAGTTGGTCTTGTTGGGAACTCAATAGGGGAAGCCGCGATGGAGAGCTCTTATTCACCTATCTGTCGCCTCAATTGAAAGAGCTTTCAATTAGCAAATTATGTTGAACTAAATTGAATTTTGTTATTTGGTATACAATTGGGGCAGCATCATCATTCCTACTGGTTCATAGAGGGTGAACTGTTACAATCGACCTGACAAAATTATTTTTCAGTAAGGCTTTGTCCGTGGCCCATGAGTGATACTGGGATTCCCATTCTAGTTACTCCTAGACCTTCATAGCTGGTAGACTTTGCAGGCCTGTTTGCAGATCGGAAATAACGCTGCTACGTCAGAAATAAATCATCTGTCGATAAGAGAAACAAGAATAAATCAAGTAAGAATGGAAGCTGTATATGTGGCCAGCTGTGTTACCTCTAAAATCAAGACAACCCTTTTTCTGGCTCATAACAGCTTATCGCGACGCTGTCCCACTTCTAGCCGACCGTGTCACCAAACTCGAATCTACAATTTTTCAAATGCATACAAATAAAACTGGATAAATGGTATCTCATGTGGCCAAAATCAGCGAAGATAGGCAGTCATGAGGTAAGAAATGTGATAACTTAAGGACCTGCGCATTCAGATAGTCCGCGGCGTATATCTAGGCACGTCTAGCTGGATATTCAAAACAAGTAATGGAGCTCACTGTGTAGCCAGGGTCTCATTTATTGTAAGACATGCACACCCCGGTGTTTCGATCTTGGAAGAGGAAGACTTGTCCAAAGAACGGTACAGAAGCTTGACGAGTCTTCGAGCCCAACGACGATTTTTGGTCAAATGCATCATGCTTTCCCACAGATGGTCGCTCCGCACGTGCCCATGGTCGTAATACAAAATATCTAGATCAGCAAACAGGTGAAGACCTGAGCGATCGAGGTCAGATAAATTTTGCCACAGAGATATGGTTTTCGCCTCCGTAAATTCGAAAGATGTCCCAACAGTACGATAAATCCGGCCAAGAGGATGGATAGACTTAGAGTGCCATGACTGGCGCGTCCATGTTAGGTGCAGATCCCAGGGCATCCGACGCAGAGGTAGTGTGCGCTCCCATGTGTCACGAAAAGATATCCGTGCAGGGCCTGCAACAGTATGCACAGGGCCATGAGTCCCGTACGCGACATGAGCAAGAATTCGGTCCACAACAACATCCACAGGTACATAGTCTATACTCGAGTCATGATATGGATCGTCAAATCTCGAGGAGAAGCATATGTTCCGCGACAGAGTTAAAGCGAGTGCTGCCGTAAAGATGATATGAGGAGTCGACATGGGAATGCAGAACTGGCGATATGGGAAACATTGAGCAGGCTCGATTATGGAAGGTCGTATAATAAGCAAACGTATGTTGGAAGAAGCAAATGTATAGTCCAAAAGGCGCTCCGTCAGGTGTTTTGCATATCCGTAGGGCCAAGGAAAGTCGTTATTGCGACATGCAGATGAGCTTCCCATGCTTTTTACATCTTGCCACTCTTTCTTCAGATCTATTTCTGCGTCGTTGCCCATTCCCGCACAATTCAGCGGGTACAAGGACTCTTGTACCTTCAGGGTCGAGGTTCCATCACTCTGGGCAAACAGATGAGCGTTGCAGTATGCCGTCGAGACAAAAACGAAGCACTCAAGCCGATCAAATCCCATGGCCAGCTGGGCTAAATTCTCCGTGGCGCTGATAATAGGGCCAACAAGCCTCTCAATTGGTTGGAGAAGAGCAATTGAAGACGCCGAATGCACAATTATATTAGTCTGGGTACGGAGCAGAGCAAGTTCTTCCGCTTTCAATCCAAGGCCTTGTTTGAGCATATCACCATCCATGACTGTAACGAGTTGGGGATCTGTCATTTTCTTCACAACGTGGGGTGGAAGCCACTGGTCCCATTTGCGAATCAATTTTCTGTTTTATCGGTGATAGTAAGCTCTCTGGTCTGTTTCAAGGGAAGCGATCAGTAGAAATGATAAGTAGAAATCTTACGGTAGACCCCCTCGACAGAGGAGATAGATGTGAGCCGCAGGAGCTTTTGTAACAAGACGATAGACCAAAGTTGTTCCCACAAAGCCCGACCCTCCGGTTATAAAAACGGTCTTTCCTGTGTAATATTCCCACATCGTTCTTGGGTCAAAGATAGTTAGGATCCTGATAGACTGAGCAAATCGAAATGTAGGCCTCGTTTCAGTGCCCTGTTATATAGCACCGTATCTCACCCAGGTAATCCGAATGTGCCCTTGGATAAAGAGAGGAGCACAAATATTCTTTTGCAGTGGCGGTGAGCAGCTTGTCCCCTCCGCTCCAATTTTGTCCTTATTAATAGGGCAAACATGCGCACCCATTAGGATCCTGCATATGTGAAATAAACAGGGATACAATATACTCTTCATCATGATCTACAGTGGTGTAACAAAAGTATTTGGCTGGTCAAACTTAGGGTTCCACTTTTTATCCTACCATCTTCTATCTAGACCGCCTACCATAATTAGAGATCTGAACCTCTCCATTCAACGCGCTAGTCATTATATACGCTATATAGTATATATAATTTCGAATAACGGGTTCAAGATATCATTCAGTATAATGGATGGCATACTAGCCATTTAATGGAATGGATTTCCGAAGTTTCCAGCCGGCAGCAATTATAAGTGGGTCAAGGCCGAAAGTGCCACCGGCCAAATACTTTCGTTACACCACTGTATGCCGTAAGACGTAATGCAGCCCAGATAATCTGGGCTAAGATTCCGCGGGTTATTTCGTCCATACCCCAGCTTGAGACTGGTGACGGCGGGGGCGTTTGCAAAGCCGAGCCACCCATTCTTAACGGGATGTCTCCTGTATTATCGCCTTGATTTGCGAAATGAGCCTGGAGGACTGAGTTCACAGTAAGCACATATACTAATAGCCAAGTTAAATGTCCCCCATGCCATCATCGTCGACTTTAGATTGACTGATTGGCTATAAGGGCAAAAGCAAAGATTCATCGCAAATACAAAACTATACCCCAACATGGGCCAGCTGATGCCGTTTATGGACTAGCGTGGTCTGACGTCGGGACCGAAGAGTTCGGGACCGACGTCTCCCCAACGTTTGCATTCTGATATTCAACTAGACTTCACTCGCTATTGAATATTTGGGCATTAAATCTGAGCGTGGTTTCTAAAGCATCACGTTTTGTGAGTATTATCTCATGCTAGGGTGGCCTGGCAGATTAGTATCAAACCGCGACCTTGGTTACACTTCAGACCACACAGAGAAATTCAACATGTCCGGTATCACGAGGGGACATTCTTGCATGTTATGTCAGAGACGAAAGGTCCGCTGTGACAAGCAGAAGCCCTGTGGAAATTGTGTTAAAGCAAATGCTGAATGCATTGCTATTCCTATGCGGCCTCGTGGGAAACGAAATACCCCAAAGTCTCCGGGTAAAGACTTGGCTGAAAGAGTCAAAAAGTATGAAGAGCTTATGACTCAACATGGAATTGATTTTCAATTCCTTGTTGATCAGGATACTCCTGTTATACCTAGTCTGCCCCGCAGCAAGGAGATATCCCCAAATCCCGTCCCCCGGAATGAACGTCCGTTAAGGACAGGTAAAGAAAGGTAAGGATTAAACTATGTATGACTCTATAGTCTTCAACTTTGAATCTCTTCCTATTGCTCTAACATGCTTACATACCACCAGAGACTCCAAGTGGTTCGCCTACTATAATGAGGTAGGGCGCGGAACAGAACATCAATGCCATGCATAACTGACCATAGCAGTATCGAGCTACCGATGAAATGCTCCATGACTCTTCTGACGAAGAAAATGAGTGTCCAACTGTCCACAATGCCTTTGATACCATGTTCAGTGACAACAGCAGCTTTCCGTTCTTCGCGGGTAGTTCAAAGACTGGACCTACTTCGCATCCATCTTCTACTCAGGTCTTTCAATTATGGCAAGGCTATATAACCAACGTGAATCCTCTGCTCAAGATCAGCCATGTTCCTACGCTTCAGCCTCAGATAATTGAAGCTTGTACCAACCCTGCCAGCATTCCGAAGCCTATGAGTGCTCTGATGTTTGGAATATACCTCACGGCCATTAGTTCTATGGATGACAAAGACATCAAAAACATTCTTGGGGTCGACAAGTCTACTGCTTTTGCTCGATATCGCGGAGGTATGGAGCAAGCTCTCATAGAAGCTGAGTTTATGAAAACGTCGGATCTGATGGTTCTTCAAGCCTACTTCTTATATCTAGTAAGTTACACTGCCTAAATTTTTTATCACTCCGTGAGCCTTGAACAAGGAAAAGTATCTAGTGCTACACATCCCGGAAATTGTTAATGAATGATTCTAATAGATAAATTTGAGGCTTTGCATTGATCCCCGATCTCTCTTCTGTCTCATTGGCATCGCTGTGCGCATGGCAACCCGCATCGGCCTGCATCGAGACGGTGCCCAATTCGGCCTATCTCCTTTCAACACCGAACAAAGAAGACGACTTTGGTGGCAAGTAGTCGTTCTAGACAAGCGAATAGCTGAGATCACCGGATCCCCAATAAACGCGTTATCTTCCTCGGGGGCAGATTGCCAGTATCCCCTCAACGTGAACGATACAGACCTCCACCCTCAATCTAAAGAGCCACCAGTGCAATCTCCCGGTCTTACCGAGATGACATTCGCACTCACGCGGATCGAAATCACGGTTGCTTCAGCACCCGATGGAATCCGACCAAACCCAAAAGTCCCAAAGACCGCACCCTTAAGCAATGACTCGTCCACCACAGACTCTACCATCCAAAATTCGAACCCAAACACCCCCGAAAGCCTCAACCGCTACTTTGAACACATGGAAACAATTTATCTGAAGCAATGTGATACCAAAGTCCCCATACAACTCTTCACCCTCCTAATGACCCGCGTATCCATGCACAAACTCCGAGTCCTAGACTTCGTCTGCAGAGGCGCCTCCTCTCCAGATCCAGGGCAAGAACGACAAGACGCGGCTTTTCTGGCTGCGATCCAAATGCTAGAATCAGATAATACCGTTCATTCCACGGAAAGTCTGCGCGGACTGGTTTGGTACAGCCAAATGCATATTCCCTTACCGGGATACATCTTCCTTGCGAACGAGCTCCGTCACCGCATCACAGGCGATCTTTGTGAACGAGCTTGGGACGCTATCTGCCAAAGTCATTATCATCAAGATTTAAGTCGTAATCTTCGGAGTCCGTTGCATGTTGCTCTTGCGCACTCGCTTTTGAAGGCTTGGGGGGCGAGGGAGAGGGTTGAGTTGGAGGGTGGAAGGGTTTTGCAGGCTCCTGCTCTTGTCGCTTCTCTTCGAGAGGCCCTTCCTGGTTATCTGGTCAGACAGAGAACTGGGAAGAGTGTAACGGGGGCTGCTATGGAGACTGAAGATGGTTCCAACCCAAATTCTCGGGATGACACCGGGAATGTCATGTCTGGCGAAAATATGCTGCTGGGCTCCATGGCTGGGACTGGCGATTTGCCTGGGTCATTTGCCTTCGATTATGACCAGATTTTCTGGACGAATATGATGCAGGCTGGTGCTTTTGGTGAACTTTGGGATGATTCCGAGTATATTATGCAGCAAGAGCAATCTTAATCATGGAGCTCAGAAGTATGTTTCAGGAATTATTTGAGGCATATTAACAGTGATAAATTCCGATTCTGATTTACATTCAATAATTACATCAATGATTGTGACGAAGCGGTGGCCCGTTCTGGGCCAGCTTTTGATACTTGACAGCCTTCTTCATCACCATACCTTCACTCAACTGCGCTGTTTCCTGTCGGAACAGCTCCTGCCATGGAGTGCCACTAGGAGCAGTAGTATATCCATTAACACCCAACTCTTTCCTCCGCTGTGTGATTTCCTCATCGCTAATGAGAAGATCAACCCGTCGCTTCCGCAAGTCAATGCGAAGCCTGTCTCCATCTTTGAGGATGGCAAGATTTCCACCGGCTGCGGCCTCAGGGCTCGCGTTCAAGATAGAGGGAGACCCAGATGTTCCGGACTGTCGACCGTCTCCGATACAGAACAGTCCATCGATACCATCCTTGAGAAGCCGACCAGGCGGGTGCATGTTGACGACCTCTGCCGCACCGGGATACCCTATCGGACCAACACCGCGCATGACGAGAATTGTTTTGTCGTCGATCTGCGCAGAGCTTTCCAGACGATGTTCGTAATCTTCGGGTCCGTCGAAGACTACAACAGAGCCTTCAAATGCTTCTGGGTCTTTGGGGTCGGAAAGATAGCGTTTCCGGAAAGATGGCGAGATCACACATGTCTTCATAATTGCAGAGTCGAAGAGATTTCCCTTGAGATGAGCGAAGCCAGCATCCTTCATTAAAGGATCGTCATAAGGACGGATGACTTTCCGGTCCCAGGAGTGCTTCCCACGGACATTCTCTGCCATGGTTTGGCCATTGCAAGTCAAGACATCGCCATGTATCTTGCCCTGATCTAGCAGCTCAGCCATGATAGCCGGAAGGCCACCGGCACGGTAGTATTCCTCGCCGAGATATTCTCCGGAGGGCTGCATGTTCAATAGAAGTGGGATGGTGGATCCTAGTGTGTCCCAGTCATCCATGAAAACTTCCACGCCTGCGTGCTGGGCAATGGCATTAATGTGAATAGGGGCGTTGGTACTGCCACCAATAGCGGCGTTTGCCACAATGGCATTCTCGAATGCCTCTCTAGTCATCAGATCACATGGCTTCCGATCTGCCTCTACCATCTCCACGATCCGTAGACCGGTTTCATAGGCACACTGGGCTCTGTGGCGGTATGCTGCGGGGATGGCTGCTGATCCTGGAAGTGCCATTCCCAATGATTCCGCGAGGGCATTCATTGTTGAAGCAGTTCCCATGGTGTTGCAGTGGCCGACTGAAGGTGTTCTGGGTTCCCATTAGCTTTCGATATTTTTTCTTGGATGGTTGGTCAGAACTAACCCTCTAGCAACATAGTCCATGAATTCATGCTCGTCAATTTCCCCTGTGGCATATAGCTCTCGCCCATGCCACAACACAGTGCCTGCGCCGGTCAAGGCTCCCTTGGAGTAGCCGTTGAGCATGGGACCCACGTTCATACAAATAGCAGGAATATTCTATGGAAAGTCAGCCTTGATACCTTGGTTTCCCGGGAATAATGGTACTCACCATAGTAGCTGCAGCCATCAAACAAGCCGGCGTGGTCTTATCGCACCCAGTGAGCAACACAACACCATCGAGGAAATACCCAGTCAAAATTTCCACCAACCCCAGATACGCAAGATTGCGATCAAGAGTCGCAGTAGGTCGTCTGGAAGTCTCCTGAATAGGATGCGTAGGGAATTCAAATGGAATACCACCAGCAGTCCGAATGCCTTCCCGTACCCGCTTCGAGAGTTCAATGTGGTGGCGATTGCAGGGCGCAATATCGGAACCCGTCTGAGCAATTCCAATCATGGGCTTCCCAGACATGAGTTCCTCTCTCGTGATACCGTAATTAAAATACCGCTCCATATAGATGGCCGTCATTCCAGGGTTACTGGCACAATCAAACCACGAAGACGATCGCAGTGTTCGACCTGGTTGCTTGACGGGGACTTGAGCATTGTCGCGGTCATTGGTCACACCCATGCGGGTTTCTAATTCTTGATTGCGTCGTCGCAGAGCTTGCAGCTCGCTGAGACAATCTTCAATGTTGATGGACTGGGGCTGAGGAGCATCATTGCTGCATGAGCAGCCCTCACAGGACTTTTTGTCTGAGCATGCCATGACGTGGGATGGAAGAGTATGTTGAGAGCATTCTAAGTGGGGGGAAATGGCAGATTATATATGGACGACCGTTCATTCGCGTCTGGGAACTGCGGAGGTCGGCTGAACAGTTTCCGACAGCGTGGGGTGGTGATGTCGCGACGAAGTGGGATGAGTTTTGCCTCTCGGGAAGTCATCGGCCGGATATTGGTCTTTCCTGGCATACAACTTTGACTTGTGCTCATTTCTTCCTTTCTTGCTTTTTCATTCATCCTCTCACAATGCAAGGAACCAACCACGTCAAATCAGTTCTCAGTCAGGGCAGGCTCGCACTGGGTGTGTGGCAGATGTTGCCCGGTAGCAACATGTCGCGCACTCTAGCACGAGCCGGATACGATTGGGTTCTGGTGGACTGTGAACATGGCAACATCGACGGTATGCAATTCTCAGTCAGATAGATCCCAGTGATACTCAAGATCTTCTAGATGCGGCAATGCACGAAGCCGTCCCCGCCATTACCTCATATGGAGTCAGTCCCATTGTCCGAGTCCCGGACTTCCAGTCATGGATGATCAAACGTAAGGAGTCTATCCTCACTTCACCTCGATATTCTAAACGTCATCTAGGCGCACTGGATGCGGGTGCGCACGGAGTTCTGGCCCCTCTAGTCAGAACAGTCGAAGACACCAAAAGCTTCGTCGAGGCATGTCGATTCCCACCACAGGGTCAGCGAGGCTTTGGCTCGCCATTCCCAATGGAACGCTTTGGTCCAAACGTGACTGCTACACAGTATCTCACCGAGGCAAATGCCAACCTCTTGCTAGCTGTGCAAATTGAGACCAAAGAAGCATTTGACAATGTCGAAGCTATTGCCGCTGTTGATGGGCTTGACTTGTTATTTGTGGGGCCATTCGATCTCGGCAATGGGATTGGGCACCCTGTACTGACTGGTACTTTCGCCCCTGAATTGGAACAGGCGATTGAGAAGGTTCTGGCTTCGGCTCACAAGGCTGGCAAGAAGGCTGGTATTTATTGTGGTAGTGGAACTCAGGCAAAGAAATATGCTGATCTTGGATACGACTTTGTCAATGTCGTTACGGATATTGGTGCTTTGACTAGCTCGCTGGCGAGTGAGATGCAAATTGTTACTCAGAAGACGGGGAAGACTGCTTCTGGGCCTTATGGTAACTAGAGGTGTCCGCCGTGAAACGATAGAATAGACGATATTTAGAATAAGCTTCATTTATCAATTGTATCGTTATTCATGCACCTAGAGAAGGCCAGAAAGAGAGTGATTCCACATCAACCTGGAAGCCTTGGGCAATCGCCTCAAGATCAAGATCGGACAATTCCAGGTTGAGCAATGGAGATCCGAAGCCAACGACACGCTCTGAGAATCCTTGTTCACCAGTAGAGTTGCTCAATTCTTCCATAGCAGCACTTTCACCCGGTAGACTCTGCAAAGAAATCCCTGTACGCTGATTTTCATCCGGGGCACTGATCCCCAAATGAGAAATCAGTCTGTCCAAATTCTCCTTGGCCTTCTCCGCAGCAGCATAGAGACGCGTATGCTCAACGAGGATATTGCGACAGAGCATTAAAGACTGAAAAACGGTAGAATTGCTTCCCTTCTGAGCAACAATCCGAGCGTGGATAGTCGCGCTGATGTAAGTGGCATAGGATAACATATATGGCGCGCTGCTTAATGAGAAGTGCTGGGAGTAATCATGCAATATTTGAACAATCTGATTCGCGGCTGACGTGCAGGCATTCACTGACTCGTGGGCAGTTGTTGTATTGATCACACCGCCATGGCTGCCTGTGATTAGCGGTCGATGTACCAGAATGATCAGCACATTGAATAAAGCCCTGGAGTTTGTCAGCTGGACTATCTTGTCTCGGCTTTGGATGTAAGGTTACGTACAGAAGACAGGCCGACTGGGGCAGAAGAACTGATTGACCTGGAAAGGATAGATAATCAAGCTGAGGTGTCAGGTTTTGTCTCCATTCTCTCAACAGAGATTTGATATCCTCCGAGACACTCTCTCTGTGAGTGACAGTTGAGTCTCGAGATTCGGAATATATTCCGCAGAGAATTCGTTCGACGATCGTTGTCAATGCACAGAATTTTGTAAGCAATGATACGTTCCATGAGGGAGTCACTTTATCTGGTTTTATGGCCGTATATGAGATATCCTGAAAGGGTTCCAGTTCATCGTAATCATCCAAGAAATCCAAAGATGCCCTCATGTTAACATGGTTGAGAAGAGGCGGTCTTCCTTGGAAAAGGCATTGGATCTTATCAATTACTGTAGACACATCAACTTTGATTCGTCAATTTCTTTGGGGAGATGCTAGACTCACAGTATGCACCCCAAAGTACTCGCTTCCGAATCTCAAGTTCCTCGGCAGAAATACTATCCGGGGTAGGCAGCACATGCAATCCGAGATCAATGAACATATTGAACGCATTGCCAGCATAAAGCCATGACAAACTCCTCTCGTCGCATCGCGAAAAAAGAGCATTAGACATAATCAACAATGCCTGGAGTGTGGTGATCTCGCTCTTGTCAAAGCAATCTCGCAACAGCTGAGTGAACCGTTGACGAAACTTCCATCCTGCAGTTGTAATATCATTTGGGTCTGAGCGAAGGTCGGGATCATCACAATGCTTCGACACTACAAAGTATATCGCATTTAGCAGCAACTTGGAGAAATACGGCCCTTCGCAGGCCATATCTCTCATGAATGCTGGCCGGTAGATTATCTGCGCTGTGTATAGTTGACGACTCCAGTATATAGCAAGGAGGTGCATGCCTAATTCGGGATCAATGCCGTCGAAGTCGAGGGTTCCTGCAGCTAGATTGAGTGACTCGAGTTGTCCTGTAAACACTCCATTAGTGTCAGGCCGATGGATCTTCTATGCGGTATGACTTACTCTGCCTCGCGGTCTGCGAGAAAAGAAGATGCCGTGTCATCTCTTCGATAGAATGATCATCCGCGGTTGGTCGATTCTGTCTGCTATAATTTGGACTCGTATCATCATAGACTGTACTCGTTGGACCATGATATAAGGATGTATTCCGGTGGTCGTTTTCCGGAACTTCTGGATGTGATGCATCTCTGGTTTCATGGGAAGAATCATTCCGCGAGAGACCAATGCCGCCTCCGGGCCTTGAAAATGGTAACGAGGTTCGCACTGGACTGGCCAAAGTGATGGGACTTGCTAGCTCCGAGTGAACTCTCCCAGTCGATCCGGCACTGCCGTTCCGTAGCTGTGTGCATTGCTGTCGGAGTATTTCATTCTCTTGTTCTAGTCTTGCAATGCGGTCATTGGTTGGCCTGGTTTTGTATAGTCAGCCCTATATGAATCGTCCGGGAGAATATATTTTATACCTTGGCTTTTGTAGTAGAGGACCTACCTGACAGTCGATGCCCTTGGCCAGGCAGTTGCTGCACTGCGGTCTCTGTGCATCACACTTCAACTGCTGATTATCAGCCTTTATTCTGCCTTTATAAACTTAGCACCGGACCTTTTTCTGGCGGCAGAACACGCATGCTGCCGCCGATCGGCTTCTTCGAGTTGGCATTGGTAGTCGGAAAGTCTCATTCCGAGATTTGCCCCCAACATCATCGGATATTACCGCCTTATATCTCAGGCCGTCAATCCACCTTAACTTAACTAGTTAATGTGTCTGAGCTTTGTGGGGGTGGCTGAAACTCATACATAGTAGGGTATTGGGGATCCCAAGCCAGTCAGTCAGACTTTCGTTAGCCCTAGCCCGGCAATGCCCAAGCATCTGCTTTACAGACCGGAATGTGGCGAGTGAGATCCTGGATGGCATCGAAAAAAAGTATTTGCCAGGCTTATAACCGTCAATTGTCCCTGCCGCCTAAGCGCGTATGTGAGATTTACCTCATGCCATTCCGTTGCATAGAGATCATAAGGTTCTACACGCACCCAAAAGCTCAGAGAGCAAAGATCCAAACCCAAGAAAGCACATGAAATCCCATAAATCGTAAATGTCTAACCCAAGGCAGAGCCCCATGAATGCCACGCTCATAATGCCACAAGAAAAGAAATAAGAACGCCAATGAATGCATCAGTTTCACGACCGCCATACCGGTGTAGCAATCAAAGCACATCAGAATCTCGAGTCTCCCGGATCAGACATATCGTCTGCCCCATTCTCAGTTCCCACCATCAGGACCAGGAACCTTTCCCCCAGACGCAACAACAACACGATCAACCTCCCCCCGACACTCAGGCATGGCACTCCTCATCTCACGAGCAAGCACATCCCGAAAACTCCCAAAAGCCTCCCGCTTCCCACGCAAATCCTGATTGCCACGCTGAACAAGCTCGACAAATTCACGTGTGTAGATGTCTGGGTTGCGGGCTGAATCGACATAGTCGATTATCTCCGGTGGGAGTTGGATGCTTGATAAGGGCGGGTTTGATGGGTCTGTGTTTTGGCTTTGCTCCTGTTGGGCTTCGCTGTTAGAAGGGGGTTGCGTGTGTGTTGAGAGGGTTGAGAGAGCTTGTGTGAGATTTTTGCTGTTGTACGTTGTTAACTCTTGTAAGTATTACTTTTTGGTATGTTGGTTTGGGGTTGCGGAGTGACATGGAGATGGGTCTTGAGGGTTTGAGCGCGATGTGGAGCAACTGAGGTTTGTAAATCGGTCGAGTGGCATTGTTGATAACGTACATCTTTCGCACTAGCTCTTGCTGTGTCTCTGGGCCTAGGTAACCGTGGACTGCGGATTGGATCTCGAAGAGATGTTGGATGACATCTTTGAGGTCATCTGTATAGAGTGTTAGCTTTGGGTTTCCGGCGCCGGTCAGGATAAACTTACCATCAACCGTCTTTAGTGTTACGGGTGCCATAGCTTCGGCTATGCCAAGAAGATGAGACTGAGCAAGGATCGAGTGAGGTTTGTCTTGATGTTGCGGGGAGAAAACAAAGGCGGTGAGCGAGATCGTATAGATCAAAGCACATGCGCAAATATTAACAGCTACTTTTCTTAGATATTTTAATGTTGGATAAAAATCAGAAAGTCCTTATGTAAGGTCCAATATGTCACTGTCTATATATGCATGGCTCGAGGGAACCAGTCATTCCCGGAGATGCGCCGAAAGGGCGAACACGTACACACGCTGAAACCGCATCATGTGAAACAAAAGACTTTCTATCCTGTACTCTACACTTCCCGGGTCCGCAAACTAGCGTATTTGGGGATTTCGATCTCCGTCTCCATCTCCATTCCAGAGAGACTGGGGAACCGCTTACTAAAGTTGGCTTCCCAGTCTTCAGGGCTTGCGGGGGTTGTTTGGAAGGACGGACTCTGACCGTGGCCTTTGCTGCTGCTGGGGCGCGAGGTGTCAGCGCCAACGCGCAAGTTCTTGGGCTTGGGCGGCGCGGTAGGTCTGGCTGTGGGGCGTTGCGTGGGCGGGTAGCTGGTGGTGTTGCCAGACTGTGGATGTCCCGCTGGTGCGCTGTTGTCTTCCCGGCGGTCTGGAGGGGCCATGGAACCTTCGCGGGCGCTGTAGCTAGGACCAGATGTTCTAGATGCGGGAATTTGACTGGGAATGGGTTGGGTTTCACTCTGCTTTGCCTGCAAAGGAGAGGAAGTCTCTGTGAACCGGCCATATCCAGTCGCTGTCTTCGGGGCGGTGGGCTTGTTAGACTCTCCGAGCAAGGACTTCATCTTGTCCTGGATGGTGCGGGAGCGAGGACCATCGCTAGCTGACCTTCCACCGTCACCCTTTTCAGCAACCCGGCGCCGATACTCAGCTGCAGCAGTGGCAACTCGTTTCTCTTCTTGTGAGAGTCGACGGCGCTCCAGCTCCCGGCGCATCTCTGGTGAAATGTCGTCGCGGTCTGCGTCTTCCAAAGCAATTTCATTGTCAGGAAAGAAGCCCTCTTCGCCGGAATCAGATCCCCCGATCAAAACCTGCTGGGGCACTCCCTCAGATGATGGTGTTGAGGGTTTGTCCTGGTTACCCGCCTCGAATCGGCGGAAAGCATCACCGAATCGTCCAGCAAACAGATTTTTGCCTCCTGAGAGTGAAAGACTGGAGAGACTGCCACGTTGCTTGTGCTTGTGGCTACCGCTAGAGCGTTTCTCACGCTTGCGGTTACTTTCCTCTTCCTCCATGGCTCGTAGATAATCGACGTCCGATGAAATCTTAGCCCGATCAGCCTCCCGGTCAACTTCGGTACGAACAGATCGTAGCGGTGCACCAATTTCATACTGGGCACGAGAAATATCCAAAGAGGAGCGGGGACTTTCTGAATCCCGTGACAAGTCAAACCTCGCAGGCGATTGTACTGAAAGGGGACGAGCTTTTGGTGCGGCAGACTTGGAGCGTCCCACGGAATCATTTACTTCTAATCCGGATGGGCGTCGCAAGGTCTCCATGGATGGCCGCGCAGAGTTAGACAAAGTCGAAACGCGGTCAGATGACAGGCGGGGGCTGGCTTCCGGCTTCAGGCTTGACAATGGAGGCGACGGTGCCTTGTCTTCTGCCTTCCGAGGTTGACTAGAAGGACGCTCGGTGTCGGACGATGGGAATCGATAAATCGGACGACTGGAGATCTTCGGCTCAGACAGACGAGGTGTTGTAGCGGGCGAAGTCATAGTACCGGTCGATACCATTGTTGGGCGCTGGGGAGTGGGTTGGTACAAGGGGGCTGGCGGCCGTGTAGGCACTTCGCGGGCATTGGGAGATCGCACGGGCGACGCTTCAGATGGCCGCTTGAAAGCTGGTTTCTGTTCGCGCTCGGGTGACTGATGGCGGGCAAAGGCGTCGTCAGCCAAGGCATTGGTGAGTCGCTGAGAAAGACCTTCATCCTCGGTCTTCGATTCTGCCACAGTTGGTTCAAACTCGAACGTATCACCCTTCTCGTGCAAGATATCAAATTGGTCCAACGATGGGAATCGTTTCGATGTCTCCTCTATCGTCTTCTTTCTGGAAGCACCACCATCTAAAACAGCGAATGGGTCAGAAGAGGAGCTACCAGCCGAGGCACGATACGGTGATGGACTGGGTCGCGCGGAGCTAGCGTGAGACGACTGGGGTTTCCCTGGTCTACCACGACGCATAGGCGCAATCTCTGGAATGATCTCGGTCTCCTGCACCGGAGGTGTGAAAGTTGCGCCAGGAGCCGGGGCTTCTACGGGCGTAGGAGGAAGCTCCTGGTACTTGCGCGCTTCGGAGACAGAGCGATTGGAATATATCTACCTCTTGTCAGTATCAAATGTCCATGAATGAAAAATGGATTACGAACGTCTTTGATCGGAACATCCTTGCCTTGCATCTTACACACATCACGCACTACCTCGTATATGTTCGGGCGGCTACGCGGGTCTTCCTTCAGCATTGAACCTGAGCCAATGTGTTAGTACCGGTTCGTCAGCCTCGAAAGTATTTCCGAACTCACCAATCAATAGCTTTAACCGAGGCGAGAAAGATGGGTAGGAGGGGTATTTGAAGGTCGCGTTGAGAATAGCCATCTGGCCAACCTCTTCAAAGGGAGTCGTATAGTAGCACAATTTGTACAAGAACACACCAAGTGCCCAGATATCACTCTTCTCATCGATGGGTTGCTTCCGGTAAACGTCAATCATCTCCGGGCTGCGGTACTGCAATGTCGTATGCCGCTGCACATCGTCTTCGATCAAACGACCTTCAGCAGCCGAGGTAGCAGCAGGACGAGGGGGTGCGGAGGATCCAAAATCACAGAGCTTGTAAGTGGCGGAGCTCCCCTTGCCCGAAATCAACACATTCTCAACTTTCAAATCACGATGGAGAAGAGGGGGCTTGAGGTAGTGCATACAAGCAACGCCCTCAGCCACATCCGAGAAAATCTTCACAATCTCCGGCTCGGTCAAACGGTGCTGAAGCCGGGTGTTCATGAAGTCAATCAGACCCCCGCCCGCGCAGTACTCCATAATCAGGAACACCTCATATCCGCCGCCGCGCAACTGCGAAGCATGCGAATCAATGTATTTCACAATATGCCGGTGGCCCTTGAGTTTCTTCATCGTTTCGACCTCGGTGCGCATATTAGCGAGGGCCGCTTTATCAGGCACGGCAACCCGCTTAAGCACGGCGGTCTCTGTGCCATTAACAGGTTGCGGCAATCGCACAACGTAGACATGAGCAAAGCCACCTTCAGAGAGGTACTTTTCTACTACCACGCGATGACTGCCGACCTGCACCTTGGTGCCCGGAAGCAAGGTCCCCGCAGGTGCAGTCGCTGCGGCGACGGGGTTGTAGGCGGGGAATTGACGTGACGTCGCGGAATGACCATGATGGGTTTGGGAGGACATGGTGGCACGGATGCCCTCAAAGGGCAGGTCAAAAATCGGATTTCAACGACTAGCGACGCGGCATAGAGAGGGAGAGGGGGAGAGGAGAACGGAGGGCGAATGTTGGAGTTGGATGCTAGAGAAGCTAAGGGGACAAGTTGGCGGGGAGGCGGAGACACGGGGGTAGTACCTGACTACCAAACAGCCGCAAAGGACAGAAATGAAGTTAAGTTGAGATAGGAAGAGGACGATCACTGCGATGCGAGAGAGCAATGGAATCCCTCAACACCGCCCAATCATCGGCTACGGATCACGTTCTGCCGAGTCCTCTCTCCCTCTCTCTCTCTCTCTACAGACTAACTTGGACTTCAAATAGCCCCAGTGGGCCACTCCAACAGCCCCATTCATCCCGTTTACTGACTCCAGTGACTCCGACTTACGGCCCTGACCTGGTCATGGCCTCGCATCTCATGCCCTGAGTCATGGGACCTGATTCCGGGTGGCCTGCGGAGTACCAACGATACGTCCACCAGGCACCAGTTACCCTCAACACTTCTTAAAGCCAAAGCAGGCCACAATAACCTCTCAGGGCTAGTGACCCACTACGTTCGAACGACCCCCAACCGCTTGACCGCAATACCAACTCGGGGGTTGTGATGTTCCGTGTCCCAAGTCAACCTTTTGAGGTCGTATTCGCCTAGGAAGTCTTGAGGGTCTCCGATTCCAATCATGGAATACCATGACGGCGTTGTATATGCACTCATAAGTCTGTAAAGAGTATGAACCATGATATCACCGTGTCTCACCTTATTGCCCGGAGATCAGGTGTCGAGGTGTCAAGGTGTCAAGGTGTCAAGGTGTCAAGGTGTCAAGGTGTCAAGGTGTCAAGGTGTCAAGGTGTTAATCTATGATGATGTAAGCAGTTCCTAAAAAGGAAAAACCAAAACAACAAAACACTTCCGACTTCAACTTGATAGTTGGGATGATACGTCTCATAATTTTGTCGTGAGACTAAAGATGCATATATTCCTATGCGAACACCCCGTTAAAATTGGGTTATCTTACATGTTCGCAGAGGGGCACTACTGTATTTACAGGTTCATCCCTTGACGTTCAAGGCTGCCTAGGGCCACTCATAAATGAGGCTTGAACCGCGTGGCATCCAAAGAATCCAATGTAATGTTAGATGTCGCATATCCAAAGTCAGTAAATGTCTTAGAAAGCAACCGTAGCCAAGATGTGATGGCCACGTCGAAGGTGCAGGAGTTGGCGCCGATCCTTAGCGGCTCCCACTTCCAAACAAATCCCCCGTGGCAACACACTCTCACTCTCCATCTTTCGCTCTGCTTTTGCGCTTTGAGATCCAGGATATCTGTGCATCTCCCCACTGGTCCTGGTGTTTTTTGAGGCACAGATATCTCTCCAAGCACTGAGGCCTTGGGCACTCAGTGCAACTTTGACCCAACTGAACATGACCTGGCAATTGACGTTTAACCACGAGATCTTGTCTAACTAGGTTTGACCCTCAATCCAGGTCCTAGGTCGGTCATTTCATATATATAAACATATATCGACTGAGGCTGCGCTGCGCTTGCCTTGCTATATATCACATTTCCCTTGATCCGACATGGACGAGGGCCCGCCGCCGCCGCCGCCGCCGCCGCATGGCGAGAACCCGCATACCACGGAGGGTGAATACCGCAAGTCCTCCGATCTTCCTCAGGGCAACTACGATATCTTCATTGTCCCGCCTCATTCCGCTGGCTCGGGTTTCCTCTACCTTCCATCTTTACAATGCAACCGAAACAGTTTCCTGGCTGGTGTCGCTAGTACGCTACTAGTCGTGCTAGTTTGGGTTCTTATATCTCCAATCTTGAAGGCATGGTATATAGCCTCCGTCGGCAGTGGCAGTGGAATGGGCATGGCAGTGGTCGCCCTCGGACTAGGCTTCGCTGGGTGGGCATTTGGGTCCGCCCAGTCTGGTATCGCTGGGGGTAATGGCAATGGCAGTGGCGGCGCTCGAGGAACACGGTTTGGCTTCAACGGTTCCGGGGGTCCTGGAGGTCCTGGAGGCCCGGGTGGCCCCGGCAACGGTGGGCCAAACAGCAACCAGAACTCCTCCGGCGCCGGCTATGGCCAAGGTACAAACTATGGCGACGGTGGAGGTCAACGACAACAGCAGGGAGGAAATTTTGGTGGACAACAACGTGGCGGTCAGTATTCTGGAAATCAACGTGGTGGGCCTCCTCCAAACGCTGATAATGAGAAGCGTGAAAAGGAAGAGGCCGAAAGGCGCGCCAAGGAGGAACGAGCTAAGGAAGAACGGACCAAGGAGGAACGGGCCAGGCAGGAACGAGCCAGAGAGGAACGAGCCAGGGAGCAGCAGGCCAAAGAAGATCGTGCTCGAGAGGAGCGAGCCAGGGAAGAACGCGCGAGGGAAGAAAGGGCCAGAGAGCAGCGTGCCAAGGAAGAGAGGCTTAAAGAGGAACGAGCTAGGGAGGAGCGTGCGAAAGCGGAGCGTGCTGCAAAAGAAGCTCGTGCCAAGGAGGATGCTGAACGGGACCGCGCCAAAGAAGAGGCTAAGCGGAAAGAGGACTTGCGCCGCAAGATGGATGAGTTCAAGCGCAAACGCGAAGCAGAAGCCAAGGAGAAGGAGAAGAAGCGTGAGCGCGAGGCCATGGAGAAAGAACTTCAGGAGCGCCGCGAGCAACTTGAGAAGGAAATGGCCGCAGCTAGGGCAGCCGCCGAGAAAGAGGCTCGCGATCGATTGGAGAAAGAAGCCGCAGAGGCTCGTGAGAGGGCCGCAAAGGCTGAAGCCGATGCCAAAGCCAGAGCCGCAAAGCTGGAAGCAGAAGCCAAAGAGCGAGCTGCCAAAGCTGCTGCTGAAAAAGAGGCCGCTGCAAAGGAAGCCGCCCACAAGGAAGCCATGGCTAGGTTTGCGGCCCTCAAAGAGGCAGCTAGCAAAAAGTATGCCGAGAAAAAAGCCCAAGACGCAAAGAAAGAGGCCGCTGCCAAGCCACCTCCTAAGCCCGCCAGTGCTGGCAATCCTCCTCGAACGCCTTCTCCCAAAAAGCAGCCTCATCCAACCGCCAACACAGCTGTCGAAGATGATGCCTATTCCTTTCGACCCTACGACAGACCACGGCGTCCTTACGCGGCTGCAACCTCGGTCTACTCAGAGTCCTCTTATACGCCTTCTCACTCGACTGCACGCACTACTCCTCCACCATCACATCGCAGCTCATACTCAACCAAGGATCCCGACAAGATCGTGATTCAAGGTGTTTACGCCTTCAACAATGCCTTTATGAAAACACCTATCGCGCAGCTCGTCTCCGGACAAGGCATGATAACCGACGGTCTAGTGCTCCGGATCACAACCGAGGGTCTCTTTATCGACGACGACCTGCGCGGCATCGGCCAGCGCGAATGGGACGTCAAGGCGTGGACCCTTAAGCTAGCCGAGGTCTGGTGTCCACAAGGGAACGCACCGAGCTCCGCTAAACAGCAATCCAGCAACCCCTTCTCTTTCAAACGTGGGAACAATGTCCCCACAAACGAAGAGTCGGAGGCGTTTCTTGGAAATCTTCTCAAAGTCTGCAAGAACACTTGCCGTCTTGCTACGCCCGGTGCATGCTTTTCTCGCAGCGCTGCGGGTAGTGGTGTCAATGAAGGCGGCAAGACTGACTTTCGTGGGCTCCATGTTCTACGTGCTAGTCTGCGCGATCAGGAAGGCAAGAAATATGTCTTCGTCTTGCAGGACACCGAAGCGTGGAAGGTTGCTATTGGACTTCAGCGATTGCGGGCTGGTGCTCTAGTCCGCGCACTGGGTGTATCAGCCATGCCTGTCCCAGAATGCAAGACTATGCTCGGTGCTCTTGGCTATGTTTGATGACATCTAACGTCAATGCTGCTTGCCGAGTCTCATCGCATCTCAATTTTGCTGCGTGTCTCTTTGATTTGATTTGATTTGATTTGCGTTCCTCACTTTCCATCTTCATCTTCATTTACATATTATATGCCCATGCCCTTTTTGTGTTCGACTGTTCTATTTGATCGTCATCCCTCATAAGCGGCGGAGTTTGCTTTATGCTGTTCTGTCTCCTATATCCATTCGCTTTCTTGTTGCCTTGCCAGTTCCCATCCCCAGATTTTTGAGATATCCCCCTTGTCATGATCATGTTTTGAGTTATTCCTTTTTATTGCTGAGTACAATTTTTTTACCATGAGAGTACATACCACACAACCTTTGCGACAGTGATCTAATTATCCATGTTAATCTTACAAATGCATAACATGAATATATCCTTTCAGAGACAGACTACAACCGAAAAGGTGGAAGGGAAAGAGAGTAAAGACATGCTTCAGAAGTCGATTGATTTTGGTCTCATGTAGATGTATGCACGCTGTATGCCGCTCCCTGATCTAGGAGCGTCGTAATGCAACGGCCAAGAAACGAATCTCCCAATCAAGAAATCAAGAAGCCCCCCAAAACAAAGAACCAGGAGCTTGCACAAACGCCGGAAATGGTCTGTCGGAAATATCTTGTGTATATTGTGTGCGCACATGCATCTCCGAGTCTCTCATAATGATGCACCATTTTCGTAGATTCATACAGATTCCAACAAACATATACAGCCACACGATGAGGCATAAGAGATAAGAGATGAAGAAAACAAGAAAGGGATGCAATAAGAAGAGCAAAGAAGAGAGAAGAAAAAAAGAACAAATCTATCATATCGGGAATCATATGGGCGTTTCCTTAGAAACAGAAAACATGGCGAGAAACATCGTGTGGTGCGAACAAAGGGCCGAAAACAAAAATGACGCCCTGGCTTCCGCCAAATCAATGTATAGGATATCGAGGTGTAACTCCAACTCCGGTCGAACACATGCGAATTCCTTTTTTCTGACGCGTCATTCACTCCATATAGGGATATAAATGATGCGAGAGAATCGGTGAGGGTGTGGGATGGTGACCTATAGACTGCCCGCGGCTGTCTTCATCTTCATCTAGAAGGGGAAACCGCCGCCGCGAGACTGGCCGCCGAAGGGGTGACCGCCAGCAGAGGCGAAGCCTCCACCGCCGCCGCCGCCGCCGTTCATCATGTTGAACAGGATGTTGGGGTCGATATTGATGTGGCTGGCTCCGCCGCCCATGCCACCCATACCGCCCATACCTCCCATTCCACCCATACCACCCATGCCTCCCATACCGCCGAAGCCGCCGCCTCCAAACATGTCGGCGGGGTCCATCAGGTCGTCTCCATTATCATAAGCAGCACGTTTCCTAGGATGCAGGTTAGTTTTTGTTGACTTCTGATAAGTAGCCGAGTGTGAACTTACTGAGAATCGATGAGAGTTTCGTAAGCCTCGCCGACCTCCTTGAACTTCTCATCACCGGCTTCACCGTCACGGTTCTTATCCGGGTGGTACTGAATGGCCATCTTGCGGTAGGCCTTCTTGATCTCGGTCTCGGTGGCATCCTTGGTGACCCCAAGAATCTTGTAGTAATCCTTACGCTGCGACTTCTTAAGCTCGAACTCGGCACGGCGGATCTCCTCCGCAATGCCCTTCTCGCTGGGGTTGTTCTCGGCAACGTTCTTGTAATCGCGGACAGCATCCTCCCAGTTATCGGCACCGCCATTGGCCTTGGCACGAGTCTTCATAGCCTTGACATAGCCGGGGTCGAGACGCAAGGCCTCAGTGCAGTCCTGAATAGCAGAATCATACTCCTTGAGGTTGATGTAGGCCTGAGCACGGTTACCAAGGATCTTAGCGTTCATATCCTTGTTGGTGGGGTCGACCTCGAGAGCTTGGGCCCAGAGATCGATGGCGCGGCGGTAGTCCTTCGCCTTGAAAGCAGTGTTTCCTTCCTCCTTGGTGCGGGCCAACTTCTGTACGATTCGCAGCAATTTAATCGCCTGCTTCATGTCCGGGTCCAGCCCGAGGCACATCTTCAGGAGCTTCAGCGCCTGCTCGGACTCACCGGAGGCGTAGAAAGCACGGGCACGGATCATCATGGCATCCGGGTCCTGGCTGTTCTCGCGCAGCAAGCCGATCGCGATGTCCTGTGCCTTACCGAGCGAGTTGCTGTTGTTCAACCTCAGCTGGGCCTCGGCAGCCAGAAGTGTCCACTTGCGAGGCTCTTTCACCCCTTGCCCGAGTCCTTGCCGGGCCTGGTCCAAACAGAAGATGACCATTGACACTCCGCGGTCCTCTGCTAATGTCTCCTCGGCTTGTGTGACAAATCGCAGCATCTTCTCAGCGGGGGCTTTGTCGGTCGCGGAAACCGAGGGCTGGATCTGCGACAGGACGTTCAGGGCCTCTTGTGGGCGACCCAGGCTGGTCAGGATCTTTGCCCAGCGGTGCATAATCTTGGGGTTGTTGGGATCGAGGTCGTTGGAGCGCTCAATATCCTCAAGCGCATTCACGTACTGCTTAGCGGACATGTAGGCCGCGGCGCGGTTGGACAGGTAGGCCGAGGAGTTGGGGTTGATCTCAATGGCTGTTGATAATTATTCATCAGCGATCCGTATCGTCTCAACTAGACCAATTCCGACATGGAGGAGATGCATACCCTTGTTGTATTCCTGGATCGCACGGTAGTAGTTGCCATCTTTGAAGAACTTGTTACCGGCCAGCTTGAACGAGTCCGCCTCATCGGCAGACGAGGAGTTCGGCTGGTGAGGTGGAGGAGTCGGGCTCCGTTCCTCCTTTGTGCCGTTCTCCTGGGAATCGATATCCATAGAGCTCCGTTCCTCTCTAGATGCGGCCATGGCGGACAATCGACGGCGTAGCTCGTCAGGCGGGAGATTAAGCGGGTGTATGTCCTGGTCACGCGAAGACCGGGCAAACTTGAAACTAGACGTTGGTCCCGAACTTGAAGACGAGCGACTATGAGAGAAATATGTCTTTGATTTGGCGGGGGGCTTAGTGGGCGAAGGAGAGGATTTGGAGGGCGACTTTGAAGATGACTTGGTAGGTGACTTGGAAGGCGACTTGGAGGATTTGCGCGAAGCGGAGAAGGAATTTCTCGGTGATGGGGTATCAGAATCTTTCTCCTTGTCCTTGTCTTTCTTGAAGATATGGGCGAGTTGGACCATTGGGTGGGGGGGGAAGAGGCGTTCGGGGGAATTTTTTTTCTATCGAAGGCGGTAGAACCGGGGAGATTTCCAAAGATCTCAGCTTCAGAGGTCGAATGATATATGTTATGTTCGCACCATATCAATCCGTTCTGGTCATGTTAAAAAATAGGCCAAATGAACTCCCAAATGCACTGTCAAATGAGCTGCCAAATACAATTCTGTCGCAAAATTGGACTGTGCTTTATGAACGCTCTGTGAAGTTGTCACCAAGCCGAAGTATGGGAGGGTATGGGGTGAAGACAAGAGAAGAAATCGTCCGACCTTTTCCCTTATAATATATTTCTATTTTCCCTATTGAGCCCTCCCCTCTCAGGCAAATAATTCAGAGGCTGGAGAGCTACTGGTCTGTGTTAGCGCGCAAAAGAACTGGAGCAATGGAGTCGCTACATGCATTTCGCGCCGGAAATCTTCCCCCCAGCCGCTGGAAAAATCAGGTCAGGTTGATTCGAGAACCTTCTTCTAACAACACGCATGAAGACTTGATCACCCCCTCAACCAAAGTGGGCAGGGATGGCGAGGCTGTCTATAACTCGCAGTGGAGCGGTGGATCCAACATGCAGTTTGCTTCGCTGACGGTGACAGGCATACGTCCGACGCTGTGACTGGCGTCTTGAAGAGGGGAACCCCCCTGCACTGGGCTTTCCTGTCACGGATATGCTATGGGTACTAAAACATGTCTCGGCCAATCCAGGTAGACTGTCGTGTCTTTTGCCCCGGGGTAATATATCGGGTGAGTCTTGGCTCTGAGATATATACAGATGTGGTGGTCTCGATCATCCTTTCTTAGACATCTTTCGATGTGTCTTATCCAGCACCGTTTCACCCAACGGTCTGATTCGATGTGCTTGATATCATTCTTGTCCGGCGGAATCCTCGGTCAACAAACCATGCCACATGGGCCGCTTTAAAACCATTGGTCAGCGCTTAGTTCTTTCTGATGCTTATTTTCATATCGTATTTGATCATAATAAGTCAATGGGTCAATGGTAAGACTCACAAAGTTGTCAAGAAATGGAATGAAAGCCTCAAACAGGCGGTGAGACCAATATTGAACACGTCGATTCAGACTTGGTGAAGACCCCCTGAGAGATGAACTTCATCTGTAGGAGTTCGGATATTATTGGTTTTGGCTTCAATAACTTTTCAGCCACTGCCATAACCGAAACTCTCAGTTATGTTGGCATATAACGTAGTTCGGCCCGCAATCCGTATAGATGTTACCATCGCGACCGACGTGGAGACTAGCGCACCTCATCTGCAATCACAAATCAGATATGTAGCCCCCGATTATGCCGGTAGGTTCTGCCTCCTTTCCGCGATGTCGATCCATCTGGAAAGGCGCGCATCTCTTAGCCGCATCTGCGTTGAAGCATATCTGTGGCTGCCATAAGGCAGGGGCTGGTCCATCTGATGATCGACACTCACGCGACCAGAACTAGGGCTGAATGATGAATCGATTTGATATGGCGACATCGATGAAATCGGCGAAATAGGTGAGGATCCTGACGACCGTGGTCTGTTTCGGGTCTGAAGGTCGGGTGTACGCGGCCTGTCTCTGTGTCCAACTACCCAATGCTGTTCATCTTCGAGCCAGACCAGAGGTTGGCAGGTCTGCGGTCGTCTGGGGAGTGACGTTGATCGGGGATTGGACGATGTGAACGGAGGAATTTCATGTTCATGTGAAGGGTAATAGTAGGCTGGGAATATCTCGTTGGATGGACTCGGGCTTCTCCTTCCTCTGTGGGCGGGGGTTCGTCGGAGATTGGGGTCGATTGAGGGTCCAGATGGCCAGTCCTCTCTTCTTTGATATTGTTGTGATGTAGTGTCTTTCGCGGCCGGTGCTGGTGGTAGGGGTTTCCAGACCAGGATGTTGGTAATGCTGGTATCTGGAGGGGGCGCGTGTATGTGAATCCGGGGGTTTGTGGGTATTCCTGGCACACTGAGTCGAGGATTTTCAATCGGAGGACCCTCCAGAGATGAAAGGTCCATTGGTGGAATATCGAACTTGGTTGGCTGTGGGGATGTTGTGTTCAGTTTGCGTAAACAGGGACAACAGCACATTGCGTGGACAATATATGACCAGAGTCCGGTATATGCTATCTTAAGACACAAGGGCATGAAGATCGTCGCGAGAGCTCGTAACCAAGCCGAAAATAAATCCTGGACATGAGATATAGGACACGACAAGTATAAGACCAAGACTACGGCCTGTCCTGCCTCACTTGGAACGAAGGATCGCAGCATAAGCCTTGCAAGGCGTGGCGCAGATTATTATAGAATCAACCCCATACTTTAGACTCATAGCGCATCCTTAGGGCTAATAGCTCAAACCGGGATCCCAACGCATATTTTTTATTATTTCTCGCCAGCTCAGCACTCATCGTGACCGCTCATTGCCCCCTATGAGCAGCATTTCCTTGTCCTGGAAGCGGCCGGAGGATTTGGCCAAGAGCGGAAAGTGGGCGAACATCCTACTGTCATCCTGAAACTGATTAGCTTAGCCTCTCGGTTCAATTTGGGGTCCAAACTCCCGCACTACAAGAAAGAGTATAGAAGGATCCCCTCTCACCGCAAGGACCGGATAGCGTCATATGGAGACGGTCTTCTCCGAGCCTGCCGCTCCAGTCTAGAAATTACATGGCACAGGTATGAAACCCCAAGCCAAAAGAAAGCACAAATTGTAATAGAAGGGGCCGTGGCTCTTTGGACCCCACAGGTGCGGATACATCGCTTAGATCGGAGTCAAGCAGTGATGTTAGGTGAGGTTGGTCACAAAGACACTGTATGTTCCTAGAAACCATACCAAATGCTTGTTTCTAGAGGACGGTGAGATTCATTGATATCAAAGCATTTCAAGGGGTGGAAGTAGATAATGTGCAGTGCAGTACTCCATAGTAGCATGGGCCCTGCAGTCCCAAATCACTAGCGGGTCTCTCTATTTTTGTCAGCCAATCACATATGATCACAATACAGAAAATCGTCCAGTCGTATAAACATGGGCAACGTCCCCGTAGCAATACAGCGTTGAACGAGAGTCAACGTATGCAAATAAGCCCCTAGATGTGTGGGGCGATACCCCGATGACCAAAGTACTAATTAAAGATCAATCAGCTTTGTTTTGATGTTTTCAAACTGGCGTCTGGATATGCCGCTATTTAGCACCGCCACCCCGACATCAAAGACCCGAACTCGGGAGTTCACCCGGGGCGAACAGTCCCTCTCTACGTGTAATTAAGGGTCCTCTATGTTCCCCCCTGTTTCAGATCCACAGAACAATCCGTCAAAAAAGGCTGCATCAATACCTTGTAGATCACTTTGATCGCGTAGAAATTCCATGGAATCAAAGAATTCCGCATTTTGCTCATCAGACCTATGTTGAGACCCTGGTGGAGCGACTTGGTGAGCGCTCGACAGTCTAGTGCCCGAATATGGATAACCCATCATGGACATAACATCGTATCCAAATGGCGGCTGCTGGTAATCTTCGCTCGGCTGACTGGGGCTGAATACATTCGAAAAAGGCATGGTTGAAGGTTTGAGATCGTGCTGACCCAATGTCTTGACAGCCTTTGAAATCACACCTCGTTCAAACGTAATGGCGCCAAAATATGGAATGTGGACTTGTAAGATCTTGCCGTTGTCGGTCAATCTGCCATCATACTCAAGCCCCCCGTCATCTCCCTTAGGGCTTGTGCTATACACCTCACCCCTGGCAGCGTTGGCTTCGATTGTGAGAAGATGATGAATAATTCGCGTGAGTTTGTAGGCAATCAAATCAATTTCATCCCGGGCCATAGACTCGATGATTTCCAAGGCACACTCCATGGAACCACGGTCACTTGGACGACTGTGAACCAGGCATTCAAACCCAGCGTGTGCGTCCGAGCTCTCACTCCCTCGAGACTGGCTTCGAGAGTTGATGTGAGCAATGCAAAGTATGCAAATGGCAATAAATGCAAGAAAATCACAGCCACGACAGTAAAAGTGTGCCGGATTCGAGGCACGGAATGCAATGTAACGGGACAGTATTTCGCGGCTGGCATTGATGGCAATCATCTTACTATGATTGGCCCATTCATCGGACGAGGAAAATATGTAGGGTAGGTGCAGTCGTATAAGCATGTGATAGTGTGTAAGCTGATCCATTATACGAAGTGTATCCCGAAGAAGTTTTGAGTCGTCGTCCTTGCAGGGTCTGAAGTTTGGAACCAGCCACCATTTAGGTTCCATCTCATCTGCAGCTTTGCGTAACCGCATATCGTCCTCTTGCACATTGATAGAGCTGTTGATTCCACCATTAGTTCGCTCAATGATACGACCCGCAACGGCGCAGTGGATGCGTTGCATTCGTTCAGTTGGGCTGCGATCTTCCAATGACTGGGGGGTAGATAACCGGTCTTCCAGTGAGGTGTGTGGCAAGCCCAGCATAATTGACAGATAGCGATCCATTTGAATCAACTTGAAATAAGTTTGAGCAGGGTTGAATGCCATTCGAGTTTCGGGCTCAAGGAATTTCAGGGACGGCGAGACAAGACCACGCTGGAGATTCATCATTTGGGCAACGGTTATTGCTCGGTGCATTGCCATCCATGCACGATGGAGATTTCCAGCGTAGTTCTGGTATACAGCCTCGAGCATTATGCATTCCATACCCTCGACGGACCGGATGAGGTCTTCATTGGTTGTCACAAGGCTGGTGGCTCTGTCAATGACACGAGTCATGATTGAGCGGATAGAAATATCGGTCCTTTCCAAATCTTGGAGACAAGAAGGGGGAATTCCCTGTAGAAAAATGCCAAGGACAAGAAGCTTACGGGCGATCAGCACCGGGTGGTTGTCCGACTCAGGAATTTGAAGCATCTTCCTCGGGGATGATAGAGCTTCATCGGTAAAAGTAGACGAGGACGTGCATGTTCCGCAGAATAGTTGGACTGAAACTCCCGTTGGAAGGCTACAAATAATCTCAGCATCATTTTTACTAGGCCAGGCTGCGATAAGATTGCGAGCCAGTTCTTGATGATGGCTTGAATATAGCCTGTGTGAGACCAATGGTGACTTCAACGGGGTCCTTTGAATGGAATTTCTGTCGTGATCCAAGTCTTGCTTTTCGGGTGTTAGAATGTCATGTTATTACCACTCACAGAAAGCAGGCAAACTTACAACGGTGTGGTTTATAGGTGATACTATCCCTGGCTGGCAATCCTCTGCATCCTCTGGTGTCGCCGATGCCGAGTAGGAAATCGTCTGTATTTCAGGACATGCTTCATTCTTATTTCGCAACCGGTCAAGCAGGTCTTCTACTCGACGTAGTCGGCCCTCGACCTTATTGCTGCTCGCAGAGACCGGCTTATCAGGATACTCCTGGCTGATACAAGTGCTACCGCGTCTTCGACAATTATTGCATGAATGGGCCGAAGAGCTGAAAATGCACCGGACCTTTCGTTTCTTGCATTCCCAGCAGCTTTGGGTTCCCTTCCGAGTCTTTCTTCGCTGCACTTCGGCTCTGTCTTTGTGGCGAATCACTGGTTCCATGGCGTTGAACACTTTCTTTCCAAGCAGCTGGATACATTCAAGGCCCTTGCATTATATTGGATATCACTTCAGTCTAGAGGTGAATGTTTGAATAAGCTACTAGGTCGCCCGAGCTCAGCTGACTGACATTCCCGAGCTCGGTGGAAGGCATGACAAACCCACTCGGTGATTCGACCGAACCTCGGTGGAAACCTCTATATAGATCGCAAAAAAACACCTTGGCTATTCTTTTCAAATACCCAGTTCAAGAAGTTTTTACGGAGAATAAATCCGAAGTTCATGCGAAATGGTCAAGATTGCGATAGCTGGCGGCTCTGGGAGTGCGTACTTCTTGTATCCCAACGTGTACAGCAGCGTTACTGATGACTCGATAGATGTCGCACAGGAGATAATTGATGTTCTACTGGAGACTAAGAAACATGAGATCATTATCATGTCGAGAAAGGTACACAACCTGCTATTATATATCGGACTTTGGGTTCTAACGTTTTAACACAGAGGGATTCGGGTGCAGAGGCTATCTCAGGCATAACATGGGTCCAGACAGACTACAAGGACCCAGACCAGCTAGCACAGATATTGCAGGGAGTCCACACCCTGCTTTCTTTCGCTACAGAGCAGGATGATCCAAATAGTCCAGTACAAAAAAGGCTTATCGACGCTGCAGTTCAAGCAGGTGTGAAGCGCTTTGCGCCTAGCGAGTGGGCTACGTAAGATCCCTCTATGCGTGAAGTTTCTTTTGCTCATTTGTGATCTGTAGATCCGGGTTGGAGCATCTTGGATGGTACGGCTACAAAGGTGAAATCCGCCGATACCTTAGAGAGCTGAACAGGGACAAAAAGGTAAGGCCTGGAGACACTTCTGATATACTGCAAGAACCTGACGCCATGATTGAATACAGGTCCTGCAATACACGCTGTTCCAACCTGGCTTGTTTGTGAATTATTTGACTCGTCCTTACAAGACAACCAAGCACATTCACCAGATCGAAATTCCATTCGATTTCGCAAACCGACGATTCATCACCATTGATGGCAGCGATAATGATCAAATTACCCTCACTACAGTGAAGGATCTCGCCAATGTCGTCGCCAGAGCCATTGATTTTGAGGGTGAGTGGCCGGTTGTCGGGGGTATTCAAGGTACCAATATTTCGCTCGGTCAGCTTTTGGCTCTCGGTAAAACAGTGCGCGGTGAGTGACACTAATCGATGTATATATGCAATAATTTCAGACTTACTCATATTTGGTCCAATAGGAGGCCTTCCATTCCTCGTTGAGAGGGTGAAAGCAGAAGAACTCAAAGATGGGACATGGCAAACCTCATGGGTTCCGATAGTCGACCATCCTTCGATCCCACCAGACCAGCTTGATGTGTTCTCAAGAATTGGCGTCGCCGGAATTTTGTTGGCTTTTTCTGCAAAGGCATTTGTTGTCTCAGATGAGTGGAATCAACTTCTGCCAGACTACAAGTTCACTCAAGCGGAAGAGTTCTTGGCTTCGGAGTGGAGTGGTAAGCCATGAAGAGCAATTTAGCCAACTTCAGGCAGCCATTGGATTTTGAGAATAATGAGACTCATTTTGCGTGGGTTACTTGTCTTCGTAAATACCCGTGGGGCCTCACACTCCTCTTGTCTCATATTTGAAGGTATGGCACGCTTCAAGTTTCTTCTAGTTTCACTTGAGTTAATATATGCTACTATTTTATACGTACAATTTAATTCCATAATTAACGGCCCTCATGTGCACTTGAAGGCTGTAAATAAGTATGAGATTGCCCTGATAGGCCTTCCCAAATAAGAAAAAGTCCTCCATGGCCGTGATTTTGAGCTAATACTACTTGGATATATTCCTAGAGATAATTTACAATCTAGATTCTTTCAACGCCCATTTAATTTTGAGAAGTGATAGCATATCCAAAACCCTCGGTATGATATGCATGACAGATCCAAAGCAATTTAGTATAGTGACCCAACAAATTTCGACGATCATGTTTGACCCAAATTATAAGATTATTATTCGGTATTTTCAGGCGGGAAAGGGAAAGAATTGGGGAACACATCACACCGTCTCAAAGTGGCTTAGCATACTATAGACATCGGCTTTAGGGTTCGAGAAGCAATCAACTTGTAACAGGGCAGGTGACCCCGATTCTGGATAGTACTGTAACAATACCGAGCGGTTTCCATTCCAATCACAATGTGTCACATATTCAGCCCTAGGACGCCCCAGATAGACGCTAACACGAAGAAGCCAAGGGGCAGGGGGAGGACGCAGATTGGAGGGAGGGGACTCCGTACTACGTTAGAGACCTAATCTGGCTACGGATCAGGGGTCAGATAGAATACGTTTTGGCATCGCAACTCGTGATAGATTAAGAAGAATATCTAAACAAGTCTGGATACATTCCACAAAGGTTACGGGCGCTGGAAAGATAGAAAAGGTGCAAAGCTGTCATGGTTTACATTAAGGTCGTGCTCAAGCCACCAGCGAGCTTCACACAACTCCGAAGCTATCCAGGATGCCCAAGAAGAGTAAAAAATAGAAAAATATGTATATAAAAAAAGGGCAAAGCAAAAAACGGATAGTCATATCCAGTCAGAAAACAATAGTTTCAAGGTAATCACCAAAACACTAAATAACACAATCCACCTATGATATCACCTCCCATGGTCACTCCGGTAATTGCTACAGCTACAGCGAGACTAGATCATCAAGACCTGGTTACTTGCAGAAGTGCATCACTGAAGAGATCATTTAAGCCAGAACGAAGGCAGCGATGGCGGCGAAGCCAGCGAAGCCGACGGAGCCAGAGAGAGCACCGGCACCGTTGAAGGCGGGGGAGGAGGCGGCGGGGGTGGCAGAGGCAGTGCCGGAGGGGGAGACACCGGAGGGAGAAACACCGGAGGGACCCTTGGCACCGGAGGGGTGAGGGACACCGCCGTTACCGCCGTTGCCAGCACCGGGGGCGGTGGCGGAGGGGGTAACAGTGGAGTAGATGACGGTGGGGATGCAAGTAGTGATGGCAACAACCGAGGGGTACCGCCGGTGGTGACGGGGGAAACACCGGTGCTCATGGAGGGAGCAACGGGGGGAACACCGGAGGAGGCACCGGAGGGAGCAGCGCTGGAAGCGGGAGCAGTCCAGGCGGGGGTCTCGGAGGACCAGACGGGGGTCTCGGAGGACCAGGCGGGGGTCTCGGAAGACTCAGCGCTGACAGCGGGGGCGCTGCTGGTAGGGACAGCAGGGGCGCTGGTGGTGATGGCGGGGGTGCCAGTGGCCTCAGCGCTGGTGCGGCCGGGGCAGTCGGTGACAGTGGGAGCGCAGGAGGTGATGGTAACCTCGTCAGTCTCGTAGACGGTCTGGTCAGCAGCACCGGGGGCGGCAACGGCAAGGCCGGCGAAGAAGGCAACAGTGGCGGCAGTGAAACGCATTTTGAATGTATATACGGAAAACCGGGGGTTGTTCAAAAAGGTTATATAAAAAGCGTAGCTTTTGTAGAAAGAGAGTTGGTAGTTGGTAAAGAGTGGAAGACCGAAGTCGAAGAGAGTGACTGGATGCTGTGCAACGAAGTGTTTACTTGAAGAAGAAAGAAAGAAAGGACAGGATGGGGAGGCAGGGGCCCTTTGTATGAACGGGGAGATTAGTGTCAAGATCAGCACAACACGCTTTGCCCCTAAAAAAAGGGGAAACACAGTTCCTGAGAGTGTATTGGGTACCTGATTGACCGATTACTTGCGCTCTGTGCTTTGTCCGTTTCGTCATGACCAAATGACTGTAATTTTGGACTAGTGTGGGCTAGCGTGAGTCTCGCAACGCCGATCGCACCATTGCATTTGGACCGTCGAGACAGACGGTGACAATACAGGTCAGGAGACCTCGAAAGCCCTGATGTCGAGTATACTGCAATGCAACCTTCTGTCTACATCTGTTTGTCTTGATTTCCCTTTCTTGTTTTTCTCCTTCCCTTCTGGGTGTCATTTGACCGTTTCTGCCCAGCCAAATAAACACAATGAAGCTGTTTCAGACCGCACCGCCGATCCACTACCCGTTCCTGGCGTCCCAGTTGCAGTTCTCCCCGTGGGTCTCTATCTGACTCCACTTACCCCTGAATAGCCCGCGAATGTATTTTGCCAAGAACCGTATTGTGCAAGGGCGAAGCCACGGTGATGTGCACTTTACCTGCGAAATTGAGGTTGGTCCTTACTCCGGATGTTCATCTAAACAGGAAACTAAACACTCGGTGGCTCTCTGACTGGGTGCTGCGCCTGTCGGCGTGAATCGCCGAGACACGGTATTTTACTTTCCCATTACTGTACTTTGCTCTGATGGCGTAGTGTGGAGCACTAATAATGGGACTGTGCTGTGTCCTCCGGGGGACTGGGTAAATTGTCGACCGAGAGTGTCTCGCTTTGTTGACTGCCTGCACGTACATTAATAGAACATGATTTACAGATTGTCTTACTGTACAGTGTTGAAATGGGCACAGTATTGTTATCAACACCATGTTTCCACACGTTCGGTTCCCTATATTAAATTGTGAACACCAATAGATCCGTAAGCGAAGAACTCTCGTACTCGCTCTATGAGCGAGTCCCCGCAACGGGAAGGTCTCATGCGCTGGCGGAATAACGGCTAGACCGCATTACTTACCTCCGTGTAAAGTGCTTAACGAAGCTTGCTTGTGTAAGCCCCCTTGACACGCCACCCAATTATAATGGGGTGCCTGTGCCCAAGCGCACTGTACAGTACTTTGGAAAAACGATCGAGGTCCAGCCATTGGGCGTGTCCCTGGCGTGGCGCATCGCAGTGTAATTTCGTTTCAGTCACACCAGCAGCCTGACCTCTGTGTTGATGGGGCTTAGAGCATTCAATCTGGTTGGAGTCCTAGCCTACTGCAGAGTATCAAAGCGTTGCGGTGTCGATCTTGATCCTGTTCCTGAGTCGAGACCTCGGATCAGGTACGCACTTGAAGCGGTTCGAGCTAGCCTCGATTTCATGTACATACATGTAATGGTGTTGAACCAATAATCATTTAGCCCGGGTTTTTTGCCATCATTGTGGTTGTTTTGTTCCATGTAACCGGAGTCCAGGATAGGGGGTGCATCGAGTAGTTCACCATCAAAGCAGTCCCTGAGTCCTCGTGGCGCCCCCAGACTCCACCTGCCGCCATTGAAGTCGTGCCCCTTTTTTCAATAGATCGGGCTTTACTGTTGTTCTCTTATCAACCCCATACTCGGTGTATTTTTGGACTTTGGTTAGCCTTCCTTTTCAAAGTTTATAGCAGAATTATTGGTGGGGATGTCTGATATCTTGGGTTTTCTGGTTGATCTTACTGAAGGAATAGGGGTGTTCGAAAGATAATAATAGCTGTGGAACTGGGCTCTCTCCGAAGTTCAACCTTCCAATACCGACAGCGCAGGCTATCTTCTTTCAATTCCCCGGTAAGACAAACATGTCCACTAGACCCCATCCCTGAGAATCAGGGGCAGGGTTAGCTTTGACAACTCACCGCTCATCCAGTAGTTCTTGGACACGGAAATATTTTTACACTTCCACCCACTGGATTCTACTCTATGTCTTTGATATGGCCATGGCCATTTGCGAAATGAATGTGTGATTGCCACTCCGTACAAGTGGACTCAATTGCGTGCTATTCAATGCTTTCAAATCTGTCAGGTTACCCACGGCTCATCGAAAGGGTTCGCTTCAATCGAAGCCCGAGCAAATATAACTCGGGAGTACCACACCTTCACATCCCTGACATACAGCCACATGCGACACGCAGCAATATTCCAATGCAGTATCTTGACGTGGTCTAGATTCCCATTCACACTCACATCTGAATTGCGACTGCAGATATCCATCTGATCGTCATCCATAATCATTGTCAATCCATCCCGCCAAACGATCAGCAGCAACGCGTCATTGTTTGGCGCCGAGAACACGAATCGACGCCAATCAAAATTGGAGCCGCGGAATTATTGATCCCGAACAAACTTGATCTCGCTAAGAGCTATTATTCTGCCTGTTTTTTGCCTTGCGTTCTAGGGTGCAATGTGTGACAGCAATGTGACATGGAGCCAGATCAAGTACATGTTTACTGTAGGAAGAATGAGGTGCTTTGTGCGCTGCCCTGGTATCCTTTTTATTTATTCCATTTGCGATGACAGACACGCTTCCAAGCTTGACATGACAGTGAGCAACTTAACCCAAGTCAACGATTTACCTCATCTGGCACTTTCGTCAAAGTCTTTTGGTTCTTTGACCATGAGCCGACCTGGGCGGCTATGCAGCGGTCTGTTCACACAAATCGTATTGTACATGTATCTGCACCCTCGGCTTACCGGATCGCCAGATCGGCTAGAGTACGATCCAGTAGAAGATCTCAAGCGTCTCTCACGGTTATCATATGTGATCCCACAGCCACACCCATGATCGACTACTGATCGAATTTGACCCAATTGGGGCTCGGTTAATCATAAGTCGGACCTAAATCAACTTGCTGACTGTAAATGTATTGTAGTGCACATGGGTCAATGAAGAGAAGCATTCTTTACCGTTGCACTTCACAGATCCAATGTCCAGGTTTCTTCCTCTCGTTTCCTGGTTCTCCAGGGCGACAATTTTACTACCAAGTCTACGGGACCTATGATGACATTGGACCCATCACAGCCTTAGATGTGCCCTGGCTAAGCCACACCCAAGGGATAACTTAACTTATATATAACCGACCTCATAGCCCCTCTATGACATAGATACTATAGTATTTCCAGTCGTCATGGGCAGCATCATCGAGACCTGGATTGGATTTGCAGGGACAACGGCATCTCTCTCCCAGTATTAGCCGACGGAGAGAGACGAGGAATGTCAACGCCACACCTGGGCAACTGTCAGGCATTTGCGGCTCCAAGGCAACAATATATCGGCTGTTCTCTTGGGTAAACGCCTATGTTCGGAACCATGGCTCTAACCTTCAATCTCTTCACTGGTCCTTTTTAGATTCGAGTCACTTCCAGTGTCAGTGGATAGTGTTAGTGAGAGTGATAGGGATCGCATTTCTAGTTCAGAGGGTTCAGAATAGAAGAGACAATTGTGTTTCAGCTGAAGCGCCTTCTGAAACACCGTGGCCCCACTGCTCCGAGTCTCTCGGCTGTGTCGCTCTATTAATATTCGAGTTGAGATGTCATATGTCGACTGCCAATCTGATGTTCTTATAAGTTAACGAACTTGTAACCTGAGAACTTAGTTGATTCTCTTGTCACCTGCTCGACCTTAACCCTGAACCCGAATAAGGCCCGCCTTATCTCTCGCTCTGTACTCCGTACTTTTTCCCTTACCCCACCTCTCTCTTTCTCTCCTCTCTCTCTCCCTCTCTCTCTCTTTATTCTCAAGGACTTGCGGTCCGTCGACGCTGTGGCTACTCTCGCTGATCCGAACGAGTTGTTCTTGCCTGGCGAAAGGCAAAACAATCTCGCCATGTCATCTTCCGTCCCCCTCCTCCGACCGCCCGTCCCTGGCGCCCGCAATAATAGCGGTAGTCCGCGAGCCCCGAAGCTCACATTAGGCATCCCCCCTCGCCAAACGCCAAACCTGTCAATGGCAATGGCGCTTCTGTTCCAACACTGCAACCTCTGCCCCAACCGCAACTCCAGCGCCCGGCTGGGCGACCAGGACGACCAACATTGCAACTGTCGACCCCCATGGGTAGCCAGCAGCATGTGTCCCAACCGCCAACTCTCATGCCAAATGGACGTCCCGCACCGCCCCCGCTCAGCACGAATGGACTCGGAGGTGGTTCCAGTTTGGAGGTGAAGACGGTTGGACCGGCATCTGCAACCTCTGCCAATTACTCGTCAGCCAATCTGTCCATCCGACAATCTGGAGGCGACTCAGACCCTTCATCCGCGATTGGCTCGGTGTACTCAGATCGCGATGGGGTTTCGATGGAACGCGAAAACAGCGTGAATGGGCTCCTCCCCGATCTGGATAGACTGTCGTTAGAAAAGGGCCGGCCCCTCGATGTTGATGATCTCGATGATGAGGGCTGGCACGCCGCTAGTGAGCAGAACAAAATCGTCGAGCTGGGTAGTCTAGGTGAAGGTGCTGGCGGAGCTGTCACGCGATGCAAGCTGAAGGAGGGAAAGACCGTGTTCGCATTGAAGGTATGCTCTTTTGGCGAGTCGAGAACGCGCCCAGTGAGACTAACGAATCTATTTAGATCATTACTACGGATCCCAACCCCGATGTCAAAAAACAGATTGTTCGTGAGCTGAACTTCAACAAAGATTGCGCCTCCCACCACATCTGTCGCTACTACGGCGCGTTCATGGACAAGTCGACCGGCACAATCTCCATCGCCATGGAGTTCTGCGAAGGGGGCAGTCTCGACAGTATCTACAAAGAAGTCAAAAAGCTCGGAGGTCGCACTGGAGAAAAGGTTCTCGGCAAGGTCGCCGAAGGTGTTTTGAACGGGCTGACCTACCTCCACAGCCGCAAGATCATTCATCGAGGTACGAACGTGGTGCTCTCATGTGGTACACTGACTGAATAGCTAATTCCGAATACAGATATCAAACCATCCAACATCCTCATATGCCGCGACGGCAAAGTCAAACTCTGTGACTTCGGTGTCAGCGGTGAATTCGGTACCAAGGGTGACGCCAACACCTTCATTGGCACTTCTTACTACATGGCCCCCGAACGTATCACTGGTCAATCATACACGATCACATCAGACGTGTGGTCTCTCGGTGTGACTCTTCTTGAAGTCGCACAGCACCGATTCCCCTTCCCTGCCGACGGAACAGAGATGCAACCCCGCGCAGGTCTAATAGATCTTCTCACATACATTGTCCGCCAGCCAATTCCCAAGTTGAAGGATGAGCCGAACGCCGGCATTCGCTGGTCGGACAACTTCAAGTACTTCATTGAATGCTGGTGAGTGTTCCCCACAGGCTGTTCTGCTTTATTCTCTATACTGACTTTATCACTAGTCTGGAAAAGGAACCTCCACGACGAGCAACTCCCTGGCGGATGCTGGAACATCCGTGGGTACAGGACATGAAGAACAAGAAAGTCAACATGGCAAACTTTGTGAGGCAGGTATGGGATTGGAAGGAGTGAACACCAAGACATCCCACCGGAGACCTCACAGTCTCGCATTGCACTGCATTTTTAGTTCCACTTTGAGTACAGGTGGCTGGAACCCCACGGATTGACCTGGCTGTCAACACCACTCAAACGACCCATTCGTCACGACTCATCCAATGCTTTTTGTGCTTTCCGCTTCTCTTCCCTCCCGGGCCGGAACTCGTGGAGTCTCGACATCTACATCTTTCTCATACCCTTTCATACCATCTTGTTACTTTTTTCTCTATCGTCCAGCGCCACAGATTTCATCGCCTACGCTTCACTTCCTACGATCCTTTACGGCCTGACTCTCCCGCATTGCATTCCTTCGGATATCCCGTCCCTCAGTGGTCTCTCTCTCCCTTATTGTCATTCATATCTCTACATTACATCTTATATTCCATATTCATTCTCATTCTCATTCCCTCCCTCATCTCTCTTCCCTATCCATGGAATAAACCCCTCTTCTCTCCTTCTCTTCTGCTTTTCAAGTGCCCGATTCTTCCTTCCTCGTGACATCTTGAGTCTGGACATGTCGGTCATCTTGATATATCACTTTACCTTTTTTTTCTTACATTTTACGTGTATAGCGCTTTTCCCTTGGTTCTTGTATCTGATTTAGGGTTTTATTTGGGGTCATCTTTGCTTTGCACTGGTTGCCGGAGTGTATGCAATGCATTGGAAGCTTCTTTTGGGACATTTCTACGTAGCTATCCGTGCTTGATTTCCTCTACCGGGTGGGAATTTTCTATCTTAGCCGCCACTTTTATGTTGGCGCTTAAAATTAGGCTCCTGGATAGATCTTAGTCCCTAAGACTGAACGACGTAGACTCATCAAGGCCAGTCGCAGACGAAAGCGGGTCTGCCCAAACCCCTAAAACCCTATTGAGATCAAACAAGTGACACTGCACAGCATTGACTGCGAGCGTTGAACCTTGCGGCTTTGGACATGCTGGTAGGTTCAGAGGCTTCTGGGCTGAGAGCTTTTCCTTCTCTTTCTTTTGCCATCTTGTCAGTCTTGAGTTCGGGTCTCACTACTCAAGATATTATATGGAGGGACGAAGCGCGCAAATCGACATTTGCTTGTTGGAACAGTGAACGTAGAAGAGATGGTGACTTAGCTAGGCCATATGTAAAACTAGATCGTTGAGGAATATCGTTACAGTACTGTAGCCAATGGCCAAGTCGACCGAAACCAATCAGGTAGCGAATGCTGTCATGTCGTATATCTCCTCGCGAGTAAGTTCAATAGACTAAATCAATAGTGCTGCTATATAGATGGAGGTATACAACTCATATTTAAAAACTCAAAAAAGTGCAGTGGAAAGGACCATTTAACAGAGACTGTATCATTAAAAGACATGTATGTCCGTCGTACCGAGTTACTTGTTCACAGGATCAGCACCCAAGACCCATCCAATACCACTAACCAAGCCACCCGTGACCATACTGCTAACCATATCCCTCTTCCGAACACGACTCTCACTATCCGGCGAAAGAGGACGATCCCCATCACCAGCGTCAGCATCGACGTTCGAATTCGAGCCTGGTCCCGACGGTGAGGAATGCGCTGCTCCGCGCAGTGGGAAGGCATTCTTGTGTAAGGCAAGGGCGGCACCGCGCGCAACTTCGAAAAGACCCATGGGGGCTTCGTGGTGTGAGCTCATGTTGGCGCGGGCGCGCGCACGACGTGCTACACGCTGCTGTTCGGTGTCGAAGGCGTCGCGCTCTGAGTCGGAAGGTCCGAATCCACCTGGGACGGAGGAGAGGCTGTCGCCCTTTGTGTCCCAGAGGTCTTCTTCTTGTTGTTCGCGGGCGCGGAGGGAGGAGAGTTCTTCGTCGCAGCGGCGCCAGGCACCGAGGATTTCGGGGAGGGGGTCTGGGGAGGGGACCAATATGAGGGCTAAGGAGAGAAGCTCCATTCTTTGGGAGAGGTGGGTGATTTGGGATTGGAGGGTTGGGGATGGGTTGACTGGGGTTGTGGAACGGTAGCGGCCGGCGTTGTAGACGGCTCGCCAGGAGATGTCGTCTGGGACCGCGGGGGTGTTGAGGAGTGGAGAGGAGGTTGAGAGGAGAGATGGGGGTGTGAGCCTTGTTTGGATGTAGGAGTAGGCTGTAGCAAAATCGTTTGAGGATAAGGCGGAGGCGATTGCCAGGGAAGTGATGCGACGTTCAGCTGTGAGAAGGATGGATTCCTCTGAGGGCTTCTGGTGAGACGGCTCATCCTCCGCTTCAACGGTGGAATTTGTAGGCACGCCTCCGGCTACTAAATTGCGTCCAATGGAGAGGAAATCATCCAGTTTGGTGTAGCTCTTTGCGTTTTGCTCCAAAGCCTTCTCGATCAATACGAGAGGGTCGTGGTGAACGCGAATGCTGACAGGCTGGAAGGGAACGCCGTGTTGAAGCGTCAGGGAGTAAAATGAGAGGGCGTGAGTTGCAGCGATGAGAGCATGGATCTGTTTAAACCCAACAGAGCCAGGGAAGTGTGGTTGAAATGCTTGTAAGCTGGAATTTTGTTAGTGCCAATTTTTATTTTTTTCTTCTCCAATCACTCTTACATGTCGAAGGCCCTCTTCATTCCTCCGCGAGTTCGGTTGCCATTGCTTGCGTTGTCATACGCGGTGAAAATAGCTTCTTGGACGGCGGACTCCACTTGTGATGCAGTCAAAGGTGCTTCTTTGGAGCTTGTATAAAGGTCCACGGCCAATTGATGCTCTGTAAAAGTAGTCAATATCAATGCCAAGTACTAAGGTATTGGTGTACGTACCTTTGGCTGCTAGTAGAGCCTTCAAGATCTCTGTTTCAACCGTCTCGCGCGGAATTCTCCAAAAGAGTCCGTGGTATGGTGAAGGTTCATCCCAACCCTCTGACTGTTCGGCCTGCCAGTCTCGAAGCCAGAGCAACCTTTCCCGGACCGATTGCCATTCTTGGTATGATCTCGGCTGTTTGACGGTGGAGTTTACCACGCTCTTGAGCTCCGCCAGTTGCATCTCCTCGGTGCTGTGAAGGCACATGTTTGCTGCAATACGACAAGGGACCAGATGACCAAGCTCGGTTAAGATCCGAAGGGACATAAGTAAGGCGCTGAGAAATGAGATTGATGAGGGCGATGGTTGGGTTAGAGGGTTGTTCGGTCTCAAAAGGGCATTTTGCAGCAGCGATGCCCGGGAGGTTGATGAAATCGAATCGGTGTCATAGTGGATAGACGGCAGCACCGAGTCAGAACTTAGGTATAAGCTCTCCTCTAGGTCGAGTAACTTGGCTGCACGTTCCAGCACCTTGAAAGAGCCCTCTAGCACAGCCAATGAGGAATCCGCATGAGCATATACCACTGAAAGGCCGGATTGACAGTATCGAGTTTGCAGTTCTGTTGCCTGTTCCTTCGACATTCGTGTACCGGGTTCTTCATACCCTCCCAGGTCAATATCTGACGGTCCATCCCATTCTGTAAATGCACCCACAACACTCTCACGATCCACAAGACTTCGTGAGAGTAGCCATGCATTTACATGTTCCCAACCAGCCAATTCAGCGGACTGAGTTTTCGATCCTTCGATGAAAGACACCGAGTTCTGGGCAGCAGCCTCATTAAGCCTCCGGCGTTTTGATCGACTTCCACCATAAAACCAAGGTCCAATCAGACCCCTCAAGTTATTGACCAAATCCATGCTATTTCCTTCGAATCTCATTAAAGACAAGAGAATGTTGACGGCCGTCTGATCGTCCATAGACTCCAAAATCTCAAGTGATATTGTCTCGTCACGATGCGCATAGTATTCATAGTTAAGTCGAAGCAATGGTAATAGGCTTGAAATCAGCCATGTTCGAAGTATGGGCGAGTGTTCGTAAAACGGCAGAACGAGTTCGAGAATGAGTGGCTGGAGTGCTGTTTCCGAGTCGATCAAGTGCGCACGGTGTATGATAAACTGAGTCAGAGGATCTGCGGAGGCGACATCCTCTTCCTCATCGGGGCGTTGCAGTGGTCGTAGATTAAGCTTCCGTACGCGTTTTCGGGCAACCGATTCAGATAGGTCTTGAACGGCCGAAGTATCGATCGAGTGATCTGTGGGCACCGTATTGGAGCTATTAACCAGCTCTTGGATCACTGAAGTGTAGTGAGAGGGCTCTGTACTCTCCGGGAGGAAGGTCAGGATAATGCGCAGGAGGCGTTCCAATGGAAAACAATGAGGAAATTGCGCCTGTAAGGCAGGCAGGTCACCCACGTTACCACCTGCGCAGAGGATCGTGGCTAGCAGGATAGCGTGTGCGTCTGACAACTCGAGAGCCATGATCTACAGAGTCGAGACAGTGTGAGGTGGCCTCATAGTTGACAGTGACGGTGTTGCATACGGCGGGGCGCACAGACCAAGTCGGAAACGAAAGGGAAGAGTCGCATCCGCCGGCCACTTCATCACCACCATTTTCGCGGTCTCTGTGCCTACCACCAGCTCAATTACCTCCCTTTACACTTCACAATGGCTTCCGGTTACGGTCTTAACGGTGGTATGTGACATCTCGCCCTGTTCCCGAGGGATTCTCCCCGGTCCGCGGCCATGAATCCTCGGATCACAGCTTGCGCAGCCAGTTCCCTCCCCCCGCGAATGAACCCGGCTAATTCACTCTGGTTTCTAGGTCAGAACCGCTGCTATCCCTTCTGGCAGGAGGTCCTCGGCTGCTACGTGGTCAACTCCGGCGAGGGTGAGGCTGGCAAGAAGAAGTGTGTGCCCGCCCTGGAGGACTACTACGAGTGCCTTCACCACCGGAAAGAGGTAAGGACAATCCCCGATCGATATTTTCCTGCGCCTTTAGGTTCCAGGGATTGGAGCTAACGGAATTTGGTGACAACAGGCTCTCCGTACTATGAAGATGCAAGCTGCCTACCGCAAGGCCGAGGCCGCTCACCCGCGAGAGAACGCCCCCAAGGCTGAGCAAATCCGTAGTCTCGGTCTACTTGGGAAGGAAGAAGAAGCCACTTCTCTGTTGAACCAACGGTGAACGGGAGAGTTGTGACTGTTCTTTTTCAATGCTTGTTATTCCGTGTTTCCGCCCGGGACTTTTGCCCGGAGCCTGTGACTGTATAGAAACGCTCAACTGCTCTTGACCACCAGGTCTGTTGGTTCGAAATGATACTCCAATTCGATGACAATCGATCTTTTATCCTAGTGTATTCAACAGGTGGAATGGGTCCGGGGTGGGACTTGTAGCAATAGGAAACGAGGGATTTCTAACCCCATAAGCTTAATTGGCAGGGTTGATACAGTAGATAGCCTGGCTAGGTGCAGACAAACACGCTCAGTGGTCAGTCGTTTGTCTCTAGCCACCTCTGCCGATGATCTCTTCCCCCCCCCTTGATATAGTTTGCGGGATTCATCTCCTCCGCACATCTTTGATAGTGGGGGCCTAGTAGGGTGCTGAAGGCCCCGGGAGTAGCTTCAGCCACTATTTTGTAGTCAGCAGCAGCAACATTCTTGTGGAACATGCATATATGCAGCTAAATATATGGCTGTGTTCCGCTGGAGCCTCACCCGCTCAACTCCTTGTATAGAAGGGTCATCCAGTTGACTGACTGTCTGGGGCAAATCAATTGGTATGAGTAAACCAAATCTAGTTATATATTTCGATGGTCTCTTGGGATATTTTAGCGTCTAGTCAAAAAAAATAACTCCTGAGTTTTTGATGGAAAATTTGCGAAGTATAAGCGTGACATGCATGGATATATTTCGATCTACCACTCAAGTTATTCCTGGAGCAACACCATGTTCTATATGAATATAGAGTCAAATTAAGTGTCCAGATATATTTGATTGAGACTAGCCTACTATCAGATCTGATCCGATCATTGATCGCTTTCGATACAGAAATAATTTCAACCTCATCATCATGCAGTAATTTCTGCAGTCATTTCTTCAGATATTTCATCCAAGGTGTAACTATCGAGCCAAATGGCGAAATTGCAACCTATCCCCTACGTTGTTGCCCATCCCAAGCTCTGCCGGGGATCTGGCATGTGGCATTTTTGCGAGCTTCCCATACCCTCTCTAATTCATACATCATTTCCATCTCAATGAACGCGTCAGTCACGTGCCCGCCTAGCAAAGAAAAAAATCGTCGCGCTGTGAGTGGAAGCCCGCCCGCACTAAACCCAAAGCAGCCTAGCCCCAGCGACCCAAACATGGACCAGCGCGCCGGGCAGAAGCACCCCCAATGATATAAACCCGGCTGCGTGACCTCGACCCTTCTCTACTAAAATCTTCCCTTTTGCTGACTAATTTAGGCGTTCCTGGCTTCCCTTCCGCGCTTCACGTACGCTGCACCGTGCCTTTTTTGCTCTGGGTTTCCGTTTCGGGCTGGCTGGGGCATTTTCTGCCTTTTTTTTCCTCCACAAATTGCGCCCTTCACTCGGGTGAAAGAGTGAAGGCCCGCCATGGCTTCCCGGTAAGTGCCCGCCAATCACTACGCGTCTGTCACGTGAAACTAATATAGCTCCAGCCTCGACCGTCTAGTCACGTGAGTATCTCTCTGGCATCGACATGTACAGCTACTGACCACCACCTAGGCTTCTCGAGACGGGCAGTACGCAGTTGATACGTAACACTGCTGCACAACAGTTAGCAGATGTTCAGAAACAGCATCCCGATGAGCTGTTCAACTTGCTCGGGCGCATCCTGCCCTACCTCAGATCAAAGTCCTGGGATACAAGGACAGCTTCCGCCAAAGCGATTGGGCTGATCGTCTCGAATGCTGACCCCTACGATCCAAATGAAGATGATGGGCTTCAAATAAAGTCAGCCGCTGAGCATGACGATGTGGAGATCAAGGCCGAGATCAAGTCAGAAGACTCAACTCCAAGTGATGGCCTGCTCCAGTTAGACACATTGGACATCGCGTCCGTATTGAAGTTCGGCAAGAGGCTTCTGGGCAGTGCCGGCAAAGAATATGAGTATGCGCTCGCATCCATGGAACCAGCCGCCCGTCTACAACACCAAAAGAAGACCCTATTTGCACGACTCGGCCTGCGAGGCCAATATGACGACGACGAACTCATGGAAAACATCGACCTCGCCCCTAAGGTGGTGACCCCCGCTCCCAAGCGCGAGCCAGAAATTGCTCCCATTTCTCGCTCAAACAGCGTGCATGATCCTCCCTCTCGTCGACCTTCGTCGCCGAACGAACCCGCCATTAAAGAGGATGGTGGACTGAGCAAGCGTCAACTCAACCAACTGAAACGGAAGAACAAACAAAATGCCAAACTGGGAGCTAACAAAGTCCGTGTCGTGGATCTGTCTTCTCGCCGCCAGTCCGAGCTCGTCACGACCCCTGTGGGGACTCCTCACCCAGTCAAATCCGAGAACGATAATGAACAGAATGGTGAGACGAAACCGGATTATTTCTCCCTTGAACGCGCCGAAGAAGACGATGACTCTAAACTGGTCACGGAATTCAAGGGGCCTATCGCCCCTGAGCGACCTCACTTTCAACCAGAGATCGTGGAGCAAGGCGGAGGATGGCCACTGGAACACATGTGTGAATTCCTGACGATGGACATCTTCGACTCAAATTGGGAAGTTCGACACGGTGCGGCCATGGCTCTACGTGAAGTGGTCAGAGTCCAGGGCATTGCAGCTGGCCGCCTGGATGGGAAATCTCGCGAAGAAAACGACGCACGCAACCGCCGGTGGTTGGACGACCTCTCATGTCGACTACTATGTGTTTTGATCCTCGACCGATTCGGTGATTACATTTCCGACAATGTGGTTGCCCCTATTCGTGAAACCGTTGGACAGACCCTAGGTGCTCTTCTTTCACACCTGCACCCCAAGTCCGTCCGATCATCCTATCGCTGTCTCTATCGCATCATCATGCAGAACGATCTCGGCCTTGAGCGCCCCGTATGGGAGGTCTGCCATGGTGGCATGATTGGTCTCCGGTACCTTGTTGCAGTTCGAAAGGATTTGCTCGTTAAGGATTCAAGCATGATGGATGGGGTCTTGGAGGCTGTCATGAAAGGTTTGGCTGATTTCGATGATGATGTTCGAGCAGTCAGCGCCGCGACTCTTGTCCCCATTGCAGAAGAGTTCGTCACATCTCGCACCGGAACTCTCGGTCCTCTGATGAACATTGTCTGGGACTGTCTTTCCAACCTTCAAGACGATCTCAGTGCTAGTACCGGCTCTGTCATGGATCTTTTGGCCAAACTATGCACATTCTCCCAAGTGTTGGACGCAATGAAGGCAAACGCTGCGGATGATTCGGAGGCATCGTTTGGAAAGCTGGTCCCTCGTCTCTACCCCTTCCTCCGCCATACAATCACAAGCGTTCGTTCTGCCGTGCTTCGAGCTCTCATGACGTTCTTGAATCTAGAGGGTGAAGGTACTACCGATTGGGTAGATGGCAAGGCACTGCGGTTAATTTTCCAGAATCTTCTCGTTGAGCGCAATGAAGGTGTTTTGAAATTATCCATTCAAGTCTGGTCTGAGCTTCTCAAGGTTGTTGAACTGCGTGGTTTATTCAAATCCGAGGCCGAGCTATCAGAGTCCGTTCAACCACTGGTTACCCTGACTTTGGGTGCTTTTGGCGTTCCACGATACCCCATACCCATGAACGCATCCCTCTTTATCAAACCGTCTGGCCTGCCATTCTGTGCTCCCCCTGCCCCCCCTCTCTCCAAATCCTCTCCTCCCCTCGCGGCTGCCGGCGGTGCTGAAACACCCAAGCCGGGACGCAGACGCAAATCAGAGAAGAAGGAAGTGCCGCCTCCCTCGGCCCACAATGTCGATGGACACATGCTATCTGGTGACATTGATCTTGTTGGTGCGGACACCATGCTAAGATCAAAGATCTATGCTGCCAAGGCATTGGGAGAACTGATTTCCTTCTGGGACAAATATGAGCTTCCAAGCCTTTGGCCAGCGATCCTGGATGCACTGAAGTTCTCCGCTTCCACTACACAGCTTTCTTCCGCAATGGTCATGGAGGAGTATGCTCGCCGCGCTGGACCAGAAAGCAAATACACCACGACTTTGACTGAAAATCTCCGACCTATCCTTGAAGGCGAGCGTCCATCCTGGTATGCCGATATTGCATGCTATCTCCATGTCGCTCGCGCCCAGTGCCATTCGTTGTTGAACACGTTCCGTGACCATGCACATGTTGCACCCTCCCGACTGCCCACATTGGCCGTCGTTGTACAGGGAGACGCAGAAGCCGGACCCAATGCCTTCTCTTTGCTTGATGCTGAGAAGATTGTTGGACCCGACTTCGACCGTCTGAAGAAGAACTTGACACCGGCTCAGCGTATCACCGCTACACAAGTATTGAATGACACCCGGACCACCGCCCAATCTGCTGTGGATGAAGCGAGATTGATGAGAGAACAGCGAGACATGCGTGTCCTGGCCGCAACCGCAGGCGCCCTCATTGCCTTGCGCGATATTCCTAAGAAGCCGGGTCATATCATCAAGGGCATGATGGACAGCGTTAAGAAGGAAGAGAACGTGGAGCTCCAACAACGCTCTGCAACCGCCGTCGCAGGTCTTATTGAGTACTACACTGCTGCCACGAAGCGCGGACCGGTGGACAAGATCATCGGAAATCTGGTAAAATATTGCTGCGTGGACACTTCTGAAACACCTGAATTCCCTCATAATGCTCAGTTGGAGAAATCAATTTTGTCATTACGCAAGGAAGAAGACCGACGCGACCACCCCGATGCCGCAAAATTCGAAAGAGAAGCCAAGGAGGCACGCATTATGCGTCGTGGTGCTAAGGATGCGTTGGAGCAGCTTGCCGTCAAATTTGGTGCTGACCTGTTGGAGAAGGTTCCCAACCTCGCAAAACTCGTTGAACGACCATTGAGAGAGGCTCTGACATCCGATGAACTTCCCGAAGACATCATCAACCCCGAGAATGAACTTGGCCAAGAAATTGTCGATGGTTTGTCCACGTTACGGGCTCTCCTCCCCAAGTTCGACACTGGCCTGCACTCATGGGTCATCGACCTTATGCCCATCATTGCCAGGGGTCTACAATGTCGACTTTCTGTTGTTCGCTATGCTGCAGCCAAATGTTTCGCTACTATCTGCAGCGTCATTACTGTCAAGGGTATGACTATGCTGGTCGAAAAGGTGTTACCTATCATCAACAATGGTCTTGATGTACACCATCGCCAAGGTGCGATCGAGTGTATCTACCATCTTATCCACGTCATGGAAGATGGAATTCTCCCCTATGTAATCTTCCTCGTTGTACCCGTTCTTGGCCGCATGAGTGATTCCGACAATGACGTGCGTCTCCTGGCGACAACCTCATTCGCAACTCTCGTCAAGTTAGTGCCTCTTGAAGCCGGTATCCCTGACCCACCTGGCTTCTCAGAGGAGTTGCTCAAGGGCCGTGACCGGGAAAGAAAGTTCATGTCTCAGATGCTCGATGTGCGCAAGGTTGAACCTTTCCTGATCCCCGTTGCCATTAAGGCCGAGCTTCGACCATACCAGCAAGACGGCGTGAACTGGCTCGCCTTCCTTAACCGCTACAATCTCCACGGTATTCTTTGCGACGATATGGGTCTCGGAAAGACTTTACAGACAATTTGCATTGTGGCAAGTGACCACCATATGCGTGCTGAAGAGTTTGCCAAGAGTCAATCTACCGACTCTCGAAAGCTTCCTTCCTTGATCGTCTGTCCGCCTTCGCTCTCTGGTCATTGGCAGCAAGAAGTCAAGCAATATGCACCATTCCTCAGTTGTATTGCTTACGTCGGTCCTCCCTCTGAACGGTCGAGGCTCCAACCTATGTTGGCCAACACCGATATCATTGTGACTTCTTACGATGTTTGCCGAAATGATAACGACGTGCTCAGCCCGATGAACTTCAACTACTGTGTGCTTGACGAGGGTCATCTTATCAAGAACCCCAAGGCCAAGATTACTACCTCAGTGAAGAAACTAGCCAGCAACCACCGTCTGATCTTGTCTGGCACACCCATTCAGAACAATGTTCTTGAGCTTTGGTCCCTCTTCGATTTCTTGATGCCCGGCTTCCTCGGCACCGAGAAGGTCTTCTTGGATCGGTTCGCCAAGCCTATTGCAGCAAGTCGCTTTAGCAAGTCATCTTCGAAAGAACAAGAAGCGGGTGCTTTGGCAATCGAAGCACTGCACAAGCAAGTGCTGCCATTCCTGCTTCGTCGTCTTAAGGAGGAAGTGCTGAACGATCTGCCACCCAAGATCATCCAGAACTACTACTGTGACCCAAGTGAACTCCAGAAGAAGTTGTTCGAGGACTTCAGCAAGAAGGAGCAGAAGGAGCTCGCAGACAAGGTTGGCAGCACAGATCGCTCTGACAAGGAGCATATCTTCCAGGCACTTCAATACATGCGTCGTCTGTGCAACTCCCCCGCACTGGTAGTCAAGGAAGGTCACAAGCAGTACAACGAGGTGCAGACCTTCTTGAACACGAAGCGTTCAAACATCAGAGATCTCTCTCACGCTCCCAAGCTCAACGCCCTGAAAGACTTGTTGGTCGATTGCGGCATTGGCGTTAACCCCTCAGCGGAAGGAGAACTGGACACCGGCGCCAGCTATGTCAGCCCTCACCGGGCACTTGTATTCTGTCAGATGAAGGAGATGCTGGATATTGTCCAGAACGATGTTCTGAAGAAACTCCTCCCGTCCGTTCAGTATCTTCGTCTGGACGGCGGCGTGGAAGCAACAAAGCGCCAGGACATTGTCAACCGCTTCAACACCGACCCCAGTTACGACGTCTTGCTCTTGACCACCAGCGTCGGTGGACTAGGTCTCAACCTTACAGGAGCCGATACCGTCATTTTCGTCGAGCACGACTGGAACCCACAGAAGGATATTCAGGCCATGGATCGCGCCCATCGTATCGGTCAAAAGAAGGTCGTGAACGTCTACCGCCTGATCACAAGAGGTACTCTGGAAGAGAAGATCCTGAACCTGCAACGATTCAAGATCGACGTCGCCTCCACCGTGGTAAATCAACAAAATGCCGGCCTGGGCACGATGGACACAGATCAACTGCTCGATCTATTCAACCTCGGCGAAACGGCAGATACAGCCGAGAAACCAAGCGACCAAAACGGCAACGAAGTCGACATGGTCGATATCGACGGTGAAGTCAAGGAGAAGGGCAAGAAGGGCTGGCTAGATGACTTGGGTGAACTCTGGGATGACAGGCAGTACCAGGAAGAGTACAACCTGGACTCGTTCTTGGAAACCATGAAGAACTGATCTCTCTCCATTCACCCCGCTGTCTCCATCCATCCTATTTCCTTCATCAACCCTTTCGTCTTCACCCCGGATACATCAGATGGGTAGATTTCATCCTCGATTCATCTCATATTATCCTCTTATCCCCGGAATCTCATCACCAACCCCATCCATCTATCCTCTACACCTCTCGAACGATTTTCATGCCTAATGCCACTGTACTATCCCCATGTTCTTTCTTCCCATGGAGGCTCTGCATTGTCTGTACAACAGACCGGGGCATAATAACCCATTATCTTTCTATTCTTATTTTTTCCATTTTCATTTTTCAGCAGCTGGGAAGGCCTCTTGATTCTGGCGTGTTTTGCTACCTCCCTCCATTGAATTCTTCTTCATGTATTGTTAGCTTCATTTATCATTTTCCCCGATGGATGGATCCTTACCTTATCCTTTATGTACATAGAAAATATCTGATTCATCCACACTTGAAATGGTTCTTGTAGAGTAGAGTAGATGTCGATTCGCCGACTTACAAGATTTGGATGCCAAGTATCCGAGCTAGCCCTTGGAACCTACATTGACCACTGCATGCCTGCTACAAAGTGATACCGAGAAGTTCTTGATCAAAGTATGATTGTTGCCAATAAGTACATAGACAAAGGCGAAGGAGGAACGAGACGCCTGTCTCGTTAGAGATAATCAGAACAAGAAACCAGGATCCTAGACGCCAGATCCCACACAAGGCTCGCACCGAGCCTTGCACGACAAAAAAGAACACCAGAAATGGAGCAAAGGGGTAAAGAACTGGAAGATTGCCCAGCCCTTGGCAAACACGAGGGAAAAAGAAGAAAAAAAGTTAAGTAGATACAAGCAAGAAGGGGAATGTTGTTTCGTTGACATTGCAGACGAGCATAACTGCAATGTGTTTGGCTGATAAAAATTGCGAGAATGAGATTGTTCGAGTCAAGATCAGTGTGATCATCAGAGACGCGGCCTAACGCGCCAGGCGTGTGCCTGTCATGTCATGGCTTATTTAGGCGTGTCCCTTTGGCTTGGACAGCATGTTGAGACGGCTTATGCTGAGGACACCGCGGCTCTTTTGTTTAGTGCTGGCAGGGGTGCCAGCCTTGGAGGTAGAAGGTCGCACGGGAGTCTTTATGAGGCGCTTCGCGGGACTAGGCTTCACGGCGCTTGGCTTCACAGCGCTTGGCTTCACGGCGCTCGGCTTCACGGCGCTCGGCTTCACGGAACTTGGTTTCACTGGACTTGGAGTGAGTGGGCATGACTTGAGTCTCTTGGTGCTACGCTCCTCAGTGGGAGAATCAGCTGGTGGGACATTTTCGGTGTTGGAACCATCATCAACCTCGCTGCGGTGTCGCTTCTTGTTACCAATTCCGTGAGCGATTCCGTGAGTAACCACGGGGATTTCTGGAACAGACGCGTTCTGTTTCGCGCCATTCGAAGAGCGCACGCGACGGATAGACGAGACGCTTGGGGAATCATCAATGGCGGTTGAGATGGCGGAATTCTTCTCTGGAGTGAGTGTTGGGAGGACCGGATAAAAGACATCGGTGGAGATAGATCGTTGCTTAGCCGAGGGGACCTTGGAAGGCGAGGGCGAGTCTTGAGCAAGCTCATGACGGGACTTCACACTCGGAGTAAACTCAACATGCTTCTTTGGCGAAGGGGTTGGAACGGAGTCATTTGGATCAGCAGCGGCTCCCGCAAAGAGCGAGTTGGGTTTGAAATCAGGAGCGGTGACGTGAGTGCCAGATGCAATCTTGGCAGGATCACGAGAGAAGAGAGGTTGACTTCGGCGAAGAATAGACCGAAGGTTACTGAGGGTTGGCAACTTGCCCTTGAGGCGTGGGTTGAAATCGGTACGAGGTGTCCGGGGCGAGGCAATCGTTTTAGCAACTGGAGAAAATTTTATGGATGGTATCATGGAAGTCCTTGGCGCTTTGATACTGGTAGCAGTTGTACGAGCGAGAGACGCACGGGTGGGGGTCATGAGTGAGTTGCGAACACCAGGGCGAGGGCGCGGGCCAGCGGGCCTACGAGGCGTCTCGGGTTTCTCCACCGACTTCTCTGAAGCTTTCTCTGATTCGCGGTGGGAGGAATTATCTTCGACCTTGTTGTGCTTCGCACGCTTGGCAGTCGCGACGGGAGTAGGAGTAGGCAAAGCCGAGGCCTTGGCGGCAGGTCGAGTGGGAGATGAGTTTTGGCTCTCCGGCTCGTCAAGCTGAGCTTTGGATTTGGATCGCTTCAGAGATTTGGTGACAGGCTGGAAGCGACCAGGGGTAGCACGGAATGCAGACGCGTGCCCTGCAATCGAGTCCATCTTCTTGAACTCGGCCATGTGCACATCGCTGAAACGGTTAGCCCTGCCCTTTGGCATGGCAATCTTGCGCTCTGCAAGATCCTCAGGATCCTGCTTCGATTTATCGTGAACCATCTGAGCCTTGATTCGAGCAACGTCGCCACGAACGCTTTCCATGAGTTTCTTGGCCTGGTCGCTGAGATCGGTTTCCTGGGAAGAGAACTTGAATTCGAATCCGGGAGTTCCAAACTGGCTAGTGGCGGGGGATGCCTTGGATTTGGTGGGTGTGTTGTCAATTATGCCTTGCTTGACAGCCTTGCCATCAGCACCCTTCTTGATGGGGTTGAATCCGAGAATCAGGCCCGAATCCGCGCGTTTGGTCGTACTTTGCTGCACCTTGCTAGGATGCATTTCTTCCCGAGGTGGACGAGCCGCAGTAACGCTCGTTGGAGTATGCGCAGTCGCGAGTTTCTTTTGAGCAGACGCGTGAGGAGTCTTTTGAGATGGCGTCTTCGCTCCTGGAGTTTGAACGCGGGGAAGGTCGCGGTCGACAGTCTCTGCTCCTTCGGCGACAGAAGCAAGCTTGGATGTTGGGGTTTGCTGGATTTTTTGAGGAATAGAGTCTTCAACCTGAGTAGACAAGAATTCAACATTAGACTCGACCCTATGAAAATTACCTGGGCCCATCCCACAACGCGATGTTGCTGAGCTCACTCACCTCGGGAGACTCCTGGGCGCGACGAATGCGCGCGGAACGGCGGATCGCCATAGTTGCAAGGAAAAACACAAGCGACAGACAGAGATATGCGAGGAAATTGTAATAATTTGAAAAAGGATTGCAGGGGTAGATCTCAAAAAAGGGCGTGGGGAAACATCGAAGTCGAGGCGGTCGAAGCGAAATGTAAACAACGCCCGAGCGCGTTTGACGTCAGATGACTCAGCAACTCCAAAGTTAAGTTAACGTTATTAGTTATACAGTAGGCCAACAACTTTGATCTCTTCTGTTCGACACTTTTGATGGTTAATTTGGTTACTGTTATGACTTGACTGCATATAAAAGTTTGAATACTAGTGAGCCACTTGATACCCGAAAATTGCGACGTGTATAGAAGCTCTGACTCGAAGAGTAACTTGACTGTAGCGGTCCAAAAGGTCGAACACTGATTACACAAATTCAAATCAGTCGATAAAGCTGCTCAAAGTTTCTTTTTTTTGATCATTCAGTTATACTCTACAATAAATTCAAAAAGATCCAACATCGTAGCAGCACATAAGTAAGTGGATATCAATATACTACGTTCACCGCTGACCCGGAGACAAGATGTGTTTTACAGGCTCAGTAATAGCCACCAAACTCATCAGATTACTTACACATGACAATCTAGGCTTTCCCCCTTCTACATCGATATTAACTTATTCGTTATAAATTCCTCCTACGTTGACTGAATGTGGGGTTGTAGCCTTATCTCTCAGGCCGCTGTCATCCGCTCGAGATAAGTTAACCTTTTAGCCTTCCGGGGGGGACGACGTCTTTGCGTCCCCTGCAATGCAAAGACACTCCATGATATATGACTTCACAAAACGCCATGAGTGAAAACGGCAAGGTACGAAACAACGGGCTATTCCAAACCCGCGCTAGAACCCGGCGTGGCCGCAAGACAACGTCCTGTTCCCAATGTCACTCTAGAAAGCAGAAATGCAATCAAGAATTACCATGCTCTCGTTGTATCCAGCGTGGGGTATCTGAGCTGTGTCAATGGCCCGACAAAGACAGAAATCATGACTCTCCACCTCAGGGGGGAGCGAACGCATCAGGTAAGATTACAATTCGCCTGCATAGCAAACTGGATATGACCAAACAGCAAATAACCAGACATCAGAACTGGGACAGCTATACATTGCACGGGGTGCACCAAGTTTCTTTGGAAATTCCTACTTTGGTCACCAGGTGGCAGCACATATGATCCAGGAGTCTGCTCCTGATTTACCTCCTATGAGTTTGTTGTCCAGTAAGGATTCATTACAATCATTTCGGAATGATTCCGGCCCATTCTCTCAAGTCTGGGATCTACTCGGTCTGTTACCAAGGAACAAGGTTACTGTGGATCGGCTGATCGAGAGATTCTTGACGGAGATCAACTGGGCCATCGACACAGTTCACCCCGATACCTTCAGACAGCAATTCGCAGAGTTCTGGGGGCGGAAGTTTGGATTTGATGAAATTGCCGGTGTAGACCTTCGATGGCTTGCTCTTTTGTTCATTATTCTGGCTTTCAGTGTGCTCTTAGACAGTCCCACGACATCTTCACCTGAAAAACGGAAAGAAAGCGAAGAAGCTTCTCTTCGATTCTATTGGGCGGCGAGACGAGCCATTGTAATCTCGCCCTCGTTTCATGGAGAAAGCTTGGATCTTGTTCGAGCAGGCCTGATGGTCACTCGATATTTGCTATATACCCGACAAGTCGCAGAAAGTTGGCTGACTATCAGTTTTGCTATGCGTATGGCTCAAGCACAGGGTATGCATATTGATGGAGAAAAATGGGGACTGTCCAAGAAAGCCACTGAAACCAGAAGGCGCCTCTGGGGTAATCTCTATTTGCTTGACAAGACAATTGCGCTTGCTCTTGGAAGACCGTACGCCATCTCGGATCATATGTGTCTCATCAAAGCTCCGGAGAATGTGTGGCTGGATGGATTTACCGATGAACAATCATCTACGGCTAGAGCACATCCCATCACACGTCCCACCCGAAGCACTGTGTCGCTTCTGGGAGCCGGGCTGGCTAAAATTGCAGGGGAAATTCAAGACCGATGCTTTGGCTTGTACCCTGCATCGTACGACATGGTTGTGGAAATGGACAACAAGCTTGTGGCTTGGAAACAACAACTACCTACTTATTTCTCTGTCGACAACCCAGAGCTATCACTGGATGATTTGCACACGTTCTTACCATGGCATCGGCTTTATCTGCACTCTGCATTCCATTTCGCTCGAATCACTCTTCATCGACCTCATCTTCTGCGTGAATCCATCACAAACCGCTTCGGCCTAAGCCACGAGGCTTGCATCTCCTCGGCCTCTTCAGACCTCAAAATCCGGTTACAATCATTGAGCTATGGAACAGCGGAAAACATGAGGTGGACGTTAGGAACCCACAACATGTTCAACAGTGCCTTCATTCTTGGCATCATTGCTGTGCGGCGACCCAATGCTCCCCAGACTGCGGCCATACTGAACGACCTGGAAGAGTATTGCGAACGACTGCGGAAAGATGTCTGGCTCAACGAATTCGGCCTGGCAGAAGTCAAAGTGGTGGAGTTGTGTATCATTCGCACCAGAGGGTTCGCCCATGCCTCCGATCAGTTCAGTGAAAACACTCCAATGATGAGCCCACCGGAAGCATTGTCTAGCTTTGTACCACAACACCGGGGTGGTAACTCAGATCTTTCATCAGCTATGAGCATATCTGGTCCTGGAATCCCTCCTTCTCCCGATCAGCCACCAGTTTATTCTCCAGACATGATGTGGCCCGCAGTCTGGGAAGACCAGAACTTCACGTTCCCCCAAGCGGCAGATCTTGAAACCTGGGAGCAAATGATCTCCGAAATCGCATATCACACCTAGTGTATCTAAAGGTGACAATGCTACCACGGACTCTACATTAGATGAACAATAATTGCACATGTAGAATTTGAGTTGAGTGTCTGTATTTCTGTCCTGTGTGATATTTGCATGCCGTGCATCTCATATCAAGAATCCCCCCTTTGCACGCTGCAGCATAGAATATCTTGGGGCATCAGCGATGTATTACATCGCGTATTCTATGGACATTGACTTTTTGTAGAATTCACTTTTGTTCCTTCTTGCTCTCAACATAGCCTCAGAACTCGATTATTTCCCCGGTGACTAGGAGTCACCGTTGTCGTTGTCATCTCCCTGGCCATATCCCTGGTTATCTTCCTTGTCATGCTTGTCGTCATGATTCTCGCCGTTGGCCACAATTGGCTTCTCCTCAACTGATGCCTCTTCAAGGGCCTCGTTGTAGGCCAGTCGCAGCTTGCGAATGGCGGTGCGGAAGATCAAGGTGGTGATCTGAAGATTTGTGCCGGTGATTGAGCTCAGAATCTCCATATCATTCTGTTCAATGTACAATTAGATAGAGTTAGACCATGGTAGTCAGGATTCTCACCTTGCCAGGAGAGTCACTGGACAGATAAGCAAGCAGCAGGAACTTGAGTTCCCTTGGCTGGAGGCCCGCCATTGCAATGACGTCCTTGTCATTGGCAGGGGTTGTCTTCTTGGGGGAGGACATGGTTGGTTATTTGATATGAGCTTTTGAGACAAATTGAAGCTATTCAGAGAATGATGGATGGATGAATGGATGAATGGAAGCAATGGAAAGGATGGGAGGAAAACAAGAAGAGAGAGAAATGGAGCTCTACGCCCAAAGGTTGTTTACTGTTGCATGTGTCGATGACCTCGCCGGCGACTCATCATTGCCCAATACGGTAACACCATACGACGGGGGTCATGCGCACACCAGACTAAATTGCAGCGTGCCTTTATAATGTACACAAAAAGTAATATTAACTAGGGATCCTTACCATACTTCGATTGGAACTTCCAAGATTCGAGGCCATATCAGGCTGCCATCCAGGGCTTCTCCAGGTCACGGGACGTGTGGAAGTGTGCCATCTTACGCTGCGGAGCTCAGCGGGATATGGATGGCACTGGTGACCGCTAGAAAGAACAATAAGGCTCACAAAAGAGGCAACAACAAGGAACAAGCGGCTCGAGAAGTTATTCTATTCTCCGATAGTCAGACTGCCATCCAGGCAGTGCAAAGCCCCCCAGCGACCGTCGGGCCAGGACGTTCTCACACGGACTTACGAAAACGTACGGGCTCTTCGGTCCGACCCACAGATGAGTAGCACACTCCGCTGGATTCCTACACACGTTGGTGTACCGGGTAACGAAGCTTCTGTAGTAGCGTAAAGTGCGCGGCTCTCTAATATACGGGAGGTATGTCCCTCGACTCGCTATTCGATTACACGGTGCCAAACTGGTCTAAAATCCTTCGGGTTTGAACAATATAAGCTATAATTAAGGCTGAAGTAAGGATTAAGAACGGGGCCTGTTGATGTGATGCGGGATTTGATGGGGGAGAGATGGGAGGACATGGTGGATTGGAAAGGCAGACGTTGTATCTGCCGACGTTCTTTGTACCTAGATGCCTTCGGCACTAGGTTTTTCTGATGTTTTGGGTATGGTTTGGGTTATGGGAGTGGTATTCATGTCGAGCTGGTACCAAGTCTCTCTTTCGAAGACCAGTTCTTTTGTCTGTATTTACATTTTCAAGCGCACGAGCAAGTTCTTGTTTCAACTGAATAGAAGCGCCTACATAGCTATTACGATAGTAGTTGGGCTGCAACAGGTTAATTGAACTTTGATTGATTGATTGATTGATTGATTGACGTGTGCCATCTAACCTGATGTAACATGAAGAGGCCCGTTACCGTCATCGACAGGGCAGCCATCGCTGTCAGAGTCAAATTCAACGACGCAGCTGGCGTCTTGACCAATGGCGATGCCAATGAAAGTGGTGTCTTCCTGTCCCTTGCCGGTGCCAAGACTGTTCCCATCCCCGTCCTTGACCTCGCAAGTGTCAGGGTGGCCTCCGAAGTCGGCCTTGCACTTGAACTTGCGTGGCGTGCTCCAGCAGTCGCCCTCGATGGTGAACTCACGGCCATCTCCGGTGTTGTAGCAAGGGGAGTGGTCGTCCGGGAAGCCTTGGTCATAGATGGCTTCACCGGCGTCGTTGATGATTGCAAATCCTGAGTAGTGGCCGTTTGTGTTGCCACCTGCGGGACCAGAAATTGAAGAGAAGTCACCAGATGACCAGACGACTTTGAGGTGCTCGGCGTAGACGCTTCCAGAGGCAGCCATCAGGCAGAGAAGAGCGGTGCGGAATGAAAGCATGGTGAACATATATATCTCGAAGTTTGGAAGGATTGTATATGGGATATTTGGAAGATTTATAGCTGAGAAGGAAGCTATGTTTGTTGTTGGTACTCTTCTCTTGATGCTGATATTCAGAGGCCTTTATATATGCTCAGTGCCGCCTTCATACCCCTGAAAGCTGATGCCAAGAGCACTACAATCCTTTATGCTTACTATGATATCATGAACATAGGTACTGTAGAGCTTTTGTGGAGAATGTCGATCAAAGAAAAGGATTGACGGGGCTGAATCAAAGCCCAGTATCCATGTTCTGAAGAGACGGCTCATTGGCCATCACATCGTAACAATGGCAAGTGAGTAGGGGTTCCGAACTCAACTCAGATTACTGAAAGACCAAGGCCCAGCAGTAGAATTAGATGATCCCGTCTTTGCTAGCGTCATCATCCAAGAAATCCGAGAAAAAGTTTCAAGGTTGGGAACCAAGCGTCTGCCAAATTACATGTAGTCATTCTGCTTTATTACTCTGTCCAGAGGCCAAAAGACAAGCTGAGAAGTCATTTTTCATTCTCTACCTTTTCGTTCTCGGGAATCAACAATCCAGGTAGACTTTTGACCCGAGATGAGTGCTGATCCAGGGCGAAACTTGAAAAATCCGCAAGGCCAAGACTCTGCATACTAGCTGCCAGTGATACTTCTGAAAAGCGAAGAGGAGAAATATCAATTAGATTATGGTATACTGTACTTTCATTGACTACAGTAGAGGCTCATCAGCTAGTGGATCTTTCGATTGTGACTAGTCCTGATCCTGACAACGGACGTCCCATTGCAGTTCCGTCGTCAGTAATGATGGAAGGTAGGCCGACAAGGTATAGTATGACTGGCTCTACGACTTGCAAGCGATTTTCCCTTTTCAATGGCAATGTTTCCCACCGGAATGTCAGCACTAATAAACGCTAAAAGCAAGGCAGGGTAAATGGGGGCCAAATTCGAGTCTTGAGACGTCAAAAGTCTGCAAGCCTTTGGCCCCAAACACACTGACTGATTTAGTTTCTGCAGTGAAATCTGATAAATTAAAAAAAAAGAAGAACTCTATTTCAGTTTATACTGCATATTACTGTCCCTGACCCTGCAGGGGTTTGCGAACAGCTTTGATTTGTTCGTTTTAGAGGTACTTTCGTATCCCAGAAATACAGATCGTAATTCACGCCGTATTCTCTCAAAACCATTTGTTCCCCTAGATATCAGTATAAATCAATTATGGGAAGCTTATAGGTCTCTGCTTCGAGTGGCAAGAGGCTTCAAATTGCGTGGGGGCTTTTCCGTCCATTTGACGATATCTCACGCGAAGTACATATATGGAGCTCTTAAGAATTGGTGGGAGGTGTATTCTAATTTCTAGTGATATAAGAGTCTTTAGTAGGCAAGTCCCCTGGAGATCTACCGTCTCAGATGAATATCATTGTGCCAAATTGCCGAGTCCCCGCCCACACTGAATCTTGTTGCGGATCTTCACCACGACATACCATCCTCGGAATGGTTTTGGCTGATCATCAGCGTGCATTCTAAGACTCCTGGATGTTGAGCTTTGAGTCATTCGGGGTTCCGGTCTCTAAAAAGATATACCGCTTACACGAATGCCGATCATGTAAGATGGGTGAATATCACTCCTGGGTAAGGTCAGGTCTCTCTTCGAAGGATTCTTCAGGCATTTACGCTAGATAACGCCACTTATTCATTATATCCCTCATGTCTACAGAAGCTCTCTAGGCGGAGCAGGATGTTAGAGTGGCAAATGTACTCCTTAGCGATCCTCAACCTGCCGTCGGAAGTTGCCCGAGCAAATGCAGATAGATCCAACCGGGGCACATTTGAGCCCCAATCTCTCATGAATGAGTCCTTTAGTTTGTTAATATCAAGTAACAAACCCACTTCTAGGACCTTGGATAATATGACTATTCTTGTTTGACGGGATGAATCTATTTTGAAGGGAATTGATTTCACACTCCATAGTTTTGGCCACCGATAGACGAGGAAGTAATTAGACCACCCAAGACTCCTTATTCTCTCTACTGTACTAAATTACTCAAAGAATGGCGTGTGTATGGATGGCACAGATGTCGTTAGGGTGGTTATTCGATTTTACAAAACGGACCAGGGAGGAAGCAGCTGACACCCCTTGCTGTTGAAATCATACATCGAAGTTCCCAAATATAAAAATTATAATAAGTTGATACATATAATGCATACTCAGTGCTACAGGATATAGCGGAAATCCGGATGGAAGTCCCCACCCTTCTTCTCATAGGATCCTGAGCTCACAATTCTCTCTCTCTCTTCTGGAGACATCTGAGCCCTCTTGGTGTTGTGATATCGCAGCAGAAGCCACATTCCCGCATTTCCAAAGAATGCAAGACAGATAGTAGCGAGCGAAACAGAATGCCCAATTAAATAGCGCCCGTTAGTCGGCGACTTATAGATTTGACCAGCCTATGAAATTTGTTAGCTGTCTGTCGAAGATAAGCCGGTCTGTTTGAATAGGCTCTTACGATTAAGCCGGCGCAATTTCCAATAGATTGCTGAAGGCCTACAGCCATGGCACGTTTATAGTAACCCGAATGACTATTAGCGTTCCAGCTAACTCCGAGGCCAACAACAGCATAGATTCTGAAGGAAGAGTCAGCAATTCGGTTCTCGATGAAGTTAAAAGCGATAGAGTCTTCCTACCCAGTCACACAGACATAAGTCGCAAAATATAGTGGACCACGCGCATGGATATCGACTCCCAACAACAAAGCATATCCAACAGCCGTGACCAGACATAACGGGACCATAAAGATAGCTCGCATCCGAACTCGGTCAGATAGATTTGCAACTCCCAAATAGAAAGCCGAAGCCCAGATATACACAGGAACCGTGAGCAACTGAGTCCGAACGGAATCATAACCAAATCCGCGAATGATTGTCGGCAGGAAAGTGCTGAAGCCGAAGGAACAGGTGTTGACGCAGATTTGATTGAATGAGGTGAGCCAGCTCTTGGGGTCTCTCAACGTTTTCCATACTTCCTTGACATTGAACTCTTCAGTATCAGCATAGCGCGCATTCTGCTGCATGCGCAACCGCATCAACTCTTTGTCGTCCTCGTTCAAGAAGTAGGCAGATTCATAGTTGTTCGGTAGAAGGAAGAACGTGGCGATGCCAACAACGGCACTCATAAGTCCTTCCACGATGAAGAGCCATCTCCAACCCTCTAGACCACCAGCACCATCCAAGCGAATCAGACCGAAAGCAAGACTGTGGTTATTTTAGTATTTCAGACAACACATTCTGATGAAGGAGTTACACACAGGCCACCAAATCCTCCACTCAAAGCAGCAGACACAAAAAGATATGAGATTCTTTGGGCTTGCTCTTCACGCTTGTAGAAGGTTGTCAACAGAACGGTTAAGCACCTGCGTATCTATTAGCTCAAGCTTGTCGCAACGCACAAAGATCACTAGGAGACTTACGGGAATAGACCACTTTCAAAAACACCGAGGAGAAGTCTTGTGATATAAAGCCCTGCAACATTTTTGACAAATCCTCCAGCAAGAACTGAAGCACTGAAGCCGATGATTAGTGCAGAGATTAATCTGTTCGGGCGTAGTTTCTTGAGAAGCATGGAAAATGGAATTTCGAAGAAGACATAAGTCGCATAGAACAAAGAAACCGCATCTGACTCAAATATGTTAGCTGTTGATATCATATCATAGTAATAGGACAGGGAATGACTCACTTCCGAGTTCATTTCCAACTAGACCAATGTCTTCCTGCAAGCACGCTGTTAGTATTGAAAATCGTCAAACGCGTCCTGAGTTTCGATCTTACTGGCATTCCTGCAACAGCAGCGTTCCTGCAAATATATCAGTCGTGGAACCTTTCCTGTGTGAGATGAATGCTTACCCTAAGTTGCTACGATCGAGGTATGCAACCAAGAAAATAAGCATCACCAAGGGGCAAATGCAAAGATCAAGCTTGCGCAGGAGCTTTTTCTCGCGCACTGGATCAATTGTGAAGTTACCCATTTGTACATCATTCTCCGATGATGCATCTGCTTGGAACTTGATATCTGTTTCCTTCGTCATTCTGGGCAATGAATAGCAGGGTGGTGCCGAGGATCGAGCTAACTACACTGATCCTTGGTTGTTTAAGTACCAACCATGTTGAGATAGTTGTTATCAATCATCGGCAAATTCATCGGGCTATTCACAGAATTGGAGAAGGGGCACGGTAACTGACCGATGTTTGTGGCGCTGTCGCCAATCAACAGCCGAATAGAACCGTGAAAGATAAGGCCGGAAGTGGCCAATTGATTGGTTTAAATTCACCTCAGCCTCAGGTTTTAAGCTTAAAATTGTTCATTAATTTTCTAACGCTTCATTATTGACCTTACAATGTTTACATTAAGTCTTCTGGAGTTTTCCCTAGATCCACTATAGAATCTCAACTTCCGCACAAGATGTCGTCCGCGGTTGTGGCCCGAGAAATTCGGCCATTCCCCGCGTTTTATCATCTTGGCATCGGGAAATTCAAATCTTATCCCTCTGTTGAAAAGTGAATTTCCCGATGAATTTCCCGACTCTAGTCGTGGGGGACATCATGAGACATTGATAAGAAGACAAGATGACAGGCTTTGTTTTTTATTGTTCTCTTCGTTCTTTATCTTTGTTTCTTGAACATGGCAATCTCTAATGACTCAAACACAAACGGGACTAAGCCGGAATTAACGAGTCATCCAGTAAGTACTGAGCCATTTTGACTTTGAAACCTGTTAACTCTCGCCAGGTTTGGAAACGATGGGTTCGATTCAGAGGGAAAGATGGTCGAATTTACGGCGGTGAACCTGTTAACGTGGATATCGATGGTACGATATGTACATACTCTGTGAGAAGATCCATTCGATTGACAAACTCGCAGTGGGCCAAGCCTTGGAAAAGAACTTTGAGGTGGCTGTCAAAGTCGTCTCTGGGGGCTCAGCATTGGATTATGACGCTTCATTCACTGGTGAAGTCCAGGTCATCGAGCAGCTTCTATCACCAGTGTCACAAAAGGAAGCTGGAACTGTTCGATGCGTTGGCCTCAATTACAAAGAACATGCAGCCGAAATGAAAATGACTCTTCCCAAAACACCAACGTTTGTCTACCAATCCTTCAAGGCAAACTATTTGCTGACGTTCCAAAGTGTTTTTCTCAAGGCAGAGACTTGCATCGCTTCTGCAGCTGATCCGATCATATTGCCACCCAACGTAGCTTATGATGAAGCAGATTATGAGGTTGAGCTAGCTGTGATCATCGGGAGACAATGCAAGAATGTTCTAGTGTCAGAAGCATCAAACTACATTCTCGGATACTCTGTTGCAAATGATGTGACCGCGCGAAAGCATCAGGATCAGACCTCACAATGGTCTTATGCAAAGGGCATGGTATGTTATGAGTAGTTGTATCCAATCGAATCCGATGGCTGACATTCATCAGGACGGCTTCTGTCCGTTAGGACCATGTATTGTTTCCGCTGAACAGATCCCCAATGCTGCCATTCTGAACCTGAAGACCTGTCTCAATGGCAAGATTATGCAGAACGGATCTGCCGATGACATGATATTCAGTATACCTGAAATTGTATCGTATCTATCTCAGGTATGACAACAGCTCGGGAACTAAATGTCCTACTTTTCTCACAACGATAGGGTCACACGCTATTACCCGGAACGGTTATCATTACAGGAACACCTTGTGGAATCGGCATCTCGCAGAAGCCCCCAAGATTCCTCCAGCCTGGGGATGAACTTCGGGTGAGTATAAGCCAGGGCTTAGGCACTCAGATCTGCCCAATTTCACGAGAATAAGTGGGCCATAAAAATCATGTTCAATTTTGTTCTGTTTCTGGAAGAATCATATCGCGAAATTTTGGCCAAAAGGTCCACAGAACAGTCGTGATAATAGTGGTGGGTATAGCGAAGACCCAATAGATCCAAAAGTTGCTCGACATATTCCAGCCAGTATCTGGGCCGTAGTTGAAGAAAGACATACTGAAAATGGCGCAAATAAAGGTGGGAGGCAAGAATGTGAGAGTAACGAACGCGATTGTCTTCATGGTTGCGCTGTCCAACTGAGTTGCGCGACCGATTTCAAGAGTGATACTCGAGTCATGCTGAGCTACCGTGTTGAAAGCCAGCTGAATTTCATTTTGAAGTCTCTTCTCGTTCGAGATTGACCGAGAGCGCAAATTGGCTATGAAAGATTGGTAGAATCGTAGACGTCGATGGATATCCTCGGATGCACTGGTGTTATTCTCCGGCGTCGAGTTTTTATAGTATTCGTGCTCGGTCATCAGACTTTCTAGACTTTGCATGGTGGCATCCAATGTTTCATTGACGTGAATAGCATGCCGTGCGATGTCGTGTAGTCGTCTGTAGTCAGGCTGTGGTCTGCCGTCTGGTTTTCCTTCTGTCTCCAAGGCTCGGACGTGATCGCGGATAGCCCAAACCGCAGGCTCCTGGGCCCGAGCAATCTGTTCCATTAGATAGGGATGGGCCCAAAATGGATCGCAGAGCAGGCTTGGGTCCACCTTCATGAGAGCTCTCAGGCATCGCCCTTCGATAGGTGGCTGCATGTCAAAAGCAAGAACAATTGTTTGACCAGTCGACGGTAGCCATCTAGTAAACAAGTTTGTATAAAACCATAAAAAGCTTGCGTTGGGCTCCACTTTCTTCACAGTAAATCTAGACCAAGTATCTGGCAAGATCAGCGTTGTCGCATTGCCTATTATTGGCGTGCTTACTGAAGCCAGTGACAATTCCAGAGCGCCTCGTGCTCTCACATCCAAATGCCCCATTTCCATTTTGGAAGCATTTTGACCACCAGAAATGAGGCATAGAAAGTGCATCGCTCAATGAGTTCCGACACCGAAGGCACTTTTCAACTGCATATGAGTTGGCAACGCTATTATTCGTTAGTTATATTTTATAAATCACGGACCCAGTGCGTACATAATGCACACTTTTGACCAAGCAGGAAGAATAGAAGAAATATCGCTGGAGTCGTCATTGTGAAAGTCCATAAGCCGAATCTGTCGCCAGTTGGCTGCAGGGTCTCCGTTCCATTGGGAGACCGACAGATGGGCACAGGCTCGGCCGTTTGGTTCCTGCATCTCGTGAGACCAAAATCAAACGATATAACAGCACTTAGAGAGGACCGACAATGCAAGACATGAGCAGCAATGGTCCAAATGGGAGGAAAATGAGCGGTCGCAGGTGAGACGGGGCCGTGCCCCTCTTAGCCGCTCAGCCTCAAATGGAGTACGAAATGTCTTGGAATTGCTTCATTTCTATGACTTCCAGTAAATCTCAAAATATCAGAGGGATTATTTATTTCTCTCAAGACCGAGTTTCACTGTCTAATGATGGCGGCCCAGCATACTTCTCATATCCCCAAGCCCAATACCATGCCGAAGCAAGCAAAATAAATGCCACAAACACGACCGGGGCGTAATTAACTGTCTCAGCAGAGACAGGAATCGAAGTCGGCATGCAGAAGAGGGGAATCACCAGGATACTCCAAGCTAAATAGAAAATGGTGAGCGCTGTTCTTTGACAGTCATTGACCGGATCTTTTTCTTACCCAAAGCCACGATGTTGCAAACCAACCCCAAAGTCCCAAGATCAAACTGACCATTTTTGATGTGCTTTCGTCCTCCAGCAAGAGATACAGCAATGGGACAGGCATAGCTGACAGTCAGCGTTATCACCCCAACACCGGTGAAAGCATTGAAAGCAGCAGTGGATCCGAAATAAATAAAACCAAGCAGGACCTGAACAGCAGTACCAAGCATCATAGCGTTGAACGGAACACCATCCTTGTTCACCTGCTTCCACCACTTGGAACCTGGGATCCCCCGTCGCGAGCAAAGGCCCAGGTGCTTCGCGAAACAGCGGTGGTACAGCCAATAACACACAAGAAGGCGAGGACTATAAGAGGCACCAGAAGCAAGAATGTTCCAACCTCATTACCAACAGCCGACTTGATAATGGTTGGCATCGGTTGGCCGGATGCGAGCGCAGCAAGCATCGTGGTATCGGGGAGTACAAAGACCAAAGGAACGAGGAAGAGGAAGCCAGCCAGAGTATTGAGAATGACCGTACCAACCATCGCCTTGGGCACTTGTGTTGATGGGTGCTGAACTTCTTCGCACATGCTTCAAGTGGTTAATAACCGCTTATCTCAGGAAATAAGGGGAAAACACGAACCAAATAATCATTCCAGTAGAAGAGGTGCTGTAAGCGGCCTGGAGAAGACCCACACAGAAAGACCAGCCAGCTGGCCATCCGGACTGAGGCTCAAAGTTGGTAAAGACGTATGCGGCATCATGTCGACCATTCTTGGCAATTACGAGCACAGAGATGACAATAGCCAGAACACCGGCAAGCGTCCAGAAAATTGCAAAGGTCTATTGAACGCGTCAGCAATCACGGGCAGGTAAAAGGGAGACTCTTCATACATCAAGCAAGGGTAGCCACTTGTTTCCAAAAGCTGATACTGCTGTAGAGATGAAAGTGACAGCCAGAAAGATCAGGAAAACTTGATAAGTTTCCGCCGCGAAGATTCCGACTCCCGGAGAAGATTCAAAAACATTAATACACGAAACGAGGAAAAGGGTGCTTCCAAGATTGACTGCGAGGGTAATAGTAATGTTTCCAACAACATATGACCACCCGCAGATCCAGGACGCAATTCTGCGATATGAAGGAGGTGATAGCATAAAGGTTTGGTAGTAGACACCTCCTGCAGTTGGATAGACTGAAGTAATTTCACCGAGGGACGCAGCGACGCAGAGAATGATCATAGAGACTGCAAGCCATCCCCAGATGATGTTAACTGAACCTCCTCCGACAAGGGGGTAGACGAATGTTGTTGCGAGGCCGTATGGGATTGCTGCAAGGACAAATGACATGAAAGCCACTTGGAGCGTGGATCGGTTTCGAACTAACTCGGGCTCGTAGCCAAGGGCTTCCAATACACCGTTCGCTGACGTCTGTTTGCCTTCTTCGATTTTGGGATAGTCGTTTTCAAGTGCATCAGGATCGAACTTTTTGTCTTCTGCAAAGGCATTTTTGTGGGTGTCGACTTCGGTAGCCATAGTCAAGGCGCTTTGGGAATTGTAGCTGGGAAATATCAAATATTCAGAATGGCGCACTGGGTGTGGAATTAGAGGATATTCTCTGGTAAGGCTAAAATTTAAAAAAAGAATAATGAAAAAAGTTAAACGATAGAAAGGTATTTCGAATGCTTGTGTTCTCACAAGATATGAATATCCAGGAACATCCAGACTTATAAAGTCATAGTTCGTAATTGGAGAGCGGAGCATCATCAAGTACGGATATCGAAGCCGACATCTATCTGATTGTCTGATGACGACGGCTCCATGCGGAGAAGAGGACTTAATTGGCTATACGAAGTTCAGCCATTGATTAACAGCCGCTAAAGCCCAGTTTCATTGAAGCTTCTTGTGCCCTATCTCCTCAAGCCATCCTTGACTAAGGTTGGCAATGCGGCATATACTTTAGTCGGTTCATTCTGCCCCTTCCAATCAGAAAGCAGCCACGATAAGCAAACTTTGTCATAGGTCACTTGCATTCGACTCAGGGGTGAAGGTCTCCACATTGCAGGCCTTTGGTCAAGGGACTCAAAGTCGATCGATGGGCCGATATAGAGATAGCAATTCAATGATAGGGCAAGTCTATGACACAGCTGTAATGCAAGATAAGTCAAATAATATGTTATCACATATGATACCTGAGCTGAAACGTGCACAAGAGCATCTTTTCACCTCGGAGGCCGCTATGTTTGTCTGCGCTAATCCGGACCTGGATTAGCCATTGGGGCTTAGCGGATAAGCTAATGCACGGCGGCTACGCTAATCCTCATAAAGCGAGAAGGCACTCCAAAGACGTAAAGTACATGTACGTACTGTATAATTTACTGCACACCGGCGAATGGTAAGACATGTTCAAACAGATGGCAGGATGAGGCTGTGTCAATACCTTATCTTTTAAGTATGGTGATCAGCCATTATCGAGGGTTCATATTGAAGGTTGTACCTATGTTGCTAGGACCAACATAAGACTAATATAGTCGAAGCATGACACTCCGGTGTTACGGGCTGAAAATTGCGCGAATTTCCCCTCACCGTGTGGCTTGTTGGGGCTAGATCTCCGGGATATAATGACACTATTTCCAACCCAATTCATGGTGGACGAGACATTCTCCGCACTCGTGATGTCATGTGTTGGGTTGTCAATTGTTAGAGAATGCTTTGATTCAGAGGCCAGACATGGGTAGCATTGATCGGTCATTTCAACATGTTGCTGCCGTAAGTCTTTCGTGTTAGCAGAAGGCTGGATCAGAAGCTAATCAATTCGAGGATGTCGTCCACATGGATAGCCCTGTGCTCTTAACACATCCACTGGCGATCAAACCGAGAGAACCATCACTCTCGGGAAGTGTGGTTTTCAAGGGCAATCTACCTGTAAGGTGATATTGGCACCGAGAATGTGTCAGTCCGAGTATCGACCTCACCTTCACCAGTGTTCAGACTGTCACCAAAGTTAGACTATGGCTTATCAAAGATAGACAGTGGCCACTTTGTCCAACTATCCACTAGGAGAATTTTGTCACGTCTCAATCAAAGAGGCCGCAGAACAAAATCTCATGTTAGAATCGACATTTCGCTGAATAGTGTTGTGAAGACATGGACTGCACAACTTATAGCACAACCTGTCAGACTGGCTAGCCTTAGGTGATTGAAGCCATCGTGGAAGAGAACAGATATTGCGTTGCTCGAGTACAAGAGCTTGAAATAGGAAAACGTATTTCATCGTATGTCAGATCCAAAATGTAATTGGCGCTTTCGAGTCTCAACCGCAAAATATGGACAGCTATAGTCGTATGCCAATATGCAAGACGTTTGAGCTTAATTGGTCCTGATTAGGCGATGCTATAGCTACACGTCAAAATTAGCATGGTAATGAACATGAAAGTATGCTGGCTACTTACTCGTGCGGGTTTGAGGAGGATGACTTTGTTTAGCTGAATGACTATTGATCAAGCTTTCGAGCTCTGAATTCTCCATCGGGAGAAAAAACCCGCCTTCGGCGTGTTATAGTTCCTGTTTAGGCTTAGCGTGGAGGAGCATCACCAAGATGCCGTCACGAGACCAAGGCTTGCGGGGTCGTATTGGGTACAGCTCACATCCGCTGAAGCCTCTCCAGTCTACTAATCAATTACAAGCCAATCGGGAATCCAGGACTGCCCTTTCGTTTGCCCTAGAGTCACCCTTTAGTCAGGTGATCGGATCGGTTAGCGTTCCGACCCGGGGCTTGTCGAGATAGTGTCTCTTTCCAAGCTCGCCTGTCGTTGCCGGCCCGAAATCCGCCTCCCCCCATGATGTGTTCGTATCTCTCGATAACATCGATAACACTCACATCTAGCTGATCTCAGTAGGATGCAAAGTGCGAACGAAGCCCCCACTTCAAGGAAAAGGCAAAACCCAAACCGGTGCAGGCCCAAGTCCAAAGGAGGTTGTTTGAGGTGTAAGCAGCGGCGAGTAAGTTGATGTGAAGGCGGCAATATCAGTTGCCCCTCCTTGCAAACATTTAATATTTCAACTAAGACTCGTACAGCGTCGATGCGATGAGACGAAGCCAAGTTGTCAAGAATGTTCCAAGAAAGGACACACATGCCCTGGATATGAAAAGCAAAATTTAAAGTGGCGCTATGTCTTCAAAGATGACAACCCTGAAACAGCTCAGTCAGCTTCCCCGACTGAGACCCCCAAATCATTAGCGACCGATTCTTTTGAGACGACTCATCTAGCCCAGGAGTCTGAGTGGAAAGTCTTTCCTCATGAAAGCGAACACCAACAGGATATCGCTGGATCTACTGCCTTGGGCCAATTACCAGATATTGAAGATCCAACGAACATCTGGTTCAACCTCGAGTCCGGATTGCCTGGCATGGAAATGGATAATGATGATGAACAGAACAGTTTGTCGATCCTGCGCAAACAACTATCAGATACATCGATTCCATCGTTCCTGATCCAGCTCCCAGCGATGCTGGTTGAGTATTATTTCCGTACTGTTTGCAACCAATGGTCATCCTTTGACTGTCCACTCAATCCATTTCGAACAATTATCAGCCGACTCTGGAGTCGAAATGCAGCTATTTACTTTACCATACAAAGTATGTCGGCCGCATCACTGGCTAACGACTTTCCAAGTATGAGGGCTATTGGGAGACAAACTCAGCAACAAGCGATTGTTTGCCTACAGAATAGCATGCGAGGAAGATCAGCTCGTATGGGCGACGATGAGTTCTTTCTGGCGCTCTTGATGTTGGGATCTACCACAGGATGGCACGATCCATCTGATCTAGGGTTGTCATATTTGAAAGCAGCCCAAGAACATCTTCTGAGACAGAAACATCGAAGTAAAAGTCCAAATTTTGGCGTAGCAAAGCAGTACCCTCTTTTCAAGCAGTGTCTGCTGTATTGGAACTTGCTGGCAGCGTTCGTGGCTGAAGATTCGCCCATTCTGAATGAAGACAGCCCCACAGAGAATAGCGACTCAGATTTGTCAATCTATCTTGTTGATGGGCAGGCAATTCCTCATCCATGGACGGGCTCACTCACCTACGCATTGAGTCTATTCTATCGGACTGCAAGAATTATTCGAACCTCAAAGACGTCGCACCGAAGACAAGCACAGGCAGTAGATCCTACCGTGGTCGATTTCAGCTGCTTGGCTGAAGAACTCGATCTCAGACAGAGGGCAGAGGAGCTCGAACATAGTATCCTCTTTTCTGGGTTCTCATTCTACTGCGGTCCGGTCGATATCGGCGATACAAACACACCTCCATCACATTTCCTTACTTTAGCCGAAGCATATCGCTGCGCGGCGCTGTTACAGATTTACCATGTATTCCCGGAAATTTTGGAAGAAAGGCTTCGCACCAACCACGACTCAGATAGTGAATCTTCGATTCCAGCTCTGTTTCTGTTACTATTCCCAATTACCGCGGACTGGTTATTGCTCTCAATCGAAGACACAAGACATTCCTTGGCACTGCACGTTGTCTCTCTTTTGGACCAACTCCCTTCGACATCTGGGACCAAGGTTATGCAGCCAGTGATCCTGGCTTGCATATCCAGTGATCTTGTGTTTTCGTCTGGCTCTGTCTTGGGCCCCGCAGCAAATGCAATTCCTAATTTGAATACTCTGGATGTTGATATCGCTCAAGCCAGGCGAAAAGTAAAAATGAAATTGTCTGAGCTCACGATAATCCTCCCAAAGCTGCCGATGCAACGGATTTCCAATGTGATACACGAGACCTGGGATCGCGCCGACTCTGGATTGGAGGAGTTTTGGCTGGATGTTATGTTGGATTTGAATTTGGAGACCATAATGGGATAAGCATACGGAAATGGTGTTAGCAATGATTCAGTTCCATTAGGCGTATTATATAACAATTAGATCACTCAAAGGGTCATCTTAAAAAACACTCCAAATAGATCCAAACACACCCCTCCTCATATAAGAGTGGATGCGTAACATTAGCGTTAGGATTAGCGTATTTTCAGTTCTGTATTTCACCTCATCTTTCATCTCATGTTTTACCAAGTTATTGATACTATGTCTACTGTAGAGTTAACCATTCCAGGTACAAAATCTGAGTGTGATGAAAACGCGTATCTTGCAGTTTGTAAGGACGAAGACCTGGTGCATTTGTTCTCGGTCAGTTTGGCGATCTCAATGGTTTGCTTTGGGGGGAACTCATTGCGATATTTGAATTGAACTATGAGAATTGAGAATTGATCTATACACAGAGTTTAGCAGATTAAGAATAACTCATTCTGACCCGCGAAGAAATTGGGCAACATTCCCTCATGTGCCTCGGTCTCCCATGAGTTTTCCAAACGTTCGAGAGTTGTCTCCATAATGCCCATCCCAAAATTTTCAATCAAAGAACTCATATATTGCCGAACCAAGTCTCTATCTGAGGGGTCATGTGAATTCAATCCAAAAACAAACAATGGCCATGTAGCTGTTGTTGCAATTGGAGAGTTGGGAGGCAGACGTAAAAACAACGATTTGAGATATTCAAAAGAGGTTTGAACACTATCTCTGTAGTTGAGTGTCTGAAAACGGGTATCTAGTAAGAGGAGAAGGCTATACTGGTAAAGCTCGGCGCCGAGAGCAATATCATGCTCGGTCGATGTAGGATTCCATCTTGAGATGTGGTACCTTGTCCTCCAATACTCGTCAACAAGATCCATATTTTTAATTTGGAATTGATTATCCTGAGGCACTTGTGCCTTGAAACCTGAGTCTGATAGTAGCTTTGAGACTCTCGGTACGAAAGTGAACAAATCTTGAGCACATCCACACAGCATGCCAACCTTGTTGCTCTGTGGAGTCAGAGACCCAGTCGATGTATTAGGCCACAAAGTTGCCAAGGTTGGGCATTCAACTGTAAAAGAAGCGAGACAAGCATTGTAAGCAAATAGCTCTGTGACAAACAGTCCCATAGTGGACTGGATACTCTTGGCATTGGAGCGCAAAATGTATGCCATTAGATAGTTTGCGCCCTCCATGTGTGATTTCATTGCTTCAGGGTCGGTCCCTTTGGTAGCCTATGAGAAGTCAGTACAATGTCACCTATAGTAAAGGGAAATGTGAGCCTCCCTCGATAAGGTAGAAAATTAACACGACTAGCAGAGATCGTAATGCAGAATCGACACTGCGGTGCCCGTCATTTTTCAGTAAGTGGGACAAATCTACCCTCAGGCTTTTCAAGGCACGGATATAATTTCGTAAAGTCGACAATTGTATAGTGGAGCTATTTTGAGGAAGCCGTCGCATTAAGTGTTCCCCTGCGAGTGCCAAGATAGAATGCATCAATAGTTCGTCATCCAAGGCAGCAGGAAATATTGTATGAAGAAATGGATTCTCGTTGTCTTGTAAGCAAACAAGCCTGTTTGCTGTGTCATTTAAATAATGGTGGAGAATTCTCCAGGTCTCTCCTGTAGATGAGACCGATCCTGGTAGGACGAGAGGAAATAGCGAGACCGGGATCTCGCCGGACGTGATAGACCCTGTATTTGCCATGGCTACATATTGTGCAGACAACACAGTCTTTCCGAGACTCTGTTTACTCTCCATTTCTTCTTTTTCAGAAAAAGGGCCGGGCCAAACACAATTTATGCAATTGCGTTGGCAGGCTGTGCAGGTTGGCTTGGTTTCATCACACTTCTTTTTGCGTCTTCGACAAGACAAACATCCGAGGCGTGATCTGGCCCCCATGTCCAAAATTTGCAGGAGCTTACTCCATAGTCATACAAGATTTACGTGCATCTTAAGTAGATTTCTGAGTGACGGTGAGGGGATGTACATCAAAACATTGTAATCGGCCACGTGACCGGCATACGGATGAGTAGAGATCTTGCCTAATCGGGACTAGCTCTATCTCCGTCACTATGCGGTCGATGCTTCTCTTTATCTTCAATACTCCTATCCAATCTTTGATCTGAGCCTCGGAGATCATTGGCTATTAATTGGGCTGACTTGCACTTAACGCCATTCCATGTTCTATTCTCAACAAGGACAGTGGCTTGAACATCTCAATATGGAGCCTAGAGTTGCTGTCAATGTTCACCATCCAGTCCCATGTATAAAGCGATGAATTAGGATTACCTATTGATGGCGTAATGCCACTACATTCTTCAGCAGCTATGACAATATATTTGCGAAAGTTGGCATCCTCGCCCTTTCTTAGTCTTCTGCCACAGAGCCATGTACTGTCTGGCACCATGATCAGTACAACTACGATGGAGACATACGAGTTGTCCTTTTATATCTGTATGGCCGCTTTTTTAAGCCAATGCGGGATTCTCATCGCCTTTTTCTGCATTTTGTGCTGGCTGAGTCGGCCACGGGTGGCTTTTGTGAATGACATTGAATCGAATCAGAAAGCCTCTCGAACCCATAGGAGCGAAAATGCTCACAAGAGCTCCCCTCTATTGGGAGATCAAGTTCTACATCAGCAACAGTGTTGTTGAAGTGCGAAATAAATGCGGTCAGGCGAAACTCCACCTCCGCAACAGCTACTCGAAGACTCCAAATAACTGTTCAGGTTGAGCCACCATTTGAGAGCCAATGACAGGAAACGCACAACACAAAATGGGGTTCTGCTCGTTTGCAAGTCTCAATCTGTCTGTTGTGTCCGAAATATGCAGGTCATGCATGTTTGTCTTCCTTGTATGCCAAAGTATGTACCTTGGGAAATCCCTATTCTCAATATTCCCCAGCTGAAATCTGACCAACTTTTAATTTGAGTAGGTCTCGTGCTCAATAATGCTATATCAAAAATAGGGTTTTGGCGCCAATGAAGTGATCCCATTGAATGGCGTTCCATTTTATGCGAAGTACTTTTGCAATTTTCCCCTCTTTCTTTCTTTTTCTATTTTGTTTTCCCTCTTTCCACTTTTTTCGGCTCTATATTGATGAACTATGCGTTATGTTAATTAGAATTCTGAACTTATGGCGCTTCCAGCGTCAAACGTGGCCAAGCAGTTTATTTCAAAGTTTTGAAGATTACAGGTTAAAGAAAAAGCAATTATGCTTCCCTTCACAAAGTCACGCGGTGAATCAGACATCTATAGAATGGTCTCGCCCTTTGAACAGCTGATCTGTTCAAGCTTAAATTATCTGCCTATTGCTGTATTTCACAATGATAAATCTCTCCACGTTTGATTGTCTTCTCTACACCAACTACGAAACGCCAAAAGAATGCCATTTTCCCGAACATTGTCAGTTGTCGGATGCCATGCCGAGGGTGAAGTCGGAGATGTTATCACCGGCGGCGTACTCGATGTTCCTGGCAAAACGATGTATGAGAAATTAATTTACTTTCTGAACAATAAAGACAGCATCCGCCAGTTGTTACTCAACGAGCCTCGAGGCCGATCTTCGATGAATACAAACTTACTCTTGCCGCCCTGTGACCCGCGGGCTGATGCCGGATTTCTGATCATGGAAAGCGAAGAATATGCCCCAATGTCGGGCTCTAATACCATCTGCACTGCCACGGTGCTTTTGGAGACTGGTATGGTTCCGATGAAAGAGCCAATCACCGAACTGACCTTGGATACCGCCGCCGGTCTGGTGGGCATCACTGCGCAATGTGAGGCCGGGAAATGCAAAAGCGTGGCATTTGACAACGTGCCTGCATTTGTTTTCAAGCTTGACTACAAAGTCCAAGTTCCTGGGATAGGGAAGGTCTCCGTTGATATTGCCTGGGGAGGTATGATTTACGTGCTGGTGGATGCAGCATCGGTGGGATTGAAAATCGAGGCTCAATATAGTATGCAGCTCGTCGAGTTCGGCGAGCGTATCAAGCGTGCTGTGCAGGCATCCTATACTCCCGTTCATCCCGAGAATCCTGGGATTAAGGGCGTTAGTATTTTGGAGTTCACAGAGCCTCTGACAAATGATAAGGATTGCAAAGTTGCCGTCAATACTGTTGTTGTCTCTCCAGGGAGATTTGATCGCAGTCCCTGCGGAACTGGAACTTGTGCTCGAATGGCTGTTTTGCACGCAAGGGGTCAGCTTAAGGCGGGAGAGATCTTTAAGCATCGCAGCATCATTGGTACGGAGTTCGCCAGCCACATTCGGGGCATAACAAAAGTGGGAGATTACCAGGCTGTTCTACCAACAGTCTCTGGTAGAGCCTGGATCACGAGCTTCAAGCAAGTTGTTCTTGATTCGAGTGATCCTTTCCCTGAGGGATTCAGAGTTGGCGATCAGTGGCGAATTGTACCAAACTAGATGGTTTTATACTGAGTTTCCTGTTCCAAAGGCTTCTTTTTAGGTCGCTTGTGTGATATTCGTGTGGCAAGGAGCATGAGGCCTATATTGATCTATGTACCGGATATCTTATACCACAGCTTGTCTTTCTGCTTCCATTTCAGTGCTCATATCATCGCCGCTTTACCTCATCGAGTAGACCTAATCCCAGTCTTATTAATTAAGCTCTCTGGTTTTCTCACTGAGCGCAATAGTCGGTCGTAAGTTCATAGAATTTTTTGATGAGTGGGAGGCTGAGGGTTGCTGAATGGCTCCATATGAATCGATCACTTCAATTGAGAATAAAAAGTCAGCTATCAGCTACTCAGCAAAGTACCATTGAAAATTTGTTACTTTTTTCTGTCTTCGAAAGACTAAATTTAAGCGTATATAGAACTTGTATGTAAAAAATGTATTGATCTCAGCCTCACAGAAGTACCATAATCAACCCCATGTTCTTTAGATTAAACACTTATTCACGATGCGATGGAGAGTTCCAAGTTTTAATGCTCGATCATTTCTGGTGTTAAACAAATTAGAGAAGATGGTACATGTAGCCCAACACAAGAGATCTCTAGGAACACACGTTGAAGCAATGATACACCCCAAGAACGAGAATTCAAAGATAGAAAAGAAAGTCTCCCAGTACACATTGACAATAAACTTTCTCTCTAGTAGAAGTTCTGTGTGGATGACTGAGATTGGAGGAAGAACGACTTGAGCAGAGATAGATCATGTCATGAAAAAGAAGATGTGAAGAAATTTTAGACCTGGATATAGATAGTCTCAGCAATGCTGGGAACACCATCATCATTGAGAATGAATAGCATCCAAGGACCTGGAATAAGAGCGCCTGCATCAGCAGGAAGGGTCGCCTCGTAAGAGTCTCCATTCGCAGTCCACGAATCCAAAACAACACGACGCTGATCAGTGTTCACAGTGTGGGTAGTGGCACCGTAGCGGATCAAGGATGCCTTGCTGACCTTGGCACTAGATTTGATGCTCAATATGTCACCAGGCTGAAGAGTTTTCTCAGCGACACTATCGATGATAGGTCGGTCGGCGAGTGTGCCGTCATCGTTCAGCAGGTAATCTGGAGTGTAAATCTGGGCGTCAAAATGGTTGGTGGGCTGAGAGACGCCGAGTCCGCCGCCACCGTTGAAGACTCGTCCATCCTTGAGAAGAAGAGAAATGCTGTGGTACACACGGACGATGCTGTTGGTCTGTCCCTGGTGGAACTCATTGGTTACAGGGTCGTACAACTCGGGGGTGAATATTGCGTTGCTGTCATTGAAGGGAACACCAAAGGTCTGTCCACCTGTAGTAAAAACATTGCCATCAGGGAGAACGACCGAGGTGTGGAATACTCGGGCAAAGGCCATACCATCACCAGAGGGGTTCTTGGCTGAGCTGACCTTGGGATCAGTTCCAGGCTCGCCGATCTCGATCAGATGAGCGTCTTTCGTGGCATAAGTGTTGACGTAGGAAGGAGAGCCACCGAAGGTGATGATCTTTCCATTCACTGCGTCAAACATCACCGCATTACCGGACATGGCATCATTGGCATCACCGCGAGTTCCTGCAGGCTTTTGGTCACCCTGGCCACTCGTGTAGTACCAGTTCATAGCCTTACTAGGTCCGGCTTGGAAAACAGTGCCGTTCTTCCACCCAAAGATCCAGCCATGACTGTCACGACGATAGCCACCAGCATCATCATCAGTCCACATAGGCTTCACAAGAGCTCCTGGCAAGGCCGAGAAGTCTTCGGTGGCCGGATCGTAGATTTCGCCATCCTTGTCATTGTTCGTACCGCCATTCCATGAGCCGCCGATAATGAACACCCGACCTTCAGAATTAGTTGCGGAAGCCTGGTAGCCACGACCAAGCCTCATCGCGTTGCCTGGGAGCCAAGTGTCGGTCTTTGGGTCCAACAGACTCGTTTGTTGATCGTTATTACCGCCAGTCACAAGCAATTCACTCTTGCCGTCGTAGGAGATGCCAGCGCAGAACATATCGTGGCCAGTCTCCTGAACTGTTCGCTGAGTGACGTTTCCAGTGACTGGGTCCCAAATTGCTGTGAGGGTCTCGCTCTTAGAATGGAGATAATCATCCCTGGACCATGAAGACCAAACAAGAACCTGACCGGTGCCAGGAAGAATTGCGCCCGAGACAGCCACCAGAGGTAGATCAATGGTAGGGCCCCAAACACCACCGTTAGGCACTTTCTTGGGGGTATTGCTGTCATAGATCTGCAACTCGGAGATACTAGCCGCAGTGCCATCGAGAGAGAGCAGGCGAAGGTATTGGCCCTCCTTGGGCTCGAACATAGCCAGCTTCTGGTCGGTAGTATTGTACCAGGTTCCTAACGCAACTGGATCGCCCCAGTTCTCCTTGTCATTGCTCACATAGATCTTGTGAATGAAAATCTGGCCAGTGGTGTCGGTATCTCGGCGCGAGACCACGGAGAGAGCTTGAATATTCTCTGCTCGGCTGAGGTCCACGACGACTTCATGAGAGCTTCCATCATCTCCTGACTGCCAGAAAGTGTTGAAATCGTCATCGAGCATCTTCGTACACTCGTCCGTCTCGGTGCTGTCACAAGTGACCGTCCATTGCCGCCGACTGAGCTTTTCTCCAATAGGTGGTGCTTGATTGGTCGCGTACGGGTCCTCTGCGGCCGATTGCAGGTTTATGGTGGCAGCTTCTTGGGAGGCTTGGGAATTATCGTCTGCTTGGGCAAGACCCAAAAGCAATAGTCCGGAGAGCCATTTGGCGTGCATCTTGTTTATAGACTTAACCACCGACCAAGAGTCTTACCGAACGTACTCGTGCGAGAATCGTCATTTAAATATATCCTCTCTGTAGTCTTGAATCGCTAACATGCAAGACGGTATACTGCCAATCTCGATAAAATTCCTCGCTCTGCAAGGGGAACTTCAATCTGGCATGTCTTACACAATGTATTCTATGGTACTAGACATTGTCGAGTAGAGATTTCTACATATTAATCAACGGCCAGTGATCTTCGTCGCCATAACTCCTTACCCGAAGCCGATTATTCCCACGTTGGGAAATACTTGTGCTGTGTTACAACCAACCCTTGAGGTGGAAATTGTATCCGGCGATCATCCAGCCTCTATCAATCCAGGCCCAGCCCTCCCAGGAATGAAAGTGGTTACCATGCTTTCAACGGTTATTTTTTCCGAACTCATGAATTATACTTCGCCCTACAAGCATACTCGAGATTAGTTACGGGCCGGCCCGGAGTCTGAACCTTGATTTTTTTGTTCATGTTGTGCGGAGTCGCAACCACAGCAGAGAAGCAGCCCTAAGCATAGCAACTTTCCATTGAGGGATTTATCTGCCTTAAGGAATTTTACGATGACGCTATGGATAAATTCGACGGCCCCTGAACAACTCCACAACACGGCCTCTAATTTTTCAGCTCATCATTCGGATAATTTATTGAGCCTGATGTTGTGGGTTTCTATGCAACAGAACTCTGCAATCAAGACTAGCCAGGGGTCTGGCATTCAAGTCGACATGATATGGTGTGAGAAAATGTAAGCTCAAGCAAGGAAGATAAGTGAATGAGACATTAGCAATAAATTAATACAAAAGCAGATCCAGTCGAGCCAGTGCGTAAGGCACTCTTGCATTCATGACCCCTTGGCCACTTATATTGTCCAAGAGGCAACTTATGTGGGCGCTTATGCAAATAGCTGCTTTCAAACGTCTCCCGCTTCATTCGCTCCTCGCGGATTTCTCCATATTATCCTTGGAATAGTACTCGGATCTGCACCGTCCGACAGCAGGTATTCCGAATTTCCACGTTGCACCAACTTAGGGTGTAATCACACCGTTACTTCAAGAATGATAGGATCAAGACGCATACCGCGGCTCCTAGGCTCCTCAGCTCCTCATTTACCTCTACTTTCCACACCTTGATGTCATCATTTTTCTTTCTACTGGTCTACCATATTGTTTTAGCTGTTCTGCATTTTAATTGCACCAGATTTGCCGGGCTCCCAAAGACCCAGCCAGTAATTATCCAATCTGTGTCTGTTTTGTGATATTCGCTTTGCCAATATACCGTACGGTAGTTTCCTGTGCCCAATCAGTCACATCTCCAATCTCCAGTACATGTGCATTTTTGATGCACTCTAGAAGTACAAAACCAGTTCTTTCTGCCTAAATATACTGGGTTCGTGGGAATTTGGTAGCTTTCCAGCTCATCCTTGTCACCGTCTTTTTCATCTCACTTTATTGGCCGCACCAAAACTAAGGTTATAAAAAGCAGCTTGAGCTCCGGTTGGAAAAAATATTTCTCTCATCTAAACCGCCTCTTTGAATCTACCAGCCCACCCAAAGCAACAAAAAGTTCTTTCCAATGGCACCAAACGTGAAAAATATCCAGGGTGATATTTGGTGAGTGCATCACCAATTTTGAAAGTCGCTTGACTAACAGACCTTCAGGCCTCGATTGGCAAAGAAATACGAGACCTTCCTGTTCTTCGAGATTCAAGATGTAACCAAGTTCAAAAAAGAGCTTTCCGCGTTTAGCAAGCGTATCACAACGGCAGAGGGTGCACACAAGACTCGTGGCATGCTCTATTCGCGAAAGGAGAAGGGCGAAGATAGCATCGTTGATAATATCAACACAAATATTTCGTTTTCTTGTGTTGGCCTTGCCAAGGTAAGTCTCCCTTTTAACTATTGCTTACTGCTCATATCATCTAACGTCTTCTCCAGCTCGGAAAAGATGATCTTGGAGATGAGGTCTTCAAAGGCGGAATGTACGCAGACATGGTAACCGCCGGCCTTGACAGAGACGAAGAGTGGCATGGAGAATTCAAAGGATCCCGCGGGCAGATTGACGGCGTGTTCATCCTTGCTGGCAGCTCGGAGGCAACTGTGTACAACTGGATCACAGACGTCATCAGGCCCAAGTTCGCTCTGCCGCCCGATAGCCCAGCTACGAAGTTCCTGTTCACCCAGAGCGGCGCAGTTCTTAATCAATACGACGTCGAACAGTAAACTAGTATTTTCTTGATGTATTGATGGTCACTAATCATATCTTAGCTTTGGGTGGAAAGATGGTGCCTCTCAGCCTTTGCTCAAGGGGTTGGACGATAATGTTGAAGACACGAAAGGACCTGGTCTCATTAAGCCTGGGTAAGCTTTTCTGGGCCAATTTTCACCCGTAGACGATACTGACCCCAAATTATTAGTTATATCATTGTTGGAGAGGAAGGTGATACCGAAAAGGCACCCGATTGGGCCAAGGATGGTAGCTTCATGGTCTTCCGTAGACTGAGACAGCTGGTCCCCGAGTTCACCCAGTGAGTTCAGTGAATTAATGCGCGGGTATTGATTAATCATGGCTATCCAGGTGGGTTGTTGGAAAAATCGGCGATCAGGCCATGGAAGATGATGGTAAAACCATGAAACTCGGTGTCATTAGCACAATGTCCTCCCGAGTGGTTGGAAGATGGCCCGACGGTTAGTTCGCCCTGTTGCCTTACGCAGTTGCAGCCCACTCATTCACATGCCTCTATTTTAGGAGCGCCTCTTGATCTCATGCCGAAACCGCCCCAGGGTGAGGAAAATACTTACAAGGGTCTACCTGAGGATGCTCCAGCCCGGGGTGAAGAGCACATGAAACTCACGCGTTCGAATGACTTCGACTTCCGCGACATTGCAGTACAGGATAGATGCCCCTTTGCATCTCACATTCGCAAAGTGCGGCCGCGAGCCGATCGCCTCAACTTCGACGGCACTTTTGATGATACTCATGCCATGATCCGCCGTGGTGTGTCATTTGGGCCTCTCACTACCAATGAGGAGAAATCACTGGGCGTGACTATACACGATCGTGGACTTCTTTTCGTGTCCTACCAGGCCAACCTCCATAACGGGTTCCGGCAAGTTCAAAACGGTGAGTCTTCTCGAGCTAGAATTCATGGAAGCTGCTAATGGATGACAAAGAATGGGCGAACAAGGTCAGCTTCCCTGCCGGAAAGGGCAAGAACTACCAGGGCAAGCAGCCTGGGTTGGATCCTATCATCGGTCAATGGGAAAAGGGAGACGATACAAGCAACTATATTTCCATGCCGAGATATGATGATCCTAAGAAGGTGGAGCAATGGAAGCTTGATCGATGTGTCATTGCGGAGGGTGGTGAGTACTTTTTTAGTCCTTCCATTGCCGGTATCCAGGAAATTTGTAGTGCTTAAGAAATATCTCTTTGGTTTCGGGACAGCGTTTGCGCTGTATCTTTCATTGTCGAATTGAATACAAATTTTCGAGTTTGTTATCATGAATTTCACATCTTGTGTATTTTCGGGACAGAAAAAACGAAATAGTAAGTCCATCCATAGACATACGTATATTCTATACTCCAGAAATGCTCCATTCGTCAGATATCTCTTGACCTCCTTAGTTTAAGGGAACATCCTCGGGAGACTAAGCAATATCGATACATCCATTCACGTACTTTATAGTGGTCATCTTGCATTAACGAAGAGCGGTGTGGACTCGATAAGCTGATTCATATTTCTATGTCCGTTCAATATCCCGCATCAAGATCGCTATAAACTCGATACTTTGAGAATAGGGAATGAGCAATGTCTAGCCACATCATTTTACCTGCATATGTGGACCGTTTGGGATTAGCGTTGAAGCGGACCGACCCTTGGGTGATCGGTCCCGGGGGGTCCGGGTGCTTTGTGGGCAATATCAAATCAGGGTTTACAGCATATTTGCCCATAGGTCAACGATCTGAGATATTTCTCCACCCTCTACCGTCGAGCAAGTTGAAATCAATCCAATTATCCGAGACGGGAAGGCTTGCAGCCGTTGTGGGTATTTCGTGATCATGGAACTATTAATATGGACCATCACGGTAAGTCATCGACGAACCAACCCCCCGCCTCTATACATGATTGGCAACTTGTTCAAGTAGGGAGTGAGCTATCTCACAGGGAAACCTTCGGGGTCTGCAAAGCATTGAAGGCGGCAAGGGGGATATCGAGCATTGAGAATGCATCATTACAGTTATCTGTGTAACCTCGGTCCACGGCCCGCATCCCACGGGTTCGAGATCACGGCTTACCTTCTTGAATGGTGAGGTCAGATCATACAGTATTGAGTTCGTCTGTCTAGATAGCTACTGAATGCAACTCAAAGGTCGGACCTGATTTGAGCAAAAAGAATCCTGTGAACAGCAATCAACTCGTCGTCATTTTCTCGGTTTTGACTAGACTTGAGGGATTTGGAATGCGTCATGGTACATATATCATCCGGTCTCTGGGTGGTGTATAGTAAGTTATAGGCAATAAGTATGTAGGAAGGATGTACGTGGTGCACTTGCTCAGGATCAACATCCTGCGCGCCCCTGCATACTTGTGTTAACCGCTGTGTAAGTACAAGGCTGTGATACATCATCTGGAGTATGTACTGTATAAATCATGCATGAATGAAATCTGCGGATCAATTCATGGCTGGCTGCTTGCAATGACGGTGAAGTCATCCGGCGATTCGGGCCTGGTGCTTTTTCTATTACTGTGCGTAGACTTGCATGATTCAAAGACTCTAGTTCATTTGATCTTGCATAGGTCGGAATGGAAGAGCTCGGTTCAATTCTGAGGAGGTACAAGAATGATCTCCGGGTATAAAAGAGGTTTCGTCTTGCTGTTCAAGGTTCTAACAGATTCATTCACAATCCACGATTCGAAATTACCTCAACCCAAACGATCCATATATCACGATGAAATTCGCCTCTTACCTCCTCGGAGCCTTGGTCGTTGCCGTCTCCGCAGTCTATGCTCAGGATGCCCAGAAATATTCGTATTGCGTGAACGATGTGTGCGCAAGTGAACCTGTGGACTGCTCCGATCTTGGGACTAGCTTTGTATGTATTATGAGTAATGGGTTTGATAGACTAGAATCTAACAAGAGAAACAGGAGTCTGCTCAGGTTACTAATGAGGATGACGAGGTGAGTTGATAAGTTATCTATCTGTTGCCATGCGTTGGAATCAATCGCTCATTCGCTTTAGCAATGCTACGAATGCTGCAAGCTCAAGTAATTTCGGACGTGGGCTGGCGGTAAGGTGCAAAATGAAGGCGAGATAGTTGGTTGGCCTCAGGATCGGAATCTTGGTTCCTCTGTCCCTTATCGACGGTTTACTCATATACGGTCACAATCGCTGTGTGTTCTAGCTATGATCGCAATGTGGTTTCGGAAACTTCGCCGATGATCACACTCACGCTGTGATGAATAATTTCCGGCGATATTGAATTTAAAAGTCTACACAACAAGTCAAGCTGATCAGATTTTATCTCCATTAGTAATAAAGCAAGATCTGGATAGTGAGCTGCTCTCAGACATTAGAGAGACAAGTAGGCGAGAAATCATAGAAGCTTTCAGGCTGGACAGAACTGGTGTTCAGACAATGATGAAAGCCATGTATACGTTACTAACTATGATACTTTAGCTAAATTAATCAAAAGATCAAGATTCAATTGTGTAGATATAAATTCAATTGTGCAACCCTATTCCCAATGTTTCCAATTATTTCGAAGATTGCCAAATCACCTCCCCTTCCATTTTGATTTAGAAAGCCATACTCCGCATTGACGATTTTATCTGCCTGATACTTTCCTCCTATTGTAAGCCATTATGCTCTTACTGTCTAACTTATAGTTCACCAGTTAAGCGGCACGGAATCGGCTTCATGTTTTTCCCGATCGGCACCTAGAATTAGAACCCGGCTCTTTTCCGCGTTCCTCTGTTGTCTCGCGCCAACCTCCACGATGGATCAGAAAAAGCTATGTATTGCCAGCCTAGGCAGCTCATTCGCTGCCGGGCCTGACATCCCCCCACAAATCAAGCCTCTTGCCGCGATGCGATCAGGACAGAACTACCCTCACCTCCTAGCCCAACGATTAAACGCTGAACTCAACGATCTCTCAGTCTCTGGTGCAACTCTGCTCAACATAACAGTCGAACCCCAATCTGCGCCATTCTCTGATCATATCTTTTTGCCACAAATATCAGACCTACCCAGCAATGCCGATATCATCACGGTCACAGCAGGAGGAAATGACATAAATTATATTGGAGGCATGATCTCCGATGCTTGCGGTGCTCCGATGCAATTACCAGATCCGTTGACAATTGATCAATTGGCGCAAAGATTGGGCGGGGTTCTCGATGAACTACATAAACGGGCTCCAGGCGCCCGTATCTACCTTGTCGAATACCTCGCTATTCTTGGACCCGACACACGGCCTGATCAGGATATTCCCTTGGGTCGAGAAAGAATCACACACCACAGTGGAATTGCATCTCTCCTCCAACGTGCATATTTGGCTGCAGTTGAAAGGCGAGGTGATTGGTGTGAAAGAGTCCCGATTCATGAACTTAGCCTTGGACACGCACTCGGGAGCAAAGAACCTTGGGTCGGAGGGTTTGACGGTGGGCCGCTTCTTCACCCGAACCTTGCTGGCATGAAGGCAGTAGCAGATATTTTATATGAGAGGATTTGCATTAACTCTAAGGCACTGCTCTGAACGTAGTCTTTCATGTCTGCTTGGCGTGTCCTAGCTAAGCCTCGAGATCATGCAGATCCATGATAGTCTCTCCCAGGCAATAGGCAATACAATGCCAATCTTGCTCTTCTCGGTCAGACTCGTTCAGGCTTTCAGCATCTGTTTTATTATTTTAGACACATTCCTCAATATCCCCTACTCAATGACTTGAATTCGAATGACTTGTTTGCTGCACAGCTAAATTATGTACCTGTGCGTTCTCTCGTGATCAGCGGTCAAACACGCCTTATCCGAAGCCTTTTCCGAGAGCAAAGGAAAAGGCATCGAAACCCTTTACCCCGCAATGAGCCATTCACCGAGTAATCTGGGGTACAAAACTGAAAAAGGGGCCAAGCTCTTGGCCAAGCTTAACCAGTGGCCCAAGAGCTTCAACTTCAATCCTACTGCCCAGCAATTGCCGTATTCATCTTCGCATAATGCCTGCTTCCAAAGGGAGTGCGTCCGATCATGTGGAGTACACGCCTGGCAAAGATGTGGACACAAATGATCTGGCTGGTCGGATGCCAGCATGCTTGGTGACTTTGTCTTCAGAGGAAAGGGAAGAAATGGAAAAGAAACTTGTTCGCAAGATTGATCTCAGACTTCTCATCATGATGGTGGTGATGTACATTCTGAACTATCTAGACCGCAATAACATTGCATCGGCGAAATTAGCAGGCCTAGAAGATGATCTGAATCTCAAGGGCGAGCAGTACCAGGCATGTTTATACTTTCGCCATGCATGGCTTGAGTTTGAAGCTAATGCGATACAATACAGACTGCAGTTAGCGTCCTCTTTGTTGGGTATCTTCTGATGCAAGGTATTAACTACAGTCTCGCGATGCCGAATTCTAATTGGCTAATACGGTCCTAGTCCCGTCGAATATGATCCTTAACAAATTTGGCAAGCCATCTGTCTATCTTCCGAGCTGTATGATGGCATGGGGTATTGTATCTACCTGTACCGCGGCTACTCAAAGCTATGGCGGGCTTTTGGCCTGCCGATTTATCCTTGGATTCGTTGAAGCTGCCTATTTCGTAAGCTGTCCTGTCATGCCGAGGTGTGTAATATGCTAACATGAACAGCCCGGATGTTTGTACCTGCTCTCGGCATGGTATACACGGAAAGAGCTTGTCAAACGAACGGCCTTGCTATACTCTGGCTCGTTGATTTCCGGCGCTTTCTCGGGACTTATCGCCGCGGGTATCACACATGGGCTGAGTGGAGCCCGAGGTATTTCAGCGTGGAGATGGCTGTTCATTATTGAAGGGGCTATAACAGTGAGATTGAAAACAGCCATTAACAGCCGACATATCTGATTATCGCAGGTCTTTGTTGCTTTTATCTCGATTTTCATCATACCTGACCTTCCGCGAACCACATCTTGGTTAACTGATGATGAAAAAGGCTCTCGCAACTTGGCGGCTAGAGGAGGATATCGGCGAAGAGGATTGGGTTGACAGCGAACATCAGTCAATGTTCCATGGTGCCAAGCTTGCTTTCAAGTAAGTATATTCAAGCGACTTTCTTTACCAATGTGATGCTAACAATGGCGGCTAGGGACTATAAGGTTTGGCTTCTGCTCGGTACAATCTATGGTTGTACTGCCTCGGGTGCTGTGACAACATTCTTTCCCATGTGAGTAAAACAGAAATCCTTTCAAAATATATGACATGCTTGATACTGATCTCACTCTCAGTGTGATGGCTGGCTTGGGCAAAGATAGCGTGACAACTTTACTGCTCACCACTCCCCCATATTTGATTGGTACAATCATAGTGCTTATTGCCGCATGGCACGCTGACAAAACTGGCGAGCGGTATCTGCACATTGCTCTTCCACCAATTCTTGCAATCGCATGTTTCATTTTGGCCGTGACGACCAGCTCTTTTGCTCCCCGCTATGTGTAAGCATTATGGTGCGTATATCTTGTCCAGAACAAAATACTGACACTTTCTCGATCTTCAGTGCTATGTGTATCATGATCGGAGCAATCTACTCGGCCTATGTCGTAGCTCTCGGGTACATCTCAAACAGTAAGTGAACCGACTCAGGATCTGATGTAACCATAATAACATATATTAGTCCTCCCCCGGCCTGCCACCAAGCGTGCTGCTGCACTAGCTCTGATCAACTGCTTGAGCAATGTCTGCCAGGTTTATACGCCTTACCTTTATCCGAGTAAGCCACTGTCCAGTTGTACGTTTGAGATAACTCTTACTGATTTATGACAAGACTCTGCGGGTCCGCAATACAGAACCGCATTTTGTTATAATATTGGAATGTCTGCCATGACTATCTGTTTTGCTACAGTCTTGCGCATCGTACTCGGTCATTTGAACAAGCAGCTTGATCAAGAGGAGGGTACCAACATCCCACGCCCTGATATTGAACAGGAAGAGAATGAAGAGAACGGACTCCCTGGAAGAGTCGTTACCCAAGGATTTAGATTCATGCTTTGATTGAAGCATTTCAGTACATCTCATTATTGTTTTTTGGCTTCGAGTTGATGAATAAAGCGTTTTTCGCAGTGTCCATTTTATTTTTCAAATATAGTGGGCAGAAAGAGATTAACTACTTTGGAATCAATAGAGATTGTAAACCACAGTGCTTTCAAGTTGAAGCTTCTCAAAAATTCTCTTATCAGTATGCATAAAGATTGATCACTTCCGAGTCGATCGCACGAATCTTCCGGTTTTCCTTCATGAGGATCACTCTCATAACCCAAGCCAGAATCACAACACCGGCCGAGAACCCAATGCTGCAGTACATAGCCAACGAAAAGCGTGGCGCATCACTATCAGGCCACAAGTAAGGGGTGTAGACACTTGCAATATTACCCAGGGTGTTTGTGAGGGCGATAGCCACTGCCTTCTTCTCATCCGTCTGACCAACAGTAGCGGCCACCCAAGAAATATTGATGTTATTCACACCATATGTAGCTCCTACAAAGAGGATCATGGCAAAATAGCGGGCACCAATATTCAAAGTTCCACATGCAAGGGCAAATCCAACAATTGCAAGCGCCTTGGAGATTGTAATATGCCAGGTTCGTTCGTTGAATCTGCCCGATGACCACGAAACCGCAACGGAAGTGAATGTAGCAATCAGATACGGTGGACAGGTAAGAACCAGTGTAATAGTAGAGTTGAAGCCGAGGGTTTTCACAACAGTAGGCATGAAATTCTTGAATCCATTTGCAGACAAGTGGAGATTGCACATGATAGCAAAGATCCAAGTCCGATAGTCAGAGCACGCCTCTCGGAGCCCCTTCCAGGTACTAGTGCCCTCCTTCTTCTCTGTCGTATCACGTGCAATGCGGTCGTGTGCCATTTGACGCTCTTCAGGGGTGAGCCACCGAGTTTGTAGTGGTGAATTGGGCAAGAGAAAGACCGATAAACCGGCCACTGCAACAGTGGCAACTCCTTGAATGAGGAAAAGCCACCTCCATCCAGCGAGTCCGTGTTTCTGATCGAGTCCAGCAAATACTCCAGCGGCGATGAGCCCGGAGAATGCACTGGCCAGCATGTTTCCGGTGTATAGAATAGCCATTCGTGTCGGTGCTTCCTTGCGAGTGTAAAATTGGGCAATCATGAACAGGGCGCCTGGGTAGAAGGGTGCTTCCACGAAGCCGAGGACGAGTCTGCATACCAGCATTCCATGGTAGTCTTTGGCTAGACATGTCAAGGTGGAGACGATTGCCCAAGCCAGCATAAATCCTGCCATGAAATAGGCGGGTTTGATGCGATTGAGTAACATGTTCGAAGGGATTTGTCCGGCTAGGTAGCTGGTTGATGTTAGGCTAATACAAGGTCAAAATCGGGAGAACTGCAGCTTACCCAACGAACAATATGCTAACGCAAGTATTGTATTGATTTCCGTGTAAATTGAGATCCTTCGTCAAACTATTGAGCTTCCCGTTGACCATGGCGTTCCGGTCAAGAAAGTTGAGAAAATACATCAGCCAGAGGATGGGCTATGCAGATGTTAACAACTACAGGTAGTGAAGGAAGGAGAGGAGTTTGTATTACCATCATATGCCAGTCAATTTTTTTGACAAGAGCGATCTCTTTTGGATCGATCTTTGCTGCAGACCCAAATCGATCATACTGAGGGCTAGTTTTGAGTCCATCCTCCATGTGGTCGAGGTGCTCAACATGGGTATCATTCTTTTCAACGTCACTTTTGGTCATTGTCACTGTCATGAAGATACCTTGTAGACAAAGTAAGATGAATTATATGATTACTGGACTTGGAAATAGTCACAGATATAGCTCATACTCCCCCGGATATCCACTCGTATGTGACATCTGGGGTACATAATAGCTAAGCATGCACTGGCCCACTCAGACGTGCTAAATCATCTTGCCAAGATTTTACCAAAGATATGCCAAGGAGCGGGGTGGAAGGAGACTCTCCCTACTTCCTCATCTCTATGAAAAAGCTGCATTTGCGTGATGTTATCCGAGGCTGTGGCTAAATAGTGAGCACGGACAGGAGGATATCCGTTTGGTGGGAAATTATTATAGTACTGAGCTCAAGAGCGCCAATCAACATTTTCAAATGGGAATCGAGAATTCCGGGGACTCGCTTAAACTGTCTGATCTAGGGGGCTTGCTTTTCCGGTTGCTTTTCCGAGACACTGACATTCCGCAGTCGGTTCGACCCGAAGAATGTCGATAGAGAAATGCTTATGGACATATTGAGGCGATGTACAGCCGCCAATTCTCAATATCTTTCCAGAGTTCCACTGATGCTCATGTCATACTGTGATTCGTCCACGAATGCATTTCGAGATGATACATGATGGTCTAAGGATAGAACAAAGACGAACCGTTACATGAGATATCTTTGGTATTGGATGCTGACTATGACTTGCTTGATTTCTGTATATACTAGCTTCACTTCTCTAGTGCCGCCTTCTGTCAAATTCATTCTGTCTAAGCGATACCTACATGACAGCTCTTCTCAGTGGGCGGATCCCTTAGGGCATTGTCACGGCGCAAGCTATATGTTCATTTGACATTCATTGCTATTTCAATTTGGGTTATGATCTAATGCCCATACACTATGTTGATGCATACTTTATGTAATTACCAGGAGTTGTAGCAAGTCACTTAACTTAACTTTAGCTAACTAAAGTTATAAGTTCACCTTGCAAGGCTAACTTAGGCTAGTTAGTTAGTTAGTTAACATCTTGACGCCTGACAAATAAGGCCCATAAGCCACATGCGGGGGTGACTTACCCCAGACTATCCCTTCATAGCATTTCTTCTCTTTTACCCACCGTTGTCTTGAGTTCAGCCTGAGCACTCTGATTGGTGCATCGGAAATTGTCCATATCAGCCCTTCTACCATGTTAATTACTAATGAACGTGATGTCCGAGGAATATCCTAACAAGCGCCGACGAGGACGCGGCAAAGAGCGTGTGCGAGTAACACGTGCGTGTGACTCCTGCAAGCGGTAGATTTCCTCCCTAGTCTATCACTAGCTGTGATTTACTGACATGGTCCCCAGGAAAAAGCTGCGCTGTTCTGGAACCCTTCCTTGTTCACTATGTCTTCGGTCAGGGGCAGATTGTGAGTATAATGCAGACTACACGAGGGGCAGAAAGACCAAAATCCCCCTCTCTTGGAACACCATGATGCTTCCAGCTTACAGTCACCGCCGATGACTGCCAAGTCAGCTAATACCGCCTCTGAAAAATTGGAGAGTAAACCGCAGTCGTCGGAGCGATCAAGCATGTCCACGGAAGAAATAGCTCTACCCACAGCCAGCTCTCCATCACTTTCACATGCCAGAGTTGCATATCATGATCACGCACCCTACAACCTGAATCATGATACCCGACAGCCCAATCCCCATCTCGCCGCGCTACAGGGAGAGGAAGGCGAAGAGGCAATTTCTTCGCGTAATTCTCCAGACGCAAATCAAACCGACCTAGAGGGGCATTATGTTGGACCATCTTCAGGAGTATCATTTTTACTCAGAGTCCAAAAGCGCATCCACGAGAATGTGGCCGTTTTTTCGAATGGCCCCATCTTCAACTTTGGCGATGCACCTTTACCAAAACAAGATTCTCAATTCTTGGTACTTCCTCCCAAGGATGAAGCTCAAATTCTTGTGAATCGATATTTCGACTTTGCATTTCCAACCCATCGTTTCCTCCATCAAGCTACGATTGAGACTTGGCTTGATACATTTTACTCCGATGTGCATGGATCAGATGACTCCCTGAGCCAGGCAGTAAAGGCGTTGCTGCTGATGGTCATGGTTCAAGGAAAGCAGTATCTTCCTAATCAAGGGCCAGTTGTTGGCCAGTCTGTGAAAAGGTATCCCACCCGCTCCACATTGCTATCCAAAAACTCGCAATCGGCTAACTTGCCCACAAAAGCAACGTTTTCTTTGCTGCATCTGAAGCTCACTTATTGAAAGAAACTGGATCAGTCAGGCTTGCAAGCATTCAAGCCCGGCTAGCTCAATGTTTCTATTTATTATCCGAATCCCGAGTAAACCACTGTTGGAGTCTCTTCGGTACTACTGGACGCCTTGCTCTCGCGATTGGTCTTCACAGGCGCTGGCGACGTGAAGCTATATCCGATCATATTGAGAGTGAATGTAGGAAGCGGGTCTTCTGGTGTGCATACAGCTTGGATATTTACCTCAGTGCAGCGCTGGGTCGCCCGAAGATCTTTCATGATGAAGATATTGACCAAGTGAGCTTTGAGACGTAAATAGCACATTTCTTTTACTATCTGACATGCGTTACAGGATCTCCCAGCATGCGCAAGTGATCGCCAGATCACAAAAAGTGCCATTCTTCCAGCATTTTCTCATGGCCAGAGCGTTATGTTAGCGCCTATATTTCACGCCAAGTGAGTTACCCCAACAATTCTCGTGCTATCTGCTAACCAATATCTAGACTCGTAAGAATAATCAGTGGAATTTTGAAAGATTTGTACGGTCTGAAGCAAAAGAACCTCGAGGCCCAAGCAGTCATCGCACAAAAGTATGGTGCAAGTCTCGCAGAATGGCGAAGTGGCATTGGTCCATTCCTCGAAACTTCCAACATTGAGCTTCTCCAACCAACATACCAGAGACAGTACAATGTCCTAAATCTAGCCTTTGCACATGCAGAGATCCTGCTCTATAGACCATTCTTGCTGCGAAACCTGGCCTCTCTAGGAAGGCGTTCTGGCCACACGCATTCGCAATTGCAACAAGACATTCAAACTAATGTCGAGAAGTGTTTGCAAGCAGCTTCCAAAATAGCAGGGTTGTTCAAAGAGCTTTGCAGGTCAAAGCGGATGTATCGATCTTTTTGGGTAAGATGCGGTTCCATTTGGTCGAAACTGTTACTAACCTGTTTTAGTTTACACATTACTACGTCTTTTGTGCCATCGTGGTTCTATACGTCTACGTGATCCAACATCGCTCGACTCCAACACATTATCTGAGTCAGTACCTGCATATGGGCGAAGAAGCACAAAAGGACCTGGCCCAATGTGGCACTCTAGCGTCATTTCCGCAGCGATACGTTGTAGTTCTGGAAGAGTTACGCAAGGAAGCACTACGGCTGACTAGCTCGTCATCTACTCTTGCTGCTGTTGCTGATATTGAACATGCGGGGGAAAAGCTTGCACAGGCTGATCATTTCGAGTCAGGCAGTATATCTACAGCGCAGGTCCCTGACAGCATGGGAAACTATGACCATTCTGCATCTCCGGGGTGGATTCCAAACTTTGTCCAGGACCCTAGCCCAGCATCTTATCTTGCTGATATGACAGGATGGAGCGAGTTTGACTCGCTTGTTCTGACCGGTTTAGGTGAATTGGGCCATTTCTTCCCGGGTGATGCTGGTGAATACCAGTGAAGTTGGAGATGGAGATCTCATCCTCGGCTCCGCTTAAAGCTCTTTGAAGTATTTTCTCAATGAGGCGCTTTTATATTGGACACAGTTAAAGGACATGCTACATTATAGTACTTTGAGTACTGTATAATCCACAGGCAATAATCAAATTTTGAAAAGAGCCTACTTATGGATAGATCCAGCCCAAGTTCGTTATCATTGAACCTGAAAAGTACTATGCCGCAATCTATCTGCAGCTCTCCAACTGCATATTCATACAGTCCCCGGATTATTCTCTGTGCTTAAATCCTTCCTATTTGAGATACCTTGCTCATCAGCTTGGCTACTTCGTAATCACAGGGGATTTCCTTTGGAAATTGAAGCGAAATAATATGAGGATACTTGAAGTGAATTAATAAGACGGTCCTTATTCCTACCTGAATATGAAAGGGGATCGTAGCACCTTCTCGCTCTATTATGACGTTAACCAATCGCCGAGTATGCGTGACTAGGATCGCACAGCATATACAGTATAACATATCTTCAACAGAGCTCCTCGCATAGTCGGGTCATAGTTCGAGTATATTATGCATGAAACATACTTTAATTTTGATATTCTGCCTGAATAAATAGCACAGAAAGGCTCTCACTTTATCCATTCGGAATATTTCGCTCCATCACTGTCGGGCCGAACCCCTCGGAAAGTCATGTTCCGGGTCCACGCTCCACGTTCACCAATATGAAGTCAGTGATTTCGATTCTCAAGGACTACGCGAAATTCCACAAAAGAAAAGACTGCCTGTCGGTTTCAAAATTGGCATCTAAACCTTCCTCTATATTAGTTGCTCTTGATCTCACAGATACCCCGCAATCCCCGCTATTTCTCAGACACTATGGGCAAACGCATCGTGATCACTGGTGGCTCCGGCAAAGCTGGGCAGCACATTATCAGATATCTCCTCGACCAAGGCCATGACATCCTCAACCTCGACCTGATCCCTCTTCCAGCGGATCTGGAGGGCCGAGTGCACACGCTGAAGGTTGAACTGACCAACACCGGCCAAGTATACAGCGCCCTAGGCTCTCATTTCCACCTGTCAGAGCCATTCCGCGAGCCACTCGGACTTGTTCCAGATGCAGTCATTCACCTGGCGGGATATTCACGTAACATGATTGCTCCAGATGATGAGACATTCCGCTGCAACACCCAGGCAACATATAACTTAATCGAGGCTGCTTCCCGCCTCAACATCAAGAAAATCATCATCGCCAGCTCGGTCACTGTCTACGGCGTTTCTTACGCGGAGGGTGATGTGGACTATCCTTCCTTCCCAGTTGAAGAAACAGTTGATGCAAACCCCATGGATACGTACGCCATCTCCAAGGTGTGTGGGGAGCGTGTTGCCCGTGGCTTCTCCCGCCGATACGGGAGTGACATCTACGTTCTGCGTATTGGACGTATTGTTGCGCCGGAGGAGTACAAGGAGGCCATGTTCCGGTCTTATGTTGAGACGCCTGAGAAGTGGGCGCCGCATGGCTGGTCTTACATCGATGCACGCGACCTTGGCCAAATGTGTGACCTTGCAGTGCAGAAGAATGGCCTCGGATTCCAGATCTTCAATGCTATTAACGACGAAATTACGAATTATGAGCGGACGGCGGATTTCCTTGCCAGGGTCTGCCCTGGCGTACCAATTACGCGGGAGTTGGGGGCCAGGGAAGCGCCCATCAGTAACCGGAAAATTAAGGACATGCTTGGGTTCCAGGAGGAGCATCATTGGATGAAGTACTATGAATAGAGATAATGAATCCACGAGTCTCCTTCGGAACCCTCCGTTCACCGTATAAACTAAGAAGACCTGACATCCATGTACGGAATATCAGTCAGCATGTGACATCACATGATCCCAATAGGGCAAGTGATAGTCTCGTTCGGGTTGCTCCTGTTGTTCTCTTCCCAACCAGCTCCCAGCTCCATACGAGGCGCCTTAGCCTTGGCACGGGCGATCACACTAATTAATGATGTACCCTCCTTGTGATCCTTGCTACCTTGATGAGGCTGGAAGAAAAAAAATACATCCGGTCTGGCCTTGGCGCACAAAGAAGTCAAATCACTAAGACGCCGTCAGGACCCCGATATTCCCCTTTAGCGGGGCTTTTTACTCCTTACCCCTCGGAGTTATTGGAAATCTCCCCTGACCCACTCGACAGATGTTCAGATCTGTGAGACGTTGGGGTTGTGAAATTGACAATCACATTATGGTCTCGAGATGCATGGGACGCTGGAAAGCAGCTGGGAAGCAGATCCTTCCACCGTCGATTCGCTTCTGGATCTCACCGATGATTTCATGTGGGATGGGCCTTGTTTAGCACTGTAACCTCTAATATTACGCTGGTCGCCTACCCCGGGCTATCCCCCGCATGGGATTATACGGGATGCGCGCCTTTCTCTACTTAGCTCCGCCTCTTTGTTTGCCTTCTTTCTCTTTCTCTCTATGCCTTTCCCCAGATTTCATATCTATCCGTCTCACTTGCATCTTCTACGCTACCCACCGCCATGTCCTGTTCCCTTAAGACTAGGTCAACGCTATGACTGACTTCACCGCCCCTGGGAATGGTATCAGCGGTGGCTACCAGGGAGCTTCCCTGGGCATGAAAATCACGATCGCTACTCTCGCTGGAATCACTTGGTATAATGCCTTTGAGCTGATCATTCTGCTTTTCGTGACCTTCGCCGAGTACAGAGGCCTTTACTTTTGGAGTTTACTGGTGTCGTCCTCGATTGGTCTACTGCCTTATTCGCTGGGGTTTCTACTCAAGTTTTTCAATCTTACCGACATACGATGGCTTCCAGTGACATTACTCACAATTGGATGGTGGTGTATGGTCACCGGCCAGTCCATTGTTCTGTATTCGCGTCTACATCTGGTCCTCTCAAACCACCGCGTCCTACGCCGCGTATTGACCATGATCGTCGTCAATGCAGCTATTCTCCATCTCCCTACAACCGTCCTCACCTACGGCACGAATCTCGCCGTTGAACCCTCTCTAGGCGCATGGAAGAGAGGTTACAACATAATGGAAAAATTCCAAATGACAGGCTTCTGTCTACAAGAGTTCATTATCTCGGGCCTGTATATCTGGGAAACAGTGCGCATGCTGCGCCTAGATCCAGATCGCGCCAAACGCAAGATCCAATACCAACTGCTGATAATCAACTTCATCATCATCATCCTAGACCTCGGCCTACTCGTCGCCGAGTACAAGAACTACTACATCATGGAAACAATGCTCAAAGGCGTCGTGTACAGCATCAAGCTGAAACTCGAATTTGCCGTCCTCGGAAAACTCATCCACCTTGTACACAACCATGTATGGAAACCTGCGTCTTTCTCTGCACCTCACGACCTCCCCGATTTCATCGATGCGACCCGTGTCACTTCAGATTTTACCCATGCTCCTCCCACAGTCAACCAACGTATGCCAACAGGAATGGACGCAGATGAAATCTCCATCGCCATGTTCGAGCATATGCCTCCCACTCATCTGCGAAGTAACTCCGACTCCAATTCGTGGAGCAGCGAGGGTCGCGCATACCATGTGGATCATGCGCCTATTGACTTCACCAACCCTTTCCAGTACTCAAGACATGCGAGTCGGTCTCAGAAAATGACTGAGAAACCGTGCTGAGCATGCTTGTGACTACGATACCCTCTTGTCTTCCCTATCCTAACGAATCACGATTTATGAGTCATAATCACCTATTGATACTCCTGATATCCCATTTCCTTTTTTCGTGAACATATCATACCCGCTTTGAGATTCTTTTGTCTGGCCCGAGGCACAGTGGCCTTCACATGACAGAGCGCGGGCCATCCGACTTGTTGCTGAGGTTTTTCTTTTTATACTTTGTGGTTCACGCTACACTATACCCTCTTGTTATATGATCTGCAGATGCCTCCGGGCGGGTCATGCAATTTTCGAACTTACAATGTAGATGCATCATTGTCTCTGTATAAAGATCTTCTAATATATACACCTTATACACCTTCGAGTCTACTGTGGTTGTCGATGGTATCGTGCGCGCCGCTTTTTGCCTTCGAATTACTTAGCAGGCATTCATATTACTGCAATAGAATCATGCGGTTTACTTCTGATTTTCCTATCTCTAGACCGCGGTTGAAATAAGATAGCAGCAGATGACAACTTAACGGTCAGTTTTCTGTATTCGATCTATGGCCAAGCCGTGCACAATCACGAATTGCCTTTGTGAAGGTTAAATACTGTAGCAAGTTTCGATAATCGGGTGGTCAAACATGGAAAGGTCCACATATGGCTCCCCTGCATGTACTGTAGATCTGCATTTCTTCGGCATTAGGTGGCTTCAGTGAGAGCTGACCTGTAGAGCCACGATGGGAAGTTTCGCCACTTATGCTGATGTACCTATAATTTTGGATTATATTATCAATAATCCCAACCACTGTCATCTATCAGCCTTCGTGGTCTAGTTGGTTATGACGTCGGTCTCATATATTCTTTCTTATGACATTCTTGGTAACAAGATTGACATCCGAAGGTCTCCAGTTCGAACCTGGACGAGGGCATTTCTTTTTGCTTCGTGGATATTTCTACCATGACGTCACTTGATTTTAGTCTATTCTGTTTAGTAGAATACACTGTAATTCCTGTTTTCATAATTGTTGTCGCTCTAACCAATATATCTTTAAGAATTTCATTGGTTCGGTTTTTCTATTTTGCCTACAACATTTCTGTTCTAAAACCATGAGCGGAATGCATGCATCCTGGATGCCGATATATATCTTAATTACTGCAACCCCATATCCTTATACCGAGTCGTCCAGGTTTAGAATCAACCAAATCTCAAATCAACACACCAGTGAAGGTAGAATTGCAAACGAGAAGAGAGTGCTAGTCATTCCATCTAGATATCTATTCCCTATCACGTTCTATAGTATATTCAATTGAACAGTAACAAAAACCCAAACAAAACAAAGGGACTGAGCTATATACAAAAAGAAAATTCATCTATATTACACTGTCCAGCAGTTTCGACAAACACGTAAGCACCGCATCATGAAAACACATCTAATTCCCTAACCAAGTCGCAGACGACCGGGCACAGCCCGACCACCAAAGAATCCCGAATCACCGCCCTCATCGGTGGTAGCATTGTTGTTATTGTCACCCGACATCCAGCGTGGAAGGCGGAAAGGCTCACCCTGGAACCACTGAGGTGTATTGGTAGTGTCGAAAGTGTTTTTCACGCGATGCGCAAAGGATTGGAAGAAGTTCTCGTCCTCTTCCTCTCCGTCTTCGACAATGGTTGGGGTAGCCACGGCTCGTTGCGTAGGCTGCGGAGAACGAGAGCCCTCTCCAGCTGGCACTCGCAGGCGAGAGGAGCCTGGTGAGCCTTCTTCGCTGCGGTCTGAGGCCCAGGTGGAGCGGCTGCCACGGGAGGAGACGGCCAATGAGCCGAAGCCGTTTAATTCGCGCTCAATGAGATCGCGGCCCTCACGCCAGCCGCCTAGGCCATACCCTGCAGGGTTGTTCTCCACATCGTGGATATCATCATCCTCGGCGAGGCCGCATCCGAAGATGTTCTTGATACGACCGTAGAGGTTAAAGAGGGTTGCGCAGATGGGCAGAAGGATAAGAATGGGGAATATGAAATCAAATCCTTTTCCGAGGGGCGTCAGGTTGATGAGCTTGCCAAGGAACTCGTAGAAAATGGTGGTTCTGCGGAACTCCTTGGGTAGGAATGTCAAGAAGTTGTAGGCAATTGGCACTGTCAGACGAGCCACAAGACTGGCATACCAGCATGCGCTTTCACCGTATGTGTTACGTCGGACAAGAGCTCGGTTTCCCCAGACTTTGACATCGCTGACACCAACCAGGGCAGCCGAACACATGTACAACAGCCAGGCGGAGGCGGTGAGTTGACCGCCAAAACCGACCGGGTTGGATTTCCAGTTTGGAACAACTGTCAAGCTAACAGCCGATAGATGGGGTGCCAAAGACTTGATCAACTCCGACCAAACGATGCACCCAGATGCCATCGCGAAGAAGGCACCGAATGCTAGCCTGACAGCAGGGATTACATTAGAGTATAGCTGATACCGCATATATGGAGTAAGGAACTTCACGCGAGGGAAGCAGGAAGACCGTCTAGCTGCGGGAGCGAATTCAAGCTTCTTTGACGCTGCGGAGTTGATGATAGCCTGGAGATCGGCAGCCAACTGGACCGTGCGATCCCACTCATCCACGAACCGAGCCTTCATGTGGCGAGCACGCTGAACACGCCTTGTCAAATCAGCAAGATAGCGCTCTGTAATAACAGAGGGGATGGTAGCAGAAGTATCCTGAGACTCAAGGATTGGGGCCCGCACGTCGGGCTGACCATGACCCTCCCGAAGCTCCTCAATCCACTCCCGGAAGTCGCGGGCAGTGCCGGTCTTGCGCTGTTGCAATTGAGAAACCTGGCCATTAAGGCTTTCCACCTCATTGACCGAGTCCATCAGTCGATCGTGGACCTTGGGCGCATGGGCTTGAACTCTGCGTAGCCGACCGCTGACGTTCGCATTTCGAAGCAGATTGCGTGGGATTGAAACTAGACCGTGACCCATCAGGTAAATGGCAAGGACCAGTCCCCACACATATGCTAATGCCATGGCTAGACCCTTGATTGATGTGAAATGGAAGCCGTTTGAAATAGAGAAGTAAACCAATCCCACCAACGCACAGCCTAGAACGATCATTTGATATTTGGCGTTCGATCGGAGGGAGTACATCAGGCGGGCTTTAGGTTCACGGTATCCGGAGTCGACGTATTCACCGAGCAATGGAAGGATAGCCCTATTCGGAACAACGACAATTAGTCACGGCCCATATTCAAGTTGAAGCAAGTAAGTGATTTACCAAGTAAGAACAAAGATTAGCCAGTAGGCAATGCGCCAGCAGACCAGAACCATTCGCTCCGGCAGCCAGATTGCCTTGGGACCGGAACCATCGTGGGAACTTGAGGCTAAATCAATGGGTACCAAGAGCACGACACTGGCGGGCAAAGCCAGAGCCAAAAAGATGGGGACAATCAGAAATCCGGGGGTGGCGCGCAAGGTCAGGAACCGCCGCAGGAGCAATAGGACGAGTGCCGAAATGAAGAAGAGGGCGAATGCGAAAAAGACGTTCGAACCCACCGAAATGGGTGGTACGGAGACGGAAAACATGCTGGGAGGAACAGCGGCAGTGATAGAACAATATCGTTTACCCGTTGTTCATGACGAGAAATAGCAGGGACACGGGGGAGCGAAAGGAGATGGGCACGCGAGTTGTTGAAAGGCAAGCCATATATAGAAACCTTACGTGGTTGACGTCCCGTTTCCAGGAGAGGCTGACTTAAGGTCTGACTAACCGGGCAAGAGGTACCGGGAACATTGGTCTGGGTGACGAGGGCCATAGACAGTGGAGTACCCGTTACCCAGCCATCAGGCAATTAGCCCGGATCAGGTCAGGGCCAGAACGCCGTGTCGATCACAACTGTCGCATGTTGAATAGGTGAGGTTGATAATGGCTTAGCTCAGAGGAATTGTACCACATAGGCGTCTAGTATAGGAATCAATGATCAATTCTGGCTATTTCCCTTTGCTCTCTAATATCGCACCTCCACACTATGACGAAGCGCTTTTCAGGCTCTGAGGTTGCGGCCTGAGTGATCAGCGGGTATTATTGATACCCGTAATATACCTGTAATATACAGCCATAGATGCAGAAATGGTCCCGATTAGCCGCAAGGAGATGCACCCCATGACATCGCAATACCAAATACCAGTCTATTGATACCCGCTCTTCTCCTTCACCTTCAATTCTCCCCTCCCCCAATATCGCCCTTCTTTTGTCTCTTCTCTTTTCTCTTCCTCTCATCCATTCTTTCGCATCTTATATATTCCCATATTCGATCTCAATTTGACCCGCCACTCCCTTTCCAAATCCCCGGACCCTCCCTCCCCCAGATTTGTGCTCTCGTAGCTTTGTCTCAGGATTCGGACTTTCGGTACGTACCTAAGCTCTTTGGCTCCCCGAATCTCCCCTCTTTGGATCGAGAGAGGAAACAGAAAAAAAAGAAGCCCAGTGCGACTTGAGCGCTGCAGCATCCCTGTCACGGATCCCAATCCATCCTACAACTGCCCTCATTGGCCCCAAGCCACATTCAGGTTTCGCCCAGCGAATGGCATCGCTCTGACGCTGGTGCCCGAACGCCTTGCTTTCTCCGTCGTGTTGGCTTGTTGCGTGCCTCCTGTCCCTCCTGCCCTCCGTTTCGTCCATTTTCATTCCATCCCCACCCTCCCTGATCGACTCGAATCACGGTTCCACATCAGCACCTGCTTGCTTTTTTTCTCCCGCTGATCAACCCGTGTCGAATCCCTTGCGTCTTCACCTGCTGACCTTGCGACTTCTTTCACAGTGGCGCGTGGGATTTCAGCTCATGCTGACTTTCAAGAAAGCTTCCCGCGGATTGTTCATTGACCCTCCATTGATGGGGTATCCGCTATGAATCCGGGAGAGTTCGCCAACCCGGGCGCGGGGCCTGGCCGGCCAGCCCTGCCTGTTGGAATGAGGCAACCACCCAAGAGTGAAAATATACAGGCTGTCATGAACCATGTAGCCTCAGTAATCCAAAACCAGGGACCTTATGGTGGTTGGAAGGCCACGGTCCAAGTAAAGGACCGCGCCCTGCACATTTATCAAATGTGAGTGTTTCTCTGCGCTCCATGCGTGTTCCTGCTTTGTCTGACCTGTGTCTGAATTAGGATCTCTTCCCTCCGTCTCATTCAACCTAGCATCGGTCTCACCCAAGCAGCCCAGGCGGCCATGAGTTTTGAGTCCAAGGCCTTTTCCAAAGCCAATGAACGAGTCTGTCCTGACCTTAGTTTGCCTCACCTGAATCTAATATACTGACGGAGAGGAATTACTAGGACGACTATGACAAGGAATGTACCGAGAAGCTTCTTCACATCAAGGACACACGAGAGAGACAAGCTGCGGTCTACCAAAGTGGAATGATACCTCAGACGGGCGCCGTCCCAAATCAGATGGCAGTCGGCTTCCCACCCCAAATGACACAAAACATGCAAAGCTCCCCCGCTGGTCAGAACCAAATGGCAATGGGAATGAACAATGCTGCCCTTCAACAACAGCAACAGCAACACCAGCAGCAACAACAACAACAACAGGCGCAACAACAGCAGCAGCGGCAACAGCAACAGTCTCAGGCAATGCTTCAGCAACAGGCGCAGCAACAAGCGCAACAACAAGCGCAAACACAACGCACCCAACAACGTCCCGCCAATGGAATTCCTCTGCCTGACGATCTCAACACCTTATCTCCTCAGGACCTCGATAATGTCTCTCGACTGGCCAACGAGATGCTGACCAAGACTCCCCCTGAAGACATGGAAAAGATCAAGATGAATCTGTCAAACATGACTCCCGAACAGCGTCAATATCTCGCAAGAAAGAATCTTGATCCAATGACCTACTTTTTCCGCTCTCAGGCGCTTGGTCAGATCAGACGTCATCGTCGCGCCCGCGCAGAAATGGGACGTACCCAAAACGCTGGATTAGACCCCAATGGCAACATGATGGGTGATCCAATGATGAATTCGCAACAGCAGCGACAAGCGTTTCAGAACATGCTGAACCTCCAGCGCAACAACGCATTCCCTGGTAATTCTGGCCAGCCAATGGAGCCCCCGAATTTCATGGGCAACGTGGAAAATATTCAAGGACAGCAGGCGGATGGCTTACGCTCCCAAGAAGCTGGTCAGCTAGTGGTTCCTGCAAGTTCATCGCAAATGAATCAGGCACCTTTCCCAAACAACACACATAATAACATGTTCCCGCAGCAGATGGGCCAGAATGGCCAGGCCAATATGAGCAGCGATAACGTCAACGCCCAGGCCCAAGCCCAATTTCTTGCTCAGCAGCAGCAGCATATGCAAGGTGGCTCCAATGTCCCCCCCCAGGATCGAATGCAATTCCAGGCGCAGGCCCAGGCTCAGGCTCAGGCACGTGCACAGGCGGCTCAGAAAGCTCAGATGGCAATCTCTGGCCACCAGGCAAATCCTCAAGGACAGTCACAACTCACTGGTCAGAATCCCGGCATGCCGATGCTGAACCAACCGATGGCACCCGGCCAGATGTCACCAGCTCAGGTCCCTGGTCAAACGCGACCTCCCTCCCGCCCCATGTCTCAGCATCCGGGAGGTGTTCAAGGCCAGACGCCAATGCAAGGCCGTCCAGCAATGCCCCCCAATATCCCGCAGCATATTCAAGACCAGATTAACCGCATGACCCCAGAGCAAGCTCAGGCTTTCATGATGACCCAACAGCGTCGTGCTATGAGCAATATGGCTCGGAATTCTGCTCAACAACCCGGCTCCTTACAGCAGAATCAACCCCAGCCAGGTCAAGCTCAGCAGATGGGCAACAATCAAATGGGCAATCCAATGATGAGAGGCATGAATGCTCCTCAGGATTTAAACCCAGGTGGACTCCCCCAAGGCCAGCAGATGACCCCACAGCAGCGTCAACAACGGCAGAACGAGATGTTCAAGCTTCAAATGCTGCGACAGCAAAACAACGGAGTGGAGATGACCGCCGATCAGAGCAAGCAAATGGATCGTGTAGCGTTCCCTCCGTCGATTTTGAATATGAACGGCGCCTCTATGCAAGTCCCCAAAAATGTAAAGAATTGGGGTCAGCTCAAACAATGGGCTGCTTCAAACTGGGGAGGCACAAGACCTAATGATGTGTCCCGTCTTATGGTGCTCCAGAAGCTTCACCTGGGGCAATTGCTCTCATCCGGTACTGGTCTTGTCAAGGACCCAAATGTTCCAGGTCAACAGGCAACCCCATTCCAAAACACCCAGAATCAATTTACAAACCCCCAGGGCTTCCCTGTCGGTCAGCAACAACCTATGCCAAATATGGCCGGTATGCGGCCGATTACCCCCCAAGACATTCAAATGGCGCGTCAAAAGCTGGGACCCCAGTCGGCCAACTTCACCGATGAACAGATACGCGATATTCTGCACCGCAATCGCCAAAGGCAATTGATGCAGGCTGCACAAAATCGAGCTATCCAAATGGAGGGAACCATGCCGCCTGGACAGCCCGGCCAACCGACGGCGCAACCTCCATTCCCTTCAGCCCAAGCCGTTCCTCAGCCTAAACCGCAACCGCCACAGCAGACACAGCCAATTGCAGACCCACAGTCGTTGGCAAAAGCCCAGGCCGCGGTCAACGCCAAAAATGCGAAGGCTGTGGCCGGGAAACCGGGGTTGAAGAAGAGACCCAGCATGGATGACACTCCTGATGACAAACCCATGGCTACTCAACAGAATCAGCCTGCAATGCCTCTGGGTGCCGGTCCTGGCGCCACAAGGCCTGGAATGCCATTCACGCCGGAACAGCTTGCACAAATGACTCCGCAGCAGCGAGCCCAGGTAGATGCGCATATGTGGAGGCAGCAGCAACAGCAGCACCAGGCTCAACCCAAGGTTCTTAGCAGAGTTGCCGCCGAGGAAGCGTGGAACAAGAACCTACCACCTCAAGTCATGGAGGTTTACAATGAAATCTCCAAGGCGGCCCCACCTGCAAAGCCCCTACCCATCAGTAACGAGGAAAAGACTTCAATGACAAACCAGTTACGTGATTCTCTACAGGTCCTCGGTCGGTTAGATACCTTAGTGCAATGGTATGCCAAAGTGCCAGGCCAGGAGAAAAATGTCAGAAATCTTCTCGCCATGCGAATTCAACTCATGAGACAGTTTAAGCCTTCGCAGGATTGGGTCGTCAATGATCAGTTCACTATCACCAACGACTACCTTCATGGCGCCGTCATGTTCATGAAAAGATTGTTCCAGTTGATGCTTACCCGTATCCAACAACAGAGCCAGCGTGCCAATGCTGCTCAGTCTTCTGCCTCCACCGGACCAAATGCGCAAGGCACTATGCCAGCACTGAATGCAACCAACTTACAACAGTTGCAGGCGCAAGAAGAAGCCCTCCAGCGAGCTCGGCGCGCGTCAAGTCAATCTGCCCCCGTCCCACCTGCGCCTTTCGGTGCTCCATCCCCATCAGGAGTTCCTCATGCATATGGCCCAGGAGGCCTTGCCCCCGAAAACCTAAAATTACCTCCCCCGAAAAGAAGGAAGCAGTCTCATGCTGGTATTGCTTCATCTCCAATCCAGCCCAATGTGGCTCCTGTGGCAGCAGCCAAGTACAACAAGGCGGTCGCGGATGCCAAATCGACAGCTGCAGCGTTGGCGGGTGCTTTCAAGTGCAGCGTGGTCGAATGTCAACACCACTACCAAGGATTCCCCACTCAAGTGGCCTTGGACAAGCATGTCGAGGAAAGTCATCAGCCAGAGGAGGAAGAAGTTATTGATGACTATCTCAAATATTACTATGAAAGTATTTCAATCGGACTGGGATTGAATCCCAACGACCCTCAAGCCCCACAGGCCGGTACCGTTGGATTCGCACCACTGGCCAACAAAATCAATACGGCGGCTTCTCCTGCGAAACAAAGCATTGCCACCCCCGTGCTTGGCAACCTGACTCCCATGGCCCGAGTCACCAGCCAACTCGGCGGCAAGACTGCATCTCCTTCTATATCAACACAGCTTCTCACCCCGCAGCAGTCTGCTAAGGGAGTGAAGCCTGCTGGCAAGTCTGGTCTGGAGGACAGTGAGCAAAAGGACCCATGGGCGGACTGTCCCACCTCCCTTGACGCCCTGCATGACACCTTCTCGAATCTGGCAAGCAAGGACCTGCCTCACTTGGGCTACGATCCCCTGGAGGACTTCAATGTCAACGAAGCCACCCCAGAAGATGATTGGCTTGCTCTCGGTACTCTCACCCCTCCTGACGAGGCCGACCAAGCCGCTTTCTTAGACAAATTCTACGAACCCTGGGATGATGAGTCCATTGCATTGGCCGCTGCCACAATTCGCATTCCACCTGAGATTCAAGTTAAGAGCGAAGGTTCCATGGGACAACTTGAAGTTGATTGGGACGCCGTTGCCCGTTATGACAAGGAGGGCATTTCAATACCCATCACTTGATGAGTTTTTCTTTTTCGGTTTACATCGGGCTTCTATACCCATTCCTAGCCCTATAGCCATAGGTTGTGTTAGAGAGGTGGACTAACATCACGATATGGTCTGATTCCGGCGGTTTTTCTCTGGCGCACATAGGGTTCAGGAGCGATGCGTTTGTACACTACCCTACGCGGGACTCCTGTTTCATCATTCTATTCTTAATTTCTAGTTGGACAGTATGTGTTGTCCGTTGTCCTCAGCGATGGCGTTTTGAGGGAGGAAAAACAGGACTTTGACTCTTGTGGAATGTACACTCTTTTAAGCTCGTTACATTAAATAACCTCTACTGCTCCAATCCGTATAAATGTAAATGCAAATGCCTGCAATGAAGATGAAGCTCATCGCATAGATCGACGTGGATACCGAGTGGGTCCCGGCCCGAACAGTCAGCCGTTCCTCGTGACTTGGTGCTATCAGCTGCTCGATAAGCCTATCTCCGCTTTGTCTCATCTGTTCAGGTCCTCTCCTCCTCATCTCTCTTGACTGCACTTGAGCCTGAGCTCGAGTCTACCAGTCATCCATTACTAGCAAAATGACCAATAATGCTCTCATTCCCTTTCTGGTCACGATGATGCTCGTGACCGGGGTGTGCAACACCATTCTCAACAAGTACCAGGCAAGTCCCGAAGTCATACTTCCTACAGTCAATGAAATTGAAGCTAATTCTCCCCCTCCAACAGGATATGCAATGTGTACGGAACTGTGATTCCCCCGAACCCAGTTACCGCAAGCTGTTCGAGCAGCCAGTCATCCAAACGTATGGATCAACCCCAAGCTCACACAAGCTACAGCTATCCACCAAGAGCAACGAATACTAACAGCGCCCCAATCCCTACAGCGCCCAGATGTTCATTGGAGAAATGGGTTGCTGGCTCGTTGTAGGCTTGTCCTTCCTCTACCGACGCTATGTCGCACCCCGCCTATCCAGTAACCCCTCTCCACTTCTGGCAGGCGGATACCACCCAGTAAACGGCGAAGACGAGCACCTCGACAACGATGATGATCACACAATCGATGACAGCAGACACCCTAAGCCCTTCGCCGAGAACGACGAGCGCATCCCCCTGCGTGGTTGGAGAATCTTCCTCCTGGCCGCGCCGTCCAGCTGCGATATCGCAGGCACAACCCTAATGAACGTAGGCCTCCTCTTCGTGGCAGCAAGTATCTACCAAATGACCCGCGGTGCACTTGTCCTCTTCGTCGGCCTGTTCAGCGTTATCTTCCTCCGTCGCAAGCTATACCTCTACCAGTGGAGCGCTCTGTTCGTCGTCGTTCTCGGCGTGGCGGTTGTCGGCCTTTCAGGGGCTTTGTTCAGCGGCGATTCTGCCCATGATATCACGCAGGGTGATGGAGTCGTCGGTGCTGCTTCCCTTGCTATGATCAAGGCTCGTGCTGTTGCTGGGACACCTGAGGCTGTGAAGGTCGTTATTGGAGTCCTGCTCATTGCCGCTGCGCAGATCTTCACTGCTTCACAATTCGTTCTTGAGGAATGGATTCTCGAGAACTATGCCATGGATCCTATTGAGGTTGTTGGCTGGGAAGGTATCTTTGGCTTCTTGGTTACGCTTATCGGTATGATCGTGATGTACTTTGCCGTTGGACGGACCGAGGCTGGTCGTTACGGATACTTCGATATGAAGGAAGGATGGCGTCAAATAACTAGCAACCGTGCCATTGCTCTTTCCAGTTTGGCGATCATGGTCAGCATTGGGTACGTTTGCACAGTCTCCTTCAAAGACCCCTTGTTGTTTCCCTCCTCCCTGCTAACGATATTCTAGTGGCTTCAACTTCTTCGGTCTTTCAGTTACTCGGAATGTCTCCGCCACCTCCCGCAGCACAATTGACACCTGCCGTACCCTCTTCATTTGGCTCGTCTCGCTTGGCCTGGGCTGGGAGTCATTCAAGTGGCTCCAAGTTGCTGGCTTCGCCCTCCTTGTTTACGGAACATTCTTGTTCAATGATATCGTCCGGCCCCCTCTCAAGGCCTGCCTTCCTCTTGACCGTAGAGAGGGCGAGGTCCTTCTCCCCGAGGACCCTATTGAGCATATCTAAGTAAGGTGATATACTCTCAACTTATCATTCAATTCACTATCTAGCTCATATATTCACCATATTGGCACCTGCTCATTGGGTTCATTCGTGGCCAGGAGCAGAAAGTTGATCGAGGATATCATTTGGATAGAAGATATGAACTTACATTTTTCCATTGGAGTTTACTAACTTCCTATTTTGTTTTGTTTCTATTTTTGGTTCATATGCCGAGCTCATAACCTCGTTCTTGTTGCTGAGTTGTTCTTTCTGAATTTTCCGGCTTGTAGAGCCTGGCTAGTTATCATGCATGTGTGTTTTGTTTTGTTTCTTATGGTTTCTTGATTTCTATTATATCGTTCCTTTCTAGGGAGTTATACCTGCAATACAATCATGCATACAATAACACAACTATGCGCAAGATGATAAAATTTTTTGTTTGATACGGCCTGTACTGCTGTACTAATTAGGACATGCACCTGAGCTGTAGGTACCTTACATGTGCTGCCGAATACGAAACACTAATCATTTACCCTCGATGCAAGCCACACTGCACCTAGACCTGCACATGCACCATGCAGCATTTGCTGATACATAATGTTTTCAATCTGTTAAGCATGTACAAGAAAGGACAAGCCTCGGCCACGGGGGACGACAACGAGGAGAAGGGCCCAAGCAGAATCTAGATATGGACGAGATCATAGGCGCAAGAAAAGCAAGAGGACAGAAAAGTAAAGATGTAAGGGTGTATAGAAATGGATTTTGAGCTGTTCGTGGGAAAATTAAAAACTTTCGTTCGGGTGAAATTTTGGCATCATTCCGCCGGTGCTAAATGCATCTATGGCTCGGACCAATCCACCTGGTCGGTAACGGGGTCGCCGCCGTCTTTGGCAGAGGAAATACGGAGTCGGAGACGGAGTTTGGCAGGGAGCGGCTGAGGGGTTGGTTAGATTAATGAGTTCATTGGGTGGGAAGTTGGGAATGGATGAAGAAACTTACTCCGTTCAAAGCTGTCACACGCATGGACTGGGTGCCCTCGTCGCCGGCTTCAAGATCGGCTTTGCTGATGGCACTCAGCTGCAGACGCTGACTCTTTGGTACAGCGGCTTGCAGACCGACATTAGTGAAGGTGTCAAAGTTCGACTCGTTGCGGAAGCGAGCCATGATCTGGGCGTGTGGGCCGCTACGCTGGACCTGCAGGGTAAGGATGAGACCGTCCTTGCTGAGGGCAGTGTGCGCTGGTGTCGAGGCGGAGACAGGAGCGGGAGAGGCTGCAGGCGAGGGGGCGGACGCACCCAGACCACCTCCACCCAGTAGATCCATGGATGCAGACGCAGGTTGTGTTGGCTGGGGAGATGGCGAAGGACCATTTGAGCCGAACAGGTCCATGATGGCGCTGTTCGAGTTCTGTTGGCCAGCAGGGCCGGGAGAAGGCGATGACAGGCTGGAGTCTCCGCCAAGAATGTCTGCCAGCAGGTCGGCGGTGTTCGATCCGTTTGAGGTAGGGCTAGTAACAGGGGCATCGCCACCAACCAAGTCTAGGAGCAGGTCATGCTCGGCCGGTTTGGCGGTCTTGGTTGACTTGCTACGAAGAACCTTGCTCTGGCGCTTCTTAGCGGTAGGAGCACCCAAAACCCGTTGTTCCTCACGGATCTCAGGCGCGGGCATCCGCTCGAGCACACCACGGCGGATTTGGTCGTAGCCAAAGAGGTTGGAATACTCAACAGCACGCTGCTGAATTTCTACACTCAAGTCGGCGGTTCGACCGGAGAGGAAACGGCGCAGACGGTCAATCTGAGCAGGGTCCGACATGCGCACTGTAAGCTTCATGGAAGCAGTTATGATGTATTCAACCGCAATTTGGGTGGCGTAGGTGCTGTTAAGGATGTTGGTGAAAAGGTCGACAATATCACTTTCCTTGACCTCCTTGACTAATTCCTCTTCCTCATATTGACCACCCTGGAGTAAACTATCGGCGTATTCACCGATCGTCCATGTCGCAGCCAGAGTGAGACCCTCTTGTGAAATATCTTCCTTCAACGAAGAGTAAAGCTTCTGTACTGCATAGGTCTGCAGTTCAGGGGTGGTAGCGATGAGACGCACAAACGAGGACAGGATCTGCTCCTTGACGTAGTTCCCAGCCAGCTTGAGAACCCGCAGAATGGTATCCATGTGCCAGCGCTTGTTGGGGGCGAAACGATCAGCTGCGATGCCGATTTGTGTAGTCATCACAGGCTTGAACTCGTTGTCGGCCACCTCTAGGAAAGCTAGCAATTCCCGCACCAGCACCCGTACGTTGCCCTCGTTGATCAACATGAAGCTGAGATCAAGCGCTCGCCGGCGAATGCTAATATCTGGATCCCGCAGACACTCCAAGATCGTGTTACGGTGTCTCTGCACCGCATTAGGTTCGATTGCAACCACCTTGTTCAAGGTGTTCAGTGCAACATAACGAATATTATTGTCCTTGTTAGCCAAGAATTTGCCGAGAATGTTGACGCCCAGCACCCTCAATCCCGAGTCGGCTTCAATGTCCAGGATAGTAAGAACGGCCTCGTACAAGATCGAGTTGCCGACGTTCTTTGAGGAATCCGTGTTGGTGGCCACCTGGGCCAAGATATCGTTGATCAACTCACTAGTGGCCACATCTCCGCGACCGAGTACGCGCAAGAAACGGAGGATCTTGACCTGGAGGAAAGGGTCTGTGATTCCTGACACATCGTGTTCGGGGGCATACCCGGAGGTTGTCAGGCCCTTTAAAGCGCGCACGAGGCCACCAGCCAGGGGCCGGAACATTTCGATCACACCCTCTGGTCCTTCTTCTTCCTCTTCCGCCTCACAAAGATCAATCGCTAGCGTCAAACCACAGAGCAGTACTCCATGATTTCGGTCCGAAAGAAGGTTCTTGGCTTTCTCAAGGAAGTGCTCGTGCAGGTCGGGAACCTTGCGACAGATGCGCATGGCACAGATGGCTGCTTTCCGGCGAATATATGGATTGGCGGTCGACATAAGGCTTTCAACTTCGGGGAATAGATCACGAGACATTTCGACGGAGGCAATGTTGCCAAGTGCACAAAGAGCGAGACCGACGATGTATTGGTTGGAGTGGCCAAGGTCACTACATGGCAGTCAGTACAAGTTCAAGCCATCGAGGCTATCGAAGACACCCACTTCTTCAATGAGTTGGTCACCAGCGTTAAAACCTCCTGGTTCTCATCCAGTAACAGCATAGTTCCCAAATATCCCAGACGCTTATCGGCGAACCGATGTGAGGCGAGCAGCTTCAGACATTCGATCTGACCGAAGTGAGTGCGCTCTCCAAGAGTGAAGAGGTACAAGAGCTTAGCGACATTGTTCCGTCTATCAATTTATTAGAGGTCATTTGCGAAGTGCACCAGGAGAGTTATTGCAGCGTACCGAATACCGGAGTCGTGGCTCTCTTCTCGAAACGAGGCTCGAATAGCGGCGCTCTCCTTTTGAATCACGGCACGTTCATCGGCGATGGTCTTGGCTGATCGGACGTTGCGAATGAATTGCTTGACTATAGACAGATCGGGGTTGCGTGGTTAGTGCTGCATCTCAGGGGAGGAGGGGCGGCGGGCAGCGCTCACGGGAAGACATGGTCACGGAGACCCCTAACGGGGCGAGAAAAGGGAATATTCAAGGCAGAAGAAGGGACAGAGATGGGCCCAGGAAAGCAACCAAGCACCACGCTCATAAAACCAATGAAATGAAGAAGCGTCAAGGCAATGGTCTGAAGGTCTGGACTGCTTTATTATTATTCCTCATGGCAGTCGACCTGGCTTCTTGGCATGGAGGGCTAGTGGGAATCGGGACTAGCGCGTCCAAGATGGTCATGTGACTACCAGCTGGCACAAAGGCTCACCGCCTTTGGTGGCAGCCGAAATAAAAAAGAATGGACTCGCGGGGAATCGAACCCCGGACCACTCCCATGCTAAGGGAGTATTATACCACTAAACCACAAGCCCATTTGATTGGTGGAGATTAATATTTGACGCTACATAAGCCAGAGCCTAACATATACCATATTGCGTGTTTATGCCCATCTGCGCAAGAATGCCAAAATACGTCCTTACTTGAAGTTGGAATATCAGGACAAGATGATACAAGGCTACATCTTGGCAGGTAGATCTCCCAACAATTCAACAGATCGTTGTGAATCCATCTGCCTAGTCCCCTATAAACGCTGTGACGTAGTAGTTATTTTTGGTCGACTTCGGAACAAACGAACCCACCAGAGCTCCCCCACATCATATGTGTCTTCCTTGCCTCTCAGCGCGTTCAATGTACCATAATTTTGCTGCTACGATTGTGCCTATACAGGATGTCTAGCGCCGTCTCCCATGATTCAGCGACTGTACGGCCGCGCGCCGTCCCTCTCCCATCCGATGGAAAGGACATAACTGGAGCTCTTCCCCTTCCCCTGGAAAAGCTTTCCCAGGACACAAGGTGAGTCGTGATCTACCTACACATCCAGAATGATCCAAGGCACTGGCTAACATATCTACTGCATTGAAGTGGCCGCTCTACCCCTGTGTCCGAAGATGCGCCCCCGTCAGCGCACTCGATCTCCACTGCGAGGAAGCAGGTTCGGGCTCGAAACCGCCTGTTTTATACGATAGACTATGTCCCTCGTGTGTCGCATTTTGATCCGGATAGCGACTACCACAATTTCCGGGGGTTCTTTACTCTCTTTTGGATTGCGCTGGTGATTATGGTCGGAACCAGTGTGCTACGCAACATCAAATACACCGGATTCCCCTTACAACTGCACGTCTGGAGTCTCTTGACCGAGAATGTGTGGGTGATGGGACTGAGTGATGGGGCCATGGTCCTAAGCTCAGGACTTGTTCTGCCCTTGCACCGGATCTGGCGGAGCGGTCCGCAGTGGCTGCGCTGGTCGCGCGGAGGTATGATAGTGCAGAGTCTGGGCGAGGCACTTTGGCTGGTCTTATGGATCAAGTAAGCCTCCAGTTTGAGATAAATTGTGTTCTGTATCGCTAACAAGAACTAGCTGGCCGTTCATGCTACAGTGGACCTGGACCGCGCAAGTCTTCTTCACGCTGCATACCCTCACAATCCTCATGAAATTGCATTCTTACGCTTTCTACAATGGCCATCTCAGTGAAGCCGAGCGTCGCTTAGCTTCTCTCGACAAACCCGGCTCGCTGCCCTCTATTCCTACATCTGCCTTCCATTACCCAGAAGTCCACGGACGCCGGCCGTCCATGAAAGACCAGAATGAGAAAGATACTCCGACAGAGCCACTGCTGAAATTGCGCGAGGAATTAGCTACAGAGCTGACCTCCCCACTTGGCAATATCTCATACCCCCAGAATCTTCACGTCGGTAACTACGTCGACTTTTTATTCTGCCCCACGCTCTGTTACGAGCTGGAGTATCCACGCCGAAAGGATCGCCGCTGGGCAGAGATCGGCTGGAAGACTGCCGCTGTATTTGGTTGCATCTTCCTGTTGACCTTGATTAGCGAAGAGTTTATTCTTCCCGTCCTGAACGAGGCCAGCGCTCAGCTCCACACAGTCTCTAGCACCTTAGACAAGGCATTCATCCTTGCTGAGACTATAAGCATGCTCCTATTTCCCTTCATGATTACATTTCTGCTTGTTTTCCTGGTCATCTTCGAATACCTGCTAGGCGCATTTGCCGAGCTGACTCGATTTGCTGACCGACACTTTTACGCGGACTGGTGGAATTCATGTGACTGGTAAGTCTTGCATTATATTTGACATAAATCCACTCATCAGAGGCTGATCTCATACTCTCTAGGCTTGAATTCTCCCGCGAGTGGAACGTCCCGGTCCACCACTTCCTTTTCCGCCATGTCTACTTCCCCTGTCGATCTAACTTCTCCCAGCCAGTGGCTATGTTCACCACATTCCTGGTCAGCTCAATCTTCCATGAGCTGATCATGAGTTGCATCACCAAGAAGCTCCGAGGATACGGATTCCTGGCTATGATGCTGCAGATGCCTATTGTTGCTGTTCAGAAGTCTCGCTTCTTCAGGGGACGGACTACCCTCAATGTAAGCTGCCCCCGCATAGGATCTTTCTCTTTCCGTATTGACTTGTCTTCAGAATGCGTTCTTCTGGGTTTCTATGATATTTGGTCTTTCGATGGTAAGTTCTATATATTCTTCTTTCGCAAGAATCTTTTGTTCTAACAGTGGATGTTCTAGATGTGTGCATTCTATGTCTTGGTCTAGGGATATTACTTTGAACTACAGAACGATATCCCGAACATGGAAGAGTGCGGTCCACCAACAAAGTGACTTGGTAGCAACGTGCAGATTGGCTTTGGGAATGACTTATTGGTGGTTTTCCATTACCTGTACTAAGACTATACTGTTTCCTCTTGTACACATAGCTTAGGTTATATTTTATTTCAACTACCGTCGTGTCATCGTTATCTTAATTGACGTACTATATTCCTATAATAGCTCGGTAATATGGCTTAGAAGTTTAATAAAAGCACAGTAGAACGTGTACAGAAGAACAGAAAAGACAAAATGTTACAACCCTACTTAACACCCCATAAATCAATATTCTCATTGTAGAGTAGGGTTTGCTTAAGCATGACCCAAGGGAAAGTACTGCCTTGATGAGATGAAGGCACCACATCTGATATACACACGTGACAACTGTACGCAGTCATGTGTTAAGTTAATCATACATCAAGATGCTCTGTGTAGATCTAGAGCGTGCTCAAATTTACTCAGGGCGCAAAACGCGGCCAAATGTCAGTAGACTACGTAGGCTGCACTCTCATAGTTATAGTCTTGGAAGGTTACGTGTTTGGAACCGGTTTTGAATGATAAGATGTCATAGCGATATGAAGCATCTTCTCAGATTCTATTCTTTACCCTTGCTCTTGTCAGGTCCCTGCCAATCAAGATCAAAACATCATCATCATATCATGAAGAGCAGTCTTTGAAGTACATGTAAGTAGATGGCTTAAAGCCGAACGAAAAGAGAGATATATCACGTCCCTCGCCAATTTTCTGCAGAACCAACCCAGATCCATGCTTGGTAAAGTACAAGCCCCAAACCAAAGCCAAAAGCTCAAATAACAGCCAAATGCAAGCAGAACGGACAGAAAAAGAAAAACGTCAAAGATTGTGGAAGTCATGTCATATCATATCATATCAAGGAGCGTAAGTCATAAATTGGTCATCAGGTATCTAGTATCCAGCAGAGAGAAAGGAAAAATAAAGAGAAATAAAAAGATAAAAAGAAGAACAAAGAAAAGAGATCACGATAAAGCCGTGGGTAAGCAGCACAGGACAAATTCCAAGGTACGCCATAGGATGTGATGAGGAATTAGTTTAGAGAAAGTGAAAGGAAACACCGTTCCATCCCCTCCGACCAATCCCATCCATATGCGCCGACAAAAAATACCTTTGTCTCTGACTCTGGCCCTGGTCCAAGCCCTAATCCGAAACCCCGAAGTGGCTGTGCGGGGGATAGAAGTGAACCAGACCAGGGTGCAGTGACATTGAAACAAGCAAAGAACCCGAAGTTAATACCGAGACCGACTCAATGCATAGTACAGGTATGTAGACACGAGGAGGCATGCGATATACATTCTGGTTTGTGGAAAAAAGGAGACACGATGACAGCACCGCGATCGGGTTGGATCGAACAACCGGTGTTCAAATCGAGCTCGGATCGTAAGCGTGAACCGTCTCCGTGTGAAAGAACCGCTTAGTAGCGGAGATATGGACAAGAAGAAATAGAAATGAAAATGAAAATGAAAATCTGATCAGGATGAAAATGCAAAGCAAAGGAATTGAAAAACACCTCCAGCTCCATCATGAATATCCCGTAAAAACAAAAGCTAGCGTAAGCTGTCGTAAGCAGATCATAATCCCATGTTGCGAAACAACAGAGGACTAGTAAGCGTAAGCAGACTGGCGTCTGCCTACATTAGAAGGACGACTGTCCTCGTCATAATAATGACGCCGTGGCGAGTAATTGATGTCCTCGGGCCCGTAGGCACGAGAGTACTTGACGTCCTTGTCCTTTGGACGAGGAGGGTAGTCGGCATCGCGATACGACGCCGGCCTTGAAGGTCGTGAAGGGCGGACTTCAATGCGAGGGGACGATGGCGATTCCGTTGGGTAGCTCTGGTATGTAGTACTCCGCTTGGGGGGCTGGCGCGCCGATGAAGATGTTCTTTCGGCACGCTCTGGGGATGAGGAACGGTACTTTGACGAGGCAGACTTTGGCTCGACAATGACGCGGTCTGGCTCTGCAACAATCTTGTATCGGGTATGTGTCTTGGGGGAACTGCCCCGCAGTGGGATTTCAGGCGTCGTTGGGCTGGAATATCCAGAATCGTAGCGATCGCGGGGCTTTGAAGAGCGAGATGAAGGGGATTCGTTCACCATTGAATGTAGTGTACTTTCGCGTTTGGAACGACTGAAGCCACTTGAGGTTGCTGCGCGGTGATTCAGGAATGAGGGGCGGAGAGAGCTCTTGATGCTTGGAGAAGTTGTGGCGGTTGGCATCTTTGGCTTCTCGCGAGGCGACTCATTGTAGTCGTACGAGTTGCCGCGGGATACTGACGGGCGTCTTGTGGTCGGGCGGGTGGACCGTCCCGAAGGCCGCGAGCTTGATGAGTCTGGTTCCGTTGAGTCGGAACCACGGTATCGACGTGGGGATGAAGTTCGACCCTTGGATGCGATGTAGTCCTCCGCGCTAGTTGTCTTGTTGTTGATCTTGCTTTGCCAATTATCGGAGAAATCATCTTCCTCATAGCGTTCGCGGCGAGAGGGTTCTGGCCTGGACCGAGAATCACGCTCTCTACGCGGGGGTGCTGTTCGCTTGGTGAAGACGTAGCGGGGAGCACTGGAGTCTGAAGCATCGTCGGATTCAGCGTAAGAATCAAACGTGTCGTATTTGGCCGAAGCTTGTCGGCGTCGTTCTTGATCACGGGTCTTGGCACGGTCGGAATGGGTGGCCTTGGTTGATTCCCGCTGCTCCTTTGAGGCGTAATAACCACTCATCGGCGTCGGCGTTGACGAGGTCTTCTTCTTCTTTTCTTCTGTGGGTTTGGTCTTGGATCGCATCCCATATTCCTCGTACTTGCGGGACATTGGACGCGGTTCTTCTGTGAAGCGCAAGTTTTCATCGAGGTACACTTCCAAGGGGACTCGTTCCTCCACGATCCGACCATTACGGTATTCGCGGTTGCTGGAACCACTTCCTCGAGGAGAGCCATACGACTCTGTTCGTCTGCGTTCCAGCTCGGCCTTCAATTCGGCTAATCTGTTGATTTTGGCGTCATATTTGGTTCGTCGGGACTCATCTGAGAGGAGTTCGTAGGCTTGTTGAACTCTTTGGAATTCATCTTGGGCGGCATTCCGCTGCGACTCATCTTGGATCTTGTCTGGGTGGCATTTCAGCACTCGCTTTCGATGGGCGGCCCGGATCTCGGAGAGGGTCGCATCTTTGGCTATCCCCAGAGCAGCATATGGATCTATATCAGGAACTGAGGACATTGTGAAATTGGGATCCACAAAGGGTATGTGTTTTGAGATTGAATTGGAGAAAGAGAAAGAGAGAAAGAGGGAGAAGAGGCGGTGGAAGATGGGTAATGTAGTATCAACCTGACGTAGTCAAATGCAAAGACCGATGCATCCAGAAAGATCTCGATCAGGAGATTGCAAATCTCATAGGAACATCGGACAATGCGAGAAGATGAGCCGAATCAACCGGCCAGGGGCTTTCTGGGTGTTTAGTATTTACATGCACACTGCGCCACAGTCAACCAGGTGGCGTGTGCTTAGTCAAGCTCAAAGCCCAACTGGCAGCGTTGGAGGGTAATTTCTTTATTGCTTTATATTTTTTCTGTTTCGCTCTGTGTTTCTGGCCTAGTTCTGGGGTTGATCATATTGGGTCATATTGAGCATATTTATTACAGGTAATATTCATCTTACACCTCACCGGTCTCCCCCCTCCACCCCGGTCATTACCTGAGCCCTGGATCCGACTGGCTGCGACTGGCTGCGTACTGGCTGCAGGTCTGCCAATCACCGCCTCGCCCTAGTTCAGGTATTTCATTTGCCTAGGGGGGCGATCTAACACGAGGACAGGGCCCCAGTGAGGGGGGGGTCCATCGTCATGACGCCCATCTTTACTTCTTTTCCTGCCGCCGTCTCGATCGAGTAGGTTTGGCATGCACCTAGCCTGCCCCAAGTTTACACTTTCCGCTATACGCCTAGGTCGCCTCACTGTATTAACATTCCTTCTTTAACTGGAATTTGCCTGACCTCGCTTCAGCTTTAACCCCCTGTACGCCTAATTGGCAGCCATCTTGTTCTCCTGTCCCAAGGGAGGTTTCGTGGCCTGAATTCGTGGCTGAATACTTAGCCTATATATAGACCTACTGAATTGACAATCCTTCTTTCAGGCACTGAGACCTAATCTCTGTCCCACTAGCCCCATCACCAACGTGTCGGTCTCCACCCATAGTGACTCCATCTGGTAATTCTCGCGGTATCCAATGATTGGAGGAAGTTGGGGTACAGTGTAGCGTGTACTGTACACACCGTCTCCAGTCTCCAGTCATCTGGACTTTCAACCCTGCGGTCCGCGCGCATTCTAAGCCTATCACTGGTAACCTGGGAAGTCTACAATAAACACCTCACCTCTCTAACTCTGTTCCTTCACCTCTATGTCTCCCGATCTCTCCCAAATAGTAGTTGTCTTGAATGGACACAATTCCAGTCAATGTCTCCATGGTCGGCAACGTCTGAAATGTCTCAAATGTCTCATAGAACCAACCTAGGCTAGCCTAACCGCCCACCTCCTCCTCCCTCTCCGGTTCGCCTCTCGCTTCGGGCTCCGGAGACTAACACAGTCAGTTGACAATATCTGTGTGATAGTGATTGCCATATAGCCCTCAATCTGGGGATGTTCCCGTGAAACCCAAAAAGTGAAAGGACCACACATCTTTCAATTCGAACCGCATCAGCCGTGTCCATAATCCTCCGATCCCATCAGCACGACTGGCGATGTCACACAAGACCTTGTGCCGAAACACACGGTTGTGACCTTATACGTTTAATCCGTGATCTACGAGCCCCTCCTTTTCCTGTTGATTGTCGACAGGGGTGCTAGGCTTCGGTTTGAATGTCTTTGAGGCGGGGTCTTGTTTGTAGCTGGATGAGTCGAGACCGGCTGAGCACCGGAGAAATTGATACCAGACCGGGATAATGATCATCTACCTACAGTAGACAGTATTTGACCAGGGCAGGAGGATAGGGAAGACATTGAATCGAGTGGTCGTCAACTCTCCAGGATTGTAGTTAGGTACTGTACGAACTCTCTACCCCAAACCCGGGAAATCAAACCGGATGCAAATGCAAATGCAAGTCTCCTGCAATAACAGTATGCACTCAGCTATAACAGCCAAAGAAGCCCTGAAACCCAAAGAAAAGAAAAGAAAAGAAAAGAAAAAGAAAAAGAAAAAGGGCGACCATTCGAAACCTCTCAAAGACTGAGCCAGAACGCTCTCCACAAGCCTCGAAAAGCCTTCTAGAAAGCAATGCCCCAATCAAAATCCAAGGCACATGCTTCCTTCCACGCGAGACTACGCTGTAGTGAGGCGTATCTCCGAGATCCTACTCTACGTTACTGGAAGCCCAGTCCTAGCTGAAGAAAGACAAAAGCCCATAAGCGCAAACATCAACGATTACCTACATCCACAATAAACGTGTTATCTGACCAAAAGCAAACTAATAAATGATCGGCCTCGCATGGTCACATCGTGTAGCAGGAGGGTGGGAGGGTCTATGTACTGGTTGGCTGAAGGAGAGTGCTCGTCGCACGCCCAGACTTTCAGATTTTTCCATTTTCCAGTGTGCTAACTGTGCTTATCCACTGAGCGAGCGGGAACAAGCGCTGGGGAAGAGTTTGGTTTGGGGGATCCCCGTTGCAGATGCACATGACTTGTGCCTGAAGAGACGAAACTTGGATATTGGAGGACTGCACTGGACTGGACTGGCAGAGGCAGTGATATCACATATCACATCCGGGTATGTGGTTGCGATCTGTCAGAATGACTCTGGCTCTGGCTCTGGCTCTGGCTCTGGCTATGGCTATGGGCGTGTATGCGAGTGCTGCGGGGTATTTACTTGGGACGTATCTATCTAGTCACCACTTATTCATCATTACGAAGATATTAGGAGAGTTAGGGACTATTGATTGGGGACTCGATTATTGGATAATTGGCAATACTTATGGAATCCAAGGTAATTCATCGGCCAGTGCAGCCAGTCTAACGGACCGACCACCCACCACATGGAAATATGGAAATAATGATGTAAGCGCAATCCCTGGAGATTTTCCTAGAAACCTCACTTCACCTGCCCAGGTGGGCACTTCACTTTGCGTATCAAAGCGCTCATGGCCAAAGCTCCCCCCCCCCCCCCCCCCCCCCAAGTCATGACGGGGACCATCCGGCATCAAGCCACAATGCATGGCAAGAATAGAAGGAGTTCGAATCATAAGATGAAGCAGGCAGCTTAATTCTATATTTCCAGATTCTCATGTGCCGGACATCCAAAACCTGAAACCACGCTAGGGAAGATACAGTAGAAAGAAGGCAAGGAAATTTTCTAGGCTAGGAACAAACCTGCCGAGGTGTCAGACGCACTTGCGAACATCACCCGTTAGCGTTGGCTTTGGCGTGGGCTAGGTCTTGCCACACGGGAAGCTCGAGGTCAATAACGACGGGCGAATTGAACCGTTTGCCTCCGTGATGCGGGAAACTGGTGGCCACGATGGCCGCATTGACAATGCAAGTCTCCATTCGGAGCGTTTGCAAGGCATCGACATGGCCGATCGTGCCGCGGATGCCGGTGCTGAGACTGGGGCTGGGGCTACCGGCGCTCAGGGACGGCGCGTTCGGCGAATTTCGTGGAGTTTCCTTTTCAGGCGCGGCGCCTGCTGATGAATTCAGCGAGGCTGATGACATCGGTTCCTCGCTTGATTTTGATATCTTGTGTGCCGAATGGCTGTTACTGTGACTGTGACTGTGACTGTGACCGGGCCATGAAAATCCCTCGTTGGCTAGCCTTTCGTTCCGTTTGCTGGTTAAGTCGATCAGGTTTTGTTTCTTGCTGCCCATGGGTGGCAACGTGCCCCGGATGACATGGTCAACTGCGTTGGTCTGTATCGGTGTCTGTCTTTCTGTTTCCTTTTTGGGCGGGCTGTGTGTCTCTGTCTCTATATCTTGTTCTGTATCTGTAAGCACGGCCGGCCACTGAACTCTTTCATATCCTCGTCCTTCGTGCACATGGCCACAAATGGCTAAGTGAGGCCTTATGAGGCTCAACCTTTTGCGCAGTGCTGAGCACCCCACTGATGTTCCATTTGGTTTCTGGTCGCAGTGAGACTGCGGTGGCGTATGCGTGACGACGATGTCCGTGTCGAGTGGTATCTGACCCCATAGCCTTGTTGCATCACTTGAGTCGTATCCAAATGCCCAGTTTCCCTGGAATTGGGAGTATGGCGACCCGAAGACCTTGAATATCGTGTTTGGACCGCCTGTTCGCCTTAAACGAATCATGGCTGACTCGTGTTGAAGAAAAACAACTGTAGGCGACTCCGAGATAAGTTCCAGACATTTCTGTGGATCCTCGAGGGACTGGTCGTGAAAACAGTGTCCTTGTTCTGCGAAGAAAGTTGGGTCCAGGGTAACGTCGTGATTACCTGTTTGTCTGGTTAGGAGCTTTGATGTGACCATTTGGCGTGGACGGAACATTGAAGCAGGGCATAGCATTGCTATCTATTGCATAAGATGAAGTAGTGGGTGGCTAAATTGGGCACGTAGGCATCGAGGAGAGAAACGAACCACCAACTATGATCTTGATTTCAAAGTCGGCTTTGCATATCCAATCCATTGTCCGGCGGAGCTCTCTTAGGCTTCCATTGTTAGTCAAGTCACCTGCATGGATCAGGACGTCTCCTGCTGGGAGGTTGAAGCCTGCTTCGGAGGGTGTGTAGCCGTGCGTATCAGAGACGCAGACGAATCGTGTCTTTTGAAGCATGGTCATTGTTATAGAGGAAATCATTGTCTCAGTGGTTCTATGGGGCACAAGAACGCCCAAATATGGTGCTGTTCATACCCAGCGCTGTTGCAGGCAGTTCAAGCAATTGGGGGTGGGCCAGAATTCATCAAGCTCTGAGACGTGCCTCTATCTTGGAGATTTCTGATGGAGAGAACTAGCATAGGAAAAACAATCGAACTATGGAACGGATTAGTCATCGGACCCAATCTTTGATCAATTTAGATCTGATCATTGAAGGCATGGAGATACAGTAGATCGAGATGATATGAACAGAGAACACCCTAGGAATCATGTTCGAGGAATTGAGTGATGTCAGTTAAAGTATATTGTATGAATCTAAAGTTTCCCAGCTTGTACATGTTCATTTACCTACCAGAAACTAGGATTATGATCATCACTGTACTTCTAGAACACCCAAGTATCGCCAGCCCTAAGCCAAAGCCCTAACGGCACAAAGAGAAGGAACCACCGTGGCGCACAGTCTGAATTGAAAGTATTATATAAGCTGGTCGCGGGCGGGGCCGAAGTATTGATACACGTGACTTTTCCATTCCGTGATTGGTCTGGCTTAGGGCTGGGACCCTCGCCACTAGCACAAAGTAGGCTTCCCTCGCTTAACCATTCATCTGCGAGCCACCCGACTTCGTTGTGTGCGTTGACCTGACACCCACGACAACAACCGCCGACAACATCCATCCCCCGGGACATTATACGAGCAGGATGTCCACCTTCGAACCAGTGGTGCGTTTATTACCTCCAAAGCGACAACCTGAATGCCGCTGGAGTCGTCTTGAAATTCTGCACTCGGGGAACCGTTATCGCTGACTTCAATCGTGAAATAGGTCGTCATTGACGGCAAGGGACACCTCCTTGGTCGTCTGGCCAGCACTGTCGCCAAGCAGCTGCTTAACGGTCAGAAGATCGTCGTTGTGAGATGTGAGGCCCTCAACATCTCCGGCGAGTTCTTCCGCGCGAAGCGTACGTTCAACCTCCCCTCGAAATCTTTTCTTTGTGTCATGTGTGGAATATTGGAATGTGTCTACGGCTTCATGTGGAGGAAATACGACAAGCAAAACGAAACTGGGAATTTTCGGAGTGGAAAATGCACATTTTTAAGGGTATCAGAAATGCTGACTCGAAATTCCGCCCTACAGTCAAGTACCACGCCTACCTTCGCAAGATCACTCGTTTCAACCCCACCCGTGGTGGTCCCTTCCACTTCCGCGCTCCTTCCCGCATCCTCTACAAGGCTGTCCGCGGTATGATTCCCCACAAGACCGCCCGTGGTGCCGCCGCTATGGAGCGCCTCAAGGTCTTCGAGGGTGTCCCCCCTCCCTACGACAAGAAGAAGCGTGTCGTCGTTCCCCAGGCTCTCCGTGTCCTGCGTCTCCGCCCCGGCCGCAAGTACTGCACTGTTGGCCGTCTCAGCCACGAGGTTGGCTGGAAGTACCAGGATGTTGTCTCCAGGTATGTTCTTCTCTGTCACCTGGATCACCAGTGTGGCCCTCATTTTTCTCTTTGGGCACTCTTTAACTGATTTTTCTCTTTACAGACTCGAGGAGCGTCGGAAGGTCAAGAGCAAGGCTTACTACGAGCGCAAGAAGGCCGCTCGCCGCAACCTTGCCAAGGCAGAGCAGGGTGCGAACGTGGACAGCAAGACCAAGACCCAGCTTGCTCAGTACGGTTACTAGATACCTTTAGCGCGGCTGGTTGTTGTGTCGAGCGATGGTTCTGGGATGGGATCGTGGACGGTTTACTTTCAGCGAATTTGAACGGCAAGTCGACCGACCTTTTTCTGCGGCCCGGTCCCCTACCATTTCATGAATACCACTGTCTGTGACGCACATGGTGGCCGGGGACAGGGTTTCTTCGGGATTTTCAAAAGTCGAAAAAAAACGGAGTCGTTTGGGATTAAAGGTTCAATTTAGCTGGCCGTTGAGTCGCGCCGTGGCGGTTTAATCCAAAGAAACAATTTTCAAGAGTTCAACATGATTCTTATGATCAAAATACTTTGACCTATTATTGTTCCCGATGTCTAGTAGTTTTCAGTAGTAACTTGTGCACTTATAATATGTTGTCTGTAGCCTTAGTGTCAGCCTACCCACATCCTCAGTTAACGATTGCTAGTCGTAATGCCTCTCGTGGGTAAGGGTCCCCTGTTACGTCTCAAATTATCCAAATCCCCATCTCCAATCTCCAATATGCATCCAATTAGCCAATCCCACATAGAGTAATCATGATGATCTCTCAAAAATAAGACCCCTTTTACCTTCAACCTACCCCAGAGTTAGTTCCCGAGTCCCCCGCCTGTGATCCGCCATAGCCTAGGTTAACCGCTCCATGGCCTCCCCGCATTTCTCCAAGTTGGAGTAATCTGCTTTCTCTCTACTCCCTCAGCCCTTCACGTAGCTTTCTCTTCTCCTTCATCCACTCACATCCATACCCCGGACTCGAATTTCCCCTACTACGTAATCAGAAGCCCCCTTGTACTACCCCCTCTGGTATAGGATGTCTGGAGTAAAGTCCCGGCTGTCTGGCCTACTCGGCCACTTCAGCGCAGCATCTTCGACACCTGCACAGATCGAGCACCGTATCAATCACCATACACTCTCGCCAACTTTCTTCTTGCCCCGCGCGGCGGCCATTGAGCCCGAGGTAAGTCTCCCGTCCTGTTTTTGATATTGATCCAATTACATCTGTCTAATAAGAGATTCTCAGGCCGAGGCAATCTACCATCTCACAGCTAATAACAAGGTCCTGCGCAGAACCTACCGCGAGACTGCAGATCGAGCGAGGGGTCTGGCGTTTTATCTGAAGAAACACGGATTCAAAAGAGTCGGAATTCTCTGCCCCAACACTCCAGCATTCTTGGAGTCGATCTTTGGAATTGCCGCTGCAGGGGCGGTAAACGTCGGTAAGAACTCCGAGGACCCATTGAGCCATTGGGGATATCTTGGTCTAACATCTTCGCATTAATTATCAAGCTGTCAATTATCGTCTCAAAAAAGAAGATATTGCTTATATTTTCGAGCATGGAGATGCAGAGGTCATAATTGTTGACGAGGAATTTGTACCGCTTTTGGAGACCTACCGCTCACTGCATCCTCATATTCCCCTGGTTGTGGATACTGATACTGATGCTACTGAGGGTGAATTGACGGGTCCCTTTGACCAAGCTGTTCTGGAAGGTTTGCAGTATGACTTTGATAATGGAGCTCAGGGGTGGGAAGGCCTCGAGAGTCAGGCTGCTGATGAAGAGTCCACCATTGCTTTGGCATACACCAGCGGTACAACGGCTAAGCCCAAGGGTGTTGAGTTTACGCATCGGGGCTGCTATCTGGCAGCATTGGCGAACGTGGTTGAATCAGGGCTCAACTATAACCGTGGGCGGGCTCGTTATCTTTGGACACTGCCTATGTTCCATGCTATGGGTTCGTTCTCTTAATGAATTCGTTGTACTCAAGCTGACACCTCACAGGCTGGACATTTCCATGGGCAGTAACAGCAGTCCGCGGTACTCATTATTGCCTCAGGAAAATAGACTATCCTGAGATTTGGAGATTGTTGAAAGAAGAACATATCACGCATTTCAACGCCGCCCCAACTGTGAACACATTACTTTGCAATGCGAAACAAGCAGAGAGGCTACCAGAACCTGTTCGGGTGACTGTAGCAGCGAGCCCTCCTACGGCTCATCTGTTCGAACAAATGTCAGATCTGAACTTGCATCCTGTGCATGTCTACGGTATGACCGAGACATACGGCCCCATCACCAAGGGCTACTATTTACCTGAATGGGATGCTCTTCCTCTAAAGGAAAAGTATCAGAAGATGGCCCGCCAGGGTCATGGCTTTATTTCTAGTCTTCCCGCGCGAGTCATCAAGACGGATGTGCCTGACGGTACTATCACTGATGTCAGCAAAGATGGACTTGAAATCGGTGAGATTGTTTTCATTGGCAATATCTGTGCACGTGGGTACTTTAAGGACCCCGAGGCAACTAGAAAGCTATTTGCAGGGGGTGTTCTGCACTCTGGCGACTTGGCTGTCTGGCATCCTGACGGGGCAATTCAAATCCTTGATCGTGCTAAGGACATCATTATCAGCGGTATGTCCTACGTCTGGTATCTAATTTGTTTGAAAAAAAAAAAGCTTATACATGATTAGGGGGTGAGAACATATCATCAGTCGCGCTTGAGTCTATGTTGGTCACGCATCCCGACATTCTAGAGGCTGGCGTTGTCTCGGTGCCTGATTCTCATTGGGGCGAACGGCCCAAGGCTTTTGTCACAGTCAAGCAAGGCAAGTCCTTGGAAGGTCTAGACGTGATCACCTGGGCTCGGAATGTCAGCGGCATCAGCAAGTTCATGATCCCCCGAGAGGTGGAAGTTGTAGCGGAGCTTCCTAAGACAAGTACTGGCAAGATTCGGAAAAATGTCCTGCGGGATTGGGTGAAGGGAAATAAAGGCAACTAAAAAGCCCTCTGTAACGATAAACATAAAGATATGTGAGAGGAAGTTATTTGAAATACAGATTGTTCTGGAACAGGCAGCTTCCCTACATTCCAGAGGTCAGATGTCCCGGTATTCCCGATCGATATGTAGATCACAGGTTACATCAAGCGACTCTGACGACATCATCTTTCCGTTTGTGCTTCCTTGTAACATCATCCCAACTGTCTTGTCCATTTTGGTCATTTTTTTTATACTTGGACTCGATCTTATCGCTCGATAAGCAGATGCTTGGCGTCGACTCCGCGTGAAACCCGGCCCCATTGCCTCATCCCCCTCCATTGCTGCCTTTATCCCTTCACATTCACATTGAGCCTAACACACTTACATTCGACGGAAGAGCATGAGCTGGTTTCCTCGCTCGATTCCACTTTCATCGCTTTAACTTCCATCCGTCTATCCCTATCGTAACTGCGTTCCCACGCGCGCTTACTTCACATGCACCCACCACTCGTGAAGAGTTCCTGAAGTAATGAGACTTCAGCCATACGATACTCCTAGCAATATAACAGATCGAACTACGACATCCGACTCCTTACCTGCCAAGATGGCACCCCGACTACGACAAACCGGCCGGTCTCCAAGTGCTGCCCCTTCCGAAACCTCTGGATCAACGTCACCAGAACGTGCCGCCGACGATGATACCGATTTCTTCATGGGCCAAGCAAACGACTCACAATCATCTATTGGCGTCGCCAATTTCCGTGACAGTCACCCCCAAAATGTCCGCCCCATGCCACTTCCGCCGATCGGTCGCCTGCCGCCTGAGATTCTGATCGCGATATTCTCAAAGCTGACTCTACCCTCAGACATGCTCAACTGCATGCTGGTGTGTCGTGGATGGGCCGTAAACTCGGTTGGGATACTGTGGCATCGGCCCTCTTGCAACAGTTGGTCGAATCTAACGAGCGTGACTGCGTCCGTGGGCAGGCAGGACAGCCTCTTCAACTACGCAGACCTGATCAAGAGACTCAACCTCTCTGCTTTGGGCGATGTCAGTGATGGAACGGTCGTCTCTTTTGTTCAGTGCAAGCGGATCGAGCGGCTGACGCTCACGAACTGCTCTCAACTTACGGATACCGGTGTGTCAGACTTGGTCGATGGTAATCGGCACCTGCAGGCGCTGGATGTCTCGGAATTGCGACATCTTACGGACCACACTTTGAATACGGTTTCAAGGAACTGTCCGCGTCTACAGGGTCTGAATATCACGGGATGTTCAAAATTGACTGACGACTCGCTGTTTGTCGTGTCACAAAATTGCCGTCAGATCAAAAGGGTATGTTTAAAGTTCACTTTGGCTTCGCTTGAAATTTTATGGGTAAAGGTGCTGACTTGTGTAGTTGAAACTTAACGGAGTGTCCAATATCTCAAATCGGTCGATTCAGTCTTTTGCAGAGAACTGTCCATCTATTCTTGAAATCGATCTGCACGACTGCAAACTGGTCACAAGTCCTTCGGTAACTGCTTTGATCATAACTTTGCGACATCTTCGAGAGCTGCGCCTTGCACACTGCATTGAGATTGACGATTCGGCCTTCTTGAAATTACCAGAATTCGCGACTTATGACAGTCTTCGCATTCTCGACCTTACCGCTTGCGAGAATGTCAAGGATGATGCAGTGGAACGTATTGTGCATGCAGCTCCTCGATTACGAAACCTAGTACTAGCAAAATGCCGCTTTATCACGGATCGATCTGTGATGGCTATTTGCAGGCTGGGAAAGAACCTCCATTATGTTCACTTGGGCCATTGCTCTAACATCACAGACTCCGCTGTCAACCACTTGGTCAAGTCCTGTAACCGCATTCGGTACATCGACTTGGCCTGCTGCAACCGACTCACAGACTACAGTGTGCAGCAACTAGCTACCCTGCCCAAGCTGCGAAGAATCGGACTGGTTAAATGCCAGGCGATTACAGATCATAGTATAAAGGCTTTGGCGGGCCCAAAAGTTGGCCACCCTTCGGTTAGCAGCCTGGAGCGAGTGCATCTCAGCTATTGCACTCAATTGCGTCGGCCAGTAAGTTTTGCACCATGCCAACCCCTGGGGATCGGTCCAACATACTAAATTTACGTTCCAGGGCATTCACGCTTTGCTTAACAATTGTCCTCGTCTAACTCACCTCAGTCTGACTGGCGTTCCACCATTCCTCACGCCAGAGCTCACCAAGTTCTGCCGAGAGGCTCCTAAAGAGTTCACACAACAACAACGGGACGTCTTCTGTGTCTTCAGTGGCGATGGTGTCAACAAACTTCGAAATTACTTAAATCGACAAGAATCATCACCGCACGAAGAAACCGAAGCCACGATGTACGACGATGACGAAGAACTCGACGAGGACGAGGGTCAAATGACTGGGTTGATGAATGCAACCGTAATCAACGACGGAGACGATGACTATATCGACGTTGGGCCTATGAATACTTGATACGATACCCCCCCCCCCCCCCCCCCCCCCTTCCCCTTTCCCCCCTCTTCCCCTTTGCAGTTGAAAATGAGTCTCGCATTTTCTATGTTTTCATTCCCAATTCACTGTCTTCGCCTACAATTCCTCGGGATACATCGGGTAGTCATATTTCTACTCATATGAACGAATATTACCCTTTTGTTCGGTATCTGTGTTATTGTGCGAAATGCATCGTGTACTAGCGCTTCTGGTCTTGGATTATTCTTGTCATATTGAACTGCATAGCATTTAGGCAATCGATTCCTTTTAACATGACTTTCCAGCAAGTAACGGTCAAGTGTGATACTTTTGCAGAATATATTGTACTAGTAGAACCTTAAGATCCTTTAAAGAGCTACCCCAAGGCTAAATCAATGTTGATCAACCGAAGCTGTTCAAGAGTTGCAAAGTTGAAACTTGATAGAGTAAGTTACAAAGATACCGTAATCCCAATACCACCAAGCTCACCCCCGCACCTTTTCTCCAACTGCAAACTGCAATTCTCCCATCCACCTGGGCCATGGCTTCCTACAAAGCCAACCCGCTGGCGTTCACGCCGTGGCCAGTAACAATCCTCACCACGGCCGTATACCTCGCCCTGATAATCCCCCTCCTGGTAATCCACCACAACGTCCCCGCCGCGCCGCAGACCAACCCCAACGGCCTCAATCTCACAGAAGCATGGCAAGACCTCCAAAGCCTGACAAAAGGCTTCCACCCGTATAACTCGCACCAAAATGACCAAGTTCGCTCTTGGCTACTAGAGCGCATCCACGCGATCAAAGATTCCGCCGCGTCATCCGAGGAATTCGCCGACGCGAAAGAGGAGAAGCCAGACGTATTCGTCTTCGACGACCTGGTTTCCAATCTCACCTTCGTCGACAGGAAAGTTGGCGTTTATTTCGAAGGCACAAATATCCTTGTCTACGTCCGCGGCTGGGAAGACAAGAAAGGGAATTGGTGGGAGACACCTGGTCGAATGCCCGTCGGCAAAGGTGGCGTACTGGTGAATGCGCACTACGATAGTGTCTCGACCGGCTATGGCGCTACCGATGATGGCGTCGGGGTTGTGACTTGTCTGCAGCTGTTGAAATACTTCCTCACGCCGGGCCATGCGCCGCGCCGCGGTTTGGTCGTCCTCTTCAACAATGGCGAGGAGGACTATTTAAATGGTGCGCGCGCGTATAGCCAGCATCCTATGGCGAAGTTTGCGCATACTTTCCTCAATTTGGAGGGTGCTGGCGCTGGCGGCCGTGCTACTTTGTTCCGCAGCTCGGATACGGAAGTTACCCAGGCATATGCGAAATCGGAGCATCCGTTCGGCTCGGTTTTGAGTGCTAATGGATTCGAGAAAGGACTCATTAGTAGCCAGACGGACTATGTCGTTCTTGATGGTATTTTGGGCCTGCGCGGACTTGATGTTGCCTTCTTTGAGCCCAGGGCTCGCTATCACACTGACCAGGACGATGCCCGCCATACTAGCTTGGATTCTCTTTGGCATATGCTCTCTGCGGCTTCTGCGACTACTGAGGCTCTGGTGTCTGACTCCACTGATCGGTTTGATGGACACATTCGTGACGATGGGCTTTTAAACAGTGGTTCGGGTACTCGGGCTGTGTGGTTCGATTTGTTTGGAAGTGCTTTCGCGGTGTTCCGTCTTCACACTCTCTTTGCATTGTCGGTGACTCTGCTCATTGTGGCTCCTTTGACATTGCTCGTGACCAGTGTGATTCTTTCCAAGGCTGATAAGATGTATCTGTTCCGCTCTTCTGTGCATTCCGAGATTGGCGATGAGCATATCTCGCTGCGCGGTCTCCGGGGCTTTTTTCGCTTCCCTTTCCTGCTTTCCATCCCTACAGCTGTGACTGTTGGATTAGCTTACATGGTGACGAAGGTTAATCCGTTCATTGCCCACAGCAGCTCGTACGCTGTATGGAGCATGATGATTTCAGCTTGGTTCTTCTTAGCCTGGTTCGTATCTCGCGTTGCGGACTTTGCACGTCCATCGGCTTTCCATCGTATTTACACCTGGACATGGATGTTTGTCCTCACTTGGTCTATGATGGTGATCGCCACTGTTTATGAGCATGAGGAGGGTCTCGCTGGAGGCTATTTCATGTTCTTCTACTACGCGGGCACCTTCCTGGCCACTTGGATTTCTTACCTGGAGTTATTTGCTCTGCCACCGAAGTCAGAGTATGTGAGCCAATTCATCCAAGGATCACGACGGCCCAGCAGCCATGGAAGTCGTCTTGGCGCGTCGGTCGACGAGAACGAGGACAATGACACCGAGGAGGACCCAACTGAGTCAACTTCACTGTTACATGGTCGTCATCGCACTACGTTTGCCAACTACGTCCATGTCGCGGGCGACCACACTTCCCATGGCTATGATGATGAGGAAGAAGAGAAAGACCCAAACGTGTATGGGCATGAACAGTCGTGGAGTGGCAGGATGCCGCGGTGGACCTGGCTCTTGCAGTTGCTCTTTACAGTCCCTGTGAACCTGATGTTGATCGTTCCATTAGCTCTCCTGATCACAGCCGCACTTAACCAAACTGGCCAGGATGGAAGCCCCCAGCTTATCGTCTATGTCTTCATCGCCAGTCTGACTTCGCTTCTTTTCGCTCCAACACTACCGGTTATTCACCGATACACCTACCACATCCCGATTTTCATGCTGTTCGTTTTCATTGGCACTTTAATCTACAACCTCGCTGCCTTCCCATTCGCAGACTCGAACCGTCTCAAGCTTTTTTTCCTCCAAGAAGTCGATCTAGACAACGGAATCTCCACGGCCTCTTTGACCGGTATGCCTCCATTTGTCCAAGACGTAACCTACGGTCTTCCAAGTGCAGCAGGTCAAGACGAGACATGTGAATGGATATACCGAGGCAAGAACCACGTCCAACGCTGCTCCTGGGATGCGCCAATTCCGCATGTCATCCCCGATGCCGAAGCTCTATCAATTAATAACGAGAATACCAACGCTCTCCTGAAAGCCACCGAACTTTCACCCGACTGGATAACCTTCAGCATTTCCCAACCTTCACCCAACACCCCCACCGCCCGCTTCGAAGTCTCGGGCCAAAACACCCGCGCCTGCCGCATCAACATGGACGGCCCCTTTATCAAAACCTTCAGCGTCGTCGGCTCATCCGCCCCAGACCCGCGTTTCCTCAACCCAGCCCGAGACGGCTTGGACCGCATTCAACTATGGAGCCGCACATGGGATAACAAGTGGACGGTCGACGTCAACTTTACCGAGCATGACTCGGCAGAGAATGATGAAGCGGTCGATAACACTCCCATTACGGGCCGGATTACTTGTCTCTGGAGTGATGCTAACCAGGTCGGGCTTATTCCTGCTCTTGATGAGGTTAAGCAATTCAGTCCTGCTTGGGTTGCTGTCACTAAGTTCTCCGATGGTTTGATTGAGGGGTCGAGGGCTTTTGAGATTCAGCGGTCGACTTTCCGGTTTGTTGAGTCTTGAGGTGGATTTTTGAGTTGAATTGTTCTGTTCTGTTAGGTTTGTTCAATGTAGTTGTTATGCTATGAAACTCAGGTGCTTCTCTTTTACCAGGATGATGACGAAGGATCTACTTAATCGGAGATATCTGGCAATGTTCCTCAGCGACTTGAAACTGGATGTCTTGAGTTGTACATCACATTCTGTATAGCGCAACTGCCAGCTTGAGTTTTGTTTACTCTTCAATGAACTTGAATTTTCGAATCTCATCTCATATCTTCTAAAGCTGCAAGCTTTTTGGTGCCCTAAAATTACTCATGGTGATGCAAAGTCGAGAGAAATGAGGAAGAAACAAGTCATCCCATAAGATCTCTGGTGCTGCAGGGGAGCGGAAAGCGGGCAAGGAAACCCTAATTGCAGACATCGCTTTGACGAATATCATACTAGACTACCAAGGGGATACATAAGTAAAAGTTCCTTTTAGCAAATATCTGAATTTGCTTTCATCTTCTGGACACATCTTTATCTATTTATTCATTTTTGATCTACTCTCAAAATCTCGAGTATTTATTTTTCATGTGAGAAGCTAGGGGGAACATTATTCGCCTTTTAGCCATGACAGATTCAACCGGAGGTACCGTTTTGTTGTCGTCGTTGGTATAGAAACCTCTTAGTGATGTAGCAACTATTAGGCCGCAGAAATTCTAGCTAAAGCAACCCATTTGTGGGCAATTAACCCAGGTAATATGACCTTGGAAGGACCTTGAATATTATTATATGCTTCAAAATTGTACATTCCAGTATGTCTGGATCTTGTAGGCTATTGGAACAAAAAGTCGTTGACCACGGCACTCGTGTCTTCTTGAGGATCAGCCACATGAACGAGGACCTTTCCCCTGGCACGCCCTGACCGAAGTCTTTCAAATGCCTTCACAGCATCCTCGAACTCATACTTGCTGTCGAAATTCAACTTCAGAGCTCCCTGCTGAACCAACTCTCCAAGCTTGACGGTGTGCTCCCGAGTATTCTTGAAAAAGAAGATAACATACTTTCTCTTTCCACCACCTAGGAACGAAGGCCAAGCCACTCGTCCAACAAAAGTGCTCAAAGCCGATGCTCCAACCTGCACAAACACACCACCAGGCCTTAAGAAATGATGACACTGATAGTATAAATCAGACGGCAACCCAATATGATCAAGAATATGATCAAAAACAATCCCCTTCTTCTTCAAAGCCCCAACAAGATCCCCAACCGCCGTATAATCAAAAACCTCATCAGCACCAAGCCGATAACACAACTCAACATTCCTCGTCGAACAAGTCACAGCAACAAAACAGCCCATGGACTTAGCAAGTTGAATAGCAAAAACCCCACACCCCCCAGAACCACCGTTAATAAACACCTTATCCCCCTCCTTAACATACCCATTCAAAGCCTGATAAGCCGACTGGCCGGCAATCCCCAAACTAGCCGCATCATCCACACTAACACCCTCAGGAAGCGGCGCAATAAGCTTGGACGAGATAGAAAGGTACTTCGCAAGCGTACCAAACTTCACCGGCATGTTATGGCACCCGTAAACAAGCTCGCCCGGCTTGAACGGCGCGCCAGGACCGGTCGTCACCACGCGCCCGCAGAAGTCCATTCCGGGCGTTGCTGGCATCCCGATTGCCAGGTATCGGGCGTGGGGACCCATCTCGGGGACTTTGAAGTCTGCTGGGTTGAGAGCGCTTGAGAGGACCTCCACGAGCACCTCGTCGCCTTTTGGAGCGGGCGGGACACGGGCTGATTCATCTAGGTACATGTTCTTCTCTAGGCCGGAAGATGTGCCGCTGTAGAGCCAAGCTTTCATTGTTGTGGGCAGCTTGGGTAGATCCATTGGGGGGCCCGTTGTTGGGTCCATTGTTGGATCCATTGTTATGAAGGAATATGATTTTGTGGTTGTTTTTGATGGCCAGAAGCTCAGGTTGATATGAAGGTTAACTTTAATTGGGGTTCACCGCTTTGCAGGGATGTCATTCGTTGTTCCCGTCCACCTCGATGACGCTAGTCATTGACATTGTCAGCCAAAAAAAAAAAAAGTTCAAAAAGAAATGCCCTCGTCCAGGTTCGAACTGGAGACCTTCGGATGTCAATCTTGTTACCAAGAATGTCATAAGAAAGGATATATGAGACCGACGTCATAACCAACTAGACCACGAAGGCTGATAGATGATGTGTTTTGCACTGGTTGGTTTCATAAGCTGAAACATGATTCATAGCCTATATGCAAAATGCTAACTCTTTCTAGTCACTCAAAAAGGATCTTAGATTATAATAATGCACTACTATATTACACTTATGAAACTCGCCTAGGTCACTTCAGGTTTCAAAATAGTGACTGCCGTTATTTTCCAGTGTTGGTTTTTGGTTGCCTCTGTTATATATCTTGTCCCGTCTACTGTTCCAAATATTTGCCCCAATTTCCCTTAACCTTTTTGTCGTTCTAACCTTTGACTTATAACGTAGTACTCCTAATATTTGCCCATGGGATATTCACATCACAGAGACCAGAATGTCCCAAGTGTCGGATCATATGCCTGGGCTGTATATATCGATTGCGCTCGAGTCAGATGGCCGACGACACAGTATATACCCCGAATGCATAAGGCGCATATAATATGAGACATAGAATACAAAACAGCCAATTGAAAGCAAGACTTGGAACGCATGCGCAGCAGACAATGCCCATCCGTACATAGAAGTATGAGATATCCGTTGCCTCAGGGCTCGAAGACATCGCCACACCTAGGCAGCCTCACGCTACACAAGGCACCAATAGGCTTATGTCTGCTATTGTAATCATCTCATAATATCAAAATTAAAGAGATCTAACCTAAATCGCATTGAAACAACAGGCAGACGCCCCGCGCAAGCACAAGTATTTGCGACGGCAAAAAAGTACTCTCCGCCTTATCTGCCTATATGGAACCACCCCAGGGACATGACTTGAACACCACCTGTTCTTTTCTCCCCTACAGATTTCCATGACTTTACTGCCATCGGTCCTCGCCCAGTCCACCTTGGGCGAGAAGTGCGCAGTTTACCTGGACCAGGTCACCGACAACCTCCCCGTTCATCTCGAGACTCTCCGCCTCCGAGTTGACCCTATTCTCACCTACTTGTCGACCACGCTCGGACCACTCGCGCAAAAGCTCCCGTTCGACATTGACGAACAAACATTCGCTCTCTCTGCATCCATAGTCGTCTGTGTGTTTACCATCGTCGCGATGAGCTGGCGCAACATCCTGCGTCGCTCGCCGAGCTACGCACCCGCATCCTCCCCGCATGTCAGCGACGCGGACTTCTCCTACATCACACCTGGCGAGGTAGACGGACGCGCAGCAAGCCCCGACGCGGGACCCGATCTCATTCGTCTCAAGCACCGTGGAACCAACTACCCACTGCACTTCGAGCCATACTCAATTGGTGAATCGTTGACCTTGGGAGAGCTCCGCGCCAGGGCTGCCAAAACTCTGGGCGTCAGCAGTACGGACTACATTCGATTGCTATACAAGGGAAAGCTGTTGAAGGACGACTCACAGAGATGCCGCGAAGAAGGGATCAAGCAGAATTCCGAGATCATGTGTGTGGTCTCTGACTTTGGCCCCGGAAACCCAGGCGATGTCTCCGACGACAGTGGGCGCCACATTCAAGTGCCCGCGCCAACCTCCTCCCGCTACAGCGATGCCGAACAATCATCCTCTCCCCCGACCCCCGTGGCAAGAGCGGAAGAAAGAAGAACAACAAGAAGAAGAACAAGACGGTCACCCCCCTGAGCCTGTTGCTCCACCCCGGCCAGCTTCATCAGGCGATCCGGGCAACCCCGCACCACCTCCCAACATCAAGTTGATCCCGTCTCGGCTGGAGCAAGTTGGCGCCTTGGCCGGGTGGTTGCAACAAGAGATGATTCCGCTGGTTGATGAGTACGTGGCAAATCCACCGACCGACCCCAAGAAGCGGGACTTTGAATATAAGAAATTGTCCGAAACAATCCTTGCACAGGTGATGTTGAAGGCGGACGGAATCGAGCCAGACGGAGATGTGACGATTCGCAATGCGCGCAAAGCGCTCATCAAGGACGCGCAGGCGGCTCTTAACAAGCTGGACACGATCGCGAAGCTCTAAAGGCTCCTCTTTCCTTTGTGTATACTTTGGAGCATTTGGACGGACATAGATTATGGGGGTATCTGTTTTAGCGAGTCTCATGTTCTGGGACCTGTCAACCCCTCGGTATGTTTCTTTGCATGGAGAGGATCGGCGTATATGTGAGGTGTCAACTTTTGTCATTTTTCTCCAAGATAAACCTGTCAGCTTCGGCATATAAGTTCAGACTTTCTCTATTGAAGCGGGGAGAAGAAACAAGGGTACATGTACTGTCCAGTAGAGTAAACCAACGCCATTCTGAGATCATGGATCTAGTGATCGGCGTAGTCCAGTGTAGTTCGCAGTTCGCAGTCTAGTAGTTCAGGGGCATCGCACGGCCCAAGGAGATCGATTTTTTTTTCTTCTTATTTTTGATACCTGTCGGATGTAATAAAGTTATTTGAGACAGGAAGGTTAAGCAATTGATTTGATTACTTTATTGAAATGGTCTCATAGGCGTAGAAATATATGCATAGATGCGCCAGAGTCTCATATATAAGACGTTGGACCCGGTCTAGTCCTTTGCTATTCCCGGTTGGGACGTTAGTTCGGTCTCCTTAGCTCTGTCTTTCTCTTCTCTGGACTTAACCCCTCGACCTTCCTTTTCCCCTCTGCCCCCGGCTTTATACACCTTGATGTGTGATCGGTGATCGGTGACCTGTGATCTCGTGACTTCGACTTCGACTTCGACTTGGACACTTTGACTTCCACCTCAACTTGTCTCCCTCTTTGAACCAGTGGACCCTTACCTGGACCACGGAACCAGCAGTCGGTTATCGCCCCGTGGACCAAAGGACGGAATCACAACCCCTGTGTATTTACAATTTGCCTCTTTCGGCCCACCCCTTACACCTTCATTTGTCCCGGGCATGTCTTGATCACACAAGCAACTCATCGTTGTATTTGATCCCTACCAACCGGGTTTCAGCTGGACTGGCCTCTTTCGATTACAACTTTTGGAATGGCGGGCGTCGCAACCGCTGCCTATGCTGCAGATACGCTACCGTCGCCTGGCGGCGTAGACGCTTCGCAATGGGATTTCGCAGTGCCGCTTGGAAACGAGGTAAGAATTATCCAATGTGACCGTGACAATTGACGTGAAGGCCGGATTTGCTCGGGACTGGACTGGTCGCATGCAAATGAAGAGGAAGAAAAAAAACCAGGTGAAAAATGCTGATCCCTTTCCCCCGCAGGAGAACCAACCCCCCTCAAGACCACGCCACTCGAACGACTCAAATTTGATCCGCGCGAAATCTAACCGCAAGCGTCATTCCAACGGTTCACGTAGTTCTTCCGTCTCTCGAAACGTTCATTCACACGAATCGCCCTATCTGAATTCTGGCCGGGGACGGAGGGATCACAGTGTCGGCCGACGTGGGAGCGAAGTTGGCAGCATGCGAGATGCCTCTGGCTATGATGGGTCCAGTCGGAAAGACAGCGAGGAGGCTAAGGATGGGCTGAAATTATATTTGGAAGGCGAAATGAGCCAGGAGAAGTGGATCCACCGCGACAAGCTGGCCAAGATTGAGAGCGAAGAACTTCACCAGGCAGCGATTCTTTTCCAGCGTCGTATGAGAGGAGAGAGCAAATCGAGCGGGGGACGAGGAAGGAGCCATGATTCTCAACAGAGTACTCCTTACGGGACTGGTACGGCGACGTCGCCCGCCGCGGAATTCTCTGAGCCCTGGCCTGAAATGCGAGGAGAACCCGGCAAGCGTGGTGTGAACAACTATGTAGATGTCGATGAGCGGAGGCACTGGGATCTTCGTCGCCCAGAGGAGATTGCGGCCGACGATGCTGCTGTTAGCATCTACAGTAACCCTAGCCTGGGGAAGAGCGCATCCCGGATACCCGTTTCGACAGCTAGTCCTGTGCCTATCCCTGGTATGGGCCGTGATTCTCGTGGACCTCGCAGCCGTGCAGCAACAGATGAAGACGATCGCTCTTCGCGGGGACGGAGAGCTAGCGAACCTATTAATATTGATCAGGATGGTTCGACTACATCCCCCGGAAGTCGACCGGGCAGCCGTGGCTTCGGCACCAACCCCAATACTGCAGGCAAGAAGAATCCAAGGGCTGCTTCCGGATCTACCAACCGAAAGACCTCTGCTCCGCCCACGAACAGAAAGACGAGCACCGCTCGATCTCGTGCAGTGTCGAACAACACTTCACAGCGACCTACAACCCGGGGAAATGAAAGTCGGCCAACAACTGCCGCCAACCGCCCCGAGGGAGATCCGCCATGGTTAGCAACCATGTATAAGCCCGATCCTCGCCTTCCACCTGAGCAGCAAATGCTTCCAACCCTCGCCAAAAAGATGCAGCAGGAACAATGGGAGAAAGAAGGTCGGACACCCAATACATACGACCGCAACTTTGCGCCTCTCGCAGTTCATCCATTCGACGCGCCTCCTGTTCCTCCTAAGAGCGAAACAGAACCGCAACCAGAACCGGAACAGCAGCCCACCGAAAACCTTCAGCTGGAGGAGTTTACTCAACCGCCCAAGAGTCCTGAACCCCTGCGACCAAACACCAGTATGGGATACAGCACCATGCCAAAGGTGCAGGATACACCCCCAATGGGACTGATACCCAACCCCAACCCCAATTGGAACCCACCGGTTGTCACCGCACGCGAGCAACCGAAGAAAGAGAAGAGCTGCGGATGCTGCATTGTGATGTGATGGATATTCACCCTCCATCCCGGCCATCATACTCCAAATCTCTCATTCATCTCCCCAAGATACCTTTGATATTTGCACATCTGCTTGATTCCCTTCTCTGTTATTTTTTTCCCCAGCGTCTCCGGCGGGATGGTGTTCTGTGACTTTATATCCCGTTCTCGAAGGCCCTTTTTGCTTTCGACTCATACTCCACATTTTCAACTGCTTTGTAATTCGGTGTTTCTCTTCGCACACACCGGGGCATGGTACCTTTCCTTTCTTCCCATGCATCCATTCCTTGATTTTCCCTTCTCTTCACTTGATCATTTTCTTGCTTTCTCTCCCTGCCATGGCAGAACGGAGATACCAAAAAACTTGCCTCAGACAGTAATGGACAGGAACAGAGACATCCCAAAAGGAGAGAAAAGAACAACAGCTCAAAAACACCATATATTGGTATAAGGTAAATGATCCGGTCTCATTTCGTCCCTGTCCATACTCTGACTTTCTAACACCGATCCCTTCCTTTCTCAACTTTTATTTCTTTAGTTTCGCATTTTCTTACAGCTACCCTTGCCATATTCCCAAGCTTTTTTTCTTCACTAGCGCTTTCTTATTATCATTCATATTTCTTCTCTACTCTTTGCTTTGATATTTTCGAGTGATCCGGTCCGGTTCGGACACCCCTGCTTTTTTTTTCCAACTCTTATCACAGATAGTTGCTTGCTTCTTCCAGCTGCCTATCGATTTCCAGGTTAGTTAAATACATAAATGTATATGAAACGCTATTTGTGTCCGAGTTCAGCTGTAAGTTATTCTTGACACATCTGTTCAAACTCAAGGGTTGGATATGCCAGTTGGATTGCAATTGAAGAAGCAAGGTAATTCGCGTCGACAGGCTATAGAAGCTTCTATTGAACGGCTACTTTGTGAGAGCCACCAGTAACTTCAACAGTCACAGTGCGATCGCTATAGCTTAATCCTCTGAACAAACGATCCCCATCAATAGTAACCGAAGGCTTCTTAGAAGCAGTAACAAAGGGCAAAACAAGACTCCCAACAGTGCCCTTCGGCACCTCGAAATTCAGCTCATACCCATGAGACCCAATTTTCCAAGAAGCCGTAAACTTTCCAAGGTCAGTAACAAAACCAGCCTCAGCAAACTGCAAATCTCCAAACTGCGGCTCAATCTTCCACGTCGCCCCCAAAGGCGAAGTAACCCTAAGCCCAACAACAAACTCAGTCAAAGCAGAAGTCGGACCAGAAGACCACCCATGCGCATGAGAAACATAAGACGGATCAAATCCATACCCCCGATCCATCCGATACCCAAAAGTTCCGTTTCGAAGATATCCCTCGATAACTGTACTTTCCGTCCCGTTAGGATTGTTGATATACCAGCCCCAGCTCCTCCGAATAAGATCAAGCGCACGCTCAGGCTTGCCTACGACGAAATGACTTTGGATTTCGAACGAGGAGATAAAGGATGCAATATTTTCTGGCAATTCCGGTGCGACGGCACCGATTGGTGTCCAATTTTTCAGGAGTTTCTCTGAGATGCTGGATGCGCGTGTTTGGTTTACGACGCCGAAGAGAACGGCCATGCTGTTTGCGTCTTGGGGATGCAGCGTGGTCTCTGTGGCATTGTCTTTGAATGCGCCGTATGCGTCGTCCCAACAGTAGGTGTTGATTGATTCTTTTAGCTTTGCCGCTTGGGCAGTCCAGGTCTGTGATAGGTTTGTGGTGTCTCCGGCCCAGGAAGCGAGAGATGCTCCTGTGTTTAGTGTTTGATAGAGGCTAGAAATAATTAGCCTGGAGCGTGGAGTACTAGCTTATTGGATAGCTCACATCATTTGTGCCTCGGAGTTGTTGTAGCCTTGCTGCCACCTAGCCCAGTCTCGAGTGCCTGTCACATTCAATAGCCCACTGGGGTAGGTTACCTTGCCATAGATGTACTCCATAGCATGCTGATAACTCTCCCAATTTTGTAGCAAGAAGTCTGTGTCATTGGTATACAGCACATAGTTGTAAGTGCCGATCATCGACCACATATGATAAGTGTCCGAGTTCTTCTGACTGAGTGGAGGGCCAGATTCATCAAATGCGCCTGTTGTTTTGTCCTAGGCCTGTCAGTAGAAGATATTGAAACGAGTCAATAGAGACTGAGCTCACTTGCGTATTGTACATAATCTGCAACGCGTTCTTAACACTGTCCAGATCCCCAAGACTCACAAACGCCGATGGCACCGCGATGCCCATATCACCAGGCCACACAGCACGATCTCGCTTCGCGCCATCGACAATGATAGTATCCCCTGGGCCCAAAGTCCCATTATTCACCCAACCAGAAGTAACACCCTTCGTCACACGACCGGTGTTGACGGGCACTTCATTCGTCTGCAGAGTATAGGCCCCGCTATACCAGATGCGATTCAACAGCTCATCGCTGCAGTGGAAATAACCCTGGTAGGCTCGGAGATTGGACCAAGTAGGCTGAAAGCCAAGTTCCAGGCTCAAATCATCGATTTTCACCTTAGTCAAGTCATCGTCTGTAATTAAAAAGACCGTTAAGTATCGGAATCCGCCTCGTAGGTATTTGTCTGGCATATCATAGCTTCCTTTACCGGCCGATGAGAAATTGGCATATAGCGCTCCATCGTGATAAAGGGCACTTGAGGAATCTGACCATTCCCCGATCCAGTTCTTGGCCTCTGTGAATGCGATTCCTAGGGCTCCGCTTCCGGTGGATTCATATTCCAGGTGCACTATACCGCCTACTTCAATGCCGAAGTCGAATACTATTAGAGAGCCGTTGCCTTGCAAGGTCACTTTGTACGGGTGGGATGAGTCTGTTATGGCGTTTCTCTTGAGCTCGGATAGGGTTTTGGCTGGTCGGACTGTGCGGGTTGAGGGTGCATAGATATTCTTTTCCCATGGCCCTTTGAATGCAATGTCTGTTGGTCCAGAGCAAGAGGTATTCCGCCAGCATGTATCTGCTAAAGCTGACGAGAAGAGGAGCGACGAGACCGCTATACCGGGCCAGTTTAGTCGCACCATGATGATTGCTAGGGAAGATATGATGCAAGAACTAACTAGATATACTTGCAACTAAGAAGAGGGGAACTATCCATGTCTGGAAATACAAGCATTTCTCGGCAGTGAATACCACGAGTGGCTGGCAAGGGGCCAGTCGATTGTAACACTTGAAATAGAGGGAGCTCTACTGCATATCAGCCGATTGGTGGAACATTCATAGATCATGATATTGATTTGCCGTATTCCTGGCAAAGATCGACAAAACAAGCACCCAAGCATCTTTACAACTGACGTTTTTCATGCAGGTTACATTAATCCCAGACCTTCCCCCGCAGATGGCTTCTCCGTAGCTCGATTCGCGATGTTCCCTCGGCGCAAAGGTCTCCGAACGCAATTTGCGAGTATTAGGAAAGACTACAAGGGCTTAATTCTATGAGTATAAATACTTAAACTATGCCAAGCACCGGTTGTAGTCCGTTTAATCGCTCGCTTCAAGATCAAGATGCGACTATCCGGGGTGTCTTTGCTCGCCCTCCCGTTTGCCTTGGGGCTTTCAAAGCTTGCATACGCAAATGACCAGAATGGCTCAAATGTCTGCACGGTGAAGGCAAAAGGTCATCAGAAGGATGATGTACCTAATATTCTCGAAGCTTTCCGCCGATGTGGAAAGGGTGGTACGATCGTCTTCCCTGAAGATCAATCGTATTGGATTGCAACACGCCTAAACCCCGTGGTCAATGATGTGACAATTGAGTGGCGGGGAAAATGGACAGTAAGTGGGAATATGTAAGGACCTAGGTATCGCGACTAATTGAGACCAGTTCTCAGATGATTTAGATTATTGGCGCAACAATTCTTACCCCGTTGCCTTTCAAAACCACGCCGCTGGATTTGTTATCACAGGCCAGAATATAAGAATTGACGGATACGGAACTGGCGGCATTGATGGCAATGGGAATACGTGGTACACTGCAGAGAAAGGCAATACCCAACCTGGAAGACCAATGCCCTTTGTGTTTTGGAATGTATCTGATGTCAGTGTTGAGAATTTCTACATCAAGGATCCCCAATTGTGGAGCGTCAATATAATGAATGGGACAAATATGCGCTTCAATAACATCTACTGCAATGCCACTGCAGTAGATGCGCCTTACGGCGAGAATTGGGTGCAGAATACCGACGGATTTGGTAAGTTAATATAACACGCTTCTCCTGTCCCCCTTGTTCACTGGACAAAACCAGAATGTCTAACATTATACAGACACAATGGACGTCGAGAATGTCCAGCTTACGAATTTCGTATACCAAGGTGGCGATGACTGCATCGCAATCAAGCCTCGGTCATATAACGTCGACATCCACAACGTGACCTGCCGCGGTGGAAACGGCATCGCAATTGGTAGTCTAGGACAGTATCTGGAAGACTCAAGCGTGAAAAATATTCACATCGACGATGTCAGAGTGATTCGATATAACGAAGATTTACACAACACCGCCTACATCAAAACATGGGTTGGAGCTCTCGTGCCCCAGACTTCATACGAAAGTGCCGGACTCCCACGGGGAGGCGGCTGGGGGAGCATTCAAAATGTACTTTTCTCAAACTTCGAAGTTCATGGCGCTAATGCGGGACCCTCAATCACGCAAGACAATGGGAACAATGGTTCTTTGTCTGGGACAAGCCTCATGAGCATCTCTAATGTCGCGTTCGTGAATTTCACTGGCTATACGAATGGTCCGTCGACGAAGGTTGCTTCTGTTTCTTGCTCCAACCTGCACCCTTGTTACAATATTGACTTTGATAATGTTGTGCTTTATCCCGGGGAGAATGCGACTACGCCGGGCGTTGGATCTTGCAAGTATACGGCTGAGGGAGGGGTTCATGGGCTTGATGGATGTTGAATACATAGCTCTTACAACAGGGTCCATAAGTGTACTGTACGTGCAGTACCATGAATATCAGAAATAAAAGGTATTCTGTAGACAAGCCTCAACGTACCACTTGACGTCGTGTTTTGCCCTTTGTCGAGTGCCTCGTGTTAATCACAAGAGTGATATACAGGTGGGGCTGAGTGAAGAGACTTATGGCCCCCTATTGTACTTAATATCAAGCCGAGGAACAATTCATTCTTTACAGTAAAAAAAAGTATGCACTATAGCGTGCAATTGGGTTTGGCCCCCACGGCCCCAAACTCCATCCCGTTAGGGCTTGCTGACTCGCCCTCCAATGAGGTCTTGGCTGCATTTAGGCCAGCAACTTTTGCCGAAAAACTCGCCAATTCTAAGAGAGATTTTCATGACTTGCCATGAATAAGTCACATGTTCTTTTTCTCTCTCTATCAATATAGATATCCTCTTATTGTATTACAGTAGGTGTATAGCCAAAGTGATATGACATGGGTTTCGATATCAGGGTCAATCTTGTCGGGCGACCCGCCAAGCAGCTTCAGCCTTTACGCTATAGTAGTTTCTTCCAAGGGTTCCGGGCGGAGTCACTAGATGAGCCCATTTGAACTAGTTTTTCATTTCCGTTATCTTTACAGCAATGAAAACCAAGCGGTCTGAAGTTCTAAAATTATCATAGGGGCCATGAAGTTGCGATAGGGGTCTGTGTACGCAGCTAAAGGTTAGTTGATTCATCTGACCACCAGGGAGAGCAGAAATGAGACCCTGAAGTTACCATAAGGCTTGGCCTGCGCCCCGAAATGAGGCAGGGCTAAATGACTGCCCAATGCACGCTAGTGGTAAAATTGAGGCTCTTAGTATAAATGGTCTCCATGTTCTGATTTCTGACTCTTCATTTTTCAGTCACAATTTTCACTTCTCTCATACAACCAGGAGATCAGCCCTTTACACAAACCCAAATCATTCAAAATGCGCATGAACTTGTTCCTCGCCTCTGCCCTCGCGGCTCTGGCTTCAGCTGCCGACCCCAGCACAACAACCATCAGCTACTTCGCTATCGAAAATGGTCTGGACTATGCTAGCGTAGGCGACTACTCCAGCACTGCTGCCCGCGTGATTGGAATCGACAAGTACGCCACCACCTACGAGGTTGCCTGCATGAAAGACGCAGACAAGTGCGCAATCCACCACCCCTTGACCATGATCCAGGGTCCCGAGACCTTCAGCTTCTCTGGCGAAGTAACCGTCACCACTGGAGGCGGTACTGGCATTGTGACCAACGTCATGGAATGCTCTTTCACCCACACCTCTGAGTCTGTTTCTTGCTCATACAGTGCTGCTGTCACCGCCTCTGCTGATGGCTACACCTATTCCACTTCCGTTTCTGAGACAAGCACTTCTGTTGAGCCTTCATCTGTGCATTACAGCCAATTGACCATCACCGATGGCCTCTACGCTTTCACTGCCGAAGCGACGGCTTCTGCTTCTGCCGTTACGGTCACTGCCACTGGAGCTGCTCACCCTGCTAAGCCTTTGATTACTGCTGCGCCATTGGGAGCTGCTGCTGCTGCTGCTTTTGCTGCCATGCTCTAGGTGCTATGACTGTTCCTGATACCCTTTGCCTTTGGAACTTTTAATGATTTTGATTAATTTGTACATTGAATGAATCATGCGACCCAACATAGTTTAATCTAAAATATAACTTATATGAGAATTTGATTTCTGCTTTACCAGAATATGTATAAAGTTATCCTCTTCAACGAGTATCTGATAAAATTCGTTAGAAATCTGAAAATTGACCACTCGCTGGACAAGGTTTGAAGTTTACAATAAAGAGCTTATGTGCACCATTCAAAAAGGAGGCAAATAGATAAACCTGAATCCTGACTATCATGCTGGGGAGATCTTGAAGTATTAACAACTCAATAGCTATTAAATCGGTGTATCAGCCTCTTTAAGTGCCTTGTAAGCTCACCTTCGCAGTACATGGGCTAAATACTACAGTATTTGCAAATTAAAACGCCTTATCTCTCATAAAGCATACAAGGAACAGTTCAAGCAATTGCAGTAGAGTCTAACACGCATTCTAGCGAAATATAGCAAAAAATTATATGGCTTTACTCGACTTTATAGATCATGCCATATCACGTGCATCCCCACACTCCAGCTCCGTCGGCAGCCGCCAATCCTGCTTTCTCCATTCCTCATCCATCAAATCAAGTCAGAATGGCCACTTCTCTCCGACAGAACCCATGGCGGGCCTGCCAATCCCTAGCACGCCAGCAATTAGGCACAACACGCCTCAGCACCCGCAATTTCTCCTCCAGCGCCCTCCGATCCAACAATGCCACCAAGAACCCCCTCCGTTCCCGAGCTACTGCTGCACAGGCTTCCCAGCAAGCATCCCAGGCCAAGCGGAAGATTGCGTTCTCCGCCGTTGGAATGGTTGCTTCCGGAGCTGCCATGTACGGAGTCATCAAGCTGGACTTGTTTGGCCTCGATGAAATAGAAGCCAAGAAGCAAACCAGCAAGTCGGATGCGAACCAATCTCCACAACAAGAAACCGCACCTACATCCTCAAATAATGGCGCAATGAGAATGGATGGACCAGCTGGGTTCCCTAACGGCGGAACTTCTGTTATTACAATCCAAGGCCAGGACGGCCTCGAGCAAGTCCCCACCGGAACAAGCACGATACCGCATTTCCCCAGCGTTATCCGTCTGCCCTCACCTGAGCAAACCGAGGGCAAGAATTCAGGCGATGAGCTGGCTCCCGCCTCCGGAGACGAATACCAGCTTCTCGGCCTGGGTATCCGCACCGTCTCCTTCCTCTCAGTCCAGGTCTACGTGGTTGGTCTATATGTCGCCAAGTCCGACATCACCGAACTGCAACGACGCCTCCTCAACACCGCGATCCACCCACCCTCCGACGATGACCCAGCTGCCATTTCCGGCGCCGGCGCCGACTCCGCTACCTCCCTCGTCTCACCCGAACGTCAACAACTCAAGGAGCTTCTTCTTGACGCGGACCGCGGCGATGCCGCCTGGACAGCCATTTTGAAGGAGAACGGCATCCGCACTGCTTTCCGCATTGTTCCCACTCGCAACACGGACTTCATGCATCTGCGCGACGGCTGGGTCCGTGGAATCACAGCCCGCGCGCAGTCAAAGAAGGCCGCGCCTGGCTCAACCCAGCCCGGCGAGTTCCAGGATGAGTCCTTCGGTACCTCTATGAACGACTTCAAGGCTGTCTTCAGCGGTGGTCAACAGAAGAATGTTCCCAAGGGCCAGACCCTTGTCCTGATGCGCAACACTCAAGGTGGCTTGGATGCGCTGTTCCAGGCTGATCCCACCAAGCCTGTGCGCTTGATGGGTCGGGTTGCCGATGAGCGTATTAGTCGCCTGGTCTGGCTGAACTACTTGGCCGGTAAGAATGTTTCCAGCGATGGCGCGCGCAAAAGCATCATCGATGGCCTGATGGCCATTGTTGAGCGGCCTCTTGGAACCGTCGTGCAGAAAGTTATCTGATCTGATTTATTATAACCTTTTATCTTGATTCTTGTACTACCATATGCATGTACGTTAGTGACTATACTTCTCGTCATCTGGATCTACTACATTCCCGGCGATACGAGACTCCACTCAATGCGATGTCTTAGATGGCTATTAAAGGCCGTCTACCACACATTACTGGATCATAAATTCTCGGTTGGGCCGCAGCGCTATGAAAGTAAGGGTGTTCCCCTTGGATAAAATTGTATCTATGGTATTGTAAAGCAAGTGCGCACGATCGAACCCGCTTAGAGGGCACCAGCTGCCTGCAAAAGCTCCTTGATGTCGGGGTTGCCCTGGAGGTCGGAGTTACCACCGATGTGCTTCTGCTGGATGAAGATGTTGGGGACGGTGCGCTGGCCGGAGATCTCAGCGAGGGCAGCCTGGATGGCAGATCCCTCCTCTAGAAACGACAAGAAAAGACATTAGCAACGATTGGGCATGCAAAGAAACTCCGCGGGAAAGCGGAAGAAATAAGAAAATTAAAACTCACCCTCAAGGTCCAGCTCAAGAGTGGTGTACTTGGCGTTCAGGCCATCGAGAAGCTTCTTCGAGGCATCACAGTAGGGGCAGTAAGACTTGGAGAAGACAACAACAGCGTTGTCGCTGATGAGCTGCTGGGCGCGAGACTTGGCGGCGGACATTGTGGCGGGATTTGGACCGGCAAAGGTGCCAAAGAGTCGAGCGAAGAACGAAATGGTGGGCGAAGGGGAAAGAGACCGGAGATGATACGGACTCTTTTGGGGCGGGGTAGGTTGAAGATTATAAGAGCCAACAATTGCGATGGCGGCATTGCGGCATTGCGATGATGTCAGGTGATATTTGTCAGCTCTTGATCTAGACTTCACCCTATACTTCATTCTTGAGTCTTCTTTTGCTTTCAGATAAGACATAATTATTAATACAAATGAACTGTACATTAATTAGCAAGACTGTATTGTCAGTTGCACATCTTCACGGTGATTCACGATGTCGGAATTGTTGGAATAGAAAGAGGGACGAGGTACCTGACAAATGGAACGTAGGCCCCAGGGTCCCACGGGTACCTGATGTTTGACATCCTTATCACACAACCAATAGAATAATGCTATAATTGCACTATAGTTGTACTGCTTAGGGGCCATGTATTAAATCATATACGCGTAGGTTCATTTTATGAGTTCCTCTAGAACTTGCAGAGCTTGGTCACTATGGAAATGCGGATTATCATCTAGACGCCAGCATTGTCTTTGTTAACAGAAGCGACCAAATTTCTCTTCGATATGAGAGACTATTCATCATCTGATTGAACTTGCACCACTACCCCTTGGAGTTGTTCCAACTCTTGGATAGCCTCTGCACTCAGGCTATATGATTTATGTCAGAAATCCTTCCCACAATGCGTAGAACCCACGTACTCTATCCCAAATATGAATGGGGGCAGGTTTCTGGTGGAAGGGTATTCCGATGTTCCAGTGTATTTCACCAAAATACTTCAGGCATGTCAGCAGCGCCATCGAAAACAAGAACACCTTCGACCGATTTCAAGTTTACCTATCGACTTGTTCACGATTGATCTCCCATAGCTCAACATCTTGAAAACGGATAACAACCTAGGGAAATATCAGTCTTGCTACATGCAAGAAAAATCTCCGACTTGAAGGATATCAAACCTGCTGGCCCATTGTGTGAGTTATAGTTGTGATAAAAGTTGAATATTTGAAGATCGGAACATCAATAGCACAGCGATTTAAATATCAGTCCGTGGGTAAACTCTGACATCATTTTGGATAATATTAGACTAACGCCTTCTTTTGGGGAAATTTTGAGGTCGATCAATGAGCTGTCGCTCTCCACTTGGACTTAGCAGAGTTTGGGGACATGCTGTAGGCTTCCTAGTGAGAATGTCTATTGTCTAACCAGCAAGTGAATCAGAGCGAAATCTGCAGGAATTACTTCCTCTTCTCACCCCGATATCGCTCAAGTCCGTGAGGGCTGGTTTTATTTCAGAGAGAAATCCATTTTCTGTTTACGACCCGTGATTTTTTCAACCGTATCTGCTGTAATGCAGTTAACCTGGAATGGGAACCACTTGGCTGCAGTGTGACCGCATGCATGCATGAAGTGGTTACGAACGAGCGATTTATAGTACAGTTATATCTCTCACTGATCGAGCCCCACATTTAAAAGCGGAATGATGAGCGTGCTCAAGATCTTTCACTGGATACAGTATTAACTGATAGATCCTGTGGGGGGCAATTACTCTAGAGCGGGTTTTGGTATTTCCTGACTAGTGCTTGAATATACGTAAGTCTGGAGTGTACAGTCTCTCAATTTGCCCAAGCCCTATATCAGCCGTTCTCTTACTAAGATTATCATTGGAACCGACTAAGCAGGTCGGAAATTAAGTAACATAAGCATTGCAGGGCATGTCATGATTGTGAATACTTGCTTAGCACTGCCTTTGCTGTTGCAAATTACATTCTGTAGTAGCCAAGTATGAGATCTTCATGTTGATAGTTTGAAACATCAGTGAACTGATGTCCGTTATATAGTTCTTGGATCTCGAATCGATAAATTGATGCTGTATAAGAATCTATGCCTTTGTAGACCTGGATTCATTCGATTTAGTACCATTTATATCACTATGCAACGGTTACAAAGTAACTAGTTCATAAAACATGGACCCTAAGGTGAAGACTTCAGAGGACCTCGTTATATCAATGGCTTCTTCAAAGGTAGCTGCTTCGGGGTAGCACCCGGAGGAATATGTAGGAATATATAGTTGTCATTAATGCATGAGAACCACTATTCTTGTCACGAATCTGCTTGACTAAGGATTAATATGGCCAGAATTTGGCTTTAGCTAGTATTTGTGGTATTATTTTCCATATTCCTTAAGAACACCGTCGTATTCCACTTGAATTAAACTGTTAATTTGATCTATATATTTCCCTCCAATGTAAACTCAAGCACATACGACCACAGGGTGTGGAGAACAGGGCTTCCCGTCCGCTCAGCCGTACTTAAGCCACACGCCGGTAAGTTAGTAGTTAGGTGGGTGACCACTAGCGAATCCTTACTGTTGTATGTTTTTTTTTGTTTTTGTTTTCCTACCTGCTGCCTTTATTGCCCCCGCTGAGAGGTATATCTCTCTCTACATTAGCCCCTATCACTAGAATATGACCTATTCATTATTGGCATAGAACTGTAGTTACTACTCGTAGCAATTGGAGGTAACCTAGAAGCAATTAACAAAAAGTGATAGCAAAGGAAAAAAACAACAATAAAGGCTATCACACAAACAGTCGATCCCTCAAGTAGTTACTACTCGAACCAAATAATCATCTTCAAAGATGCTGCCAATGCACAGCAACTTGCATAGCTCACCGCGACTATCTGTGTTTCTGGGCCAGCGACACGGCTAGCACGTTTCTTGTTTCCCGCCTGAGAAATTGCTCCCCGAATAACGTTCGCATCAAGAAAGGCAGATGGTACCCGGTCTCGCACGTCTGAGGATGGGAATCCCCAGAAGTAACGGGTGATGAAGGTCCAATCATCCCCATACAGCCCCGAAACGTCGAGATTTCGAAAATCCGGATTCTCAAAGACCAGAAGAGCCCCATGAAGAGGAGCATATCTTAATGCATGCTCTAGAGATGGTGTGGTGTAAATGCCTGGTCCTAATTCATTATCGACATTGGACGTGGTGATCACCGGTGCAAAAAACGGCATCGAGGAAAACAAAGCCTCGGTAGACAGCGCTCGGTAGAGCAGGTCCCCCCCTAAAGCGCGAGTAAAGTCACGCTCAATATTTTGTGCTAGGCGCGCGCCATTCTTCATCCAAGGAACTCGAGCAGAACGAAATTGGCGGGGGAGATCTTGTTGACGGCACATAGGGAAAAGCTATGGAAGATTGAAACAAGAAAGAGAACTAGTCACAATGGATGGGATCTCATGTCTCAACGGGTGAACCACAATGGGGCTTTGAAGGATGTCAAATTGCATATTATAAATCACGGAAGGGATTTTGCCCCATCCCCAAAGCATATTAGCCATCAATGGAATTGAGGCATTTGACGGGATGTGGATGATCTCATCCTTCATGGTATAGCTGGGGCTTTCAATTGCGTCGACTAGATCGTCTAGCCCTGCTAGCCAGAACAGGCTAGACATCGGCCCAATGAAACGTGCGCTTGTTCCTAGCCCAGGATCGAAGAGAAAACTAAGAGAAAACTAAGAGAAAACTAAGAGAGAACAGAGAGAGAACTGAGAGAGAACAGAGAGAGAACAGAGAGAGAACTGAGAGAGAACTGAGCGAGAACTGAGCGAGAACTGAGAGAGAACTGAGAGAGAGCTACTTCTTTATTAACTTATCTCTTAAAGTCGAAGATATTTCTAGAAATCTTCTTTAATTTTACATAGTTCTTCTAGTGAAACTTAGTTTGAAGTTCTATATTCAAAAGGTACCTACTGTAAGTTACAGGGCCAGTACACTTAAGATATAGTTTAGAAATACAGCATTAATAAACAATTGATGGTAGAAATAGGAGCACCGGTCTTTTGAGCTGATGGCAACTGCACACTGCCGTAGCCATGCCACGTGATAACGTCTTTCAAATGTTCACATGTTCCAAGGCTCTAGCCGCTGCTGATTCCGCTGCGCTCAGTTGTCCTGTGTGATTTGCGCCTGGTTCATTGGCAGTGGTCGTGTCTCGACACGCTCACTAATCACTCATAGTGGCGATGTCCTGTGCGTTGGCGTACTTGGTGCTTGCATAACATGCTCTCGTTCGACATTGTTTATGCGAGGTAGCTCTGTGAGGATAGTAATCGTTGCTCTCTTTGCATATTTGTCGCGTCTCTGGTAATTGTTCGCTTGGCCGATGCGAATTCTGCAGAGGCCGCGATATCGCCGTACATGAAAGCTGCTAGTGCTTCTCTTTCGTTTGCTGTGGGTAGTACCTAAGGTAGTCCCCCGGATTAGTCATGTGTGCGGCTCCCGCCTCCATGGAGAACTACATGAGCCTTGGTCTAGATGGCCAGACTAGCACTTTTACAATCACTCTATGATACTCTATATATTCCTCTTTAACAGTAAACCAAGCACATACGACCATAGGGTGTGGAGAACAGGGCTTCCCGTCCGCTCAGCCGTACTTAAGCCACACGCCGGTAAGTTAGTAGTTAGGTGGGTGACCACTAGCGAATCCTTACTGTTGTATGTATTTTTTGTTTTTTTGTTCTTATTTTTCCAATAGCAAGAGTGAGTGAGCGACCCTCATGCTAAAAGCACATACATTAAAAAGCAAAACCAGAAAGCCAGCGGTATATTAAGTAGTTTTTTCTACAGTGAATTTTAACACTAGGATATCATGACATGCTCAAAATTTCATTCAGCCTTATTTCCCCATGTTCTAGGGGTAAGAATCAATAAAAACGATTTATAACTTATGTGGATTCTTCATCTTTCAGTCCAAAGCGTAGGATACATCCCACAAATAGTAACGCACCAAGATGAATTTTACATTAGGAAGGGGCTGAAAATACTAGTTTTATATAGCCTCAGTAGTCAGGATCTCTTGGAAGTTCGCTTCATTCATGCTAGGCAACGCTATTCATGGGCGTCATCGTCGTACAATTGAAAGTCAGAACCGTGAGATAGCCCCCTCCTGCTCCGAGTCTAAGACTTCAAAGTAGCTCTCAAACAGAGCCGCGCTCCACTGACAAGACGTACCGGAGCTAGGAATATCCAAGATCTCTCCAGCTGGTTGTGTGTTTTGGAATTTATGCGTCTGAGCGAAACGCTGTTCAGGCACCATCGACGACTCCGGTTGCCCAGCTGACTGAGATACACACAATGCCGGAGAACGAGTAGGGCTAGTTAACCCCGACTGAATAGGGCTTGGTTCAGTCGGTCCGTGAATCTCCACCGCCACTTGTTCGCAGTCTTCATGCTGGTCTGTTCCAGTTGACAATATCCCAAACATGCCAGGGCTGGCTAGAACCATCTGTCTTGTGGCTAAAGCTTTGGCATGAAAGTCCTTAATACGGTTCCAGCGAGGAAATCCCTGGAAGTCAATCATCGCGTTCCAATACTGATAAATATCTTCAGCAATCGCGAATGATGCATCTGCTGTGTGTCCCAATGGAGAAAGAGACAAGCTGATAAAGAGGTATGTCAAAGCATCCCATTCAATGTAGCTCTGAACAAGCCAAAGCCATACATAGGCCCGTTCATGTAGACGCATCGCTTTAGCTCGCCTAAGAATTTCAACGCAATTGTGACGGAAGTTGTCCTCAATAAGCACTTGTTGGTTTTTCCTATCTCGAGGCTTGGTCACGGTGAGCTTGAGATTGGCAAGGATCAAACGACAGGACTCTGCTATGAAGAAATCAAAAGGTATTGACATGTCACAGTGCGAGAGGATTTCTCGTTCTATTCTTTCCTCAAATCGATCAATCGCTCCACACTTCTCCAAGGTCGACATGGTTGCATAAGAGTTTATTTCGTTGAAGTGATCAGAAAAAGATATCTGGCGCGTAAGACAATTGACTTCTAGCCTTACCAGACTGAACAGCATGTCGCTCTTTCCCGGATGGCTTTTAGGGATATAACTCATATTTGGGTCAAGATCTGAATCGTTCACATTCGATGGAAACTGGTTGTAAAATTGTGATTCCAAGATTTGTGGCTCTGACTTGTCATCCTCTGCCATTCGAATGTCATGGATGAAAATCTCCCACCAAAGACGACGTCGCATTTCGGCCTCAAATGGTGTAAATTTGGAGGTCACGTTGTCATTATGCAGTCCATTTTCAAAGGCTATTGTAATGGCAACTCTGGTTGGAATATTAATGCCTGGGCCTTGTCCATCAAACCTGCCACAAGCCTACGTAAAATGATTAGTTATGAATTCTCTAGTCGCCTGGAGCATCTGAGTCCCACCGTATACAGGGTGAATGCCTGTAGGATGGTTATATCTGTTGATTTCTGAAAGTTTGCTTGGGCCAGAGCGGTCTCAATTGACTTTCGATAACTTTTTTTGTGAGCTTCACGTCGCTTCCTATTTGATAAGTTGGGTTTACCTTCGTAGTGAAGTTGGTCTGTCACAGTCAAGCGCTTTCTTGCATTCGTCGCTTGTCAGGGTAATCACGGCCGTATATAAAATAGCAAACAATAAGCAATGAATTGGCGAACGATCGAGTTTTTCCTCTTGTAGGAACTCAACAATCTGACGCTGAACACTTGGTGCGTGAATTACTTTGAGAACAGGGTGTACTCGCTCTAAATATGTTTGCCACAGGAAGAATATTGTGGCTGATGAGGGATGAGATAATAGCGAACCATGCATAGAAGGGTCTCGCGATGCCAAGTGAGGATAGCGCCCTTGATGGGGCCTTTCTAGGCTTGTTGAACTTGCCCGACATTCGCGCACATCGCTTGCGACGGAATGATTGGAGTTGTCACTGTTCAAATTCAGTGGCTGTGAAGGTGTCGTCTGAAGCAACTGCCCAGTCTGCAACAAACTTTCCTTGACTGAAACCAGAGTTCGTTCGATAGTGGCAAGATGAGTGCTTAGCTGTTTGCCGGGTAGAACTTGGCTGCTGCTGTTGGATACACCTTTTCTCTGTGGAAACACGCACCGAACCTTGACCTTCACACAGTAGGAGCAAGGAAAGGCTTTGTCGCATTTGATCTTTCGACGATGGCACTCAAAGCATGATTTACCAGTAGATGAAGGACGAGGCATGTCGGATTGTGTTTGCATTAAAAAATCTACAGGTGTCGTGGCTTGGACCTCAGAAGACCATCAACCGTCAATTAACTTAGAAATCCAATCTCGCATTTCTAAGCAACTCGTGAGTGTTGTGATTATTTCCCCGACAGTGGGACTCGAAGATCAGCCTGATTGGTGCAGTGTTGTCTATTGGCTACAGCGGGAAAATAGTCAGAATCTCCGCTTTCACCAATCACATTAATGATCCGCTAGCAGGGGTGACCATCAACTATGGTGGGAAGGCAATGATGATGATGCTGCAATTCGAATATATAAATATGCCCCTCTTCTCGATTGTTTATAGGTAGAATATCGACAAAACCAAGACCAGAAGAAGCAAATCGCAAATCATTTTACGAAAGCCTGACTTTTGACCAAACATTTACAATGGCAAATATCCTGAAGAACGTTGTCATTCTTGGGGTAAGAGCAGCCTGATGCTGATCGACTGATTTGGAAGCGGAAGCTAACATATCTCCAGGCTGGCGGAAATATTGGCAAAATTATCCTTGACAGTTTGGTCGCTTCAAACAAATTTACCATAACTGTGATCTCCCGCAACGAGAGTAAGGCTGTTTTCCCCGCAGGGGTCAAAGTTTTCACGACAGACTTCTCGGATACCTCTCTGAGGACTGCATTCCAGGGGCAAGATGCTGTGATCTCGGCAGTGGGAGCCACCGGTTTCAATGAACAGAAAGCGCTCGTGGATGCGGCTATCCACGCTGGGGTCAAGCGTTTCATCCCCTCGGAGTTCTCAGTCAACAGCCAAAATGAGGCTGTGCGGCAGTTGTTGCCACTCTTTGAGCAGAAGAACGACATCCTCAAGTACCTGAAAAGTAAAGAGTCCTCGGGCTTGACTTGGACTGGCATTGCCACTTCTGCATTGTTTGACTGGGTAGGTGATTCGGTATTTTGCAGAGCTTGCGTCTAATGTCTAATTATTGTATCGTCACTAGGGGCTTCGCAATGGCTTTTTGGAATTCGACCTTTCTAATCGCACAGCCACGATTTGGGATAGCGGCAACAAGAGATTTACGATGACCAACGCAGATCAGCTAGGTCAGTCGGTGGTATCTGTCCTCGAAAATCCACAGGAGACTGAAAACCAGTACCTCTTTGTCGCGTCTGTGGAAACCTCGCAGAGGGAAATTGTCGCCGCTCTGGAGAAGGTGACTAAGACTACATGGAAAATCCGCGAAACAACCACAGATGAGCAGATCAGTGCCGGCGTTCAGAAGCTCACAGCTGGGGATTTTAGTGGCGCTTTTACATTGGTTCGGGCCACCTGTTTTGGTAACACGCCTGGTCTCCGTGCAAATTATTTACAGGACGAGAAGCTTGCAAATGAATTGTTGGGCCTGGCGATGGAAAGTGTCGAGAATACCATCAGGCGACTGTAATATTTATGATCATTATGCTCCTTGATATAGCATCTGATTATCCCTGATAGGCGTCATCTGTCTAGAGCTCACAGACCTGACTTGTTATTGGGTTTTCTTGTCACCATTTGTCGACCCGTTTGTTTTGACCAGACTACCATCGAGCATCTCCCATTTCACTAGGCAATAAGGTAGATTTACACAAGAAGTGACAAGTGGTATATTCCTCGATAAACACTAACACTAGATTACTAACCAGGCTTAAAAAAATACTTCTACGTCGACGACCTGCCTACCGTAGATTACTAACGGCCGTCAGGAAATATGGCTCATAAACCATAATATACGTACATTTATGTTGCGAGGGCAGTTAGAAATACCGGGGTAAAGTATCATCATGTATATCAGTATATTATCGTAGGGGTATTATCTCACGAACTATTATTCTATAGCTCGTTAATAAGTTGCGGCCTCTGACTGATTGGTGCCTGGTATGTCTGTAATATGTAGGTAGACTAAACACTAATTCCCTGAATTAGTCCGGAGATCCTTATTTATTATCTCTCTTATATGATCCTCACGTGATAAGGAATATACCTAGTTCCTAGTCGCCTAGTAATAAGGATCCTTGCATTCATCCTTCATTCTTACAGTTAACTAAATCAGAGATATTTTCCTATAAAAATCGATTTTCTAACGGCCGTTAGAAAAGGGTGCTAGGAACTAGGAGCTACGGTATAAGTATTTTCTAACGGCCATCAGAAAATAGGCTTGTTTAGCAATAGTATTGGATTTTCAATACCGGATAGAAAATAGTGTGAATAGAATACACCATTAAAACCGCTAGCGATCTCGGTTTCTTGAAGCATAAAAGAAAAGAGGGTATGGCATGCGCTTCAATTTGCTTTGAAGTGAGGCCTAACAATATACCGTAAGTGGTTTTGTCTTCACGCGGGATCTGGGCCTTGATCCTTGTCCAAGAAATCCTTCATTTCTTCGACGAATTCACTACCATTTGCCAGTTGCATCGAAGCAATTCTCGGCGTAATTGACTTCCTCTTTTGATTTGAGAAGCCCTGGGTGGAAGAAAGACTGCTGCGTAATGGAGATTTGCATGCATTCTGTGCGTGTAAAATCACTGAACCAAGCATACTTGCAATCTCTGACCAGCCTTCACGCTTTGATTGGAGATATATCTCCGACCATTTCCCATCCATATTGAGCTGAATGAAGAACCATGCGTCCCCGCAGATCAACGCCCCCCACACAGTCCAGTCGGACTGCCCACGGGACTTGCGGCTTGCCTGGACCATAGCCATATAGGCCAGGACTTGGCCTCTCGAGGTTGACCCGACACTGCTTCCTGTCTTTGCCTCGAAAATGACCAAATGACAAGCCATATGGTCCTTCTCACCGAAAAACATACTGTAGTCTGATTTTCCAATACAAAGGTGAGGGATTTCCTTGTAAAGTACCGGACCCCATTCCAAATGGCTTTCAAAAGCCAGGGTCACTCGAGGAGCGCCCGGGAAGGCCGAAAGCAAGTCGTGTTGTAAAAGACTTCGATACACTGCTACTATCAAAGCATCTATGCGGCATCGTGCTTTTGCTTCGGTAGACGTAGACAGCTTAGTCAGCTTGTCGAATCCATCAAGCCAAAGTGCTAATAGGAGTTAGTGGACTGTAATGCGTTTAGGGCTATGATTGGAATTACCAAAATCATCTGGAAGAGTCACTTTTACCAAAGGAATCTGCCAAATCTGGTAACCGTCGGCTTGGGAGATTCCAAAAACTTTCTCTGTGTCTTCTAGTGGCATGATAGAAGGGTTGAGATGTGGGAGGCCGGTGACAGGCTGCTCGAGATGCTCGAGCAGAGAAGTGGAAACTTTCGTATCGGGGTGATGGGCGATTTGCATGAGCCGGTAGTACCAGGCTCGAAGCCCTTCTGGAATTCTCGGACGTATCGCGGGACGTGTCATTTCTCTCGCTTAGTTGCTCAAGGTTGGGTGTTCAAGGATAACAGCGCAGCGCGCAGAACACTCACCTTCGTGCCTACCTTCTGACTCAAATTTAGAATCTCAAATTTCGTCAAAAATCCGTCATCAACCCGTCATCAACCCGTCATTAGAGTGTCAAGGGCTGAAGTATCGATGACAGTGCTACTTCATGTCTTCTTCAATTATTCCTGGCGTGCTTCATTGAGGCCGATACGAAGACATGTGAATTACCAATCTAGGTCGTGATTCTAAGCCCCTGGAACGGTGTCCATGTAATCACAGCCACAACGATAGAGGCTATAACCCAGAACCATATCGGGCACCCGCCCTCGTAATTGTTTACGCTAACTTTCATACCAAAGGTAGAGACCACGAAGAAGACAGTTAATTCGGTGATCTTCGCCTCGAGCCTGCATTTCTGAGTCTCAGATGATTGCATTATGTTACGGCAGTACTTATTCCGTGGACGTATCCTCCGGCCAGAACTTCCGCATACGCGACTGTGATACCATAACCACTCAAAATCGAGTTCATTATCTAGGTAGCTGGTGCACCTGTTGCAGTCTGCAACTGATTCCTAGGCCCATGTGATTCAATCTGATTATTCGTGGAAGAACCAGTAAAACTCTATTAAGTTATAAATCTATTCAATACTAAATCAGACACATACGACCACAGGGTGTGGAGAACAGGGCTTCCCGTCCGCTCAGCCGTACTTAAGCCACACGCTGGTAAGTTAGTAGTTAGGTGGGTGACCACTAGCGAATCCTTACTGTTGTATGTTTTGCTATTTATTTTTTTAAATTTCATTTAAAAGCCTGATACCAACCAAGAATTGTCATTCTTGCACCATCGTAATTGCACTTGATAGATACTATGGTTTCCTTAATGAAGCCGTGATTCATGTTAATTTCTCATTTATCTTGCTCATTAATCTTAATTAGAGGTTCCGGGTCCAGGTGTTAACTGGCAAGGGCTTCCTACTTCGATCCGTGAGTAAGGCGCAATGTTTCTGGAGTATACAATATATAATACCCCTCGGGGAATCTCCTTAGGAGTGTCTCAATTTGGGTTGGGTCGCTGATCATAATTATGTTTTTGCGATCAACCGATTTCGAACTCTGAATTTTCGTTGCAAGTCGTTATTTTGGAATGTTTGCATATTCTTGTCGGCTTCTCAGAGGGGAGATATGTCTGAATTCCCCTTACTGCATAACATAACAGTGTCATGACGGTCTTCAATTCATTCGGTGACTAGCTGCCTAGGTTAAATAGTCAATTCTGCCCAAGTGTTGTTGGGGCTGTTCTAGCGCGGGGTAATATGGCTTCGCTCCGACACCATCTCCCCAAGAATCAAGTTTCACCCATTGCTATCTGGCAATGAACTACACCGAATACAACCTTCGTTTGAGGTGGGCGGACCGATTGGGAATACAGTTTCTTGGCCCAGTGGAGCCTGATAATTGGCCACAAATTCATGGGAGACTATTCGCGGATGTACAAAAACTCGGCCGTCGCGAATACGACGATTTCGTCGAGAGTATCTCCATTGACTCCATTGAGAAACCATGGAGGAATTCAACACGAAGCCGCGCTGATCGCCTATCCCAACTGGCAAATAACGCTTGGAAAGAACGAAGGAATGAAAGCAGTTGGAGGTTCGCCGTGGAGAACGAGATAATGTACCGATTCTCGGTCGAGGTTGCTTGGTAAGACCAGGGAAAAGGGTGAGTTCGGACCACCTTTTGCTAATAAAACTCAGTCCGAAATGTCGTAACAAGTTGTGGGAGTCTGAGATACCCGCCGCAACGGACGGAATTCACGTGCAAGCAGAGTTGCTTGAAGCCCGACGCCAGAAGCGTCAGCCATGTCGATGTCCACCTATCTGGGGGCAAAGTCAGTATGTATAAGCTTTTTCTATTCCACTTGACGCATAGTCATTTACAGAAATCTAGAAATGACAGTGGAATCAACATGCTCTTCTCTGACCGAGCCGAACAAAAAATCAGACATGATCCGCCTTTGCCTGTGTTCTCTCAATCTGAGAGGCTAAAACATTCTGAAGCACCAGACCGAGTCTATGGACTAAAACAGACGGACAACTTCAAGCTCCTTTTGGACTCAGACGATAAGCGCGGTGCTGCAGCTACGCCATGTCCGTCGCTACGTGAAGTCATGGAAGTCAGTCCATTTGAGCCCGAGGGGGAGCCCTTGCTTTATCCATTTCTTGTTATGGAAGCAAAGTCAAGTAAAGGGGCAGATCGAGGAGAGGTCAACATGCAGACGGCGTTTGTTATTAGGCGCCTTCTAAATGTGCAGCTCGACCTCAAGTTAGCGACCGGAGAAGAAACGCAGTGGGAATCAGGGCCACTTGTCTGGTTCTTGGCATGGCGGGGTGAAATTTGGGAAATCTCGGCAGCGTTTGTTAATGAATCTCGGAGCAAATATGTGAGTGAAGTTTCACCTGTTACCCAAAGATTCACATTAGACTGAGACCTTCCAGCCAGTAGTTGATTTGTGGAGTGGGAATATTCGCTTCAAAAATGGTGCATTGCAACTTCTTCTGATCATAGATTACATATTTGATTGGGCCCGCGATATTTATCGACCCGCAATATTAGGTGAACTGAACACCATATCCACGGGCGATCTTCCAACGACGGAAACGAACGTGTTTTCAACAGTTTCCCGAACCGGAAGCATCTCCAATTGGTTGAATCAATCACAAGCACAAGCTACACCAGCACCAACAATCCAAGCTTCATCCGCTACTTTGCAACCCAACCTGGACTATTTGAACATCGTTTGTCCAGAAGGGGCTATTCGGGATGCGTCCATCCTTGAATCACGCTATCTCGCACTTCAACTCATGGAAAGTGACATTGACGATTTCTTGCTCTCGTTTGCATCAATCGAAAAAGCTCAAGTGTGGCTCCAAGAAATGTTAAAATGTCTTTCTAGTTCCTGGAGAGTCTGTGCGGAGACGTTAGGTACCTTGGAAAATATTTGGACGACAGAGGTTCGACTTCCTAGAGAGGGATATCAGCATGACGAGGTTTTCTATGTCAAAATTGCAATTCACATGTTTGTGTCTCATACCTGGGAGCCCACTCGTCAAATCACATGTCTTTGTCTTTCGGAAGGAGCTTTGCGGAAGCTTCTTTCAAGAATGAAACCTCTCGATAATCTTGCACTGGATCAAAATCCAATCGTTTCTACATCTGCGATTCAGGTTCTGCTTGATCGGATACTGAACCAATCGATAATGGATAATTTGACAGCAGCAGTCTCCATGCTATGCATAACCAGTTGCTTCTTTAGAAGAGATGGACTAATACCCGACCAATTGATAGTGACTAGGTCCAATGATCTACGCGTTGGCTTCCGGATCGACAAGACCCCTATTTTACTCAAATTGGTATCATCCATCTACCAGACTCATAAGATTGGACAAAGGGAGCCGCGTGACCCATATATTGCCTTTTCACGTCTTCAAAGCAAACAAACTATCGTGTACAGAGGGGATGAGATCCAGATGTGGCCCAAACTACCGCCTCTTGTTCGTGAGGAGCAATGGAAATGTGTTTTGGTGGACGGAATCTTTCACAGCGAGGATTTTCCAAAGCGTGGTCTTTATGTATTTGATGGATCATCAGATCAGGTTAACATTCCTGAACTTCCAAGGATAATGTGGAGGCATGGTTCATACTTTAAAACTATGCAAATTTGCGTGGATTTGTGGGATGAGAAACACTTCCAATATCTTAACAGTCCGATTAAACTCAAAGGAGAGTGGAGCTCCAAAGCAGAATCTCAGCCTTTCATCAAATGGAGGGAGATATTGGGAATGCAGCTCAGGGTAGATCAAGGAGTTGGTTGCCCAGGAGATAGCCCGTTCGTACCCATGATTATCTGCTAGAATAAGAATTCTGTACTCTACTGCACCGAATGCTGTCTGCTGAATTGGAGTAAAAGTGTTTATTTCGAGATACGTCTGAAAGGTTGACATGTAAGGATCTCTTTCTTAATGACAGACAAATACAGTTGCAAGCGAAACAACAAAATCAAGAGATCAGGAGATGGACATTATAAAAACTACAAATTGGTAAAAACAGGTGAAACGAAAAACAAAGAGTAAGCAATTCCATGTCTTAATAAATTTCTTCCAAAAGTAGCGACCTACATAGTCGTCCATCATTCCGTACCAGGGGAAAAGCAAGCGGCAACGGAGATTTCCTTGCATGCCTGGACTTCCCCTCCGAGAGGATAAACCACTGAAACTTTCAGGTTTCGACCCTGAAGCTCCACCAGAAGTTCATAATAAACCTCGTAATGGTTTTCACGTCTCGAACCTTCTGCTTCCAACGGATATTGTTCTTTCGCTTTGGTAATGTCAAAGGTAACTGTGTCTGCCCACCGAGAACCTATTAAGGGGATTGGTCAATTAGACTACACAACACGAAGTCAATGAACGGAAACTGTAATCCATCACTCGCCTTCATTCTGTGGATGATCCACAGGGTAGTGGTCTTGGGGATTGTCGATCAATGCATTGTAATAAATGGACTGCTTGATCACCCAAGGCTGGTCTACTGGAATAACTCGGTGGTTTTCCTCTCGGACCGATTGATTCCAGTCCGCGAGATGCCCCTGTAAATATTGAGTATTGGGTCTCGTAGCGGGATATGAACAACCCACTTTTTTAATAATCCACTGCGCAGTTGCAAAGATATAACGTTTCTTGTTATGATGGTTTCTGCCGGGGTGAACCTGTCTATGGGATGGATACTGCTCGGGATCAAATGGCTCGCTTTGGAGTATGCCAATATTCGCAATAGCTTGACGCAATGGCCCTTTGCTCTTATCGACAGCGCGGTATACCGTTCCTCGCGACACAGTCGTTTCAAAGGCACTGGAATAGGACGGTCAGTTATGAGCCGAAATTTGCAAAACATGGAAGGTCTTACCTAGCCCTGGGACAAACTATCTTGGGATGCGAAATTCTTTGTTTCAAAAAATTCTGAAGAGTCTTTGACTGAGAGTAGCCACCGAAGAGAATAATTTTCTGTCGTGAAAACTTAGAGATGGAGACTCACATGCGGCCTCTTTCAAGCCATGGAGTCTTACCTGTACCCTCACATCAATGTCTGCACAGGCACCAAGCTGTTGGTGGATGAGATCGGTGATGCCTTTCAGGCTTGGCTGAAACCATCCCATGACCTGGTCCCTTAAGAAAAAGGAATAACATTTAGCGAACGACCTTCTAAGTGGATGATAAAAATGCTCAACCATTCATACCTCTTAACAGTAATCATGCCTTTTCCAAAGCCTTTAGCAGGATTCTCTTCCAAGCCATGCAGGTCCAGATAGGCGGATCCCACCAAACCCTCCCCTGAATCGAAGTTCCGTTTCAGCTCGTTCTCAAATTTGCGAAACAAATTGTGAGAAAGCTGATGCTCTATTGATGTTCTATTCCGATCAAAGCATGGCTCTTCTCTCAGCATCTGTAGCAGATCAGATTCCATTGCTCGATTAACACAAGTTGAACCACAATTTGCACCTGTGTGAGATGTTAGATGAAAAGCTCTCCCAGGTAGACAGATCTTACCGGATGGTGGGACTGTTTCTATTAGCCGGAATGGACTTTTTTGCTCCACTGTATAGGTCGTCACATCCTGTTCGCCTCGTCAGCGTGCTACACCTCGCAGTGGTCCTCTTTTATAAGCTTACTACTGTGCCTCCCCCAGCATCGCATACCATGAATGTACCCCCTCTCTTTACACTCGAACCAGTTAGCCCGTTTCCCAAATTTACTGCTGTGGAGATATCACGAACCGATATATTTGTACCGCCAACCGTATCAAAGGCAAATGCAGATGCGGCTTCGGGCTCGTTTATTATAAATAAGCTCGAGATTTGACCGAAGCTGACTTCAGTTGCAACCTCACGAACGATATGTTGCAATGACCACGAAGCCTCGATAGGCCATCCTGCAGGAACAGACAAGGAAAGCTCAACCTCGTTTGATTCAGTGAAGTTCACCTGATCCTTGAGATAGTCCTTTGCAAATCGGAAAAGCTCAATCAGGTAGTCTCTTACGGCATCCGGGACGGTTTTACCCAAATGTCTCAATGTTTCCCTCACATCTCGAAGTTGGCTGTCTGCTTCATCTTTCTCCATCAAATCAGGTTCGGCCAACAAAAGTTTTGTAAATCTTATCAGCCTGCCGGCCGTATCTGATACCCCTCCACTGTAATGAAATTCCTCCAGTTTCTGGCGGGCTTGATACCCCCAGTAATATTCATCGCCGAGGTAAAGGCTTTCACTTGGAACTTCTCCTCTCTGCTGATCGCGACCAGCAGATGGCCAATCGGTAATGTCCTTGATTTTGTCCCTAGGTACCTTTGCTGGGCGCTTGTCTGACTTGAAACGGCAGTATGATATTGACGTCATGGTTGTTCCAAAGTCCAAGCCAACAATGTATGCCATATTATCATGACCGTTCTTCCTACAGTTCTGTTTTCTTGTTGGTGTTGCAGTTTGAACACCGATCGAGTCGCTGTCCGACACCGATGGAGTGACTGGGGCTCCATGTGCGTCCGAAATTTCTTGGAAGGTCCGTTTTCTGTGTGTCAAGGTAGTCGACAATCTCGATTCTCTCACCATTTTGAGGATCACTTGAATATTTTTCAAGGAAGGCTTGGGAGAGAAATTTAACAGGCAGCAACAGGACGCATAAGATAAAACACCGTTTTTCTACGCAATCACGTGGAAGCGCTGTACTAGCAAGGATCTTGTTGCTACTAGCAATTAGTTAGGCAAATCGAGTCTGCCTACTGTTGGCCCCCAAATTTCTCTTCCCCCTTTTTTTCTCATTCAAAACTTGGTTATCGGCGAAATCTGAAGCTTGACGTTCTGACCCTGCCTTCCGCCTCAATTTCTCAGCGCAAGAAAAATTTCTCATTCACGATGAGCAACTCAACATCACCCACTAAATCTCCACCCCAATCCAACTCCGGAAGACCTGCTATTTCTAGACATAGAGGGTCGGAACGGTGGTGGCGTTGGGAACCCGAATCTCCAAATCAGTCTCCCATATTATCCCAAAAGCGCAACCGAAATAAATCAAGAATCTTTCCAGAGCCGGAACTTTATTCGGGCGAGGCAGAGACAGATGCTCGAAAGAGAATGCGCCTACTTGGGTCGTATCCCGACAGCCGTATCAATAAAAGTCAGACAGTGTCGGATTTGGAATCGAAAGTATGCAAATCCTTGGCCTTGGAATGCTCCGAAGTTACTGATAATGGTTTACTTTAGTCTCGTGTCAGTTCCACTTCGCTCCATGAAAACCCTAGAGCGAGTAATGAGATGAGCGAAGATGCAACCATGTCGAAGAAAGGCACATGCTCACCCTTCGTACTTATCAGTACCAGAAACAAAACTTCTTTAGAGGGTGATAGACACAACGTGGAGCAGGTCCAGCGCCTAAAACGAGAAATATATCTGCTGGGTATACATCATACTAAGAAGACGTCAACTTTGGAACAAGACGTGAAATATCTACAAGAAGAAAATTTCGCCCTATGTCGCAAGCTGCATTGGTACAAAACTCAGTACGAGGCGAAGGAAAAGGGTTCTTTTGCTCTAGATGAGATAGAGGAACTCAGTGCAGAACTGGAAAGGAGGAATATCGAGATTGAGGAGAAGATTCAGCAGAATTCGTCACTTGAAGAGCAGCTAAACACTGCAGAAGGATTAAGCGCTGTACTGAAAGACTCGCAAGCTGGCAATAATGTCTCAATAAGGTTTTCAGAGGATTTGACTCGGCTTGGGACTGCAATAAGCCAAGCGGCTTTACTCCTTTTTCAATGTCTCTCTGAGAAGCAGCTTTCAAAACTACGGAAAAACCCACGCAAAAATCCAGAGCTAGATGCACTTATCAAGTCAAGTCTTGGGAAAATAAGTGTTCTGTCTTCTGACTCAAAACTTGCCTTTTCTGCCCTTATATTCGGATTTATACGAGAGCGAGTCTTTTACTCAAACTGTTGGACTGCTTTGCAGCTAGAGGGTTATATGTTGAGGGGATATCAGGCAGCAATTAGACGTATCAGTAAGTCTCAGGCGCTATACTCCACCAGAGGCCACTGTTGACATACGAGAAAGCTCCGCTGGGCACCCTCGAAGGGTTTCATAGGGCAGCTCTCGAGCTTATGCTGGAGGAAAATCATCCGTTCCGAGATTGTTGGGTTCAGTCGCACGTTGAAGAGGCTCAGCATGAGCTTTTGGGACTTCTTAGTTCATTGCTTGAAACCTCAAAGTTGGAAAGCTTTGACAAAGATATTCAGAATGCCCTGAACCGAGTTTTCACAAATGCGTTTCACTTTCGTGCTCGCTGTGTGCCTCCGAGAGGAACTCGCTACGAGCTCATGCAGGCTACATCTGGGGACATATTTGATCCCGAACACATGGAAGCTCAAAGACCCGACGGAAGTAATGTTTCAGTTCCTTGTGGAGAAACACATCGGATTAAAGTTTGTGTCCTCGGTTCTCTTGTTTCCCACGTTTTCGAAGAAGAACCACTCAACGGAGATACATTTAACACCATAAGTCAGCCATTTGTGTCAGCCAAGCAGAGATATGAGGTGAGTGGAAGTATTCGAAGGGGAACTCTAAGGAGCGGAAAGGCAATTGTTATTTTAGAAGAGAGGCAACCGTAGTTTTTTAACATGATACCCTTCTTGGCACACCACAAAGTGGCGTGTATTTTAACAAGGTATATAAAGCGACGTAATAAAAGTATTTGGCTGCGAGTACTATAGCTCAGCGGAGGGTCAGTGCGATGGACGTAGAGTCGAATAAAAGTGCATCCCTCCGTCGGGCCGTACGTTATCATATGTTCTAATACCCCGTATTAGAACCGAGCTGTGACCTAGCTATGCGGCCAGACAGCAGAAATATCCAATGATATGGACTAATGCATGCTACCGTTTGGCGCGAAGGCTCCCAAGAGCCCGAAACTTGACGTAGCCAGCGCCAGAGACATATGAAAAGTCAAGTAGAAGAAGATATAAAATAAAAATAAGCCGATGAGGTAGACCATGAGTTTGAAGGAAACAAACCTGTTGGTACATATGATGCTTCCAGTTGCAGTTATGTGCAGATGCCAATATATCGAGCGTTTCAGGGGAAACAGTACAATCCAATAATATTCCGCCGTTATTCAGCTGAAGGGTCAAAGCAGTGGTCGCGCGACTCTGGTGATTTTTCTCTCCCTATCTATAGCGCACCCACCGGTCTCACCCCCGGTCGCGCGATCGTAAAGCGGTGCTCGCCCATTTCTCACCCGGGCGGCACCCACCGAACTACTGACCGCACATAGTCCACACGCCAGTAAGTTAGTAGTTAGGTGGGTGACCACTTACTTAGCGAATCCTTACTGTTGTATGTTTTTTGTTTTGAATTCGCATGATTCATGTGACCAAGTCTCGAGGAGCTTTAAATTAGAGAAAGAAGGCCATGAATAATTGATTATAATCACTTCAACTGATTTAGCTTTGAGTACTCTCCACACGAAATGCTCGAAGCAAGTACCGTTTCATCAATTGTTTTTGCATCACTTTTCGAAAACAAGAGTATGGCGGCACGAATCGCACTTTGACACGCCGGTTACTTCTAAGAGGTGGTGGGTATGGACCCTTAGAATTCCTATAATCTCCTTCGTTGTTCCCTCATTTGTTAAGCTATCATACATAGAGACAGTCGTGCGATGTTCGAGTGGCGACTGCTCAACATAGAGTGCTTAGAGGTTCCTGTCGACCACAGATCTCTCTTACCCCACACGGAATACGGAGAGCCCTTATCATCTCGCATCAGGAGGGAGGGTTGCCTTTGGCCCCCATCCCAGGATAAGCACTTGTTGGACGGGTAGGTCTCAGATCTTGGGAAATTAGAGCACTTTGTAATTCAAGATACACAATACTTTTGCTTAGCGTGCAAATGAGGGATTAATTCCACGCTAGTAGAGAGTCTTGCACAGCCGAAGGAGAAGTCGGAAACATTATTTTTATGGCGTGCTCTTGGTGTCAAATGGATCATGACGCGATAACGCGAAGGATTCGCCCCGGGGCCTTGCATAAGTTCACTGCACTTTTCCCCTTGGTAGATAAGACGACGAGACGAAGTTGGTTACATCGATTGAGATGGGTGTCTGAGGTTCTAGTAGATCAGGATATCTAGTTAAAATCAAAAGAGAAGTACTTCCGAGAGCTTACTTCGTCTCCAAATCAATTTCTCCTCCATCTCTTTCTATGGTTTCTTCTTAATGGATTCAACATCACCCATTGTCAACATGTCCAGAACGACCACCAATCCAATTATCCACATCAACGGCTTCCCCGGCACTGGAAAGTTGACAATCGCCCAAAATCTGGTCGCCCTCTCCGCAAATCTGAAACTGATCCACAACCACCTGCTCATCAACCCCGCTGATGCTGTCCTCCACCGTACCCAACCAGGGTACCAGTCTCTTCGACGTGCTATCCGCGCCGCAATCCTCACGACTCTAGCGACGGAGCATGCAACCTTCAACACAACCTATCTGTTCACGGATTTTCAGTCGACGAATGAACAAGGTGCCAGTGTGTGCGCAGAATATGCGCAGGCTGCGAAAGACCGAGGATGTTTACTGATTCCAATCGTTTTAACCTGCGATGAAGAGGAGAATATAAAGCGCATGGCCCAGTCGGAGCGTGAAAATCATGCAAAGCTCATGGATGTAGAGCTGCTGAGGACGTTTCGCAAGGGAGCACCGATTTTCGAGTTTAGCGACAGAAAGGAGTTTCTGGAGATCGATGTGACACACTTAGAGCCAGAGGAGGCGGCGAGGACTATCTGGAAGCATGTTTTACGATTCTATCCTGATTTACGCGATAGAGAGTCTTGATGTTGAATTTGTATTTCTGTCCCATCTGGGAATCAGTTTCGAGAATTAATTGGAGGATATAAGTGGTGACACCAGTTATGGGTCGGGTTAGGGTTAACCAATGGGGAAGGGCTCTAAGGATTTACAAACTCGCGAAGACCACAGGCCTTGAAGTCCCAGACGAAAATGTATTCATCTTGATCTTTACATGATGAGTTTATTCTCCTGGGGCTATTTTACGGCTTGTGTCTAGCTTGTTCCGTCACATTAATCCGCCTAAAGTCACGCCCTGAGATCCATCAAGGGAAAATAGGTGAGATGTGCCTTGAAAGATACGGGATTTTGGTTGAGCGTCACAATCAAACAATCAATTATCAGTTGAAAATGTCTAAAGCACGTTAAAGAATAGCATGTGAAGATCAGAGTACATTTGATCTACTATAATGACAACGAAATCAAATCCTCCATATCGTCTTCCATATCGTTCTCCCTACCGTAGCCACAAACCCTGGCAACAAATTCAAATTCATGATCGTTTCTGCATGTTGGAAGTTCGGACCATTTTTTCCTCAGTATCTGTTGGTTCTCTCCATCACCTGCGTACTCATCCTGTTCCTGAGCTATGTCAAACATGTATCTAAGAACTGCCCGGCATCCCATCTGCGTCCCAGCTCGTCGCAGGTAGCTCTTGGTATAGGGTGGCCACTCGCTCCGATCCCTAGAGTACCACTCGAGATTCGCAACGGTAGGAACAATTTTCGCCTTAAGACATTCCGCAGCGATTTGGAAAATATTGGCGAAGCCATTTCGAAGTGATTTGTTGGTTCTAAGGTTTCTTCGCACATCGGGCTCGAGTTCCTCGAGTATGGAGTAATTCCAATTAACCCAAAGGCCACCATCGTCAATGTCTTCCTGCAACAGGTCGTAGTGACACTCGCCCTGAAGGATCAGAGAGCTCCTCATCCGGGCTGATAGAAGTCCTTTTACGCACTCTCCGCATGAACACCCGAATCGGAGGCATAGATTGTTAAGCCCCAAAGCATCCTGTCCTGATAACAAGGTGAGACAGGCCACCGCGGTGTTAGGGTATCCTTCAAAGCGATCCGATACGTGCACGACCCTTAAAAAGCCTTTTTCCTTTCGTGTTCGCATTTTCTCCAATTTCTCTCGCAATGCTTCAAGCGGGGTGTACCCGTTAATATCACGAGCCATTTTCCAGGAGTCAGCGTGGGGAACATTCTCATATAGCCACTGTGTACTTAGAGGCTTGAGCTCGCAAGCCGTCATATGTAGAATTGTGGAATCGGAGTTGGTCACACGATCCCAGCCAATCTCATCGTTAGCATGAGTGGCGAAAAAGTCTCTGAGTTACTCATCCGTCAAAGTGAGAGCTGAATGATGCAGCGGCAATATAGCACGAAGCCTTTCCAGTTTTAATTTATTTCGTTCGATAAAATGATCTGCTTCATAGGCAACTTCGAGTTCTTCGTACTCAAGATCTTTAGCATGGCTCCTTCGAGGATCGAAATCAGAAGCCGCCGAAAGGGCGCGAGACTGATGCTGAAAATCAAACGAGAATGCAAAACAGCGAGATGCTCCGATTCGGCGAAAACCGCAAGCTCGCCAAAAGTCAATAGTACCAGATTCGACTCGACTCTTTATAATCAATCGTTCTTCTGTGGACTTGCCCTCTAACTGCGACTTGATGTCATCTGTTAGGATTCCAGGAATGACTAAAGCATGTGGATTCCATGATTTTTCGAAGTCCTCATCGAAAATGTCGCAAAGTTTCGCGAATTTTTCGTCTCTCAACATATCTCTGAAGCGCTTTCTGTGGTCTTCCTTCTTGCCTAGGCAGAAATTTTCGACCTTGTTCAAAAGTAAGGACACGACTTTCTGTCCCAGCCCTTTCCGACGTAGTTCCAAATCTTTAATATGAAGAATTTCAATCAGAAAAAGAGGGCCGTTATCAAGCTCACTTCCCCATATACCAGTTCCGTTTTGCACTGGATGGTCCCTGTACTTGAGGTTCACTCTTCCATATCGATCAAAGACATGGAAGGCCACATCACACGTTTCCTCGCTGGGCTCTTCCATGTTTTCCCAGAATCTAGAGCGCATTCTCTCTCGATCAATATACCGAGCTACTGCACGAGCGACATCGACGCCATCGCAAGTGCATTCGGCGACGAAGCTTTTCATCCAATCGCCCACCGTCTCATCGACCAGATAGAGCCGAATCTTCAGCGTTTGTGTCGTGTCACCGGAAGTGGTATACTCGTGCTCTTCGATGTCCCGTTGATACTCCAAATCTTCGTTCTCATCCTTCAGACGGCCATTCTTCCTCGTCAATATCATCTAATTCATCGTATTCAGAGTCATCACCTGTCGATTCATCATCTGTGGACCCATCATGTGTTGACTCATCATCTTCAAATTCCGTTCCTGTTCGTTAAGGAGATGTCAGTATATTCAGACTCCTTTGGGAATATACGCATCCGTTGTGTTAGTGGAAAGGAAGAGAGAGGGGGGGGGGGGGGGGGGGAGGCGCGCACTGCTTCGTTTGAGGGATACTCGACCACCCTCCAAGTTCTCCGTATTGACTTCCATTCTTGTGGTCAACTATGGCTTCCTGGCTTGGCTCAGTGAAAGGTTTGATGAGTTAGGAAAAGGAGAACAGGGCTCCCGTGGATATAAGAGTAGCGGGGTCAGGCTCCAGGCGAGAGAAAGTACCACGGCTGTGCTGTTATAAACGCCCCCACCCCAGGGCGCGGTATCTACTAGTCCATATACCCCTGCTAGACTCCTCGTAATACATGTGACAATCTATAAATACCATCGATCTCAAGACTTTCAAGATTGATAAGTATCTAGACTCATTACCTATCAGCTAGTCCTACTATCCATATAATCGGTGATACGGACGAAAAATATGTCCTTAAAGAATAGTGGAGGGCTAACATATTCAATTCCCTTCTTATAGTAAAAGCCGCTCGCGATTGCCTATCAATTCATTCGGCAGGGTTCGGCATTGAACGTAATTTCAGTAATACTAGAAATATATTAGGCCTCCGAAGACATTCTCTATATGCGGAGACTGTGCGACAGTTCATACAACTGAAAGGACGGTATTAAGAATATATTTATAGTGATTCAAACTTCAAGGCTCGTTTGATGATCGCTGAGTAGCTAATCAGTGTTGCTCAGTAACCATGCGGAATTTCTCAGTGGTCACTTAATGCTTAGATACCCTACGGTGCTTTGAGTCTAATCAGCGTTTATTTCCAAGTATAGCATTGAGGGTCATTTATTATGTGATAACTAGCACGCGGATGCTTGTAAGCTGAATGTCGGTTTAAACCAATGACTACGTCACTCCTGCCCACAGCAGCAAAAAGTGAGTAAGACAGCTCTTTCGAAATGGTGCATTCAAAAAGGGTGATTGCTCTGCATGTCCTCCGTTGAGCCTGTGGTATCTCAAATACAAAAGGTAGACCCAGGTCCCGCCGGATGAAGAATAGAATTGGGATAGACAATTAAGAATCACAAGACGATGACTGAGGAATATGTCCCTCAAGTCAGAGTGGTCATACAGTTTTCTCAGACGCCTCAACATGTCGTCTCTGCTACTTTTGATAGACACGGATATGCATGGGCGCTGGCTTGTAGAACCAAAACCCGCTGGTCTCTAGATCCTTCTCTGGGCTTGACAGTTCAAGGCGGTACGAACGAAGCAGCTCTGGGATGACCTTATAAAGTTCGCACAGCGATATCTGATCAATGGTCAACCTAAAGCCTGGAATTTATGACAGAGTGATTGCACGTACATTCTTTCCCATACACATTCTTGAACCAGCTCCAAACTGTAACCAAGACGGTCAACACACGTTCTTAGCTTTAGTTAGATTAACTTACCTGAAGAATGTATTTATTCATCTTATCGGCATCTGGCTTCAGCCATCGGTCCGGGTTGTATTCCTCTGCATCGTCTCCAAAGACTGTTTTGTCGAGCTGCACGACAGTCGGGTTAACTCCCACACGGACTCCGCCGGGAATCCACTGTCCCGAAATACTGCGACCATCCGATGGTACTTTTCGAGGCATTGTAAGTGCCACGCTAGGATGCAAGCGAGCGCCTTCCTTGATACACGCGCTCAAATAACGCAGTTTGCTCGCTTCGTGGTACGATATATGCGGGAAGCTCAACTCGCCACGCTGTGTGGCCTGAACAATTTCATCGTTGAGGGCTGCGTAGACCCCCGGGGTCTTCAAGATATAGTATAAAGTCGTGGACAGATGAATTGCTGTTGTATCACTCCCAGCAAAACTAAAAAGCTCTCAGTTTTCTCGATTCTTGCTGCGGGTATCAATCAAACTTACTATCCTCCGAAGGCCTCGAGCTTCACATCATCGATCTGGAAATCAACCTTCTCACCTTGATCTCGATGAATGTTGAATACTTTAGATATGATATCAGTACGTCGAATCACTCTGTCATCAGAACTCGACGCTTGAACATGACTCTGAACAGCAGAGTCTGCTGCAGTCGCTAGGTCATTCAAGGCAGACAAGGCCTTGCGGGTCTCGGTAAATAACACCCCAACAAGCATGAAGAAAGATCGGAGGTATGATGGCATGACAGCGGAAATGGCCATGGCCGGAATCAGTGTATCAGTGGACTTCATTATCCCAAGATGGTCGCCTCTTGCTTTCATTAAACCGAACATTTTGCTGAAGTAAAGCTCGCCAATAACATCGTAAGCGTACCTACCCTACTGTTAGATATTAATAATAATGAGATTAAAAGTAATGCTCACATTCGTGTCCACTCGAGCAGGTCAATGGAAGCTTTGGCGTCTGCAACATCTTCAAGTTGCTGTAGTAAAACTTCTGTGCATTTATTGACGTAGGGCTCTGACTGAAGAATGCTCTGCATAGTATACACGCCGTTAACGATGCGGCGCCGCTGAGCGTGGACCTTTTCATCTGTTGATGTAAAATGATCTGGATATCGGGCTGTTGAGCAAGTTATTTTAGTTCTGGTCAACAATTTTCATGCTCCTGAAGAAATATCTCACTATATGGTGCGCGAAAAGCCAGATAGAAATCGCTCTACCAAAAAGTCAGTTTCCGTTCTTGAAGCCAACGGCATTTCTTTCCCCCCCTTTCTCTTCTTATTCGCTGACCTTTATAAAGCCTGAATTTACTCCATAAATGATTTTGATGGCCTCGGGGTCACTTATCGAAAGCTCATTTGGGGCAATTCGCACAACGTGGCCTAGTTAACAACGCTTAAAAGAGCACAAGCTTGAACTGGATGGAGAATATCGTACCATATCGTGCATGCAGCAACCTTTGAGTTTCGTGGGGATTGCCGCGAATCACAGAGCGCACAATCCAAGCTCGTGACACAGAGGCCCAGAATGGACCTGGAAATTGTGCGAGTGGGTGGAACACCCGCGTGTAAACAATCCATCCAGTCCAATAGGTGGCAAGCAAAAGGCCGAGGCCGTGCAGCAAATCGCAGAATGTTAGTTTCCAGTCGAATATTTCGAAATTTCCCATTTTGAATCCGAACAACTGGTAGATAATTGACTGTAGGAGAGAGAAAGTTTTCAACGCATGTCAAGTTTGACCCGAGTATCCTTTATAAGTGGGGGCCCACACTAGACATACGCATTCGTAGTAATCTATTGGCTCTGATTAAATTGGATCATCCTTTGTATCGCTATCCCCTCGTCTGTCCCCGGAAAGCACAATTAGCACGGTATCATTAGTGTATTATTTTAGCCAATCGATTGCGAGACTAAAGTTTACTGACAATTAATTGAATATATACGCTCTACTGGCTACTAAGTCATCAATGCGTACTATCTACTATTCATTCGCCATATCTCTACGAGTCCACCGTGAGAAAGCTGTCAGCAGTAACCTATACTAATGCGACTATTTCGCGTTTACCTTTGGTGATGAAATCAAGAAGCAATTACAGATTCATATTGCTATCAACGACTATAGCCATTTCTGGTAGTGTTGATATAGCAACTCAGTATCGTGCTTCTTATGAGATTCATCGAAATACGATTCGTACATGTTTTTCTAATTTTTTCTTCCTCCTTGATGCAGCAATTATGAATGCGTTTCGCATTAAAGATACACCTGTAAGCAGCAGCAATAGAGTGAGCTACCTGGACAACTAGCTTTTCGCGAGGAGCTATAACAAGAACTCTTTGTCTTTGCAGCTCAATCACCACAGCCACTAAACTGACAGACGAAGCCTAGAAATCACCAATGGATTCAATAAATAGGCAGCAAGATTGTATTTGGTGTCAGTATAAGAGAAAAAGGGCAAAAGTGGTTAACAGGCATCGCGATCAAGATCCGGTTATAGAGAGTGTTGTAATGTGGCACTATGTGTAAAAGGGCAATGTTGGGATGACAGGTCGAATTGATTCTGATTAATGAAGCCTTACGGCGGCTACCCAATAATAACGCGTTAGTACGTATACGCTAGTAACCGTGCTAATTGTGCTCTAGGGGCGGACAAGGGGATAGCCATTTATTGCCGTTTCTGAGAAGAGAATCTCGTGACTAACGATCGAAGTGCGAAGTAAGTATCAAGCTGTGTACATGTGCCTCCCCGGTATGGGTGCCACATAGACTTAGCTAATCCCCTCGGATATCATGATTAAATACAATGGGAGATTGAGTCTGACCCTGAAACACACCGTTTATGCTGGGGTTACATGGCACTTTTGCATTAATTTAACCGGTTCGCTTTTATTGAGATAACCTTGCGAGAATTCATGGAAATAAATGGCAAAAATGGCACGCTTCATACGCCCAAAACTTGGCAATAAACAGTCGTGTGAATACCAAATCGTATCATCGATATATGATCACATGGAAGACAATTATCCACGAAATTTCGAACACGATATTTGTCATGATCGGTGTTCTGTGTCTGTGTTCTGAGATGGACTTTCCAGGGTTCGAACTTGGATTCCAAATTGTCAGCCCCAAGTGAGGTCCTTGGCACCTCAGCCTCATCTAAGCCTCAATGGAAGAATACTCAAAAGATTGAAGACAATCCCCTGCAGTCATCGATTAATGCATAGATTTCCTTCGTGACTACATTTGCTTCTAATATATACACACTTGCGACAACACGGGTGCAAACGGTCAAATGGCGGACTACAAGCTGCGGAGAACGCACGCCAAATCCAGAAACGGCTGTCTGAGATGTAAGCAACAGCGGAAAAAGGTAGAATATTTACGCCGAACTTTGTCCGACACATGTTGATGATGTCTCTAGTGCGACGAGCAACGACCGTGCTGCTCCAGATGTGCCAACCGCATGTACAGATGTGAATATCAGGGTTCTAGACCTGCCTGCCCGGATGAACACCCCTCAAACTCGGACTCTTCGCCATATAACGCTTCTCCAATCTCACAATGTTCTTCCCCCACTTTTCATATGAGCTTCGATACATTATCCTTGAACCCGGACTTTCCGCCACCTCTTGACGCGACAGAACTTGACCTCCTCAGTCACTATCTGTCACACACCAGTCGTATAATCCCTTTCGATGATCTCGACTACTATGCACTGTCCGTGGGAATGCCAAATATCGCGTTCAGAAGCAGACCGGTGATGTCATCCCTGATAGCCTTGGCTGCAGCATGCAAATGTCATGATCTAGTCAAATCTAATCAATCTTTGACCGACAACACAATAATAAAAGTCCGAGAGTTACTCCTACTCGCGGAACGCCACCACAGAAGCTCTCTTCAGCATATCCAGGTTGCTATGTCTTATTCAGATTGCTATGACAACATCCTGGCCAATGCAGCACTGATGGTGTTATATGCCTCGGCCAGTCACTCGATTCGAGTTTATCTGGCTAGTATTGCAAAGCGGAGCGGCCAAAAATTACCAAATGAAGTGGTTCCACAGCACTCTCAGTGGATTTCATTCACTCGCGCAGCTCACATGGCATCGACGGCAATACTCAACGGCATAGCTGAGAGCGTGACTGATTCGCATGCAACGACCCCCGGTCCCACAAGTCATATACCAAGGTTGCCGGGCCCTGTTTTAAATAACAAAGTTATCTTATCACCACAAGACGGTCCATCTGAACGTACGAAGCGCTTATTCCTCCCCCTGGTCGCTACCACTTATTCCCAAGCTCTCAAAGTCTTACGCGAAAAGATTGAGTCCACAATGGCTTCTGTTAAAACACTGCGAGGTTCTCCATGCACTCCTTCATCGCTAGGCGCTTGTTTGAAAACATTCTTCATACTCGAGACTTGCGCCTCAGAAGCCTTGTCCTCAGACAGACCCGATCAGAAGCATTGTAGTCCCAAATTTGAGCCATTGGTGTTGGAGTACATTCAAAAAGTCTCGCCCTGGGTTGGAGAATATATGGCCAGTGTTACTTCAATGAGATCCCCAACAGCGCTACGACGGACGATTATGTCTTTTTTGAACAAAGTGCCGGGCGAGTTTCTCACACTGGTTCAGTCAATCCTTGACTCGTCATTCTCGGAGGATGGGAAGGAGCCTATAATGACACCCAACTCGCCCAGCACTAAGGATCTCTTTCTCAACACAACCCGCTTGTTAGCTCTGGATATATTTGCACATTGGCTTGTTCTTGTCATGTTATTAGATGGTGTGTGGTGGATTGGCGATATTGGGCAATGGGAGCTGGGGCAAGTCATTACATTGATGAAGACTCACGGCTCGCTTCAACAGTCAACGGATACGAGGGAAACCTGGTGGCCTGAAAGCATGCACTGTGTAAAATTGGAGCTTGCTTCCAATATTTAGGATATTGACATTTAATTTCCTCAAACTTGCTTCGCTATAACGGTGTAAAAATAAACCAATCTTTGGTGTATGTTGTGAGCCTTGGGTGGTGTTCATTCTGGTGGCTTTCGTGGCTATGTTTGAACATTCGAGCATATATCCTAGTCCTGAGTTTAAATGTTATAATTTCCAAGCTGCATGATCCAGGAACTCTTAAATAAATTTAACCCGTATTTCGTGGGCACTGCCCAAGCATGACAAATATCATAAGCAGGGTCCAATGCAGGTGTGGGAATACGCTCGGAGCGGATGGCGGAGCGGATACGCTGAACTCAAAATGTATGCTGATAACCTGACTATTTTAGTCTACACGCAAGTCGTATTATGAATACGCTCAAGCCAAGCAATTTTATACGACTTTTCTTCTATACTCACTTTCAAACACTGCCTGGTTCGAGTTTATTGAACGCTATTCATATCTCTTCTTCATCACTTGCTTACCAGATCATGCGTGAGGCTCAGCGATACAGCCTAACTGATGAGTATTTGGAATCCCAAATGGAAAGTTACTTGTCCTAGAGTGATCTCAGCTATGAAATTCGAACTATATAAGGACTCTCATCCACTGCCTTGTTGATTCATCATCATCTATCATCTCTTCACAACTAAGCAGCACCTCAGAAACTATTCTTCTACTTGATCCAATCAGTATCTTTCTCAACATACAAATCGCCATAATGCTTGCAGGATCTACCATTAGCTTTGTGACCGCTGTTGCCCTTGCTCTCACCCTTCCAGTGCAGGCAGCGCCTAAGCAAATGATGAGGCGCACAACTCCCGAGCTCAGCCTGACAGCTCAGCTTCAAATTGCAGACACGTGAGTTGTATGTACTTGATTAGACTACACAAGCATACTGAGTAATTTTTTAGTGCCATCGATCGTTTCAAGCTTCTCCCAAAGGATGAGAACTTCGTATTCGATTTCACCAGCAGCAAAGTCCCATTTGCCAACCGCCAGACATTCCCCGCTTTAGTCGGCTCTGGAATGTCTATTAGTGCCGCAGAACTGCCAGGTATGCTACCAACATAGTGTTCCAAGGTTCCCTCATGCTAACCTGTCACCTCAATAGCCTGTAGCATGGCCTACCTCCACCTCCACCCTCGTGCTACAGAGGTTTTCGTACTTAACTCTGGACGCGTGCTCACCCAGATGGTACCTGAAGTAGGCGTGCTTGACGCTGAAGGCAAACAACGAGTCGTTCATACCGAGTTGCATCCCGGCATGGCGACTGTCTTTCCGGCCGGGTCGTTCCACACGCAGGTGAACCCAGATTGCGAGCCAGCTAACTTTACGGCGGCGCTCTCGGCAGAAGACTTTGGAATCAGCTTGGTTGCAAATGAGGTCTTCTCCCTCAGTGATGATGTTATTTCTGCTTCGTTTGGAGAGAGCATTGCTGGTGAGGACATCGATAAAGTGAGACATGCTATTCCTAGTGATGTTGTGATCAAGGTCGAGGAGTGTTTGAGCAAGTGCGGTAAGCAGAAGCGTCGTGCTTGATTGGATCAATAGCTTATAGCTCGTTGGGATGATGACAAGTCGTATAAACTGTGTCGCACTGTTTTTTTGCTTTCTTTTCCTTTTCCTTTTGGTTTTCTTTTGTTGCTTTCAATGAATAATCGACGAGGGGATGGATAATAGTTCATAGACAATCTAATTTTCTTTCGCATGGTACCTTCCTTATTTTTTATGCCATATCGCTAGAGGTCTTTTGGTATAAACGCTTTTTGAAAGAGTACGCTGTATATGTCTAGAAGCCTGTGTATTGCACGAGTAGAAAGTTTGTTTGCATTTACCATTGTACGCCCTTGTTTAAAATGACAAAGAAATGAAAATGAGAAAAATTACATTCGTAGGGATTATCGTAATAAAATATGTTCTCAATCACTTCAAATACCATATATCAATGTTATTCATGCTCCATGTTCACTAGAACACGACTGAAGCCCCATATGGCTCAGGAGTCTAGGTCCAAACCTAGATCAACATCAATGGATGCTAGACAGGATGCAAACTCGTTTTATCTTTCATATAAGTCAGCAGTGGGAATAAACATGCCTCATAAATTAGTAATAAGGGTATCTCAGCTCAGTCCGGCGCCGCATTTGCGGCCCGAGTCGATGTTTTAAAGCTAAGTCTCCAAGCCAAAACTGCTCCCATCTCGACAAGTCTAGAAAGTACTAAGACAGGTGCGGATGAATCGGGGGTTTTCCTTACAAAGAGTCAAAGTGATGTGAAGCACTCAGACTCTTAGAGGGTGTTTCGAATCGCATGGCGGACTCAATTGACGTGAGCTGATGAGATGGAGGGCCACTTCAACATGTCGCCGCAGACGAAATTGGTTTTTAGGAACATAATTTGTGGTAGGAATGTTAGTGTGTTTGACAGTCAAATTGACACTAGATATGGGACAACATCAATGCGTAAAAAGCACCATAAGCTTCTTCCCGCACCCACGTTGTCGGGTCTAGAAATAAACCTCTGCACTTGAAAATGAGTGGAGATAAGTGAAGAAAGGCACACCACAGTCGGTACAGCACAATAAATACAACTATTTGATCACTTTGAGGCTTTTGTGTAGAAATGTGAGATTCAGTGGCACTGTGTACACATTCGTCACCTCTGTTGTAAATCTCCGGACTGTATTCTGTAGATCGATCCCGTTTGATGATGGGGCCATCTGCTAATTTTGGTCTTCACCGGGTAAATCATGCGATTAGAAAGAGTAGTTCGGAAATTCGGGACATATAGGCACCGAGTGAGGGTTGTCGGTGATGCGGTATAGACCATTTTCCTTTTTAGGAAGTGAAACTCAGAATATGCGAATTTCATGGGATTCAATCTAAAATGCAGGCAGGGATCGGGCGAAACTTTATTACTTTTACGAGTCTAAAATAAAGTCGTTGGAAGTGAGCTCAGCCCAATTGAAGAGTCAAGAAAAAACAAGGCTGAGCCCAATGTACGAGCTGCTGCCCGCATTTGGTTAGCGTGGTGGACTCGTATTCACCAAGCTTCAAGCCACTTGCTTAACGCCCCGTTTCGCTCCGTCTACCCTATCAACTGGCAATATCATATCCTAGTTTCGATTGTGTACCATGTAGAGGTTTCCACAAACCGAGATGCTTATCCCAAACCGAATCTCAGTTCCTTTTCTCCCCATTCCAATCTCCTTGGCGCACCACTTTTCTCACACCTGACGAATCTACTTCTTCTTTGAGTAACCTGCAAGAGCTTTCCACTGGAGCCCATTACGACAAGATGGTGTATTGCGGCAAGCCAAGTCCTGCCTGTGATCGGTGTCGCGCTCGTCGTTTGAAGGCATGCTGAGCCGAATATCGGAGAATGGGCGTTTACTGACTTCGGGCACCAGTGCGATCAAGGAATACCGTCGTGCACACAGTGCATACGGGCCAAAGCTGAATGTCCCGGGTATCGAGACCCATTGGACTGGAGCTTCCGGGATCAAAGCGACGATGTAATTCGCAAGTCGCAACGATCTGCACGGAAAAAGCGCACGGTACCGAGCCTTCCCGCTAGCAGTTGTTCTAGCAGTTCCTCCGTCGGGACGCACTCCCGAAATAGCCCTACTTTGCCGCCGCCACAGAACAGCCTGGTCTATTCGGTGCATGAGCAGGCCAAGGCCCACCTATTCTCCAACTACATGGTTGGGGGTCCTTGCGGGGGCCACATGTCTTACTTGCTGCCTCTGATGAAAGAGAACCAGAGCTCGGCAGTCAACGCTGCACTTACTGCTGTAGGATTAGCGGCCTTGTCTAACATTCGTCTCTCTCCGCGCATGATGCTCAAAGCCCGACAGGAGTATACCACAGCTCTATCGCAGACCAATTATGCTTTGAAGGACCCTCTTTTGTCCCGAAGGGATGATATTTTGGCGGCGGTGGTCTTATTAGGCATGTTCGAAGTAAGTTATTTATTGATTTCTCTGCCATTATATATTACTCTGCTAATGGAAGCAAAACTCAGGTTATGACCTGCAGTGATAATTCTTTCATAGACCGTTGGATGAAACATATGGAAGGTGCTGCTAAAATCATTGAATACCGAGGACTAGAACAACTCACCCGACGGGAAGGTCTTGACTTATTTACTAATCTACGAGCACAAATTGTGAGTTCCTTCATGCCATGATCGTACCTGAGCTGTCGAGGGGTTTTGTACAAAATAGTCATGCTAATCAATGTCGATCCAGAGTATCAGCACTATTTACCAAGAAAAATACAGCGCTCCAATCATGACTCAACTCTCAGAAGACGCAAAGCAACACCGAGAACCCGACGACCAGATTGTCGACGACATTGGCTTAGTCGTGATTCGTCTCAACGATCTCTGTGCGGCACTGAAAGACGGAACCCTCACACAACCGAGCGAGATCATTCGCCGGACTCTGAGTCTTGATGCAGACCTCATGTCATTACTGCTTACGGCGCCTCCCGCATGGAGTTACACTACCGTCAAAGTACCCCTGATAGACGGAGAGCCCATCACCAACGTCGTGTGGGGTGATAGTTACCATGTTTATCGCAATCTTGCCGTGAGCAGTATGTGGAACAACGCCCGGTCGGCCCGAATCCTGATGCACGAGATGATCCTCGAAGCAGTAAAAGTGCTCGAGGAAACATCGCCTGCAAACAGCGCGCTTCGTCACTCCCAGATGCTAGCAAATCAAAGTCGCGACATTGCGCGCAATCTGGTGGATGAAATTTGTTGCAGCGTTCCATTCCATATGGGAATGGGTGTAGACAGCAGTACTGACGGAACGGTGTCCGGGTACGACTCCTCGAATGTACCTCCCAGTTTCGAGATATCAGGAGCAGGAGGTGTCACCTTGATGTGGCCTTTGTTGATTGCAGCCAATTGTGGACTTGCCTCTCTTGAAATTCGACAATGGATCACGAAGTGCTTGGACAAAATTGGTCATTCAATGGGCATAAACCAGGCTTTGGCCATGGCACAGCTTCTGCGGGACGGGATGCATTCGCGGGCCTGGATCTCACCGGAAAGCTCACCTGGCGAGTCTGCTTCCACTGAATATTTATAGTGATATGATGAGGCGTTTTTTAGATTGCGTTATGAATTCATGTATTAAGTTGATTTCACGATTTTTGTCTTCAGCTCACTAATATACCGGGCAATACATATACCGTTATTGTCATGAGTTACTTCCATAAATAACACATTCAATACATGTTTTCTTACCAGACAGTTATAATACATACATGTTGAAAAGTTAAACTTTAATAGAAGAAGTAATCTATTCAACGGCCGACTCCTATATTCTATTATCCTCTAGCTAAAACTCTGATAGTGCCATCGCTGTGAGTATCGGGTAAAGTCGCGTGATAATAGACCCTACAGGAACTCGTAAGTAGGCGGGAAAATCTCTATCTACGTTCTAATTCTTCTGATCGAATGATAATTTGAATGTACATATCCACGACTTTTTGGTTCTCCAGAGCCTATGGCAGTTGAATCGATAACTAGATATATCCTTGAACTCTCCGAGACCAGAAGATCTTACGCATGGGTTAGAAAACTGTTGTTAGTTGGATGACGAGTAAAATCACTTTCGTCAAATCTTAAAAGATATTTCGACAGCAGGTTTTCGTTCGAGAGATCCAAACACAGTTGATGGCAATAAAAGATACGCTGTAGGAATTAAGTTCAATTTCAAATCCGCTATTAAATTCAACAAAAGAAATCTATTACTGGTTCAACGCCCAATCTCAACCGCGACCCTCCTCGCTTAAGCCCCACAAATCAAGATAGAAAACTCGATGCTTCCTTGCTCATGAAGTTCAATCATCGCCGAGCATACTGCTGATTGTATGCTTCCTGGGCGGCTGACTGGGCGTGTGTAGATTGATCGTATGTCGGACGCCCGTTTCCTTGCTGAACACCATATTCAATATCCTCGGTTGCGTAAACCCCCGGTCCAACAATGTTGACGGTAGACTTGGGTGTCATCACGCCCAGGATAGTGTACATCAAAACAATAATGAACTCCTCAATAGTCGCCATCACAAGCTGGATCTTTGTATCGCCGTCGATCAAAGAGAACTGAGGGTTATTACCGAAGTCACTGATCAAACTGTACAACAGACGCACGGCAATCAAAGGCAGAGCCAAGAGAACAGCAAAGAAAAGACGCTTCTGGCTTGTATTCATGAGCGTGGTGTCGCGAAGAGTCACAGCCCAGAGAATGCAACTGGCAACATAGATACCCAGGAAAAGGATGATTCCAGCACGGGTCTCGGTCTTGCCGCTGGCATGGTCTGAAACATTGGATGAGGCTTGATCGGTACCGCCACTGATGGAGAGGATCAAAGCGATAAGGGCAGGAAGATGGAGAAGTTGAACAATCTTGCTGCGGCGGGAGGTAGCAGTTGCTCTTTTGTTGTAAATTCCGAAGCTAGAGAACAAAAAGATCAGTCTCTGTCATGCGCCTTCAAAAACCGAGAAATTGGTCTACTAACAGTTTGCCAGCAATTCCGACGTTTGAAAAGGCCTGCATTGCCACGTTGCGCTTAGAGTTCGGGTCAGATGGTACACGCTGGGAGGTCTCGTCGAAACTGTACTAATTAGTATCACGGGATCTTTTGTTGGAGTTGGTGAAGCTTACACTCTTTTTAGTAAGCCCAATGTAGACAGAAGCAGAGGAGAAAGGCCAACGGATTGCAGAATCACAGCCCACTCCTTATCGTTGGCGTTGTCGGGGTTCTTTGTGCTGAGGATCTCCATGACGGCACCGCCAACTCGGATACCACAGAAGATACTGAGGTAAATCCACCCCAGTTGCTTGTGAAATCCATGTCGCAATACTACCCAAATGGTAAGTATGGCTGTGGGGATATAAATGATCAACTCCGCAATCGCAACGTGCTCTGGAGTGACGACAGTCATGGTTGGTGTGGATGTATAGATGTAGAGGGTAAATAAGATGATAGTGGAATAGAGTGGAAGAAGGCTGGTTGTTTTAGTTTGTAGGTGGAAGGGATCAAGTCGCTTTTATGTTCCGTCTCAAGCCATTTTTCCTAGGTCGGTCAGATCTATCAGAAGAATGAGAAGTTGCCTACGCTCAGCCCTGCGGCTATCCCGTGTCAAACGTGGTGTTTTCCCGAACCAGATAGGATGTGCATCCTAAGAATAAGCTTTTACTCCAAGAATAAGCCCATAAAATGAGAGAAAATAAGCAATTTGGGTCAGCCCCGGGTTGCATAGATTGGGCCCGTTTGTCTATTCCTAATCTGGACTAGTGTGGATCTACCCGTCGAAACACTTGCCTAAATGGGAAACCATGTGCTAAGTGATGATCGCGCCCTTGCCTAACGCCACAATTCAACCCTTTGACACTCAACCAAATTCCTAATCTAGAATGTCCTCATTGTTCGGGTCCGGGACTCTCGATCCAACAGAATATAGAAAAAATGCCGCAGTGTAGAGATCGGCAGCTGAATACGCCGGTGGACTTGATGACGCTTCGAAGCGAATACCAGGTACAGCCAGGGATGAAATACACTCAGTTCTATGACCATGTTTCTTTGGAAACGAGAATCTTGAGGTATAAAGCGAGCGCAGGGAGCCGGCAAGAGGTCATCATCAACTTCATCTACAGCTTTTCTTCGCGAAACAGCCTTGAAAATGGTATTCCTGGCTTCTTTTATCTCAGCTTCCTTGGTGTTGGGTGCAGCTGCTTTTTCTGATCCAGGCTACGATTGTCGTCCTGGTCAAAAATGCTGGCCAACAACCCGTCAGTGGCAACAGTTCAATGCAACCATTGATGGCCATTTATACGAGACCGTCCCTATTGCGGCTCCTTGCTACAAGAACTCCCCTCACTACGACAAGTCCGCCTGCGAGGCAGTGGAGGAGTACTACGGAGATAGTATTTCTCGAGGAACTCATTTTGGACAAACATACTGGCTGAATTGGGAGACCTGTGGTCAGACTGGATGTGCATTGCTCGAATCCGATCCATCTGAGCTTCTATATGGCACATGTTCTCTTGCACGACTATCGTCATACTACGCGGATGTTCGAGAAACTTCTCATATATCTGCGGCTCTTCGATTTGCAAAAGAGCACAATATTCGCATCAGCATAAAGAATACTGGTCATGACTTTTTTGGGCGGTCATCAGTGCCAGACACCCTCGCCATCTGGACACATAACTTGGATACCATGAAGTTCAGCTCAAATTTCACTGCACAAAACTGCCCGTCTTCTAACGGCCAAAATGTTGGTGAATTGGGCGCTGGTGTCGTCGCAGCCGATGCGTACCACTTTTTCAGCTCGCACGGCATGGACATCACAGGAGGTTATGAAAGATCTGTCGGATTGGCAGGCGGATTTGCCCAAGGAGGAGGTGTCGGATCTTTCACCACCACCTACGGACTGATGGCAGATAACGCTGTCGAGTTTGAGGTGGTGACTGCAGACGGGGAGGTTCACATAATCAACCAGTGCAATGAGCCCGAGCTCTTCTGGGCTATGCGAGGTGGTGGCGGTGGTACATTTGCAGTACTCACCAAGTATCGAGTTCAGGTGTATCCATCTTTGCCGATTCACACCTATACCTTCACTGCAAACTTTACTGGCCTGGATTCTATCAGCAATGCGACCGAGAATTCTGCTTTGCGCGAGATCTTGACGGCACATGCAGAGAATCAAATTGCCTGGTCCGCACAGCTGGTGACGGGCCAGCTTGAATACTTCCCCGAGAAGCTGGCTATCAGTATAGTCCTCCCATATGGAGACGATGGCTCGAAGCTCAAGTCATCCACTGCCTCCTTTGTTGAATTTTTGAGAAACAGAACAGACGTTTCGGTCTCCAAGGATGGGTATGACTCTTACCCTAACTACGCCAACTACCTCACTGTCACGGATGCAGATGCCAAAGTCACGGAACCGTCTGGCATCTTTTCCATCCTGGGTTCCCGACTGATTCCTCGCACGGTTTTCGAAGCCCAAGACACCATTGAAGAGCTGGTGGAGGGTGTCATTCAAGGAATAGCAACATCAAGAGAACACCTCAATCTCACCGGGACACAGATCGTCTTGGAGACGCCCGTCTCAAACCTTGACAGTAACAACAATGTCGCCGCACATCCAGCATGGCGCAATACACTCTGGCATGTCATCCATGTCGGAGAGTGGTTAGAGCCATTGGAGCCCGAAGCTCAGACCAGTACTGCAGAGGCTTTCTTGGAAATTCTCGATCCTCTCAAGAAGTTGAGTCCTGGTGGTGGGGCGTATTTCAACGAAGCACATTATTTAGAGCCTGAGTGGCAGGATGTCTACTTTGGGTCAAACTACCCTAAGCTCTTGGAGGTCAAGAACAAGTATGACCCCACTCATATTTTTGATTGCTGGAAATGTGTTGGATGGAGAGGCGAACAAGAGTAAGTCATTTTCTGGCTGTTGAGGTTCATTTCAATTACTTAAAGCTAACATGATCGCTTTCTAGTCCTTTCTATTCTTGTTATTAAAACTGGCCTTTCAGAAATTGTCGCACATGGGAACTTGAACAGGCTAGAGCGCAATAAATTATGCTTAGAAAATATAAAATAAGGAATTCAATAGTGTGTGAAGTGAAATCACTACATTAACAAAAGATTTTCTCAACGACATGAGTATGAAAACGTAAAGAACACATAGGGAAATGAGTAGTTCTTCGAATCGGTAACGGGGTCACAATGCTCATCCAGGGGTGATACGTCAACCGTCAATCTGAACCACTTGAAAAGGGTTTTGGGACAGGCTCGAGCTCTCGAGTCGAGTCTCGGATTTGGAACATGTTTCCAGACCCTGAGATGTACTCTCCAGACTGGTTATCGTCTAACCTTGATTAGGAAGACCTGAGAGTAGTGACTGAAAGTGCCGGTACCCCACCATTGAGAATCTCCCTGCAATTGTGTGTATGCCTCTGACACTGCTATTTCGAGAGTCATTGTTGGGTTCTTCATCCCTCTGCCGTTTGAATGTATAATATTGTCCGGGTAGAAGGAATAGTCTGCCTCTTTCATGTATAGCTCCGGACACCCTATCTGCCCCTCGCCCAATCCCATTGCCGGTCTCGACAAAGAAAGCTATTGCTTCTATCCCATGGGTAACATGTAGCGCAGATATCGAAGCCATCTGCTCATGTTGGATGTCTGTATGACTTTCAGAGCCATGCAACGCTTTTCGCGGTCTAGCGTCACTCGTACTCCCCGGAAGGATAGCTTTTGTTCTTTGAGTTGCCTCACGATGTCTGTATCAAGGTGAAGTACATATGTATATGTAACTGCGATTTGCGGATGAAGTAGGTAGCTCGGATGTTAGGATGGATTGGATGATTTCCCCCCGTTCTCAGGGTGAAGCACCACCTAAATAGGAGCTGGCTAAATTCTAATTATACTCGAAAAAAGACCTCAAAAAAAAACCATTGAAAAGATGTGAGAATGTATACTGCAAATTAACCACATCTATTATATTAAAAATGATCGTAATCTAGCTATAAGACAAACCTCTACTAAGAAGCTAACACCCGAGCATTAACGTTATTCTCTAGGCAAAAGTTCGATTAATAATTGAAGTCTCTGCTCCGTACATGTAAAACTTATCGACCTATAGGGTCATGTTTATAAGTAATTAACGGTAGAATGTAGGAAACGAGCCTTTTGGTGCTGATTCTTAAGCCAAGCAATCCGATCCCTGAGGCTGGACCTTCAGTCAAAAAACATCCAACCAATTTACCCAAGCATCATTCACTCCCACCACCACCGCCAATAACAACAACAATAATTTTTGGAATGAGATGATCACAAGAAACAATCAAATATAGTAAGTCAGTGTAATACACTTCGAGCGCGTGTGTAAGAGGTTGCATTATTCGCATTTAATTTCGACATAGCTGCTACCTCGATAGCCCACTTTGTAAATTGGCATCCCTTGGTATGCCCAAGTAGTCACTTTCAACCTAATTAATCCCAGCGAGCTGCTCGCTAATTAGCCGTTGATATTGAGTAAAAAACTTGCAGTAGGCTCTAGCCTTGATCTGTAAGCACAACAGCTAATTCCCATGAGTCTCCTCCCAATGAAGAATCATATTATCCTTAGTGATGAAATCCAAGACCCTCTGCCTATTGAATGAGCTCTCCCCTGATTCCATCACGTCTTCAAACATAACCTGTAATTTGTGCCTCATAAAATGGCACATCATGTCGACATCTCTCACAGCAAGATCCCGCCCGTCTTCACGAACAGCCCAGACATTCCCTATGTCGCAACTCCAGTACGAAGGCGCCCAGCCCCACTCTTGCTTACAACACTCAGTTTCCATCATCATGAATGCAACGTTAGGATTACTATTGTTCCATTCTGGCGGATGATGGCGAAGCTCGGTACCCGGATCCTTCCAAAATCGTATAGGCATACCGAGGCAGACAGATATTGGTGAGATAGATCCGCTGCCCAGCGAGATCTTGTTTGCTCGAGTAAAATCGACAGAAACGAAGTGCTCTGACCCATGAAGCTCCACTTCGCCGTAACAGCAAATCTTTACGCCGCGGGAGGCTGTTGTAGCGCGGTGTTGCAAATCCGGGACGCTTTCTCTGATATTCGTGTCTCGGTAGCTTATCAAGTAATCCATCAGATGTCGGAAGTCAGCTAGTGTCATATCGGCAAAGTCTTCGTGGTGAAGTTCACGCAGGGCAATCATCGGGCCGCGATATTCATGTGGGGTGGTAGCGGTGCGGGACGCTCTCACAGAAGCCAATATACTTTTATTTGTGGCTGACCCATCCTTCAAATATGCGTCGCGATGTAGCAAGGAGACACAGTATCCTTCCTTGCGCGGAGAAAAGCATGTAAAGCCAGAGCCCAGATTTCGATCTCGTACTGGATTATGTTCAATGCGCATTGTGCGTTTTAACGGGTCATCAGTTCCAAGGTAGGGATTATAATCAACCTTCTTCCATCCGATTCCGTCTTCCTCGTCATATTGCCGTCTGCATGGGATCCATATTAAGCATGGCTTGTCTTCCTCAACTGGGAAGAATATGGCTCGCTTGTGTTCCGGGGAGGGTCTATCGGGCTGAAGAGCGAACTGTTTGCAGAGAGGGTCATGTGAAGCAAAATCACTTCTCTCGCAGTCTTTGGAACAATAGTATGTACTTCGGCATTGTGGGCATTGAATTCCTGGGCTTTTATTACACATCACACAGCAATCTTCAAGTTCAAAATTGTCGAGGGGGTGATGCTTCGGGTTTGTAGTTGGAGTAATCCCCTGGCTTTTTTGGGTGTTATAATCAGTGAGTTATTCAGTATTCGCCAACTTAGCAAAAGAAAATCTCACCTAATCAGCATATTCGTATGCTGGATTGTCTTTTCATTTTTAAAACGCTGCCTATCCTGTTCTTTCTGCTGCCATTCTTCGAGTGTCAGGTCCGAAAAGTCCGACACGATGTCGGATTGCATGACGAGACTTTTGTGCCTAGGGTGTATAAAGCCGTTGAGAATCCCTTCAATGCGAGCCAAAAGGCTTTGCTCCAACACCTTGACGGCAATCTGCATGGTACCTGACTTCGAGACTGGTACAGCCCAAGCAGGATAGCAAATACCATGCCTTCCACGTGTGGCAATTGGACTCGGCAACGCGCCAAGGAAGGTTTCGCAGAGCAAGCAAGTCTTTTTACTGCATCCAAAATAGTCAAGAGTAGGCCAAGGTGCACATCTGTCCTCATAGTGCACCACTAGCTGTATCTCAGCATGCAGAGAAAAAGTCTTCGCGCAAGCTATTTTAAACTTTTGGCTCAATGGATGAAGTTTTCGGATCACTGGCTTTGGAATGCAGCCCAGCCCTAGTTGTTCCCACGCCTCAAATATGTCAACTACGTCTTTGCCTTCCAGTGCTGTGCTCGATTTGGAAGAAATCAATGAAACCTTGCAATTTCCCAAGTGCGGCTCCCGGGCAGCTATTGATCTCAGTAATCGACAGTCGACCAACGGTCTGGCGATAAAGGTCAATTTTTTCCAGAGCTTCAAGCCTGCCTGGGTCCCAAAGCAGTCAGAAAAGAACAGTCGAACTTGTGCTATGTCGAGACACATATAAGCCTGTTGAACTACCAGGAGCCTAGTTTTGACACATTCATTATCGGCATCGAATTGTGATATGAGAGCCATCATGTTAGTCAAAGTTTGGAATGCAGCCTCCTGTCCAAGCCATAGTTCTGAGTTCCAGTCAAGACAATTTTGGACCTTTGTTAAGGCTTCCCTGAAAGATTCAATCCAATCATCGATCCGACGGGACATATATTCTATCACCTTGAGCTCGAATTCCGTTAACGTGTTTGCACTTGTGTTAGTCCCTGGCGCTCAGTCATCAGACATCCAACCTCCTGAAAAGAGGATTCAGAGCTGTACATACCCTCGGCACTACCAGCCAGATACACTTCCAACATACGGCAGTAACCCATAGTATCATCCTCAAAGCAATCTCAATCAGAAAGAAAACCATCGTTCCTTGCGATATCCACCTCGACTCTGTTTTCCCCTTCACGCATTGCCGTTGCGGTGACCCCATCCCAACCCTTGCACGGCGACAGCAGTTGGGCAATACAGTCCAGGAATTTCTGGCGAACGGATTCTCGAGGACCTGAAAGAGTTACATTCTTCTCTATCTCGTCACCTGTCTCATGGTCGCTCGACTCATCGGTATTGCTGCCGCATTCCACGTGGTCTTCAGCCTTGAAAAGCGCTTCGTGTGCTTGGCTGTTGTTGAGATAAGAAAGAATATGAGCTGCCCAGATGATGCGTGCAGAGAATTCATTAGGCGGGCATTTAAGCGCTCTATGTCGTGTAATCATCATGCGAAGCAAAGCACTATCATTAAACAGAATCGGATACGGTTCTCGAGGTTGAGATTAAAGATTAACGTCTGCCTCAGTGCGGGGTATCACTGGTGAGACAAGCAGTCATCTATTGGGCTTTTGTTAGCGGCATAGAGGGGCATAGAAACCCATAGAGATGTGGCTGTATTCTATTTCTTTGATTCCGTGCACTAAGCTTATCCTAAATATTCATATGAAAGCGATTTCCACTATCTGATGTATTGTTATTGGAATGGTATCTTCAACTTGCTATCTATCATCTGAAAGTTCCATATAAACTTTGCAGTTGCAATCCATTCGCCCCTCGCGGCTCCCTGCCAGATCTCGCGTATTGACTGAGACTCTTTATCCTTGCCAGCGAGGATTTCACTCAGTGTTTGAGAGTAACTCATGAGCCAAAGCTTGCGGGACAGAGATGCCCAGCGCAAGTAAGCCCATAAGGTCAAGGGAGACAATAGTATCTGTGTAGCTGCAACTCCAACAAAAGCCGCATCGATTGACCCCCATCCCGCATATCCTGATTTCCAGCCAATTAGAAAAAGGACTTGACAGACAGGAAGGATAAAACAACTGCAAACAAACCCGAGGAGAACCGCCAAGAATCCACTGGATTCGTGGAGGTAATTAGGTTTGGTGCCTTGAGTTCTCGCTTTCTCTGGGATGAAAAGCCTGGCACACAAATGTAGACCCCAGTCACCCAGAGGGAAAGCTCCAATCCACACACCAAGTAATATTAAGGTAGTCAAAATGTTTAAGCCTGACAGAGCCCCTCCTACTCCACCCGACACTTCAGAAACATCGCTGGCTATCACAGCCATAAACAATGCCAGCCCAGCTAAGCATAATGAGAGATGAAGGAGGTTTGGAGCAAGCGTGATTGATTGTCGAAAGCCCAATAAAGCTTCTCCGCTGAGTAAAGACCGTCGGTCGATGGATGAAACACGTTTAATCGGAGGGGCTAAGAGGATGAGTTAACACAACGAAGGGAGAAAGTCTCGGGGAAATGATATCATACTACAAGAAACGGTGATATCTGTCGACTCGTCCAGCAGACTGGATGTCAACCGTGACCAAGCTGAGTTCAGGTTGCTATTGGCATCTGCCGTAGACATCGAGACCACTGGCAGCCGAGAGCAATGTTTCCGAATTATTTCATCATTCTCACTTTCGGGCTGCAAAATTGAGATAGAGGAGCAGTATGTCGTGTACAGTCTCTTCGACCGCTGCTTTCCACGGGCCCGACCCCAAAGAGTAGCCTCTTCATTGTGGACTTTGTTAATTTCAAGACAACATCTTGCAGACCATTTCCCATCTAGAATTTCATTTGCCTTCCATTCTGACTTATCGTTCTCCCAGGCAAGAGTTCGAGTGTCAATTATCAAAATGGCCTGTCCGACCATTGGACGGGATGGGACAGAGTGAACGTGGATAAGCCATACACGGTCGTTATGAATCAACTTCAGCCAGGACTTATTTGCATATATTGGCGGAATAACCATCACAAGCGGGTTCTGCTGTTTGCCTGGAAATTGGAAGGTTATTTGGTCTTGTCTAGGTGAGAATTGACCGAGATATCTTGGTTTGAGCGGATAGATACGACCGGAGGCGAAGTCCTTGGCAGTCTTTTTGATCCATTTGTCTGGTCCATTGAGTTGATCTTTCTCGTCAATGCAAGGAGTGAAGAGAAGCGATAATGGAACGTTGGAAAAGCTCCAAAGCATGGCCTTGAATCTCTCGTCATCATTGATTTCACGGAGATCATGCGGGGAAATCTGTAGTGACATCGCAAATATACTCATTCGGTCCTTATCCTTTGTGCATGATCTTCGAAGGAGTTCATTCCAGATTGATATAAATGGTTTGGAGCTTCCAAAGAATAATGGTGGAGGAGACTCCGACTTGCCGAATAGCTGATATATAGTCCCCTGAATAGAAGACCACACAGAAACTGTCGGTTTGTCATCCCAGTCCAATGGGAAGAACCAGGACTGATGAATCAAGCGTTGCAGGTCGTGACTGAGCCATCGCTCAATCATTCCCGAAAAGGTTGTCTCTGAATAAGGATCAATTCTGGATGCAGACACCACTTGCTGCAAGGTACGTCCTTCCCGACGAGTAAAGTAGCTTGAATCTCTTGCATCAAGGAGTATATCTCTAGGGTTGAAGAATCCGTCCGCAAGCTTCACGTAGCATAGTGAACTCTGACATTCCTGGTAGGTCCAAGCTCTAGTTGCCCAGTTGCAACCCTGAAACAGAGCTAAGATCTCTGGCACATGGCATCTGTCATGTCTCAGAAGTTGGATCTCTTTGTCCAATATCATGACTTGCATTGCACCTGCGAATATAGCCGCTATCTGGTTGATTGTAGTAGACCACAGGTCTTCAGGAGGGTTGTAAAGACTATTCAGCGCAGATTCGGTCGGAATGCAGAGAATATCCAGCCAAAAAAGATCGTAAGGCTCATTTCTCGAGTAAATTCCCGGTATACTCCATGGCAACAGGGTTTCCCGTCTGTTAAAAGCCAAGTGAGACATCGCCTCACCACGATGATTTGGAAGATGGGAAATACTTTCGAAAATACTGTCCAACTGACATTGCCAGATACCGTTGTCAAAAGAGTTTCCTAGGCCGTCTGACCAGACATGAGAGACAGCAATGTATCTGCTCTCCACTTTTGCAAACGAACAATTTCGATATCCGCACAACCACCATGTTCGGTTCTCTTGAATTTGACCAACGGGATTTTTCTTTGCAAAAGTATGTCAATGACATCCTGAATTGGCAAGGATTTCGTGGAGCATCTGCACTCCTCGCTAACGTGTTGTGGCTCAAAGTTGAGTTTGGATTCTTTTGGAACGTTTTCTGAGACTGGCGCGCAGCTTATAAGATCACGATAATGCGAAGGGCGTTGCAAAGATTTATAATCTGGGACCCCAAACCGGGCAGCCGCCCTACATACTAGCCCTGTACAGCCTTCGTGGTTCAACTCGGAGGAGAGAGGTCGTTTGATCTGTGACATGTAGTAGAGAGTCAAATATCCAACGCTTCTCGCACTAGCCCAGATAGTAGAAGGGCACCATCCATTAGAGATAAGGCGGTTGATGATCAGCAGCAGGGAAGGTCGTACGCTATCGCGTATGTTTGACTTGTTGTTCACATTTTCTAATGACGCAACCCATGGCAACTGGCTATGGTGATATGCATCTTGTAACGGATTGTTGTAAATCATTTCTTTTCCGCTATCTCGAGGATAATTTCTGCTCTCTTCTTCGTCCAAAGCCAGAGCATAGAAAGCATCGCAAAGAACCAGGGTAGACAGGACTACCTCTGGCACGGGGCTAATATCCCCGTTAGGAAGGCTCTCCAGTCTGAGGACTTGCGACCTAGTCCGCGGTAAGATGTCCCAGAAATTGATTTTGGACGTGGCGTCGTAGAGTTGGCAGCGTTCGTGTACGCCAAAGAGGCTGCTGGCGACTTTGCTGAGGCATACGAAGCGGCCAGCATGGCCATTAATCTGTTTCACAAATTCTTCCACTTGAAGGTTTTCATTTTCCAGATATTCGGCCAATAGTCCAAAGAAAAATCGTGACTGGATATAAAAGGCAATTTCAGTGGGAGATGAGGGACAGTCAGCTCCCGCCTCGGCTCTTTTGAGACTTTTCTCGAGGTCGCCGGGCTGTGGTATCTCGTACAGTATACCATCGAGAAGGGGAACATTCACCTGATCCGACTGAGACCCTTTTGGCCGTGGCACAAAGTCCATGATGTGAAAACTGTAGATTCAACTTTGGTGCCTCAACAACCGGCACAACTGGAGGATAAAAACAAACCTCAATGGTCCAGAGTGGAGTAGGCGCTAATCGGGCTCCTGCGCCAAGCTTGCCGTATTAACGAGGGAGTTTGCTTTGGCTGTATGGTAATAGGCTGCCTTACGCTATTAGGGTCATAATAATGTCCCGTTTGCCCTCCGCCCCCACTATTTCTATGCCTTAGCTCACTGTACGTTTACCACGTACATAACTTATCACACAAATGTGACTGACTTCAATCTGCTTAAGAGTGGATAGTTTGGGGGCCAAAGTCCCACAATCCTCCAATGGTACAGCTACATTGAATGATTCGAAGCGCCTCATAGCCCCAAGCCCCCTCCCACGGCGGTATGTTCAGCCCCTGCAGAAAAGGGTATATGTCATGCGGCTTGTGACGCCAGACACCAAGGGGATATTATTCATCTCAGAATGCTTTTGAATAATACAATCCAAGTTGATAGTATTTCGGTTCCTAAGCTTCAGAAGAAGGAAGAAAAAAACATACAACAGTAAGGATTCGCTAGTGGTCACCCACCTAACTACTAACTTACCGGCGTGTGGCTTAAGTACGGCTGAGCGGACGGGAAGCCCTGTTCTCCACACCCTGTGGTCGTATGTACTTGCTTGACAATAAAAGGGGATTATATAGATCAACTCCATAGTGTAAGTTCAGTGATACTATAGCACGACTAGGGGCGAAAAGAGTGAGTGTGGCCGATACCTAGTTTAGTTACTACACTCCTCCGTCGTATCTCGAGTCCTAATTGCTAAGGTATAAAAATAGAAAAAGAGTAAATAAAAACTAAATAGTAGAGATTTATATATAATAGTGGGGGAACTGCATACTGCATGAAGTAGCGGTCTACGGGTGATTGAGCATTCGTGATGTATTTAAGACCTCTCTACTCTACGTAGATTAAAACAGACACTCTTTCTCTTCCAAGCCACTCCTATGTGTTCTCCTTTCCCATAGTCCTACTACCCCTAGTGGCCGACCTGTTCGCAGCAGATAGCTCGGAGCTAAGGGTGGATTGGATAATTGTCACACCGTTCTCAGTGTGAAACATTACTTAAATAGGAGTTTGCTAAATTCTAATTTATGCTCGAAAAAAGACCTCAAAAAAACGTTGAAAAAATATATACAGTAGTGCAAAGTAATCACATCGATCATAGTTGTGACCTGGCTGGGCCTATTAAAGGCCCGCCTCTAAGGAATGAGACAAGTTTCCTTCCTTCTCTCTTCCCCTTTGGGCTTTAGGCTACACTTGGTAGCATGTCCTGGTTCACAGTGTCGCCCTACTGAGCAGTCTTGGGCACCATCCAGAGCGACCTGGACAAACAATGGTCGCATTTCGGTCGACTTTTTCGACTCCTGGACGGATCCGTCGAGCGCGCCTGTTGTTAGGCCGTTGTCAGATTTTTCCTTGCCTACGGGAGACGCGTGACATTCACTGCTCGAACCAATCGCGCTAGCAAATCAAAAACTGACTTCGAATTTACGTCGTTTAATCGTGGGTGTCATAAAGACCACAACTGACGAGGTGGTTACAGATATGGCTAGTGTCAATCTTCCTGGCCACGCCTGAAATATTTCAACTACATCTTTGCCTTGCAGTGCCGTGTTCGATTTGGGATAGACCAATGGAATCTTGCAATTTCGCAAGTGTGGCTCTCGGGCAGCTATTGATCTCAAAAATCGACAATCGACCAACGGCCTGGCGATAAATTTCAACTTTTTCAAGAGCTTCAAGCCTAATTCATCTCAGGTCAGAGATGATCCAGAAATAAAGGGCTCATATGACCCATGTGTCTCGTCAGTGTTCATCAGCGCGTCTCTTTCTTTCTCTCCTCTCCCCTCCACAGCCCACTTCGTTACTTCCAATTTCTTTTTCCCATTTCCCAGAGGAGCTACCATCAGGAGGCAATGCACAGGACACCCACAGTCCTCTATGCCCGATTAGGATGTATTTTGTCTAGAAAGTTGGTTGCTGATTATAAATATTAAACTCGCTACTGAATTTCGGTCTACCATGAAAATGGATTCAGCAATGGCTCAGTGTGGTTAATTGCGCTAAAAGGTCACAGTAAGCCAGAGCTTAAACAAAACAAAGGCCTCCATTTGCATTCACTGTGCTCCCCGTCGACCAGCGACTGCCCTCCTCAGACAAGAAAGCAACAATTTGCGCAATGTCATCAACTTCAGCGATCCTAGCCCCAGCAGGAGTTTCTCTCATCTTGGTCTCCCACTCATCTTGAACCTCTTGCTCAGTGTCTCGCAACCACATATCGGTATTGACCGGCCCGGGGTTAACACAGTTTACAGTAGCCCTGTATTTCTGTCCCAGCTCCTGCGCCCATACTTTTGTCACTCCTTCCAATGCCGCCTTCGTCGCGCAGTATGCCGTGCTGTACGAACCTCCCATGCGTGCAATGACGCTGGAGATGTTCACGATGCGAGGCGCCGTGCCGAAATGCGGTACCGCTTCCTTGACCAGGAATGTCGGGAACCGCAGGTTGCAGTCTATGATCTTGTCCCATAGCTCGTATGTGAGGTCGCACAGTAGGGAGTCGTCCCCGGTGCCGGCATTGTTGACTATGATGTCTATGTGGCCCCAGATTTCAACAGCTTTAGCGACAATTCTCCGTGGGGAATCACGGTCGCTGCCACTGGCTTGCACGCCTTCTGCCCCGACTCGGAGTTCTTTCAGCTGATTAATGACTGATGTCGCTTGCGTGCTAGCCTGATTGTACGTGATGAGCACATTGGCGCCGCGCTTGGCCAGTTCGAGGGCGACTCCGGCTCCGATGCCGCGGGATCCGCCGGTGACAATGGCAACCCGGTCTTGAAGTGACTTGAAATTTGACCTCATTCTTGACAGAGATTGACTGTTTGCGCTGGTTTGGTTGAACTTGAGAACTTGAGGGTTGGAGAAGTGATACGTAGGAGCAAACAGGATTGAGACAACTAGGTCAACGGTAAGAACAAATATTTAATCGAGGACTTGGTATATATATTATTAGGAGATCAGCTCTCATATCGCATTGGTAATGAGGGTTTATCTCAGCATTCCGAGGGTTATAGTTCTCGAATGAAGGGGCTCGCTGTGGATTGCTTCTCACATGCAGCCCTAGCGCGGAACCTGGTTGTCCCCGAGCCCTACCTTCAAATATCCGCCACCTTGACTCGAATTTAAGAGATAGGCGATAGGCAATTGCTGTGCATCGAACAACGTCTGGAAGTACGTAATTTGATCATTGATTCTTGAACATTTTTGTCGTTGTTAACTTCCAATCCTATGATCTTATCTAACCTTGGAATAAGGGAACTTGACACTATCCACTGCTTCTGACCACTCAGGCTATCGGGATATCTTGGCCAAATCTCAGAGATTGTATCCAAGTCTGGGTCGCTGTAAGTTTCCAATGCACAGTATACATCAAATGATTTGATGCCATTTGGACCTTCCAAGGGTCGAGCTTGTATGGTATATTGGCGACATGCTGGGACCTGAATATAGCCATCAAGATATAAGAAGGTACTTGGAACCATTTCGACGTTAAAAATATCAACCACTTCCAGAATTTTAAGTCTACTTTGTTCATCTTCCATCAATTACCAAGCACGTTTTATTTACTGCTCAACCATGAGTGTCACGACTAGACTATCAGTTCCAGTGGTGAAAGCCACGGCATCAGTTGACGAGATCGTCGCCTGTCTCAAATTGGCCGGAGGTGTGATTATTCGCAATGCAGTGGGACAGGCAGCACTCGACCAGATTGAGTTAGCAAGACCCTTCCCTAACTTCCTCGAGAACAAAAACTAATATATCAAAGGGCTGACATACGCCCCGGTCTCGAGCAAGATACAGCATGGAGCGGCTCATTCTTCCCATCTCAAACCCGACGCACAACCGCAGCGCTTCAAAAGTCGCCAACCTACGCTCGCGAAATTGTCATGCACCAACTGTTCCAAGGTGTATCGAACCGCATGCTGACGGAAAAACAATGGTTCTGGTCTGGAAATGAAAAGCAATGGACCGTCTCCCGCCCCCAGCTCTCTAACACGATTGTCTTCAGTATCGGCGGCGGCGCGTCGGCGCAGCCTCTGCATCGTGACGACTCAATCCACCAGCGCTATGCCCATTTTGCAGAGGTGTATCCGTCCGGTCGCGAAGGCAATCTGCGGGATAGTAGTATTGGATTTTTTGTTGCTGGTAAGAAGGCTACTAAAGCCAATGGCGCCACCCGCTTTATCCCTGGTAGTCACCTGTGGGATCAGAACACCCCGCCAAACGAGGATCTTTGCGAATTTGCGGAGATGGAGCGCGGAGATGCGTTCATGATGCTTGCTTCTTGTTTTCATGGCGGGTCTGCGAATACCACTACTGATGAGGAGAGGCTTATTTTCTCAACTTTCATGACGAAGGGATATCTGCGGCAGGAGGAGAACATGTATCTTTCGGTGGATATGGATGTTATGAAGAAGTATCCCGTCGACATTCAAAGAGTTGCTGGATATAGCCTGAGTGAGCCTTTCCTGGGATGGGTGGACTCGACTGATCCCAGAAAACTGCTGGATCCCAGCATTCCCGACAACACTGATATGTGGACTGGGGTGGAGGAGCCAGCTGATCCTTGGGTTTAGTTGCAGCTTACAGAGTGAACCATACTTTACTATGTATGGCAAATTTAAATATGTTTCTCGCTCCTCGTTATTTTAGTTAAAAGAAATTTGTATGTTGAAATGGAGACGGCGCGATAGCAGTCTGGTTGAGCAAACAGGTCAATAGTAGAATGGGAGCATAGGTAAAACACAGCAAGAGGTCGGGTAGAACTATAAGAAAGGAGAGCTCATAGGGGTGGTCTGAAGAGAAGAATGTGTCCATCTTGCTCACTATGCGTAGAGAGGTCTTAAATACATCATAACTGCCTGAGTCATCCGTAGACCGCTAACGAGGTTAGTTACTTCATGCAGTAGGGAATTCCCCCACTACAATATCTTGATTTTCAACTTCACATTTGACTTGTAATCTGAGGACTCCTGTGGTTTCGGGGATACCGGAGAGATATGTTTCAAGTCCTTCATACGGCCCTCGGAATTCGAAACCCATTTTTCGCATGTATCAGCCAATTGAACCCGCTGATCAAAATGACCACAGCGCAAACCAGAACCGCCCAGTTCATGTTATCCATCGTCACTGGGAGATATAAAGGAAAGCACAGCCAGACAAACACAAAAAAGATCCACACGACCGAAATCAGATTCAAGATTGTACCAAGCGCCTTTCCCAAACTGAAATAATGTGGCCTTGCGACGGCAGATCGTTTACCCAACAGAGAGCAAGCAATGGGAATGGCGTATGAGGAAAATATACAGAGAACGGCGGAGCCCAAAATCGCATTCAGTGCTGTTGCAGACCCGAGTTCAAGAAGACCAACCAGAGAACAGGCAATCACACAGAAAATGATGCTATTGATCGGTATTTGCGATGATTGACTGGTCTTAGCCATGAATTTGGAGAAAGGAACACCGCCTTCACGCGCTAGAGACCACCAAACTCGGGTGAACGTTGTCAACAACGTGACGCCAGCACATGCAAAACAAATAATGAAAATCAGGGTTCCGATGATAGAAAGTGGACGTGAGTGGAAAGAGTCAACCATCAGCTGGATGATGGGCTGGCCACCCATTGGGTCTAACAGATTTTCGGGGTTCGTAATGCAAAAGGTGTACACTAAAATCATCGGTAGTCCAGCAATGGCGCTTGCCACTGCGCTGATGCACATAATTTGGGGAACCTGTCGAGAAGGTTCGGACATTTCTTCAGCCATGTGTGCGGCACTATCGAACCCGTTGATGGCTGTGAGACCTGGTAGCAGACCGATGAAGAACACGACCACATTCGATGACCAACCGGTTTGGTTCACAAAGTCCTTGAATACATACTCGCTCGTTTGTTTGGGGCTTGACCGAACAAGTAGCAGGATGAGGATAAACAGGCTGCCGAGGTTGATGTAGACCACCAGGCCCTGCAGAAATAGAGGATACCATTTGAATAATACCGTGTTTGGCAACAGGGCCCAAAGGCCGACCGCAAAATAGCATATATAGTAGTGCCATGCTAGAGGAGTAAAATGGGAATGGCAGATTTGGACTAATGCGAATATCAACTCAGAGGTGATGAGGAAGGTGGCTGCTGTCCAGAAGAAGTACCCAGCCGCTGTCAGCCAGCCGACGAGGTAACTGAGGCCATGAGCATATCGCTGGGGTGCCAATTGGGATGTCCAGTATACCTGGCCTGCAAATGATCCGTTAACAAGCCGAATTTTCGTGAGAAAAGGATAAATAGAACTTTACCTGAGGAATGTGGGAAAACAGCAGCTAGTTCTGCTAAGGACGCACAGATACACAGATTGAAGATAACAGAAACGATGTAACCAAAAAAGTATACTGGACTACCGCCAACACCCACACTGACAGACAGATATGTCCCAATCGCCAAGGGTACTGAAGTAACGGAAAACGAGATTCCTAGTGCGCTCCAGAGATGGAACGGTTTATCAAGTGTTACGGTCTGGACATCACCAATGCCGATCTCATGGCCAGAACCGTCTTCGGCGCTGGTGCTTGAAGTCTTCATACCTTGGTTTCCTTTCCCGGTGATGTCGGACATATTGAAATCGATAACTGATGAGCGAAACAGAGGGAATCATCATAATCATCATACTACTCGAGCCGAACAACAGTTATATACAAGCAGGATTTTTCGTATCGAGTCTAGAATTCGCCAAAGACTCTAATTCCGCTAAGTTTTTACCTATCTGTGATTCACATAACACTGAAGATACAACAGTTGTCACAGCGGTGAGATGTGAAGATGTGCATAGGATAAGTAATCTTCAGAAGATCCTCCTATCTTTTGATGGCAGATAAGCGACCTGACAGGCTGAGAGTAAAGGAATTGCGAATCGCGATTAGCAAATTGCACTAGTGAAAACAACCAATAACGTGCATAGGTTTCAGGAAACTGACAGCGAGGTGTGGGGTGGGGATGAATCATCACAGAAATTGATGACTAGTTAGTTAGTGAACTGTTAACTAATTAACTAATTAGTGTTGGAGCATCTGAATAGTACTGCATCTCATACCGCGTTTTGACACAGTCTATGACCCGGCCCGTGTTAACTTACGGGCCACTCTCATGATTTAATCTCCGGTAACCCCGGACGATAAGGCTGCACCAGGCTGCACCAGGCCTTAGCCATTTGATTGTCTCTCTGTCACTTACCACCTGAAATTCAATATCACCATGCCCCGAAGAAGGCCGAGGGAAGCAGTCAAGCGATCAAAGACCTTCACAGGCTGCTGGACTTGCCGATCCCGAGGAGTAAAGTGCGGCGAGGAGAAACCGGTCTGTGCCAGATGCAGCAAAGGGTCCTTCCATTGTGAGGGCTATGGAGTTAAGCTTGTTTGGCCTGATGAATACAACAATAATCCCACGGGCGCCCAGAGGCGCTCGTTCACCCAGTTGAAGGAGACCAAGAAACCCACACTCAGTGAGCTACAACTTGATATTTCTCTCGCGACTTTGGATGCAGCGACTGTCGTCGATCAAGAGCAGGATGGCCTCTTCTCGGTTTTTAGGCTGTCACCACCCAGAGCAGCTATTTCTCCTAACCAGGTTGGGCCCTCTAACCAGTTCATCGTGGAATATGGGAATTCGGTTTTCGAGGCTTCGTCTAATCAAGACTCCTCCATCTCAACTATATTGGAGGGGTCGGGTGAAGACAAGGTTTTGCACTATAATGAAGACGAAAAATTGGATCTTTCAATTTATAGATGCCGTTCTCCATATAGTTGGCAACACAATATGGCATCTCATTGGGAATTCTGGATGAAAGATGCTATGGATCCTGTTAAACCACTCGAATATTTCACACCCCTTGATGACCCGGGACCCCGAGGAGAACGAGAATTAATGCATTACTGGGTGACGCATCTGAGCGACCTGATGATATCGGTGCGTTTGGCAGACAATCCTTACCGTACTGTCTGGATTCCCATGGCTCTGGAATCCATGGCAGGCAAAGATATCTTGCTTGAGAACTCCGCTCTTCTTCATGCGATCTATACGTTGTCGGCCTTCAACAAATTTCAGCGCGTAGGCTCCAATAGCCTACCTTACTCCATCAGCGCCATCAAACACTACCAATTGAGTCTCGAGTATCTCCAACAGGCATCAATGCAGCAACATGAAGCGCAGCTGGAAGTTGTGCTGGCTACCATTAGTGCTCTATCACTCATGGAGGTCATCAATGGCAACTTCTCATTCTGGCGCAAACATCTCAAAGGTGGCCGTGCATGGCTTCAGTCCATTGAGCGAGGGAATTGGACTCGTTTGCAAAAGTCGGCGACTTATCAATTCTTCCTGTGTGCTGAAGTCATTGGATCCGTCTTTCCAAGGGCTGCCGAGGATACACCCTTACGGAATATTCATAACCGTGTCGTTGGCGACTCAGACTACATCCATAATTCAACCTTTGGTGTTACGAGCATTTTCCTAGACGCAGACTACGTTCTTGATCAATACTTCGGTATTACAAAACCAATTTTGGAGGCCATCACACATATCAATCATATTCTCGCATCTCCCTACCGTCCCTCCAAGACCGAATTGGAAGGACTTGAGATTAAAATTCGGCTCAACAGACCGATTTCTGTATTGAAAAGACAAGCAAACTTTGAGGCCGAAAGCCAGGTACTTATGGATTACAAAATGATGTTCTATTATGCCTGCTATATTCATTTTAAACACAACCTACTGCATACCGCTTCGGAGGACCTCCAAGGGATAGTACGTCACACTCTCATACATTTACGAAACATTGAAAGCCACGAAATAACCCATGGATGCTGTGGAATTTTATGGCCAATCTTTTTGATCGCCTGTGAATCCGACGAACGCAAGTCGCGCAACGCATTCCTTGGATGGTTCTCCACGAAGGCGAGACTGGGATTGGGAAGTATTGCTCCGGCTTTGGCTGTAGTTGTTGAAGTTTGGCGTAGGAGGGATGCTGCAAGGTCCCGTGATAATGACAACTGCTTTGTGAGCTGGGAGAAAGTCATGGCAGAAATGGGATTAGATTTATTTATTATTTAGATAGTTACCATGAGGTTCCGTTCCAATGAACATACATATAGCACGAACTCTACCAAATGAACTATCTGTTTTCCTTACATGAACATGAACTATATTTAGCTCAGATTTACAGCCCTATATAGTCACCAATCTCTTTGTAATCAATCTGCCACAGTCCCGGACTTCCTTTAGGATACTGACTTCGGAACCCGATCATTTTCTGTGCTCGTGGGCTCATTTCCTTCACCAGTTCCATCTGGACCAAAAACGGATAAGCTTCCTCCGGTGTCAGATAACCCGGTTGAAAAGTGAAAGCAAGGCCTCGACGCTTGATATCCACCGACCGATTAGCGCCACCACCATGAACCACTTTCCCAGATATCAAAAGTACATCACCCGCCTTCATCTCTGCTGGGATGGTCATCTGAGGCGTTCCGCGGTTGTTGAAGTCAGACCAGTGGTTGCTGCCAGGTATGACTCTCGTAGCCCCATTTTCTTCGGTGAAATCCGAAAGCGCAATTAAATAGTTGAGCGAGGCCTCCGGGCCTGTGGGTCCTATTGCGATGAAAGGGTGAGTGTTTTCCAAGTCGCGATGTAGAGGCTGCGCGTCATTTCCGGGACTAATCTCAATAACCTGCGCAGTGCTCATCCAGTAGCTCTGGGCCTCCTCCCGGAAGACACGCTCGGCAATGACATGCACCAAGTCGCTATCTAGTAGCGTGTCGCGGAACGTTTTGCTTATCGTCACAAGATTGGTGATTCGTTTGGTCTTCGCGCCGTGGAACTTTGAGATGAATTCATTGCTGTGCGTTGAACCAAAGTTCGCTTCCGCCACCGAGGCGTCGATGTCGTTGTTCAGGCCCTGGAGTTGATCAAGGGTCAAGAAGTTTTCAATGATGACCCCCCCATCGGCTTTGACAATTGCTAAGATTTGTTCAGGGCTGCTATTGTTTGGTACCCTTTTCAATGATGGGGTATGGCTGGTGTTCGACATGACGTGAAGTATGTTCTTTGAAGGATCTGAAATGAGAATATGGGAATGAATTGTTTTGTTATTGTGGAACGGACGTGTTTATCCTTTTATCTTGCGTTTTGCTCAAGTAGTAATCGACAGCGAGGATCAATTTTCCTCTTTATGCAGTACAACGCTGTCAACTGATTACTGAATTTAGTTTATTAAGATGTGCTATAAAACCGAGAATTTTTCAATTAATAATTATGATGAACCTCCTATTACTGTCGAATGTTACGGCGGCGGAGTATGGACAATATGATGATTGGCTTCCAAGAAAGTCCGATAGATGCGGACCCACATGAATGGAAGGCGAGGGCGAGCCCCAAGTAGACATCCAGGTTGATTGATCTCGATATCTAAACCATGGTACCTAATAAATACTGATAATGGCAATCGTGAAATCAAAAGCTGGTGGGGTATATTTAGCCTTAATTATGCACAGGCCTTTATTTGGAATATAGTAACCGATTTTTGCTAGCTTGAACAAAACCAACGTAGGTCCACCAATCCTTTTGATAATCACTCAAAGTTTTATATTGCCTTTTCAAATCATTCCTCAGCATACAACCCCTTCCAAGATCGCCATGCGTATCGCAATTGCTGGTGCCGGCGACTTAGCCAAATACCTCGTCGAAGAGCTCCTTGCCGCCTCCCATGAAGTCGTCGTGTTAAGCCGAAGCTTAAAACCTTGGTTCGAACGCCGTGACATCTCTTTCCGCTCAACCGACTACTCCATCGCATCGTTGGTCGTAGCTCTTGAAGACTGCGACGGTTTGATCTCCGCGCTACTCGACTACTCGTTAGGCAGCGTCACCGCCCACCTTGCCCTCTTGGAAGCCTGTCAGAAAAGCCCAAAATGCAAGCGTTTCATGCCTTCCGAATACGGTGGAAACGTCGATCTCTACCCCGAGTCACCGGAGTTTTACTACGCCAACCATGAGCCTGTGCGGCAAGCGTTGCGCGCCCAGAAGGATGTCATGTGGACCCTTTTCAATATGGGCTGGTTGTCTGACTATTTTGTATCGGCGGGCTCGCGGTATATCAAGGATATTGGTGATTTCCACCCTGTCAACTTTGAGACGGGCGTGATTACCATACCGGGAACGGGCGAGGAGTTGATTTCTTTCACTGCCGCGCGTGATGCGGCGGCGGCGATGGCGCGCCTGATTGACCAGGATAATTGGGAAGCCACGACCTTTGTATGCGGCGAAACGACCACCTGGAACAGCGTTGCTAAGTTGCTGGCGAGGCACGGGAGGGACATGAAGGTCTGTTATGTATCCCTTGATAGTCTGCAGGATTGCATCGAGCAGGGCCAACCGGGTGACGATGATGTCATTGCGGCGCAATATGCCGAGTTCTCTTTGACTGGTGGAGCTATCTTGCCACAGGAAAAGGTAGAACGCCAAAAGGAGCAATATTTCAAGGGCCTGAAGATTCGGTCACTGGAGGAAGTGGTACTGGAAGCAGAACAGAGCCCGGGGACTATTGTCTAGGTATGTGCGATATGTTCGACTGTACTTGGAATCAGGTATTCAATCAAAATTGCATTTTACCCACTGAAATGGGAGATGCTCGATGGCAGTCTGGTCAAAACAGACGGGTCGACAAATGGTGGCAAGAAAACCCAACAACAAGTCAGGTCTGTGAGCTCTAAACAGATGATGCCTATCAGGGATAATCAGATGCTATACCAAGGAGCATAATGATCATAAATCTTGAATCAGGAAATGAGTGGCATTGTTGTAACTGTCTATCCTTCTCTACAGTCGTAGGTTGCCCATAACCCTTCCTCGAGGATATCACTGCCTGAGGCAGTAATAATACAAGTGTCGTGATTTCCCCACTACACCACATAATTCAACCGATTGATGTATGAAGGTAAAAAGTGCGCATTTGTTCCAAATTAGCATCTCCGTCTGGGCATCTCGTAATAAAGTTGTATCAACAGTTATTTTTGGCTGTGATCCATCCAACTCGGTAGATCTGGGAGCGCAAGGAGGATCCAAGCGATATCATGTATCGAATGCAGAGGATGATGATTCAACACCTCGCCCTAGAAAGATTTACAAATCATCACACGATAAGGAAAGAGTCCTGCTCTTATCTACAATTTGTCTTTCACCTATACAGTATCCAATATCCTAGGCCAAAGTTCAGCCGTTAAGCCAAGAGGACTAGCAATCAAACTTCGTGTCACTAAATCAAAACCCGAGAAAAGGGTTCGAGTAGCTCGCTGTGGCTTTCCCATGCCGGATTTCTCCTCAGGTTGAAAAATCCACAACAAAAGGCTTCGACCTGTATATAAAAACCTCCTACGTAGACCATCGAAGTAGGATCGAAGCCATATCCCAAGTCCTGAAAATCGCATACTATTCCTTCTATAAAAACGTCAGCCATTGTGCGTCGACCAATCTGCCCTCCCACGTCCAAGAAAATGTCCGATGAATACAAATCCCCCCTCAACTCTCGCGGTATTAAATGCTTCAACTCAGCCGGAATGGGTACAAAGCTCTCAACCCTCTTGCACATTTCCTCCGCAGTCGTTCTTCCGCCAAATGCCCGCCAGGTCGTGACATCTGGGCAGACCGGCATGCGCGAAGATCTGAGTTACCCGCCTTCGCTAGTCGAGCAGTTTGACCTAGCCTTCGCAAATGTGGAGGCATCTCTCGCTGCCGCCGGCGTGCAGGATGGGTTTCAAGCTGTTCACCAGATGACATCGTATCATGTTGGGGGTTTGAGTGGTGGTGAGGTGGACGAGGCTATGGAGTTCGTGGTGGGGAAGTACTTCGGCAAAAATCGGCCTGCTTGGACTGGAGTTGGGGTGAGCGAGCTATATGGGGAAGCAAAGCTTGAAATTACAGCCTATGCTACGTTGGTGGAATGAGTTTGCTGGGAATTCTTTCGGGGGAACATTTTGTGAATTACTCATTGTTCGCTGTACTGACTTGTGTTTCAATCATGCCCTCATAGGGTGAGTTACATTAGTCGCGCAGGCCCAAAGGCTTTTCGTTAAATTCCTTTACTTGTCTTCTTGCTCAAAGGTACTTCCTATTGCTTACGGCCGTATTTAAGGGTAGAGAGATCCTTAATTCGCTATTCGACTATGCGGCGCCGAATCAGACGGAAGCCCCACGGCTAGAAAAATATTTCATAGTATAAAAAGCTAAACTAGGAATAAAACAGGGTCTGATCTTGCAGCTATATGATTGGAGGAGGGAGGGAGGCTTTTATATGGAATTGAGGAATAACGACGGTGGCATAGCAGATAGTACTGCTGCGCCTTCTTTTTTTACCTAGTGCTGTAAGGCATTGGGTTTCTATTATGTTTGAGGTTATAGGAACTTTCTTGTATGTAGAGCTAGTAACCTTTTTTTTTCCTTTCGAGGACCAGATCGTTTTCTTCGTATAGGCATTATCAAGCGTACGGACTAGTTCTTGCTTCAACTAGAGAGAAGCGCCTACATGGTCATTACGATACCAGTTAGGCTGCAACAGGTCAATAGAACTTTTATTGATTGATTGATTGATTGATACTAGGACGATGACTTGAAACTTTTGCAGACCAAGTTCGGCAATAGCGGTCTCGCGTTCATGCAACCATGCAAAGTATCTGGGGATTTGGAAAAGCCTATATCCGACCACATACAAGTCAGCACTGTGGATTGAGTCTCGAAAAACAGTGTTGCTTATGAAACTTAGGATACTCGCACTAAGTGATGTCAACTCTAAGTTATTCCTCGACATACTTAAGGAGTCGCAGGGCGACCTGTTTCGTCAATTTAGCATGACTGCTGAGAAAGTTGTTCGTCATTTGAGGATACTATAGTCTCAAAGATAGAGCGAAAGAAGAAAAATAACGATAAGCTAGAATCAAGGCCCTAGTCTGCTACTTCGCCCTTTGGTAGGGGTAGATATGTTAACCCGTCACTAGACACCATCGTGCGGCTAGGTCACTGGCTAGACCTAATTTCGGTGGCCTTTCTGCGTCGATATACACCAGCTAGTTACCGGATTCCGGATTTTGATTATATCGTCGTATGACTTTTTAGCTCCCAGAGGGAAAGAAGAACAAAAAACATACAACAGTAAGGATTCGCTAGTGGTCACCCACCTAACTACTAACTTACCGGCGTGTGGCTTAAGTACGGCTGAGCGGACGGGAAGCCCTGTTCTCCACACCCTGTGGTCGTATGTACTGGATTTCCAGTCAAAGGAAAATATGTAGATTAGATTACTAATGTAATTTCGGTGATACCATAGCACGACTAAGTGCGAAAATAGTGAGTGTGGTCGACACCTAGGCAATGATGATAGCAGGGTCATGCTTGATGACTGGACAATTGTTACTCAGTATTCATTCACGACGAGAAACGACTTCTATTCACAGAGCCCTTGATTGATATTTGAGTTCAGTCCGAGGTAGCATCCGCAAGCTGGAGGACATATTTTCCAAGCAATCTTCCACAGTAAATCTCATTTACCTCTTTCAAATGTTCCAAGTCTACGTTTTATACCGGCCTTCGATGAAGATATCGGGCTTAGAAGCGGACTAGGACACGCTCCGCTTGCCCAATCAGACGAAAGTAGCAACCCAAACATCCATAGCCCTAACTCCTTTCCGACCCCCCTGTATACCCTCCAAGCTCGCCTCACACGCATCCCGTGACGCAAGAACTACCGCGCGCTCCCTCTCATCACTAATACTCTCCTCTACTTCCCTTTCAAAAGAAGAAGAAAGACAAGCAGAGACTTCCCATTGTCCGTCCAACAACCCCTCCCCACCTTGCACGAGGGTCTCACTCTCCAGCTGCCATCCAGCAGCCAGAGCTATCTCGGTAAGCCGCTTTGGCCCCAGCACCGTGCGGATGTTTGAGACGCTGTTATTGGGTTTACGGCACTCCAGCGCTGCCTGGGTGAGCGCAGCCAATACGTGAGGCTGGGAGGAGGGGTGTGTTGCTACCAACGACCACTCAGCAAGGAGGAGACGCTTGCTATGCTGCTTGATGGCACGGAAGGTGGACAGGATGAGCGAGGGAGAGGCGAAGTACCATAGGCTGTGGGCGAGCACTGTTGCGTCAAAGGCCTTGCCTTCGTTGATAGGCGGCGAGGAGGTGGAAGAGAGAGGAGGAGAGATAGTCCAGAGGGGGTTGTTGAACCCAAGTAATCCGTCCTCCTAGCGGGCCTTGCGAGATGTGACCTTGTGCTTGGCCGAGAGTATACGGGGCACCTGCCGGAACCATCAGCTGGCTGCTTTGCGTGCTGTGCAACGAACAATAGACAGGGTCAGAAATGCTAGATGACTCACCATATTCCAATTCCGCCGGATCGACCGCGACTACTTTCCCCTGCTCACCTACAGCATGGGCAAGGACAGTCGTGCAGTCCCCCTGCCCGCATCCTAGTTCCAGCACCTTCGAGTCAGTGGGGATGTTCCAGTGCTCCAGGAGAATTAGGCGGTGCAAGGTTTGGGAGTACTGGAGGCTGAAGTTATTGGGATCATGTAGGGAGGCACGGGCGATAGAGGCGGCGTCGAGTTGAGTGGACATGTTGTGCTCGATGGGTGTTGGTCACAAGACAGTTCAGTGGGCTTTTTTCGTAGCTAGGTGACAGAACTCGGAAATAGGTCTTCTATTGAAGCAGCTGAGGAGCTGCGGATGGGAACATCTTATAGTGTGAGACTTGGGGGTCGACTGGAAGCCTACAACAATGTCAGCATAGGGGGTAAGCTACTATTGATATTCTTTTGTGTGAAAAAGCCTCCAATGTTTTAGGCATCTACCGGAGTATTCGGAGTAAGATAACGGGTGATTTTGCCGGCAATGTACTGAAACGCAAAGCATACTACTTTGAGCAGTCTCCTTTTTAGGGAACTCTTGAGTGTCAATGGGAAATTGACCAATTACCCCGCTTCCTAGAATGACTCACTGGATTTCCCTGCAATTATAGAACCAGACATCTTATCTAACGGATTGGCCCTGCCGTTGCTCAACATATAGAATCATATGGTGCAGGATACAGGATACTATCTCTGGGACCACCAGTGCCCGCGTCTGAGCTTCGTTTTCGGACATATTCTTTCTTTTTAGGATATTGTCTATGATATTGTCTATGATATTTTTATGGATAAGAATTCAGTCTGGCCGGCTTGGGCATCTGCTGTGAGCTGTTCAGTGTAAGAGTGGAGTATATTCGACACAAATTCAGTTAAGCGCAGGGGATTGCTGATTTATCCAACAAATGTTCTGATGCTCTTCACAAGTCAAATCAAACAACCCCATGTTCCACCAAGCTATCCGCTGTGTCCAAAACACACTCTTCAAACGACCTAGGTTTCCACCCAAGTACGCTCTTAGATTTCTCGTTGTTGATGAGCTTTTGGACTCCGAGTTCTGGGAGAATGACGCGGAGATCTGCACGAAACAGTGCAATAGCACGGACTAACAAGTTTGGCAACTCCCAAGTCGGCAGACGTTCGGCGTGTGCAGGTCTTCCATCGCGCAACACATTTGCAAGATCAATCATTGCAAAGGGCCCGTTGTCACATGTTCCAATGAACCTCTGACCCGCAGCGGCCGGGTCTGTCATGGCAAGAATGTGCAATTGAGCGAGGTCGCGCACATCGACCACCCCAAAAGAGATCTTCGGGCACCCAGGCAATTTACCTTTCATCATTTTCTCAATGATTTGAATCGATGTTGAAAAGTCTGGGCTCAAGACAGGCCCAAAAACACCGGTAGGATTGATGACGGCAAGCTCCATATTTCCACCTTCATTCTGAATAAAGTCCCATGCGGACTTCTCGGCTAGAGTCTTGCTTTTGTGGTAGGCAGGCACAGGAATCTTGCCATCGAGAACAGACCAATGATCCTCAGTGAACAGGGGCATCTGTTCATGTCCGTACCCAATTGCCGCGAACGATGATGTCAGGATCACTCGCTTTACACCAGCATCACGAGCGAATCTGAGGACACGGAGAGTTCCCTCTCGTGCAGGGACAATCAATTCGTTTTCGTCTTTGGGTGTCGCTCCAGGGAATGGGGATGCAACATGCTGGACAAATGTGCACCCTTGCATCGCTTCAGCCCAGCCCTCATCTTTAGTGAGGTCGGCCACAGCGAAGGACAGGTTTTCGACATCAGCACCAGCCTTTTGGAGAACATCTCGAAGATCCTTTTCTCGCGACGGGGTTCGGATTGTCGTGCGAACTTTATACCCAGCACGAAGGAGTTGAAGAATGAGGTGAGATGCGATGAATCCCGATCCTCCGGTAACAAGAACAGACAGCGCACCAGAACCGTCTTCAAGATGTTGCGACATCACTGCGGGGGAAGGCGTGAATAGAAGAAATTTGGAAGTAGAAGAGGCGAATGACTGACAGAAGAGAGCATGCAGCCCTTTTTATATGTAAACTGGCCATCATTTCCCGGCTCCATGTCATCTGCCAAGAAAGAAAGTTGTCGTACTCGCTGTACCAAACTGATGATCTTAGTTCTGATTCGTTTTGGCAGGCGGAAGGACGCTAGGGTTCCCTTGGTACGCTAGCTGTATTTGGTTAGTTTCCCTGTCATCGAGCCGCACGAATTGGTGGATTCTGATTGTGAAATCTTTTCACTATTCAATAAAGCATCCTATATATTCTTCTTTGATACTAGACCAAGTACATACGACCACAGGGTGTGGAGAACAGGGCTTCCCGTCCGCTCAGCCGTACTTAAGCCACACGCCGGTAAGTTAGTAGTTAGGTGGGTGACCACTAGCGAATCCTTACTGTTGTATGTTTTTAATTTTTGTTCTTTTTTCTCCCAATATGAGAAAACACAGGGTTTGCTGGCCTAGTGGGTGGGTACACAGCACGAAGATTAAATAGTAGAACTTGCGGCTATGTTGTCCATCTGATAAACATCACCAAGTATTTTTAGGCTTTGAATGGCTCATACGAGATCTAGATCTCACGCATTGGGCAAGTTCCACTTCAGACTTGCTGAACTAGCAAGCTGAATACGATGAGATATAGAAAGAGGTCAGAAGTTCCGGCGGTAAAATGGCGGTAACATTTGTTAAAAGTTACGATGTATGTAGGGAAATAGTGACGACCGAGGATGTACAATATAGATAATCTTGAATGAGTTACCTAGTTGTTCAAAACTGACTATTCTCATTTATATAAGAATCTCCTTATGCACTGTAAATCTCTGCCTCAAGCACGTCCTAACTCAATTCTTAGATGATGAATAATTATGTATCAGATCCAGTTTGGTTTGACAGACCGAATGCGCTGGATTGTTATACACGGGATGATTGACGTCACATATAGCCTGACGGAGTGCGCTACTTAATGTGGTGGGAGAGCTGACTTCCTGACGGTAGTCATAGTAACCTTTGGTTCGGTGTGCAACCTGCTAAGCTCACCTAGTGGGTCGTAACAATATGTCTAAGGGCGATTCGTACGAAATATTGCTATCAGATATGTTTTGTAGTTCCGACTAGACTAACTCTTTCAAACTAGAATCATTAATAATACTCGTGTGGTGATATTTCGTGGCACTAGCGGCATAGAAGATTGTGCCGCGACAAAGGGTGCCATTGATGGTTTTACAAGATCCCTGGCTAAGCAGCTTATGCCTAAGGGCATTCGCGTCAATGCGGTCGTGTAAGTGCCCTTTAAAAGACATCCTTTCTAGTGCCACTCGGCTTACACGGAAAGGCCTAGAGTGATCTATACTCCTATCTAAAACGACATACGTGATACCGAGTCAATGAAAGAATGGGTTATAGGCAAAAGTTTAGGTCGCCCTGGTCAAGCGAGCGAAGTTGCCCCTAGCTTCGTTTTCTTATCCACCCTAGATTCCTCTTTTTACTATAGCCTTCCCTTGTTTGAATTAGCACTGAGACGATAGCGAGGCTCACTAACTACTGTTTATGGATGGGCAAATTCTGCACTGCTATCCGCTAAGCGCCTAGGCCTTTCAAATAGCTCTAGATATAGCTAAATGACTTTCGTGGAAAAGTTATTATTCTTTCCAAACTCTTTCTTCCCTTAACAAATTCTCTTGCTTATTTCTGACTTTGGGGATCAATGCATTAGCCCTAGAAACGTCGGAAGCAATTTTATGAGCTGTGTATTCACTAGGAACCCCAACGTAGCCTCCTAGACCTTCCCTATTTCCGGGAAACTGAAGTCTATACATGGGATCTTCAGCCCACACTGCCGAATGAACACGAAATTGTATCTGAATATAATTTCATTTGAAAAATCTAGTAAATGATCTAGAGGGAGTGGGGGGATGTGGCAATCTAGCTTGATCCTTATTCACGCCTACTCCCTTTCTTCTGTTTCCTCTTTACCTCCGTTATCCATTCGAATTTGATTCAAGACTGATTATCTCTAGCTATCTCCCAAAATCTGCCTTGCTCTTTAACCTCTGTTTGGGGCCCACGTGGAAGCTAATGGTTTGCTGTTAGTAGCAGTGTGAGCACTACGGGTCGAGCGTGATCGCAGAGGACATTCAACTTGCAATATGATGCTCTCTAAGCAGGGAACGAACAATGTTTGTTAATTAACTATTTACACGGGCTGATCATGTTAGGTCGTGAAACGGGATAAATAGAAAATGAAATGGTCGACTAGCGAATCTGTTGCGATGGAAAGTGAAGGTGGGAGAGTGAAGAGAAAGAAAGAGTGAAGGAAAAGACGTGTGCCATCAGCTTTAAAAAGTTCTAGCTCCTCACCCATTCAATATTTCATCGTCTGGTGTCGCGAAAGTCTTTATACGACCCTCTATCGTATACACGCATCGTCGTTCCCTTATGAAGTTGCTAAGCTCGTTTCATCGCTACTCGGTAATATACGCGACACTCATGTACCCAAAACAGAAGTAATATAAACCAACACTAAGATAACGACCATTTACCCGGGCGATATCTCAGATTTTCACGCTACAGGTCGATAAAGGGGAACGAAGGTACCTTCCGGGTGTCAGCATATATTCACTTCCCACTAGATATTCACATACGCCACCGTATTTTGGCTTTACCCTCATGATGGAGGCTTGATTTCGCAAGGGCACCGATGCAGTTTCATAGACTATGGCACCGGGCTAGAGATATCGTAGTTACTAAATCAAACCCTAATCCCGGATCCTGTGCCATCCCATATCAAAGTGCGAAGAGCGGCTGAAGTGTCTGCGATTATTAGGGGTATCGAAGAATCAAGATATTTTGCGTTCTGACAGTCTCTATAAGTGGACAGCCTAAGCCTTGATAAAGATACTTGCGCGCCAAGCAGAGGCTCGCTGCCAACAAAATCCTCACTGCCGACTTACGGGGGGCACTTGTGAGCTTCGATTAAGTTTGGTTAAACTCCTCGATTGGTTTGAGCCAATAATGGCGTGACACAACTTGCGTTCGGAATGTGAGCTCAAGTACAGTGATTTGGTGTACAGAATTACACACCTGTCAATCATTTGCTGTGTGCGGTTGGGGATAATTAATCCGTGGGTATTAATTGGCTATGCTACCCGCTTGGGTCGCTACTGTAGATCGGGCCCCATCGATCACAAGTTGCATGTAGCGTGTGGCCCACCTGAGCCTGAGCCTATGAGGTCTTCCGCATGCCCCGAATTTCGACCCAGTCTTTGTGTTACCTGACCAACTTTATGCAAAAAAGCACTTCAAAATGTCAAGACCTTCCTAGTCAGTCCTGATCATGCATATTTAGCCACAAAGTCGGGTCGACACATTGGACCCAACTTGGGGCTTGCGGAAGGCTAGGCCCTAGTCATAAGAGCGGGGTTGAGGCATGACGATGGTCTGCAAGGAAAGAATAGCAGACGAGGCTGTTTAAATAGCAGGATGTTTATGGGAATCCTCTACACAACGTGCTGTTCATAACTTGAAGCCAGTCTGCCTGCGCTGATTCTACCGATTCTACTCCCTTACGTGAAACAATCCCTCATTCTTCCTATCAGTTCAACTACCTAGTCCTTGATTCCCTACCGCCACCATGAAACAAGAAGATATGGAAAGAAACATCCAGGAGCTTCGGGCCGCGCCAGGGCTCGGATTTCCGCTCCAATTTTTGTATTCCAAGATATTCCAAGAGCCTATTGACAAACCCCCTTTGATTCCCCTCGAGGAGGACGTCCGTAGGGCATTTGCCTTCCTGGACGAAATCGCCGAGAAACTGCCCCTGACAGATCTGGGCTGCCAGCATGAAGTTTACGATATCAACCATGACTGGGTCCGTCATGTCCTGCGGGAGTTCAAATCATGGCATCATGGCATTTCGGGAGGGATCGTCATCAACACCTACAGACGACTGACCCCGCCAGAGTACCAGACACCGGAACATATGAAAGTGGTATATATGCTTTTCGCTTCGGTGGAGCTCTCTGTGGGCATGACTATTATGCCGGATGATCAATTTGACCTGACCATGGAGCGCCACCAGACACCTTCCTGGTACCGCACACATCCCGTCAGTCTAGGGACTGACACCATGATTGTGGCTGCTATGTCTCATAGAATTCTGATGAAACTATTTCCCCGGGGTCATCCATGCTTTGCCGACATCCTCGACGCCCATCTACAATTTATGCAGGATTCTGTAACCTACTTCGGCTATGATTCTGCCCATTGGCATAAAATCGGCCAGCATCGTTATCAAGAGGTGTTTGACCACTACACCAAAGACCTTGAGAGCTTTTCTACCAGCAAACCGCTATCAAATGATCCTATCATTGTCAAGAGTCCAGTGCCCTTTGAAATGCTGGGAGTGAAAGCATACGGTCAACACACCACCATTCGTACGACGCAATTTCTCCAGTTCTGTGTCAACGTGGGACGCATGGCCGCATGCTATACTTCCGTGGACGTAAAGGCAATGGACAACGTGGTAGGAAAGGCGATCGACTTCCTCACTCCCTTCGACGACTACCAAGAATACCACAGCAAGGGCAGCGTCAAATACGAAGACATCACAGGCGGTGCCCCCGAAATCTTCATTTCCGTCCTCATGGACACTCTAAGGGAGCCAGGGTTCCCATCTGAGAAGCGTGCACAAGTGATGACAGTTCTTGAGCGCAACTTCGGGACTCATTCGATCGCGGGGGCCAAAATCATTGCCAACATCTACGAGGAACTGGAGATCCCCGAGAAGGTTCGCCAGCTTCTATACAAGAGGATCGACGATTTGGGCCAGGCAGTCACGCAACAAGCTGTAGCCATCAACTTCCCCACAGCGATCCTCTTTGACATGATAATTTATATATGTCGGGAGGATGGAACACTCGATCCTGAAGTCATTCAAGGAGTTCATACATTGACGAGCGGACATGGCTATGCGAGTAAAGGGGGGGCATATACGGCGCCCACAGACTTCCTAAGGCGATTGGTTGACTACTTTCGGCCGTCGATCGAGCCAACTCATTGACATGTAAGCTTCATAAGAGATGGATATCTACATTAAACTCAACTGTGCAAGTATTGTCATTGCTTCAACGTAACAACCTGAATTACCCGAGAGGTGGCCACAAAGGTCATTCAGTATCCGAGGAGTGGTTGTCGGTGGATGAAGGGCAGATAGCATACGAATCCGTCACTTTAGAGCAATCAAATATCATAGAGTATCATCTATTAATTTGAGTGATATAATTCTCACTCCGCTTTGCTAGCTTGGCAAGTTGTGATGGAGCATTGCATATCACCCTTTTGAAGAGTATCAAACGTATTTGAACATATTTGAAAGCAGTCATTGATTTGTATTACATTTTAGACTGTATTGGGTCTTATGGCACTCAATGGTCAGTGTCTTCACTCAACACAGCGTGTTACCTCAGAGGAAGCGCGTCGGGGACCTGCGAGTGATTGAATTGTAATGACGCTTTTATCCAATCAGAAGACCCCATAACGGGCCGTATTGTCACCCCGGCTTTAGTTACGCTTCGAATCGAACCGAACTTTTGGCTGACTCGATTCGATTCGAATTCATATTGAAACTAATAGTTCGTACGAATTCGAAGTTCGCGAACCTTTTTGTACTAAAGCTTCATTGCGAAGGCAGTCAATCACGCCTATTGTCCAAAACGAAAGGCAGTAACCAACACCTCATACATGTTTACAGTTACAATGCAAGTAGGGGAATGGCAACGGCCGAGAATATACAATTTAGATCTTCTTGAAAGGATGACCGAATTGTTTAAGTCTGAGGATTCATTAATATATGATGAACCCCTTTAATACTCAAAATATCTGACTCAAGCTAGTCCTGATTCAATTCCTCAGATAATGAATCACAATGGTTGCCGTCATGGCTCATTCATGGAATAAGCCATGGCCGGCAGCCATAATTCTTGAGAAAGTTCACGGGCCTTTGAAGTTCTCTTTTGATGCGAACATAACATCGCACAACTCAACTCGCGTACTGCATTCAATACAATATGTGTTGAACCTTTGTTATGAAAAATGATATGTCGTTAAGAACATATTATATTTTAAGTAATATGCCTACGGCTGTCTAGCTCTTAAAGGACATTGCCGGAAACCTGACCCGAATTATGCATAAAAGTAAGAAACCCCCGCAGCCCCACAAACTCATGAGATAATCAACCTCCGTGTAGGGTATTCATATTTTAATCTCTTGCATACATTTTCAACCCCTCTTACCGAAAATTTTCAAAAGCCGTCAAGTGTTCTCAAGTTTCAAGTCAGCAATTAGCTCATTTCTTCGCCTCTTTCGAGTCGCCGTGGACCTGAAGTCTGACACCTTCTCGCTCAACAACCGATCAATATGTCTCAAGAAACAGTCAGACCGGCTTTTGAAGGCCGCGATCGTCCTCTCATAGCTCATGGCGTCTCCTTCCCTACAGCTGTAGCTCGCCACCTTGAAGACATTTTCAACGCTTCGCGCGTATATGTGATCTGCTCTGGAACCTTGGCACGTACCACCGACACATTGGGACGACTCACTGCTACTATTGGCCCTGAAAAGATAGTTGGTCGTCGAATTGGCATGAAAAGCCATACACTATGGTCCGAGGTTTTGGAGATTACTGCGGAAGCTAGAGCCGCCCAGGCAGATCTGATATTGACAATTGGAGCGGGCAGTCTGACCGATGGCGCGAAGATCATTGCATTGGTAAGCTGCTTTCTTTCTCTGCTTCTGTACTGATACAGTGTCGCAACTCAAAAGAATCGTTAACATTCCTCTAGGCTCTCGCAAATGATATCCGCACTCCAGAAGAGCTGGAAACTCTTGCCCAAGGTCCAAATAAGCGAGAGAATATCCAAAATCCAACCGTGCCCATTATATCAGTGCCAACCTCCCTTTCTGCTGGCGAGTACTCCAACTTCGCGGGTGGCACGGAGGACCACTCAAAGCGTAAATACAGCTTCCAGTCGCCAACCCGTGGCCCCGAGCTGGTAATCCTGGACCCAGAACTGGCTCAAAGCACTCCGGACTCCATTTGGCTCAGTACAGGCGTGCGGGCTGTTGACCACTGCATAGAAACGCTGTGCGCTGTGGTGGGCACAACGAACTCATCGGACGAGCTAGCGCAGCGGGCATTGAGCTTGTTAGTTCCCGGCCTGCTGCGTTGCAAAAAGGACCATGCAGACCGTGAGGCATACCTGCAATGTCAACTTGGATCCGTCGAAGCCATGGCGGCTTGCACGAGCGGGTCAATTGAGCTGGGTGCTAGTCATGGAATTGGCCATCAGGTATGCAACCGTCTTTCAAACTTCGTGGCCGTTTTTCTATTTCTAATGTATTTAGCTTGGCCCCCTTGGGGTTGGTCATGGCGAGACTAGTTGTATTCTTCTACCAGCCGTGTGCAAATACAACGCCAAGTACAATGCAAACCGAAATCAGCAGAACAAAATCCGCCAATTTTTGATCAAAGATCCTGTTGTGTCGGAACTGCTACGAGCACGGTCAATTAACGTGGATGCATCCGACCTAGGTGATATTTTGGATGCTATCATTCGCGAACTTGGAATGCCTCGGACCCTAAGTGATGTCCGAGTTGGTCGCGACCAACTAGATGGATTGGCGGCAAACAGTCTGCACGACCGGTGGTGCAAGTCAAACCCAGTTCCCCTGAAGGAAAAGTCTCAGGTACTGGAGATTTTAGAAATGGTTGTCTGAAGGGAAATATCAACGAATTGCATGCGCTCTTTATTTACAAAAATGCGAACCAAATGATTCGATCTGATAGTTTTCCTCACTCCGCACCTCTGCTAGACTTCCGCCAAGTGACGATCGTGAAAAGAATCGCAATGACAGAACCCAGTCCTGCCAGACCTAGTCCCATATAAGACGCACCCCGATATCCCTTGAGTGTATCTGAGCCGTCGGGGTCCACATATCTCTCAACTGTGCCCGCAAAGCCGAGACCGAGCCCTATAGAGTAATTGACAACAGTGTTGACCAGTGAGCCTGCCACTCCCTGATGCTCTCGGGGCATAGAGTTACTAAGAATCAATGTTCCAGATGGGAACGACATGTCCCTATTATGCGTTAGCCGTGAAACCTTCATTGCCATCATATAGTCAACTTACATTCCCCAAGGAGTGATCAGCATGATCAGGAATGCATTGGCCCAGTAAGTCTGACCAGGTGGTATAGTGGCCAAAAGCGACAAGCCTATCGTGAAGGCAAGCATTGCAGCAAGCATGATAAAACTCGGGGGCACTCGGCTCAAAAGAAGACCAGTTATAACCGCAGCAGTTGCCCCGGAAGCAGATGCACCTGCCCATTTTGCTGTGACCAACAGCCCACTGTTGTGATCAATCGTTTCGAGGAAGTTGTAGTAGTAAAATATCAAAATTCCGAAACTCGACCATCCCGCCGCAACGCACCCGAGCACCCAGCCAACCTCGCCCTTGAATACTGAGCTCGGGAGGAGCGGAAAGACAGCTCTTCTCTCGACAATCAGGAAGACCACCAGGATTAAAATTCCGACAACAAGCAGAACATAAGTGTATGGCACATCCCACCCAACCACAGGCGCCTGATTCCACGCAAAGGCAATCAAGACAAGACCACTCACACCAGTGATAGCACCCAAGCCGTCCAATTGAGCAAAAGTCGAGCCTAGTGTTATATCCAACTCTTGTATCTCATCCCGAGGAATAAGCACCAAGCCCAAACCAGCGAAACAAAAACAAGCAATGCCCATAATCCAATACCCCCACGGCCACCAAACATGCTGAGCAAGCAGTGAGCAAAACGTAGCACCAAGTGTGAACCCACCGGGAGCAGTAGCGCCAAAAAGACAAAAGACCATATCCTTCTTCAGACCGGGCGGATAAGTCCTCCCAAAAATAGCAACCGCATTTGGCAAAAGCAGCGCCGGTCCAATGCCCTGCAAGGCGCGACAACAATCGAAGAAGATCTGATTCGACCATACGGCGAACCCGCCAAGCAAAGACCAAACGCCAAACCAGGTGAAGCCTATGATGAATAGGAGTCTGTGGCCGTATATGTCGCCCAGTCTGCCTGAGACGAGGATGAATGTTCCCACTGTTAGACTGTAGGCTGCCGAGGCCCAGGTCAAATCTCGGGGTGATGTGTTGAAGCTTTCTCCGATGTAGTATAGTGGGGCGATTGATAAGGATAGACCAGCTTGGGTCATTAATTGGGCTGCGCAGACCACTGCGATGAACGCTGCTTCTTTGATTGGTGATTGCTGTTTCGAGGGTGTTGCTTCTTTGGTTTGGAGTTCTGGATCTGATGTCGTTGATCGACGATTCTCGTGCTCCTTCATATCTACTTCGGACATTTTCGAAGCCTCTTTCTTCGTATCTGTAGAGAGAAATCAGAGACTGGACTAGAATTGGAATAGGAGGTGGTGTTATGATGCGTACCAGTGGTGATGCAGCTACCCAAAACTCCCAACTCTCTTTCTCGACGGTTTGGAATATGGTTGAAGAACAAATAAACTCAAGAAGTAAAGGCCCCTAATATACTGAACCCCGGCCTCAAACACTTTAAACTCGACCCGGCAGACCGGTTCCGATGCGAATGACGAACGGAAGTATACTTCTTCTCCCGCCAGTGCCGCGCGGGCCGCGGGCCGATACCGCATCGCCGGGGCGTTTAGGATCAAATAGCCGATCGCCTCGCGTTTTCGGAGTATAAAGAGGATTCTCGTACTAATTGCGTCACTTGATCTACACGAACTATCAGGGCTCCTCGCCTGCACAAAATGAGCGAAACTATGAAAGCTGTGCAAATCGCCCGCTCAACATCCTCTCCAACACTGTCCCTGGAGACACTCCCCATCCCAACCATCAAACCAGGCCACGCGTTAGTCAAAATAAACTACTCATGCATCCATCCTTCCGACCGTCTCAACGCTCAAGGCCTCTTCCCATCAACAACCTACCCACGCATCCCAGGCCGGGACTTCTGCGGCACAGTGGTAGAGATATCCGACTCTGACACGCCCAACGCATCCAAATCCTGGCTTGGAAAGCATGTCTACGGCACCAGCGGATCGAGTCTCGGGTTTACAAGCGATGGCCCTCATGCGCAGTATTGCTTGATACCCCACGGAGCTCTGGTCGAGAAGCCAGCTTCTCTTTCTGCGTTGCAGGCCGCGACGGTTGGTGTGCCGTTTACCACTGCGCTGATCTGTCTGCAACGGGTCCAGGCTAAACCGGATGATGTAGTTCTTGTTCTGGGTGCCACTGGCGCGGTTGGCTCGGCTGCTGTGCAGATTGCCCGGGCTATGGGGTGTAAGCGGGTTTTGACTGCTGCGCGGAGGGCGGAAGCCAGTCCTGATATTCTTTTGTCTGGGGAGAATGGCATTGAGGGTCTTGCGGCGCGGGTTTTGGAATTGACTGGTGGGAAGGGTGTTGATGCGGTTGTTGATACGGTGGGGGATGTGGTGTTGATGGGTGTTCTGGTTGAATTGTTGGCGCGGAAGGGGCGTTATACTTGGATTGCGGCGCCTAGGGATGATGTGAGTAAGATGTTGTCGTTTGATATTTTCCAGGCGTATCGAAAGGAGATCACCCTTGCTGGGTGCAATTCTGTTAGTCCTCCTATTGGGGATGCGGCTGAGTTGTTGCGGGCTCTTGGGGATTGGATTGACCAGGGATTGTTGTGTGCGAAGGACGAAGGATCTTTTAGAAGGGTGACAGTTGATAACTTGGTTGATGAGGGGTATAGAGGGGGTAAGGGGCAGGTTGTAATTGAAATGGAATGAGATATGATACATCGAGTGCAATCAATCACCAGTCATACAGACAATGATCCGGGACGCGTTAAATTGAGTGACAGGCGAACAATGTACAATGACGAAGGTCAAGCAAGGCAAGAGTAATCCTTGCTAGAGTAACACTTAACTCTAACCGAAAATAAGCCAGGGTGTATCAAAGTAAGACTGAGCCAATTCGTGAACAGCCCATTGGCTTCCAGCCTTTGTGTGCATTAATATCCTATACTTCATTAGAGACAGAATAAATCAAGGGGATTAATTAAGAAACCCCATATCTAATAGAAAGTCTAAATCAACGGGATTTTGATCAGACGAGATGAAATTCGCAAAGTCCTGGTCTTGCGGCAGCTGGGAATCCAATCCTTCTACTGCATCGTCTGAAGCAGTTGGACCGACAATGCGCTCCATGATGTCAACACCCTTGCGCCTTCGATCCAACGAAGCTCGAACAAGGTTCCTGGCAGTGGCTAAAGCCTCAGTGGCGAGATGTGTTTTCCAATGCTCCACAATCATACCCAATGTATCCATAGCTTCTGGTAGAATGGTGACGCTGGAGTGGGTATCGATGGCCAAAAGAACGCAGACAAACTGAAAAACAGTGCTTATGACATTCCACCATGGCTGATTTTGACTTGCAAGTGCACGAGCCGCGGGTAAAGCAGACATGCCTGTGGATATCACTTGGTCAAGTAAGCTCTGTCGGATATTTGGTTCTGCTAGACGAAGGCGGCGGTAAACCGAGAAGACCAGATCTGCTCGGACGAGGACAAGAAAATGATGGTCAGCAGGTGAGTCTGCTAGTTTCTTTATGGCTGTAGAAAGATCAAGTATTGTTGTCGCAGAATCGAGTCCCATCGGGGTTAATGGGACAATCCCAACAAGGCTGCACAAATTGGGTGTAAAATCCCCTGCGCGGTTTGATATGGGTAAATCATCTTGTGATGGGAAGTCAAGGTTCATGACAGATCGACCATATTCATAAGCGATAATGACGTGTAAAACATGCGCAACACGTGCAGTTCTTTTCAAAATATCTGAAATCTCTGGGGCAGAGTCCTGAACACCTTTGTTTGTAGTCAACAAAACGAGTTGTGGTGCCTGGTTCAGCCCTGTTGCTTCGACGAGATGCATGGTAGTGTAACTGCAGATCCAGGCTACATGGGGTCGACTGGTGGCTCGAATATAGATTGTCCGTAATATCCATGCTCCAATAAGGTCAACGGATGGATAGCGACTAACATAAGAATCCTCCAGAATATCTTTTGCGTGTAAGGTCAACCACATTTCTTCATCTTGGTCTAGGGATCCATTGAACAATGAAGACAGAGCAATTACGCCGCAGACAATAGCTTCGAACCCAGGGCTTTGTGATTGATCATGCCAATGGGCTTCACACCGCTCATAGAAACGGTCCTTGTCGAGGAACCCAAATACCGGATGAATGGTGGCGAAGAAGAACTCCAGTAGAGATCTTGCTGTGTTCCATGGCATTCGTTTAGCAAGTTCCAGGCTGGCCTTTGAGTCTGGCTCCCCCGGATCCCAGTGTGATAGCCAAAAGAATGCAGTCGTGGAGGCTTCGCTGCTTGCACCTCTAATCCCACGCAGAGGGGAAAGGCGACAGAGGAATATTTGCCAACGTATCGTGATTTAGTGGAATCAAGAATCCCCGACGGAATGGAAGAAGTACCCTTCACATCGGTTACTGCCACAGCTGGTTTGGCCTGTGATCTGGATGGCGCTTGGGTTGGTTTTCTCGAACTCATAGAGTCATAATCACAGTCATAGCCATACCCTGTACAGGTGTTACATGGCAGCTTTCCATCACATTTCCTCTTTCGCTGGCGACAGGCGAGACAGGCTCGGTTTGATCTTTGACGGACTGGGTGTAATGGAGACATGTGCAGGTCGAGGGGTGAGGTTGAGCTAGGCCCAATCACCGCAGTCTATTACCGCACTTCATTCTGCTGTTAATTGATTACTAATCTTAGCATTGTTTCAAGTTAGCTGCTTCAGGTGCTTGCTAGGAGATAGAATCGCTGTAAATGTACTTCTTGATAGCACGACTTGCTCAATTCTACAGTAAAGCGTTATTTATGCCTTAAAAGTGCTAGAAGTCAAAACTCGATCTGCTCTGTAACCACCCTTTTTCCCAATTCCATACTTGAACTTCCACTATGAGGTCAGTTTTAACGATCAACGGTTGATTTTGCACCGCGTTATGTTCAGTAGAGAACTAATATCTAGAGGCTCTTTAGTTTATTCAGTCTTGAAGAAACAATACAATGATCAAGCGCATATTCTAATAGAAGTATAAGAAGCAGTAAATCAAGCGGTAAGAGCATACATACTAGGCGACTCCGCTGCTGATAGACTGCCATATCCCACGCAAGAACAAGGCCAACCTCTAATCAGAGTCTAAGTCTCTTCCCCAGTTCCATGACTTACCCTCAAGCATTGCGGGATATAAATATTTTGCCGAACTGACGCAACGCGGATAAAATCTCCAATGCCAATTGATAAGCAACCCCGCGCCCCCACAGTATACTTAAAAGCTCCAGTTCTGCTTCCCGAGGTTTACACCTGCATTGTATTTGTGTTTGCAGTTACCGTTGAATTTCAATCTACATCATCTCGATAATGTCTCTCGCAAAGAACATCCTCCTATTCGGAGCCACAGGAACAATCGGCTCCTTCATCCTAGACGCTATCCTCCCCGTACGCGATCAATTCAACCGCGTTGCAATCTTCACTTCCGCGCATACAGCCGAAACCAAAGCCGAGCACCTGGACAAGCTGAGGAAGCAAAATGTGGAGATTATAATCGGTAGCGTGGAAGATGAGGAGGCTGTGAAAGCCGCATATGAAGGTATGAAGGACCCTGTTATTGTTCTCAATGCCCCAATCTCAGTCCCAATTCCACCTCTGATATCATATACTAACATCCCCAGGAATCGATACGGTAATCTCAGCTCTAGGCCGCAACACCCTGGCCCAGCAGATTCCCCTCATTCGCCTAGCAGCCGCCAGCGCAAGCGTGAAATGGTTCCTGCCCTCGGAATACGGCACAGATATTAAATACGGGCCTGCATCCGCACATGAGAAGCCGCACCAACAGAAATTGAAGGTGCGCGCATTCATCGAGAATGAGATCTCGCGTGATGATCTTTCATACTCGTATGTTGTCACTGGTCCATTTGCCGAGATGTATCTGGATCTTGTTCCTGGACTGGAGGAGGCCGGAGGCTGGGATGTTAAAGCTCAGAAGGCGGTTCTGCTTGGGGAACGAGGGGATGAAGAGATCAGTTTGACGACCATGAAGGAGTGAGTATTTCCCTTTTTGTTTCTTTTTGTTTGTTTGCAGGTGCTGTGTAATTGGAAGCATTGATTGACTGACTATCTGCTAGTGTTGGAACGCTGGTTTTGAATACCCTTCTCCACGCCACAGCCGAAACACGCAACTCTGCTCTATGTGTGAACTCGTTCACGACGACTCCGGGAAAGATCCAGGCCGAGTTTGAGCGCCAGACTGGGCAGAAGTGGGAGTCTGTTTCTCGGACTTCATTAGCGCGTCTGCGCGAGTTGGAGACGCAGGCTTGGGAAGCTGGGAAACCGGCTGCTACGGTTCTGACATTGCGACGGATCTGGACCGAGGGCGGGACGTTGTATGCGGAGCGGGATAACAAGGCAATTGGAGAGCCAAAGGTTATGGGGTTGGAGGAGGTCGTTGCGAATGAGATTCAGCGGGGATCGAAGCTGTAGTGGATTGGAAAGAAGTAAAGTATGCAGATGCATAGATAAGTTAGAGGAGGCTACAAATGGATTACATAATTTTGTCTCCGACGTCTAGAGCTCATGGCATTCATAGGTACGAGACAGAGATTAACGAAATGTTTCAGGGTTCGGGTAACAAGTCAGATTTCACATGATTGGGGAATTGATTCAGGGAAGATAAAAGAAAAGTGCGTAAGAACGTCGGATCTAGCTAGGTCCGAGCTCTACTGGAAGAACTTGCGCACGCGCTCCTGGCTAGCTGGGTCGACAGAGGCCAGGATCTGATCGGCGTTGGCGCCTGTGGCTGCCACCAGTTGCTTGGCGGATGTGGCCACCCGCTGGGCAGTCTGTCCCTGCAAGGTGGAGGCCTGGAGTGCCTGCACGATGAATCCGAAGACACGGTCGGCCTTGGCGAAGACAGCGGGGTTTTGCCTAGGATTATGTTAGCTAGAATTTGTTAGAGCAGGACGGTGATACATACTGGTCAATCAACTGGGCGATGAAGGAGTAAGCATAAGGAGCAGCCTCCTCGTCGAAGGTGATGGGGAGGGTATCAATCCAGTTAGTGACGACATCTTGAGGAGCCGCAACCTTGGAGGCATTGTAGTGAAGAATCTTGGCGATACTGGCGGAAGCGTTCTCGGTGGCAAAGACGTTCTCTTCTGTGCGGGATTGCGCATGCTGTGTCACCTGGAACAGGCTGGGGAGACTGGCAGCAACAAAGTCACTCCAGGCGGCACCACCCTTCTGGGCAGCGACACCAACACCGTAAGCGGCGGCTTGACGGTTGGCAGCGTTCTCATCCTGCAGACCAGAGGCCAAGGGCTGCATGATGTGGTCCTTGAAGGCCCACGACTCTTCACCGCAGAATTCCAGAACATCATCCATAATGCAAAGAGCCCATTGGCGCTGTGTGGGGTCCGGGCTTGTGATAAAGGCGTCGTAGAACTGGATAAGCTGTTGCCATGTCGGTAGGAAAGAGGTACCCTGGTTCTTGAAGATAGTGTGGAAAGCCTTGTTCATGTCGCTGAGCAGGTTCTGGTCATCCTCAATTGCATATTCGTAGTCGAGGTTCTCCTCGTCACCCTCCTCAAGCTCAGCCTGCTCTTCAAGTCGTTGCTTGACACGCATCTGGTAGTCCTCAAGAGTCGACTTGGCGGAGTCAATGAAGGCCTGCATGTGCTGGGCGCTGAGGCAGTTTCTGCCAACAACTTCCACAGACTCATAGAAGCATTGGTACATCTCAGCAAGAGTATCAACAGTGGGCTCGGCACTCAGAACCTCAATGATCTTCTCGGCAACCTTGCTCCACATTTCAGCGAAGCCTGCTGACTGTTGACCGTGTGCCTTCTTGTAAGAGTTGAGCAGCTGGGGAATGAGCTTGGCGGCTGAAACACGAACGGGGTCGTGGAAAAAGAAAGCAAGGCCAGGAACAGCGATCTTCTCCATAGTCTCCATAACATAGGGCTCGAAGTTCTCCTCGAGAATCTGAGCGTAGATGGTGATCAATTCGATGGCGGTGTTCTTGTCCTCGAGGGCACTGGTCTTGATACCAATGATCTTACCCTTGAGAGGGACCAATTCCCAGCCATCGTCCTGCTCAACCTGCTCGATCTGGTCTTCGTCATCGAGGAGCTGGATATCAGCCTTGGCAGCAGCAACAGTCAGAAGAGGAGGCATGACACCGGGGAGGTAGGGGACAAAGTCACGGCCGAGGACACGGCACATGCGGCCCCAGCAGTGGAGAAGGTATTGGGATTGAGGATCGTCAGCGTCAACAATGTTCTGTTGAATGGTACCCAGAATCCGAACCAGGTTCAGAGCATCCTGGCCCATCTTCTCCTTGCCAACAGCCAGGGCGATCAGAGTAGCACACTCCATGGCCTTCGCACGAAGAAGGCGGTATTCCTTACCCTGCTCTTCCTGGAGGACGTTCAGCAGCAAGGGCATCAGAGTAGTATAGTACTGATCGAAAGCGGCCTCGGCGGAGTCGGCAATGGTGGCAATGGTGGACAGGGCCTGCTCTTGGAGGTAGCGTTTGGGGCTGCGCAAAAGGTCGAGTAGGTGGCTAAGAAGGTTGCCAAGGTAGGGCTCCAGAGTGCTGCGTTCGGCCTCCTCGCAGAAGTTGACCAGAGCAGCAGCGGCGTGGGACTGCACACGGGGCTCGGAGGATGCGAGAACTGGAATGATGTTGGTGAGAACAATTTCGTGGTACTTCTCCTGCATGGTACCAGCAAAGTCGGTACTCATTTGTCCGAGAGCATTGCAACCGGCGTAGCGAACTCGGGGGTGGGCATCCTGGAGAGCTGGGACAACAAGGGCCAGAACCTGATCTAGCTCCCCGACCATCAGATCACGGCAGCCTTCTGAGATAGCTGAGATAGCCATCAAGGCAGCGTGACGATCGCGCCAGGCAGTTGAAGACATCATGCGGGGGATCCAGGAGAAGGCAGGCTGAAGAATAGCCTGTCCACCGAGCTTATTGGCCAAACGATCCATGCACTGTTCACCAGCAATGTGGTTAAGGTCGCTTTCCTCGGGTTCGAGCTAGAACAGTTAGCATACAAGTCAAATAAAAAGCCAGCCGGAATTCTTACATCCTCGGAGGCGTTCCAATCCTCAGCATCGTCATCGTCAGCACCAACATCGGTCATCAAGCTCAGACACTGTGTGACCATTTCCTGTGCAAATTCGGGCTCCTTCTTGCACATGTTGGGGGCGTAGTCGGCAAATGTAGCCATGAGCTCCAAGGCATTCTGGCGAACCTGATCGCTGAGTTCCTTATCGGCAACGACACTGATGCTGAACTTGACAAGGTTGTTGAACATAGACTTGAACATCTTGGGGCTGATTTCAGCCAACTCAATTAGAGCGAGCAAGGCTGAAGAAAGCTCCTCGCTCTCAGAAGATTCCTTGAGAGGAGGCAAAATGTTGAGCAGGTCGGGCATGAGACCGAAGAACTTCGGCTGGGACTTTTTGGAGATCGAGCGGAACAATGAAGCAAAAGCTTCCATGGCGGCAATGCGGACCTGGAAACATTGTTAACCCTGTAGTTCGCGAAAGTATATATTTGGAGTAGCATACGGAGATGTTATCATCCTTGAATCCCTTGGTGAAGACATCCACGACAGCTTCTTCGTGCTGTCTCTCAATGATACCGGGAGTGGTAGTGAAGATGCGGTATGCGGTTTCCCGCAGGCCGGAATCGGGGTTCTGGCTTGCCTGGAAGAGCACGGCGAGAAGTTCGGGCCATTGCTCACCTATATATCAAAAGTTGAATCATTAGAAAACAACGTTCACCAAGGTCATATTCAAAGCAAGGATCCAGTTCGCATACCATTGTCGGTGTATTGCCGAGCCACCTCAGCCAGGGCATCTCCAATCTTCTTGCGCACATCGGTAACGCTTTCACTGGTCAAGCAAGCAACCAGCTTCTCACGAATAGCAATACGCTGCTCGATGGGCAGGCTCGAGAAGACCTCCTTAGCGTCGCCCGATACGGGATCCTTGCGAGTCTTGGTGGCAATTCTGCGGAAAAGCACAGCGGAGAAAGCACGCGTCTATCCGGAGAGTTTCAAGTCAGCGTCAAGTCATCAGTAATCTGAGTATAGAGATGATCTTCGGTACGGGTCCAGGTCGTTTGCAACATCCCTCCCTTCAAGGAAACCACACCCCTGGAGTCAGATCGTCCAACTTACTAGTGTCTCTTCGGCACCTCCAAGCTGCTCTGCCAGTCCCATGAGCAGGACATCTGGTCGGTTTTGAACCCAGTCATTGTTGAGTTGGTCCTCCGCCTGGGATCTGACGGTATTATCGGGGGTGCTCAAGGCGCGAAGCAGCTGTGAAAGCGCGGTGTGGACTTCGGCGGGAAGCAAGGACATGGTGGGCGTGTCTGTTCCCAAGTTCCAGACAATCCAAGCAACCCAGTTCTTTCAACCCTCTTGAATGTAAGTTGGTGGGGTGGGAGGGGTGTTAAGAAGAGGAGGAGAATTGTTTTTGGTGGGGCGGGGAGGAAGGTGAAAAAGCAGAATTTCTGATTAGGAGAGCGATTGATAGGCCTTGGAGAGTATAAAGAATGGCGCCCAGCGAAACATGACACAACGAGACAGGTACAAAGACGGTTAAAGTCCGATTTTCCTAGGAATGATCTCCAAGGAAAACTAAATCTCTCTTCTTTCGTCTCAGAAATTCAAAAAAAAAAGTCCATAGTGACGATGTTCATTGTCGGGCGCTAGACCCAATACAGTAGTTTTCAGGCAACCAGGCCACTCTTTCAAGACAAAGAGCTGGGGAAAGTCCTTATATTGGCCACAAGACCGGGGAAACAGTATTTATTGACGCTGAAATAAGAACTGAACAAGAAGCGAACAAATTTCAGAGTTACAGATTAGTTATTGGACATTATTCAAATGAATTATTTGCATTGAAGGCTAAATGAGGGCCGCAACTGGTCATAACACGAACAGCGGTATCTGAAAGCGACACAGAATATCAATATTAAAAACAAACGGGTATGCAACAGTCGAGAGTCGGGGATTCATGACTCTGATCTACTTCCAAAGTTCATGAAATCCCCAAGATGAGGCAAGGCTTGAGAAAGAAAGTACTGTATAATAGTTTTAGGGCGAACAATGTGCGAGGTTATTACCGGCCGCTGGGACGGCTGAGAATAAAAACACCCGCAATGACTGCAGCCAATGTGACAATGGCACCGGGGAGCAACAAGTCGTTGGGGACACCCGCAATCAATTCCTTCTCTGAAGCAGGAGGGGGGATAGATTGCGAGCGAGGTGTAGGCGCGGGGGACACTTCGGAAACTTGATCGACAACGCTCTGCTCCAGGACAGGGGTCATAACAGGAGCTGGTTGAGGCTCAAGAGTAGCAGGGATGGGAGGCTGGGTGGGGTCGTGAACGAACAAGTCGACCTTGTCGTGATGGGAACGGCGGGCCAGATCAATGGCATCTGTCATATCCTGGTCCGTTGTGATAGAAACAGTATCACCCTCGTTGTCCATGTAGCTGAGAGCATATCCAGTGTTGCTCAGAGTACCCTCCTCAACGGTAGCCTCGCCCCCAACAGCCTCGAGTTCCTTGCCAAGCTTCGCTGTGACTTGCGACACAAGGGCAGTGACACCGTCAGTGGTGAGAACATTGACACGGTGGACTCGGCCACTGGGAGCCTTGAACTTGAAGGGGAAAGGAGTAACATGATCTGTTGGATTGTGCTGGGAGACGACTTCGGAGTGCTCGTCACCGTGGTGAGAAGCGGAATCGTTAGGGAGAAGACTGTTGTCGTAGCCCGAACGGTTGAGATCGGGGCTCATCACTGAGCGGTGTGGGGTATGCGGCTGGTGGTTCTGGCTTCCAGAGACCATAGAGTCGGACTCGTGGTCCATCGACAACCAGAATTTGTTCCAAGCGGGGCCCTCATCATCTTGAGTGGACATGGTGTTGATCTAAGGCGAATTAGCAACTATTTTTGCCCGTCAAAATCACGGTAGAACATACCTGCTCAAGAGTGGCATATGTGAGCTTGAGCACGTCGACCATTCCGACGATCTCACCACCCTCGTTCATGACTGGAAGGTTAAGGTAGTGACCATCTATTGCAACGTTAAACTCAACGATCAAAATGTAGGGAACGAACGAACTGACCATGCATCTTACGAAGAGCGGCTTGAATGCTCATATCCGACGGGGCAAAGTCGGGGTGAGGAGTCATGACACGGACGACACTGCAGGTGGCAGGGTCGAGGCCGGGGGCAATGACACGAAGAACAATATCCTTGCTAGTAAAGATACCAGTGATGGAACCCTGGTCCTGAACGAGCAGGGCAGTAGTGTGGTGCTCCTTCATGAGAGCCGCAGCATCCTTCACTGTGGTACGGACAGACACAGTGACTGGTGGCATACCATCCAAAACAGTCTCAAGGGTAGGGCCAGACATCTTTGAGCGCAAAGCCTCAACATATTGGATGACCTGCTGGGGTTGACTGGAGCCAAGCTCGGTTTGCACACCTTCCAACGCATCGTAAAGCTTGCGGGAGGAGCTGTAGGCGCGCTCCAGCTTCTCCATAGCATCGTAGAAGCACTTCGTGATATCCAAAACACCGGAGATATCCTGGTTCTCGTCCATGACGGGCAAATGTCTGAAACCCTTTCGCACCATGAGATCGAGCGCATCGGTAGCACTGGTATCTGTTCGCGCGCACAGAGGGTTCTTGGTCATAATCTCAGCAACAGAAACCTCGCGGGCCTTGAGACCCATTCCGATAACACGGAAAGCAAGATCCTTGGCAGTGAAGATACCAGCGATGCGCTCATTGTCATCAGTAACCAAAACACAGTCCTCTCTCTTGGCTGCCATCAGCTGGGCGGCCTCCGCGATGCTGAGCGAAGGCTTGATCTGGAGGGCCTGGCTGGGCTTCAGGGCGAGCACGGTACCGGGAGGGGCTTTGCGGGAACCTCTTGATTTCGTCGGGGCGTTCCTCTTCTTGTTGAGGTCGGCTTCCATCTTGCGGCGGATAGCCTGAAAAAGTCAGCTTGTTGCTCGATTCAAGGTGAATATAGCTCCTGTGCGACATACCTCATCGCGCTTCGACTGATTCTGTCGTTGTCTGCTGCTGGCGGCGGACATGGTGCCACTTCCAACGTCGCTGGATGGGGTTTGGGTGGTAGCTGAGGATTCTGGACGGGGCCGAGGGATGTGGGAAGCACTGGAATCTCCTCCAAAGTCGGGCAGTCGTCCTCTGCCGATCGTCTTATTGGGTGTTCCCCGAAAAGTGCCCGTGGCCGACATTATAATGCCCAAAGGGGAAACTCGCAACAAAAAAAATGAGGAGAAAGGGGGGGAATGAGGCGAGACAAACGAGACAAGGATGTCAGGCTTGTAAGACCGGTATGAGGGAAAAAGCAAGGAGAATTCCAGGGAAGAGGAAGAAAAAAGGGCAGTCAATAGTCGATTCCGACAGGGGTGTTCCGATGCCCACGGGAGTAAACAGTAGTGAATGACCTACGGTACTATTCGGGGGCACTAGTCCAGGATGGGTTAGACCGAGACACGTTGGTCATGCCCCACGTGACGGCCCAGTTGCAGCCTGACATTGACACCTGACCACGCAGGCTGCAATACACGTGATGCATCTCGCTTAAGGGCTTAGGGCTACCCGCACAACGCAATCCAATCCATCCCGAACGAGACTTGTGTGTGAGCGAGCTTCGACAACCCACTCCCGACAAGTTAACCGTACGCTATCTACCCCCCCCCTTTTCTTCACCAAAAGATCTTTACCTGACCGACCACAGAACAAACCGTCAAAATGGTCAAGAAGAGGGCGAACAAGTAAGACCAACAACCCTCCTCGGCGAAGCAGTATCCCATTCAACATCTCCGCAATGACGAACACGCACATACAATTCGAACATCGAAAAACCGCGCCTACCGCACATTGCCGGAAGACAAGAATGGGAGACTGGATTCGACCGAGTTGCAATTACAGGGACAAGAGAACTAATTGATTTCTTTAGCGGTCGCAACAAGAATGGCCGCGGCCACGTCAAGCCTGTGCGCTGCTCCAACTGCGCCCGCTGCACTCCCAAGGACAAGGTACGCACGCATCGTGATGGTCTTCCTGGTACCTGAATCTATCATCATCGCTGGACCCTCGATCTCCGATCCTCGATATCAACATCCATACTAACAACATCAAAAAAGGCCATCAAGCGTTTCACCATCCGCAACATGGTCGAGTCCGCCGCCATCCGGGATATCTCCGATGCCTCCGTCTTCGCCGAGTACTCCGTCCCCAAGATGTACCTGAAGCTCCAGTACTGCGTTTCTTGCGCCATCCACGGCAAGATCGTCCGGTTCGTGTCACACATCTTTCGCCACTTTCTTTCAACTGTATACTAATTTCTCCCAGTGTTCGCTCCCGTGACGGCCGCCGCAACCGTGCTCCCCCTCCCCGTATTCGCTACAACAAGGACGGCAAGAAGCTCCAGCCCCCCTCTGCCGCTAAGGCCCTGTAAGGAGGTTTTAGTTTCGTTCCACGAACAAAATAAAATGAAACTAGTTTGAAATGAATTCTTTTATTTTGTCTTCACTCTTCTTGTCGACCAGATTGCAGGGGTGAATGCTCGGTCACCACAACTGCCGGCCATGCTCCTACATCGGCAACGCAAAAAAAGCTTGAAAAAGATGGCTCAACCGTTTAGTGAAGACCGTTGAGGTGTCTTCTGTGTTTGTTCGGTGTGCATGAGCCCGTTGACGACGGCTTGTTATGACTGGGAGGAAGGAAGGTTCATAGTCTGAATAGGACTAAGAAAATATCAAAAATTCCTACAACTCATGTTCTATGACGTAGAATGGCATGGTATCCTAGTTGGTGGGTATCTGAAGTACAAATTTCACGGGTATAAGTATCCCTTCTCAAAATAGTTCCCATACATGTCGACTATTCCAGTCCGCATGTTGGGCTTGGGGTTCCGCACAACCTTGACCTCCCCCTTCCAATGACCTTCGACAAACGTAGTCAGAGAAACCGGTGGTGCTGATGGAGAAAGGCTGGAAGCATTGCTTCCAAATGTGCTCCGTCGTCCTCTCTCACGACGCACCACAGCCTCATACTCGGCCTTTTTGGCCCGGCGGAAGGCCGCAACCTCCGCAACAAGGTCAAGAGATTGTATCTGCTTGTCCTTCTCCGATTTCCCTGGTTGACTTAGAGAGTGAGCATTTCTTTGCGAAGGATGACGCCCAAGACGTGGGGAATCAGGCGAAAGAGCCGAGTCATCATCTGGCATAAGCGAGACCTTCTCATTCAGGACAGCCATAGGGAAGTATTTGCCCGGATCATTCTCAGGGACTCCGCACTCTTCTTCCCCAAAGAAACTGTAATCATTCACTGCTGCAGACCAAAGATTCTCCGAGTCACGGTCACCGGTGCTTGAATGGCCTGTGGCATTGTATTGATTTCCGGGTTTCCATGAGGTTAGCTTTGTGTCGACGGGCGTGATTTCGAGGACTAATCGCCGTAATCCAAACAGAGATCGTGATCGCTGCTGTTCGGCTCGCATGCGTGCTTGTCCTGGTGGGAGAGAATAATCTGATCCGGCTTGTAGAGTTGCCAACAAGAATTCATTAGAGCAAGCAGTGATGAATCGTATGAGAGCTGGAATGATGGATGAGTTGGGCGCCACGTGAGACGGTACATCAGTCAAAACTAGGGTTTCCGTGTGAGGAATATGTGATGGGTGGAGGTAAGGAAACCGGCTTTCTTTTCCTCCTTGCAGTGGGATAGATTGATTTCGAGGTCGTTTGGCTAGCAATTCTTGGATCCTTTGCCCCCTAGTATCGTCTGTCGATGTCGGGGAACTACATTGTAATGTCTGGAGGGAAGAACTAGTAGCCAGCATGTACTCTGATGTTGAAACTGATGATAATGTGTCTCCTCCTGTCGTCTCAGAGAAAGATATGACTGTTTCAGAGCGGCCCAGCATGTTATTACCGTTTGCACTCCGCATTGGTATCGGATGCACGACTTCTGGGGCAAAGGCTGGTCCACGCTTGGGTAGTTGTGGCTCTTCGTCTTTGGTCGTCGGCTCTTGGATATGGGGCAAATCAGGGGCCGAGGTCACTGAGTCGTCGATAGACGTATCAGCGAGCTCATAGATAGCTCGTGTTTCTTCGGATAACTCATTGATCTGTTGAGCTGCGTCCAATTCAGCAGCTTCCGACACTTCGGCGTCATCACTTTCAATATGATTTTCCTGTGTTGAGAGCTCAGGTAGAAACTCTGCAGTTGATGCAGCGTCTTTGCATGGTGGTTCTGCAGTGAGGACTGCATGGTGTGCTCGGAAATAGATTAAATTATCTCCTGCGACTTTGCCCAGGAGTGGTACCAGTTTTTCAGCTCCCGGGTATTTCTCTCCAAATTTGAGGACCTTGCGTGCCACATCTGGAGTTTTGAGGGTGCCAAAGTCAAGAGCATGCAATCGCGAGGAGGCTAAGAGGCTTGCCACACCTTCTATCGAAATCAGATTTCCTGTGATGTATAGATGAGTAATTCCGGTATGTGGTAAGTCCTCAACCCATGGATGGTATGAGATTGGCTGAGCGAGAAGTCTCATGAATTGTTCATCTAGATCTGGGCGTTTGAAAAGATCCGAGCCAGACCCATGGAGTATAGATTGAGAGACCGGGTCTGGTGAAGTTCCGGTGCGTCTCGGTCTTGGCTGGGCTCTGCTATTTGGAGGAAGGAAAGAGGCCTCCATTAAAGAGCGGACTGCCATATCGGTAAGCAAATTGTCTCTCAGATCAAGATAACGGACCCGGTGTCCAATCGCGTTGGCCAGAAATTCGGCATCGTTGTCTTTCAACCCAATGCCGCGTAGTTTCAACACTTGGAGATACTCAAGTTGAGATAGGGAGCATAGAACGGCGCGATCTCTGGCAGACGTGGTGTATGAAAGGTCAAGATAGGCCAGTGTGGGGAACAGGAGCAGAGTCGAGGCGAGGCTTGAAGACGTTGTGTTTGGTTCGCGCTCGGCTAACAACAGGCGAATGTTATACTGGTTTGATCTCTGATGGTTTTTCAATGCTACCATTGCATGGTGATCGAAAAACGGCAGCTTTGAAACCATCAAGCATTGGAGACATGGTAGGTATTCAAGGATGTCCCTCAACCAACCCGGTCGGGGACCACCATATATTTCCGACAGAGCTGGTGGGAGATGAAGCGTATGTGTCATTTCCCTGACTTCTTTCCTGGCATATTTCAGGGTTCTTTTGAATCGAGTTAGAGCCACTAAAATTTCATTAGGGATGGTGGTCTGTTATATATATCTAGAGAGCGTACCATAGACAGCGTCATTCTCTGTTCCAAAGTGAGATGCTGGATTTCCCCAAAGAAAAGGCATGAACAAATCATGCCATCGACTACAGACTAGAGACGCTGCGCATAAGTCGCTGGATGGGATATAACGAGCAATGATTGTCCAAGCATCTCTGTCCGTAGCGGACTCGTAAGACGGAGGAATAAGATCCATATCCGCTTCACTATGGTATTGAGATAGCGGCTAGTAGGATGAGTGTTATGTCTGCATATCAGGAAAGAAGCTTAACAAAGATGAATCAAGTCCGCCCTGGAACTCTTGGCCTTCCGACACAGCCACGTAGTTGATGTATAGAAGGCCCGTGCACGGGGCAACTTACGGGGCTCAACTGGCTTATTGAAATTATGAGCGCCTGCGCTGGGATGATTAGGAGTGAAGAATGAACAGTAATTCGGTTAGTGAACACCGCCTAGATCTATTTCCAGTGCCTCACTAATCTATACAAAACCGAAAGGGCTCAAGACCATGACGTCATTCTATATAGTTGGGGGCGATTTAATCGAGTCTACTGCTAAACAGACACCCCCATGCAGTAGTAGGTGGAGAGGCTTTCTTCCATTTCAAACACATTTAAGTTTGCTACAGACGATGAGATATTGCTTAATAATTGAACTGCCAAATATTGAATGACAGTTTAGATGGAAAGAAGATTGTAAAATAAATGACTCGACATACGCTAAGATACCGCTAATTTCTTAGCATCATGATTTTGTGGGGGTGCTTTCTAGCAGTAGACCTAATAGAGGCCAGTGGCCCCATTTCCACCCAGAGTTGGGAAGCCAATTTGCTTGAGTAGAGCCTCTTGAAATGCTGGATCTTTAGGTACACCAGAGGTAGCGCATACGCCCTGTTGAACCAATTCCATTTTGCGCAATTTGGCTTGGAGCACCGCGCAGGTATCAGCCCACGCACAAACATTGCCGGGGAGTCCCTCAAACAATCCATAAGGCGCATCCGGCATGCGATAGTCTGTATCAGACTCCGCAGGAGACGAGTTGTATGGCCGAGTCTCACGTGCGTGTAACATGAAGGCAAGTGCACGCGAGAGGAAGAAGTCGCCTGTAAGCTTCTGAGACACGTCCGCATTTGGCAGTGTTGATACCTGGGCACGCTGGAGGTATGCTTCCCGGGCATCATTCACATTCTTTGACGAATACTCAAACGTATTATGCAAGAGCAGCCATGGCCAGGCATTTCCAGAGATACCGTGGCAGAGACTGCCTCCCTTGGAAAGCAGGCCTTCTTCCCAGACACGCTCAGAGCCCAAGTAGATGGCCTGATCCCAGGATGGGTCCCAATGAGCACGGGTCAAGGCGGAATTTTTCAAGGCAGCAGCTAGAAGGATCAATAAGCCAGGGGTACCGTGACATAGTTGAACCAGCTCAGACTGTTGTCCGAAGCTGAAAGGGGGCAATGTCATTGGGAGGTGGCCGTTGGTGGCAATGGATAGCTTGCAAAGCGCAGTGATGGTATCACCAACCACAGGAAGATGCTCTACCAACTCTTCGGGTTTAGCCGCTAGAATAACGGCCAGAATGCCAGCTAGATGACTTGGGTTAATACCACGGATGTAGAAGTATCCACTACAAACTCACTGATTCCATGGACCCTATCAGATATTGTTAGTAATTTATGAATTTAGATGTATAGAGCAAGCATGAAAACTCACGCCCCAAAGCAATAATGGTCTTCCATCCACGAGTACATCAATTCATGTGCCTCTTGATTTCCATTCTTCTCGACGTAACTCTTCGAGCCCTGTCTACCGGCATCGATGATCACACGAATTAATTCAGGGACCTTTCCAAGAACAGGAGTGAGAGCTTTCTGAGTATGTTCATCGAAAGTATGAGCCCGAATGTTGAGGAGTGTCCACAGAAGGCCAGCTCGACCAAAGAGAATCTCATCTCCGCCCATTTTGCGGCCATCATGGGTAACAAGAGGTTCGTTCTTGAGTGCCATCTGCACTGCATCAAGAAGGCAAGAGATATCCTCCACCGCAATGTTTGCTTTCCCATTCTCCCAGTTCACTTCTGAAAGTGCAGCTAGAACACGTAGAGTAATGGCAGTCACGGGCGAAGAAGAGCCAATTGCGGACAATCGAGATGGTAGCAAAGGTGTCTCTGGCAAAACCGATGGAACTTGTTGTAGACCAAGCTGACGGAAGTCTGGAGAAGCCTCATCTGTATTTCCTAACATGGATGACTGGTAGTCCAAGCGCAAGAAGGCAAGGGCAACACCTGTTTGGATGGTCAGATGAATTACATCCTATGTATGAGGACGGTCTCATACCAGGAAACCCCCGAAATATGCCATGTGAGCCCCATGATCCGGGCAGAGGACTATTCTCTCTTATCTTCTCAGCTCCATTGCGAACAGCAACATGAAGTTCCTTGAGACTCGCGGTAAGAGTAGCCTCATTGATTGTTGGTAGAATTAAGGTGTTTGGGAAGAATTGGGGGCGTTCTGCCATGGTACAGGATCCTATAAATGAGCTGCAACCTAGCTTTGTATTGCTGGAATATGGCGTGCTTTGAAGCAAGTCAGATTCAATGTGCAGGATCGAGAACGCTTGTGGCGGGGGGAGATCTCACTCCCCTCAGGAAGATCTTTGGGCAATTCCCATCTTAGTTAGCGTGAGATGATCTCTCAGATTGATCAATTGTCGGTGTCGGAATGAATCCACCAGTTTACTACTAACCCTAAAAAGCAAACATGCAAAAATTAACAACTTAACTATGACATACTTTAGAGCCTGATACATAAGGCATATATTTAGGCCTGGTGGCCTGAAATTATCCCTTAGTCAGCACCAAGTCAGCTGGGGCCACAACTCCCCGACTCCGGACTCGAGAATACTCATGCGGTCCTCGAAGTGCGATCAAGGACAACCTTCTAGAAGCAGTGCAGAATGTCAGTGAACAGACCCCCCCCCTTGTCAAGTCTCTTTTCCTCTCTTGCTTTGTTCATAGTAATCTTCTTATTCCCCCGTACTTCACAGGGAAACATCGCTGGACATGTACTGAGATATACTAACATAACATGCAGTGAGATCGGTAGATACAGGCATCATGTCGGAGGTACATGGAGATTCAGAGCTGGTTTCTTCAGGCCCTGAGCTTGACTATCCTCTGGCTCTGGCTCCGCGGCAGGTTACCCTAAGAGACCGGGTGACAATTGCCACTCTTGTTCCTTTCGCCTCAGCAGAGGAAATACCCCGACCCCTATTGAAGTACTTGTCAGATCAATTCAACAAGGAAATTGAAAAAGGCGATACCTATGCCATGACCGAGCCCATCCCACTGGCCCAATTTGGACGGTATTGGTTCTCTAATTTCGGTGTTGTCATGCTTCTGGGTGACATTGAGAGCGCCGAGCAGACACATTCCATGGACCGCGCCGGAGCCAACTGGACCAAGCTTTGCCTTGGTGGCTTTCACATCAGGCCTAACTACCCTGGTCGTAGTAGCCATGTTTGCAACGGCACGTTCATTGTAACGGACGCTGCTCGAAACAAAGGTGTAGGTAGGCTGATGGGTGAAGCATATCTGGAATGGGCACCCCGTTTAGTGAGTACACACACGCCACCACTAAAAGACATTATTCTTACTCCTACAGGGCTACACATATGCTGTCTTCAACTTGGTCTATGAGTCCAACGTTGCCTCATGTCGCTTATGGGATTCCCTTGGCTTCAAACGCATTGGACGTGTCCCTGGCGGAGGTAGACTCAAATCACAACCCGGAGAGTTTGTTGATGCAATTATATATGGAAGAGGTTTGAGCCTGGATGGCGAGGATTCTGTGTCTCAAGATCGATTCGAGAAGATTCGCTACTACTTAAAGCATGACAAATATCCTCGTGGTGCTGATCGAGCCGAAAAGAGTCGGCTCCGCAGTGCAGCAACTCATTATAAGCTTCTTGGGGGCGAGGACGGCGAGCCCGAGAGACTGATGCTGAAGGACAAAGAAGTTGTATCGGACCCGCAGCAGCAGTACGATATCTCTCAAGAGGTTCATCTCAAACAGCATGCTGGTATCAACAAAACCACGGCAGCTATTGCAGTCAAGTACCATTGGGTACGAATCAAAGAGACTGTCAATCGGGTGATTCGCGACTGTCCCCAATGCAAAGAGACTGTCAAGGTACCCCCTCTTCCCGGAACCAAGGAAGAAGATTCACCACCTTCAGAGACTGTATCGGAGACTGTGTCCAGCATTGAGGCCAGCCCAATGGAGCCGCCCCCAACTCAAAATGTTACACCAGTGATAGATCAACAGATGGACCACAAGATGGACGAAGCACCCGAAGAACCTCCAGCCCACAACCATTTCATGCACCAACCCATTTCGACAGCTGTGCCTGGCTCGGTACATCCTATGGCTGGATTCGCTCCTATGCCCGTGGACCCTCAAATGATGCAATTAAACCAATTACGACGTTACCAACAACAAAATCCCATGGGCTCTTTTGCCCCTGGGCCGCACACTATGAACATGAACTTTGACGATGCAATGCGCTATCATACAGCCAGCAATGCCTATCAAATGATGGTGGACGATGGATCAGATCCTTTCCGACAAGATGTGCTTGGACTGGTGAACCCATCTGCACACGACATGCAGCATGATGCCGACTTACTCGGCAAATACGAGTATGGAAGTCCATCAGACGGGCATTACGATTTTACGTGAATAACTTGCTATGATTTTCGGGAAGACCTTTTATACTGTATTATCTTTTTATCTTCTATTTCGGCATTTCGGTATTTCCTTTTGGCGTCAAGACCTGGTCTGGGATATTGATATCATACTCCGCCAGTTGACTGTGGGCAGTGCATGTCTTATTCTTATATGTGGAATGCCTCTTTCTTCTCAAATATCATATTATCAATTCATTCATACAATATAATTTTTTTTCAAGTAGTTTGTGTACTGCATCTTTGATGCGTAGGGTTGAGCCTGATTGGTCACCGCCTTGCGCGACTGGGGGGTTTTGGGGGGAACAGCTCTGGGAAATTTTGGCAGATCAACCCCTCCGACGCTTCAACTCAACATACCCCTTTTCTTATTTCTTTTTTGTCGTTGAACGGTAATATCCGATTTCACAATGGCCTTCGCCGGCCAAACCCCCACGATTGTGGTGCTGAAGGAGGGTAAGTCTGGTTCAGTGCGGGCAGTTTTGGTGGGATTCACAATACTAACTGCTTTTTCGACATATAGGCACAGATGCTTCCCAGGGAAAGGGCCAGATCCTTTCTAACATCAATGCTTGTGTCGCCGTGCAGGCTACAGTTAAGAGCACTCTCGGTCCTTACGGTGGTGATCTCCTGCTCGTCGATGCCAATGGCCGACAGACCATTACAAACGATGGAGCTACAGTTATGAAGGTGCGTCAAAGTGATCGGACGTTATATACCGGACATAAGGAAGGATGGTTCTGACCTTCGTCTGATAGCTTTTGGATATTGTGCACCCCGCCGCTCGCATCCTTACGGATATCGCCCGGTCCCAAGACGCCGAAGTCGGTGACGGAACAACCTCTGTCGTGGTCCTCGCTGGTGAGATTCTCAAGGAGGTCCGTGATCTCGTTGAGCAGGGTGTCAGCTCGCAGACCATCATCAAGGGTCTGCGGAGGGCAAGCGCCATGGCGGTCAACAAGGTTAAGGAGATTGCAGTGGACATGATGGACTCTTCCGTCACCCAGGAGAAGAAGGTCGAGACACTAAGACGGTTAGCCGCCACGGCCATGAACAGCAAGCTCATCAAGCGGAATTCGGACTTTTTCACAAAGAGTGAGCCCCCTATCCAGATTCCTCGAAGAGCTGCAAATGCTAACAGCAGTCAATTAATAGTGGTTGTCGATGCCGTGCTTTCTCTCGACCAGGACGATCTTAACGAGAAGTTGATTGGAGTTAAGAAGATTACCGGTGGTGGCCTCCAGGATTCCCTTTTCGTCGATGGTGTCGCTTTCAAGAAGACCTTCTCCTACGCAGGTTTCGAGCAGCAGCCCAAGCACTTCAAAAACCCCGGCATTGTGTGCTTGAATGTCGAGCTTGAGTTGAAGAGCGAAAAGGATAATGCCGAGGTCCGTGTTGAGCAGGTTTCAGAGTACCAGGCTATCGTCGATGCCGAGTGGCAGATTATCTACAACAAGCTCGAGGCTATCTACAAGACTGGAGCCAAGGTTGTTCTCAGCAAGCTGCCTATTGGTGATCTTGCTACCCAGTACTTCGCGGACCGTGACATCTTCTGTGCTGGTCGTGTGGCTTCCGACGACATGGACCGTGTCTGCCAGGCTACCGGAGCCGCTACCCAGTCGACTTGCAGTGACATCCATGAGCGCCACCTCGGAACCTGTGGTGCCTTCGAGGAGCGCCAGATTGGTGGTGAGCGTTTCAACCTCTTCTCCGACTGCCCTCTCGCCAAGACCTGCACACTCGTCCTGCGTGGTGGTGCCGAGCAATTTATTGCCGAAGTGGAGCGCAGTCTGCACGATGCTATCATGATTGTCAAGCGTGCTCTGCGCAACACAACCATTGTCGCCGGTGGTGGTGCTACCGAGATGGAATTGTCCAGCTACATGCACGGCTTTGCCGACCGCAACGTTCCCCACAAGCAGCAGGCCGTCGTCAAGGCCTTCGCCAAGGCTCTCGAGGTTATTCCCCGCCAGCTGTGTGACAACGCCGGCTTCGACGCTACAGACATTCTGAACCGCCTGCGTGTGGAGCACCGCAAGGGCAACGTCTGGGCTGGTGTGGACTTCGACAACGAGGGTGTCCGTGACAACATGGTTGCCTTTGTTTGGGAGCCCAGTCTGGTCAAGGTCAACGCCATCCAGGCCGCCGTGGAAGCGTCTTGCTTGATCTTGAGTGTTGATGAGACGATAAGTAAGTGACTCGAGCATCCTGTTCTATTTCTCACGGAACTAACCCATTTTACAGAGAACGAGGAATCTGCCCAACCTGGCCAGCAGCGTGGTATGCCACCAGGTGCTGCCCAGCGGGCTCTCCGTGGCCGTGGCCGTGGTATGCCCCGACGCGGTTAAACGATGCAGGACAATCCGATGATGTTCGATGATATTTCTAAAAAAGGATCCTAAGCGATGAACTCTCATGGCTTTTGAGATGAACTTCTGTTACCAGAGTATAGGGAGAATAGAGAGTTTGTAGGCATAATCAGACTTGCCGTCTTCCGTACATAGATCTACATGCAGGTGATTTATCCAATGCATCACAGGGCCGAGCCGATCCACGGTCAGTCAGTATTTGGAATAATTACATTGTTCAAATGTTATAAGTTACTTAAGTTAAGTTATGCCAAGTACGATCTATTGCCAGTTGCATAGTCGATCTAGTAGCTATCTCGCGAGATGCAGACGAAGAAGTTCCCAAGTACGAGCCTAATAAGCGGCCATGACAGGGATTATTCGGGGCTGCCGATGCATGTCAGATATAAAACCATTGCCTTTCCTTTCCTTGGGCTGGAATATTTTTTTGATTAAGGAGGTTGATCTTTTTTCCCAATCATACGCCTTATAGGGTCTTGGACCGTCTTGATCCCCAAACCTAGTAAGTGGCGAGTGTGACGATCTTTCGCAAACTTGCCTCGGCGCTTCCAGTCTTGTTTGAGCTATTACGATCTATTCAAGTTTCTGAATTGTTTGGCGAACGAGTCTTTTGAGAACTGTGAACTGTTCAAGGCTTGGCGCCCGTATTATCCGATCTGTTTTGCTTGGAATCTCCCTTACTCCACATCGCGCTCTCTCTTTTATCAATCTCTTTGAACCCGCTACCCTCTACCCTCTTCCCCAAGGCGTGTGAACGTAGAGAAATCCTCAAGTGATGTCCTACTACCCACCTTACTCGGGTGCGCCGGGTTACCCCCCGCAGCAGCCTTATCCCCCGCAACAACAGTACCCGTACGATGGCTTCTCCTATCTGATTCTGGCGCCGATCGCTCGAGAAACTGACTTGAAATGAATTACAGCCAAATGAACCACCAGCAGCAGCCCTCTTATGGCGGCTACCCAGGCCAGTCTTACCACCAGGCGCCGCCACAGCAGCAGTCATCCAATCCATACGGATACAGCCATTCACCCCAACCACCTCAGCAGCCATACGGAGCGCCGCCCCCGCAACATGGATACAATGTATGTGATGATATACGGAGCAAGAGCATAAGCGGAGATTCACGATATTGACGCACGCTTCCAGCAGGGTCCGCCGTCAGGTTACAACCAGCACGCGCCCTCAGGGCCACCGATGCAGCAAGGTCGGCCAGGTTCGTTAAGAAGTTCGGAAACCATCAAACGGCGCAAGCTAATCCAGAAATATAGCTTACGGACAGCAAAGTGGTGGCCCCCCACCTCCTCCCAGCAACCCCGTTTCCTTTGGCCACGGCGCCCCGCAAAATTATAGATTCCAATACTCGACCTGCCGCGGCAAGAGAAAGGCACTGTTGATTGGTATCAATTATTTCGGCCAGAAAGGTCAGCTGCGTGGATGTATCAACGACGTCAAGAACATGTCGACCTACCTGAACCAGACGTTTGGCTATGCCCGTGAGGACATGGTCCTTTTGACCGACGACCAGCAAAACCCCATGAGTCAGCCGACCAAGGCGAACATCCTGCGAGCTATGCACTGGCTGGTGAAGGATGCCCAGCCTAATGACTCCCTCTTCTTCCACTACTCCGGTAAGTACACCTGGCCAATCGACACCTGGACCGAACTGACACCGCTATACAGGCCACGGCGGACAGACCCCCGATTTGGACGGCGACGAAGAAGACGGATACGACGAAGTGATCTACCCCGTCGATTTCCGCCAGGCCGGCCACATAGTTGACGACGAGATGCACCGAATCATGGTCCAATCCCTGCGCCCGGGAGTTCGCCTCACAGCCATCTTCGACTCCTGCCACTCCGGCTCAGCCCTGGACCTGCCTTATATCTACTCCACCTCCGGTATTCTCAAGGAGCCCAACCTGGCCAAGGAAGCCGGACAGGGCTTGCTCGGCGTTGTATCCGCATATGCACGTGGCGATATGGGCAGCATGATGTCCACCGCTATGGGCTTCATCAAGAAGGCCACCAAGGGCGACGAGGTCTACGAACGTAACAAGCAGACGAAGACCTCCCCTGCCGATGTCATCATGTGGTCTGGTAGTAAGGACGACCAGACTAGTCAGGATGCGCAGATTGCTGGCCAGGCTACGGGTGCTATGTCCTGGGCCTTCATTGCTGCTTTGAAAAAGAATCCCCAGCAGAGCTATGTTCAGCTGCTCAATAGTATTCGCGAGGAGCTTGCAACTAAATATACCCAAAAGCCTCAGCTGAGTTGCAGCCACCCTCTTGGTATGTTTTAGTTCTCTATGAAACGTGATGGCGACAGATTATTCTGACTGACCTTTGAATTGCAGATACCGATATTCTTTACGTGATGTGATTGGAGTAACTTAGCTGTCGCGGAGTGAATGCCTTTTTTTGTAAACAGCGGACCTATGAATTCCTGTATCGGATTAGTTTTGCATAATCTACCTTCAATGCCGCATATCCCTCGTGGGTCGAATGTCCACGATCTGTTCTCTCAATCGTACTGCTGCCTAATTCAAGATCACATATTAGCACTCCATACCAGGCCATCCGGTTTAGTGATCCAACCAAGTCGCCAGACGCACGTCCAATGCCGAGGAGCTGTGATGGTGGTTCCATACATGTAGACAAAGGGCCCAGAGCAGTCGATCTATGGCTAAGTCCTTCGGGCTGTGGATTTAAGTTCAATCTGGACGTACGTCCACAGCTCTAGGTCTAGCTAGACCCCAGGTCCATGGATTGACGGCCGCGACACCCCAATGACTGTAATGGCTCAAAATATTTTGACTATGCTTTTCACAAGATTGAACCCCCAGGAAGTTAGTCTCTCCTAGGATTTAGTTTATATCTACCAAATTATATTCCACAAGATACTTCTACCTCCAACTACCAAAATTTTATCAATCTTAGTCATGTCTGATTGCAGCTATAAGAATTTCTCCACTAGTATGTGACTGTTTTATTTGCCTGTCAGGTTGTAGATATCGACCACTTCTTCCTACAGAGACCAAGGAGGAGCCCACTTCTAACTTCACTAAGTCCACCCAGGACAAGGTCTATCAATTAGCTCTCTTAGCTTTCCAAACTATGACACAATCCAAAATCTTTGCTACAATAATCGTCCTAAGCGCCCAACACAACATGCCTCGTGCTAGTGCGCCCTGAGCACCGGGGCAAGTACTTATACCAAAAGGCTTATTCTTCACAGAAAAAAAAACAATCCTGTCCAAGCAGCACACCCAAGAAATCCTTAATAAACAGTCAATGGGAAAGCATCAAGCTCATAAACCCAACTGTCATAAGATTCCTTCTCAAAAACACACTTCATACTGCCACCCTCCCAATGCGGCCGCAAAGGCCAAGCACAAAGCTGCTGCTCCTCGCCCTTGAGATCACCACCCAAAACAGTAGCATTAAGTGTGACAGGCACAACCCTCCCCTCAACCCACTCAATCAGCGACCCAAGACTAGTCTGAGGATATGGCGCATTAGGCTGCAGACTATTGGTGTTACAGTGCGAAGCACCAGGCACCAAAAACAATCTATACCACTCGTTCATCTTGTCAGCCCCATCAAGAACCGAGCTCTCACCGGGGTACATGATTGACCGAACAGACTCATGGAAGCGGACCGACGACGCAGGCGGGATACTGTTATCCGATTCACCGTGGTAGGAGATAATTTTCCCACCAGCTTTTTGGAACGGAGAAAGGTCTGGCCAGGTAGTTTGCAAGACGTCCTCGTAGCGTTGCATTCCTTCTAGCATCCAGTCACGGAGAGTGTCGTAGCTCACACCTTCCAAATCAGCGAGGTTGTCCAGTTGGAGCAGCTGCAGACCGCGTGTTACCCATTCTCCGCCAAGAGAGGAGATATCGACAGTCCAGTTCTTGGATGTGAAGTCGTATGTTGTCTCTGCGTCTGTCATCTCCGACCCGTACTGATACCAGAAATATGCGCGGTGGCCGTCGCTGTCGTGGAGACCATTGTAGATTGTGCTTGCGAGGGCTGCGCCTTCGGCTGTGATGGTGCCGGATTGGGCTGGGCTGGCGACTGTGGGCATTTGTCTCTTGTTCTTGCTGCTGTTATCACGCTTGCGCATGCTTGAGCTGGACGTCGCAGCGCAGGTATAGTTTTGGCCGATTGTCGAGTTGAAGTCGAAGGAGAGTTTGCAGAGATCTGTTCGGCTGATGACGCCGTCTGTGCGGCCGTCTAGAGGGTCACAGGCTGAGATGGTGAGATTGACGATCTTCTCTAGCTCACAATATGGCGGGATGTAGTCCATTGTCTGCTGGGCGACTTGTGGGAAGAGGTGGTTGACTTGTTGTTGGCCGTAGCGGATTGCCGGTGCGCCGATTACGGCGCCATCCCATTCTTCTGGGAAGCGTTGGACTTGGCTGAAACCTTCACGGCCACCTTCTGAGCAGCCTTGGTAGTATGCGTAGAGTTTGTTGGAAGTGGATAGGTTGTAGAAGCTCTTTGTGAAGGCTTTGCCGATTGAAGACATTTCGTGGTGCGCTTGGTAGCCGAACATGTACAGCGCTTCGTAGTTGGAGGTTCCGTTTACCAGAGGGAAGACGTCGTCGAAGGATGTATCGAATCCTCCGAAGCCGCCGTCTGTTCGGCCTGTTGCTGCGCCGTAGATTACTCCTCCTGGGAGCGTTGCTTCGACGTTGATGGCGAAGCCAAATCCGCCGGTTGAGACCCAGCGGTTTTCGAACTTGTTTGGTGCTGGGAGCCAGAAATTCAGGAGGATCTCATCGTCCTTGCCGTCGTGGGAGTAGGTCATTGTGACATTGCAGTAGTCGAAAGTAGCATCGGGATAGTATACTTCATCCGAGACGGAGACATTGTAGACGGGATTGGCTGTGATCACGGAGTTGGTGACGTTGATTCCTGACAGCAGACCATTCTTGGGTATAGAGGCTTTGGCTTGGGCTGTTGTACAAACATCGCCGAGGGTAGTAGCTTGTGCCAATGCAATTGATGCCAGCACTCCGAACGAAGAGAGCTTTAGCATGGTGAAGCAGACAGGGAGATACCGAAAGAGTGAATGGAACTGGGGAGTTTTGATAATTCAATCAACAGGACTTCCCTGCATTTATAGTTCAGAAAGCTGAGTATAGATCTACGTTGATCAAGTCGTAATTAAGAAAAGCCCAAGGAGGTACGTACGTAAGGGGATCCATATAGATACGTGGAAGGAGATACCGGTTTCATCCAGAGATGTGCCATGGATATTACTCGGAGAAAAGAAGAGCTGAAAATATAATGGCGTTTCTATAAGTTAGAAAAGAACATCGTCAGCTTCAAGTGATTAGGATCGCTACATCGGTAATAAGTTATAGAATGAAGAAGCTGCAGCTGGAACGATGTAAGAATAGGCACTTGGAGGTGCATTCATCCTCAACCAAGCAGCATGAAATGGATCATTTCCAAAGCCGTTCATCCCTTTTTAGCTCAAACGGTCTCGGAAATAAGACTTGCGATACCTTAATTCTCCGAGATCATGGTACAAACTACTAAAAACGGTTTAGTCTCCGCAAGTCTCCACCGAGACGGGATTTGCGGCTTCAATCCTTCACAGATCTCTATAAAACAGGCTTAATTTTAAGAGACTGGATATATCTTGTAATATTAGTGCAGGTATATGTAGTTCTAATATGTACCGAAGGAACCGAGAATAAAAAGAATCGATATTTCTGAGATCATTATGCAGACCCACCAAGGGGTACTGGGAGTGTATATGGATAACAAGACCTGAGATTATCAAATATTTGCATTGTGTGCACTTTGCCCATACTGTAGACAAAAGTAGCATACTGCTCGCTCGAACGAGCCAGGGCTTTCTAGTATGGATGGCTATTAGGGCTATTATTTTTCAGCGCAATTGGCGGGAGGGCTGACCGAGTGATATCAACATGGCGATATGCGGCTTTGATATCCATGAAGGCTCCGTCATATGCCAAGATGTGTCTTGTAAAAGCTTGAAGCGGCTCTATGTGCCATCGCTTTACGCTTCAATAATCTGTATCATACTGTCTCTCCAACAACGATGCAGGCGATTTTTCAACGCCGTGATATTCGGCGAAAACTTCAGAAACAGTTTGTTACCAAGTACGAAAAGCCTGAGAATGTGTGGACTCACGAAGGTCGTTATTCTTACCAAGATGGAGAGATTCACACAATCTCCCGCGAACCAGAAGATGATTTACCTGCCCAGCGCAGGAGAGAGCACGGCCATCGCACCATCATGGGCGGACCGGCTATACATCCACGTCATTCGGTTCGAGCTCATTTGGAAAGAGACGGAGACGTTGAGAGAGCGGATTTCGACCCGGAACTCCAAACCGATCCACATACTATCAACACGCATGAGACTCTCGGTGCGACTGCGAATATGATGATTACCGGAATCGAACGAGCTCGACCAGGCACTAGCTCATCCACTGGCGTCTCGGCCGGTTCTTCAGAGATGGGATTAGGGGAAGAGTTCGAGGGTGATGACATTGAAAGGATCAAGAAGAACAAACTCATCATCGTGACTTACGAAGGTGAATGTGATTCAATGGATCCTCACAATTGGTCCTTCAGAAGTCGACTAGCATACACTCTAATAACGTCGGGGACCGCATGTGTGATTTTCTGGTCTTCCACGATTGATGCCACCGCTCTCGTTTCGACCAGGGCACTCTTTCATACAAGTTTCAAAGTCCAGACGTTACCAACCAGTAAGTTGCTGACCGGATACTCAATATTCTAGACTGACTGATCTCTCTAGCTCTGTTTCTCATCATGAATGGCCTCGGCGCTCTGGTAGCAGCACCGATCTCTGAGGTCTTCGGACGCACCCCCATATACATACCCAGTATCATCTTGTTCATGTTGTTCAACATGGGCGCAGGTCTATCTCAGACTGCAGTACAGCGTATTGTATGCCGCGCCTTCGCTGGGCTATTCGGTTCTGCTCCTGCGGTTTTGGCGGCGGCAACTCTCGTGGACATTTGGTCACGCATTGAGCGAGTGTACATGTTCCCCCTGTTTTCTGTCATTGCTTTTACGGGACCTCTGGTAGGACCGACGCCGGGGGCATTTGTAGTGGAATCCAAAACTCAAAGTTGGCGCTGGGTCGATTGGATTACCATTATATTTGCCTCAATCGTGCTGATGCTGGTTGTCCTCTTCTTACCGGAAACATACAGCCCGATCCTTCTAGACTGGAAAGCAAAAGAGCTCCGTCGTATGACTGGCGATGACAGATTTCGAGCGCCGCTAGACTTCAAACGAGTCTCATTCCTACGCCGTCTACGCAACTCATTGTATCGACCGATCCTTCTCTTCGTGACAGAGCCGATTATCAGCGTCCATGCATTGTACCTGGCCGTCGAGTTTATTATCCTGTACACATTTCTCGCGGGATATGTCTCCATCTACATGAAGATATACCATTGGAGCGCAGGCTTGACCGCAGTGGCCTTCCTAGGCATCGAAGTTGGAGTTCTTCTCGCCGTGCCAGCTGTCCCATTGGCAATGTACTTTCTCCGGAGGGAAATTGTCCGCAGTCGCGCTCGAGGTCAAATTCGCCCAGACCCTGAAATAAGTCTGTATATGGGTATGTTTGGTGCACCAGCCATCTCAATCTCCATGTTCTGGATGGGCTGGACTGCCCGGGAGTCCATTAGCTTTTGGAGCCCACTTGCATCATCGGTGCTTCTAGGCTTTGGGGTGCTGTGCATATTTGTTTCATCATATCAATATATTGCTGATTCGTTTGAGCTGCATGCTGCCAGTGCTCTGGCGAGTTTGCAGGTCTTGCGTCTTGTTGCTTCCGGTGTCATGGCAATCATCTCGGAAATCATGTATATGCATCTGGGTGTTGCTTGGACTTTGACTGTTTTGGGATGTATATCTTTGGTGTTCCTCCCTGTACCTTTTCTTTTGTATTGGAAAGGACCGCAGGTGCGCGCTTGGAGTCGATACGCGCGAAGAAATGAAGGTTAGTATAGTACATCCACCATGGCATTCAATCAGTGGTGTCTTGGCTATATTTACACCATGGGTTATCAAGTCAATTATAAAGCTTCTAGAAAAGATCACCAATAGAAAATATTTGGGATTTGTATCTGCAATATGTCTGGTCACGTGTGGGGTATCTACATCGCAACCGACGCGCTTTAGCAACTTCAACTACGCGTCATATCTCACAATTCATCGTACTCCCCAGAGAAATCATATGGACTTTTATGAATGAGTTTTTGCACAATATAAGCAGCACAGTCACCTGAAAAAGGTCCGACTGAATGACTTACATATTGGGACCATGATTCATGATGGCGGTCATATTTCGAGACAACCAACCTCAGGGCTACTTCTCTCGGGGTGAGAATTGGTTCCATGAAATCCCCTTCTTGCCTCATGGATGGGAGACGACCAATGTTCAAGGCTCTGGAACCCTCAAACATGCCGCAATGAAAGCTCTGTTGCAAGATCAGTCGCAACTGAAGTCCGAGCTGTTTGAGATTGTTCCATGGCACTTGGCAAAATATCTCTGGGATGCTCTCGGCAGATGGTTTGTCATATGATTCCTCTTCAGCCTTTTTGGAGCTAATTTAACCGCATCTATAGCAACAAACAGACATTACACATGTGGAAACTCATGGCCACAATGTACCCTGCAGAATTTCTTCACATCAGTCCCTATTACTGTCTTTGCACTGGTAGCCCAAGAGAGCCAATAAAAGCTTACATGGGGATGCTGAATACCAAAGACTTCCGTTGGCGAGCAGTCCTGACACTTGCATCCACATATTGCTCTCTGACAGATTTTTCGGGTATCCCAAACATTAAGAACCTGGTCGCCCTAGAAATTTGCAAGTCCCAAGAAATCCAGAGCAGCATTGAACAAAGATCTGTTAGCAAGGAACAGAGTTCTTTGCAAGATGGATCTGTGCGTGGTTGGGTCGAAATGTGGCAGTTTACCAGGGCACTACAACATCTCCGGATCCTCAGAATCTATCATCAACAAGAGATAACCGCAGCTGCCTTGAGGTCTCTTCGCGAGCTACCAGAGCTCCAGCTTGTGGTCATGTATGGATGTAACAAGATCACAGAAGAGATCTCAAGACACCGAAAACCTTCCAACAATATGCTCCCAATTGAAGGCTGGTCAGCTAGCAGGCTTGACTGGCTACCACGGGAAAAAGCACTGGCAGATCTAGGACCATTGCTAGATGTGTACAAATCCAGCCTTGAAACCGTTGCTGATACAGATGGACCACAAAAGCAAACCTCGACATTGGATACAAATCTCCCGATCCTGGAATTTCAACTCCCAACAGCCAACCATCACAATCCGGAGCGGGTGGCACAGCGTGCTCTGTATAGACCTAAATCGGTTGTACTTTTCACTCGGGACACTGTATTACAAAATTTTGATCAGGAGAAGAAGCAGCGAGAGAGGGCAAAGAAGCGGTCTGAGCCGGTGGAGGGACCTAATCCCCGTGCCAAGAAGGCTGTTATGAAAGATAAAGGGAGAGATCTCTCCATGACATTAAGTGAATTCTTTTGAGTCATTTACTCCAGTAAACTTACTTCACAGCAATTGAACTGGGAGACTTTCCATGCAATCAATAGTTCTATACAAAGTAGACCAACAAACAGAAAGCCACGCTAAACTACTTTAGGAAATAATCTATGATGATATAATCAGATGATGTCAGGTGCCAATGACAAATCTCGACGTTGATTGGCTGCGGACCAAACCCCGCTCAAACTGATCAACATCACCTGATGACCTCAATCAGTCAAGCAACGACTTGCATTTCGCAGCTTTTTGATGATCCCTGCCTTTCGATAACCCCTCCAAGTAGGAGAGACTACATCTTCATGGCGGACCAACAAACCCCCATCGAAGGGTCCGACGCCTCGTTGAACAACAATGGCTCGGCCATTGCATCCCCGCGCTCCAGCACCGATTCCCGATCCTCCACACGAAACCTCCGTGTTTCACACATGCCGAACCCGAACCACCAGCACAGACAGAGCTTGAGCGAGTCCCTTCGTGGACCCCCCGGTTCTCCCCGGGCACGCCGGCAGCCATCTCTTACTCAATCCGCCATCCAGAGCCTCATCGACAACCCCCCACCACCGAAATCGGGGGACCCTGCATTTATCGGTCGGGATTGGCGCGAGATCTCAATTGGAGAGCTAGTCAGCCCCGATGATCTCAAGTTTGTGGAGCTTGATACGGGCATTGAAGATGCCACAAATGTTAGTGTATCAATGCCGGCACAATCGACACATACTAACAAGTTCAATAGATTTTGATTGATTCCGGCGCAGCTGTGCTACTGATCCGCGAGACCCCTAACGACACTTCTGCTGTTGGTACATTCGATTATGCCGATCTCAACTCATATCTCCTGCTAGCGGCAGGCTTGACATCTCCCGATGCGGCACACCAAGCATCTTATGAAGAATTGGCCAAGAAAGCCCACAATGGAGTGCCTATTCCGCTGCGGGATGTCAAGAAGTTTGGCATGGAGAAAGAGCCGCTGATCAAGCTTCCCGCATCGGCAAATGTGTTGGCTGCCGTCGAGATCTTTGGTGGAGGTGTTCACCGCGTCGTCGTGGTCAATGAAGCCAATCCCCAAGAAGTGGTTGGAATCTTTAGCCAGTTCCGACTTGTCAAATTCCTCTGGGAGAACGGCCGGAGTTTCCCCGTCATCGAGGAGCTCTACACACAAGCTTTGCGCGAGTTGCGCATTGGATCTCAAGAAGTCATATCTATCAAGTAAGTCGTTTCCCATTGACATACTTACAGTCATGTTAATAAATAATTCTAAAGCGGAGACAAACCGCTTCGCGAAGCTCTCCATGTCATGAACAATGAGGGCGTGTCATCTATTGTCGTGGTTGATAGCCACATGAATGTCCTCGGCAATATTTCAACCGCAGATGTCAAACTTCTGACTCGGTCATCTTCTTTGCCGCTGCTTCACAACACCTGCACCCACTTCATTTCGGTCATCCTGTCTACACGAGGACTTATAGAAGGCAAAGACTCATTCCCTGTCTTCCACGTCAATCCAGGATCAACACTGGCTCACACAGTTGCGAAGATTGTGGCAACTAAATCACATCGGTAATTTCTATATAACCCCAGACGTCAAAAGTGTTGATATCTATACTAATTATACTAGCCTCTGGATAACGGATCCAATGTCCCCGGCCTCCTCAGGGCCACCAACTCCATCGCATTCTGCTGCTCACATCCCCCTTCCTCCTAGTACAAGCCACCCAGCTGCAGGATCGCATGCAAACTCACCACCAGCATCCCCTCTCCCCCCACCATTGACTCCCACAGCACAGCCCTCTCAATACACAGCACCGCACCACCCAGCTCCTCCAGCTTTTGCACCCACAACTTCAGGTTCTCATTCTACTCCAGGGGTATCCGTGCCGCCACCACTTACCCATTCCATCCCAGCTTCGGCACTAGATGGAGCCCGTCTTTCTGGACGTCTAGTTGGAGTCGTCAGCCTGACTGATATTTTGAATCTGCACGCCCGAGCCAGCGGACTCAGTCCAGCTGATCCCGCAGAGACCCGTAGCCGCCGCCGACGCAGTAGCTCGTCGAGCCTAAGTGTTCGCCGCAGCGGTGATATTGGCCGGGAGCTATTCAGTCGCGGCATGTAACGAACTATTCAGACTGGTTTGCAGGCTTGGATTTGAGATCGCTACAGATAGAAGTCCACTCGTTATGCCCGACATTTTCAATTGTGCTATGGACCACATGTCCGAATTCTTCACGAATCTTTGTCACAGATGATGGATCTGTGTTTTGTGGGAACCTTTCATTGTTATTCTTACCAACAGATATTAGTTCCCTGTGAATGAGCATTACGAAATACTTTTTTTCAAATCTTTTTCTTTCCAAGCAATGTAGTACGATTAAGCCTCGTCCGGGATACGGTGGACTCGTTTGATATTAGTTTGATTAAGTTTCGGTCCCGTCTGCACTCTCTTGCCTCTGCATATCTGCACGGCCCAGTCAGATCCCAATTTTCTAACTATCACTCGAAGTCGAGTTCTTGAGCAGTCGGTTAGTACTAGAATCCACCATGATGAGATCCGACGGCCAGTCTGGTAACAAGATTATAATTGAAAACGAGGATGTATTTGGGTCTATCTCGGATTCAAGTCGACATCGAGGATAGTGACCTGCATGCATAGAGTGATCTCTTCCTTTGAGAGTTCGAGCTTGGCATCAAAGAGGTAAATAATTGAGAATATTGTCAGCTTATTCATTGGATGTTTGGTTAATGATTTATCCGATGCATTGAATTCCTGGCATCTTAATGAGTTGGATATGAGATACCTCTATTTGCTATGCTGCTAATTTCAAAGCTTATGTTAAAATATCTATTAGTATATAAGGAGGGCCATGCATTGATCCATTTGGGGTGTGGTTTGAAATGACCCAAAATATAACACTTAAACGCTAGAATGTAACCAATTCATTACCACTATTCAACACTCGGGGTGACTTTAATTCCGACCTTTCTTTCCATGTAAAAAAGAACGTATAGTTTGCCCTCCTCCAGAATGCCCTAAATTTGAGTCTTCCAACCAACAAACTCAATAGGAACATTATACAATTCCAGCGAAGATCGACACACCGGACAAAGCCGAACCCAAACCACGTCTCCGCGAGATCAGATATCCACTTCATGGCTAGCCAACCCCCACGCTCAAACACGGACGCCAACTCCAACGCTTTTACGCAAATGATACCTAATCCGGCGTTCGACCTTCAAGCTAGGGAAGTACAAAAAGCGACTCGGAAACCTTTTCCCCGGGCCCAAGTTCAATCCTCTACCTCACTCCCAGATCCATTCAGACCCATTCAACGGAATTCAAACCACACACGCAATCTCTCAAACCTACACAATGCCAGCTCGCATCGGTGGACCACGCTAATCGTAGATCATTGCATTTACCACTAAACACCCTGGTGATCCCTGGTTATTCCTGCAAAAGCCGATCCTCGTGATCAGAATGCCAGATTGGCTTTTTTGTTTAATTCCGATTATGGAGATCTTTTTGTTGATCTTTCTTAGCGTGTAACGTGCAGGTCTTTTTTTGGTTAAAAAAAGATGAAAGAAAACGTAGTTAGTGATTGATTATTCAACAGAGCTACTTGTTAATCGTTTTCTACCGAACTTTCTTCATGTCTGGCTGTGGGGTTTGACTCGCTCGTCAGATTAGGTGGGCTCCAAGCCTGCATCACCGGATTGGGGAATTCGTCTCGTTCCGCTTTTGCCTGGGCTGTATATTTGGGAACGAGGGTGTGGTAGTTTGGTTTGTGTCATGTCATTTAATCATTTTATCGGAGTATCTAGAATGATTTTAGTTGTTTTATTATTGTTATCAATTGGAACTTATGTATCTTTGATGATAGTATTTGGGCATGGAGTTACATTTACTGATGTAATATTACGTACACTTTAAGTTAAACAGCATAAGAAGTATGATCTTTTGTAGAACAAATCTCACTGTTGAATTGTTGTAACTCAGGGACAAGTCATTCCCCCTGGCAAATACCTGCATTTTCTGAGACTTCCTGTATCCAACATCCAACATCCAAATACCGACACAAGTTGGTAGCCATTCCAAATACTATCCAGCGTTTGATGTAATCTACCAGACAAAACAAAATCTGATCTCGGATTGCACAGCGACTCTGATGTCAACGGAAATAGTAAACAAGCCACTGGGAGTCTATACTCCCAGCCCTACATATCAAACCCCGAAAGGAGAAGACTCCAAGAGCACGACATCAGTAAATACCAACCTCTCTCTGTCACCTCTCTTTCCAAGCTCTTCTCCATGACTCCATTGCCACTAACATGACGAATCCCACAGACCATCATCCAGCCAACACAGATAAGACGAAGAAACAAATGAAAACACATCCCCCCAAATCCAAATCCTCCCATAGAACAAAACCCCCGGTTCACAAAAAGCCCCTACAGCCAACAAAAAAGACAATAAGCGAACCCAAGCCCCAAAATACGAAACCGCAAAACCAAACCCCCCAATCAAGCCTAGGCCCTCATCAGCACACCCAAGATCCGGGGAAACCAGCTGACCTGCCAGCCACCTCGCCTCCCCAGAATCCGGTTCTCGCAAGCCACGCCCCACATCTTACAACATAACCGGAGGATCCGTCCAGACTGCTGGGACTATGCGCCCTGGGATATCTGATTCAGGATCGATGCCATTGGATGATCTAGCGCAGAAACGACCGGACAATATCTCGATGAGGGTCAGGAGAGGGGGTGAGCAGGTTTCGTTCCTTGTTTGGTTCTTGAGGGCTCGTTTGGATCTTGATTCAGGATTACTGTACATGTGCATGTACATACGGAGTACTTCGTAGAGCGGGTGGGGAATGTGATCTGACATGATACGAATGTGATATGGGTGGTCTAGATGGAGTCGTACGGGTGGATCTTGGAAGGCTGCATTTGATTCTGTATATGCAAGACAATCTGTTGTGTACAGTACTGTAGTCTGGTCGTAATGGATGTTATATCCAGTTATGGACTGTATAGTCGGTAGGTATGCTGTTCACGAACGGTTTCCCGATCTGTTAGTCTACGTTATGATATTTCTGTATGCTCGTTGTGTAAGTTCTTTTTTAACGGTTAGCTTGTCTTCCAGGCTATGGTCCAATCGAGTATCTTTCCATTGGTTGGTTGAACGCTAATTCGAGGTCACAACTGATTTGAGTCGCAGTACTCCGTACTCGTACTTGTGACTCAAAGATTATACATGGCCCACACTACCTTGTTCATGGTATGAGGACAGACGATATGGCACTCTTGCCAATAGACCCATCATTGGGTTAAGCGAGTAGGCTTGATGCCAAGAATTCGAGCGAGACTAACAAGTGGCCCGCGCCACCCGAAGTGGATCCTCCCGTCGCCTTGGCGAACCTTTCAATAGAGCCGCCGGGCTCACAGTTCAGCTGTCAAATCCACTCTTGAGATACTTGTTCGCTTGGAGGTTTTTTTTTTTTTTGGAAATCGCTAAGATAATCCATATCAAGATGTTGCTGGACTTGGCGGCTTGGGAAGTGGATCTTCGCTCTGCGGGTGGTTTCTGACAGGCTGCAGTTCTATGACACTCTGTTGACTTTTTGATAGGTGTTTTGCTTGAACACTTCTGGTAGCTATTCGTTCCAGGGGAAAGTGGTAGTTCTTACATTTTATTACTCAATTTTGGAATTATGTCTGTATTTTCTATAGCATCGGAGTGTCTGTACTATTTTTCTCGTTCTGTGCACCTGAATACGTTCTTATAATCTGATAATCGTCTTATTGTTAGGGTTGGGATACTATGTGGCTGTGAGCAGACATTCTAGTTTAATATGAAATTTTGCAAGCTACTGTAAAGACGTTTATATCTATACTTACTAGTCGCATTTCCTTTTACTTGACTGTAAAATGTCAAGGCATCTGAATCAGCCAGACGGCACCTCAATAAACATACATTACTCGATAGATACTTTCACCGAACATATTTAGTATAATATCGAAATTTCAACTACAAAGCAAAATTAGATCCTTACAGTATACCCATGTATCATACCCACACTACTGGCACTGCAAAATCACGGCAGTTGGTTGTCCGTCAACAAACTTTCCTATCTTCAAATCGCTCAAGTCCGTGGCAGTAAGACCACCTCAATCCAATCAACTATCTTCACATGTTCGCCATGGCTCGCCAACCACATAGTCCAAGATATGGAAACCCAGAACTAAACACCAAACCATAGCATCACGTGCGAGTCAACCCGGACTGAGAAATACTCGCTCCATGGCACAGAAAGCGGCAATTCAAACCTACCCGCCAATCCAATCCGACGAGCAAGTTCTATACAGCCATCGCGATAACAGTAACCACCAAAAGACCAACCCAGCCGACCAAGCCCCTCCTCACCCCACCAGTCACCGCGCAAAACATGCCCGATCAGGCCACCAGCTAATCAGCCCACCACCAAAAAGACAAAATAACGCAGGAACGTCAAAGCCGACAGAAAGACCCAGGTCCAAGCCCAAGCCACAATTCCAAATTCCGCGCAAAACACCCGGCACGCTGCAGCCTGCAGCCTGCACGCTGCACCTGCCCGTGCGCCGATCGCCGATCAGGGAGTCCTGCAAAAGCAACCAACCCAATAACAAGCTCGAACCACCACCACCACCACCACCACCATCCCCAACACAAAGCCCGTCTGACGTGCCCGTGCAGTACCAACGGCTCCAACGGCAACCTCCCACACAACACCATTTCCGCCTAACTTTAACCCCCAAGCCCCTCGTAGGATATCTCCCGACGAGGAAAGTGCCCAAAGCCCGATACCCAGATCCAGACTTGCACGTCCAATCAGCGCGCTGGTGCCGTGCACGGGGTCTGGATTTGGGAATCTGGATCGGTCCCGAGTGGGTAACCGGCTTTGGGTGGCCGATGGGAATTGTGGGTCGAAGAAGGGTTCGAGACTGGAATTGGTCTGGAACTGGACTGGATTGGACTGGAACTGGATGAGAATGGGGGGGTGGAAGTACCTCCGTATACGAGAGAAAGAGCTAATATGATAGTCTGTTATTCCACTCGGCGCTGTTTGTTCTTAACTCCTGGGTTTGGAGATTCTCACTGAGGCGTCAGGTTATCGGGCCAATCGGGGCTGTGGATTCTCGAGCTGCAACCTTAACCCCGCAATCTGGGAACGCGGTGCACCTGGCCCGATTCGGCTTTTTTGGTCTTTTTTGGGTTTTTTAAACTTTCCGATTGGAAATGGATTTTTGCTCGTTTCTTTTTTCCGAGTTAATTTGGCTTGGCCTGAGCTGACAACCTTTTGAGCTCTCTTTCTGTTCACTTTACTGTTCACAGAAAGTCTGTTCAGAAAGAAGAAAAATCCCCTTGTGCAACAAGTCCCAGCAAAACAAGTTCAATCTCTGCAGCCAGAACTTCGCCGATCCCCTTCTGCACGATAGCCGTTGATCCAAAATCCCGGGAACGCCTCTTCGCTCATACCCCTCCCCTCTCCCCCCCTCCTCCCCCCGAGCTACTTAGCAATCGTGCAACAACGTCATCCCCATCCCCGTGAGAAAAATCCTGCAGGTCCAACCTCCAATTCCATTTTGGACATATCACATTAACCAGCCCAGAACAGCTGAACCAAGAATGAATCGTGAAATAAGAACCCCTCCCAAACCCTATTCCTAATCCCGACCCAGAACCCCCCAAGAATAGAGCACAAGACCACCTACCATGAAATCAGGAATTGGATGCCAATGCCAGGGGAGGCAAAAGACAAAGACAATCGAAGAAAAAGTACGGAGTAGAGCTGCTCCCTTTCCCCTCCCGCCAAGTCAGGCTTACAGTACGGAAATGGCATGACATACGGAGTACTGTAGGTAGACATATGGAGTACAAAGTACAAAGTACCCCCATGACAAATACTTCAACCGGTCTACCTACAGTACGCTATTCCACGGTTTGCCGCGTTCTAGAGTCCAGGGACGTCCCCCGGACAGAATTAGTATTCTTTCTGCGATTGTTGCGTGGTATGTGGTATTGAGGAAATATCCCTCATAAGTGAAGAGTGAAGAGTGAAGTCATCCCCGCCAAAGCAACATTGTACTGTATCCTGTTCTGTCCTGTTCTGTTCTGTTTTTGCGCTCGGTCAATTCGATCCACACTGCGGTGAGTGGGTTTCTAGTTTCAACTCAATGCGGTGGAACTTGGTTCTTCGGATTTATGTACGTACGTACGTATAACTTACAATTGGCGTTATTGTAGTCTTACGGTTTAATGTAAGATAATATAATATTAATTGGCAGTAGAGTACAGTTCCAGGTATATTTTAAGAATTAATTAATTAACAAAGACCCAAGCAATCAATAGCCATAGAATAGCGAAAAGGCAAAAAAAAACAGAAGAAATGATTCAAGTCCCAGGTGGAGATCCCAGCCCAGCTCTACAGCTCAGCTCAGCTCCAGCTCCAGCTCCAGCTAGCTACGAGCTATCTGGCACGGCCCGACAAAACGCAAAACCCGGGACCGAGACCAAGACCGAGAGTCAGACACCCACTGCGAAAAGCGAGATGCCAATAATCGCGCAGGGCATTGCGCAGCGGACAGTTGCGTCGATCATGTGGAGAACATTCGCCGGATTGGGGGTGGACTTGGACGGTGCGGTGATGGTTGCGGGTTGTGTCGATGTAACGTCGATCATTGTGGGACGGGAATAGACCAGGGCGAGAATTTATTCCTTGGGCCTTGGAACTTTTTTTTTGGTTTTTCGTGTGTGGGGTTATGTCACTGTCGCTTTCACTGTGCGTGAAGGGGATTCGTGGTTTCATGGTTGGGGACAGTAGAAAATGAAGGGAAAAGACGATAGGTTGTAAATGGAAGGGAGCATTCTTGGTTGATTGGTGATTGGTATTGGTCTGGTCAAGGTTCATGCAAAGCAAGTTTGTAATATTGAATTAAATGAGAGATAGATTGGAAGTATGATACAGAAGCGAATATACAAAGCCACAAAAGTCTCGAGCCGATATACAAAAGAAGGAAATCAAGGAAGTCAAAAGTGACAAATAAACTACCTGGGTATATCAGGTATCACAAATCGTAATGGGCGTCAAGAACAGAGAAGAAAAAAAGAGAAAGAAAAAAAAAGCAGAAGGGGGATGAAGGATCAGCACGAAACGCTGGTAAACTCGTCCACCGTGACAAAATCGTCGAAACCAAATGGCTCCCGGTCAGAGAGTGGCACTGTCGAGTTCTCCAGATGCAGAGCGAACTGGCTGAAATCCGAATAATCAGCATCCATGCCCTCGTTGGAGACCATGATGCCATCACCATGCCCAGTGCCGTCCATTTTGGCAGGCGCAGGCATGGACGGCATACTCATCTGAGTCGCAACGGCAGTTGGCGACATGGGGCTGTGGGGGGTAGGACAGAAATCAGGCGTGGAGTGGGTCTCCGCAGAGAGGGCCTCGATTCTGGGCGAGCTGGCGCTCGACGCGGGCATGGCGAGGTGGGTGCTTTGCGTTAGGAGGTGGAGGTTGTGGAAGTTATTGCTGGGCTGCGACTGGCCGCGCGAGTGGCCCATTGGGTGGGCGTGGCCGTGGGCGCCGGCACTTGGGGTGGGGCCCGAGATCGACGCCGAGGGTGCGATCCGTGGAGCTTGGTGCAGAGGCAATTCCGGCGCGGAGGCTAGTCGGTCTCTGAATTGGCGCTGCATTTGGATGTCGGACGCCGTGGGCTGCTGCATCATGCTCTGCTGCCACATCTGCACTTGGTCTGTTGGGGTTTGGCTGGGGGTGGGGACCTGCTGTTGCATGGCCCAGTTGGGCATCTGGGTGCTCCATGCTGGGGTGGTGGCTTGCTGGTTCACGTAGTCTGGGATGTGGGCGGAGTTGGGGTCTGATGAGACCATGGAGTAGGGGGCCTCGGAGCCCGGCATGCAGGCCATGTAGGAGTTGGCGCTGTTGTCGAAGGATGCTGTTGGGGACAGGATGTAGCCGTCGCTGGTTGGCATGGGACTGGCCATGGAGTTTGAGTTTTGGGAGAACGACGAGCGGATGTTGGTCAGGTCCAGGCTCATTTTGCGGGGGCCCTCTGTGGACGGACGGGGCGTATATGTGCTCGCTCGTCGATTGGCGATTGACGCTCCATTCGGACGTCCAAAGGCTGCGATCAGATGACGGTGGAACTGTTGTTCGATCTGCATGTTCTGCGCTTGCAGCATCCGAATCCGCTTTTCTGCATATCGCTCGTCGACTTCTTCATACATGGCTTCTCTCTCGACAATCTCCTTGGTAATGTGAAAGCCCTTGCCGGTACGTTTCTTGTGCAGCATCGAGGCCCTATTGGCCGACTCTAGTCGTGCATCCAGGCTGCGGTCCTTTCGCCGCGAGGCAGCGATAAAGGCTCTGATGGAGGAATTAGCTATGCTCGAGTTCATCGGACTAGGATCTCTTTACCTCTCCTGGTTCTCCTCCCGCGAGCGGGGAATTGGGGTAATATCAGCATCCATCATCGTTAAGAAGTATGAGTCGTCAGAGAGAGGGGAAGGGAACACTTTAAATAACAAGATGTCAGGCCCTAAGCTCAGGGCCCCCAACCATGGATCCCAGGCGATCTTAGTTTGGGTACTGAGAAAACCTTCGACTCCCCCCGCGATCCATGGTTGTTGCGTTTCCAGTCTAGCCCCTCTGGGCCTCTTTTAATACGAGTACCATTCACGGCTCCCTGTGTCCCGGATATCTCTTCCCTTGCAGGTAAGCTGCAGATATCTCTCCCCGTTGAAAAGTCTAGAACTCGGGTTATGCAACTGGGAAGAAAAAAAAAAAAAAAAAGTGGGGGGTTACTCCAGTCTCCAGTCTCCAGATCGCCCATGTCACGGTAGACCCCAAAGCCCTATAGATCGAGGGTGAATCGTTGATCCCTTCCTCTTCCTACTTTCCGGTTACTTTTCTTCCTCTTCTTTTTTTCCCCCTACCTGGCTAACTCGGCCAGTACGACGGCTCAGAGAAGGGGTCCACGTGATGACCGGATCGGGCATTCGTCCAAGGCACACTTGGTGCAAAAGTGAACAGTGGATTAACCTGAGGCATTCGCAGCATCGCTTGGACCTGCGTCAATTCCGATCGGATCTGTCGTTAGTGCCCTCGGAACTATGCATCGATCGACCAGTGTCTACGGACAATGCTCGGTCATACACTTGACAACCGTCACCTGCCTAGAACAGTAGCGTGTGCGAGCAAGACGCAATGGAACCAATTTTCAGAGTCGATAGGCTATTCCGAGAGGCTCTATCTGCAGTGTAGTTCCCAGTACTGGTGAATCCTCGGGGTATCTTCCAAGACAACGGCCATCCGGCATGGGGATTCTCCACTTGCACCGCCACTAGGATCAGGAGATGTTGGATATGCAGGTGTCGTTACGCCCGGTCTAACCGAAACCCTAGGCTTGGGGTAGGTGGTTGGGGTATCGGCGTGCAGGATCGCTCGGAGGATGTGCTTGGGGCCAGATCAACTCTATGTACGAGGTACTGTTCTACTAGAGAATCGGTATCTGGTATCTGGCGGGCGATTGAGCCAGTGAACCCTGTTAGATAGGGCTTGACCTCGGTTCTCATAAGCCCTGTCAGCTCAACTGCCTAATATAGCCCAACAGCCAGAGAATAACAACGCCATATTGAAGTCAAACTGCCTTTCTCCCAGTCGCTCGCCACCGGTCTAGCCCTCCTATCGCTTGATCGCCCGGCCGGAACTAAGCCCTTTGGGGCAATTGCCACTGGCCCTTCACCTCACTTTAGTCAGGTATTCGCACGTCGCGGAGATGTATATGTTCTAGATCTGTTGTTTGGAGCAATACAGCAACGGCTTTTCAATTTGCAATTAGCTCGCGGGGTTCGGCAACTCGATCGAACCCCACCGATCTCACAGTGCTCACGGTACTCGGACTCGATGCATGCACTACGCCGCAGTAGACGGTTAATGGGTCAAAGGTGGCTCCATCGGTCTCAATTCTCAGCATATCGCTTGACAAAGACCTTCGTAATCATCCAGCCACATGCAGAGGGCGCCAAAACCATGTGAAAATGCCCTTGGCTATCCTCATTGGCTTATGCTATCTATACAGGTCTATCTCAGCTGAACCAAACACAGCAACTGGTCTATCATCCGCAAGCAACACCCAGAGATCGAAGGTCAAGTATTATCCAAACAGACTAATATCTCACGATGTGCCGTGTCAACAACACATCCAAACACCACATTTCACACCGCTATATTCAACCTTGGAAGCCCAAATCTCACCCGCACCAAACCAACTAATCTCCAACAGGAAAATCCTCCTCCAAATCCTCCCAATCCTCCCACTCCCAATTCCAATCCCAATCCCAATTTTTAATCCCTAGGAACTTCAAAAACCCCAGAAACAAGCCGATCAATCTCCCCAACCCCCAGCCCCCCCAAAGCCCCCCAAATCCCCTCCATCACATCCCCCGCCAACCCCTCCGGCGATCTCGAATAAACATCAATACCAGCGGGCGTGAAAAGCGTCTTCGCAAAATACGTCACCACCCACTCATTCCCATCTTCGACCCGTCCAAAGCCCAGACATTCCCAGTGCGAACTGGCAATCACCAGCCAACCCTTGCCGCGCCAGTCCCAGGCGCCAGGATCCCCGGCCGCGGGCGTGTCGATGCCATGCACGGAGTGGATCTTGGCCGAGTTGGCTTTTTGGTACTCGACCAGGTCGTCGAGTTTGGTTATTGCCCCTGTCTCTGACCCTGTCCCTGTCCCTGACCCGTCTCCTTTTGCGTTGGCCCCCGGAAGGGGTTTGTATGTTATTTTCACGTTGCGTTTGTTTTTCCACAGCGGGAGGCTGGTGTGGGTTACGTGCCAGGTGCCTGTTAGGAAGTCATTTGTTGGTGGGGGGTGGGTCTGGTGGGAGGGGGTTGCTAGAGCTTTGGGGGGGTTGATTGCTAGGGTTGGCATTCTAGTTGGAGCGCCCTGTTTGGTGGATTGGTTGTGGTTGTTGGTGGGTGGTTGGTGGTGGTTGATAGGGGTGTGCGATAAGGTATAACTTAAGTTAACTTGGATGTTGATCGCTACCCGATGTGGTTGGGGTGTTGACGATATTTCATTTTGAGATATTGGAGGTCTACGGGGGAGTTGCATCTAACATCTAGGGGTGTGTTTTGGTTGTTGGAGTTGAGGGTATATTGTATGATACTATGGCTGGGTGGTTTGATTGTAGATTTACTGTACAGCTCGGAGTAGATAACGTTAATAGAGGGGCAACTAAGTTAGATTAGATACAATAGAAGCTTATATGCATATCTGAAACAAGAGGGGAAGAGGTAGGGTGCAAGCTCCAACATCCCTGTCGTTATGCGTTGGCACTATACTGTCTAGCTGCATACATAGCGTGCCAGGGCCCCGCGCCATCTAGCTTCGTACATGTAAACCTACAGCATTGTGAGCCGTGCGACATACAGCTCTCTGTTCTTTACAGGAATTGACAAGCTACACATTCAACCCAGATATTAGTCTTTATTGGACCGACCGGTGGTAAATCAAGAAAATTTCCCCAAACGCAGCTTGAGAAAATGAACAGAATGGTTGGAGGCCAGCCCTTGGGATAGAGAAATACAATATACAGGTAACGTGAGACTCTATTGTTCTTCACATGAAATGTACTGTACTTGATCCAGTTCCCTAGGGTCCCTACAACTGACTCGCGCAATTTGCTGTACTCGACATAAGCTTACCCGCAAGCTTACCCGCAAGCTAACCCTGAAACCCGCAATGCCATGATCAAAGTTCCGGACCGACACAGCAGCCTCGAACTGTCATTTTATCCCGGCATGAACAGCAACGCAGAATCAATATACTTGTCTGACGTGAGAGATACTCTGCTGTCACTATGAACTTCCCTTATTTCTCAGTAGAAACCCCGTGTCCCGGTCCCTCTCCTCTGTATGGCCTGTTGGGCCAGTCAAGCTGCAGGTCGCCAAGGCCCAGATGCTCATAATTTACCCGCGCTTCCAGGCTCTGCATCGGAGATGATATTGGCTAGTTATTGAAATCGCAGCAGTTTCAGCTTTTCAGTCGTGTATTTAAATTGAGTCTATGGTATTTCGTAACTGAGATAGAGTCGTGGAGCCGCACTAGGTATAAGTATCCATTATATATAATATTTGTCAACTGCGTATATCACACCATTCACTTCTTTTCATCTCAGATATATAAATACGATGGACCAAGCCATCGAGGATGATATAGCTGGAACGATGTATTCCACAGAATTACTGGAGCTTAGAAAGGATCTCAAGACATGCAAAGAAGTTACAGTAGATCGATAGCCAAAGAAAAAAGCATCAATCAAGACACCTGTAAAACAACAAAAAAATAAAAAAAACATACAACAGTAAGGATTCGCTAGTGGTCACCCACCTAACTACTAACTTACCGGCGTGTGGCTTAAGTACGGCTGAGCGGACGGGAAGCCCTGTTCTCCACACCCTGTGGTCGTATGTACTTAACATTTTATTACAGAGGAATATAATGAGCATATCTAGGGGTTACGTTAGGATGATCGAGAAGCGCTGTACAGTAGTCAGCATAGCATCTGCAGTGATTTCTGGGGCAGATTTTTCTTCCAGGGTTTGTTACTGCCTAAAATATAGAGTAGATACCAGGGTCTTGAATTGTATGTGCCTCCAATTTAAATGATACGTTCTTGTACTTAAAGTTATGTAGTTAACGTTGACGTTATACTGCGATTGGTCAATTGCGACTACATATAAGTGCTAGCTACTAGTAACTTTGGTTAACCAAGAGAGAATGACTTGCAGTAGGAACTATCCTATACAGTTAATGCTTTACAGCATAACTTACATTACAATCGAACTCAAACTACACAAGACACATCCCAATCCAACTTGAAGACTCAGTGACGCCGTCATCGTCTCCACAAAGTCCGGCGAATACTCGGAGTCGGCACATACGTAGAAAACCTCCCCGGTCGGTCACTCCGATCAGAACTTTATCGCTTGATCCCGCTAGAGAGTTCATCCGATTAAATACCGAGAGGGTGGTCTGATCGACGTGGTTGCATTGCTACCGGTGTTGGTTCCTGGGGAGGCGGAAGTGGCGAGATGTGCATCTTTCTCCGCGGGTTGCATCTGATTTCTAATAGTAGGGTTCGGTGATGGGGGTGGGGCTGGATCTTATTTTTGGTGTCTTTTGGGGTAACGTTTTGTGTTGATCGGGGTACTTGGGTAGGAGGGTGGTAGGTGGTAGGTGGTTGTGAAGTCTTGTCTTGTTTCGATGGTTGTATTTTCGGACTATGAGGACTTCATAGGACATCGTGGTTTTGATTAATGGGTTGAAGATATCACTTTACCGTTTGAAGGTTGGTTGAGATATCTACGGAGACTACCTGAGTATACAGCATTTCGTGTAATGAATATTTCGAACAACTCCCTTCATTCTCTCAAAGAGTAAGTAGTGCAGGCAATGAAATCTGAATCTTCTTTATAAACAGCATGGATAAGGACGCTAAAGTCTCAATGGGTGGGAAGCCAAAAGGGAGGGGAAATAAATCAAGAGCAGGGGAGGTGGGTTAGGGCATGGAGGCTTGAGGAAGAGCAGCCCGTTTCAGCACAGGAAGTGAAGTAGACGGAATGGATCAATGGCAATGCAAAATCTAAATAGAATGCCGTCATATCTGCTCGGGTCTTCCGAGCCTACTTCGGACCGCTCTGGGCTTTCAAGGCGGATCTAGCTAGAGCAAAGACTTGGTGTAGACTTGGATTCGTGGCTATGGTGTGTCTAGGCGATGCCCAGAGGTGGTACCATGCCCTGCTCCTCGCGGGCCTCGCCTCCAAGTTTGTAAGACACCTTGAATCGGATCTTCACCGAGTTGCCCTTTCCTGCGTCAATACCGTCCATGAGCATTTCTTGCTGGACGCCATTCTGTTGTCCGGGTGCAATGTCTCGGCCGGATTGCGGGCGGAGTTGTAGGGTGTAAGACTAGATATGGATATTAATCTATCAGGGTAAACGACAAAGACTTGGGCCATGACTTACCTTCTCCACGGCAACCTGGAAATGGAGTTCGCCAATAGGTTGACTGGTTGGGTTGGAAAAGACGGCCACAACGTGGATTTGACGTGGCTGGTTTGGCACTCTGCGCACAGCAAAATCAACGCGAAGTTGGGAGTTGAGAACCTGGATCTTGTTTGTCGTGGGGAGTGCGTTGCTGGCTGGCAAGGAAGAAGCGAAATCCCACTCATCATCGACTTCGGCCTTCGCGGCCTGCGGTGGCTGCGGTGACGAGCTGGGTCCTCCGACTAAGTCAAGCAAGGATGACGAGGCCGGAGCTGGGTGACTCTGTGCTGGGGGTGGTTGGAATGGGCTGGATCCTGCTCGGGGGCTGGCAGAGACGAGCGATGCAAATGGATCAGCTGGTGGCGGGGTTGCCGTTGACTGAGCTTGGGGTGAGGCCCCCATGGCGGGCGTTGGGGATTGAGAGACAGGTCGCGAACTGTTCATGGACGCAAGGATATCATAATTAGGTTTGAACGATGCTGGCGTGTGCTGAGACTGAGGCTGTGGTGGAATAGGCGGTGTTGAGCTTGCAGACATGGATGGGAAATTGTCTATAATCTGATTAGTGACACGGGTGGTTATTTCCGATATGCATTACTTACTCGAAGGTCCGAGTGAGATACCACCCCCAGGAGAGGGATCTTGTTCGCCTAACGAAAGACCGAGAAGGTCATTTTCCAACGAACTGCCACCCTGAGAGGGGTTGATCTCGTTACCGTTAGAGCTGGGTTGAGGCTCTGGATCAAAGTCGATCAGGGAAAGCTCGTTGTTAGCGTTTGTAGAGACTCCAGTCGTAGTACCGAGAGTTCCCTTGGGAATCTTGGATGCAGCATCCAAATCACCCTTCTTGACAAGCTTGTACCGCTCGATTGTGCGGTGTATGCTGTCGTTGATCTCCAACAGCTTGTGAACGGCCTCGGGGTCCTCCGATTCCTCTTCGCACATCTTCTGAATCTTGGGGTGGGCACTTTGCAAAGCATTCGCAAGTTCCTAATCAATATACGACGTTAGGGTCGAAACAATCAGGTAATGGTTCGATTTCATGTAATCACGCACCTCGAAAACATCGCCTTCCGGAAGAGTTTCACCAGGCTGTTGGTTCTGTAGCATCTCTTCCAAGATTTTAGCCTTTTGCTGCACCTTAGATACTTCTTCTGCAGCCTTTGCGCGATAGTCGGTTTTGTGTCGATTGTCGAAACCAGCCATAACCTTCATTAGCCGGTTGGCTTCCTGAAGATCAGCAGGGGTGCCCCGGCGAATCAGCTCTTGGAGCTTCGCGGATTGCGCCTCCTTCTCTTCTTCCTCCATCTCGTCCGCTGAGCGGAGATTCTAAAACAGTCAGCTCAATGTTGACATCACAACAAGATCAGGGACATACATCACTCGGGTTCAAGACAGCGGCATCCTCTCGGCGTACTTCCGGGAACATGTATCCCTTATACAATAAGAGACGATGCATATCCCGGATGAAGCCCAAGTCCTCCTTGTAGCGCGATGTCTGGCAAATCGTCTGCCGCCACTCCTCAATCGACTCCAAGATGCGGTGCTGGACCCGGGAGGGTCGCATAGGCGGCCGCTCGGGGAATCTGCGAACCAATTCATTCAGGAATTCCTTTGTACTGATCTGGAGATGGAACGGGTATCCGCAGTTCTTGACGCAAATGTCGAGTAGCTATTGCCAGTCAGTCTCCTTGCGCCAGCTGTCATTTGGGCTCCCCACGTACCGCCAAGGCCAACAACGCGACATTCTGGTTTCGGGAATTGATAAGATGAACGATGTCGAATGCGGATTCTCGAGGTCTAGAAGATTGGTTATGAGTATGCGCACCCCTGCCAATACCGGTTTCCAACTCACGCATTGCCTTTCTTGGAGTTGATTAGGTCCGCAACTTCGAGATTCAGGGCCAGGTTGGGCTCGTAGTTCTGGGGATCGCATGCATTGCCTGTCAAAGTTCGAATGTTAGCTTCCATCACTCTGTATACCAATCAGTTCTGGGGCAACACTCACGAATTGCCCGCTGTAGCGGCGTAACCCCCGGCTCAGGGTAGGCCCCAAAGCGGTCCCTGGCCGCCATTCGTGCTGAGGCAGCCTCCAGGATGCCGGTGAGATAGGAAATAAAAAGAAGAGATTGACGCGAGAAACGATGTTGGGAAACGAGACGCAATCAAGCAATGCGAGATGTGTACAGTACAGTTGATGGGGGGGCTGAGGCGGGCGGAGAACCCGTTAGTTTGCACGTGTGGTTCTTGTGCTTGGCCTTGATCTTTTTCCCTTCTCTCGCGACTCGAGTTGAATTCGATTAAATTCGACTGTGATTCCTCAATTCACAATGGTCCGACACAAGAAAGACAACTTCGCGCGAGGAGGCAAGAAATTCAACCCCCGCCCTAAGCCGGTGCCCCGCGGCAATGAAGACACTGAGGGCGCCGTCTCATCGCGACCAGCCTACAAGGCCGCCTGCTGGGATATGGGACACTGCGACCCTAAGCGATGCTCCGGAAAGCGACTGATGAAGCTTGGATTGATGCGGGATCTTCATATTGGCCAGCGCCACCCCGGCGTGATTATCTCGTATGTTTCGCATCGCAGGTTTTTATCTTTGACTTATATACTAACGACCCTCGGCCAGTCCAAACGCAAAGCGGATTGTTTCTCCTGCAGACAAGGAGCTATTGGAGCAACACGGTGCTGCGGTGGTCGAATGCTCCTGGGTGCGCGTCCAGGAAGTGCCGTGGTCACGGATTGGTGGAAAGTGCGAAAGACTTCGTATGTGATATAGTGTGATAGTTACAGGGCTTTCTCGTGGCTAACAATACTGGCGCATAGTTCCCTACCTTATCGCTGCCAACACGGTCAACTACGGCAAGCCATGGCGTTTGAACTGTGTCGAGGCACTCGCCGCTTGCTTCGCCATTTGCGGTCGACTAGAGTGGGCTGAGGACCTCCTCAGGCATTTCAGCTACGGACAGGCTTTCTTGGATATCAACGAAGAGCTCCTGAAGCGCTACGCTGCTTGTGAAACCGAAGAAGATATCAAAAGCACAGAGACGGAATGGCTTGCCAAAATTGAACAGGAATACGAAGACAACCGTGCAGAGGGAGGCGACGATATCTGGACTGTTGGAAACACCAACCGGCTTCCGGCACGGAAAGCAAGCGACGATGACGATGACGACGAAGACGAAAGCGGAGAAGAGGAAAGTGAAAATGAAGGCACCGATGAGGAAGAGGAAGACAAAGACCCATTTGCGATTTCCGATGACTCGGAAGACGAAGAACAAATGGCAGAAATTCGTCGCAAGATTCTCAGCTCGAAGTCTTTCCAGAACCCAGATGCCGAGGAGAAACAGCAACCCGAGAAAATCGCTCGTCCTGAGCAGCTGTACGTTGACTCAGATGCTGAATCTGGCTCTGCGGGCAGCGAGGATGAAGCTTTTGATAACATCATCAATGCGACTACGGTCACAGACCGCACCGGCATCAAAGCGATTCAGCAGCGCAGAGGAAAAGAAACCGTCACCGGCTCGTTCTCCCGGACCGAGATTTCTGCACCCAAGAGATGGTGAGGGGACCTTTTTTACCAGCCTGGGTTCATCCATGTTGGTGGAAATTCTATGACCAGTCGCAGCCTTGAGAGCAAAGCATCCAAACACTCGAGGAAACACCTATACCTGATACGCTGGCTCGCATACGACTAGCAAGCCAGGCCATCTCCATGGCAGAAACTTTGTCTCGGAGAGTTGTGTCCGCGCAGATGTGATTCCCGTCAGATGGTTCCAGCATCTGCTACAAATTCCTACTCGCAAAAGCGCCAATTCCGTGATATCTGGGGTTAGCATCGTTGTGAACGTCCCAAAACAAAAATTTATGATTTATGTCTCTTATTTATTGTTTGCCAAATAGCATAAGGTGGTAGCGTAGGTTCCACAAAGCAAAATGACGTGCATGAGGAAACACTTTGTATCATATGCTTTGCCTCTAGCATCTGTTCTAGTGGTCCAGAGTTAGAGTTCCGGGGACATGAGTCTCCCATGCAAGGGATGCGACGACCATCTTTGTGCTCCAATCTATACAATATACCAACGCCATTCAAAAAAGATGAAAAGGTGTTAAAATTCGATATCTAACCCCTCATTTTCTATACAATACCCCAGAATGCTATGTGAATATCCCATCCTATAGATCACATGGTATCTCAACCTCATGTCCAAATCATGTGTGTTCCCCTCAGTGTAACTTGCTTGGCTGCTTGGCTTGAAGTCATGTTTCTTGCCCGTATCAATTTTACGACGTTGGCCCCCAAACCCTGACGATCATTTACGGGCTTGTAAGTTATCATGCGGGGGGCTACGGGCACGAGGCTGCGATGGGGGTTCATGTAGTATCGCACCGCGAACTGGAACATATGCAGGGTGTTGATGCATGTTTGTTTTGTGGGACTTCATGGACTGCATTTAATATATAATATAGGCGATGTGAAATCTACCCTGTTCGGTTCTAAGAGGCTAGTCACATAATCACCTGAATCTCTGTTAGTCTCAAAGTGGGCTTGTTTCCTGGCATTTTGAGGGCATGCATAGTACTTGACTTGGCTTGCTACTAGCTGCATCTAACAATAAAAATCAAGTAAGAACGTAGGACAGTAATTAAACAAATAAAGGAAGAAAAGAGACCCAGGGATGTCCAAGGCAGGCAGTGCTGGCCAACTCAGCCCTAGTTACTCCGGTGACTCGATCGCTTGATAAGTCACCAGTCGATTCAACGTCATGTTCACTGCCTCAATATTAGCAACTTCTCGCTTAGAGATCAGGAGACCTGGAGGCTCCCGGAGGCTCTGAGACTATAGATCAGGGTGGGGGCTATATGATCAGCATTCTCCCCTGATTCCTGACGCCCATCACTTCGCTCTAGCATGTGCTGCTTAACTTTGAGGGATAATCCTCGGGGTTCTTCTTCCATATTTTATTTTTACATATATAGGCTTGCATCCAACTATTAGCATCTACTTCTGCCATCCCCCACCAACAAATCCACCATGGCGCACGACCTAGAGCATTCGGGCGCCGACAGCCATGTTCATCACCACACCCACAACCACCACCACGAACATGAACATGAATATGAACATGAATATGAACATGAATATGAACATGAACATGACTCTCAACCCTCCTCAAGATCCTCACCAGACCGACCACCCCCAGAACGCCGCAGCTCAACAATAATAAACTACCTCACCTCCTTCCTAGGCTCCAAAAACCCACTATCCCAACCCGCAACACCATCCAAAAACACAGTCTGGCTCCTCGACAACACAGCCTACCAAGTAAAAACGTACAACAAACACAACGAACTCACCTCCCGCACCTGGGAAGCCGAAGTAGTAGCCTGCATATTCGAAAAAGGGCACCGAAAAGACGCCAGCAAGCTCATCGCCTCGATAGCCGACCACATCGGCCTAGACGGCGACATAGGCGGCACGCACGAAGCAGCCGTGCGCCGCCGAATCGAAGCGCGCGTCCAGCCCTTCCTCGACCAAGTCTCGCCCTCGCGAACAGTAACGCTCCACGTCCCCATCAGCCGCCGAGGCCAGCTCCACGAACTAAGCTCGTCCGACCGCAACGGGATCATCAGCCAGCGGGTCTGCATCGGGGATGTCGGGGGCGCGGACCACATCGACGACGGAACGGTCATCGAGCCGCGGCTGCACAGGTTCGAGGTCGAGGGCCGCGGCCGGACAGTCCAGGTCAGCATGGAGACGAGGTTTGCGCGCGCGCATGGCTGGCTTGTTATCAGCGATATTGACGATACGATTAAGCGCACGATGACGCTGGAGCCGACGGGCATTATTCGCTCGACGTTTGTCGACGAGGCGGAGGTTATTGCTGGTATGCCGGAGTTCTATCGCTGGGTGGAGGGCGTGTTGGGAGAGCCGGCTTGGTTCTATTTGTCTGCGTCGCCTTATAACTTATATCCGTTCCTGCGGGGATTCCTGCGTGAGTATTATCGTCCCGGGACGTTGATTTTGAGGGATTATTCTTGGATGGATGTTTCTGGGTTGATTCGGTCTTTTACGGAGAAGACGCAGGGGTATAAGGTTGATCGCATGGAGAAGATTCGGGGTTGGTTTCCGCGCAGGCGTGTGCTTTGTATTGGTGATTCGACGCAGAAGGATCCGGAGGCTTATGCAGAGATGTATGGGAGGTATCCGGGGTGGATTCGGGCGATTGCTATTCGGATGGTTACTGATGTGGCACATATGGGGGAGAAGAATGATCCTGAGAGGTTTGAGAAGGCTTTTGAGAATGTGCCTGATCATGTTTGGACTGTCTTTGAGGATCCGCGCGAGTTGTATGAGTTTGTGGATGGGCTGGAGGTGGAGGATCAGGACTTTTAATGTGGTTTTGCATTGGTTTAAAGGCGGTTCAATCAACAGTTAACTTCTGCAGTAATTCCAAATTGGCTATCGAATATCATGAAGCGACCTCGACTTAGCCCTAAGTCGGACAAAAGGCATACGAAACGTCACGCATTTCTTGTTACCACACAATCCAATCCAATTACACTAAGAGCATACTGTAAAGACAATATCATACGCCCTAATATCAATCGGAAGTATTAAACAGTGGCAACGCTGAGCTAAGCCCTACATACGTCAAGATTAGGAAATAGCCCTGAATCTATACAAAAAGGCAAATCCTCAACACCAAACCATCATCTCACCAATCCAACACAATCACCCCGATCCAAGCCAACCAGCCTCCAAAATGCACGAGCAAGCCAAAAACAGCACAAGCCTACACCCCGACATCCCAGCCGACCTAAACCCAGCCAAGCGCGCATCAACCGCAATCCCAAACGACAACCCAATAACACCCCTAACCATGCGAGCCCTATACTACACACCACAAGGAACAACCAAAGACCTCCCAGACAGCCACCAAGGCGACGGCAAATCATACGACTCCACCAAAACAACCATCCGCAAGCACGGATCCGGACTAGTCCTCGACACAAGCTTCCCAACACCACAACCCTCGCCACACCAATACCTCCTCAAGATCCAAACCGCGGCATTCTGCCACGACGAAATCAGACTCGCCTCGGCGCTGAATCCGCACAAGACTACGCCCCAGATCCCACTGCACAGTCTCTGCGGGACGGTGATCAGCACACCCGCCGAAGACGAAGAGCGGGATGAAGGTCCGCGGTTCCGGATTGGAGATGTGGTCTTTGGGTTGTTGAGTTACACCCGAGATGGGGGCGCTGCTGATTATGCTGTTGCGTGTGAGGCAGAGTTGGCGCTGAAACCGGGGAATATTACTGCTGCTGAGGCGGCGGCGTTGGCCTTGCCTGCGCTCACGGCTTGGCAGGCGCTTTTTCGCTATGCGGGGCTTGATCCGGATGTTCCTGGGGGTCTTGATGAGGACGGGGATGCCGGCGGGAATGGGACTGGGCGGTGGGTTTGGCATCAGTCGAGGCGGAATACTCTTGCTGGTGATCCTGTTTATGGGTTTGGCAAGTTTACTGGGCATGGGAGTGGGGTTAGGGGTGGCAATGCTGTTGGGGGGGATGGGAGGAATGAGTTTCATGGGAGTATTGTTGATGCTAATTCGGAACAGCGTGGGGGCAGGGGGAATGATTTGGCCAGTGGTGCGAGTGGGAGCACCGGTGGCAGTGGGATGGGAGGTGGTGAGAATGGGCGTTGGGTTTGGCAATGGAATCGTCGCGGGACGATTCTCGCTGGTAATGGGAGCAAGAATGACCCCATGCCGGTCATTCCTGGATCTGCCTCTGGCGCTGGTTCTGGTAGAATCGACAGCACTCAAACCCCGAATGCAGACATGCAACACCGCAACACGCTTCAGAACCTGGCAAGTAGCAATGCACGTCGTGGCAGTCTGTTCAGCTTAATCAATGGACACCGCGAGAGTCAGTCCAGCGCCAATCGGGATGGCAATGGCAATGAGCGCCGCAATACATTGCTAGGTCTGGTCAACAGCAACGGAAGCCGAAGCAGTCAGTCCAGAAACAGCATTGTAGGGAGTATCAGTGGCAGTATCAGCGGGAGCATCAACGCAGCCAAGAAGAATCGAGACCCATCCATCAGGATATTGGTCACAAATGCTCGAGACAACGAAGTCGGCCGCATCGCAGTGCAACTCCTACGAGCAGAGACACTATTCCCAGCCACAATGCGGCCCTGGATCTGCGTGACCTGCACCAAAGCCGAAGAGGGGATCATCACGCAAGAGTGGGATGTTGACGGTGTCATTGTGATTCCGCATCTGCCTCTTCCAGCCGAGTGCGATATCGGTGGCACATTCAAAAGCCAGCGCTGGCCGCCTGTTGATATCGTGCTGGATTGCACTGGCGGCGAAGTATTCCGACAGGCGCATGCTCCCCGTGTCATCAAGAACTACGGGGCTGTGATGACGGTTGTTGAAGCCCGGTCTGCAGATCAGCCGCTGTATCGGGCTGAGCGGGATGTCCTTGGGCACCGAAAGAGAGGGATCAAGACGCGGTTTGTTCCTCCTAATCCAGATGGGGAGGCTATGGCACGGATCGTGGATTTGGTGGAGGACAATCTTGTTCGAGGGAAGGAGGATACAGTTGTTGATCTTGAGAGAGCAATTGATCTTTTAGCTGGGAAGGCTGCTGGGACTGCTGGGAGCCGGAAGGGGAAGATGATGGTTGTTAGGCTTCATGCCGGTTCGTCTGGAAAGAAAACTCGAGAGACGCCTGGGGAGACTCCTGTAGGGCAGTCCCCTTCTGTACGAAGTCCAGTTGGACGAACGTTCTCAGTACGGACCTCTTCTGGAAAAGTGCCCGCGGCAAAGACTCCCTCTGGACAGATTCCTGCGGATTTTTAGAATATTTGTGTTCAATCTTTGGGTTTGATTTGTGTTTTGGTATATTGAGATATCGAGAGCAACTGAGAATATAAAAAGGCAAGGTGAAAGTAATGATTCTGGAGAAACGCGTCAAATCAAGCTGGGGCTGTGCATCAAACTGGAACGCCGAACGGGCTCGTTGCGGGCTACTTACTCGACGAGACCTGTAGAGAATCGTTGTAAAGCTGTTCCACAGTGAGCCATGAACGAAAGGTTCGATCGAGCAAGAGAGCAAACTCAAGAAAAGAAAAGAATAAAACAGGAGAAGAAGTAGACCAAAATTGGTGAGATGTCCCATCCAAGGATGAATTTTGACTCGAAAGGTTCTTTGAAAACGACGCTCTGCCCAACTTCCAACCCATAGGATGACAAACTACATGAATATAAAAGAAACCGAATCCCTGGGCAGACTGCGAAACTCAGCTGGGACGGTAGAAGAAAGCCGCGAAAAGACAGTGTATTAGGGACCACGCAGTACATCCGGTTAAAGTAAAGAATCAAGTCTGGTAAATACGCTCAGGCATGCAGCGACAATCTGGTATTTGTTAGTATATTGTGTAGCCATCGAAGAAGGGATATCTTACCTCCAACTGAAGTTCTCTATCCTTGTTCCGGTTGATTTCGTCGTTAACAGCTTGAGCCAGGTTGGCTCCAATCGCCTGGGAGCCACCGGTCCTCCGGCCGAATGGCCATTGCGAGTACTCGGCCAGCAGCTCATCCACCTGCGCGAATGCTCTCTCGCGAGCCTCGTGGCTCATGGTCACTAGGGCATTTTCGAGCACATTGGCAGCGTATGCGGCACAGACCATCGAAATTGAGCGAAGGTAGCGGTATTCAGCGTCCTCGGGGAGCCATGGGCTGGGGGGAATAATCACGGTGCGGTTGCTGCAAATGTTGCGCACCCGTCTGTGGAGTTCGTCTTTCGCGCCACCATCGGCGACGGGATGTGTGGCCATATCGAAAAGGAGGAAGTTTCGCTTTTCGGTTCGGAGGATACCCTTGTCCACAAGACCCTTCGCCAGTCGTTCGCGGACTTGCTTCAATTGATATCCGATCTTCATCAAGTTCCAGGTTTCGCCTAATCGTAAACGCGCATGTCAGCAGATAGCTCGTATCATTTCTCCAGAGTCGAGATATCATACCACTCAGCAGGTCAATCCAGGAGTTTACGCTCATCTTCTCGCTCGACTTCATCATCTTCAGCGTCTCGTCCAGCAAGACCTCCCCAGTCAATGTATCGTCGATGACCTCGATGACGCGGTCGGCCAGGGGGAAGCGTCGTCGCGAGGAATCCTTTTGCATGCTTATACGGCCACGGAGCGCGAGTTCGATCACGATGCACCCTCGCAGGGCGTAGGAGATGTTTTCGTTCCAAAAGGACAAATAGCCCTGTTGCAGCGTGGGCGCGAGGTCAGTATTTGCATACCACGATCGGGCAGACAGGGGTCCTGTCGACTTCACAGTCATCACTCACCTGCTTATCCTTCAGTCCGAGCAGTAGCACATCCTCCATCAGGGTCAGTTTTGGCTGCTTGCCCCGTTCCTCGTTTTCGCTGATGTCGCGGGGATCGAACGCGATCTTGTGGCCATTCTCTGCGCTGGTGAAAGATGTCTCCGGTCCACGGTTGTCCATTGCAGAGCCGTTTCTGGAGATCGGGGATGACACTCGGCTGTCATCTTGTTCGTCTGCGCCAGCGACTCGACCGGCGCCTCGTCTGCGAGTCAAGCCCCCGGCTGTTGAGGCCATGAGGATATCGAGATCGGGTGAGGAAAAGGTGAAGGTGTGGTGGTTAAAGGCCGATCTGTTTGGTGGGGAGCATTGATGGAGTGAGGTGTTAGAGGGACCGTGTCGAGAGTGTCCAAAGTGGGACTCGGTGTCAGGGGAAACCAGGGACCGACTGGGTCAAATCGAGTTGAAGAGTTGCAGCAATCAATGTCTTTGGACAGTTGAGAGAGGATGGAAGTTTGGCGAGGTCTTCGAATGCAGTCTACCACGGCAGCACTTGACCTTCCCGTGACAAAGAACACTTGACTTGTTTGAGCCGTTTGAGACTATTTTAACTATGGGATGGAGATGTCTATGAATTTGGATTGCATTGTCTTCCCAAAGACTGATTTTCAGTCAATTGAGACTGCTGTTCTCCCTTCTCTTTTCTCTCTTCCTTTCCCTCTCACATTCTCTTGACTTTTTCCGGCTATTCTACTTTTCTGCCCATCTCAGACTGGCCACCACACATGCATCCAGCTCAACCCCAGACACTCCACATGAGATCTGATAAAGCTGGAGATTTGAAGCGGAAACTAGCTCCATTTACAAAACTGATGTCGACGGATAGATTTCGCCAATATAACTCAGCCATCTGTCACACAATGCGTTGCAAAATTGCATAAATTGCATTCAAATGATATACACGATATGAAGGACAAAAAAAAGCCAGCATGGGTTCAGCATACATGGTAGCATCTCAATGAGTCGCTGGGTTCAATGTTCAGCGACTCCCGATGCCATCCCGATTCTTTTTCTATCCGAAACCTTCCAATTCTCCGACGTTCAATTAAGTATTTAGTGAGCTGGGATAAAGTTAGCAGATGTCACGCAAATAGAGGACAGTAGATATAACATACCATCGGGCTGAGCAAGGATGTACTCAACAGCCTTCTCAACTGTGCGCGGCATTCATGTCAGCTGTCATTATCCACCAATATCACACATCAAATCCAACTTACCGCTGTGGATCTGATCGGCCTCCTTGTCGGGGATCTCAATGCTGAACTCCTGTGGAATTTGTTAGATATCCATCGCACAATATGGCCAATATGGCCATGGGGGAGGGGGTTTGGCTTTCCCGAGGAAAACCGGGCGCGTACCTCCTCAATGGCCATGACGACCTCAACGGTATCCAAGCTGTCCAGACCGAGGTCGTTGGAGAAGTGGGAAGCGCCGTTAATCTGCAAGTCGTAGAGAATTAGTTACTGATGGTGTCGTGGTGGCCCCTCCCTAGCATATAGCTACGGAAAGGTCACAGCAACATCTGTTGGATTCACTAACCTTGCTGGAGTCGGAAACCTAATAGTGAAACAGATTCAGTCAGCGATATCCTTTCTCCCAATCATTCAATGGATGACGAAAATCCCCGGCAAAACAATATGACGCACCTTGTCGAAGTTCTTGAGCAGGTTGACTATCCGGCCCTCGGCCTCGGTCTTGGAGAGACCAGCAGGGGCAGAGTAGAGACGAGCGCCCTGGAAGAGGGAAGGAGTGAATTGAGGAACAGCGATGGGGGAGCTGCGAATCTGGAAGGGAGCCGGGGTCTTGACGGCACGGGGGGCGGAGGCCCGGAGCGAGCGAACAATGGCGGAGCGGAACATGGTGGAAATATTCGGAGAAGCGCGAAGGCTAAAGATCTAAAATCAAGAAGACAGAGACGTGTGGGGGGAGGGGAGAAAGTTGATGGGAGGGAAGAAGCAGAAGAAGACGAGATGAGGAAGGTCGCGCTCCAGCAAAATCCTGCGGGCCAATCAGCACCCAACAGAAAGGAATGACCTAAGCCCGAAACCTGCAAACTACCACAACCTCACCTTTGGCTCCCCTTCCCCCCCTCAAGTAACCTCCAATTGCTTCGACTCTCCCTCCCAGATCCATCCCTCTCCGCTCCAATAATGGCCACCCGTTCGGTCGCGAGGCTCGTCGCCTACCGCCGGCCGACCCCCTTCGGCTTGCTGGGCTCAACCGCAAACTTCTCTTCCTCGGCGTCCCGCGCAGCCACCCCAGCTGGTCCCCCCAGGCCGGTTTCCGCCTGCCCGCTCCCAAGCGCTGGGACCAGGATACCGAGTCCTCCCTGGACAAGGCCAGCAAATACTTCCTCATGGCTGAGATCTTCCGCGGCATGTACGTGGTGCTGGAGCAGTTTTTCAGACCACCGTAAGTCCCACACTCAACCTGGATACGGATCGCAATACGCGCGATCAATCCAATTCCTGGAGAAGCTTAAGTTCAGCTCCAATTAATTGTTCTTTCTTTGTGCAGTTACACTATCTTCTACCCGTTCGAGAAGGGTCCCATCTCTCCCCGTTTCCGTGGTGAACACGCCCTCCGTCGCTATCCCACCGGTGAGGAGCGCTGCATTGCTTGCAAGCTCTGTGAGGCTATTTGCCCCGCTCAGGCTATCACCATCGAGGCTGAGGAGCGTGAGGATGGAAGCCGTCGGACGACCCGTTACGATATTGATATGACCAAGTGCATTTACTGCGGCTACTGCCAGGAGAGTTGCCCTGTGGATGCCATCGTTGAGAGTGAGTCAAAATCCAAGAGGGACTTTTCAATTGGCCCAAGTAACTAATTTAATCTCCCTTTAGCCTCCAACGCTGAGTACGCCACCGAGACCCGCGAGGAGTTGCTCTACAACAAGGAGAAGCTCCTCTCCAACGGTGACAAGTGGGAGCCTGAGATTGCCGCTGCTGCCCGTGCAGATGCTCCCTACCGATAATTCAATCGCCCCGATTTTCACCTGATTGGCATGTCGACCATCGTCCCGTTTGCGCATATTTCCTTGGAGAGTGGAATTGTGCGGACGGAAGATATGCCACTCGCAATACCCTTTGAAGAAGTACGAGTTTCCGTGCATCGAAAATAAGAAGGAACTGTAATGTTCTCTCTTTTTCTGAACCCCATCCCATCACACTGTACATAAATGCCCTCGATCTGTGTTCTCATCTTGTACTAGTCAACTTCTTCCCCCGGGAATCTTGACTCCTTTTGTCTCTTTATTTCCTATGTTTTGGAATCCAGCAGGTTACTTTGATCTGGTTGAGATCGTATTTCCAATATAAATCTGGTCAATCCCGTTTCATTATCTGATCTTCACATGGCGGAACAAATCTCCGGAACCACCATGTCTATAGATATGTATCTACTCTCTCTCTCTCTCTCTCTCCCCCCTTACCATTCAGATATAAACCAGACTGGATAGTTTGAACATTATATGTGTTTTTGATACTCTATAACATGCCAACAAATACCAAGGAACAACTTCAGCCAAATGGAAGGAAATGATATTTGTATTCACAGATATAAATCAAATCGCTACCGATGCTGTCATGCATAGACATAAAAGATTTGACGAATCCAAGCCGTCACACAAAACGTGAAAACACCAGGCACCTTGATCTCCGGACGGATATTTCCCAGTTCAAAGTCTCAAAACACTTTTTTTTTGTAGCTCGTCGAGGGGGTGGGTCTATGTGCGTCCAGAGTGGAATGCTGACATCCCAGACAGAACGGCCCGGGTAGAGGATGGGAAAAAGGGTATGCAAGAAGAGAGAGAAGGGGGGGCAGGGAAATAATGAAATAAGAAAAAAGAAATGGAAGAAGTTGACCGAAGATACGAAGCCAGATGTAAAGTGAATGACATCAAGGCTTAGATCTCAGCGGAGTGACCTCGAGTTCTCGAACTTATTTCTTCTTGCCGCCGCCGCCGCCAGACTTAGCCTTGAAGCTGCCGCCTTCAAAGCCAGGACGAGCAGCCTTCTTCTTGCCACCACTGCTGGGCTTCTTCTTGTTGCCCTTGTTGCCCTTCTCGTCTCGGCGCTTGCGAAGGTTCTCATCGCGCTTGGTCTGGCGGTGTTCCTTGGAGCGGGCGACGGTGTCGATGCGGTCCCTCCACTCACGCTCGGACTTCTTCTTTGCGGTCTCCTTGCGCTTGAGGGCCTTCTTCAAGAGAGAGGTGTCGTCGCGGACACGCTCACCATTGGCACGCTTCTTGGCGTTCAGCCAGGTGTCCTTCTCCTCAATGTCGGCACGCTTGGTAGGGTCCAACTCTGCGAGACGGGCGCTCTTGGCCTCGGCGGCCTTCAGCTGGGCAGCTGGGTCGCGGGCACCGTGGGTCTTGGGCTTGTCACGCACATCAGAGCCGGTAGCGTCTGTGGCCTGGCCGTCTGTGAAGATCATACGACCGAAGGAGAAGTTGTTGCTGGAGGAGCCGACGGATTCGGCTGGGGATCGGGGAGAGGCCAGAAGGGATCCGGAGCCACCGGGGGAGAAGCGGCGAGCCATGGCTTCGTCGGACTTCAGCTGTTCCTCATCTCTGGCTTTCTGGCGCAATTCCTTCTTGTGGGCTTTTCTTTGCTCGGCTTTTTGCCGACGGGCTTCGATGAGCTCTTGGCGGTTGCGGGCAGGCTTGCCGTTGAGTCCATCTGCATGACGCTTGGCCCGAAGCTCGTCAAGACGCTTTTGTAGGCGCTGCTTCAGTTCTTCGGGTGTGTGCTTGAGGGGTTTGGGCTCTGAGGATTTGGCTTCGGTGGAGGCGGAGGGAGGAACGATGGAGGAGATAGAAGAGCTGCCAGATTGGGGATTTGAGGCATTGGGAGAGTGAGTGGTGGACGAGGCTGAGGAGTTTTCGGGCTGATCGTTGAATTCGAGAGAGAAACCTTCCTCAACAACGCCATCTTCCTCTTCGTTGTCATCGTCGTCCTCATCGTCGGATGCTTCGGCTTTCTTGGGGGCATCACCCTTGGGCTTTGATGCTTTAGGCTTTGGTGCAGATTTTTCCGAATCCTCGGTTGTAGTAGTCGCCTGCTTCTTGTTCTGTTGAACCTTCTCCTTGCGGGCAGCATCCTTGGCCTTCTTCTTCTCCTTCTGTTCGGCCTTCTTTGCTGCCTTCTTCTCTGCGTTTTGCTTTTTGCGGGCCTCGGCCTCAGCTGCCTTAGCAGCGTCCTTCTCGCCGTTCTCGACCGACTTCTGTTTCTTGGGCTTGGCGTTTCCGCGGTTCAGTCCCTCCTTAGGGTTCTCGGTGCCCATCTCTCCATCCGAGGAGTCGGACTGGACGGTGCCATCCTCGCGCTTGCGTTTGCGTGCGTTCTCGTCCATCACGTCTTTGGCAGTCTTGGCGGCTTCAGGGTCAAGCTTTGCTCGCTTCGCTTCACGGGCTTGTTCTTTGGTCTGCTTCTTGCGTTGCCATTGATCCTGTGAGAGAGGATGGTCAGACAGAGTCTTCACGGGACGGGTAGTGGCAATGATGGGCAGAAAATAAGACTCTTTTTCAAGAGCAAACAGCAGAGAAGTCTGACAGAGCGGGTCAACATACACTTGTGTTCTCTTCACCGTAGTAATATTTGGCGGGGATTAAGGACAGTAAACCGTCAAATGCCTGGGCATGGCTGCGGAGCCGATCCTGGAAGACAGTCAGCGCACAATCCTGGAGTGAAGTCCAAGATCACAAACCTCAATATCATCCATGATCCCGTAGACTGAAATTGCAATCTGGAGGGGGAAGCTGGTCAAGCGCAACGAAAAATTTGGGGTGAGGAAATCTTGGCGCTACAATTGTCTCCGCTCGGCTTCACCGCCTGAGAATTTTGCTAGTGGCCCGTGCGGTCTACTTTGAATGCGAAGTTGTTTTTTTGGTTATGCTTCATATGCTTTTGTTCCATTTGCTCCCTGATGCAATTTGCTCATGCTATATCCAATGATCTGCCAGTCCCAATGCTAATCCAAACAAACTACGTTAGGTCAAGATTGCTCCACCAGACGACCGGAATCCAATCCGGGACAACCTTCGCTCTTTATCTGCGTCACATTGCCATAGGGCCAAGGATCTGTCCAAATGATATCGAAGCTGAGATGGGTCAGTGCTGGACAAAATAAAACATATAGGCTACTCCTAGCCCATATCCAAGATGACTCAAAGCAGAGAAGAGATCCAAGACGCTTCGGAGATAACCACTATCAACTCCGACGCATCTGGAACCAACTGACAAGAGCGCAGAGAGAAGAAACCACTCACCGATCATCTGGATACTCTACAGGCTTATAAGCCCCAAGCGCCTCCTCAATCCCACCCATATTCGTGTGTCGCCAGGCAATCAGAATATTGCCAGGTCCATCATAGGACCTGATTGTCTTAGCAACACATTCCACCTGCTTGCGCTTGCAGTGTGTATCAACCGTAAGCCCGAGATCAGTGGCGAGGGGAAGAACTGTCAGAAATGCACGGCGGTGCGCGCCATCTATTCATCGCAAGTCAGCCAGCCACGTTGAAAGGCACCGTGCAGCGCCTCGGTACTTGATACTGCAGTGTATCCACGAAAAGTATTGAAAACTTACCATCTCTGACATGAGGTGCCATAATATGTCCAATATCATATCCCGATTCCTTCCCGAAAACACTGCGCAGACATTGCGCCCGCTTGATCCCATCCAAGGTGAGACCATGGTCATCCTTGTTCTTGGGCTTCTCGCCATGTCGAATGATATAAACAGTTGGCTTCTGGGCCGACACAATTCCAGGGAGGAGACATAGAGCCAGGAGAAGCAACGGCAGCAACATCTTTGCTTGTCGACCTACAAAGGCAGACTCGATCGTTGTATACAAGCGGAACAAATGATTCAAGAGGTTCAATGAAAGAAGTGCGAAAATAATAAGTTCAAGACAAAAGTAAAGTTTTACAAGCTAATGCCCGTGTTGATCGGAGCGGCCCACAGCTCTAGTCTTTATAGGGCAAATCACATAAGAAACGAAACAGAAAAATGGGGGTCCCATTATGGAACTTATCACCGAGGAAAGGATGGGAAACACAGGTTAAAAAAAGAGGGATGGTGGATCAGCAGAGTCCATTTCCAATGATCATCCTGTAAGAGAGCGCCAGGGCTCAATGCGGTATAAGGAGTTTAAGAGCTGGACGAACTATTAGAGTATTCGGCTGATGTGCCCCGATTAGATTTCTTGATTGGCTAGAAGTTGTTCTGCATGTCCACTGCACTCTGTTGATCATCTGGTTTTTGGCTAGGGTTTTTGGATATGAGTATGATCGTTGGGGATGGTGTAAGTGGTATATATACATTTGGTACGTGGGTGGCCAGCATCTATCAAAGTATTGCGGTGTATAGACCGGAGAATTAGTGAATGAGTCAACCGCAACCCCAACTGCTAAGACATGATCATCAGCCCAAAAATTATATATTAACGTTGCTATAACCAGGTCATATGAGGACCTTGAGGAAGGAGCAACCTGCCATAAAAGCGAATCCTAGTTTAGAATTTCAAGTCATGAGTCGCGCTTAAGCACCCGAAGTGGTTGAATGCAAAGATCAACAAGTGGCCAGGGTCAGAAGATAGGGCTGAAAGAAGAGGTCTTTGTTCACAAGGTCGGGTGAGGATCTTCACTCTTTATCACAGTCACAACATGGCTTTGATCGCATGCTCATCCTCGGAGGGGCTGGTCAATGATATGCTGTGCTGGACTCGACTAAAGTCAAACCCCTACATCTGATCTCCAATAGTTTTGGGTTTTCCGATCAATCTTCATGTGAAGGGAACCTAGTAACTTCTCACACCGATTTCAATACTGAATTTGGAAGAAATGATCGGATCGGAGAGGTGTGGAGTGCCGGAGAAACAATGTTGGGATCCTACGGCCTTGGCTTCGGGTTTGGCGTTGGGCATACGCGGTCTACCAGATTGCTAATTCTAGTCATCGTCAGATATTTTCCCAGAGTTTTCATGTCCCTGTGACATCCTGTCCGGTCATCAGAGTCTATACAGTATGGTATAACTTAACCCGGACGTCATTCTTCGGCTGACTCATGCTTCATGTACGAATGTAATACCAGATTGGGTATTCTCTGTATTCTCCTAGGGGCTCGGACAGACCGGATGTATGAGGGGCTGAATATTACTAGGCAACCGAGTAAGACGAAACGAATACGATACGCCGAGAATAGTGCGGAGAAAGAAAGTCTCGCGTATGGAGTTCTAGAAGAGTCGTGGAAGCCGATACATCCGTGTAATCTGATCTATTTAGGGCCACGTACGTAGACTCTACAGGCCTAAGGTCAAGCATAGCCACAGATGAAGACAGAATCAGCTTGCGTTGCGTGTGGCTGTGCCTGCAAGAATGACAAGTTTGGTTAGTAACTTACAGTGTAAAGGCACTAATGATGTGCGCAAGGCTGAGAGAATCAACTGCGCCTCCTGTAATATTTCGTTAGCCCCTGTGGGGTTACATGTATCAGCCCTGTGGCTACTGAAGTCACTTCCTATAAATGGTTGCCCCTCCTCCATCGTAACTTTACTTTATTCATCTCACCTTCCAACTTCCACTTTCCTCCCACTTTTAAAGTCTTTACATCCTCTTTTTACACAATGTCCGGCTACGATCAGTACAACCAGGGTGGCTACGGCCAGCAGCAAGGTTACGGCCAACAGCAGGGTTACGGCCAACAGCAAGGCTACCCCCCTCAGCAGGGTTACGGCCAGCAGGGCTACGGCCAGCAGCAGGGTTACCCTCAGCAGGGCTATGGTCAGCAGCAGGGTGGCTCTGGTGACTACTACGGCCAGCAGCAACAGCACCAACAGCAGGGCTACGGTCAGCAGCAGGGTGGCGCCTCCGACTACTACGGTGGCCAGCAGCAGGGTGAGCACCAGTACGGCCAGCAGCAGCATGACCAGTACCGCCAGGGGTATGTTGTATTCTCACCCTTCTCATTCTGAACTTGCACTAACAGGCAACAGTGGTTACGACCAGCAGCAGCAGGGTGCCCCCGGTGAAGCTCAAGAGGGCGAGCGTGGTCTCGCCGGTGCCCTCGCCGGAGGTGCCGCCGGTGGCTTCGCCGGCCACAAGGCCAACCACGGATTCCTTGGAACAATCGGTGGTGCCATCATCGGTTCCATTGCCGAAGACGCTGTCAAGAAGCACCGCGCGAACAGCCACTCTCCCAACAACCAGGGTCCTCCCCAAGGCCCTTACGGTGGTCCTCCTTCCCACAACGGTAGCTCCAACTCCATGATGGACCAGCTCGGTGGCTTCTTCAAGAAGTAGAGTGTTTTAGACTCATCGCTTTCCTTGACGACACGCTCTTGATGAATTTCCTTATATCTGCTCTTTTTTTGTTCTCCTTTTGCAATGGGGCTGGCATGCATCTTTTCGCCTGATTGCTTTGATATTGATAGGGGTTTCTTGCTTCGCCCAAGAGGGGCTTTTGTATCATGAACCAACTGCATTGAAACCGGGATTCACCTTTGTGTGATCTTATGAATCATAATTTCCAGAATTGCAACATGATAAACTTAAAACTTCAAATATTCCAAATAACGTTTAATCCAGTAGAAATCAGCATCCAAAGTAACCAGATCTGTAAAGTCGTGAACACTCAGGCGGAGAAATCCAAACAAACCCCAAGTGGAATAGTCGACAGCCTGAGGCACCAACCGCCAAGCCCGACAAAAGTTCGAGCGGCAGACCTCAACCTTCCTACCAGACCCATCTACAATTTAGCAATCCCAAAATGATTGTACGGAAGTTCGGTATGCGGCAGAGTGAGTGTGATTCAATTGCAACCAATTCATCCAACCAACCCAGCTAACAGCGCAATTCCCAGGCCGCCAGTTCCTGGCCTTGAGCCGACGAGCCCCGATCTCAGCTCGGTTCAACTCGACAGCCCCAACTACACCAGTGGTACCCGTTATGCCAGCCCAGGAGCCAGAGCCAGTCATTGAGACAGAACCCGTTCCCCGGGTGGAAAACCCCCTGGTTGAGATGATGAGCGCGCAATCACAGGCGACAACACTCACGCAGCAGCGAGACGAATCACAAAGTAAGCCCGGTCTTTCCCAAAGACCCATCAAACACAATCCTAACCAACGCCTTTTCCCCCCCAGGAACCAAATTCCACAAACTCGGATCCTCCGTGAAATCCTCCTACGACCCCGAAAACATCCTCCGCAACCCTCCCAAGCCCTCCCAGGTAACCCTCGAAATGCTCCTCGCAGCAGGAACACACCTGGGCCACTCGACCTCGCGCTGGAACCCGCAGAACTCGCGCTACATCTTCGGTATCCGCGAAGGCGTGCACATAATCTCCCTCGACGTGACAGCAGCGCACCTCCGCCGCGCCGCGAAAGTAGTAGAAGAAGTCGCCGCGCGCGGCGGACTCATCCTCTTTGCCGGCACCCGCAAGGGCCAAAAGCGGGCCGTGGTGAAAGCCGCCGAGCTGGCGAAAAGTTATCACATTTTCGAGCGGTGGATTCCGGGCAGCTTGACGAACGGCGAGCAGATCCTTGGCCACTGCGAGACGCGTGTGGTGAATGCGCTGGATGAGGAGCTTCTGGGATTCAAGGCTGATCTGGCGGATCGGCCTAGTCTTAAGCCAGATCTTGTTGTTTGCTTGAATCCGTTGGAGAATGTTGTCTTGCTCCATGAGTGTGGTCTGAACAATGTTCCTACTATTGGTGTTGTGGATACGGATGCTGATCCTACTCGGGTCACTTATCCCATTCCGTCGAACGACGATAGTCTGCGGGCTGTTTCTTTGATTGCGGGAGTTCTGGGGCGTGCTGGTGAGGCTGGTCAGGCGAGACGCTTGAAGATGGCTCGTGAGGGTCAGACTACCTATAAGCCTATTTCGGCTGCTGAGTTGCGTCTTGATCCGTTTACTGGCATGCCGCTTGGTTTTGAGGCTCAGAAGAAGTAGGGGTTTGGCTTGGCTTAGTGCTGGTTACATCTCTTCTGCATTTTTCCCCTTTAGTTTCCGGTCGATTGCTTGCGTCGGAACTCTCTGTATTGTATAGATGATTCCAGGTCTTGTTGGTGTTGATTACATATGTATTAACAAGTTCTTTTTGGTTGTTTCATTTGGATCATTTAGCCCGAAATATCTTTACTTATTTCCGTATGTCTAGGAGGTTGATGTGTGTTCGAGTAGCTACTTCATAGACTTTGTCTGTTAGACATTCGTATTTGAAATGTATGGAGAACAGGGGACAAGCCCAAGCCTGGATTTGACCGGGAATGCAATGTGTCGACAATAAGTAGATGTGAGTTAGCACGTCCTCTGACAATATACAGTACAGTAAGAAAAGCTATGCTAACAGCCGGTTCAATAAGCTGTGCATATAACTCAACTGCCGTTGGGTTTGATATCAAATGAGGCATCTAGAATTACGAAAGACGTCGAAACAACTTTTGTCACTAACTAGGCCTCCAGCAGAAACGTCCCAGGATTCTTATGGTTATAGTTATCAGATTGTGAGACATAAGGCTCCTATTAGATATTTGAAAGACTTGAAGTCTCTTCTTAGAGTGCCAAGTAAGTCATTTAAAGTCATATAAATTCATCTATTCACAAATGAACAATCTATAAACGTCCACATCCCATGCACAATGCGAGTCTATATCCAAAGGCCATTCCAGCCAAATCTCACAATGCAACACAAACCCCCCTCAAATCAAGCCTTGAGGGTATAAACAACACGACCACGAGAATCAGTGCCCTTAAGGACAATCTCATCACCAGTACTGGAAACAACACGACGCTGGTCACCATTCAGCAGAATAATGTCCAGCTCCTTCCAAGCAGGAACGAAGCCAGAGTTCTCATCCCGCTCGAACTTAACCAGGACCTTTTCCTCGGTAGAACTGTAGCTAACAGTGTAACTAGATGTCTTCGGCTTGACTGAGATACCATCATCCTCATACCAAGTCTTCGAGAAGACGTTAGCGTGCGAGGTTCCCTTAGGCGGGAAGATCTCAACACCGCGGTAATCGTCGATTTCATCGACAGCCATTGAAGCAGCGGTATCGTCGCCAGGAACGCGCGTGTGGACGTTCTTTCCGACGGGGATGGCGCCACCAATGCGGGCGATGAGTGGGATGCTGCTTTGCCATTCGGATGAGATCTCGGCCCATTGACCGGAGGCGATGTACTGATATGGAGCATTCATGTTCACGTAGCCGTAGTCGAAGGCAGTGCCGGACTTGCGGGGCAGGTAGACATTGGCGGTGTTCACGCCGGCAGTGTATACGCCGCCGACGATCATGCTGTCGCCGAACCAGAACTGGGACTCGCCCGATTTGATCTCCTTGGTCCAGACTTCTGGGTCGGACTCGTAGCCCCAGCCCGTCCAGCGCTGGGGTGGTGCGGCGAACATGTGGCTCTCGAGTCCGAGGGAGTAGATGTAGGGTAGCATCTCGTAGCGACGCTTGATGGTGTCTCGGACTTGGGGGGTGATCTCGGGATACATGAAGGGCTCGATGACGTCTCCGACAGAGGAATCCTTGGGCGAGGTCTTGAAGCAGTTGATGGCGAAGCGGGGTGCGTGGCAGCCCAGTTGAATCCAACGGAGGAGGAGTTCGGGGGAGGGCTGGGGGCCTTCGAATCCACCGATGTCGTGGCCCTCGCATTGCAGCAGAGACATGCCTGCGTTCAGAGACAGGGCATTGGCTCCTTTCATGTTCTCCCAGCTGGTGACATTGTCACCACTCCAGGAGCTGGCAGCGTACCGGTTTGTACCAGCTGTCGAACTGCGGGTCAGAACGAAGGGGCGGTATTTCGGTTCCATGTCGAGGAGGGCATCATGTGAGGACTTGCCCATCAGCTCGGTGTGAAGGGCACGACCCCAGAGACCGACAGAGTTCTTTACGTTCTTTGCGGCGGCGTCGGCAACGGATGGCTCGTTGAGAGACATGGTCCAGTCGTCATCGGGCAGGGTATATTCATTGTTGTCATTCCACATGCCATCGATTCCAACCTTCTTCAGGCTCTGCACGCCATCATACCAGAATTTGAAGGCTTCCTTGGAGGTGAAATCAATATGAGCACCGTTGCCGCCAGTAGCACCGCCAGCGCTCCATAGACGCATGTAACCGGCCTCCTTGTCCGAGTCTTTGAAGAAACCACCAGCCTCAACGAGCCTCTGGAAATCAGGGTGAGACTCTAGCAGGAAAGGCTTGATGTTGGTCAGGAGACGGATACCATATTGATGCATCTTGTTGATCCAGTCCTCGGGATCAGGGAAACGACGTCGGTTCCAAGTGAAGACATTCCGAACCTTAGGCTCGGTCTCCGCAATAGAGTACCCGGAACTCATTTGATGAGCCGAGCAAGGGATGCCGTGCTGCTTCAGCTTCTCGGCAAACTCAAGAAGAGCTAAGTGGGCACGGGGCTCATCCAGCATGGTGTACTTGTAGCCACCAGAGATGTATCCATACGCCCAGCGGGGCACGAGAATTGGGAAGCCGACTAACTCGGCATAGGATCGGACAACATCTGGGATAGACTTGCCGACAATGTAGTATTGCTCAAGACCACCATAGTCCTGGCGGTACACCTTGAAATGACCCCAGAGACCATCGATCTCGGCACCAACGGACCACAGACCTCGACCGTGAGTGGTGGAAAATATGGCTACACAACCCTCAGCCGAGGCCTTGATCAGAAGGGGAATGTGCTTGTATAAAGGGTCGGTCTTGTAGACATCGTACCCGAAGCAGTCGGTGGCGGAGAGCTGGAAGCTACGACCGCTCAGGTCCATAGGTGCTGCCTTCTCGCCCAGACCGACGTGGAGACATTCCCGGTCATGGATAGAGTAGTTGGCCACTCCATCAGAATCTGCGACATAAGATCGCAGAGGCAGGTCACTGTGTAGAGACTTCTCGGAGCCGGTCCACGAAAGTTTGACCACGGGGGTGTGCTCCCACTCTACCTTGGCGGTGACACCAGCGACATCCATAGTCTTGGAGGTGGCATCCTCTTTGGTAAAGACGTTGATACCGTCAAGGTCGGTTTGGGGCTTGGTGACACTGGGATAAGGAGGAATAGGGTGCTCCGCCGAGGCAAAGGTAGCACGGAAGAGGTTGGGGCGAACGGCCTCGAAGGTGAAGTCGAAAGGAGTCTTGCTCTTAGTGCTGCTACGAACTTGAACAGAAGCTTCAGAGTTCGTAGCCTGAGGCACTTGCTGGTAGCCCCGCGGACAGACTTCTTTTTGAGGCATAATGAAGATGTGATTGATTCCAAGAATCTGAATAGACCAGAATATGGCCCGACATGGTGCCGTATTTGAATGCCACCTTCTGATCCCCTCCAATATTCGTGCCCCGCGCTGGTGCCATTGATGATGCAGGACGTGGGGTATACAGACGGAGATCGGTGTTGAGCCCCGACGTTGAGTATCCGCGTCGAATACCCCGTGATCCCCACAATCTCCCCAGATCCGCCAAGACAATCTCGGTTTTGTTCACCGAAAGCCGATGTGCTTCCTGGCTTCGTCAAACTTTGCTTCTTTCTCCCCCCTCAGAAGCCTCGAATCCAGTCAATTGATTGGTCTGCAGGCTGAGCGGGCCAAGTGTGTGCTGCCGTGTCTCCCATGACCTGACGTGGCCAGCCTAGACTCAAGACACACTAGAGGCACTAGACAGAACTGGGCGCAGCAAACGGAAACTATGCTACGAGCTAGGAGAAGAGTTCGAATGCCCGTGGTATGATCTTCGGGTTTGATAGTGTTTCGTCCGGGGTATGTAAAATACATCTTTTCCCCACGGGGTATTGGGCAAATCGTGCTATATCCAGCCCTAATTCCTGGCTTCCCCCGTCCTCCCGAGAAACCACCTTTTCCCCCGTTGCTCATCTACATACCATTATTTCACAGCCTCTGTGAGTGATCAATCATGTCACAGGAGGCACACATTCTCCAGCCAAAAGGCCAGCAAGAAGAGTTTGTGGAAACCATTGAATTCTCCCAACCATCTGCAGCCCCTCACACCGACAATGACCAAAAGAATCAGATCCAAGGAGACCAGGCTCTTCAACTCATCCAAGAAGCAGGCCACTCAACTATTCTTACTCCTGAGAACAACGCCAAAGTCCTTCGAAAGATCGATCTGCGTCTGCTCCCCATTCTGCTGGGAATCTACTTTCTCCAGCAACTTGACAAGTCAACAATCTCCTATGCCTCGATCTTCGGCATCGTCGAAAAGGCCCATCTCCATGGCCACCAGTACTCCTGGCTAGGAGCCTCGATTTATCTGGCCCAGTTGGTGTTCCAGCCCCTTGTCGCCTACTTGTTGGTCAAGGTACCTCTGGGCAAGTTCCTGGCCGTGTCATGTCTTCTTTGGGGTATTGCTCTATCTTGCATGACGGCAGCAACCAACTTCGGAGAACTGCTTGCTTGTCGAATCTTTCTTGGTATCTTTGAGGCTGGTATTGGTGAGTTTTGGTTTGATTACCCGATGTTAACTTAGCTAACGAGGATACAATCAGCCCCTGCTTTTATTGCAGTGACTCAGATGTGGTACCGGCGCCGTGAGCAGCCTGTGAGATTGAGCTCTTGGTATGCCATGAACGGAGTTGTGAATATGGTGAGTTCCTATCGTCTAGTATCTTTTAGCATTCATTAACATGGCATAGTTTGGAAGTTTGATTGCGTACGGACTCGGACACATCCACTCCCCGATCTTTGCATCCTACCAGGTAAGTCATCTACAGATTGTTACTCCCATGCCTGAATCTAACAACGCTTAGATCATTTTCCTTTTCTTTGGTCTGGTTACCGTTGCGTTCTCAGCTGTCATTCTGTGAGATGAATATTTTCCTGTCATGTCCGTGAAGATTATACTGACGCGTTTTTACGATAGTGTGTTCATGCCTGACTCCCCCGTCTCGGCCAAATTCCTCCGCGAAGAAGATAAGCTTCTTGCGATTGAAAGGTACCTGCTTCGACATCAAAGCTGAAAATTCCAGCTGCTTACGGGGGTATAGACAACGGATGAATCAACAGGGCGTGGAGAGTCAAGAATGGAAATGGGACCACGCAAAGGAAGCATTCCTGGACCCCAAGTCCTGGTTCTGGTTCGCGCTGATGTTCTCAATCTCGTAAGCCACTCTAACCATAGTCTTTTGGATTAGATGAATGAGCTTGACTAACAACTTCTCATTTCAGTGTTCCAAGTGGCGGTATCACTACCTTCGGTCCATTGATTATCAAATCCTTCGGTCTAAGCGAATATGACACGATGCTGTTCAACATTCCGTTTGGAGCCGTTCAGCTTGTCGCCACGATGGGAGGTGCATGGCTTGCGACTGTTTGGAAGATGAAGGGCCCTGTGCTGGCATTGCTCTGTCTTCCTCCTATCGCTGGATGTGTCATGCTCTTGCAAATCACGCATGATGCTGCCCACAAGGGACCTTTGCTTGCAGGATACTATATTGTAAGTGGTGAATAACATATCTGAAACTATGAGCAGAATGCTGACGAATATGCGCTAGATTTCTGTGTACCCTGCTATTAGTGAGTGTTTGCTTGATGCCACCGAAAAGCAAGACTAACCGTGATTAGCTCCATTGATCTACTCATGGTCCGCCGGAAACACTGCCGGAGAAACCAAGAAGAAGGTTACCACCGGTATTCTCTACGTTGGACAGTGCGCTGGTAATGTGAGAGACCCGAAACACTCAGCTGGTACCTTTATCTCAATTGCTAATTTTTTTCGACCATAGGTCCTCGGTCCTAACCTCTATACCACAACTGAGGCACCACTTTATCGCCGCGGCCTTCTATCCAAGTATGTTCACCAAGACTCAATCTAACTTTTACTAACAATCCCCTAGCCTTGCACTTTTCTGTGTATTGATACTGCTGACTGGGTGAGTCCGCTAAGCTAAATGGTAATTTACTTCTCTCTAACCTGTTTTTCCAGTGCAAACATGGCATATCTCCATTTCCTAAATAAGAAACACGAACAGAGACGTGTGGCTGTTGGAAAGAGCGCCAAGATCGTTGATCAGTCAATGCAAGCCGTTCAAGCTGCATCAGACGACAAAGAAGACCTTCCTACTCAACAAACAGTAGACAATGCCTGGAAGGACCTAACTGATTGGCAGAATGAAGACTTCGTCTATGTATTCTAGGATCTGTCGGATATTGTTTATGTTTCGTTTGTGTTATCGGGAGGATTTCAGCACCATTTTCTAGTTAACATGCATTGTTCATTACCGTAAATGAGAACCTGTGCCCATTTTCCTCCCAAGTCACTGAAGTTGAGAGAGTAGAGTTCAAGTGCCGGCGAATTGAAGTGGTAAATTGAATAGCCGGTTCGGAGCTACAGCCGAACCCCGCGTTTCCCCAGGTTTCTCTCATCTCCGAACGTCAACAGAACACGACTCATGGCTGATGCAGATTGCAGTCCATACACAGGCATGGATGCCGATGACTTGCATCTTATTCCAGTGCCCGTAGGGAAAAAGCGGATTCCGGTATTTTATTAGCCAATTGGGCCCCTGTCACAATTACGGAGTCTAACAATGATGCATAGAAAGCGTGTAGTTCTTGTCGACAGTCGAAGGTCTGTGCCCTATAAGGAGTGTCCATGGTCTAGAGGCTGATCTCTGCAGGTGAAATGTGATGGGCAGAGACCGTGTACGAGGTACGCCAGAGCGCCTTTTGCATGATCCAATTGACACTCAGAGTACTACTAAATGCGTGGATCTAGATGCCAAAAGCTAGAGAAACAATGTGTTTTCTTCGAGAGTCCAAAGGACCCTGTCTCAGAGTGAGCCTATGCTGATCAGGAATGAACGAATCAAACACTAACGCTCCCACAGAAGAATAGAGGGTGTCGAATCAGAAGTCCAATATCTGCGACGCCAACTGGATGAGATGCGTGAATTAATCCAGCAAAGTCGCGCTCACAGAACCCCAGAGTCACAAGTAATACACTCCCCAACCCAAACCCGTGATGGGCAGCATCAAGTACGCCGCGAGAGTTTCTGCGGCTCTTCAGGCTCTCACTATCCTCACTCACACGATAATGCTCGCGATGAGCTTCCTACTATGCCAGTCCCAGGGTCCAGTGGGTATATGCATAATCATCAGCATCAACGATCCCTGCCATCTATACCAACCCTCTCTCCCAACGAGATTTCAACGCACTCCATCTATGGAGCATCAAATCAGATCATTACTCGTCCACTCAAAAGGAAACGGTCTGGCTTTGAAATTCGAGAGGAACCCATTTCCGATTTCATTGACAAGGGTCTCATTACGCCGGAGTATGCAGTATCTTATTTCAATACGTATGTTCCCCCGGAATACCATCACCAATCCTTTCTTGGGTGTTTATTGACACTAGCTTAGATTCTTTGAAGGATGTGTATGCGTCACCTTGAACAATAGTGGCACACTTCAAATACTGATATCCGAGGACGGCACAGGACAGATACATCCCAATCTTTGACCCGGAGTACGACACATTCGAGTCTGTGCGATCTCGAAGCAGCATTCTCCTTAATGCTATATGTACGATTGGCTGTATGGTCGAGACACGTAAGATCCCACTCCATCGTCAAATGATCTATTCAAAAAATATAAACTCAATACTAAAATCCAAATCACATCTCAGGATCTGGTGGCCCAATGTCGGACATGTTACACGCCGAACTGAAAAGATGGATCAACGTAATCGTCCAGAACAAACAGCTCAACTGCCTGGAATCCGTGCAAGCAATGCTGGTCGTTGCTTGCTACTCGTCCGAACGCTCTTTGATCTTATCATTCGCTACTCGCATGGCCCTAGATCTGGAGCTTCATGAAGCATTCGATGAACTGACTCAGCGCCTCGCGATCAAAAATGATGATATGGCTTATGCGCTGCCGCATCAGATGTTTGAAGAGGAGAGGGCTTTAATGTGGAAGGCGAGGACTTGGTTTGGACTTTTGGTTTTGGAGCACATGTTTGATCTCCTGGTCTTTCCCTTGCTGTTGGATTGGATGCTGATGGGGTTTAATTTAGTTTCCGTGTTGATGGCGGGAAACCGCCTGGTATTCGATTGAAAGGGAATGCTCGGCGCTGTCGAGTTTTGCTTTCTCATTCTTCTTCGACAATTCTGGATTTGAGGCTATTTTCTCAGGTTGAGGTATGTTAGATCGATGTGATTGTCATCGATAGCTTTTTAAGAGGAAACGCTTACTTATTTCATTGTTAGTTGAACATTCTCAGAGGTGTTTTATCCTATCTTATTTACACCCAGAAGCACTGCTGACCATCTTTTGAAGCCAATGTGGGCGATACTTTGGGAGGAGGCACGACACTTGATGGACAGAGCATAACCGACTATGTCCATGACATGAAGATTGAACTTGATTTATGGTTTGAGTGAGTCTTAGTCCTTCCCCAAGCCGAATAATGATTTACTCATTGGTTACAGTGACTGGCTACGCATCATCGGTATGAGACAGATATAATCCAACCATGCCCTTCGGACCAAAATGTGACTAATACAACCAAGAGAGCTGCAATGCCGCCAAAGAAGAAAAACCATCTCTCCTCGTCGCTCTCCGAGTACAAAAATGCTGGGCTGAAATGATGCTCAACTGCAAAGCATTACGAGCCATGGGCGTCGAGAACGTCGCGTATGCCCACCCCCCACCCCCCAATACCAACCCTACAGTTGACCCTCGACTAACACTATCCCCAAAAAGGACCATGTCCACCACGGAACGAACAGTTCTCCTAACAGCAAAAGCAAGTGCCCGCCGCCATCTCCGACTAATAATAGTCCAGCCAGACTTTTACCTCGCGAAGCTGAAATACGCCATGGACTTCGTCTGGGCAAAATGTGCTTTCTCTTTCTTATTATTGCTGAAACTATCACGTCTGCTTCCCGAGCGAGACGAGGAGCACCAAGAGCTTCTCGATCACGGCAACCAACTCGTGTCGGAATTGAGCAAGGCAGGCTCGAGCGGAACCCAGTCTGGTGCTGGGAATATTTACTTGCAAATTTTGAAAGTGAGCATCGAGAAATATGGACGTGCCTTGCGGGAAACGCAACAGCCAGGTTCAGATGGACAACCCGCTACATCGCCGTTCTGGGAGCTATTTGATGCACAGGCTGATCTTCAGTGGTTCATACCTGAGCAATTTGTCTCTGAGTGGGACTTTCCGGGGTTGAATTTGTTTTACTTTCCTACTGCCTGGCAGGACTTTTTTGGGGATTTTTCGTTGGCCATGTAAGATTACTTGGATATGTTTGAATTGGAAATTCCGAATGTATGCTTCTATTTCATGAATTATTCCATGCCAAATGTTCACATAGACGCAGGCCCTTAAGCGTGGGATGCTGTTCACTTTTGGTAATCCTCTATATAACTCTTAGGAAATGGACGAGCCCTGGATATCAAGAAATTCGCGTGGAAATAGTCCGAAAAAAAGCCAAATGCGTCAACTTTCATCATTGTAAAATCTGTACTTAGGCGAGAGCCTTCATGGCCAGCTCAACACTAGAAATAAATGTTAGCAGACGTTCTTTAATATGATGAAAAGAAGAAACATACGTAAGGAAGGTTCCAGCAGAGACGGGCATAGCTCTCAGCAACGTAGGACCAATACCCTTCCAGAAGCCGCCAAGACCCTCAATGGCATAAGTCTTCTTAAAGCAATCACGCATGCTGCTGAACTTCTGAGTGGCGCCGAACCCATCGGTCTGCATCTTACTCTTGACAACATCGAAGGGGTAACTGGAGAGCCAGAGAGCCTCACCAGCCAGACCACCATAAGTAGCAACCTTAAGGCTGGAAAGATCCTCGCGCTTCATGTTGTTGCGCTTGGCATCCTGGTTCATCATGAACTCGAACGCCATGAACCAAGTACCGTAAGCCTGGGCCTCACGAATGACAGTCACAGCCTGGCCACGGTACAGACCGCGCAGCATACCACCCTGGGCGGAGAGTTTGCTCACGCAGTCCAGAGGGCCAGAGTACAGACGACCGGCTCCGTGGGGCTGGGCCTGCAGGCGGATACGCACGTGCTCGATTGGGCCGGACAGCACGGAGTTGGTCACACCGGCGAATGAACCGGCCATGAAGAACTGGGTGTACGAGAGAGCAGAGTCGGCGTACTTCTTCTTGTTCAGCTCTTCGAGGCGACGGCGCGCCTCGTGGTAAGCGCCGAACTGGACACTCACCTGTGTTGCTGGGTTAGGGGCTTGCTAGGCTGGTATCCGGGCTTGGAGGTACTTACGCAGGCTCCGATACCGATGAGGGGGGTCAGAGTTCCCTTGTAGAAGGCTGCAGGGCCTTCATTCTTGAAGATCTGGGTTGCACACTCCAGCGCACTCTTGTATTGAGTGGTGGTTTGCAACCGAACCTTGACAATATCTGAATTTTGTTAATCAATGCTTCATTTGTGCTTTATTGCACCACATACCAAAGGGTTGGCCTAATTATTTTATTAGCAATGTTCAAACATTTTCGTGAAAGAATGGTTTTTGCATAGTCCGGAGCCCAGGTTTCATGCTGTGAGGTCCCTGGCGCTTCCCCGGAATCCACTCATCTTAGGGTGCACACATACCGAGCAGCACTTGGGCTATTCCACCAGCTGCGCCCGCAGCCAAATCCTTGATGGTGCGGAGGGCACCACCACCCTTCTCAATGTCTTCAAAGGCCTCAGACTCCATAATCGATACTCAATTGCAAAAGAATAGTATGGGAGAAGGAGAAGCGACTTTATAACTTCTTATCGCAATGTCGCCATCTGCCCGCTGATTCGAGGGGGCCGCCGATGCACGTGACTTTACCGTCGGAGGATGTACGTAAGCAGAGCTAGCCAGCTGACATAAGCTGGTCGTCTCGAACTTCTGCATGGGGAAAAAAGTGTTGGCGGATCAATTGTGGAGAGAGCAATTATGCATCGTCGCCCAATCTTGAAGGTAAGTACCGCGTTACTGCTGCTCTACGACTTTTAACTGATGGCAATAGCTCTCACATCGGGCGGGATGGTCGGTTTCAGCCGGCCTTAAACCCTCTTTAACGGCTTTATCCATTCGACGAACGTTAAGATCATCCGCGAGCTGTTTGAATACGTCAGATTCTTCAAACGGAAACGATAACGACTCTTCTTCGGGTTCTGCGCCAGCGAAGCCCAAGTTTGGCAGCCGATGGGCTTCTAAAGCTACTAAACCAGCGGGCTTAAGTGCCGCAGAGCAAGCTATTCGCGATAGCATCGTCGCCAACAACCCTCCTCCTCCACCACCACCGCAATCTGAACAGCAACCGGAACAGCAACCGCGGCGACGACGTAATGATCAATTGAACCGGACTCAGAACACGAGGTCAAATCGCCATGGAGACTTCCCGGGCCCGCGATCTGCGTCGAGGCCGACACGCTTGAGCGCGGAAGAGCAGAATGAACGTGATGTTTTTGGGACTGGCAACGGACAACATCAACAGCAAGATATTCCTCGATCAAATGCATTTGGAGCGCCGCGATTCGGCTCTCGGACGACTTCGAGGTCAGCAGGATTGAGCCTCGCAGACCAGGCTACGCGTGATACTCTAGTAGATGAACACAATAACCCGCCACAAAACCGCACGGAGTCCCGACAACCGCGTCGATCCGATCACTCAAACCCGTTCCGGAACCCAAGGCCAAGACGCGACCGTGATGAAGATATTTGGGGCAACCGACCTGCAACCGATGTCTCAGGCTCAAAGTCCTCGGAATCATTGCCATTTGGACGAGAGCGGTGGCATGATGGAGCACTGGGTAGGACCAACAGGGGCAAGCCTGCCCTTGACTGGAGCTGTCCTAGTTGTATGGCTCATGTCTTCGGCTCGAAGATAGTATGTCCATTCTGCCGCACATCTCGCCCGGATGATGCAAAAGCAAGGTTTCCAACGACGAGAAGCCATGATAATTCTGCTCGGCTCCAGAGAAGACAACCTGGCCGAGAACCTTCTGAGGAGACAAGGAAGTTCCAAGATCTAGGCAGGTCATTTTTGCCTGAATTTGATTCACATCAGTCGGAGCAGCCAGAGGCGGCCGATCTGCAAGACTTTGACCGCGCAGAGTCCAGACCGAAGGACAAGGAGGCCCCCAAAGCAGAGAAAGAGCAGAAGGACAAGGTCAAAAAGAACGACTGGTCTTGGGATATGTCTAAACTGGAGGAGTTGGAAAACCTGGAGTCACAAGAGCAGGAGCAGTTACAGAAGCCTGTCAAGCGCCGTGATGGACGCAAGGGACGTCAACCACAAGCCCAAGAGGCAGAAGAATTCGACTCTGAAGAACGCCAGCGTCTTCGTGAAGAGCGTAGACGTCAGCAAAAAGAGAAGGCCGCCAAAAAGGCTGCTCAGAAGGCTGCCAAGTCTGCTCCAGCGCCTCTATTCCTTCCTGAATTTATCAGCGTCAGTAATCTGGCTGATGTAATTGGTGTGCGGCCGGCGCAGTTCGTTGCACGCATGGAGGATATGGGATTCGAGGATATCACATACAAAGATGTCCTTGATGCAGAGACCGCTGGACTGGTGGCCGCTGAGTTCAATTTCGAGGCTATCTTTGATACCGGCTCAGATGATCTGAAGGCCGCGCCTCCGCCAGAAGATACATCTAATCTCCCAACTCGTCCTCCAGTGGTTACCATCATGGGTCATGTTGATCATGGTAAAACTACTATCTTGGATTGGCTGCGCAAATCATCTGTAGCAGCGTCCGAGCATGGTGGTATCACACAACATATTGGTGCATTCTCTGTTATGATGCCCTCCGGAAAGGCCATTACCTTCTTAGATACACCCGGTCACTCTGCATTCTTGGAAATGCGTCGCCGTGGTGCTGATGTCACAGATATCGTGGTCCTTGTTGTGGCTGCAGACGACAGTGTCAAGCCTCAAACCATTGAAGCCATCAAGCATGCCACTCAGGCTAATGTTCCCATGATCGTCGCCATGAGCAAGATTGACAAGGAGGGTAAGAATACCGACCGAGTCAAGGGCGATCTCTCTGCCAATGGTGTTCACGTGGAAGACTTTGGCGGCGATGTCCAGGCTATCGGTGTCAGCGGTAAGACCGGCGAAGGAATGGTTGAACTGGAAGAAGCCATCGTGGCACTTTCAGAAATGCTCGATCACCGTGCAGACATCCACGGTCATGTCGAAGGCTGGGTTCTCGAGGCGACCACAAAGAGCCATGGCCGTGTGGCAACTGTTCTCATTCGCCGAGGAACCTTGCGACCTGGAGATGTTATTGTTGCCGGTTCCACATGGGCACGTGTCCGCACTCTTCGCAACGAAGCCGGTGTACCCATCAGTGAAGCGACACCCGGAATGCCCGTCGAGATTGACGGCTGGAGAGACCAGCCAGGCGCCGGCACTGAGCTTCTTCAGACTTATAGTGAACAACATGCCAAGGAGGTCGTTGATCGCCGATTGGACAAGTCTGATACCATGAAGATGGGCGAGGATATGGTTGCCATCAACGAGACCCGAAAGGCACTCCTCGAGAAGCGCAGGCTCGAACAGGAGGAGGACGAATCAAACCCCAGACCCGAAGAATCTACCGGACCCAAAGCCTCCCATTTCATCCTGAAGGCTGACGTGGATGGTTCAGCGGAAGCTGTGGTGAACTCCATTGCGGCAATTGGTACCAATGAAGTCTACGCTAATGTGCTTCGATCGGGTGTTGGCCCTATCAGTGAATTCGACATTGAGCATGCTGCCAGTGCCAAAGGCAAACTCATTTCCTTCAATCAGCCCATCGACCCCAACATGATGCGCCTAGCAGAGAATGCCGGCGTTGAGATCTTGAACCACAACATTATCTACAAGTTGATCGATGATGTCAAGGCCACTCTCAGCGAGCTGCTGCCCCCGTCGGTTACTACCCGTGTGACTGGTGAAGCGGAGGTTCAGCAAATCTTCCAAATTACTGTCAAGGGTCGCGACAAATCGACAATTGCTGGAACTCGTGTTCGTAACGGTATGATTAACCGAGCCCGCAAGGTCAGGGTTATTCGCGACGACAAGACCGTTTATGATGGTAAGTGCCTCACAGACACAGTACAGATATTCTGGACACCACTAACTCCTATAGGCACCATTGTCTCCCTCAAGAACCTCAAGAAGGACGTTACTGAGATGCGCAAGGATACTGAGTGTGGTATCGGATTTGAAGAATGGTCTGACTTCCAGGTAGGCGACCACGTCCAGTGTTACGAAGAAATCTTCGAGAAGAGATATCTGTGAGATATCTATGATGCGGTGAACATCGCATTCACCGCTTGTACTATTTATCTGTATTTTCTGGCGCTCTCCATTCCCCACAATCTTGGAGGACTATGTACCATATTTTACTTTCCTCGGCATGATTGACTTGCATCCATGGTTTGGGCGTTGTTTTGTCCTTCGGGGAATAGAGGAAAGCATACAATCAATGTAATTTACAATGTTCATATCAAGGAAGTGTATATGTTTCAACAACACTAGCAAGGGGTACCTAAACAAGTTATATCTTTTGTGTATCCTCTCTCCTCCGAATCGAGCTCAATACACCTAAGTTTATACATACTGTATACCCTACCTGGTTCATATATTTCATTTTATAAAAGCTATCTAGACTTCCACCTAACCTTAGAAACCCACCCAGCCCAATCCTGCACATCCTTCCTCTCCAGAATCCTCTCCACAGTAAACCACTCCCTAGCAAGCTCTTCATTACTAGCCATACGATGCACAAAACTATGACAAGCGCGACAAAGCCAAGCAACGCTATTCAACATCCACTCTTCATGCCACCCCTTCTTCACAACCTTCGCATGCACCCCCCTCGGAATAAGATGATGATAAGAAAGCGGGATCCAGTCTCTCTCACAGATCTCGCACGCGTCAGTCCGTGTATCTGACCACACGGGCGGCCCGGCTGTCACGCTTGTTGTGTATTCTGATAGGATTGGAGAGAGGAAGTCTGGGAGGTCCACGGCGTCGGGGATTATACCGTAGACTGCTAGGCTGTCTGTTACCGAGAGCGGGATTGGGGTGCATATCTTTTCGAGGGTGCCGCGCTCTAGAGGGGTGTCTGCATCTGCGGGAACGTAGAGGGTGCTGAGGGTATGGTCATGCTGGGTTGCTGTGTAGGAGAGGGTTTGGAGCGGTTCTGGGAAGGAAGTGAAGGTTTCTGAGGCGAGGAACTGGTTTTGGTTTGGATGAGACTCTGTCGATGGGCTTCCGGAGTACAGTAGATTGCTACTTACATCGACGAATTCGGCGAGCTCTTCTGGATTGGCTCGTTCTGTTGAGAGGTCTTCTGTTACGTCTTTGCGCGCATTGCGCTTTCCCTTGCCCTTTCGCTTTGTTGATTTACCCTCTGAGCGAGCGACGATGGCATTGGAGAGACATTCGCGGAATACCGCGTAGTTTTCTGAGGTCATTGAGGATTTTGAGCTTTGAGCTTTGGGGCTGTGAGGGGAGCTGTTTTGCCCCACGGAACGTTGACATCATTTGCCCGCATATAAGTTTAGTTATAAAGGAGACGCTGGGAGTGTTCTCAACCTTGGACATTACAGTCATGGCAGAGACTACTATTATTGCTTTTGATCTTTACGGGACATTGCTTTCAACAGAGTCGATTGTCAAACAGCTGGAGAAGCACTTTGGCCATGCCAAGGCACAGTCCATCTCCGCTCTTTGGAGACGATATCAACTCGAGTATACATGGCGGTTGAACAGCATGGGTATATATGGATTATGATAAATTCCTTGGCAATACTGACAGCTTTCTTGCAGATCGATATGAAGACTTTTCAATCGTCACATTCAACGCTCTTCAGCATGCATTGGCCGATAACGGCGAACAGCTGAGCGACGACGACATGGAAGACCTAATGGCAGCTTACGACAGTCTGTCTACATTTTCCGACGTGAACGCAGCCTTGACCAGGGTAGCAGCAGACCCAACGCTCGAGGCCGTGATCTTCTCCAATGGCACCAAGACCATGGTCTCCAGCTCGGTGCTCCGATCGAAGGACCTCTCACCACACGCGAGCGCGTTCAAAGACCTAGTCACAGTGGATGAAATCAAGCGTTATAAGCCTTCACGGGCAAGCTACGAGCACCTTGCAACTCAAGTGGGCAAAGACCCAATCGAGATGAGCAAGATATGGCTGATCAGCGGCAACCCATTCGACATCGTCGGGGCGCGCAGTACGGGCATGAAAGCGATCTGGGTTGATCGCGCACACGCTGGTTGGAGGGACGCTGCAGCTCCTGATCTACGGCCGACAGTGATTGTACACAGTCTGGAGCACATTGTGGAAGAAATCCAGGCTCGGCTTTAAAAGTCATAGACTGAAAGTTTCAGCATATTATGGCTGATGAGAGGAAATGTACAGCTGAATATATTTCCAAACGCTCCACGCTTGAGTAGAAGAATTTGGGGTAAGCCAGCAGACTCGGTCTATCCTCCCATTTCCCCCCAGGATTTTCCATTGTAGGGAAGTCCAGAGTGAATAGGGAGGAAATTGTTTTATGTGAAGAAGAAAAGGAAGAGAGCTCTCGGCGAAAAAATCTTGAACAAAATAGGCAGTGCTTAGTCATGGATTAGTCAGTACCTATAGCTAATGATCACGTGCTATCTTATCGATAAGAGCAGGCTTCCTTTTTCCGTCGTGAAGTTCAGACAGGGAGCGGAGTACTGACAGTCTGCAAGCCATGTCGAGAGTGTGGGATCCCAGCCGGGCAGCTTGGCTGTACCCTCTTCGAGTATGAGTCCTCGCGCAAATCACAAGGTCAATACTAATCTGATATCAGGGTATCTTCTACTTCGCATCGAATCGGTTCCTATGGCCTCTATTCAAGGCCCGCCTGTTGCCCATCGTCCTCCTCTCCACATTTATCTACTTCATTCTTTTCTTCTTCACCTATCTCCCCCAGGTCGCATTCCTTGCTATCTTCCAGGGGGCTTCTTCGTGGGTTAGCGGTGCATTCCTGGTCCTTGGTGAAGGTGCGGCGATCGTGGCGGCGCTCTTCGAGGCATTCTTCGTGGATGAGACCCTGGTAGATATCTTCGATGCAGTGTTGGTCAATGAGGGCCAAGAGGAACTTGTCACCACTTCCCGAGTCATCTACCCCGAACCTGGCGATGCTGCCAAACGCCTAGGCACGCCGACCACCAGTGCCGTCTATTCTCCCTTCTCCCTGCGACAAATCGTCGAATTCGTTTTCTTGCTCCCCCTCATCTTTATTCCTGTGGCTGGAACTCCCATGTTCCTTGTTTTGACTGGCTACCGTGCCGGTCCCTTCCATCACTGGCGCTACTTCCACTTGCTTGACATGACCAAGCAGCAGAGAAAGGAAAGCATTACTCGACGCCAGTTGCAGTATACCACGTAAGTAACACCCCGCAAGCCACGTCATACCCAAAATCCAATCTGACATCACGTCTAGGTTTGGAACGGTCGCCCTGATTCTCCAGTTGATTCCTCCCTTCTCCATGCTCTTTTTGATGACCACTGCTGCTGGCTCTGCTCTTTGGGTGACAGACATCGAACGCAAACGCCGAGTTGCTAACCAACAGGCTAGTCGGCTGGGTGAACAATATCGTGATGACATTATGCCATGACCCTGTGAACGATGTCATATATGCAGACCGACCAAGCAAGGTCGATCTAATTCCCACTGAACCCTGTGGCGGGGCCCCTTCCCCCCTAGTTTGAGCCCCCAAAGTTGGGCTGATCGTAGTTTTCCATAATACCAATTGTAATTCTTCCAGTTTCCGATCATTTATACTTCTTGGATTTGGGCATCGCACGTGACTCCTATCCGAGGTCATTTCTCATTGCATCGCGCGTTCCTCCAGTTCAGCTTTGGCGGCCCGGCTTCAGTTCCACCCCGCTAAGCGACTTCCGCTCCCATTTTCCCCGGACTGCCTTTTGAACCCGCGTTTTTGCTTTTCGGAGTTTCTGATATATTCCGACCGGGGCTTCAATCTTTGCTCGGGGGATATATACCAAGGGCTTTCCCAACCCTGGATAGCACGCGCCGGTGCCGTTCCTGGATTAATCATGACCTGACAGCTCGAGGCGTGGTCAATTCGAGCGCGTGAACAGCTCACCGATGGACTTGAAAACCAGGCTGCGCAAGGCCTGCGATGCCTGCAGTATTCGCAAAGTGAAGGTATGTCCGCTTTGATCCGCGGCCAACCGTAGAGATAGGATAACTGATCTTCCATGCAAGTGTGATACCGGTGGGCCTCCTTGTCGGTCATGCGCTAGCTTGGAGATTCCTTGCACCTACGAGAGACCTAGCAGACGCCGTGGGCCTCCTAACCGCCATGCAGAGGCGCTTAAGAAACAAAAACGGGAACCGCTGCTGGACGATGAGACTTCCCTGAGTCCGGCAGACTATCCGCCAGTGACGACTCCACAGACGACATTTGCCAACCCTCCATCGGGGCAGTTTGCCCTTTCGGCGGAATCAATTTGCTCTCTGCATACAGTTCAGCTGTTGCTTGATGACTTTTTTACTTATATTCATCCTTTGGTTCCGGTTCCTCATGAGCCAACGTTCAGGGCTGCTTTTGAGAGGAGGGAAGATGTGACCAATCACACTTTTTTGGCCCTTTTGGCGTCCATGATCGGATTTCTCGTGGCTTCCTTTCCTCGAAGACCTAAACTAAGACTTAACACTGAAGCCGAGCGCAATGCGTTCCCTAACTCTATAGCTCTGGTCAAGCATTGTCTCGATGTTGCCATTCAAGCCCGCGGCGCTGGGTATCTCGACCGCAACGCCACAGTATATGACGCAGCAATCAGCTATTTCCTTGCCGTCTGTGCTGGCTATATCTTTAACATGCGCCGATGCCGCGTGTATCTATCGGAATGTCGAGCCATGCTTTCGGTTTATGATTTATGTCGGTCTCCGCCACCAAGCACTCGATCATCAACATTAGGACCCAACAGCCCGCTATCGTCAGCCTCAGCTATGCAAGATCAGGCTGTTCATAGTTTTATGGACACTCAAAGGGTCGATCTCATAACCCAAGAGCTTGGCCGACGTTTGTTCTATGTCACCCTGGTTGGGTATCAGACACTGCACCAAATGGGCTCTGCTGATATTAAGGTCCATGTTCCCCCGGAGACTCCAACGGATCGATATCCACCCCTGCCGATGGAGATTGACGACGACTTCCTGTTCCCAACGCATGTTGAGCCACAGCCGCCAACTCGCGTTTCACGATTGGTCGGATTCAATGCAAATGTTCGTGTCTACAGTTCGTATACGGACCTGCTCTCTTGGGAAATAGCCTTTGGCAGCGGCCAGATCTTCGACTGGGAACATCAACGCAACAGTCTTTGGGGCTGCCTTCAACAAACAAAGCTAGCATTAGTCAATGTCCCTGTTGAGCTGTCGCTGGACCACCCAAAACACGTTTCCCCAGCCCGTCTATCTGGTCTCGGCGAAGATGGCACAGTGTTCAGCTATGCCGATGACCGCATTCATCAAGAACGACGCGCCATCCAGTATGAGATTCAAAAAGCCAACATATATGCCAGTCAGCTGTGCACGAGATCTTTCCTAGTTGAGAAGTACTGGAGTCTCTTTGAGACATTCTCAAAATATGGAAAGTCCCCCAAGTTCACGGCTCCCGGGTCCACAACGCCACAGATCAAGGTCGAAGGCATGCCATATACAACACCAGCTGTCCCAAGCACCGCAACGACTCCATCAGAAACCAACCCCAACACCAGCACCAACACCCACGCTCAAACCCACGCCCAAAAAGATTACATCGGCCGCATGATGGCCGAAGAGCGCCAATCAGTCATAAAAGACCTATTCGTACTCCTACGCACCGTGAACGAAGTAAACATGGAGCCAAACGGCGCCAGCATTGTACGTTTCCACCAGTCCACCCACAAATCACAAACAAGCCCAACTAACCCCTCATCCCATCTACACAGACAGGCAAAATCCGCCAAGTAGCCTCAACCCTCCTCAACCTTTCCCCGCGCACAAAACAAACCCCCTCAACCGAGATCCCCAGCCTCACGCCGCACCACCCAATAGAACCATCCGCCCCATCCCCAACATCTACACCAGGCCTCCCAAGCCTCCACGCCCTCACAGCCGCAGAAGCAGAATCCTACCTGCACGCCTTCATCGAGACTCTCGTCCGACTGGAATGCCACTCGTCCATGGCCGACTCGGCCAGCACTGCCGATGGACTTAGTCCTCAGGTCAACGGCCGGGCCATGAGTTACCTTTCGGATTATCAGCGTGACCAGGAGGAACTCGGGCAGTGGGCTAGTTTGAAAGAGTATCAGCAGAAGTTTGCCGAGGCGGGCGGTGTTTTATGTCAGTTATAATCTACATGTAGGGCTTGTTTGGCTTGCTTGGCTTGTATGGGGGATTAGGTACTGTAGAATGGACCTGGGAATCTTGGCTTGGGGATCGTTCGTGCCAATCTCGGGTTTGGTTCGTGCATCGATTGCTGGTTTGCGGTCTTTTTTGGATATTACCGTGTTAGCCTTTCTTTTCGGACTATGTACTCTTGTATTATTATTTTCAGATTCCGACTTTGGCATGATAGTGCTTGGTCTTATCAGACTCGTACTGTTTTTCTTTCTTGAAATCTGTTCCTTGTGATCCTTGGTATAAGAGATCATGGTGAATTCCCGTGGGAGCACAGCTGGATAGTTCGGGTGACAAACATAGCACTTTTTTTATAAATTAAGGTCATACCTAATAGCATTACCATTGGATTTAGGGGTTCACCCCTAAGCCAAGTACACAGAAAATTCATAATCTTTGCCTCTGAAATTCCTTGATCTATGTAATTCTGCTCGTTGGATGACAGGCTGGGCCATTGAGCTGCATATACTCATCCTTGAGAGTTAGATTTGGTTCAAACTACACATACCTGACACTAAGAAGCTACTCTTATAGATCTCAAGATCACAAGAGTAGCCAGATAGGGTATGAGGCTGAATTCCTCAGCCTCAACCTCAAGCCTTCACTAAACCACACATATCGGCTAAGTTATCTACTCCCTGGTCTTGTACTGTAACCCCAGGCATCCAACACGGCACAGCTATCGGTGAAGGAATATCTCGCCACCTTCTCCGTGAGTTCCCACAGTGGGTCGTCCAGTTTCCCACTTTCACACCGAGTTTCGACGGAGTGGATCCCTCGCCGTCAGGGGAATTTCGATTTCGCTGAACAATATCGTATTTAGAACAGTATTCTCTATGAAATACTGTATCTGCAAATGTGATCATTCACAAAGTTAATATGTGGCTGTCTCTGTAGGGTACAGTATATGCAAGTGTGAGGCTGAAGTTAACGTTAGCTTATTTTAGGAACAATGTGAGCCCGGTTTAGACTATCGACGCCCTGCTTTATATTGCAGCTTTAGGCTGCCATTTCAGGTCCCTGTGCGAATCACACGCTAGGCAGTGCTCTACTTGATGCAGGAGGAAAAATGGGTATTGTGGGTCAAGATTTGTCTGTACAGTTGAGGGCGTGTTTATTGTGGTGAAATCTACAGTACAGCCTTGGAGACATACAGTAACTTAAACACGAAGAGAGAACAAACCAATTGAACATTTACTAAAACTCTCATTGAACAAAATACAGAATCAATTATCCCCACGCAATTCACTCAACAGTCAAGTCACAGTACACTGTACAAAACTTGCAAACATATTCACGTTACAGCATGTTTTGACCGCCAGATGCAAGCCATTGGAGTTCCTACAGTTAAAAACCCCCAAATTAGCCACACTCCCGGTGAAAAAAACACGAGACTTACAGCGCCGATACACCAACCGTCCATTCTCATTGCTGATCCGGTCATTCAGGTTGATCCCCTGTCTTTCCCTGTGTCCTCCATTTCTCATAGGTAGCTCAGCGGTCAAAACCGAGCCATCGAGCGCAACGCTCCGCGCACTCCGGCCGGCATTGACGCCATCCCACATGAACCAGCCTTGGAGGTTTGTTAGTGGGTGTTTTTTTATTGTTATTTTTTTTTTTTAAAAAAAAGAGACGGTACTGTGGGATCTGAAAGGGTGAGGGAAGTAGACTTACCGTCTTCGTTGCCGATAAAGTCATCGAGGCGCAGAGATGTAGGTCGGAAGCCACCGTGCTCATCGCGGGCGTCGCAGTGAAGGTAGATTGAGTCGCCGTTGAACTCAATGCGGACGTTTTGGCAGGTTTGGTGGAAGGACATTTTGGATTGAGGTTGGGATTGGGATTGAGGATTGGGGATTGCAGAGGTCGTATTTATACTGTAGAGATGGGGGAGGTAGGAAAGTGGGCTTAGGCTCCTACTTGTCTTACTATTGAGGCTGTATGCCAAGGAGATGCAATTGATGGTATGACGTGTGGAACGCAGACCGACAAATGATTCGAGCTTGGTTATGTTTGAAACTGTCGCTGTTGATCCTGTGGAGATCTTATATATAGGGTCTCTTGATGGAGGTCGAAGGTGGTTTGACTATAGACTGCAAGGACAGCACATCACGTTGGGAGTATTGTTGGAGGTATGCAAAATAAATGATCAATCTATCATACCACATATTATTGTAAACAAGCTGACATTATAGCTAAACTTCATGATTCACAGGCTGAAATCAATGTGACAAATTGCCTCCATTAGAACAAGAAAAACTGCACATCAGAGGTCCAAGCCAACTATACATCCCTCGTAACGGTGACAGTTGCACTAGCAGTAACAGTCTCGGTGACCTTGTCTGTAATAACCTTGGTCACCGTGTCAGTGATATAGATAAAGCCAGCCGGCGTCACTGGAATGACACTGAGCAAGCCTTGCTCTGATCCCGATGTTGTCGTGCCCGTGGCCGTAGGTACAGGGGCAGCAGATTCAGTTACCGCTGCTACGGCAGTTACAGTGGCCTGAGTGGTTGTTGTGGCAGCAGCAGCAGCTCCTGCTGTGTTTGCTGTTTGTGCCGCTGCTGGTATACTGGCGCTTTTCTCGCTCGATGTGGTTGAAGTGGATGATGCCGTTGCCAGTATAGCTACTGGTGGAACAGTATCTGTGTGACTAGAAGTAGTTGCAGTAGTTGAAGAAGTTGAAGTAGTTGCAGTAGTTGAAGTAGTTGCAGTAGTTGCAGTAGTCGAAGTAGTTGAAGTAGTTGAAGTACTTGACGCAGATAATGCCACACTTAGAGAAGATGTAGCTGGATAAATCGTCAGAACAAATGTTTCTGTTGCTGTTGCGAGCACGTGGATCGTGCTCGGTTCACTCGAAGAACTTGTCACAGATGGCGCGGCGGAGGAACTGGTGGCCGACCAGACCGTTATGTGCACGGTTTCTGTCTTGGTTGCGAGGACTGTGACGGGCTCGGGAACAAGGGATGTTGTCTGCGGAATAGACGTGGCGACTTGGTTGATTGAACTGATAGAGCTTGCTTCCAAGATAGGTGGAAGGGATGTCGTTGTTGATGACAGAGATGCGCCGGCTGGCTGTATAGATATAACTGCAGGTGGAATAGCAGTGGATGTTGACGAGATAGATGCACCGGCAGGTTGTATGGATATGACTGCGGGTGGAACCGCTGGGATTGATGTCGTTGTTGTTGGGACTGCTGGCAGTAAAGATGTAGTCGTTGGTGGGACTGCTGGTGGTAAAGATGTCGTTGTTGTTGGGACTGCTAGCGGTAAAGATGTAGTCGTCGGTGGGACTACTAGTGCTAAAGATGTAGTCGGTTTTGAAGACGTAGTTGGTATATGAGTAGAGCTAGTTGTAGGCTTGGTGGAAGTTGTCGTGTGTGAAGATGTACTCGTGTGTTCAACAGATGAAGTTGTCAAACGAACAGGAGGAATTGTCTTAGTCGAGGCAGAAATCCCTTTGTCACTAACATAGATAATTACATGGGCTGTTTGCGTTTCCCAAAAAGAAGTTGAAGAGGAAGACTTTGAGGTTGAATGGCTTGTGGTGGTTGGTGGCTTGGACGTGGAAGTCTTGGACGACGAAGAGGTCGGAGTGGCTGAGGAGGATATAGTCATATGGAGATATGTTATGACATCCACGTCATCGGGATTAACACTGCTACTGCTGCTCTTGATCGAGGATGTACTTGGGACATGCGTTGTAGTAAGTGCATGCGTTGTAGTAGGTGCATGCGTTGTAGTAGGTGCATGTGTCACAGACGACTTCGAAGTACTGGATGATACAGACACAGGATCTCCAGTGAAATTCGGATCATCAACCGTAAACGGCTGCTGCCAACTATAGGTCGTAAGCTCCGACCTGCTCGACAAAACAGAGGTAGAGACAGTGGCCGATGAGGTAGGAACCGAATCAGATGGCAGCGGCGTTGGACTTCCAACCGGAATGACGGTCAATCCAATATGGGTCTCGTTCTCATCACGACGAGACAGATCTTTGGGCGAAGAAGTCGGCAAGCGAGTCGATTCAGTAACAGCAGGGGCAGGATTTTCAGAAAGTCGCCAGCGAGATATCGGACCGGCCGAAACAGCGCACGCTAAAAGAGCGAATAGCATAAAGAACTGAGCGCGGAGCATCCTGACAAGAAACAGCGAGGGTGGGAACGATCGACAGGGTGAGACTTTAGAGAGCGTGGGCGGCAGGGAAAGAAGATATTTCAGACAGAGATATAAGAAAGAGATTCAATGCCGCGGTAATCGTACGCAGAAAAAAGCATGGCCAAAGAAGAAAGAAAATTCCCGTTCTAGTTCTGGGCAATTGAAGGCGTTCTGATGGCTTGCAGATGAAAGAATGGCTTGATCAGAGCGATCAGGAGGAAAGGAAAACAAAAGAATGAGGCGACTGTGAGGCACTCTAATGTCAGGAAAGAGATACAATTTTCTTTGAAAGACGCGCTGTCGAGGATCCCAGCATGTATATCTGCAGACCAAGAGCCGAGTTGGGCTAGGCCTGGAGCTCCTGTCAGCGGCTCATTGTTGCAAGTATAAGAGCATTAGCATCTTCAGAGGCCGCCATTGCAAGGGGCTCTTTGTGGGACGTTTCACTTGAAATAGTTCAAAGAGACGTTGCAGTACGCGCCGGGGTCGATGGCGGGTGGTGATTGGCCCGCTGTAGGCGCAGCGCCTTTTATTTTAATTTCAACCTAAGCAGAGGAGTTGAAGTTTGTTTATTGATTTGTCTCAAATGTTGAGCAGCATGGGCGCGTAATTGGTAGTTTTGACATTGTTCCGACAGGCTTCAGAAATTAAGGATATAGTGTCATTGCATGCGCCATCCCAACTCAATATCTGCAGACGAATAAGAATAGCTCAGGTTGAAGTCTGTACGGCAAATGCCCCGCCAATGCCCTCAAATGACGAAATCTGGCCGAAGGCATTCTTTGAGTCCCCATAATAGTGCATACGATAGGTCCCATCGTGCAGGGGAGTTGGGTCGCCAACACTGTAATAATCATCCTCAATCTGCCACTGAATAGTCACTTCACTGTAGCCAAGCAAGCTATTTGTCCGAGTCCAAAGAAACACCAGGTTCCAGTCGCGGTCATTGCGCACCACCTCCCAGTCACCGGAATTGTTCTTTCTTTCGATTGCTGCGTAGGTCGATTCCTGGCGCAAATTGTTCCTCGGGTTGGCGCCCACGAAGGTCGTATTGACAATTTTACCAGGGCCAGAGGGTCCACTCCCCGGGTTCGAAAGCACGTCTCCGAAGGATTTCCCGAATGGTGCACCGTCGTACACCACCCCCGCGATGAAGCTCAATGAGTGATTGGTATTGACTGGTGGATTGGGTCCAGGCTGAATGTCCGGGAGGGTTAAAGCAACTGATGGCTTATCCAAGTACGGCAGGTAGGTTAGAGTCAGGTTGATGTATGCTGCCAGGGTGTTTGGACCGAAGAGCGTGGACGCGCCCTCGTAGCGCTGGACACTGTACTCTTCCTCCGTTGCCACATAGTGTGCATAGCTATTTGACGGGGCTCCTAGCACCACTTGAGGATCTGAAACGGAGAGTTTTTCTCTGGCTTCTTTGGCTATCGCCTCCTTCCAGCGTCGGCCAGACATGGTGGTAGCTTCGCTGGTAGAAATAATGATGAATAGCTGGCCGACTCGCAACAGTTGAATGTCAACAATATCTGCTGCCCAAGCATACGGCTCTGTAAGAGTGCCGACATCCAAAAGCACATCCTTGGCACCTTGACATTTCTGCTGTTCTTCCGTCGGTTGGTGAATGAATGCCCGCGCGACTTGCCACAAAGGATTGCTTGCAGCCGGACCAGTTGCGTTTTGTGTAAAGTCAAAGGCTCCTGGCCCGTCCGTAGTTCCAGCAGCAAACGAATATCCCAAAGCTGCAGGACAGGTCTTCAAAATACTCGAGTTGAACGGTGACTGGAAAGTGTAACCATTCATATCCTGATACACATGGAAAGACCTGACAGCAGAGCTTCCAGTGAGCTTAATAGCATTGGTATTCATCTGTTCCCAAAGATTCTTTGCTGCTGAATATTGGCGGCGTCCAATTTCAAAGCAGCTTTTTGCACCGTTATCCTTTTCGCGGAAGAAAGGTCCTCGACCGTGACATGGTTCATTTTCTCCGCCACAGGTGCTGTCAGAGTACCGGCACATCTCATTCGAGCCGTCCTCACACCAAGCACCCAGAATATTAGGGCTTGTATCTCCAACATTGGCTTGAGAGAATCCAACAACAGCATCATCGGCAAATCTCACATCGTTGGCTATGCTCCGCTCGAATAGATAGGCTGCAACACCCTTGTTGTCGCCAGTCACCAGGGTGTTGTTGTTATACATAGATGTACCATGGACGGGAAACCAAGTTAATACAGCTGTCGTTTTATTATCAGATTCCCGGTCAAATCGAAGAAGAGTCAAAGTCTTATCCACATTGGCTGAGTATCTTGCTTTTTCCTCTTCGGGGTTGTGGTCGTACGAGTAAGGACTGCGGTTGGTATTGGCGTCCTCCAAATCAATCGACCCAAAAGACAGCCGCCCCGGTGTCAAGCTCTCATGGGCACGCTTGATAGAGAGAATAGTCCCATCGACAATAGCCTGGTAACTCTGCTTGTCAAAGCCTCGGGTTGGAATCTGAGGGAGAAGGTAATTCATCCACGCCCCAGGCCCGGAGTGCGAATGCGTCCCAGTCAATGCGACGTTTTGTTCGCCATACCGTGCATAATCAGTACCGAGCGCGGCGAGGCCCTGCAGGACTCCATGTCGTACGGCCGTGTCACCGGCGAGTGTGTCGAGGACGACGTACACGAATGTATCTTCTGGTTTGTTAGGGTCTGCAAAAATGAAGGTGCGAGCATATAGTCTCTGCTTCAGGCCAGTGCCGAGCTGGTCTAGACTAGCATATCCATTGAAGTCGACTTCCACTACGGGTCTGATTGATGTTAGCAAAGTTAGTGTGTGCGGAATAAACAGAGTGGTCGTACCCTGTTACATCTGCCTTGCCAGCTCCTACCAAAAATGACCCGTCGTCGACAGCTTCCCTCGACCTACTTTTCCACTGATTTAGATTTCTGGTCAAATGAGGCGAGAGTGTTTGTTCGGCATGCTTGAACACCGCAACTAGCTGTAAACACACCAGCGCCGCGAGCGTCACCGCCGCGAAGATAACGCCGAATCGAACGTTGGCCATGTTGAGTGGTTTCCAATATACTGGATAGTTATAAAAGACTGTGGTCTTAACACATAGAGCGTCCTCGGTCACTTTGCCTCTCTACAGAGACAGGAAGACACTCGAGCCTTATAGAAGCACGTCACGGAGAGTTTGCCCGCAAGCCAAGCTTGGATCAGCATACAAGCTTGGCAAAAGAGGTAAGCTCTGTTCTAGTAGACCCTGCAGAAGGTGACATCGCTTATACAATGTGTGATAGTTACTTCCTCGTCCTTCTGCATTCCGAATCCCAAACGGGATTAGACTTTCAGCTGTCCCCCGCACGGAAGATGAGATGTGCCCGTAATGCTTGCATGTTGAATACACCAGTTGAGGGTCTGAGAGATGTTAAGTTGAGCTTGAAAGCAATTGGGCAATCAGAACGGGTTACAGAAGCGCCCGACATCGGTTTCCATGCCGCAAACATAGAGATGCTCTTTCAAACCCTAGTCGCATGATACAGGCAAATAATACGTTCCGTACATATCAGTAATAATACCTTCCTTTTTATAGATTGTGACCCATACAAAGGCCTAGAATTAGAAGGGCAAAGTGTCAACTTCTCCCTTCTGCATCTTGCTGGTCCATCTGGGGTCAAGATGGGAGGCAAGTCTCAACAGTAAGGTTTAGTTTCGGGATCTCCACCCTTGCTTGTCATCATGCTGTAGCTTCAATTCTTATTGGATAGCAGGGGTTACTACAGTCTACAGTACAGTACTGTAGTAGACTCCTACGGTCGGCAGATACGATGACTAATGGGCTTTTTTGACCCTCGGATGACGATGCCTAACCTATATCAAACCCTTAATGTCAGAATCACCTCCGTGAAATGCTTCGACAATGCCAAGTCGTATCTTGAAACTGATTAGGTGCGTTTTCGAGAATTAACCGATTATTGTGGAAGGCGATCGGGGACAGGCGAAATCGATTTTCAAGACCATCAATGGTTCGACTCATACTAGCTAACCCTGTCCATATTCCATTACCGCCGACATATATGAAATAGGCTCAGAGACAATAATGGATTGGGATGCCTTGTGGTTCAATGTTGCCACTTTGATTGCAGGCGTGTTTGTACTTGACTATGGCGCAGACAAGTTTATCGACCATACCGTCGTAGTCGGCCGGCGTCTAGGCATCTCGCAAACTGTCATTGCCCTCCTGACAGCTGGCGCTGAATGGGAAGAGGTGTGCAACTCACTGCAATCCGATTCACTACTCACTGTGGCTAATTCCCTCATTAGCTTGCCGTAGTGGTTGCCGCAATCCTGCAACATCGCAGTCCCCTAGCCCTTGGGAACGTCATGGGTTCGACTATCTCCAACATCCTCGGCGCCTTTTCTTTGGGGCTACTCTTTCATCCCCACGGTCTGGAGTTTGGCCGCAGTGCAAAATTATACTCGGCCCTGCTGTTTCTGGTTACGACACTCTTCGTGGTGTTGGCATTCTTTAAACAATTGAACCGGATTGTCGGTGGGGTTTTGATTGCCATTTTCGCGCTCTATGTCGTTTCTATCATCTATGCTATCTATAAAGGTATAGCCTCGCCCCCAGAGATATCCGACAGTGACAGCGACCGGGAATACAGCGATAGTGACGACGGCGAATCCGTCAATCATACCACTATTTCCGAGAATTCCCCCTGGTTGAGAATGAGCATACGCCGACATCAACAGACAAAGGGAGCCGACGAAACAGAAGCCTTACTTACCACATTTTCCAACTTATTCTCGGATTTATCTCGCTTTCTTCATCAGGATATATCCTCTCCCATAGTGCTGTCACCCTCGCCGACTCCCTGCATTTCTCAGGAACCGTCTTCGGTCTAACGGTTGTCTCTTTTGCCACTACTCTCCCAGAGAAACTAGTTGCAATCCTCAGTGGTTCCCGCGGCCACAGCGGCATTATGGCTGCGACGACGGCAGGAAGCAATATTTTCCTACTAACACTCTGTGTTGGTGTCGTTGCGGTGGCGGGGCACCAGGTGCAAGAGGCGGATAAGTTTGTGCTTTTTGAGCTAGTGGCAGTGTGGGTGTCCTCTCTGCTGTTTTGTGCAGTCATATTTTTGGGAATAGGGAGGAATGCTGGTGTAGTGCTCTTGGCTGCCTACCTTGGGTTTCTATTTCTAGAGTTTACCGTTTACCGGCGGTGATTAGCATAAAATATTCTCAATTTGCAGCGCATTTTCAACCCTATTTATGAAAATGAGACCTACATAGCTTCATATGAATACTAACGTGAGAGCGAGATGTATTCTATAATTATTGTCTGTCACTAGCTTAAAGCAAGATTTAGTAGGCCAAACGACTGGGTCAGATGGTCGGAACTCTCTAAAGACTCGATTTGTCTAGCATTCTTGCCCACGGTCATTCCGCGATAATTCACTAACAGCTGGGTAGAGCGAGGGTCAGATATAGGATATTATTGATTTAAGCCCCCCAAAGAACAAAGCAACTTAGTCGCTCATCAGTTTAAATTTTACCGTTCCGAACTTGAAGCATGATCCAAAGTACGGGAGTAACTATATCTAGCACAATAGATTATGTGATTAGGGTTTGAAAGAGCATCTCTATGTTCGCGGTATGGAAACCGAGGTCGGGCGCTTCTGTATGTAGTGGCAGCCTTGAGGCCCTCTGGCGATGTTTCGTGTTGATGCTGAAATCCTGTATCCCCCGCTGGCTTCATAGCTCGAATGTATCTAGGATCATCTAAAAGGAATGGACACAAATATCTTCAATAATATGAACTGTACATCATACATGACAGTTTGTAACTTTACTTAATTATTTCTGCTGTATACTTCTGGGTCACATGGTCTGCTTAGTAAGAACGCACTGACCGCCCTGAAGCATCCAAAGATAATCGACTGCGACATTCTCGATCTTGACCAGCATATTACACAAAATGCCTCTCATCACCGAATCTCACGACTCGCTCCCCTGTAAGTTCCACCTATTACCCATTTCTCACTGCAATTGAACCCAATCGTCCTAACATACCAACTAGACGTCGACGCGGCGCCCTCAGCCTCCGCGCAAGCACGAGCCCAGCAGCTCATCAATGCAGAGCTGTCCCCAGAACACGCTACGACAATCCATCCATGGATTCCAGAAGCCCCCGAGCCCAAATTCAGTGAATTCATGCAACAAGAGCTCGCGCGCAAAGCACAAGGCACACCAATCACAGGCGGGATCGACCTCTCGCGCTACGAAGCACCAGAAGCCCCGACTCGCGCCTCAGACACCGATGCGCCCAACCTAGAAGAATGGCGCCAGACTCTGCAAAAAGCATACGCCTCAAGCTCGCACCTCGCCAAGCGCCACGAGAACCTGGCGCTGCTCGAGGAGCACGGCAAGAATGCGTGGTTGATTGGCAATTCACAGCTGGAGGAAATCCTTGGCCAGCTGGAGAAAGAGCTGGCGGAAACGAAGGAGGCTGCTGAAGAAACCAACAAGCAGAGGAAGATCGCGCAGGAGGCCAGTCAGGGTGAATTGGTTAGCCTGGAGGAGACGTGGAAGCGGGGCGTCGGTGCTATCCTTGATGTTGAGGTTGCGTCGGAGGGTCTGCGCATGCAGATTCTTGAGCATCGTAGACAGGTTGCACAGCAACAGGCGCGTTAAGAGTCTAGATCTTCATTCGGTCTGAATTACCTTTGAGGGTGAAAGCTTATCTGAGCTGAATTGGCGGCTTCGTGTTGGGTATGGCAAGTTGGTGGTTGCACGGCCTGCGTGCTAGTGGGATACTTGCATGTTCGACGATGAGACGATGCGTTTGACTGTGTCTTCCCTGCGGTTGGATCCTCTGTGGACACGCTTTCGTTGGTCAATGTCTCGCGATTTGAACGTTTGCTTTTGTGCCGAGACCATCTCTATCTTCCAACGCTGTGACTCCACGCTCTGGTCCCGGGAATGGGTGTTCTCCTGTTGAAGCCATTACCTCCAGCAAGCAACAACCTCAAACTACACCCATCTCTGGTCTCAAAACACCAACACCAGCCGCTCCAACATACTCCCTACATCGGGGTGAGAATTGGAGGAGGAAATCCCCCATAATATCCGGGTACTGCAGGTCAGCACCAGCTACAGCATAACATCCAATGAACAACACATCTCTGGATGGTCTTCACTCATAGCACCAAACCCCTCTTTCTCAGTCCTACTGTGTAGTCAACCCTAAGCTACGAAGCCAATTCAACAGCCACGTATTCGAAATTCAATTCCACACCGTGCCGCATAATTCCAAGATCTAATGACCCTACACCTTCACCGGCGCAACAACATTAACATCCACCCCCTCCTCCACAACCTCAACCCTAAATCTCTGCACAACCCCCTTAACCCTAACCCCCTCCGTCCCAGCCCTCAAATTCCACTCAACAAGCCTCCGACACATCCCATCCAGCGTCGAAATAACAGGCCGATACCCCAACCCCCCCTCTTCAGGCCCCAACCTCGCCCTACAATCGTCCCCAAAGACATGGATATTCAAAATTCCAAACAGCGCCGGCTGGATCTGCTCAAGGTCCTTGGGGAGCGCAGGTAACAGCCACTGCAGGTAGTTGTACCGCAGGAATGCATATGCCTCGACGATGTAGGCGAGCAGGAGGAACGGCGCGGGTTGTAGCTCCGGGAAGGAGACCGGGGTTGAGGATACGGTTGTTAGTAGCTTGTACAGATCGCCGAAGGAAATTGCTGGGTTGGGGTCTGTCACTGCGTATGCTTGGCCGCTTGTTTTGGGGTTTGTGTTGCTTGGGTTGCTCTGTTCGATGAGGCGTTGTTCGTAGAGAAGATGGGCTAGAGAGACGTTTTCGGCGTGGACGAAGCTTTGGAGGACGGGGGCTGCCCAGCTATTTGGTTTTTGTGTTATTCTATTCTTTTTCTTCTTTCATTTTTGTTTTCTTTGATTGGGGTCCGGGTTGGTTCTGTCATTGGTAGGTTGACTTACGTTGGACTGCCGCCGTTGCGGAGGTAGATGTCTGTGATGGCCATGCTGTTCTCGCCGCCTGTGCCATAGATTCCATTGACTGGACGGATACATCCCGTTCGGAAGTTGTTCTCTGGGTCATCGGCGGTTCGAACGATACGCTCTGCCTCGGCCTTGGATGCGGCGTAGTTTCCGAAGAATTCACCGTGTGTCTTGGGTAGCTTGCGTTCGTCGCCGAGGACTTGCACCACACGCGTGGGCTCAGTGGCCCATGGCTTGATCCAGAAGTTTGGTCGATGGATGCCGATGGAGCCAGAGGATGTCCAGATGAAGCACGAGGCGCCTGCTTTCTTTGCTGCGCTCAGGACATTGCGCGTGCCGTCGATGTTGACTTTACTGCATAGCGAGAGCATGCTCTGCAGGCGATCCGATGGTCGAATCACGGCTGCTGTGTGGTAAATTGTTAGAGGGAGATTAGCAGCTCTGGCTGGCCATGGTTCTTCAAAGGCCGTGTCCACTGCGAGTAAGTCGGTGATGTCGACTTTTGTGTAGCCTACGCCTTGGTCGAGAAGTTCCTTGGCAGGGGGGACTATGTCTAGCACACGTATAGCTTTGGGGTCTTCACCGCGGGCTAGGAGATGGTTGGCAATCCATGCTCCAACGAGGCCTATCACCTTGTTAGTCTGTCTCTCGTGTGGTGGTGGACATGGGGAGTTTTGCAGATGGCATACCTGTTCCGCCGACGATCACGTATCGGCGAGACTGTTTCGGTGGCAAGTGCTTGGTCATATCGATGGGGGTTTCCAGATTCTTTTTGTAGGCTGCTTTGATTTCCTCGACAGTCCAACGATTTGGTGATATTCGTCGAGCTTCCTCCGGTACTGCCTTCATGGCACAGTTGATCCGCCACATGTACAGGACGCCCAGCGTCAAAATGCCTATCAGTAACAACATAGCTGAGGCTTCTGCAGACTCTTGAGCAAGGACGTCTTGGAGATCTTAAAGAGGTTTACAGGAGCGGGGGATTGCGGCGTAAATGGCTAAAAAGAAGCTCCGATGGTTGCAGACCCGGTCCGATGAAAATCTTGCCGTTCAATTATCATGCATTTGTTCCATTTCTTCCTTTATTTGACATCCGATCTGATTGAAAATGGCAGGTCGCTTAGATCTCGGTTATTTTAAACGAGCGACCTGAGACCCTCCCGTTGCTCCAAGCGAGCATCCTGACCTCATCACACGGGATCGTTTGTTCAGCGAGCCATTCCAGGCCCGGTGAGGAAACAGAAGTGTTGTGCACCTGAATATTGAGGTGACGGTGGAAACAGTCAGGGCAAACGTGAATCGGGTTCTAACCTTATAGATGCAACTAGACAAGAGCGGAACATTCCGCCTTTTCGCCCCTTTTTGAATTGGACTTTGAGTTTCAGGTCGAATTTGGCTCGGTCCCACTTTCAAGTTCGCGGGATATATTCTCTGCCGCCATTTGGGTAGATGTTGTGTGTGTATGCAATTGACATGGATATGGACTTGGAACATGGACCATGGACCATGCAACATGCAACATGCAGCAGGCAATAGGCAACAGACAGCATGTGTCAACCCCCAATATTACCCCGGTCTCGAGACCCATCACAGATGGAGACATTCACTGTATTCGGCAAACCGGCACGCTAAGCTGCCCGAGTCCACTTCCAGCCTGATACAGTAGATCCAGAGAGTTGAAACATTTCCTTACTGTACAGGAGATCTTGGTCCCATGGGGAAGTCTCCATGTTATATTCTCACGTTGATAGGAGGGCAATGCCTCGATGGCGCCATTTGATGCCTGTCAATACAGTCGAGTAGCTCTTGGCTCTCTTTCATTCCGTCCTCGGTTTCTAGTTCATGACAAGATGCTTATCACTGCCTGGGCCCCACTGCTTGGAAATTTTCCCAGCTGTTTGATAACTAACTAACTAAGTTATTCCGTCTTACTTATGTAAATCGGACTGCTCTTTCTCTAATTCCGCTCTCGGGTCTTAGCTTTTTATTTCTCTTTTCTATACTTTTTTGTAAAGGCGCCCGTCCCGAACCTTCGATTGTCAAAGCTTCTCGGGATGCCTCAAAATCCCAATTCGGAAGCCGAGAAACGGTCCCAGAATGCCGAGACCGATTCTATCGGCGAGTCTATCTCCTCGGTAGAAACACATGATGACCACGATGCCCTGGGAAAGACATTGACGGCTCGCGCTTCGCGAACTTCACATATGTCCCTGTCGGAGCGAGTGACCACCATCGCGACCAATGCCACTGCCGACCCTAACTATGAGGTGGACTGGGAGGGCGAAGATGACCCCGAGAACCCCAAGAACTGGAAGATGGGCTACAAGGCCATGGGCATATTCTTTCTCGCATGGAACACTCTCACCGTGTAAGTTTTCAATGGTATATTGGTAGTACATCAAACTGATCATCCTGGCAGCGTATTATATTCAACTTCTTATACTTCGGGCATCACTCTGATTGGCGAGGAATTCGGCTCATCTGAAACCATTGTGACTCTCGGATTGACATTCTATCTCATCGGCCTGGCCATGGGATCGATGTTTATGGCTCCGCTCAGTGAAGTGTATGGACGTAAACCCGTCTGCGTGATCTGTCTATTTGTCTTCACTGTCTTGATCATTCCCTGTGCTCTCGCCAAATCCGTAACAACCTTGATTGTCGTTCGTTTCATTGGTGCTTTCTTCGGCAGTGTCATGATCTCCACTGCGCCTGGTATGGTCGCTGACCTGGTAGATGATGAGCACCGCGCGCTGGCCATCTCCATCTGGAGTCTTGGCCCATTGAATGGACCAGGTTTGTCGTCCCTATACTCCCCAGTGTATCAAGCCAAACCATTTCTAACAGAGACCAGTCCTCGGCCCTGTAATCGGAGGATTCGTCACCCAATATCTTGGCTGGAGATGGATGAACTGGATTGCGCTCATCCTATCCGCCGTCGCATTATTATTTGCTATCCTCCTCAAAGAAACATACGCACCAACCCTTCTCCAAAAGAAAGCAGCCCGACTCCGCAAAGAGAGCGGTGAAAACCGCTGGTGGTCCCGCTACGATCAAAAGGCAACCTTATACGAGATCCTCAAGCTGAACCTCAGCCGTCCATTCGTAATGGCTGTCACCGAACCAATCTGGTAAGCCCTAACTAAAGCTCCCCTGCCCAAACCTCCACCCACCAGAACCAACCCTAACAAGGCCCAGCATCTTCTGGAACATCTACATCGCAATCATCTACGGAATCCTCTACCTCTGCTTCGTAGCCTACCCAATCGTCTTCCAAGAAATCCGCGGCTGGGACCTAGGCCTATCAGGCCTCGCCTTTGTAGGAATCGGAATCGGCGTCGTCCTCACAATCGCCTGCGAGCCCCTAATCCGCCGCCTCATCAACAGCCACGCCATCGACCCGGAAACCGGCAAACCCGCCCCAGAAGCCATGGTCTCCTTCATCTGCATGTGCGCCGTGCTCATCCCCATCGGCGAGCTCTGGTTCGCCTGGACCTGTTCGCCCGCCTCGATTCCCTGGATCGCACCCTTGCTCGCGGGCATCCCCTTTGGCGCGGGCAACACCGGCGTCTTCATCTACGCTTCTAATTACCTGACTGGCAGTTACGGCATGTATGCCGCGTCTGCGTTGGCGGGCAACTCTGTTATTCGGAGTATCCTGGGCGGTGTGCTCCCGCTGGCGGGCACGTCTATGTATGCCAGTCTGGGGCCGAATTGGGCCGGCACGTTGCTGGGTCTGTTGGAGGTCGTGATTGTGCCGATTCCGTTTGTGTTTTACAAGTATGGGCATAAGATCCGGGAGCGGAGTACGCTGATCTCGCGCATGCAGGAGGACAAGAAGAAGTTGGAGGGGAAGAGGGCTAAGAGGTTGGCGCAGTTGGCTCTGCGGAATGATGAGGAGAAGCAGGCTGGCGTTGTTTAGTGTCTATCTTTGGTCTTTGTTGGTCTTGGATGGGTGTCTTATACCCCTCCCCTCCCCTCCCCCGAGTCTTGCGTCTGAGATGTTACAAAAGTGCTTTTTATAATTATGAAATGTCTAATACATTAGTGGCCTGTACAGGCTTGTCCAAGAGAATAATAGTGTGGCTTTTTGTTATGTTTTGGCTTCCATCACTGGGTATCTCAGTCGTTGACTTGTATCATGCGCTCCACATGCTGTGAACTGCGAAGGATCTGCTCATATTCTCCAAGGGCAATTGCGCCAGCTGGAAACACCATGACGGCCTCGACATGCACCGGGCGAGACGGAACTGTGACTGGTCCGGTGGGTGGATCGCTGGATTGCGTTGACCCCGGCGTTGAGGAAAAGGAAGAAGACGGAGGCTGTGACTCTCTGACATAGCCCAGCACGTTCAACCACGTCCCCACGCGGAGTTCCTCGGCAGTGAGGTTCTCAAGGACAGCATTGATATCGACAGATACTGAGTCGATCTCAGCTCTGCTGCGGGGATAGTTGTGCTCCAGGACCAGATGGCCGGTGGTGATGATATAGTTTCTCACACTGTGTGATCGCAAGGCAGAAATCACCGTTAGTATTTAATTGCAGTTCCATACATCACATCCGTTGCTAGGCTGGACGCACCAGCCAAGAAAGCGGACCTTCGAGTCCGCCTGTAGAGAGGAAAGATCGGAGAGGAACACGCGAGTAGAGGGGCGCGGCCCGTTCATTCCAGCATCAAAGTCCAAAGGCCATCGACATGGCAAAGTGAACCGCACACCAAGTGAAAGAAGATCGCATCGACGGTCTGATAGTGCACGTGACCGATCTTACCGTGTATGTCATAGGCCCGAGGGGAAAGACTGATCTCTCCCCTCCTCATCGGGTTATCCTGACATTCTACGACCAAAGAACTAATCAAGTCCTTGGTCACTCGGAATTTTAGTCTACATCATACTTCTATCACCTGTGTCAAACTCAAACTGAGTTTGCCTGGAGCCTATCGCACCTCCACCTGACTTGCAGCAACCCACTCGCGCGACACAATCAACGCCTCTCTTGATCTATTTGGCTGGCTGACTTCCTTGGACACAACACCACAACTCACCGAGCCCTTTGCATACATCTTCCCGGCTCTCTATTCCAGTTACACGGATTCAATATGTGGTCTTGGTTTGGCGGTGCCGCCGCTCAGAAGCGCAAGGATGCGCCTAAGGATGCCATTCTCGCGCTGCGGGGACAGCTGGCTTTGCTTCAGAAACGAGAGAAACATCTTGAGAACCTGATTGCGGAGCAGGATGCTCTCGCGCGAAAGAACGTCAACACGGATAAAAATGGTAGGTTTACTGGGCTTGTTTGAGACAACCGGAGGGTGGGTTCAGGAACCGAGGCTAACGTATGGAAACTGTAGCTGCTAAGAATGCTCTCCGACGGAAAAAGGTGCACGAGAAGAACCTTGAGCAGACAACGGCGCAGACAATGCAACTCGATCAACAGATATACTCGATCGAAGCGGCGAATATCAACCACGAGACTCTACAGGCGATGAAGCAGGCCAGTGCGGCTATGAAGGTGATTCATGGTGGAATGAAGCTCGAGGATGTCGACAAGACAATGTATGTGGTTATCGGATTGATATGGCAGGCCCCGCTTGGGACTTGCGGCTCTTGGATGTGGTATTGATACTGATGACTATACAGGGAGGATCTCCAAGACCAGCATGCGCTCCACACGGAAATCGGAAACGCTATTACCAGTGTGCCACTCGGCGAACAGCCCGACGAGGAAGATCTCGAGGCCGAATTGGAAGGTCTCGAGCAAGAGGCCATGGATGCGAAGATGCTCAACACTGGCTCTGTACCTGTCGGCGCCCAGCTGGATCGGTTACCAGCTGCGGGGAACACAGAACGTATGTTGGACCTGGCTATCTATACAACACATCATTTACCACTTGCTGACGTCTTCCATAGTCAAACAACCCGCCCAGACGGAGGAAGACAACGAAGAAGCCGAGCTGGCAAAACTGCGCGCGGAAATGGCCATGTGATACTCCCTCTCGTTCAGCCACGCGACCCATGCAGCCCCAGCATTGATTTCCTCTGTTTCTTCCATCCTTGATTCTTGTCTCACCCTCGCATGCATGACCGGCCATTTTCTCAAGCAAGTCCCTTGGCCGGCTGTCTGGTTCTTTCTTCTGGCCTCTTGTCCCGGCGCTGACCAGGCTAACTTTATACTGTTCTTTCCTCCTATCTTGTTTTCTCCTCCATCTTCTCCATCATATTCCTCCGAGACAATTTAGTCGGGGGCCTCTCTCTGTGTCTTCTGTCTGCTTTATCACTTTTCTATCTGGCTGTTCCACTCCTCAACATCCTTCAATACAAACCAAATCAATCTTTCCATTCCTGTTTCATGTTCTTGCTTGTTCTGTTTCTTTCTCTGTTTTTTTTTTTAATGGAGTTCGTTTAGATTATCGTGGTTCTTTGTTTCATGTAAGCTAAGATCTTAATAACAGCTCGGGATTGCACCATCATTAAGCTGTAGCTCTGTACTATAACCAACATTCAAAAACTGTACTCAATTTAGAAAAGCAATCCACCTCTCTACGGCATGTAATGCAAGATTTTCTTTAACGATATTTCATTATTAACCCATACATACATGCATATCTGAATCCAGCCAAACACAAGCCCAAAGGCAGCATCAGAAAGGAACAGATACGAAAGTCAGGTGCATCACCGAGAGCGACAGCTCTCATTTGGTAATCATAAAATGCACTCTCGACAGAGCGAAAAGCGAAAAGAGAAAACGACAAAAAAAAAGAAAATAAGAATAAAACTCCTTTGACGAACTAAGTCGCCAACCATACCCAACCAACCCAAGCCCCGGATTCGCCGATGCAGAAGTAATTCAATGAATAGAATCCCAGAAAAAAAGTGCCATTACCACGCCCGAACCGAAAACAAGGACCACGCAGGTCGTGGAAGTGAGAAAGCGGACACGGGAATCAAGGGAACCAGGCGTAGCTCTTGGTGGGCTGGACGCGGTGGCCGTTCTCCGACTCTGTGCCCCACTTGGATTTCCACTCGACTTCGGCGGTGGCGGCGTCGAGGAGGGCTTGCTTGCACTCTGGCGGGAGGAGGGCGATGATTTCGGGGGTCATGAACTCTGGATGAGTCGGGTTGGCAATGCTGACCATGCCGTTGTAGCCGATGTCGTGGAGATCGCCGTCTGGGCCGGGAATTCCCATGTTGGAATACTGGGGGGATTCGTAGATGATGTCTTGGACTAGGCAGCGGTCTGTGACGGAGCGGGGGACTGGGGGGAAGATGGTTGCGGGCTTGGTTGTTTCGGGGTCGGTGGGTTGTTGGTCGTTGGATTCGTTGAGGTTTTTGTTGGTGGGCTCGTCGGTGGCTTCGGGACTGTCTGCGTTGGCGATGTTGAGCGAAGACATATTGCTTGCAAGACCGGCTTGGGCGTCTGATTCTGCGGGGACGGCTTCCCAGCGGGCGTGGGTTGGCTGCATGATCTTGGGGTATTGCATGGTGTTGGTGTGCACTTCATAGACTCCCTTCAGGTTGGTGCGGCGCATGTCGGCAAGTTTGTGGTTGTAATTGCTAGGAGAGGGTTAGCTTTGAGTTTGAGCTTTGCATGATTCGGAACTTACCTTGCTGCGCGGGCATGCTCCAACATCCAGTTGTCGTCAGTCACGGGAACACGTCGCTTCTTTGTATCAACGGGCTTGCCGCCGGCGAGAGGCACAGTGGGTGCATTGGTGTGGTAGACACTGCTGGCACCGTGCCAGGCAACATACTGATTGCGGTTGTACTCTTCGCCAGGGCCGGGGATTCTATCCTCTGGGACGGCCAGCTCGCCTTCGACGTCACCGCGCTCACGGGCAACTTGCTCGTCGTAGTCGTCGGTGATCTTCTTGCCTCCGACGATAATCTTGGCGCCAAACTCACGGAACACAGAGCGAGCAGTGACAACGCCAATGGCACGACCCTTGTAAGAGTGGGGGATCAAATCGCGTTCAATGAGGTCACGCTTAGCATCATCATCAATGATGATCTTGTAGAGCATCTTGTGCTTCTGGAAGAACAGGTAGGAATCGCGGAAGCCGATGCAGCGGGCAGGTTCAGTCGACAGCATGTAGAGACGATTGCCGCGACCAAGGATGGAGAAAGTACGCACACGATACTCACGACCTCCCTGGAGGTGACCATCCTGGTCAACCTTGGTAGCACCGATGGGATCGGGAGGGATCGAGACTTCGTCGTTGATGACATCCATCATGTTGCCTTCTTTGTCGACGGGCACTTGTGTGAGGTGTGAAGGTCCGCGGTTACGGGCCCAGCGTCCTCCGCTGGCAGCAGGACGGCCTCGGCGTCTTCTCACTGGAGTAGTGACGCGGATGTGGCCGTCAGCGTCGAGAGTATCTTCAGGGCGAGGATTCTTGGGTGGACGTCCGATGCGACGTTTCTTGGGAACAACAGATGGGCGACCAGGTCCGTACTTCGGGTCATCGCCAACCTGAAGTTGGGGGACGTTGTCGCCGGGGGTTGCGACAATGGTCTCTCCTTCAGTCTGGGGGTCCGCATGGGTCCGGGCCTCAGTGTCTACACCCTCCCCTTCCACTTGGGATTCAGTTGAACGTTCGGCTGGAGCTTCGCTTTCACCTTCAGCCTCGGCCGCAGTGTCACCTTCAACTTTGGATTCAGCCTCAGGTTCGACCTCGTAATCCTGCTCGGGGGATTCGGCGGTAGATTCCTCTGCTTCGGCTACTGGCGAGGATGCTTGCGACGAAGGAACATCAACCATTTCGTCGTCGGAGCCCTCAGGGAGTACAGGTACATTTTCTAGTATATTGTTAATCGCAAACGCGTCCTAAGGGATAGGTGAAGTGGAGTGGGAGATGGTGTTGAGGCATTGGAAGGGCGTAGTATTGCGACCAACTTACTGATTGACTCCGCTGCCGCTTGGGCAGCTGCCCTCAGCTTGCGTGGCATTTTGGCGATGATGATTCGGCACGCTTCAGCGGAAATGAATCAATAGGCGTATCTGTTTTGCCGGGAGAATGAAAGTCCGAGTCACGTGCTGGGCGGAGAGGAGAAGATCAATGACCGGGATGGTTGACAGATGAGTCATCCACGGAGCGGAGTCACGGGGTCTGGGTTCTTTCCCGCTTACGCAATCACTCTGTCCTGAGATCACATGATTTCACTGCAACCTTTTCCTGCATGACATCATAGGGCTCAGTTCTTCACTGCGGAGCATGTCGGGCACTTCCCTGAATTCAATTCTAGGCCTTGAACCGCCATTGCCGTCTCATATTCTTTTTGATATCATAGCCCTGCGTTACTGGACAATCGGGGGGTTATGCGTTCACCTCTAGATCTGCGCCAAATATATCTCACCGGCAATACCGTTCTAGCCTGAACCCTTATACTACAAATAGCATTGAACAAATGACCCCGAACAAATGACCTGGACAGCCTCCCAACCTAGATTGATCAAGAATGAGTGGTGTCACCTGGGACTTCTTCCTGGTACAACCGACAATCTGGATGTCTTCAGCTTCACATGTCAAGAGGCTTGAGCTCTCAGATTAGCAACAGTTCTCCCCGCTTGGGCCTCTGTTTAGGCATCTTTGAACTGGCGCAACTGGCGGCCCCCAAAAAGTGTCAAGGCTTTTCGGTTCACCAACCGAGGAAATTCGAATGGCAATCTGTGGAAGCCTTGCTACGGCGGATGGAACATACTGCTGACAGGACCGCAGATCGTGACACTTTGCAGATGACCCTCTGCGCCTCGGGCTCGGTTTGGTGCATAACGATGCCTTGCGAATCCTGCATGTTTTTTCTCCTGCAGTAAATCCCGCCATTAAAGCATCAAAAGTGTAGATGTATTTTAACTCTCCTGGGGCGTTCAAGGATAGGGATAATCAGATCCCTTCACCCGGTCAGGCATCGCCAGGAGATCCATTTCCATGTCTTTCGATTCGTTCGAGATGCACAATCGAGAGGGGGAGGCGAGCGCCGATCCTCCCCACCAAATTCGGAGATGGGGAAATAAAGCAGTCGATCTACTACTCCGTGCTGCAGCGCTTGAAGCTCATCTCTGTGGCATGTAATTAACGCATCGGTGGTGAGCTCCACCGAACCATGTTGGTGCTAGTGTCGTAGTGAGGGACCGATGACGCATGTGGAGGGTAGCCTTGGGAGCATTGGGTGACCACAGCATATTTGCAGCTGCAAGGGGAGCTGGAGGGTCGGGCCATATTAGAAGCTTCAAGCTGAAAGGCTGCACCATGATCACAATCGGCTTGTCTAGGTCGGATTCGATCTGGACTGTCACGGTAGGAGGCATGATATTCTACGAGTCCTGTACCGTATGCTGTAGTGCAGAGCGCAGAGTGCATCGAGATTCGCTACAATAGGGAGAAAACGGAAAACACTACTCCGGCATATCAAGAAGAGCGGTCTCACCAGATGATGAAATCGCACAGTACCCCGCCCGAAGAATGCATTCGAGCGCGATAAGAGACTAAATTCGAATATTCGAGAGGGATTTCGACATCCGGTACTGTACTGAGACTGACCTTCCCTCTTCCAATGGACCCTGGACCAGGTGAGAAAGGCAAGCAAACCAGATTCTTCGGGAATGAGAAATAGGCCATAGGAAATAGAAAATACAACCTCGACTGTACTGTAGGAAAACAAGAGAATGGAATGGCCCTCACTAACCAATCCAGAACTAGATCCCGAGTCATTCTCTTGATATGGCTTTGGTCTCCACCCCCCATGATTTGCCTCTTCAAAACATGAATTTACTTAGGAATTAACTTATAATGATTTATACTGGAATAGGCCGCATAGACTAATACAAAAGTGTTCAGAATCCCCCCAGTCAGTGCCGTTTTTTCCCTTGTAATTGCACTGCTTATGGTCAGCTCTTTTCAGCTGGTCATTCAAGAGTTTAGCGCGGAGATATGGATGAATGAAACCCTCGCCAGAGTGGATGATCGAAGCAAAAAACTCCTATTCCACCGATTTCCACCGTGCATGCCCAGTTTATAGCATCGTTCCCACCCTACCGCCATTTACACCTCTCCGAGACTCGTCGCCGAATCCAGTTGGGGCTCGGGTTCAAACCCGCCTTAGTCAACCTCCAATTTTTGCTTTCCTCAATTTTCAACCCAACCCCGCCCCCTCCAACAAATCTTTGAATGGAATCACAATGGCGAGCGGAACCGTATTGCACGATGCAATGAAGCCAATTTCGTAAGTTCTCCGTTGGTTTTCTTTCTTTCTACTTGAGGGAGCGCCCTATCCCGCACACCGCATGGCTGTCCTGGGGATCAACCTGCATGAAACACACGTTTCGAGGCCTTTCTGCCGTGTCGCTTGCTCGATCCGCATCGGACTTTGCCTACAACATCTGAGAGGAGTCCTACACAAGGATCACCACATTTCAAGCCCAAATGGCTAACATTCCGTCTCGTTAGTTCCACATCGGAGATCGAGAATCAAGACCAGATCAGGTCAAACGGGTCAACCCCTACGCCGACTGGAATCGCGACCCCGGAACCCGATCCTGCAGACAAGCGTCTGCCTTCCATAATGCACAACTACTTCCAGGTTGGTTCTACCTCCGGTGATAAAGCGAGTTTGCCGCGGTTTTGGTCGTGCCTGTCGAAATCCTCTGAGGAATCTCCATCAAATGCGCCCCCACACTCCGATTCCTCCGAGTCTTTTGTCATGATGGAACAAGAAGATGGGTCGGACAAGATGATGGAAACTGTACCTGCGGGCCTGCCCACTCCTCCTCATTCGCTGTTGCAACATGACTCAGATGAGATGGAACTCGGAACGAGTCCAGGCACCTCGTCTATCTTCCATACCCTGAAGAGTTACCTCATTCCACATGCAACCCCCGATGATGCTTCCCGCCGTCAAACCTCCCTCCCAGTCTCGAGCATTTCGGACGACCCCGTCCTTGCTACACACTTTTCCAATCCCTCTCTCCCCTCAGATGCATTCTCCCTCACCGAAGCTCCCCTCCTCGACCATGAGAAGCCCTCTTTTTCAGTATCTTCCGAGAATCTTGCCAAGCTAACTGGAAACGCGCCCGATGGGTCGTGTCTAAAGAACACTCCGCCCCTTACCCCTAGGGCCATGTCCAACGAGGTTCCAACCTCCCAGCCAAAGGATGTCACACCGGTCACGCCAGCTGAGCCAGCTCCGCAAGAGCCCGAACCGGAACAACCCGCCACGGACGACATGGAAAGCTCCACGGATGAGATCACAATGAAGCTCGACGAGGCATTCCCCTCGGAGCCTGTGAGATCTGCATCCCCTGCAAATGGTGCGCCCACGGGTCCCATCAACGGTAAACTGTTTGTGAAGATCACCGATGGTCGCGGATTGCGGCCCAGTTTCGACCCATATGTGGTGTGCGTTTTTGAATGGAATGAGTACATCTCCAAAGGTGCTCGTGATGGAGAGGAGGAAACCAAGAGACGCCAGCAGGAGTCTGATGCCGAAGAGGCTGCTGCCGGCCGACCGATGGCCATTCCCATGAAGAGCCGAACGAGCAGTCACAACAGTGCCGGAGAGGGTGATCACAAGGGACGGACGCCTGTCACAGACCCTCACTGGGATCACGAGGCCACCTTGTAAGTGTCATATTAAGCTGTGCCTTTTTTTCTCTCCCTGAATCGCTGGCTTATCTTGTTTAGTGATGTTATGGGCGACCAGTCCGAGCTTGATGTTACTGTTTACGACCGCAACAACCAAGAAGCTTTCCTGGGTCATGTACGACTCTGCGTCAACCTGAAAGAAGATCACAGTCGCTTAGAAGGCTGGTTCCCTCTGGTTGCCCGTGGCGCTGGAGACAACCAAGTGTCGGGAGAGATCCACCTCGAGATGAAATTCGAAAAGACAGATCGGAAGCAGGTCGGGCCTAATGACTTCCTGATCCTGAAGCTGATCGGAAAGGGAACTTTCGGTCAAGTTTACCAGGTCAAGAAGAAGGATACTCAGCGTATCTATGCCATGAAGGTTTTGCAGAAGAAGGTCATCATTCAGAAGAAGGAAGTCGCACATACCCTTGGAGAGCGCAACATTCTTGTGCGTACTGCTATGACAGCGTCTCCCTTCATTGTCGGTCTCAAATTCTCTTTCCAAACTCCGACAGATCTATATCTCGTCACGGATTACATGTCCGGTGGTGAACTGTTCTGGCACTTGCAGCGTGAGGGTCGCTTCCAAGAGGCCCGGGCGAAGTTCTACATTGCTGAGTTGATCCTGGCTCTGCAACATCTCCACGACCATGACATTGTGTACCGTGATCTAAAGCCAGAGAACATTCTCCTGGATGCCAACGGTCATATCGCACTCTGTGATTTCGGTTTGTCCAAGGCCAACTTGACACAAAACGACACTACCAACACCTTCTGTGGTACCACTGAATATCTTGCTCCCGAGGTCCTGCTTGACGAGCAAGGATACACAAAGATGGTCGACTTCTGGTCTCTGGGAGTGTTGGTCTTTGAGATGTGCTGTGGATGGAGTCCATTCTACGCCGAGGATACCCAGCAGATGTACAAGAACATTGCCTTTGGCAAGGTCCGCTTCCCCAGAGATGCTCTTAGCACCGAGGGCCGAAACTTTGTCAAGGGTTTGCTTAATCGAAACCCCAAGCACCGTCTGGGTGCCAACGGTGATGCCAAGGAGCTGATGGCCCACCCCTTCTTCCACGATATCAACTGGGAATCACTTTGCCGCAAGCAGGTGATCCCACCATTCAAGCCTCAACTGCAGTCCGAAACAGACACCTCCAACTTCGACCCGGAGTTCACCAACGCGTTGGAGACCAACAACTCGCTGAACCTCCGCGCCGCCGCCCTGGCCAATGGCCTTATGCCCGGCTCCACACCTCTGTCTCCCGGAATGCAAGCCAACTTCAAGGGATTTACGTTTGTCAACGAGAGCTCCATCGACCACCACCTCAAGGCCGACGATTTGAGCGATCACATGGAAGAAGACGCAATGCATGACCACGACGACGGGTACCAGCGCTCGCACCGGTCCGGCAACTCAGTCGACCAGCGCATGACAGGCGTCCAGAAGACGCACGATGGCGCCGAGTCCGAAATCTTCAACGTCGATGATACCTTTGACATGTGATTACGTTTTTCATTCAATCTCCTACTGCATGATCATGGAGTCTTGATCTGGCATACAATTTTCCTACTTGTCTTGTACATGCCCTCTCGGATGCATCACTTCAGCCCGCAAATATGGGTTTATCTTTCCATCTGCGTTTCCCTACCTTCATGTTTCAACTTTCATGTCTGATGTCTGTCATGTCCATTTCCTACTTCGGCTATCCGTCAGGTCTTCTCACGCTGGTGTTATCCCCGATGTTCCTTTCTCTTTCACTCTGGTATCTACACTGGCAGGGAGTCTTGACCATCTCATAGCAAGAGATGTCAATCATTATTTGCAGATCAGATCTCTGGTCTGCGATACATGATTGCTGCTGTGTGATCTTGACTCCCTACCAGCTAGCCCCCAGTCACATACCCCCTTCTCCCGGGTTTCCATTTACATTACCACATCTAAACAATGTCTCCTGGGTGAATTTGCGTGTTTGGAGTTAGGTTTTGGGTTATTTTCTGTACCTTACTGATTTGACATGTGCTGGCCCCCAAGTTAGCTCTCACGTCTTTGCTTCTGATGTCATTTCTGTCTTCGGTCTCCAGTCAGTCTCCAGCGCAGTTATTGATAACTTATTCTTCTTATCTCTCTATTGCTATCTTCATCTCTATCCTCACTTTTCTCTGAGATCGCTGTCAGTTCGAATTCTGAAACCAGCTCTTCTGCTTTTCTCTATAATCCTCTGTCTCATCTTGATGGTATTGGTAAATCCTTCATGCATGCCTTTTTGGTTGATTGGGCTGTTCTTTGTTAGTTGGGAGTGCAGCATGTAGCCTGCTTGGTTGTCTTGGTGTCATTTTCGTGGTGTTTGGGGATGGTTTCACTTCGGTGTGATGTGCATCTGTCAGTTATTTGGTGCTGTTGATGAATTTTATAGTAGATTGATCAAATATTCATTGTTCTTTCGTGAGATCAGTTATGTTGTGTTCCTCTGTCAAGCCATAACAGACCTAAATCCCCAAAGGCAAATCCCCAAAGACAAAAGACAAAAGACAAGACCAGTAAGGGAACAAAAAAACAGAAAAAGTAAAAAAAGATGCATATGCCCCTCGTTCCTGGGTTCCCTCGACCCAAGACCGTTGGCTTTCCAGGGCCGTCAGTACAACTCGCATCCCCGTGAGAGGGCGGGCCCGTCCCTCTCACAAGGACACAAGTTGTACCGACATAGTCTAGTTGGTTCCAGCGAGGAGTGGGGATACTCTTCCCCCAAATTAGGAACCAGGTGCCAACTAGACTACTGGGGCATTTTGGTGAAATATGACACTTTATTTGCCATCATATCATGTCTGTTTCCTATTTGGGAAATTCGCATATATCTTTTGGATTTTATGCGCTTCGCGGATCGATTCTGGCGTTGGTCACTTTTATTTTTGCTCCTTTTTGACCTGCCAGCCCTCGGCTTTGTGTTTTTGTTCTTCACTGCACACAATGTTGTCTGGTTGACTGTTACACTCTTTGTTACCGTGCACCAGTGCCAAGATTTATATTGCCATATTGGGACTAGATCCCCTGTCTTGACGGCCTTGGCATGGATTCCCACTTGATGAATAGTGGGACAACATTATTAGGCCTGGCCATACTAGTGACTCAGATAAACCCCCTCAGAGACATGTTCAAGATAGACACTGTCAGATAATGAACAGTATCATCATGCATCTAATCTAGACTATCAGCCATGCGGGACCAACATTCTCTAATCAGATAATATTTCCCCCTCCCCCCACATTCAAAAGCGAAGTATAAGAATGAAAACCGCCGCAGTCACCTAAACCAAAGAACCAAATACCCATCCCAACCCTCAACCTTAAGCTCCCACCTTCCCATCAAAAATGCCACCAACACTCATCCCAGCATCCCACACCAAAACAGCCCCCCCAGAAACCTTCCTCGCCCCCTCAAACAACAATGTATTCTGGCACACCCTGATTTCAGCCCCCCAGACAAACACAACAGACCTCAGCGCCGGAATCGCCTCCTGTCCCCCCAGAACAGGCCGTCTCTGTCCCCACCGCCACGAACAAGCAGAGATCTACCACATCCTCGAAGGCGCCGGCGACATGACCGTCGACGGCGTTACCACCGCCGTGCATGCCGGCTGCACGGTGTTCATTCCGCGCAATGCAGAGCACGGCATTGTGAATACCAGTGATAAGCCCTTGAGGTGGTTTTATGTGTTCGCCGTCGGTTCTTTCGGGGATATTGTTTATCGCTTTTCTGGGGATAGGGCCAAGCTGTGAGAGCGGCCCCCGCACTACGCTGTTTCTGGGTATTGGATCCCTGGGGAATCACGTTAACTATCGTTATTCATACTCGTATTCTGGGATGATTTGGGGATGTTCCCTATGTTGACTCTTTGTCTTTGTTGACTTTGTCTGTCTTCAGTGTGGGACGGTTAAATAGATCTGTCTCTGTTTTTTGGAGACGCATTGCGGTGCATACTCGCGTCCTTTGTGGATGGGCGGTAATATTCCCCTGCTGATGAGGAGGTGTGTGATGGGCTGGACCTGCTGGACTATCTCTCGGTTGTGGTATGTCCATGGCCTCGTGGCATGATTCTCTTCTTCGATGTCAGGTGTCTATGTTGGAAGGGCGGCTCTCGTACCAGTGTCATTTGTCACGGAGGTAATGTCGTGGATGATATATTATTATTGAGTTGAATGGGCTTATGTGGTTGTGCCTCAGACAAGAGAGACTCTGGTATCCTAGCACAGAGGGCGTCGAGTGTATGACACGGTACCTGCACATAAACTGGCTTTGCTTTGCTTTAGTTAACGTTAATAGTTATGACTTACTACCTATACTGTTAATCATTTTAATGATTTTATCCTGATAGCCTGAGTGGTTTATCTCAATCCCAACTCTGGGTTGTGCAGTGTTACTAGTAGCAGGGGTCAGCGCGCACATCCCTTGCAGGAAATATCAGAGCTAATTGCTCCGATGAAGTCTAGAAAAAAAAAAATACTGGCATTGTCAGAGCGTCGCTAGTAGTCAGTCTTGTTCTCATTGGAACAAGGAAGTGAAATGAACAAAAAAATAAATTTGAGGGTGACCCGTCTCGATCAGATAACCTTGTGAACTGGAGTCACACGCGCTGCCAATTGCGCCACACCCCCGAATTCGATGAAGGGTGAACCCCACCACAAATTATTACCAATCTTCCCCAGGGCCACTTTAGGAGAAGATTGCTGCTGCTTGTGGTCATAAACTAGATCTATGGGAAGATCAAATAGGTTAATTATTGCTACTGTAGACTTTTCGTTGGTTGTCATTGGCTTTATGGTAGCATTAATGAACCTAAGAGCGGTAAGAACGGATGTATCCAATGTCGCATACGACTACTGTACTGTATATATAACCACACGATCAGCGTATTTCGTACCTGCATGAGCAAGTCAACTAGTGCATGCATTCACCTCAGGGGAATCAATAAGCATGAATAACAGCTCCATCGTCAAACCCGACCCAGTGGCACCACTTAGATCTATTTAAATCCACAACAATACAAGTTTGGACCAGCACTTCATCCCAAACAAAGCATGTCTGGGGATAGTATCAACCATCAACACCAGGCACAGGAACCAAACTTCCATAACTTAATCCAAGACATCCCATAAATAGCATCCACCCCCGATCTGTATCATCTGCATCTGCATGTAAGACTATCAAGTCAGCCCAGCCCCGTATAAGTGATCACATACATACCCAGATGAGCAAATGAAAGCATCCCAGTGGATCAATTAGGCAAATGTATTCCAAATCTCACCATCACACACACCCAGAAAGTGGCGCATTCCCCATCGCTCGCCAGATCTAATGGTTCCATTGGCCCGAGGGAATCGACCTTGGATGGAGCTGGTCTCCACTGAGATCGAGTTTCAGCTCGGGTTCTTTCGCACGTTCTCCAATATTTTTTCTGCATGATACTGTACATACTGTGGTAGTATTATATATATACTGTAATAGGGAACATAGTCCCGAGCTCTGGTACCCAAGGTTCCGTGCTAATTCGTGAAGATCGTAATGAGCGACATACAGTAATTACTACTAGAGTATACAGTATACTGTACAGTATCAGTATCTACCCCTATTGAAGTGGCGTGGATGAGGGTTTCCGAAAAGTGGAAAGTATGGTTCTGCAGATCGCGATCGATCCCGGGAGATTATAGGGCTCTGAATTGACTAGTTTTTGAGGGTTGAGCTGGTTCCCGTTAATAAATGCCCTTTAGTGTACCAGACATTGAGGACATGGAATGACGACTCCAATGTACTCCGGATACTCCGTACATGTACCCCGTAATGCAGGATGAAGTTAAGATTGGCCCTTTTGGCTTGCATAGTGCGCTTGGGCCCCGGTTCGTATACTGAAGGACAAATGCAGTTAGCCTCTTGTTGGTAGTATACGTTAGTGGTCGAGTTTTTAGTCCAGGTTGGAGGTCAGTGGACTACTGCATCCAGTATAGACCGGACCGGATTAGGGTCTAAGAGTCCAGGTGAAACACTCGTCTGTGATAAAGCACTCATTGTAAAGAACTCCAGAGCAAAGCAACCAAAAGAAGAGGAAAAAGGGGTAAATCGCCCTATGACCCACATTATTAAGCCCGAACAGGTGATAGTGCAGAACCCTCAGACCTTGCCATGGCCTTTGATATTGAACCTCATATGATATATAAGGTGAAAGTGTGTGTGGGAGTTGGATGTGAGATGTCGGGATCATAATAGTCCTCAATCCCTCGCATCAATGTGAGCAACTATAATCCGATGGAACTATTTCGACCTCAGATGTGATGGGATCAACCCCTGAACCGCCCCTGTCAAGCCGTCTCCATACACGGCTCAGCAACTCCTGATGTGGGGGGCCGATCTGCCTTTTCTTTACGAAAATCCGTACAAAAACGTGGCGTCCTTGAGAAAAGCCAAGCGTTTGGTTCAACGGGCTTCGTACTCCGCTCGTTTGGATATCCTCCTTCTTTGCCCTGCCTCACCTGCCTCACCCTAGGAATCTCCTCTATACTTCCATTACGCCTACGCCAGCTACGCCATCCCGCATCCCTACATTCCAGTCATCCCTCTTCGTGATTGGCAATTAACGTTGCTTTTGCTCTCTCCGTATCTCGCGTCGCTCCGATGCTAGAGCACCTTCACAATGAGTGTTGTTGCTACTAGACCGGAGACCTCCGGCTTCTACAGCTCAATCCCTGAGGACCATGTTGCCGACTATGCCACGCCTGTGCAGCCAACTGCCTCGCGAACCTCATCCGTATCGTCCTACAGAACCAACTACAGCGCTTCAACCGCGCCGACCGCATACTCCCCCTCCTCGCCCGCCTCGTCCTATCGCCAATTCGACTCGCAGGGCTCGATCCCCAAGATCACAGAGCCAATTCAACGTCGCATACCCCAGGAGGTGTACGAGGTAATCATTCACCACCTGGAGGACATGCACAAAGGCCAGCACCAAGCAGGATGCACAACGTGTTTCCAACGCGACCTCCATGCCTTGTCCTTGACTTGTCGGTCGTGGGAAAAGGCCGTCAGAGCGCCTCTGTGAGTACCCGTGTGGCCCGTCCCGATGGCAGGGATATGCAGGAAGAAATTCAATCTCCTAACCTTGTCTTTAGGTATCACCATGTTCACATTGTTGGTAACGATTCCCCGGCCCAATTGAAGAAATACCGTTTGAAGCGCGGGAGTCGCCTGAAACTCCTGAGAAGAACCCTGCGCGAACGAAAGTTGTTGGCCGGTCTGGTTTCCGAGTTGCGCGTGCCGCAATTGGACCTGCTCTTTACCACCACCAAGCAAAGTGCCCAATGGCAGGAATACCGCGACCTCGTGGCATCGGTGGTCATGGTGTGCCCGAATCTGGAGCGTCTCTTGGGATTGTCTATCCCCTATCACCACGAATTCGACCGTCTGACCCATGCTTTGTCTACTCGCAAGAAGTTAAAAGAGCACACTTGGGTTCTGGGCGAGGCCGCAGAGGTATCAGAGGTGTCTCCTCGCGATGACTTCTGCCCGGGAAGTTTGGGCCCTTCTCAGATGTTTGAATTCCTGGACTACCACGCTTCTTGGTCGAGCTTGGAAACATTGATGCTTTATGGATTGAATGGCAATGGCGCGTTAGAGCCTAGCATCTTCCTACGAATGTTCGATCTCCTTCCCTCTTTGCGAAACCTGTGTATCTCTTCTTTCAACGAGGATGCCTTTGCCGACAGCACCTTGCTGTGTCTACCGCCATTGGAGTCATTGCGACTGGAGAACTTGCCCGGAATCACCGATGCCGGTCTTACACAGTATACCTCGCGACCCGAGTCAAATTCCCTAAAGACATTTGTCTTGGTGGAACAGAACATCGAGTCCCTCCTTGTCATTTCCAAGATTCTTTCATCACTACGACAGCTTGAACGATTCAAAATCGTGCAGACAGAAAAATGCCCAACTCTCCCAAAAGAAAATATGGTATTCCAGCCCATCCTTGCCTCTTCGACTTTGAAATACCTTCACTGGGATGTAGCATGCCCAGACCCAGGCACTGCTCTCACTCAACTTGATACCCTCCCCTTTCAGAAATCCTCCAAAACCTCCAACACCCCCAACTCCCACCTCGCCCAAAGCATTCTCTCCGCCGGATTCCCAGAATTAGAATCCCTCCGCGCCCCCAATGACGTGGAACCCCCCGGTGCGCTCCAGGCCACATGTCGCCCAATTTTAAAGGGACAAGCCTTGCTCCGACCCGACCGATACAGTCTCCCCCGCAGCTCGCATGGGTCTGTGAATACGCGACCCCTCGCCTTACCAGCCGGCAACAACCTAACCTCTGCTCGGATCCGCGCCCAAACCTTCATCGACATGGCCGCGAAAGACACAGAGGCAGGAATGCCAGTACTGATCCAAGATTACTCGGATAGCTTTGTGCCCGACAATGCGCAATCCTCTCAATTCGAGGATGAGGCTGACCAGGAAATGGACGACTACGGAATCTGGGCCGCTGCCGAGCGATACAAACACCAGGAAAACAACCATGACGGACCAAAGACCGTCTACGAGTTCCACATGCCAGCCTTCATGGGTCGTAGCGGTGTTAGAGATCCCGCTACCGGTGCATCGATCCCTCAATTCATCCTCCGCCCCGATATCACAGGCCAGGAAGCTGACGGTGGGTTGATTGGGTGGAAGCAACTTCTCGCATCGAATCAATCCCTCTCATACGCCGCTGGAGTAGGCGTCAACTGCTTCGAGAAGGGCTCAAGTCCTCCCATTCCGCCTCCTGAAGAGGTTGCCTCGCCTTCATCGAGCACATCTCGCTTCGGCTGGGGCAGCTTGAGTGGTCGGTCGGTCATGGGCACATCCCCTTCGACGCCTGTCACACCAATCACACCAATGAGCAGTATGTCTAGCCAGGCATTGCCGTGGGAAAAGGATACCTGCACTGGATCCTGGAACCACAAAACGGGCCGGGAGTGGTGGTTCCATATGGAGCGTGATCGCCCGAGCAATACAGAGCTCATTGATACCAAGCAACTCTTCTGATTGCTTTGAACTTCTCTTCTTCCCTCTTTTCGATTTCTTGTCAATACTTTCATACGCCATATACCCCATACTTATTCGATCTCTTTTTTTTCTTCTTCTCTCTTCTACCTATTGTCTTCTTCTCCTTCTGACTAGGTACTTCCGTTTCCATTTTGTACATTGTTTATGATGCATGCGCTGTGTCAGATGCCGGGGCGTTGCATAATGGTTCAATACGCATCGGTGGGATCTAATTTTACTTCAATGGGTCTGTGTTGTCTTTCCGGTGGAGGGTAATAGGTGGGATCGGTGTTTTCAGTTCGAGTCTGCAACTCTCTGTATCATATTGCACAGCAACAATTGAATGTACAGCATTACATGTAACGTTACTCGATCTATCATATTGGAACTATAACTTATACACTGTGCTCACGTGTCCCATGACTCATCCGGGGCAGAATCGGACCGATAAGTGGGACTGATAAGCATATACAAAGAGCCCCTCGTTGAGAAAAAATATCCCCCACATTTTCCCCTACACTCATTCGTCGCAATGGATCCCGGAAAGCCTGTTGATCTGCCCGAGAGGCCCAAGGAGGCTGCTGAGCCCGCAGACCCTAACAAGAAGTCGAAGAGCCAGCTGAAGAAGGAGGCAAAGGAGCAGGCCAAGAAGGACCGCAAGGACCAGCCCAAGCCTGTCAAGGAGAAGGCCCCCAAGGCCCCCAAGGCCAATGCAAAGGAGGCTGCTCCCCCCGGGACCCTGATGCCATGTTCAAGGTCGGTTTCCTGTCGGACGTCTACCAGGAGAAGCCCCTCTCCGAGACTGTCCCCAAGATCCGCACACGATTCCCACCCGAGCCCAACGGATTCCTCCACATCGGTCACAGCAAGGCCATTGCCATCAACTTTGGATTTGCCAAGCACCACGGTGGTGAGTGCATCTTGCGCTTTGACGACACCAACCCCGAGGGCGAGGAGGAGCGCTACTACAATGCTATCCGTGACATCGTGACCTGGCTGGGATTCAAGCCCGTCCGTGAGACCTGCGCCAGTGATAACTTCGACCGCCTTTACGAGCTTGCTGAGGATCTCATCAAGCGTGATGGCGCATACATCTGCCACTGTACCAAGGCCGAGATCAAGGTTCAGCGTGGAGAGGGCGAGGGCGGCCAGCGCGGCGGAGAACGTTTCGCTTGTAGCCACCGCACCCGTCCCATGGAGGAGTCCATGACTGAGTTCCGTGCTATGCGGGATGGCAAGTACAAGGCCGGCGAGGCTGCTCTGCGCATGAAGCAGGATCTCACAGACCCTAACCCTCAGATGTGGGATCTCTTTGCCTGGCGTATCATGGACAGCGAGGAGAAGCAGCACCACCGCACTGGTGGCAAGTGGAAGATTTACCCCACCTACGACTTCGCCCACTGTCTGTGCGATAGCATTGAGGAGATCTCGCACTCCCTCTGCACGACTGAATTCGAGCTTTCCCGCGTCTCGTACGATTGGCTCTGTGATAAGCTGGAGGTCTACCGCCCCAACCAGCGTGAATACGGCCGTCTCAACATCACCGGAACCGTCCTCTCCAAGCGCAAGATTATCCAGCTTGTCAAGGAAGGCCACGTCCGCGACTGGGACGATCCCCGCCTGTACACTCTTATTGCCCTCCGCCGCCGCGGTGTTCCCCCGGCGCAATCCTCTCCTTCGTCAACGATCTCGGCGTGACAAAGAACACGACCAATGTCCAGGTCGCCAAGTTCGAGCAGGCCATCCGCCAGTACCTAGAGGCCACGGTGCCCCGTCTCATGGTCGTCCTCGAGCCATTGAAGGTAATCATCGACGACCTTCCCGACGGCCACGTCGAACTAGTCGACTCCCCCTTCTCCCCCAAGGACGCCTCCTTCGGCACCCACAACATCCCCTTCACAAAGACCCTCTACATCGAGCGCTCCGACTTCCGCACCGTCGACTCACCAGACTACTTCCGCCTCGCCCCGGGCAAGACAGTCGGTCTCCTCAAAGCCCCCTACCCCATCACCGCCACCTCCTTCGAGACCGACCCCACCACCGGCGAAGTCACCGTCGTCCACGCCAAATACGAGAAACCCGCCGACGGCGAAACCCCCAAGAAGCCCAAGTCCTTCATCCACTGGGTCGGCGAGTCTGCCGCCCACAACAGCCCCATCCGCGCCGAGGTCCGCGCCTTCAACCAGCTCTTCAAGTCCGAAGACCCATCCGCCCACCCCCAGGGCTTCCTCGCTGACATCAACCCCGATTCCGAGGAAATCTACAAGAACGCCATGGTTGAGACCGGTATCACGGATATCACCCAGTCCGCGCCGTGGCCTAAGGCTGCGGCTGAAGATGACGTTCAGAACAACAAGCACTGTGTTCGATTCCAGGCTATGCGTAACTTTTACGTTTGTGTCGATCGTGAATCCACTCCTGAGAAGTTGGTGCTTAACCGCATTGTTACGCTTAAGGATACCCAGGGTAAGAACTAGATTTGAGGACTTGCTTTCCTGAGAATTGTCCTCTTAAGAGTCTTTGTGTTTGTTGATTGTGCACCTGGCCTTTCTTCAATGTCATGTTGTGGTGTCAGTGTCAGTGGATGTGGTTATAGGGAGTAGAAGTGTGTTTCGGGGATGACCGTGGTTATGGATTTATGACTCTTGCATTTTTGTTTCAGCTTGTAGGTTTTGATATAGAAAATCTTATCTAACTATCATATTTACACATGCACATCAGTTAACTTAGTAAGTTCTATCGACATCATACGTGTAGACAAGCTGCGAGAAAGGGTAAATAACCACATATCTAATCCAGTCTTGAACAAGAGGTGAATTGATAGTTCATACTGTAGGAATGAAATAGAGTGGCATGAGTCTTGCTCTTTGAAAGTTATATAGGACACGAGCCGATTTATCCTCAAGCACATGCACGTTAGCTATATTCTTCAGAACTCGTATTCTCGCGTACAGAGAGTATTATCAGAAAGAGATTCTCAAGAGAGCGAGCTAGAAAGCTAAGAAACATTGCCACAAGTGGGGTGTAGAGCTGCAGACGCTCCAGGACTACTCAGATGTCGAATTATGGGATAGTTACTCATGCCATGCTACAGGATGAGGATGAGGAGCTACTGAAAGGCCATACATATAAGACTAAATACTGGTGGGGTTTATATTTCAGTTCCATAGAATGTATAATTCATTGGGGTATGGCATGGCATTATGCATAGCGAATTACCGACCTCATCAAGCCGAGAGCATACATACATGACACGACACAAAAGGAACGAGGAAACAAGCAGAGGGAAAGGTAAGGATGGGAGGACGTCAGAGAGCACACTGCTGTCTAGTCTAATCTAAACATAGATGCCCATGTTGGTATCCTTCTTCTTAGCCTGGACTTCAGCAATGGCATCCACGTAATTCTCGTGTCCGATCTTGCTAAGACCCTTCCTCAATGCAATCATACCGGCCTCAACACAGACAGCCTTGAGCTGGGCACCACCGAACTCGTCGGTACTGCGAGCCAACTCGGCCCAGTTGACGCTGTCCTCGACAGACATCTTACGAGAGTGGATTTGCAAGATGTTGGCACGGGCTTCCTCGTTGGGCAGGGGGAATTCGATCTTACGATCCAGACGACCGGAACGGAGAAGGGCAGGGTCCAGAACATCGACTCGGTTGGTGGCTGCTAGAACCTTGATACGGTCGTCGGAGGCGAAACCATCCAACTGGTTGAGAAGTTCCAGCATGGTGCGCTGCACTTCACGGTCACCGGATTTCTCAGAGTCGAATCGCTTGGTTCCCACGGCATCCAATTCGTCGATGAAGATGATCGAGGGGGCCTTCTCCTTGGCTAGGGCGAAGCAGTCGCGAACAAGCTTGGCACCGTCTCCGATGAACATCTGCACCAGTTGGGGGCCAGCAAGCTTGAGGAATGTGGCGTTTGTCTCGGCGGCACAGGCTCGGGCGAGGAGGGTTTTACCAGTACCTGGAGGTCCGTACATCAGAGCACCTAGAGATGGAGTTAGCATTGGATGCGTAGACTGGAACAGAGGGAAACACACCCTTAGGGGCCTTGATGCCGATTTTCTTAAAGCGCTCTGCCTCCTTCATCGGCCATACGATAGCCTCCACGATTTCTTCGATCTGCTTATCGAGACCACCGATATCCGTGTACTTCTCCGTAGGCTTCTCGTCAACCTCCATTGCCTTGACGCGGTTGTCATATTCGGCTGGTAGTGTGTCCAGAATGAGATATGAGTCCTTGTTGACACCGATGAGGTCACCGGGCTTGAGCTTTTCGTGGTCGACGAGACCGATAAGGGGAAGGAAGATAGTCTGGCGGGTGGAGGTCTTGATGACAGCGGATTTGCCTACGCGGGTGGCATCCAGGTCGATATTGGCCCCTTCCTCTGCTGCCTCTGCCTCCACATCAAGATCCAATAGTTCAACAACGTTTCCAACGAGGTACGGTAGTTGTCTAGAATGCAGATACAACGTTAGTCAAGATCAAAGGAAATGAGACTTTGCAGGGTTCGTAGGATACGAAGCTCCGCGAGCCCGCGGAACCGCAAAGAAGACGTTCGACACCGCACCTGTTGTTCTCAATCTTCTCTTGGTTATCCTTCACCTTCTCCCTCATTGTACTCTGCTCGTGTGTCAAACGCTGAAATTCGCTTTTCATGATGCGCATCTCGTTCTCCAGCATTCGCCGCCGCTTGACAATGTCCGCAGTGCTTGAAGTCAAGATCTCCTCATCCAGCAGCTCTTCTTCATCGTCCTTGTGGTCGGCATCTCCCATCTCGGCATCGCCGTCGCCTTCAGGCTTGCGATCATCGCCATCGTTCTGGTCTTGCTTCTTGTCTCTCTGATCGCGCTCAAGGTCGTCGAGGTCCTCAAGAGTCGACATGGTCGGATCGAGAAAATGGAAATTGTAGAATCAGAAAAAATAAAAGCCCCGATATGCAGAGATAGCTGGCCAAGAAATTGGAAAGGGATGAAGAGAGATGAGAAACGGAGGTTGCTAGAAGGAAGAGCTGTCGGTGACAGAGCTCCGTTCAACGTCAGCGCCGGTCGTCACGTGATGTCTACAGTGTTTATAATCATGAAGGCAGTGGACTTTCGTCACTGATATATCGGATTGTTGCTCAAACTATGTGATGTTGCCAATTACACTCCATATACAATTCATGCTATAACTCTATACAATGCTATTCGGGTTCTCAGGATCATCGCCTGTAGGGACATTGCCAAGGTTGTTCAACACAGCTTCACGGCCATATTTGAGCAATCGAAGTCGAGAAATGAAATCGTCGTTGTTGACTAGATGTTATTAGCACCGTGTATCAAAAATAATGAGCTTAAGGCATACCATAACCCCCGCACATTCGCCTCTTTCCAGTAAATTGGGAGCGACCATGCATCATTCTCCAGTTATCGAACACTAAGTAGATAATTAACGGAGGAACCCTGAATCGTAATACCTATAAGAACTCACTCAATGCCGTTCCAGGTTCAAGCTGCGTCCAGATCTCTCTGGTTTGAAGAATCTCATTATATCGACGTGCCGCGCTGTACCATTCCTGCTGCTCCTCCGCCGACCAGTCGACTTTAGGCGCCCGATCATAGTTGTTCCAACGAATCTGATACATCTGGTTCAGGTCGGGATGAAGAGAGAAAACCGGGGCCTGCGCAGATGGCTGGATACACGTGTCTTCGTTTCCACTGGTGTGCCACGGATGTCTATACTTGATCAATGCTTCATAGTACGAAGGATTTTCCGTGCGTAATATATCCGCTGCTTCGAATCCGTCAACGAGAAGGCTGCCGCCCCCTTCCCCTTCGGTATGGGATAGAAGGTGGAATAACTGAAGTCTTGCTGGGTCTGTGAAATATGTGTTATCTGTATGGGCACCCAAGAATTCATTGGTGTAAGCAGTGTCCTTGAAAGTCAAGTCGGCTGTGAAGTCCCAGAACCCGCCTAGAATATTATCATTAGTATGTTAAAATAAATCCAGGAGTTGTGAATATATACCATAATGAGTGTGTCTGATAAACGCAATCCGCTCGATGAGACCCTGAGTCGCTTCCGGAGTAACAGGGACACCTGATACAAAACAATATCCTTTCTCCCACTTCAAAGAGGTCAGCACAATACTCCATCTATGAGCAAGGACATGAAAAAAAAAGCAATATAGGGTTCCTTACAATAAGCTCTACCCATTGTCGAAGGTGAGACTCATCAGACATGATGCCTTCATACGAGACTGTTGGATATTCTTTCTTGGCGAGAGAGGTAGGAACAAAGGACCTTTTTTACGTGTCAGAATACTCCCAAAAGTGCCCTTGACATGACTGCAATCTTACCTGACAGGTGGTGGGCTGCACTTAGGGTCTGCCGCTGCAGGCGAAACCGTAGCACGGGCTCTAATAGCATTTCCCTGGTCTTTTCCATTGCGGTTCTGCTTATGTGGACCAAGCCATTTCCATGGATAGATACCCAGGTGCTCGTCAGACCCTGTAACCGCGTCAATGCTGATCTTCCTGGTGACAATGTAAATTGCACTTACATTTAACCTCAAGAGCATCGCGTTTAGACTCGAATGACAACACACGAACATCTTCCGATATCTACAGAAATCATATCACAGACAATCAGCATGAATATATGAGCCTTCAGCTCGGACATCTTACCGCAAAAGTGTCGGCTGCTCTTTGCTTCGTGTCTGGATGGATACAATCTGAACACTGGCAATTTTCACTAATAGTAGTTTGAGAATCTGCATCGCATAATCAATTTGTGGTATGTTTCCGGTCACTTACCGCAGGAAGAATTGGCCACTGCATCATATCAGTATACATGGTAGTCTATCGAGTAGTGATCAACTCACAATTCTAACTTGTGTTTCTGTCCTGCAGTATCGGTAACATCTTGAAATGTCACGATTCTCGACGCTGGTCCAGCTAAAGAAGAATAAGGCCGCCGTTTAACCTTGTCTCTATTGTCATGTTGAGTCTTGAGGCTCATGGATCTTATAGACCTAGACGCGGCATTTCGGCAATTGACCGCCTGACAGGATCACACATATATGAGTTTATCTCCTAACAGATGACTCGATTTGACAACAAAAGAATCATGAACATACCAGACCACCAGGCGGGGCAAAGCGGGGCCTGATTTGGACAACATTAGCTCTTTATGCTCATCGCCTGTCTATAGATCCTCTTACGTGCTCTGTTTCAGCAGCCCAGTTGACCTGAGTGCTGTACGCCAGCTGAGACTCATGGTTTGTGTTTCAAAGGTGGGTTATCGAAGGTAAAAGATCAATTGAAGGTCACTGATCGGATCCGGGGTAGCATTGATGAAGCCTAAGCGGAGCATCAGCCGAGGTGATAAAACGGTCACGTGCAAGGATAGAAGGAACTATACCAGCCTCGAGAAGGAAGACTGTGACATTGCGATTAAAATTGTCTTTATAAACAAGAAACATTTATTTATTGTTCATGCCCGAAAAATACATGCTAAGAATATGCTCCATAATATAAGCTCACAGCTTACTCTTGACAGCACCAACAACCTTCAACAAACAACGACCATTGCTCAGAACAACCTTGCCCTTGTCATTCTTAGTAACAAAGCGAACCTCCTCATAGCCATCTTGAACATTGCCCATCTTCCACATCTCAGTTGTGAGCTTATCGCCAGGTCGAACGGGCGAAGCAAAACGGGCCTGGAACTCCTTCATATTGGCAGGATCGCTGCCACCCAGTTCACGCAAAATACCGTGCGCAGCCGAGTTCCAGCTGAAGAGACCGTGGATGATAATACCGCCGAAGCCCATCTTCTGACCAGGCTCGGGGGTGGCGTGGAGAGGGTTGTAGTCGCCGTTAAGACTGAGAGGCGTTAGTACCCAATGACCTAGTCCTGTGCAATATTTCAATATTTTAAACTTACCGATATAGGTGGGCTGTCTCCATGTTGCTCTGAATAACATGGGTGGCATCAGGAGTCTTGCCCTGGGGAGGGGCGAAGTTAACAGTGCTGGGCCCTGTTCAAATATATCAGTATACATCATACATCGCGCATCATAGGATGAGTCCTAGTCTTACCCTTGGGACCGCCCCAGCCTCCTTGGCCAACAAGGAAGCCGCTGGTCACCACCTTGGAGTAAACCTCGTCCGTCTCCTTGTCGACAATAGACTGCTCGGTCTCAATAACGGTACCGGGCTTGCCCTTATCATAGACACCAATAACAGTGTTGCGCAGCTCGAACTTACGTCCGGCGCTAGTGGCAGGAAGCGGCTTCAGCACTGTGAGCTTGCGCTGGCCATCGACTCCAAAGCGGTGGTCGAGGTCGGGCACTCCGGGAATGTGGACAGCTTTTTGGCGGCCGTAGAAATCAGTGACCTCTTGGTCAGTGAGCTTGAAGGCTGGGAAATGGGGCTTATGTTAGCGCGAAATGACAGGGCCGAAATCGGGGGTAATATTGACATACGAAGGATGAGAGAGTAGGTAGGGAAGACGGCGAAGTTGGGGTGAAGTTCCTATACATCAATTAAACCAGATGTTCGGACTCATGCCCATGAAGCTTACATAGAGGAAGTGCAGCTCATCGGCCTTAATGCCAATGCTGTTGGCGAACAACAGCACATCGCGCTTCTGCCAAGAGACCTCTTGACGTGGGAATTCGTGACCAGCTCCGGGGGCCGACATTGTATATATTGCAGGAGATATAGAGAGATGTGAGATATGTCAGAGAAGGAGGGAAAAAAGGAAAAGGCAAGCTAAAGTATCTCCGCCAATTGCGGGGGCTATGAGGAGCCGAGGATCTGATAATTCTGGGATGATTTGTTGCCGTTGGTTAGCCGACGCGGCATCTTCTTGGCACAATTTCCCAGCGCAGATCAAAGATCAGAGCTGTTTCTACTGGAACATTACGGATGGCTAGCATTGAAAAGAAAAATTACATTCCAGAAGAAGAGCGTCGGATTTTGCTAGACTAAGCATCGACTCGGGGTATCAGCCCACCTGGAATTCGAGGAGCTTCACAATCATATCTCCGTTCGCGCCGCAAAATGCCTTTTCCTACCTCCCATGTACTAACGCCGAAAGAAACAATGGCGAATATCGCCGTAGGAAATTTGCAAACATGCCCATGCCATAATGCATTGGTGATGAAAGTATTTCCCGTGGATCGTGCAAACGTGCAGTTATAACACCCATATCGCGTTTAAAAATAATAATAAATTAACACCTGCAGCGGATTAGTCAATTGAAATCTGAGGATCAAAAGTAGGTGATCAACTTACATGCGGTAGAAGCAGCCACCCTCAGCAGCGCGGGTGGGGTCAGCAGTCTCGAACTTGTAGGAGATGCCAATGTCCAGATCACGCTTGTTCTTCTCGTTGGGGCGGTTCTCGATCCAACCGGTAACACCCTCCTCCTCCTCAACAGTGAGGACATCACGGAGGTAGAAGACAGTCTGCTTCCAGTGAGTGTACTTGGCATGGGGTCCAGTGGAGAAGTGAATGGGCTTGTGGCAGGCGCTGAAGTCGATATCGAACCAAGCGATGAGAGCGTGGATGAAGTCGCTGCGCTTGGCAGTGAGGGAGTAGGGGACCTTGAAAGCAAGGTCGGCGGCGGTGACGGTGTTGAGGTCGAAAGTGATGATCGGGCAAGGGTCAGTCACGAGAGCCTTCATCTCGACGGTGTCGACGAGGGGCTCGTTGAGAGCAATCTCCTTCATGGGGCTGTAGTCAAAGCCATAAACATTGTCCCAGACTAGAGGTGGTCAGTAAGTTGAATATCACGGGATTGAATACTGCAGAATTGCTTACATCCGATCTTGTCGTCCTTGTAGTCACCGTCCTCAATACCGGCAACGTACATGGTGGCCTTGTCGGGGAAGATAAGACCACCGGGGTTGAGGTAGGTGTCACGGGCGTAGAGAACGGTGTCCAGCATGGACTCGTAGAGAAGGAAGTAGCCCATCCACTCGGAGATGATGATATCAACCTTGGGGAAGGGAAGGTTAACCTCCTCCATCTTGCCCTGGAGAAGGGTGATCTTGTCAGAAAGGCCGTTAACGTGAACAATCTCACGAGCCTTCTCGATGATCGAGGACATATCGACACCGATGACATGCTTGGCACCAGCACGAGCAGCGAACCTGTGAGGGGATAATGATTAATGGCAGGCTCATTGGTTTGCAGATAATCCAATACGTACATGCTCAGGATACCGGTTCCACAGCCGACATCAAGGACGACCTTGTCCTTGAAGATGTGACGGTTCTGGTAGATCGAGTCGCGGTAAGAGCGGGTGCGGACATCATCCTTCTGTAGACACAAGACCAATTAGAAAAGGTGAACAGGGCGATTTTGCCAGTCAATATGCACTTACCAGCATCTCCTCGTGGATACCTATATTTGAGAATAGCAATTGTCAGTCAAATCAAATCTGAAGTTTTCCATTTACTGGAATAAATTACCGTGGTGGTCGTAGCTATAGAATGGTTAGCATTTGAATTCCGAAGGAATTGCCAGAACATCGTACCTAGTGAAGTAGCGAACTTCAGAGTGCTCCATGCCGACCATGCGGTCGGCACTGCTGGTCATGCCAGAAGGAGTCTCGGATCCGTTGTTGTTCATCTTGGCTGGAAGAAGAACGGGAATATGGAAAGTGAAGAAAAATGAAAGGTGATAAGAGACCAAAGAAGTCCTTAACTTTTTTTTTTCTGATTATTTGCCCGCCCGCCAAGCTTAACTCCAATCCCCGCCCGCACTAGCCGTTTTCAGGAGTCACGTGGAGTTTACACGTGATATCCACGTGATACTTAGGGCTACGAGTCTTTACATCTGTAAACTTCTAAATATTGACCTTTCTGAGCAGATCACTTAGATGAAGACAATCTTGTGCTGCAAACCGACTCGGGATTTTCAATGCTTGAGCACTGCATTCGTTGCTAGAGTAGAATGACAGGTCACTTGACACATCTGTTTGAATCTTGAAGTAGACTTGAAGGCTGTCTATGTATATGATAAAATAAAAAGATGAAATTGCACCCATTCTTCTTCCCCCCATAGTTTCATTACATGCCGAAAGGATTGAGCTCTTAGCCCTAGAGGTTGGTGGCTGTGGGGTAAGTAAGCACTGTTTCGATGCCAAGACTACCGAGGGAGGCTCTTGGATGCCGTCGGGAGCTCCGCCTAACTGTCATCTCTTCAAAGCTTACGCGTTTCACGCCGGACACTATGCATCTAGCCGGAAGAGCGAACCTCTACACTCTATTTGCTTTTGCTCTCTTTGCTGCGCTCATTGGCCGGTCCAACGCCTCATTGGGTGACCATCTCCCCGACTTCAAAGAATGTGTTCAAGTACGTGGTACACCCTCCAACAACTGAACCCATACAGTGAATTAACAAACCCAGGTTTGTAAAACGGAAAATTGCCAGGGTGGTAACTCGGTGCTACGTATGTCTACTCTTGACTCCACTCATCTGCCTTGCTCCCCTTTCTGACCTTGCCAGCTCTGCACCACCGCTTGCTATTATGGACCTGCCCTGCCGAATGTGACTACACCTGCCAACATGTCGTTACCGACCGTCGAGTCGCGCGTGACCCCCCGATGATTAACCCGGTTGTTCAATTCCATGGCAAATGGCCTTTCCGTCGACTGTTGGGTATGCAGGAGCCCTTCTCGGTCCTCTTCTCCTTCTTCAACTTCGCAGCGCACTGGCACGGCATGTCTCGCATCCAGGAGTCGATTCCCGCCTGGCACTCCCTGCGCCAATATTACATCATGTTTGGATACATTGGTCTTGCCAGCTGGAGTTTTAGCATGATCTTCCACATGCGTGACTTCCCCTTGACTGAAAAGCTGGACTACTGGGGTGCTGGCGCCAGTGTTCTATTCGGTCTCTATTTGGCCGTGGTTCGCATCTTCCGCCTGGATATTGAGAATAGTCAGTACCGCCCTACATTGCGTCGCTTTTGGACTGCTATTTGTCTTGTCTTGTACACATTGCACGTTGCATATCTCAGCTTCTGGTCTTGGAACTACACCTACAATATGGCGGCGAACGTGGTGGTTGGAATTATCCAAAATGTCCTGTGGACTGGCTTTAGTATCTTCCGTTACCAGAAGTATCTGAAGTCCTGGACTGCTTGGCCTGGTATGATTGTCGCATGGATCATTCTGGCCATGAGCCTGGAGTTGCTCGACTTCCCCCCTTGGAACGGATTGATCGATGCCCACAGCCTGTGGCATCTTGGCACTGTGGTACCCACTGCTTGGTGGTACTCGTGAGTATTTCCCTGATCTTTGGATATTTTCCCATGACTAATGCATCGGTTGTTCCCGACAGGTTCCTGATCAAAGACACCCAAGACGATATCGCGGCTCATAGATTGAAGGCATAGAGGAAATGGTGCACCATTTGAGTTTTATATAGAAGCTAGTGTCAACCAAAAATAGTTACGGTGACATTCCCAACCCCCACCGCCGTAAATCCCAATGTTTCTCTTATTGCCACGCATTCTGCCCGTGTGGTGCCTGACTTCCCCGCCATTGGCTCACCGCTAGGGCCGTCGCAATAGCCCCGTGTCTCACCCCTCTCAAGCCATTTTTTGTTTCAACTCTTCCCATCTTTCTTGACAGCTTCAAAGCACCTCTTGTTCTTGCTTCATATTCCCCTAGGTGCTTAGCTTGATCATCACATATTGCACCATGGCTTCTCCGGCTGTCAAGAAAGCGATCACCGAGGCCGCGCTCCAGTACACAAAGCCCGAGGGCAAGGTGTTTGAGTATGGAACCGCAGGAGTAAGTCGCATTGGGGAGCTTTCCACAATGATCAAAAGCTGACCTCTTCTTTTCTCGGATTACAGTTTCGCATGAAAGCGTAAGTCTCTTCACTGGTCCGCCCCCACCTCCACATCTTCCAGAACCCCGCGATCGTCCTTTGTTGACACCGACTTACTCTGACATACTCGCAACAGTGATCTCCTCAACACCGTTGTTTTCGCCGTAGGCTTGCTTGCAAGCTTGCGCTCCAAGAAGCTCAGTGGACAATGGATTGGTGTTATGGTTACCGCCAGTCACAACCCCGCGGAGGACAATGGTGTCAAGTTGGTTGACCCGATGGTAAGCTTCCGCCCCCAAGATTCCATTTAGATCTATCTGACTTATTGATGCTATAGGGTGAGATGCTCGAGGTAATATTAGCCCATGCTGAAGTTGGATAAAATTGCTCACCATGAACAGGCCGAGTGGGAGGCTTATGCGACAAGGCTGGCCAATGCTCCTTTGGAATCGATCGCCGATGTCTATGATGAGCTCGTGAAGGAGATTGATGTGAAGATGACCAACCCTGCCCGTGTGGTTTATGCCCGTGACACCCGTGCTTCGGGTTCCCGTCTGGTTGGCGTGCTGAACGCTGCCCTCACCGCAACTGAGGCCGAATTTGTCGACTTCAAGTTCATGACCACCCCTCAACTCCACTACGTCGTCCGCTGCAAGAACACTCTTGGAACACAATACGAATATGGTGAGCCTACTGAGCAGGGATACTACGAGAAACTCGCAAAATCCTTCAAGCAGGTTATGCGGGGCGTCAAGGTTCAGGGTGGCTTGACCGTTGACTGCGCCAACGGCGTCGGTGGCCCCAAGCTGCGGGAGCTGATGAAGTTCCTTTCTGGAATCGATATTAAGGTTGTCAACGACGATGTGATTAACCCTGACAGCTTGAACTTTGATGTATGCTTACCCCGTCAACTACCCAACCCAAATTCAACTAATCAAATTCAAATAGTGCGGTGCCGACTACGTCAAGACTAAGCAGCGTGCTCCTCCTTCATCCAAAGCTGCCCAGCTTGACCGATGTGCTTCGCTTGATGGTGACGCCGACCGTCTGGTCTACTACTTCCAGGACGAAAGCAGCGTCTTCCGCCTTCTCGACGGTGACCGCATCGCCACTCTTGCAGCATCCTTCATTGGTGATCTCGCCCGCAGTGCTGGCATTGCTTCCAAGATGAAGATTGGTGTCGTCCAGACTGCCTACGCCAACGGCTCCAGCACAGACTACATTGATAAGGTGCTGAAGCTACCCATCATTTGCACCAACACTGGTGTCAAGCACCTCCACCACGCCGCTCTCCGCTTCGATGTCGGCGTCTACTTCGAGGCCAACGGCCACGGCACAGTTACCTTCTCTGAGAATGCTCTGAAGGTCATCAAGAACACCGAGCCCCAGTCGCCGGCGCAGCAGCACGCCCTGGAGAGCCTCCAGGCGCTGACTGACCTGATCAACCAGGCTGTCGGCGATGCTCTCTCCGACATGCTCCTTGTTGAGGCCATCCTTGCTCACAAGGGCTGGTCCCCCAAGGAGTGGCTCGGCACTTACACTGACCTTCCCTCGCGCCTGGTGCGTGTCGAGGTCAATGACCGCTCTATTTTCAAGGCTTACGATGCTGAGCGTAAGCTCGAGTCTCCCGCTGGTCTGCAGGGTACCATTGAGTCCTTGCAGTCTCGCTACAACAAGGGTCGCAGCTTTGCTCGTGCCAGCGGCACTGAGGACGCTGTCCGTGTCTATGCTGAGGCTGCAAGCCGCTCCGAGGCGGATGATTTGGCCACCCGTGTGGCCAACGCCGTCAGCGAGGCAGGCAGCGCCTAAGTATTTGATTCAACCTTCATAAATAAGGTCTAGATCACAGATTATCTTGGCCAGCGTGGTTAGCCCCAGGCTTAGATAACGGGCAGCGTAAAGCCTGCGACTCGAGGGACAGGAAATAAAGGTCCAGAAAATATTCGAGGTCATTTTGATGCAGTAATGAAATCTATGGGTTCTTTTAAACACTTGAGGCACTTTAAACACCTCGTAGCAACAATTATTCATAAACAACACACTCTTACATACTTTTGAGATTTTAGCCCTGTTCCTGGTCCATGGCATCACGGGCACGCTTGGCACCGTGTCCGAACTTGCCTTTCCCTTTGCTACCCTTCTTCTCATCATAGGCCTTCATCGCCTGAATAGCCAGACGCTGAGACTCACCAACACTGTCAGCAAGAAGCATGACCTCGTCCTTGGGAGCATCATATTCAGGCAATTGCTTGCCAAGCGCACCCTCGATCCGCTGCCAGATCTCCACATCATACTGCGACACAAAACTAATAGCAACACCACTCTTACCCGCACGGGCTGTACGACCAACACGGTGAATATATGTCTTACTATCAGTCGGCAGATCGTAGTTCAGCACAACATCCACAGAGGGAATATCCAGACCACGCGCAGCGACATCTGTCGCAACGAGGATATCACGACTACGCGAACGGAATTTGCCCAGTGCACCGAGACGCGCAGACTGGGACAGCTGTCCGTGTAGCGGGATAGCACCGAGTCCAAGTCCACGAAGGAGGTAGGCAATACGCTGTGTCTCGTGGACGGTGCGCATGAAGATAATGGCCGACTGGCCGGTGAACTTCTCGAGGAGGTACGCAAGACAGACGTCCTTGTGTTTGTGAGGGCGGAGGAGGAAGTATTGCTGTAGCGTTGAGACGGTCTGGTACTTGCTGGAGGAGATAGAAACGCGCTGAGGGTTGGAAAGCGAAGCGCGCTGGAGCGACTCGACCTTTGAGCTGAGGGTTGCGGAGAAGAGGAATGTGCGGCGCTCGCGTGGGAGCACCTTGAGGATTTTGTCGAGGATTGGGCCGAAGTCCATGTCTAGTAGTCTGTCGGCTTCGTCCATTACTAGGTACTTGAGGCCGCGGAGGGAGAAGCCCTTTGTGTTCTCGAGGTGGTCGAGGAGTCGACCTGGTGTGGCGACGACGATGTGCGGCTTCTTGCCTAGTGCGATGGACTGTGGGACCATGTCCATTCCTCCGACGATTGTGGCGCATCGGACTGCGATGGTTGAGCCGAGGTTTTCGAATGATTGAGCGATTTGGTAGGCCAGTTCACGGGTTGGTGCTAGTACTAGGCCGAAGAATGGCTGGGGCTTTTCCATAAGAGCTGCATTGGGAGTTAGATTGTATGTTGTTATAGATTGTGGCTATTTAGTATACATACCCTGAAGAATAGGAAGCGCAAAAGCTGCTGTCTTTCCACTACCAGTCTCCGCAAGACCGATCATATCACGGCCTTGCAAAGCCAAAGGAATTGACTCGGCCTGAATTGGTGTGGGGGCCTTATATCCGAGGTTTGTGCAAGCTTCACAGAGTGCGTCAATGATGCCTAGTTCCTTGAATGTCTTCGGCGCACTGGGGGCGGCCTCAGTCTCGGAGGTAGCATCTTCAACATCGGGATCCTCGTTGGCAGACTCGGGCTCGTTAGTGGGCTCGTTGGTGGGCTCGGGGCTAGAAGCGCTATCATTTGAAGGAGCGCTTTGAACCGGCGCCTCGTGGGCGACCTTGCGCTTCTTAGTGATGGGCATCTTTAATATCTTTGCAGAACAAAAGGTCGCAGATGTTGATGTCAAAAGAAATAATTTAATGTGGGGCCGCAAGATTATTGATCCGATTCTGCCGCGGAACTTAATTTTTGGAAAAAAAACCTCCAGCTGTCGGACGTTGACATCCATTGATTATCCTCCCCCATTTCTTTTGGTTTTTCATATCAACAATGGCCAAGCAGCGTGTTAAGAAGCGCACTCACCAGAAGCCGCAGAATGCGTCGGCTGCTGTCAAGGGTGGTGCTGCCTCAATGACCAAGACCCCGAAGTCTATGGTCATTCGAGTAGGCGCCTCTCAGGTCGGTACCAGTGTCACTCAGTTGGTCAAGGATGTTCGTCGTATGATGGAGCCCGATACTGCTGTGCGACTGAAGGTATGATGAACAATGCACTGCTGTATAGGCCGCATCTAACAAGATATACAGGAGCGCAAATCCAACAGACTGCGAGATTATACCGTCATGACAGGACCTCTCGGTGTCACCCATCTGATGCTGTTTTCCAAGTCCGCCACCGGAAACACGAATATGCGATTGGCAGTGACTCCCCGTGGACCGACACTTCACTTCAAGGTCGAGAACTATTCTCTGTGCAAGGATGTCGAGAGAGCCATGAAGCGCCCACGAAGTGGTGGCCAGGACCACAAGACCCCGCCTTTGCTGGTCATGAACAACTTCACTACCCCGGATGCCACCGAAGAGTCCAAGGTGCCGAAGCGCCTCGAGACCCTCACCACTACGATCTTCCAATCCCTCTTCCCTCCCATCAACCCCCAAAGTCAGCCTCTGCATTCCATTAAACGTGTTATGTTGCTCAACCGAGAGCCTGTTGAAAAGGACGACGACTCATATATCCTGACTTTGCGTCACTACGCCATTGCCACAAAGAAGACCGGAGTGTCGAAACGAATTCGCCGCTTGGACCCCAAGGAGATCCGCAACAGAGACAGGAAGGGACATGCCGTTCCTAACCTCGGAAAGTTAGAAGATGCCGCCGATTACCTCCTCGATCCATCTGCTGCAGGCTACACATCAGCCAGTGAGACCGAGCTAGACACCGATGCCGAGGTGGAAGTTGCAGAGAGCACGACACGCCGAGTTCTTAACAAGAGAGAACAGCAGCGCCAAAAGGCTGCTGAAAAGGGCCAGGAAAAGCCCCCCAGCATTCCCGGTGTTGAAAAGCGAGCTGTGAAGCTGGTGGAACTTGGCCCCCGTCTGCGTCTCCGTTTGATGAAGGTTGAAGATGGTGTTTGCGACGGCAAGATCATGTGGCACGACTTTATCACGAAATCCGAGAAGGAGGTGCGCAAGATGGACCAGAACTGGGATGTCAAGAGGAAGGAGAAGGAGCAGAGAAAGAAGCTCCAAAAAGAGAACATTGAGCGCAAGAAGAAGGAGAAAGCTAGCGCCAAGGCCAATGGCCAAGAAGTTGCCGATGACGATGAAGATGTCGATATGGATGATGAGGATGCCTGGCTCAGTGATGATGACTATGACCAGGAGGGAGAAGTTGAGGGTTCCGAATCTGAGGAGTCTGAAGCCGACTCGGATGAATCTATGGAGGAGTGAGTGGTTTGAGACAAACCATTTCCTGACAGAAGCTACTGCTCGGTCACTACACACTTGGTGGACCTCAGACCAAATCACAGGTCTTCCATTGAGCAGTATGGTGGGCTCGCATCAATTCGAGCCTGCTTTTACACCCAGGTCTGTGTTTGTTAACACCAGGGCCATCCTCACCGTCACATACCCGATAGGCATCCAGGCGTCATCCAGGGGTTTCTACACATGTAATCGCGAATATTTGTTTATCTATACAGGTACATGGAGTAAAGCGACAAAAGTTTTATAGGGCATGAAAATATCTTGTATGGATTCAATTTTGAACCAGATCTTCGTTGTAAGCGTAAAGCATGAAACCCTCCCAGCCTATTTCTTCAGCTTTTCATCAACAATGCGAGAAACCATTTTCTCCAGAATAGCAAAGTCTCCACTGGCAGTGCCAGCAAAGTATCCCTGCACACTCTTCTCGACATACTTGCCGACAATATCAATCTCAACATTAACAAGGTCACCAGCCTTCTTGGACGCAGTAACCACCTTGCCCTGTGTGTATGCAATGAGCATCACCTCCCAGTAACCATCCTGTCCATCAACAACCTTAGTTACGGTCAAGCTAGCACCGTCAAGAGTGACATAGCCCTTCTCGACGACGTAGCGCAGGATATCCCGGTCCCGCGGCTGCAGCCGGAACACCAACGAGTTTCCATCTGGTGTCACCGACAGAACTTCCGCAACGGTGTCGACATGGCCCTGTACGAAGTGTCCTCCCATCCTAGTATCAGCTGAAACAGCCCGCTCGAGGTTGACAAAGGAGCCCTTCTCCAATGAGCCCAGGTTCGTGCGGCGCAGGGTCTCTGGCGCGACGCCGACCTTGAACCAGGTTTTATCGAATGCTGTCACCGTAAGACATGTTCCTTTACAAGTAGGATTTAGCCTGTATTCACGTGTGTATATGTACGGGTCTTAGGTACCATTCACGGCAATGCTGTCGCCCAGATGCGCGTCGGAGAGGATCTCCTCGCAGTCGGAGATGGTGAGCGACGTACCCCCACCTCCGCTCGAAGAGATATCGAGGGGCTCTAGGGCCGTGACGGCTGAGAGGAAATATGTCAGTTGTAAACAGCGCTCGTGATCGATACTACACTCACTGCCAATTGTTTCAACGAGGCCTGTGAACATGGTTGTTTGTGATCTGCAGAGAAAATACCCGCGGGGTTGACACACCTCGGCATCGGCCGCCGCTCCGAGCGGTGTCGGTGTCGGCGTTTTGGCGGAGATTCACACTTCCCCATACTTCATTTAACCTTGCTTTGGAGCTTTGTGTCTCTTGTGTTTTATTTGTTTTGCAGTATCGGGTTTTTTGAAGATGACTGTCGCGCTTAAGATTCAGGCTGTTGCTCGTCGATCGGGCTCGATCTGGGGTAGCAATGCCTTGCGGCGCACATCTCCCTTGAGGAGCTATTCCAGTGCTGCTTCCGTTGATGGCTCGTTGCCTCTGGCTGGTATTCGTGTGCTTGATATGACCCGTGTTCTTGCTGGTGTGAGTTTAAATATTGGATATGCTGCATCCCTGGAGTCTGCGCTAACTTGTACCAGCCTTATTGCACTCAGATATTGGGTGACTTGGGGTAAGTTGGGAGCATTTATAGCTTCACTTTAGTTTTCTTAAGGGATGCTGACTGGACATTATATAGCGCGGACGTTATTAAAGTCGAGCATCCTGTGCGCGGCGATGATACTCGAGCTTGGGGCCCGCCATACGCGAAGTATGAAGATGCGTCCAAGAAAGGTCCTGGCGAGAGTGCCTACTACCTAGCTGTATGTTATCTTCGAATACGAGGAGACATACTGTGTTAACCAAATCTCCAGGTCAACCGAAACAAGAAGTCCCTAGGTCTCTCCTTTCAACACGAATCAGGCGTTGAAATCCTACACAAGCTCGCAAAGGAATGCGACGTCCTAGTGGAAAATTATCTTCCCGGCGGTCTTAAGAAATATGGCATGGACTATGACACCTTACGAGAGATCAACCCCAAGTTGATCTATGCTAGTATCACGGGCTACGGCCAAACTGGCCCTTACAGCAACCGGGCTGGCTACGACGTTATGGTCGAAGCTGAAATGGGTCTGATGCATATTACCGGAGCTCGGGATGGTGCACCGGTGAAGGTTGGTGTAGCTGTCACCGATCTGACCACTGGACTATACACATCGAATGCCATTATGGCCGCGTTGATTGCTCGGGGTCGGACGGGCAAAGGCCAACATATCGATGCTTGTCTGAGCGATTGCCAAGTTGCTACACTAGCTAACCTGGCTAGCTCTGCGCTTATCAGTGGACAGAAGGACTCTGGACGATGGGGCACAGCGCATCGTAAGTTGTGAGGAGCCTTTTATGTCGACAGTATACTTACATTTTTCCAGCTTCTATTGTACCATATCGCAGTTACAAAACCAGCGATGGTGATATTCTCTTTGGTGGTGGCAATGATAGGCTCTTCGGCGTGCTCTGTGATCGATTGGGTTTCCCCGCGTGGAAGACAGATGCCCGTTTCGTCACCAACAGTGACCGAGTGCAGCACCGGGCTGAGATCGATGGTATGATTGAGAGTACTACCGTCCAAAAGACTACACAGGAGTGGCTGGATATCTTCGAAGGCAGTGGGATGCCCTATGCCGCTGTCAATGATATCCAAGGAACGTTGAACCACAAGCATGGTAAGTCGGGATCTTTTCTACTTTTTGCAAATCACAATACTAACTTGCTGGATAGTTCTGGCACGAGACATGGTCACCGAAATCGAGCACCCTGCATGTGGACCCATCAAGCTGGTCAATACGCCTATCAAGTACTCTGAGGCGACACCGGGTATCCGCACCCCTCCTCCTACCTTGGGGCAGCATACAGATGAGATCTTGGGTAGTGTTCTTGACTATAGTGAGGTTGATATTGCTCGTCTCAAGGATGAGGGTGTTATCTCGTGAAATCGGCATGCTTATGAGATATGACTGCCATTTCTTTGTACATAGGGAGTTAAACTGTACATACTCCATGAATTGAATTATAACCCCCTTTATATTGCTGAGTCTCTATATAGCTCAGTGCTCTAGAATTTTGGTAGTTTTACATGGAATAGTGGAACAGCTAGGTTAACTTGTAATAGTCATACTGAGGCAACCGATAAATGCCTCGAAGCTGATTGTATGCTAGATAGGCATTCGCTCCTGGCTAGTACTGGACGAAAATGACCACAGGGAAAATAGCCAGTACAGAATCCTTTGATCTATTTTATTTACATATTTTATTCAAAGATGAGTGAAAGAAAGCTATTTTGAGGTTGCATTCAGAATCACGTGACGCTATACAAATGTCTTCCCGACGACATGAATTCATTCAACGGGACCAATTGAAAGGAATCTGACGATGTGTGCCTGGAAAAGACGCCGACGTTTATTCCATCTTTGAATTTCTAAAGTCTGCAAGAGAACTTCAATATCGTCTTTTTCTACTCTTCACTTTCTTCTCCCTTTCACTTGACCTCATTTTCGTCTCGAACTTTTCCCTGCAATCCATTGTCAAAACTAGATTCTCAAATCAGCCCTGAAAATGCGGGTCTCAGCAACGTTCATAGACCTTCCAGCCCCGGATATTCATCCGGGGGTTCCCAAAAACGTCCTTGAGGGTCAAATATTTAACCACGAGGATGTCGCTGTAGAAACAGCCCCTCCTTCCCTTCCGTGGGAGCGCCTGGCCACCGGCAACATCACACTGAGTGAGAAGGAAGTTCCGTCTCCATCTTTACAAGTAGTTCCACAACACCACAATCCGAGCAACGGCGATGGACTTGGACTCGACGGCCAAATGGAGAATGTCGTCGCCACTCCGTCTTCCAACCGAACTCGGTCTGGCCGCTCTGTACAAAAGCCAACGCCCCATACAGTTGAGAAAACGGCGACGAAGCAATATTCTACATCCGCAAAATCATCAACAAAGAAGCGACAGCGCACGAAAAGTCAGGTAAATATCCTGTGCATCAAGTGCAACCGAGGAAACAGCCCTTCAAACAATTTGATTGTTCTATGCGACGAATGTGACACTCCCTGGCATCAGAAGTGCCATGATCCAAAGATTGGCAATGAAGTCATTGAGACCTTGGAAGCTGAATGGGCTTGCAGCGAGTGCCGACCTGAGCAACGTTCAGCAAAACGCCAAAAGCAGACCTCAGCTCGCGGCCGTAAGCCAGCAACGAAGCGGTCTCCTAGGACTACATCTGGTGTTCAAACTCCTTTTCGATCACATAATCCTTTGGAGCAGCAGCCGCTGGTTATGCCCACGGCAGGTGCTATTCGAGCCAAGTCTCGAGTCGGAGGAGAGGCCTTGTCGGAGCAGGAGCGACGAACTTACTTGACATCTCTTTCGCACGTGGAATTAGTCGAACTCCTCTTGGATGTCTCCAATAATTTCCCTCGCTTCCCTATGTTCCCTTCATATCCACAAGAGGGCTATCGGGAGTCGGGTGAACCTTCTCGACCTGCAACTGCTCCTGAGGCCCCATCAACGACAACCAAAGCCAGCCCGAATAATGAAGATCGCGCTGTCTCTGTCACGTTTGGGACTCCGAATTCTGACAAAATATCAAGACTATCACCCCGGCCTACACATACCACCCCAGGCAGGCGCACTCGTTCAACCACAGCTTCCCCAGACATATCCTCCGACTCCACCTTGAAAGCTCTCAAGGCCGCCAAAGCTGCAAGGTTATATCCAAGCCGCAATTTTGATCATGGACCTGAAGCCCCGCGGCTGTCTGCTTCTCTTTTCCGAGAAGCTGAGTTCACAAGATCTCCTTTCAAGTCACCCTCGCCGCGTGTACTACTTGCTTTGGACCCTACTTATAAGGATGACCCTCGATCGACTCCCGCCGGGGAAGAAACTGAATTCCAGTTGCACACCCCGCAAATGGTCCAAGCTAAGAGACTTATGCGCCCACCTTCGCCGGTGTCATTCTCCGAGAACGAGTCCGAGAATGATTCCGAGGATTATCGTTCTTACGCTGATGCTGGTGAAGGCTTTTGTGCCTCTCTGGATGCCAATGATCGGGATATCATGGCTGAAGCTGAGAACTATCCTACTTTCAGCCATCAGATCGGTGGAAAATTCGGGCAGGCTAAGAGTCTTACGAAGGCTTAGCAGGGACGGTTGGCTTAAAGTCTGTCTTGTATCATCACAGAGGGGCTCTTGGATTGACGGATTTCTTTTGTTCAATGAGGATTGGAAAGGTTGGTGGTGTTCAGTTGGTTATTGTCCTGTTGTCTGTGTGTCTATAGGTTTTGTTTACATTTGTCCTGTATTGGAGAGGAACCTTTGCTCTGGTCTATCGGTGTTGAAGGAGTCTTATTGGGAAATATTTCCGAAAACCAAGGAATTTATCAAATTTATCAGTTGAATCATCCCTCATGAATCCATTTCAATTGCCCCAAGATAGAAAATTATATCTTCGAGTCCTCAGTGAACGACTATTTTTAGCCCTGAAAGCACATATCTTATCGGCCCCGCAAGCGCGTCAGATTCCGATTCACTTGAGCTCATCTTATACGTCCCCCAGCTATAATATGTGAGACGAGCCACTTAAGATAGACAGACATACACACAGAGAATACACCTCTCCCAGCGAAGAGCCAGCCCGCCAGCGCATCGCAAAACAAACCAAACCAACACCTCACACTCTCCCTCTCTCCATCCCACCAACCACAGCCCACAAAACACCCCATTGAAAGCAACAGGATACAAAAGATGACCGAAATCCAAGCTCCCCCCAAAACCGCGCGAGTGCGCCCCCAACCCCAATCGCAAAGCCACGCACCCTCAACACTCTTCACAATCGACACCTGCCTCAGCATCCTCCAAAAATCCCTCCTCAACCCCTTCATCGCATGGATCCTGGTCCTCTGTCTCCGCGCCCAGGTCACGCCGCTGTCACATCCATCCTGGATCCTGACAGTCACCTACGCAAGCTCTCTGACTGTGCTGTGGGTGCTGCGAACCATCAACCAGCGCGTCGCGGATGGGGTGCCGCGCGCCGTGGATTTCGAAAATGAGGTTGTGGTTGTGACTGGGGGCGCGAGTGGATTGGGCTTGTTGATTGCGCAGAATTATGGGATGCGCGGGGCTAGTGTTGCGGTTCTTGATGTGAGGGAGTTGGGGGAGGAGGGTGTGGAGGAGGTTTTTGGGGTTGGGGTTTTGTATATTCGGTGTGATGTTGGGGATAGGGGAGAGGTTGAGGGCGCGAAGGGGAGGATTATTGATGAGGTAGGATTCCGATCTTGTTTTTTGCTTTGTGTTAGGGTTATGGGTTGGAACTACGGGTTCTGGGGAATGGCTTTGCTTTTAAATGAGTTCTGATTTGCTAATTGTCTTGCAGCTGGGGACGCCGACGATTGTGATCAACTGTGCCGCTGCCAGGATCAATGGCCTGCCATTGCTGGATTTACCGGCGGAGGCGTTTGAAAAGACGATCCGCACTAATCTCCTGGCGGCGTTCCATCTCTACCAAGTGTTCCTGCCTGGTATCCAGACATCGGAAACTGGAGGCACACTTGTCACGGTCAGCTCGGTGCTCGGTCAATTGACGGCTGCGGGACTATCGGACTATGCAGCAAGCAAAGCAGGACTCAGCGCGCTGCATAGGACGATCGAGGCAGAGAACCGCGGCAATCTGCTGGTCAAGACATTGCTAGTGGAGATAGGGCAGATGTCAACACCGCTATTTGGCTGGGTCCGCGCACCGAATCATTTCTTTGCGCCTGTTTTGGAACCCGTTCAAGTTGTCCGCGAGATGGTGGCTGCGATTGATAGCGGTCGAGGTGGTGTAATCAGATTGCCTTTGTATGCGACGTTTGTGGATTGGTATGCCGTGCTACCAGCTGCGCTGCAGCGGATTGCGAGGTATCTGAGTGGAATTGATGCCGCCGTGACTCAAAGCCGGGAGACATCTCGGAAGACAGATTGATCAATAGCTCAGGGGTTGAACGATGTATATACGCGTGGCTGTGGACCAAGCTCGCTCAACATGTATTATAGAGCAAGGTAACCTGCTGTTCATTGTACATTTTCCCAGTTGAAGTAATCCTCGTTTGCAAGTCTCAACGCCGATTCTGGTCGGTGAACGTGATATCACTGGACCGGTCTATTGCTCGCGAGCCAAGATCATCTTCTCACGCTCATGACTCCTAGGAGCCAGGTTGCTCTTCTTGGTATGCTTGCGCACGTTCTCCTCACGCCTCTTGATAGCATTGAGCTCCTCGCGCTTGATCTCGCCAGCCTTCTTGATAGGCTTGGGCACATGACGCTGGCGCTTGATGCGGCGAATATCGGGCATGTGTGAGTAGCGCTTGATCAAAGCCTGGTCGTATTCCATCTTGGAACGCTGGCGAGCACTCTTGACACCGCTGCGGTCCGAAGCCTTGGCACGCCAGAGACGAACGTTGCCATCGTCTGATCCAGACAGGACGTACTTGCTGTCGGGTGTGAAGCAAGCGGTGAACACACTGTTAACAAGTTAGCATTGAATATTCTCACGAAGAGCTGAAATACATACCGTTGCATCCGCTTAGTGTGGTAGATGTCGCGCGAGTGGCCAGTTGCTCTGTTCCACAGGCGAATTGTTCGGTCGTAAGAGGCAGTGACCAGCTCTTCACCAGTCGGGCTGAACTCCACGTCCATGACAGCAGCCACATGGTCCTTCAGAACATTGAGAGCACGATCCATCTTTCTCATGTCGAAGATGTAGGCATTATGATCTTCGTTGGCCACGGCAAAGTTGAATGCTTCCATAGGGTTCCAAGAGATAGAATTAGATGCCAGACGCAGTGTTGTCTTGTGCACCGGCGAGGAAGTCCGCAGGTCATACATGATAATGGAGCGGTCGATGGCAGTCGAAGCAAGAATAGATGTCTCAGTCTGATTGAACGCAACAGATGAGATAGTGTCGACACTTGTCGGCCAGTGCAAGGTTTGCGACGGAGTCGAGGAAGGCCGCGAGAGATCATAGATAGAGATGACGCCAGAAGCGGCAGCGAATGAAGGGTGGTCACGGTGGTGTGACACACTGGTGAAGGCACTGTTGCCCAGATACGTTGCCATCGGGGGTGCGTCGGGGCTCGAGTTGTAAGGATCCCAGAGTTTGACAGTCTTGTCGGTGGCGCAAGACAATAGTTTTCGCTCTGGTGTCCAGCACAGACCCTTGACCATGTTCTCATGACCTTGAGTGTGCCACACCTCGCCTTGGGTTGGAAGATCCCACACCTTCACGACACCATCGCCACTGCCACTAGCCAAGCGCTCAAGTGAGCCGGGATCCTTTGCCATGGAGTATACACCGTCCACGTGACCGTTGCCCATCTGAGCCAGGAAAGGAGCAGCAAACATGCGCTCCATCTTGATTGCAGTGAGAGCGCGAGTGTATTCACGAGCCCGCTCAAAAGGATGCTGGGTTGGGTCGAGATTCCGAGACTGACGAACAGTCGTGGACCCGGGGGCTTGCTGCGACGCCGTAGGGCGAGAAAGGGCTTTGATTTTCTGTAAATTATTAGCATGGCTATCTGATAGGCAAATTTTCACGCAAAAATACTCACCATATTGCTGTTGTGAAAACAATGTAAAGAGGGAAAGAAAAACGCCGATGGAACTTTTTTTCTGTTTGATTTGCTAAGCGGGCGGTGAGAGGCCGATGAGCTGCCAGCTTCGAGCTCCCCGTCTCTCTTGACCTGATTATCAACCTCCCTTCAATCCACCATCCTCTCTCGTTCTCTTCTTTTGAATCTCTCTCTTTCGCTCGCTCGTGATTTGTTGGCCTTCATCATGTCCTCCAAGGTCTCGCCGCGGATACAAGAAGTCCGCGACCTGGTGAAGCAGGATCCCTCGAAAGCAGCGACCACTTATCAGAAGATCCTCTCCGAGGGCCCAGGATCTACAGAAGCCTCTTCGAGAGACTATGAACAGGCTTTGATTGGGTTGGGTCAGCTGCACCGGGATGCAAAGAAGCCCCAGGCTATCGCGGAACTCATCAAGACCAGCCGGGACACCTTTTCGTCATTTGCCAAAGCTAAGACGGCCAAATTAGGTGAGTTGCGCATCTGAAAGTTGACAGAAGCCTTGGCTGATTATTCTAGTCCGACAACTCTTGGATCTGATTAGCGAAATTCCCAATACCCTCGAACTCCAAGGCAACGTCATCCAATCATGCATAGAATGGGCCATCTCCGAGCGAAGATCATTCCTTCGACAGAACCTCCAGGCACGTCTCGTTGCCATCTATATGCAGAAGCAATCCTACTACGATGCTCTCACTCTGATCAACTCCCTCCTTAAGGAACTCAAGCGCCTGGATGATAAGCTTATGTTGGTGGAGGTACAATTGCTTGAGTCGCGTGTTTACCATGCCTTGGGCAACCAGTCCAAGGCCCGCGCCGCTCTCACAGCAGCGCGGACATCAGCCGCATCTGTTTACACGCCACCCAACCTCCAGGCCGGTTTGGATATGCAGAGTGGTATGCTACATGCCGAGGACAAGGACTTCACCACTTCATACTCCTACTTCATTGAGGCTCTTGAGGGATATAACTCGCTCGACGAGAATGACCTGGCCACAGCAGCTCTGCAATACATGCTGCTCTGCAAGATCATGTTGAACCTGGTGGACGATGTTACACAGCTGCTTGGCTCCAAACAAGCGCAAAAGTACGCCAGCCCACGCCTGGAGGCCATCAAGGCCGTTGGACGCGCACACGCCAACCGGTCTCTGGAGGAGTACGAGAAGGCTCTGTCGGATTACCGGTACGAGTTAGGCAGTGATGTCTTCATTCGGAACCATCTCCGCCGCCTTTACGACGCCATGTTGGAACAGAACTTGATCAAGGTCATTGAACCCTTCAGCCGGGTTGAGCTGGAACACATTGCCAAGATGGTGGGTCTGGACACACAGCAGGTTGAGCGCAAGCTGTCCCAGATGATCCTGGATAAGGTTATCATTGGTGTGTTGGACCAGGGTTCTGGGTGTCTGATTGTGTACGACGAGACCGAGCGTGACCAGGCTTACGATGCTGCCTTGGAAACTATCGAGAAGCTCGGCAACGTGGTGGAAGGCTTGTATACTAACCAGGCATCTCTTCTGGAGTAGAAGAGTCTTGATGTTAGACGATGGCCCCATAGGGAATAATCGAGACTATGTATTGCACGATAAACTGAACATCCACTTTGAATACCGTGAGAATAGTAATTATACAGTTAAACAAGTAGATAATTGAGTAAAATAGGCATCACAAGTGAGCATCGTTCAAATGTGCTGGGCTCAGTGTTGTTCGCGCTCTGCCGAAAAGGGTAAAGCGTGACGGCAAAAGAATCGCGACTTCGCATCTCCAACATCTCGCATCTTCCCCCCATTGCATCTTCCCCCACCACCTCTTTGGTGCCCTTTTCTACTCAAAATGCAAGCTCCCATGCAGCCTAATTATGCTCGGGGCTTTCCCCAACAAGCCCAGCGGTCTCCTGCCGCGCCCCGTCGCCCCCCAGTACCAGGTAGGTCTCCTTTCATCGGTCTCCACTTTAGCCTCTAAACTCATATCTCGATAGGCGGCGCAATGCCCGTTCCTATGCCCCAACAGGCTGTCAACCCACAGTACATGCATGCGCAACGCGCAATGCCTCATCCTAACGATGCTGCTCTTCGTCGCAGCCGCAAGCCCACAGACAAGAACCTCCCCGACGGCATTGAAGATGTGATCATCGGCGAGGGTGTACAGCAATATCAGAACCTCCGCGACTTAGAAAAGCGCCTGGACGCTGCCGTTGTACGGAAGAGGTTGGATATCCAGGACTCGATCAACAAGACTGTCAAAAAGTACCGGACTATGCGCATCTGGATCTCGAATACTGTCGAGAGCCAGCCATGGCAAGGTGTCGGCAACAACCCTGGATCCGGCCGGTACAAGGTCCGCATTGAAGGACGATTGCTCGATGACGAGACCGACCCTACGGTTCCCGATGAAGAGGAGCAGGACGAGGATGCGATGGATGATGACAGCTCCGAGGAGGAGAAGGCGAAGAAGGCCGAAGCCAAGGCCAAATCCCAACGCTTCTCGCACTTCTTCAAGGCTATCACCATCGATTTTGACAAGCCTGTCACAGCAATCCCCGACGAGGTCAAGCCTGTCAATTGGTCCAAGCCAATGCTGCCGCCCAACACCACGACACCACCCCCGAATGCTGAGTTCGATAGCCTACAGTTCTCGCGCGCCTCCCAGGACAACTTGAACGTCACAATCAGCCTTGTCCGTGACGAAGTCCCAGAACGATACAAGCTGAGCAAGGAGCTCGCCGAAGTCCTAGATGTCGAAGAAGAGACCCGCAGTGGAATTGTCCTCGGAATCTGGGACTACATCCGCGCTATGGAGTTGCAGGAAGACGAGGAGAAGCGTCAAGTGCGCTGCGATCAACGTCTGCGTTCGGTATGGCCTTTGAAATTCCAATTCTGATAATAACCACTAACGACTTTATAGATCTTTGGCCGTGACCAGATGTTTTTCCCTCAGATTCCCGAAAGTGTCGGTCCTCACACTAGCCCAATGGAGCCCATCAAGCTCCCCTACACCATTCGTGTTGACGAAGAATTCCACAATGACCCCGCACCCACCGTCTACGATATCCAGGTCGCAGTTGAAGACCCCCTGCGAACCAAGATGATGGCCCTCACCCAAAACCCACAATACACAGCTGGCATGCGCCAGATTTCGTCGCTGGATGATCAAGTTGCTCTGATCGTTCAGGCTCTTACACACTCCCGTGCTCGCCACTCGTTCTACACTGCTCTGAGCAAGGATCCCGTCAACTTTGTTCGTCGCTGGGTCAATTCCCAGCGCCGTGACCTGGAGACGATCCTTGGCGAGGCTACTCGCGGCGGCGGTGAAGATGGCAGCGGACCTGAGTTCCGCTACGGTGGCTCTGATGGACCTTGGGATACTGTTGTTGCCAAGGAGGCTGTGCGCTATATGCTGGCCAAGCCCGAAGCCGCAGGTGTCCGGTAAATTTAGGTTTCATTTGTTCTTTTTGGACCCTCTTCTCCAGGCTGCTATCTGTGCAGAAGAGATGTGGCTGTGTACTTTTCTTTACTTTCTTTGATATCGGGCGCTTATGTGGTGTTTGGACTGGTGTAGCTGGGATGACAGGCAGGATTAATACTTCCAAAATCCGTACTTCAATCTGATACGATGCAATATGATTCTGCTGATATATGCAAATCGAAACTTGTATAATCAAATGTCCAAAAAGCTAGGAAAATAGATTTGGCAACGGTTGTTGCCTTCGTGCACCCCCGTAGCTCATATCCCATTATAAGTCGGAGTCGAGTGTTGGCATGGAAGATGCCCAATACGCCAAATTCAGAGCTATCTCTCTACAGAAAATACAGATGAATAGATCCAAAATCAATATGCATCAAAGCCAACTTGCATCAAAGTCAGCTCGCAGAACTCCAAAACGAAGCATGCTGTACCATCCCCATGATGGAGACATTACTCATCTAACCATCGAGCAAAATGCATAAGGGCGAAGCTAGAGGCCCTCAGCATCTCGAAGCAAGATTGTAGCCATGTGAAGACTAATCCAAAAACCCCAAGACTATCAAGCCCCAGGCAGAGGAACTTTAGCAACGAGCTCCGCTCTCCGCTTGCGCAACTCATCGCCAAGGCCAGAGTCAACAGCCGAGGAGACATGCTCCTGCAATGAAGAAAGATCACCCTGCAAGATAGCACTCTCCTCCTGCTCGAGCTTGGAGGCAGCCTCAAGAACGACATCGTGGACGATATCCTCCTTCAGTTGCGCATTCTTCTTCGCATCCTCCGTCTTCTCTCCATTGGCAGAATTCTGGGCTGGACCACGGAACCGCTTAAGCACAGTCTCAACCATCTTGGAGAACCAGAAGTAATTCAAGAAGTTGAGAATCAAGTTCGAGCCCACGTACGTGACAACCAGCCAAGTCGGCACGCCGCCTGCTGTGTACTCCTTGAAGCGGGTGATTTCGGCGTTGGCACGAGCGCAGGTCTCGTCGATGCACATGCTTCCATCGCGGGCTGGGTAGAAGACGAGAGCGTTGACGCTGACGGGCTCGGAGAGCGGCGAGGATGATGCGGACCAGGTGTGCTGCAGGGCGTTCCACATGTCACTGTAGACAATGATTGATTGCCATGTTCCCCAGACCAGACGGCAGCCGAAAAATGTTCCGAGTAGGGCCATACCGTTGTACCACTGGGTGCGGCTGCCGGTCATGTTGACCTTGTCGAGGAACCAGTGGATATTGAGGAACGGGCTTGAGAGCTCGTAGAGGATGAAGGTTGGGGCATAGTAGTTTAGGAAGGGTCTCTGTTTGAAAGACTTGTTAGAAAAATCTTCAAGTTGGTGATCGCCGATTTTATATTCGGGACGTAGATCTTTCCTGTATAGATCAACTTACAAAGCCGAGACTGAATACCCATAAGGCGGCAACGGCGTGGAAGAGGAGTCCAATTCCGAACATTTGCACATGTCTGATGCTGACGATTATATCATAGACAAAGTAGCCTACGGCTAGGGCCTGAACGAAACCGCAGGCACCAGTGTATCCGAAGACCCGTTCTCCAGAGGACATGGAGTTGCGTTCATTGTCAACGACCATAATCCAGAGAGCGGCGACGTTGATGACGATACTCTGAACGAGCGAGACAACGTGGATATCCCAGTTCAGCTTGGTCCTCGGAGTGAGCTTGTTGTAAGACTCTGGGAAGAGAATCGGAGAAAGCCATGGTGAGACGACGGCATGGATGAATAGGTAGAAGGCGAAGGCCAGGATCACCTCGTGGATGTGCTCAGAAAGCGTCGGACTGTTAAGCCAGAGCGCATATGGCTCGGTAAAGCTCCGCAGCCATTCCGGGACCGGTACGAAGGGGTCCAACATTGTCGGAGTCCCCTCAGCTACTTCGTATCACCCGATGTGGGGGAAAGCTCTTGGTAGTTCGGGGGTGTCGGGGGGAACGTAGTTCTATATGCAGTTGAGGGGATTATTCCCGTTCAACATAGAGACAAAAGGAAAGCTGGAAACAAAGGAAACCCAGAAACCCAGGAATAGGAGAGGAGAGCTCTATGGGAAAACCGAGTGATAAGATGACGGGGAGGCCGAGTGTCGGCCATAACTTACGAATACTGTATAAAACCGGATCTATAGTTGCTCCGAGTTTCATTGATTATGTAATTAGATCAGCCCCATAAATTGACAGAGGAAGGGGTAATAGCAATACAGAGTCATCAACATCATCCATTGGTCGAGGACAGTACGGTAAAACAACAGTTATGAGCCCGGTTCGCCATCAATAAATTCATCGGAAAGCATTAAGAAGCTATTCAAAACCAGAAAGCATCTAGTACGCAATAAATCCGACGAATCCCAACGAAAAACCCCTTGTTTACATTTATCGACCGACCTTCTTAATCCGAATCCTGCTACAATTGCTTCATTAGCAATACATCCATCTGCTTCATTAGCAATGGACACAGCAACGATGCTCTCCGCTATCAAAGGCGACAAATTGAAAGATTCGTCACAATGGCGAGTATGGTATAAGCGAGTGAAGGCATTCGCAGTACAACGTTCGGTATGGGACCTCTGCAATCCAGAAGTAGAGATATCCCACCGACCACGGGCTCTCATTGAGCCAATTGAACCTGAATACCCTCAGCAAGGTTCTCAGGAAAATAAGAAAGATTGGAGAGACCTACTTGAGGTCTATAAGATCAAGGCAAACCGCTGGGAAAAGCAGCGAAAAGGCCTAAATGAGGTGAATGAACTCATTATCATTTACCTCGACACGTCAATTCGTGATGCAGTACTAGAGTACGATACTCCGTACGATCGTCTAGTATATCTTAGTCAAAGATTTGCTAGATCTCATGCGTATAAGGAAGAGATTCGTATGAAATGGAGAGCTTTCTCGATCCAAAAACCGATTGGAGATATCGAGAAATGGCTGATATCTTGGGATGAATTACGAGAGCAAGCAATGACCCTCGAACTTCCTGAGGTCCAAAGTGCGAATCAAGATTTCCTACAGGCTATCAAAGAGGTTTTACCTATCTGGTGGCAGGCAAAATATGAAGATATCGTGATGAATAGGACGATAATAGATACGCGAAAGCTAATCGAAAGCTTCCGTTCTATACATCGTGAAATTAGTACGACAATGCCTACCTCACCGACATTGAAAGGGTCCTTCTCTACCTGGCAAGGTCATCAAGAAGCTAAACAAGAAGACGTGCCATTTGACAAGAGACCATGCCCATGCGGCATGAAGAACCACGGACCTGCTAAATGCTATTTCCTCAATGAGGCAGTAAGACCTCGAAGCTTTACTATCCCTAGCGGGAAATTAGAGAGCATTGAGAGGACACTGGCGGCCGATCCAGCATGGAAAAAATGGACAGAGAATATCATCCAGAAAGCGCAAACCTCAACAAGTATAAAGGTTCATCAAAACCTCTCATTCTCAAGCATCGGTATCCCGGCATTAACTACATCACTCCGACACCGATGGATCCTTGATACTGGATCCGGCGTACACGTGTGTAATGACCGAAGCAGCTTCGTGGACCTAGAAGCTTGCCAAGAGGTTCTATCAACCGGAGATAGTAGCACCGACATCATCGGACGCGGTACTGTGAGACTTACTGGCATTGACCCGAAGACCAAAAAGAAGCAGACGATTACCCTAAGCAATGCCTGCTACGCACCTGGGTTCCATGTAAACCTAGTGTCGTACGCTAGACTGCGAGAAAAAGGAGGGTTCTGGTCTGAAAAGAAGGGTTTTATCGAGGATAGCAATGGCTTCCCAATCGTGAGCTTACGTTTATGGAAAAACGTTGGATTATGGGTCTTTGACCAAGAAGGCTCTAATCAAGAATCTTATCTGATGGCAAATGCCGTTAGATCATCATCAACACAGCGAATTAAAGGTGCATCGGCAGAGCTATGGCACCGTCGCCTAGGTCATCCACAATATAAGACAGTCCAACAAATGACTAAACTAGTCGATGGAGTCAATATCGATGGCAATGATAAAGCGCAAGCAATCTGTGAAACCTGCAACCTAGGACGTTCTAATCGGCAAATATCAAGAAGACCGATTGGACGTACGTTCGGACGTTTTGGAAGGGTCCATTTTGATCTGATTCAACTTCCAGTTGCTTACAATAAGCACCGCTGGATTACGCATTTTTACCTCGATGGTATCAGATTTCATTGGCTGATGACGCATGAATATAAACCCGAGTGTCAGATTGCTATCAATCAGTTCGTGCAATTGGCGAAGAATTGGTGGAACCTACCAATTAGGGCTTTTTCCTATGACAATGAAGCCGCTGCAGGACGCCTAGCAGAGCAGAGCTTAACGTCGGATGGCATTGTCATTTACCATAGCCCACCAGGACATCCAGAGATGAATGGATATGCCGAAAGATCAGGGGGTGTCATCATCCAACGAATGAGGATGCTAATGCTCGAAGGCAAGCTCCCAAAAGAGCTATGGCCAGAAGCAGCAATGGCCGCAATATGGCTATTGAATCGGACGCCGACGTATCTCGCCACAGAAAATCGCTGGATCATCCCATGGGCCGAAGTCGTGAAACAGTTTACAGCCACAGGTGATATTCCGCCAAGAATCAACCTCTCAAATGTCAGGTTATACGGAAGCCTTGCGTACTGTCGAATTGACAAGCAAGTGCAATCAGATAAGATGAATCCCCGCGCTGAAATTGGATTCATGGTTGGCTATATAGCTTCAAATATCTGGAGGATCTGGTTCCCGCAGTATGGGAAAGTGAAACTGGTCAGGGACGCGATATTCGATGAAACGCGAAGATACTCGCCAGATTTTCAACAGCTTCAGCCGGTTCCATTGCCATTGGTCAAAGAACCTCAAGAACTAGATCAAGATCAGGCTGCAGCAGCTATCCAGGCATCGATAATAACTGGATCAGTGCCAGATCTAGAACCGAGAGATAACGCCAATGATGACAACGTCCATGACAGCATCCAACAAGGAGACCGTTTTTCGGCCGAAAAACCGACGCCTATTCTTCAGGGGGTGTATACAACACCAGACCGTCAAACATCGGATCGACAAATTGACGTTATATCGGACGTTCCAGGCGCATTCCCGCGAGAACCTCCGCTGCCGCCTACTCCAGCATCCCTTGCAACTGATCAGGGGGTGGAGACAGCACCGGCAATGATAATACCGGAGTCAGAGAATGATCAGCTCCAGGGCTCAGCGGATTCCGACGAAGAAGCTGAACTGCAGCTACAGGCAGGACTACTAGCACCTAGGAATATTAGTGGAAATATCGAAGAAGGGAACATTATCTCAGGACCACGAAGAAGGCAGGCAAAGAGGGACGATGCCTACGCCTACAGCGCTATTGCTATAACTGAGCCACCAGCATATCTTCATGCTTTCGCGGCCGGTTTATACGCAAATAGGCCAATTAAGCGTCACAGAGATGACCTTCCAGAACTCCCAAAACACTGGAAAGATGTCATAAATCATCCATTCCAAGAGGGTTTCCTAGCCGCAATGAGAAAGGAGATTAACTCTCTCACGGAGAAAGCGACATTTGATACTGTGGACCGTCCGAAGGACCGAGGAAAGCAAATCTTGCCACTGCTCTGGGTCTTTGCCTATAAATTTGATCAAGATGGATATCTGATTAAGCTAAAAGCAAGGATCTGTGTTAGAGGAGACCTCGAAACTATATCATCGGACGAAAAGAGAGCTGCTACGCTAGCAGCTAGAACGGCCCGCATGATCTTCGCACTCGTGGCTGCATTTGACCTCAATCTACGACAGCGAGATGCGGTCACAGCTTTCCTAAATAGTAAGCTAGAGAAGGATGTCTATACACGATCACCGGAGGGGTTTGAAACTCCAGGAAAATGCTGGAAGCTCCGAAAGGCCCTTTATGGATTGAGAATCTCACCACGCCTATGGCAGTATGAAGCATCGCGAGTGCTTAGCCAACTAGGTCTACAGCAAGTCCCAGAGGACCCCTGTGTTTTTATAGGAGATGGACTCATTGTCTTCTTCTACGTGGATGATATCCTAATTGCAAGTCATCCGACAGCAAGGGAGAGAGCCCAAAAGCTTGAAAAAGATCTTGAAAAGCATTGGGAATTGACCGATCATGGAGAAGCTGACTGGTTCCTAAACATCCGCATTATCAGGGACCGGCAATCCAAGAAGCTATGGCTATGCCAAGATAGCTATATCACTAGCATTGCAGTGAGGTATAACCTTACTGACCGGCCAAGTGTATCCACGCCACTACCCATCGAGGAATTAGAACCGTACGATGGAAGGGCATCTTCCCAGGACATTCTTCTATATCAGAAGAAGGTCGGATCAATGGGATACGCCACCACGATTACCCGACCAGATGCATCAAAAGCAACAGCTAAACTAGCTCAATTTTTGACAAACCCTGGTCCTCAGCATCATCAGGCTGCCGACCGAGTGATTAGCTATCTCTACTCTACCCGCTTTCTTGCTATTGAGTATAGCAGCACCTTAGAGATAGACTCAGTACAGCTAGCCAGCGATGCATCGTACGCCGACCACAAAGACCGAAGAAGCTCCGCAGGATATATCTGCCAGGTCTACGGAGGACCCGTGGATTGGAAAGCTACTAAGCAACGGACGGTGACAACATCAACCACCGAAGCCGAATTGCTAGGACTTTCAGAAGCTGGGAAACATCTCCAGTGGTGGAGAAGGTTACTCAGTCACGTAGGATTTGATGCCTCTCATGTCATCACAATTGAATGCGATAATGAGAGAGCAATTGGTCTTCTCACCAATCAGGACGCCAGTTTTGACACCAAGCTTCGCCATATAGATATTCATCATCTATGGCTTAGACAGGAAGTACTAGCTGGACGTATCGCCCTACGCTGGACGCCGACGGCAAAAATGGTCGCCGATGGCTTGACCAAGATGCTATCCAGACAGCAGCATGAGAACTTCATCAAACTGCTCCGAATGGTCCAGATTGAGCATTTGATTGAAGGAGGAAATTGATATGACAGATTCGAAGTATTTGGCAATGATTCAGCAAGCCATTAATCAGGGCTTACTGAGGGGGTGTGTCGGCCATAACTTACGAATACTGTATAAAACCGGATCTATAGTTGCTCCGAGTTTCATTGATTATGTAATTAGATCAGCCCCATAAATTGACAGAGGAAGGGGTAATAGCAATACAGAGTCATCAACATCATCCATTGGTCGAGGACAGTACGGTAAAACAACACCGAGGTCCGGCCTGAGGCACAAATTGTTGGGACATCACATGATCACATGCCCTAGTCAGATATACTTCCCAAAGAGGAAGGCCAAGGTGTATAGTGACAGGGTGAGAGTGAGTTATTACAGAGAGGGAGAGTCTACGATGGACAGTTCAAGAGACTACACTACAAATGTTTTCCTCATGATCAATATGAGAATCTGCTGATCTGGGCCACATGAATTCTATACAATTTCACTAACATCACATGAGGGGATCAGAAAGCCCAAAAGAATAAGAGGAATCATTAAGCAATACACATTCCAAGAGTCACAAACGAGAGTCATTCAAAGTCATCCGAACCCAAAACACAACAAAAGTGGTATATGAAAAGAAGAAAAAAGGAAAGAAGAAAAGAAACCCAACTCCGTGCAAATACAACTGTCACTAGACGGCAACATCAGTGCCGAGGCCGCTGTCACTAGGCGGAGCCAATAGCTTCAAGACTTCCGCTTCAGCAGCCAAATTAGCCTCCCTGATCTGCCGAGAGACATTCTCGTCGTGATCTCCATTCACAGAATGTTCATCGCCATACGCAGTCTGCGCATCGTCTGCTGATTCGGACCCATCGATGGAGATATCATCGTCTCGGTCCTCTTGATCATGCTGAATAACCGAACTTTCCGCGTCGTCATATTCATCGATAGAGGTCACACCACTGACACGACGGTGATCAGTAACATCGGTAACCACACTCTCGGCAATACTGCCGGCGTAACTTGGCTTTCGCTCCGTACCGGCATTGCTCTCAGCATAGACTGTGTCCTGTTCGGTACCGGTATTGCTTTCCGCGTAGCTAGTCTTTCGGTCCGAGGGAGCATTGCTAGGGGCATAGCTTGATTTCCGCTCTGTGGGAGCGTTGCTCTCAGCATAACTTGTCTTGCGGTCCGAAGGGGCGTTGCTCTCAGCATAATTTGTCTTGCGGTCCGAAGGAGCATGGCTCTCGGCATAGCTGGTCTTTCGTTCACTTCCAGCATAGCTTGTCCTGCGGTGCGATGCAGTGTCGTTCTCCGTCTCACTGGCGAGCTCATCCTCCTCGTGGAAAGGCTCGTTCTCCTTGTTTGTAACAGAGGATCGACCGGCCCATGAAGTGTTGCGTAGAGCGTTCGACTTGACCGAATGGCTGCGCTTCAGATTCGTAATACCGGTGTTGGAGCTAACCTGGCGATCGGTACCACGGTTGCCTGTGACGTGACTCAAGCTGAGAATGCGACGCTCCTTTCCAATGTTGGGTAGCACCGCGGCTGTGGCTCCTTGGAGAGAAGTGGGCATTCTGCGCTTAAGAGCAATTCCAACGCCATTTCCAAGGAGACTACGTGTTTCCTTGTTGTCCTTGGCGGTACTGGCCGTACTGTTTGCACTGGGGCTGCGGGCGCCGGAGCGAGAGGTACGGTTACTGCGTGTGCTTCGGTTCCTCTTCAGGTTCATGGCTTGCAGGCTGTTGGATCGGCTCAGAAGCACTGTGCGGGCATGGTCGAGGACACCTTCCAGAATGCGCTTCTCGAGGCCATCGGCACGATCCTCCATGTGTCGCATTTCCTCATGGCGAATCTCGAGCGCTGTCTCGAGACCGGAGAGATCCTTGCTGAGCTTGTTGTTCTGCTTGATCATGTTTTCCTTCTCCGCTCTCAGACGGTTGATCATGTTCAACAAAGAATCCTTTTCTTCGCCCAAGCCAACAATCTCGGCTTCAACTTGTTCGCGCTGTGCAACTCTTCGCTCCAATGCGATGCCAGCTTCCTCGGCTTCACGACGCTTTCTCTCGGTGTCTTCAGCAACAATCACTGACTGAGCTGCAAACATCTCGTTCATCCGGCGAGCGTTCTCCATGATATCCTTGTGCATCTCGTCAAGCTTCATCATCTGCGTAGAAGATTGTTCTGGATCCGCTGTAGTAGTCGGGCGGCTGAGAAGAGCATCCAACTTTTCGTGCACAGGACCAGAGCCATTGGTGGCGTGATCTAGAAGCTGGTTAAGCTTCTCATATATCTGATCGTTGGACTCTGATCCTTGGTTCAAGGCACGGTCAAGCTTTTCGTGGAGCTCATCATTCTTCGAGGTGTCGGATAAGGCCCGATCGAGCTTTTCATGCAGGTCGTCATCCTTTGTCGGCTGAAGCAAGGCCCGGTCCAGCTTCTCGTGCAGTTCGTCATCTTTCGTAGGCTGAAGTAGAGCCCTATCTAACTTTTCGTGAACATCCTCATTCTTGGAGTGCTCAAGCAAAGTCTTCAGAATATCATGAACTTGACTGTTTCTAGCATGCTCCAGGAGATCGTCGAGCTTGCTCTGAACAGGGGTGTCCTCAATCGCAAGAGTGCGGCTTGTCTCTTCGGGCTCAGGCTCGGGTGGAGGAAGCGCAGGTAGCATCTGAGGAATGCTGGCAGGTAGAGCCGACAGCTCAGATTTGAGGTCTTCGGCTGACTTCTGCGAGTGATCGTAGTGCTGATTGACAATCGAAAGAATTTCCTGTACGCTCTCCAAAATTTGGGGGTGGAACTCAAGAAGCTTGCTCTCAACTCGATCGGTAGCAGCGACTGCCTTGTCAGTATCAGCTTGAGACTGCTCCCGATGAGCCTTGACGTCGTTGTGCATCTCCTCCATTTGCTGACGAGACTCATCAACGCGCCCAAGGAGGACTTTGGTTTCCTCGCTTATGCGTTCGCAGGTCTCGTTGACAGTGTCACCCATAGAACCGATGACAAGCTTGATGTCCTCGGCAAGTGTCTTGGTACTTGTCAGCGATTCGGTGTGTGCCAGGTCTCGCTCTTCAGTCTCGGAGAACTTGGAATGGAGCGAGGTATGAGCATCTTCATATTTGGCCAAGACTTCTGTGATCTTCTCATCAATCTTGGCTCCGAGTTCCACAATAATGGCGGCCCGCGTCTCATCATGTTTGACGAGGGCAGCAGCATCGCGCTCCTCCGTTTCAAGTTTGCCTGCATCCTCTTCGCCGCGGGCACGTTCGAATTCCCGATTAATGAGGTCGTTCAGTTCCTTGATGTTGTCGACGGTGCTGAAATTCTCGGCAGTAACTGCGAGTCCCTCGAGCAGCTGCTTGAGCTCACCCAGGCCTTCACTGCTGCCGTCGAGCTTGCTCTTTAGCTCATCTCCTAGCTCTCCGACAACATATTTAGCCTCTTCAATCTTTTCATCGATCTTCTCGGCGAGGCCACCATGCTCGATCTTGCGAGCATCGAATCCTTGAGCAGTTAACTCGTTGTTTGCTTCCATCTTCTCACGGAAGTCGTGAACCAGAGTTGAAAGCTCTTGGATTTCGGCCTTGGTGGGGAGGGTCTCGACATCAGGGAGCTTCAGCTCATCAACCTGAGTCTTGACCTCGAAGATCATAGCTTCGACGGTTTGAAGATCCGACTTCATTAGCTTCTCGGGGTTCTCCTCTTCTTCCCCGTCCTGAGTCTTGCTCTTCAGCTCGTCCAAGACAACCCAGACATCCTTGATAAGACCTTCCAAAGTGCCGATCTCAGCCTTGGTGGGGGCTTCGGCTTCCATGCGGCCAGAGAACTCGGCGATAGAGTCCTTGGCTTCGCGGATCATAGTCTCCAGGGCGCCAATCTGCTCAGAAGTTGCGACCTCGTCCGGCGAGGGAAAGACCAGCTCATCTATTTGAGTCTTGGTGCTCAGGAGCAACTGCTCAAGGGCTTCGGTATCTTGTTTCTTGGCTGTGTTGTCATCCTCCGGGTTCTTCTGCGCACTCATCTCACCAATGGCAAGCTGGACTTCTTGAATGGCCATGAGAACTTCATCAAGGTGCGATTGCTTGAGTGCATCCTCGGCGGGCTCTGCGGCACGGGGAGTGGATTCGATTGCTTCAACCTTGTCTTGGAGCTGAGTGATCAGCGCCTTGAGACCATCGATGTCAGGAACAAGTGTATTCTCAGGTTCCGCAGAGGGGGTCTCGTTCGCAAGCATGAGCTCACCACCGCGCTCACCCTCCTCGGGCTCCTTCTGAGATTCGCGGAGGTTTTCCATTTCGAGTTTCAAATCCGCAAGACCGCCTTTGATGGTCTCCAGGATCTCGGAACTGTCAAACTCGGCCGGCTTCTCGAGTAACTTCTTCAAGTCGTCCCGAATCGAGTCGACACCATCGGTGAATGCGTCCAGAAGTTCGCTGGTAGTGGACAATGTGCTTTCATTTCCATTACGCGAGGTCTCTTCTCGTAGGGTGTCAAAGTGCTCACGAAGCGCCGAAATAATCTCGTCCTTCTCAGCGCTTGGCTCAGCTCGAACAACGCTTGAGTCCATGCGATCACGGAGGTTCTCAAACTCTTGCTTGATCATGTTAACCACCTCTTCGTTGCCAGAGCTGCCTTTGTTATGTTCAGAGGCATCCTTGATAGCGTCGATGATCTCGTCCTTATCTGCAGTGGCGTTTTCACGTAGAAGAAGAGTGGTAATTGTGCCTCGCAAGTGTTCGAATTCTTTCTCCATGGCATCCAAAAGCTCGGGTGTGTCGGGGTTACCCGTAGAGCTGCTGGTGAGGGAGGTGTCCGTAATGGTCTTCTCCATATCGGCCTGGAGAAGGCGGAATCCTTCCTTGACAGTGTCGATGACTTCGTCTTTGCCTGAAAGTTCACCAGCTGTAACCACGTAAGATTCGATTTCCCTGCGGACAACGTCGAGACCATCCTTGACGGCATCAAGTACCTGCTCTGTGTCTCTACCGTTGGCGGCAGAATATTGCTTGAACTCCTCCTTCATGCCTTCAAGCAGATCCTGAAGACGCTCCATCACTTCGCCGCCGACGTTGCTGGTTGTGGAGCTCGTTGCCTCCTGGAGACCAGCCGTGATCGCATCCATGAGATCATCCTTGTTTAACTCAATCTCACGTGTGACTGAGTTGCCATTTTGAATGCCTTCGGCGATTGCGCTCAAAATTTCTTCGCGCGAAATGGACGGTTCAGGCACAGCGGCTAAAGCTGATTGTTGGCTAGTGCTCGAACTCTCAATGCCTTCTGCGATGGCGCTGATAATATCCTCACGTGAAATATTTGACTGTTGAAGGTTGGAGGAGTGCTCAATACCCTCCACAATTGCATTGAGAATTTCATCGCGAGAGATAGATGGTTCAGACACAGTGGCCAAAGCTGATTGTTGGCTAGTGTTTGAATTCTCAATGCCTTCTGTGATGGCACTGATAATGTCCTCGCGTGAAATATTTGACTGTTGAAGGTTAGAGGAGTGCTCAAGGCCCTCCACAATTGCACTGAGGATTTCATCGCGAGAGATAGAGGGTTCAGGCACAGTTGCAAGAGCTGATTGTTGAGTGGTGTTCGAATTTTCAATTCCTTCTGCAACGGCACTGATAATATCCTCACGTGAAACGCTTGAATGCTGAAGGCTAGATGAGTGCTCAATACCCTCCACAATTGCATGGAGGATTTCATCGCGAGAGATGCTCGGCTCGACACCCTTATTCAGGGAGGATTGCGAATGCTCAATACCGTCGATAATTGCATTGAAGATCTCCTCCCGAGAGATCGGAGCAGGCTTCTCATCCTCATGCTCAGAACCAGCTAAGGTGAGAGCTCGATCACCGCCACCACCATTGGATGATTGGATTCCGTCGGCAATCGCATTCAGAATCTCGTCTCGGGAGATACTTGGTTCCTTGGAGGCTGCTGAATGTTCCATGCCATCCACGATTGCTCCCAGTATCTCATCCTTGGTGATACCAGGTTGACCATTGTTGCTGAGAGAGGCTTGCGAGTGATCGATAGCATCAACAATGGCGGTAAAAATCTCCTCGCGCGATACACTCTGCTGCACATCGGTGGTGAGGGCTGACTGCTGGGCGGTCATCGATGCCTCGATGCCCTCTGCGATGGCATTCATAATTTCCTCGCGTGAGACGTTTGTTTGAGGGGCAATGCTCAGAGCAGATTGTTGAGCATCAAAGGCTTCGTTGACGGCGTGCATGACATCGTTTCTGGAAATGTGTGGCTCATCCATCTCCTTGGCTGCAGTGAAGTGTGCCTCAAGACCATCAGACACGGCACTGACAATCTCGTCACGACCGAGTCCGGAATCAAATGAATCCTTGCTGAGTGTGCTTTGGGCCATTGAACCGGCCAATGCCCCAAGAATCTCATCACGAATGGAATTAAGGTGTCCAATATGGTTCTGGTCTTCGTCAACAGACCGAGGGGCCTCGTTGTGAAGAGCCATGGCTCCATTGACTGCTTCGAGGATCTCATCACGTAGGGAAGTCAGATGGTTAACATGTTCGTCGTCCATGGATCGAGAAGTTGTACTCTGGGCTGTCATCACTCCAGTGACAGCTTCAATGATTTCATCGCGAATAGAGTGGAGATGAGTCTCGTCCAGCGACTTGGAGCCCTCATTCAGTCCAGTCACAGCGTCCATAATCTCGTCACGGATAGCGTAAAGGTGGTTGACATCATCTTCACCAAGCCCCCTAGCGTTTGCGCTATGGGTAGCCAAGCTAGTGACAACCGACTCGAGAATCTGATCACGCATGGAGTTGAGGTGGTTGACATGTTCCTCGTCCAGACCACGAGAAGTAGGCTCAGGCTGGTTCTCCAGGCATTCCCGAATAGCCAGGATGACTTCGTCGCGGGAAATACCAGGTGGCTGTTCGATTTGTGGCGGGTTAAACTTTTGCATGCCATCTTCAACTGCTGCAAGGACTTGGTCGTAGGTGACAGACTCGTGCTGGGGCTGATGAGACTTGAAACCTTCCTCCAAACAGGTGAGGATTTCATCACGTTCCAGACCAAAGTTGTTGAATTCAATCTCTGGCTTGTAAGTTTCCCATGCCTCGCGGACTGTCTCGAGAATGTCTTCTCTGTCCATTTCAGCACCGCGGGGCTCGGCATTAGGTTGGGGAAGTTCAAGCTCATCGAGGGCTTTCTTCACAACAGAGTAAATGGCAGCGCTATTCATAGTCGATCGGAACTCAGATAGGTCGGAGGATTGTTGGCGACTCTCGTTGATAGTAGCAGCCAGCTGCTCCTTGAGGTCGTCAAGACTGCGATTGACGATGGCTGAAATTTCTTCTGGTCCAGCAGGTCGCGGTTGATCCTCGGCTTGATCGATCGCGCGAGTAGATTCGATATCGTCGAGACGTCGACCCAGTTCTCTACCCATTCCGAGAACCTCACCTCGTAATTCACGGACAAGGCTCTTGACGCCGTTGGTCATACCACCGCCTTCGATGACGCTATTCTTGACACTGTGGAGAATCGCCATAACTTCTTCGGGGTTGGATACAGAGCCATCGATCTTATCAGTCTTAGAAACATCAAGTGCACGTACAACATCTGGATTCATAGATCCCATTGACCGAGAACGCGTACCCTCGGGGTGGGCATCTTCAGGCTGGAGGCTATCGAGATTGTCGGTAATGGCACGGGATCGCACAAGGGCTTTGCTCGAAGGATCTTCTTTAACGAGATTGAGAATCTCCTCGAGCATGGCAGTAACCTGAGTGTCGGCATCCTTGTCCGAAGGGCTCGCAGCGGGACGGGATTTGATTTCTTCCACAAGCTCTAAAAGTCGTTCCTCACCTTCTTTGGTTGCCATTTCACGCAATACCTTTTCGAGCAAGGCGAGGGCGGCCGAACCGTCGGAAATCGGTGAAGGGGACACGCATGAGTCCCGGTCAAACGCGAAGGGATTAGGGCTAGGCATCCGAGGCACAGAGTAGCTTCTCTTGGACTGGGGAGAACTATCCGCATCCTTAGGGTTAGACCCATCTCCAGACTTGAAGAGAGTACTGAAATCAAACCTTGCAGCATCGGTGTCCAAATACTTGGTTTTCAGATGAGAAGACAGATCCTTGAGGCTTTTGCGGATATCTTCGTCTCGAGCGTTGGTTGCGGCCTTGAGGCTTACCAAATCGGTAGCATTGTCCTTGCTGCGTCGGCTCAAATTCATCATTTCGCGTTGAAGGCTACTTGCAATGTCGGTCAAGCTGTGAATTTGGGTTGAAAGGGAGTCCATGCTCGCAGTATTGGGGATCGAAGGTCTGGGTTCCATCGGTCCTGTAATCATTTTCGGGGGTTTAGATGGAGAAGGAGAGTCGGCGTCTATGGGAAGCTGCATATTTTGAAGAGCTAACATGGTGGCTGACGGTGGAGTACTTTCTCCTAGGATGGGTTTGGAGAGATATCGATTCGAAAGGGAGTAGCTCATGTCGCGCTCTGCATCTTGACGTAGCGCAGGGGAGCTAGTTGACTTGTTTGGATCCCGTGGTTTCGTCGGGTCAACAATTGTGGCACGAAGAGGCCTTTCAGGTGATCGATTCTCAAGATAGTTTAAGAATTCGGATCGCGTGTCTTGTCGGGTATCTTCAGGCTGGAGTGATTGCATACGTTTATGCTGGCCCTTCACCAACGATCTCTCAGGCGATGAGCCCTTGGGTGGCATGGGATTTGTTGTGTAGGAACTGGGCGTATTCTCGCTGGAGCGCTCTGTGAATTTCGCGGCAACCGCTTGAATATTGGGAGAAACATTAGACCTCGTTGCGCCAGGGCTCATAGGGCTCATTGATCGAGGATTCATTGGCAGCGGCGGCGGCGCGCGCTCAGGATCCGAGCTGTCCCACCTGCGTAGACCGCGTTTTAGCATTTGTTTGAAGTCACTCATGGATCTGATCAAGGGCATATGTCATGCGTCCTTTGCGCGAACCTACATTGGAACTTTGGAATCGGATAATGTCATCGAATGCCTAACCAATTCCCGATCACGGGGGAGATCCCTATCCTGGGGTGACATGATGTAGTTGTGAATGGATTGACAAGATGTCTCAGGCCGGTATTGACAATATGGACAACAGGAATGTAGGAGTATGCGTTCAAAGTCAAAATAAAAGCAAGGTCATCAAGGCATATCAACACAAGGGAGAAACGCTGGGAAGAACAAAGCAAAAGCAAGATAACTCTCGATGAACAATGGAGAAACACCGGGAGATCAGCTTGATAAAAGCAGGTGGAGAGTAACAGGGAAGCTGCGCGGCCTTGTACACATCACTTTGGGCCCATAGCAACGGGCGACAATGTAAACAACTGACTCAGCAGTTGGGCAGCCTTGCCCCGGGTCAGGTGACTCTGGGCGGTGAGGCCCCACATTATCTAATCACTGTTAATCCGGGCCCAATGGGGAAACAATCCTCAAAAGGGCTAGCTGCCATCTGTCGGTAAGTCAGCCAATCAAGGATCAGCACACAAATCGCTACTGTGCCCTGAAACCCTCTACCTCACACCCGAAAAAACGAACACTTCGATCGTGACCGTTCCGTATCTCGACAACCACCCAACCTCGCCGCCCCGGGACCTTCAAAATGAAGTGTACGTCTCTACCATACTACCCTCGATCTATATGCTGATGGAATTACAGTCATGAAAGTCGGCCGTGTGGCCATCATCACCCGTGGCCGTTACGCCGGTAAGAAGGTACGACAAAGATCCTGATCCCCCGATGTGAATGCGCATGGAAAGAAAGAAACGACTTGCAAGCGATGGACTCGAGAAGAAGCGAGTACAAGTGCAACGTGGTGGAAAGAAAAAAAAAAGCGCGACAAGAAAAATTTCAGAATGCTAATCAGGCATTTTCGAATTTACAGGTCGTCATTGTCCAGCCTAACGACTCTGGCTCCAAGTCGCACCCCTTCTCCTACGCTATCGTCGCCGGTATCGAGCGTTACCCCCTGAAGGTTACCCGCGGTATGGGCAAGAAGCTCGTCGACCGCCGCAGCCGCATCAAGCCTTTCATCAAGGTCGTCAACTACAACCACTTGATGCCCACCCGTTACACTCTCGAGCTCGAGGGTCTCAAGGGAACCGTCTCCAACGACACCTTCAAGGAGGTCTCCCAGCGCGAGGACGCCAAGAAGACCATCAAGAAGGCTCTTGAGGACCGTTACACCAGCGGAAAGAACCGCTGGTTCTTCACTCCCCTGCGTACGTTTACTTTGGATACACATGTCTACATTGGACAATCACTAATTGGCGAACAGGTTTCTGAACGGTTCACTTGGGCGTTTTGTCGTTTTGAGCGCACGGGTCTAGGTGAAGGCGAGGTCGAAAAACCATCGAGCACATTCGGTCCCTGCGAGCATGGGATGGGAAAACATACACCATAGCTGGAAACAGATTCGGGAATGTATCGATGAATTCCAGATTTAACGAGGGACGCCACTACAATACCTGGTGTCTGTCCGAATGAAATGGAAAATATGAACAATTATTTTCAAAATCAACGCTGTCTATTACCTGTGAAGATTTGGTCGGTTTGATTCTGGCCATGCTGAATGATGTAGAGGGAGGTTCACTGCAACCACTGTCCTCCTCGTCCTCGCGAGGGATATCCCATCCGCCATGTAGTTTTCTTCGCCACTCCCAATGCTTCACTCATCAGATGGTCCTGATAGATTTTGATTTGACCCCAACTCAACTTCTCCAGTATTGTCCGATAGTCACATTTTGATCGGCTGGCTATTATTAGACGCAAGTTAGGGCACGAGTCCAAAGGTCTAGGTCCTAAGCTCCATACTTCAAGGCAATTGATTCCTCCACAGTTCATTCACGCATGTCAACCCCACCCGCCAATATACTGAACATGATTCTGCAGCCCTTCAAGCAACCTACTCATGACCTTTGATATGTTCCCCTCGATCTCGACCAGCATTGCTATCCATGAATCTGGATCTACTCTCAAATTCCAGAGTCACCAGGAACAATGAGTCTTTCAGTCCAATTCTTTACCTGCAAAGAGCCACAACGCCATTATCACGAAGACCTGAAAGAAGACAAAGAATCCTTTGATTCAATTGTCCTTTAATTTCCCCTCAACTGGATCCAACACCTACCAAATACGTACAAAAAGGCCCTCAACCCCATCGAACAGAAAATCACGAGTACATTCAATCCCTATTTGGCAAGTATCATCTCCCACTCTCATCTATGCATCGCAGCAGGATAGCAACGGGCCACAACGCCCGGAGCCTGTCCCTGGTACGCTTGTCCTCAGAGGAAAACTGGTAGAACGACATCGACCCAGCAACCAATCTCCCTCGCGCAATTGTCCAAATGTGCACGCGTCAGGTCATGCGCTGCGAGGTCTTAAGAGAAGGCTCTGGGGAGACCGCGATCGTGGAGATTTCACGATGGGTAAGTCCAGCCTATTTCATTTAGGCATTGAGCGCTGCACAGGCCAACCATGACACTGACACCTACCAAAGCAGGTACTTTGAGTTGCATCATCGTTCTACTTGGACTTACATCCAGGCAGACCTGGAGGCCCTTGGAGATGGACCAGAGAGACTGAACTACGTTTGCCCGGCGCCGCCCTTTTCTCGCGCTTCTGTGAGCCTTTCGTTCATGAATGTGGCCGGGGATGCGGGGGTTTCGTTTCGGATTTGCGCGGCTGGAGTCGATCTTTACGTTGACTGGGGCTTTTGGGACTTGTGGGGGTTTGTTATGCATGCTGACCCTACGGTTAGTGTTCACTGGCTTTGGGCTTTTGTCCTTCGGGACGATGCGCCTTCGTTGGTTCTTGGTGGTCTCACTGCTTCTCGTTCCCTTTCGAGTATTCTCGGCCCTGGAGTGAGTCACTCTGAAAGCGTTCTTGATGTGCCTGTAGTTGCGGCTGCTGGAATCGAAGCTGAACTCTCTCGCCGTCGCCGGTTCCGTGTTGCTTTTACTAATATGTCTTATCGTCTGCGTAACAATACCGTGCGCCGTGCCTTTTCTCGTCGGTAAATCAGTGCTGCGGGTGCAAACTTGCGTGGTTGTATGCGGTACAATTCAGTGCTGCTGCTTTCCTCGTAGGTAGATCTGTGACGTTCGACTTTAACGATTTTGATGTTTGAAAGAAGTGAAAAAGCCTCCTATATTGTCAATGGCTTGAAATTCCTTGTATTCCTAGTATGATATGATTTGCTGTGTTCGAAAAAAGAACAAAAAGAGAGAGAAAAGTTGAAATCCTCTTAGAAATCTTGAAAAAAAAAAAAAAAGAGGATGAATAGACCAATTGAAGTACTACTTGTCCCGAACATTTGCTCCCGTAGACCTCCAACTATAAGTATATGCATAAAACAAATGAATGCTCCAACACGCCCAAGACAAGAACTCAACTGCATAACGCCAATCACATGATAAAAGAGAATAGCCCAAGACAAGATTCGGCCTCCATCCCGTCCTGTGGCGTGGCCTAGACAGCCCCAACAAAAAAATCATACATAACCTGCAACACCTAATGCAAAGGACATGCCCCGAAAAGCGCCTCCCTTGGCAAACATGTTGACGTGTAAGTTCATCACCCAGGGAGGGCAAAAAAGAGAGAGCAGTGTAAGCGCAAATGCAAGAAACCATCCCAAGCACGCCAATTGGCTGACCACCGCTCCCATTGGCCAAACACACCCCTACCGATATCTTTGATAAGTTCAAGAAGAGTCGGTAAACAGGAATGTAACCCGTTTGCATCGCCCCCCGATTCATGTATTCATGTGATTCTGAGTTGGCAATCGAGGCAGCACAATTCCATCATGATGGCATATCGCATGTCTCATGTCTTGCCAGATCGCGTTACAGTACTTCCAGGGTTGGGACTTGCTCATAGTGCTCACCCTATAGCGTTGTAGGCGAGTTAGCATTAGCATTAGCATGTGAGACAGGTGCGTTGGTCTCTTTGATTGGAATGTAGAATGTACGGATCACGGGCTTCCGGGATATTCGTAAGGCTGGTTCTTTCTCCCTGTCTATCGTGTACAGGGGACATGCACCTTGATAGCCGAGTTCATGCCCCCCACGCTCACCTGTCAGAGGGCTTTGTAGAGGGGTCTTTCAGGAGTAAAGTTGTGCCATTGACCAATGATGTGGGAGATGTCGTATCCTGTCTACTGGGTGTCCTGTAATGAACATGGATATAGATGTACACGTATCAGGATTTGCATCCATGAACTCAGTTATCAGGCAAGCAAGTTCGCCACTTCTACGTTGATCATCCACTGCGCGACGTTTTGCATATCATGGCTCCACGGTGTGAGGGCTATTGGTCCAGCTCGGTGAGGTTGAGCAGAAAGGGAGGGTGGGGAGATCATGATTGACGGTGAGACGGTGTAGGATCACAGGCTCAGGGTGAAAAGTGAAACAGAAGAAAAAAGACCCACGATGGAAGATCTACATAGTAGCTTAATCGAGTGGGTTGCCCGACGGGATCCCGTTTTGATTCTCATCTCCCTTCGGCTTCACTATAGGTCCTGGTCTGGTAAGCCGAGTCACAGTCCTTGTGCTTGTGCTTCTTCATGTGCTTCTGCACGTCCATGAGATGCGGAACTTATTGGTTTCCTCTGGTTGCACTGGGACTATCGGCCGCTTCTGCTTGCCATTAACCTTGGAAGTGACCTACCTAAGTAGGTAGGTATCAACCTCGGGTGAGGTAATGCTTGGAAGCACAACATCGACAAAATCGAGATTTCAGACATGCCCAGACAATTATGCTCAACATAAACCGTATTGAAGGCGACACGGGTATAAGCGCCGAGGATCGGATGAAACTGCGAATCAACCGGGTGTTCAGTGGCACGTCCCCGGGCTGCCGGAAGAACAATCTCCAATCCGGCCAGGACTAAAGTTTACGTACTTTCGGCAAAGAGAAAAAAGGGAAGAAGAGAAAGAGCAGAGAGGGGCGAAGAGCGCTCAGACCGATGTGGGTACCTCACTAATGTAGGTGTTCGACTGCCCAGGCCTTCAAGAGTCCAAACTCAGCATGGGGATTCTCCCCGATCTGGAGATAAGCACAAGGTTTCTCTCTTTCCAAGGTTCCCGCAGCGAGTCGTGATCTCAACACCAATATACAGGTTAGTATCCGCATCAAGACTCATATCAGACTCATATCAGAACTATCTCATAGATATCAAAATCAACAGACAATAGCCGCATCCGTCAAGTGGGACCAAATGCGTCAACGGTGGACCCACTTTCACATGTGAGAGAGTTGATATAACACAGTAGACACTATACACCATCATAGAGAACATGGGTAATGTTGGAGAGAGGAGGAGAAGAGAAGCTACAAAATGAAGCTAAGCGATGTAAAAATAACCCCCAAAAATCAATTCCAAAACACAAACAAACCGGGACTTGGCGTGGGCAACAAGACCAGACATATCGCACAGCGCTAAGGCCTATCACATGTGAAAATCCTAATTCGCTCTATACTCCCATTTCTACCAGTTCCTCCCTCTCTGTTCTTCTTTTCTTCTAATCCTTCTCTCTCCCTCATCTTCCCAGTGACCATCTTCATGCCACACGCAGAAACAATGGGTGAACCCACCGTCAACGGCGAGAAGCACCATTCCCAATTCCTCGACGTAAGTATACACCCGCTCCCAGATCTCCCAACCCTCCCATACAAAGACAGCCCACCAACACATCACAGCACCTCGTCTCCTACCCCCTCATCTCAGACTCCATCGACTTCTACAAGGGCAACCCCTACGGAGCCAAGTCCATCCAGTATGCCGACAAGGGCTACACCCGTCTAGCCAAGCCCGTCCTGCCCTACTTCTCCGGCCCATACAGCTATGTCGCTCCCTACTTGGCTCGGGCCGACTCCCTCGGTGACAAGGGTCTGACTGAGATCGATTCTCGCTTCCCCATCATCAAGGAGGATACCCAGAAGCTGCGTGGCTCCATCTATAATGGCGCTTCGATGCCAATTCGTCTGGCTGGCGAGGTGAAGCACCATGTCTATGATATCTATGGCTCTGAGTATAAGAAGTGTGGTGGGGATGGCGTCCTTGCTTCTGGTAAGGCCGTGGTTACCACCAGCCTGGTCTTGTCGCAGGAGTCGTTGGCTTGGATTAGCACTTTCCTCCAGACTAAGAAGGAAGAGGTGAAAGAGGCTGTGAACGAGAAGAACAGTCATTGATTTTAGATTTGTTTTCATATGTTACCTTTTGTCTTTCTCCTGTTGAGCGTTTTTGTTTTCATTTGGATTTTAGAGAAAATAATACCTCATCGTTGATCGTTCTACATGCTCTACTACATCAGTTTCTTGTCTGGTTTCGGTTTCAATTTTCAATCTCCAGATATCAGATACCAGGTCCCAGAATTACAACAGAGACCCTATTGATTAAGCCATTTCCTGACTATAGTTATAGTAAATGTTCCAAAGAAAAGAAGAAACAGGCAAAGTTATACTCCAACGCCCAAAACCACCCAAGATAAGCGCACAGACCACCTCCCGATGAGGTAAAATCATCTCGCGTCGCGTCTCACCTTCACGACAACCATGCCACGCAAAAGAGTAAGCACCCAACATCCCTCAACCATACCACCTCTCTAGCTCTCCGTATCACGCAACTAATCAAAAAAAAAAAGGTAAATCCCGATTCCACAGCGGGTCTTCCCTCCCCCCGCCGCCAAAGACAAAGCACATCCCCGACCACCTCAGACAGCGAAGATGGCGGACCCAGCGCACCCTCCAGCACAGACGCCATGGTCAAAAAGATGGTCCGACTAGCAATGGCGAGCGAATACTCCAGGCTCCCCATCCGGCGAACAGACATCAGCGCGAAAGTCCTCGGCGAGCAAGGCTCCCGACAATTCAAGCTTGTTTTCGAGCAAGCGCAGAAAGAACTCAGAGCCCGATTCGGCATGGAGATGTCAGAACTACCAGCCCGAGAAAAAGTTACCATTTCGCAGCGACGGGGTGAGTATTCAATCCGATCCTGGTCGACATTCGAGCGGTTACATTCCCTACGTTCTTTCTTAAGATAAAAAGAGTTACATGACTAACTGTGTTTTCTGGAATAGCTGCTCAGAAATCCGAAAAGACTTCTAGTACTAATAAATCTTGGATCCTTACTAGCACTTTGCCGCCTGCTTATCGGACGCCTGCTATCCTACACCCGCCCAAGGCACCCTCGACTTGGGCGGAGAGTACATACACCGGTCTATACAGTTTTATTATTGCGGTGATCACGTTGAATGGGGGGACGCTTGCAGAGCAGAAGCTGGATCGGTATCTGGGGCGTGTGAACGCGGATATCGGGACCCCGATTGATCAGACGGAGAAATTGTTACAGCGGCTGTGCAAGGAGGGGTATTTGATTCGCACGCGTGAAATGGATGGGGGGAGGAGATTGTCGAGTATATTGTTGGGCCGCGGGGCAAGGTGGAGGTCGGCAGTGGATCTGTTGCTGGGCTTGTGAGGGCTGTTTATGGGAAGGGGGGTGAGGGGGATGGGGACGAGGGCGAGATTGAGAGGATGGAGAGAGAGGACTTTGAGGGGAGGTTGGGGAGGACGCTGGGTGATCATGTTGTGCGGGGGGCAACTGGTGAGGATGCTGAGGGTGCTTCCCAGGGTCATGGGAATGGACCTGTTGAGGAGAGAAGTGGAAGGCGGTCTTCCAGACAGGCTCAAGAAGAAGAGGAAGAGGATGGGTCTGAGGAGAGTGATTGATTACTTTCCTCCCTAACCTCCGAGTCCTTGCTGCTCTTGGCTGCGCTGTGATAAACATGGATAGATACTGTACTATCCGCAACGTGATACCCAAGATACATGTCAATCAAGCAATTGTTCCATTATTCAAACCCCTATAGAGGTATTCACGTATTTTTCAAGTATTCAAGTATTTGACAAATTCCTCCGGTCATCGAATATCAGTTTCCTATGCTATATGAGAATCAACTCGATAGTATGAATCACAATGCTTGTCAGTAATTCGAGAATTTGACCGACTGACCCATAACATACTATAGAAATAAATACAACCCGTTTGAGTCAATTCGCATAGCCAAGTCCAATATAATGTTCCGTCAATATAAAGTTTACCCAGCCCAATATCCACTAGCCCTAAGTATCCTCATTCCCAAGTTTTAACAATTTCATAGACCATATAATTGTCCTGTCAAGATACACGTCTACCCGAAAGAAAAATAAAAATAAATACACCTACACAACATGAGCAGCACTCCCATTCTCCCACATTCCCTCCACAAGACTTCATCAGTGCAATGGGCCACGTCGCTCGAACACGGCACTATTAGATTCGCTTAGAATAACTTAATGGGAAAGCCTACTTGTATCTAAATCTAAATAACTCTATGAAAGACTTAGTTCTATCTGACAGTACCCAGCCGGAGAAATATACTGAACTAAGTTATGTGTACCACAATTGCCTCTTTAGTGTAGCAGGTACCTATTACAGAATAAAGTTACCGGGGCTGTTCACTCAGCTGGATGTTTCGATGACGGTTGTTAGGATCGGGGGAGTTGGTGCCAAGTTTGGGGATGGTCGGGTGTTTATCATACTACAAGGTAACATAAGCTGCCTGTATCTTCTATAGACATTTTCTTCATGTAACTTATAGCACAGTCAATATATGTATATTCATACGATAAAAACAATTATTAAAGTCAATACACGAAGAAGAAAAAGTAGCAGTTGACGATACTTTGGATCGAAAATAGCACCAGATATATATATGTCCTGTATGGGGAATGCATCCGTAGATACCAAGCCCAAATCGAGCAGTGTCTAGGTTTCCAAGCCCAGGAGCATGACATGAGAAGTAAGAAGTGAATAACGTTAGTTAAGTTAACTTATAAGAGAGAAAAAAAGCAGGTCTGGTGGGCTCAATATTACAAGTCTGCCATACTATACATGAACTTAGTAGATATGGATCAGACATGATACTGTACAATATCTCTACAGTAAGGCGATGACCTCGTAATCCGATTGCAATCCTGCAACGCAAGTGTTCGATTTAAAACTGCATGCAATTTTAGTCCGGACGAGATGGCTGGTTTGCTAGTCAGACTAGGCTGGACTAGACTACTGTTGTGGAATGGTATGAGACGGTGGCTGTTTTTACTGTTCTATTGTGTTACTTCGGGACTGGGGGGTTACCCCTCCTCTTTTCTGCATTTCTAGGTTGGATACGGGTTGGAAATAGATAGATGTGATCAAGGGGATAGAAAGGTAAACGGTACAGGTCGGCTTGACTGTGCTGAAACAGGAGAGGGTTTTGGTTCCTTGAAAGGGTGGTCTAGGTGGGCCGGTGGGATGGGAGTGGCAATCGCGCACACATGCACAAGAAATTTTCCAAGTCTCACCAAATACTCCCAAGGTTGTATGTTGACAAGGTACTGCAAGGAAAAAATATATCATCATCTACGAAAAACTACAATGTGAAGTATTGGAGACGAAAATGTATGTAGTCATTGAGCTAAACTACACGACGTCTAGCGATCCATAAAAAATGTTTTTGAAAGAAAATAAAATCATCACGGCATCTCTTGAATCATCCGAGAATCATTTATTTCTTACCAGCCTTGGCAGCGGCCTTGGTGACCTTGCCGGCACCACCAGCGGACTTCTCGACGGACTTGATGACACCGACAGCAACGGTCTGACGCATGTCACGGACGGCGAAACGACCGAGAGGGGGGTAGTCGGTGAAGGCCTCAACACACATGGGCTTGGAGGGAACCATCTTGACAATGGCGGCATCACCAGACTTGATGAACTTGGGGTTGGACTCAGTGGCCTTACCGGTACGGCGGTCAATCTTCTCGATGAGCTCCTGGAACTTGCAAGCAATGTGGGCAGTGTGGCAATCGAGGACGGGAGCGTATCCAGCACCGACCTGACCGGGGTGGTTGAGGACGATGACCTGGGCGTTGAAGGAGTCGGCGGCCATGGCGGGGTCGTTCTTGGAGTCGGAAGCGACGTTACCACGGCGAACCTCCTTGACGGAAACGTTCTTGACGTTGAAGCCGACGTTGTCACCGGGGTTACCGGCCTTGAGCTGCTGGTGGTGCATCTCGACGGACTTGACTTCAGTGGTCACGTTGGCGGGAGCGAAGGTGACGACCATGCCGGGGGTAATGATACCAGTCTCGACACGGCCGACGGGAACTGTGCCAATACCGGAGATCTTGTACACATCCTGGAGGGGAAGACGGAGGGGCTTGTTGGAGGGACGGACGGGGGTGTCGATGGCGTCAATGGCCTCGAGGAGGGTCTTTCCGGTGGACTTGCCGGACTTGGTCTCCTTCTCCCAACCCTTGTACCAGGGGCAGTTGGTGGAAACCTCGAGCATGTTGTCACCGTTGAAGCCGGAGATGGGGACGAAGGGAACGGACTTGGGGTTGTATCCGACCTTCTTGATGAAGTTGGAGGTCTCCTTGACAATCTCGTTGTAACGCTCCTCGGACCACTTGCAGGTGTCCATCTTGTTGAGGGCAACGATGAGCTGCTTAACACCGAGGGTGAAAGCGAGCAGAGCGTGCTCACGGGTCTGGCCATCCTTGGAGATACCAGCCTCGAACTCACCGGTACCGGAGGCAATGATGAGAATAGCGCAATCAGCCTGGGAAGTACCAGTGATCATGTTCTTGATGAAATCACGGTGACCGGGGGCATCTGTGGGAGACAAGTTAGCATCATGATCTAGTGTTCAACCCATCGAACCTTGATGGACTGAAGGAACGAGGAGGTAAATAGAAGAAACTTACCGATGACGGTGACCTCATACTTGCCGGTCTGGAACTTCCAGAGGGCAATATCGATGGTGATACCACGCTCACGCTCGGCCTTGAGCTTGTCAAGAACCCAAGCGTACTTGAAGGAACCCTTACCGAGCTCGGCGGCTTCCTGTAGTAGGGGGTTAGTCTGAATTGGAGATAAAATGCGTGAGATGAGGACAATCTTACCTTCTCGAACTTCTCGATGGTACGCTGGTCAATACCACCGCACTTGTAGATCAAGTGACCAGTGGTGGTAGACTTGCCGGAATCGACGTGGCCGATAACGACGATGTTGATGTGGGAACGCTCTTCCTTACCCATTTTGGCGGTTGAAAACTTTGTAGTTCTTTGGAAGATACTAGAAAGAGTCTGTAAAGATTGCTCAGAGACTACGGCAGAACGCGTAGAGGTACTGAGCACAGATGATTAGAGAGATGAAAGAGAGAAAGAGAGAAAGCAGTAGGGGGGGCAAGAAATACTCACTGTAGCAGACGGGGGAAAGAAAAAAAGTCTGTGGGAGGGGGAGGGGAAATCCTTATATGGAGGGGCAAGCGAGAGAGGCGAGTCAGCGGGGTTCAAGCCCTCTGTGGTTGGGTCACCTGATTGGCTGCCACAGTCAGCCGTGGACGCAGATTCTGCAAAGTGGGCTATTCTCAGAGGTACTGGTACTTGGTCTGCCATACTCTGCTACACCACCCTTCATGTACCACTACTTCCCTGTTTTGATTCCCTGGTTCTCTGCTCCACTCTGAGAATTTTTCAACTCCCAATCCACTCTTGAGTTACTGGGCAGCAACGCAGATTTGGGTGTGAATCTCATGGTTTGCATTGTTTACTTTGCGCTTTTTTTTTTTTCCTTTCTTGCGTGGTGTCCCTAGTGGCTGGTAACCTTATGATCGAGTTTCTTTTTTTTCCTTGACCCCGCCATGAGGGGCATTTGTTCACCGCCAACCTGTCCCGCCATGTTATGCAGATGGGACTTTTGTCTTCATTTTGGGATTGGATTTTTTTTGCCACAGATGATTCATAGAAATTGATATCGGCTTTGTACGGACTACTATCTACCCGTAGTAAGTGCACGGGGCAATTTCGACTCATTTCACGGGTATGTTGTGTAAGGCTAAAACGCCGAGAAATGATAAAGCAAAAAATAGGAAAAGGAAGCTATCCTAAAAGGGTTCCCGCAATCTGTGCGATGGATAGTGACGTCGATCAATTTGGGTATCTGGATATCTTTTTCCATATATGCGCCATTTGCTCCAAATGCTAAGAACACAATAGAAAAATAAAGAAAAATCGACCAAAAAGGAATGGAGACATGTACAGCACCGTGTCCCGTGTTGATGCCCAACTCTAATTTTCTCTCCACCGTGCACCACAGGAAGTACACTGAGCCTGTCAGAACCGGGTACCTCACACAAGCAAGGAGTAGACTTACCTTCAAGAATGTAGTCATAGGTTCATCTGCACTGCGAATCTGCAGCTGGAAGAAGTATGCACGTTCCCCGTTGCAGTTCTCTGCGGGGCATTGAGCTGTGAAAAAGAAACGGATTAGCCTCTGTCCTGAATCTTCGTCTCTTCATGTTGGGCCTTGCTGGGTCGGGCAAAAGTCCTTCAAGCTCTTCTCATAACTTACTGCCCACACTGTCAGCGTTGGCAAACTCCTCTTTGCCTCCAAAGACATCGTCCACCTCCTTCTGCTTCATGTCTGTCTTCTCAAACCATTGTTTGTCTAGCGGGGCTTCGTAGGGACAGGATCGACACTCAAAGCGGTTCACACCCATCGGAAAGGCATTGCTCGAGTCAGCACGGGAGATAGTCAGCGCATTGCTGCAGTTGGGGCAGACTGGAGAGAAATGTCAGTTTCTGCAGACTCGCCGGATAACACTCGACGCTCGGCGTGGGGGAGGAGGAAACATACAGATCAACATCTTGCCGGTGTCAGCTAGAGTCTGTAATATGTAGTAGCCGGATATCACCCAAGAACTGCGTGCAGGACAGCCTCACTGCTGTAAACTCAAGCGCAAAGCATCACCGTCGATGCCGAATCTAGGCGCGCGGCTAATCAGCGGAGTACGGGAAATCCTTGATCCGATCGGGCCGCGCGTGGGATGTTGTCCCTGGGGAACAAACTCCGGGAGTGTAGAAGATACACCGACAATTATTCGATTCCACTATTCTGCTTGTACATATTCTATTCTGCTGTTCTGCCGACCAAACACCAACCACTCAGAACCCTTCGTGATCCACGCTCCAACTAGCTCCCGCGTCCCTTACAGCGAGCCCCCTCCAACTACTTGCATTCGCTGCCGGGCAATCCGGACCAAAGCATAGACAATATGGCTGATGATGTGAGTACTGAGATGCAAATCTAGTCTGAAACACACCCCCTAACAGGTATAATCTAGGGTGCATCACCCCGCGAGCTGATCGTGGAAGCCTGCCGCCGCGACCAACCTCACCTAATTGAGCAAGTCCTGCATGACATGGAAGAACAATCAAACGAGCAAGTCGCAGCATTCTTCAATGGAGTCACAGACACGATGGGAAATCACGCTTTGCATATCTGTGCCCAATACGGCAGTGGTACGTTCTCCCCCTCCGACATGGATATACACCTATAAACAAGTGGTACCGTCCGTGCCTACACCCCATCGATCTATACCCCCATCCCGCACCTACCAGACGAAGCCAAGCATATCTAACAATCCCCAGGCGAGACAATGGACCACCTATTTGACATCCAAGGCTTCGAATGTGACCCCAAAAACCGCCTGGATGAAGACACACCACTGCACGTCGCAGTGCGCTACGCCGTGGAAAAAGACCGCGAGGTCGGCACTGAAATTATCGAGATGATGTGCGAGGCTGGTTGCGATCCCCGCGTGCGTAATAAGCATAATCAATTGCCCAGTGAGCTGGCTGGGGGCAACAATGAAATCAAAGCGATTCTGCAGAAGACTGCTTATATCATGGCCGAGGGTCTACAGAGTAACGGCGATGGCGCTGAGTCGGATGGTGGGTCGGACACTGATATGGAATAAAGCATATGAGGGGAGAGGATGATGCCTGTTTCATTCTGAGCATTTACTCTTTGTTTTTGTCTTTTTTTGTCTTGTTTTAATCCTGGTGGATGGTGTCTTGAGCTTTAGATTTGGCCATATCCAGTTCTATGTTACGATTATCACGAATACAGTCCAGTTTCTAAGTAAAGCGTTGGTTTGTTGATTCCGTGGGTTGGGGGTATATCGAGGTGTATGAGTTCTTCAAAGAGCAAAGGGTTCCAAAGCTAAGGTATGTGGTTTATCTATAGCCAGGACATCTAGACTACCGCATACTAACAAGCTTCTCCACTTGGTTCAGCCATTTGTGAGAGAATTCCTCCTCAGTGAACCGGCGGGCTGAACGACGAGCCCTTTGGCGCATGGCGATTTTCTCTGCCTCCGGAAGAGCAAGCGCAGCCTCAAAGGAAGCAGCAAACTGCTCTTCTGTTTCAGCTCGGAAACCCGTGGCACCATCGCCCAGGTCAATGACGATGTCTTCGCGAGGACCGCCCGAGTCGTGAGTTACGCAGATGAGGCCTGCAGCTTGGTACTCGACAACACAAATACCAAAATGTTCATTCCACATAGCGTTGACGCCGACGGAAGCTGTGCCGAGATGGGACAGCACCGCTGGCCAAGGGGCATCGCATAGGAAAGTGGTTTGGTCGCGGATGCGGAGTTCGTGTGCTAGCAGCCGCAAGTTATAGATGTGTGTTTCGTCTGGGCTGGCGTGGCGGACTGATCCGATCAGCACGAGGCGTGGCTCGGGTTGGCCCGCGCAGGCTGGGTTGTTGGCTCGTTCTTGGAGGAATCGTGCGAAAGAACGCAGGACTAAGGGGTGGTTCTTCTCTGGCCGGAATTGCGCGATGTAGAGCAGGACGGGCTGGCGAGATTTCTCACTCTCTGCATCGACGGCAATGGTTGATTCCAATTCTGACACTGCCGTTGGTGGGAAAACTACCGCCGGGGATGATGGCGTGCCTTCATCGCTGCTGATGTCCTTCTTTCCAGTACTCCAAAGCGAACGGATATGCGCTGCTGTCCAGGACGAGTTGCACATGACCACGTCCATCTGCCGGCCTACCCAGCCATACAACATTGCGAACAGCTGCCAGTATCGACGCTTGATCTTGCCCTTCCAGCCATGTCCGGCGCCGGAATTGATGCCCTGCACTCCGCTCTGATCGTCGAGCGAGGCTAGCATATCGGTTGAAATAGTCGGGTAGTGGACGTAGGCGCCAACAGGCACCGTGGGGAAGAGCCACTTGCACAGAGCGAGTGTAAAGGCATATCCCATGGTGTCGATAAATACATCTGGCACGAGGAGTGTGAAGGCATCGTAGGCAACAATCAGAGATCCGAGTGACTGTCCGAGCAGCGTCATATATGGATATGAGCTGCTCACAACGTATTTGCGAGTTGTCAAGTAAAGAAGCACGACCGTCGGCGCATGAAGCTGAATGTTGAACCGGCTCTCTACCTTCTCAAGCATGGTGGCCTTGTTGACTTCATGATCACCTGTATAGATGGCGCAGATCGCCTTTGGCCAGCGCTTCTGTGTAGCGCGCACTGCTTCCCAAAGCACCCGTTCTCCACCACCGCCGGCATTACTTTTGTTCGATCAGTATTTGCATCGACATGTTATGGAAAGTGGCCATACCAGAATGGGTGGAAGAACCCAATGATCCCATCCCAGTCATCCGAGTTCCTGTTCTTGTTTCCTCCGGCACTGCTACTGCTTTCACTGCTAGTCGCAGTTTGCACCCCGCCAGGGCCCAAGCTGTCCACCTTTTCCCAGTCCTCATCTTCGGCGCCGTTCCGCGATAGTGAGTTTGTTGACACCTTTGGCCGAGGGGCACGGGACTCTTGCTCTTCAGATCGCGCCCGCGCGATCACGTATTCACGGCGAGACCGTGTTCGCCTCCAGATCAGCCATCCCGCTCCCCGAAAGACCAGGCCGAGCACAGCGCCTGTTAGCTTCGGAAGCAGGACGGCCGTGGCGGTGACGAGCAGGACAGCGAGAATGGCGTTGGAAATGAGGGCCATGGTTTAAAGGCAATATTCGAAAGAATCTCACCAGAGATCACACATAGTAAAAGCTTGACAAGCCAGAAATCTGATCAGAAATGCTTCCCCCTCTCTTGTCAACAGGTTGATCAGTCGGGCGACGTAAGTTACATACGCATCACATGACACCCGTTTGATTCTCCAATTCCGCTCCGAAAGCTTCAACATTCTTTGCATTGGTTGCTGAGCCCACCATGTTTTCCCTTCGTCCAACCTCCCTGCACTCGGTGCGGCGCGCTGTTCAATTATCTCACCTACCTCGCCCACAGATTCGACACTTCCACCCGACGAGACCAGCGTCCTTCTCGGTAATCAATATTGCACTCGACACCTCCAGCGCATTCATTCATGGTGTCCACACCGTAACCTACCTGCCTTGGGTACTCTCGATTCCCCTCACAGCCGTGATAGTCCGTACATTCGTTGCATTGCCCCTTCAAATATTCACAAAATACCATGCAACTCGAGAAAAGCGCCTCTCCCCACTTCTACAATCATGGGCTGCCCATTATCAAGCAGACGCGCGCCGGTTCGCCAATGTCACGGATGCTAAAAGATATCTCAACTCGCATATGACGAAAAGGACCCTTAGCCTCCGCAAACACTGGAAAGTCAATCCATTCTACCGACCGGTAACATTCCTACAGCTCCCCGTCTTCTTAACGCTGATGGAGAGTCTGCGCTGCATGTCTGGTAATAACAACGGTATTCTTCTCCGGCTTCTATCATACTGGGAGGGCTCCGCGGATCCTACACAGGCACCCCAGTCACTCCACCTGACCATCGAGCCCACTCTCGCGACAGAAGGCGCGCTCTGGTTCCCGGATCTGTTGGTTGGTGACCAGACGGGTATCCTACCTGTCTTGCTGACAGCTTCAATTCTACATAATGTCACCTCGAATTGGAAGAAGAAGACTTTGTTGTCTGTTGCTGATCTGCCCTCCTTGCAGATGTACAAAGAGTCTTTCTTAATTGGTCTGCGGAGCTTTGTTCAGGTCATGGCTGTTTATGTTGGTACTGCTTGCTTCTTCTCCCAGATTCCTGTTGCTCTACTGCTTTACTGGATCACGAGTACCAACGTTGCAACGTTGCAGTCTTGGTATCTAGAGCACCGGGTATTCAAGACTAGGAAGCTCGAACAGTTCCAGAAGAAGTACATTGAGTTTAAGAAGGAGGGTGTAGATGATCCCTTCCAGCTGAAGAATTTGCGCTGATATGGGGATTTTGCTAAACTTGAAATGTGATGAATCTCCGCGCCTATGAGGTATCATTTCGGAACCTCTTGCCGATTCTTCTGCTATCCAAGATTCTTAACTCGACACTATGGCAAAAGCCAAACTTTCGACCTCGTGTCCAGGCCCTGGCTGGCTGGCCCAATGCGAACTGGATGCGTACAATATCTTCTAAAAGATGCAATATGCCTGTGAACATATTGCGTTGATTTGTTTTGAAAGTGTACATCAACACAAGCAATGCTTGATATTTTACCTTCACATTGCTTTATTCTTCTACATCATGTACAATATTCTACTTATGTTTAAATATCATACACAAATGGCACTAAATGAACCTTCCAGGTCTTGAGGGGAAGCAGCAGATGAAATTAGTGAAAATTTGATTCTGAATCTATTGGCCTGCTGTAAATCCAGTAATACCACGCCAAAGACAGCCAATGGCTGTATAATATCGCAAAGCATATTGAACAGCCCACAACTATCCATGATAGAATGCCAGGAAAAGAGAAGCTACCAGAAACGCCTAGAGCTTAGACTTGAGGGGGTCTTCCGGAGCAGTTGCCTCCTGGTTAATTTCAACCGTACGCGAGTCAGGGCCTTGGCCGAAGAAGATGACCTCGACAGTGACATCGTCACTAAATAAGAGGGAGGTTAGCACGGCATCCAGATAACACCAAAGGAGAGACTGTCACTTACCGGTATCGGCGAGAGTAAGGGCTGGGTAGCGTCAATAAAGCACAAACCATGTCCTTATCCTTTCCGCCCATGGCGTTCCGCACAAGATGTGTGGCAGCGTTCTTGTCCTCGACAACAAAACGGCTAGCGGCACCAGAGATATCGTATTGCTGTTGACGGATAGGTCGGCGCTGGCCTTCACCCGATGCATCAGTTGCGGATTCGACGGGCAATTGCTTCTGGCTATCGAATCTGAACCAGCTCTGCAGCCAGGCTTTGCTGGTACCAGTGCTGGCAGCGGCAGAATGCTGTTCTTCAACCCACTGTCCTACCAAGCCGACAACTTCCTCATTGCTCAGCATTTCCCACAGGCCGTCAGTCGCCATGACAATGAAGTCACCCTTGGAGGGATCCACCTTGGTAGTGGTGATAATAGGCTCGGCAGTAACGTAGGGAGGGGTCTTCAGCAGAGGACTAGGAGTACGCCCGAAGAACTTTCCCTTGATCTGATCCTGGATTTCCCGGGTCCATTTGTAGGTAGCGTCACCGAAGGAGCGACTAGGCTCAAGCTGGCCGAGGATGCGGCCGTTCTTGGTAGAATATGGCTCGCCGGGGTGCTCTTCCTGAATACGCTTGATCTCTGATGGAGTTCCACCGGTTTGATCCTCAGAAAGAGCTGTGGCAGTCCACTTACCGCTGGGGCCACGACGGCCGAGAACTGCACGCGAATCACCTGCAACCGCGACCTTCAGGTCCTTGGACTGGGAGTCGTAGAAGCTGAGAAGAGCACATGATCCAGAGAGAGCAGGAGCAAGGAGCTCAGCAGCAACTCGTCGCGACTTAGCCTTGAAGACTTCCTTGACACTCTCGTTCACAATGTCATTGTCGAGACGGACGAAGCCTTGCTTGATAGCGGCATCGATAGCCTCGGACGAGGGAACCAAAAGCGAGGGGTCTGCAGCAGCAGCTTTGTATGTGGTGTTCAATTCACGAGCAACGTATGAGATCAAAACATTGCGCAGCTTAGCCGACGTTGTCCAGCCCCTGATTCATGATTAGTTTCGCTAGTTTCAATATACCGTGGACACAACATACGAGTGACCATCAAATACTGCCCAGAACATCCAATCACTGCTTGGCTCGCCATCCGTGACAGCAGCTACGGAGGCTGGAATTTCGACGATCTTCTCCGCATGGTCATCTTCAATGGGCGAGTTGCTCGGAACCTGAACGATATCGTAGCGAACAACGCCCTTACCTCGGTTGACCAAGTACGACTCCTCATTTTTGCGAAGCTTCTGTGTCGCTTGCTCCGGTGTCAACATCTCGAGAACTCCGCGATCTGAATCGTCGGTGGTCTTGGCAAGCGGTTGGTCCCCGGAGAGTGTAGCAGTGTAGAATTGGTCGTTGCTGACTAGCAGCGCACGGCGCGCAGGCTCAGCTGGGTTTTCAGCGTAGGCGGAGTTTATAGCACTCGAGGCGAATCCTCGGAACTGGGATGCTGCAGACTTGATGCTGTCGCCCTGATACGCATACCACGCCCCAGAGGCAACAACAGTCGAGATAACGGCGAGGGAGAGATTACGGCGATGCATCGATGGCTGGATTGCTGCCGGGGAGGTTGAGCGCTTGCTGCCCGAGTATGACCGAAGACCTCGTAGCTGGTTGTGAGTGAAGGACAATGGGGTTGGCCGCTTAACGGCTACGTTCCATACCGGGGCACGCCGAGCAGTACGGCAGGCCTGAACAGTCGCCTGACGCATTGAGTTAGTGAATAATTTTGCAACTGAAGAATCTCCTTGCCGTCTGCAAAGGAAATAACAGCTCTGAAACTGAATGCACAGGAAGCTTCTCAAGGAGCTGGAGTGCTCAGTATGGTGTCACGTGTGGATGTTATCGAAACACAGCGCTAGTCCCGATGAAGATGTGTCGTCATTCCCCGCGGATTTGCTGCGCTTTGCTTTCACCTCGACTTTTTTTTTTTCTAACGTCCACAGGCCTTGGCCTCAGCGCGCAATAATGTCTTCACGTGCGATTCGGAAACTACAAAAACTGCGTGATTTGGAACAGCTACAAGATGCCGAAAATCAAGATGAGTCAAGCGAAGATGAAGCCCCGCGCCCCGCGAAGCCCAAGTTCAATGCTTTCGATCTGTTGAATGCCGAGGATGAGAATGAAGATGAGGAGGAAGAGGAAGAAGAACAAAATGAAGAGGAGCCTGTCGAAGAAACAAAGCCCGAGCCCGCACCTACGAAGCCCAAAAAGGCCAACAAGAAAAAGAAGAAGAAGAAGGCACCCAAATCCTCCGAACCGGTCGACACTCCACCCAAATCCAAGGATGCAGAATTGGATGAAATTGATAGAGCCCTCAAAGAGCTATCAACAGGCGGTCAATCGTTAGTCGGTGCAAATCTATCGGGTGCTTCCAGAGATGCCCGCGGAGTCTCTTTCCCCAAGACCACCAATGACCTACTCGGTATCGATCCCAAATTCCTCAATGCGACAAACGAGATGCGCCGCCTCTTTGGAAACGTTGTCTTGGAGAACTTTGATTCACCAGCCGATAGCGGATCAGGTCGCCGCCGTGATCGCAATCGAGAGATGGTTGATCTTGCTCAAGCCTTGACGGGAAGGTACAGTCCAGCCAGCAGGGGCCAGAGTCTAGGTGGAGTCACACTACGCCGGAACATTCTCATGCAGGGCAAAGATGAATGGCCCCGTGCGCCGAGTGGAGGACTGGGCATGGAGACGGTAGAGAAATTTACCACGGGAGAGACACTCTACCGACTAGTGCATAACACCGCCTATCAGGATGTACAAAGGCAGTTTGAGCTCTGTGTCGAGTCAATGGATCCCCAGAGACTCATTGGGCACCTCCAGTACAACCCATACCACATCTCCACGCTGCTCCAGGTGTCAGAGATTGCCAAACACCAGGGTGACCACGCTGTTTCTGCTGATCTAATGGAAAGAGCTCTTTTCAACATTGGAAGATCGGTGCACTCTTCTTTTGCAAACCGCCTCAGGGAAGGTGAAGCCAGACTTGATTTCATCCATGCCGAGAACCGAGAGCTTTGGCTTGTGGGATGGAGATACATCTCCAACCTCGGAATGAAGGGAACTTGGAGAACTGCGTATGAATGGGCCAAGCTACTCCTTAGTCTCGATGACACCGATCCGTACTGTATGAAGCTACTCATCGATCACCTCGCACTCAGAGGTAGAGAATATGCACAATTTGTGGATCTATGCACGCAGACACGTTTCAGTCGAGACTGGGCCGACCTCCCTAACATCCAGTGCTCGCTAGTTATGGCATACCTTCGGCTGAACAAGCCCCAGGACTGTCGTCGGCAGCTATCACTTGCCATGTCCCGCTACCCGTGGCTATTCAACAGGCTAGCACAAGAACTTGATCTCCAGCACATCCCCAAGCAAATCTGGGGCAAGATACCTCCTACAGGGTCACACGAACTGCTCACTGAGCTCTACATTGCCCGTGCCAAGGATCTCTGGAACACGCCAGAGGCTGTCTCTCTCATCATGGAAGTGGCAGACACTCTCTCCGACAAAGAACAGTCCATCGAAACACCAGAAATCACGCTGGATATTGCTCGCCATGTAGTGCTGTCTGATCTCCCCAAGGTGACGACCCACCTTCCGAACCATTTTGTGGCTGGTCGACTGTCATCCTCCGACCCTCTTCCCCCTTACGAGTCTGAAGCTTATCGTCAGCAATCCGAGCCTGCTCCCGTCTACGCAGCTCCTGCTGGTGGTGGCGAGAACTGGTTACAAGATCTTCTGGGACAAATCAACGGCGCCGGTCTCCGTCTCCCGCCACAAGATGAACTCCCTCAGAACCAAGGCTTCGATGATGAGCCGGAAGAAGAGCTTGACATGCCACGCTCTCGGCCTCCACTTGGCGATCCCTCGGCCCTTGAACTTTGGCTCTCGCGCGAGGGCTTCCAAAATCTTCGCATCTTTTTGAACCAGTATGGTGTTGACCGTGGCAATTGGAGTGAAAATGTCGTGGACTATGCACCCTTGACTAATTACCTCGAGGCAATGGTGATGATCTCGGCGACAGCTCGCCAGCAATTGCTGGATGGCGTTATCAAGGAATCTCTTGGTGACTTCGTTGTCAGTATGCTTGAAGATGAGATTGCGATGATGTTAGATGGGGACTCGGATTCATAAAATCATATATTACAAGCCGGGTACATTAGAAAACAATGCCAATAGCAATTTATCGATTATATCAACTGCTTATTCTTGTTTTGAGCTGAATCTCAGCATTTCACTCTCAATCGGTGATCATGGGGCACTCTTTGTAAACAACAATCCTCTGGGTGGTGAGGTATGGAATATATATATTTGGCCCTAAAAGCCTGGCGGCAAGCTCCGAACATTGCGGGATTGCACCAACAACCAGCCGTCTATACATATGTCAAATGCCCACAGGAGCAGCATATGCCTCATAGGCATGCAGCTTCCCTGTACCAGCATGAAGACAAACACCTCACGTGGGAATGTCGAAAACCCTGCATGCCAATAAAGCGCATCTCATTGGCAGGGAAGCCCAAGTTGCGGTTCATGCGCATCATCCCGCACTGACAGGCTGACTCAGCTTGCATCGTTTCAAATTCTCAGACCCTGCAAGGTTTTTTTTCGGAATAACTCTGCATAAAACGAAATATTATTTGACTGTTGATCACCTAGAGCTCTGAAGCTCTTGACGACGTTCAAATCTCACAGTTCTCCCCCAATTTATGTGCAGTGCTGGGACTACCCCGGGAGTGGCCCAGATTGTGTCATAGTCTTATCTCTCCAGGGCTCCCGCGCAGATTTCTCTCCTTCAACTCCTCGAAGTCATACAAAATGGTACTCACCATGGGACACGAATCCATACCCCTGACAGCCCGCGAAGCTGCCTCCGGCCTTCTAGGATCAGTATCCATGACCTGCTGGATTTTCCTCCTGGTATGTGTGCGACTTGCGCGAGGCACGCGATGAACCAGACCCATGCAGCAACGAAGAAAAGACCTAACAAAGTGAACCCAGGTCCCGCAGCTAATCGAAAACTATCGCAATGGCAATGCCGAAGCTATCTCTCTTCTCTTCGTCTTCGTCTGGTTCGTCGGTGACGTAGCAAATCTCGCTGGCGGCCTACTCGCAGGTCTCGTGCCCGTGATTGTCGCTATCGCCATCTATTTCTGTATTGCAGACGGCGTTCTCATCGCCCAATGCTTGTACTATAAGGCGCGCAACTCCCGCCGGGCAACTATCCACCGCCGACGCTCGTCTACTGAGACCCCCGACCCTACTACCCCGCTATTGGGTCGTCGCTTCAGTGATTCACTCGGACACGGTGAGTCGCGGCGTCGGTCTTCTGGATCACTGCGTGGTATTCCGGGTATGGGTCGGCGTGAGAGCCAGGTTGAGGACACCTTGGCTAAGATCGTTGAGGAGAATGACTATGGCCGTAAGGCGTGGATCAAGAACTTTGCCAGTGTTCTTGGTATCTTCCTTGTTGGTATGGCTGGTTGGACTATGGCCTGGAAGACGGGCATGTGGGCGCCGGCGCCGCAGGAGAATCACAGTGGTTCTGAGGAGGCTACTAGTGGCTTGATATTGGGATATTTCAGTGCTGTCTGTTACCTGGGGTAAGCATATATTTCGCGATTGGAAGGTGAAGGATTGATATTGACATTCTCTTTTTTGCAGAGCGAGATTGCCGCAAATCTATAAGAACTACAGCGAAAAGTCTTGTGAAGGTATGTACTTCATCTCTGAATGTATAATTTATGGAGCAGATATCAACATGTTTCTTAGGTCTCTCACTTTTGTTCTTCATTCTCTCTCTTCTGGGCAATTTGACATATGGTGCAGGCGTAAGTCTGATCTGGAATCCATCCTAACAACCCTGAATTGAGTCGCTAATAATAAATATAGATCCTCTGTCATTCCACAGAGAAGCAGTACTTCCTCACTAACCTCCCATGGCTGATTGGTTCCTTGGGAACAATGGTCGAAGATGTGGTCATCTTCATTCAATTCCGCATCTACGCCCCCCAGGACCAGCGTCAGTCGGCGCTTTCATAGTTCTGAACTTTTGGATGTTGGGTTTTTGTTTCAACCATAGCGACTTTTGTTTGTTTCTATACTTTCGACTGCGAAATTGAGCTTGTGCCATGTAGCTTTGAAAGTGAACGAATTTTCTGGATTTTGGGGTGTTAGGCTAAGATGACAATGAAATGGTGCTTTTGTTAACAGGAAACAACTGTTGTGGTAGACGGAAGTATGATTTTTACAAAGTAAATACTCAAAAGTACAGACCCAGTTATGAGCTTTAAAAATCCAAAGCCAAATGGCCCCACAGCCCTAAATAGTCAAAAAAAATAACGAGGGCACCAGGGCAAACAACCAAGTACGAAGCTACAAACTCGGTATAGTGAAATGACCGGGGACTTGAGAACCGTGCTTCGAGGTCCGCAGCCCCAAGTATCAGTGCACAAGATCCACATCGAAAGATCACCATAGCCTTACGCCACAAGGTTTACAACTACACAAGCACTCCACATAAGAATCAGACGGCATTCGTTGGTTCATGGTCGCATGACAGACATAAAATGAAAGCCGAGCAGAACTAAGCTAGCAGATCCGTGGAGGGCAAGAAAACGCATACATCTACCCAGACCAAAACTGTACGAGTTGATCATGGACAAATCCGAAAGTGTGCCAAACGTCTTTCTTCAATTCCCCTATAATCCTGGAAGCAACAATAGTTTCGGAGTCGCAACGGTATCCGATCGAATCTACCTCGGCCACATTATGACACAAAGGCACACCGAGCACCCAGTCTCCATTGAATGTCCTTGTCCGTTTGAATTCTTTTGCTAATTTTCTTTTTTTCTTCCCCGGGTTCTAGGTCTTCGTAGTGGGGGTCGTGGAGTATCGAGTACAAGAGAGAATCGTCGAGGGAGCCGGCAAGCGGCAGCGGGAAAAGAGGCGTGGGATAGAGAAAAAAGGAAACGAGTTCAAATTCGATACGGATGTGATACGCTTAGTCGAAGAGACCGAATCCCATGTCCTCATCGGATTCCTCCTTCTCTGTAATGGGGTTAGCATCCCTGGTTTTGTGTGTATTGCATTGTGTATGCTTACCCTCTTCCTTCTCCTCCTTCTTCTCCTCAGCGGGAGCGGCAGCACCACCGGCAGCGGCGGCGGGGCCAGCGGAGGCGGGACCAGCGGAGCCGACGTTGGTCAGGAGCTCCTTGATGTCCTTACCCTCGAGGGCCTATAGATTGCAGATCGCGTCAGTTACTGGATCTCAAATTGTCGCGCGTCGCAATCGGACGATGTGATGTTGGCGCAGAGGACGGTGTAGGTTCAGGTATTTACCTTGGCGAAGATGGAGGCCCAGATGGGCTCAACCTCGGGAACCTTAGCGGCACCAATGAGGGTCTGGATCTTGTCGGCCTGGATAAAGATTTGAGGTCAGTTACTGTTGTTGAAGTATTGACCCAAATGTAGCTTTGCTGCAGCTTTTCGTGTTCCTCCATGATTCATTTTCACACACAAAATCGATTTTCATATGTAATCTTGAACCATTCAATGTTCCAACGAGATCATGGAATTTTGGATACGTACGGAGACCTCAATACCATCATCGGCCAGGATGAGGGCGGCGTAAGAGCAGGCGAGCTCGGCGGTAGACATTTTGTCGACGGGTGGTGTTGACCGGACTGGGTGTCTTGAAGAGAGTTGGGGATGAGAAAGAAGAAGAGAGGAGAACGCCAATGATAGACACCCGAACAGGGCAAACGCGCCGTGTGTGGGAAAAAGCCCTCGCTTAGGGCTTGGTCTAATCGGGACTAGTCTGTTCCCCTCCTCGTGACTTGGCACTAAACCACAAACGGCACGATTCCAAGTCACGTGCCGAACAGAAGAGGCTCCGTCATTCTGATCAGAGAACCTTGGATTACAAGGAATTAATTTCAGTACGGCGTAATACACACTACTCTCGCCTTTACTCTGGGTTACCTGCCTGTATTTCCATTGGATAAGACTATTCCTGAACATCTAGCATCAGATCTTTTAAGAGGCTGCATGTTATTCTCGATAAATAAACCTCCAATATTGAGTGATAAGTTATGTAGCCGTACCAAATGGCAGACTCATTAACTGCTTGGTCAATCGAGGGAAGAAAGGAAACGTAAACTTACATTACGACCGAATTGAGGGGATTGATACCTGAGGCGTGAGGCTTCGAATGCACCTGAGCACCGCTGACATAATTCCGTATCTCCGCCCCGGCGTATCTGCTATCAGTCCATTCATCAATTGACATCACATCTCGGTGGGGTTCGAGCATACTGTTCTTCTCATTTGTTCTTACTCTCAAAGCCATATTGCTCGTCGATCTACCTTCGTGCTTCCACGACTATTCCGAACATTCCAACTTACATATTTCTCTCCATGGACTCCCCCGCTATCCCGGTCCCGCTGGATCCGCGGGAGCAGCCCATCCTCGAACGCTTGCTCCGAACTCGCGATGCGCTCTTGCTCATCAAGCAGGATAAGTCCTCTTACATCAAGTCTCGTGATGTACTGCCCCTTTACGAGGAGGTGATTGCGGAAGTTGAAAAGCTCAATGCTGCCCGCAAAGAACCCGAGCGCCGCTTGGTACACAACCGCCGTGAGTCTTGGAATGCGCGCACTCGCTCTTGAGACTAGCTGACATGTGATTACAGTGGACTATGTCTTGGATGATTGTTTCCAGCTGATCTCACTCCTGTTCTTGACAGTCGGGCGAAATAATGAAGCTCCCGCAGTGTAAGATCTAGAGCCTTCTACCCCGCTGTGTTGAGGTAACTGACATTTGGCTAGGTACTCTTTGGCAACTACTATTCAGGTATGTTACCAAACGCTTATTTTCAGCTTTAAGTGATGTTCGCAATCTCGATACTGACCAGCTCCAGCGTTTACTTGACCACCTCAAAGAAGCCGGATTCTACAGCTCCAAAGACTTGAACTCGATCACCAAGACCCTGGAGTCTACCCGCGAAACTCTCGAGCGTGGCCGCGATACCTACTCTCCAGCTCTTCTTACACTTTTAGAGAGCCGCTTGGAACAATGTGAAGTTTCTCTGGATAATTTGCAAAAGGGTCTTGCCGTTCTGGCTCCCTCTTTGGCACAAACGCATGAGACGTTGGTCTCAATTTTGCGGTCAACATCCGCTGTCAACACTAGAACGAAGGTTTGTCCTCAAATGTATTAACTATTCGAACAGAAGCTAACTGACATTTCCTTTTCATAGTTCTCAGCCTCCGAGGTTAACAGTCTTCGCGAACAACTGAAGAAGATCGAAAAGGGAACACAGGATGGAAACTTCGTGAACGCCGAGGGAAATATCCTTGCAGGACAAGACGAACTCAAGTCCTTGATCCAGCGCTGTTGGCGATGGACTGAAATCGTCTTGGAGCGGTACGTTGAAGAGCACCCCAGGATTAATGGATAATTGCTGACTCGAAACAGAGAGGGCAAAATCGACGAGCGTTTCCGAGAGCAGTACGAGCGTTTGCTGGAAATCAGAAACCAACTGGATCGCTTGTCCGTAACCCAGGCTTGGTCCTTGCGCGAGACGGATCTGTTCGGTTTCCAGCGCAAACTTGACCGAATTGACGAGGCGCGGGTTGGTGGAAACTTTGTTGATGCTGAGGGCCAACCTGCCGATCTTCATGCGCAGCGGGTAAGAAATTCCACACTTCGATTGTTCTTTTGACCGACCCGACTAACCGATATCAGACATTGTTGTACCTCATTCGTCGCAGCTATGCTTATATTTATGCCCTTCTCATTTCATCGGAGCCCGTATCTGAAGCTCTTCTTCCGGTCTACAATCAACTTCAGACCCTTCGTCGGTGCTTAATTGAGGTCAAGGAGTCTGGAGGAGTCGCCAATTCTCGCGAACTGTACCCATACAGCATGAAGGTGTGTATCCACCCTTGGATTTCTTCTACAATTGCTAACCAGATCAGCTCAACTCAATTGACAACATGCGTGTTGACGGTAAATTCTACGTGGGACCCGATATCCCAGAAGGCCAAGGCAGTGTGAACAACTTGCTTGCCGAATGCTACGATTTCGTCTGGGAGCTCCGCGCCGCAGTGGTCGAAGAGGAAGAACAATCCTAGATCTAACCGGCCGTCTAGCAGTTTTACACCCTTTTCTTTCTACCCATCTGTTTTACTTTTTCCGTATCTCACGAATGATTGGCCATGGATTTCCTTGCCATACAGTGGTCTTTGGTTGTACGATCAGAGTCGCAGTTCTTCTCTTCTTGTTATGTTACGATAGGCGTTTGAGGTGGAGGCTGTTTGCGCCGATATGGCATTGACATTATCTTGGGGACGGGGATACTTTGAGTCCTTGTGTTTCTACTTCGAGCTTAATGTACCCTGTTAATGATGCTTTACCTGAATATTCTTTCAATTTTTCTAGAGCTGGAAAAGAAGCTATGAGTTGTAGATACAATAAGCATGTAGTTCTTGAGCAACCGCCTGCTATGGATATCCACGGCTCGGTCCTTCAAAGATTCAAACCGAACCTCGCGCAATTCTTGATTCTCCTAATCGTTTCCTTTTTCGCCCGCAATCTCATAACCTGAGATACCATGGGCTCTCACCTACGCCAAGCTATTCGTTGGAGGGCCCATCTCAGAATGATTTCTTCTTTCCAGGTCTGTGAACCGGTCTCTGCTCGATCAGGCGTAGTTCAAGTCACACATCAAGGACAATGACAATGCATAAAGACCTAACATAAACCAACTGTATAAAACAAAGTCCGCCGACGATCAATCGACGATATAGATCTGGATTGGTCCGAAATCGGCGCAATCACGGGCCAATCAGGTCACGGGCAAATAACCAGAACAAACCGGAGAAAAAAAGGGCTCAACATCACTTCTTCCCCAGTTTCACCACCCCAACTTTGAATCATGGTGAGCCAGCTTGTTTGGCAGCGGGTTTCTGCCTCTCGTGGGGTAAGTTTCATTCGACCCTCCCAACTGTCTCAATTGACTAATTTCTCCATAGCTAGCCACACGGCTGTCCCCGCAACGGCTCTTTGCCCGTGGCCTGGCCACCGAGGCCTCCTCCTCCCGCATGCCCCCATACCCCAAGCTCGTCCGCAACCTCGAGCAGGTCCGCCGAGTGTTGGGCTCCGAGCGTGCCCTAACCCTCGCCGAGAAGATTCTCTACTCTCACTTGGACAATGCCGAGGAGTCATTGCTCACTGGCACCAACAACGGCCGTGATGTCCGGGGTAAGGCTAACCTGAAGCTGAAGCCCGATCGCGTGGCCATGCAGGATGCCTCTGCGCAGATGGCTCTTCTGCAATTCATGTCCTGCGGTCTGCCTTCCACCGCTGTCCCGGCTAGTATCCATTGTGACCACATGATTGTTGGTGAGCGCGGTGCCGATACCGATTTGCCAGCTTCGATCAAGGGTAACAGCGAGGTCTTTGACTTCCTGGAGAGTGCGGCCAAGCGCTACGGTATCGAGTTCTGGCCTCCCGGTGCCGGTATCATTCACCAGAGCGTGCTGGAGAACTATGCCGCCCCTGGATTGATGATGCTCGGCACTGACAGCCACACTCCCAACGGAGGTGGTCTGGGTGCCATTGCTATTGGTGTCGGTGGTGCCGATGCCGTCGATGCCCTGGTTGATGCTCCTTGGGAGCTCAAGGCCCCCAAGGTTCTGGGTGTGCGCCTCGAGGGCCAGCTCAGCGGCTGGGCTTCTCCCAAGGATATTATCCTGCACCTCGCTGGTAAGCTGACCGTTCGCGGTGGTACTGGATTCGTTGTTGAGTACCACGGCCCTGGTGTCGAGACTCTCAGCTGCACAGGTATGGCTACCTGCTGTAACATGGGTGCCGAGGTCGGTGCTACCACCTCCATCTTCCCCTTCTCCCCCAGTATGGTGCCATACTTGCAGTCCACCCACCGTGGCCACGTCGCAGAGGCTGCCGCCGAGGTTGCCGCCGCTGGCCCTTCGAGTCTTCTCCGTGCCGATACCAAGGCCGAGTACGACCAGTTGGTCACCATCAACCTTTCCGAGCTTGAGCCTCACATCAACGGTCCCTTCACCCCCGACTTCTCGGTTCCCCTCTCCAAGTTCGCCGACACTGTTCGCGAGAAGAAGTGGCCCGAGACCTTCGGCGCCGGTCTGATCGGTTCCTGCACCAACTCCTCCTACGAGGACATGACCCGTGCTGAGAACCTGGTCAAGCAGGCCTCCGCCGCAGGCCTCAAGCCCAAGGCCGATTTCTTCATCACCCCCGGCAGTGAACAGATCCGCGCCACCCTCGACCGCGACCAGACCCTGAACACCTTCTCCGAAGCCGGCGGTATCGTCCTGGCCAACGCCTGTGGCCCCTGCATTGGTCAATGGAAGCGTACCGACGGTGTCCCCAAGGGCGAAGACAACGCAATCTTCACCTCCTACAACCGTAACTTCCCCGGCCGCAACGACGGCAACCGCCAGACAATGAACTTCCTCGCCTCGCCCGAACTCGTCACGGCGCTCGCCTACTCCGGCAGCACCACCTTCAACCCAATGACCGACTCCCTGACCACCCCCTCAGGTGAGACCTTCAAGTTCGACGCCCCCACCGGCTTCGACCTCCCAAGCGCCGGCTTCGAAGAAGGAAACCCCAACTTCCTCCCAACAGCCGCAGTCCCCGACGCCAGCGTCGAGGTCGTCGTCTCCCCCACCTCTGACCGCCTCGCCCTCCTGGAGCCCTTCGCCCCCTTCCCCAAGGGCGAACTCTCCGGCCTCCAGGTCCTCTACAAGGTCAAGGGCCAGTGCACAACAGACACCATCTCCGCCGCCGGCCCCTGGCTCAAGTACAAGGGCCACCTGCCCAACATCTCCGCCAACACCCTCATCGGCGCCGTCAACGCCGCAACCAACGAGACCAACGTCGCCTACGACGAGGCCGGCAAGTCCTACGGTATCCCCGAGCTCGCCGAGCAATGGAAGAACCGCGGCATCGAGTGGCTCGTCGTCGCAGAGGACAACTACGGCGAGGGCTCAGCCCGTGAGCACGCTGCCCTGCAACCCCGCTACCTCGGTGGCCGTGTCATCGTCTCCAAGTCCTTTGCCCGCATCCACGAGACAAACCTCAAGAAGCAGGGTGTCGTGCCTCTGACCTTTGCCAACCGCGAGGACTATGACCGCATCGACGCCTGTGACAAGGTCGACACCGTTGGTCTGTATGATGTGCTCCAGGCTGGTGGCCAGGGCGAGGTCCAGCTCCGTGTTACCAAGCAGAAGACCGGCGAGCAGTTCGTCGTCCCTGTTAACCACACTCTGTCTACCGATCAGAGTGCTTTCATTCTGGCTGGTTCTGCTCTGAACTTGTTGGCTAAGAAGGCCAATGCCCAGTAAGGGATCCAATGGTGTGTGTTGGATGTGTATGTGATGTGTGTGATATAAGGTGAAAATGAGAGAGCTTCAGACTGTTTGTTACACTATTTTTTTTTTAAAAAGTGGCTTCGATTGGAGTTGATGAGCTGCGTGGATTGGTTGGTTGTTTTACTTTTCTATGGCAGCTGTTGTTTTTTTGTCTGTTGGCTTGTATATGGTCATTTGAGATCTTTTCGTTTTATTTGCTCTAGATGATATCCAATGTGATCTGTATTCTACTATTTTGGATAGAAAGTAGTGTAAAACATTAGTTGGGTGGGTGATTTAGGTCGTCAGATTCATTCGATGGTCATTCATGTAGATTTAAAGCAGCCAGTGGCATCAAAGGAAAGAGGATATGAGATGAGATAAATATATGAGAGGAAGTCCAAATGGAAAGAAGTAAGAGTAAGAAAAGTAAAATAGACGGGTATGAGCAGGGGTAAATAAATCATCAAAAACATCACATCACGATGAATGGCTCTTTCATAAGAGCATCGGGGTGGTTGAACAGGAGCCAACCCGAGAAACAGAATAGTCGAGAGACCAAGAAGAAGAAGAAGAGAAGAAAATGAACAAGGGGAATAAAGACGGGAAGCACAAGTCATCACAAAGAAAAAGAAGAAAAGAAAAGAAAGAGAAGAGCAGAGGTATGAGAAACGTATACCAATGTCTAGAGAAAGATCAGAATATAGCAAAAGACGAACCATACCCAAATTGCCAGTTTCGGCAAAATCCTCGAATATCTCCCATCCTGTATACGAACGCCAAAAAGAAGCCTTCTATACAGGCGTGAATCGAAAAGAAAGAAAAAAAGAAAAAAAGACTGACAAAAACCAGGGCGATGCAGACGAAAATGTCTCCAGGAAAATCGATTTTGAGCTCCAAGACAAATAACAAAGGAGTGAAAGGTAGGCGAGAATGAAATCGAGAGAGAGAGAGAGAGAGATGGTGTGAACGAGTAGCCAGAAAAGAGGTTATCCACTCCACTTCTGGTCATAACTCTGCTCACCAAGCATTTGTCCAGGGTTAGTAACCCCGTACATATTGCCCTGGTTAGTACCATAACCACCACTCATCCCCGAATCATCCTCGTCAAACCCAAACTCACCCCCAGAGCTGGCATCAAAGCTACTCCGCCCACCAATATCACCCGGCTCATCACCAGCAGCAGGAATCTGATCCCACTGCAGGTTCTGCAGAGCAGGATATTGAGCCAAAAGCGCAGCAGGAAGGACGAAGTTACCCGAAGACTGCCCATCCATGCCAGGCATGTTTGGCATGACCAGCGGCTGGGGGATAGGCTGCAAATGGCCAGAGGGCTGCTGAGCCTGCTGCTGGTGTTCCAGCATGACTCGGTCTCGCTCTTGCGATTCCTCGTCGAGTAACGGCTTGATGCAGACTCGTCCGGCTTCAGATCGGAAGTGTCGACCAAGAGCATCTGCACGGGCGAAACGTCGGCCACAGCCCCATTGTCCGCTGCGCGAGAGCTCGCCTCGGCAGACGAATTTCTTTTCGCCGGAGTGAAGGCCTTCGTGGCGTTTGCGGTCGTGCTGTCGTGCAAAGGCTTTGCCGCAGACTGTGCATACGAAGGGTCTTTCGTCTGTGTGGGTGCGGAGATGAGAGCGGAGGTTGTAGGCGCGGGTGAATCGTTTCGGACATAGATTGCACTGAAAGGTGGCAGGGTGCTTTTGGATCCGCTTTGGTTCTCCGGGTGCTGCGCCGGGTCTTTGAGGGTCTGCCAGGTCTAGGATGTAGTTGCGGTTCTCAATTGACGATGTAGACAGACGTCGGTTGGATCGAGAGGGTGATGCATCTCGAGAGCTGGGGCTGCTGCGTGAGTGCGAGCCAATTGAACCAACAGGCGACAGAGATCGTGGGGTGTTAGAAGCATGCGGCTCCAAACTTGTTGCTGAAGTTGCGGGAGAGCGTGAACGACTTGCAGGGTGGTATGGATCGGATTTGCTGCGAACGCGAGAACCTAGGTTTTATGAGTATGTTAAATCGTTGTATTTGCGGGATCTGGCACTTACGCATAGCAGGAGGACTCAAGGAATCATAATCAGCGGTCGATTTGGAAGGATCAAAGTTGGGACTCCGCAACGGCGGAGCAAACTCAACATTGATCGATGGAGGTGCCATCTGCGAAGCCTGACCAATGTCACCCGGAATGTTGTTCAATTGGCCCATATTCATCATGTCATCTGAAGGCATACCATACATATCTGTTGGCGCCGAAGGGAACTGAGAATTCGGACCCAGATAAGCGTTATTGGGAACCATCTCCCCACCCTGTTGTGGCATTAAGCGCGGCGAGATATATGGGCTATGGAGTGGGCTGATCCCTTGCTGTTGCTGTTGCTGTTGCTGCTGCTCTGACAGAGTGAATGATTCAATGCCAAGCGCGTTTTCATACAACGCAGGGTCATTTTGAGGTGCCAACGAAGGTGATGCATTGCTCTCGATACCGTCGAATTCATGCTGAGACACATAGGGGGAGTGATTGGCCGAGGACACTTCAGACACCTCAGATGGCGCACGTCGATGACCCCGGAAAGAGGCATTATTCATAATATGACCCCAGTCTGGACCCGATTGAGCGCTGAGATAGGCCGCAGTAGCCGGGTCTAGCGAGGTGTGCCGTGAATGTTGCGGAGTGTAGTATGTACCTGGGGTGGAGCCCGGAGGGGACATCGGACCCGGCGATGATTGCTGCTGATCCTGCGATGACGGGTGCGAGGAGGCAGAGGGATTGGAGATGGGACTGACCAGATCGGCAGGGTTGATCGCCTGGTTCACGGACTGGCGTTGGTGCATCTGCGGATCCAATAACAAAGAGGAATCGTACTCCGACGGGGTGGTGCTGTTCGGACTATGGTTCTGGAAGACGGAGAAGTCCATTTCGGCCGGGTTGGTATTGAGCATGTTTGAAAAGTTCTCTTCCTGCATTGGTCTGAGTCCTGTCGAGTGTTCGAGCTGATTGACCAGGCTCGCCTCGAACGAGTGCGCCATCGGCATGTTTGTATTGATAGTTGGTGGATAGCTCTGGTCGGCCGGCGGAGACAGTGTCTGTGTTGGAGGTGCCTGAGAGAGGTAGTTGGGGTACCCATATTGTTCAGCGCCCATGCTTCCGTCGGGGTTGTGGAAGGAGGGGGTCGCATAGGCGGCCATGGAGGGGTCGACGCCCAATCCGGAATTCGGATCATGATATTGGAGATGTGGCGACGGGCTCACACTGCGATGCTTCATATCCGATTGAGCATGGCCCGAGACTTGGTTCTGGTCATGCGAGGACATGATTGCGAGCGCGCGCCGATGAGGCTCTGTGGTGAGCGCCAAGCTGGGGTTGCGGTCAGGAGAAGAGGAGCGGAGCGGAATCGGAGGCACGGATAGCGCAGGATTTCGGCGAAAGGCAAGGAGTACACGAGTCGCTTTGTCAGGGACCTAGACACCGGCTGGCGATGTAGGGGTAGGTGCTGATGGGGTGGGATGTCATTCGCAAGGGTCCAGTCTGAGTAGGCGCCGATACACGAATGTTCCACTGGCCAATGTCAGTGACCACGGGCATGCCAAAGTGAGAGCAATAATACCTTTTTTCCCAACGAAGTTGGCGAGAGAGAGAGAGTGAGAGAGGAGTTGAAGATTGGGCGATGATTTCACGTGCGCAAGGCGGTCTGGTGGACACGTCTATACACGTCTATAAGATAGACATGGAGCTAGTTACAGGAGATGGTTTTGTATAACGTTAATATTTGCCCTGTGCCCTAAGTGCAGCGTCTCTCTTCTATAAGTTCCCCAATGGGTCTCCCCACATTGTGTTAGGTTAGTGCCGATAACAGATCAGATCACTATGTGACGGTTTTACTATTTTTATAACTATCTGCCGCAAGATGTCATTCCACAGAAAACGGCTGCCTGTCCCTGACATACGATCCATACACTGAAGAAACACACACTCAAATATTCTCCCCAGTCGGTGGAGGGGTTGTCAAGCGCTAGGCATTCTTAGCTTTGCACAGCCACGCAGCTGAATCAGATATACGCTAAGCCCCATTGGGAGCTATACCAGTCTGCCTTGGCCTCGACACTGTATGCAGAAACACAGACCGCATAGACACGTAGTGTAGTAATCAGTGATAAACTTACTTTCAGGAATACACGTAAGACAGATATGACTTAAAGCCCTAAGGCGTCCAATTCAGTACCTAAACAGTACCCAACGTAGCCAAACTAGCCCTAGCCGCATCATTCGACCAAGCAAACAACAAATTATCCGAACAACTGCTTCCAAGTCCAGCATTACCAACCCAAGCAGGTTCCCAGTAGTAGATTCCCAGTGAGCCCGAGACTCCAGAAACAGCAGCTGCAAGTCGCTGCAAGAAAGTCTGCTGTCCAGCAACAGAGAACGGAATATCACTCAGGTCAGAGGGGAACGCATAAGCCGGACTGGGGCAGGCATAAGGCCAGTTCGTCTCAACAACAATAGTCTGCTTTCCATATGTGGAGTACAAGTTGGCCAGACTAGTCTTCAGCGACGCGAGTGTGGCACTCGCGCTATAGAAGGGGTAGTATGAGACGCCAATGTAGTCAAAGTCTGTGGACAGCAGGGCCGAGCCAGAGGCCAGCACCTTGTTGTAGAAGTAAGATTGTTCAGACCAGTTCCAGCCGTCATCGAGATGGATCATGATCTTGGGCGTGGTGGCCAAGTCGGAATCTTTGATGCCCCAGGCGGCAGAGTGTAGGAGTTTTGCGATGTTGGTGTAACTGCTTGTTGAGCCGAGAGGCCAGAGGAGACCGGCGCGGATCTCATTTCCGATGGAGACGATTGAGACGTCTAGGCCGTCGGCGGCGAAGGTGTTGCATACTTCAAGGGTGTAGTTGTAGACTTGCCAGGTGAGGGTGTCGATGTCGGTTGTGGACCAGCCGGATGGGGTGGTCTATAAAGAAAGTCAGTCATGCCCCCCTCCTTGAAGAATTTATCAATGCTCATATGGAAGTCCGTACCTGAGCACTCGGATCAGCCCAAGTATCACTGAAATGCAAATCAAGATAGGTAGTCATCCCCTGTGCCTGCACCCTCTTCGCCAACTTGACATTGTAGTCAAGATCGTAAGACCCATCACTGGGATTGACCCAGACACGCTGACGGACGGAATTGATACCGGCAGCTTTGATAATAGCTTCCAGTTTGCCCGTTGTCCCAGCAGCATTCTTATACGAGATCCCGGCATTCTCTTCCACAATGAGCGAAGAGATATCTGCACCGTGGATACTCAACGCAGCCGATACCGGCGAAAAGAGCTGCGACGCAGCCAGAAGAAGACAGGGAAGCATATGCATATTGAAAAGACTAATGCAGAACCAGCTACAAGGAAGAAAAGAAAAGAAAAAGAGAGAAAGAGAGAGGATGGGATCTCCTTAAAAACTCACCACACTACTATAGCCCTATAGCTCTCCTCGGCACTCTCCACCAAAATACCCAAATTCTCCGACCGATCTAACCAAAGCTCCAATAACCCGCCCAGATCAAATAGAGACCCATCCTCTAAGCCTCTACCTCCCCCGGGAGATATCCAATCCGGGTCTAGCTCCACCATGAAACATATCCTGAGACCGACACGGCACAAACGATAGGTGGGGAATCTAAGCAAGCGTAGTTTATATCATAGCCAGGTGATCTACTCTGTATACACCTGGATGCAATTTAGCTTGGTGGAGAATATATCAATGAGTAAACACTCCCGTGACGATTTCGATTTAGATCGAGAGACATGGGTAGGGGGACCAAGTATGGGGTAGCGTGAAGGTGCTGCGTTATGACACTAATGTTGCGCAACTAGACTGGTTCAAGGCTAGCGGAGATAATCCGGTGTTTTGCCGGTGGGGAATGAATGACTTGGTTTTGTTACTTCGCTTGGGTGTGTCATGTATCATTGGTGGAAGTAGAATCTATATTCTGGCATGTTATTCAGGCTTTAAATTGCGATGTGGGCTTATAAGCCTTGGGCGTTTTCCTCCGCCGGAGAATGTGATTGCATTTCTATCCGGAACGGCTCTTTTAGGCGTGAAGGACTGCAATGTTAAAAGAGGATTTAGTTTCAGGCGCGGACCGAGAACTCTACCGTACTCGTTTACTGTTTACTAATTGATTGTTGAATGCAAATTTTGTTAATGCGAGGGGTGGGATAATTATCTCAAAGTCCCAGGACACCCAAATGTTCATTTCATCGTTCGCTTCGCGCTAGACGCCCACGCCTCTCTGCATCATGTATCATGTCGGGATTCTGGGAGAAGACAGACGGAGAGAGACAGCAGTGTTCAAAACACTAGTCCGATCAATCTGGTCATTGTAACCCCCTCAGAACCCAATTTTTTCCTCAGACCTCCACCCGGGTTGTCAGGTTAACATTACATACAAGATAAAGTGAAAAAGAGGAGAAAAAGAAAAGAGAAAAGGAAACCAGAAAATCGAATAAAGAGACGCGAATCGCCCCTTTATCCCATGCGAACAAAACCAGACGGAGGAAAGACGAAAGAGAAAAAGAACTGCCACATCTGTCCGTGCTGTGTCCAAGCATTCATCAATCAGAACGAATATGCCGCACCAGCCGGTCGGAGGGCCCCGAAGAGGAGAGAGGGCTAGAAGCTTGTCTCTCAATATAGCAATGGTAGATTTGCGCGGGCGTGGGTGTATATGTACAGACAATGTAGAGTGTATCTCAACGATTTCTAGGGCATCACAATTTCCAGAGAACTGAACTGGGACAAACTCAAAGCAGACGTGAACGTGACGGGTGATATACACGACTTCGTAGTATAGGGAGGCGTTGAAGTAGCCGGAAATGGTGCGGAAAGGAGAAAGTAGTCCAAGGAGATAGAGGGGGTGATAGATGGTGGTGACGTGGTGGGTCGAATTAATTTGAGGGTTGTGGAGGGTCAGCAGGCTTCGGTGCTGGTGTCGGCTTCTTTTTCCCAATGACGAGGCCTTCATCCTCGGACTCTTCTTCGTCCTCGTCATCGCAGTAGTACCTCGACTCATCTTCTTCGGATGGTCGGGGTGAGCCAGAGCGATGAGGTTTGAGAGTTTCACCAGTGCGGAGTATAGAAGGTACTTCCTCCAGATCCTTATCCCTTGAGTAGAGCCCATCGCCTGAAAGCGAGGAGGCATTTGAGACAACAGATGGGATGCTGGGGTGTGAAGCACTCTGCGACATGCCGCTGGTGAAGTCGTCGGCCGAGGACGAAGAAATCGTAGCCGAATTGGAGTTTGCAAGTCCGCCATTGGGATTATCTGCAGGGCAGCCAGAGTCCGCGGGCGGCGCCATGGGAGGCAGGAGGAGCGACTCGGTGGAGTACATCGCGTAGTCGACTCTCAAAGTGCCGCCCTCGGTTGCGTCAATGTCGCTTCTCCTGCGGCGCAACAGTGCATCCCTGGTGAGATGGAACGATTCCGCGGACGACTTGCCCGCAAGCTGTTGAGAACGATTGCGTCGGTGTGCAGACTCAGGATTCAGCTTCTCTGGGGTGGGATGACCTTCATCATGCCATAAACCCGTTGTCCGAACCTGGCCCTGTGCCGATGCTGTACTGACAGCAATACTGGGCTCAGAGTGTGGCTCTTCCTTATGGCATCCTGGCTCACCAGACGGTGACGTGCGTCGACTTCGACTGCCACGCGATGCCCGTCGGGTTGCGCCACTGAAAAGGCTACCGAAGTTGGTCGATCCTAATGCTTCGATGATGGAAGAGCGTGCATCTCCCCCTTTCGAATCGGCAGGGGAATGTCGAAACTGGATGGCTTGACTGTCTTGGTGGATTCCGTTGTAGACATGGAAGACTTAGCGCGCCGAGGAGGGGCAGGTCGTGACGTTACAGCTGGAGCCGGAGCAGCCTTGAGCGCAGGTGTTTGCACATTATCGAAGTAAGACGCCCAATCACCTTCATCCACGGGGCTAGCAGTAACGCTCTGAGCAAGAGGATGTCCTTGGCTGCCAAATTTGAGCGGCCGGAAGAAGTCCTCATCGCCCCGTAGACTGGTTGGGCGACTCTCACGAGAGCCTTTGCCGAATGTGCTGCTCGAAGCGGAGGAGAGGGTTTCAGTGGAAGGGGTTGTGCTCGATGGACGATTGCGAGATTCCTTATCCTTTGATCGGCCACCGAACCATTTGGCAACATTAGATCGGACACGTTGAATGAATGGAACCTTGCTGACGGCACTGGTGACTTCCTCGTTTGAGACCTCAATTCGCTTGCCCTTGCTTTGGAAGCCGGGGTCAGTTTCTTCGATCCAGATCCGAGGGTTGGGAAGACCGTGAAGAGTCCAAGGATGATGCTTGATTTCCTTGAGTGTTATCCGCTTGACTGGGTCCTTAGTCAACAAGCGTCTGAGAAGGTCGTATAGCTCGTCCTCGATGTCCTCATAAACAAGCTCATCGCTGTTCCTCATATTCCACTGGCTGGAGTCCGAACAGTCATCTATCACGGGCACAAGGCGCTTTCTCGGAATGAATACCTCCTTTTTCACAATGGTCTGGAACATGCTATACTCGTCGTCCGAGACAAAAGGTAGACGGCCAAAGATCATTCCATATAACGTGACACCCAAAGACCACACGTCTATCGCGCCAGTGATCTTGGGGATCGACCCAATGGTCTCAACAAAGTCATCGCCGGTATAACAAAGCTCAGGTGCATAGAAGGCAGGTGTACCGACAGTTTTGGACAGCTCACGAGCATCGTCTAATTCCGCGGCATCGGTTTCACCAACATGCTCTTCTTCTTCGTCACGCATTGGACGACCCAAGTATGAGACGCCGAAATCGGAGATCTTCACCCGATGATTACTGGTGACAAGTAAATTGGCTGGCTTGATATCACGGTGGATAATACCCTGGAAGTGAAGGTACTCCAGGCCAAGGACCGAGTCACGGAAGGCACTGCGTGTTTCAGTGATGGTCAGGCAAGGGACGAATGCCATGTCATCACCCTCAGCAGACCATTCGGGCTCAGAGGGCGCGTAACCGAAGCTACTCGAAGTCGTACTGAAACGGCGCTCGAATGGGTAGTCTGAGTAAGCACCGTACATAGTACCCTCGACTGCGTTCAGAGATGGATCTTGGGCAGAAGACGGACTCGAGTCATCTGTTACAGCGACAGAACGACGGCTAGATGATCTTTTAATCATCAAACCGCCATCCTCATCTTCCTCCTCGTCCGACGACTCTGCACCATGCTCCAGACTCCACGCAGAATGATCTTGTTGAGCGTCGGCAGCCTGCGCCTCAATTCGCTCGCGAGCCCGTTCCCGCTGTCGCCGCAAGTGCTGCGCAGTTCGGATGAATTGGTGACTCTCTTCCAGGAAGGCAGGGGTGTCAGGAATTCCGTTCTTCTCCCGCTCAAGGCGTAGCTTGTCGACGTGGACGATCTCTCGGAGACCCTTCTTGCGCCATGAGATCTCGCCGTTCTCGACATACTCCAGCACAATATACACTTTTTGTCGGTTTGGATCGTCGATGACCTCGAGCAGACTGACCACATTCGGGTGCCGGGCCTTCTTTAGAATGGCAACCTCCTTTTTCACTTTGTCTTCCGGGTTACCTAGCTTGCCTAATCGACGGCGGGTAGAGTATCGTTGAACAATCTTGATGGCGACCTTCTGCTTGGTGGTGACATGCTGGCCTAGTTTCACTTTGCCATGTTCACCTCGTCCCAGTTCCTCGAGAATCTCGTATTGATTGATGGTTTTATTACCAGTGATAATATCGCGGTCCACTTCAGCGGTGTGGGTCTCTTTGGGCGGATTAAGATGTGTTGGGTGGAGATAGGTGCTACCCAAACTCTCATCGTCAGAGCCAGAGGGTGTCTTCAAATTAGGGTGTCTCATAGAGAACAGCCCCGGGCTTGAGATCGGGGTGTTGCCCGCCGTGCGTATGCCACGGGCGTATGAATGCCGTGGCAGCGGATCGGGTTGGAAGAGGTGGGGTGCCCGCCAGTTCGGGTGTATCTGAGAATGTAATGAGGCATACGATTGATCAGGGTAAACGGGTAATTCGTGATCGGATTGTCGAGAAGCCCGGCGAGGGCTGCGTCCGATGCTTCCATTTTCCGATCGGACATCGACGACCGTGTCTTCGTTGAGAGCTTGTAGCGAGCTCGTGGACGAGCGATTTGACGGAGTCCGAGCACCATAGATGCTCGGAAAGGCCTGACGAAAGGTCGCCTGTGCCTCTGATACGTCGGTAATTATGGTCGGTTTCGCAGTGTTCTTGGACGGTGTCTGGCTAGACTCGGGTTCGCTTGACGCCAACGGCGCTTGTAATGACTCCTCAGACCGCCTCCTGTCCCGCTTGGGATCTTCTGAGACATGTCCATTCCGAGCACGAGCTGGATCCTCCAGACCAGCTTGCGAGGACCTAATTTCCGTCATGTTCTTTTTTGGGGGTGGGGGAACTTTGTGTAATCCGACAAGAACTAGGAAATCGGGCCAACTGTGCCGAGAGAGCAGTTGAGCATCCTAGTTCAGCATCCTCCAATACCAGGCGTAGTCAAATTGGTTCAAGGCGAGCGGACGAGAAGCTCGGTTGGCACGCCCGAATGGACCGGCATTACTTGCACAGGGATGGGCGACAACTAGAGACGATGTATCGAACGGGTTGTCGCCTACGGGGAAAAGGGAGGGCACGAGGTAGACCGGCTACTGCACGAGGACTCGGATCACATCCACACGTGGATCAAAAAAGGAGTGCGATGCTATAAATATTTCGAAGGGGGGAGGGGGGGGGGTTTTCGTGAGGTCGGAGGGTCGGAGAGGGGGATGGAGCGAGATCGGAGAAGATCCGAAAGGAATGTCCAAAGGAAAGAAAAATATATCACAGCAAGAAAATGAAGGTCGAAGGTAGAGACCGAGACCAAGGAGGGGGGGGGGGAGGGAGAAGTGAAGAGACGAAGGGGAGAGAGGTTGGGGTGGGTAATAGGGCAGAGAGAGAGAGAGAGCGATGATCGGATGCCAAGGGGAAAATTATGACTGAGGTAATGCCCTCTGTGAACTTCTTTTTGACATTATTCTTTTATATTTGGTATTTGATATTACGCCTCTGATTTAAATGGTTTCAAGTGTCCGTGAGTCTGATCTGCTCCTCCGAGAGACTACGTCTTCTTCTAGGCGAGTACATATATCACCCTCGAGCCCTGTCATCTCTTGCCAGTGGCGGATTGCCACAGGGAATTACGTCGGCGACTCGAGCACAGCCATCCCGGCGATAGTGAATCTTCCATGGATCAATTCTTCCTCGGAAATCTACAGGCGAATAACTAGTTGTCTTCCATCCCGCCGTCTTCCCGCCCAGTCTAGCCCTGGAGAGCTCTGAAGCTGAATATGGTCAACGGTCACCTCGGCCGACCATGGTTGCCCAATCCATATATTATATCGGCTCCGAGGGTTGAATGATCCGTACATATCAACATCTCAGGCCCAAACCTAACTTCTCTGCCACCCGAACTTCCCTGAGGGGATCCTACGCAGCTGAGGTAGACTGTGATAGGTCGGAAGAGGCTGCACTAAGTTTTTGCCTTGGGCATGGCAGGCGAGCCAGGGGTGAGTCGGTATGTAGGAGCCGTGGCACAGCATTTAGATATCATATCTAGTCCACGTACTTAACCACAACCAAGTTGGACTCTCATCGTATTCCACCTTTCAGACAACTTGGTCGAGAAAGTATAGAAAAGGAAAGGTGTCTGGAAGCACCCGTGCACGGTCCACTACGTCATGTCGGGTCTGGCCCCTAATTAGCCACCATTCCGTTTCAGGCCTAGTGTTCCAAGCACTTGGCGCTTTCTCTCCGAATCAGGCAGTTGATTGGCCAAGTTGGGGCAATTGGGGGAATCGGGGGGTAAATTAGTGTGATATCCCAGGAGTATACAGTAGACATCTCTACTCCGTACACTTGCGGGGATTATCAGAGGCCCAACTAGCGCGATACTAGTTAGAATGTCGGAGTAACTCTGTAACAGTCTAACAGAACTCACAGATCCTCCCCGCAGTGGAAGTTCGGCCCTCCATCCGATATACACACCCCAGAAAACCCCCTAAGACCCAAGACCCAAGACCAATCCAAGCAAACAAAAGAAACAAAAGAGAAACAACTCTCGTGGTTGGCCCCAACTCATCAATAACAACTCTATTAATCGCATTTCCAATCAATGCATTCCATGTATCCGTATACAGTCAAGACGCATGCACCCTCACCCGAGCGCCTCCTGCGCAAGAGCAAGAGATCAAAGCACACGAGAGAACCGTGTGGCCTTAGCCCCAAACTACAGTGCAGTTCTCCGTACACAGAGACGCCATTCACTTCCCATTCCCACGCTAATACAAATCCCGATCTGCACCCATACTCTTCGAGGGAAATGCCCGTGTTGATCCTGCGGCGTGACACAAGCGGCGAGTTTTTTCTTTTAGGGCGTTGACTGTCATCCCGCCCCGGTTCGTTGGGCGTGTGCCATGCCCTAGTTCCTTATTACTCTGTGTTAACGTCGAGTTCGGTTTCAAATGCCCTGGGTGCAGGTGCACGGTGCTTGTGTGCAAGCCCCGTGCTGAGATGCTTGACTCGAGGGGGCGGGATTGTGTAGAATAGAGTGGGATGGGATGATGTCGAGAAGGGGAGATTTGGGATGTGGTATACTTACTCTGTCCCGTGCTGGTGGATTGTTTTGTTTGTGAATCTCACGATCTACTAGTCTAGTCGAGGCATTTATGCGCATGCAGGGGTTGGCTGTCCACATGTGATTGTTGTCCAAGTCCTGTGGCGATTCTCTGCGATGCCAATTTACCTGTACGGTAGATCCGTGTTGGGAAGAACTGCTGCTCCTTCTTACAATACTGTGCAGGGCTAAAGTTGCCTGTCATCGATTTCGTCTAACATTACTACAGGCAGTCGAGTGGCTGTGAAGGCGATAAGGTTTTTCTTTACAAATTGCTTTTTTCTTTGTCTTGTACTGCTTGTTCGGTGGCTCTTTCCGAGAGCCGACTAGTGTATACTGGATGGACCCATAAAGGCAGGTAGTCAGGTTGAAAAAGTTTTCTCTATGCAGCTAAGACACTGTGCCGTGCTGGTGCATCAGCTCACGGACACAACTAGGCATATTGCATAGTTGACAGTAATGCGCCAGGACGATTAGGGGTAAGCGCCGGATCTGACATGCATACTCAGGTACCTCGAAAACTCAAGAGATATACGAGTAAAAGTGGCAATGGCAACCCGGCACATGGGCTAGGAGCTGAAGGTATTCTTTTGAAGCGATTGGTCATTCGGAATGGTGGCTTTGGATCCCTCGAGTCGTTGATTGTTGAACGCTGAATCGGAGAAATGAGAGTGATTGGTCCGGAATGCTGGAACATTCTCCTTGTCTCTTTGTTTGACTCCTAATAGGGGACCTTGCAGTGAAGTCTATCAACTTGCCTAGTCTACTGTATAAGCCGTCCAAATTAGGAATCAACCCAAATCCATGCTCTCCTGATCATTCCGTTTATAATTCTATCGCTATATCGTACCTCGGGTCTAACTTGCTATCTTGAATCTTGATGTCCTGCTATTGGATACTCAAATGCAAGGATAGGACTGTTGGTAGCCATCTCAATTTCAGAGACCACATCATAGTAGAGCACGAGAGAGGAAAGACAAATTGCATCGCCTTAATGACGGAGTTCGTTTCTTGGATCGGGCATGGCTATGATGCATATGCCTGTCTGGTATTCTTGGACGATTCAACAGGATAATAAACCTTTTGGCAAATGAAAGCGTATCTGATCGATGAAAGCTCTACCAACTACCAACTAGGCATATATTTAAATGTAAAGGATTTCTTCTTGATTCGAATTCCCTCTCACATTCTATTTTTTATTTTGTTACCTCGGTAGATGGTCCTTTATCTTTGGATAGGTGTGTGTATTCTTACCACCTCTCTCACCTTTCCCCTCCCCCCTCTTGGAACATTCCCTCTCGAGATAAAGGCAATTTGTCTTACAAAAGGATTCCTTTTCCAGCTGGAATCGAGCCAATTTGTTAGCTGTGGCTGGTACAGTCTCGATAATCTATGCCGTTGGCTGCATTAATGTCATCAAAATCTGTGCCCGAGGGTCCTATACAGGGAAATTCGAACGACGCTTACGATATTCAAAATCACTCTTAAAAACGACTTACACATTATAACGCATTGCGTATTATAAAGTCACTGAGAAAGGCCTTGTACTAGAACATGGAAATGTCTTCGCGGCATACTCCGGAGTTTCGGTAAGTCTGCTATTTCTTAGGCTATGAGGCTTTAGTGGACTATAGAAGCTATCAAAGCTCTCCCGTATATTCATAGTCAGGAGATCATCTATAAAGAAGTTAGATGTAACAAAACCATCGTAGATAATGCTATACACATCAAAGTTTTTGGCTTCGTTGGCTCCAGATCCGACCGTGAAGCCCCCTTAGTTTATTATGAGCTATTATGAGCGATAACTTATGGCTTCTATCCTAGTGTTAAAACCAGCATCTACATAGATATTTTCGCCTTTAGGTCAATACTGTTCTAGTTTCAAACAGACCGCGTCCCCTATAAGAGCTAGAAAGGACTCTCAAAAGAGGAGAGCTAGTGACAGCTGTTGACAGCAGAAGTGGCCTTTTGGATTTAGAGGATTCCGGGTATACAGTATAGTAATCACGGTATTCCCAGCCATGACACTCATGCTAAAATGAATTTGGTCGGCTTTAGCAAAGTCAAGCAGGATCTCTCATGTAACCTCACGCAATTAGTTATCAGATGGCGTCGGTCTAGCCATTCAAGCGTCTATGCGCAATGAAAAATATAGTGGTGGGAGAGTCTTGGTTTGGTTGTCTGGCCAACTTATTGAGGGGCGTAAACGTCCATGGTTCATGATATGTACAGGTTCCACTGCGAATGATCTTCGAAAAGACGGGACAATGGAGGTAAGGGAGGTAGAGTTAGTAACTTATATAGGGATCAAAGTGAAGATATTCAGAAACAGAACACAGTGAAACAAATCGGATACCCGCACTAGATTGTGCAAATCAACGGCCACTAGCCAACAAGTGAGTGAATCCAAGACAAGTAAACAGGATATGAACATATTAAAACATTGGCAACACGCAATGCTCACCCGCCAAGCGTCATAGGCTTGACTCGTTGCCGGGCAACCCGCTGTTGATCCTGCGATCGAGCTCTCGGCAATACATTAGGCTTCCTCTTTCTTTGTTTAGCGCAATCGAATAAAGTAGGCAATCACTGGCACTTGTAGTGATTGGTTCAGCAATAAACACTGTAATGGCGAGGCCCGGATCGGCAGTTGTTTACTATAGCACGGGCAGGATGCAAACACTTGTCTTCACTTTCTTTCTCCTTCAAGCGTGAAGTCTTTAATTCTCCGATCATTTGGAATAGACATCTGCTCATATCTGCTCCTTCTGTGTCAATCGCGTGGCACGCCATGCTCGCCGATCCTGGCATGTATCCCTATCTCTGAGTGTCTCAGATCGCAAACGACGGCGTCATGGAGAGCTCGACGAGCTATCCACTTGCGCTAGGTGCGCTGTTCGCCCTCTTCAGTCCCTCCATTGCCACGTACATTCCATCGTCTGTATTCCTCTCCCCGCAAAACGATTCCCTCGCGTATATCCTCCGACCCAGCTCCACTGGCGAAACCGAATTACTGTCCTTGAACCTGTCCACCAGTATCAATGCAGACGACCTGTCCTATCATACTCTGCTGAGCAGTGTGCCATTCCACGATACAGTGCAGAACGCAACATTTGTCCCCGCCGTCAATGATGCAGGGTCCATAACCGTCTATGCCGGGAACTGTCACGAGACATCCGACAGCCCAGCACTATGGCAGTTCCACCCAAATCTCAACAGCTCGATCGGCAATGGCACATGGGATAAGTTGACGGTGCAAACAAACGACGCTCAAACCGCTCCAAACTATCTCGCCGCGGGGTTCTCATACTCGTCATCCGGCCAGCAAAATGAAACCGCTATGTACGCCTTTGGAGGAATGTGTCCATTCGCAAACAGTACAGACCAGACCTGGGTATTGGCAGCAAACTACTCTCAGTCGATGGTGGCTTTAGGCCCGAGTCCCTTCTACAGCAACAAGTACACCGCGGAGACCACGGGAAAGCGCGCACCACCTGTCGCAGAAGCGGGCATGGCTGTTGTACCGCTTCAAGCTACCTATTCTGCTGACGCAAGCGAGAAACAGCAGGACTTCCTTTTTGTTGGTGGCCATACCCGACATGCGTTTCTCAACATGTCGACGCTTGCTATTTTCTCGCTGCCGCAGAAGAGTTGGAGCTTTGTTTCAACCTCGGACAACTCACCTAAGACTGAACTGGCGGTTCGAGACACGGTCTCTGTGGAGCCTCGATCTGGCCATACGGCGACTCTCTCTGAAGATGGAAAGAAAGTCTTTGTGGTTGGTGGTTGGGTGGGCGATACGACTGTCCCTGCTGATCCGCAATTTGCAGTTCTGGAAATCAAGGAAGGGTTCGGCGGTGTTACGGAGTGGATTTGGACAACACCGTCTTCTGAAGGATCAGGTATCACCGAGGGTGCTGGCATCTTTGGACATGGAGCCGCTATGCTCCCGGGTGATGTGATGATGATTTCTGGGGGGTATACCATTCCGAAACAATCAGCGAAACGGGCAGTGTCGACCGCAAATTCACAATTCTATCTCTATAACACGACATCGAACAGTTGGGTTACGTCTTATAGCAACCCAGCCACCAATTCCTCCACATCGTCGTCAAGTCACAGTGCGAATCTTTCCAAGGGCCAGAAAGCTGGTCTTGGAGTCGGTCTGGGTATAGGATGTCCGGCTGCTCTAGCCTTGGTGCTATGCGCATGGAACTACCATCGGAAGCGACGTGTACGTGGAAAGCGAGACTCGCAGCTTCGCGAGTTGGCTCTTGGGGCAGAACGAGCTCATTTCTGGGGTCGAGACGACCCTAACCAAGCCAGCAGTATCCGAAGCTCTGGAATGAGCCAGAAAAGGGATTCTTCTGCCTATCCTTGGTCCGAAAACCGCAATTCAACTGCACAACCAAATTGGAACGACCAAGGCGAAATTATGGCAGAGAGGACTGGGTTACTTATGGATCCTCACAGCCCACTCAAGAACAACCGAGCTCCTCTGCCCGCAAATACAAGACCGTGGTCCTATCGTATGTCTGGACACAGTGATTTCCGACGTAGCGATGCTACCAGCGAGATCCATCCTATTGATGAGCGCGAGGAGGACGAGGCTATCTTCAGAGAACATTTGATGGCTACCATTCCCCCTGGAACTGGAGCTGCAAAGAGTGCAGAGCCGGATTCCGAAGACCCATTCTCAGATACTCCCTATGCAACCCCTCGAAGCACCATCTTTGGGGTTGGCCTGGGTCCATTCTACAGCCGACGAAAGGATATTGGATTCATTGACCCTGAGTCTCCCACCAAGAGTGAACGGACGCAAACTAGCCTATCCGATGCCTCGGCCTTCTCTTTCGCCTCTTCTCAACCAGTAGGCAGAGTCTCAACTGCACGAGCTATGGTTGTTGACAGACCTGTAAGCTGGGCAAGCAGCGGCCGTCAGTCACTCGAGAACCTCGTTGCAGCATCAACCCACAGCGACCCCGACAACACCGCTCCATCCGAGAAGTCGGTTTCGACAGAATCATACTCCACAGCACAGACAACCATGTCGCAACGCCAAGCAGAAAACGACTCCCTCCTCTTTGACGCTCTCGACCCAAACAACCCCTTCGAATCATCATCCCCCTCAAAACTCCGCCGCGATTCCAGACCCAGAGCCTCAGAATGGGTCATGCAAACCATGCGCCGAGCCCTAACCATGACCCGAGGCGGCCCACCATCCCAGCGAGACTCCCACGAATCAGCCCCGCTAGCATCAGGAATCGACCGCCGCAGCACAGTCATCGGCTCCGGCCAACTATCCCCAATCCCGGGCTCCTCAAGTCCAGGCACTCCTCGCCGAGCAGTCAGCGCCTCGGCCGAACTCTTCCGCCGCAAACAAGGCGCCAGAGACTGGAACGCCCACAAACGCGTTTCAGACGATCTCTTCAACACCTCTCGCTCGACTCGCCAGGATCCCTTCCTCGGTGCACCGGGGTATTTGGGCAACGAGGACGCTTTCGTCGATGATGAGGCTGATGTGCATGATTGGGACGTCGAGGGTGCTGCTGAGGGTAGGCGCGTGCAGACGACCTACACTGTCCCTCGGGAAAAGTTGCGCGTTGTTAATGCTACTGCGGGAGATATGGACACTATCTCCGAGCGCTCGATTAATCGGGCGACTGGAAGTCGGAGGGTTAGCACTTAGTTTTGGTGTGTTTCTGGTTCCTTTTTTCTTTTCCCCTTTTTCTACTTCTTGGCTTGTACTTTTGCATACACTTTTGAATGATGATTACGGTGATGGTGATGAGGATGAAAACCAAGATGATGATGACGATGATATGATGCTTTGGTATCTATGGTGATACCAGAGAAACGTCCACCACGCTCTGTTGTCTCATCAGGAATTCGATCGAGTCATGTGCAGGTCCATGTTCATGCTCTGACGATCTTCGGTGGACAGAGCAGCATTGCGATTCCGCCCTCACTTGGACCCTTGTCGCGCATTTTGGGAGGGAAGTTGCTGTTTCCTGTCGTTTTTGATATCCACAGCGTGTTTTGATGTTGCGTTCTGACTATGAACGACTGATGAATCCATGTCCCTGGCGCTTTAGATTATCTATTAGCTGAGCGAGTTCGAATTGACTCTTGTTTTTCTCTCTCTCTTGTTTTGGTCATGTACATGTACAGTACTTCTTCAGCACACAGTGTGTGACATGGATGTCCTGCATGTAAAATGACGTCGCCGTGTGAAACCACACCCAGACAATCGTATCCTCTTTGGATATAGTCGCCTCCCAACATTTCTATGGTACTAGTATCCATATGGCTTTCTTCGATTAGTGAGGTGAAAACTCGATGTAGTGCAGCTGAGATAAAGTTTGTTGGGCTGAAAAGTCTGCCCTTTGTTTAGACTTGCGACTTAAAGGGTAAGAGATGTCTCCACTACAGATCTATGGTGGGGCGCACAAATGAACGCCTCTCGATAGTGTCGATGGAATATTGACGCACGAGTATACTACGTGATACTTTATCTAGTCCAGGAAAATGTTAGAAGATGTTCGAATTTCGCTTTTGTACGTGAACTTGTTCTGCAATTCTCCAATGCCGAAAAAAATGTATTTATCAAACTTCGTAGCTCCATACTGTACATCATATGAGACAGGGATCCCCCTATGACGTTGTTATAATTTTTCCTTTATATAATGCTTCCTTTTTATTTCCGCTTAAACGGACGGGGTAGACTTAGGGTCGGTGGCGGGCTTGGTGGGGAGGGTAGTAGGAAGCCGGGGGAGCAGGTTCTTTGCGCTCTCGCGGGCGTACTGGGCCATGAGGGCATCGATAATAACGAGGGAAGACATGGCCTCGACGATGGGGACGGCACGGGGGGTGACACAGGGGTCGTGGCGACCCTTGGCCTCGAGGGTACCCTCTTCCAGGTCGTAGGTGGCGGTAGTCTGAGCCTGGCCGATGGTAGCGGCGGGCTTGAACGCAACGCGGAAGTAGATGTTGGCACCGTTGGAGATACCACCCTGGATACCGCCAGAGTTGTTGGTCTTGGTGGTCAGCTTGGGGGCGCCGGCGGAGGCCTGTGACACGACGAAGGGGTCGTTGTGAATGGAGCCGGGGACTTCACAGCCGCCGAAGCCGGAGCCGATCTCGAAGCCCTTGGTGGCGGGGATGCTGAGCATGGCGTGGGCGAGCTTGGCTTCCAGCTTGTCGAATGCGGGCTCACCGAGACCGATGGGGACATTGCGGATCACACAGGTTACTGTTCCACCGATGCTGTCATGGTTGTCACGGTACTTCTCAATGACCTTGGTCATGCGCGCGGCGGCGGCTTCGTTCGGGCAGCGAATGGGAGCGAACGAATCCACGGTCTTGCGATCAATGGTCTCGATCATCTCGAGGAACTCGGGGTTGGTGGAGGCGGAGGGGTGTTCGGGGGTAGGAGGGAAGAGGTGCTCGTTGCCAACGGAGGTGACGAAAGCGACGATTTCGACGTTATGCGACAGGCTGAGGTACTTTTCGGCAATGGCTCCGGCGGCGACACGACCTAAGCATTGGTGTTAATAGACCGGAGATATGCATAGGGTGGGAATTTGTCATACCAATGGTCTCACGGGCACTGCTGCGACCACCACCGCTGCTGGCCTTGACACCGTACTTCTCGAGGTAGGTGAAGTCGGCATGGCTGGGGCGGGGGAACATGTCCATTGTGCTGCCACCGTAGTCCTTGGGGCGCTGGTCCTCATTGCGAACCATCATGCCAATTGGTGTGCCCAAAGTGACACCAAACTCCGTGCCTGACTGAATCTCGACTCGGTCCTTCTCGTCCCGCGGGGTAGTGAGGGCGCTCTGACCGGGACGACGGCGGGTCATCTGGGGCTGGATGTCGGCTTCGGTGAGTTCCATGCCAGGAGGGCATCCGTCGACAATACAGCCGACAGAGCGGCAGTGAGACTCGCCATAACTAAAGGGGGGAGCATTAGCTACTGTTGTATTCGGAAAGAATCGCATGGTCAGGGGAGTGGGGAGTCATACGTAGTGACACGGAAATGTTCACCCCACGTCGACATGATGAATTAGTTGTCAATGTGAAAGAGGATTACAAGGAGACAGTATAGTCAGTAGATGTGAAAGGGGGAAAAGGAGTCGAGCAAGAGAAGAGTTGAATGTCGATCCCAAAAAAAAGCCAACGCAATTCGACTCATCTTTCCGATCCGGGACTAGCGCAACCGACTATCGGCCTGGCGCCTCGGGTGATAAACACTCATCCACCGACATGTTTCTGCGCTCACGGTTGGGCGGCCTTCAACATGCCAGGTATGCCAGGTATGCCTGGGTTCGCCATAATCACTCGGTGCCTGACCAATTCGCCGAGCTCGTCCGTCGTCCGTCGTCTTTACACCAGATCTACCAATCACTATCGACTGACCCTTACGTGAATCTCTCCATTGAACACTTCCTCCTCCAGAATGCCCCGGCAGAATCAAGTATCCTATTCCTCTACGCCAATCGACCCTGTGTAGTCATCGGACGCAATCAAAACCCATGGTTAGAGACAGATCTCCGCGCCCTTCACAATGACCGCTGGAACGGCACGACTGGAGACGAAGAAGCTGCAGTCTTCGTACGGAGACGCTCGGGCGGTGGGGCCGTGTTCCATGACGCCGGAAATCTAAACTACAGCGTCATATCTCCGCGGACATCCTTCACTCGCGATAAACATGCGGAGATGATGGTTCGCGCACTCCATCGCGTCGGCGCCATCAATACCCGTGTCAACGAGCGACACGACATTGTCATGGCCCGGCCGGAGGCCATGGAGAATGACCCCAATGAGCCCTTGGCCCGTAAGGTCTCTGGATCAGCCTTCAAGCTGACTCGACACCGGGCTCTCCATCATGGTACTTGCCTGCTTGACTCCCCGAACATTCATGACCTCGGCCGGTATCTCCGCTCGTCTGCGCGCGATTATATACAGGCCAAGGGTGTCGAAAGTGTCCGGTCCCCTGTGGGAAATGTTTCGGCTGGGTTTGCCGATTCGTTCTTTTCCATGCAAGGAGTTATTCAGAGTGTGATTGAGGAGTTTGCTCGCTTGTACGAGGTTCACCCTGACGCTGTACGACGCGCGCAGCGTGCTCATGCCAATGACCCGGAGATTTTTGCTGGGGATGGCTGGGTTGCGGGTACCGTCGGCGAATTGCAGGGTGAACAGGAACCTGATATTGGGAAGGGAATTGCTGAATTGCGGGTGAGTACTTTTGAGAATTACTGGGAAAGTCGGCTGTTGACATTGGAATAGTCGTTGGATTGGAAGTATATCCAAACGCCACAGTTTACGTTCTCGACATACCCCATCGAGGAGGACCCTCGTGAACGGCCTTCATTGCCACCCTCACTGCCTTCAGCTGTAAGTTAACAAAACAAGTCTTTGATTCAAATCTGACCCTCGTCTAGACCCGCGCATTTCTTCGTGTGAAACACGGTGCAGTCATCGAAAGCCACATTTCCACCTCAGCTGACGAGCTCACCGCATCTGACCAAGCCAGTCGCATCCACAAGTTACTGGATGGGCAAAACTTGCACGAAATCACTCTGACGCGGTGGTCTGAGATCCTTCAAGAGGGTCTTGGTGAGACAGGGCAAGATGAGGCCCTGGTGACAGAGCTATCCCGCTTCCTGGGTGGACTATTAGGTGGTTAATTATTGTGTAGATATCCCCGTGTACATTACCCTTCATGTTCTATACCAAGTGCCAAGTCATTTCTCTTAATTGGTGGAGTATAATTTCCCACTTATAAGATCGCCAGTCCAACAACCCCAAGATGCTGATCTCCCCGCGTTACCCCCGGCTAAATGCATTCTTCCCCCTCAAGATACTCATGCACCTGCAGATCAACCTGCAAATTGGCTGAATCGGCGTTCCTTGCGAGTAGCCCGACCAGAACCAACATTCTCGACCATGGAGCATATATGCCTCCACAATCGGAGACTTGCCCGCTCCAAGTCTCTATATAGTCCCAAGCACAGCAAACCCACCACTTAACACAAAGCCCCATTTCAATCCCAGTTCTGCCTCGATAACAAGCAAAATGTCAATCAAAGCTAACGCCCACACCCCGCCTCAACCCTTCTCCAAAAACCCCTTCTTGACAAAACCAGACCTCCAATCCGCCTGCCAGGCAATCCTGAACCCCCTCCTCCCCCTCTTCACAGAAGGAAACACCCGCATCAAAGTCGGCACATCAACCACTCGCTTCGACGAAGGCGGCGCCCAGATAGAAGGCTACGCACGCCCACTATGGGGCCTGGCATCGCTGCTCGCAGGCGGCTGCGAATCCGATTACCCGGACGCAGCGCGCTGGCGACAGGGTCTGATTAACGGGACGGACCCGGAGAGTCCGGAGTTCTGGGGTGTTATTGAGGATTTGGATCAGCGCATGGTGGAGATGTGTCCTATTGGGTTTGCGCTTGCTGTTGCACCTGATTCTTTTTGGGCGCCTTTGACGCTGCATCAGAGGAGGTGTGTTGGGGATTGGTTGGGTGGTATTAATGCGAGGGAGATGCCGAATACTAATTGGTTTGTTCTTCTTCTACTTTTCTGTGTTTTTATTGGGGGATTGGTAGGAGGGCGTGGCTGACGATGTCGGTGTATTGTCTAGGTTGTGGTTTCGAGTCTTTGCGAACTTGGGATTGAGGAAGAATGGTGCTGAATACTCTCTTTCTCAGATTGAGGCTGATATGGACCATCTTGATTCTTTCCATGTTGGTGGAGGGTGGAGTAATGATGGACCCAAGAGTCATCACCAGATGGATTATTACTCGGGCTCATTTGCTATTCAGTTCCTGCAGCTGCTTTACTCGAAGCTAGCTGGGGACTTTGATCCTGAGCGTGCGGAGCGCTATCGTCAACGGGCAAGGGAGTTTGCGAAGGATTTCGTTTACTATTTTGATCCCAATGGTATGTTCCCTGATCTCTTGCCCGATGTGCTAGCAGATACTCATCCAATCTCCTATCTAATAGGCAGTTCCATCCCCTTCGGCCGCTCAATGACATACCGCTTCGCCATGGTCGGGTTCTGGGGGGCACTAGGTTTCGCAGATGTCGAGCTTCCGGCACCATTGACCTGGGGAGTTGTGAGAGGGATCCTGCTCCGTCATTTCAGATGGTGGTCGACACAAGAGGACATCTTCAACAATGACGGCACTCTCAGTCTCGGATACTCATATGCCAACATGTACCTGACAGAGAACTATAACTCTCCAGGATCGCCATACTGGTGCTGTCTATCATTCATCCCGTTAGCATTACCAGAAACCCACCCGTTCTGGTCGGCGAAAGAAGAGCCATACCCCAGCTCCTCTCTACCCGAAGTGGTAGCCCTCAAGTATCCCAAACACATTGCAATCCGCCGTGGCGGACACTCTTTCCTACTATCGTCTGGCCAGGCATGTCACTACCCTCTCAAAGCAACACAGGCCAAGTACGGCAAGTTCGCATATAGTTCTGCATTTGGATACTCTGTTCCAACGGGGGGTTATCAGCTCGAGCAACACGCACCAGACAGCATGCTCGCCCTATCCGATGACGGTGGCGATATCTGGCAGACAAGAAGGCTAGCACTGGACGCACGCTTCGAGGAACCGGAGGCGAATGGCTCACCAGTCCTGATATCTAGCTGGAACCCATGGCCGGATGTCGAAATCGAAACGATTCTCATTCCGCCGACGGCCGAGAATGAGAATTGGCATCTGCGCGCTCATCGCGTGCGCACCGGTCGGGCATTGCAGACTTCCGAGGGAGCCTTTGCCATTTACGGATGTCGCAGTGATACTGGGCGGATTCTGGGTCCTCTGGTTGAAAGCGGCTTGGAAGGGACCATGCATGATGATCGGAGTAGTTTGGTCGTCTCTTCGGCCGGGGCTGTCGGTATTGTTGAGTTATACTCGAATCTTGGTCGCGCGGGTCGGATAGTGCTGGCAGATCCAAATTCGAATATTATTCATGGGCGCACGCTTTTGCCATCGCTTGCGGCGGACATGGTCCCTGGCCAGGCCTGTTGGTTTGTGTCGGCAATCTGTGCTGTACCCGATCATGGGCGGGATTGGAAAGCGGCTTGGGAGCAGAAGCCGATGATCCCTGGGTGGCTGAAGAGGCGAATGGAGAGTGGTTGAGAGGTCAGACCCTGGTGAATAGTGTGGTTTGATAGAACCTAACGTGAGCTCGTAGTCGTATTTCCGCATTGGTTCGAGTTAGCCCTAATCTGGGGATTCCCCGCAAAATTCCCCAACTCCACGTCGACTTTTGTTCTCTGTAACATAATTTCTGTTGTTTTCCGTTACTACATTATTGCTATGTAACCATGTCTAATTCGCCTCGGCTAAACATCTCCTATTAGCCTTAACAACTCAGCTCATACCTTAAAACCTTACCCCCACCTTTTCTCCGCCTTTCCCCAGCCCAGAGCTGGGGAATGTTCAGGGATGTCTTGGACCTTACCCCAGTTACACTTGAGAACATGTGAGCGGGCAACATGCAACCCGTCCCATGCTGTGCTCGGATTCGTGGATGTTTTCTTCCTTGCCTGCTCGCCTTGTTTAGCGCCTTCGTTCTCGTCTCATAGGCCGCTCGGTGGTTGGCCAAGATTTGGGGCTTGACGTGACACCCTGACATCGTCTCTTTTCTCTTCCTGATAGTTCCTATATCTACTTCAGTTGCCGACAGCATCGTGTATTTAGTTGTCGGTAGTATCCTGGTAATCGTCCTCAGTTGGTTGTTCTTCTATTCCATACCGACTTGATCGTGTTTGCTCTTCACCATGTCGTGGCTTCTAAAGAAGGTTGTTCATAATGAGGCAATGAAAGAGGATCCGAAGGAGATCTACGGATGGAGGGTTTTCCTGCTGGCTTGTTCGGTTGGTGTGCAATTCCTTGATGCTGGTGCAATGCTGATAATTTGAGAAGGCCTGCTGTGGAGGAATGCTCTTCGGCATGGACTCTGGTATCATTGGCGGTGTTCTTACTATGCCAGGATTTAAAAAGTAAGGATTCCGACTTCATTTCACATTCAGTCTTCTTATCATATCTATTGCAGAACATACGGACTGGAGAATACCTCCAAAGTCGCCCAGGCAAACCTATCAGCCAACATCGTCTCAACCCTCCAAGCAGGATGTTTCTTCGGCGCCCTAGGCGCCTCCTGGATGGCCGATAAGTTCGGCCGAAGAAAATCACTCATGGGTGCAGCGATAGTATCCATCCTCGGAATTGTCATGCAGTGCGCAGCCAGCGGCCACCTCGAGGCCATGTATATCGGCCGGTGAGAACCCCCAGCAACCCAATGACTCCCCATACAGAGAACACCACTAACACGCCAAACCAGACTAATCACCGGCTTCGGAGTCGGCGCCGCATCAATGATCAACCCCCTCTACGTCGCCGAGAACGCGCCCCGAGCAATCCGCGGCGGTCTAACAGGTCTCTACCAGCTGTTTATCACAATGGGCATCATGCTCGCATTCTGGATCAACTACGGCTCCCTCCTCCACATAACCGGACCGGCAATGTACCTCGTCCCACTGGCAATGCAAGGTCTCCCAGCAGTTCTCCTCCTGCTGGGTATGTCCCTTTGCAATGAGTCCCCCCGCTGGCTGGCCAGACAAGACAGGTGGGAAGAAGCACGCGCAACACTCTGCAAAGTGCGCAACTTACCTTCGGGCCACCCCTACCTGGAAGAAGAGTTCCAAGCCATTGCCACCCAGCTCGAGCAGGAACGCGCTCTTGTGGGTGGTTCTGGCTTCTGGGATCTCATGAAGGAGATGTGGCTCATTCCTGGGAACAGGAAGCGGGCTATCATTTCTATTATTCTGATGGTCTGTCAGCAGATGACTGGAACTAACGCTATCAACTACTATGCGCCTCAGATCTGTAAGTTTCTTCCCCCCTCCCTCAATTGTTATCCTTCACAAATTGAACAGTCCAACTAACAACCTCGACAGTCAAGAACGTGAGCATACCCATCTACCCTCTATCATCTACCCTCCACCCCAATCCACGATCGTATATAATCTAACAACCTCCCCAGCTCGGCGTCACAGGAAACGCAACAAACCTCTTCGCAACGGGCGTCTACGGCATCGTCAAAATGATCAGCTGCGGCGTCTTCCTAATCTTCGTAGCAGACTCCCTCGGCCGTCGGCGCTCGCTCCTCTGGACTTCCATCGCGCAGGGCCTAGCAATGCTCTACATCGGACTGTACGTTCGCATCGCACCGCCAGTCGAAGGCGCACCGGTCATTCCAGCCGGCTACGTGGCTCTCGTGTGCATTTTCCTGTTTGCGGCGTTCTTCCAGTTTGGCTGGGGGCCTGTTTGCTGGATTTATGTTTCGGAGATTCCGACGGCGAGGTTGCGTTCGCTCAATGTTGCTTTTGGCGCTGCTACGCAGTGGTTGTTTAATTTTGTCGTTGCTAGGGCTGTGCCTAATATGTTGGCTACTGTTGGGGATAATGGTTACGGGTGAGTTTGGGTCTTTTGATTGGGTTGAGTGGCTTTTTTTGCTGACTTTGACGGTTTGCATTTTAGGACTTATATTATCTTTGCTTGCTTCTGTTTCTCTATGTGTGTCTTTGTTTGGTTCTTCATTCCTGAGACTAAAGGTTGGTTTGGATCTTGTTGGCTTGATGGTGTGGGTTTGTTCTTACTGACTCTTTTTTTCACAGGCATGTCTCTTGAGAAGATGGATGAACTCTTTGGCGTCACTCAGCTCTTCGATAGTAAGACTGCCGATCCGGAACAGGCTCCTGCTGTAGATGATCTAGACAAAGCGGCACATGCGCATGTCATGAGAGTGACTTGATTACTTCGCAAGTGAGAGAGGACTAAGTCAGGAATAGTCTGAGAAGATTTTAATCAATTTGATTCTCTGAATTGTATTCACATTGGTCATCATTATTTCATAAGTGTCATCAAAGTAACTCCGAGAAAGATATGTGCAGCGGTCTTATGAAGAGACCACTCGGTCTATCAAGACATGACCGTGTAAAAGTTCGCCTGCGCTATGAAATGACGGAACCCGCTCGGGTCGAGGCTGATGACCAGAGATGAAAGGAAAGTGGAAAGAAGCCAGTGCTGTGTCAGAATATGAGGAGAAAAACAAAGCCGAAGCGAGACAAAAACAACAATGAAAGATGCAGGAAAGGAATGATCAAGATGAATAGAGCAATTTTACCGAATGTAGTTGGGCTGGGCCCGACCAAGTACCCCGTGCTGGGTCTGGCTGCGAGTCATGCGGCGGGGAGTTGGGTTATCATCCAAGCTCAACCCTCCTATTCCTGAGCCTAGTCCATTGCGTCGGGGCGAGAACATGGAGCTGTGACCGAGGCTGGGGTTGTAGCCATACCGAATGTTGCGGTTGGTCATGTTGGTACCACTGGTAGTGGCGGTAGCGACAGTCTCGCTGTCTGAATCTTGATCATAATCAGATGGAGGGTCGCTCATCTTCAAAGACTCCATGGTGAAGCTATGGGGGTTTCGTTTTGGAGTCTGAGCGGCAGAGAAAGAAGGGACAGTCTGAGATGAAGAAAGCCCAAAGTTTGAGACAGAGGGTAGTGCTGATGAGAAGCTAGAGTTTGACACAGAGGGTAGTGCCGATGAGAAGCTAGAGCTTGGTTCGGTTGTGCAAAAGGAAAGTGGAGGCGCAGAGGTCTGCGACTCGAACGATCGATGCATAGGCAAGGGGGGACTGCTGACTCGAGATTCCGGGGGGGGATACGGGTGGTGATCTGTTGGAGGGCCATTCGATAGCACCTTGCTGGTTCAGTTGCGGCGTCCCTGACTGTGACAATGCTGGTTCTGATGGTGGGTTTCGACTTTCCATCATGGCAGCCGTGTAGAAGGAGCCTACGCGCATAGCCTCCTGTATGGCCATGAACATCAAGAGAAGCTTGCCGTAGCGATCAAAGTAGTCTCGGTCAAACGAAGCAGTCGGCAGATGGGCACCCATATGGACGGCCGCAACCAGTTCGGTGATGGAAATCAGTATTTCCATGCCGTTCCACTGCGCAAGAGGTCTCTTGACCATACTGATCAGAGCGAATCCGGCAACAAGACTCGCAGCTCCCAAAGCAGCGATCTCCACGTAGTTTCCGGGAATGAACACCTGGCGGTTTTGAGAGAAGGTCCAAGCACTGATGAACCCGACTAACAAGACAAGTCGCAGATATCCATAGAACAAATGATTCGGTGTCTGGATGCGACTGATAGAATTCTTTTGGCCGTCTTCAGACCAACCAGGTCTGGGATCCTCGGGTTGAAAATTGAAGGCTCTGTCAAACAGTGTTTCCAATCCAGTGGAAGTGTCAAAATCCCCTGGAGCGAAAAATTTGGGTGGCTTGAAAACTGGTTCGGTGTCAGCAGGCGGTTGTCGGCCTGGAGCTTGTGTTTGCGAAGGGCTGCGGTGGAACGGGTTAGGCTGAACCACTTGCTCAATAGGCTTTGTTGACGGCTGAACGCGAAGCTTCCATGAGGGAGCCATCGGGGCCGCTGGAACCTGCCCGTGGAAGGGATGTGGGCTATTGAGGACAGATGGCTTGCTCCGCTGTTGAATAGTTGGACGGAGATTGTGCGTGGTAGAAGGGGTCCAATCCATGCTGTCTTTCTCCACAACGGGGACGATTTCTCGCGACTCCTCTACTGGTGCCGGAGCTGAGGCTAGCTTTTCAATTGGGAAACGCTGACTGCCTCCACCGTTCGTACGGAAGGCATTCAGATTGGTGGCCTGGGGCGAGACAACTGGTGACTCAGGCGTTTCAGAAGACGATTTGGCACCTTGGAGTTGATTTTCCCAGCTATTGTCGGACCAATTGACAAGTGGACGACTAGAATATTGCACGACGTATCGAGAGTATGAGAGTGACTACTCAATTAGCGCAAGACGAAGAAATGTAGCTGCGAAGGCACTTACCAGTAAAGTGAAAGCTATCATTAGACCATGCAAGGCCGGAGACATGCTAGGATTCAAGCCGCTAGCCGAAGGGTCCTTGAGAACTGCCCAGAAAGCGCACCGAGCCACTAGAACAATCAATTGGGCTTGATAATATTCTGCAAGGCCCTTGAACTTGCCAGGCATCCCATCTATTTTGAGGCGCAACTTGGGATTCCACCAAAGCGAAAGAGCACCTGCGATCAATGCTAGACCTGCAGCTGGTGCTAGGTCAATCACACATTCGCTTGGAATACGCCACATAGACAAGGTTTGCTTGGTGCAGCTTGAGAAGGTGGGAGCCATGGGCAGTTCGGAATAAACCGATGATCCATCGAGGTTCTCCGGTTTCTGATAAAGTGTCATTGCACTGACCAAATCCCATGCAACTTGACCAGAAATACTGGCCCAGTGCGCAAGCGCACCGGCATAAAGAAGCAAGCTCCTCCAGCTCCGGTTCCTAACCTGTCGTGCTTCGCGATTCGCACGACTCTGGTCCATCATGCGTCTGAGATGATCTGATTTGGCTTCATAACCGGCTCTTCGAATCCGATTTTTCACGCGAGGTTCACAGGACTCGCAGATCTGGGGATAACGGTCCTCGAGGCGTTTGCGAAAGTCTGCATATCCACGTTCGTACTCGGCATCTGTCGGATCATCGGATGGAGGGAAATATGACGCCAATGAGCTCGTGAATAGGTGTTGGTTGCGAGTACACTTGGAGCAAAATAACGGGGACTCTTTCAGGTCGGCGGCTTCGGAGTGTTGGCTTGATGCGCCAGGCACGTCACCTTCGGCGTTGGTGACAGCAGCTGGTGGATCGGTGATTTCTCCTTTCTGCGTGCATCAAGAAGTAGTGTTTAGTATGTATCGAGCAATTTTGGAGGCTAGACACGGAACTGACCTCGTCGAGAAAGTTGTCGGCCTCGCAATGTTCACATCGGAAATTGCGAACAGGCCACTGAGAGGCAGACCGCCGCCCACAGTAAAAGCAGGTCAGACGTTTGGTGAATAGAGACGCCATGACATAGTTTGAACGTAAACGCGAAGTCTGGATGTAAACAAGGGCGGAAGTTGAGATGCCAAAGAAGCTAAGAAAATCAACGGTCAAGCCTGCACGTGCGGGGGACGTGTACCGCGACTCCAATTTGGCCGATTCGGTCATTCTGTTTGGCTGTCTTCACTCCTTCCATGGGCTATTGTCGCAGGTCGCATTGTCTCTTTCCACTCTCTTTGGTCTTCAGACTACTTTTTACCTGATGATGCATTAGTCCCAAGCTCTGGAGCTAACAGTCCTTACCCTAACAATGATGCAGTCGTCGTTTGCATCGGTGTCCTTCTGGGACCTGGCTCTGTGTCTGTCTGTCGCACTAGCTGTATTCGGATTCCTTGTTGTTCTCGTGAGTATTTTTCAATGAAGCTATTGCATTGTTCTAACCTCCCCCTCTTAGGTCATATTCCTTTCTCTCGAAATTTCCCACAATAGCCCTATCTCCAAAAGCCGCCCAAGAAACTCGCCTGTCCACCTTTTGCTCGTCCTGGGAAGCGGTGGTCATACAGCTGAAATGTTCTACATGCTGGAGCATGCGGATATGACATGTTATTCGTATCGGACTTACGTCGTGAGCTCCGGGGATAGCTTCAGCGCTGGCAAGGCCAAGGAATTCGAGGCAGAGAGAACTTGCCCGGACGATAACTACAACATTGTGACGGTACCTCGTGCCAGACGAGTTCATCAATCATACCTGACAGCGCCTTTCACCACCCTTCAATGCTTCTGGGCTTGTTTCAATGTCCTCTGTGGACTTCATCCAGGACAGCGACTTCCTGAACAGTACAGCTCTCCTTTCCCGGACTTAATTCTGACAAACGGCCCAGCTACATCCGTCTGTGTGGCTTTGGCTGCGAAGCTCATCCGCTTTTTCCAGTACATATCTAGCTTCAGGTTCTCGTCTCGAAGCTCCGCAACATTGCCTATTTCCCAGTTGCGCATCCTCCATACTGAATCTTGGGCTCGGGTGCAGAAACTGAGTATGTCCGGTATTCTTATGTTGCCGCTAGCCGATAACTTCCTTGTTCAATGGCCAGATTTAGGAGGGCTGCGGGCCTGGGTGGGAATGAAGAGAACTAAATACGCAGGGTGGCTTGTGATTTAGGGTCAGCTTCATGACCTTTTAACCTCTGATCATCGAGACTTACTGAGTCTGAATGTAAATTTCTTTCTGGACAACTGTACTTGATATCAAAATTGTATGCTGTAGGCGGGATTGAGCTCCGCAACGGTTTGCTCCCCACATGCCGAATGTGGAGGAAGAATTGTACACTACCATCTACGAGACCCGTAGGACCTCGGCTTGAGCTTACGGAGTGATGTATAGTATTCGAGCAGAAATGATGTAGGTTGTATAGACTACAATGCAGAAGAATCTATTAGAAACTACAGCCAGTCAGTATCCTTATATCCAAAGTTGAAGTAAAGCCGATTGATAGAAACCGAGCCATGAATGATACCTTGCAGAGTCCGCCGTGCATAGGCTTCTGCGGTCTCGTAGACGTCGTTGTAGTCGAGTTCATAGCCGGGGCCCTTGATGACGGGGAACGATATATACCATGCATAACCGCGGTGGTGGCTGCAGTCTGTAATTTCGGCATATCTTTGCTGGATCATGTGAATTGCTGTTTTCATTAGCTCTTGATCAGTTAGACAAGTATCAAACTCGTCGAACTGTATATTAACATAGTGAACCTCTGCTCCTAGATTGGTTAGACGATAGTCTTCTGAGCAAACCTGTCCGTCTCGGATAAACATGCCTCTTCGGCTCCACTGCCTCGGGGCCATTTCAATCATGTCGTTGGAAAACATCTTGATTGTTTGGTTTGTCAATAGAAGATATAGTAGGTATCTTGCTCTTGCTGTGGAGGGTTAGTGAGCCGTCGAAGGTTGCCGCTGGCTGTGGATGAATTGCATAGCAATATCACCAGGGCGGAGTTAAACCGCACAGTTTTTAAATTATCTAATTTCATCTTTGAGTCTAATTTTTTCTCTTAACACATTACAGAGACTTTCCCTTTTGCTTGAACGTTTGGGAGATTGAAATCTTGAGGACTTTCTGATTTGAGACTTGCGGAGCATTCTGCTGCTTTTACTCAAAACTTGAGTGCGAGATTTATGTATATTTCACTTTTCTGAACAATTCATATCCATTAAGTATATCCAGTACGTCCAGGTGTATAATCAAGAAGGCAACGGAAAAAAAGGATTGACTGGAGGTTGCAGAGTCTGCCGATTATCGCTCCCTTAAATGTGCTTGGCCGTTCACCCTCTGCTTTTAACGATTTAATGTTCACCGTGTATCATTGGTGCCTGTCTCTTTGCCATTATTTTGAAATGCAAGCTGTTGTTGACCGTCTGCTGTTGACCGTCTGTTGTTGACTGTCTGTTGACCATTTGCTGTTGATTACTTGTTGACCGTTTGTTGTTGACCGACCTTTGCCGAACGTTTCTTTGGTGAGCTTTCTCAATGGTCTTTTTTCTCTGTTCATTTTTACAGATAAAACGTACACGCTGAGGGTTTTGGAAACAGACCTCCACCTAAAAACATAGAATTTGTTTCCGAGCACCCTACTCCGGCCATGCTTAGCCACCTTTTGGGAGAGATACCTACTGTGAGGCTTAGATTGCAATGGTGTGATTGGGGTCATAGGGTCGAATAGGCGACTCGGGGAGTCTCTACAGTCCGAGCTACGGCATGTCACGATATCACATCACACCGATCCTCGAATAAACGCGCAAAGTGCCTAATATAGATACAGGTCTAACCCTAATGCATGAGTAGTGCGTATCAGGATAACAGAACAATACTATCAAAACAGGTGCTCCAACAACTACAATACAACCTATATACACATGCTACAAGACTAGTAGGCCTTTTGGCACGCACTAAGATAGTAGCGTCTTGGCATTTCCTAGTCGACCTAGATTCGTGCTAGAGCGAGAAGCGATTGAAAGTGTTGGCGCGAAATAATAGTTAATCACATGTAATTGGAATTGATGGTGTCGAATTGATGAGCTTTTTTAAAATTAATCGATTGGCCAAAGTACATCTTCATAGGTGAGAGCCCTTAAGCCTACTTTCGAGCAAGCCATTTCAGGGAGCCCCCCTCGACTTCACGCGGCTTCCCAATCTTAACAGGAGAATATAGAACGTTATGGAAAAGTTGTGCCATTTAGCTTGTAGATTATTCTAAACATACTAGTTAAGCCTCCCCTCTAACCATTGTGTCAACGATATAGCAAATAGGCACGTATTGTCTATGTCTCCGAGTTTCGCGTCGACCTTGAAGGTCCACATACCACTCCTCAAAAACATTGTAAGAAACTGAAAATCTACTACAATATCACTGCGACCGCTGCTAGGCATATAGTCGACCTGAACTCCACGGGAATCACGAACAGTGAGGTGGGCTAGATCATTGAAGGGTGTAGTCTGTAACGGAAATGTAAGGGATTGTTTGTCATCGTGACTACCATCCGCGTAGACGACAGAGCTGCTTATAGTGAGGGTCGCATTAACGAGGCCCTCATCGGGAAGTGCTAGCTCCTTCTTTTTAGATTCAGGTAGATAACCGCATAGGTAGGCGAAGAAGACACGGTCGCTTCATCAGGATATCAAAACGTTATCATTAAGCTGCATCTTAAGGAGAGGGAGAATCTTACGCGAGAATGGGCGTCGGGGCAATTTCGAGGAACTCGATTTTCAATATCTGGTCTTCCTTGGGCACGATATCGTATACGGCATCGTTGTGGCCAGGGACTTTATCTTGTTGGATCATAATGTCCTCGCGGACGAGCAATTCTTGCTGTGCAGGGTTGGTCTTGACAAGAACAGCGAGTGCAGCGGTGCAAAGAGGCAGGAATTGCGGGAGAAATGATTTCATCAGGTGGCAGCGGTGTAGATAAAATTTCTAGACAACCTCTAGTGAGTGAGCAATGAGAGACGAGAGGAGTGTTGGCTTTATGTCAAATGATCACTACCCGATACTAGGCCTGCCTCAGGTGACTCATTGCCTAGTAAGCACAAAATTGCGCAGGCGAGAGAAGCTCTTAGCGAAATTTATGCTTGCATACCGATGATATGCCAAATTGCCTCGTTGTCTACAGCTTTCGACTTAGTCGCGCATCTGACACCCGACAGTCAGAACCTGTTTGACACCTCTGCTACTTTAATCCGAGAATAAAATGGCAGCTAGTGAATCACAGAACCTTCCATATTGGTGCTCCATGCACCAATGAGATTTCTTGATTGCAAGAAAATTGAAAAAGGGGATACTTATAACGTCCTTTCCAGCCTCACATCCGTGGGAGCATTTGGGACTGCTTAGACTAAGCGAGAAATGGACAAGAGATCCTTTGACTAGCTGTAGTACTTCGATAGGTAACATGTACAATATCAATGCCTGAAACTACAGATACAGGATAGATCGATAGCTTAAATACCCCGAGAATTCGAGGATGAATGGCAATACCATCCCAAGTAGAAAACTTGAAATCTCCTATGCACAATGGTTCTTTGCTGCAATTTCATTGTGGTTCAACAACGAAGGCAACAGCAACTACAAAGAGAGACTTATATAGGCTTCTTTCTATTTCAAAATTCGAAAGAACTCAGCATAGTATCAAAGACTCGCCCATCTTGAAAATCAAAGGAACAACTTAAAGGAAACAAGGATAAGAAAGTATAAATGTTCTCTTCCAAATCGTAGACCAATAGACACCAGACGGATAAGGGTTGCGGATAGGATATTCTCCGACTACTATATATGACCCAGCATTAAAGCCACGTCAGATAACCAAGTAAAGTGTCGGTCAACACAATAAGCCCCACGTCGATCTCTGATACGCACTGAAGTCCGCTATAGCTGCCCCGCATCGGCATCTGGGGCGATGTCCCTCGGCCCACCCTCTTTCTCTTCTATCTTTGTCTTTGTTTCTAACATTGTTCGAGGTCAAATACAACTTACGTCGCCATGCCCTACTCACTATCAGGTCGCAATGTTTTGATCACTGGAGGATCACGGTATGTCCCTTCCGTTTCTTATCAGTGCTTGTTCAATACGTGAGCTAACATAGACTCGAATAGGGGATTGGGAGCCCTCACGGCCGAGAAATTCGCCGCTGAAGGAAGCAATGTTGCTATCAATTATATGTCCAACAAGGAGACCGCGGATAAGTTGGCCGCGGATATTGCGAGCAAGTACAGTGTGAAGGCTGTCGTTGTTCAGGGTGTATGGCTCTCACTTCTCCACACGATCTGCAATTGACGGAGACACAACCCGCTGACATGGCGACTAATGGGATATAGGATGCTGGGATCCAAGATGACTGCTTCAATGTCGTTAAGGCTACAGTTGAGAAACTGGGTGGCTTGGATATTGTCATCTCAAATGCTGTATGTCCTAACTGATATTGAGAAGAGGGACATTGAAAGCTGATTCGTGAAGGGATGGACTAAAATAACCAACTTTGGTGATCTTGATGCTATGGATGAGGAAGATTGGGACAAGGTAACTGACTAAACACTCATTCAAGGACACCATGACTGATCCTGGAAATAGTGCTGGTCTGTGAATGTGAAGAGCAACTTCCACCTGTACAAGGCGGCTTTGCCTACTATCAATGCCAACCCCGAGGGAGGCGCATTCCTCATCACGTCTTCAGTCGCTGTATGTCACCGAACCCATGCTATATGACCGATCAAAGCTGACTAGAACGATTAGGGTGTCACGGCAACTGGCAGCAGTTTGCCCTATGCTACGACCAAAGCCGCCAGTAGGTCATCTTCGATGGTATATCAGACAGCGCTAACATTTTCGTCTAGCCCTCCATCTTATGACGTGCCTTGCCAGAAGTCAAGGCCCTAAAGTTCGCATCAACGCCGTTCTGCCCGGACTTTTGCTCACTGAATGGGTAAGTGGAACTTCATTTTGTTGGGAGTGCATAAGAAGCTCACGGCAAGTAGGGTCAGCGTTTCCCTCAAGACAAGATCGACGCCTGGACGAATGCCACAGTCCTCAAGAAAGTAGTACGTACCGCTGAAATATTCCCAAAACGCCATTGGCAATACTAATGAGCCCCTTGCTAGCCCGAGGTGGAGGATTGTGCAGATATGTTCATCGCCATGGCAAAGAACGCATCCATGACTGGACAGGCAGTCCTGATTGGTATGGCTCTAATCATCCACTGGTCAAGCTCAAACTGACATTTCTAGATTCTGGATTCTCGACATGATCACCATGAGAACAAGAAGAATATCGCATTAGATAACTTAGATTACAAATATAGTATATACACTTGCCCCCATATTCAAACTAGGGCGTTACGGAAGGGAGTAAATTCCACGCCGTCATAGTTGAAAGCTTGATCGCAGAACATGCGAGCTTTGATAGCAGCCCGTAGTCCTTCGGCATCCTGTTCGCCTTGGACTTTCATGCGGTTGATGCGCATCAACTTTTTGTCTTTAGTGAAAACGTAGAGCTCCCGTCCCTTCTTTGGTTGGACTGGATAGGAAGCATTTGTGAATGGCAGACCGGGCATGATTGAGAACGCGTTGCATCCTTGCGGTGGGTCAACCTCTTCAACGTCTGTAAGAATCAATCGTTTTTGCTGGAATGACGGGGATGCGCTTTCAACATTAGATGCGCAAAGGGCTGTACTCCAAAGAGGCCCAATCACACGGCTGCGCCTGTTAATGTTCGCAAGTGTCCAGTTCGCCCAGTCAATGCGCCGGTCCTCTGGTGTGATTTTGGTTGCATGAGTCAACTCGCCACTCACTTCAGCGGCGTGCCCTCTAACATCAACCACTGGGGGTACATATAGACCCTTCTCGATGCCATTGACAAGCAGTTCTGCTCCTTTCGGCGCAACCAAGTCTATCAACTCGGGCACTGTGCAAGAGTCCGGATTGGGAATTTCAAGTCCAGGAGCCGGGGTTTGAGATAGCACCACTCCGTGGTCGAAGTGTTTGAGGTGCAAGGTCTGGAGTGTTACGCCCGTGGTTCTCTGACCAGACAAAAGAACATGGTGTAGTGGTGCGGGACCACGAAAACTGGTTGATTCAGTCAGTCCCAATTCCCAGTCTGAGGCTGGTGCTGAACACATACTCTGGTAGTAATGATGGATGTATGTTCAGCCCTCCATACTTGGCCCCATTTAATATGCGCGATGGCACAAATAGGCCGAAGGAGACTGCAATAACCAAGTTTATGGGACCACCCGACAAAGTTGGCGGCTAGAATGATCAGCCTGGTCTTTATGTAGGCAGCGTGTCCATCATACCTTCCAATTAGTAAAAGTATCAATCTCATGAACCGGTAAAGAAAGGGCAGTTGCGGCTGCTTTAATCGGTACTAAAGGAAAGAAAGATCGAATCAGAAACCAAGCCAGATTGATCACTTGATTGGCGACTTACCTTCTCGAATCTGCTTCAACCCTCGCCCAACTCTTTTGCCAGGTCTGCACACCACATCAATTGAGGAGATCCTTTCTGGATTGGCTAATTGATAGGCACGAAGAGCGTTTAGGGAAGCGATGCTGAAGTCATCGGAGCCGCAAAAGAGAATGCGGAGAGGATCGGAGGATTTCGTCGTGTAGGACCTAAAGACAATCCCTCTGAAGGCCAATGGGCGCTTGCAGAGACGCAAGCTCCCTGAAATCGGTATCGTCCACATCTTGCTTCAGCAATTCGGAGTAAGAGGTCGCCGAAGCTTGAGTCGAAGCTCGACCGATACGATCTTATCGATAACACACGTGATGTCAACACCCCAGATCCCACTTCAGTCACTTGTTCCGCTGTCATTCCTGCAATTATCTGTGATCGCTCTCTAGCGGGAGCTGCAGAGCTACTTGGAGATGCGATGCCTGAAACCGATCATGACTCGGTGATCCCGGCCCAGCTCGCCTACCTGGCTATTTACAACCCGAACCTCGGACCAACCGACGAGACGATAGCGGACCAGATCGTGTTCTACACCTCGAAGTCAAGCCATGCACAACAGCTTGATAACACTACAACGGAGGATTTGGATAGTAAACGACTCGAGGATGAACAGAACGAGAGACTGCGCCAGATCGGTCTGGCGCAGGGCATGGTGAACTTCGCTAGGTGGGTATCTCCGCAACGCCGCGAGTGAACAAGCCTAATCACTTTTTATGCACAGCAACTTCTCTGGTGGACAGGCATTGGAGTTTATTGAAACAGACAAATCCCGTGTTGTTCTGCTGGAGCTGGAGAAGGACTGGTGGATTGTTGCCGTGAGTAAATGAGGTCCAAAACGTGCCGACCTTGAAGCTCATGATAAGCTAGTCTATCGATTTCACTCGACTTCCCGCTGATCCAGCTCACAAAAACTCTTCGGTGGCATCTGATTCCTCTGATTTCCAGTATTCATCCCGAGAGATAGGACCACCCCATCTACTCATCCAGCAATTACGCCGCGCCCATTCGATATTCCTCCTACACCATGACTTCATGTTGGATGATCTTTACAGAAAGGCTGGAAGAGATTCATTCTGTCTTTTCCTCAAGCGGTTCTGGGACAAGTTTGCATGGGATTGGGAACTTCTATTGACCGGAAATCCAATCGTCGAGATCTATAATGGTATCAAACTCTCGGCTGGAGGAGAGTTGGGTATTGGTGTCGGAGAGGAAGAATGGGGAAGTGGAGAAAGAGAAGTACTCGAAGACTTCATTGCCAGAACAGAGGGCTTAGTGGACTTGGTGGTCTCTAGATTTGGCGACTCGTCTACACAATTCGATGGGTCTCCAGCTTCGACCAGATCAAATGACCAAGGGCTATGGATAGGGGCAGATAATGATCCTCGACCATCCGATGGCGTTGTATTTGCTGGCGTCGGTGGTCTTTCAAGATTTTCACTGGCACATGTGTCACAGTGGATGGAGTGGATCTATCGATTTGGAGATGCTACATACGGAGTTGGGCGGGACCCAACTTCGTTGCGTCGCCGCAGACCGAAGAAGCAGCGTGGGAGACCATCCACAGAAAACCAGCCCTCCACTCCGGACCGCAGCTTTACGCCTGGCATACCTCGTCCGCTTATCATGGCAACCCCACAGCCACTTCAAGAGGTGCCCGTAGAAAGCGAGACGGAAGCTGGAAATGACAAATATGATAATTTAGGGTTTCCCACGGAGACGGTCATGAAATATCTCACTCTTGGGTATGGTTCCGCTTGGAGCTTTTCTCCAAAATCAGCATCATCAACACCTACGCGCAGCTCTACTCCAGGGCAGGATGCAGCCACTTCTGGTCTCCCAATCCCAAAGGATAGTTCCAGTGCCAATCAATCTCAGTCAGATGTGAAGCCTCGAAACAATCCCTCTGGTCGGTTCGTTCTGGGGCCTCGGGATGATCTAGAAACACTAGATGACCTGGAAGAAGGAAGTCCTGATCCAGAAATCGAGAATGGAAAGCCCAAGACTCGAATCGTACACAGATCTCTACATGTGCACCTAGCGAATGGATCAGATACCCAAAAGATGCTTCAGGCTGTGATCTACGTGGTAAGTGTTTCGTCCCCAGATCACTCTATTATCAACACATTTCACTAACATATCCAGAATCAACCATTTATGTTCACATTCTTCTTCGACCCCGAAACCCAATCTCTTACATCCCCATCTCTCTACTCAAGTATACACCACCAACTCGGCCCTCTCCAAAAGCCACTCCTATCATCAACATCCCCCAAAATGGCAGCCTCCCGCATCTCCATGTCAGAGACATCTCCAGACCCAAGCAAACGCTTCTCAACCCGATCCCAACCTGTCTACGATCTAGTCTACGACCCTTCAAACCTAACAATCCGCTCCTCAATTCCCAACATCCCAGCCCTAGCCCTCCCCAATCCCCCTCAATCCCCAGCACGCTCCCCCTCCCCATCAACATCCCCCTCCCCCTCCACCCAACCCTGGTCCCGCCTCGAAAGCCTTGCAATCCACCACCGCCTCCTATCAACATACACAGACACACGCTCCAGACCACAAGAACTAGAACGAACAAGCAAAACCAATCGCGGATGGTGGGTTGTCTGGGTCCGTATCCCACAACCACAAACCCAACACCCGCCTCTCTCAGCAGCATCTTCCTCTGTGGCCCTCTCATCCCTCACAAACAACACCGACCGCCTCACTCCTATCCCTCCCCCCTCGCCACCACAGGAAGCATTCCTCGTCCGCAAAGCGAGTGACTACGTCTCGCCCGCTACACACGGCCGCGTCAGCAGCGGTGCTCGCTTTTTCAGGGATTTAGGTGGCGCCTCTGGTTCGTCGGGGTTGACGGGTTCCTCTCGTGCTGCGGATATGGCGCCGTCGAAATTGGTGGAAGGCTTGGGTATGGATGCGCGGCGGTATATTGAGGGATTGTTGAGTTTGAATCGGTAGTTGATGATGATGTCAGGTGCTGGCTTTTGTTGTGGTGTGGGCTGTCTCTGAGTACTGGGTTGCCGTGCCTTTGCTTGGGGCTTGACCCTAGAGCCTTGTGTCTAATATGTTCTTTCCAATGGTGGCTTTGTTGCTTGAGGGTGGTCCTGGGAAAGTGATTACTGTGCTGTCTGTAGTAAGGGACAGGTCATGGTTGATGAAGTAGCTCTACATGTACATGTTCCTGAAGAATCTCTTGTATAGCACGAATCAAGATTAAAGATGAAGGCAGTTGATGCATTAGCTGTAAAAGTATAGTTAAGGGGAAACAAAGCCGAGTCAAGCTCATCGCATGTGGGAGATATCCGCAGAGAATCATCTATCATGAGAAGGGGAACTCTGCCAGAAAGGCGAAATCACAGCGGTGGTTGAGGTGCATGTAAGTGGCCTAAATGCTACAACCACAGGCTCCTCTTCGTTTTGGTTTATACTGCCACTCAACGTAGCATGTTGGCATTTAAAATTCAAGGCAGTCGGAGAGAGGATATGAAAAAGAAAAGCCCACAGGGTTATGATGAAGACAACGCCTCCCTAGACAAATTCTGCAAAACAAAGGCAAAAGGAAAAGTTAAAAAAAAACACGCAAGGTCGACCAAGTGAATGGTGGGAGGATTTCCACGACTCGCTGTGCCCGGATTCGATATTATCCACAATCTCACATATTGGCTCAAATAGCCCTCCTCCTTTCCGAGAGATAAAGTCACGTCACCAGTTGTTGGTTTGAAGGCTCTCATCCGTTAATATGATCTTCGCTCGAGCCCGACCAGTCAACAGTTGATTTAGTTTACAGAATGAGGCAGCCTCCCTTCTTGCGGCCGCTCTTGCCCTTCTGGGCCTTGAGGAGGGCAGCGCGAGTGGCAGCCTCGAAAACTTCGCGGACACCCTCGTTGGTGCGGGCAGAGCACTCGAGGTACTTGTAGGCACCGATCTTCTTGCGGACCTCCTCACCCTATGATGTGTTAGATTTATTGGCCGGGTTCTGCGGACTGGGGAAGAAAAACGCACCTGCTCAGCAGAGACGGGACGCTGGGAAGTCTTGGCGAGCTCATCAATAGTCTTGCGGTCCTCGCGCAGATCCTTCTTGCAACCAACCAGGATAATGGGGAGACCCTGGCAGAAGTGCAGGACCTCGGAAATCCACTATGGGGCACGTTAGCATATCTGTATTAATCTCTATCCAGGCATTTTTTGTAACTGGATTCGTTATCGGTTGGAGAAACACACCTTCTCCTGAACGTTGTCGAGAGAGTCGGGAGAGTCCACGGCGAAACAGATCAGGATAACATGTGAGTCGGGGTATGACAGGGGACGGAGACGGTCGTAATCTTCCTGGCCAGCCGTATCCCAAAGAGCAAGCTCAACGTGCTTGTTGTCAACCTCGACATCGGCGACGTAGTTCTCGAAGACGGTGGGGACGTAGACCTGGGAATCGTGTCAGATTTTCTATAGTTTTTCTCATATTGTTGCCGTGTTGAAAGAACTGATATCGATGATCGGCAGATCGACTGATGGATGGAAGCTTACCTCGGGGAAGGTGCCCTTGGAGAAAACACTGTGATTCGGTCAGACCGCTGAAACAAGGCCGGAAGGGTGCAAGAGCCATCGTTGATGACGCCATGTGAAGACTTACATGAGCAGACAAGTCTTACCGCAGGCACCATCGCCGACGATGACGAGCTTGCGACGGATCTCGGCCATCTTGATAAGAGAGTTAGTATAGGGGTCGATCAGTGAGAAACAACGCCGAAGCCGCAGGATTCAAAACAAAGATAGCAGTCCAAGGCAAAGTGAGAAATGTCAAGCGTGAGGGGGTGATAGAGACACGAGGAGAGGATTGAGAAGGGGACAACTTGGAGGGGGGGGAAAGAAAAGGGTGATTCCATACGGTGATTGTTGGCGGAACGGGGTATCTTTCAGGGAAATGAACCAGCTATTACCCTCAAGTGGAGAGAAACAAGGAGGATGAAAGCAAGAAAGTCCGATGGAGAGATGGAAAAGACGATGGAGTGATGATTTGGAGGTGGAGAGAAAGATAGAAGACCAGGCCAGACAACAGAGGGCGGTGGCAGTATGGTAAATGTTGTTTTTCCCTTAACGCGTGGTTTGATTGTATTTGGTATCGGATACAAGTACTTTACAACCCCCTGAGTTTCAGGCAACTAACAGTTGGCCAAATGAACTTGCAATAGCCTAACTTGGCTGGATCTAGTGAGTTATCCATGAGGTCTACATCCCCTTACCGGTGTGGCTTGGGAAAGGGAAACCACTGCTCACAGGTCCACTCGCTTTGTTTCCAACACAGCCACCGTGGCTGTAAAGACTAACTGATATCATCCCCCCCCCAGATCTGGAAGTATAGGGGTACATCACAGTCTTACAGCCTCCGTTTTACAGCCCAACTTTACATGTCTCGTGTGGCTTTGCCTCTCAGCCTCTTTAGTTGATGATATTGATACCTGATCCAGCTTGACAGATACTTCACTGGACTCCACGCTCCGGAGTACAGTAAAAGTTATCATCAGCTCCACCTATGTACCGCCCGGGATCTGACTTTGTGGGCAGTGCCCCGTACTATGCGGCTGCCTGATAACCTTGAAAGGCTTGATGCTGACGATCTAGTAAATATCTCGGATGTGGGCTCTGCTCGGATGATCTCACCTCTGTCTAGGGGCTCCGAACTCCCATGAATGCGTTCCAGTGGAATTTTCCATTTGGTGTTCAGGCCACAACTTGAACCCCCTTTCGCTTATTTCCGAGCTCCATGACTTCACACATTCTTGTTGCTTTTCCAAGTGGAGTTCCTTGATCCTCCATTTAGCGGCTAAAAATAGGAAACAGGGGCTGATTGTGGTTCAATTATTTAGGAACTTAGAGTGGATGTCTCTCTTTCGCGATAATTCATCCACGTACCACTCCTCAACTTCCGAGCTAACGACTGTTGTACAGCATATTTTTAAAAGTACCACTCCACTTTTTATTTGTTGTCCTTCCGTCTTCAACCTTGCACTTGATCTGGTCCAGTTATCGCTTAGCTGTGCGTGATTTGATTTGTTCGCCATATCGGTCTTCCGTGCCGTCTGGAGACAGTTCCTATGCCGACAGCCCTCGGACCCAGCCCTATCAGACATAGGGGTGGGAGCTCGAAACCGCCTGCCTGTTTGGTTATTAGCTTTGCTCGATGATGATATATGCATTCCAAGTAGTGTGCTTGATCGTCTCGTTCACATAGCATGCATGGTAGTTGGCTTCTATAGACTTGCACCAGAGACCATGGTAATGGCGTCATCTGCACTGTCTGTTCTGTACAGAGTACGGTATGCTGTTGTTGATGATGCGAGAGAAGGCATTGTGTGGGTGACGGTGTACATATAGACATGGACGAAACCGATGTGAGAGGAGACGCCCTTGGTGTACCTGATTCAAACTGGGAAAGTTGAGATAGGAGATCTTAATCATTAATACCCCCACCGTCTGATTGCCAAAGCTCTCAGTCTCACAGCATTCAACCCAATTTGCTCTCTGGTTATGTTGGCTTAATTTAATGCCATTCATATACTCGTGGTGAGGATATTCAACAGCGAGTTAAATCACTCTCGTGATGATATTGTCAGATACCTGACGTGGTCTGACATGACTGAGATAAGAGTTAAAGCAATATAAAAGCAAAAGAAGGCAAGTACATGGTGAGGCTCACTTAACACCTGGGCAGGATGCCCATCTAGATATTGCTGAAGTAAGCAGTCAGGTCACGTGCCAGTGTCCTCAATTTTCGATCCCGCGGAACGGGATTGCAAGGCCAGTATCACTGTTCGGCCATTGCTGAACCACAACGTCCATTATGCAGAAGGTTATCCAACGGACAGCTGCAGCCCGGAAGCAGGCTCTCCGGAATACTGCCAAAACTCGTGAACGACAGGATTTGCTGGACCGTCTTACCACGAGACGGCAACGGAAGGATTATGGTGTTGCGCTCTACGCCCAACACAAGGCAGCACGCCAGAACCGCTGGGAGGATTGGGAAAAGGGATCAATTGCTCCTATGAGAGATTCTGGTCTTGAGAAGGAAATCTACGGCGCAGTCCCTGGTGTTCTCCTACAACCCCCAAGCATCCCCAAGCATCTGCGTCGGAAGCACATCCTCTTCGCTGAAGGTGACAAGGTTTGCGTTATGCGTGGACGCGACCAGGGCAAGATCAATGTTATCCAGCAGATCAACCGGGATAGTGAAACCGTCATTATCAAGGATGTCAACGTGGTACGTCTCGCCGTGGACTGCGAACACCGGTCACACCCACCCACCTGATCCCCTGAGATTCCTTGCTCACTTATTTCCATTGTATAGTACGACGTTATTGTCCCCGAATGGGCCAAGTCGCGAATTGGACACCAGGACGACACCCAAGCACAAACCTTCCCCGTTCCCATGGACGACATCCGTCATGTTATTCCGCTGGAAGACACTGAAACTGGAGAGACAAAAAACGTTATTGTTGAACATGCCTACGCCGCTGGCCCTTACAGTGATCGCCTACCGCACAGCAAACTCCCGAAACACTCTCGTTACGTCTCTGGTCTGAACATTGAAATCCCTTGGCCAGCTGAGGACGACCCCATAATCACTGATGGAGAAATGGACACCCTCCGCGTCGAGGTCGAGACAAGCACATTTATTCCAACAATCCGCCAGCCGCCTTTCCCCTCCACTATCATTGACGAGCTGCGCAATAAGTACTCCAAGTTCCGTACTCGTCACGACCCTGAATATCTGGAACAGAAGATGGAGGAGGACTACCGCAAGGAATTCAGAGAAACTGTGTCTTTGATGAAGCCCATCACAGACTTCGCCAAGATCCGCGCTGCTAAGAACGCGGAAAAGAGGAAGGCCATGACAGATGAAGATGGAAAGATGTACTTGTCTGCGAAAACTCAAGCATTCATCAACGCTCACCTCGAAGAGTCACGGAAGAATTCGCCAGCGCAGAAAGCCAAGGGGAAAAGGGCAGAATTGCACAAGGCATAATCTGGGCATGAGAAGAAGTCCAAGAAACCTAAACGAGGTCTGAGGCAGGGAGATCAAGAGGGTTATCCTGTAGCATTGTGTACACATCACTGTATTCTAGTATCAAGCTTTGCATTCACTATATCTATTCGTTGTCAATCTCATTTTAAATTTTTTTTTCCCCTCGAATCACTGCGCGGTATTGCTCCTCCAGTATCGTGTTTCCATGCGGATCCTTCGGGCCCACCTCTCCCTGTGCATCTTCGATCTATCTTCACTTGCAATCCTTCAACTCCCCCTCCCTGCACTGCTACCAGAATTTAGCAGTCGCAACCAACATGGCATTCGCCTCGATTAATAATTCGGGTGCGCCCATTGCTGCTATCGAAGAGGCATTTGCGACAGAGCCCTCATTAAAGAAGAGAGTCTACGGCGCGATCGGTGCGTAGCAAACAACGCCCAACATCCCCCGTCACTCTGTCGACCTCCTGCTGACCGTCGTCAATCGCATCGTCGTTTAGGAACAACACCGCAACACCAACCTTTGTTTGAGGATCTTGCCAAATACACCTCCAGCCTGCTGGCCAGGACTGCCAACACTACTCTCCCTTCCCGACCCCCGGCCAATGATGCCCCTGCAGCTAAAAAGCGCAAGCTGCAAAATGGCGACTCGGGCGATGCTGTGCAGACGTCAGTCGACATGAAAGATGGCAATGCGCCGTTGCAATTCTACGTTCAAGATGTATCTTTTGCTACGCCGCAGCGGAAAAAGCTCACGCTTGAGATTACTGCTGGGCACCAATTCCTTCGGGCAAGGAACCAAACCACAAAGGAGATTGAATTCGGTGTTTCTATGGACAAAATTCGTGAGTTTGAACCTGATTGAGCGAGCGATTATATATCTCCCAGTCAGAGGACAATTGCTAATCTCTGGCCATTGTGTTTAGGACATGCGCTGTGTCTTCCTGTGCCCGAAAAGACCCAGAAACAATTCAATTTCTGTATCATACCCGAGTATGCAGATGGTATCACACCGCCACCCGAGGGAACAACAGTCTCCGAAGCTATGGTGTTTACGATAGCCGATGGGCCGGCCAAGGCTGCATTCTCAGGGGATGGAAAGCAGCTTGGTAATGGTACAGGCGACCTGGCCGAAGAACTGCTTCGCAAAACTCTAAATGAGAATCTGCCTCATATCAAGGTTGTGCGGCCTGATGACCGACAATTCGTCAGTGCCATGCCAGAGGCACACCGAAAGGGCGAGAAAGCATACCATGTCAAGGCATTCCGCGGGAGCAAAGAAGGTATGTCTTATCCCTATTCTCCATGGAGTCGTTGGGCTGGTTTGGCGTATACTAACGTTCTGCTTTTTGCCAGGCTACCTATTCCTTCTGTCTACGGGCATTCTGTTCGCATTCAAGAAGCCCCTTCTGTTTTTCTCGTTTGACACCATTGACTCGGTGTCTTACACATCTGTCCTGCAGCGGACGTTCAACCTGAACGTCATGGCTCGCCCGGCAAATAGCACCGAGGAGGACATCCAGGAATTTGAGTTCTCCATGGTTGACCAGGAAAACTTCTCTGCAATCGATGCCTACATTAAGCGTCACGGTCTTCAAGATGCTAGTCTGGCTGAAGCGCGGCGCGCTAAGCGCTACAATGTGAACAAAACCGGAGAAGATACCGCTGCCGCCACCGCCGAAGGAGGCGGTGAAGATGAAAGCGAGCTCCAGAAAGCCCAGCGTGAGCTTGAAGACCAAGAAGACGAAGAAGAAGAGGATTACGATCCTGGCAGTGATGAGAGTGAAGGTAGCGGGTCCAGCAGTGAAGATGATAGCGACGATGACGAAGAAGAAGGGGAAGAAGACGCTCAGGACAGCGATGAAGATATGGATATGGTCAAGAATGAGCTTGGCAGTGAAGCGGAAGACGCTGGAGACGATTAAGCATAGACGTGTCAGATGGAATTGGGGATGCCAAGACTGTAATATTACCGCTTGATTAAGCGCATTCCAGACCGAGTCCAGACGGGATCTTTTCTCCTAAGGGAAAAAAAGCGAGAAAGAGAGAGACCGCAATGCTTCCCCTGTCCTGATCACTTTCTCTCCAATAAGGTATCACGCCGTTCGGTGCCTGGCTGTATGCAGATTAGGCCCGATACCATCGAGGTCTGAGCTAAGCACAGGATTATTACCGACATAGGCAGTGGGATTTGTTAGAGTCAAATTGTAAATTGTAATCAGTAGTAACCGAGAGAAAAAGCATCAAAAGAAAGAAGGAGAACAAAAGGAAAGAGAACAGAACAAGGCTTGAAAGGTTAACGGCCAACGGCTGATACGCTGGGCCCTAGTAACCAAACCCAAATACACCCCCAATACTCTCCGCTCCCTTCTCTTCCTTCTCTTCCTCCCCCCATTTCCCCCTTCTCTGGTCTATTCTTGAACCACTGCTCAGTGCGGCTCGTACTCGCAGTAGGTCGAGTACCCTGCGTGCTCTCTTTGGCTTCCTTTGTCTTTTTCTCTCTGCAATTCTCACGCAATCCCGACCGTCAAATTGACCCCCGGACCTCTCCGACTTCAATTCCTGCTCAACATCGTCAATTCCGCTCCTCACGCGGTTTAAGCATCGAATCCATACACCGCTCCTCTCTCCTGTCTCGGTTTTAATTCACCTGCGCCCCCTGTCTTCAGTTACAGCCTCCCGGTCTATCGGCTATTCCGCAGATCGTCTCCCATTGAGCCGTGGCAGCAACGTTGGTCGGAAAACACAAAGTCTACGCGGTGTATGTGACTATAATTCTCTCCAGGCTGTCGTTGTTTGCCGTTGTTGGTGAACACCTTGCTGACTGCGCCCCCGATTATAGTGACAATCACGTGCCGACGTCCCTGAAGCCAGCCCCGTGATCCAAGGTTTTCACTTTCCCCGGCGCTTCAACCCTTAATACCGCATCCATGGCGTCGTCTTCGTCAAATGTTGTTGGTGTTCACTACCGTGTCGGCAAGAAGATCGGTGAAGGATCTTTTGGTGTCATTTTCGAAGGCACCAACCTCCTGAACAACCAGCAGGTCGCTATCAAATTCGTTCGTGGCCCTCCCGCTCAACGCACCAATCCCTAATCTGACCGGAAACAGGAACCCCGGAAGAGCGACGCTCCCCAACTCCGTGATGAGTACCGCACATACAAGATCTTGGTTGGATGCCGTAAGTTTGGAAGTTACAGGGGGTGATGTTCTTTTGCTGATTTTATCCTAGCTGGCATTCCCAATGTCTACTACTTCGGTCAAGAGGGCCTGCACAACATCCTCGTTATTGACCTCCTCGGTCCCAGTCTGGAGGATCTCTTTGACCACTGCAACCGCCGATTCTCCACCAAGACCGTTGTGATGGTTGCCAAGCAGATGGTAGGTTCAATCTCCGTCACATTGTTATTTTTTCTTGCTAACGAAACTAGCTTTCGCGCGTTCAAACGATTCACGAGAAGAACCTTATCTACCGAGATATCAAGCCAGACAACTTCCTTATTGGCCGCCCCGGGACCAAGGCTGCCAACGTCATTCACGTGGTTGATTTCGGTATGGCCAAGCAATACCGTGATCCCAAGACTAAGCAGCACATCCCTTACCGCGAGCGGAAATCTCTGTCCGGTACTGCTCGTTATATGAGTATCAACACACATCTCGGACGCGAGCAATCACGACGTGATGACTTGGAGGCCTTGGGACATGTTTTCATGTACTTCCTGAGAGGTGGTCTACCCTGGCAGGGCCTGAAGGCTGCTACCAACAAGCAGAAGTACGAGAAGATTGGCGAAAAGAAGCAGACAACAGCCATCAAGGATCTCTGTGATGGATACCCAGGTATGTTATCCTGCAATCCTCTCCTCTCCACTTACATTGCTAACCATGGTGTCAGAAGAATTCAACAAATATCTGAGTTATGTGCGAAACCTCGGCTTCGAGGATACTCCTGACTACGACTACCTCCGTGATATTTTGACACAAGCTCTCAAGAACGCCGGAGAGGTAGAAGACGGTGAATACGACTGGATGAAGCTGAACAACGGACGCGGCTGGGATTACAAGTCCTACTCTTCTCAGGCACACCTTCACAACCAGCACCAGGGCTCATCGGGCCGCGATCACCACGCTCGCGAGCTCCGCAACAGCCAGCGCCCAGGAGTTACAGCTGACCGTTTAAACGCCGCGCAGCCCCCGCCTCCTTCTCCAGCCAAAGCTGGAGCCGGAAAGACGCGCGAGCGCCCAAGCGCCGGCGGCATGCCGCCCAAACGCCAGAGCGGGGGTTGGAAGCGTCGACTCCTGCCGCGTCTACCCAGGCACAGTTCCAAAACTCCAATGCTCATCTGCCCAATCGCATCGGAAGCCCAGGGAACCAGGCAGTCGGTCAGCCAGCTCTCGGGGCTCAGGACAATGACGCACAGCCTACTTTCGCTCAGAAGGTGATGAAGGCTTTGTGCTGTGGTAGGTGATCCGGCTGTCCCTTTAGTCGGGCAGCCAGCTCATCTTAGCATCCAGGTTGATTCCAGTCAAATGAAGCGACGGCACATCTAGACTAGCCACGCTCTTACTCTTCTTCTTGTCTGTCACAAAAGGCCCAAGAAGTCGGCGTGGGTTTTTCTTTTTCTTCTTGTTTCTTTCACCTCTCTCGCTCTTTTCTTGTCTGGCATTAAGTGGTTAAGTGCCGCTTCGCCGAGTAAGGATTGCGCTTCTCGGCCTACATCCCCCCTTTGGCCTTCTTTCTTGTCCCATTTGACCCTTCAGCTTATACATAAACTGTGGGTCGGAACAACCTTTCTCATGATGACGTCCCATCATTCGTTCATGGTGTTACGGCTCGGAGCGGCGAACTTGTGAGATTCTGTCTTGTGTTGTCGTTTTCTTTGTTGGTCTCACTACATTCGGCGTGCATCGTTTAATATCAAAAATTTGGTTCTTTGCATACAGCCGTTGGAATCGGTTTGAGTTCATTAACTGTCTATTCACCTGGACCTTGACTCCCGCGCTGGTCTGTGAGAAGCAATCTCGTTCGCGATATGGTGAATGACAAAAAAATATACACTGGGGATGAGCTTTGCTGCCAAGGACGACAAGCAGCATCGAACATACTTGATCTCATCCTTATGTCGGGATATACCACCTGCATCATTTGGCCCTGTTTATTAACAGGTCAATCCCGGCAGTAATTCCCTCGATGGGTCTTCAACACCGTCTTCATTATGACCATGTCTTGTCCTGCTCGCCATTTCCTCCCGCTGCGGGCAAAAGAGGTTTCAAGTTTCTTTTCATTGCATGGGTTTGTTTTCTTGCATGCAGAACCTGAAGAAAGCATGTTGCATATATCCCCTCATCACCATCACCATCACCATCACCATCACCTCTTGATTCTGATCTTTTTTCCTCTTCCCGTCATACGCCTGCTCCTTCTTTGATTGTTCCAACCTTCCTGATCTACTTGCGCCGTGTCTATAATCGTCTACTTTTTTTGTTGTTGTTTTTTCTTGCCTTGCTCTGTCTGTTCCAAGAAGCGAGTTTTTGTTACTGGTAGTTGTGGCATAAGATAGCATTCTTCATTTCATTTTTTTCATTGGTTATGTGTCTGAGTCTATGGTTTATCGTATGGCGTATATACATAATTCCTGTAATATGATGTACTTCAGTTTGGCTTGATATCTGTAGACCTCGTGCTACAGCGTGAGTAGTCAACGCGGGAGTCCTGTCGATGGATTGAACATGACATGCTCTCTGTCTTGTCTTCCTCTGCTAAGTTATAACTTATATAACAACAGCTGTATATATAGTTGATCCACTCGGTCTGCCTTTTCGTTTTCTCCGCCGAGGAAACCTGATATAGTATCAGAACCACGAAATATTGTCTAGCAGTTATGATACATCCTTCTAGTCCAGATATATCACTCTGTGCAGACCCTCATCGAAAACTCATTCCCATCTCCCTCCCAGTCCCTAATACTCCCAAGCATTGTACCATATCAAATGATCCAGTAACACAATGACCTCACACCCTCCCCCCTCAACCAGGTCTACAGCACATATACAGCAGTGATCACCCAAACCTACATATACAATACTAACTGTACAATAACATCATATGGATCCAACCGGTCTCCAAACCCACATTCCGTGGCAATCACAAGCCTGCCAACCCAATTCCAATCAAATTCACAATCCCAATTCGCAGACCATCACGTTAGACCACATGTACAGTACATATCATGTAGTATATAACTTACCCTACAGTAAGTTAATGTACACAGTCACAGCCACAGCCACAGTCGCTTCTGCAGCAGCACACGAGACCACGCTAATGCAAGGATCACCAGTCCGTGGCATGACGTCGACCCAAACAGAGTCTTTGTTTCTGTACAGACAGTACTGTGGGTGGAGCAGTCTACACTCACACTACACCACACTCTACACACTACAGCCCGTTACCGAGACATCGGCCCACCCTTACTTATTACTTACTACAGTATCACTTACGTCAAATGAGTACTAGCAGACACGGGAGCCATGCACGTCAACGCATCTAGATAAAACCGGCTCACTCTACCACTCTACCACTTTGACACAGTAGACCATCGCAGACGAATATTACTATAATGGTGGCCCAGTCTGGTATTGGACTGGTAGATATGTACTGCACTTTACAGTAGTAATGATTTCCCAGATATGGATGTGGGCGTGCAAGACTAGACACCATACCAAGGTGGACATACTGTAACATTAACTGTAACAGGAGTGGATAACTGAACCGAACTTACAATATCACTTAACTTCAGACGTACGTATGTCGGCATGTCGGCATGTCGACATGGACTCACGTTATAGGGTGGAATGGATGGTCTTCTTCAAGGTCACGCAGCCGCAAACCTTACCTCCCTCCTTGACGTCGATGGTGGCCACCACTGGATGCACTGCCGATGTCGATCACCCCGGATTTTGGGATGCAAACCTTGATACTGGACTTTTGTGACTTCATCCTGGATTTCTTTGCAAGTTATGGAGTACAGTCAGTTGTATGTCGTGTCACCTTTTGACATTCTTTGATGGCGTGGAATGGTATGTGGTTGAGTAAGGGGTGACTGAGGGGTTTACACTACCGTCTACTACTGTACAGTATAGGTCCGTAGGTAGTTGTTTGTTATGTCTAGCCACCAGGCTTCGATGACTTGTCTGTTTACTGTGACTTCAGTTCAGTCATCACTTATCAACCCCTGCTCTCACATGACTCCCAGCACTCTATCTGAGCTTCGGCAAACGCCACAGTCTTATCTGCCAATAAAGCTACTCCAAAGATCCCTTCCATACCAGTACCAGTAGCAGTTACTTATAAATAGTCCCGACAACAGGAACCAAACCACCCTAATTAACACTACAAGGATATCATCCCGCACCCCCTCCACAAACTCCAATCCAATCCAATCCAATAACAAACCCCTCCCCAAAACACCCAAATTCCAAACGCACCAGCCACCCCAAATTCAATCCAATTCAAAGCCCAAGGCCCAAGCCCCAAATCCCAGACTAGAGATGCAGACGCAACAGCACTGCATCTGCATCTGCATCTGCAAGCCCCCAGAACCACCCAATCACCACCCACACTAGCACCAGGACCCGACTACCCCATACGGAAGATGAATGCCTCCCCCCCCCCCCCCTCCCCCCCCCCCCTGTGCATCTGTACTGTACTGTACAGACTGTAGCAAATCACACCCCAGTGTGGCGATCTAAGCAGCCTTTAGCATCACCGTGCAGCTTGGAGTGCATGATGCATGGAACTAGTTAGTTTCTTGATCCACTCGTGCCCCTGTCGAGTGACGAGACTGGGGGTTCTGTGTGCTCTGCTGTTTTGTTTTGTTTCTGTTTCTGTGGAGTGCTGTGCTGTATGTACTGCACTGCAAGGTAGAGGTAGAGGATAGTGAGAGTAAGAGTAGTCGGCGCTAGTTGCGGACAAGGGGAATTGTGCTATGCTGCAGAGGGTCTGGGGTTACTGTCGAGGCTGCATGGTTGGATCTGGTAACTTATTGTGTGTTGTGGTTTTACTTTCCTCTTCCCCGCATTTCTCTGTCGCTGGCTGACTTGGCGTTTCTTTTTTTTTTCTTTTCTTTTTCGGCTCTTGACTTTTGGAGGCTGCTTATTGCTTGGACTTTCAGGCAGAGACGTTTTCGTATATGTCGACTGCACTGTACTCTAGTCTTGGGGCTTGGGGCTGGCTTGGGAGGGTTTATGGCGTGGGCTGATTGCTGACAGGGATGTTCCTTGGGGACTGGGGAAGGGAAGATTCGAGAATGGTGATAGGTCATCTGTAGTTGGGATTGGTGAGCTTGAGCTTGGAGGTTGGGTGCTTGGGTAGGTTTACTTGGGGGTTTGATGTGTACGATGCAGATTGGTTCCTATTGTACGGAGTCCAGTAGAGGATATACCACGGTCGGAGGTGGGAGTCCTGGATCTTACATGTATAGTATAGTAGGCTCGGGTTCAGATTGGATCATATTATCTACTGTATGATGTGATGATGTCTTGAGGGTAGAGATGATATGTGTCAATTAGTTACCTCGGTAGACTGGGATGCCTGCACTACTGTACAGTATGCACCACCCAGGCAACCTTGGAAGCAAATTAGCCCTCTTGGCACAGTCCAAGATAACCAGGTCGGATTTCCCGCTCAAATCCAAGCATTAGCCCAGTATGCAGTGTGCAGCCCTGAGCCTTGTCCTCTCCGATTTCCGGAGTGCCTGGAATCATCTACACGGGATACATCATTACCCGAATGACGAAGATCTTATCAGTAACGCTCAAATCCCGTCTAACGATGTAGATCACAGGCATTCCATGGTTACAACACCCTCCAGAAAGAAGAATCCGACTCAGGAACAGGATAGGACAAGCATTAGCGCCCAAGGTAGAGTCGATCCGACAATCCCTAGATCAGTCCCACAATTCAGTCATACTGTCCTGTACAGTCCTCGCAGAGGTGCCAGTGTCCTACAGGGTAATAATATCAATAGAATAACCTTATCAACAAATTCCCCAAGCCAGTGTTTCACCTAGCGCCGGCCCGAAAGAGGCGTGTTAGGAGTACAGTAGCAGAGCGTCACGCCCAAGAATACTGTATGGTAAAAATAAATAAATGCAGGATTCAGGCTAATATCTCATGAAACGAGGCTACAGATCTCGATCGTTCTTTCATCTGTAGTTTTTTTTCCCTCTCTATCCACTATAAGCGCAGATGGTGTGAGAGTTTTTTTTTCCCTCGTTGCTCTGCTCCATCGAAAATCAGGAAATGGGATGCGCAGTGGATTCAAATGAGGTCATTTGCGGCTTCTGCCGTCTGATCGACTGCGCTGGGCTGTTTTGGTGGTTTTAGTTGGGTTTAGTGTGCAGTCTGGACTTTTCTATCTTGTCTGGGGTGGGTTTGCGGTCTTGTATAGTATTACCGTACAGTTACGTGATCTGCGCGATCTGCGATTTTTCTGTTGCACCTTGATAAGTGACTTGGACGGTCGAGATTGGCAATTGTCTTTCCCGGGGTTTGGAGGTGCACGTCACTTGAGTCGTGCTTATGATTTACAGTTATCCTTGCGTTGATCTCTCCGGATAGCATCGGATAACTGAGACACAGATCGAGACTGAGAATTGGGGTGCAGTGATCCCTCCTTTCAGACTTTCCAGTCGAGAGCGATTATTCTCTTCCATTCAATTCCATGCAGGATTGCAGGATTGCAATGCACGAGTCAGGAGAAAGGCCCCTGCGCAGTGGATTCACCTTTGGAGTCCAAGTCCAAGTGATCAGGGCAAACAAACCCGACACCAAATCAAGCCCCAGGTCAGAAGAACAGGCACTTAGTCAAAGCTACAGTAAAGCTAAACATCAAACCATATTCGACCCCCCACGCACACGGAGATACTATACTGTAGAGGGAAATATCGAAAGATACGTACTGCAGTCGCTAGTCTACCCCATGCACCCACCCACCAGGCTAGCAACCACGCTAAAAAACACCACTAGACCAAAACACCCAGTCAGAATGAGAAACCCACAGAACCAGGACCTACAGTAGCGCGCACATGTACAGACGTCCCTGCACCCCATACGTTAGAAAGTCAAGCGAGCCGATGTTCTAGACGCCCTAGGGAGAAGGAATGGCCCGTAGCAGCCACGGCAAGGGCGCATCTTGATCCCGTGCGCGACGATGTGGGGGAGCATCCTTGCTGCGTGCCGAGCTAACTCACTGGTAAGGGGAAACGGGGGAAATTGTGGAGAGATGGGGAGGGGCAGGGAAGGAGGTGCGAGGTGTCTTTGGTGGGCTTGGATGGGTGACTTGAACTTATACGGACGTGTGCTCCGAGTACTAACTGGGAGTTGCTTAGGTGCGATATGGGATGCCGAGAGGGTTTCGGCGCTCGGTGATTTAGATTCGGCGATTTTTTGGGTTTACACTGTATTTTGTATGTTGTTTTGTCTGAATATGTGTGTGTCTGTGTGTGTGTCTGTGTGTGTGTCTGTGTGTGTGCGCAGTAGTCGATTTGCTGATGCACAACTACTTATACATATGCAAATGCAACAGTACTGTAGTCTCCGAGGTTGCAAGTTGACAGCTTCGAGACATACGGTCTGTGCTTCGATTGAATTTTTTTAGTTGCATATGCAAATTCAGAAGACCAGACGACCATGTGTAGATCAATATAGAAACTTGCTACCTGACCGCAGAGGTTGCAATGAGTGTGGCTCTACTTTAGTCTAGACTATACAGAGTACGAGTACTGTACTTTTTCCAATTCGCCTCTTAAACAACACAATTACATACCCAAATCTCTATTTGGCTCGAATAATGTCTCAATTGACCACAGTCACAAGGCTCCTATGTTGAATCATCCATCTACCTCGCACCCGCCAGTCAGATCCAAGTAGATACCCTAAACCCAACTGATAGGCGAACCAAGCATTCCAGAGCCGTGTCAAGCCTAACTCTACCTGGCCAGAGCCCTACCGATTTCTCTATGACATGGTTGACTTATCCTAATCTATGTAAGGGCTTTAGCTAAGTTGTTGACTTGCACGCGACTCCCATCACCAAAGCCCGACTCCCATCACCAAACCCCGTTGATAATATTGCGGCCTTATCACGCCCCCAAGAACGGTGAGCGAAGTGGGCCGAACATTGGAGCCTCCAATCTTGGCTCTCGGTTTGAATCGGACAAGATTGGCCCACGTAATCCCTCGTCCGGAAGAAATAGGATGTCCCTCGCCAGCTATATCCTTGCTGGTGTACTGGTATAGTATGCACGTTCGGTTCGTGCGTGAGGGATATGTATCAGAGTCTTGGCGTGCAGTCGAAAATGATAGTGTAACTTATTATACGATATGGAGTGTGGGTAGACTCGGGAGCGATCTCGATGGTGGCGAAAGTGAAAAAAAAAAAATTGTGAAAATCCGGTGTGCTACTGTTGACGGTGGAACTGTGCCGGAGCCCGAAGCCGCCAGGGGTACCTGTCATGAAATTTCTTTCATGGATTGTGGCGATCGTATGGGCTGAGAAACTAAGGTGCTTCGGCGGGGATTCTAGAAAATCTAGAAGGGCTGGGCAGGCCGGGTGCGGTGATATCCCGCGAACTAGTGAGGTCTTGCTATATATTCATTTTCACTGTAGCATCAAAGCAAGGCTAGTTTAGTGAATCGGTTGGTTTGAATGTCGCCAAATTGTCAATTCGCCTCCACCACCACGACTGTCCATAATTGCCCAAGCAGGTCCAAGCAGATCTCAGTAGGTCTTAGTACAGTACTGTAGGTCCAAGCATGTCCGTGTCAAGGTAAATTCCAATGTAAGGTCAAACATGCCACATACGCGTCCACGTTGGGGAATGTGCCAACTGTTTCCCTTGAAGCTTGTGTTCGTGTGACAATCTTAACCAACCGGTTTTGGTCAACGATAGAGGAGATCGGCAGGGCCGGCGATCCCTAGGTGACGTTGTAGTATTGGGCTGTAATGGACTGTATGGTAATCTATGGTAATCTATGGAACCATGGGTCCCAGATTCACATTCCGGTCTCGGATGGCGTGCTAGCGGCCACCGTGGGCTAGTCTGGTCGTCAGATTGGTGCTCTATTAGGAATTAGGTCAGGAAGCAGGGATCAGGAACATTGACGCGGATTCTTATTATGCCAATGGCATAGAACGATTATCGAACATTATGGAAGATGGCTTGGGCTTTGTGGGGGGTTCCTTTTTTTGCCACGCAGATTTCCAGAAACTCCTGACATGGAAGGAATGGTATCTTTCAATTTTAGTGTAGAATGTCATATCAGCTCACTCCCTTGCTGTGGCAGATTTCGTCATGATTGGTGTGTCGCCACATCTGGTAAGAGTCGCGACCAATGACAAAATTGCCCCTAAAAGTCTGAAAGAGGGAAATGAGAAAAAGAAAAGAGAAAAAAAAAAGGAAAAAGAAAAAAGAAAAAGAAAAAGAAAAAAAGAAAGAAAAAAGCCCAAAGAGAACATCTTATCGCTCCACTGGACTCCACTTTGGTATTGTACGGTTTCTCTCCCTTTTATCTCCCCCTTCTGCCTTCTGCACATCCAAACCTCCACTTCTTACATATACACTCTGACTCTCGACACACTTTCACACGTTCACACACTCAGACGCTCCCAAATTTTCATATTCCACACTCTCCCTTCATTTCTATCCTATGCTACAATAACCATTCTGGATTCTCGTCCCACACGCAGGGGACCGGTGAGAAAAAAGCCGAAGAAACAGGGTCCCCGACGCAAACTTTACGCTATGCTTAAGAAGAAGACGCTGGCACCGTCCCTTTTCTTCCGGAATCATAATCACACTCCAACCGCAACCCCCGAATTGTCCCCCACCTCCTCAGACAGCGATTCTGAAGAGGATATGGACTCTTCAGGCTCCCGACCGGTCAGCCTGGCCGTCTCGGCGGGAGCCTTCTCCATGCGCCCGACCCTCAACGAAGTCTTGGCCAATGTCGCCCCGCCGCCCTACACGCTCAGCGCCTTTATGGCCTACCTCTCCCAGAACCACTGCCTAGAGACTCTCGAATTCACCTTGGAGGCCAACCGTTACCGGGAATCATACTACGCATTTGTCGATCGATTAGCCCCCGCTACAATGGAGGCCGACGGCCCGGAATATCAACACTTGTGCATGCTCTGGCAACGGTTAATGAACGCCTACATCTTCCCTGGGTCGCCACGGGAAATCAACCTCTCCAGTGAAGTGCGGGACGACCTTCTCCAATACTCCACCGTCACCGCTCCTCCCGTCCCGGAGACGCTGGATTCCGCCGTCAAACGCATTCACGATCTCATGGAAGAATCCATCTTCCTCCCCTTTGTCAACTCCCACACCACCTCCCCCTCCATGCTGGCCTCCTCCGGTCCCATGCTGGGCCCGGAAGATTTCATGAGCCTGTCATCAACCAGCCTGGAGGAGAACCCGATGCGAAAGGTCCGGTCGCGTGGCAAGCGTACTTCACCTCAGTCATCAACCCGGGATCTCCCATCGACGGGCCACGGCCGCTCGACCATGTCGCTCGGTGCCGTGCATGCCATTGGCAAACGCACTTCCGGTGCTTTGCTCAGTCTCAGCGGCGAGTCTACCTCGTTGGCTTTGACCGATGACAGCAGCTCTCCCCAGTCCAGTCCCACCGCCGAGGAACCCATGACGCCGCCCACCACCCCGCCTGCCAGCGAACCGCACCTCCCCATTCAAAGCCCCAAACTTCGCACCGAGAACCCGTGGAAGAAGATGGGTATGAAGCTTGGCTTTAAGAAGCGGTCCACCGGTGGCAGCAACGGGGGTCGCGACCCCAAGATCCTTGGTCTGGACGACTAAATCTTCTCCCTCTCCCAACTTCTCTCCGACTCTCCAAAACGGACATACCTCTTTCGTCCTTTCTCCCCTCACGACATCTGCATGACCTCCTCAACGATATCTCACCTACTCCCCCTCGCATGAATTCCGATATGCATCTCCTACGACTTGTTAGCCTTTTCGAGCGTTTATATTGGCGGTGTATGAGAGCACGATGCATCGAAAGCATATGAAACCGGCGTTTTCCTTTTTGTTTTTTTATTGTTACTTTTCTTTTGGCGGCTGGCATACCGGGAAAACCCTCACATCATATCATGTTTTCATCTATAGATTGGATGACCTCAGGTCCTCCGGACCGGATCCAGGCGTTCTTGTTGGAACCATGTCTTTATATCATATCCTTCCCTATGGAGTTTTCTTTGGATCAATAGACTTGATACCCCACTTTTCATCCGTTCCATTGCATTGTAATTGTAATTCCAACTGTATCTGTTGATAGTCCCATCCATCTACATCTAGATCAGCATCAAATTTCAAAGGAATCCCCAAAGACCAGCACATCATCAGCCCCGTTTGCCAATGCAGTTAGTCACAATCCAAAAAGCAACAAGACCCAATTCCTTTCCACCGCACTGTGACACTTACATTGCAAACCTATCAAAATTCCCGATCCTCCCAATCCATTGCACTCTCAGACACGTACAGTACACACTCCAGTGTAAATAATGTCTCCCAGTAGATCCTCTAATGGACACCTACCTATCTATACCTATACCTATACCGACTTACAACCCACAACCCATACTCAAGACTCAAGACCAAATGCAAAATCCAATCCAACCAATATTATCCAATAAACAAAAAGTTCATTATCGAATATCTCCCGAATTTCTTTCCCAATCCGCTTCTCGTGAAACCCAGAATTGTATCCCAGTGCATAGCCAAAACTAAGATTCAGACTCATGACTCGCTGTTCGAACTTTATACCTACATTTGTCGTACGAGCTGGTAGAGAATGAAGAACAGGAGGCGAGGGGGGAAGGGTGTAAATTGGCTTTAGGGTTTTGGCGTTGTACCGGGTTGGATGTATGCGTAACCCTTCTGGTTTCTGTTTCTGTTTTGGTTTTGGGGTTGGGGGTTGGGTTTACTTTTGCATTGAGGTGGTTAGTTGGGGTAGAAGGGGATACCTTGAGTTTGAGGGAGCAGGTAACTTATGTGGTTGGTACTGTAGAGGGGATTTCGGTTTTGATATTGTAGGTCTGGTGGAAGAGTAGTAGCTGTGGTAGGATTTATTTTTAGGTACAAATAGTCTCTTTCTCTGCCCGAATAGAATAGAACATAATCAAACAAATAAAATCAAACAGAAACCCTCTTCCCACCCCTCGTCTCCAGCGCTGCAACATCAAGATTCCAGCCAGAATCCCGTAAACACGACAGGTATCCCTCGAAGCGAGAGTCTGCATTCAGACACGATAGAGTTCGTTCGAGGACCTCGTGAACATACCCCGAGCCTGAAAGATCCATTGCATCACTAGGCGACGAATCCTTTCTTCCTCGCTTTGCTCGGCCTCTTTCTTTGCTTCTGCCTCGTTCGATCTCTGTTTGGGTCTGTTTTGATGAGTCCATCTGTACTAGGACTCGTGCTGCTAGTAAGGCGTGTGTCCATGCTTTTAACTGGTCGGTGATGGAACAGTTCTGTTTGAGGAGTATGGACGCGTTCCATTTTCGCTTCCGGGACGAGGATGCCAGTGGTATGGATGGTTTTAGGTGGAGGATGTAGGACTCTTTGGAGAATAGGGTTGTTAATTGGTGCACTGGTATGGTGGTTTTTATGCCGTTGGTGGATATGCCGAAGAATGAGGATAGGGGGAGTCCTATCTGGGCTGAGCCTAGATGGTCTGTTGATGTCGATGTCGATGAATGGCTTGTCCATTGTAATGCCCCGTCTCGGTGGAAGATGCGCTCGTGATGTGCTACGTCTGCGGGAGTGAATATTCTCAATTGGCTTTCATTGGTTGACTTGCTGTTGGGGATCGAGGTCAAGTTTAGCGTATGGGCCAATGTGGTATCAGAGTCTAGTAGAGTCGAGAAGGCAATGTTTGCCCGTTGTCTGTTCAGACTTGTCATCTGAACTGCTCGCACAGCGGCGTAGTTCATGCTCAGATGCAGAGCCAAGAGGAGTAACAGCGCTATCCAGGTCGTTGTGAAGCTAGTTATGTGTGAGATGACGACTGAACCGACCTGTTTGATGTGTAAGAGACAATACCAAGACCAAGGAGTACTCTTTCCCCAAAAAGGAATAGAGTAGAAGGATACTTACCAGCATCCCAAACAGCGAGATAACAGTCTCCTGAGACGAATCTTTCTATACGAAATGTCAACTTTTCCAACTTGTTTTAGTAAACAACCCGATTGATGGAGAACATACAGCGTTTAGCTCCGCTAGATTCCCCCACCTAGCAAAATGAGCACTCAAACTAGCCTTTGAACTCCCCCCGGCAACACCACACAATGCACGCAACACTCCCGCCGCACTGAGAATAGTCACCCGCATCATGCCAGCGGGAACCATTGGCGAGAGACAGTCCATGATCATGGCGATGTCGTTGAAGACATCCGCGGCTAGCCTGTAGGTCTTGCATTCCGGTTCTAGGGCCGTGCCGACGCGGTGAGCGAAGAGAATGGTGGCTATTCTGCCGGATATGTCTTGTAATATGTGAAGCAAAAGGGCTGATGTCGGGGATGCGTCTGCGTTGCCGACACCGACTCCTGTTCAATATTTTAGTATTGAGGTCTGGGTTGGGATGCGTGAGATTGACCTTGAAGTACTGCGCGGGAGGAAAGGAGACCTGCTATTGAGCTGCAGAAGGCTTGGAGAGAGTCCTATTTAGGTAGGTTGGTTAGATTTGGGTTGGTGCTATTTTGGGAACGTCTTTGATTTGGCATGGCAGATAGATGTAGACGATTGAACATCAACATCATCTATATGCAGTGCATAGGTTCGCTTACGAAGATTTGATATCTGATATCCTGTTAGCACTTGTAGATCACATCGTGATATACAAGATGACAAAGCACAATTTGTCTGGCTTGTTCTTGGACTCACGGTAGATAGTCTTCGCTGACGCTATGAGGATATCCGGAAGGAAGAAACACGTCACTCAGTGAACTGATCAGAGGCTTGGTTGACCATGAAGAAGTAGACGGGGAGGATGTCTGTATAGTGTCAGTAAAGTCGCTGGAACTTGAAATCACCGTGCCATGCTTGTATGAAAGCGAAACATTATAGACCGTGTCATCTATAGCAATGATTCAATAGGCACGGGATTGATGCATATGGTTGTGATCTATCTGTTCATCCGGACAAGTTGCCAGTGCCACATTTCCTTTAAAAAAAAGGCAATGTCCGCCATAGACAAGCAGAGGATGATGCAAAGCATATGGAATGTATGTTGCATGAAATTCCTGGGGTTCAAATTGGGGAATGTCTTACCATAACATCCACTCGACCCGATGAAGCTCGCTTCGAGGAGACATCTCCGGTGCAGATATAGGTAGCGGTGCGGTTACCGGCTTCATCTGTCTCCTGAAAGACCAGCCTGGTCAATTCGCTAGACCCCATGTTGATCGAAGTGATAGTGAAGTTCAAGATCTGGGGTTCGAGGTAGACAGGAGGCACGTGCTTGAGACCACGTCAACCCTTACTTGCTATAATATTGGCGTTATAGCGTAGGGCTATGCTCTAATGCAGTCATCACCTAAATTGATTTATGTCTTGGTTGTCGTACCGAAATAATCCATTGCTATCCTAAGTGCTCCCAGAGCCTACTATTGAACAATGAATGTGAAATTCCAAAAGGTCAATCCAATCAGATCTATGTATAAAAGCACTTCGCTTTTCCATTAGGAAGCGATTGCGTATAAAAGAAGAACACCGAAAAAAAAATCAACCACCAGCGCCGGGTACAGAAAGAATGAGACAGAGCGGAAAAGAAGCGCTCTGTGGAAACAAAATGTCCTTGCTTATGGCGATTAACCAATGGCAAGAGACAAGGTATAAAGTGAAAGAAGTTTTGGGTGAGGAAATGAGTGGCGGATCTGAACATCAGATCCGAGTCCCAGCCACCGAGGCAGCGCCACGGCCGGTTCAATACCACTTTTTCAACAACGGCAGACTGGACTCTGCGAGGGTTGAAAACAGAATCCAGTCTGTTACTCATCGCTCATCACACAACTTCCAAAGAAGTGTCATGCCCCATCGCTCATATTTTAGTCTGATATTTGCCAGGGGCGCTTAAGCGAACATGCTGGCGCCGCCGGTCTCGATGGCGTCCATCTCAGCCTGGGTCCAGGGGAGACGACCGAAACGCGAGGGGAGCTCAGCGCGGTCAAAGAACTCGCCGCTCTGGGGCTTGATGGAGCCAAGCGACGCGCCCGAGTGGCCGCCGATGGTGCTGTTGAAGGAAGCGCGGCCGAGGGGACCGTGCTGCTGGGCCTTGGCGCGGTAGGCAGCGAAGGAGTTGGGAAGGCTTCCAGTGGGGGAAGCGGGGTGAGCGCGAGGAGCGTGGTCAACCGACTCTGCAAAGGCAGCATGTTAGCTCCGGGGGTTCGAATTTGAGGGGGGACTCGAGAGATTCACGTACTAGGGATGGAACGCTTTCCGACGAAGCGAATGAGAGGGGTGCGGGTAGCAGAGCAGAGAGCGGAAGTGACACGCATTGTGAAGGTTGGTTATTGAGATGTGTGTAGGTGGGAGGATTGAGATCAATTTAACGCGGGTGTGCGAAATTGAACGGGGTCCGGTAGTATCCGAACCGACCCGGAGTCGAGAGAGTGAACGTGAGTGAAAGTACGGTGATTTGGGAGAATTATGAAGGGATAGTGTGAAGTGTCAAAGAATTTTCAAGAGATCGAGATACACGTTCGAGAGAGAGAAAGAGGAGGAGAGCGAAGAAGATAAGAAATGCCGGGTGGGTTACCGCTTTGGGACCGGGTCGGAGCCGACGAACTGCTTCAACGGCTACGCGGTATAATCTCAACCAAGTCCTTCTGTCACTGCACACAACTGGCCACTGATCGTACGCCTGTGCGGCACATCGACATTAGACCTTTTGTTCGGAATTTGGCCCGGTTTCCTCTATTGGTAGGCGGCGCCGGAAACTGGGATCCCCCAAACACATCCCCGCAAGTGTGAAGCCATTTCGTGATTCCCCCCTCACAGATCCTTTCCCACTTGGCTCTCCCGGTGAAGCTCCTCACATTATTGCCTGGGATCTTCTTTTCTTCTGAAGCTTCCGATCGGAGCCTCTTCTCCAACTTTGTTCCCCTTGGTCCAGATCCCCCGCAATCGACAGCGTTATACAATTTCTACACGGAACAAGGAATCCGAGCACCTGGACAGTGGTGATTTGTTTCTCCCCTATACCCTCACAACCTAACAACCCGAGGAAATTGATCCCGCCAGGGTCCCCCAAATATTCCAAATATTACAAATTGCCACATCTAATAATTCGATAAGGGCTGAAAAGCTTGGACCCTGACTAAACATCCCGGCTTCTCCCGCATATCATAAGATGCATGAGGTATTGTTGTTCGCCTCGGTCCCGGCCCACCAGCACTATGAGCTCCTCCAACAGCTTGCTGGTCTGACAGCCATGCAGCCCCGCCACTGCTTGGAGCGACGGCTGATCTTCAAAGCCTATCGCAAGCCTGGTCTGATGGCGGGGCGCACCGGTGCTAGTCAGGACATCCAGTCTGGGGACCTGCAGCGGCTGAACAAGATGCTCAATGGAAGCATGTACTATACTCAGGTGGTAGGCCCAGTCTCGGACAAGGACTTTGGGGCTACGATCGATGCCGATACTCAGATGGATGGTACCGACGAAAAGCCCACATCTCGGTATGACTATGAGCGTCAGCCATGGAGATTGGAATTTCGAGATATTCCGGAAGCTGGAACTCGCTCGGCTGTCACATCGCGTCAGATGTCTAGTTCATCCTTGCCACCGGGAGACGTCATGCCGACTATGAGTGCGTGGGGCTACAAGTGAGTGGTGCGACATGATCTTATGATTGCCGGCGCTAATGAGGTCGGTAGCTTTGTGAATGAGCATGTGGTGGAGGGTGACTTGTTCGTCCACAATGACATTGTCATCTTTTTGCAGCGGGTTCTGCAATACCCGGCTGGCCAGGAGCCAAGTCAACCTCGACAACAGATGCCTGCCTTGAAGGATATGATGCCATTGGAAAAGAGCGGAAGCTACGTTCTACAGGCCTCTATTACCGTTCAAGACGGTAGCAATCAAGAAACGATGAAGACAGCCTCGCAGCATCTCTTCGGGTTACGCGAGCAATTGAAGTCAGCAGTTCGACTCGAGCAGGCAGACCGGCTGTCTCTTGATACGAGAGCGAAATAGATGCTCGATATGCTCTGGCGGAGAAAAGCATGGAATGGTTTTGGAGCTCGCACATAATACATCAAAAGAAAGATACCCATCTAGCGATCAAAACAAAATACATACAATTTAAACCAACTCTTCATTTTTCTCTTAACTTGACTCATTCACTGTCCAGACATGTGACTTGGTGACTCCGCGACTTGGTCTTGGCGCGTCCCTGGATCTCCAACTTTCAACACACACACAAGATATTGAGCCACACCTCCAATTAGCTTTAAATCTTTCAAAACGTTCTCTTTCGCTCGCACCATCAGAATGGCCGAGGGGCTAGCTAAGAGGAGTGCCTCTCCCCAGGCCATTTCACCGCCCCCATTGCGCCGCAAGGTTGACCCGACTGTCACCAGTAGGTTCTCTGGCCAGCATGAATGATAAGTTGCTAATGCAGAATCTGTAGAAAAGTCAGTGGCAAACTTCTTCACTCCGGCCTCGCAGAAAAAGCCCGAAGTGATTACATGGCGCCTTATTGGGACAAGTTGCATCATCGGAAAGCAGATCTCAGAGAACCAAGTGCCGAGTTCCTCTGAGAAGCGCCGTATTGCTGGATTTGATCTGGTATGGATTCAATCACCTGCATAGATATCTAGCACATCATCAAACCCCCCGGAGCTATGCTAATCGGCGCTTCAGGATTCAACATTGATCAAGACAAAATCCGGCAATGTGTTTCCAAAGTCAGCAACAGACTGGCAATGGTGGAATGAAAAGGTCCCAGGTCGTCTGAAAGAGCTCAATTCTGAAGGGTAAGTATACAAGACTCAGCCAATGAACACTCTGGCTTACACTGCATAGCTACCAAGTCGTGATATTCTCAAACCAAAAGAAGATCAGCGTTCAAAAGGACATCAAGGGTGGCCGAAGTGAATCGAAAAGTCTGACGAACTTCAAAGAGAAGATGACTGTCGTTTTGACGCAGCTTGATATTCCCGTGAGCGTCTACGCAGCTACTACGGACCCTGAATACCGGAAGCCCCGTCTCGGGATGTGGCGCGAGTTCTTGGATGACTATGACCTTGACGTTGCCGGTGTCGACCTTTCTGGCTCCGTGTTTGTGGGAGATGCGGCTGGACGACCTGGTGATCATTCTGGGGTGGACCGGTAAGCATGCCACGTTGGAGTTGTATTTGATGGAGGCTGATATATGATCTAGTGGGTTGGCCACAAACATGGGCATGTCCTTCAAGACGCCAGAGGAGTTCTTCCTTGGGGAAACGACAGAGCCACCAACAAAGCTGTTTGATCCGATGCTCTATGTGAAGTCGGAAGAGGAGTCTGGTATGTTTTCGGCTCCATTGACCCAAGGTCAATAGATGAGCTAACACTTTGAAAAGCCAAACTGTTCACCCGCAAGCATCCCGTGGAACTAGTCATTTTCTGTGGCAGTCCCGGTGCTGGGAAATCAACCTTCTACTGGACTCACTTGGAACCCCTGAACTACGAACGGGTAAACCAAGATATTCTCAAAACAGTACGAACACCCAACCATGACAAAGTTTAAATGAACAATCGCTAATCAAACGCAGCGTCCGAAATGCCTCAAGGTCGCTCGCGAACACCTAGAAGCTAAGAAATCAGTCGTAATCGGTATGTCCCATCCCTCACCCATGCCCTCAAACCAAAGCAACAAACTAAACCAAGAACAGACAACACAAACGCAGACCCGGAAACAAGACTCCACTGGACCTCCCTTGCAAAGGAGCTGGAAGTGCCCATCCGCTGCGTCCAATTCATCTCAACCCAAGACCTCTGCCAACACAACAACGCTGTCCGCGCATCCAACAAAGAACTGGTACGTACCCGCGTCAATCGACCATGTCTCGCGTCTTCAACGCCACTACCAACACTCAACACCTACAACACCCAATAGTGAAGCAGTGAAGTAGTGAAGTAGTGAATTATCATACTAACCTCTCCCAGAACCCCGAATCCAGAACCTCCCTTCCGGGAATTGCCTTTGGCGACTTCGGCCGCCGCTTCAAGGCTCCCACCCTGGACGAGGGTTTCGACGATATCATCCCTGTCGAGTTCCAGTTCCGCGGCAGTGATGAAGCCAAGGCTCTTTGGAGCCAGTACTGGATTTGAGGGTCTTGATAATGTGATGTCGACACCTGATGTCCAGTCATGAGACTAAACACTCTACTTTTGCTTCTTTAGATCCCCTCAATACATACATACATACCATCATTGATGTCTCATCTCATTCATCTCATATCGACAGTAAGCGGGAGCTATTGTACAGTACAGTGAGGAATGTGAAACATGGCTTAGCAGCTGAGCATGTACTGTACATGTTCATAGCGTAAACGTTAATACTACCTAGGTAACATTTGAATTATACTCCTGTTTCCTGATCATGGAGTGAACGACTTGACTGGCAGGGTTCTAAGCATAACGCTACCTATACGTCATACGAGATCATGGGTCGATGTCCTATAACTGTACTGTATCTGTATCTATATCTACTGTCGATATCTTTAGATCTATTGATAGACTAGGGCTTGGTTTCAGAGTCCAGATGACCTATTCAAAGTGGAAAATGCCCATCTGGACTGCATCGATGGCGGGAATGGATCGGATCGGGATCGGAATTTGATTCTCGTCTGAATCGCTTTTTTACAGTATTCTGATTCTGATTGATTCTCTTTCTCTTTCTGATTCGGCATCTGAGGCTATATCTGAACCTGTATCAATGCATGTTCCACATTCCTTTGTTGTACTGTACAGTATGTTCCCGCAGATTCAATCTAATCTATACATGTAGTAATGGGTCTGCCGTGTACAGTATGGATAAGTTATCGCTGATGTCTGGGATGAGACACATCTCTGTATACTCCGTACTCATGACTGACTTACTCTCTACCGAGGTATACTGTAGACGGCTAAATTTTCTCCTTACATCTCACATGTCTATTCGGTCTAGACCTGGATGAACTTGTCTATAATGAGAGGACAAAGTAAGACAATGCTCCGATTGTGCATATGCACCCGTGCATAAACAAGGTACCCGTTCACTACTGTATAGTATAGGCGAGATACTATGCCTCGCCTCACGTTAGTGGATATTGCAGTATAGTAACAATAGGCGATGTCGCATAGTACTGTAGTCCACGGCAGTCCACAGAACAGCATAGAATAGCACAGAACAGCACAGTATAAGATAATAACATAATACAGTACAACAGCATCCCCTCGCAAGAATAAGCGATCCACCCCGAAAAGCAAGCGAGAAGACAGGACACGAATTAAAAAGAAAGAGAAAGAAAAACGCAAGTAAGGTACTCTCAAGCCCCGAACCGGTTGGTTCCACGGGTATCGGGTATCCAGTATCCAGTGTCCAAGCCCTAACTACTATACTATACTATAACCCGGTCCCTACTATACTCTACAGCCTACAGCCTACAGCCAAGATAAGCGTCCCATCAAAAGTGAAGAAAGTGAATCTCGCCAAGGCACCTGGAACACATCGATCCGGGACTAAAAATCACTAAAAGCACACTAACATCTGTTCCTACAGATGTTCACCCGCATGGAGTTAGTCTGGGATCAGATACCCTCAACGGCATCGCATCACTATTAGTATGCATTGTGACATTGTGACATTCTGACATTCTGACATTTTGACGGTTGGTGCCTGGATCTGTACAGTAATGCAACTTGTGTGCTGATGGACAGTATTGAGATTTGTAATTCTATCGTTGATAACAAGGGTATTATGTTAACAGGTTATGTTATTTGAATTTGAATTTGGATTGGATTGGATTTAAACAGCAAAATTAGAAAAGAAAAAAAAGATCGGGTACACAGTAACTTGGGAGGAGCAGGAGGAGGGAGAAATGGCGGTAGTGCCTTGGACGTGGCGGACTCCACTTAGCTCCTCTGTTACCGGTCGTGCATGTTCGGTGGATCTTAGGGCTTTCACCGGAATGTGCTGTACTGTAGTGACTCATTTGGGAACTGTGGACAGGTGTGAAGGACAAGAATACTGTCAGGCACTGTTTCTGTGCCTGTTCCTGTTCCTGTTCCGGTGTGCATGAACGCGCTTGGGATGGCCCACGTGCCTGGACCCAGGGGTGTTGGGGCTATGCATTGTCATCCTCGTGTTCGCGGTGCATGGAATATGCGGGAGGTGTTAGTTCAGTGCATTGTTGAGTAAGAAAAGTCAATTCAGGTGCGGCTCTCGGGGAAATGATAGTATCGAAAATTCGAAGTATGCATGTGCCAAATGAATATAAGATTAAGCCGCCAATAGGTAAGCTGTGTGTATATATGTACAGAATATGCAATCATGTGCGTGTCTTTTGCTTTTGTTTTGCGCTGTGTAGAGGCATGAAAAAGGGAATTGGAATGAAGTCTATGCGGTACAATGAATAGGCTTGGTGTGTAGGGTATAATTCAGCAGAAAAAAGGAATGGACGGGGCTGAGCCCAGTCCGAGATACAATATCTGTTCTGTCGGATCGGAAAGATACTGACACAGCGGATACCATATCCCGGAAAACATGACTCGGAAGAGAAGGAAAGGCATGATCAAGCGAGGAAGTAGTCGACAGGATCGGGAATCGTGAGTCATTATTGGATAAACATGCAAAGGAAAACACGGTGAAAGAGAGACATTAGTCGTAACAGGTGGCGTTTATCGAAACGCCATGGGGGAATAATCTATGGTCATTATCGTTGCAGGTCGCTGGAGGGGGTGGGGAAGAGAGAAAAAAAAAGGGAAGAAAAGGAAAAAGACGGGCAAAACAAGCAGGGACTGTCTAAGGTCGGGAAACCAGATCCTGGAAGAAGCGGAAGAAATTCCTCTTCTTTTCAGTTCGGCATGGGCGGGCAATTTCAGTTGCAGGCGCAACGGTCATTGGGCCGACGATGTCCTCGTCTCCCATCTCGGGGAACTTGTCATGAAGACCGGGAATGCGAACGTTTTGACATGGATTCATGTTGGACTGGGTCAAGGTGAGGGCGACCCCGTCGGAAGCTTCGAGCTGAGTGAGCATGGCCTCGTGCTGGGTGCGCCATTCGCGGTTGATGGCCTCCCACTTCTCAATGGTAAGCCTGTAGATAGTAGAGGTAACACCGTAATGTTCGCCGGTACGGACGAGGTGCTTGGCGAAGTTGCATCGCGCAGTATCCCAGTCCCCGCGCACCTGTTGAAAGTTGCCAATGTCGCAAATCACGGGAACATACGGCTCGGGCTGGATCGTGAAATTGGCGTGACCGAGCTTGTTGGCCCACTCGTCGTTGGGATCGGAAAGGACCAGGGGGGCCTCGCCCGAGACAGTGCGCAAGGTGCTAGTTCGGGCCCGGTTGAACGAGGCGATGGAGGGCTTGGAGGAAAGCGGGGGCGAGGGAAGAACACCCACGAAGCGGGGGTCGGAAGTCACACTCCAGTGGTGAGGCTCGCTGACATCGGCCACCGAGGGCGACTGCAGGGGCGACTGAACACGAGAAACGATGTTTGTTGAGTCGTCTCCCAACAATGGCGGCAGAAGCGGGGTCGTGGCTTGCTGTTTGTCATTGTCGTCCTGGCTTAAACTGTTCGCCCGGGTGATATCGATTGGGCGTGCGCCAGAGTCGCTGACGCGCTCTTCGAAGATGGTGCGAGCGGGCGAAGGAGGAATGGAATCGACCCGGCTCAGAGGACCGACCACCGGGCTGATTAGCGTGGAGGAAGTTGACCCGGCGCGAGATCGTAGATCGTCTGGGAACGCATCGAATTCGGTGGCCGAGGAGTGGGATCGCTTCCACCGGTTGGACATGGTTGAGATTCGCGAACCAATGCGCGAGACTGCTTTCATCGATGCATCATCTGAGCGGCGCTTTTTCGGTGATGGGGCAGTTTCCATTCCAGTATCGCTGAGGTCATAACTATCCGAGGATTCCATGGGGAAGTATGATTCGTCATTCATGCCATAATCAAAATGTTCTGGAAGGTTGTTAGCATGAGTCATTCTTCCTCTCTAGAAGCAATACATACGGAAATATTGATCTTCCAATGAGTCGCGCGATTCTTCCTCTTTGACTCCCGTCAACTGACTCCTCGGGCTATCCATAGAGTTCTTCAGGTCGGACGAGACGAGCGAAGAGACCGAACTTGAAACGCGGTTGTGTCCTGTCGAGAACAAAGAGATAGCCGGTGATGCCGGCGCGGAGGTATTAATAGTGAGCGGAGACATGGGCTGTCGCGACATATCGTCGAGAGAGTCCCGTGTCGCGTCGATTATTTGAGACACTTTGTACATTATGACTGGGTGCCAGTGGCTGTGGAAATGGGGATGGATCACAGCTCAGCATTGGGCGAAGAGCTTAGATAAAGAGCGCGGCCAGAGTCATTTGCTTCAGGTGGCGGGTTGGGCGGTGTGATGAGAGTCCGGAAAAGCGGGAACTGAAGGATAGAGCCAGTTAGCAGAGCTTCTTCATCGAACCTATCCAAAAATACCGAAAAAACAGCAAGCGACGTGGACCAAACAAGTTGGGGTGACCAGCTGGCTGGGCAGAAACGAACGTTTCGCGGGGAGGGTGGGGGGTGATAATACTCACGATCAGCAACTGGGCCAACGATGCAGGGAGATCCTTGGAGGGCAGAAGGGCACGCAGTAAGAGAGAGAGAGACGGGGAGAGAGAGACGAGCGTATATGTTGTAGTCAGAAAGACTAGGATGGTGAAAACTGACTAAGAGCCGATCGTCGGTGCGAATTCCCACAGGAAAAGACCGGCAACCACGGAACCGCAGAGAGTCTGGAAGCCTTCCCTTTTGGAGTCTCAAGTGGCAAAAGGCAACATTGCCTCTTTTCTTTGTGATCTACTTAACACACGATGACTACAGTCGAAGTTGCTCACTTCATATTCCTACAGTGCTGTTCTGTTCTATTCCGATTGCTCTGTCAAACGGCTACACAACCGTCTAAAATCCAACTGTGCGATCGGCAGCATCTAGACTGGAGTGGATGCCCGGGAACTACTGTTATGATGCCATACCGACCCAGCCGTCTATCCCTTATTCGCTTTAGCCTCGACAGGTGGGAATTCTTATTATGTTTGGACAGTTTAAGATGGGTCACTTTGTCGACCTCTTTTTTGGGTAGAACCGTTTTTCTGTGCCCTGCATCCACCCGAGATGAAGGAGTACAACGGGTCCTTGTCAGAACTTTGTCCGAGTATGACGACCAGGGACAAGTTGGAAATCCTGCCCGTGTACACTCCGAACGGGGGAACCCTCTAAAATAAGAGCATCTCGGTCCTGCCCTGTCCTGTTCTGGACCGTACATACTGTAATATCGGACAAAGTCCACACTTAAGAGGGGAACACGCAAAGACGTCAGATCCACATGGCAGAATTGGCCTCTCGGGGATTCGGGAACCATTGCTTTGTTCTATGGTGATTGGTGACTGGGAGAGGGGAAACCCATGGTCCTTGGAACGCCTCTCCGGGTGTGCCTCGTGAGGCGTAGGCGGAACTTGGGTCTCTTGGACTGGCTCGACAGGTCACTTTGCTGTTCATTTCAGCTGTTCAGCTTTTCAGCGACCGGACACTATACAGGTGGATCTATCACACGGCTCTTGACATCCCAAAAACTTGTTCTCCCCTGGCGATCTCCGATCGAATACGGAGTATTCTTCTACTAGAAACATCCCTGCAGGTCACTTGGCCGAGTTGGGCGACACAGTCGCTTAAACGGGATTAGGCCCGACCGAACTCGGATCAGCAGCCAATCAGCGGCTCTCGGCTACGTGGACTGGAAAAACCTAATCGTGGAATGAGGTAAGCAGGCATCGCGATGTATTATTGGAGGCCTATATGGCAAAGAAACTGGAAAATCTAGACACTGTCACAGTAGATTAAAAGAGATTAAAACTGCCACTGCTGCAGCCAATTTTGCATCAACGAGGCCGAGATTGGTCCCAATGTCCGCATGCTACGACTGGCGTTTTTCGCCCGCCGGACATCCAACGGCACAGACATGCCCCCCTCATCCAGAAGCCCACGGTAGAAACTCAGTAGCTTGAGCGCTGGTTTGGAAGCGAGGTCCGCGCTGCTGGGATGGGAAATGCTTTCGAGGTCGGCAACCCAAGCGGCAAAATCAACTGGCTCGACCGGATATTGCGTTTGGACGGCGGGGATCAGCGACGACCACGGCGCTGCCTCCGGGTTGGTGAGGTGAAACACGGCCCAGGGCACGTCGGACGACCGGTGACGTATGTTGACAATCTCCACCATAATCGCGGAGAGGGTATCCTATTTCGAGCGCGATCAGCATGAGTTTCTTCGACATGTCTGCCAGGCACTTTCGGCTCCTTCGGCTTGTTTGAGGTTGAGAGAGGTTCTTACCACTGGGACCCAATCAACGGGCATGGAACCTAAGCGGCTGGGAATTTTACCTATCGCTTTGGACGTCGCGATGATCGTCGGCAGCCATTCGTGCGGATTCCATTGTCCGCTTCGACTGGTCGGTCCTGCGATCTGTCCAACGCGATACACCGTCGTGGGAACGCCTGAGCGGCGCGAGGCTTCGAGACAGATTCGCTCGGCGACGTACTTGGACTCGCCGTAACCTTGGGGAGAACGACGTTGCTACCCATGGGCTCTTCTGGGATCGATGGTCCCATCTCAGGTGTCCAAGCGCCTACCGTACTGACAGAAGAGACAAAGTGAATATGAGCATTGTTGCGGCTGCTCAGGCTGAAGTCGACAAAGCGTCGCACACCTTCAATGTGAGTGTCCTCGAAAGATTCAACAGTGTGATTGAAGTCGACTTTCCACGCGTTGTGGATGATTGTGTCGACTGAGTTGAGGAGCTCTTGGTATTTGGCCTCGTCAAGGCCAAAGCGTTCTGCTCCGAATGATGCTTTCAGGAACTCGACCTTGCTCCAGTTGCCCAGGGGCAGTCCCTTCTCTTCGAAGCCCTTTTGCTGCCGTGATTCGGCGTCTGAGCGGTTGAGGCAGTAGACCTTGGAAATAGACTCGCTGCTCAGTAGACAATCGAGTAGATAATTGCCCAACGAGCCAGTAGAGCCAGTCAAAATCACAGTGGTAGGCGCTTGCAATTCATTGCGGCGGACTTTACGAATTGGAAGGTCGGTCGTATACTTTTCAATCAAGTTATAGATCTTCTCTTCGCGTGGGATCTCAACCTGGGACTTGCCTTCCAACATGGCATGCACAACAGCAGACAATTGCTCGATTGTTGGATTGGCATAAATGGTCTGAGCAGTGATAGTTGCTTTCACCTCTGGGCGCAGTTCGATGATCCTTTGCAGCATTCGAGAGACCTGAATGGTCATTAAAGAATCAAGACCAACACCAAAGAAGTTCTGGGTACTGGGGATCTCCTTCTCCAAAGTACGCGCAATGGCTTGACGAACGAACTGGGCGATACTTTCAGAATCCAAATTCTCCGGAAGAGCCAACTCATCGTCCATGCTTTGAGCATAAATCGCATCGATCTCCCCCTCAAACTCCCGGAGAACTGACCGACGCTGCACGGTACCCTTCGGTGTCTTCTTGAAGGGCTTCGTCTTGGGAGCAATGCCGATTCTGTTCTTCATGACTCGGCCATGAGCAGCAATGGTTGAGTTAGCCACCTGTACCGTCGGCCAGACCTGCTCAACAACAAGCTTCGTGTCCATGTCCGGCACATCATGGTTCAATTCAATGAGTAATCCAGCCTGGAATCGGGATTGGCCGACCACAACCGCACTGCCTACCAAGGGGTGGCCCTCAATGATAGTTTCCATTGCAACAGGGTTGAACTTCTCTCCGTTGCTCAACACAATCACATCATCCTTTCGTCCATGGAACTTCCAGAGACGGGGGTTTGTCGGATGGCGGGTGTAGATATCATTGGTGTGATATTCACTGATGTCGGGGTAAGTATGGAAGATACCCTTGAAATCGCGAGCGTTCGGCTGTCGAGGAATGACCATCTCGTACATCCCCTCGTTGATATCTTGCATGTCGACCCCGTATGCGTCATTCCAGTCAAAGTAGGCCCAATCAGCTGGGTCCTCTGGAACCATCGAGGCGATCCAGCCAATCTCGCTGGTGCCAATAACGGATACAACTGTGGTATGCTGGCGAAGGCGGTCTCCAACATCCGGTGCAAGTGGTGCGCCTCCGAAGAGGACGGATTTGAGCTCCTTCACACATGACAGTGCTTTGTCGGAATAGCTCATGTCCTCCAAAACCGAAGGTGGGCACATGGCTGAGGTCGGACGCCCGACTTGCATAAGTTCCACCATATGGTCGACGGACAATGGCTTTTCTGGTCCGATCAAGATGGGAACATCGAACCAGACTGTGAAAATCAAGGCCATCAGTCCCATGAGGTGAAAGAAGGGTGTCGTGCTCAACAGCAAGTCCTCTTGGCCCATGTGAAAGAATGGTGCTGGTATGCGACCAGCTGGCCATTGAAGATCAGAGAGCGCGTCGAGGGTCCCGAAGAAGCCGTTCGTGAGGTATACTGGCTTGGGCATGCCTATGAAAGTCAGCAGCGGACGACATGATCGATGCTTCCCAAACTTACCCGTTGTTCCCGAGCTGTGAATGATGCACGTAGTATCATTTTCGGCGTCGGAATACGATTTGTTGTACGAGTAATGGTGCAGTCCACGCTCATCACTCAGTACACTTTCGAGAGCGGGCAGCTGGAAGATGGCCAAGGGTGTCGACGAAAGTCCCTGGATCTCCAAGGTTCTTGCTTGTCGTTCCTCGCTAAAGAAGAACTTGGTGCAGCCTGTAACTGTCAATAGATGGACATGGGCTTCGTCCGAATTTCTCGTCGAAGGCAGGAAGGCCTATCCCAGATTAGCCCATTTTCATCTCCATCGTTCCGTGATCTGGTCCTCACCTGATATCCGGTTTTTTGACAGGCAAGCATGAAGATGAAATAGCGCACATCGTTGCTTCCCATGTATGCCAACGCCTCGGGGGACTGTGCAGGTCCAATGATTTCTTCAATGTACCAGCACATACCGTTTACGGCCTGTGCCAGGTCCTTCATCGTCAGACGACGGAAGCCCTGGCTGAGTTCAGAGCCTTGGGGGATGACTGCGAATAGATTATTAGGGTTGTGCTTTGCATAGTCATCGACCGAAGTTGCTAGCAGTCGCTTTTCTTGGCCCATGATTAAATAGTGGGATGAAATAATAAATCAGCTAAATCAACAATGCAAAGGCGAAAATGTGAAATGGATGGTGTTCTGATGCATTATCCACGGAGGGAAGATCAACTTATATAGCTTTGACAAGATCGACAGGACCATATCTCTGAACCGCCGGTCAACCCTGGATGAAGCCGTGTAACACTGATTCGTTGGATCTACGCCGTGGCAATAGTGACCCACCTCATACTTCACCTTGAATTTCGCCTTATACTTCACCTCATGAGGTCACTTTCGAAGGAGCATTTCGAGGCTCTAGTCTGCTTCTTTTCACCATTCCTATAAAGGTCTGTACTATGATGCCAGCCGAAAACCCGTCCTACACATCCATTGGACACGTTATGCCTCAGAATCTCCTGTTCCAAAGACCGCCTCAACCAAACACACTTCTAAGCACACCACCAGTGCTTTCCGGTGCTCTTCCTGGCCGAGGACATCAGCCACTGCGAAGCTCTGACAGAAAGTCGCTCGGTAATCCTAGGTGTTGACCGTCTCGTTGAACAGGCTTGGATTGTGATTTGCCATTCTTCTCCTTTGCTTTGCTTTATCTTGCTTTATCTTCTTTTCGAACCTGGATAATGCGTTCTAGTCTACTCATAATGGAACTTCGCTTTCTCATAGTTCTTCTTGAAAAGGATCCATTTATAAATATATGCTGTGACGATTCGATGAGTTGATCTGACCTTGTAGTAGACCTCGGGAGGATCTATGAGCTTACTCAGCCAACATTCCTCATTAAGTTAACTTACGTTATAGGTTAGTTATAACTATTTCCTATAGAATTTGCCAGATAGAGGGAAAGTTCGCAACACTGTGTTCTTGATGATACCATTGAATAGTGCACGAGTGGAAGTAGGGATGATCGACCGTGGGCATTATTCCCAGTCATGCCAAGGTCCCACTCTCCGGGCCGAGCATCACTATGCTTGATTCTGTCTTCACAAGTGCCCCGGCACTCCCATGCCGAGCTTGGAACAAAAAGCTTGGCCAAATTTTGTGTTGGGGGTGGCGGTCATTAGCCCAATGTTTATGTTTCGGTAGCAATAACTTGTGTTACATGTAGCGTCCACTATGAGATCATAAATGCAGATTGGGCATTTACTGTAGAGTTTGTGAAAAATTCCCCCCTTCTTGAAGTCTAGTGTGTATTCCATACCTACACTGTAAGTCGGGATCGACAGCCATCTCACACGCATTGGGTATTGCTCCTTGACAGCCTCCCCTGACAAAGTTAACCTATAACCTAACATAAGTGATGTGATTACTGTACTGTATGCTGTACTTGCTTCACATCTCAATTTAATTCGTATAACCCGAGTGCGATGATCTCATTCTGTGGAATTTGGCAGCCTGTGTCCAACTGTGGGTAAGTCTAGGAGGGCCCATGCAGCTGTACTATAAGGTCTCAGCTCACTTGCATATTTCTTCTTTGGGTAACATATCGCGGATAATCATGCAAGGTCTTGTCTTGTGCCGAGATCCAGATATTTGTGTATGACACCTTGAAGCCCACTACCCGCTGTAGATCACTGTACCTGACCTGAGACTTCCGACGTTCCAAGGTTCCCAAATTGCTTACTTTCTTGAGGCAATAAGCTAGTTCCTAATCTTCGGCATCTGACTTCGGTTCCTATGGCTTCGGGGGATTGCTGGGTCTGATCTACGGATTTCATTCAACTTGCTTCTAGTATCATAAGTCAGGCTTTTACTACTACCTAGGTATGGCCAACTTCTCGCACGTCATTTTAAGACACTGGCCAACATCTATACTCAGTCTATCTTCAAGTTGACAGAACGGAACCACTTTACTTGCTTTTGCTCAAGTCTTGAACACATAATATGTTCTTTGGTTTGTTTATTTCCACTCAGTTCTTTCTTCGTAATATCCCTCTTCTCTTACATCCTCCTATTAATACATTGTCCACGCCATCAATAGTTCTACCGGCTACAACGTTGTCCAACTCGATCATTCCGAGAATTCTCGTCTCATAATCCCGAGTTTGAATCCCGAGGACTCCCCCAGCATGGCACTTACAGACATGCTCATATCTCCAACATATATGGATGGTTGATACTAATGCCCATGCCTCCATTAATTCCATGAATACGACTAAAGTATCACGTCGCCTGGCTCAATTGTTCATACACTTTAACCCTTGAGGGCATAAGATCGATCAATTCAACCCCCAACCCTCAACCCTGAGAAACATATCCAATCCCCCCCCGCTGGAAAAAGCCAGCCCAATCAGAAACCAGATTCCCTAGAAATCACTTCATACATGCATCCGTTGAGCTAATCCATCGCCAATTCACGTGACCCTATACCTATCTATCGGAAGTTCCCGTCATCGGCCTCCAACCGTCTGCAAGGCTCCGACCCTCTTCCATTTCCCGGCGTTGATGCTGTATAATTGCAGCTGTCCATGAACTGACCAGCCTGTAATTGATACCTATCTTTCCCCTCTACCCTCAATGAAGTTCTCTTCATATCTCGCAGCCGCGGCTGCTATCACCGGCGTGACAGCTTCTCCGCACCCCGCACCAGCAAAACAGGAACCTCTGGGCGCACAATCCACGCTCGCCCAGCCAATCTCTAGCCAGAGCGCAGAAGACATAATCAACAACTCGCCTCTGCTATCACTCCACCGAGACTTGGTTGAGATTGAGTCCGTCTCCGGCAACGAGCACGATGTCGGCCTCTTCGTCGCGAAGTTCCTCGAAGCACGGAACTTCACCGTCGTGAAGCAGGAGGTCCCTCCGTTGAAGGGTCACGAGAGTCCAAAGACAAGATACAATATCTACGCTTACCCGGACTCTCATTCGGAGCCTCCCTCCATCCTTCTCACGAGCCATATCGATACCGTCCCGCCGTTCATTCCATACTCAATTCATCGCCCGGAAGCTGATGTCTCCGCCAGCTACGACTCGGAAAACCTCATCCTGGCCGGTCGTGGTACTGTTGATGCCAAGGGCAGCGTCGCGGCGCAGATCTTCGCTACTTTGGAAACGCTGAACGAGCAACCCGACGCGAAGCTGGGCCTCCTCTTCGTCGTCGGCGAAGAAGTCGGCGGCGACGGCATGAAGACCTTCTCTAACTCCGAGTACAACACCGACAGCGCTTACCACACTCTCGTCTTCGGTGAGCCTACCGAAGCAAACCTAGTCTCGGGCCACAAGGGCATGCTCGGCTTCGAGGTCTTCGCCCACGGTTCTGCCGCGCACTCGGGCTACCCATGGCTCGGCCGGAGTGCCGTCTCGGCTATCCTGCCAGCGCTGTCTCGTGTTGATAAGCTGGGCAGTATCCCGACAGAGAAGGGCGGTCTCCCTTCCTCTCCGAAGTATGGAGAGACGACGTTGAATGTTGGTGTTGTCCGCGCTGGTGTTGCGACGAATGTCGTTCCCGCTCAGGCGTATGCTGATGTCTCTGTCCGTCTTGCTGCCGGGACCCCGGACGAGGCGCGCGAGATTATCAAGCGCGCTGTTGCGGATGCTAGTCGGGATGAGGAGGCTGAGGTTGTGGTGGACTTCAGCTCGCATGGTGAATCGTATGAGCCTGTGGATCTTGATGTCGACGTTGAAGGCTTTGATGTCACTACTGTGAACTATGGTACCGATGTTCCGAATCTGTCCGTTCGGTCGGGCGTCAAGCGTTACCTTTATGGCCCTGGTAGTATCTTCGTCGCTCATGGTGACCATGAGGCTTTGAGTGTGCGCCAGCTCCAGGATGCTGTTGGTGGGTTCAAGAAGTTGATCCAGGCTGCTTTGGATAGAGAGGAGCAGGGCCTTGCCGTATAGTCGGTCCTTGTATTTGCATAGCTTGGATATGACTGCCGGACTACTTACCCGAAGGCACCCGTGGACTACTAGACCTAGAAATCTTTCTTCTCCCGTGGCCAGATAATCATGTTTCATTCAAAACTATAAAACAAATCGGATGACGCACACTGAGCAGAGTATACGTAAATATTATTTGACATTCAGCGCCTGAAATAAAGTAGGTCATGTACAAAACCAATGTTATACACAATCTGGTTCTCCAGATTCCAAGTAACTTATAGCATAGGGGAAAGAAAAGCGCTATATAAACATATAACGGACATAAACGACATGTCTCGTCAGAACATTCCAATTCTACTGCCTGGGCTTCCTCTCCCACCCGGTCTTAAGGTCACCGCTAGGCTTGAATCTTGGGAACGGATGAGCCTCGGTGTTAAACACGTGCTCTTCAAGCGAGATGAAATCACGGTCTGAGAACAGGAGGTAGAAGTACTTCAATGTCTCTGCCATCCAGTAGCTCTCCATGTTATCGCGTTTGTAGGGTGGTACGGCGTCTGCATTGCCGAGAGAGGTAAAGCCCTTAATCCGGAAAATGGGTTCTTTGCTGCTTGTCGTTGGGATGCGGGAGGTGGTGCTCTTCTTCTCTACGACGGCTGTGTGCTTGACGAATGACTTGAAGATTTCCCAGCCCCATTGGCGGTACATCTCATCGCCCGTGATACGGTACATGTATAAGAGGGACTCGATCGTCTCGGGGCGTTGTAGATTGTGGCGGTCGTTTCGGTGAATTTCGATGTCTTCGCGCCAGGATTCTGAGCCGTCGTATGACTCTAGGGTTTTAGAAATGCCTTTGAGTATTTCTGGCTTGCCTTGTTTTGGGTTGGTGGATGAGTCGGGATACTTGTCTCCCATCATCACAGGTTGGGAGTCTAGTGTGAAGTAGGAAATTTCGGAGGCGAGTCCGGTTGCCGTTCTCTTATGCATTGCCCAACAGGTCTTCATCAACTCGCGAGACATGAGAATCTCCTCTTCACGTTGTTGAGACCAGTCTGAAGACTTTCTTGCCTCGGATAGTGATCGACCGCCTGTGGCGCCGAGCGCAATTGTTCCGGGCATGAAGCAGACCAGGTGGTCCATACGGGGTAGGAGTTCTTGATCCAGGCCATGGGGCCGTTCGCCGATAACCATGAGTTGTGTGTTCTTGGTGAATGTGATAAGATGCTTGCGGATGCCCTTGAGGGCCTCGTCCCACATTAATTTGTAGACCGGTTCCTGTTGTGAGGTCTGCAGATATTGCTTGATGAGGTATTCTGGACAGATCAGCTTGGACTCCATCACATTCAAAAAGTTTGAACATACCATAGTACGAGTCTGCTTTATTCCCGAGACTCACACTGTCTCCCTTGAACGTTCCACTGTCGGGGTGGATAGCAGAACGTACAAGGCCATCCTGGGACATTTGAGAGTCAATCACCTTCATGGCATCCTCTACTATGGTCCAGTATTCTGCCTCTCCAGTCAACTTGGCCAGATACTTGAATTCAAGCTGCACCGATCCAGCTTCAGAGACGGGCGTGGCCCCTTCGTCAAAGTGAACAGGGATACCTGCCGACGTGTTGAGGTTGACATTCGACCATGGAATGCCGCTAGGAGACTCAAAAGCACCAAGCAATCTGTCGGCAAGATCGGCGGCTTTCTCAATGTAAAGGTCTTCGCCCGCGGCACCGACATCGTCGTCGTTCAGCGGTGCCAAATCGGGGAATTGGGTCGAGAGATAGTGCGCAGACAGCAAACCACCTAGCATACGAATACTCGTCTCGAAGGTATTCACATCTCGGTCTTGATCATACCGCAGCGAGGTCGAGATCCATTGTCTGGCTCGGTGAACCTTGGAGGTCAGGTTCATGATCATCAGAGTATCTAGCGAGTCGACAATCATCCAGCCTAACCCGCCGCTAGTGACCTCCTGGTTCACATTTGATACGGGACGATACTGGTCGTAGCCTATGCCTACTATCAGCCTTGCATCCAGCACAGAAAGCCACACCCCGACTTACCCCATGCATTCTTCTCATAGCCCTCCCAACTAACAATGAAAGCGTCCCGCACTTTTTCCCGCCTCTCAGCCCAGTCGGACGTATCCGAAGATGCCTTCTCATCCTCCAGAGTCTGAGCCCACCGCCAAAGATCAACCCCCTTATCGTTTGATCGTGACCCTGTCAATGGCCGGAGATAGAAGTTATAGTATAACAAGAATACCAAGCTACACACTCCGAGGAGAGCAATGAACGGCCTCCATCGCCTCCGGGGACCTGTGCGCCGCGGTTGAAAGTAGGGCTTGTCTTTGTATAACGGTAGCGTGCGGTCTTTTTCGAAATAGCCGTTCACTTTGTTGGACAGGGGGATCGGTTGGTTGGACAACCCATAGCCACGGAGGCCATTGCGGGAGTTCTGATAGAAGTTGTCTTGCTGCGCTGGCGCAAACGGACTGCGCGATGGTTGGTATGCCATTGTTTCTCCAGGGAGCTTGGGCTTCGCGAATGTCTGCCGGGGATGCGATTATCGATCGCGACACATAGGAATGGAATGTCGGTTCTATATTACTGAATTTCCGCTTTCATTGGGATCTCGGAGGCAGGGTTGAAGTGTTCAAGTAGGAGTTCTAGTGTGCTCTTCAACAGGAGTCAGTTTGATTTCTTCCAAAGGGAGCCCCTCGTTGTCGTGAGGACATACCGATGAAGCCGTTCACTCATGTATACTGTCTTGATGTCATAAACTCGGTGGCAATGGTCATCTAGGCAGGATTTCACTACACAAAAGTGGCCCTGAGCAAGATGTGTACGGTGGGTTGGTCCGTAAACAATTTGTTGGAGATGCGGAGGCGCGGAGATTGTCCCGCGTGTTCTCAGTTGCCAAGTCCAGAGTTGAAGCCAAGTGTCCAGGGGCAACTTCGATGTTAGCTTCAAATTGGAATTTGCGTGCCTGGCGACAATTGAGAACGTGGCAAGGTTGAAGGAAGCTGGGGAAGTGGAGAGCCAATATCAGTCCGCAAATCATCGCTGTGCACGCGTAACCAGTTTCAGAAGTACTGGATGGCATAGGGCAGGTTGTCTGGTCGAAAGCCAAACTCTGCACAACCTACTGGATAAAGTCTTGAAGCCCATTTTCACACCCTAATTTTATATGATATCTAACTGGACAAATTAAGCACTCGCAAATGGGCAGGAAAAAACAAGAGGCGAAATTAGACAGGCCCAGTCGGGGCACACAAATGCATAGAATAGTACACTGCCTGGCAGGATTGCACATCGAGACTGTCTAATACTTTGTTACACCCCGACTGTGAACAGATTTATAAGCCTGCCGTATGTGCATTTGACTTCGGTCTCTATGGAAGCATTTCCCCTCGCAATCTACACAAGTTGGAGCAGAAAGATAGTTGAATGCATAGTATTAGCGCTTCATGAGAAAGATCTAAGCCCTGCACTAGCCCAAGATAGTTACAATTACAGCTTCTGGTACTCAAGCTTGCCCTCCAGCTTCTTTGCCTCTGCGACCTTCCGTACGGCCTTGTTGAAATCGTCCTGGTTGATGGCGTCGCGGTAATCCTTGATCGCGAACAGACCACTGTAATATGTTAGTTCATCGTTCACTGCATTTTTGGCGGCCAATGGACTGGATGGCACTTACGCTTCGGTGACAACGTTTCGGAGATCCGCACCGTTAAGGCCGTCACTCATCTTGACCACGCTCTCAAAGTCGATATCACCTTCCTGTTGAACCGTGCTCGTGTGAATCTTCAAGATCTCCAGACGGCCGACCTCGTTGGGAAGAGGAATCTCAATCTTTCGGTCCAGACGACCAGCACGCAGCAGAGCGGGGTCCAATGTGTCGGGTCGGTTGGTTGCCATGATGATCTTCGTCTTTCCTAGATAGTCGAAACCATCCAGCTGGTTCAGCAACTCCATCAGCGTTCGCTGAATTTCTCGATCTGCTGAGGTACCCTCCGAAAATCTTCGTCCACCAATGGCGTCAATCTCGTCCATGAAGATGATACAGGGTTCGTGTTCCTTGGCGTATCCGAACATTTCTCGGATCAGTCGAGCGGATTCACCAATATACTTATCAACGATAGCCGATGAGACCACTAATCATAGTCAGTCATTTGTAGGGAGAAAGTATAGGTGGAAACATACCCTTCAAGAAGTTGGTATCGATCGAGCTGGCCACTGCTCGTGCAAGCAGCGTCTTACCAGTACCCGGAGGACCGTAGAGCAAGACACCCTTGGGAGGCTTGATGCCGACTCTGAGGAAGAGCTCTGGGTTCTTCAAGGGCAATTCAATTACCTCCCGAAGCTCTCTGATCTGGTCGTTGAGACCACCAATACCTGCAAAGTTGACTGAACCGGGATCCTCCAGCGACATATTGTACACCAAGGGGTCAACTTCACGAGGTAACATCCGCATGATGGTGAGTGTTGTCATATCCAAAGCCACACGTGTGCCTTGCTTCATCTTGGCCTTATCCACCTTTGACCGACAACCGACGACATATCGAGGACCGGAGGACGCCTTGACGATAACTATAGGCCTGTCAGTCACCCTCAACAGGGTTGAGATGAATGATAATGGGGATGATACTCACATCGCTCTTCATCAAGCTGCTTCAACACCTCGCCGATGATCTGACCCACACTTTGTAGCGCCTTGATGTTCTCCTCGGAGATATCAAACTCCCGCTGAAGATCCTTGATGCCCAAGCGGAGAGTCTTGAGCTTAGTTTCCCATTCTCGTAACTCGAGCAAGCTCTTTTTATAGTCCTCGAGCGACTGGTCGCGCTCCGTGTCGCTCATGATGAAGGACGGTCGAACAACGGTTCACCTAATGTAAAGGGACAGACAGGAGAGCTGAGTTGAGACAGCAATTTAGAGAGGTAAGATTTTGGAGGATCGCAGATGCAGAATGGATGGATCTGAGTGAGTGGTAGCACCTTGCCTGGGGAGCTCCAGCGCAGCGCAGCGATGAGCCAAATAAGGTCACATGATACTATTATGTCATGCTCTTGGCTGCTACATGACACCTGAGGTGTCAAGGCCAAACATGCAAGGCAGCAAGATGAGGCAGCAAGGCATCAATATCGGAAGCCGTGGAGATTACATAATATCTAGCTTGGAACTCACCTGGGCAACCCCACTGTGATCGCCTTCAAATTCAGGCCGCAATTTAGCTGAGTTCGTCAACTTGTAATCCAAAGGCAATGCTACGCTGGATGGACATGTCAAGTTGCTTCCATTGGTCGTTTATCATCATCAAGTGTATGATTGGTCCAGTACCATTCTTTTAGACAAAATGAGCAGCCCTCCGCTTCTACAGTGCCTCATGAAGCACGGCCCAGGAGGGGCATGGAGGGGTGTAAACACCAGCCTACAAAGTACAGAGTACAGATTGTGCCATTAGCTTCCAAGGTGATCATATGAAACAAGCCTATGCCATCATAGCTTTTCCGTTTCTCGGAAGATCTCGTAGCTGAGGTGCCGCATACGGTCGGATCAACCAGCAAGAGCTGGAGAACAGCCGTGGAGCCCCACTGTCGCATTGGAAAGAATCGGAGGAGCAATGATCTTTTCCGGGGTTAATGGGGAGTATATAAGAGACTCGGGTCCCTATACATTATCTTCTTTTCTTAGTTGAAAAGTTGTTTACTATTTCACTGGTAAGTTGTGAGATTATCATCAGTTGCAAGTCGTATATACCCCGCCACCCCTCCTCTCCCCTATACACTTTCCCACCTTCACATCTTCCCTCCCCAATCTTCTGGAAAGAGAAAGAATCCCCCAAAACTCCTCCCCGGTGATCGTAAGTAGGCAAACCGACATTGCCCCATCAACAAGTGGTTGAGCTCGCAAATCACGTCCTTCTCCATCCCGCCCATTCTGTTTCGGTCATCGGTGAACACCCCCCCGCCGTTAGTCACACTGCTTTTGCCATATATCTGCCCGGTTCCTATTTCACTTTTCCCTTTCTTTCATCTGACTGAATACCAGCCTTTCAAAATGCCTATCTCCAAGATCCACGCTCGCTCCGTCTACGACTCTCGCGGTAACCCCACCGTTGAGGTCGACGTTGTCACCGAGACCGGCCTCCACCGCGCCATTGTTCCCTCCGGTGCTTCCACCGGTAAGTTCTCTGTTTGAGTCGTCTGAATGGGCATTGGAAATTGGACTGAAAAAGCTAACATCTATCTTCAGGTCAGCACGAGGCCGTTGAGCTCCGTGACGGTGACAAGACCCACTGGGGTGGTAAGGGTAAGTGAACCATCAGCTTCCAATTGTATCTCCAAATGAGCAAGATCTAACAGTTTCATGCTCTAGGTGTCCTCAAGGCCGTTAAGAACGTCAACGAGACCATTGCTCCCGCCATCATCAAGGAGAACATCGATGTCAAGGACCAGGCCAAGGTTGACGAGTTCCTGAACAAGCTCGATGGAACCGCCAACAAGGGTAACCTCGGTGCCAACGCCATCCTCGGTGTCTCCCTGGCCATCGCCAAGGCCGCCGCCGCTGAGAAGGGTGTTCCCCTCTACGCTCACATCTCCGACCTTGCCGGCACCAAGAAGCCCTACGTCCTCCCCGTCCCCTTCCAGAACGTCCTCAACGGTGGTTCCCACGCCGGTGGCCGTCTGGCCTTCCAGGAGTTCATGATCGTTCCCGAGTATGTTTCCCTGCTATGTATACCTCTAGTGATCCTATGACTGACGAACGCAGCACTGCTCCTTCCTTCACCGAGGCTCTCCGCCAGGGTGCTGAGGTCTACCAGAAGCTCAAGGCTCTCGCCAAGAAGAAGTACGGCCAGTCCGCTGGTAACGTCGGTGACGAGGGTGGTGTCGCTCCCGATATTCAGACCGCTGAGGAGGCTCTTGACCTCATCACCGAGTCCATTGAGCAGGCCGGCTACACTGGCAAGATTAAGATCGCCATGGATGTTGCCTCCAGCGAGTTCTACAAGGTCGATGCTAAGAAGTACGATCTTGACTTCAAGAACCCCGACAGCGACCCCACCAAGTGGCTCACCTACGAGCAGCTTGCCGACCTCTACAAGTCCCTTGCTACCAAGTACCCCATTGTCAGCATTGAGGACCCCTTCGCTGAGGATGACTGGGAGGCCTGGAGCTACTTCTACAAGACCTCTGACTTCCAGATTGTTGGCGATGACCTGACTGTCACCAACCCCCTGCGCATCAAGAAGGCTATTGAGCTCAAGTCTTGCAACGCCCTCCTCCTCAAGGTCAACCAGATTGGTACTCTCACTGAGTCCATCCAGGCCGCCAAGGACTCCTACGCCGACGGCTGGGGTGTCATGGTCTCTCACCGTTCCGGTGAGACTGAGGATGTCACCATTGCTGACATCGCTGTTGGTCTCCGCGCTGGTCAGATCAAGACCGGTGCCCCTGCCCGTTCCGAGCGTCTGGCCAAGCTTAACCAGATTCTCCGTATCGAGGAGGAGCTCGGTGCCAACGCTGTCTACGCTGGTGAGAAGTTCCGCACTGCTGTTAACCTGTAAATGTGGTCTTTCAGCGTAGATCGGGCTTAGGTCCAAAAAGATGGTTTGATGATTCCGTCACAACCCATGATGATTATGAATTTAATTAAGAATTTCAAGAATTTCAATGAAAACAAATTTCCCTTTCAAATTTCATCCACATCACCTTAAGAGACAAAGAAATTGTAGTATACATCAGCTCATCGGGCATCCAAGGCCCCGAGAGATCACGTGCCCATGCCACCTGGGGACGATAAGTGTGTCCCACATAAAATTTGCCCTCGCCCCTCCATCCTTTGTTGGGTCCGTTTGGCTTGTTACTCGGTCTTGCGTCTAGCGCATTGCGTACCTTCGTTTTTCTCTCTCTTATCAGATATTACACTTTTTCTTTTTTCTATAGCCAAAAATGCCGCCTTCCAAGTGGGGTATGTTCTTATCCTTCGCTATCGAGCATCCCCCGCCTCCGAATCCTTGCTAATAAGGCCCTACAGATGAAGAGGAGAGCGACTCTGCCCCTCCTGTCGTTGTCGCCCCTCGCCGCCGATTCGATGACGAAGAGGAAGAGGATGTAAGACTGTCTGCCCCAAGCCTGTTACTCCAGGCGACACTCAACATCGCGACAAGGCACTGACACAACTTTGGACAGGTCCTCGACTCATGGGATGCCGGTGAAGACTCCGAAGTAGAGCGCGAGAAGGCCAAGAAGGCCGAAGAAGCCGCCGCCAAGGCCAAGGCCGCCGCCGCCGCCAACAAGAAGACCAAGGCCCAGCGGATAGAGGAACACCGGGAGCAGCGACGACAGGAGGCTGACTCCGACGACGAGTCTGGCGACGAGGAAGAGTCTGAGCGCCGCGCTCGTCTGCGCCGGACCGAGCAGGACGCTGATCTCGCTCACGCCGAGGACCTCTTTGGCTCCGTCGACACCAAGCGCAACAAGGGTGCCCCCAAGGCCATTGTCATCAGCGACAAGGCCGACCCTACCAAGTCTATCGACCTGTCCTCCATGCCTCTTTTCAACCCCAACACTAAGGACCAGTTCAACGCTCTGAGCGACGCCCTCATCCCCCTCCTGACTCCTCACTCGAAGAAGGCCCAGTACGCCATTTGGGCGCAGGACTTTGCCCGCAAGTTCGTCAAGGACCTGCCTAGCACTGAGATCAAGAAGATTGCCAGTGCCCTGACCACTGCTAGCAACGAGAAGATGCGCGAGGAGCGCGCTGCCGACAAGGGCAACAAGAAGACCAAGGCTGCTAAGACCAAGATCTCGCTGAACGCTAGCCGCGGCCCTGTCGACAACACCAACTACGACGGTGATGACGGTCTCGCCGATGATGACTTTATGTGATTGTTGAGACTAGGCTCTAGCCTCTGAATTGTTTCGCGTTTGCTTTCTATTGGATTTGTTCGAAAATACGCATCAAGGGTATCTCTCTTTCTCATTGCCCCGGCACTCAAAAGGTTACCTTGCTTCTGATCTGAACCTCCCCATGTACATCCCCCAGACTCTTCAATCTACAATATCCAACCCATAGAAGATTGAACCCCACCATCAATTATCAATTCTTACATGACCGTATCCGAGATCATTCTTCCAACCCGCTCTCCCACATACCCACTCCTAGTTCCCAAATGCCCTACTCCTAACAAGAGTCCGAATCCCCTGCCTCTTATTAACCACACCAATTCGCTTGGCCTCTTGCTCAATCTCTCGTATCCCTATATCTAGAGACACATACCCTTCATCGTCAAGGGCAAACAGCGCCTCTAGCACCCACACACCACAATTTAGCGCCTCCCGATATCGAGCCGAGTACAGCGTGAGCGGTACCATGGCCAGTCTACCCGACAGCGCAGCATGTAGAATCGGTGACACAGTCCCGATCTGAAGGGCTAGTATCAGTCGCCCGAGTGTTGGGATTTCGCTTGTTGGCTCGGTCTTGTATTGCCACGCCGTGGGCCCGCCTTCGTTGATTATGTGGAACACGGTTCCTCTCGTGGCGGTTTGCGCGAGGTATAGTTCCCAATGGAAGACATTCGTTGTCCCCCGATCGAGCAGGAGGACGTAGAGTGTGTTTGGCTCGAGGTTGAGGGGCTGTTGGAATGCCATTGTGGGATGAACTTGGATTGGGAATTCTCGAGGAAAGGAGAAGATGTGGGAGAACTCACTTATGTTATAATCTGTATACATGCTTCTTGTTTAGTCCCTCGTTTACGGAGATAGCTCGAGGTGAACCAAGGAAGCTAATGCACTTGGGCCTATTGTCCCCCCTACCACACCCGGATCCACGTTCACGAAACCGACAGCACGGCTTTTGGGTATACTTTTAGCGATCACAGACGAATCAGCGTCTGCGAGGGAATTTGTCAGGGATCCAATGCCGAATACAAGTGTGTTGATTTTTTGAGGGGGGCTAATATGCACCTGCAGTCTATGCAACTTGCTGCGCATTTCAGCTAATATAGCCGAATCTGGCATAGACGTGGCTTTGCTGGTGGTGTTTGGTTCGCTTGACTATTCGCTTTGCTTTTATGGAAATTTGCAGCTGAAATTAGACCTGTCAACAGTAATCAATCTTGTAGCTTGGATGTTGCTGTTTATCTTCCTTATTCTTTTTATTTAATTTTTAATTTTTTCTATATACCTGTCCTGTCTATCTTTTGATAACTATTCATTGTCTCCCATCCTACTAATGCTTGCACCAAGAAGGTCTTCGGTAGTCAACGCCCGAGATTGATACCAAACATGCATCTACACCCTTGTCAAAAGCCATGCAAGCAAAATAGGCCCTATATTTGCCCTATAATGTCCTTGAATGAGGCTCAACAAGGCAGAGACCCAAACCTGCCTCTACCGTTCCTCGTGGATGCTGTCTCCAGCTAACGCTAGCGGTGGGCCTATTGGATATAGCGTTATAACCGATGTTGTTTCCAGTAACCTGACTCTTGTTCTCCCGAGTCGGGACTTCCTCTGATACAATCTTCTGGTGCATAGAGTTGCTATCGGGCTGGGCTTGTGATGCTATCCATGGATTGATACTCAGCCGCCGGATACATCGTGTGAACACATCCACCCATGCGGACAAACCAACAACAATTTGCTTCGATATCGAGAACAAGAGTATAACTTATACATACTCAAATATCTAAATTCATTCATGCTAACCAACCAACACCCCAAAGAAGCTATACCTTACCATGCTATACAGTACACCAGAGAAACAAAACCAATCACCACTCACACCACTGACCAGGGCTATAATTCGCCGACGGTGCCGTTTGGCCTCGTGGCGTTTCCTCACTGCTATCACTTTGTGCAATAAGTTGCAGCTTGCAGACTGTCCACCTGTCTACTTGTTAGTTGTCAGTTGTCAGTTGTCAGTTGTTAGTTGTCATATCCAGTAGCCCTCCCAGGTTGTGCGCGGCCCCTCAGTGGCGCTGACCCGGACGACTTCGATTGGTTCACTGGATTCGCGCGAAAGATGTGTACTCGGTGAGCCCGTTGAGGAATCAGATGAGAGTGGATTGGGGTGTGGTCCATCCTCACTTTCCTTGAAGTTGTCTTGGGTGGCCGTGGATGCTGGCGAATCGCTTGGTTGGTTCTTGTTCCCCGCTGATGGGTTCTGCAGCTTTGGTGCTTGATGACATGGCTTCTGTGGTGGCGCTGCTAAGGGGGTGTTCATGGTGTGGAGAGTCTTACTTGAGTGGTTGATGAGGCCTTGTCTGGCGAGTCGTGTGCTTCTGGTATCCCCAGTTGAGAGGGTCTCTAGAACATACTCATGGAAGATGGCGTATTTGATGTGCTGTATATTCTAGTCAGACAAATGACAGGGTTGGAAGTGACTCTGTCGTTCTTGTATAGTACGTTACTCGATATACTTCCGAAGTTGGTAAGAAAGAAATCATTGGCTACGAAACCCCAAACCGGGTGCATCTCAGACAAAGAGATCCGAGTGGAATTGGAAAAAGACACATTTAATCGTGCTGGAGTGGGAATAGGAGACAATAAAAAAGAGAGAACTTCCACTCAGCCCCTTTTCTTCGCTCGCGTCAACCGAATATCAAACTCCGCCGGCCGACCCACACGGTCCCCGGACACGTGCAAGATATCTGCCGGTCCAACCCAGCGCTACAATGAAAACAAAGAAGCGACTTGCATGACCACGTCCAGGAAGAAATGCGAACGCCCACCCTAGCAATTGGCACAGATAATTTAAGCCTCAGCCTCTGTGGGCTTAGCCTCCTCGGGGGTCTCCTCGGCAGGAGCAGCGGCCTCGGTGGCGGTGGCAGCGGCAGGCGCCTCCTCCTCGGGCTTGTCTCCCTTGGTTTCTTCGCCCTCGTTACCATCCGATGAGGTCCAGAGAGTGAGGTTGTCACGCAGCAGCTGCATGATCAGGGTGCTGTCACGGTAGCTCTCCTCGGAAAGAGAGTCGAGCTCTGCAATAGCGTCGTCAAAGGCCTGCTTGGCGAGGTGGCATGCACGATCCGGCGAGTTGAGAATCTCGTAGTAGAAGACAGAGAAGTTCAGGGCGAGACCTAGGCGGATGGGGTGAGTGGGGGTGAGTTCGGTCTGGGCAACATCGGTGGCATTCTATCATGCAATTAACAAGTGCCCCAAGAGAAATATGCCTGCTAGGCAAGAGAATATAAATACCTTGTAAGCCTCGTGGGCGGCAGTGGCGGCACCCTTGCGCTTGGGGCCGGAAGCGAACTCAGCCAGGTAACGGTGGTAATCTCCCTTCCTGTAGACAGATTAGCCCGATGATCTCGAATTCAGAGATCGGCTGAGGTTGACCCACATCTTGTAGTAGAAGACCTTGGACTCGCCAGTCTCGGCCTTGGGGATGAGAGCATCATCGAGGACATCAAGGACATCTTGACAGACCTGCTCGAGCTCGGTCTCAATCTTCTGGCGGTAGTCACGGATGATACCGACGTGCTCGTCGGAGCCCTTGTTCTCCTCCTTCTGCTCAATGGAGGAGATGATGCGCCAGGAGGCACGGCGGGTACCGACCACGTTCTTGTAGGCAACGGAAAGGAGGTTACGCTCATCAACAGTAAGCTCGCCGCCGATCTAGGGATACGTTAATGCGTCAATTTCGGGCGATCCTGGAGGGGATTTCATGGGAAACCGTGTCATACGTTGGCGACTTCCTGTTGGGCGATTAGCATGGGTTCCCTGGCAGCAGACAAAATGAGGGGTTGCGACTTACCTTCATAAAGGTGACCATTTCTGAAAACAAGAAGAGAGACACGTCAGTGTATGCGCTCGGCACCATCATCATGAGCCAACTTACCATCGTAGCGCTCGGCCTGCTCGCAGAGCCTCGCGAGGAACGTCTTGCTGGTTGGGGGTCAGTCATGTCGGGCAACAGATCAGGATATGGCGATGGCGATCTTACTTCTCACGCTGCATGATAACACTGTTAGCCTTCTTATCGACAGAATTTCCAGATGGGGGAAGTTAAGGTAATGTGGGATCGCGATGGCGGTGACAACACAAGAGGGGCACGGATGGGGGGTGAACAGCATCTTACCTCAGAACCCATATTGAAAATCGAAGTGTGTTGGAAGTTGGAGAGTTAAATAAGAGATAGGGGAAACGCGAGATGCAGAAGGAGAAGATGAGTTAAGAGGATCAAGTGGGGGGGGGGAAAGATGGAGTCCAAAAGGTGAAGGGAGTTTGGGGGCATTTGAATCATAACAATAATACGCTCTAGGCTTGTACTGGGTACCTAGTGTGTCATAGTGTGACGCTAGTTAGTGGAGGTACCACAGTACTTGTGCTGCGGCCCTGTATTGATATTACTGCGGATCCCCCCTACCCAGTAATTAATTTGGCGGGGAGAGGTATACTTGACAGTACATGATACAATGCTGTCTGACGTGCCTTCATACTTCCTAGTGAGGTATCCAGGAATCTGAGGCTCAGCCATATTATTGACATAGATGAGAAGACAGTGGAATCCAATGTTTTCCCGGAAGCAGTCTTTCCCCTATTCCAGCGCTGGTACCAGATTTCGGTCCACGGGTACAGTCGAGGATCAGCTGAGAGCACATGACCGTAGTTCAAAGTAACTTTAAGATGGCAATAGCACTATTAATATCTGTAGACATAAGTTGTCCAATGATTTCGACAGTGCAACCAGTGCAAAAGAGATAAGGTCTGGGGATGATGCAAGTGCCTTTGGAACCTTCCAGACACTGTACTGTACCTGTATGATGTAGTTGATCAGCCGCACACCGACATCACATGTATCGGCAAACTTTACTATTTAGATGTTCAACTAAGCGAATTATATTACTGTAGTTTAAATTATCACACTGTCCTCAAGAAATTATTCACTCTCGTTGGTTATGTAAGGATCAGTCCAAGGTTTCCAGGTTTCCTGAATGAATAGGCCATCAACCAGTCCTGTACAGTATAACTAGGTCCTTCTGTAAGACAAATAGTTTTTGGCAGTGATTTTTGGTCCATGTCAAGGACAACCAACCATGCCCTTTCTGTCAAGCTTTGGCGTTCAAATCTCCAGACTAGTCAACTAGTCTGGGCTCAGTATGGATGAAGTCTAGCTTGGCCAACTAACCAGCATGGGCAATATGTCATGTTATCGCTAAATTAAGCATAATTTTGAGACAGGTCTGGGTTGACAAATAAAAATTTATCAGGATCTAGGCTGAGATCAATTCTGCTTATATAATTTCCTACTGTCTACCATTGGGCCAAAGATGACTTTATGCCTGCATCCCCAGAGAGCAAAAAGAGAAATCCACAAAGCAAGGAGATGACCATAGAGCAGGGATTGACTTAGATATCTACTGTACTCTACAGTACATGTGTCATATGTGCCATGTGTTTCAAATCATCCTCTCCCGGGAGGCGACGGTAAGATCATTGATCCTAATGATGCAACTGTGGGCTCTCTTAGCTTCAGCCTTATAGGTAAGGAGGCTTTTGTGCGTCTACGTAGTGTAGAAGGCGGTACCTCACTCTTGATGATCTCTACCTGTGTGGCACAGTAACAGCCCAATAGCAAGTGGACGGACTGGGATGGTTGGTTCCACCTCATCCAGTCCTAATCCGAAGACTGCCGCCATCTCGATCACACAGTCTCCGAAAAGGGGTACAGATACAGGTGTAGAGTTCTAAGCCTAGTCAGAAGACATAGCGTTCTTCTAGTCGACTGGTTGTAGAGTCGACTGGCTCGATTAGGAAGATCGAATACCCATTTCAGACCGCGGTGTCCCTTTCAGATCTTGCAAACACGAATCCGCCAAGGAGAGAGGTTACCCACAACTGCCATCCGATAGGCAAAGAACGAAGCAGCCTAGTGGCGCCCCATCAGTCATTCCAAGTTTGATCCGACAAGCTGGGGAATGCTATGTATGACGATGTCGAGGTTGGAGGCTCTTGGAGAGATCTGAACAACGAGATACTGATCAGGAATTCGGCTTCCACTCAAGAAGCCACCAGCAATGAGCATATCAACCCCGTCCCAGAACGAGAAAAGAGCAGCAAAGCGGAGAATAGCAGTTGACCCGCTCCTCAGCCCTGCAGCCCTGTGGCCCCTGGTGGCTTACTCAGCGCCTGGAAGCAATGAGAACACGTTGTGCCTCGTCCCCCACTGGAGGTTCCCCATTCGGCTTTCGATCTATTTCCTGGATCTCGCTCTTTTCTTCCTTCTTTTCTGCTTCAGGCTCCCTATGTCTCTAATCTAAATAGGTTTCCCTTTTCTTTTCTTTTTCCATTTGTTTACATCTTCCTGAACGTTTCTGCCCTTGAGGCTAAGCCATTATGGAGAATGCCTTTCTCCGCACTCCAGCGGAATCGCTGGAGCACTTCAAGGTGACTGAGCAGACTGGTCTGTCCCAGGATGCGGTCACGAAATCCAGAAGCCAATATGGGCCCAACGGTGAGTCTACATCCACACCGGCCCCAGAAGACGCATTGACCTGACGCTTTGTTTAGCTCTTGCGGAAGAGCCTCCAACGCCCATGTGGGAGCTGATTTTGGAGCAATTCAAGGATCAGCTCGTCCTTATCCTCCTTGGTTCGGCCGCCGTGTCGTTTGTGCTCGCGCTCTTTGAAGAGAACGAGGGTTGGACTGCATTTGTGGACCCTGCTGTTGTACGTGATTTGTTCCCCATAATCTGCCTTCATCAATCTTGCTGACCAATTGGCAATCTGTTTAGATCCTCACTATCCTTATCCTCAACGCCGTCGTCGGAGTCACCCAGGAAAGCAGTGCCGAGAAGGCCATCGCGGCTCTTCAGGAATACTCGGCCAACGAGGCCAAGGTTGTTCGTGATGGAAAGCCTCGCCGCGTCAAGGCTGAGGACTTGGTCCCCGGTGATGTGATTCAGATCGCCGTTGGTGATCGTGTTCCTGCAGATTGCCGACTGCTCGCTATTCACAGCAACAGCTTCCGTGTTGACCAGGCTATTCTGACTGGTGAAAGCGAAAGTGTCAGCAAGGAGACCAAGGCCATCAAGGACCAGCAGGCTGTCAAGCAGGACCAGATCAACATGCTTTTCTCTGGTACTACCGTGGTCAACGGCCACGCTACTGCCCTTGTTGTCTTGACCGGTGGCTCAACTGCTATTGGTGATATTCACGAGAGCATTACTGCCCAGATCTCCGAGCCAACCCCCCTGAAGCAGAAGCTGAACGACTTCGGTGACATGCTGGCCAAGGTTATTACCGTTATCTGTGTACTGGTTTGGGTTATCAACTATGAGAACTTCAATGATCCCTCTTTCGGTGGCTGGACCAAGGGTGCTATCTACTACTTGAAGATTGCTGTCTCCCTTGGTGTGGCAGCCATTCCCGAGGGTCTGGCTGTTGTCATTACTACTTGTTTGGCTCTTGGTACTCGCAAGATGGCCCAGAAGAATGCTGTTGTCCGCTCTCTTCCCTCCGTTGAAACCCTTGGTAGCTGCAGCGTTATCTGCTCCGACAAGACCGGAACTCTGACCACCAATCAGATGAGCGTGGAGAAGGTTGTCTACCTGTCCGCCTCTGGCAAAGGTTTCGATGAAATTGATGTCGAGGGAACCACTTTCACCCCCGAGGGCAAGCTCTCTCAGAACGGCAAGGTCGTCGAAAACGTGGCCGTCTCTTCTTCTACGGTTGAGCAATTGGCCGAGGTCACTGCCCTTTGTAACGCTGCTACTCTTGCCCATGACCCCAAGACCGGAGTCTTCTCCAGTATCGGTGAGCCCACCGAGGGAGCTCTTCGTGCTTTGGTCGAGAAGATTGGATCCACCGACGCTGCCCTGAACCAGAAGCTTTACCGCCTCCCTGCGTCTGAAAGATTGCATGCCGCTAGTGCTCACTACGAATCCCGTCTCCCTCTCAAGGCTACCTATGAGTTCTCTCGTGACCGAAAGAGCATGTCTGTCCTCGTTGGCGAAGGCAAAGAGCAAAAGCTGCTTGTCAAGGGTGCCCCCGAAACTATCTTTGAACGCTGCACTCACGTCCTTCGTGGCGCCGACGGAAACCGTGTCCCTATGACTAAGGAATATCTGAAGCTTCTCAGTGAAGAGGTCGTTGAGTACGGTAACCGCGGTCTCCGTGTCATGGCTATCGCAAATGTCAGCGGTGTCTCTGGTAACTCTCTTCTGAAGAACGCCTCCACTACCGAGGACTACGCCAAGCTGGAGCAAGATATGACTCTCGTTGGTCTGGTTGGAATGCTGGACCCCCCTCGTCCTGAAGTTGCCGACTCTATCAAGAAGTGCCACGCCGCCGGAATCCGTGTGATTGTCATCACTGGTGATAACCCCAACACCGCCGAGTCCATCTGTCGCGCCATTGGCGTGTTTGGTCCCAACGAGGATCTTACTGGCAAGAGCTACACTGGTCGCGAATTTGATAGCCTCAGCGAGGGCGAGAAGATGAAGGCTGTTGAGACTGCCTCGCTTTTCTCCCGCACTGAGCCTAGCCACAAGTCTAAGCTGGTTGATCTCCTCCAATCTATGAACCATGTCGTTGCCATGACCGGTGACGGTGTTAACGATGCTCCCGCTTTGAAGAAGTCTGACATTGGTGTCGCCATGGGTACTGGGACTGACGTCGCTAAGATGGCTGCTGATATGGTTCTCGCGGATGATAACTTCGCTACTATCACCGTTGCCGTCGAAGAAGGCCGTTCTATCTACAGCAACACCCAACAGTTCATTCGCTACCTGATCTCCTCCAACATCGGAGAGGTCGTGTCCATCTTCTTGACTGCTGCCCTTGGCATGCCCGAGGCTCTGGTCCCTGTCCAGCTCTTATGGGTTAACCTTGTCACCGACGGTCTCCCCGCCACTGCTCTGTCTTTCAACCCTCCCGACCACGACGTTATGAAGCGTCCTCCTCGCCGCCGTGACGAGGCTCTTGTCGGTGGCTGGTTGTTGTTCCGCTATATGGTCATCGGTATTTACGTCGGTGCTGCCACTGTCTTTGGTTACGTTTGGTGGTTCATCTATAACCCCGAGGGCCCTCATATCACTTTCTGGCAGTTGGTAAGTTTCTTATATCCCAGGCTCCTGTCCCACATTTCTAACAAACTTCTAGTCCCACTTCCACAAGTGCTCTGCTCAGTTCCCCGAGATTGGCTGTGACATGTTCACCAACGATATGGCCAAGTCTGCTTCCACTGTCTCTCTTTCCATTCTTGTGGTCATTGAGATGCTGAATGCCATGAACGCCTTGTCCTCCAGCGAGTCTCTCTTCACTTTCTTCCTGAACAACAACCCCATGCTGGTGTACGCCATCACTCTGTCCATGGCTCTACACTTTGCCATTCTCTACATTCCCTTCCTCCAGAACCTGTTCTCCATTCTTCCCCTGAACTGGACCGAATGGCAGGCAGTCTTGGTCATCAGTGCCCCTGTCATTTTCATTGACGAGGTCCTCAAGTATGCTGAGCGTTGCCTCTACAACACACATGTTACCGTCTCCCCGGTCGCCAACGGCGCCGCCGGTAAGCCCAAGCGGGCTTAAGAGAAAGATATGTAGGTATTGAATTACCATATTTTCTCCCGGGGGGTTCTTTGGCCGGTGCTAGAGGTGTGAATAGAGATAGATTGTGCCTGGCTGTTGGTTATGGTGTGGGTGGTTCAGTTTCCTTATGACATGCTATCATGCCCATAGAAAGACCCTGAAATGAAATATCGAACATGTACTCGAGTCATTTTTTACATAGGACCTATTTCTTTGAAATCGATGTAATCACTTCTCCGGACGATGAGCCTCCTCGAGGTATCACTGACGCTCAAATCACTGGACTCTCGAGTCGCCGTCCTGAAACTAACACCTTTATAATAAACCTTTCAAACAATTGAATCCAAGGTCAGCCAGTTATCTAAGTTACCTCGACATGGAGAGAAGTACACTGGAGCGCATTGCCATCTATCCTGCGCACAGGAGTGGTTGGAAAAGCGACAGGCTTTGACACGTATGATGTGGGTTGGAAGTAAAGATAGTCTCAATTCTGCAATGCTGGAAAGCAGATGCAGTCGAAACAAAGTAACCCTAGACACTTTGAATTGTCTACTCCATGTCCCCGCAGCTGACACCGAGAAGCCCTAATGGTGCACACCCAATCACACTATCAACCATGGCTTCCCCCAATGCCGAAAATCTCACTGAAAATTGTCCCTGCAATAGCATCTATTTGACACCTGCCGTACAGTGGGTTCCAGCTGTCCGAAAATGATATTGGGGCCATCGTCATGGCAGGGTCATTGCCGATCAATGGGCTATGGGCTTTGGAGTCTGAGTGATATTGTAGTCTTCATCCAGTGTAGATCATACCAGGAGTATATTCAATAGGGCGACTCAAGCTAGAAAGGAAATTATTTAGGACCTATTCAAGTGGCCGTAAGGCCATTTTTGTGCTCTGAAGGCTTTTTGTAATGATTTCAAGAGCCTCAATCTGTAGTAAGATCTGCGCCACCTCGGGCTGTTCGAAGCATTACTTCTCTATCGCTTTCGCTTCCGCCTACTATCGAGCTAGGCATGTTTCGTGCGAGTCAAGACTAACGACGTATCTTTGGCACACGCTCCCGGAAGTTAGTTAGCAAAAGGGCTTTGTGGCGGGTGATCGCCGCTTATAACAATATCGGAGATTCATATAAAAAGCAAGACGAATTGATAGGGTAGGAATAAAAGCCGGGAAATCACCCATGCTATACTCTCCCAGTGAGATTCAAGAATGAAGCGGGGGTTAGGCAGCGAACGTCACGAGAAGCGCTTAGAGTGCTGTTCATGGTGCCCGTGGCCCCCACTGCATTCTTTCTTTACGCCTTTTCTATACACTCAAGATCTCTCCAATCTTTGTCTCTCTTAAACCATCATTTGGATATATCTGGCTCAGCAACGAGTCATTTATCTGGTTCGGATCTACTAGGAGAAGAATCAGGATAAACATGTCAGACCCCGCAAACTACGCCGTGGGCTGGATATGCGCCATAGGCGTCGAGTATGTGGCTGCGCAAGAGTGCCTCGATGAGGAGCATGAAAGTCCAAGGTCTCTGGCTTCGAATGATACAAATGACTATACACTGGGAAGAATTGGAGATCATAACGTGGTGGTCGCCGTCTTGCCAGACGGGGAGTATGGAACCGTTTCTGCTGCGAGCGTGGCAAAAGACATGCTGCACAGCTTTCCCAACATCAAAATCGGTCTCATGGTAGGCATTGGCGGCGGTGCACCAAGTGCAAAGCATGATATTCGCTTGGGCGATGTTGTGGTTAGTGCCCCTCGCGAGGGCGAAAATGGTGTGTTCCAGTATGATTTTGGCAAGTCGATACAGGGCCAGAGCTTTCAACACACGCGGTTCTTGAATCAGCCACCAACGTCACTACGCACAGCAGTAGCGGGTATACAGGCGCAATATAAAAGGAAAGGTCATCAGCTCAAGGAGGCTGTCCACGGGATTCTCAACAAGAATCCTAGGCTCCGGCGCGAGTACGAACAACCAAGCACGGATAGGTTGTTCAAAGCCGACTACCTACATGATCCAAGAGGCTGTGCATATTGTGCAGAAGATTCGTCAAACTTGGTACCACGACCTGAGCGGAGTGAATATACGGATGATCCTACCATCCACTACGGTCTGATTGCTTCTGCGGATCAGCTGATGAAGGATGCTTTGATTCGAGACAGGCTTGCCGCGGAAAGGGACGTTCTATGTTTCGAAATGGAGGCTGCGGGTCTCATGAATCAATTTCCCTGCCTGGTGATCCGCGGGATCTGTTACTACTCAGACTCGCATAAGAGCAAAGAGTGGCAAGGATATGCATCAATGATTGCAGCTGTATATGCCAAAGACCTATTGCTGAGAATCCCTTCAAGTAGGGTGAAGGATGAGAAGCGACTTGGTGATTCAGTATCTGGTTAGTTCAATGTTACTTTGAAATAGCTCCCTTCATATATGTTAACATTATCAGAACCACAAAACGTTGCCGAGGAGCATAGGAATATTGCACAGAAGCAGCTTGAAATCCAGGAAAATGCAGTCAAGCAAAGACTCACAGACGAGGAAATGGAATGTCTTCAGTTATTTCGTCTTGTCACAGATACAAATGATGTCACATATGAATGGTACAAGGATCGTGTTGAAGCCCGATTGGAGGGCACCTGTGAGTGGTTTCTAAACCATCAGAATTTCCGAAGGTGGTTGGAACAAGATTCTGGGCCTTTGCTTGTCTCAGCCGACCCAGGCTGTGGGAAGTCTGTCCTGGCGAAACACCTTATCGAGGACAAGCTACCACGATCTGCCACGATCTGTTATTTCTTCTTCAAAGACCAGGACCAGAACAAAGTCAGCCAAGCGCTTTGCGCTCTACTCCATCAACTGTTTTCTCAGATTCCATTCCTCATAAGACACGCAATAGAGGATTTCAGAAAGAACGGGCGCCACCTCATCAAAGCGACTAAGTCCCTCTGGGGTATCCTGGGAAGAGCCGTGAAAGACCCCAATGCTGGACCTATCATCATCGTTCTAGATGCCCTAGATGAATGTGCTGAATCGGAATTCAATAACTTGATATCAGGCATTGAGGCTCAATCACGCACTGATCATTCAAGCCAGAGCAAGCTGAAGTTTCTCTTAACAAGCCGCCCATATGATCGAATTATCTCCAGTTTTGGGAGCTTACTGGAATCGTTCCCGTATATTCGTATACCAGGCGAGGAGAAGTCAGAAAGTATCAGTCAAGAGGTCACTCATGTCATCCGATATCGCGTCGAACAACTAGCTCGACAAACAAGTCTTTCAGATCGGGTCAAAAATCACCTTGCAACAAGACTGCTCAAAGTTCCACACCGTACCTATCTTTGGGTATACCTTGTGTTTGACTTCTTAGCAACCGAAACTTTCAAGAAAACACCTTCTGGAGTTGATCCAACTTTTGCATCCCTGCCAACAACAATGTACAAGGCCTATGAGCAGATTCTGAAGAAGTCGAAGAAAGACCCAACTGTTTGGAAGGCCTTGAGCATCATCTTGGCAGCAAGCCGACCCTTATCACTCTCTGAAATGAATGTTGCATTGAATGTTGACGGCAAATCAAAGTCAATTCACGACCTTGATCTTGAGGAAGAAGAGGACTTCAGCTCACGTCTCAGGTCTTGGTGTGGATTGCTTGTTTCAATCCACCACAACAAGATTTATCTGCTTCACCAGACTGCGCGGGAGTTTTTACTTGCGCATGAAGTATCACCTACCACTGTTCCTTCAGAGTCAGCCTGGCAGCATTCTATCACCAGCCAGAGCGCGCACAATGTCCTTGCCGAGGTCTGTGTCATGTATCTTGACTTCATCAATAATGAAACTCTTGCTGCGGATGTTGGAGAAACTCGCCAGAGTCTCTCCATGTACACTTTATTGAACTATTCAGCATTAATTGGGACGATCATCATCGCAATGCTCGCATTAGTATTGGTGCTGATCTTGTACCCTATACATTGAGCATCTGCAGTCTACACTCAAGGAGTCGGTCAATATGGCTTGAAATTCACCAGCGCCAATTTCTTTCTGGGGTTCCTCACAATACATGTAGTCTCACTCTGATGTCTTATCTTGGACATGAGGCAACAGTCAAATTGCTGCTTGAAAAAGGCGCTGACCTTGAGTCAAGAGACAACGATGGCGTAACCCCGCTATCATGGGCTGCAGAAAATGGGGAGGAGGCAATGGTCCAACTGTTGCTTGAAAAAGCTGCCGAGCCGAATTGGAGTCAAAGTGACGAAGATGACCTACTTCGCTATCACGGACGATAGATCATTAGTTCATCAGGTCAAAGCATGATTCAATCACCTGATGAGTCAAGACCAGTCGTTACTAGTCGTTGGTAGTTGTTACCGGGAGTCAACTTAGAGGATGAGGTTAAATCGTTGAGGTCACATGGAGATAGGACTTTTGGGTCTAACTGCTTTGAGGAACAATAAGATGCTTTACGATAACTTATAAGTTGTTCTATGTGTTTCTAGTTGTGGTGAGGGTGAACAGCAGAAATCTATTTTGCTATACTATCATGTCTAGAGAAAGGGAAAGAAAAAAGAAGAACCCGCAAATGAAGGCTGAAACTTATCCATAATCCCGCCTATCTTGGGCATACATGTATGCGTTAGATAGAGCGCACGCCTCGTCTTCTGCCCGCCTAATCAGCTACACAAATAGAAAATGCATATTGGCCCTAGATATAATTGAGTAAAAGCCACAGATCCACAGGGGCAATTGAACGCTCGGATTTTGTCCTTTTTGGCTTAATTCTCTCGTCTCCGGGACGTGGAAGCTCATGTTCACGCGCCGTAAAGTAGTGGTTTGAGACACTTTCAGGACTTGATGTATGACGGGAGTTAGAAAACATGACGGACTCGTTGAACGTCTATCCAGGAAACATTTGATAAAAGAAGCCTATTTTAGAATTTGTTTATAGTTTGAAGGCGTTTTTGGCTCCCACACGCTTATGGCTCCATGGTTAAATAAAGTTGTTAGCACAAATAGCCACAAGGAGCATTAAGCATCATGTATTGTAAATCTCAATAGCAGGTGCTTACTCCGAAGCGATTTGCCATGCCCTAGGACGCTGTAGACCTCATATTCTCCGCGCAAAAACAAAAATCGCGAAGTGACAGTATAAAAGCACGCGGGACACAATAGCCCGAAAAGCCACCGGAATGATGTCCCGCATTCAGGCTGAAAATGCAACTCTGACGCCAGTGCCCGTGCTAGACCGTGTTTTGAGGGGATATTCCAAACTAAGGTTGATCAGAATATCGAGGGCAGGTTTGTGACTGGTCCAAAGGCACGTTTACCCCAGGGATCACCGCTTGGCTTACCCCGGACTGGGGAAGGGAAGTTGCGGAGAAAAAGAGTGTTACATTTCCATTTACACTTAAATACTTGACCCTTGTTTTGTTGGTCTGTCGGTTTTGTTTTTTTTTTTTCTCTTTTCTTTATTTTCCTGTTGTTTCTTCGATCTGATTTCTTCACGATGGGCTTCAAGGAGTTCATGAAGAGCCGTTCGGGCTTGCGTGTTGACAACAAAAAGACCACCTCGGCTGCGACTTTGACTCTACGTCAGAGTTTGTGGCCGCTGACACTAGTGACGATTCTGTTCTTTTTGTGGGTATGTGACTATGGGACTATGGGATGGACGGGCGAACTATAGCTTACTAACGTGCCAGGGATTCGCGTATGGATTGCTGGATACCTTAAACAAACACTTCCAAAATACCCTCCACATTGACCGAGGACGCTCTGCTGGACTTCAAGCTGCCTATTTCGGGTATGTCCTCAAACATGCTTCCATAGCTTCTCTCTCCGCCGAATACCGGACTAATAAGCTCAGCGCATATCCCCTGGCCTCGCTCGGCTACGCGAACTGGATCCTCCGCCACTATGGCTACAAAACAGTCTTCATCTTCGGTCTGGTCCTCTACGGCATCGGAGCTCTATGCATGTGGCCGGCGGGTCTGCATCAATCCTTCGGTGGCTTCTGCGGTGCAACATTTGTGATTGGATCGGGACTGGGCTCGTTGGAGACTGCTGCTAATCCTTATCTAACGGGTAAGAGAGCAATACCATGAACACAAGACTGTATGTCTGGAAGAAAGGGCTCGCGCTGACCATTGTCTTCTCTTGCGCTGTCTAGTCTGCGGTCCCCCTCGCTACTCGGAGATTCGAATCAACTTCGCCCAGGCTTTCAATGCAATTGGCACTGTTGTTGGCCCGGTATTGGGCTCTTATGCTTTCTTCACTGAAACTTCGGATGATGTTGCTGCTCTGCAGCGTGTGCAGTGGGTTTACCTCGCCATTGGCATTTTCGTCTTCTGTCTGGCTGCTGTCTTTTTCTTTTCGAATATCCCTGAAGTGACCGATGAGGATATGGCCTTCCAGGTTGCGCAGACTCATGTTGATGAGCAGGATGAGCCGTTCTGGAAGCATTATAAGTTGTTCCATGCGACACTTTCGCAGTTCACTTATACGGGAGCACAGGGTGTGTATTTTCCAATCTATCCATCATCTACCCGCTCTATTTTCACATGCTGACTGATATCTCAGTCGCAATCGCTGGCTACTTCATCAACTATGCTACTGAGACCTGGCCTGGTACGTCCAATGCCACTGCAGCCAAGTATCTCGCCGGAGCGCAAGGCGCTTTTGCTGTGGGTCGATTCCTCGGCTCGGGGATCATGAAGTATGTCAAGGCTCGTTGGGTTTTCCTCGTTTATCTGTCATGCACGGTAGCCTTCCTTGCTGCATCTGTGACGCAGACAAAGCAAGCCGGTATTGGTAAGTGCTTTCCACAATGAAAGTCACCGAGTGACAGGATTTTGATACTGATGTTGAAAAACAGCCATGCTCTTCCTGACACTATTCTTCGAGTCTGTCTGTTTCCCTACGATCATGGCTCTGGGTATTCGCGGCTTGGGACGTCATTACAAACGTGGCTCTGGTTTCCTCGTCGGTGGTGTTTGTGGTGGTGCTGTCGTGCCTCCGATTCTGGGTCATGTTGCTGATATGCGTAATGATACGGGGTTTGCGTTCATCGTTCCTACCATGGTATGTCTCTCTTCCTCTATTAATACAAGGTAGCTCCCCTGCTAACAGGAATTGCAGTTCATGGTTGTCGCATGGACCTACGCAATCGCCGTCAACTTTGTCCCTGCATATGTTAGCACGGTGGACAAGGTTGGTGAGAGCACGGTTGGACTTGAGGGTCCGGATAATAAAGATGAAGAGGCTGTGATGGGTACTCATCAAGAGTCTACGGCTTTCGATGAGAAGCACCAGGCTGTTCACGTGGAGCGGTAGTTGTGAGCTGATAATCCCTTGAGGTGTTTTCCAGTGGCGTAGGTAGATGTTTGGGGCTTGCTTTGCTTTATTTACTTGCTTTCCTTGCTTTCCTTGCTTTCCTTACTTTACTTGACTTTGCCTGCTTGGGATTTCTACTGATAGAAAGATAATCAATGATCTTACGAGGCACAAGATAATGGTTCAATATGTCCGTAAAAGGATTTCTTTCTGTGGTCCAGATTGAGCCATCAACAGGTCCAAAAACACTAGATCTCAAGTATGTTTTGAGTAGTATTCGAAGACTGATAGCGTGTGAAGGTCAAATATTATTCAATATGCAATACCATTATGCAAGTATCTGGCGATGATATCAGTGATCAAACGATCACACTAAACAATAGTCTATGGATAAAAAGCAGTGATGTATAATCAAAAGGGTAGGGTAACAAGGGAATGTCGAGTCGTGAGGATTATAAGGAATCTCAAGGGAGCAGAGGACAAGTGCTTCGTGAGATGGGGGGACAACAAGGAAAAGAAGACAAGGGAGGGCAGGATACTCATTGGATACGATCCAATGAAGTGTCGATGGTCAAATGAAGGAAATGAAAAGCAGGGAACGCTGTGTAAGTAGGGGGTATAAAAGATCTATCGTCTAACCGAACATAGAAAGGAGATATCGTGTGAACGCAAGAAAGCTCGCATCTAATGCAAAGCAAAGCAACTGATATGGAGAGCAGTCGATCCGGGAACCCATCATTCGGCTGTCCCAATCTTGTCCTCTGGGATGTCACTCGGTGAGAGCAGAGAAGAAGAGCGAGGAGGCCGAAGTGGGCTGTTTTCAAGACCCGGCGTAGGGGCAATGGGCGTTTTTTCACCCGAGAAAGATCCAGCCTCTTGGTCGATCGAGACTCTCGGGGTGGTGTTTTCAAGATGGTCGTAGGGATTGGTCATATCGCCTGGTGTGCCAGGATCAGTGACAAATCCATCACCCTCTCCTTCTTCGTCTTCTTCGATTCCGCCCATGTCTTCCTCTTCTTCAATGATTTGGCTTTTGCGTGCCACAGGTCGACCTGCTGGGATACTAGACTCGCTGGTGTTGACGTGAACAGGTGAACCAGCCATCCCACCGCTGCCCATCAAATTACTTGTGTGGATCATAGGACCCTTGAATGCAGATCTCTTGCGTCGCGCAAAAACCAAGCTTGATGATGGCGAGTACAACAATGGTGATGGAGCCACCTCATTGAACGCGGAGGGCATGCCGTGATCGGCCAGTTCTCGGGGTGCTCCACCTGGTCCTCTAACCAAACGAATGTTGCTTGGGAAACGAGCAGATGCACCTGGTGTGGTAGGCAAGACCTTGATAGATGAGTGGGGTGATTTTGAGGCTCTCGCAGTTGGTGTTGATATGGTGTCCACGCTATTAGAAGAAATCGAAGATGCTTTGGAGTGGGCGCGAGTGTGGTGAATGCTGCGAATTGAAGAGACCGAGGACGACGTGGATTTGCGTCCTCGTAGCCCGGCTGATGAACGTCGATAGGAGCCACGTGGGGTGATGGGCGAGGGCGAAAGAGAATTGCGATGGCCGGAGTGACCTGTGTTCAATGAACGCGGCTGGCGAGGGTAGGAGTGTCGATTTTGGCGATATGAAGCACTGCTGGGAGCGAGACTGCTGGCAGCGGAGATTCGTTTGGCCTGAGTTGGTGTCACTACGTCCTCCCCTGGCATTTCACTTGTCGGAGACGACAAAGTCGACGGCTTTTTTCCTGTGTCCTGACTCTTGGCCGGACTCGACTTTTCAGAAAACATTTTGCGAGAAGTGCTTGACTTAGAATGCGGAGAGCGTGCTCGTTTTGCTGATTCCACGAACCAGTGCTTGAGGGAGGCCAGCTGGCTGAGTATCGGATATTGATGGCGGCGACTGGTACGACGTCGGAAGATACCGTGGTGCTGTGTCAACTCGGGTTGCGATGCACTCACATGCAGCATGCTAGGCCTCGATCGACGTCGGTCTTTGGGCGGGGGAATTGGGCGGCGTCGTGACGAGTCGTTGGATCGAATGGAATCTTTATCGATGGGCAACGGTGGTGTAGTCGCCTCGGATGGAAACACCGGCAGCGGTTCAGGAAGCGCAGGAAGTTCCGGAACTGCCAGTTGCGATGGTAAGCTTCGTCTATCCCGTCTTCCACGTTCATGCAATCCCAAGTTTGCCTGACCTTCCTCTTCGACCTCCATCAAAGCCGATGACCGCTTCTCCAGACGACTGCTAGCAGCGCTAAGACGGCGCATATTCTTAGCCTCAACCTCCCGCTCTCGACGCTTGCGCTCCCTCTTCTGTTCCTTTCGTTGCTCTTTTTCGATCAGCAACGCCCACCATCCAGCCAGAGGATCACATCGCTGAGCCAGAACATTCTCAATCACTTCGTCGATGTTGACACCTGCACTCTTCATCCGTTGCAGGGTAGTTTTCTCTAGCGGTGTGGTGAACGGCGAAGGCCTTGGAATCTTCAGTATGGCAAGCTGCTCAGGGGCATGTTCAGCGAGAAAAGGATGCGCCAGAATCTCATCTAGACTTGGCCGGATCAATGGTCGTTTCGATAGCAATAGGTTGATCAATGCCTTGGCATCATCTGGAAACTTGTCATTGTAAGTGGGCTCAACAGCCAGAATCCGCCGTTTTGTGACCTGGTCGTCGTCATCATCATATGGCAGCTCGCCAGCAAGCAACGCATAGAGGATGATTCCCAAACTCCAGACATCCACCTTCTCTCCGGCATATTTCTCTCCCTTCAGCATTTCGGGTGCACTGTAGCATATCGTCCCACAGAAGGTCTGCAAATAGCTTGCCTTTCCTTCGTATTCGCGCGTGAATCCAAAATCGCATAGCTTCACATTTTCTTGCTTGTCCAAAAGGATGTTCTCCAACTTGAGATCTCGATGAACACAGGACTTGCTGTGGACATACGCAACTGCTCCAACCAACTGTGTAAAGATCCGCTTTACTTTCTCTACCGGTAAGGGGCCGTGGCGAAGGAGGTAGTTGTAGAGTTCGTCACCTAGACAGTCCGTAGTCAGTATAGCTTTCCTTCTCTCGGCGTCCGTTCTATCGAGCACGCGACCTACCAGGACAATATTCCAAAACTAGCCAGACCAGGCTCTCGGTCACCACCACTTCGTAAAGACGCGCAATATGGGGATGGAGGAATTGGCGATGGTGATGGATCTCTCGCACGAGGTTTGTGTCCTCCTTGCTGGAGGACTTCAACACAACCTATCGACTGATCAGCACTGTCCAGCGATCTCATTCTTCCAAGTCGTACCTTTGAGCCATTGGTGAGCTTGTGTGACGCGAGATAGACCTTGCCAAAGGACCCCTTTCCAATGAGCCTCCCTAGCGTATAATTGCCCACACTCCGGAGATCTTTGGACGAGAACTCCCTGTAGACGCATCGTGTTAGCGCAAGCTCTGAGACTTGGACCGAGGGTGCCGCTTACTCGAGAAGTTCATTGTAGGAGCTCGCAAGCTGTAGTCGAGATCCTCAGTTAGCCACACGATCATTGACTCCGCGCTCCGCTCCACACCTTGCGGAGCTCCTGCAGGCTCACCTTTTCCTTTTGTTTCTGGCTTTGAACCCCCGCTCTCGTTCGGGGCGGCATGTGTGGTTGCCTGTCAATCGCGGAAGTTTCTGCGTAAGAATAGTGACCGGGGTGGGAGTGGCAGGGCCGGGTGCCATTCAAACACGGGAGTGGGTAAGGGGGTGAGAGGCTGGAAGAGTTAAGGATTCAATACAAAGTTTCCAAGACGTCAACGGGAACGTGGACTGTGTGGGGGGGACTCGAACGTCTCCTTTTTTTAGTTGTGCAATTGTAGTGCAATCCATTAAGTTAGTGTCTGTTCGCATTATATTCCCCCCCTATCTTCAACGCCCGTCTTGACTATGAGGATATTTTTTTGACTACAATTTTTGGGACTAAAATCCAGTAAATTCAACTAAAATCAGGGAAGATCATCCTACATAACCTCTTTCTCTCATCACAGTCAGTTCACAGATCCCTTACTTGTGTAGCTGTACATGTACACTGACGCCCAATTAATTTGGGCGGCTGCACCTATTGGCCCATATGCGCTGACATGGCCCAGCTAATGAATGGCTGAAACCAACGTCATAAGGTATTATATTATATCCTTCTATTGCCACCAAGGCAGCGATTCAAGATGTTGCACGGCACGTTTACTGGTGCCCATCGTGGGATCGACGGGGTTGAGGCCTGCTTCGCCCTGGAAGGCCAGGGAAACCATGCCAAAGTATGAGTGAAGCAAATCTGTGTGGTCAGCGAGGTCTTCGTTTAGGTCGACGGGTCTTACCTGGAGGATCTCCGGGCGCTTTTCCAAATCCACCAACGAGATGTTGGGTCTTTTCCAGCAAGTATCGACGGTTGCGAGCCTCGTCAATCACAGAGTAATGGTCCAGCATCTGATGCGGTGTCAGTAAAGGTCAAATAGCGGGAGATCACAAGAGAACATACCACCAGTGTCGCTCCATTCCAGAATGAATAACAGGTGTCGGCAACTTTATTGCATCGCCCGTTGAACCCGGCGCATGATATTGTCTCTGCTTCCAGTGATTCGACATTGGGCAGCCCTTGGATTCTTTCAGTGAGAGATCCTGCTTCAGATGCATTGGGCACTTCGGTGTCACTGTCGTCTTCATTGCCATCGTCTTCAATTCGAGCCGTCTGCCTTGAGGCCAACCATGTAATCAAAGACTCAAATTTCTCTGACCCGGCTGATAGTAGCGGTACTGATCTCAGATCAGGAGATGTGCGACGAACAAAGTCCAACGAACCAATTGCACAATATGTATGTCCGCCTGCGTTTTCAATTAGCAAATCAAGCCGTAGTAGAGAGGGAAACACGAACTATGCGACTCGCAGAAAGGAGATTCGGCCATGCCACCGTCGTAGGTCTAGTCAATTCGCATTAGCGTATCTATCAAATCAGTGTAGAAATGCGTTCAATTACCTGACACGCCTCAATAAAAGAGATCAACCGGGGTACATCAATATCCGGCACGCCCTGAAGCCCAGCCTCATTTCGTCCGCGCAGGATGTACCGCACACCGGTTGCACAGCAGCAATATCTCAAATCGCGAGCTCCTTCTACATCCCCACCGGGACCGACGAGTTCCCCAAAGCTTCCATCAGCGCGCTGCACCTTGGGAAGCCATTCGAGGCACTCCCGCCGCTTGACACGCGACAGGTCATCGCCGAGGATGAGCAAGTTGACCAGCGCAAAGAACGTCGCAGGAACGTTTGCCGGGTCCCAGGCTTCATTGTTTTTGTTTCGCTTCTCTGGTCCGAAGTCAGTGCCTGGGAATCCACGGAACCCGCCTGTTGGCACTTGGCAGTGGTAGAGCCAGTCGATGTACCCTTGTCGTTCTTCCGGTGTGGTTTTGGTGTACAGCACGCCGAGCACATCCAGCCCTGAGAGGGTCAGGTAGCCCAGCAGCATGCGATTGGAGTCATTGGAGGTGTAAGCGGACGGCAGGAAGGTCTTTAGGCATCGGAGGTAGTATTTGACATGGCGCTCCGTGTTGAAGAGTGGATCAGCCATTGTCGAGGATTATAGCTCTAGCTCTTCTGTATCAAGGCTGCTTCTATCTCTGGTCAGTGAGGCATCAGTCGTAAATCAGATCAAATCGTTAAGCTGTGGTGGTGGGGGGAAGTGATGCTTTTTCCCCACATGCCTTGGGAACAAACACGCGGTCCAACTCCAGTCTCCGACACCTATCTGTCCTTTCCCAACTCCTTCTACCATTGCACACCCAACATGGTATTTGTCTCGTCTAAAACTCTCATCCAGGTGCATGGCATCCTCCTGGTTGTGGTTGCCGGCTACCTGGTCAAAAATCCAGAGCTGATCACCGACTCCGACTTTGTGTTTATGATGGGAGAAGCCTTGAAAATTGTATGCACCAATCTCCAACCTCGCCAGCTCTAAGCTTGACTGGAAATCAATTGAACTGTATCACAGTGCTAACATCTCTATCCCAGGGCTTCCCATCCCTGTCAAGCCCCCAACAGTCCCCCTTCACCTTCTGCGCCGTGCTCCTCTTCGTCGAAGCTCTCATCGACCTCGTCCTGTTATCGAACCTCCCATTCCACGAAGCGCTCGACGAAGCTCTGCCATATATCCGTCCTCTGCGCAATGGTAACCTCCCGGCTGAGGACCTACAGGTTCTCCAGAACCTGCCCGAGTATATCACGAAGTCCTTGACTGTCTACTGGAGTGTCTGGATTGGCGTTGCTGCATGCCGGTTTTTCGTGTACGCAGGTCTTGCGCTGTTCATTTATACCGGCCGAGGTGAACTCCTGGCCTCCTCCTACACCTCCGCTGCGGCTATGGCTGGCCTGGACCGTCTGAAGAACCGTGTGGTCTTCACCTTTGCGTTTTTGGAGATGATGTTCTGGTTCTGGGTGAGTACCATTGATGATCTGGTATATTCTATGCGGTTACTGATGCGTGATACAGATTTTCACTACTCTCCGCGAGGAGCGCCAGGAACGTCTGACCAAGCTGCTGGAGGATACTCGCGACCTCTGAGCCCCCATTGATTATCGATATCCTTTTCTACCGGTGTATTAACTAATTATCAAAATCAAACATGTCTTCCCGTTCAAGCGCCACAGATATTGCGTAATTTTGTTAATTATGGCAGTATTGTGAATTAAGAGATACAGGTTCCTCATGTCATGTCATGAGACACAGTCATTGCAATTCCATTCCATCATCAAATATCTGCATACCGCTAAGCATAAAGCGCCTTCGTTCAACATGACCACTCATCGCTCTCTTAGATAAGGATGGCGAAAGCGGCAGCGGCACCAGCAGCAGCCACGAGAGAAGAATCCTTGCGAGCAGCCATGGCAGCGCCGGTGCTAGTAGCGGCTGCAGAAGCAGAGGATGCGGACGAGGTCTTGGAGCTAGTGCTGGAAGCGTTGGTGGCAGAGACATCGGAGGCTGATGAGGTGGTCGAGCCGGTTGAGGTCGAAGTCGAGCTTGAGGTCGAGGCCGATGCGTTGGTGCCAGTCTTGGTTCCGGTGGATGTCGAGCTGGAGCTGGAGCTGGAGCTGCTGCTGGAACAGGTCACCTCATCGGGGAGGTTGGTCACACCGCCACGAGCGCAGATGGACTTGGCGACCTTGAGAGTGGCTGTTGTGTGCAAATCACGTTAGCTGTGTCTTTTTTATTGAGTCTGCTGCTGGGATGGGCGTCACCTACTCTCCTGGTCTGCCTTGGAGCACTTTTGGGCTACGCAGCAGGTCACATCATTCAGGAAGGACTTGGCCTCACAGATACACTTGAAGTCAATGCCACAGCTTTGGGGAATGGCACCAGTGGCACACTCTTTCTGTCGAGGGGAAACACGTTAGCAGACCGCTCATTACCTCGATCATTGGTACATACCGAGCAATCAGGCAGGTCGCCCAGACCTTGAGCCGCAGCAGTGGTCAGCAAAGCTGCCAGGGCAATGATGTTGAACTTCATGGTTGAATGGGAGATGTCAAGGTGAAGTCAAGCTGCCCCTCCCCCGGCTTTAAACCCAAGCTTGGGGGGTGAGTTTTGACCCCAAGTCAGGGGCTGTTGTATACTTTACTGTACTGTAGATCCAATGGATACATCTAGAGCAGGACTAAAATGCCACCCCCAAATGCTGAAAAGCCACCTCCCCCCGTAGTTCAATCTGGCTAGTAAACTATCGGCATTTTAGCGCTTTGGGGTATTGCATTTTAAATCAAGCTGTACCTCTAATATGGCATCAAATTCTTGGGATTCTAATGAATTGAATTTGGGGTTGGCATTTTAGTCCTGCTCTACATCTCCCTGTAATTCGGAGTAGTTGGATTGTGTGGAGGTATGCGATGTTTAGTTGTGTGCCTTTTATGGGTAATCTTCGTGGCATTAGTGTGCAGACCACAAGCTTCTCTTTGCCATCCACTTAAAGTCGCCCTTCTATTATCCCCACGTCCACCCCGGACCCTGTTTACCTCAATACCTAGTCATACATGCAAGCCACTCAGCGCTACTGTAGGGTCTACTCCACCATGGACCGCAGTGATCGTTTTGAACCCTTCTCACCGTACAAACTTGGGTTACTGGTGCACTGCATACTGTACTCAAGTGAGTCTTTGTTCTTCATGTAAGGTCCTTTTTCCCGTTCTACTGTACGGTATATCGACCGAGAGCCAGCAAATCTGGAAGCCGAATGTGATGCCTCGGCTCCTCCCTGCAGATCTCAGCTGAATCCCCAGTTTCCATTAGTGGCTTTTCCCCAAAACTGGGGAATTTCAGGAAACAGGCTATTGCCCGTGGTGATGGGTTCGGATACAGTGCCCAGTATCTTTGTTTTCTACACGGTATGATTGAAGGAATATGATTTTCGTACTATTTAGGTTTACTTTTTTGACTTCTCTTGTTCCCTTTTGGCCCAGCTTGTACGTTGAACATGGGTTCCAACCGTAGAATACGCAGGGAAGTACTGTAGATCGCTCGGGCTAAACCCTCAATCACATTCAGCCGAGCCACCAATGCCAACTGGGAACTGGGAACTGGAAATGGGGAACACAGTCGGAGGATGCAAGCATGCACTTGCCCCTATTGGTCCCGTTGAAGCTTGCAGTTCCCCTCGGAACGCCAACAACTTCCCCCTCTTGGTCTACTTAACTGGTCTCTCTGGCTTTTCTCCGCTAGCGTAGAGTCGCTCATTTGCGAGAATGGGTCTTGGAGTACTGGATACCAAACAGGCCCATGTTCCAGGTTTGATCTCTATAGCCTTTCCATGGCTAAGATGTGAAGCTGACTCGTAATAGGCACCTCCGATATCTATGAACAGAACAATAACGCAAACGACCAGGCACTAGGCACCTCAGGCCTCAAATGCGACTGGTCAGGCAAGCAGCCAGTGATACTCGTCCCACAGCCAAGTGATGACCCCAATGATCCATTGGTAGGCACCAAGCGCATCGGCACAACGTGATCTTCTAGCGAAGATAAGCTAATAGCAGAGCAGAACTGGCCGCTATGGCGACGCGACCTGATCCTCTCCATCCTATCCTTCGTGACCGTCCTCTGCACAACACTGAGTTCCATTCTAGCGGCAAATACAGTGACAATTGCCGATTACGAGAATATCACTTTTACAGCTGCTGCTCTGTTGACCGGATATCACTTGTGTGGCGTGGGTGTGGCGGGCATCTTGATCGTTCCCACGGCGCGAGTCTGGGGTAAACGCCATCTGTTTTTAATTGGACATGTCTTGATGATTGTCAGTTGCGTGTGGGCTGGTGCGAGTGGCACGAATTCTACCAGTCTTTTGTGGTCACGGATTTTCCAGGGTGTTGCATTGGCGCCTTTCGAGGCATTGGTGAATGCCTGCGTGGGAGATCTATATTTTGTTCATGTAAGTCGCTCAATGAATATGTGGTCCAGGAAGAGGCTGATTTTTAATTCAGGAACGAGGCAAGCGCATGGCTGTATCCAATGTCGCACTCTTCGGGGCTGCCTTTTTGACTCCTGTTGTGGTGGGCAAGATCACCAAGACCATGGGGTGGCAATGGTCTTTCTATTTTGTCGCCATTTTCCTTGGAGCTTCATTTCCATTGATGTTCTTTTTTGTACCAGAGACTGCCTTCCGACGTCCCGATCATCTGAATACAGACTTTAAGCATCAGGATGGTCACGGCGAGTCTACCTCAATCAGCGGAGCATCAAATGACGAGACCAAGGAGCTCAGACCGGACGACAGGAACGCACTCGGGACTTCGAGGCCAGATGTTCCTGCCCCAGTCCCCCAAAAAGCCTCATTTGCCGAATCCCTTCGAATGTTCAACGGCCGAAAGACAGACGAGAGCTTTTACAAATTGCTACTTCGTCCGTTCCCGTTGTTCTTCCATCCAGGGGTCTTCTGGGTAGGTGTACCAGTTCATTTTGATGTGACCACGCACTGACTGAACACAGGCTTGCCTGATCCAAGGCGTTGTGATTGGCTGGGCGGTCTTTGTAGGTGTCGTTCTAGCGATTGTGTTCCTTGGCCCGCCGATGTGGTTCGATGAAGACAAAACCGGGTACCTTTACACAGGCGCGTTCATCGGTGCCATATTGGGCCTCGTCCTTTCTGGTCTGTTCAGTGATTCCATCAACAAGTTGATGATCCGCTTGAACCATGGCAAGTATGAACCAGAGTTCCGTATCCTGCTGGTGCTCCCCCAGCTCCTTTTCTGTGGCATCGGAATATACGGTTTCGGATGGACCGCCAACGATGTCATGCACTATGGGTATATTCTCCCAGACGTATTCTTCGCTTTCCTAATTATTGGGATGGTTATGGGCGCAGTTGCTGCGTCGCTGTATATTGTTGATGCCCACCGTATGTCGATCTCCGATCTTCCTACCGAGAATGTGTACTAATTTAATTTGAATACAGGGGAAATGGCCATCGAAGCATTTACCTGCATGCTTATTTTCAAGAACATGTTTAGCTTCGTGCTCACCTTTTACGCCTACAAATGGTTTGCCCACGGGGGCATCAAACACACTATGGTGATCATCGGTAGTATCCAAGTGGGGATCTGCCTGTTGAGTCTCCCCATGTGTGAGTCTGTCATCTGATCCTCTTTTTCTCCATTTTCTCCACTGAACTAACTTTTTTCTCTCTCTTCTTCTGTAGACATTTTTGGGAAATGGAACCGCTCGTTCTTTGCGCGTCATGACATCCTGGAGATCTTGCACCTGCGATAGGCGACCTCAACTTCTAACTCTGGAGATATGATGTATAGAATATAATGAGCATACCTTATAGTTGGACAAGATATTTTCAGATCCGATCCGATCCGATCAGGAACATCATAGATGTGGGCAATGTGTAAAAGAAGTGCCCAAGTGTAGATGTGTCGATCAGGGTTCGTGGAAATCGCGAAGTCCCCACGTCATAAAGATTGAAAGCGGACAAGGCTTGACTCCACCACCGAACTAACTTCAGAGCCACTCAATTTCATGATGATGCAATGGCTCTTTCTTTCCATACGTCACGAGAAGCTTTCGGTCCTCAAATTCCATCCATAGTTCAATGGCTCTTCTTTTACTTCTTTTCTCTTCACGTATACAACCATGGCAACTGCGATGCCTGCTCCGTCGTGTCGGCTAGCAGATGACGGTAAGGACATGAAATTGACCTGCACCCTATTTTTCTGTGTACCTGAGCACTGATCGCTATGAAAATCAGCCGCGACAGCTGCACTTTATGCGACTCGTTCCGAACGCAAGGCGCCCACGCGTGCCCCGACCGCGCCGAACACCTACTTGAGTGAGTTTCACCCCTCGAGAGCAGATAGGATGTATCGCAAGCTGACAAACGATGCGCGGTGTAGATCCACGAGCCGGTGGAACCGCCAACCTCAGCCATGCATCGGCCGCCTCCGCTCTCGCGCATGCGAATCGCAAACCAGTCGAAGTATGGCAGCCCCCTGCCCGACAGCCGGATGCCGAGAGGGCCGCGTCCCTCGTGAAAGACTACACCCCTCCACAGCCACCGCCGGCCCCCACTGGACACAGTGCTGCTGGTTTGGGCGCTGCGCTGATTGCCGCCCGTGGGGAACAGCGACCTGCGGCACCTGCTCAGGTTCCCACTCACAAGCGCGGCATCTCCCTCGACCAGCACCCCGACCGCCAACGTACTGCCGTTGGTGGTGACCCGCAAGAAAAGGCTCTCCAGGCTGCCACAGGGGCCTATACCCTATCGCGCAAGAGGGCTGACTCGGCACTCAGTGAATCCGGTCCGTCTGACGTCCCCCTTTTCTAGTTCGGCTGTTGGCGCGTCGCGTCATGCTCGTATGAAAAGTGACGCCTCTCTTGGTCATTTGGATAATGCCAATGAAGTAAGCCGAATTTCTCATATCGCGCAGACCAACGCGAAGATGTATACTTCGAACCCTCCGGTTCAGCCTGAGGTCGACGAGCAAAATTACAAGAACTCTCTTCGCGCCGCGGCGCTCTCTATGGCCAAGGACATGTATAAAGCCCCTGGCGATAAGGAAGAGACGGGTGGAGTGGATCCCGCCGTCCTGGCAGCCCAGAAGGGGCATAGTCAGCTGGGCTACCGCAAGACTGTGTCTGGTACGGATGGGTCTGCCCTTCGAAGCGCAATCGCTTTACAGGAGGCTGCGCAAAAGCGAGCTGCCGAGAAGCTTGCGCGCATGCAAGATGAGAATGCCGATTATAAGGAATACTACGGCACCGCTCCTCAGCCGACACGATCCCGTCTGACTACTCGTCGTAAGAGAACTTCAAGTGACGCAGATGCCTCTCAGATTGACGCAGAGCAGTCGAGGCATATTCGTAACCAGATGTTCAGCCTGCGGACCAAGATGAATGAAGTGGACACGCGCAGAACCAAGGATCGTGAGTTGCTCATGCAAGCTGCTCGCCGCAACGTGGATGCGACCCTCCAGGATATGGAGACAAGGTTCTACGCCAAGACTGGCCGAGCTCCGCCTTCGGTGCAGAAGGGCTGGGATGAGGTCGCCCAGCAGCGGGTCCGACAGGAGGCTGAGGCCTCCGAACTAGCTGCCGCTCAAGGTGATCGCGTCAACATCGGCGGTCAACATTACATGGAGATGGCCGATATTGAAGCTGTTGCTCGTAATCGCCTCCAGCCCGCGCTCGATGAGATCACTGATAATGCCGAACAGCGTAGGGCCCATGATGTAGAGGTCCGACTTGATGCTGAGGAAAAGCAAAGACGCGCGGCTATTGAACGCCAACGTGAAGCTGAAGTCCGTGAACTGGAGAAGCAACAGAAGAGTAAGTCGTCTCTGTTCCATTTATTCAATGGTATATTCTAACCACCCAAGTAGGTACAAACAAGCGTGAACACAAGTCCGAGGGCAAAGTTTCGATCCCTAAATTCTTCCTCTGGAGGAAGAAGGGCAAGCGAGCTCGTGTGGAAGAGTCTGAGACTGAGCAGGCTCAGCCTGTCTCGCCTGTTGCTCAGGACAATGTGGCTGTGGAAGAGCCGGCACCAAGTGTGGCCCCGGATAACGATGTTTCGAAAGATACCATTCCCGAGGAGGCCTCTGCTGAGCCTGAGGTTGCTGTGTCTGATCCCCAGGCCACTGCTGTTGCCGCTGAGCCTGAGGAGCTCACTAATGAGCCCGAGGTAGCTGCTGCTGAGCCTGAGCAGGCCATCAATGAGCCCGAAGCGGCTGCTGCTACAGGCGCTCTAGCTGCTGCTGCCCCCTCGGTCTCAGCAGCCTCAGCAACGGAGGCTGATCGGACCACCGGGGATATTCCACCCGCCGTGCCCAGACGTCAATCCGCACTTCAATCTGAGCCGCACGATGCCGCTGCTAGTACTTCGGGTCCAACAATGATCCACTACTTCGAGCGTCCAGTCTCAAGCCCCCGCTCCGACTCCAAGCTTAAGACTTGGTTCCGTGATCGTCTCGTCCACCGTTCCAGCGGGCCGGTCCCCGTTTATCCCCATCAGCCAGGGCCGGACTTCAACACGGACAGCGAACCCGCTTTTCAAGGCGGCGCTGCCCTGACCGGCCGTGACGAGAGTCGGACCGCGGCTCTCGGCTCGCACCCTATTTCTGGGTCGGACTCCATCCCAGTCCACAACCGCTCTTCCAGCTACTACGCTAACGACTACGACGTGACCAAGACCGGAACGCAGGAATCTTCCCCGGAATCGATCACCCAGAATGGCAATGAGAAGAAGCCGGGTCGTCTCCGCAGGACCTTCCTCAAGTCTGTTTCGCGAAGCTCTGATGAACCCATGACGAATGGTCCTGGTGATGCCCGTCGTGACTCGGAGGTTCCTTCGTTTAAGTCAAGAGATACTGCTGGTACTGATCTCCAGAATCTGCGAAATAGTGCTACTGAACAGGGTCTTCCTGCTCCGCCCCCAATTGGTGATAGTGGCAGTGTTGCCCGCGAGTCGAGGTTTTCTGAGGATCTGTGATTCTTATACATGATGTCTGTCTATGATCCATGATGTACTTCTACTTGAGAGATTTTGGGATAATGTAAAATGGCGCTGTTTATGGAAATTTGAGGTTCGTACTATGGAGGATGTTTGGCGTTTATGTCGGGCTTTGTGGTTTGAGTCTCCAGTATATATCATTGAGGTGGATTACTTTCTTTGGTATTTTTGGAATATTTTGACTTTGTTGTACGTATACGAAATGGCAATACTGCACAGAATCTTTTCATAGAACACTCCACAAATTCTGCATAGTTATAACGTTAACTTACTGAACGTCCGTACATGTGCTTCAACACATGGGGACTATAGAGCCAGTGAACTGCATTAGTCCCATACAAAATAGAATGAAGGGACAGAGAAATTAAGAGATTCCAGAGGTATCTGATAACGCCGTTGAGTGTCAGACTGCTTTCTCTAATCGTCAATTATCAACTTGACGAGAAGTCAAGAACTTTCTAGGTATACTCATTTTCCCAAACAGCTACAGGCCCAAGAAGACATAAAGTGTAACAGCAATGCCCTTATGTATTTCTTCTCTCACGCCTGAATAGATGTTACTCCGAGTTCTCTTGCTGTCATTTCAGCCCACAATCGATATAGACGACATTAAATCTTAGATGTTTCCTTCAGCCAATCGAAAGACCTTTGTAGGAAGTTACGGGCTCTAATATCACCGGAGCGTGCATGGCCTTCGAAATTCTCTGCACGGGCTGCACGGCCACATAAAAGACCCAATTCACCACTCTCCTTTGCGGAAGTCACTTCTTGATAAGTGACAGTCTTGAGGTATTTGCCTACCCAAAGCCCGCCTGTAAATCTTGCGGCTCCTTTGGTCGGCAAAACATGATTGGTGCCGATACACTGTGCAGCGTTAGTTGATATTTATAAACCCTTAGAGGAAAAGCAGTGAGCAATGATATAAGGGGGGAGAACTCACCTTGTCTCCATATGAGACACATGTTTTATCGCCGAGGAAGAGAGCCCCATAGTTGCTCATCTTATCTAGTGCTTCTCGGGGGTTCACGGTCAAAATCTGTACATGCTCACTTGCATATTGATCGGCCAAACGATAAGCTTCGTCTAGGCTCTCCACGACGTGGACTTCACCGAAGCGATCCCAGGATACGGAAGCAATACCCGCTGTAGGCAGTATCTTCAACAGTCTCTGGACTTCTACTATGGTCTTCTCGGCCAGCGGTCGTGAGTTGGTGATTAGCACCGCCGGGGTGTCCGGGCCATGCTCAGCCTGGGAGAGGAGATCGGTAGCAACAAGGACTGGATCTGCTGCTTGATCAGCCACGATCAAAACCTCAGTTGGGCCAGCGGGAAGATCAATGCCAATTTCGCCAAATAGCTGGCGCTTGGCTTCTGCAACAAAGGCGTTTCCCGGTCCCGCGATAAAGTCGACCTTTTCGATGGTCTCCGTGCCGACGGACATTGCTGTAATAGCCTGGACGCCACCAAGGATGTAAATATCATCCGCCCCGGCCATATGCATCGCGGCGACAGTGGAAGGGGGAATCTCTCCTTGGATAGGAGGTGTACAAGCAATAACCCGCTTGACACCAGCTGCTTTTGCTGTGACGATCGTCATATGGGCCGAGGCAAGAAGGGGATAACGACCACCAGGGATATAGCTGGTTTCCATGATCAGCTTGTGGGTTTCTTCTTCCCTGGTATAGAAAGGATAATAACATACGCTCCAACCGCACTGATAGGAATATTCTTCTGACCTAGATGGACCCCGGGGCGAACTTCATACTCAAAGTCGGTTATTGACTTGCGCTGCTCCAGAGCAAAAGTGCGGACATTGTGCTGGACAGTGTTTATATCGTCCAGAACCTGTTTTGGTACTTTGCTCATGATCTGGTCGATCTCGGTCTGGGAGAGCTTGAAGCTTCGAGGGCTCCATTTGTCGAATTTCTCAGAATATGCACGTACAGCCTTGTCTCCATTCTGACGAATATCCTGGATGACACCGCGTACAATGCTAGGAACGTCAGGCGCTGGAGCGCTAGAATCCCCGTTAAATGTCGTGTTAGGCTTTTTAAGAGTAATCGTCATGACTGTAAGAAAGGTAAATTATCGAAGGAAATGTTTGAAGTCTTTGGATAATACAAAGGAGACGCTCGACGGCCTCTTATATATCAAGAATGGGCATGTCCTGCCTAAACGAAGCGTTCAAAGGCTTCTGGGTCCGAGCCACCATCTCGCACATCCGCCGAACTCTCCTGAGGCAGATCACTTCATGAGGTCTGTCGTCTCCAGTCTAATTCCTCAGATCCTCGGGGAGCTCAACTTACTCCACCCCGGAAATGCTCGGAGTCGGCCCCGACTCCGAGCAGCGCCGACAGCCACATTGTATACAAGATCGGTCACTGCCCACTGAGTATTGCGTTCAAGGTGAAGATTCGAAGATGGCTCTGTGATATTATTCCAGCTAATATCTGGAGGTGAGATAGTGGAAAGATGTCCATGGAACAGTCTTCGTACACCCGTATCTGCAAGAACTCGGCATTACATGGCACTTTATACCCTGTGTCGAAAATCCCATCCAGAATTCCTGTTAGCAAGCAGAGAGCCATGAGGATAATAACTATCATATACCAAACATCCAAATAGAAAGGCCTCGGAGTCCCGTAGACCAAGAGATTACTAAGCCACTACCTCCTCATGGAGGGGAACTCTCCATCTGAACTGTACAAAGCCACAATCTCTAGTTGTGCATCTTGGACCATTGGAGATGAGCATGAAATGACATGGTGAGCTTTTGATGTACACTATTCCGAATGGACACACAACCGAGTCCGCCATCAGGCTACTCACGCCGTGCAACTGCCTGCATACAGTGCAAAAAGCACAAGGTCTCATCCATATGTTGTCAATACTAGTATACAGCTAACCGATTCAGGTGCGATGCGTATTGTTACACTCGAAAAAGCCTCCCTGTCAACGATGCCTGTCTCGGGAAATTCCGTGCTTGTTCAAGAAGGACCCGTCTCATTCTTTGCCATCCTCTGATTTTCGGTACGTTAAATACGATCTGGAACTAGTTTGAGATTGCTGACATTTAAAATAGCTTACTTGATTCCCTGGGGAGCGATCTGAGAGCCATCCATGCCGCCATAAATGAACTCCGCTCTGCGGGATCTATGGAAAATCTACCACCATTGCAGTCGGTAGAGCTACTCTCCAGAATAAGCTCAGGCAAAGAATTGACCGGGGAAAATGAAGAGAACCCATTTTCTCAACCCTCCGGCCTAATGGTGGGCAGCAATGAGCTGATTGACAAGCACGAAACTCCCTGCTACGACGAAATCACTGTTACGCAGCCTCCCATTCAATCCCTATACCATATCACTCATCTTCGCAGTCTTCGGTCACAGCCACTCCTTGCTCCTGGAGAGGATAGCAGTGTCAGAAAGAATGACCCGAATGATCTTATATCCCGCAAGGTGATTAGCACCGAAGATGCAGAGATGTTAGTAGGTCATTACCTACAGCGAACAGATCATTATCTCTACGGAATAGCAAGCGATCACCAGGGATTGACTGCTATTCGCCACGCATCCCCACTTCTCTTGACGGCCATATTGATGGTGGAAGCATTGCAAACTCCGAATGGCCAGCGCTGGTATCAGCTTTGCTATTCAGAGTTTCGCAAATTAATAGCCGATTTTACCTTTTCTCATCAAGTTTCTTTGGAAGATCTTCGAGGTCTTTGTATTGCCTGCTTCTGGGTGAGCGATATTTCGTGGACAATCTCAAGTCTTGCAATCCGCCGGGCTACCGAGTTGGAGCTCCACAAATCACCCTTAATGGCCCTAGAACCTCCAAAGACGGGGGGTTCTTTGGCAGCCGAAGTTCAACAGACAAAGAGACTGACTGACAGCGTCCGATTGTGGTATTTGCTGTATATTTGCGACCAACATCTGGCCATTCTATATGGACGGCCTTCTGTCATGCGGGAGGATGAAGGTATCAGCAAGTGGCCGCTATATCTTGCAGTCCACCCAGATTCTGCTATAGATATACGTATTCTCAGTCAAATTGCCTTGCTGCAGATATTGAGGTCCGTCTCGGAGACCTTCGGCCAAGATCCGAAACGACGTGTGCCAACGTTTCTCAAGCCACAATTGGTTACTTTCAATCAGAAGATTGACCAGTGGGCTCTTGAATGGTTGGAAAAGTCTCGTAAGTCTCTTTGAATAAAAAAAACAGGAGCCAAGCAATTGAGTTCTTCGCTAAAACGGATTACAGAAGACCACCAGGTCATAGGAACCTACCCAAGCAAAGCGATCATGCTGCATCACCATTTCTCTAAACTTCTCATCTCCTCTCATGTCTTCCGCGGCCTGGGGGTCGACTTCAATACGGATCCATTCCCTCCGGAGTTCGAAGACCTGGCTTCTGTTGCCATTTCTTCAGCGAAATCAGTTTTGGAACTCACAGCAAACGACGCAGACCTTATACGCGCGTTCGTTAGCATTCCACATTATTACCACACGATGATCGCATTCGCGTGCTCGTTCTTGTTGAAAATTTCGAAAAGATACCAAAGCCACATCGGCCTTGATGTTGCACTGGTCATGGATACTGTCAAGCCCGTTATCAAGCTCTGCCTCGTCACTAAGTGTACCAGCTATCACCTCGTTCATTGGATTGGTCGTGGACTTCAAGTGCTTCTGGCAACCTATATGGATTTTACAAGGGAAGCGAATCAACAAATGCAAATAAACGCCTCCGATGACGCAAATCAGACCGCGCGCGACCCTTTCTGCATGTCTGGCCTTCCAGTAGGTATGGATGAAAATGCAATGCAGTTGAATTTCAATCCCAGCATATGGGAAACGGCTTCCTCAATTGTGTATAATGATGGGCTGCCCATGACTTTGCAATGTTTTTCCAACGCTACTGCCCCCGTGACAGATTCGATGCCTGCCCACGGTGAATCTTTGCAGTATGGCTCAGATACTTTTTATGGATCTTCTATAGATCCGTATGCGCCGTTTCCTTCAGTCGAGCATCTTGGGCTAGGTTTGTTATAGCCACAAGCTCAATATACTTACGAGGCCCGCAATATTCGGGACTTTACGCACTTTTCCACTTTCCCGCATGCCTCGCTTAGAAAGAGGGTAGTTCAATGACAAACAAATTAATAAATTAGCGGTTTGAGAGATATCACTCCGCACCTTTTCCTCTGTGGCTTCAACGCTAGGAGCTCTGCAGCTTTACAATCTCGTATTCAGGGGTTCACTACAGCAGACGACTGACGTATTTCTCAGGAACTTAATCTAATTATGTGATCTAAACTCATCAAGGACCCTGCACGGAACGAAAAACAGGAAGATTTGGAGCTCGGTGTAAAAGACGCAGCTGTATATGATGTCGCATCCCCCCGCATCGCCAGGTGCCTGGAAAATTACCCAAAGTAGACATTTCATCTCTAAACATCCACCAATCCCAGCTGCACGGAGTATTGCTTTCACGAACACCGAGCTATTGGTTCATATTAAATACCCCGAGCAGTTGTAAGAATGGTCAATTCTTTAGTTGGCGCCCAAAATGCGTATCCTCGCGCTTCTCCCACTCGTCTTCGGACTCTTGTCCAGCCATTTCGTCTCTGCTACAGACAATGGCAAGTCTACCGATGTGACCTGGGATCAATACAGTCTGTCTGTCAAGGGAGAAAGAGTATTTGTCTTTTCTGGCGAATTCCACTACCAGCGTCTTCCTGTGCCGGAGCTATGGCTCGATGTGTTTCAGAAGCTACGCTCCAATGGGTTTAACGCGGTGTCAAGTAAGTAGCTGGAACAGGTAACTTAATCTGCATGGAATTTTTGTTGACTAACCCTGAATGTAGTCTATTTCTTCTGGTCTTACCACTCTGCTTCAAAGGATACCTTTGACTTTGAAAATGGCGCTCACGATATTCAGCGCGTCTTCGACTATGCCAAACAGGCTGGTCTGTATGTGATTGCAAGAGCCGGTCCTTACGTTAATGCTGAAACCTCGGCTGGCGGCTTTGCGCTGTGGGCTTCGAATGGCCAGCTGGGGAACGCGCGCACCAGTGACGCGACTTACTATAATCTATGGTATCCCTGGATTCTGGAGGTCGGCAAGATCATCGCAGCAAACCAGATCACGAATGGTGGTCCGGTCATTCTCAATCAGCATGAGAATGAGTTGCAAGAGACTACTTATAGCGCTGACAATACTCTTGTCAAGTACATGGAGCAGATTGCGGCGGCTTTTGACGATGCTGGCATTGTCGTCCCGAGCTCGCACAATGAGAAGGGAATGCGCTCTATGAGTTGGTCTACTGACTACAAGGATGTCGGTGGTGCTGTGAATGTCTACGGTCTTGATTCTTATCCGGGTGGCTTGTCTTGCACCAACCCAAATACCGGTTTCAATCTCGTCCGTACTTATGCTCAGTGGTTTTCCAACTACAGTTATACCCAGCCTAGCTACCTCGCCGAATTCGAGGGTGGTTGGTTCTCAGCCTGGGGCTCAAGCTCTTTCTATGATACGTGCTCTACGGAGCTTTCGCCTGAGTTTGCGGATGTCTACTACAAGAACAACGTAGGTTCCAGAGTCACCTTACAGAACCTATACATGGTCTTTGGTGGTACCAACTGGGGTCAAAGCGCTGCTCCGGTGGTCTATACTTCATATGACTACTCTGCTCCCTTGCGAGAGACTCGCGAGATCCGTGACAAGCTCAAGCAGACTAAGCTGCTGGGCTTGTTCACACGTGTCTCTAAAGGTCTTCTCCAAACTCAGATGGAAGGTAATGGAACGGGATATACCAGCGATGCTAGTATCTATACCTGGGCCTTGCGGAATCCGGAGACTGAAGCTGGTTTCTATGTTGTCGCACATGCTACCAGTTCGTCCCGCGATGTGACTACCTTTTCGTTGAATGTCAACACCTCGGCCGGTATGTATACAAGTTCAAATCCAAGATCTATACTAATTTTCAAGCTACAGGTGCTATCACTATTCCAGATATTGAATTGGCTGGCCGCCAAAGCAAAATCATAGTCACTGACTACAAGATTGGCAAGGCCTCGAGTCTTCTGTACTCGTCAGCTGAGGTTCTGACGTACGCCACTCTCGACGTGGATGTTGTTGTCTTCTACCTGAACATCGGACAAAAAGGAATATTCGTTTTCAACAATACCCAAGCCCTCACTTTCCAGACGTACGGCAATTCAAACGTGAGCTCTTCGGCCTCAGATCATGGTACCCAGTACTCCTATGTCCAAGGAGATGGCGCTACCGTGCTCAAGTTCTCAAATGGCGTGGTAGTCTATCTGCTCGACAAAGAGACTGCATGGAACTTCTTCGCCGTTCCCACCACTTCCGATCCATTGGTTTCTCCCAGTGAGCAGATCCTCGCTCTTGGGCCATATCTGGTTCGCACAGCCTCCGTCAGCGGAAATACCGTCAGCCTTGTCGGTGACAATGCAAACACAACATCTATCGAGTAGGTTACTCGTCACTTTGGGGAGAGAACTATTGCTAACAGTACTAGGGTGTACACCGGAAGTTCAAAGGTTACGAAGATCAAGTGGAATGGCAAGACAATCTCAACCACAAAGACAAAGTACGGTAGTTTGATCGGTTCGGTTGCAGGAGCCGAAAATTCCAAAATCTCATTGCCAACCCTGGGTTCATGGAAGGCTCAAGATACGCTTCCCGAAATCAAGGCGGATTATGATGATTCTCGCTGGACGGTATGCAACAAGACCAGCTCAGTCAACTCTGTAGTCCCTCTCACGCTCCCTGTGCTTTACTCCGGGGACTATGGATATCATGCTGGAGCGAAGATCTACCGTGGTCGATTCGATGGCACCACCGCAACCAGTGCCAATATTACCGTGCAGAACGGTGTTGCTGCTGGTTGGGCCGCCTGGCTGAACGGGGTCTACGTCGGCGGAGCTGTCGGTGATCCTGCGCTAGCAGCGACATCGGACGAGCTCGACTTCAGCAATTCTACTCTTCGGGAGACTGACAATGTCCTTACCATAATCACTGATTATACCGGACACGATGAAGCCAATGTGAAGCCCAATGGCGCACAGAACCCCCGTGGCATCCTCGGCGCAACCATCGCTGGCTCCAACTTCACTTCGTGGCGCCTGCAAGGCAATGCAGGAGGTGAAGCCAATATTGATCCTGTTCGAGGACCCATGAACGAAGGAGGTCTCTATGGAGAGCGCATGGGCTGGCATCTTCCAGGATATAAGGCTTCCAAGACTGCAACATCCTCCAGTCCCCTCGATGGAGTGTCGGGAGCCGAAGGCCGATTCTATACCACGACGTTTAAGCTGAACCTAGACTCCGACCTGGATGTTCCGATTGGTCTACAGTTAGCGGCCTCCAACACACCTGCGGTGGTCCAGATCTTCATGAATGGATACCAGTTCGGTCATTATCTGCCGCACATTGGCCCACAGACCAGGTTCCCTTTCCCGCCCGGAGTGATTAACAATCGTGGAACGAACACATTGGCGATCAGCCTGTGGGCGCTGACGGATCAAGGCGCGAGCTTGAGTCAGGTGGAGCTGGTTGCATACGGAGCTTATCAGACGGGCTTCAACTTCAATCATGATTGGTCGTACTTGCAGCCGCAGTGGAAGAGCAGAGCTGCATATGTGTAGTTGGGTGTTGATGTGCCAAAAGTACCTGGCTGGAATAGTTTCATGTTCTGTCCACGGCTGTTCTATCGCAGCTCTGACCACTGAATAGAACAACCCTAGATGTTTTCAATTCCAATTCACATACTAAATCCAATTCTAATTCTCATTCTCATCCCAAAATATCTCGAATCATCATGAGCCCAAATAGAAGAGGTTCATTGTCCAGGCGACCAAGGCGATGCTGCCCAACGTCCACCGCCATTTACTCCACATTCTTTTATCAACTCCATCTTTCCACGGACCAACGTGTATTCTGACTTCCCATGTCGAGGTCTATATTCCATTCGATTTCGTCCATCTTTTATGTTTAATTTCTAATTTCACCATGGCCCGTCAATCAAGTGTGGATCTAGACTCGCCTGATCGGCCCTTTGACAATATCATCAACTTCCGTGATGTTGGCCGATCGGTCAATCAATTCTGTCGCAAAGAGTAACGTCGCGTCTGCTCTACGCCTTCCAACTCTCAAAACTGACGCTCCTGCAGAATCTTGAAAGAAGGTGTTTTCTTTCGCAGCGCCAGGGTAAGTGACCCCGCTCTCTGACACGTCCACGTACAAGTTATCATCTCACTGACGGGAATAGCTTGATGATGCATCAGAACGAGATAAACGGCGTCTAGCCGAAGAACTACACATTCATACTGTGATTGATCTGCGCTCATCGTATGCATTCCCCCAAGTGAAGCAGAGTCCGAAGTGGAATGACCATCGCGATCTAACTCAAGACAGGACAGAACACCAAATGGGGACGCGGAAACGTCGCAGCGAGAATGCCAACTCGTCGGAGATTGACTTGACTGATGCTCCAGTTCCCTCCAACCCCGAGGAACACTTGCTTGAAATCCCCGGCTCTGAACGGGAATTGATCAGTCTGACGGGTAAGGGGTTCGAGCGCGCCTTGCTATGGAAATTGGACTGGATGACGTATCTGTATGTTCCTTGATTCCCCCCCCCCCCTGGTCCACTGTTGGCAAGTGAGACGATGCTTGATCTGTGCTAATTTCCTTTCCAGAAAAGCAATCGGCCTCGTAACAACAGGCTATCGAAATGATGCAGTCCGTCTGGTGTGTGGACAAGTCATGCAACCGCGCGGGTTAACAGGGCTTGCTCAAGACACCCTGGATTCGAGTATGACTGAAATGCGCACAGTCTTTGAGATCCTTGCCCGTGAAGAGAGCTATCCCACATTAGTGCATTGCACACAAGGGAAAGATCGGACGGGGTTGGTGGTTCTGCTAATGCTACTTCTTGCTGGTGAGGCCGTACCAACCGAGGCTGTTGTGGATGATTACAGTCGGTCTGAACTGGAGCTTGTTCCGGAGTTCGAGGAACGTATGAAGGAGATTCGCGCGCTGGGCCTTGGAGAGGATTATACCCGCTGTCCGCCTGGCTTTGTCACCGATACCACGGAGTACCTGAAAGAGCGGTATGGTGGGGTTGAGGGCTATTTAGAGAAGATTGGGATCGACGCTGAGATGCAGGACCGCGTTCGGGGGAAGTTGTTGGCTTGAGAGGATCTTATGGTTCATTTTCTTTTCTCGAGAGACTTGGAAATCCTTGTTTCTCTGTATTTCGATATGGGAATTGTGTATACGTTAATCACCCTGGCCTACTTTTGGATTGGCAACATTGACATAGCAAAGCATGAGGCTTATTGAACTTGAATATTAACAGCAAATGATCACACGAAGGCACTAGACGACACCAGCAAATGAAGGGGCGTACTCGCTTCCAAGGCTTTTGTATAGAGATAGCCCTATACTCCGTGGGCACTGTGTACATAATTATCGACTCCAGCAAATATGACAAGGGGTGTGAAAACTGAGAAAGGTGTATGATTCAAACACTTGAAAATGCTTCAAAGCCATAGCAAAATTGTAGTAGTATATCCCCAAACACCAAACGGAAGATGTGTATCAATGAAAACAGAAAGAAAGCAAAAAACAAAAACATAGGTGTATCAAAAATCGTCCACATCATATAATTACACATGGGAAATATAGGCAGGCCATGTAATGTGAGATCTTAAATATGAGAAATCTCAAACGCGCTGGCCACGATAAAAGCCCGAGTTCGGGCCCATGGAGTCGTGGGTCAGGGGCTCTTCAATGGAAACGCCCTCGGAGTTTCCATTTGATCCTCCCTGTGCCATTTCCAGGTTCTTATGACCTTGAGGCAGGTGGTGGCGTGTTCGAACAGAAGGCAGGAGATCGATCAAGAAGGACAGGACGTAGCCCGTGAAGACAAAGGCAATCGCCCATTCGAGAATCGCACCAGGGTCTTTCTTGGCTACGCTATTGCTGGCCTTGCAGACACCGAAGCCAATCGCAAGTCCGACTTCCACAATGATGAAAGCGATCTTGACCCAGAAGCTGACCAGCAGGACGCGGTGCTGGTGGCGGTAGAAAATTCCGATCCGGAGGTATTCGACACAGATGAGAATGGCACTGATCACGTATCCAGCACTATAGACATCGGATTAGTAACTTGCTGCTACCATTTTGTAATGGCGACTCACATGAACAGAGCAATGAACCCATCGTGGAGCTTGGGGTGGCGCAGTGTGTCGAAACATGAGAGCAGGATGAGACCGGCGGCACCGGCAATAGCGAAGAATATCGAGGCAATGGCGCAAGCCTTGTCGAGTTTGCCCTTGTTCGGGACCAGTTGCCCGGCATGTCGCAGCCACCGCTCTGAGATAATTCCCAAATCAAGGAAGACGACAGTAACCACACTTCCTGCGACAAAGAGGGGCTTCAACCCCTGCGCTCCAACGTCCGAGATGTATCTGAACCACTCTTGTTAGTTCGTGACTCGGTGAGGTTATAAAGAAGACATACGCAATGTTCTGTCCATCATCCATACTAGCGTAGTGTGGCTTGCCCACGACAACCCAGGTAACAAGCATGGCAATCAGCATCGCTGGGAACGCGTTAGATAGAGTCCTGGCTGAAACATCCTTTCCAAGCTTGAAGACTTACCAACCCACATGCATGCCGAGACCAGCGGAAATAACCAAAATGATACGAGCCACATCGTTGCGACTTTATTGGCTTTTGAGAAAGATCAAAAGGGATGAAACAGCGAGAGAAAACTTGGTCTTGGAATTCCACGTGTCGGAAGCCTTTGTGGAATGCGACTTCAAGTCAGAGAAAATGTATACAATAGGGTCTGCAGATTGTTGTTAGTCACAAGCCCTACTCGGGACTTTGCCAACTCTGTGTGCAAGGTCCTGTAGATTCGATTGGTGTACTGACCTATTTCGCTTTTATCCAATGGATTTCAAACTGGTATTCAGCATTCAGGGGTGGCGATGTATGTAACTTGGCGCTTTCGAGTGTACAGGAGAACCGATAAACACAGTGGCGAGATGACAAAGGATCTACCCGAGGGGGAATTCTAATGCGCCAGACGACTTGCAAATAATCGGAGAAGGCAACCGCCTAGTGAAGGTCAAGGGGATGGAGAAGGTGAAGTGAAGAAGCGGGAGAAGTGAGTAAATGAGTGATATGAAAGAGACCGACGTCATTGCCTGCCAAGGCAGCGTCGCAATAAAAGCCAAACCGCCAGCAGCCAACAGTCAACAGCCAACAAGAACCTCCTAAACCCTCCTACCAGCCCCACCACCGCAAATTTCCTCTTCACGGTCCATTGAAAGGGGAAAAAAAAACTCGAATGCCTATTTGCCCTGCCACGATGATCTGCCCGTAAACCGGGTGGCTGAACGCCTTTGCGGATTTAGGGGCTTACACTCCCGACCTAGCCGCTTAACACCTATCAAGGATCTGCAAGCCCATGGTTCTGGTATGATTATGTATGCATTTGATTCTACCGTGAACGCCACTGGGAGTCCCTCCCAGGGAAACAAACTCCGAAGTAATTTTTAGAATTGATCCTGTCATCACCGATTATTCCTTTTGGAGGCAACTCGACTGGCTCCAGAAACAGCCGTTCGCTTCACAGTGGGCGGGACTTGGCGCTCTTGGACCTTGATGATTTGCACCTCGTCGTCACTGCTCTCCGATTCCTCTTCACTGGACACCTCGGACCCAGACTCGGCCTGGTCACCCCGGAGTGTGGTGTCCGCACGTGTCTTCTGAGGGGATTGATAGGCTTGGTAGGGAGAGCCCGGGACCGAGCCCGAAGGGTAGCTCATGCGGCTCTGTGGTCCAACTCGAAGTTCGCTGGGGAGTTGTGGCTGGTAAGGTGCTTCTCCGTATGGGGTCATCTGCATTTGGTTGTAGTATGATGGCGCCCATTGCGGATCATCTGGCAGAGGCCGCTGGTAGATCGGCGATGATTGTAGGGACTGCGGCCGACCAGTGGGAGCAAAACGTTCGGGGGTGTAAGGAGGGTAGGGAGGTCGAAGAGGCGAGCCGGATTGTTGCGGACGGAGGGATTGAGTAGTCGGGGTTCGCGGACGCGCAGAAGAGGAACTGGAAGGTCGCGAAGCACCTGTGCCACGAGCCCATCCGTTGGTATCAGGCGGAAAGGCCGAATACGGACCCGAATGTGGCTCTGGCGCAGCGCTTCGTCGGGACGAAGGTCGTGATGCGACGCTGGTGGGATGCGTAGACTGCTTGGAACGCCGCGATCCGCTTGGGCCATCCATCTGTTGACGCTTCCGCTCCAGAGCATCCAGCTCGCGTTTTGATAGCCGGACATTCTTCTGTCCTAGCATTTGGGCCCGGCGAATTCGCTCCAGCGCCTTGTCCACTAGTTGATCCTCCTTGTCTCGCATAGCCAATTGAACTGCATAGGCCACCGTGCTATGTTCGTGGTCATCAAGGTCGAAGTCACCCCCATCCACCAATTCATCATCCGTCAGATCATCATAATCCGGTCGCCTGCGCGGCCCTCGTCCCCCATACTCTAGCTGTCGCATGTACCGCCCACTCCGCACCATTTCCCGTCCATATGCATCCTCCTCGCTGTCCACTTCCTCCACTCGTGCCTCGTCCCACGCGCGTCCCCGATTGTGTCTCCCCGTTCGTGCCCCCGGTGGTCTTCCCCATGAGGGCATATCGTAAGGAGCTCGCGGCCGACCACCTAGACCGCCTCCTCGGAAAAAGCATTCTCGATCGGTTTATCCAATAGAGCAGCGTGGCCAAAGACAGTCACGCCGGTCGCACCAATCAGCCATAGGACAGTGCCCAAAGGTGAGGCCCAGATACCCAGGGGAACGCCGATAATGAGCATTGCAGTCCAGAGCTGTGAAGTGTTGAAGCGCTGGAAGCCCAGATCCAGATCCCGGCCTTCCAGCTTGCCAATTCCGTAGAAACCGCCGGTCATGAAGATGATGACAAACAGCAAGAGAGGGTTGGTCAACAAGCTGTAGATGCTGAGCATGACGAAGACAACGGCATAATTGCTGGAGAAGTAGGACAAGTTGTAATTCACGCGACTCTGGACCTCACCAAAGTTGGCGGGCTTGGAGAGGCGCTTGATGTCAAGGAATTCGGAGACCGGCTTGAGGTTGGCGAACCGCGTGGTCAGGGAGGTGCTGCGAAGGTTGTTGAAGCGATCGCCAAAGCGCGAGGTGATCGCGTCAATCGGGATAGAAACCATTTTGAAGGGAGTAGCGAAGTGAGAGCTGGAAAGAGAAAAGATACAAGATGCGAGATGCAAGATGCAAAATCGGAAATGAAGTTTTGGGGGGGGAGGCGGAGAAGCAAGAGTTGGCCAGATAGGAAAGATGTGAGGCAGCCGTGGTCGTAGTCTTACCCCTTTCGAGTTTAGTTGATGCGTCAGCCCTGACAGTACTGAAAGCTGAAAGGTGTCAAGATGAAGTGTGAGAGGGAAATTAGGTAGACAAATTGTCTCTAAGAATAGAAATCAGTCAAGCCTGAGAGCGGAAGTGCCAATCCGCATGCGAGACCTGACCCGGTATGGAGTCCAACCCCGTAGAGAGCAAGAGAGGGAGAGAGACAAAGAGAGAGAAACAAGGCTACAGACTTCTATATATATATACAAGTATAATCCATCCAACATCATTCGACGTGTCTGCTGTACAGTAGTCAACTAAATGCAGTCAAACGCAGAGCAAATTCGAGGTCTCGATTGGGCCACGTTTGGTGGATCAAAACCCGACCGCTTTTTGCAAGTAAACGTCCCCAACTCCCCCTTATTCGTCAACAACTGGCTTTGCGGCATTGACCGCCATCATGAAGTTCTTATTGCTGTCTCTCTTTATATGCTTTAGTCTGGTCGCAGCCTGGTCCAAAGAAGGTGGGCTTTGTGTACTCCCGGATGAGATCCCCCACTGATTTTCCCATTTCACAGACTACGAGATCTTTGGTCTACGTGATGATGTGGCCTCAAATGAAGGTGCCAATGTGACCTTCTATGGTGCGTATTCTACCATTTCCCGGGAAAGAACCATTGTTGTTCCGTCCTGCTTCGTCTTCTCACACCTCAGAAATAAACATCTGACTTCCATCGCCCTGCAGACTTCTTAGAGATCCGTCCCAATGCCAATCAGGAGCAGATTACCAAGGCGTACCGCAAGAAGTCGAGAATCCTTCACCCCGATAAAGTGAAGCGGGCCTTTGTCGCCAATTACTCCAAGGACAAGTCCAAGGCCAGTTCGAAGCAGGGGGTCAATGTCAACAAGGGTCCTTCGCAGCGGGAGATTGAGGCTGCTGTGAAGAATGCCGATGCTCGCTCAACCCGTCTTAACCTGGTTGCCAACGTTCTGCGTGGACCGGGCCGTGAACGCTACGATCACTTCCTCCGCCATGGGTTCCCTCTGTGGAAGGGCACAGGATACTACTACTCCCGTTTCCGTCCTGGTCTGGGCTCTGTGCTGGCTGGTCTATTCCTGGTCTTCGCTGGTGGTGCACACTACGCTGCGTTGATTCTTGGTTGGAAGAGGCAGCGCGAGTTCGTGGATCGCTACATTCGCCAGGCCCGCAGAGCTGCCTGGGGAGACGAGACTGGTGTCCGTGGGATTCCTGGAATCGACGCGGCGGCTACCCCTGATCCTGCTCCCGCTTCCGAATCCGAGGCCGGAGCCGTGGCTGTAAACCGCCGTCAGAAACGAATGATGGACAAGGAGAACAAGAAGGATAAGAAGGGCGGAGGCCGGGTTAGTGCTCGTGCCTCTGGAACTTCTACCCCTACCGAGACCACTAGCAGCACCGGCGAGCGCAAGCGCGTTGTTGCGGAGAACGGCAAGGTTCTGATTGTTGACTCCATTGGCAATGTGTTCCTGGAGGAGCAAAACGAGAATGGCGAACGCCAAGAATTCCTGCTTGACGTCGATCAAATCGAGCGCCCTACAATCCGTGAAACGATGCTGTGCAAGCTTCCTATTTGGTGTTTCAACCGGACTGTTGGCCGGGTTTTGGGTACTGCTCCCGCCGAGGAAGAATTTGAAGAAATTGATGAACCAGTTGAAGAGGCCAGTGAAACCACTGCTACTTCCACTCGGTCTTCTCGCAAGCGTTCCAAGCGCTCTCAGCGTTCATAAATTTACTTCAAAGGGGTGGTTGTACCAAATCGTTGGATACATTTTGGGCGTTGGTCGTCGCTTTCTCTGATCACAAAAGTTGGCTATAGAGTTGTCGGATAGGCAATACCCTGGAAAATATACTGTACACATACTTGAAGGCCAAAAAGCTCACTATGTAGAGCAAAATGACACACGAGTTGGCCGAGACCCCATAAGCACTGGTAGCATGGTCTGTAAATAATGTAATCTGTGATCTTGACGACTTGCCAGCCACATCGGGAGATCTGTTCACTGTTCATCGGCGGGTCTACAGTATACTGTACCGGCCAACTCATATCCTGCCAGTGAGATGCAGACACACCTCTAGTGCGGTGTATAGCTGTCCAACGGGGCAGATCCACTTGGGTACCAAATTTTTGACTTAGATACTGAGGAGGCCCCCATGGTTCGTCTGAATAGGGTTTGAATAGTTTCAGTGTCAGATACAAAAGCATTTTTTTCCAGATCATGATTCTATCGAATCCAGACGAGCCTACCAGTACATGACAAGAAAGCAGAAAGAAAGTGAAAAACAAAACGCAGTTCTGAAGCATCGAGAGCAAAAGAGACAGTGGGTGTATCGTCATGATCGTTAAGGGAGTATCGCAAATCGTGGAATGGGCTGAATGAGTGGCCCGGCTGGGCGTGTCTAAGCAAACATTTTGGCAATGTTCATGAGGCTACTGATGTTCTCCCCAATACCCCGGCCAGCGCTCTGCTCGACTCCGCGGGCAGAATGCGCCGCACTGCCGCCTAGTGCGCTGATAACTCCATGAGGCAAGCGGATTCCAATCATGGCCAACAGCTTTGGCAGAACACCGCTGGTCAAGAGAGGGATGATGACCATCATGAAGACCTTCATAGGGTTGCGACGGGCATAGCGAACAATGTCACGGAACAGGCGCTTGATATCGCGAATCATGCGCTGCACAAATCCCTCCCGAGGCCGAGCTCGTCGAGATGACGATGACGAGAACGTTGAGAAGACCGATGGGCTTGAGCGTCCTCCTGTTCGCCCTCCACCCAAGCCGCCAAAGAAGGATGGAGCAGAGTGTCGTGAATGATGGGTTGAGAAACCTGACTTAGGGCGTACGGGCGATCGACGGCGCACATAGCCCGCCGACGACACAGACGATCGACCATCGAACCAACCCATTGTGCTGAAGCTGCGGTGCTGCTAAATGGTGCCGCGCTGTGTGGGAATTGAGGGGTTTGACTTGAGATTGTCCGAGGCAATTGTGGATTGGGACACAGTTGAAGAGTCCTAGAGATTCGATTGCGCAAGAATTACCCAGACGGCTCCTTTTGAGACCTTTTTTGCCCTTCTGTGTGGCAACTCAAAGAGCAAAAAAAGAGTCAGATGCAAGTCAGCCACTAAGAGCTGCAGTTATGCGCAATGTGTGTGGTCTAGGCCGCCGTGTGCATTTGCTCCACCACGGATGTGCTGTGCAGGTATGGAGTCCTCTTCTGTGACAACTGGCAGTTGCAATCTCAGGGGAAAGAGATAGAAACACTGGAGGTTTTGTTCAAGCGAATCAAAGTCAGGGACCTCTGATGTTAGGGAGTAATTACCCCTGTGCGGAACAAGGTGGCTGGGGGTGTCGCAAGCTGAACTTAGTCCCGAACTCCATTTTGCCTTTCGACACTGCATGTCTGAGACTGGCCCCTCCATTGAAACCTTTAGTGTAGTCCATTCGACTATTCCCGAGATGAATATCCGTGAGAAATATCTTGAAGTTGTTGAAGTATCGAAATCCATAGAAATCCCCAAGTGAACCACGGAACGTGTAAGTGAATTGTTGCCTCAGGCTGGGAGCGACGTCACTGCATGTGATGTGGCTTTCACCCTCTGCCTTGTAGTTCGTCCTATACAGAATTGCTTGACTTCTCTTTCTTCACATATCCAAGACCATGTCAAGTGTGTTGATCATACCCCACTATTTGACTATTTTTACTGACCCTTAAACAGGCCCCGATTACTGTAAGCTCCCTTGCTATCTTACAACGACTCCACTTCATATAGACCACAGACAAGATTTTAGGAATCTCTCATGATGCCACGCAATCACAGATCCGCAGCGCATACAAAAGGTAAGCGTATCATAACCATATTGGCAGTATTTGTCTGACTAGTCTGCAGGGAGTCCTTGAAATCCCACCCGGATCGAGTCCCGGCCGACTCCCCCGAGAGACCTGCCCGGACACGAAAGTTCCAGGATATCAACGACGCCTACTATACTCTTTCTGACTCTGCACGCCGCCGAGAGTACGACGCTGCTCGTGCATATGAAGCAGCAGACCAGGAAGCGGAAGAGGAGGTACCACCTAGTGGTGGTAGTGGGTTCTCGTGGTCCAACTTTGGATTTAGCGGCAATCGCGATGACCGTGATAGTGACCAGTTTGGATCCGTTTTCGAAGAGATGCTCCGCGAAGAAGGTCTCGCCGAGGAAAATGATGGAGAAGGCGGCAGGCGGACTCGCCCAACCGGCCGCTTTTGGGCACTAGTCGGTGGTGTCAGTGGAGGTGCTTTGGGTTTCATTGTTGGCAACTTCCCCGGTGCGCTAGCTGGCGCGGTTGCTGGGAATCGACTAGGGGCTGTCCGTGATGCCAAGGGCAAAAGTGTCTATGAAGTTTTCCTGGACCTTCCACAGCCAGATCGGACCCGGCTCTTGAGCGAACTTGCAGCCAAGATGTTCCAGTCCACAATGGGACGCTGAGTCCATTCCTGTTGGGATTTGTGTTGGCCTAGGCGTTCTGGAAACTGGTATTGGATGGAACATGACACTGTAGATAGGTAGTATAGTGGTGAAATTACACATGGAGTAGTAGTTACTCTTGATACCCCTCCAACTTACTATCTTATCGATAACAGGTATGGAGTAGGCTCGGACCAAGTATCAACCACACATCGCTCACTAGGTCGAGTAACAATATAGCATTCATATCAAAGTCAATTGCTTAACTCTTAAGACCAGGTGGCATTCTCCCGAGGTTCTCTGTTGCTGGATGCGCTAAGCTTCCGCCCTGGCTCACCGCTTGCGGTCAAAAAGCGCCCCTCTATATTTATCCCGGAGTCTGGAACTTCCCCTCTTAATTCTTCTCCGGAGGTTCAATTCTTGCTATTCATTCAAAATGACCGAAGCTGCTAGTGTCTATCCCACGTTGGAGAACCGCCCTATCAAGAACACTGTTGTTCTGTTCGATGTCGACGAGACTCTCACCCCCGCAAGACGTGTATGTTGTGATGGAAGCATGATCTTGGATTCATATTTGGCTGACCTATGGTAACTGCAGCATGCCTCTCCGGAGATGCTTGAGCTCCTCTCACGATTGCGCCACAAGTGTGCCATTGGATTTGTTTGTCCCCGCCCAAGCAATGTCCATACTTCGCTTCTAATGCAGTCTAGGTTGGCGGCTCGAACCTCGTGAAACAGCAAGAACAACTCGGATCTTCTTCAATTGATGTCACGACTATGTTTGATTTCTGCTTCTCCGAGAACGGCTTGACCGCATTCCGTCTGGGCCAGTCGCTTGCCAGCAACAACTTCATTCAGTGGCTCGGAGAGGACAAGTACCAGAACCTGGTGGACTTTGTTCTGAAGTTTATTGCCAACACCAAGCTTCCCCGTAAGCGCGGTACTTTTGTTGAGTTCCGCAACGGAATGGTCAACATTAGCCCCGTTGGACGTGCTGCCAGCCATGATGAGCGTAACGAGTTTGAAGCGTACGCAATCCCCTTGAATAGAGAATTCATCATGAACTGACGGACTTTATAGTTATGACAAGATCCACAATGTCCGAAAGACCCTGGTCGAGGCCCTGAAGAAGGAGTTCCCTGACTACGGTCTGACGTGAGTGCTCCCAAGGCAATTACTTTCATAGCCCTGCTAATGCAATGCCTACAGATACTCCATTGGTGGCCAAATCTCCTTCGATGTCTTCCCCACTGGTTGGGATAAGACTTACTGCCTGCAGCACATCGAGGCGGAGAAGGGCATCTCGGGCATCGAATACAGCACCATCCACTTCTTCGGTGACAAGACTTTCGTTGGAGGTAACGACTTTGAGATCTATGAAGACTCTCGCACCATTGGACACGCTGTCGATGGCCCCGAGGACACCATGAACCAGCTCAAAAAGCTGTTTGACCTGTAAATGAGAGGTCTATGATGCAATACCCATGGGCATGGATTTGTGATAGCGTTTGCATGCAAATTTTGATCTCCATTGAGACATATTTAAAAAGATAACCTAGATTCAATTGATTCTTAATACTTAACTCCTTTGGGTTGTTAACCCAAACAGTATAGTAGAAGGCGGGCAATGCGTGGAGACGCTCGAAGGCGATTATTCTGTCTCGTTCTCTCGCCGGGACGATTTGATTAGCTGCCAAGCAAACCGTTCACAATGCTTGTTGGGATTTCGAAGATTGAGAAATGAAATGGGAAATCAAACCCGGTTTCTTGCTGGGCTTGAAATACGAAGCAAAAAGGTTCTTTTCTTTGTAGATATCTTGGACGTATTGCAATACTTGCCATCAATTATTACTGCGCCGTACTCTAGGCAATCAAGAGCGCAATTTACTTTCGCAGCGACATTTGGAGCTTCGGCAAATTAGTTGTGCAAGCTTCTTCTTCGACATGATGGCTGAACAATATAAGAATTATCGCCTTTTATGGACTCCGCCCCGAACTCAGCGATATCCCGAATGCCTCGAATTATAGCGAGACACTTGATGGACCTTATCCATTTCAATTGATTTGTTCAATCCAAAACTTCCTAGGTATCCTCCGCCTCTCAGTCATCTTCGTTAACTCGAGATCCTCGGGCTTTAAGCCCCACCCGGACGGCGGGTCATCCTATGATCTATGGAGTACATTGGCGTTGAATGCAGAGCAGTGTTTTGTCAGAGGCTTACCACGCTGGCCATCATGTTGGAGTAAATCAATAGACTGGATGTATGGAGTGTCGGAAACAAGTTGTGATAAGAGTTATTTCACAGCGTATTGTAGAAAGCGGTTCCTGTCACTGAATGTCGAATTATCGGGAAACGTCAGTCTTTCCGCGCATTAGTCATTCGTTTCCCGAGGCCTCGACCGGGATCTCTCCCAGCTTCACACTTGAACATCCAATCTATCACTCAAATACTGCCCGCTGTCCTTGGCATGGCATCACACAAACATGTCGCGGAGGTCCCGCGCACTCTCCTTCCTCGTCTGACCTGGAACAGCGCCTCGTCACGTCCTTCCATAACCATCACCCTCCATGCCGCGCCCGCAAGTCAAAGACCTCTTCAAGGCTGGAGTCCTTTGAGCCGACAAACACACTCAGTCGGTCATATATATCAGTCATCCCGCTTTGTTTCGTCATCTTCCCGGGGAATTTTCTCCAGCTCTCTCGTTTCCCGACGACCTTCTCCTCCAACGGCACCATCTTCAACCCCCCCCATCGAACCCCATCCGTCACAATGGCGTCTATGTGGCAACCTTTAATGCAGCTCGGCGTGCCTTTCACGCAACACCGGCGCGACCTCGCGAACATCATTTCGACACGCTAAAGTTTGTGAAGCGCCTTCAGACGGAAGGCTTCAGCGAGGAACAGTCCGTGGCTATGATGCGGGTACTGAACGATATCATTCAGGAGTCTATCCAGAACTTGACCAGAACTATGGTTCTCCGGGAAGGTATGTGCTTATGAAAGAGCTGGCGCATTGCGCTTAGCTTTAGTTAGATGTCTAACACAAGCTTTTTTACCAGACTCGGAGAGATCAACATACACACAGAAAGTGGACTTTGCTAAGCTACGCTCGGAGCTGCTTAATGCAGACTCCACCGAGGCTCAGTTGACTCGCTCATCCCACGAGAAGATTGCAGCAGACCTTGCCAAGCTCAACTCCCGACTCCGTGATGAAATTGGTCGGACTCAAGCTTCTGTCCGGTTGGATTTGAATCTTGAGAAGGGTCGAATTCGTGAGGAAGCAAACGGCCAGGAAATGCGGATCAAGGAAACCGAAACACGTATTGAGCAGGAAGTGGCTGGCTTGAGAGAACGGGTCGAGGCTGTCAAGTTCTCAACGTTACAGTGGCTCATGTATGATCTCCGAATTCTCTTCTTGCATCATATGCTAATTTTGATTTCTCTCCAGGGGTGTCTGTACCGGTACCGCCGCTTTGATTCTTGGTGCCTGGCGCCTTTTTATGTGAACCTATTGGGAAAAGAACCCGTGCATGGATATGGAGTGATTTTTTATACATGAGACTTGGGTCTCCTACTCTGTTCCTTTTGTTTTGTACATATAAGTTATATATTCTAATAGTCTGGCCACATTATGGGACTTATCCAACTCCAAAATTCTTACTTGGTTATTTGGTTACCATTGGAAAGCCCATTGGATACTTGACTAATAACTGTTCTCTTAGCGTAGGAGATCAACAACGTCTCAAAATGGACTAGACGTGTATTAATGCGATGCACTTGCCCAGGTTCCCCTCTTCTTATCTTCAGGGGCAGTGGACTTCTTGCGTCAACTGTCCTTTTTCTCTCGCAATTGCTGGTGGTCTCTCATCTTCCTTGATCAATTCGTTGAAAAATTGAGTGTGTTTGTTCAGTATAATCGAATCAATTCGTTATTGAGGCGGAAGAACAGAATCATTGCAATATTGCATATTCCCTGCCAGCACTAGTGACATACAACAAGTCAATTCAGAGGCTGCTTGCTTAGCACAATGGCTCTAGCCTTTCTGTGTGGAATACTGCTATGGTTGCATATCCCCTTGGTTTCTTCGTTGAATCCCAAATCGCAGTCTTTGCTTCAGGTTTCGTCTCAGACACCAAGTTCAAGCTTGCAAGACGTCTTCCAGGTCTACACGCCATTACAATTCGACCCCAGTGGAGAAAATAGCTGCAATGTCGAGCTATTGCTTATGGATCATGTTTTTGGGGCAAGTTACGGATTGCCGTTCGTGGGTAATCAAGACCCGATCTTTCTTTTTGTCTGGAGAAGGCTAAGTTTCTACTTAAACAGGCGACTATGAACCCCCAAGTTGTGACTTTGATACCGTTCGGATCAATTTAACGGTCACTTCCCAGGGGAGACAATATGATCGACTGGCATTGATGTATCTCGGGGACAATGAAGTTTTCCGGACTTCGACAGCAGAGCCGACAACAAACGGAATTGTCTGGACTTATATCAAGGAGATGTCTCAATACAACTCACTCTGGAAAACCCCCCAGAAGCTGATCTTTGACCTGGGCAATATCATAAATGACGTTTACACCGGTTCGTTCAATGTGACTTTGACAGCACACTTCTCCTACGGACAAGCTGCGAGAACTGCGGATATCATATTGCCCATATCTTCTCAAAAGTCTGCGTCAGATTCTTCGAGTGCGTTTTCGGTGCCAACAGACAATACGACTGTGATGTTCAAGATTCCGGCTGCAGCATCGCGCGCCGTTGTGTCGATCTCGGCATGCGGTCAATCAGAGGAAGAGTTCTGGTGGTCTAATGTATTTAACCAAGACACTCAAGACTTTGAAAGTACCGTGGGTGAACTTTATGGATACACTCCGTTCCGAGAAATTCAACTTTATATTGATGGCATCCTTGCCGGGCTAGTCTGGCCATTTCCCGTCATCTTCACGGGAGGCGTAGCTCCGGGTTACTGGCGTCCCATTGTTGGTATTGATGCATTCGATCTCCGCCAGCCAGAGATTGATATTTCTCCCTATCTTCCCATGCTACAAGATGGTGAACTGCATTCATTTGAAATCCGAGTGACTGGTCTCAGTGTCTCGGCCGATGGAACAGCTACCCTGGCAAACACTGTTGGTTCATACTGGGTTGTCACAGGAAATATCTTCCTCTATTTTGAGGAGGGCTCTTCCTCCAAGGCTGTCACTAAAGAAGACAGACAAGGCCCACAAGTGGAGGCACCTTTACCAACGTTTTCAATCTCTCGAAAACTTGCGCACAATGCTACTGGAGGGAATGACTCTTTATCATACTCCGTGGTGGCCGAGAGAACATTCAAAGCAGAGTCTTCTCAATTTTCATGGTCTCAAAAATTGTCTTTCTCCAACTATGGCCTTCTCAATCAACAGGGATACAGCCAAGTCAATACACAGCTTACTACTGGAATGAACATTATCACCGAGCGTGGCGACACATACACCTCAAACAGAACTTCCTTCGAATACCCATTGGTTGTGAACGCAACCTACGGCATTACTACAAAGGAGCTGACAATCAACTCTTCGATGTCGAGAGGCTTCAACTTCGAGACAACCGGAGGACTCGGAGTTTCCACTTACAGCTTAACCTCAGGACCATCGTATCTTCGCACTACTCAATCTGGAAAAGCACAATACAGATCAGTTTCTGGTGGATCTTCAACTTCATGGGGTGACACGGTTGAGAAATATCAAAGCGAAACGAATGGAAAAGCGTACCAGCAGTCTGTTCACGCAGTTAATGGGACTGTCCTGTATAATATGGATTCCCAAGACAAGGCCCAAACATCTTCACAAAACCAGGAATCAGGGCGAGGCAGTGTGAGAGCTATTCTTGGAAAGGGACCTGGGTCTCCTGCACCTTAGGGCGCAAATTTCGAAGCAATAGTCATTAGTTCCAATAATACATTCATCATATAGACCAACATACTACTGTGTTAATGTACACTGCAGACGGTAGTGGTAGTTTCAACACAGAGCTCCGTCTCTTCAAGACATACGTATAACGCTCTAACAGCAACAAAGCTCCTTCTGCCTGACTTTGTGCTGAGCCAAAGTCACCCTGGCTCCCTCCGTCTCACAAATTTAGGCAAACTCAGTTCCATTTCACTTTTGTTTTCTTTTCTCATATCTTACAAATCCTTCCCATCCCCCAACTATCCCCGTTCTCATCGCCAGCCAATTTCTACTCTCTTTTCGTCTTCCAGGGCATATCCATACGATGGAGCTCACTGCACTCGGCGTGGAGGGCACGGATTTGCTTGTCCACAGGCTCCAAGAGTAAGTCCTGGGAGCCATGTTTACCCGAAATCGTGGGGGCTAACCACAACAGCTTCTGGCACTCTGCTGCCTTCTCCGACCTCACTGTCATCACAACAGACAGAACTTTCCAGGTTCACAGGTTCATGCTCTGCGCAAGGTCTCCTGTCCTCTGTCGTCTCATTGCAGGTGAAGGCCGAGTAAGCTATCATCGAGATCGTGCGCTCAACAACCTGAAAAGCTAACCAATCTTATCAAAGGAGATTCACCTCACCGGGCAGTACGCTCTCGAAATGATGGACGATCATCCACGCATCGTCGAGGCCATGTTACGCTCTTTCTACGGGCTATCCTACGACGGTATCAACAAAGCCACAAACATGATGTGCCCTATGCTATTCAACATCATGGTTTACAATATTGCTGCAAAGTACCAAATTGAGTATCTCAAGGTTCAAGCCAGACTCAAATTTACTTGCGCCATACAAAATCTTTGGGACTCGGATGATTTTCTGGTTGCAATTTCCCAGGCATACACCACCACATCAGCAGAAGATCGGGATCTTCGTGTTTTGATTGTGGCAATCTGCCAGAAACACAGAAGGGCTCTGCGGGAGAAGCAGGAGTTTGAAAGTTTACTTGCGAATATTCCTGGACTTGCCAGTGATCTTTTGCTTCTTTCGCGCCAATACATCTATCCAACTTTGGCTCTGGAGCCGCGCATCGTCGAGTCCTATGTTTGCATGAAATGTCTATCGAAGTGGCAGATTCAAGTTGGTATCGTGAAGGACTTTCTTAAATGCCCTTTCTGTCGCCACGATGAAGTGCTTCCTTTCTAGGACAATTCACAATCACCATGAAATATGAGAATGGGACAGGCAACTCCCTTGACGGGATTCTTCTGCGGCAACATATTCACTTTTTGTAACTCAAACGTCAATACTTCTCCCCGGGCATGTTGAATGTAGCATATTATCCATAAACAATTCGATCGAGTACCCAGCAAGCGACTGTGCATCCAAGGCTGTTGTGTTTCAGGTTAAAAGAAAAGAATATTGAGGGCGATATAAGTCAATTCTTGCTCGCCCAAATGGTTTTATGCCATCTCTGTGGTTTTTCCGTCACTGCCACATTGATTCTTCTTAGTCGATTTATCTGCGTGAATTTGAATACTATGGTAGCCTTTAAGTCGATTGAACTATGCCAAATGTGTCGTCCATCACACAGAATGCATTTTGGATGCAAAGCTTCCTGAGAGCCGAGCCAATTGATGTAGCAGCCACTACATATCGGGGAGGCACCACATCAGAGTCGTATCTAGGCAGAGATAGATGGCTAGAATCAGATTAGCCGCAAAGCCGAAAACTGCACGAGTATGGATTTGTTGTGAAATCGGTATAAAATCCATATTTTCTTTGGGTCTGGCTGACTTTGACACCTTCCAAGATTATCCATATCAATTTATTGTCGAGTTGACCTTCCAAGGTTCGATTTCCATACTTCGTATCTTTCCGACAGCTTTATCCAGTATCTTATCCTTTATCTAATCGGATATCTTATCAATCGCAATCGTCATCAGAACTTGACTCGAGGCTCGGAACTTGAAGTGACGCACGGATCATCCTCTGTTATCAACACGTGACTCACGCTTGTATCCGCCGTCACTTTTCGATAAGCTATCGGCCCCAGTTGTCGCCTCTGGGTTTACGCTCAATTTATTTGCCGCAGCGTCACAGGTGTTCAAACCTGCGGTCAGAATGGCGGTGGTCGCAGAGGAAATCATATTACCAGGTAAACTTGCATCTCTTGGTCAATTGAAAACAGACCAGTGTACTGATATCACTCCCCATTCTAGACAGCCACTTTGAGTCCCTACATTGCATCTTCGAGCAATCGGCTGTGCCGCCCTCCGATGGCCATGCTACCAAGCGTCGCAAGGTCACCAAGGCTAACTCAAGATGTCTGGTAGATGGCAACGGTGAATCTGCCACAGGGATACCTCGAGGTTACATTCCGCTGGCACGGTTGACATTGCACATGGTAAGCCCTTCTGACTGTCATGCCAACCAATACAAAGATACTAAAGACTCCTTGTCGCCTGTTAGAAATCATCATCTTCCGCCGTACTCAAGAGGGAACAATTACAAGGTCTGGACCTATTGCCCCCTCGGGTTCCCGTCATCACAGAAGTCCGCAACATTCGCCTACTCAACGATGACGATGACGATGGAGACAGCGCGCTGCAGAAAGACTCCCTCCGCCATGAGCCTTACGCTATGGAACTTCAAATACGTGATCTCAATGAAACCCATACCTTTTCGCATTTATTTCAAGACTCGCGACTGTTTGAATTGCTAGAGCAACTCCAACACGCCAGCGGTCTCATCCATGCAAACAAATACTCTAACCAAACTCCAATCGCCTGCTACCAGGCTTCCATCTCGGTATCACCAGGAAAAGATGTGTTCAGTCTCCATACCGTTGTTCTGTGGAAGGATTCAATCGAGATCCCAGTCCTTTCCTACCTTCAAGATCCGGTTTTGGAGATTTTTACAAAATATGTGCTGCAGGAGCATCTCAATAACCCTTCAACTCCATATGATCGGAAACAACGTCGTGAACAGATGCTAGGTTCTCCTCAACACTGGTCCCCTCGGGAGTTTTACAAAAGTGTTCACGTTCCCCGAGCCTCCGAAGGTGCCTCGAACCTGACATGTCCTGGGATCGACTGCAGCCTTTTTCCATTTCAGAAGAGAGCTCTTCGATGGCTTTTAGAGAGAGAGGGAATGGCGGTTCAGCAAGATGGCACAGTCGTTCCGACAAAACAGATCTCGAAAAGTGAGCTTCCGATGTCTTTCGGAGAAATGAAATGTGCCGACGGGCAAACATTTTACTTCAGCCGACTTTTCATGATTTTGACAACCGACATCTCTAAGTGGTATGATTCTTCAGACATCTTGAGGGGTGGGATTCTTGCAGAGGAAATGGGACTAGGCAAGACAGTTGAAATGATTGCTCTAATAAGCCTTAATCGCCGAATCTCAGAGCAACAGCCAAAGGCTGACCCGGATGGACTGAAGCCATCTGGTGCGACACTTATTATCACACCACCCGCTATTCTTGGGCAATGGAAACAGGAGTTGACGAAACATGCCCCTGATCTGCGGGTTCACGTTTATACTGGCATCAAACGTGGGAAAGAGGAAACAGACGATATGATTGTTGATGAGCTTGCTGAGTTTGACGTTGTCCTAACCACCTACCCCGTCATCTCTCGAGAAATTCACTACGTGAGTGCCGTGCCAGCAAGAAATTTCCGGCATACAAAGCGATTCGAACCCCGAAAGACACCCTTGGTTCGAATTCAATGGTGGCGCGTTTGTTTAGATGAAGCCCAGATGATCGAAAGCGGTGTCAGCAACGCAGCAAAAGTAGCACGCTTGATTCCTCGGGAGATCGCTTGGGCTGTGACTGGCACGCCGTTGCGCAAAGACATAGATGATCTGTTTGGGCTACTTCTTTTTCTGCACTATGGGCCATTTTGTTTCTCAAATCCGCTGTGGAAAAGACTGTTTTCACGGTTTGGACCGGTCCTGACCACCATCATTAACAAAATCACTCTTCGACACAGCAAGGATCAAGTGCGTGACGAGCTTCGTCTTCCTCCTCAAAAACGCATTGTTATAACTACACCTTTCACGGCCATCGAAGAACAGCACTACAGGCAATTATTTGAACAAATGTGTGCGGAATGCGGACTTGACGACTCAGGTGCACCCCTTAGAGAGACTTGGGATCCTGAAGATCCGATCATCATCGAAAAAATGCGTGTGTGGTTAACGAGACTACGCAAAACATGTCTTCATCCAGAAGTTTCTTCGGGCACTCGTCGCGCATTGGGGGCAAATAACGGGCCATTGCGGACTGTGGACGAAGTTCTGGAGGTAATGATCGAAGCCAATGAGACGGCTATTCGCGCGGAGGAGCGCTCACTTCTTCTTTCTCAACTCCGAAGAGGCCAGCTTTTGGAGAACGCAAAGCGCCGCATGGAGGCTCTTGTCTTATGGCAAAAGTCATTAGATCATGCAACCAAACTAGTTGAAACAAGTAGAGAACAATTGCGACAACAGAGGATGAAAAGCGACAGTGCTACAGACGGTATAAATGGAATGATATCGGCAATGGAACACTTGAACGATGACGAGGCTGAAGATTCTAACAACAGCCGCATTGGTCAATACAGGCTAAGGCTTCGAAATGCGCTTGAGGTCCAGCATATCGCCGTTTTCTTCACAGCAAACGCTTTCTATCAGATCAAAAGTGATCCGAGCTTAACCCAGCCGGACTCTGATGAGTTCAAATCTCTCGAAAAACGCGAAGAAGATGGCTACGAGGCGGCCAAAAATATTCGCAAGGAGATGTTGACAGATATTTCCCGAAAAGTTGAGCGCTACATGAAGACAATCAAGGAGAAGACACGAAAGAAGCAATTTGTGACTATTCCAAAAATGAAGCCCAATCTTTATAGCGAGGGTCTCGAGTCTTATCGATTGCTCAGGAAGTTTGAAGACCTATGTGCAGCACTCAACAAACATGCTGAGCAGTATAATGAATGGCGTGCTGCCATGGTTAAACTTGTTTCACAGTCGCTCATCGACCAGGAAGAAGATGCAGAACTGGAGGGCAACGAGTATGAGCGATCTACAAAGCATCAAGATGAGATGTATGTCTATATGGAGGCTTTGCGCTCAATGTACGCTGATCGGCACGATGCCCTCACCGGCCAAAAGAATGTTCTCATTTCCCACGAGGTCAAAGCAGGTCTTGTTCAGGCTCAGCGAGGCGAAGGGCCCTCTCCACAGCTATTTCTCAAGATTATGGATGCTCGCAGTGAGCTCATGCCAGATCCCCAGCTTGGGTCACTCCGCGGTATTGTCGGTGAACTTCGTACTATTCTGACCTCTTTGGACTGGCAAGCTAGTTCTGGAAGCTCGCGTGCCCGTGCTGAACATGAAATAGTACATTTGGTTTTGAAAAATGCCGGTCAAATGATGTCGGATCAACTGAAGGTCTCATCCAATCTGGAAAAAGAAGTCGAGATGTTCCGCGACACCATGAACAATCGGCTCGAATTTTATCGCCACCTGCAGCAGATCTCAGATACAGTAGCTCCGTACGACGAGGAAAGTGCAGGCAAGCCACTTGATGACGAGCTTTTCAACTCGAGACTCCGGCAGGAGGAGATCCTTGACGGCAAAATCTCTTCGCTCAAGTCAAAAGGAAGATACCTCATTCACTTGAGGGATGATTCCAGCGTCGAGAATACCTCGAGGATCTGCATTATCTGCCAATCAACTTTCGAAGTTGGTGAGTGGCATGTTGCTATAAATTTTGCATGAGCTTGGACTTACTTATTTAGGTGTATTGACTGTTTGTGGTCATAAGTATTGCAGTGATTGTATTCGCATGTGGTGGCGTTCTCACAAGACCTGTCCGGTGTGCAAGAAGACACTGAAGCTCGCGGACTTTCATCAGATAACATACAAGCCACAGGAATTAGTTGCCCAGGAAGAAGAATCATCTCACAAACAGGGCCACGAACAGCATGCTGAAAACGCAATCTATAGTGACATCAGCTCTGGACTTCTGAGGGAGATCAAGAATATTGAGCTGAATGACTCCTTTGGAACGAAGATTGACACCTTGGCTCGTCATATTTTGTGGCTACGAGAACATGACCCTGGGGCAAAGTCGATTGTCTTCTCCCAGTACAAGAGCTTTCTGACGGTACTTTATGAGGCATTTTGTCGCTTCAAGATTGTCAGTAGTAGCATTGACAGGCCGGATGGTATTGAGAGTTTCAAGAGGGATCCAACGGTATGGATCCCGAAGGCTTCCCCTCGTTGGGATATTTGCTGACTACAGGAATAGGTTGAGTGCTTCTTGTTACATGGAAAGGCACAGTCATCTGGGTTGACTTTGATAAACGCAACCCATGTCTTTCTTTGTGAACCGCTTATCAATACGGCAATCGAACTCCAGGCTATCGCTAGAGTACATCGTATTGGCCAGCATCAGCCAACAACGGTGTGGATGTACCTTGTCTCTGGCACTGTCGAGGAATCCATCTATCAGCTTTCTGTCACTCGACGACTGGCTCACATCATTGAGAAAGAGAAGCATGAAAAAACAGGTCATTCAGCGGACGCTCCTAACGGCAATGGTCATCTCATCGAAGATCTGACAGAGACGGCCCTCGACTCGGCTAACTCTATGGAAATGCAGGAGGCCAGCCTCGCTCAATTGATGACAAGTGGTCCATCAGATGGAGAGCTGGTGAAGCAGGATGACCTTTGGCAATGTCTCTATGGTAACACAGCCGATAAGGATGGCAATAAATCCTCCATGGAGGCCGAGAGGGAAGTTGGCCGGTTCTTGAGGGGTGAGGCTGCTGAGCACAGAAGGGGTGAATAACGAAGCTAAGAACTAATGATTGTAAAATATGATAGCTATGCTACTAAGCAAATAACATCTTGCTACCTCCCGTTTCGGTTATTGATGTACGGAAAACTAGACAATGTAATCGGATGGGTACAGAAATATATATCGTGCTCTATCAGGGGGCTGATTCACTACCCCCAAACTCGCCCCAAAGCCAAATTATGATCAGCCAACACCTTCCACTTAGTTTCCGTCTTTTAATTTGTGATCTAGCTTTTCACACATTGTCCAAGGCATTCACTTGCCCAGATGGACTCCAGCTGATATCAGCCTGACTAAGCACGCTGACTAATATCGTGAACTGCACGACGGTGAAGGGCGATGACGTGGGTGTTTGTTGCCTATATCGAGCAAAACTGAGTGATAACTGTGAATTCGTTGCTCCTGAACTCCTCTGCTTAACACAGTTGTTGTTTGTCTCTCAATCCTGCAAAGTACATTCCTCATGGCGGACTCACAGAGCCCCGAGGCTCGCGAGTTGAGCTTGATAGGCAAGGTCGAATTTAGGATTGCCATGGCAGACACAGATGAGAAGCTACAGTCATTACTTCAAACTTATCTTGCCCCATTGTTATTGAAGCTGGGGTCGGAAAGTGTGGCAGTCCGTAACAAAATCATCTCGGTTTGCCAGCATGTCAACGCCCGAGTGAAGGCCCCCTCTATCCAGCTGCCCGTGGCAGCTCTGCTCAAACAATTCAAGGAGCAAAAATCTCAACTGATCAGACATTTTGATCTCATCTATGCCCAACAAGGCATTGACCGCCTTGGTTCCGAGGCCAGAGTCGACATTCTATTGCCTTTGCTCCAGGGTATCTCGCAAATCGGAACTTCACCCACCCAGGGTGCCATCGTGTTTAACCTGGTACTTCGTTTGCTACCACTTCTGAAGCTACCACCCAAAGGTAGTGAAGAGGATCGGGACTTGAAAAAGCGGCTTGGTCTCTCAGACGATGATTCCCAATTCTTGTCGCTTTGGCTGGCCAAATTGCTCCTTCTTACCCCTGGTCCCAAAGAGTCAACAACCTGCCCTGGTCTCTCTCCAGATGAATACACATTTTTGAACAAAGGTGTTCCCGCAAACGAAACATGGAATCCGTCAGCAGACGGGGGTTTAAATCTCACCGAAACCAAAGTCACCGCTCTTCGATTCATCGGCAGTGGTGCTTTCAATGATGCCCAAAGATTTTTGCCCTCACTAATCGCTTCTTCCGATGCCAATTCTCGCCTTGCTGATCTAGGCGATGAAACACTTAAGCGGTTTGCCGCCGATATTGAGAATCCTACAGTCGTTGAGGAACTGTATGGTCTCTATTTTGGCACACCTGGAGCACCTCCTGCCAGACCTCCGCTTCAAGTTAAGCTCCTTACTTTCCTAGGAAAGTCTATTAAAGCTACAGCTGATCCACAGAGAATCTTGAAACTCATTGAAGATGGGCTTCTTTCCGACTCTGCAAGGTCCTCTCAAGGCTTGCAAGCATCCAAACTCAGAACTCAAATCTTCACGTTCACCACATGGGTTGTTCGTATGGGCTCCCCTTCCGATCTCGAACAAATCGCACCAAAGCTTGTTGCAGGATTGAGGGATTTCATTGAATCTCAAGGATGGCCTAGTCCTGCGGCTAGTGGAAACAAGTTACCCACAACAGATCTCAGCTTGCGAGGTCTAGCCTACGAAAGCATTGGTATCATGGTACCTAAGATTGACTTCAAGATGCAAGCAGATGCCGTTGTGAACTTTGAGTTCGATCTAGTTCGTTGGCTCTTTGCGTCCTTGAGTGCAGATGATTCCAGTCCTCAAATCTTCGTCAGCATTGATCAAGCGCTCGGCAGTATTCTTAACTCCTCATTAGACAGCCATGACATCACTTTCCAAGATCAACTGCGTCCATTTTTGGTTCGTCAAATGAGCTTGCAACCCGGCGATGTTGACGTCCAAAGTGGTCACATTGTCGTTAGAGGTGTTCAGTATGCGGCGGTGCGGTTTGCGAACCGGTTCCTGCCCTTCGGCGATGTGGTTGCCCGTTGGATTGATTTGATGGCCGTCGCAAGAGGGCCGGAAAGGCAACAAGAGATCTTCGAGGAAGGCAAGAAAGGCCTCCATCCGTATTGGTATCGACTACTCAACCCGACAAAGGATAAGACATGGACTGGTCCTGCAGCGCAACATGATGAACGTTGGTTTGATTTCCCCAAGTTCAGCGAGGCTACCCGCTTTCTGCTAGGGTCGGAAGAGCAAGAAAAACAGTCAAATGCTCTGTCCTTATCTGCGTCTGAGCTGTTGTCCGGTCCCTACAAGAATTCTTTTGTACCTGCCATTTCCTTCCTCCGCAACACACTGCTTTGGGAGGCCTTCTCTGCGGCGGGTATTCCTGCAGAGCTCGAGCAGGATTGGGACTATAAGCTGGAAGTTCTTTTATCTACCAGCGAAGAAGCGCGCGCAGCCGTGAGACAGTACACACGAAAGTCTGCAAAAGAGTCTGTCTTGGCGTTGTTGTCAGGGACTCTAGAAGGCCTTGTGACTGGTGGGCGACAAGGTTTACGGCAATGCGGCCTTCATTTTGTCGAAATTTGCTCGCTGGCACCCAATGATGTTGTCGGGCAGTTGCTTTCGCGTGCGACCTCATTGATGGAGCCCATTTCCAGTAACAACCAGGACAATCAGGATATCACTGCACGTGCATTTGGAATCCTGGTTTCCCATCCCGAGTTCCCCGATAATGAACTGCAAAAATTCATTACTGAGTTAACCGGTACCGTCAAATCATGGAACACTGCTGTTGGTGAAGGGATCATGCGAGTCCGCGGCGCCATTTTAGCACTTGCATATCTGCTGAGCCGACTTGCGTACCGCGATTTGGCGAGGAGAACACCAGAAACTCAAGTGAAAGAGTTCATCGAGACTATCTTCGATATTCTAGATGTTTCCCGTGACACCCTCCTCCAGCGAACCGCGCAAGTGGCCATCGGCCAGTTGAGTCTCTCCGGGGTTCTCACTCTGGACACTCTAGCCGAGGAAGGCTGGAAAAAAGTACAGGAAAAGCTCTCACGAGATGCAAAGACTGAGAATCAAATTCCTATCAGCGCATTGGGATTACTGAGCCTGACGTTCTCCCGATCTGGGTCTGATGGAAGCCTGTTCAAGGAATTCCTGGGTTCGCTCTACAGTCTTCATGAAATCCGCAGCCCAGAGGTTCAGTTTACTGTAGGCGAGGCCCTCTGCAACGTCGCCGCTGGATGGGACTCTCGGGCTCTGATCCAAGACTTTGACATTGATGCAAAGTTCCCTAGCTCGGATGTCCCCCGTTCGGTGTTTGCAGAGATTTGTGATAAGATTATCGCGGATTGCATTGCACCCAAGCCATCTCTTCGGAAGGCGTCTGCAATCTGGCTGTTGTCCTTAGTCAAGAACTGCGGCCACATGGAGGAGATGCAGGACCGCCTGCGCAAGTGCCAAGCTACCTTCAGTAGTCTTCTTGGAAACCGTGACGAGGTGGTGCAGGAGACTGGCGCGCACGGACTCAGCCTTGTCTATGAAATTGGCGACCAATCGCTCAAGGATGACCTGGTGCGAGATCTGGTCGAGTCGTTCACTTCTACCGGCCCCAATCTCGGGGGTGGCAACGTGACCGCTGACACGCAGCTATTTGAGCCGGGCGCCCTGCCCACTGGTGAAGGGTCTTCTGTCAATACCTATAAGGATATCATGAACCTGGCTGCCGAGGCTGGTGACCCGACTTTGGTTTACCGATTCATGTCACTGGCCTCTAATAATGCCATTTGGACAAACCGTGCAGCATTTGGCCGCTTTGGAATCAGCACCATATTTTCCGACTCCAGCGTCGATGGCTATCTGGCTAACAACCCCAAGATCTATCCCAAGCTATTCCGTTATCGCTTTGACCCGAACCCAAATGTGCAGCGATCTATGAACACTATCTGGCAGGCACTGGTCAAGGATCCCACAGTTGTGATTGATACCCACTTTGATGATATCATTCAGGATCTTCTCAAAAGCGTCCTAGCTGGCCGAGAATGGCGTGTTCGACAAGCCAGTTGTGCTGCCATTGCAGATCTGATCCAAGGCCGTCGCCCAGAGAAATTTGTTCAGTATCTAGATGAGATTTACAGTAAAGCTTTCAAGCTACTCGATGATATCAAGGAATCAGTTCGGGCTACCGCTTTGAAGCTCTGTCAGACCATTACCAATTCGGTGATCCGCACCCTTGAGACGAGTGGTACAGAGAAACGAGCTGCTACTCTACTGAAAAGTGCTATCCCATTCCTCTTGAGCGACAAAGGACTAGACTCTAGCGTTGAGGAAATCCAAGGGTATGCCATTGGCGCTCTTATACAAATGATCAAGAAAAGCCCAGGATCGCTTCTGCGCCCACACGTGCCCAACATGTTGGAGAAATTCCTAACTGCTCTCAGCTCTCTGGAACCACAGGCCGTGAACTACGTCCATCTCAACGCCGACAAGTATGGTCTGACTGGTCAGGAGATTGACAAAATGCGCTTGTCTAGCATCCGTACATCTCCCATGATGGAAGTGATTGAGCGGTATCTGATTGATAACCTGGACGATTCCAATCTGGACGAGCTGGCGCAGCGACTCGAAGATGTGCTTCGATCGGCTGTGGGCCTGCCATCCAAGGTCGGCTGCAGTCGAGTGCTGGTACTGCTGAGCATGAAGACTCTCCAGTTCCGCCCGTACGCAGACAAATTCATCCAACTCCTGACCAAGTATGTGGTGGATCGAAATGATACTGTGAGCGCTTCTTACTGTTCATCGATGGGCTATCTTCTACGACTTGCTTCCGACGATCGTGTACTGAAGACCATTGACTTTGCCAAAAAACTTTACTTGAATGCAGAGGATACCACGCCTCGCGTCATCTCGGGCGAAATCTTGTACTCGGCCTCTAAATTATCCAACGACCGGTTCATGGCATTCGCAGCGACTGCCTTGCCGTTTGTGTTTATGTGCAAGCATGACGGAGATGAGCACGTGAAGGAGCAGTTTGAAAAAACCTGGTCCGACAACGTCGGTGGTTCTCGTGCGGTGACCCTCTACATCCGCGAAATCGTCGGCCTTGTTTCGGACAATTTGGACTCCCCCATGTGGGCCATTAAACATACAGCCGCACGCGCAATTGCGCAAGCAATTCAGTCACTTGACGCCGAAATCGACCTCCCAACAGCCCAATTAGTGTGGCCGGTGTTGGAAAGGGCACTAGCGGGAAAGACATGGGAAGGTAAAGAAGCGGTGCTCCAGGCGCTAGTCAAGTTTAGCAGTCAAGCTCAGACATTCTGGGAAGCGACAGAGTTGAGTAATCTGATGAAGGTAAGTGGGCCATTCTCGCCACTCCAGAAGGGGAAACACAAGATTTGGAATGCTAAACCGGGTGTCAGACGATTACGGTGCGCGAAGCGAAGCGCGCTAACGTTATCTATCGGCCGCATGGCTTACGAGCAATGGGCGAGATCGCATTGGTACGCAAGGACCTCGATTTCAAGAGCGATGCCATGAAGATAGTGCCCGGTGTAATCGACGAAGTAGTGGATGAGGACCATATGGAAATTGACTCCAAGAACGGAACCCAGGACGACACCCTTGCGGCCTGTGTCCAATGTCTGCTGCAGTGTCTCAACCCCACCGCCGGTTCGGGCCAAGGTCAGTCCCCTGAAGCCCCCTTCCCCCTAGCGTCATGCCATGCTAAGTCTAACCATAGTGTTGGGAGAGTACGTGGAACAGATGACCGGTCTGCTGGACCGAGTCTTCCAACATGGTGGACGACAGGTCATCAGCACGGGCTACGACGAGCTCCGGGCGTTCTTTACGCGAGTGGAGACTTGGATCTCGGAGTCATCCGGTGAGATACCGCAGGTTGCTGTTCTGGCTCAGCTCCTCACGGAGGAACGGGATGGGTCTGTTGAGTCCATCCGCAAGGGTCGTGCAGAGGCCATTTTGGCGTACCTGAAACTGCCCCGAGTCCAAGTGCCTGACACGCTTCCGGCCGAACTCCGGAGGTGGAGGAACAGCGAACGGTCTGGAGGAGTTCAGCGAATCCTCGACGAGGCCCTGGGCCTTGAACCACGTGGCTGATCGACCGAGGGAAAACCCATGAATCATGAAGTCCAGGTGGCCGTCTCCCATGAACGATTCGATTCGATCGACCCAATTAGCGCGTGGGGACTAACTCCCAAACGGGTAATGGGCCGATGGTTCGTTTGGCATTTTTACTGTCCACATTTCTCTGGTCTCTCTTGGTTCTTTTTTTTTTTTTTTATTATGCCTCTTTTTCACGGAGGGGTTATTTTTTTATTATTTCGGACCATTCAGGTGTGCAGAATCCAGTGCAGAATTCGCGAGCCTAAAGAGAATAGTTTCTACGCCACTCGCTTAACACTCGGCCATGTCCGTATAAGAGAATGCGGGTGTGATCCCTTCGATTGCCTCGATTCCCTCGATACACGTCGATCCAGACGGGGCCGGGCCGATCGAGACCATAGTGATTGTTTTGGTCAATATTTCTTTTCCCCAGGAAAGGGCTTTGGGTTTCCTGTTCCCTCCCTTTCGCCCTTTTCGCCCTTTCGGCTCCGATACAGGGCCTAAGCCTAAAACCCTTAACTTCGACACTTTTTTTCTCCCTACGTGGCTTCAGCCAGCCCAGTCTTGAGGGGATAGTCCTTAGCGTGCCTTGTAATTATAGATCTTGGGTTCTTTTTTGGCTTTTTTGGGCTTTTTGCTTTCGTATTTTCGGTTTTCTTTCCACATGGTTGGCACCTGCATGCCATTCCCTCCCTTTCCCTTTCCCTCTCTCTCTCTCTGTTTTTTTTTTCTCGCTTATCCCCTTTCGATCTGACCTGTTTTCTCTGGTCATTTCGCATCCGAGAGATTCTTTAGATTCCCCGCCACCCGTCAAGCCAGAAAGAAGGCTGCGCCATCCCTCGAACCATGCGATGCAGCTTGACATTTTTCTCGTGATGTGAACATACATAAACTCCTCTCCGCAGTTGATTTTTTCCCCCTTCCCCACTTGGATTCATCTATATTCCTTTTGCCTCCCTCTTCTTCTCAGTAGCTTCTCTTCTCTTTCTTCCCCAATTCTCCATAATTTGCCACTCGTAAGTCTCAATGTCACCCTGTACTCCCTGTGCTCCCTGTCTTTCGCCCCTCCAACCACTTGTACATCGCTGACCCCGGGTAGTCTCTCTCTCTCGCAGGCACCCCGGTCAGCCTTATGACGGTAACCAGTCTGGTGATGCAAAACCGTCGGAGTAAAGTCTCTGGAAAGCCACCCCTGCGACTTCCTATCATCGCCCCCAAGGAAGACTTATTTGCAGATGCCTTTAACAAGGCTGAGAAGAGTCTGATCGCGCCACCGCGGATCCGCCTGCCTCCGCGATCTCGAACGGGTTGCTGGTAAGTCCAATTGATGTCAACGGCTGATGAATACCTGGCTCATGCGAATTGATTTGTTTAGGACATGCCGAGTGAGTGATTCTGTGATTCTATGATTCTTTGCCCGATAGTCCGTTAATCTTGGAATTGTTGGTTTGCAGAGTCGAAAGGGTGAGTGGCTCATTTCTCATCCCGCTGAGGATTCCGCTGACATTCCGCTAGTCAAATGTGATGAAGGACACCCGCAATGTAATGTATGCATTCCTCGGGCTCCTTGCAATCCCACAATTTACTGACAATGGACTAGCAATGTACTCGTCTGGGCCATACTTGCGATTATCGCCCTCGATTGGCCTTTCGCGATGATACCCCTCGTATCATGGGCCGAATGGCCGATGTGAAGACCGACGGTCATGTGGTTTGGGATCGTAAGCAGCCTCCGTCCATGTTGGGAAGGCTATACTAACCACGTAGTAGTCACCTCCCCCAATTCTATGGATGAGAGGACCGAGTATTTCTCTCTAGGGGACTCTCTGCCTCCCTTTTCGCGCCTCACTTCAGACGAAGAACGGGAAAAGAAAGCAGAAGCCTTTAGTCCTGGCACGTACCATGTGGTGATGACACCTGACAGTTTCTCGTCGCTGCCAGAGTATGCAGAAGACCCAAATGAGAAATCTAGATCCAAGGCTTCGAGCGATTGTAGGAGCTCTGTGGCCAACAGCCCGACCAGTGCTGCCAAGAGTGAATGCAGTGGGCGCAGCGACGATCCCAATGTGGTGATCTTGAAGACTTTTGAAGATGTCACTCGGCGTTCGCCCAATGGCAAAATGTCCAGAATCTCCCCGACTTCGGAGATCTCAGATCCATTCTGTGCTTTATCGCTATCCCCGATCATGCCTTCCCTCCCTTCGCCATCGGTGAAGCTGGAGAATATGACCTACTTGAACCTTGACCAACAAAGTCAAGATTCGACCCTCTTCTCCCATTTCCGCCATGTCGTATGGAGGCAACTGTTTCCCCACGACCACAGACTTGATGACTCGTACGGATCTGACAGTCATTTCATGACCCTCAGTGTGGATTTCCTCGAGCAGGAAGCCACCCATTTCCCTCCTGTGGGTATATCGAGCTCCAATGGTTAGACCGATGATACTAACATTGGTCAGCTCTCCCACGCTATGATGGCTATTTCAGCCCTTAGTCTCTCCCACAGCGGCACAGGTCACAATGTCGATGCGCTACAGTACTACCAACAAGCTTTCCCATCGCTTCAAGTCAGCCTACGGAACAACGACGACCTAGTTTCTGATGGGCTCTTCCTAACCCATTTCTTACTACTCATCTACGAGGTAAGACAACTTCGCGTGCCTCACGCTTTGCGCCTACTAACATTACCATAGATCGCGGCTGCTGAGCCTCACGGTTCAAATCTATGGTCCCATCACATCTCACGTCTCCTCCACATTGCCTTCCTCCGTCGCTCAAAGTACGGCCAGGAACCATATCCCTTCATCCTATGGTGGGTATGCCACATTGACCTCTACGCCCTGCTTAGTGGAGCAGGAACTGGAGAGTTTGTACGCGCGGTCATCGACCATCAGATGCTCCCTGGGTCCGATTCCCTTCTCTACCCTACAGCCCCAGAGGGTTACAGTGTGATCTACTCTGATGAGCATGATAGCTTGCCGGTCATCATGCGCCTTTACCATGATACCTTCCGGTTGGCCGCTCAACTTGGATTCTTGGCCACGCAACTTCGCCACGACAAACAAAACCTACCGTTCGCCGAGTTTGACCAGCGAGCCCAAGAGATTGCCGATCTACGCCAGGCCTTTGGGAGATTGTGGGAGGCACCCGACGTTGCCTTTTTGCACCAGCACCAAGACAATCTCCCACGACGGTCTCGGGAGATTCTGCAGCAGGTCAGCTTTCCTGATCTTATCCTACTCTTGTACTTCAAAACTAACCTGTCTCTAGTCGGCAACACTTTATCATGCTTCTCAGCTGTTCTCCTACAGCAGCATGTGGCCCGGGCAACGGGTTGAATCGGAATTCTCAGCAGATGGGGATATTGATCACCATGCGACAGAAATTTTGCGCCTCGCTGAGAAGACTACACACACTCGGCGAGCCGACCGTCACTTCCTGGTTTTCCCCTTGTTCTTGGCGGGTGCTACCGCATCTGCCAGTGGTCTCAAGATGATGGCGATGGAGTTGATGACGAGTATGGAGGATGAGGAAGATGGCATGGGACGCAATGCGGCAACCACCCGTGCCATTCTTCAGATCGTGTATGAGCGACAGTTGGAGCGACTCATGCGCGTGGGTCACACATTTGATGTGGATTGGTCCGACTTAATGACCCAGGAAGGGCTTCAGATGGTGAATTTCGGATTTTGATGTTGCAAGGCATCGGCGCATTGGGTGGCATTGTATTTTGATATATGTTTAGCATGATTGACGATTAAGTGTATGTATAGAAACGAAGAATCCATGGTCAAAGATCTCGGGCCGACCCCCGACCCAGTAAACTCCATTCTGCATTTGTAGATCTCTCATTCGATCTTTGTTTTCCCATGTAAACCAAGCCCTAAAGACAACTTCATAGGGCCGAGTTATCCAGGCCTCAAGGCAGCAACTTGTGACAATTCTCATCACCTGCGGGGTCAGCGTCTCGCCCGAACTTGGCGCCTACAGCGACACCATTTCCCCCTGAATCTCATTTCATTCTCTTTTCTTTTCTTTTTTTCAAGATGAAGAACTCGAGTGTGTAATCTCCGATCCTCTGACCCCGCATTTACGCCTCTGCGATCTTCGTGCTTATCTCCGTAATTGAACATCTTCTGCGATTCTGGTCTTCTGCGGTTTCGACTTATCCCCGCCATGAATCCTGGCGAGAGTCGCGCCCTTCACCCCGAGGAGCTTTTCCTCAACGACTCCCCTGGCAGACAAGAGTCGCCCGTCATCGGCCCTCTGCGCATCAACAAACGAGACTCGTCATCTCCAGCATCGGCAGCGGGATCCAGCCCCCCACCGAATGCCCCGCTGCCTTACCCTGATGATCGACCAAGACCTCAGATACGGACCGCGAGTTCGAATGAGAGATATCCCGATAATGTGAGATATGGGTCTCCGCCAGCTGGTTCTGGGTCAGTGAGCCCCAACGAATATCCCTCAGCTCTACGTCCGCGGGACGGTCGTGAGCCTCGGGTCGCGACTCTGGCCGAGCGGCGTGGTGCTGCCCCGAAGCCATTACCCGAATCCCCGGGTCCAGATGCGCCAGACCGTGAGGCTCTAGCAGCTAGACCTTACCCCCGGCCGCCTGCTGGCCCAGTGCCTGGTCCCCCGGCAGAGGCTTCTACAAATGCGAATCAATATGACTATCGCCAACAATACTACCCGCCGCCCTCTCGGCAGAGTTCGGTGGCTAGGCCTCCATCCAGCATGCAGCCTGCTCAAGGCTCGATCAATCGAATCAGTTCTACTGCCTCGACCTCCACAACTCGTGCCCAACGGGGTTCTCCGCCGCCACCAGAGACTCCCGTCGTCGGGCCTGGCCAGCAGCCTGGGTCTGATATCGAAGCTCGCTATGCGGCAGCTGGTATTGCGGGCACAGGAACTCTCGCGGGTATTTCATCATACAATTCTGCAGCTCAAAGGCGAGCGGAGCAGTACTTTGGGCAGCAGCCGACTTTCCAGCAGCCTCCACAGCCACGGCCATGGACCCCAACCGAGCAGCCTGGATCTCAGCCGCATGGACCTCCTACTGTTTACCAAGGTGCAGAGGTTGTGAGCGAGGACAGCCATCCAGCTACTTCTCACCCTGGCCAGTACAGCAGTCCCCCTCCCCAGTCTCACCCAGGACAGTATAGCAGCCCACCCCCTCAGACCCATTCCGGTCAATACAGCAGCCCCCATCCCCAACCCCAGTCAAGCCAATACAGTGGCTCGCCATCCCAGCCACATCCAGCATCTGTGCAGCCGCAGCAGCAAGAGCAGCCGGAGAGACCTGACAATGCTCTGGAGCAAGATATGGACCGAATGCGCCTCAGTTCTTCGCCTCCTCCTGCCTACTCAAGTGTCTCTGGTCCTGGAGCTTCAACTGGATATCCTAACGATAAACAGAGCGGGGCGGGCGGCCGCCGCCGCCGCCGGAACTGCAATGGCACACCCTGCCTTGTCAAATCAGCATCCTGCTCTTGCGAATGCGCCTTCACCTGCACCGACAGCCTCTACACAAGATCATCCCGCATTTGCAAATGACCCAAGGCAGCAGCAGGTGGGACAGTCCCCGCAAGCTTCTGTTGCGAGTGATTTGTCTGGCTTCCATCAACAGACAGCTCAACTTACTTCTCCTGGTCCCGCTGGTCCAACTCCAGCGTCTCCGCCGCCTCTTCCAGAAGGGTGGATTGCCCACATGGACCCCGGCTCTGGACAATATTATTATATCCATTTGCCTACGCAGTCAACACAATGGGAGTTTCCCAAGGGACCTACACCACTGAACCTCAATGAGACACCCTTGTCTCCGGTTGGGAGTGTTTACAGCGCTCATCCGCTGGCTTCTCCCGGCCTTTCAGCTTTCGGGAAGCCTCTTGCATCACCAGGTGTACCTTTGACCCCTGGCTTTGAGAGTTTGCAGTCTCCTATGTCCGGATTCTCCGGGCCCCCTCCCAGCAGCGGCATGGACTTATACAAAACCACCCCTACAAATGGTGTCTACTTTGGTCCTTACCTGCGTTATACCAATATGGATATTGAGCGAGGGGTCTGGCTGGGATCAATTCTTCTCGTAACAGATGCCGCACAGCCACCTACGATCCACATGCACCAGAGTGTGGATCTGTCTCCGAACCCACGACAGCTCAAGGCAAATAATATTGCCGCTCATCAGCGGTGGACATTCTACAAGTATGAGATTGACTTGCAGATGGACGACGCGGGTCCAGCAAAGTGGACTTATGCAATCACCTCACACTTGGGCTGCACACGCTACGAGTTCCTTGTCGCCGGTAGACATGAAACTAACTGGCGGTTCATTGCCACCTCTGGAAATGACTTCTCGCTGAACGTCAATGCCAATGAGCGTGCTCGCCTGGGTGGTGTTGGATTCATGTGGAAAGATATTATGCAAAAGCACAGCGAGATTGGTGGATTCCATACTCAATTATGCTTAGGTGGTCAGATCTATGCAGACCGCATGTGGAAGGAAATCCCATCTCTCAAGCAGTGGCTCACTCTCAGTGGCAAGGAAGCTAGGAAGAATGCACCATGGACCGCAGCCAACGAACAGGATGTCTCTCATGCGTACTTCCACTACTATACCAGCCACTTTGACCAACCCTACATGAGGGAGTCGTTTGCGCAAATTCCCTACATCTGCCAAATCGATGACCATGATATGTAAGTCGGTCGTAACATCCTGAATTAACATCACTAATATGGCCACAGCTTTGATGGTTTTGGTTCTTATCCTGAGCACATGCAGTTCTCAAATATGTTCAAAAACATTGGCCGCATTGGTATCGAGATGTATCTTCTCTTCCAGCACCATACAACTCTTGACATACTCCGAAATGTGAACAACGACATGGATCTCTTCACTATCACTGGCACTGGCTGGCACTTTGTGAAATACTTGGGCCCAGGCGTCGTCGTCGTCGGCCCCGATTGTCGCTCGGAACGAAACCCCCATCAGGTCATGGCTGGTCCCACGTACCAGGGTCTCTTCCCAAAGATTGCAATGCTGCCTGCCAGCGTGCAGCACTGCCTCTGGATGATTTCTGTGCCGCTAATCTATCCTCGACTAGAAACTGCAGAACATATTGCCCAGACTGTCGCCACAGGGAAGCGCGCAGTCACCGGTGCATACAATGTTCTTGGCAAGGTGACCAGCTCAGTGGCCGGCGTTGTAGGTGCCAAGGACTTTGTAGGATCAGGATTCGACTCAGTGAAGAGGGCTGTAGGCAAATCCGGACTCATGGGTGGCATTCTCAGCCCCTTCGGTGAGTTCGATCTCATGGATGAGTTGCGCGATCAGTGGACGCACGAATCAAAGGTATGTTCCCACGCATCTTCTTTAAACTCAGAGGCTTGCTTGGACTAACACCATGCAGGATCTCGAACGGACTTACCTGATCCGTACACTTCAGGGCATCGCACACCAAAAGTCTCTGCGTATGACTTTCCTCTCTGGTGCAGTAAACGTCTGCGGCGCAGGTCTCGTACACGACCCTTCCCAGCCTTCAGACCACAAGACCATGTATCAACTTATCGCTTCGCCTGTGGTCAACACCCCGCCCCCATCCTATATCATCAAGCTCCTGCACAGTCACAGCAAGCCACTATATGTTCCTGCCAATGGCCATCGATCATCGGCTCAACCAAGCGATACCAAGGAAGACATGATGGAGATTTTCCAGACAGATGTCAATGGCCAAGCCCGTGAGTATCGCAAGCTCATGGCCCGCCGTAATTATGTCGCGATTGTCGCCTACGATCCGGAGTCTGTCAACCCTACGTATGGCGATGGCTCACGAGGCTCTAAGAGCAAGCTGAGTCTTGCAGCTGATTTCATGGTCCAGGGCGAAGGTGCCTATGGGACTGTAGTCAAGTTTGGTCCTGTGATCGTGCCGAGTTTGGAGCATGGTCGGTGATGATCATGCTGAGATCTGGATATCCTCCTTCCCGCACAGCACTCTGTTCCCTTCCTTGTTTCATAGTTAAATTGGCTTCTGGCGTATCGAATTTCTGCTCTTCTGTTTCATGCCTTTCTAGCTTTTTTGTTTCATGTGGTAACGATACAAATTTGCATACTGTTTTAACATTAGACTTCGATTTTGGTGGATTTGGAATGATGGTTGCTGAGTTATTATCAAACTGAATTGCCATTATAATGGTGGTCGTTATAAACAAAATAGGGTATAAGTTAGTGTTCTAAGACAAAACAGCCCATCAACCAGTGGGGTCACCCCCAGGAACGCATAAACCAATTCTCCAGAAATAGTCACGATGGGCATAAAACAATTCCCAGAGTCGATATTTTGCCGGTATAAGGGACCAGTCCCAATGCAGGGGTAATAGCCTGTCCTTGGGAGGATTTTTCTTACAGTGGGCAGTATTTTGGCCCTCCGACGACCCGAGGGCAACCTGCTCACTGGATTCAGAAGTATGATGCCTCGTATTAATTTGACAGGGTTCCACGCTGGATATGAGCAGCTCAACGGGAATTTTAACGTCGTGATAAATTTCCCGCAGAATACCAGGCGTTTCTGACCCAGCAATACACTTTGGGTCATAATGGCCCACGCACAGGTGTACATCCTCAAGAGACGGGGGAAGATCGGGCTTCGAAATGAAGATCTCGCCTGCATGGGGCCTATATCCCCACTCTTGTAACGGGAGAAGAGGGACCGGGTCATCAACATGAGTGATACGACGAACCCGATTTTCGTCCTGAGATAAACTCTTATTTGAGTTTGTGGGTTGCAGGTCAAATATTTCATCAAAGAACTGTGCAAAGTCTGCATTTCCAAGCATCGGCTCACCGAATGTCGTTACTAGCGGGTCCCAGCCCTTCAAGCGCATCTCGAGACCTGCTAGTGCCGCCACGGCTCCCCCGAGCGAGTGGCCAACCAAAGTCATTTCGTAGTCAGGGTATTTCTGCATTGCGGCTGAAACGTGTGGCAGGATTAGTGACCGGGTATCAAGCCACGAGGTCATAAATCCAGCATGAACTGTGCAGTTTTCACAACGTAGCCCTGACGGTCTGGGCGATTGGGTTTCATTTATCTTGCTGTCATCACCAGGGTATGGGACGTATGCTTGGGGATATGCAGAGAGATCGATAATCGTGTTTGTTATTGAGTAAGTACCCCTGAATGCGACAATAATACGTTTCGGTGAGGGGGGATGCGAGATTGCAACATATCCGCACGAGTCAGAGAGAAGAACGCCGGTATTCCAGGTCTATTAGGGGGTATATGTTAATCCTCAGGTTATGATCTGCGGAGTCCTGGATATCCATGAGAACTCACAGCTACCAGCTCAAAGTCTGGAAACTCGACACAGTGACTCAAGCACTGAAATGGCTGTTGAACTCCAGTAGTGCCAACACAATAGGATATGTCCACTAAACGAGATAACTCCTCGAGAGAGTTGAAAAGATCGCCAGACACATGTCTAGTCTCCTGCTCAGCTGTAACAAGCCTCAATAAATACAGCAGTAGGAGTGAGAAAATACTGCTCGCCATGGTCAAGCATGATTGAGGTGTGGAAGACAACAGAAGTCGTGTGATGTGGAGAACGCTAGAATCCGGGGTAACCTCATTATGTCATCACATCTCTTGGCTTACATTACGTGAGGCAGGATTGAATGAATGTCATGTGCTTAAACTTCTACTCGGAATTGGATACTATGTGCATACTATCGCTGGAACACTGGCATAAGGTTCGTTTGTCGAATTCATGCTGACCAGACCACAACACGACCGTCGACACCGCTTGCTATATCGCTATTAGTAATGGGAATTGATTTCACACGGAGGATCTCTTACTGCTGAAGGATCCGACAGCCCCGTTGGCCTCCTCATGAACCCGGATGGTGTTCACGGTGTTCTGGTGAGTGGATTTGAGCTTAGTGTCCGCTTGGGTCTGGCCCTTGAGATCCATTTGTCGGAACATGTTCAAGGCAGATTCCTCGCGGGCACCTCCGGCATCACCTGCCTTGTTCTCAAGAGAACCTGCAAGTTGCCATCCATTCTCATCGCCGCGGAATCGGAACGGCTCACAGTCCTGTATTCAACGGTTAGCACAAGTGGTAAGGTATCGGAAACAGAGGGACTGACATGACCAGCTGCGATGATTTCAGTCTCGCCGTTCCAAATGAGGCTGTTCAGGGGCAGCAATCGAGTGGAGATATTCAACATCGCCCGTGGGGGCTGCTCTGGTGCACTGGGGTATACCACAGTCACGCTGCTGTCATGTCCGGTGAAGGCGAGGGCATTGCCACTAGGGGAGAATGCCACACCCTGGATCCATCCAGCTGAGTCGTTCAAAAATTCACCACAGATTGTGTTAAATGGGAGGCGCTCTCCCCATGCGCTGGGTTCCGGGCGAGTATCAATTCCTTTGATGAAGCTCGAGAAGACTCGCGCGTGAGAGTCGGTAGATCCAGCTGCCAACAAAACAGAGTTCGGGTGCCATGCGAGGGTGGTGATAGTACTGCGAATGGGCTTCTTCAGGTGTTTCGAGATCCACCAGTCATTCTCCTCCTCGAAATAACAGACTGCAATCACTCGAGCGCCAGAACCAACGGCAAACTTCTGTTCCGAAGGGGACCAGCGCACAAAGGTGGCGGCACGGTTGATCCGCAGAAGTACCAGAGTGGGTTTCCAGCCTTCGGGGGTCTTTTCCCAAACGTAGGCGTTACGGTCTAATAGAACAGTCAATGTTTATTAGTAGAACCGACAAGTATCTGATCAAAACGAACCTTGCGAGCATGTGACAATTCGACCACTCTTAGGAGCAATGTCAACGCTGGTAACAGTCTTTTCGTGGCCCTTGAGTTCATCACTCAATGTAAACTTGTTGCCTGACGACTGGTAGAGCTCCACATTGTTCTCCCGGGCGACAGCAAGTGTTTGCTTATCAGAGGAGAACGAGTGGTCTGCAATTGGTGCATGGAAGAGGTGGTGAACTTGAGGAGTGGCCATGTTGGATAACAAAATACGACAGGAGGAGCTCTCTACCGTCGAGTCGTGGATTGTGTACTTGCGGGATGCGGGAATGGGGGAGGGGAGCTGATGACGCCTGGGGTTGGTTAGGTAATAACATCACATGACCACAAGCTGCTTTCCAAGGTTTCAAATCCTCAATTGGCATTCCCGACACAGAGCAATTGAATTGTCTTCCCCGCAGGTGATTCTATCTGCTACTTTTTTGTGTGAGACCCGTGGTATTTCTTTCAGCCCATCCAATTCAAACATGGCCTCAAAAGCATTGCCTTCCCGTGGAGGCCCTGAAGGCAAGACTGTTGCGACTGGTCCTCCAAACCAAACGTGAGCTTCCGTTGAAGATAATTAAGCATCGCTTGGCTCTAGGGACTAACACTATACCAGACTCTACTGCACCAATCTGCCTGATAAGCTCCACAAGCATGATCTCAGATCGTCTCTCTACACCCTATTCTCTACGTACGGCACCGTCCTCGACGTTGTGGCCCTGAAGACCGTTCAAATGCGAGGTCAGGCCCATATTGTTTTCAAGGATATTCAAGCTAGTACTCAGGCGCTACGGTCTCTGCAGGGATTTGACTTCTTCGGGAAACAAATGGTATGCATTCTGTCCTGCTATCATTGCGAAACCTTTATACTCATTTTTTTTGTCTAGAAAATCGTCTATGCCAAAGGACCATCCCATGTCATTGCAAAGCTTCGCGGCACCTTTGTTGGAGTCAATCCTGCACCAGTCCCAGTCTCAACCGATCTACAGAAGTCCATATTCAGTGGTCCACCCGGTAGCCTCCCTCAACGACCCCCGACTGATGCCACGGTCGAGGGACAGGGAGTGAAGCGCGCGCGTGAGGAAGAAAGTGATGAGGAAGCCCCTATGGATGAAGACAGCGATGTGCCCATGGAAGCTTCCTCGGATGAAGACTAGGTGTTTCCGCTCTCACCTTTATTTGGTCAGCCAATTGGAGGCGCCCTTGAGGTCTCCTTGTACTGCATTCGATTTTATTTTCAGCACTTGCACCATGGTCTGGCACCATCTAAGCAAAAAGCTCGCGTGGGATGTGCAGGTTCACGCAATGGCCCACCAGACCGAGCCAGATGAGTAGGTATGACCTAGGAGTGACACTCTGTGCATCTGCGATATGCGCCATGGCATCGGCCGTGTTGCATGGGTGGACAAAAAATGCCGGGGCGCCAGAGTCTGGATGGTACTGCATGAAGACATGAGCTTTTGTCACAAGGTTGGAGCTTGCACCTACACCCATACTAATTCCACCCATGACCCCTACACTCCTCATTTCTTGTCTGTACTGTTCTGGCACCACATATTGGTAGACGGCGTCGAGTCCGAGCGGACCTTGATTGTGCCACCTCGGGCTGAAGTACAAGACGGGGACCTGATATGTGGGGGATAACAGGATGTCATAATCTACCTGTAAACTGGGCTTGGAGATGCGAACGAGAGCTTCCTGCGGTGACGGATTAGGACTAAGCATCCCTTGAGGGGCTGGCATCTGCAGACCGGATCGTCTTCCTGTTCAACTGTATCTTCTGTGGCTTGCATCGGTACATTAATACATTGTGTGATTCTGAGGCCCGTCCCTAGCTATTCAGAGTCAGTTGGTCCGCATTCTACCATCACTATTGCAGTATTCCTAGTGTCCTGATTGTGCCAATAGTGCCAATAGTGCTTCCAGTAGCAACAACTAGCTCGACCAAGACACTCTCCATTTGGGGGAGGATAGATACCATTATGATGAGTCCAGCTGAGGAAGAGCCGAGCGCCTGACATGCATGATCAAACTCGGACTGCGTTAGGAAAGGGAAGTGGGAGCACATCTGAATGCGGTGAAGTGTAAGTGAAAGCGAATGCGGTGAAGATGAAAACAGAACAAAGCGGATTGTGGTGAGTACCTGGTACCTGACGGTTGGGTGGTGTGATGCTAGGGATGAGGTGTAGTGGGTACCCCCGCTTGCGGGAATCGTATTGTGTCTATCGTTTCGTCGCCATTTGCCCTTTTCCCCCGTTTCCCTTTCCTTTTTCTTCTTCTCAATCTCTTCTTCCTTGTTCCTTGCTCTGCATGCAGACGGTGGATCCCTTGACATGGCGTTTTCGTCTTTGTTAGTTGCATGATGTCTTTTCCTTTTCTTATTGTTTTCTCTCTCTCCCCTTGAAACCCTAGTGTCAGTCCCTGCTCGATTGGTTTTTGGGGGTTTTGTCTTCTTGTCTTTTCTTTTCATTTCTTTTTTGGTCAGTAATCTTTAATGTATGTGAATCTTCTCAAATCCTGCTTTTGGGGAATACTTTGAGACCCTCCCAATCCCACCACCTCCGTCGCTGCAGTCCAACCATTTACTGGAGTATCACCCAATCTGAAACACGGGTCTGTCCCGCATCCCCCGGAAACCCATCAACCACCAATCGCTCGCTCAATTGCAAACCCAGCGGGTGCACGAGCTTGAAGCTCGGATTAATCTGCGGCGTGGCTTGACGTCAACAGTCCGGGGATCTAATCTGGAGACTCCATCTGAGCATATCTGAGCCAGGCCATCCCTCGTGCGGGGGGACAGTGCTCGCCATCAAAGCCCCTCGCAATTGTATATCACTCCCAGTCTGGAGCACATTGGAGTCCACCTTCTGAATCATGGGCAACACTCAATCAAGACCTCAAAATGACACGCGCCGCTCTAACCGACTTTCAAAGCCTCTAAGCAAGAAGTATAACACCTTTCAAACTTCCTCTCAACATCTCCGGTCAGAGTCAGATTCATCGCAGGCCTCGGGACTGATTGGATGGCAAAATCCTTGGGTTGGATACAATATCTCCAACACACCCGTGGGAAATCGAATTTCTCATACGAAGAAAGCCGAGATCCCTCCTACTCTGTTTGAGGCAGAGCCATGCGAGGAAAGCCCAACGGGTGAAATTGCGGCTTCCGCAGATGACCAGGCCCCCGAGACGTGTCAAGATCGCCCAAGTCTTTCGACAACGGGTCCTAGGAGAGCCTCATATCAGCCTGGAACTCCAGACGTATCTCCTCAGTTCTTGCCGGTGTATGACCAGCCAAGAAGGGCCAATTCAATCCAGACCCCTCTTCAAATACAGAATAGTGTGGTTCTTGAGAAAAACGATGCGACCTCTTCTAACACGCATTTTCTGGTTGGCAACCAACGATTCTCATTGACGCGTCGACGTTCGCTTCTGACCCGACCCGGGGTTGCTACGAGACGCACAACGGGCGCGATCCGTCGCGTTCCATCACCGATTGGAGAGCCAATCGACGACCCAAGTGAGTCGGATGTCTTGCAGTGGCCGTTGCCCTCAACTCAGAAAACGCGTGTCCCATCCCCAACACGGCCGACCAGTCCAACGGATGCCCGATATACTCAACTCGGAGCTCTCAAGCTCGGATCTTTGAGAGTGGTCAATGGGTCAGCATCTCCGTGCCCCAGCGAACGCATTTCTTTGGATGGGCCTGGACTCGGACTAAAGAATATTGAAGTCGTGGGCCCTCTCAGAAGATCTACGCTGGAGATCCCTTCCTTGCCTGATTTGAAGAAATCTGATGATGTTCCCGGCAGTCCTTTCTCATTTGAAAAGTCACCCACCATCACCGTACATCCACGAAATAAGGCCTTGTTCCCTGGAGACCCAGATGATGAAGCCATCGCTCTTTGTGATGATAGGAGAGTCCCATTGGAGAAAGGAACTTTGGAGGGCCTTGCTCGAAGTACGTCCAGGTCCCTCAACAAATCAGACAGTGGTTACAGCTCTGCCACTTCCGTTCACTCTATTCAGCGAAGCCGGACTCGGGGATCCGTCGATTCACAAACTTCTGGCTCGTGTGGCGGAGATAGCTCAAAGAATGTTTGGATCTCCAGTGTGCCGGCCTCCAATCGACCAGGTGATGTTATGCAGCGTCACTTGAGTCTCGAGCAAACACCCGAGCTCTACCCACAGCTGCTCCCAGCCTCTCACCGATGGTACGATTCAAGCAACCCGACTCCTGTCGTTCACACACGTTATCGTAGATCAACATTATGTGCGCCCCGCTTCACGGAATACTCTTCGCCATATGAGACAAATCTCGAAGCAAAGCCTGCCGTGGATTCCCAGTGTTTCTCTATACCCCAATCCCAACAGGACCTTACTCGCGGTCCTTTCTACGACGATCAATCTTCTGTGAGCACGCTTGATGTCATATCCGTCACTGGCTCTTCCACCACAATGGACACAAGCCTAACTCGCCAAAATACGATCTCTGGAAATAAGGAACGACTCCACAGGTCAGCCTCCGCTTATCACATTAACGATCATAACAACGCATTTGTTAGTCGGCGTTCTCGATCCAGAAGTCAGGGGGGAGTCGTATCTGGAGACTACGACCGGGCATTGAAGCTCCCCCGCTGCCCACAATCCTGTCCCCGGACTTCTTACCAGACGGAATCGATGCCGAATTGGCTGACTCTGAGCCAATCCGAGGCCGGCCTCGAAGTCGGAGCCACGATTACCGCCGCTGTCGGTTAACGAAATCACGCCCTCAGTCCGATGTTCATATGACGACCTCTCCTTTTGCGCTATATTGATTTATTGTTTTGTTCTGAGTTTATATTGGGATTGACAAAAGTTCTGGAGTTGACATGTGGAGTTCAGGGTGGGCATACATGTCTTAGGTATACCCCGTTTGAAATTGGAAATGGAGCGAAGATCATAATACTTGGCGTTCCACACCGGATCTATGGTTTTTTGTTTTTTGTTTTTGTTTTTTTTTTCTTATATTTAGGCGCACGATTTATCTCGCAATGCCGGCATTTTCTTGGATACTTGATCAAAGTCAAACGTAGCTTAATACGTCCTGCAGATGCACTGGCACCCAAGATTCAATCTCATCCATTGCATTGAGCATGTGAGTAAGGCCCTTGTATAGATGCAGTGCAAATGGTGTAGCGCGAATCAAGCAAGGGGGTTGTACTTGGGCATTGCATATCCTGCGTCAATGTGGCTTGGGCTTTTACATGGACAGATTTGATAGTGCGAAATCAAAAGAATTAATACCAGTCATTATAATACACACAGTATAAGCGCCTCCAAAGCTAAAACAATTCTGTCCAATCTTCCTTCCCAGCCATCTCGTATCACAGGATGCGTATCTTCTTCGTCTGAGGAAGAGCCTGTTTTGGCACCACAACTGACAAAACTCCATTCTTCAAGCTTGCTCGAACAGAATCCTGATCAACGCGGGCAGTAAAGCTAAACGTGCGCTGGAATTCGCCGGTAGGACGCTCTGAAGCCCAGAAATGGGCCGGAGAAGGCTGGGCCTTTTCATGGGACGAAGCGGTGTCGGAAGTGGCGATCGACTCTGCGTCTTCATCTTCGACTGTAGGCTGGTGCCATCCCGGGGATGGGCTGCGACTCGGAGTCGAGTCTTCCTTGCTGTATCTGCGCTCGGTGTGGCCGTGGATGACTAGCGTGTGCGGATCCGTAAATTCAATCTCGATGTTGCTTTGATCTACACCAGGGAGCTCGCCGTCTAGATGGTAGCTGCCGTCTAGTTCTCGCACGTCAAATGCCGGTGTAAAGGTACGTGGCTGGGCTTTCTGACAACCCTCATAGTCGTCAAGCAGTTGGAAGAGGGGCGAGCAGCCGGTGTGCGAGTAAAAAGCCATTTGGAGATTGGAGTTGATTGAAGTTGATATGAATAGATTATCTTTCTGAATGATTCTGTATCCATCTGGTGGGTTGTCTTGTGTTTTATAGATATGCCCAAGTTTATACCAGGCTTATAGTCCGGAATCATCCAGAATCCCGTGGCGCACTCTGCCACCCGCCACGAACTTCAGGAATCATCCACTGACAAATTCACTTGCAAGTAGAATGTTCCAAAGCTCTGAATGTTGTGATTGCTAATTCTTTCAATGATTTCTAATATGTGTGATCTGCGGTTGTAATGTTAAGGTTGTGGTGGCAAAGACTTCAGAGATCAGACAGTGTATAATACAAAGAACACCAGTGAGGCATCACCACCACCACTAGTTGTTATCTTAGATGTTAACCCAGCAAGTCTATGTCACATATTTGCTACAAAGGCGTCGAGGACGCTCCACAGACAGGCAGTATGCTGGCCCGTCAAAAGTGGTGTCTGGCCTCAACATCAGATCCTGATGATTGAGTCAGCAAAGATCAGAGATGAGAATCATGACGAGAAACATACGGAGTAGTAACGCTTAGGTTTCATCGGATGTTGCGGATTCCCGGGGAAGCATACATCTCGAGCTGTCGATGGCCTTTGCGGAGGAGATATTCCACCGTGCTAAAGTCCTTTTTGCTCACCGAAATATGTTTTTGAAACTCCGCCCTATATCCCGCGTTAGATAAGAGATATCCGCCGGGAAAAGAGAAGCTTACCGGGCATGCGTTTTGAAGTTAGGCCTTGATTCCTGGAAGAATGATCAGAGGAGATCCAGAGATTGGAGGTGTATAGAGATAGAAACAAAGATACATAGAATCATACGTACCAGAGGCTTATTTCGAATTTCACGTAGACATTTTCGGTATAGACTTAGGACGTCTCTTTGAAGACCGGAGAGTCGAGCCATTTGCGAGGATGGAGAGAGGAAAGGTCCCGTTTCCCGGCGAGGACCTTTCCCGACCCCCGAGATATTACATCAATTACACTCCCCCCCCCCCCCCCATTTCTTACTCTCTTACTCTCTTTCCAACTACAATGTCTACCTTTACAGTAAGTATCAATGATAAATTCAAGTGCCGTGCATCCTGTGCTAATTGACTCTAGCATCTTGTTCGGTTCCTGGCCAAGGATGGCCAGGTATATTATGGAGATGCTCTTCTTCCTTCGGGAGTGAGCGACATTGCCAAAGCCACCAAGGCAAAAGTCATTCAGGGTGATATATTTGGCCAATATCGAATCACCGACCAAGTGGCAGAAATCAAGTTGCTCCTTTCGCCTTTGGCTCGTAAGGATATTGGAACAGTCCGCTGCCTGGGACTCAACTACGAGCAGCATGCTAAAGAGTCAAATATGCCTATTCCCAAGTATCCAATTTTGTTTTTCAAGCCTGTGACTTCAATTTCTGCACCGGGGGATGATATTCCTGTTCCTCTGATTGCCCAGGAAGGTGAGGGCCTGGATTACGAGTGTGAGTTGGTCATTGTCATCGGGAAAGAGGCCAACAACATCTCCGAAGATAATGCCCTGGACTATGTTTTGGGCTATGCGGTTGGCAATGATGTTTCCCATCGAGATTGGCAGATCAAACGGGGTGGAGGACAGTGGGGATTGGGCAAGGGCTTTGATGGATGGGCGCCCTTTGGCCCTGGAATTGTTTCTTCCAACGTCATTGCGGACCCCAATGCTCTGCATATCTCCACCAAGCTAAATGGGCAGACAGTCCAATCCTCTTCAACCAAGGACATGATCTTTGGTGTAGCGAAGACGGTAGCCTTTTTATCCCAAGGCACCACGCTCCAGCCGGGGGATCTCATCTTTACCGGAACGTAAGTAAACCCCAGCCCATGATTGAGAGCATTAGGTTTGACTGTTTGATAGACCACAAGGTGTCGGGATGGGCCGTAAGCCTGCGCTGTGGTTGAAAGATGGTGATCAAGTCGAGGTTTCTCTCGAGGGTGTGGGTTCCTGCATCAACCGCGTGGTGTTTGAGAAGCCCAGGTCGAAGTTGTAAGCCTTCCGCGGTGTCGAAGGGTCCCGGAGGCGTAATTTTGATAGGTATACAGGCAGACCTACTCGTGTGGTTTAAGTCATCACAGAAGTTTTGGCTGTTTGATTATTGGACAAGTAGAAAATCCGGGTGTATTCGTGTAAATATCATATCTAAACAGTCTGGGCGCCATATCCCTTGATTCTCTCGGCAAACGCCCAGCTCTGACCCTGGATCTGCTCATCCTCTTTCAGGTCAATTCCATCTTTGGTGATCACGGCTATCGAATACTTGTCGAGACTTCGAGCATCACGGTAAAACAAGACCTTCAAGCACTCCTTCAAAGCCGCCACAGCATCCTCCTGGCTAACTTCCTCAAGAGGTGTACCCTCCGGGAACTTGCGACGCAAGATCGGGACGGCAAGGTGAGCTCCAAAGCCTGTAGCCAGATGAGGAGCAGAGAATGTTGTTCCCAACAAATCTGCCGAGCTGAGGAATGGCTCTCCTTCTCCATCGAAGCCTGCAACAAGGACATGGTTCCACAGCGGGTTGAACTCGGAGCGTCGTTTGTAGAACACTTTAGCCAGGTACGTGTGCAAGTTCTTGGCATTGAGCATGTTGCCATGAGTTGAGTAGTTCTCTTTGATATCCATCGATTCGAGCAGACGGTCGAGGTATTGCATGTCGGAAACGTCACCGCCAAATCCCACCATGGCCTTGTCGCCAAATGAACGTAGACGCTTGACATCTGAGAAACGAGCCAGGGATCCGTAGGACGCTGAATATCCAGAAAGCGTATCAAGTTAGATTATGCCGCAGAGAAGAACAAGAACGCCGCAAGGGAAGATGCATACCCAGGTTATCGGTAGCTAAAGCAACACCGCCATTGAACTTGACACCCACCACTGACGTTCCAGTTACAGCAGGAGATGAGGTGTGAGCCTTTGGACCCGAAGTCTGCAAATATGAATGATCGTAGGCGCCGTAGACATCGTTTCTGGGCTGTCGACATCATTAGCGGAGAGCAAGGTCTCGGGAGATTTGCGTCACTTACTCGGCCCCAGGCTTCAGGGAAGTGGTTCATGATGAAAATGAATAAGTAGAGACGTATTCTAGGAGATTAAAGCGTAGAGGCAAAGGGTTGACGAGGACGATGAATAGTACAGGGCGATGACGGTGGAGAGCTCAGTAGGCAGTCGAGCTGACGGAGAGCTTCTAGCTGACTAAGATTCCCGTTCCACCTGGGCAACTTTGAAACTGCCAGGGTTGGTCAAGTTGATTGATGTTTACTATTTATCAAATGAACTAGGCTAACATAGTAATCTTTTCTATGTAGAAATACTTTATGGGATATGGAGTGGTGCAATATATGTAGTTCAACATCTGAGTCTAATAACAAAAGAGATGCTCGTATTCGCTTGCATCTAAGCCCCAAGAACCACGGATGATCACCGCGACGACTTTCTCAGTCTCCTTTGCTTTCATGTTGACCAAGTCAAATAATACTCATGTCTTCGTCAAGTCCAGCAGCGTCAGTTGCATCTGAACCCCCCACCGAAACTTCAGGTCCTTCTCACTCATATGATGTTTTCAAGTCGCTGCTCCATCGGCACTATCGCATCGACTCTCTAGACGGAATACCGCTCTTCTACGCGGATATTTCATTATTGAGTCGAAACAAGCCCGACCTTACCCTTCACGCTGGTGCTAGCAACCAAGAACAAATTGTGGCTGTGTCTAATTTTCTGAAGTTTTCGGGTGACTACAAACTAGGCCTCGGAGACCCCAACAATGTGAGCAGTATCCAGTGGGAGGACATGACCAAAGAGAATATGCGGAGTTCAAAATATCGCTTTGAAATGGCCGTACCATGTGAGCTAATCCAATCGCCGGGAGTAAGACGGTCTTTTCTTTGGAAGCGAACACGCAGCATTGGCGTCGATGACTCGACACCGTCCAAATGGACCAGGCAAAACTATAAGCTATTGGATGAGCACTCAAGTCAGGTGCTGGCCGTTTTTTCTGGAACCAAGAGACCGGGCAAGTGTGGGACAATCCAAATCAGAGTGGAATACGGCGAAGAATTCGATCGAATGGTCTTGATTTCTTGTTTGAGCTTGTATGAGAAAGCAAGAAGGCGCAACCACAGAGGAGCAGCAGGTGGCGGTGGAGGGGGTTGAATGGGAGCTGTGTGCTGGAGCTGTGCGGTAAAATGGGACAGAGGTGACATTTCGTCCATGTCAGTTTCCTCAGCAGTACACAATTCCTCAAAGAGTGATGCGTATCAAGGCCCAGTCCTTTCTTTGCAAGCAAAAAAAGATAGTATCAAGTCAATATAGATCAGTACTGCTTCTTGGGCGACATAAAAGCATAGTTTTCCTTCGGGCAATTGATACACCGTATCATTGAGCGTTTAGAACTTTGAGCTTATATCTTTAATCCCATTCTGGGTTCAGACAATGATTCGCCACGGCCGTTCCATGTTTTGACAGGGTATGTATGGATACACACAAATTATTTGGGTTGGATAGAATCTTGAGAAGGGGATTGTTTTTAGCCTGGGCTTGAACATATTGGACCTTCTTCGCGACCATGCGATCAAGCAGAGCCAGAGACAAAGTCAAGAGAGCTTCGTTGGCCCGATGACTTTTGCTCTTCCACCTTTTGTCGAAATGTCTGCTGGGTGTTGAGAAGCTCCTCCTTGAATCCCCATCTTGGTAGACTAGAGATATCCCACAAGTCAAGCGGTAGCGAAGTGTCATACTGGCATTTCTCATTGATGCCAGCATGGTTCATCATCTTCATCAGTAGGCTGGGGTTCTTGAGTGATGAGGAACTGGCAAGTTTCGTGTTGAAGTGTACACCCTGCTTTTTGAGCGAGAGGAAATGCTCAAATTTCGCATTCGCGGCTGCATCGGGAGATCCAGGGGGCGAGGGTGGTATGTCTAGATTAGGAACCGGTGGAAGCGTGAGGTCTTGAATGAGAACTCTTGAATCCAGGAAAGGAGATGAGGCTTTTGTCGTTATGTGCGCACTCCCTGCATCGGGTGCCTGGTCAATTGACTCGGGACCAAGAACGGGCCCATTCGGGACCGGTTCTGTGGTATTGATAATGACCTTGGACACTGGCTCTTCGTCGGGCGACTCAATTGGACCTCGACGGAAGTCAGTGTCAATGCGATGAATATGGACTTGGACGCAATGAGCTTACCCTGGTCTGTTGATGTTGTTGCGACTAAAGGCTCCTTGGTATGCTATTAGATCAACGAAAAGTCAACACATGTGGGTTTCAAGCAATCAAGAACCGGACCAGTCATACCTGTAGTTGAGATGATTGTCTGTTAAGCTCAGCCTCATCTTCACTGCTGCTCTCATATGCACCGAGACCAAGCATGGTGTATCGGCTAGCTAGAGGACAAACAGTGAAACCTGACGTGCAAGACAAGAAGATGTAAAAATGTACAGCTTTTCCAAACGGAATACGTACTGGCTTATTTGGTAACGAGATGTTGAACCCATAAGCTACTTGACATTAGCCCGGGGGAGCTTGAGGTCCTTACATAAGCGGGAGGCAGCTACCGCATCGCGTCAGACACCCAGACAGCTTCCAACCTACCACGAACTACTTCAACTGTGAAATTCTTTCCCAATATCTTCTCTATCCTTTCGTTTCAAAGACTCTTGTGATACGCATTTGATCAAGCACCCCCTCTACCAAGATGACGTCGTTTATGGGTCACCAGTCTCGTGGTGAGACCATCGGATTCTCCTTCTCTGAGCCAACAACTGCTCCTGTCAAGCAACACTCCTTCTACCCGTACGGAATCAGTCTATCAGACCTCACTTGCACTTTGACTAATATTATATGTTCTAGTTACACTGACAATGGCGGTTCTACCCTGGGCATCACCGGCTCCGACTTTGCCATTCTCGCCGGCGATACTCGCTCCACGTCCGGATACAATATCAATTCCCGCATGGTTCCCAAGGTTTTCAAGATTGGCGGTGATGACGAAACCGGTGAAGGTGCTCAGATTCTACTCTCTGTCGTCGGGTTTGCCGCAGACGGTAATGCCCTCAAGGAAAGGCTAGACACGATGGTGAAGATGTACAAGTATCAACACGGCAAATCCATGTCGGTCGGAGCATGTGCACAAAGATTGTCGACAATTCTCTACGAGAAGCGGTTCTTCCCCTACTACGTACATGCCATCCTAGCCGGATTGGACGAAGAGGGCAAGGGAGCGTTGTACAGTTACGACCCGGTTGGCTCGTACGAGAGAGAGCAGTGCCGTGCTGCTGGCGCAGCATCGAGCTTGATCATGCCGTTCCTGGACAACCAAGTCAATTTCAAGAACCAATACATCCCTGGAAGTGGAGAGGGACATGCACTGGAACCTAAGAAGGCCGAGCCTCTTCCCAAGGATACGGTGAAGCAACTTGTACGAGACGCATTTACAAGTGCTGTCGAGAGACATATCGAGGTCGGTGATGGCTTGCAAATGTTGATTATTACCCGGGATGGGATTGAGGAGGTGTTCCACCCTTTGAAGCAGGATTAGAGTGCAAGAAATGATGACCACATGGCCTGCTATCAGGTATTTGGGCTTTTTAACTACTTGAACACGAATATAATTGGAATGACTAGAAATTTTGATGGGACTCATATTTTTGTATGTCATCATGTCTAACATCATGGATTCTCAAAAGAGAAAAAAAAGTCGTAAACCCTCATGCTCCTGTATAACGCCCACACCATGCCGAGTGATATGAGATGCCTCATAATATCAGAATCGTTCCTTCATGCGCGAGGCAACGGTTCGGAGATTGCCATAAACCTTACCCTGTTACATGTTAGAATTTCCCATCAATGCACTTGTGCGTTTATAACTTACCGGAGGGCTACCCAAAATCAAGCTGACGATTGCCTCTCGGGCGATATGGATGTTCTTGAATCCGCCCAAGATGTGGATCTTTTGATCGGCGAGTACCACTCGTGTTCGACTAGCGTTTTCGATGGCAAATTTGGTCTTTCCATCCTTGCCTGCAATACGACCAATAGCGCGGCCGAGATGCTCTCCGTTGAGCGTCTTGACATCCTTGATTTCAAATGTTTCAATGTATAGATCGTCCAGTCGAAGAAGCGCAATCGCATCATCAATATCAAAGCCAAGAGCAAAGGCCTTCACGAAATCTGCGCCCTTCTGTAGAGCACCCACATCGTTGGTGAATTTCGAGGTTCGCAATTCCACTGCGCGGCTTTTGATGTTCATTCGCACTTGCAGCTTCAAGTGTTCCACTATGGGAGGGCAAATCTTGGTCCAGTTCGCTTTGAGTGGTGTCATCCGATGAGGAGGGACAGGCACCTTTCGTGTCTCGATGCGATACGCAGTGGCAACGTCCTTTGCAGGAGTAAAGACAGGGCGACCTTCCTCGTCGATGCGCATTTCATTATCATCGGTAGAGTCGACCACGGGGTTGATCACATCAGTCGAAGCGTGTGCATCAATCAAGATCTCATCACCCTGGTCTATTGAAGGTCAGCTACGAAGGCAACGTCAGAGATTAAATAACACAAACCATAAGAGACATTTCCAGGTTGTAAACCTGAAGCTTCAGGCTGGCGAAGGGCTGTGGGTGCCGACATGGTGTGACTGAAGCAACTTTTTTGCTGTTATCGCAAAATTTATCAGTCCCCCTCCCGGAAAAATGAGTGTGGGCGGAGTGGAAATTTTTGATGCAAACCAAACAAACTCGGGGCAATGATTTCATTTGGCTCTTCCAAGCTTCCCTTCCCGTCAACAAGTCTCTCGGTTCTTTTGCGAGAGCTCGGTTTTCAGGTTCCTTGATTTCATATTTCATTCCAGGATGTGAAGGCAAGATATGTCTGCTAATCTGGGACGCCGGCTGTACGCCCACATCTGGGAAACAGCAAATCCATTCCTTGGCATCCGAATAAATCGCATATCCGAGACCTCTACAAGTAAACTTTTCGACTTCATTTCAAGTCGCCCCCGAATCTCATCACATCCACGGAATACAACCCATATCACGAAAAGATTTGCTTCCGGTGGATGCTTCGTCCTCGGTATCTCACCCACTCCCACTGCAGTGGAAACTACTACAGCACGCATCATCCCCTCTCATAAACTTGCCGCCCAGTATGTTTGGAACCGCAGCATACATACTTCCAATCACCCCCAGCGTGGTACTAGGCTGTCTAAAGATACCCAAGGACAGAACCAACAAGATCTTCAAAATGTCAGCAATAATAGCAAGGATGTATCTACAATCAAGGAAACACACCAAGACCCTCAACAGCCGACATCCAATCGCCATCTGATGGATCGTTTCTCTCATATGCCCCATTTACACCGACCATCAAAGGAAGAGCTTCTGGCCGCAGCGACTGGGTTCTGGTCACGGTTGAAAGTACGATTCAAGTGGTTTTCTATACGAAGTGTGCGTCCTTTCAGTCTCGATGAGATGACCGCGCTCTTTTCATGGGTCCTACTCGGTCATATTGTCTGGGTTGTTGTAGGAACTACAACTTTCTTCTCGCTTCTGATTCTGGCGATCAACACAGTTTTTGCCCAGGGTATGTCATTTTTCACTGGTCAGTTTTCGTTTTGATCACTAATGAGTTTTCTACAGAGACTCTGGCAGGATGGGTAGGCAATTATCTCACCAAATCTTCTGGAGTGAAAGTTGTCTTCGAATCTGCAATAGTCCCCAAGTGGAGAAATGGGGTCATCACATTCAAGAATGTGTTTGTGTCAAAGCGGCCGGGACAAGGCACAGGTCATGTCAGTAAAGGTTCGTCGAAGACTGCTGCTGCTGCTGCTGCTGCTCGAGGTGAAACCGGGCACGAAGATCCGCAGCTCGTCTCCGATGAGGAGGAGGACACGAACTATACCCAATTCGATTTGTCAATTGAGACTGTCAATGTGACCCTCTCATTCACCAAGTGGCTTAATGGTAAAGGTCCACTTCGTGACGTCGAGGTGAAAGGCATACGGGGTGTTGTTGACCGCCGACATGTTTACTGGCCGGAGGAGGACTTGGACCCCAAGTCCTACCGGCATGAGCATAATCCCGGTGACTTCGAAATTGACTCATTCAAAATGGATGACCTTCTTGTTACCATCTATCAGCCTGACAACTTCCGGCCATTCTCTGTTAGCATCTTCTCTTGTGATCTTCCGCAGTTGCGGAAACAATGGATCTTTTATGACTTTCTTTCTGCCAACATGATGTCCGGGTCCTATGACAACTCTTTGTTCACAATCCACGCTCGCCAGAGCCATGGCTTTACGGGCACCAGGTCGGATGACGGAGCAGAGCGAGATGGCAAATCAAGCCCATGGAAGAAGCATAACAGAATACGCGTCGACGGACTCAATGTTGATCATCTCAATCGTGGTGTTCAGGGACCTTTTTCTTGGATTCACGAGGGGACTGTGGACATTGTAGCCGATATTATGTTCCCTGCGGAGAACAATGAGAGCTTGGCCAAGGTAATGGCTGATTTCTATGATCGATTAGAGGCAACTGTGATATCCAACCGTTATCCGGAGCCTCTGTCGTCAAGTCCTACTCATGAATCTGAAAATGAGGACCGCCGTTTCTTGGTTATGGATTTGCGTGTGCATTTGAATAATGTTCGGGCTGTGGTGCCTATTTTCACTCGAGATCTTTCATACATAAACAACGCCCTTATCCGGCCTATTGTTGCTTATATCAACTCGAAGCGGACATTCATTCCGATCAACTGTCGTCTAGTCAAGCGCGTTGGAGATTTTGATGGAAGCTGGACTATCTTTGATAGTAGTCTGATGGACGACCTTTCAGCTGCGGTGAGTGCTTTCCCTTTCAATCCGTGTGATCTCAGTACTAATGGGCTTGTAGACTTACGATGCGTTTGCTCGTGATGTTGTGGACGACCAAGCTCGAAAGCGACGATTCAAGAAGGTTGGATTTTGGTCTCTTCAGTTGGCTGCTCAGGCACTTTTTATGGGTATGGCTGGCAACATTGCCTAACTGTAACAACATATGTCATTTCATTTGATGGGCGTTCTTGGGGTTCTGTATTATCACTATGTCTGCATTTGTAGGAGCCAGGGAATCTACATACCTATCTATCAACTACTTTCTACTTTTTGAAAGTGGCTTTGTGTCTTTAGTACGCATAGCATAGTGCAATTCACGTTAGATACTTGTCACTCTCCTACCTTATATGCATAGGTGTTGTTTTCTCCTATTTTCTATTGAAAAACACACATGACCGGGTCTTCTATTCTCCGATTCATTCATAGTAGGTAATAAATACCCTTCATTCTGCCCCCAATCCGATAGAAGCTCAATAGGAGCAATATTTTTTCCCTATACGGGTGGGTGATCGACCCCACGTCAGTTAGGTATCAATTTTCTTGCGTTTTATCAACTACCGTCAATTCGCTCTCAGGGCCCCTGGCGTTGAGAAGAGCAAGTGTCAGAACCAGCATGGTTTGACAGGAAACTGCGCGGAATGCTACACGGTGGCCGAGGTCACATGTAGCCTGACAGAGTGCGCTACCTGATGTGGTGAGAGAGCATGGCTGCCGTTAGCTAGTCATAGTTACCTTTTTGGCTCGGTGTGCAACTCACTAAGCTCTCCTTGTGGGTCGTGTTTTTAAATATGGCAAAACTATTCCAATTCGAAAACAGTTATTAAGGGAAATTATTTATCATATAGAAGGATCATTTTAGACGAAAGTATAAGGGATAAACTGCTGTAATTTATTTTTTAGGAAGAGTATAGGGTTATTAATAAATTTAACTAAGCGGCGGGGCATAGTAGAACTCGGACTTTACTATGGGTGTAATAGAACAATATAAAATAAGGGATACACTTAGGAAAATAAAAGTCGGGGTATAATTATCCATACTAGGATGACTTATAACTCTATATTTATTTTATCATATGCCTTCTCTTATATTCAGAGCATCTTAATATATATTATTGTATAATATGCCTATAGATAACCATGTTAGGAGGTTTTTCTACAAGTCCGACTAATAAAAGAATAAATTTAGGAAAAATACTTTTAGTGTTAAATGATATAAGGCCTTTTCACTAAGTCATAGTATTGTTTACTCTCCAAATTATACTCCTCTATGCTAATTTTACGATTTTATTCATTAATATATCCTATTGTACAATTTAGCCAAGTAAATAAATACGTTGCCGTATAATATTTATTATGAATGTTTTAATGATTACTACTTTTATTGAGGGAAAGGCTACTCGCTGGCGCAATACTAGCCAGAACGTATATTTAAGGGTAATTCTGACATAGATCTAGTGGTTTTTTAATTATTCCTTTTTTGTAGCACGTACGTAGATCGCTAAATTCTTTCTCGGGAATACCTATTTATTGCAAGATAAAGTAGATCTATAAACATTTTAAAGCGCCATTCCAATAAGGATTTTATTAAGCAAGCCCTATTTCAAATTATATATTGAAATGGGATAGCGCGATGGCAGTCTGGTCAAAGCAGACGGGTCGACAATAGCAGTAGGAGCATAGGCAAACCCAACAAGAGGTAGGGCTATAGGAAAGGAGAGCACATAGGGATGGTCTGAAGAGAAGAATGTGTCTGTCTTGTTCTACGTAGAGTAGAGAGGTCTTAAATACATCATGAGTGCTGAATCATCCATAGACCGCTACTTCATGCAGTAAGCAATTCCCCCACTACAATATATTTTAAAGGTATCGCTAGCTTATGGAGTATATTAACGTAGGTAGATACTAAAAATAAAAGTACTCAATTCATATTAAGATATATTTAACTAGTAGTAGTAAAGCTATTCTCAATAGTATCTATTTAAAATCCCTAAGTTTATCAATATACGATCTCTAAACCCATATTATCAACTTAACAGACTGACTACGGCGCATTTTGCCAATGTAAAATAGATAATAGAGGCGATAAAGTATAAGATAAAGATAGAAGTATATACAATTTATAATGAGATTATTCTTATAAATTTCGTCAAAATTTAGCGTCGAATAGCTCCTGTAGGTATAGAGTTTTAAAAAGAGGAAGCTTAACTATTCGAGCAAAAAGTAACGCTACTCAAGATACTATGCTTATGTATTAAAAGATATTTAATAGAATAAATTAAGTTGTTAACGTATAGAGGTTAATAAATAAAGAGTGAACCTTGTATATACTAAATAGGTTCTTCTCAAGCGAAAGCCAATTTTACTCTTGAATCAAAAATTACTGCTATCGGTCAATTTATATTCTATAGTAGTAGAATTGCCTGTTATATAAAGTAGCGATCTACGGATAATTTAGGCCTTTATAATATAGTTAAGACCTCTCTGCGTATAGTGAGTAAGATAGATAGACGTATTCTTCTGTTTAGATTACCCCTATTTATACTCTCTTCCTATAGTCCTACCCGACCTCTTATTAGGCTAAACCTATACTCCTATCACTAGTATTGACCCATCTACTCGGCTCGACTACTATAGCGCGGTCCCATTTTAATATAGTGTATATACTACTAGCTATAGTTATACCCGTTAGTAAAACTTATAGGAATAATTCAGTAGCTTATAGCTGAATACTATTGTTTAACTTTATTGTCCTATTTTGTATTGTTATTAATTTTTTTTCTTAATATAATTTCAATTAAATTACGTAAACTAGTTTCTCTTAAAAAGAAATAGGCTTTCACCTATTCTTATAAACCATCCTCATAATTAAATCAGCGGTAGTTAAAGTGCAAGTGTAAGGTGTATTCTCCCTAGTATTTTCTTATACATATATCCCGTCGTAAAAGTCTTCCTACACTATCACTTTCGCTGACTTAATAGTGGGGGGTTTGACCCTAACTATTTATCTGAATAGTCTTATATAAAATTACTTGCTAAAATATTTACCCAGTGACCCGTATAGTGTCCTAAAATTTTATAATTTAGAAGGATATACGGATTTTCTATATCAAACTATACAGTAATAAGTATTTATAGTCTTATTTTTGTATAATTTTCTATTTATTTGACATAGGGATCGCACTAAAAACGGAAAGAACTCTCGGACTTGAGACTTTTAACGTTAGATTTTTAATTAGCAATTGTTTTTTAAGGTATTATAGTAGATATATATGACATCTTCGCTATTTCTTACTAACTTACTATTAAACTAAGCTTTGATCACGTTCTATATAGCCTCAGGGGTTTCAGATAGCTGGTAAACATTCGAAACTAAAGTTTACTATGTATTAGATATTGATGATATTATGTGAAAAATTTAATAAAACTTTAAATTCGATCAATACCGAAGTTTAAATATACTTCTTAGTCATATATAAAGTGAAAATTATTAAGGAGCTTTTCAGGAAAGATTATATATCTTAACCCAATGCATCCCCCCTAAGTAGTGGAACTTAGCCGTCTAGTTATTTTTATATAAAGGAAATAGTATTTTTGAATATATATACTAGCTTATCGCCGTTGTTAGAATAATTTTCACTTTCTACGAAATTCATGTTAGCGAAAAAGGACGAACACTTCCAGCCTACTCACTATGATATTAAACTATTTAGATTTTTTTAGCTAATGCACTACTTACTTGTTTACTTAGCTTTTTGATGTACGTCGCTTATCAAGTAGTAGCTTTTTATGTGTTATGATAAGTTTATACTAAGCTATCATAATACATGAGTGATATATTTTAATATATAACTTACTTTCTAAGGGTTACCTACTCCTTGTACGACATAAATTGAGAAGGGGGTGTACTCTTTTTGAACGATTACAATTTAGCGCAATATCTACTACTCTGTTTTTAAACATAAATAGTAGGCGAGTCATTTCTTCTCTTAATATTACTCATGCTATATTTAGAAAGAAGAAAAAAACTAGGGAAATAATATAAAGTTGGAAGTATTTACAAAAATATAAGAGTCTATAGATATATTTATGGTCACTACTCAAACTTGAATTTTTTCGAATACATATATAGCGATTAATGATTATTTCGTAACGTACTATAGTAAGATCTAACGCTAAAGACTAAGTAAGGTATTGACTATTTCCGAACTCGTTATCTATACTGTTTATCTTGTGCTTGATAAAGTATAAAGTAAACTATAAGCATGAAAGGTTATTATATCTTTCACAAGATTAATAGTGAATTAATACCCCTAAAATATATATATTACCCTATCCCTAATAGTAAAATATAGATAATCTCTTATCGTTAGTTTTTATTACTTATTAAATCGTAGAAATATATATTAAATTAAAAATACTATTAAAAAGAGGACATTTAACTATTCGACTAGAAAGTGACGCTACTTTAAGTTATTAAGTTTGTACCTAAACAAATATTACGTCGTACAGTGGGGAAATTACCTACTATAAAAAATAGCGATTGACGGATAAGGTGGCCTTAGTGATATATAAAAGAGCCCTAGAGAGCTACATATAGTGAGTAGAATGGATATATTCTTCACTTTGGACTACCCCTATATTTTCCCTTTCCTATGGTCTTACCCAGCCTCTTATTAGGGTTCTCTACTAGCATCAACCTATCTACTCGACTGAAATCCTGTCGCGAATTATCTGTTTCAGTCTATATAGTAGAAGAAGAATATTAGAACATAAAATTAAGTTTATCTAGGCTAGATATTTATTAATACTAATCAACCTGCTTATTTAAAAAAGAAATCTCGCCCCATCAGCTATACCTAGTCCGATTATTAGATAATATATCATTATAGTAGCTGACTATAAGCCAATAATTATAATTTCTGATATAGCGCGACGTTTTTATATGAGGGCTTAATCTCTTACGACAAAGCTATAGATATTATTTGGATATAAAGGAATCAATCTTAGGTAGTAAATAGACTAACTTTCACAATCCTATATATATGGGATAAGATGAGAGCTTATGTTTCTCTCTATACCCCTCCCCCTCTCAATCATTTTGTTATAGCTATGATACAACCGAGTTAAGTTTATACATTCTTCGTAATTACT